TACATTAACTAAAAAGAAGGTGGATTTGGCGGGAAATGAAAAAATATCTCTGAATATTTATTTTTAAAAATGGCAGTAATGATGCACGTGAGAATTTATTTATTTTCAGAATAAAAAACAATCAATTTCATTTCAACGAAATTGATTGCTTGTTCTTTTAAATTATTGATTCATTTCATAATTTGATGAAACTTCCGCTTATTTTCCGGGTTAAATCCTAGCTACCATCTGCGTTACAGCTTCTTGACTATCCAGCTGGGCCGACATTATCATAATTACTCGCTTTTGATCTAATTTATGTCTTGAATCAAGACTCTTGATGATCACCTTTTGATGCTAGAGTAAAAGAGAAGTAGAGTCAAATAAACTTGTCTATTTGACTGTGAGAAAAAGACAAGTTTTTTATGTACAGTTACTGCAGTGAAATTGATTTTATTCAGGGATATGGTTGAAGCAATACCAGTCTTGGATCGGAATCGAGTTGTAATTCTCTTCCCATTTTTTGGAATGGGGAAAGGATGAATATTCCTCTGAATCTAAACTAGAAAATTATGTTTTCAGTCATTTTATCCCCGTAAAGTCGACTTACCATGGATTTTCGCGCTTCGGACTTGGTAACTTCGCGAAGAAGTGACCAGGAATTACAAACAAGCATCAAGCCGGGGCGTGTTCTAGAGATGAGGGTGCTATTTAAAATGCCGTATCTTTAGGAATAAATAATGGTCGTTAAAGACCTACCTGAGTCAGACGCTGGTGAAGAGTTCAAATGAAAGAACGAATTATTTGTGCTCTAAAAATAATTAGCTGTTCCGAAAGAAAGACTCTCTAAATTTGAGCATGGTAAGTTTAAGAATGCCGAGGATCGTCTTTCCTTTCGTGATACCGAAGCCGTCTGGGGAGGCTTTAATTATAGTGTAGCAAAACGTAAGTCCCGCCACTTTCTCTGGGAAACTGAGCACATTAGTGTTGGTATGATTTGGGCGTCACATGACCCGCAAACCTGATTTCCTCTGATCAGAAAAACGAGCAGAGGCGAGCGTTGTTTTCGGTATCAGATTTTCGGGTGAAAAGGAACTTGTCACTAAGAGCATGCAAAAGCGTACATATAATTTGGTGCTTAACGTGTCTCGCGAAAATACATTTTCATCGGATTTTCTGAGGAGAATACGCATTCACGCCTGAAATAGAAAGTCGTTTTCTCCTTCCGCGAAGCAACTAGCTAATTGAGCACATCAAACCAGAAATCGCTGTTTAGGGACGCTTTGGTTTATTACTTCTGCGCAACTCTCTTCTTCTACTGTAACCTATTCTCAAGAACCCAAACGAACTCGTTTGTCCAAAAACGGCTTTTCAATCTAGCTCTTTCAGCACACTGCCTCAGGTTTTTGCACAGGCTGCGGAGACCAGAAAAGTTCCTGCTGAAGGATGACCTCGCTGCATTCTAGCTTTCGAATTGTTTTTAGAACGAAGCAGAAGGAGACATCAAAGAAAGAATGAAAATAGCTGCTGATTGTAGAGACGGCGGCACGTTGAGTAAAGGATTAACCGCGCATCATAATCTTTTTTTTTGTAATTTAGAGCGTTAGCGCTCACTTTGTTGCGCGATTCGTATTGCAGCTTTTTGCTTGTTTAGATTATCACTATCCGACTAGAATGCTAAACACTTGATTGCAGAACTTTGAAACTCGCAATTGACAATCAACGAGTTTATCTCAATAGCTTTTTAATAACGGATGTTTCAAATTGGAAGCAATTATAATTAATAATCTATAATTATTAAATCCATTCGATTAGCCAATTAATATAAACACTCGAAAAACTGCAGAACAAGAACTAAAGAATGAGGGCGAAGTGTGCCCCCCGTAAGTTCTCAGCTTGCAGCTTCAGCCGAACGAATTTTTGTGTCCCTCTGCATAGTGCAAGTTTTTTTTTCGCATAGCTGGCCCTGCATCACATTATAATCCACGTGTTCTGATAACTTGAGCGGTTACTTTTTATAACGCTTTTTTAACATGCAATAATCGGTGAGAATAAAAGCATACATCTTATAATCCTACTTCTTGTGATCACGAAAATATCAAAAGATGAAGAAGAAAATAGATATACTGCAGCTCGGCAACCTGTATAGAAAACTGAGCCAGGGTCCTGAAAGAGCTCCAATAAAAAAACCCTTTTCAGGACCCTGACTCAGGCTTTTGCACTAGCCTCGATGACTCCTTCCTAAGCAAAAATACGGACGAGTTCGTTTCTAAAAGATTGATCTGTTTTCGGAGGTATATGGAGCTGCTCCTCCGCCGAATTCGAGGTGTGTTGAGGATGCTTATTAGTGAAATTGAAAAAGAGCTGCTCGGTAGTTACATAAATCGTGCAGGTGGAGCGAGAGGAGGCGCCCGAAAAGCATTTCACAATTGTGAGCCAATGTGAGCTCAACCGCTCGCCGCCGATATGAAATTTTCGGATTAGGCCGTCTCCCTGCTTCTCCTTCCCTTGCACCGTTTTCTTTCCCCTAGACAGTGTTGATTTACCCGTTCACAAAACAACTTCTGCGCGCTCGAACATACGAGCTTTTACAATGAAACACTCAGTTTCTTTCACTTAGAGAAAATACAATAAAATCGTAGAAAATCGTGTTCGACAAGTATTTAGCTGAAAATAAACAGACATATTAACTTTTCGAATTCCTGCTGAAAGAGTGGGTACTTGGGGATCGCATCGAAAAGTGGACAAATGATGCTTTGAGGTATTACGAACATCTTTTAATAATTGGATATGTTCACGTAAACATAATAGAGAGGGGGAAAGGCAACCACGTGTAGATTATTTTCGATCGGTTGTCAGACTCGATTTCCAGATCCGGGGCGGTTCCGACGGCAAAGGGCTACTTCCATGTTTAGACGTATTGTACCTGTCACTGGTTACGCACAGAACTAGATTTTCTTTAGAAACTGCACTTACCGAAAAAGGATACACTTGATTAGATTCATATCTGCTCTGCTTTCAATTCCGTAGCGTCGCTTTCAATATCGTTCTATGCTGACTCTACAAAGACTAAAACAAGTCTGCGAGAAACAAGAAAACCTCGTGGTTATTGAGGAGCAACGGGTGCCAGAAAAAAATGTCGCGGGAGGAAATTTAAGACTCAACTCTCGTGTTCTTTATCTCGCCCGGATATGCCACTGAATATGTTGCTAGTCTACTACTTTGTTCTAAAATATTCCAAATACGGGTGAACTTCGGCCAAAGACCGCACAGACAAGTGAAATTAGTGGTAATGGACATTGTTATCAATTGTGAATAACTCTCTAGCTAAGTTAATAACGGCGAGTTCTTATCAACATATTAGCATAAACCTCACTTTTCTTGTCCGTTGAACTCGCGTTAGGGAAAACGTAAATTCAAAAATGCAAATTATAACAAAAAGCAACCTCTAACAATGTCCCTTTGATAGCGAAGGCTTGGTGCTAGAATGTCAAATACAATTACTTTATTTGGTGCTTCCAATAACAAGAAGATGAGGTTAAAAGTTCAATTAATCGCACTTGAATAAGGGATAGAGCGTCAAAGATTATTTAGATAATATTACTATTAGTATTTGTAACATCCTCTTGCGTGGTAAGATTCTCTTTTTGCAACAAACTTTTAAACTTACCCAACTTCTAGTTTAGTCAACTAGAAACTAGCTGGTTTTTGCCTGCCAAAAAACCTGCCGGAAAGGACGAGACAGCAAGAAAGTATTCTTACAATAATGATTTTTCCTCCTTGATATCATTGAAAATATACCAAATACAATAATTTCTACAATAGGTCGCCTGCTTCATATATGAATTATCCTGCTATCAATCTTAATTGACTTTCAAGTGCAAGGAAAAGAGTCGTCACATTAAACTGGCTTTCCTAAAAACAGAAGAAGGCAAGTATCTGATGAGAAATTAGTCGAAAAATTTATTCTTATACTGTTCTTCGTACACATAATCTCAGTAGGTAAGGCTTTTTCAAGCCATACTATTGTCAGCAATTTCGCTAATCGTTTTCCATTACTGTCCCGCCGAGGGTTGATTCTTGAGTGGAGCTATCCAACCGGATAGTATCTCAGAAGCGTCGTCCGTTTTTCGGACTTGTTTTTTGGAAAGCTTCTGTCTCACTTGCCGATATCGTGGATTGTACGGATTTATAACCAGTTTCTCCGATCCAGCGATATCATAGTGGCCTCATATTTTCTAAATAGAAATAATGTTAGTTTTTATGACAATTTACCAAGATAGATCTATCGTAGAACATGCGGAGAAGTATTATTATATGTAATTCAGTAGACTCTTTTATCTTTCGCGAAGAGTAAATAAGTAATGGAAAGCGATTTTTCGCTTATCTGGCAGTAGGTTGGTGTGACTTTTCTCAAGCCATACTATTGTCAGCAATTTTGCCACATATCCTCCCACTCGTCGCTGTCTTCCGATTTGATCGCTGGAATATGGATTTTCAATAACCTTTTTCTCCAAATCAGTGACAAATCAACTCATTTTCTCATATATTCTAAAAGGAATCAGGATATGAGAAGATAACCTAGTATTTATAATGAATTTTTCACAGACATATCCATGATTGAACTTAAAGTAAGGGCAAATAAATGCGTTTTACGCTCATCACGTGATCGTTAATGGCAGTAATAAATAGTTTAGAGCCTAAGAAGGGTATTTACGTGAACAATCGAACTTTTAATTTAGTTTGAGTGTGGTCGTGACAGTGAAAGAAGAGTCTTAAGAGGTCCTGGCTATTGTTTGTTATTGCCACGATATTGGATTTGGTCGACTAAGTTGGAATATTTTCGATAAGAGTGAGGACTTTATGGGCTATTAAAGAGCTGATGGAGCTGTGCAAAAGCAAGTGTAACGGCAATAATTGAAGATTTTGAAAATGAAACAAGTGAGAAAAGCAAGTCGGAGATATTTCAAGATATGCGTTTACCACGGACCACACAGCAGGTTTCTTCAAGAAGGACCAGGTCATTGAACAATCCTTTGACCGTTAGCAGCTGGTCGCGGTTGTTGCCGTGGAGGAGGGCGGAAGTGTCTATCAAAGACTTCACCTGACCGGCTCATGAATTTACGACTAAACACGAAACTTAAAAGGGAATCATTTTTGGACTTCTTACATGTATCTCGACGTTAGTTTTATTGCTTCATCTTCGAATTCGTAAGTTTTGAGCTCCTTTACTATTCTTTTTGCAATTGAAAGTGCGCATTTCTTGATGATATATCGATAGTCGTCTTCGTTTTCTATTCGGCCAACGGTGCAGTTTGGGTCAGTATACTCTTGCAGACTCTTGCAAAGATTGTCCGCAGTACGTACTCTCAGTTTCTCGATCTTCATACGATGCTCCTCTGGGCTCATTTCTGGTGCGTCCCAAGTCGTCTCACGGGTGTCCTCGTGATAGTAGTATGGAGTTCCATCTTCGCTGTCGTGACCTTTCCAACCATCCGGCAATAGAGAGTCGGGCACTCGTTTCTTCTTTTCTTCGGCTTCTTTGACTGCTTTGGCTTTCATCCTTTCAGCCATTCTGCGCTCCATTTCAATCTCTTCAGCTTCTTTTGCTTTACGCTTGGCCTTTTCTCTGGCCTTTTGCGCTTCGCGTTTCTCGAACATCTTCCCTGCTTTCCAGGTTCTGAAGAATTCCTCCACATCATCTGTATTAATGCGGACGAGGAGACTGCCGTCTTCATGCTTATCGAGTAGACAGGCAACTCCATCAATGATGGTTTCGTCGTCTTCGGACGGCTTGATATGAGCATGAAGCTTTTTAATTTTACAACGTTGCTCATCTGCCGTCATATCAGCAGGATTAGGCGACTCGGGCGGCGTTATTGGACCTTCATTGCTTCCCATATCGTAGTACTCGCCAGAGCCATTAGATGATTCTATACGCTCACTGTTCAAGCGCTCCTGCTCCGCGGCGGCTCTCACCTCTTCCTCCATCTTCACTTTTTCTTCGAAGCGTCGCCGATAATCACTCTTCCTCTTTTCCCACTCCACTGGATCCACATCCGGCTTTCTCGGTTTGGGACTCCTTCTTCTTTGATACGATGGTTCTCGCTTCTCTTCTTTTTTCTGTGGTTCAGGAATAGTCTCTGAGGAAGGCTTGCGTGCGACGGGAATTTTCTTCAACTGGATCATCCTTGTCAACTTGCGCCATTTTGTGACAAGTGCATTGGCTCTTTCCTGGTGTTCGTCTTCTGTTTTCGACCATTTGTCCATCATTTTAATCCACTCATTATCTTCAACTTTGTCTCGATGGGTAATATCTAACTCTTCAAGTAGCCATAGAATGTCGCCTTTGAGAGCGTTATCGTCGACGTTGTCGTCTTTGGCGTAAGTCAAGAGCATTTCAAGACCGTAGTTATAGATAAAAGCCATTTTGATTTTTCGTGGAGACTTGCCAACTAGCTCTAAGGCCCATCTGCGTGCCTCTATCTCGTTTGGACGAACTCTAGACATGGTCGTTATGAACGGTGATATATCTTCTTTATGTTGCAGCTTTTTCATCTTCATGATCTTTTTTCCGTAGTGGTTCTCGTCCACGCCAGCTTTTCTTCTATATTCAGCCTCGTCAGCTTCTCTACCGATTGTACCGCGACAGGAAGGGGCTCCACAGAGGCACTTTTGAGCTTTGCCAAAATGAATAAACTGGTAATTGAAGGTTATCTCTGTATTTGGTTGGATATCCTTCGTTGCGAAGAAACCAATTCGAAGCATTCCATTGACGGTCCATTTTTGCGTTTCAGCGTTGGGTTCGCAGGAATGGTTCATGAACCTGGAGATTGAGCCTCGTTTGTAAGCGTCGATCGTTGCCTGCGGCGTGAGCTCCATGAAATAATGGTGTTGCGTCCCAGACCGAGCATATTCGTGTGATCTCTTTTTGAACTCTTTAGCACTCACCACTTCTCCGACGTATTCCATTATGAATGTTCCAGCAGAAATAACCTCGGTTGCTCTCAGACCGTGACCTTTTCCTTCTGTCGAGAAGACTTCTACAGGTGCATTATTCTGGCGCTGGAAGTTCTTGTTTGTACATCGGTCGCCAGTTCTACACCTGCTGCTGCACTCGACGAGGATCGCGCGGTTAAGACACTCGTAGCCACAGCAAACCTCATCAGGGTCATCAGGAGGGCGACATTCGCAGTCCATCTTCCGGGTATCTTTTCCAGCACGTACGAAATCTTTGTTGCAGCGATAGATTGGTTCAGTAATCATGTCAAACTCGGGCATGGCTGGTTTTTTTTCGTCAGTGTCAGGTTTCTCCTCATGCTGCTCAGTAGTTGAATCAGACTGACTGTGACCATTTAGTTTTTGGCCATCTTCTGATGATTCGAGCTTGGGGATGACGACGGTCGGAGCGGTGACATCAAAATCAGGCGCAGCTGAAAACCGTGATTTCCGGCGAAGTGGCGCAGGAGGTGGGCAAGGGGCGGCTATAACTGGTTCAGCTTTGATAGAGATTGGGGCGTCAGGGCGCTTGTCTCCAAGACACTCCATATTGTCCAGCCCTTTAAACCAAGAGACACTATTATTAATGAAATTCACGTCGTCTTCATCATACTCGTCAGAATCGGAGATGTCCATTCCATCGGAAAGAATTTCTTGTATTTCTGGGCATTCTGTTTTGACTACAAAAGGGGAGGTGATGGGCTGCATGAGAGGTTTTTGCTGAGGTTTTGCTTTTGGGTTATTCATTGCATGTTCTTGCTTAACATCTGCTACTGGAAGTGGAGATGACGGTGGCTTTTCAACTTGCTGTGGTACTGGGACCGGTAGAGGAGGCTCGACGGGAGGAGATGGCTCGGTCGGAAGAGGCTGGTCAATCGACAGAGGTGGATGGTCTTTTGCCGAGGATTGATCGTCAGGAAGAGGTGCATCTAGAGGTGGTTTAATGAAAGACCCGCTTTCGAAGCCACCATGAATTTCTGTTTTCACAGAAATGGGTGCTTTTTTCGGAGAAACGACTCGCCACTTCGCGTCGCCGTTCGTTGAACCATTAAGACCATTGAATTTGATTCCGGTGTGAATGGTAGGAGGCGCTTTTGGTTCAATCTCTTCATCCGAATCGCCAAAGAAGTCGGCCAGGGTAGGTTTCTTCTTTCGCGGCGATGGATTTTCAATCTCCGTCTTTGGCTTAGAGTCGAGTTCTTTAAGAGTGTTGACATCGGAGTGACCGTTGGTGGCTTTTGGGGATGGAGAACGTATTTTGCTGCTTGATGCAGAGGATGAACGACGCCTTGATCTTGAACGTCGTCCATCACGCGAAGATTTCTTTCGTCTGAAATTTATTCGGTGAAAATTTGGCTGCTAGAGAAAGTAGCTTACCTTGCTGATGATCTTCTCCGACGGGATCTTCTTGAGCTAGATTTGTAACTAGAACGTCTGCGTCTACGTGAGCTCGACCTGGTTCGAGATCTTTTTCTGTCCCGACGAGAGCTTCGTGATCGCCGTCGACGTCGTTTATTTTCTCGACTTCTTGACCGACTTCTCGATCGATTCCGTTTATAAGACTTTTTCCGATCCGATTCTGTATGTCTGTAACTTTTCGGTCTTTTTGAATTGCGTTTTCTGTCTCTTGAGCGGCTTCTGCTGGAGTCAGAAGAGTCGGATGACGAGAGAGAATGCTCTGAGTCGGAGCTGCTGCTGTCTCGTGAATCCTTTCGTCCAGCCGGTGCCATTGCTCATCCGTCGAGCAACGGAAATCAGACTCAAAGATAGGGCTGAATTCTGATTAGAAGAATCAGTCAATCAATCAAAATAAGTTATCTAAAAAGAGCGTTCTAAGATTAAAGTGTAAAACTAGAAGTATCTGTTTCGAATTATCAGAAAATAAATAATAGAAATCAGGAAATCCATCGGAAAATCAGTATAACGAATTAGAATGACAGTACGTCAGTTGTACGTTGAAGTGTTTAGTTTTACAAGTCCTCGAACTCAACATCCGAGAGAGGCTGCTTCATCATTGCTGCTTGAGCTGACTTCATCAAGTCTTCGGATTGAAGCTAGAACGACGTTACGAATACTCAATTAATCGACGGAAAAACGTACCTGAGCAGCGTTCCACTCAGCAATCTGGACTAGTCCATCGGCCACAGAGTGGTCACGTGCGTAGTTCATAACGATCTTGGTACCTTGGACTGCCACAGGCGACTTTTCGGCGATGCTCTTTTAATGATTCTTTTTCAAATCGTCTTCTTTACTACCGGACATCCGGTATTACAACATGTTGTTATATACCGAAAGAGGGGTCAGTATTTCTCTGAAGATCACGTGACGTCATGTTTCTTGACGTCATGTGGCACAAGGAATGTGTCAATCGAAAATTCGTTGAACTTGAGCCAACTGGGGAGTTTCGAGGAAGCGAGCAGCGCGTGGGTGGAAGTCACGCACGCCCACGGAAAGAACGCAAGAATTTCGCGTGGGTCGCTCCAAGGGAATTAAAAAATTTGCCGCTTGGTGGCGCATAACGTCAATGCACAAAATCGTCGCTACTAGGGGAAAGAACCTTTCCTTGGCAACATCGAGTGCAGCTGCTAGAGTTGTCTCTTTATTTTCGTAGACTTTACTAACGAATCCGATGTCCTTCGCCTCTGAGGCATCGAATTTGCGAGCAGTGAGGGCGAGCTCGCGGGCGGTAGAGTCGTTGCCGATTATTTTCGGAAATCGCTGAAGTGTTCCGAGATCAGCTGCAAGGCCAACATCGACCTCTTTGATAGTAAACCAGGCGTCGGCGCTAGAATATCGGATGTCGCAAGCGGAGAGGACGTCAATCGCGCCGCCGATGCATGCTCCATGAATTGCCCCAATCACGGGCTTTGGGCAATCAGCTAAAAAGGCAACATCTTTATCGTGTTCTTTCTAAACGCAAGTCTCTCACCAATAGAATTGACAGGCTTTTGCAGCCTGAGAACCATTTTGCGAAGCGCTCGCGCCTTGTGCCCGACGTCATCCTTTTCCATGACCTGGCCCAGTTCGCCGGCCAGTTGCATCAGATCGATGCCCGCCGACCAGAATTTCTCACCCGAAGCAGTAAGGACGATTGATCTGACTTTCTCATCGTCAGCAGCAGCGTTGAAGACCATTTCGCATTCGTGCCAGAAGTCGGCGTTCATCGCGTTGCCTTTTTTCGGCCGGTTGATTTCCACTTGCAAAACTCCCGGGTGAGGACTGGACAATGCAAGAGCTAGAATTTTTCATTTGATTTAATTCTTCCGTCTCTGCTTTAAATTCTTTTTCCAATCTCTAATTTGCACAACGTTAGGTTCTATCAATGCGCCCACGCTAGAGAATGAACACTCGGTCGGTTCCCACAAAGAATTATATTACGCTTCAGATTCTCATGTATGGAAGGGACTCTGTTAGACTAGCCTAACCTTTGCATTCGAGTGCGGCGGTCGAGGAAGATCGACAAATCGCCCGGGAGAGTGTGTTTCCGACTACTCGAAACATACTGAACCACTGCTTACAGTCTTTCTTACTGTATGTTATTTAATTTTCCAATCTTGCCAAAGAAAGAATAATTCAACCAAAGCTTCAGCTTTTCAACTGCTCTGTTTCAACATAAGAAATTGAAAAATTGAGGCGAAAGGATTTACTCCCAAATCGTGTCAGTTTATTTGAACAGAACTTGCTGCAGAAATAAAAAGGGTACAGAAAGGGGGAATATATTGATTGCTGGAAAACTTATAAAAACTTAAAAAAATAAAATTGAAAAAGTAGCTGAACTCAGATAGAAAAGTCGCTTGGGTTGGGTCTTTGTTGAGGAGTTGCTGTTTACATATTTATATGTACATTGACAAGGTTAAGTATGAAAATAGATATCTCTTAGTGTTTGACCAGGAATGCGGTAAGCACGTGGAAAGTATCGAATAATTTGTATGTCTGGAACATTTTTGAGGAATTGTCTTTGTCGAGAATCGACTCAGTTACAGTGATGCTTACTTTGAGTCAGACCGGGCTCGCTTCTTTAGTTGTTGCTCGTTTATCAGAAAACTGATGACGAATCAACTATTATTTCAAATAAAAATGATTACTTAATTCTAGGGTCTGATAATGGCAATGAAGGACATTTAAGCTAATACGGAGTTATTTGGGGACTTTAATATACTCTTCAATAGACTTCTGTAAACTACATTTGCCGTCGGGATGCTTGAGCCAGAAGTTGATCGCTTCTCGAATCTCTTGGTCGGTGCCAGCTGGCCAAGACAGTCCGAATTCCCCGTTTCCTATCTTCGAAAATGTTTTAAAAACCGAAAATGATTCATCAAGTACCCTGTTGTATTGAATAACTGGTCCATTCTTAACGCGGATTTCGTCCCTTTTCACTTTGTCGGTAAAACAATAGCGCTGCGACTTGAAATCGAACAGGCCGGAGCTTTTAAAGCAAGCGTACTGGATCGGAGTGCAATTTTCGTCATAATGCTTTTCGCTGATTACTCTTCCTTGCGCGCGACGGCGACTTGAGCTCGATAGGTTTTGAATGGAGCTTGTAAAAGTGCTTGGAGGAGTGGGATATCTGCTGTGAGGACTGAAATAAAAACGCGGTTACTTATTTTGCCAGCTATTTAGCTATTACCTTATGCTGCCATTTGTACTAGCAGTGGTGCTATGAAAATTAGCGATGTTGGATTGAGATAGCGCAATAGGCGTTGAGGGAGGATCGTAGGTACTCATAGGCCTGCAGCTGGGCGCACTGCGCGGTCGCGAGCCGGCCGCCTTGTCCCGACGTCCAATGTTGATGGGGAAGAACTCGAAATTTCCATTATCCGGGCCCATTATATCTTCAATTGCTTGCTCGATCCTAAAACAAACAGATTAAACAAAGAGGCCAAATCCCATTCACGGTGCTTCACTCGAGTGTGAGGAAGGAAAAGAATCATTACATCTGGCGGCATGTTTACTAACGGAATCAATCCATAGTCACACTGAAATAACTCGGCAAAAGAATAGACAATTACCGTTTTACGGACTCGTACTGCCTATTTGCATGGGCAAGGTGATGCTCGATGGTTGTGTTTGGATAGTTGCTGTCTATTGTTCGCCGTTTGCCGGCGCAATCAAAGTACGATCCGACTTCGTCTCCTTCCTTCTGCTCGAAGCGTTCGCCTCCGTAGAAGTTGACTTCGAAGGAGCCGTTCTCCATCAGCCTAGCATCGCCAAGGTCCGTCCAGATTTTGATCTTTGTCGTTTTTGACTTGATCAATTGAGTGTACTTGTGAAGGTAATCCCACTTTTTTCGCAATTTTGCTGGTATCTCGGGATATCTGTGAATTTCACTGATAATGCGGATTTGATATGTCCAACTATCGACAGTAGGTGTCAAACTAGTCACTATCTCTATTTGCACAGGGCGTAGAGAACGTACAGGCACTCTGTGTGCAGTAACTATCGAATCCTTTCCTGCGACCAATGCCATTGGGAAGGTAGGGCTGCTCCTTCGGCGTCACTTTCTGGTTATCGTAGCTCGGAGTGTACTCGGTGACAGTTTGCGATCTGCACGCCACGAGAATCGACTTTTTGATGAATCCGTCCTGGTCGAGTGTCTCAAGCACAAGTCGCTCGCCAGATATGATATGGCAAATGTTCTTGTTCTTCTGCGATCTGGTGGGAATGAGCCGACGGGCGCACAACTGCGGAAGTGGAGAAAGATCTAAGTTGGTCAAATATACGACTTGCTTGTTAAGAAAAGGAACTACCGTTAGATGCTTGCGGTGCGATAGCAACATCCACGGTCGTGAATCTTGTCGGAAGTGATTGCTGTCGGTAGTGCAGTGGAATTGCGGGCGCCGACTTCCCAGAGCGCGGTGAAATACGGGAGCCAGATGTGTCAATATTCTACAATAAAGTTCATTTCCGTTTGGAATTTGCTTCGCTCTTCAGAACGAAATAATGATGTTCAAAGTCGCTGCCGCTTTCGAGTTATATCCTTGACACACACTTGTCATGATTTACAGACAGATTGCGGAATTGAACTTTTGTTGTACCTGGGATATGCCCGAGCCGTATCCTGTGCTCGGGTCTCTCGTCGTATTTGCCGAATAGCTCGGGATCGATGGTGTTTGCGGCGGTGGCATGTACTCGCGGCTGGGGATGCGCTCGACGGAGTGGCTCCGCGATTTGCGCCCGGAACGGCCACAGTTGTCGGACGCGTTGCTAGAAACGCTGGATCGACGCGACGATTGACGCGACGCTCCTCGATGAGGATGAGCGGATGAGGAAGCTTGAGGTCGATTGTTGTAAAACGAGTTAGATTGCTGTTGACCATGCTGTGAATGCGATATTTGACTAAATCGGCTGTGTAAGTCGGAAATGTCCGACATCGTCCGCTCGCGACGAGCAAGAAACGGATGATCCAAGAGGTTTTCGATTCTAAAAACAAACTTATGCCTTGTCAAAACGATATCTAACTTACGAAATCCTTTTCGTGGGGTTTTTCTCAAGCGTTTTAGAGATCAAGTCCTTCGCGTGTTCTGATAAAAGCTCGGGAATGTGAATTTCGCTCATAGGGATTTTCTTCATGGTGTCCTTGATGTTGAAATTGAGGAAAGAGAAGGGTTCAAGGGATGTTACCTTTGGATTATCTCCTTCTACCGGCGGCCTGCCAACGAGAAGTTGATAGATAAGAATACCCAGACTCCAAATATCAACCTAGAAATTGAATTAAGGCAATTGCTAGAGATAGAATGGGTTATTACTTGATTGCTGTATCCATTTCTGGCGATCATTTCAGGAGGCAAGTAGTTTGGAGTCCCGCAGAATGTATTCATCTTGTCGTTTCTAAAATAAAACCGGTTATTTTTATGAAATTCTAAAAAGGTATTCGACACCGATGGGATTCGAACCCACGCGTGCAGAGCACATTGGATTAGCAGTCCAACGCCTTAACCTCTCGGCCACAGTGTCAACCGGCAGGTGCCCCTGTTTCGCCCGCCCAATTCAAAACAACAACTTGCCTACTGCTCAGCTTCGTCGCGAGACCAAAGTCGGTTATCTTGACGTTGTTGTCCTTGTCGAGCAAGATGTTTTGCAGCTTGAAATCGCGATGAACGAGGTTGTTCTTTTGGAAGAATTGAACGCCGTCGACGATCTGGGAAACGAGGCGGCTAACTTCTGGCTCGGCTAAGCCGGGCTGGCCTTTTTGACGGAGGTAGTCTGAATTTCGGGAGTTTACAACTGACTATGCTCGAGTCATTGAGAGGGCAAAATATACAAAAGGAAGTAAGTGGTAGTAGTATTTGCTCGTTACTCCTTCGCGTTAGGCAATTTGGACAAAGGATTGTCCAGTCAATTACGCCATCGATCATGATTTACCTTTCAAGTCGCCTTTCTCCGCCCATTCAAGCACTATACAGAACATATCCTGGTTGGTTTTGTTGAAGTCGAAGCATTCGACGAAGCGAATGACGCGCGGGCAGTTCTCCAGCCGCTTGTGGATCTCGCATTCGGACTTGATACGCTTTTCATGTTCCCGCCGCCTAAAATCACAATCAGTAAAGAAAGGAAAGCAGATTAGCCGCAATCTTACTTGATTTTCTTTGAGTTCAAGTCGATGAGCTTGACAGCGACTAGCCCTCCTTGCTCGCCTTCGTCGATTGCCTTGTAGACCTCGCTGAAGCCGCCGCGTTTGACAGCATCGCCCAAGATGCGATACTAAACAGACAGCATGTTAAAAATCGCCAAGATCAACAATGCTGGAATTCCGAAGAGCGAAAAAGTCCTAATGACTCCGTTAAATCACCAAAAGCAAATGGCAAGAGGAAATTTTCAATTTGCTAATGTCACGGTGCGAATGTATTCGTATTTGCTTTGCGACTTATATAATGCGTCGTTACGGTCCCATCAAAAAGGAAGCCCCTGTTTGTAAAAGATAGTGACTATTTATCTTCGTCTTCTCGACTTCCAACGCCGGTTTGGAGCCAGAATGAAACGAGCCTGTCTTTTACTACATTGCCTCCAACTTTAAAGGCTACTTCGATTTGACGTTTTTTGATCCCTTCAAGAATTAATGGTAAAAGAAACCCCGTCAATGCACTACAAAGGGCCTATATCAGGTTGACGATTGCAAAGAAAGCGCGCAAGAAAACACCGTCTATTGTTCTTTTACGTTTCCCAATTTAATGACTTTGATAAAGCCTTCCAATCATGTTAAAAAAAAAGAATGAACTTACCTTGCTCTTCCTTCCATGCAGTATTTCAGCATCGCGGAGGGTGGAATCAGAGTGCGCGTAGTTGTTCATGAGTTCAGTTTTCTTCTTTCCATTCTCTCTGACAAGGCTTGTTGGTTTTTAGCAATTGCTACCGATTTCTATCGTCATTCTAGAAAAGAAGGCAACATTAGCGCTGTATTGAACTGTATCTCTGTAGTTGAAAAAAGTTAGACAAACAATCTCGGTGACTCGGAATCGGAAAATTGGATCCTCGCGTGAAATTAAGGCGATTGGCTTTGTAATGGAAGCAGCCCGGAGTGTTTTGCGTTAGCCCGTATATCCATTGTCCGCTGATGTATTGTAAAATCCCAAATTCAAAGGAACTCGCCTCTCTACCTTCCACACTAGAGCGCCTGAGCTACTATAATAGAGTACGCAGTTGAATTACAATCAAACCACAATATTTTAAATGATGATCAGTTTGAGTAATAAGATTTATTGCCAAAAACAAAGCAAAATGATAAAGTCGCTAAATAATGAAATTTACAGGCGGATAAGTAACGTATTCGGAAAAAGGTATTAGCTTGGTTGCGCTCTGTAATCTGTGTACAAAACCTGAGTCAGGGTCTTGGAAAAGCTTTTATGAAAAAGCCGCATAACCTTCTCAATCAATTTCAAAGTCTGATAAAGCCGCTTTGTAAAACCTGACTCAGGTTTTATACATAGGTTGCCGAGCCCAGTGGCTAGTTACGACCCTGAATAAGGTAAATAAGGCTGAAAACTGAGATTGCACTTAACCGAATTTCGATTATGGAATGATTGTTCAATCGGAATTCTTCTTCACTACGCTGGAGAAAATCTCTGTGCAGCATTAAAATTGAGTTGGATTTTGTGCACACAAAAGCACGCTGTAATTTGGACGACAATCTACGGCGCGGCAAACACACTCTGCTCTTGAGGCAAATACGATCACCAGGACGATTTAATTGACTCCAAATACTTTTCATGCTCTTTATTCATGTTCCTTTTCAAAAAGTGGCAAAGCGGCGTCGTTCGAAAAATGGAAAAACTAAAAAGGCATAAAATTGAGCCGCAGGGCTCTGCCTCATCCCGCTTCACAGTTGGGCATACAATTTTTGACTTACTTATTTTTTCTATCACTACAATAATGATTAATCTTGTAAGAATGGAATTTCTTTTGATTATGAGTTTCCCGGTAGCAAGAATTTCTTCGCTATTTGAACACACAGTAGTTAGCGGTTCCCAATAGTTTGACTTATGTGAATCTGTTTGACTTCGCGTTAGAATAAGATAAATAACTTTTTATTTGCGTGTCAGGGCATTTTGGACGAGCTGGACAAAGAGTTGAATTCAATTGAATTCAACAGAATTTTCTGACGGAAACGCTTTTCATAAAAACACTTCCGTCTTCATTCGCCTGGCTTGTCCAAAGCCGCTAAAATGGGCCCTTTTGGATGCTCTTTCTTCGCCAGCCGCAAGAAGCGCTTTCACATTGGATTAGCAAAACTCAGAAAACTCACCAGAAAAGAATCTTTATTCATCATACAAAAATAGTCGCGGTTAATGAAATCGAAGGTAAATGTGTTTTACAGTATAAATGAAATTTGAAATCGAAAAGAATAAAAGTCGAGTTGGAATCATTTTTTCGGAGCCATGCTCATGTACTCGTCTAATGCTGAATCTAGGCCACTTTTTGTCTTTCTAGCGGTCAATTTAGGCGCGATTATTTTTATTGATAGGCCGGTAGTTTGAAAGAACGGATATTTATTATGCCTGTTTCCATAAACAACTTTTAAAGCTAGCAACGGAAACGCAATTGATTCGAAAAGCAAAGTACTGGCTGAAAATGCCAAATACGCGAACAAGCAAGTGACTTTTGAAGTAGCTTTGGACTTAATCTGTTAACTACCGTTCTGTTTGGGCTGCACTTATAAGTGCCTCGAAAACGGGTAATGTCAGGATCAAGAGTATTTAGCTCTCTTTCGAACAAACAAGCTGACGAGAGAAGCAAATGTCTATTTTTCGACGGAGCTAGTATTCTTTGACTTTCAGCTACTTTGGAACGAGATAATAGTCGAAACGAGTATTTAAATAAAAGAAAAGTTTGCGCTCGGACGAACTTTAATAAAATATTTGATCCTCGGCGACGAAAAAATCGAGCAAAATACTTTCTTTACAAAATGACGCCGGAAGTGGCCGGAAACGAACGTGACTCGTTAAATGTTGTCTTCATGATCAATAGTTAGAAATTGAAAGCTGATTCCGTCTGAACTTTTTACGAAAAAGTCCATAACTCGTCAATATTTGAAGCTGTCGTGATTTTTGTTCTATCGGCCTCGTAGCTCTGACGTTTTCATTGCAAGTGCGCAATTTATTGGCGCCATGAAATATCTTCCACAAGAGCAAATTCCTCCATCACTACTCTTGAAAAGAATTTCATTCTATTTCACTTTCTATGACCGCTGCCTGGGACATATAGCTATCAAGCTCAGCGTCAAGGCCACCTTTCGTCTTCTTCATGTATTCGGCAAGCTCGTTGTCTAATTGTTCCTGCGTTCTTGGCACGGACTTTTGAGTCTTCGCTTGTTTCTTTTTCTGTGCCGTCTTCTTCTTGGGCGTCGTCGTTTGACTCTTTTGGACTTTGCCAGAATTCGCGTTTTTCTTCGTCTGTTTTTTCTTTGACTGCGTTTGCGCCTTCGAGCCTTGATTGTAGCCTTTTGATGCTGTACTGTTATTCTGTTTTCTTTGGGCTGGCTTCTGATTCTTCTTTCCCTGCTGGGGCTGGGTCTTCAGGTCCATTAACTGTCTGCCGGATAAAAATAGAGTCGTAATTCTTCAACCTTTCAAACCTGTCGATGTCTTTGATCATGCTCTGCGACTGGCGAATAATCGCCGCTGCCGCCTGAGGAGTCATTTTAGTCTTCTGAGATCCGGTGGGGGTCTTCTTTGCTGTTTGTGCATTTCTGTTCCTTCGAATTCTCACCATGATTTTCTTAACTAAAAGACGGTTATTTTTCAATCGGTAAATCTCGAAGAATGAATAGTCGAAAATGAACTTTTTTCTGTTGAAGAGAATAAATTAGGAAAAGCGAAAAGTTATTCCACCGTGACGACGTCGCCGTATTTATTGGTCGCTGTTTTCCGTTTTAGAAAGTTTGAATCGCTGCCCTCCGATTTCAAATACATTTTCATCTCGTCGGCCATAATATCTTGCTGCTGCGATTTGTGGTATAAGTCGGAGTACGAGTTGTATCTTTCAAGCGTTCAGCAATTTTTTCAAAAAATAATTATCATAAAATGATTAAAAAAATAAACTGTTGCTGGACTTTCCTTGGAGCCTCCGGTTTTGGCGCTGGAGGAGGTGGAGTTTCTACAACAGGGTTAGATACTGGCGTTTCTTCGAAAACATAATTCTGTGAAGTTTCTGTTTCTTGAATTTTGTCCGTCTTCTTTGGCGAGCCAATGCCGTAGTCATTGTACTCGGCCTCAGCCTTCAAATCAGAATAAGAGCGATATTGATTGTCGTCCTTGCTTCTTCCAATCGGTTGCGCGGGCGAGTGCGAGGGAGCATTGCTCGATTGAGCTGCTCCTGGACTCGTTTGGACAATCAAATGCGGCATATTCGGATTGTTGTGCTTGTAGTTTTGCGCGTATTTCTGAGCGAGCATTTGGCGGATTTGATCCTTAGCGGGCCCATCAGGGTGCACACGCTCGAATTCTCCCGAAAGGAAGTCTTCCTTGAGCATATTTCCCACTTCATGGCCACCGTACAACACGCGCGCTGCCAGCCCAGTCATCATCGCTGCTCCTACAGTGACGCCACGAGACATTTTTTGAGCGAAGCCCGAGCGAAGCAGCGCCCCGTACGAAATCGTCGACACTCCTGCTGGCACGACGAAGTTCGTAAATGCATCGAGTCTTTTTTCGTAATGCTAAAAAAGAGAGTTTCAGAACGCCCTTCCTTGATCTTGAATTCAAGTGCAGAATTCGCCATGCAAAGATTGATTTATTGTCCTAACATTTAAAAGCATGCATTTTTAAAATTGCCTGGGAAGAAAGAGAAACGAATAAACAACTGCGTAACTATCAAGAAATGACTTGTTTGCCTTACCGCATAAATTCTGAATGCAGCTTTGTTATCTTCCTCTCGACTTTGTGACATACTGAAGCTATGCGACTGTAATCGAAGATCCAACAAGCAGATATCAACCAACGGAAGGACGGGATATAATTCTCCGCTTTTCCGTGTTTATTAAACTTTTTAAGCTTTGGCAATAACGTAATATTTAATTGATTTGAAGAGACATAAGGACAAAGGCCTAATTTCAGGATAATTGGATGTTGAAAATGGACATTAGTTTTCCTAGTGACTTTCGGTAAGTGATTTTGAAGAGTTTTCGGTTGAATTTGAACATGTTTGATAAAGAAAATCACAGTACAATAATTTTGATTATTTGCCTAAGTGCCGAAAACGGCTCAAAATAAAAATAGGAAGAACTTCTCACAACTTGAATTTTGTAAATTTGAAATTTACGTTTCCTGTTGCAAATTGGATCGTATCCTCCTGCGAGTTCCATCAATGATGAGGAAACGCTCACATGGAGGATGACGAGTTGCCTCATCTTGTGAGTATTGATGGTATTACTTCGGAAAAATGAGACGAGAGTAAATGACATAAGAGACAGAGAGGTTTTTTGAACTCAACGACATAGTAGTTGTTTATTGGACTGATTTATCGTTTCGTGTATTTTTAGGGATGCGTGTGGGTGTGTGTGGTAGTGTTTCGGTTTGTTTAGGCGTGGTCCTCGCCATCTTCTGGGTCGGCGTTGTCCGAGGTCCACAAGGTCAGGTTGTCTCGGAGGAGCTAGAAAAATATCGATAATGATTGGCCGAGCTGGAGAATTGGTCGTACCTGCATGATCAAGGTCGAATCTTTATAGCTTTCTTCGGAGAGGGAGTCGAGCTCGGCGATGGCATCATCGAATGCGGTCTTGGCGAGTCTAGGCCGCATTAGATACAGACAATTGAGTAGAATACTCACGTGCAGGCGTTCTCGGGGTCGTTCAAAATTTCGTAGTAGAAAACGGAGTAGTTAAGAGCAAGACCGAGTCGGATAGGATGAGTGGGCTACAATCGAATACAGAATCATTATAAAACTTGCAAAAGAGTCTTACAGGCATGTCAGACTGTGCGACGTCGAAGGCGGCCTTGTAAGCTTCCTGGGAGCTCTGCATGATCGCCTTTCGGTCATCACCGCTGGCAACTTCGGCCAAGTACCTTAATTCACAGTTACAGTCATTGAGCCTGAGTGAATGCCTTTACCGGTAGTAATCTCCCTTCATCTTGAGATAGAAGACCTTCGACTCGCCGGTAGAAGACTTGGGGATAAGGTGGGTGTCCAAAAGATTGAGCACGACCTTGCAGATGTCGCGGAGCTCGATCTCGACCTTCTGTCGGTATTCTTGAGCGATGGCCTAAAATCGCCGTAAGTTTTGAAAGAAAAAGACATTTTTGTTCTCGTACGAGTTTCTTCTCGCCATGCTCGCACTTCTGCTCGATGGAGCTGATGATTCGCCAGCTTGATCGGCGAGCACCAACGACGTTCTTGTAGGCGACCGAGAGCAGGTTTCGTTCCTCATTGACCAATTCTGAAAGAAGAAATATTCGTTTAGATAATTCAGGGATGCTTTACCGATTCCGGATTCCGTAACCTTTCGCATGGATTCGGCCATATCGTCATATCGCTCAGCCTGCTCGGAGAGCTTGGCTCGGGCGACGTATTCGGCCTTGGTTTCTTCAGCCATTTCTCTGAAAAAAACCAATTTGAAATTAAAAATAGTGATGATTCCGGGAAGTTGAATCACCGAGGAGATCGTCTAGGGCGGTAGAACCACAAAAGAGGGGGCATTATTTCGAATTTAGAAAAATAGGTTTTTGTAGCCACCACAGTGAATGCTCACAACCAAAGTGACTCATCAAAAGGAATCAAGATGGAATTCAGATGCCCTCTTTTTGGTGCAGTTACCTACCCTAAACTCTCCAAAACAAAGTAAGAACTTGAAAACAAGTTTTTTGTCGAACTTTGAGGAATGGTGGAAGAATGTTTTTTTTAGTTTGAAGGGGATGAATAACGACTCCGTCAGTGCATTGACGGAAAAATACTTGACATGTCATATGAAGCGGGTACGAGCGGCAAAAGTTCAGGTTGGAGAGGGAAGAAACTTTGTGTGATTTTTCTGGTAGAAAGAAGGCGAAAGAAGTAAATTAGCGAAGTAAATTGCACTTGGACAGCTTTTGTTTGTAGCGAGCGTAAATCTCGGAGGTATAGTCGATAATTGCGATAGCTCGCCTGTCTGAGAGCTCTTCAGATATTCCCGACCTATTTCAACAATTGAACGAAGAGTATTTTATGTTGCTTGCTTGCCTGGTAGCCACTAAAGCATTGAAAATAATATCTAAATCTTCTGCAAGTGTTTTTGTCCGCTTCCCAGCCGTGACACTTGTGAGAGTGGGAGGTTGTTGGGACTGGCTCTTATCGGTGAAATTCTCGGCGCTCGACAGGCGATAAAGGAGGTCTTTCGTTTCGTTTTGAATCGGAGAACTCAGCTTCGCGAAGTTCCCATTAGCCGCGTGCTGCAGGCTCTTGGCGACTTGGAGAAGGACCTTCTGGCCGACCATTGTTGGTGCTGCCGGAGCCAGGTCATAAATAACCGGAGTGGTGAGTGCAGCTGAAATGTAGCGCAAGAACAAAAAGTTGGCGATGACTCTCTCCGCCAAATCTGCCGACGATGGCCATTTCTTTTGGACGCCGATGCGCGTTTGAGCCAAGATGTAGCGGATTTGCTTGGATATCATCGGTTAGATAAAAAATCGATGAGCGAGCTCACTCACTTTTGGAAAGAGATCAGCGGTGTTATTCATCGAGCAGAGAGCTTGCAAGACGTAGTCGGAGACGACTTTATCCATTTTGGGCGGCTCTCTGTTCAGCGCGGCGATCTCTGTGACTAGCTCTTTGAGTGAGAGTGCGAGAAAGTGACTGCATGTGAGCCGAATCACGGACTCGACCACGGCTGTGAAAAACGTGTTGCCCCGCCATAAGCTGGCGGCGTCAAGGTTCTTATTATGGCTACGCACAAAAACACAAAGCATTTCTTTCTTCATCGAAATTTCAAATCGAAAGCAAAAGAAAGTCGAGGTGAAATCAACGAGGACTACGACCTCTGTGTGTTGGTCTTTTTGAAAAATTAAGAAAATGACGGGAAAGGATATTCGGAAAAGTGCGCAGCCTGCCTTCTCAAGTTCACGTTCGAGCAGCGCAATACAAAACAAAGTGTCAAGTCGGCACACCCTGTATAGCCGCACCGTAGCCAAAGCGACCTTGCGCAAATCAACTTCAACCGCTGCGCCCTGTGTCAATGATTCGGACGCACTTCCGAACGCGCAAAGCACACTCATTTCTCATACTTTGGATCATACTCGCAAATCTTCGAATTTTTCACTCTAGGAGTCTTGTTGCAAAGATGTTTAGCTAGTGATCCATTCCTGAGACGAGCAAATCGAACAAACGCTCAAACTCTTCATCTGGTAACAGAACACGGAAATCGAGACGGACGGTGAATCTCAACTCGGCGCCGACGATTTCTTCACCTGCCTAGAAATAACAGGTGGATATTACGTAAGTATCAGTTTGTGAACTTATGCGAAGAGCGAGCTTCAGTCATTCTGATCAAAGTTCAACCTGTTTTGTTTAATCAAAATCAACGTTCGCCTTTTGCAAGATTATTTACTACTGATTTAAAACATTTAAAAAGCGACAGACCTGATAAGTCGCGACAGGAAGCGACGTTGTCGTTATTGCTTCACCATCAGATGGTTCCTCCTCGCCGCAGCAATGGTGAACGGTGGCGAAGGGCTCAGAACTTGACGAGTTGGCTTTGCGGAGTATAAAAGATGCCGTTTCGGGAAGACTCGAGATCACCGGATAGTCTTATTTTTTTATTAGTTTCTCTAACCACCGACATAATAAAAAGAAGTTTAAAGATTTCAATTCAATTTAACTGAAACAACAAGAAATGACGAGAGGGAAAGTAATTTTACGGGCATTTTTTTCAGAGTATGCGCTCGTATTTTTACTTTTTGTTTTAACGATATCTCTCACCTTCAGCGAGATGCCAGTGCGGATCGGGACCATTTTGCGGCAAGGACCGACCCACGGGGATTCCGTCGAGACAGATCAGACAGTCCAAAGCCTAAATAATCGACATAAGCTTATAATCTCTCGACGTATATTGTAAATAACTCAGAGCGGAAAGGACTTATGCCAAACTTCTGTAGAAGTTAATACGATTTAGCAGTCTTTGGTTTAAAAATAGAATAAATGCTTGAAGGCTTATTTTGAATTTAAAAATAGATGAGTTACCTAAAGTATTAGTTCGGGAGAGAGTAGACATTCTCGAGATAATGATAACTCTCTCGATCTGTAGCTTTCTTTATCAGAGGGAATTATCTGATTGGATGAGTAAACTGTGCCGTTTCTAACCAGCCCAGCTAGGGAATATCAATATTTACTAACTCACTTGCTCGTGCCGTGCCTACGTGACCCTACTCCGCACTTGATCATATTTTGTAGATTTTTTACCAGCCCTAAGTCTGAATTTTAACAAATTTTACGACAGTGGCAAGATATCAGTATCACAGCCATGCAAAGGTCAGCGATGGGAGAGAGAGGGAGCTGCCAGTCAGCCGAAAACATCGACGAAAAGTTGGATAAAATTCGGATTTACCAGAACTAGTGCTACTTCAGCAAAACTCATTATTGACAAGAAAAAAAATAATACTGTCGCATTAAACTTCGGAATCCTTACTACTAAAACAGAGCTATTCAATTTCAAACTACAGTTAACGACTTTCATTGTTCCCTTAATCATAATGATATTAATTTAATATAGTACTATCGTAATTACTAAGGTATCAAAAATTTTGCTGGGATGACTCTGTTAAAAATATGAACGAGGTAATTTCTTGTAAATACCTTCTAAACGAATTTTTCGGCCAGTTTTCATTAAAATAAATCTCGGAAAATCACAGTGACGAGCGCTCTACAAAGGGGTGACGATCACGCGCAAAAAGGTGAGTCAAGTGAAGTGTAAGCTGAGTCTCACTGCTGTATATTTTTCTTTCTACTCTTTGATCTTTGATTCACCTTATATAAGTTCTAGCTCTGGGGGTCTTAGTACGCATTGTATTAGAATTAATAATATTAAAAAGAATTACCTTAACTGGCAGACCCGAACCTCCATGTAACGCAACAGAGACACTTCGTCTGATTTGAATTTGGCTCTTCCGCTGGACGATCAATTTGTCGAGCAAATTTGACCAGTCGAGACACTCTTCTGTTGTATCAAACGCTAGGTACTTGATCCACGTCGAATTCAACAAGTCAGAGTTCTTTCTCGAGTTTCTAATTAGCGCTCAAAATTTTGGAACTCTTCGTTGATATCAATCAGAAAACATTATATACTCAATATTCTCATATTTTTGTAATTTTGAAAATATTGACAAAGAGGCGGAAAGACTCAAGGTCAGGAGCGAGATTTTGCCGAATAAGTCGTCGATAAGGCACATTACAGTCGCCACTTTCTGACCTTGGTCGCCTTAGAAACCTGCCAGATCGGAGTGATGGTTGTTGATGACTGTTCTTTTAGGTGCATAACATAGTTTTTATTATAGATAACTGAAGATAATAAGTAAACACCAATAACCTAAGACTTCTTTATTGAACAACGAGTTGCCGCATTTCGCAAAAGCGGAGGTCTCATAATGCAGCTTGTGCACGACCTTGGGCCGTGATTTTTTCTCATGCTCGAAAAGAAGAAACGTAAGCTGATCTTCGTCTCTCTCACGATCGAGACGCGCCCAAAAGCGCTTCCAGCTCCCATGAGGCAAATCTGTCAACGGGTTTTTTCCCGAGTAGACTCGTAAAAAGCCGCTCTTCTGGGTCTTATCATGGTTCATTTTCATCTCAATCAAGAAGTTCCAAAGACACATATCTATATTACTATAAATTCTAAGAAGCCGACAGCTCAGAATGATTTACCAAGACATATCCGACTCCGTGTTAACTTCCTCAGCTGTATTTTATTGCCAGTAAGAAGCGAATAATATTGAGCCAAATTAATGTACCCTTTTGCCTTTACGCACAAAAGAATGATCCTCTCTCGAGTGCGTCTAAATAAATGGGAAGAATAAGAATAATAATAGAAGAAGAGTAAGATGTCACTTTCACGCTTTTATATCAAAGTTATTGTTATTCCCAAATAAACGCAAAATTCAACCATCTCCTTCACGTTCGAGGTAGAGCTAAGTTTTCGATCTCTTTTGGGATCTGGAATGAGAGGCGACTTCGGTGGAATTTGAAGCGGAAAGGTAAGATAAGAGCCTTCTCGAACCTGCCGCGTCTCGTATCTCTGGATGAGATCGTTCATCGAATCAAACGTTCGTCCTCCAAAAACAATTCTTCCAGAAGCATTGCGCTCAATTCGCATCTTCTCTATGCTCTTGCTTCCTCGCAAGAACAAGGTGTAAAATCGGGAAGACCCTTGCTGCGGTATTCTATCATCTGACGGGCGAATGAGAAATGTTCCGGCGCGAACTTTCGGCCCTTTTAAAATCTCTACGATTTCGTCTTTTCTACGTTCGTTGTTGAACCAAGAATGACCAAGCAGCGGATCAGAGTCTTCATCGAGTGGTTCAATCAAATCGGCAAAGACGGCGCCGTGTTTGCCCGTCAGCAGCGACTCTGCCCAAATCCATTCAGGCTCGGACTCCTGATGGACGATCAGAATCTCGCCGAATTGCACCGTGAGCTCGTCCGTTTCTGGATCCGCGTTGTACGGAAACTTGCAGCGCACTCGCTTTGGGACATGCAACACAGGCGGGTTAATTGGATTTTGCAAGCTTAAATCCTTAAATGTCAGTGACGAATAAAGCAGCGGGTAGCGCTTACATGGGACGGGAAGAGCGGCTGGCTCATGTAGTTCTCGATCACCGATTCGAGGTTCGAGTAGACACTGCTTCCGATGCAGATGGTGCCATATTTTTGCTCTAACACGAAATGGTGGGCTTTCTTGTCCGGGCCGACTACGGACAAACTAAAATGTCCAGAGTTGTCGCCAGTTTGCCGAACAAGAAACGATCCGGGCGGATACAGGTTGAGAAGTTTCTCGGCGCCGCTTCTGTCCAAACTCGCGTGAAACCATTGATCCCTACTGCTACGTTTCGCTTTTTCGATCATCTTCTCATCTCTGGAAGCCTTTCAGTCTTAAGCTGGAGGATAACAATTTAAAGTATTTGAAGAAAAATAATAATTATTCTATAGTTTTGTCAAAGAAGAAAAAAATGCTAGAATCAATAATACAAGAAGTTGCTATTTTGTTATTGTATCATCAGGTAATTCATAAATATATAAATCAGAAAACGGTGGACTGGTTCAAAATTGGTTACATGAAAAAAGAGGTACTCTCGCTGCTTCTCATTCGCGCTCTAAGTGGATCTGGTCGCCGAACTTGGCGTAAAGCTGCTTCTTGAGTCCGTTCATCTCGTCAACGATTGTCTTTTTGTTGAGCTCGTGCTTGGCCAACTCTGCCTTGAGGTTTTCTTGCTCGGCAACTGTTAAAGAAAAAAAAAGGTAAAGGATGTGAGCTGAGCTTATGATTTGTTACCGATGAGGTCGCCCATATTCTCGCAGGTCTGGAGGAAAAAGCATTCGCCAATTTTGAAATGGACTGAATAGAAGTCAGATTAGTCGATCCCCAGAGATAGGGTCACTCACCCGGCGCCTCATCGTCAGTAATTTGCAGCTCCTCAACGATTTCGTTTGCATCAGCAATGTCCTAATAAAAGAAGACGCATTCAAATCGGCTTAAAGAATACTTGATTACCTTAACGATTTTTGTACGCTGCTCGATCATTTGGTCAACTTCCGTGAGCTGTCCATTCAGTCGAGAGAACTTGTTGATCTTTTCCTGGTCTTCTCGGAGAACTTCAATGTTGTCAGTTGGCTTGGGCATGTTTCTTCTTTGAGGCAATCTGAAGAATTTGAAATGAAATAAAAACCGACGAAATTGGCGCAGCTTTTAACTATTTCATTATTGGCAGTCGAAAAAATAGAGTTGGGACAGTCAAAAACTAATCAGCTTTTTTCGCCACTCCAGTCCCTTCATCCCTTTATACAACAAAAGAATTCACTAGAATTGACGAAAAAAGGCTTGAGGAAATCCACGTCTACAGTAAGACTTGTACAGTATTGAGAATTAGGAGGTTTTTGACAGGGAACCCATGAGCAAAATATAAAAAAATGACGTTTGATTAACCCTAATTTGCTTTTTATATAAATCATATAAAAAATAATGAAAAAATTTATATATTTTCGTTATAAACCGGGTTTGTTTTGACTTTTAAAATTTGGTATTTTCCGCGATTTCCTGGATTTCAGTATTTTTTTTTAATTGTTAAAAGCAATCAGCCGAAACAGGCGTTTTCTTTCTCGCAGGCGTCAACCCAGTCGGAGTAGACATCGACCGCCTCGGACAAGTAGTTGATCGTCGTTTGAAACTCCTCCATGCAGACGTTGCACTTGATTGCGCCGACTGAGCGCGCTCGATCCATTTTCACTGAGAAAGAGATTGATTGAACAAAAACACTTCTAGAGACTAGTTCACCTTCGCAGGACTTCTCGTGATTGCAAAAGGGACAGGGGAAGTTTTGGGGCAGTGGCTCGACCAACTTCGTCTTTGGTGGCGGCTTGCGTCGTGATCGTCGTCGGCCCATCTTAATCAAACTGGATGAGATCTTTTTCCTGGTGGGCTTTCTTTTCAGTAGGACTTGTAGTCAATTTTGTGAACTTGTGAAAAAATAGAAAGGATTAAGTGGTTACATGGCACGACGATATAGTAAGAATACAAGAATACGGAATAATTTGCTGGCCGTGGACAAGTCTCTGTGCGTGTTTTTCATTTTCGACTGTTCATTTTTCATTTTTTGGAATAGTAAGTACGTGTATAATAAAAATAGAGAAAATGTGAAGAAGTAAGTGCATTGGCAATTGTTGAAAAGTTGTATTGTTCATTTGATTTAGCAGCATTTTTTTCCAGATTTCTTTTGATTCTCATCTTTCAGTGAAATCTTGCTCTTTCGCTCATTGTCGGGTGCTTTTGCTTTCAAGGCTATTTGAGTCTGATCATCGTGGTCATTGAATGCTCTGTAATGATTTAAGAATAAATTCTGAACTGGAAAAAACTGGTCGAACCCACTCTAAGCCCCAAGCAAATTCAACTGCTGTTTTCCGACTTGTAAATAAATTATGAGCAGCATGAAAAAAAAGGAAAAATTATGACCACGTCCCAAGTGGTAGAAAATCTCTTGCACGCCCTCATTCTCTTTCGCCGAGGCCTCCAGATAGTCGAGCTTTTTTGACTTGGCAAATTTTTCCGCTTCCGCTGTTGAAACAATTCGTGGCATGTCGATTTTGTTTCCAACAAGGAGTCGTGGAGCCTAATATAAACTTTATTGACTGTTATACAATTAGTATTTGTGAACATTTTCGCAGTCGTTTTCAGCTATTTCCGCTAGCCATTTTCGCACGTTTTCATAAGAATCTGTTCTTGTCACATCATAAACGAGAATAATTCCATTAGCACCACGGTAATACGTCGCTAGAATCAATCAACTCTAGGTTCATGCATGTTCTATCTTACAGGTAATAGTTCTGAAGCGTTCTTGCCCAGCTGTGTCCCAAATTTGAAGCTTTGCTTTGACTCCATCGATCGAAATTGTTTTTATCTTGAAGTCGACTCCCTGAATTTTTTGTTCGTTGGAAGTTGCTCATGTGGAACGCTTACGATTGTGTTGATGTAAGAATTGGTGAAGGTATTGTCCGCAAATCTGAGTAACAAGGCCGATTTCCCCACTCCGGCATCGCCTATTATCAGGAATTTGAAAAGATGATCATATGGGCGCTCCTCGACCATTCATTCAACTCCACGTCTAAAAACTATATCGCTAGAATCAAACTTGGAGAAAGAAAGGAGAATGGCAGAATATTTCTATGCTTGCATGACAGGTCTGTACATCTTTGCAGCGAGCCCTTCGTTAGCAGAGGCGAATCCAGTGCCTCCACGCCGCAGAGGGATGAAATCTGTGCTCTTCAACGCTACGTCTCCGATCGGAAAGATCATATCTTTAAACGTCGGTTTAGAAAGAAAATGCAAACTCCGCAAGTACCTTTCTTCATCACATCAGCTGCCTTTGAAGTTACGACATCTCCAGTTGGCTTGATAACAACACAGGCAATCTTGTTCGACAGAATATCGCCTGTAACTGGGCACTTTGAAAAGAAAATCATGATTTTTTGTCCACTTTGATTTCAATTTACCTTCCATCTTGACTTGCTAGCCTGTCGCTTTGTTTCGCTCATGGTTGGATCAACTGGAGTGAATTTAATTTTCACAAGTTTCTTGAGTTTCAAGATCGAGCCAGTCACTGGATCGCGCACTTTGTCGACGTCCTTTTCCTTGAATGCGCTTTCTTTCTTCGTTGTTGGCGCTTTGCTTGCATCCCAGAAACTCGCTGTGCCGGATCCGAAACGATCGGTTGCAACATCTCTTGTAGCTATGAAAAACAGTCAAAATAGGGCCAGAATAGAGTCGCCTACATTCGCCTTTGAAGACTTTTTTGGGGAGCTCTTCTTCGGCTTCTTCTGCTGCGGCCTCTTTTAACTTTCTCTTTTTTGTTTGGGCGATTTTGGTCTTTTGGTCAAGCATGTAAGTAAGTATGGCTTCTCGATCGTAGATAACTCCCTCTGGAGTAACAACTGGATCCTTGCAAATTTGGAGGCTGAGATTGCACACGTCAAACTCGCCGACTGAATCCTTGGAAAGCCTACAATTCAAATGAAAAGGCGCCCTTCTCATAGAACCTGCCTTTTGTTCGCGCTGCCGAAACCTGAGTCCTTCGAATCCTTCTGCCGCTCCGCATAACTGTAGAATGCACCTGCTGTATTGTTCTTGCTGTGCCTTGTCATCTGAAAACATAAACGATACTCGACAAAAGTTGCTTCCAGGGTTGATAGTGTATTCTTTTTTGTTCATAAGTGGCAGTGCAGATAATGAGAAAAGTGGAATAGAATTTGAACTAGATATTTTTCAAGAGCTCTTCGATAGTGATTTTTTGGCGCACAGCATTTGAATAACCCGCGTTGAAGGCGAAGTAGACCTCGCTGGTGCCAACGCCAGGGTCTATCTTCGCCGGCTCTTCGACGACGCCCATGACGGTTTCATCCATTGGATTCTCTTTTGGCAGCGGTTTTTCTCGTTTTGTTTTGGTGATAAAGGCGCCCAGCCCTCCACGGCGAAAGGTCTTTTTTTCCTCAACTTGTGAATTTATTTTAGAAAAGTGACGAATAATTATAGCAAACCTTTTGGCGCTTTTGGTCGGATAACTGCTTTCAACGCGAGACATTCATTCTTTTTCGGTGTTTTCTGAACTGCGGCACCAGTGTTGCTTATATCTTGCAGCGCTTTATTTGTGATTCCTCTGTCCATGGTAAGTTGCATTCTACGAACTTTTTCGCGCTCGATCTAAATTGCATAAATTTAATAATAACTAATGGAAAAGTTTACCTCAGAAGCGATCAGTAGTTTTGTTTGCTGAGTCAATCCTCGTTTTGCCTTTTTACTCTCGTCAGGGAAGCTGGTAATAATTTTTAAGGGTGGCTCAACGACCATGTTGTGGGTCATCGTTTCCTCGTTTTTGACACTTTTCAAAGTCAGCCCGAAATCAACAAACGTTCCAACACATTGCTCTAGTAACAGAAGACGATAAACTAATAAATTGCCGATCACTCTTACGAAGCGCTTGTTGCTCGCCTTTGCTCAAAAGACTAGGATTCACAGATCGTATGTTCGGCTCAAGCATCGACAAAACATTGGGCAGAGCATTGATAAGCTCAAAGCCGATGAAACTCTTTCGCGTGACCATATTCAATCCGTTACGAACACTTTCTAGGAGATTTTCTCTGACCATCTGTTTTTGTCGCATCTCCCACGAGACATTTTGTGGCTTGAGAACTCCCTCTACCTCGGAGTTCTGGGCAATGTTGTAATGGACGCCTGCAACAGCGTAAACCTAAATTGAATTTTATGATTTCGATGTATTTCTTTTATTCACCTTTTCAGCTTCTAGTGCATAGTGCTGATTCTTCTGCACAAACTGGGTCATTTGATCAGCCCAGCCATACCAATCGCGCGATTTGTAAAGCTGTTCCATGGAACTTGGTGCTCGAACTTCGCCGCACAGTTCAAATGTATTGCTCAAAAGCTTGTCAGTTTCTCCGTACTGTCTCGCTATGTCTGAAATCGTCAGATATAAATTATGTTAACATTAGGTCTGGCATTACCGATGACATTCTGGAGCCGGTTTGTTTTATTCTTTCCGACGGCTAGAATCTCTTTGAGTGCGTATTGAAGAGTTCGCTGCTGATCCTTGCCCATCGAGCATTTTGACAAGTCTTCGATGGACACCGACTTGTCTTCGTTGGCCATCGATAAGAATTGAAGAGCGTTAATGCAGCTACGAATATCGTCGTCGGACTTTTCGGCTAGCTTTTGTAAAGTTCCTGCTTCCGGCTTGACTTGGTTCTGATCACATACTTCTTGAAGACGCGCGGTAAGTTTTGAACGATCTTTGAAAGGTTGGAAATAATCTTTTTTGACTGTTTCAGAGAACAATTTTGAACCTTTTCCTATGCCATTGAAATTAACAATCAAGGCTTCTTTACGCAACTCTCGCAAAGCTGGAACATACGGATCATTGCAAATGCAAATTATAGGCCGTTTCAATGGGCCGACCTCGTTCTTTTTCCCTTTCTTCTTCTTGGTTTCCACTGCTTTAATTCGGGAAAGGAGAAATTTCGCTGAGGCGGCATGAACACCATCTATCTCGTCGAGAATAAGACAGGATGGTTTCTTATTCGACGCGGAGCAGTTTGTAAGAGCATCGTCGACTCTCCGCTTGAATTCAGCGCCCGCACGGTCATCAGATGCATTCATTTCCACCGCACTAAACGAATCGACTGTAAGATTTTCCCAATAATGAGCCCTACTTGTAGCCGCAATGTTTAGCGGCGACGAAAGCAAGAGTAGTTTTACCAAGGCCAGGGGCTCCGCAAAGCATCAGGATCTTCATTTTCGGTCTGTCAAGAGGATCTTCTTCATCAATTTCCTCGGCCATGTTCTCTGACCAGGCCTGTTTGAATCGCTTCTTTTTCTTTTCGTCTTCCGTCATTTTCTTTTGAGCTTCTTCTTTCTTCTTCGCGATAGCAGATTTTTTATAAAACACACACGGATCCCACTTCTTTAGCCACTTAATAATCGTTCGGTTGATGTATTCGTCTGATAGCAGCTCTGTGTATTTTTTAGCTCGATAGGTACTTGTCCATTCTGTCGTTTGGCCTTGATTACTTCTGGCGCCGGAAGATGCACTCAGGGATTTGATTTTCAATGCGTGCATTTCCATTTCTTCTCTCAAGTCGTCTGCTTTTAGCTTGAGTTCGAACATCGATTCGCCCAGCAGGTTCATGTCAGAACCTAGGTCTAAAATGCGGGGTGTTTGAAATGTGGAGAAGGGATGGTGGCGCTCAAGTGAACGCGAGCGAAAGGTGTAGGAGAGGCGCGCTCCACTTTCAATTTGTGTAGTATTTGCGCGCTCTCGCTGCCGGGGGCGCCATGCCTAAAAGGGCGAGGATATGCCCTATTTTGTCGCTGCATAAGTGACTTTTGCACTGGGCGGGAAGCCTAAAAAGCATTAACGCGCCCTATCCTCTCGGGCCGAGAGTCTCGGCGTGTGATTTTTTGACCTACTGTCGAGAATCAGATGCAAATATCACCGGGTGATTTACACAAATAAGTTCCCGGAAGCGTTAAGCTTATTTTCAAATTTATCTACAAGATGATTGGGGAGACTCCCCAATATTTCATTATTATACCACTATAAAGATTAATTTCTATAGTATTTTTATATAATATTTATTGGATAATTGAAATAAAAAATCAGAATATTAGATATTGAATACCATTTATGTTTTATAAAAGTTTTTTGCACATTATAAGCTACAATTTATAACACATAAAGTATTGATAATCGAAATTAAATATAATAACTAATGCTGAAATAAGCTTTTAAACAAAAATTTCAATCTGATTGCTGATGTTGACTTGACAGGCAAGTGGAATAGCGCTCAGCGCGCAAGGTTCCTAAAAGGCGCGGTAGACCTATTTTTAATCGCTCCACTTTCAAAATTTTCACTCCACTTTTCGTTTGTGGAGGGCTTTCCACCGCGCATTTGTGGAGCAATCGGGCGCTCCGCCTTTCGCGCGTGTACACTTGAGCGCCCCGCCACTTCTCCACATTTCAAACACCCCGGATTTTAGACCTAGGTCAGAACAGGCTATTTTGTGAGTGTAATGGGGCACTTTTCGGACATAGCGGGTTTCGCCCTCTTCTGAGCACAGCCTTACAAAATCACTGTCAAGAGGAGGCACTCTAAGAATTTTTGTTGGCTTAGGAAGAAAATCTTCAATATCCATGCGGGTGCGTTTCGCAGCATGCTCAACTGCCTCGTTCTCTGAATGCTTTCTTTTAGCGCTAGATTCTGGGGCGGGTTCGTTGGCTTCGTCAGCAGAAGATTCTTCGAAAGGATTCGTAAACGATTCTTGCTGATTCTCTTCAGCAGGCTCGTCGATTACGAGATCGCCTTCTCCCTGTGACGCATTCGCTTCTTCTTCTGCCATCGCCTTTTCCATTGCGTCGATTTCCGCAAAGACATCTTCTTCGACGTCAAATTCATCATCTTGTTTGTTGGGTTGGTTGGCCGCTACCTGTTCGGCGAGCCACGCTTCGTATTCGTCCTGTTCTTCCATTTCGATCTGAATTCATCGAAAATAATAAACGGCTTTTTATTATAAATGTTTTGTCAGGAAGAAGATAAAGGCTAGTGAAGATAAATGGCATTTGAACGAAAAATATCTTAGATTTTTGTTGTTTTTACGATTTCAAATAAATTAAAAAGAGATAAAATAAGAAACGACTTGAAAATTGAAAACAACGATTGCATTCAACTGTCGATAGATGAAAAACTGAGATAAAAAGTAAAGGGCATAAAGTCAACTAAAAAGGTTGAAAGGAGGATGTGCCTGGCGAGTCTTTGAAAGCTTCTTGCTTAGGATTAGCCACAATAACAGATTGGCAGCGTTCAAACTTGGGAGGGTCGACTTGGGGTTCATCGACGTCTTCTTCTTCAGTGATTGTCATTTCTTGTTCAGCAAGGTCGCTGTAGGGCAGAAGTGTTGGCAGATCTTGACACATGTGCGCGGCGAAGAGAGCGTTGTTATTCGAGTTTTTCTGTCTATTGGCCGGCTTGGCTCGATATTCTTTGAGAAAATCTTTGAGGGTAAGTTGCCCCATGGCGACTCTCTTGATGTCCAGGTAGTGCACGAATTGAGTGCATTTGTGCTCGGGGCTTTCGAATTCCACCACTTCGTAGTTGTTGATATCGCGGATTTCGGGCGAGTTGACGTTCAGAATGATTTTCTTATCCGTTTTAATTGTCATGTTGTAGGCATCGCGAAGTCTGAGTTTGGAGCGAGCTTCGCACATTCCATTTGGCGAGTACTGTCTGCCGCAAGCGAGAATAACTTGTCTGTCTGCATTGAGTCGACGAACACTGGCGCCTCTGATAATTCCGTCAACGTTCAGGTAAAACTTGGGGTTTTCGCCTGGACATCCCTTGCCGTAGAACACAGCCACTAAATGCGGCTTATTTTTGGTCCCATTTTCGTTGTGTGTCATAACCTAGGTCTAAAATGCGGGGTGTTTGAAATGTGGAGAAGGGATGGTGGCGCTCAAGTGAACGCGAGCGAAAGGTGTAGGAGAGGCGCGCTCCACTTTCAATTTGTGTAGTATTTGCGCGCTCTCGCTGCCGGGGGCGCCATGCCTAAAAGGGCGAGGATATGCCCTATTTTGTCGCTGCATAAGTGACTTTTGCACTGGGCGGGAAGCCTAAAAAGCATTAACGCGCCCTATCCTCTCGGGCCGAGAGTCTCGGCGTGTGATTTTTTGACCTACTGTCGAGAATCAGATGCAAATATCACCGGGTGATTTACACAAATAAGTTCCCGGAAGCGTTAAGCTTATTTTCAAATTTATCTACAAGATGATTGGGGAGACTCCCCAATATTTCATTATTATACCACTATAAAGATTAATTTCTATAGTATTTTTATATAATATTTATTGGATAATTGAAATAAAAAATCAGAATATTAGATATTGAATACCATTTATGTTTTATAAAAGTTTTTTGCACATTATAAGCTACAATTTATAACACATAAAGTATTGATAATCGAAATTAAATATAATAACTAATGCTGAAATAAGCTTTTAAACAAAAATTTCAATCTGATTGCTGATGTTGACTTGACAGGCAAGTGGAATAGCGCTCAGCGCGCAAGGTTCCTAAAAGGCGCGGTAGACCTATTTTTAATCGCTCCACTTTCAAAATTTTCACTCCACTTTTCGTTGGTGGAGGGCTTTCCGCCGCGCATTTGTGGAGCAATCGGGCGCTCCGCCTTTCGCGCGTGTACACTTGAGCGCCCCGCCACTTCTCCACATTTCAAACACCCCGGATTTTAGACCTAGGTCATAACTTCATATGGTCCAGTTGCTTCCGCTTCAATTTGAAACTGAGGAGTAGGAGAAATGCTTAGCTGCTGCTGCTGAGAGTCCTTCAGAATGGGACGTGCTGGAACTGGAAGATTAAGAATAAGAGCCACTTGTTCGTCGGTCAAAACTGGTTTTTTCTTTTTAAAGATCGGCGTTATTGCATATTCAAGCGCGTTTTCTTTATCGCAACGAATGGGCATAATGTCCTTGATCTCGTCAAGATCTTCGATAGAATCTTCCTTTATTTTGCGCTTTGTTCCGCCCAAACTTCGATTTTGACTGAATTGGTTCCTCGGGTTGATGACTTGCAGGTACTGCAAATATTGAGTGGTATTCTCGACTTTCGCAAGGTGAAAATTAAGGATTTGAAAGTCTTTCGACTCCTGCATCTGCGGAAGCCTGCGCAGCGCATCCATAGCTTCCAGAATAATGGACCAGTTCTCGTAATCGTTCTTCAACTGTTGCTCGAACTCGTCTATTATCCCTTGACTGGCCATTCTGAACCGAACATTGTTAATTTAAAAATTTGGAACTGAGTTGAGCGTATTGCAGTTTATTTTATCGAGGCTTAGTAGGCGAGTTTAGTTTCATTCTCAATTCAACAAATAGGTACATTTCCCTCAAGTTAAGTTATTCATTCATTTCCTCGTCCGTTTCCCATTCTTCTTCGTTCTCGTCATCCATTTGATCTTCTGCTTCTGGTTCAGGAGGGGGACCAAGATCTTCAAGCATTTGCCTTACTTCCTCTTGAATTTCTCGGGCTCCTTGCTCACGTTTTTTCACAGCTTCTTCCGCAAGTCTGCGACAATTGTTATTGATTTAATCTCGATGATCTAGTCTTAGTACGACTGTTTTACCTAAGTGTCTCGTTCGCTTCCTCATAGCAGTCTCTTTTGTAATCGTTTATTTCTTCTTGATTTGTAAAGTTCTTGTCTTCTACCATCTCTTTCCACCTACGGAAAAGACCATACGCTAGGAAATATCGTGTTTCGCAATCTTCTACTTCTTCCTCAGCTACTTGACGGGCTAAAAATAGAATTCGAAAGTAAAGCAACTCATAGCGAGGATTTATAACTTACCAATTTGAAGCGCATCGTCCCACATTTCAAGTTCGATGGCGTATCTGCAGGCGTTCATTCTCTTCTCGGAGTCGATTCTGTTCTCCTCCGGCACTTCGACTTTTTCATAAATGAAGTCTTCGTATTTCTCATACCAGAGTTTCTTTCCGTCTGAGAGCATTTTCTTCGCCTCGTCAAATTTAGATGATGATATTAGAAATGAAGTCGCAACGATGAAAGCGCCAGCATTTGTGCTGTCCTCTTGTAGTGACATTTTCACCGCCGCCTCGCAATTACTCTGTGCATCTTTCTCTAGAGGACTGTTGTTTACAAATTGAAAATCGAGAATTGATTCGTCTTTCTTCAACGACTCTGAGTGATCTTACCTTGACACAAGTCGGTCATATAAAGCTCTGCGACATTACAATACGCCTCAGAAAGCCGGCGTTTATCATCTGGCGCCTCATTCCTCAGCAATTCAACGCCTTTCGTAATGAATTTAAGCGATTCAGCTCCCTAAACTTACTCTATAACAATATTGATAGTCGATGTGGCAAGCCTACCGTGCAAAATTGCGCAAGTGTTAGGTACTTTTCGAAACCGCTATCTGGAAGAACGGTTATCGAACGTCGTAAGGCCTTCTCGGCCAAGGTCCTTTCCCCGGCTTGGGCCAAAATGCCGCCAACTTCGTTCAACAAGCTAGCATCATCAGTAATTCTGATCACTTTCTTACGGGCTCGAACAAGGAAAACAAATCACGTGATCGAAAATTATGATTTTCTAGAACACGCGTTTTGCTCAAGCCTTTTTCGGCATTTGCTCATTAGTTCAGAATGCGCGAAAAAAGAGGTAATTTTTTCGATTTTTTCGCTTTTTCTCTTAATCTTACCGAAAATTGAGATTGTAAGCGCTTCGATTTAGAATGAAGGAGATATGGCGCGGTCAAGAAAACAAGAATGATGGACGAAACCCTCTTGGCTGCTGCCTGTAAAAACGAACCCCTTCAGCGGCCCCACGCACGGGCTGCAAAATCGAATGTTGTCCCACAAGGGGACAGAAGAAACATTATAGGAGGAGTCCCTGACGTGGGGACTCTTTGCCTACGACTTGGCTCAAGACATGCTGATGAAGAAACGAAAAGCACGAGTGTATATATACAAAACTATTACAGCGCTGTTGGTGTATGTATATAGCGTCGACGAATCTTCATTGGCATAATCAAAACGGAACACTTGAATGTCAAGTCCTCTTTTTTAATAAAATTTTGCAAAAAAATAATTCTGAAAATGTAACTAAAAAAAGTTTCATTTTCATGTGTTTCTAGTGATATTTATTTCTAAAGCGGTTGCATGAGTGGGTAGTCTACTTTTAGTTAAGTTGAGAGTTGTCGAGCCCTAGCTTTCTTGCAGATGTCTTTGGCTGCCTTTAGATCGCCATTTTCGACGAGAGCGAGTGCGTTTTCAACCAGTTCTGAAGCATTGTTCGAGCTTTGTGAGCTGCTTTCTCCCGATGAAGGGGCTGCGCTCTTCGTTTCAAGAAGTTTTTGCACTTTCTTGCGTTTCTTAACTTGCGATCTTTTCACCATCTGAACGACAAATTTTGAGAAAAAGAAAAAATATTGAACGGGAGTAGGAGTATTGAATGAAAAGAACAGTGGAAAGGAACAGGCGGAAAATAACGAAAGCAATAGTTTTCGAACTAGAACTAACACTGTTTTTTTTAGGTTGTCTAGTTCTGGTAATTAGCAAAAACGAGGTCGAATTCATTCTTGATCGAAGCTTGGTCGTAATCATAGATGAGATCATTGAGACGGTTTTTAGCGAATAAATTCGCCGCGTAAATGTCAGATTCCTTTCTTGTAAAGGCGGCGTGGTCCAGAAGAAGCGTGGCTTGATACAGCTTCGCCAAAGAAAACGCAAAGTCCCTTGCTGATTTGAGCTGGAACTCCATCGACTCAGTTTCAACGCGCTTGAGGAATCGGAGAATATCTTTTACAGCGGTGGCGATTTTATTTCGGGATGGAGAAAGAGCTTCTGAATCTGCGCTGGCAGAGAGCTTCTTCTGGATGTCGCCAAGCAAGGACTGTAATGAGGTGATTTAGAATGAGAATCTTCGTACGCGAATTTACCTGAAGAGAAGAGCCAGATGACTTCTGAATACTTCTGAGAACATCAAGCGACATGACGGTAGAAGTGCCCTCCCAAATTGGAAGAACTTGCGCGTCGCGAAACAGTCTCGGCATGGGCGTTTCTTCGATGTATCCCTGGCCGCCGAAGCACTCTAAGCCTTCAGAGCAAACCACCATGCCTTGTTTGGCTGTTTGTGCTTTCGCAAGAGGAGTAAGGATTCGCATCAAGTCCTGTTCGGTTTTGGACGCTTGTCCGTTCTCGCTCTTTCCAAATAGCCGCGAGACTTCGAGTGAAAGGAGTTCTGCTGCTCTTACATCGACCTCCATTCTTGCTAGGGTTGACACATGCGCTGCGTGATTCGAGAGCGTTTTCTTGAATGCCGTTCGCTTAGTTGCGTAGTCTCGCGCTAGGTGCACCATTCGTCGCATAAACGAGCACGCGGCGACAGCATTGTGAATTCTTGTTACGGTCAGCATTCCGCTAATGAGCGGGATTCCTCGACCCGGCTCGCCGACGAGATGCGCCTCGCATCCGTCCAGAATCAACTCTGCTGTGGGCAGTTGCTTTGTCCCAAGTTTTTCTTTCAGCTTGTGGACCTGGATTCCGTTGAGCTTGCCGCCCGCGTCGCGTATTTTCAAGTAAAACATTGACAGCCCCCGGGATCCTTCCGTTACCTTGTCATTCTTGTCGTCAATTATTCTTATCCGGATTTGAATTATATTGAAAACGGTGACCTTTTAGAAGAATTAGACTCATCAAATAACCGTTCCTTGCAAGGGTGAGAGTCATGTCCGAAGTGATAGCAGATGTAAACCATTTGTAGCCACTCAATTCATAACACTGCTTATCCTCATTCCACCTTGCCTCCGTATGGGTAGCATCACCGACATCAGAACCACCGGCTTTCTCAGTCATCCATTGACCAGAAGTCCAAAATTGCGCCCCATCGCGAGAAGTCAGATTTTGATACGCTTCTTCTAGGAAATCGTGGTTGCCTCTGCACGTGTTTTGAGTTGGTTAATAAGAATTTGATTGCCAAATAGCAAGTGTTACCGTTGTGATTTAGAGATCATTGCCGCCCCGTCCGTCATTGCCAAGGGACAATTATAGAGGCCGGAACTAGCGCCGGTGAGCATATTCTTCGCCATCTGATGAACTCGCGAAAAAGATCCAGATTCATTTTCATATCCGATTGCGATGAGGCCTTCTTCGGCAGAGACACGGTGCTGCTCGTACCAGGCTGGAGACACGACGATTTCGTCGATACGCTCGCCCCAGCCGTCTGTTCTTTTCAAGCTGCAAAACGATACTGATGCAATTCTATATTTTCGGCTAGTTTCTTACTAAGGCTGGACTCGTTCGCACTCATCGCCGAGAGCATCGACTTCGTTGACGATTCGCTCTCCACACTTGCTCAAGTCGGAATTCACCCGCTCAAAATGCTCCGGAGGGCAATGTCTCAAGATGTAGTCCTGAATCAGTTCATTTCCTTCGTATGGATTCGTCAGGACTGGCTTCTGCTGGACGAAGTGGCCCGTTCGCTCGTGAGCAAAGGACTGCTCTCGAGATGGGATCGAGCTGGCGTTGCTTTTTTGGGCACTAGAATTGGATAATGAGTTACTTTCTAATTACGATGATGAGAACCTGACGTTGGCAGAAACCTTGGAGCTTTGACAACGAGCTGCCGCGCGGTTGGCCCTAAATCGCCAACACTTGAGCATCGTGCGCCCCAATCTAAATAGAATTTGAATGTTACTTTTTGTTTACCACCCAAACGAGAGCGTCTTTTTGTGTAGAAATGAAGAAATGCTTTAATTGCGTTTCGCTCAAGTGACAGATGTCAGCAGTTTCAAATTTAAATTCGCAGCGCTTCAAAAAGTAATTTCTCTGAATCGCTACTGGAAATTCTTTTTGCCGGATTCACTTTCTTTGCTCTTGGTCTTTTTGTGGCTTCGCTTCGTTGAAAAGTCGAATGGCACTGCTTCCCTGAGAATCAAGAATGACATCGATAAAAAACTGCTCGTATCTGTATTGCTTACCGCTGCTCCTGCAGATGAGATATTTCCGTTTCTTCTAGTAAATCTAGTGCTTTCGTCGAGTCACAATTTCTGTTGCAAAAACAACTTCATTTCAAATGATAATTCTGACTTTCCGTACATCTCATTCAACTTCGACCAGATTTTGTCAGCAGTAACTGGCCTCCCCTTAGCAAAATATCAGCTTACGAAATATTTGACGCAATAGAGCTCGAATGAATAATTACTGTTCCGATTTTGAGTTTCTCCATAATCGCAATCATTTGGAAATTCTTGGAGAGACCAACGGGTTTGTGTCCCCGCAACGCTTGAAACAGCGAAACCTCGGTTTCTTTGGATTTAATTATTTCAATGAACGAAAGTTTAACTAATTTAACAGCCATTTAGTGAGTTCATAATTTTTCCTGCCTCCCATGAGTTAGCCAGCGTCATTTTCCTCAGCGCCCGTTTATTTTAAGATAGCAAAATAATGAATTAAAATTATTGCTTTACTGAGTGTTTCTTCGTCACCTTTTGACGAGCAGGGGAAACGCTACTGCGAAAGAGACAGTACTCCCTACTGTCTTGTTAGCTATGCTAGAGATGCCAAAAGAATGCGCCTGCAATATTATTCCGCGATCACAATAATCCGTTGTGCATGCCAATAATTAAAACTGACGAGGAGTGATCCAATTGACAAATTGAAAGGATTTTCATTCTTTTTACGAATTTCTTTTTAATAATAGGAAAGAATGTGCAATAGTTGGGCGAAGCGATAGTTTGATGAGAGTCGCCTCAACGCAGTTTTTTTTTTGAGTTTTGAAATGAAAAGCAAATGGAATTATAGGGTCACAGAATAAGCTACTCTATTTAGTTTTTAATTTAATTTTTGAATTCATTTAACACTTGAATTGCTCGGGAAATCTCACGAGCGCCTACCAGACAGATGCTCCTATTTTAAGAGAGATTAAAGTTATTGAAAGTGTAAGGCCACGGAGATAGATTTTATAAAGCACTGCCAGCATTGGCATCTTGCTACGAACCGCAGAAATTTTCGTATTGAAAATATTATTTATATGGCAAAGAATATGATGATCTTAAGATAGACTTTGGAATGCAAGAGCGAGGAATATGAAAATTTGTCTAAACGTGGTTTTGATTTGAAAATTGAAATTGAAATAAATTCAGCTAGAAAGACTCGAACGCCCCAATTCTATGTCTCTATCGACGCTCTTACTGCTACTGTAATAACTCTAGAATTTTTCAAAATACTCAAAGTCGAATTTCATTCGCGAATGTAAATTTAAGACGACCGTAAACTGATCAGCTCAAATTTAAAATTAGAAATAAAGAATCTCCTAATTTAGTATTTTTCATTCTTTGTTCGTTTTGAAAGTTGATAGGTAAAAACGTAAAAGAAGAATAATCACAATTGTTGGATTAACTCAATTCCAGGTTTTGGGGGTTTCTAGTTTTGTGTAGTTTTTTTTTTGAAAGGTTGAACTTCTTGATTTTGGTGTTTTTCTTTGAGTTGGGAAGAAACTTTTTACAGAATTTATCGAATATATAAAGTGATGGAAAAGAGCTTGAGAGGGAAATATAGAAGGAATAAGAAAATAAAAGGATAGTCTGAGGTCATTGAAGCAGGTCATGAAATCATCGAGATTGAAAGGTTCAAAGTTTTAATCGGTCGAAAGTTTCGTTTAAAGCTTGAGTTCGATAGAGATTGAGGGCGTCAAGTGGTTGAGATAGGAATTTTCACAGAGAAGCAGGATTTGTCTTTTTTAAAGTTGTTTTTTTCGTAAGTAAGGGGAACGGCAGGGCAACTCTTCGTAGACCTTTCGTTTCGTTAAGTTGGATAGTAGAAATCTGGTAGATTGGATTTAGCTGCGTAGAATTAGTAGTAGTGACGAGCTTTCGTTTCTGAAATTGATTGCGAGAAGAAAACCAGGGAAATCAGGGAATAACTTCGCCACTGGGCAGCCAAGGCTCGCTCCCTCCGTGGAGCTTGATCACGTGAAGAACGGCCTGAAAAAGGGATCATAAACGAATCGAAGCGGGAAAAGGGATCTTACGTCCTCAATCTCCTCGATGGTGTCACCCGTCACTGAAGCGGTGAAGCAATCGGCGAATTCGGCTGAGACCCGCTCGCCTTGCTGGATGATTTTGATACATGTGTCCTGTGTTAGTCTTTTATTCAGCTCTCTGAAGGACAAGGTCAGCCTAGAGAAAAGAAAAATGCGTGCTTACTGTAGCCATGCTATCTTCTCGTCCAGGACGTTCATGCCCCGGCGGTAGGCGAGTTTTGGCTTGATGTAAATTGCGATTGGGTACATGCTCTTTTTCTGCAGCTCTGGAATGGCGTCTCCCCGGACGTCGAGAACGCAGTGAAGCCCTTTGCTCGAAACCGCCTTCACGGAATTGATTGAAGTCCTTAAAATACGATAATAAAAACATCGCTTATTATATAACCTAAAATCGAGTAGTTCTATAGAATGAAAAAGACGCATGAGGTGCGGATTCCTTTTTATTTTTTATTTGAGCGGGTCCTCGACTTTAAGACTACAAATGCTGTTATAAAAATAGAAGTTTGACCTTGACGAACATACCCGTAGAGGTTATCGTTGTGGATTCCGACTTCGAAAAAGAGCCCTAAATCTTTCTGGCGCTTCATTTCCTCCTTTCCGATAAAGTAGTAGCTTCCCACCGCGCCGTTAACCTCGTTCGCTCGTGGTGCTCTCGTAGTGTCTAAAAAGACGAAATAGACAACTTCAAAGGTGATTAGATTATTGTCTTCCCATACGATAAGAACGATAGTTCTTCTTTACTTCTTCTACAGAAAAAGGATAGATGTACCCCAATTGCTACTTACGGGGAATGCAGACGCCGAATTTCTGCGGACGATCTTGAATTAAGTCCTCCATAATCCTGTCTTTCATCGGACCGAGGATGACGATCGGACGCACGTAGTCGATGCTTTGCTGCGATTAAACGATGATGAACATTTAATACAATGGAATGGAGGCTAACCTTGGTGACAGGCTCGTAAGAAAGAATCCATTCATCTTGCTGATCTGTTGAGTTTAGCGATTGCGTCGTTTCTTGTGCCTCTTTCTAAACAATTTTGATTACACCAGGGCTCGTTCTAATTGATCATTTATAAATCACCGATTTTCGCTGGAATTCCGATTGTTACTACTGCAAAGTAAGTGTTGCAAATCGAGAAGCCGTTTGCGGCTTCGAGCAAGAATAAGAGCGGCTTCTCGATTTTCAGCATTTTACCGAAGTAACAATCGGCATTCCAGCGAAATTATTCACTCAGAAATGAGAACCGCCGTATTTATTTACCTGTATTTCCAAACTAGTCGATTCCGTCAGCGCCGCAACATTGTCGACGCTCTTCATGAAGGGAAACTTGCGCGTCATCCTTAGCTTCGTTTTCGGTTTCTTTTTCCTTTTGCCGTTTTGCGCGTGGAGTGTCGTTTCGTTGGGCGGAAGCTGTTCACAGAACTCAAGCGACTTTGGGGTCGAGTTGAATTTCACTTGGTTTATCCTTTTTCGCTCTTTGCGCATCACTCTGTGTTTAGATGGGATGATCCCGCTAGCGTCAGAGCTGTCTGCCAAGGCTTGCTCATCTTCTGCGCTGTTTGTGCACTGAAACAATCCTTACTTTCTCTCCAAACAACCTGTCAAACGAACACTACTTTTCGAACTTCATATCTCTTAAATCAACTAAACGGGCAATTCCGACAGTAATCAGGCCCCGCGTGAACAAGTCAGGCCGGTGTTTGTCACTCAGGCACTGAGTGATTTTTGACAATTTGGTGTACCATTTTTACAACTGCAAAAAGTCCTGTCTACAGGTTACTCAGGTAAACTCAAGCCTTTACTCTGGTCAGGTTGTTTTTACTTACGACGATCTGAGCTTGCCACCATTCGGGGTCGGTCGCATTCGTCACGTGGATGATATCACCGTACTTGAAGCTAAAGTTAAACAATTATGAAAAAACTAACACCAAGAAGTAGAAACCGAACAAAAAGTTCACTAAGTTCTGAGTGATGTCACAGAGAGTGAACAGTACGGAATGACATTTTTCATTAGCTGAAAAAGAGAAAACGCAATAACAAACGCGCATTCTCGCCCCGACCGCATCAAATGTTATCTAACTCATTCTCGCTGAATTGACGAAATTCCGATGAAACTATGCTCCCATGCAAATCTGGTGCAAACACACAAGGGCCGAAATACAAGTAGAACTACTTGAACGCGAAAGATTTGTGAAATTCTTTTCAGGAGCTGGCTTACTATCTGCCTGAGCTCGGCAATCCGTGTTGAAGACCTGAGTCAGGGTCTCAAATATATCTAATGCAAAGCAGCCTTGCGTAAACGGCTTTTGATTAAAAATCTTTCAGACCCTGACTCAGGCTTTCTACACAGCTCGCCAAGCCCATCTATCGGTAAATGACTGAAGCATTCTTTATTCTATTCTATCTCGCTTTTTGAAACTCTGTTTTTATTGCAAATTATATGATCAGCGTCTAGTAAGGTCCCACGGAGAAAAAAGATCCTCCCAAGTTAGAAATCTGCTTACACCGTGAAATGACATTAATTTGCGAGAAATCATCGGCTTTGCTTGAATCTCCTTCTTGCCGATCATCGAAAAGAAAATATCAAGTGTTGTGAAAACAAGAGATCCTATTAAATTGAATTCCTGGCTGAGAATTGAATCCCTACTTCGGTGCGACCACCCGCCACTTTTTTTCTTTTTTATCTGGCTTAGAAAAAGAAAGAGAGAGTAAATTGCTCGGGCGAGTTTGTAAGATTCTCAGCAGGGGCCGTGAGATCTGACGTTATATCGCCAATAAATCATGTTTTGTGCCTGTCTCAGCACTTCACCAGCAGGCAGTGTACCTTTTTCTTTCCTTTTACCTGGGGTCGATATTCTGTAATCAAGTCAGTAAACAGAAAGGAAAAGTCGGAGACTCGATGGCCTGAGCTCGGCAACCCATGTGAAAAACCTGAGTCAGGGTTTCGGAAGAGGTTTGATAAAAGTCGCGCAGATTTCCAAATCAATTGATTTGTCAAAACTCTGGAGAAGCCGTGCTTCGCACGTCTTTTTTCGTCTCGAAGATTTAAAAGTAAAGTGGGTGATTCGAAGACAACATAGTTTAAAATTCAATTTGGTGTATTGTGAAAATGTCACAATTATGTTATTTTGTCGAGGCGAGGCAATTAAAAATTGAGTAGAAAGCTGGGTCAGCTCTTTTTACTTTATATTAATTTGATAGCCGAAATAGCCAGTTCTTGACAAAGAGTTTCTGACACGCTGCTGACAAACAGTCATCATATTGAAAAGGCGATATAATATCGCCGATATTGGAATTAGTGACATGGATTTCGAGTTTTTGCAATTTAAAGTTGCAGATAATGGGTCCACCGTAATATCGGAATAACCTCAATTCTAGCTCTTTTCATTGAAAAAGCGGATGAGTTGTCTACTTTTCGAATGTTTGACTTTTAGAATGGTCTTATTATTCTCGTAATCAGTAATTTGTACAATCAGGCTTTGAAAATTCATTCAAAGAAAAAGTAGAATAGAATCAGTTGAAGATAGCTTCATTACTTAGTGTCATTCAGAAGAACTGATTGTGCATTGAGATGATTGATCATTGAAAAATTTGTTCTTCAATAAGAGTAAATATGCAATTATTGAATTTTCCGAAAATATCTATTTTTCTCACCTGAGTCCCTTTGAAGGCAATCCGGAGTCAAGAGTAGCATCGTAGTCGAAAAGTGCTTTTACGAAGAGAGTTTTCTTCGCGACAGTTTGAATGCTCATCGTTCTCCAACTCTTCCTTTTCGGTGTTTTCAAGGTTCACTCTTATCGGCTCGTTCTTATCAGTTACGATCTTATCGCAAATGGTCTCTCTCTTGATCCATGTTGTTGTTTTGCGTTTAGGCTGTAAGGAAAGTAGTAGCAACTTCGTCGAATCCGGATTGGCTTCTTTCTTGGGAAGACCTCTCTAGGGGATGCTATTAGCAAGAGCCTCCGCTACTAACTCTAATAGCGAGTTTATTTTTTCGTCTTTTTTCTTTCAGTTTTGTTTGAGCTTGGCACGAAGGAGCCAATCACGCTCGCGGCTGGTGACTCATCGGCTCGACCCTTTTCGCGCCACCGCGGAAATCTGTTCTTCGAGTCGAAAAACGACGATTCCAGAGACCAACTTTTTCTAAAGGCTCATCCTTTTTTCTATTCGGAACGAACTAAAGGCCCAATCAGCCGAGATCGGAACTCGCGCGCCAAATACGAAATCGATCGAAATCATCTTTTCTTATTTTTCTTAAATCAAAGTCATCAAATGAATACTTAGTCAATTATTCTGATATTTGCAATAGTTCTAGTGCAAAAAGAGAGAAAGAAAGAAAAGTTAACCTTGAATCAATTGTTGAATTGTTGAAAATTCAAATTTGCAAATGCGAAATTTTCGCTGCCAAATTTTTAAATCGAACGATTGGAAAATTTTACCGCTAATTGCGAAAGAAATCCTTCAATATTATCATTTGACCGTGAAGTTTGATAATGGCCATCCATCTAACCGCCCTCCCCCGTCAATTAAAGCCGCTATTTTGAAAACGCGAACTTTTGCAAGATTCGTTTTTTTGCTTGAATATATCGCGACCTTACTGTTATCTGTAAATGTCTAGAAGATCTTACTAAACTTACAGCTTTGCTTCCGAAATCGAGAAGCCGCTTGCGGCTTCGAGCTGCAAAATGAAAAAAGCCGCGTGAATCGCAAGCGACTTCTCGATTTCAGTAGCACATCTGTTAGTTAGGCGCAAGTAGGATCTTCTGGAACATATCCAGGTACTAAAGGTCGGGTATCACGTTGTATTTTGTTTTGCGCGAAAAATGCAGTGAATTCAGAATCGCGGCACTAGAATTGCGAGTGAATATTTCCTTGCTCGACTCATGAATCGGAAGGGCCGAAAACAACTTCTCTCTTCGCGATTTTAGGACGTTGGCTGGGCTAATTGAGAGTACAAATGACTCTGCTGATTGAAAACATCCGGTCGCTGCGTATTCCCCAACCACAATGCAGCATTGACGCGCTTTTTAAGGTTACTGTATTTATTTCACCCACTTACTACTTTGAAGACCCAGATCACTATATATATTTTGAATCAGCAGAAAATATCTAGAAACTTGACCATAACCGATTCTCAAAAATCACTTCCGTTTACGATTCTAGAGCCGGAAATGTAAAAATCATGAACGAACGGTACCCAAAGAACCCCTAGACAATGGCATATCAAATTGAATCTTGTGTCATTTTAGAGTTGCCTGTGATAAAATAAAGGCTAGATAAGCTCTTTATAATCGATTCTAGAGGCGGGAATTGATAAAATTTGAAAATCGGAAGTTGCGTCATCACAAAAAAACAGGACTCACTCGCTTTAGCATCGACAGAGAGGTCATCTAGCCTTTATTTTATCACAGGCAACTCTAAAATGACATAAGATTCAATTTGATATGCCATTGTCTATGGGTTCTATGGGTACCGTTCGTTCATGATTTTTACATTTCCGGCGCTAGAATCGTAAACGGAAGTGATTTTTGAGAATCGGTTACGGTAAAGTTTCTAGATATTTTCTGCTGATTCAAAATATATGTAGTGATCTGGGTCTTCAAAGGAGTAAGTGGGAGAAATAAATACAGTAACCTTAAAAAAGCGCGTCATTGTCAATGCTTCTTCCAAAAACGTGTTCCTTCCCAAATGTTTCAACAGAAGTCTGGGCTCGGCAACCTGTGCAAAAACTGAGTCAGGATCCTCAATGAGTTAAACGAAAAGCCGCGGAGCGACTTTATTAAGTTTGAAACATAGAATTGTATAGTATAATACTATTAGTATTCCTTCGTTTAACTCTTTGATGACCCTGACTCAGCTTTTCGACACAGGTTGCCGGGCCAAGACAGGAAAAACAAAAACATTGTTGATGAATTTTTCTCAGCTTTAGTTGTCGAAAAAGACGTTTATGTAATCGTCTTTTTCTTCCCAGTCGTCTCCTTTGAAGTTGTGAATTGTAAAGCTTGACTTGCTTTTTGGAAGATTGAAGAAATGGAAGAATCGACGAGTTGTGACGGTATCCAGTAGAATGTGCGTTAGTGCTCACTGAGATCGACTGGAGTACTTTTGCTCGACTAAATGGGGAAATAGCTGCTCACGTAGTAGAGCATCCCTTGACTGGCGGGCATGGCGACGCCCCTCAACTCCCTTTCAAAGGGATTTTGGACCCGAATTCTTAAGGGCCTTTGGCTTCCTTGACATTCTTGAAACATTGAGATTCCCTTTTGTCCCCGCCCATTGTTAGCCGCGTAGAAATCGTAAAACAGGAAACCTGAAAACGCTTCGTATAAACCGCGAGCGGGAATTTTTAATCCGACCCAGAAATCGTCCCAAGAAAAATTCGTTGGAGTTTGAATTGGAAATCGATTTACCCCCATAAAGGGACGAGCTTCGAGAACATCTCCGTCAAAACAAAACAACAGGAAGCATAAATTAGAAGCAAAAGATCGAAGAGAATTTCGAAGGACGAAAATCGCGAACGAACAGTATGGGTTCAGAAACGACGCTCTTCATATCGTTCTTCCTTCTTGGGTAAGCCCTTCTTTTTCACCGTGTTTTGAGAACGCACTCAACCAAGAAAAACTGCGTTCAATCAAAATTTTACACTGCGTGGCGTCATTGATTTTCAGCCAATTTCGCGAAAAATGCTCTTTTGCTCCAACGAAATAATTTCATCGGGCGAAATGGTAGTTTACGCGTGTTTCGTTTTTATATGCTGATGATCCTTTTTTCAAATGGCTTGAAACGTACTAATCGTCGATTTCCTGCTTGAATTTGGGTTAAAATAATTAAGAAGCATCATTTTATGGTTCAAATCTAGAAGCCACTTGCGACTTAGAAAAATAAAATCTAGCCGCGCAAGCTGCGGCTTTTTCATTTAATTGCTCGGAGCCGCAAGCGGCTTCTCGATTTGAACCATGAAAACGATGCTTCTGAATTATTGTAACCTAAATTCAAGCAGGAAATCGACAATTAGTATGTTTCAAGCCTTTTGAGAATAAGGATCTAACCGCGCTAGGCGCGGCTCTTTCATTTTTCCTCGAAGCCGCAAGCGGCTTCTCGAATACAGTATGGCTTTCTTACTTTGAAAACTAATTCTCAGGCGTCTTTATCGCATCATGTTTATTTTAGCTTTTATTCGAGTATTATTTTTTCTCCATCATCGACAAGGCAGTAAGAAAATAATTTTGCGGCAGCGGTTTTAATTGATATTTTTTGAGGAGATAACCGACCGTACTGGGTAGCTTTTCGAATTCTCCGGTGAACTTTTCGTTTCTGTAGACTTCGTCGTGTGTAAAGGCGGAGATGATTTCGAGTTTAAATCTTGGCAAGTCCATGCTTTTTAAAACAGAATGCGCGACGTAGAATGTTCTAGCAGCGTGATAGTCTGATGTGACGATCCGGACGATTGTTGGGCCCTGGAAGAGGCGCGCGATGATTTCGAAGCCGTAGAGAAAGTTTTGTACAGTATTGCGAGCTTCGTTTTCGAGGATGACTTTTGATGAGTCCACGTATTCATCGGCTGTTAATCGAGCCATTACTTGAGCCTCGGTGACGCCGACTTTGGCAGGATCGCCGCCGGACACGATCAGATAACTGTCATGTTCTTTTTATCGGCTTTTTAGATGCGCTACTGCATGATTAAAATTCAAAGTTGAAAGATTTGCTGTTAAAAAATCTACAAGTAAGACAAAAAGCCCTTTCCTTTAGCTAGGTGTGAAGCAAGCTTAACTCTGGCTTTTAGTGAGCTTGTCGCGCTCCCATCCATCTTCAACGCTTCGCCCAGACAGAGGACAACACATCTTCTGTCCATCTTTTTCTTTTCTCGAAATTTGTTGTTTTTTCTAAGTTTTCTCGTTTTTGTCTTTGTCGTTTTCTGAGGGGTTGGCTGCTTAGGGCCGGTTAAATAGGTCTCAACGTTGGCGTCGCCTTTGACAACATCACAAGTCGCCTCGTGAATCGTAAACAGAGCCTCATGCGGCGTTGGAATGTGATGCAACAATCCATGCCCTTGCTAATTTTTTCAGGGTAGATCTGGACACATTCTCGTTCACAGTAAACAATGGCTTAATCGCCCGCAATTGGTGTGATTAGTGTGGCTTCAGATTGATCGGGCTCGGATTGAGCAAACTTTCAAGTCGTAACTTTCACAGTCATAGCGCCAAATTTATTTTTTATTATTGCGTTTTTATTTGTTTGATTTTGATAGTATTAAAACGAATCATATATTATTTGATTAAGCATATCTTGATTTTTGATAACGGTGTTCTTGGATAACCTTATTATTATTATTATTACCTTTTTCTTTTTATGGAGCTGGGCTCGTGACTACTAACTCCATCATGTGATCGTTGAGCAATAATCTAACTCCAACCTAAGCTTTTAAAAGAGCGTATGCTTGTTGGAAAGTAGCGACTTTCGTAATATTTGCGAAATTTGGGGGGAATCAGCCGGCGTTTTAACTTCCGTTTCCCACGAAATTTCGACATAACAGCTCAACACACGTCGTTTTGGCTTGTCTTAAAAGATGCTCCGCAGATTGTTAACCTCAAGGACCTTGGACTTGTAACAGTTCGCAGCGGCTGAATTTCGATACCGCCGGATACCTCGCACTCCACGCAAGCGAAGTACAATTTTAACACCAGCGATTTGAAACGATTGACCCTGTGAGCTTGACGAGTTTCGTGGAAAGGCAGATAGGCTTATCTGATTTTGACGCACGAATAATTAATAGTGTAACTCAAACAAGCAGTTGTCGGAACGTTACGTGTTGCGGGCCTAAACTTCCTCGTTAGAAATTCTTCAAAGTTTCTTCGAAAACCTTATGTGGGCTTTTTGAAATAGCTTTTTCACATGGGGGAAAGTTACGGTTTTAGAAAATAGCGGGATTATTTAGGATGGCGACCCTGCTGCCCTGGAATTTCTTTATCACGCCGTTCGCATATTGGATGACGAAACTGCAACGTTCCGATTGGAAAAACCAAACCTCTCCTGACACGATGAGCCTCACATTGACCAACATCTCAATCGAGCTGGGCAAGAATCAAAACTTACGAATCGGAAGTGGGGCGGCTCCTCCCGCGACGGAAGACAACTGCACCAATGACTGGGAGTTTAACCCGCTTCAAAAGTTCTGGAGCTCGACACTTGCCATTTCGACGATGGGAACGAATCTGATCTTCTGCTTCTTGACGACAATCTTAGCAAAGAAGATTCCTAGAAAGACGCGATTCTTAGGTATTATGAATGTCCCAGTCCAGCCAATCTTTTTTTCCTTGATTTTCAGTAATATTTTATCTAAAAATTTGTCTCCAGGTTGCCTTCTTGGATATGTTCTGTGCTTGAGCGCTACGCTGGCAATGGTGCGAATCAATTTCGAGGATAAAATACCAGTCTTCTTTGGAACTACGATGGGCATTGTCGTTTTGATTACAATTTGCTGCGCAGTTTTCCAGACGTCTCTTTTTGGCCTTGCTTCTGAGTTCCCGATGGACTTGGGCATCATGGGCGCTGTGATGGGCGGCCAAGGCTGCGGTGGAATTTTCGCCTGCGTGGTCAACTTGCTTACCTTAGGTTAGTAACGATAACTAAAAAGAACTGGCTGAGCAAAGAGTTCGCTGGCTGACAGCTACGGCGAGTTTATTAGATTCGCAAAAAAAAAGAAATAAGTTTTTGTTCAAAGCAAAAAAAGGTTCTTTCTAAAACGTATGTTGGAACCTTCCTATTCACACAATGTTGTGAATAAGCTACAAGGGTTGTTTTGTGACGCTAATGGCAAATTGCTTGTAGGCCTCTTCGACGATCCACTGGAGTCTGCTTTCATTTTCTTTTTGCTGGCGATTGTGTTCACCCTCTTTGGCATTTTCATGTTTCTGCGAATAATTCGCCACCCACTCTACATTCAACACGTTCACGATGGCGATCAGAAAAGCATGGACAGGTTTGCTAAGTGATCCAAAATACTAATTTCGCGACATGGCGTTATTACTCAAAATCGCCAGTGAACCACCACCACAAGTGCGTTTAGGCAACTTTTCTTGTTATTTCAAATCGATAAAAACGAACGTTAAAATTCTTGTTCTTATTTTCTAAAAAGTTCATCAACGACACTCTTTTTTCATTATTCTAAAAACTAACTCATCAAAAAACGAAAATCAAAGCTCTGGAAAAGGCTATAATAGGATTGGCAAGGTCTAAAACTATTTTAGCAATGCAGAAAATGTCGAAAACGAAGCGATGCTGAGCGATGCGAATATCACCTTTGGCGACTTTGTGAAGACAACTTTGTGGCCCTACATGCTTTCCGTGTTCCTCTGCTTCGTCGTCACATTAGGTAGGAGCTAACTGTATTCTTTGGCTATTGAGACGCTAAACTTCAAGCATCTGCGCGTCTTGTTAGCAACAAGCTCGCATTAGCGCGTTCTTCGAGGATGTTTAATGTCATATGTTTCATTGTAATAACGTGCGTTTTCCGAGACGCGATTTTAATTTTCTCGCAGGGCTCTTCCCCGCCGTCGCAGCTTTCGTCCAGCCCATCAATTACGATTGCAATAATGTCTACCACACGAAGTGGTTCCAGCCCATCTGGTGTTTCACTCTCTTCAACGTCGGCGACACCATAGGAAGGCGTTTCAATGCACAATGCGCGATTTCCGCTTAAAATTTTTGAAGCGTTGTTTACGTCCTCGAATGATTTCATGCCTTTGGCAGATTAGGCTGGATAATCACGTTTTCGTTCGAAATTTGCAAACACCGAAAAAGGCCGAGTCTCTGCCTCCAAAGTGCCTTTTCCTAAGCCACAAGAGGTAATTTAACCCTTTTTAACGCATTCTAGAGCTCGTTTGGCTCACGATGGACTTATAAACTCAGAGTCAGCGCGAAAATAGCGAGATAGGGAGCAGGAACATTGCTCTAGCATTTTCAAACACGTTCACTCAAATCTTATCGTTTATTTTGAACCAGTTTACACAACTGTTAATGGAAACGATAACAGACCTCAACTTCCTTGTCTAAATACGTTTTAGCGAGTCATCTAGTGATTTTATATTTTTGCGAATAGATAGTTGATTCATCGAATGGTCAGTTTCCTGTATATCACCAAAAAAGAACCGCTTTTTCAATTCTTAAAAGCTTCCATTGTTCGTTCAGTCGATGAAACTGCTCACCGCTTCTATCGTCCGATTCGGCTTCGTCTTCCTTCTTCCCCTATGTAACATCGTAACAGCCGATCGAAGCACCAGCATCGTCTTCTACTCCGACTGGGTTTATATAATCATCATGGCTGCAATGTCCCTCTCCGGTGGAATCATCTCAAGTAAGGCTTCGTCGATAAGATCAGATTTTCGACGATAAACGAAAGAACTTGGCTAACGTATGTATTTTCAGCTCAAGCTATGTCTTTTGCCTCGCAAATCGCGCCAAGACATTTGAGCGACGATGTTGGTAACACGATGGGAACCTCGCTCGTTGCTGGTCTTTGTGGTGGAGCTGCCTTTTCATTCCTCATTCTTTTCGTCATGTGATGAGCTTTTATACCTGTCGATTGCATTTCTTTTTGTTCTGCTGAAAATAAACCATTCTCCTGAGTGCCAAGAGTGATAAACCTGGGTTGTTTTGATCCAAGCAACTGAGTTTGTAAGACAAAGAGCGTTCGAGGTGGTGCACCATTCGAACTCGGTTGGAGAGCGCCACCGATACCGCGCGGGACTTGCGCTCAACTTACAGAAAAAGATCCCTTTTCCTTTCGCTGAAAATTTTGAAATGCACTAAGCCGAATATCTGCTTTTTGTGTAGTTTTTTTTTCTAGCATCATTCTTATCATCTCGTCAGCACGGACTTTCAAGAGGATTCCAATTGGGAAAACAAGAGACAGCGAAATTTATCAGAGCGAGTTAGCCGATTTAATAACCGATTTCTCGAATTACTTCTTGAATTGCTGGGATTTTTGAGATGAGAAACAAGAAGAGATCGTCTAGAACTGACTCAGGTTTGTTTTTATTCAGATAAATTTTGATGCATTTATTGTCAACAAGCTTCAATTATTAAGACATTGTCTTTCGTAATCAATTAATTCGTAATGTCCTCTAGATTCAATTTACGGCCCAACAATGTGAAGTTTTTGCCTAAAAATAAACTCGAAAGAAAACGAATTCCTTGGAATCCCATTAGGTGAATTCTAGCGCTCATAATATCGGTTTCCAATTTCAGGGAATATAAAAAGATTTCTCTGAATGCGAACAAGTTGCCAAAACACCTTTTATCCGGCTTCTATGAATAAACCACACCCTTCTTTTTCTATAAATACGATCCCAAAATACTCAACAATCCACAAATCCGCGAATATAGCCCTTTTAGTTGAAGCTTGTTTTACACATGACAACTGGGTATTTGCGCAACTTTGAAAGCCAAAAGAAAGAAAGTTTTCTAAAAAAGGTGCGCGGCGATCGCTAGAATTCAAAGGGTATTATTTTAATCGCGCATTATCGGATTGCGAGAGGGAGACCGATTAGATGTTGCCGGGAATCGTAAACGTGCGTGCTGGGATTTTATATTTTTGGTAAGAGAGCCGCGCTAACGAGATAACTGTGTACTCAGGCCGGGCTTCTAATGAGTCTGAAGAGAGAGTCACTTTCCTGGCGCACAAGGGTCTTACCGAATACGCGCCACAATTAAGACACTTGCATCCACGAGAAAGCCCATCTCATCCTCTCGAGATAAGTGATAGAAGATATGTGGCTTATGTTCTTCTGGCGCACATTAGAACATGGACTATCCGCTAGCAGCTACTAGCTAACTGTCCTCACTAAGCCGCGATTGAGTACTTTCGAGTAAACGTGTCTCCAAAATCGCAAAAATTAGAAAGATGATCTTTTGAGCCGATTTCGCTTTCGAAGTCACCCGATCAGCCGCTGACATCAGCTTGGATTATCAATGCTCCCTATGACCCGAGTCGTGGCGCGATTTTCACGGCTTCTGAAGTTCGCCCTAAACTCGCATAATTTTCATTTCAAAGTACTAAGTCTTTATTAATTTTAATGCTCCTCCCTTGTCATCAAAACTTCAGCGCGGTCTTTATCTCTTCCCAAATGACTATTTGTAAAGGGATATTATTATTCCAGTTCTGAAAAAGAAAAACACTTTCATTTCAGAAGCAAATGACGTCGCCACCCTCGAGTTCAGCAAAGCAGTGCGCGATCTGAGCTTCGAAGTAATAGGTAAACGATTCAATGAGGGACTGTTTATTTACGAGTCTTTCTCAGAGCCCCTCGGACTGGACCCTTTTGTCGAGATGCAGAAGGTCGAAAGAAAGCGGCGTTTCAGTTTGAAGGCTTCGGCGAAACGGGCGTTCTCGCGTGTGACTGGGCGGAACAAAAGGAACGGGCAGAACAAGCTGGTATTCCGAGCAAAGGAAAATGAATAGGAAGTAAGCCAGCCGCTTTCGGATAAGGATACTCCTCAGTCCCGAAATGACGGGTGCAGGAAGTGAAATAAGGGGTTATGAGTGCTTCCGCCACTAGAATTTTATTCGAATTAAACACGCCGCGCTCTAGGTAGACTAAACACGTTGTCATAGCAGAGCACTGTCTTTGCTAGTAGCTTACTAGCAAAAGTTCATATTATCGATATTTACTGTATAAAACAAGAGCCAAAATAAAAAGCCCTTCTTGAGAAAGCCAGGCGTAACTCTTTCGCGATGTCCATTTCCGACTTCCCAGATGTGCCCGATGATATTATCGCCTGATTATCGAAATCCAACAAGGTAAATATCGTAATCTTTAAAGCCCTTCAGTTTTGGTGGAATGCTCGTCGAAACTCCCTCCTGATACAGAAATCTCGCGTTCATGAAATATGAGCTTCTTCAACTCAATCAAACAAACTTGCAATAAACAATAAACGAAATGCTTTTTAATGAAGTGTATTTTGTAGAAAAATAGAATCTTTTATTGTTGATAAATATTCTTGAAAGAAGAAGCGTATAGAAAAATAATGAAATAAAATATAGAACATGAAGAAGAATATAAAAATAATAAAAAAATGGCTCATCGTTCTCTTGGTCGTTTTCAGTGGGAATAGTCGAAAAACGTGTCTTTTTCAATGTTCAAAACTGTACTTCTCCTTATCGCAGATCCTTTTGCCAGTGTGCAAATTTCGCGAAAAATAATTCGCGGTTTCTGTTCTCTTCGATATTTACTCTCGCCTGGCGCGAAATTGGTACCGAGGGACTGGTTACTGAGGGATCGATCATTCGAAAATGCTCGTTTCGAAAAAATAAATTGATATTACGCATAGTAAATTTTGGAACATTCCTTGAAGCCACGAGTCGACGAGGAAGGGTGTATCTACATCCGAGGACGTGAATAAGTCCTCGTGACTCTGAGGAGAGTCGACGCCTACGGAATTGTTCGAGTACTCGTCTTTAATCCAGTCTTCCGGGGTGGGGATTCTTGCGCCAGTGACTTCAAGCATGGGCAGATGCTGGCTCATTCCGTGCTTCGTCTTAATAAAAACAATCGAGTGATGATTTAATGAGTGCAACTCACGTGTTCTTCCATGGGAACACTCTCGTTCATGATCGGAATGCCGAAGTCAATTAAAACGTTGGAGAGATCTGGGCAGTACGCATTGCGGTTGAGCGGGGATATCTTCGCCGTCTCCTGCGACTGTTTGAGGCTGCTCGAATCAACAATGACATTGACGTGATTCTAAAATAAATATTAATTCTTTATTGCCAGACGGACTATTAGTGGTCGGCAAGGCATGCTAAAGGTTAGCCTCTTCAACAATCACTAATAAACGAAATCAAGCTCACCTCTTGCGAGTCGGAGATTTTCGCCCTTTTCGCCGGACGCCCGCCATCATGCGAACTTCCTGTCGACGAGTTCTGTAGCTTCCAGCCAGATGGTGATTCACTAAACTCGCTGGATCTTCTCAATTCACTCTCAATGTCACTCTGAAAGTATAAAGTTAAGCTCGATAATCCGCCGCTGAAAAGAAAAAACGCACCTTTGAAATTTTCAGACTCAGGCGCTGCGCCATGTCCACCATTTCCTGTATTGTGAGTACCTTAAAATATTCATGAGGCATAATGTTTTGTTTTCGCATTGAATAGTAGATAGAAGTCGCGATTGGGATAAATAAACACGCGATTCCTGAAAGCCCGAAATCTCCTTCGAGTCGCAGAATACAGCATCAGCTAGTATTTGCACTGGGAGGAAATTGTCAGCGAAAGTTGTGTGGTAGTTTGGGAGTGATTTCTTTTCTGCGATCGAGTTTACTCACGTCATGGCGTGCGAGGCGAAAGCTCAGCCGTATGAGCTCTTTCGGCGTGTATTGTGCAGGACGAGGCTCCTTGACGGATGGCTGAGGGGTCCCAAGGCAGCTCAGCCAGTCGAGCGAAGTAAGCGAGTCGTCCTTGCTCACAGAGCTCACATTCTTTGCCAGTTTGTTCAGTGTGCGGATGGAAGTCACTGGAAGCTTCGAACTGAAAGCAATTTTAGAGACAAATATCGTTTGAATTTTTGTATTCATTTTTGGAGCCCCTGAAATCAAGGAGGAATGATCATACCTTTGGCAAGGACCTTCAACACTCATTTCTCTTTCCTCAAACTTTTTCACAATCGTTTCTCGTTTTTTTCAAAATTCTTCCTTCAAAATTTCTTTCGAGTCTTCCCGAGTTTTTGCTTTGTCCGAGCGATCTTTTCGATTTCCCTTACTCTCAAGTCCTTCTAAAATAAAATGTGAAGGTATTTCTTCGTACTAATGAAATGAAAAAAAAAGTTTGTGGAAGTTGTAGCTCGGGCGCCATTGAAACTCGCGCGGTGGAGTTCGCATTGTGCAAGCTTAAGTATCAAACATGGCTACCGCTGAGACCAATTGAGGGACAATTCCTGCCCGCGAGGCAAATTAAAACTCGCCGGGAGTGCGAGCACAATTGTTCCCAGCCCCAATTTCCGTCGCCGCGCAGTATTCTCAATAGAAGTTGAAATTGTGGAATCGGGCTGTTTTCTCTTCGCAGGGGGAATACGTTCGCCCCTTCGCAAAATCAAGACACGTATCTGGTTTGAGTTATTGAGTCCGAGCCCGTGCTTTGTGTGCCTTGCCCTTGGGTCTCGAATGTTTTTTGTCCTCAGCTTACATTGTTGGTCTTGGGCACACAATAAACCGAACTGCTCAACCCGGAGCTTCTCAGCTCACTTCCGCCTTCCTTTCCATAATTTAAAGCTCTTAGAAGAATCTAAAAATCTTTTCATTCTCATTCTTAAAATTGTCAGCTCCTGATTTTCTGCATCATAAAATTTTTAATATTGAGGGCAAGCTTTAATTTGCAGAAGAAGAGCTAACCCTAGCCCCAACTATAATCATCCTTCGTCAATGCTAACCCTAACCTAAGGAGGAAAATTCTAGATGGAATTAACAATAAGTGGTAACTGACGGCAAAGTTGAACAAATATATGTTCTCCTAATATCTATGCGGTTTTTGGTGACATATTCTCTTTGACATAAAAACTGTTATTGTACAGTAGCTGTCAACACAGGAAACTCGCCGCCAATTTCCTCAAGGCAAAGTTTACCCACTTGACTAAATGCCACCGTCGCCATTTTCGTGATGGAGATTTTAAAATGCTAGAAAATTATACGCGCCCACAAGCAAGTACGGCATCGCCCCGCGGCGAGTGCCATTGACGACTTTGCGAAGAATAGACTTCTCCTTCAAAAAAGTCAAAAAAAAGAGAGCCGAAACTACACAGCGAAAGGAACTCTTGGTAAGTAACGAAATGGGGCAATTTCAGAACGTAAACAGTCGCGAAAAAACGGCGAGAAAACTCACGACTTTTTTATTTATGACGACGTTGCCCTGTCACGAAGTAAAGCTATGTTTGGATTTGCGTATTACTGCATTTTTCATCGTTCGCAACAACTAATAAAGTTGGATTTATGGACCCGCATTAACAAAAGACTAAGACTTAGAACTTAGAACTTGCTGGAGGTTTAAAATTTCTCTAATAAAAATCAAAATTTAACTGTAATGCCATCAAGCGTTCTTTTACAAAGGAGGTTTTTTCTCTCTAATCAGAATTTGATGTTTGCACGGTTATTGAGGCCGAGGCGAGAAAAATGGAAATACAAGTTGATCCGGATGGCGGCTTTAATTGAATTGTGTGGCGATTCCAAACACAGTCCCAAGGCATTCCCTAGCGACCTACGATTTCTTGAAAAACAAAAAAATTGTAGTACTTGTGAAAAAAGTGAACACTTTTTTAAAATAGCTTTATTTTATTAAATAAAATGTCGCTTTTTAAACGTGAGCGAGACAGAGCGTTTTTAATCACAGACTTTCAGCAGCCAAGACATGGATGGTGGGGTAAGCAACAAACTAAAGCAAAAAGGCTCAGAGCAAACTTCAGTCGAGCAGAAACCGCTCTCAGTTGACCAGTGGTTTGACAATAATCCGAGAAGACACAAGGCACAGAACAAAATCAAGTGAGCGTCAGTAAAGTGAATAAACTTTGTATGTTGCTTTAGGAGAATACACGAACGAATTCCTGAGTCTTGCTGGGCTGCTTACGACAGATTTCTGAGAACAGAAGGTAAGAATTGATTTTTACTTTATTTTTTCGTTTACCTCATTACAGTAGGGTGATATTGAACCGAATTTCAGTTTCATTCCATTCCCATTCGTGGTCCCCATCACTCCAATAATTAACGACTTGCTTTCCATCGTCGTCATAACTTTCCAATTCTTGTCGACTATCTCGTAGTACTAATCCCGTATATCTATGAGTTTCTTCCACCACGACCTTGAACTTTGGCCCGCCATCTAAAATGTTATAAATGAAAAAAAAAACTAAAATAAATTTACCCTCATTTCCGATTTGAAGGCAAACTCGTTCGTCTTCTACATAATAGTCACCCAAAAATTTAAGAGTCCATCCGCCCAACTTAACAATGAAATCCTGATAAACCCAAAACTTCATTGAAATTTTAATAATGTCTTTAAAAAAAAACAAACACATTAAACTCTTTCCTTCAAATTTGTTTTTTTCTCGCCGCGTTTAAAAAGTTTGAGAAAATTCAACATTTCATCGTATTCCATCTGCTCTCTCAAATCCGGACCGCCAAAGAAGTGACCTCGAACAAGATTCTTGTTTGGTTCCAGATCTGCTTAATAACACACTTTAAAAAACTCCTAAAGCCCAGTCTTACCTTCAATAAGAGCCCTGTAAGCTTTCTCCTTTCGTTGAAACTTTGCTTCTGCCTTTTTGAAAGCAGCTTGAATTTCCACTGCGCTGGCGTCTTGCGGGACCCCAAGAACTCCAAGGTTGTAGTCTCTTGAGGATTCTGAGCTCATCTTAAATAAAAACGCCGTCAATAAATATTAAAAGATTAATTGTCATAAAAATAAGTCTAATTGAAAAAGCGCCCTAACTTCGAAAAAAAATTGCACTGAAAGGCGGCTGCAGCAATTTTTGAGACACAAATCAAAGCTAGCCAAACAAACTCGTTTATTATTCAAAATGTGAGCTGCTTTATTTATGCTTAATTTCCCATCATAACAACCTTTTTATAGGCATACAAAATGACAACGAAGAACTCCTCTCAAAACTGGAAAACTCCAAAGCCGAAAGTATCTACGCCCTGCGCAACAACGACAAGCTCTACGAGGCCCGCAATCGTGCAGAACTTGCTTCTGTGCTCTTCGAAGAAGCTCAAGAACAACAAGATTCAGTTGACCAAATGCGACGAGAACTCGCACACGAGAAGCTAGTTGTTTCTTACGGAGAAGTTGAGCGAACACCTGTTTCAATCGCTAGAAAAAGTCAGAAGAAAACGGAAGTCGTCAAGCTGCCAAAAATCGACCACATTCCAGGAAATGCCTTTATTAATGGATTTCTTGAAAGAACTTTAGATAGCAAGAGCATATCTTTTTTACGAAAAAAAATTAAAAGTTTCTAAAAGCAAGAAAAAGTACCTTCATATGTGGATACAAAAGCAAAGGAGATGAAATTAGTGAAGGATACAGAATTGGAATTGGGGGATTTCAAATTTGAAGAAGACGAAGAAGTTCCACAAGTCACAAATTATGCTGGTACTAAATTAGGCATTTGACTCCTTTCTAATACAATTTAGGGTCAAAGGGCCCTAGATGGAGGCCAATTCAACATCAAGGCTACGGAGAACTCTTCAAGACGTACAAAAATCGACGAGCAAAAAGTCAGCAAAAGGTTTGGCTTTCTTTTTCTTCGCCATAACGTTTTTATCCCAGAAAAACGACAGCATCGGAGTCAACGATCTCAAAGAATTTGAGCAGCGGCGAGTGCAACCATCGAGTTTCCATTTTAGAGCCCGACAAGGACTTCTGCTCCAATAAATTGTACACAACGTTTGTCAAATTAATAAGTGCAAGTGCAACTCTGGTTAAATACGCTCTTTTTTTTCTGGGCGAGGCGGCGAAATTAGTTGCCAAGTCTCGAAAATTAATATTTGATCGATAGTACGGCGGCAACTGAAGCCCGACTTTGATTGCTTTTCTGAGTTTTCACTGTTCTTAGTTTAATTTGATCAAGATTTGGAAGGCATTAGCTCTTCTTGACGAGAATACTCTTGAGGAGTCTTGAACTGGAATTGCAGGTCTTCGTGGGGCAAGGAAAGAACGCAAATTGCTGATGGAGCTAATCTGAGGAGAATCGGCTTTGAGTCCCTCTGGCGACTGTAACTGGGCGAGGACTCGGACACCGCGTTATCTAACCTTGCGTGAAAGGGAGAACCAAAATGGAAAAGCCCCAAATTTAATTTTGACTTTGCTGGCGACGCCAACCTTAATCATTTTTCATGTTTGCTTCTTCTCCTCAACTGCACATAAACTCAACCCTGGTGTATTTTTAGAGAGACCTTCTTTTGAACTGTAAGTAGTTTTTAGATTTGATATTATTTGCTGATCATTATTTCATTTGATCCGAATTTTTTCTGAAGGTTCCAAAATAGCAAGATGATATTTATTAATTTTGAGTTAAGGATCCCCCCGTAGACCGGCAGACGACGGATTGAGTTGGCCCACTCCGCACGTGGGGCCAAGGCACAGGAGGTGTCAAGCCGAGATTGAATAGATGCAAGGGACCACGCCGCCGGGGCGAACTCCTGCAGAGTCCAGTTCTGGGCCAAGTTTGGAGCAACTCTCGGTGTGAGACCTTGAGTAAACAGAATCAAAGGTCACATTGAGCCCGAGATCAGGATCAAGCTCATCCCCGGATAAGCCCTAAAAGTGAAGATATAGACGACCAAAAAATATAATTTGATGAAACTACGCCCAATAGGGTAATCGAGGGCGTAGAATCCGAATCTTCGGTTGAAAAAAACTTTTAATGTCAAATAAGCCACGGGCAGTAATCTTTACAACAATTACTGCCCTTAATTTCTGAAAGTATTTCCTGGATCCTGAGGGACTCATTTCTTATAAGGGCAGTATTTGTTGTAAAGATTACTGCCCTTTATATTTTCGATTAAAAAAGAGTCGAAAAAGCTTTTATAAAAATGGAAACATATATTTTTACAAAAAACAGTTATAGTACAGTGTAAGAGAGTGGGTAAGTGATGATTTTCTTGTCGAGATTTCGGAACTGCTGGCAAATTGAGATCGCGTTGTCCAATTTCCACTCGGTTGTCTGGCTCTCGATCTTGGAATGATGGTAGAATACTCTTTCACAGCGAACGATTGACTCGACTTTTCTTCTTGCGTGGCGATTGACGGCAAATTTTCCAAGGAAGTAGCCCTTGTAGTCCTTGAGAAGAAGGGAGAACGCGCGAACTGAAGCTGGTGGAGACTTGTATGAGTTCTTGAGCTGGAGATGTAGGGTTTCGCACTGATTGGTCGTCCAAAACGAGATCCGCTCACAAGAAGCTGATGAAGATTCCAATCTGCTTTTGAGTGTCGCTTTGTTATCCATTCTTTCTTGAAGTATTTGTAGTGAAAGTCTTCGATTCGCTTCCTTTTTTCTTCGCATTCGATGGCTGGGATTCGCTGTGTCTCGAGGATGTGTAGAGCTTGATTCACAATCATGGGATCGCAGAAGGGCATTCCAAGGTAGACATCGTAAAAGTCGACTCGAAGTTTGACATCAAAGACGAAATCCTTGCGGCCCAGCTTGAGTCTCCAGTTCTTGATGACGCATTGGCAGTAATGAAACTCGCAGCCGCAGACTTGAGCATCAGGCCACAGCTCCTTGATTATTTTCTTCGGCGTTGGCTCGTAATCTACTCTCCAGTCGTTGATGAGAAGTTCTTGGCCAGTTTCTTCGAAGTAGAGCTCGCGGATTTTCTTGAACATCGCTCTGTAGGTAGACTGCGTCTTGTCCGGCAACCAGCAGAAGAGAAGTGGATAGCTCATCCCTTTTCGTCCGTTGTCTGACGAATAGTAGCGGACAATGCTGTACTGCTGGTAAACGCCGGGCATCTTGCTGTTGACATCAAAAGTTCCGTCGATGAAGCAGGGTGACTTGTTCAGAGGATGTCTATCATCAAGAAGATGAATTTCGCTTTTGAGTATCCAGAGGGTGATTGGGCGGCCTTTGCTGTTCGTAAATTGCGCTTGAAGAAATCGTTCGTTGACAACACTGGCTGAATCGGGATGATAGAAGCTGACGTTGGGATCGTGATGGTAGACAGGAATCGATTTTGCTTCTTCTGGAATTTCTGATGCTGGTGATGTCCATCTTCTGGCAAGTTTTTCTCGGATACTTCGCTTCGTCTTTTCGGTGCCTCCAGCGACATCTTCCTTGAATTGGTCAACCCAATGGCCTGGCAAGTTGGCCATCTCAGCATCGTATTGTTCTCGTTTATGGTCAAAAGAACGAAGGGTAGCATTTTCCTTGAAGAGATCTTGAAGCGGACGGATGTTGTCGTTCCCAGGGTGATTGTGACCTTGAACTTCTTCAAATGGTGAATCAGGGCAGACCTCAAGAACAGCGTAGTTGTCAGGATCGCGCACCCCGTCGGCAGTAAGGATGAGCTTGTGTCGTGGAACTTCCTTCGGTTTGCGCCCCTTTTCTCTCTTCCATGATGTCGTGGTCAAAATCAGAGCTGGATTGAGAATCGCTAATCTCACACGGTGAGGGCATCGTTTTTCGGCTGGAGTTCGATGTGTTCCTCGCTCACACCAAAGAGTGATCTTGTCCGCAGCAGTAGATCCATGCATCACATGGTAAGTGTAGTGGAACTCTCCAATTTGAAGATTGAAGTGAAGACTTTCTTTGGTTCTTTCGCCGGAAGTAATGTTCAATAATTTAGGAGCGGTGTTGGTGCCATAAATATCTGTTGGCTTATTTGGCAAAGTATCAGCAATTTTTTGATAATCTGACATTTTCAATAAAAGCATAATGAATCGTTTTCTTTTATTGACCATGCCTTCTGCTTGAGTCTTCAGCTGCGCGTTATATGTCGCAACTGTCTTTTTAATCTTCAAATCGGAAGCAATTAAGATGGGCAAACTTTTATCAAGCAGCTGATAGAACAAACAACTAATAAAGGAAAAGATTTAATAAAAGAACTTCAAAAAATGACCCTCAGGATCCAGAAAATACTAGATAACAAAGGGCAGTAATCTTTACAACAAATACTGCCCTTATAAGAAATGAGCCCCTCAGGATCCAGGAAATACTTTCAGAAATTAAGGGCAGTAATTGTTGTAAAGATTACTGCCCGTGGCTTATTTGACATTAAAAGTTTTTTTCAACCGAAGATTCGGATTCTACGCCCTCGATTACCCTATTGGGCGTAGTTTCATCAAATTATATTTTTTGGTCGTCTATATCTTCACTTTTAGGGCTTATCCGGGGATGAGCTTGATCCTGATCTCGGGCTCAATGTGACCTTTGATTCTGTTTACTCAAGGTCTCACACCGAGAGTTGCTCCAAACTTGGCCCAGAACTGGACTCTGCAGGAGTTCGCCCCGGCGGCGTGGTCCCTTGCATCTATTCAATCTCGGCTTGACACCTCCTGTGCCTTGGCCCCACGTGCGGAGTGGGCCAACTCAATCCGTGTTTCCCCCCGTAGACCCTGCTGGAATTTTCAAACATAGGTTTGTCCCCCTATACCCTTAGACGTCTTTTATATTTTGCTATTAAAATGTAGCTTAGAAGGAGCTTTAGAGCAAAAAATTGTTAACTTGGTGATACCCTTAAGTTTAAACGCTGAAATTAGTAATTAATTAGTATATACCGATACCGGTATAACGACAAATATCTTCTTTATCAACATATTCTAACGGAAAATTTAAATTTAAACCTACATATTTATTTCTAGCTTGAACCATGTAAATTGGAGCGAAAAAAGAGAAATTATTTTTGAATAATTCAAGCGGGCAGCCCCCTTCTGCATTCATTTAGTCGAACTTCTATCTTTTCTCTTTTTTGCTTTTTGGTGCTCTTTTTCATTCAACCGAGTTCAGCATATTTTTCAAACACTCGAGAAACGTATTTTTAATATTTGAAGAGAATCACAGACTTCGAGAGAAAAAGGGAAACTCGAAATCAAATCAAAACAAAGTGTCTTTGTAGATTCTAAATGCAAACGGCAGGTAAGGCTCAGCTTTCTCTAGTCAATTGGTTTTCAGATAGAAGACGAGATTTGCCAAGCGACGGTTAACGATTGCTTCATGTCTGTAGGGGACAATTCAATGGCTTCAATCGAAGGCACTGAATCCAGCCATTCCAAATCCTCCAGTGGAAATGTCAAAGACAGCGTTAAAATATTGAAATGTTGAAGTGTTTCTGTAGCTAATTATGTTGTGTCAGTTTTAACCTATAAAAGCGAGCAAAAGAAGAAGCAGAAAAAACGCAATACGACGTCGCCAAGTAAAAGGACACGACTTCGCGGCGATATGGCTCAAGGAAGGTGAAAGGCTAAAGGTTAACAATTGGGAATTGCCAAATTGAGAATTTCGAACTATCATCGTAAAAGCAACCAACTTTCTGCGCCCACTGCAAGGACTTCATCTGGGGAGTCTTCAAGAAACAAGCTTACGAGTGCCAAAGTTGCACCGTCGTCGTTCATAAAAGATGCCACAATTTTATCGCCTTTCCTTGCTCTGGTGTCGATAATGGACCACAAGAAAAGCCTCATGACTTTACAAACAGGAACGATTTCTTTTTGTGTAGATTTGTGATCGACAGTATTTATTTGACGTCATTTTATAATCGTTTTAATGTTATTTATTCATCCCGTTGTTGCTCGGTTTTGTGTCTTCAGAGCAATGGATAATCGACTTAGTAGTACTGAATGTCAAGCGAAATTGTCCTAAATACAAACCGGCAGAAAGAAGTCACAATAGAACGTATCACGTGATGCAGTCATGCGACCACTGTGGATCCTTCATCTTTTCCAGTGGTCTGCAGTGCCAACTGTGCGCGATGAATGTGCATTTGCGCTGCCAAAGTTCATCCCCGCTTTATGCGGCAAGGATCATTACGAAAACGCGGACGGCTGAAGGTGAAAATAAGCATCAACGAGGGATACATTTATATCAAGGAAAGGCTCACGCAGAATGTGTCCTGGAGTTTGTTTTATTGATTGAGAGAAGTACTGGTGCTGCTTGTGCATAAAGAACCATTTGTCAGATGCAAGTAGACCTGAATTTTTCAAAGAAAAACAAGTTAAGCGCTAGACTAGATAAAAGACAAGGTAAAATGCGAACGAGCCGCAACAGATTTTTAATGCGTGTAATCTGGCGCCCATGGATCCGAATGGACTTGCTGATCCTTACTGCAAAGTGAAACTGGTGCCCGAGACTAACTCGAAAAGCAGACGAAAGACGAAGATTGTTCACAAGTGCTTGGATCCTGAATGGAATGAGGAGCTCGTCATTGCGTTCGATGCAGCTCATGATCAGGACAAACGGCTTCACATTGAAGTGTGGGATTGGGACATGACCTCGGCGAACGATTTCATGGGCGCATTCTCTTTCGGGATATCGGAACTGCTGAAGATAGAAGCCGACGGCTGGTACAAACTACTATCCAAAGAAGAATCTGAGTTCTACAATGTTCCGATAGAATTATCAGAAAAGTCACTGCAGCGATTGAGCGAGATCGAAGAACAACTTGAATCAGAAATTGATGGCTCGACCGTCGAGAAACTATCGAACTTCTCCGTAAGTTCTTCTACGGACAGTTCCTCCTTCACAAAGGACGATTTCGACTTTTTGAAAGTGATCGGCCGCGGATCATTTGGAAAAGTACTCCTTGCAGAGATCAAGCAGACCAAAGAGCTAGTCGCGATCAAAATACTTAAAAAAGACGTTGTCGTGCAAGATGACGATGTCGAGTGCGTCAAGACAGAGCGCAATGTTCTCTGTCTCAGTCATAAAGTAAAAGCCTTATTAAAATTTATTCAAAAGATTTCAAACACGCGTTTTAGCCTCCGTTTTTGACGATTGTGCACTCGACTTTTCAAACTCTCGAGCGATTGTTTTTTGTGATGGAATACGTTTCTGGGGGAGATCTTATGTACCATATTCAGCATGAGCACAAATTCAAGGTTTTCTTTTAAAACATCGGAAAGTTGAGAAATTAAATTTGACTAGGAACCGCAAGCTTGTTTTTATTCCGCGGAAATTGCATTGGCGCTAATCTATCTCCACTCGAAAGAAATCATTTACCGGTACGTTTAACATTCTATAGAGAATAATCGACTCATTACAAAACCCTAGGGACCTCAAATTGGACAATGTGATGCTTAATGCTCAAGGACATGTGAAATTAACTGATTTTGGAATGTGTAAGGGACGAGTTGCAAAAGCAATTCAAAAGACCCTTTTTTGAATTTTGCACCGCATCTCGCATCAGGAGCGCATTTCTGGTATGAAAATGACGAAAACATTTTGCGGAACGCCAGACTACATCGCCCCGGAAATGATCAAAAACCAGTATTACGGGTAAACTGAACATCTCTTCAATACATTTCCATTCGCTAATTCAACGCTAGAAAATCTGTTGACTGGTGGGCATTCGGCGTTCTGATCTACGAAATGCTCAATGGTCAACCGCCTTTCGATGGCGTTGACGAGGATGAATTGTTTCAGGCTATTATGGAAGCTACGCCTTCTTATCCAAGATCAATGTCGAGGTGATTATTGTAATTTTTCTTTGCAATCAATGAATAAATTTATTCAGGGAGTCGCAAATAATATGCGCCTCTTTACTCAGAAAAGATCCAAAGAAAAGACTGGCATGCGGCGATGCATCTGCCGACGAAATCAAAGGTTTCTCCCGTTTTTATTTGTTCCAGTTGAAGAAAAAAATATTTCAGGGCATGTTTTCTATCGGCTGATCAACTGGGAGCGTTTAGAACGACTGGATATACAGCCTCCCTTCAAACCGAGAATGGTCTGTTGCTGGGCTCGGAAACCTGATAAAAAACCTGAGTCAGGCTCTGAAAAAGGGCTGCGGCTTTTCATTCTAGTTTTTTCAGAGCCTGACTCAGGTTTTTTCTCAAGTTGCCGAGCCCAGCTCCATTGAAGAGTTCCTTCTTGATTTAACACTAACAATCAATTTTCAGGAGAGCAAGTACGACACTGCCAATTTCGACAAAGAATTCGTGAAGGAGGTCACGGACTTGACGCCGGTCGACAAAGCGTTCATTAAGAATATCGACCAATCGGTACGTTTGCTTCACTATTAGAAAGCACTACTGTCAATTATTCAGGATTTCGACGGCTTCAACTTCACTAATTTTAAATTCAAAAGTTCATGCTAAAGTTGAAATTGACGAACTTTGGAAATCGAAATTGCCAACTGCACTATGCTTTGATGTTTGTCTCTAATCCTTCCTGAAATTATTTATACTCAAATATCGTTGGCTGCCGAATAAAAGCTCTTATACTTTCTCATAAATTTTTGCGATTTTAATTTATTTATGGCCTAAGACATGGAAGACAGTGAGCTAAATAGCGCCCACCAGAGTCACCAGAATTGAGAAGAAGTTGTTTAGAGATATTTGTGATTTGCTGTTTGTATAATAATAAAAAGTACTAGGTGGAAAGGCAACGGTGAGTATACACTGGTTAAGAGTTCAGTTCTTGAAGCAGAAGAAAGAAGTCGTGGTTAGAGTCGTCACTGGAAGTAAGTGCACCTGACCAGCAGGTCACCACCACTCTCAGACGTTCTTCATGATCTTCAACTCGGACTCGCTCAAGTGAGGAATGATCTTGAGCAGCTCCTTGATGCCTTGCTCAACTGTGACCTGAAATTCCAAAATTAGATAATTTTCTTCCAAGTGTCTCTTGATTAGGGTTCATCTACTCTAGATACTCACAGTAACTGTTTGATGACCGAGCTTCTTGATCTTCTGGTAGCTGACTTCGTAATCTCGCTTGTCAGCGTCAGTACCTTTACCCTCGGTGATGTTGCATCCTTCAACGTTGGCTTCGATGAGTTTTGCAACCTAAAAAATGTCCTTAGTCAATTATACGGTTAGAATGGATTGATTACCTCCATCTTGGTGAGGTTCATGGACTCGTCACCGACGTTGTAAGCGTTTCCTTGCATGGAGGTGTAGTGCTGGATGGCGAAGAGGAAAGCACGGGCAACATCCTAGAACATAAGAATAATTCTTGTATTTACACTCAAAGCTGGCATCGTGCCAGAGTATTCTAAGAATAGCCATACCGGCCGGTTTCTAAGTACGAGAAAGCCCCGGGCAATCCTTTATCAATTACTAAATATATTTACATTTTGTTGCTCCCTAAAATATCCGACAACACCATGTAGCGTTTATAAATTTAAAAAAAATAGTCTGGATACCTTGACGTGGAGGAAAGTTCGCTTGAAGTGGGGCTCGTAGAGATCAAAGGTCTTCATGGTGCAGGCCTTGTGGAGGAGATCGTTGATAAGGAGATCAACTCGGAGTCGTGGGGAGGCACCGAAGACGGTGGCAAGTCGGAGAGCAACACCGTTGGCCTTCTTGAGGACTGCGGTCTCACCAGCCTGCTTGGTCTCACCGTAGAGAGAAACTGGGTTGCAGGGAGTGTCTTCAGTGCAGATACCCTCGACGACACCGTAGCAGGAACCAGTAGAGGCGTAGATGACTCGCTGGTGAGGTTTGAGCCATTCGCAGAGCTGCTCGACACAGGTCTGGTTCAAGGCGGTGGCAAGCTCGGGCTCCTTTTTGCAGGCAGGGTAACCGACGATAGCAGCAAGGTGAATAATGACGTCGTGGGATTCGACGAGGGCCTTGTATCGTGGAGTGTCGAGGACGTCACCTATTTGGAAAATTCAGAAAATGTCGGCTTTATTTTTATGAAAATTGTTGTATCGCCACAAAATCGAAAAGGCGTTTTGGGTTGTACGCGGTTATCTGTGTACCTGTACCCGTGAATGCTCTTTTTTGTTTCGTGGGTACCACGGACCCGTGAATGCTCAACTTTGGTTTCATGTGTACCAGGTACCCGTGAAGGCTTTTCTCAACGTTCGCGTGTACCAGGTCCCCACGAACATTAGTTTTGACTTTCATGGGTACCCATGACCCGCGAACATTGTTATTAAGTTTCCTGGGTACCAAGCAGCTGCGGTTGGTAGAAATTTTTCTAGACCTTGTTTTGACTCAGTCAATATCAACCTATTAAGGTCAACCTTTCTATCTTAATCTAAGCCCCTTACCTCGGGGCTCCGCCCCTTCGGGCCTAAGATGCCGGGGTCTAGTCTAGGGTTACTTAGGGTTACCTTCAGTAACCCTAACTAACCCTAGCCTATCCCCCTCGGGTAAGTTTGTTCTGTCATTTTGCCCAGTGCCCCCTAACACTAACCATAAATTAAGGCAATCATAAGTTGGAGCTTATCATTAGGCCTCGGACGTAAAAATATCGATTTTCACCATCGGAGCTTCGTATGAGGACGAGAGTAGGCTCATTCGAAAGCTCTTAAAGGGAACTTTCTTGGCGGCAAATAAAAAAATTGGACCCTGTCTTCCTGTTTCAAGTTATTTCGTAAAAACGTTTTTCGACTTTATCTTTAACGGCAGATTACTTCAAACTGGGGGGCAGGGCCCAATTTTTTTATTTACCAATAATAAAGCCCTCTTCAAGAGCTTTCGAATGAGCCTATTCTCAATCCCATACGAAGCTCCGATGATGGTGATGGATTTTTACGTCCGAGGCCTACTTATCATTAATTTTAAGATGAGCGCTTTTCCATTGTCTTCTATCTTCTGAGTCTCATGAAAGTTGAAAAGCGTTCGTAAGACTTCGGTACCCACGAGCTTTGAAAATAGCATTCGCGGGGACCTGGTACACACGAAACTTAAAGAGAGCGTTCGCAAGTACCTGATACCCACGAAACTGAAATTTAGAATTCACTGGTACCGGTACCCATGAAACTAAAATAGGAGATTCACGGGTATGGTACACAGATAACCGCATACCACCGCGTTTTGTTGAAAAATGAAAATACCTTTGATGACGGTGAGATTTGGGTGGTGGAGGATACCGAGGAGGGAAGCAGATCCCCATCGGAAGATATCGTAGACGGTGACTTTGTAACCCTGTTCGAGGTAAAGGGGGACCATAGTGGAACCGAGGTATCCAGCACCGCCGGAAACGAGGATGGTTTTAACGTTCTGATCGTCTCGTGGGACAGACATCTCGAGAAAGAAAGTTTTCTGAATGAAAAGAAGATAAGGGGCATATATCTCTAAGCAAAACGAGCAGATGTTAACAGCTCTAAGAATGAAATCTCTCTCACGTATAATAACGTTCTCGTAAGTTTCTATTGAGTTTCAAAAATTGATGAGCCGACGAATGTCGTCTGATGTCGTCTGAGGAAGAGGGAAATCAACGAGCTCTGAGTTGAACCGGCTAGCCGGGGGGCATTTCACTCCACCTGGTGGAGGTGGGGTCGTAAATGCTGAAGCTAGTTTCCTGTTCGTAACTCTTCTCGAACAGTACTTAATAACCACACCCATCGGCTTCTAGTGCTTGAGTCGGACTTTAGTGAACGTCAATGGAGCATTGAGAATTCTTCCTCTCGCTTCTTCCTCAGTGATTTTTATAGATAAGCTCTTTTTTATCTCTCCTGTAGTAAAGAACCGTCCATATTCCTGCCCGCCTCTTTCTGTCATAAAATAAAAATAACGAAGGAGGATAAAAATTATCGAAGGAAGAACGAGGTGACTTAATGTGACACGCAGACTTACGATTTTTTACCGATTTTCCGTCTCAATAAAGTCGACATTTTACGATGCTAATATGACCATTATGTCGCGGATAAAGCCTCTCCAAAACAAAAATAAACGCTCAACATATCTTCCCTTATCTTCACGACAAATACACTGGGCCCAAGAATCGCACTTCTTGTTGTTGTATATATATTTCATTTATTTCACATTTCCGCAGAAAGACAAATTCATAATTACATCTTATCACGTGATAAGAGGAGCGATAATTTGATTAAAATAAAACTTGACTCCAGCCAAGCTCGTCGACAAAGTCGAGCATGAAGTTGCAGTTGTTACTGTAACAGCACTGTCGACAAACAGACGGGCCCAGATCAGAGTCAGGTCGACATTGGTGGCCGCTCGTGTGAGGAGCATCTTCTTCGAAAATTGCAAAGTTGTTGAGTTTATCAGACTCGCATGCATCTCGGGCTTTACAACCGGCTGAGATTGATCTTACTTCTCCGTTGCGCATTCTTGATGTTATTGAACAAGCAGTTATCTGTGCATCGCACGCTTCCAAGAAGCCGACTTGAGCGCATTCGTTCCAGTTACTAGCATCGCACGTCCAGCATGAGATTTGCGAGGGCTTTTGCGGCGCGTTGTAGGAGATCACTGCACCGCCAGAGCCATCACTCGATGGTGAGTACGAGAATTCCTGCCCGTAACCGAACGCGGCTCCATCCACTAAAACGTGCTCTTCGTCCGAGGTTGTTCCCGACGAAGGTTGGAATACTTCGCCGTATCCGTTTAGATAGTGCTCGTTTTCGTTCGAATTCGAATTAGTTTCTGGATCAACTTCTGAAAAGATAGTGTTAAAGAAAGTAGAAACAGTGTTTGTCCGCTGAGAAAAACCCCCAGGTCATTAAGTCCTGGGAACGGCGCCAAAAAGTGCCCAGCGTGGAAAACTTTCCAAATTAGCGGCAAAATGAGTAGCTAAAAATTCACAGCCTCTAAAATAATCACCTTCTGGTTCGACAAAGTATTTCTCATGAGGTTCTTTGTTGTCTCCAGCTCCGCCATCATTTCGTTGAGATTCATCTCTCAATAGGTCTATTATCTTAGATTCTAAAGCGCGGAATATTTCTCCTTTCAACCTTTCCTTGGTTCTCTTCATTCTTTACAAAAGAAAATAGCTTTTCTCGCAGGCGGATATCTTGCAAGTTCTTAAAACGCGGATTTTCTGGAGTAACTTTTCAGGGATTACAAGGATCGGCATTGAGAGTGAGATCTTTGCTACAGTAAGAACGCGGTAAGTATTAATGTCAACCGGTTGCGCCTGCTATCCCTTCCTTCGCCAGCCTGTTGAAAATCTGAGAAAACCAAATCGCCTTCTTCTGGCTCCACATTGATCACAAATGACATCCCTGCCCCGAGAAGGATGCAGAGAAGCCCAATGCTGAGAATCACTTTGGTCATGTTCGACTTATCCTCGCCTTGGCGCTCCATTTTTTTGCGATGCTAATTTGTGTATCTCGTCTCTTATCGAGGCCAGAAAAAAGTGATTGGGGACTGGAACTTGGATCCAGTTTGGAACTTGGCGACAAGAGCATCCAGACTTCTTTATATACCCTGAGAGGATAAGCGCATTTTCCGCTTTTGTGAACACTCTTCAGTGAAACTTACCAGAACTTGTGGTTTTCTTTGTAACATGAGTTATGTTGCTTGGGAAGCTTGGAGAGCTGTTAAAGATTTATACGCACGATAAATAATGAAATCGGCGTTTTTCGATGAAAAAGGTTCGCCTCGTAAAAAGTAATTACAAATAGCTTTCTTTATTGCAGTCTATTTAACTCGCGGACTAGGCTCATTTGTGATCATCTGGTCATTTCAAACAGAGAAAGATTATGTCTCCCAAGCCGATTAGGATCGAGCCTTCTAATTACACCTCCCAGTAAGAGCAGCTTTTTTATTGTCTTTTTTTAATACGCTTCAGAGTTTGGCAGACGAGGCTTTGCTCTGCTCGAGGTTGCGGATGTGGCCATGCGCCTTTGACCTGCTGCTTGAACTGCTGCTGCTCGGGTTTCGGAGCTGCAGATGTAGCCTACAGATACAATAAGGGAGCTTGGCTTTCTGCTGGCATCGGCACTTTGATCCAGGTGAGAGAAAATTACGCGAAAAGAGAGTTATTATTTTCACAGTATGGAGGGCCCCTTTCATCTTGCTTCTTGAGCTGTCTTCGGGGCGAAGTCCGAGCTGTGCATGGAATCGAAGGAAATTGCTGTGTCGACTGGTGTGCCTCTTTCTGGTGCGCCGCCTGCGTCCTTTCTCAGCTGCAGACACAAGCAAAAACCCTCAATGCTTGAAAATAAACCTTTTCTACCGTTTGTATTCGATTAGAATACACTTTAAGTCTTCTTGTTGTAACATTTATCAACTGAAAGAGAGAAAGTCCGTTTTAAATTTATTCCGTTCGCCTCGTTAGTCGTCAATCAGTTATTTTTTGGCGCAAACTAGAATCCTTTCCTCGGCATCTGTCTAGCGCGGTCGCAAGAGAATATAATTATGAAAGAAAATCGCTTCGTTGAGTTTTCTGCATCGAATGACTTTCATTGCTGAGTTTCCTTGCTTTCAACTTTCAAGAGTAAACGGGTCATCATTAATTTGAGCATAACGATGTGCAAATTAATTTCATTTTCTAATTTGGCAGTGAATAATTTTATTTATAAAAATTGAACTGTACAGTAATGTGAACGAAAGAGTGAAAAATGAGCGGCTTAGGAGCTCGAATCCTCGTCATCGGTCTCCTCGTCGGTGTCGTCGATCTCCGACTGAGTGACTGGCATCTCAGGATTGATGATCTGCCATTTGCCTTCGTGCACTTTGGGCGTCCACTCAGTGATGCCCGCATTCATGCAGATCAATTTTCGCTCTTTCCAGCCGCTTTTCAAGCCGTCAGCGGAGCTTGGTAACGGCCATGCTTCTTTTTTAGCAAGAATTTGCTTGATTTCTTTCTTGCTGACTCCATCAAGCATTTCTAAATAAAACAAAGTAAGTCTTGGTCGAGGTCTTGAAGATAACTCACCTTGCTTCTCAGCAGACCAGCGAATGCCATCATTGAAGGCCACGGTCCACTTGACCCAGATGCGGTGCTCGGTATCTAAATAACTGTAAGATTTTTTGTTATTAAATGAAATTCACCTGGTTTCAAATAGAATTTAATCTTGACCGAGCCATCCGCATCTCGCTGGCGTCTCTTTCCCCAGCAGAGGTAGATGCCGCCGAAGCCCTAGAATCAAAATTTGATAAATTGAATTCAAAGAAAATTTACCTCGACTTCCCAAGGGGTGTTTTCGTCGAAGTTCTCCGGTGCTCGTTCCAACACCTCATCGTTCTCTTTGTCGCTACCGCTGTCTGCGCGGGCGACCTTTTTCTTTCTCGGCGCTTTCTTGGGCTTCGGTTGCGACTCGATGACCGCGTTTCGAACAGCAAGAGCTGTCTTCGCCTTTTTGTGCGAACTCTTGCGTGCCTTACTGGCCCCTGCCATCTCAAACTCAACCAATTTCGCTGAAAAAAACTTGATTAGATGTTGTTATAAAAATCAAAAAGTTTTGCAGCTGAATAAAAAATTGTTTCTGAGTTCAGAAAAATCTGGCCTCTCTCTCTCTCTCTGACAACAAAACAAGACTGAAATTGACAATTTGTTTGCAAGAAAATATTGGTTTTGGCCCTCTAACGACGAAAAGTAGCGCGCCACAATTAGCTCGATGTGTATCTGTTATTGCGGTTCCGAGAATTTTCCGTTAGATTTTCTTAATTGCCTGATTTCGATCGATTCGAGCTCCCAACTGTCAAAATTTCTGACTGCCAAGATGAATTTCTGGGATCTTTAGAAGGCAAAATATTCTGATGTTCGCAGTAGAGGAGCCAACAAATGTGAAAAGGAAGTCAGAGTTGACGATGGATCGAGTCGGTCTTCTCATACTTATTTTAAAGACAAAATAACCCTCTAATGGAGTCTTTTTCCTTGAACCTGAGCTAAGAAGAAGATCTAAAGGAAAAGATGCTTGTACTGGCTTGAAGAGCTCTTCATAAAATGAGTAGTCGCATATTACTTACAACGTGAAAATGTATCTACATGCCATCAGCTAGATTTAATTTTCGTTACAGTAAATAAGACCTCAAAGTGAGCGACAAAAGCATAAATCAATGGACAACGCGGGTCCTCGTTTCAAGAGGCTCACTAATTATGTCCAAGTTCTGCTTTTTGTTTTGCCATTTTTTGTTGAATGGTTTTTTTTTGTCGAGTGCCCCCGGCCCGAGCGTTTGGGCCTGATTGGTGACGCATTTTCTTACCCGTTATCCTCCGTCGAACTCGCGAGAGAGCAATTTTTATCGCAGTGCTCCTTTCTCATCCCTTTCTTCATATTCTTTTCTTCGAGCAAGATAAACCTAGAAGTAAAGCCACAGAAGAGCCCGTATGTCAGAGCCAAGTGAGCTACTAGAGACTAACGACACAGCATTCGCGGATGTCATCGCAAACGGAACAACCCTGGCCACAACTACAGCTTCACCAAAACAGCAAACAGATAGCGGCTCAGTAACTACAGCGGCAAAAGTGCTGCTTGATAAAACCACGGAAAATCAAATCACAACGAGTTTGGCAAAAACGACAGCCGCGCCGACAATTTCTTCAACAACTACAGAAATATTAGCAAGCACAGATGTAAGTAGCAGTTAGTTTTATTACATAAAAATAGTGATTTTTTCTGTTTACATCAAACATAAGATATATGTTCAAAATAAGAGGCTCAATCAGCAGAAACCGTGTTTATATATCATCTTGTTTACAAGCTAAACATGTATTTAGTTTTTATGATTCTCTAAATCGCTCTTTCCATATTTGGAAAACAGTTTTTCTAACAGCTGACCGTGCAAATTCAAAAGCTAGCTTAATTCTCGCTTAATTTCATTGAGATAAAATAGTATTAGAATAAATATTATCAAATATTTCTGGCGACGCTTCAAGACTTCAAAAGCAAGTAATTTCGCGTCTTGGACGATTACGGCAAATTAGCGAGCTTTCAATTTTCGCCGTTTATTCTGCTAATCGACTCTAACCGCCATTTTAGAAGGCTCAAGATGATGGCTTTCGGGTGGTAATAATCGTATGCATCGCCGTCGGGGCCGCTCTTCTCATCGCCATCGCCTTGCTCATCGTCGTCGTAAGTATTTAATCCTTTTCAAAATGCAGGCGACTAATTAGTCCACTTTCAGATCCGCAAGAAGCGTAAACAAGGGGGAAAATACAACCCAAAAGACTGCGAGAAGCATGCCGGGGTATCGAATCAGTGGAATCATCAAATTTTCGACCCGCCATTGCCGGAACGTCTTATCTAACAAGCAGAGACTTAAAAATATAATCTTGCCCACTGATATAAAAACGCATTCAAAACTGTCTGATCTTCAGTTTCACTTCCACCATCTTTCACCAGGTACAGCACTGTAACTGTATATTTCGATCAACTGCGATTCTTTCACAAGCTCACATGTTCCCAGCTCTGGACTCGGCAACCTGCGTAGAAAACCTGAGTCAGGTTCCGAAGAGTTGAAATGAAAAACCGCATATGCTATAGCGGTTTTTTTTAGATCAAAGCCGTAAAGCGGCCTCGCAGAATAAAACGCGGCTTTTCATTTCAGCTCTTGAGAACCTGACTCAGGTTTTCCACACAGGTTGCCAAGCCCAGTCCCAGCTGCTCAAGGGACGTTCTCCTCCCTTCGGTACACAAAAATACTTTTCTGTTTTTTTTTTATTTCCATTCTCGTTCAACAAAAATATAATAAAGCTTGTTTTGCACCTTTATAAAGGAGTAATTGCGTTTTTTTTTTTATTTCTAAAGAAAGTTTGCTTGAAGAACATAAATAATGAAGAAATTTTTAAATAAGTGTTTGAAGAAAGGAGGAAAAAGAGAAGAAACGGGATTGTGCGCAAGAAATGAGCAGTAATTTGAAAATAAATATGCAAGAAATACTGACAGGCTTCGATAGCAACGATGATGAAAAAAGAAAATAAAAAAATAGCACTCTACTAATTAGAAATTTCCGCCTTGCGAGACAGGTCTAGAGGATCCGAGGAGTCTTCGTCGATTCCTATCGGCTCTTCTAGCTCTACTGCTTCGCCCTGTTTTCTCACGAACTCTTTGTAGCTCTGAGGGTCGTGGAAACCGTGAACGCTAGGAAATAAATGTAAGACATGGTGATGTGCTGTTTTTCTGGTTTACCTTCGAATGTGTTTTCTAAGCGAGCTCGGATCAGTGTAGCCTTTTTCGCAGCCGATGATTTTGCACTTGTAGGGCCGATTGTGAATGTGAGTCCTTTGGTGCTTGAAGCGATCCGAGCTGTTGTTGAACTTCTTTTCGCAGAATGAACACTTTAAAATGAACAATCGATAAAGCAGACGATTGGAAAGGTTTCCGTTCTACCTGAAATGGTTTTTCGCCTGTGTGAGTTCGGACGTGAATTTTCAAATTTTCATGCCGCGAAAATTGCTTCCCACATTTTCCACAGACATGAGGCTTCTCCTTAATTAAAAATCTCGAGTACCGGCGACAAGAGGCGATCTGTACCCTGGTATGGATTCTCATATGGATCTGCATTTTGTATCTGGCGTTGAACTCGCGCTGCTTTCTAGGGCAGTTCTTCCACAAGCAAACGAAGCCGCCATTTGCAGAAGGCTGTGTTATCAGTTAATTCAAAGCAAGAGGGAATATCGGATTTTACTTGAACGTGTTTCGAGTTGACATGGGCGACCAAGTCTTTGAGTCCCGACGCGTCAGCGCCGCAATTTCTCCAATCGCACACGCGGACCTCGTTGTCTTCTTCTGCCAATTCCTCGTTGTCGGACTCCAATTCCATCATTTCCTCTAAATCCAAAATAAGGACCTAGCAATTCCATGATTTCCATTTCTTATTAATTTCAGCGGTACATTTGATGAAATTACCTGGCGAATTTCGCTCATCCTCCTCCTCGTTATTGTATTGATCAGCAGGTAAATCGATTTCTATCTTCGTGCTTGCAAGAAAATATTTAGCCATATGGAAATTCGACCACCTGGCAATAAGCAGTAGATTTTTACCTGTCTGGTCTGACAGCAGAGTCGAATAGAACATTTGACTTGGCCTTCTCCTCCGCCAGACTGTAATTTTCGAGGATATTCGGCCTCAATCGCCGCACAGCAAAGGTATGAAATTTAACACGCACTCTCATACCATGCGAAACCGCTGATATATCCTATTGAACGTTATTTTAGGAAAATATGTTTCCTTCCGAGTTCACCTTTTGACTCTCTGTGTACTCGAACAAGTCGCCTTTCTCTCCCCTCTGCACAATTTCATAATGTATTGGGTTCTCGTTGCTTCAGACACGGATAGAATAGAGCTTGAAAATTTCAAAAAATTATAATTATTTTCTGAGATGAAATCTATCCGTTTCCTCTCGTCATTCCAAGTGGCGAGTACGTTCATCATTTTGCTTCCTGTTAAAATCTAAAAGTTAAAATTTCAATTTCTCAAGTTTAAAACTCAAATTAGCTCTCCAGCTTTCTCTAGTACAGGTTGGGATGTCAGTGAGCCCCCTACTGAGGCGGCGTGCGTCTCTCTTTCTTCAATTTCCGATAAAAACAAAATTGAGTCACGAGCAAGAGGATGAGCTCTTGTCCGGCCCTGGAAAGCACTTGGTAAAAATAGCAGCGCAAGACGGTAGGAGACTCCGAAAGGGTGATGCTGGGCTTTGCGTGGGGTAAACTGAGAAATAAGAAGGCCCCTACGGACTCGCTCCGATCAATAATTCATTCGCCACCCGCGTTACCTTCTATACAAAAATATACCTTCTTCTCCCGACAAACCAGGGCCTTTCTTGCCTCCAGCTTCTGTCAGGGGAATTCTCGCCGCGATTAAAATTTACGCACTTGGTTTTTGATGCACAAAACTATCCAAATTCAGGAAACGATCTCTGTCATTTCGACTTGCAGCAGTTTCTGCGAGCCAGTTGGATTGTCCTTGCTTTACCAGATTATCTTCTTTGACTTGCTTATTAAGGCTATAATCTTATAAACGCTGCTTGCCGAGGAATTCTTGCTGTATCGATTGTATGCTCAAAATCACTACAAACTCGACTATGTAGGTGAAACAGGACGCTTGAATGCGCGCTATATCTGGAGATATATATCCCGATTTATTAACTATCATTGATCAAAGTCGGACGGAGCCATTTTTAAGGACGAGGCAGATGCTACTCCTAATTCGCAGCTGTGATTCAATGTTAAACTTGCTCCAATAAAATTTATCACTTTGAGATTTCATTTCTTTGCTGATAACTTTCAAATCTCGTGAGAAAGTCATCAGCAATAATTGCCGACAATTTCTGTATGTTTTTCATTTTCTTTCAAACTCAAGTTTATTACTGTTAAAAGAAATGATTTGAGGCAGGGGTTGGCAGTTACTGTAACTGAAGGCGCATTGAGGAATGGCAGCGAATTGAAATTTGGTCAGGATAGTTTTCAATGATATTAGCGGTAAATTGAACTTACGAATTAAAATGATTTAATTGAAATTATTCGTTAAAGATTTCGCCATGAATGAGAGTCGTTTCTCCAACGGTAGCGCGAGTGTAGTTTTCGGCGTTTTCTCGCTCTCGCGTAGCTTCTTCCATTGGGTCCGGAATTTTAGATCTGGTTTTGGTGGAAATGAAAGATGTGAACTCGGGCCGGACTACGTCACGAAGTAGTACCCATCTATAGCGAACGGATTCAGGAAGACAGAGCAACAAAGGTTCTACCAATTGTTTTACCAGAGAGCTAAAGTTGCTAATAGTGCGCTGCGAAACGGAAGTTTACTTACAATTGATGAGCAAACATCATCCTGGTTGTCCAGAAAACGTCGGGGGTTCCTCTTTGAAGTCTCACTAACAGCATTTTCCAGCGATCATCCATCTCATCGGCAGGCGTAAAAGGCTCGAATGGCTTCTTGAACGGATGTGCGATGCCCAAGCTCGACCTGATTCCATGACCAAAAATATCGATGTACTTGTCAAGAATATCTACGAATTCTTTCATGGCGACGATGTCTTCAAGTACAAGCTCTTCCGAACTTTTCTTTGCGAGTTCTTTCGAATTTTCCGGCAGTGCTTCTGTTAACTTTTGAAGTGAGTGCTGGTAGAATTCTAAGAGCTGCTGGATCGAAGTGTTATCCATGTGATTCTCAGCCTAAGAATAGTTTCATCTCGTGTTTGAACAATGAAATTAACGCACCATTGGGAAAAAGCGATGGTATTCGTATCGGTATCCTTGTGTAAGCATGAGATGAGCGTGTTGCTCATTGAAACTCATCCTGTCGTAATGCTCCCTTGGTCGAACTCGGTCAGTCCATTCGAGGAAAATGTAACGAGAGACCGGAAGAGTCTAAATTGACTGTTTATCGACGATCGGAGAAACAATTACTTACCCCAAGGTTGGTCAAGTGCTCAATGACATGAAGCAAGCCATGAGTCCGATGACTCTCTGTCGCCAACAGGCTGTGGATCGGATACTTCCAGCTGTAGTTCTCCATGATGTCTTTAAGAACGTCGGACTTGGGCTTATCATTATTCAGATTCGATTCGACCACGTCCCCGTAGAACTGGAGGTTGTAATCCTTGCGCGCTCTGTACCTCTCGTACTGGGTGTGCTCGTATACCCTGCAAAAAAAGTAAGATTTTTAAACTTTTCTGAACAATGCTTACCTTACAAAGCTGATGAGCCGTGGCTTTAGTATTTCAAGATATTCTTTGTCCTCGTGTCTGAAGCCGTAAGTAACCACGCAGATGAACCAAGCATGGACGTTGGCGTAGAATTGAGCACCAAGTTTCTCATAAACTTCATCATACATCGGATCACCAGGGTCGCACATGCACACGTTTGCATGTCCTAGGAGCACGGTGAGAAAACCGAGCGTAGCCTTGACAAATTCGAGCAAATCCTTCTTGGCAACAAAGGGGCCGAAGTTTTGCGGTCTGCCATGCAATAAGAGTGACTTGAAGAAACTCTTGAAGCTCTGGTTGGAGGTGATTTCAAGTCGAACTTCAAGTTTTCCTAGCGCCAAATCCGAAGCAATCTGGAGGAGAGTTGTGATGTACTTGATTCCCGTATGGTGTCTTGGTGCTTGAGTATAAATCGGCGCTGACTTATTGATCTTATTGCATTTCATCTTTTGATAGTACAACTTGTTCCCGTTTTCTAGCTCTTCGTCAAGTTGCTTGATGGACTTTTCGATTTCGTGAAAGAGAGATGCGACCATGTCTCTGTGTGCATTCGCCAAGCCTACCCAATTGTCGCCTTCTTTGAATGATATTGCTTCAAAATAGCCATCCTCGCCCGAGTTGTAAATAATTCCTCGATTCTCGCCGTCATTGAAAAATCTTGGCTCTTCCCCATGAAGCGAAAGTCTGTACAGTGGATTGACAATGTCGCTTTCGGGACTATCAGGGTTTTGCATGAAGTAGCTTGACTCCGCCTGCCTACCCTCGAAGGGAAAAGACTCGTAGTCTGGAGGATCGAAAACTGATCCTTTCTCCGAATCATCGGACGGACCGACCGACTCTTCAGTCAAGTCCCATGCATTGTATTTGAGTGCCTGTTGTGAAGCCTTCTTACTCTTCCAAAATGCCGCTTCTCTCTCTAATTGGCTTTCGTGGATCTTTGCTACTCGGTGGTCTCTTGCCATTTTCTCTTTGAGTCTGTCAGTGTCGACCAGAATTTTTACTTCTTCGTTTGCTAGCTCGCTAGCTGTGGGCCGCTTAATTTCTACGCTCTCGACATTACTTCTAATCGCTTCTCGCTGAGGACATCGTTTGTAATGTGGCCAATACCGAAGGCTTTCGTCGAAATACGGATTCATGAAGGGATCGCGTCTTTGTACCTCTGCAGCTCCGTCGTCTTTTTCGATTTCCCAGTCATAGTCTATGATGCTACCTCTGATTTCGATCGCCTGCTTTTCAAGATTGTTCTCTTCCATAAACAGTGAATCGTATGTTTCCTCATGTTTCTTCTTTTTTCCTTTCACGCGTCCCACATCTGCCACAGCGACGTCTCTCACCGGTCCTTGGTTAGTATTTTTTCCTTCTTCGGACTCTATCTCTAAATTCGCAAGTGGTTCTCTAGGAACGATCTCTTTCGTATGTCGGGATTGCGGAAGCTTGTCCATATTACATTCGAAATCCACTTTCTTTAGTTCGTTCAAGAAGTTCTCGCACTTTCGACTTCGATCTTCATCAAATTTCAGTTCGTTTTCAAAGAAAGGATCCGGATCAGACGAAGACCATCCCCAAGTTTGCGGAATCATGTCATCATTGTCTCTCAGTTCTTTTCCTTTTTCAATCACGAATCGCTGCCAGTTAGACAAGCGCTTCAAAAGATCGAAGAATCTCTTCCTTTCTTCGGTAGTTGGATTTTCTCAAGAGGTGGAAGCTCTGTATCACCAGTTGGAATACGACTCTCCTCAAACGTGTCGTAAGGGGAGTTCTTGTCGATATAGAAGAGACTGTAATCGAATTCATCTTCGTCGCTAGAGTCAGACGGCAACCGCGTTCTTTGGGGAATCGGGCTGAAATTCAAATTAATGAAGAGAAGGCTTCAGTTGATAACGACTTACGTTGACTCGTATACTCCGCCCGAATTTTCCAGGGATATTTCAACGCCACTGTTCGACTGGATTGAAATAGGGTCGCGTTCCTGCTTGATATCGAAGGATTGTTCAAGCTTCAACCCACTAGGCTTCGCTTTAGTTTTCTGCCTCTTAGCGAGATGAACGCTTGGTGAGTTTAGTCCAGCAGCTGCTTCCTGAGATGTCTTCCTCTTGTTACGAGAATGCGCTCGAGCTTTCCTCCGCTCTCTCCAATCGTCAACTTTTCCTTCATCGATAATTGGGGAAGGAGCCGCACCCTGTCCAGCTATCACTGTTGCAGGAAACGTCTCACTCCCCGACTGAGCCATACTTGCATTCATACTAGTATTCGAAGCTTGCGGACGCTCCGCTGTACTAAATACGCTCCCGCTAACACTTTTATTCCTAAAAAACAATCAGCGTTACTCTTCCAAAGCTTTACTTAAAATGATCACCTTTTAGAAGGGGTCGCTGTTTTGGATTTCGGTGGAGGCTGCAACTGTCGACTTGTCGACGGACGCACAGGAGGAGGTTGTCTCTTTCTGGCTGAAGATGGTGCGGAATCACGACTAGTTGAAGGACGAGCTGGACTTGGCGAAGGGGTGAGCCGGGTCTTCATTCGACTCGTTGAAGGTGTCACTCCACTCGTCGAAGGGGTATCTGATTGAGTATGTCTTCGCATCGATGTATTTCCAGGCCTAGAGTAAAGAATGGTTATCAAGAAAGCTATAATTCTGTAAAACTAACGTTTCACGTGGCTGCTGCCGAGTTCTGGGTGGTGGCCGCAGCGTGTTTCCTTGTCGTGACCCCCTAGCCCTCATCTGAGCCTCCAAAGTATCTTGGGTTCGGTTCATTGAATTATCGACTTCCTCTTGATCCCAAGAGCCTTTCTGTTTGTCTCTGCCCATTTCGATTGGGATCTAACAAGTTAGCAAGTTCTCTGAAAGTCAAACGCTCTTAAATTGATGTGGCGAGGAAAGATACAGTTAATTTCTTGTAACTTCAATCAAACGCGTCTAGGACGAATCAAAACCTTTGGTAGAAGTCATGGACCATGACTCATGGTCGCCTACGGATGAATGAAATGAGGCCGGTCAGTGATGGGTGGAGGGGGTAAGAGCCTCTTACTAAGAGGGATTCGTTTGAGGTCGTCGTTAAGAGGGTGGAGGGGAGCATTTTTAGAAATTGTCAGAGAATCACCATCAAACCGACCGGTCAATAAATATCCAAAAATATTTTCTTGGTTTTTTCGAAATCCTTCAAAAACCCCCATCAGTTTTTCGCGGCGATTCTTTTGGGCTAAAGAACGTCAACTAAATCCAACAGGAACCCCCTGAAAACTGGCCCAAAATTTACCCGAAATGCCCTAATTTGGACTTTATTTCGTAATTTGTGACGTCATGAAGTCAAAATTTTCTGGTCAGATCTAGCCTATTCGACTCAGACTTTTCTGCTCTTTCATCTTAGCACAAAAATTATTTATAAAAATTTGCCTCAAATGGAGTTTATAATTTCATCTAACTTTACTGCTGTTTCTGCTAAAATAAGAGACTGCCTTAATCGTCGTTAAAACGTTGCATCGGCTGCCTTAATCGTCGTCGCTAAAACGTTGCATGGGCTGCCTTAATCGTCGTCTTGGGAGAATCTGGAAAGTCTAGAAACACTCTGAAAGCGCTGGTTGGCGCGCGCCTACCTATCTTGAAATTGAAAAAGGCAAGATGAGTCAGACGACGATTAAGGCAGCCCATGCAACGTTTTAGCGACGACTAAAGCAGTCCGATGCAACGTTTTAACGACGATTAAGGCAGCCGATGCAACGTTTTAACGACGATTAAGGCAGTCACCTATTTTACCTACAGCATTTACTACCGAAAGATTACTAAGGCTGACGATAATATTGAATATTGAAGTGATGGCCGTTTTTATTTATTCCATCTTTTATATATTTTCAGTAGTTTTTATCAGGATGAATAAGTAAGTTATGAATGATCGTTGAAATTACAAAGGGAAGAAAGTTCTCGTGAGCAATGATAGATAGAGTATCTTGAGGATGCAGTGGTAGGACTTTTCAGTAACTGTATTTTAGTTAAAGGTATAAAAGTGTGGCTAAATTAGTTGTGGTGCCGTAAGCGACGATAAAGAGCTGAAAAAAGCAGTGTGAAAAGCATTTAGTTTGTTATGGAATCGTGTCGAATTTACATTTACACAGAGCATCATTTACAAAAATGAATAAATGTTAAGTAAATAAATTATGCGAGGAAAACTGTCTTTGTTTTGTTACGATCGCAATAAGTGGAGTTGAAGTAACAGGAGAATATTATGTGGAAAGCAGCAAAGGCGTAAATTGAAAATGGGGAAAAACGTAGCTTCCAGTGCCTTTAAAATTAATAGTATTAGAGATTGAAGGCGTTTTTGAATAGGTCACTCTGACAAATGGAGAGAAAAGGAAATGGGCTTGATTTATCAATCTGCGATGGAGCAAGAAATAAGCAGCGTAGGTCTGGTTTTTTCATTTGCTTTCGTCTTTTTCGCTTTTGGGCTCAATCTCCAGACGGGCTAGAATAGAGACGTTATTCTCTCTAGTTTCTTGAGCTCTTACATTCTATCGACGTTCGCTCTGAAAGCAAGTCTTTCAGCTCCACCGAGAGAGCTTGATTTAGTCGTTCCAGGCGGGCGTTGCGTTCTTTGAGCGAATTGACCATGCTGCGGATTTCGCTGAGTTCCCGAGATTTCGCCACATCTTCCTCATTTTCAACAGACTTTGCCGTATTCGCCGGCAGCGAGGCAGATTCGCGAAGCGGCGGAGGGGGGACTGGAGTGATTGCAGAATCCGCACTTGTTCGTGGACTGAGTGAGGATTCCCGAGGAAGTGATTTCGACTTTCTGTTCGACTCCGACCTCGGCTCTGTCTGTGAGAGCTCGGAATTCGCATTCGAAGTCACTGTTAGATATATTAATTGGAGAATCAAAACGAACAGAAGTACCTTTGAGACTCTCCGTCGACTTCAAAAGACGGTCGAAATTCTTGAAGTCGGCGAAATTCTCTTGCGTCGAGTTTGTCGTTTCGTAGTTGTCGGCAGACTCTTCTTCTTCCGATGACGAATTGCGAAGGATTTTTCGAGAGCTTGAGCACGATGCTGAAGACGAGGCTGGTTGAAAGTCGATGTCGGAGTCACTCTGTGAACTTGCAGAAGTCGTTGTCGACTAAATTGTCAAAAATATTATCTTGTTCTTTAAATTCGATAACGTACCTGCGCGTCGCTAGAACGATGCGTCAATCGCCGTTTCTGGTACTTGAGATACATCTCTCTCTTCGCTTGAATGGTGCCACAGTTTTTGGATGGAGTCGAAACACTTTGCGGCAAACCAGTTTCCTTCGTCGTTTGTTCAGCGCTCTCCATGTTTGCAAAACCAGAACCAGCAACATGCGATAGTTCCGTAGGGAGCGTTGCTGCTTTCTATAGATCAAAGGGTGAGTAAATTCGACACCAATGAAGTTTAACCCTTACCTTACGAGCTGCCATGGAGTTTGGAGTCATTCTTAGAGGCACAGGAGCATGTAAATGATCGCCATCTTTTACATTTGCAGCAAAGTTGGGCAGTGTGTTAGCTGAAGAAACCTGAAACAGAAACGTTAGAAAGAGACATATCGTTGTCAATATGTACTCACAGTGGAGAATGATTTTTCTGAGAAAGTTTCCCAGTTTTCGTCGGTTTTAGCGTTGTCCGGTAGTTGCGCCGTGTCTTGACCGCTCTCAATCTCGACTGCTGCTGCGTATAGATCCGAAAGCATATCTAAAATGAGAAATAAGAATTGATTAAAAACGAAGGATGTTTACCAGAAACTTCGCCCAAAAGAGCATCAGGAAGAGTGCTTGGAAGTTGAAAACCGTGTCGACGCAGCGATGTTAGATGAAATGCAATAGCAAATTCCGGCATCGTCAGTCTCCCGTCCCTGTCAATATCTGCTAGCTCCCAAATGTGACTAGTAGAAGAATCAAGTCATTTAACATTTGCAATATTTTTACCTGAGTTCGACGGTGGGTAACTTTGATTTGAAGAAAAATTCGCGCGCCTTTTCACCGGCAATCCATCCGCTTGGATTTTGGCTCAATTTGATGAACTCGTCCGAGTAATACTTCTTCTGCTCCAAATCTGGCAGCCATGGATCTCTCGTGCCTCTCGTTTGTTGAGGCATGGGCGCGGGGACGCTTGGGAGTGGTTTTATTGCTCGATTATCGAGTTCGTCGTCAACTTTCGTTTCAGGAATGTTTGTTTTCAGCTGGGGCTGAACAACGCCGACGCGGTTAATGTGAGCTGCCGTATTCCACTGGCTACTTTCATGAGAAACAGACCTTGCCATCTGACCGGCGTAACCGACTCGAGAAATCTACAATTCCAGAATCGTAAAGAAAAGTTAAACTTGAAAGCTAGCGAGAACCTGTTCAACGGGCGGTAGATGACGAAGACGGGGTATTGGCGCGATAGGGGCACCGGAAACGCCACTAACCGGAAGATCTGATGACTCCTAAAATGCAGTTGAAGATTGTGACAGGCTGCCAAGCAGTTCTACGGTAGAACTTCTACCTTTCGGTCGCCGCTCTCAAAAGAGACAGGCCACTGCCCAGTAGAACGAGCCGAGTTCAGCATCTACAAAGAACCCTTGAAGAGAGAAAAACGATCATCAATCAAGGAGAGAGCGACAGTGATTAATTTGCCTATAAGCAGCCCAGTGCTAAACTATTCGTTGAACTTTTAGCAGAATTTCGCCTTCGAGAAGTCCATCTCTGGATGTTGTTTCATGAAGTTCTTGAGCATGTCTTGTTTCTTTCTCTCTTCGCTTGTAGGCTCGCCCATCGCTTTTGCCCGCTGGTCGAACATCATCTTTTCGACCATGGAGCGAGTGTCGCCATCCAGATCTAAATTCAACCATAAAATAAACTGCAGAAATTATGAAAATAAAATAGATCTCAATTGCAAAAATACAAAATCGGGAAATAATGGAGCATTGCGGCGCTACATGAAGTTCGGACTGCTCTTTGAAGGTTTCTTGAAAGTTGCCAAAGCTTGGACCGAAATGCACATTCTTGACAATGCTCTGAAACCTAACCGGAGGTGCTGAAATCTTTGGCCGTTTCTGCTGATCTTTGGGAAGCATGGGTAAATTATCCACAACTGACAAAAGGAAGTGCTCGCTCGATGTGAACCTGACATTTATTCGATCTTTCTTGCCTTTCTTCGATCTTTATAGGGGTTATATCTAACTCATAGAACTGAAGGGATCCTAGCTTCTGCTGAATCTCCCACTTCTAGCGTAGTTTGCCTGCTCTCTATATCTGGACGAAGGAAGAAAACGAGTAAAGTATCTTTGACGTCTGTATTTCGAGCTGGAGTAAAATAGAGGTTAATTCACGAACTGCGAGAATTACCGAATGAAGAGAAATACACGGCGGCGACCGAGCAAAGCTCGATCTAGATAAGCAAGTGACCTTAGGGGACGAGGGAGTCTAACGAATCTAAGATCCCAATACCCCCATGAGACTGAAACGTCCTCTAAGGCCAAAGTGTGTGATTTTTGCAGGAGTATAAGCGTAAGATGAGTAACATGGCAGGTTCGAAACGTCGAGGCAGTCTGATTCGCGTTAAAAACCCTTTTTGGGAAAAAGCTTGAATCAGATGCGAAGTTTTCGTGATGTCCGAGCGGTGATGACATGAAGGAGTAGCTGCACATGTAGAAGAACTCAAAATACGTCGGCGACGGTAAACTGTGATAATTTCCGTACCTTTTCAGGCCCCGGTCGATGAATAGGGGACCTGAGTGGGGCAGTACTTGCGCTTAGTCGTATGACTGACCCGAGTTTGTGCCGATGTTTAGAGGTTCGACGGGCCTCGTTTCACGGTGTGCTCGTTTTGTATGTTTCGGGAGATGAGCTGCTCCAACTTCGGTTAAAGTCGCATTCGGATCGGCGCCGGCTGAGTATTGACGATCTGGTGAAGACTTTGGACGGGTTCTTTTCTTGCTGTTTTCAGTTGCTGAGCCCTCAACTACTGTTGAATTATGTTTATCGACTGACATATGGCTATTGTCGGGCGCAGCAACCTCCGAAATCACTGTAGCATCAGCTGACATGTCCTCGGCAGTTTCATAAAGAGTACCACCAGAGTACCAGCGATCTGACGGCTCGGCTGGAGCTACCGACGAGTCCAAAATAGATGTAGCGGTTGTATCTCCCAGATTTTCCATGTCCAATCGGCGTCTACTTTCCAAAATAGGTGATAGAGATGATCTTGGCGGTTTTTCCATAGCAACCATCGGAGTCGACGCGACCTGAGAAGATTTCCTCCCCCCCATGCGACTTCGACCCGGACTTTTCCATCGGTTTGGAAGTAGGAACAGGCGATTTTTGTGGGACTTTCGACTTAACGATTTCGGTTAAATGTGGGAATACGTACTCGGCCTCGTAGTAATCAATCCAGCGTAAGTCGTGATTTCGTTCTGCGGCGTGAACCACGTGTTCTCGATGGATGAAATCACGTTGTCCTTTTTTATCTTCGACCATGACGACCCAGTCGTTGCTCGAAACGGCTTTCAGGGGACCTACCCAGCGTTCCTTCTTGCTTTTAGCGTCGGTCAGGTTTTCTCGCTTAATGTACACGACAGCGCCAGCGGGGATTGGTCTCGGCTTAGGCTCGTTTTTCAGCCTGTGCTCCATGGCTCGGTCAGCAGCTTCCATCGCAGTTTTCACAATGGCTTCCGCCGATTTCGCTAAAGCTCCCACATTGAGACCAAACACCTGAGGTGTTTCCGCTGTCATTTCTGCGCCAGTAGAGTGGGTGAAAGTACTTTTTCGGCCAAACCAAACTTCTCGCGGTGAAATTTTCGTGCTTTTGTTTTTCACACTATTGAGCGCGCGCATCACGTGGGGAACGCAGTCGGCCCAAGTTTTTCGACCGGAAGATGAGTTGACCATGCAGAATAGACTGTTTTTGATAGTCCGATTCGCTCTTTCTGCGAAAGCGTTTGATTGAGGGTGAAATGCGGTACTTATTGTATGTTTTATCTGGTTAAGCTTACACATTTCGTCAATCACGCTTGCGCAGAAGTGGGTACCTCTGTCACTGTGTAGATGTTTCGGCAAGAAATCCATGGGAAGGAAGACCTTGTAGATGAGCGCTTTTGCAGCGCAGATAGCAGTGTCGGACCGCGTCGGAATGCACCAAGTGTAGCGAGAGAAAGTGTCCGCCACCACCAAATAATACTTGAATCCGCCAGCGGGAGGCATACAAGCGAAATCGATCTGAATCGATTCGCCAGCTGTTTTTCCACGACGAAGGGTTCCAAGTGGCGGTTTGGTACGAGTTCCAGCAGATCCTTTTCTGCGTAGGCAAGGGACGCAGCTGTGGACGTAGTTAGAAACATCGTCTTGAAATGAAGGCCACCAACGTCCTCTAATCGCTCTAAAGTCCGCGGCTCGCCCAGATGACCGGACAAGTCGTGAGCTAGAAAGAGAAAGTGACTTTTTACCGCTTCCGGTACCACCGCCCGCGCGCCAGATTTGAATTGACACATCAAGCACCCGGTAGTGTTATCCAGGAACAGAGCTTTTTCCATCTTGAGTAGAGACGATTGTCGGTGGTCGGAGTCCTTCACCAGCGATTTTATGTCCAGTGGCTCCTTACCAGATTCCAGAAAAGTGATGATTGCACTCAGAGCAGAGTCCTCCCTTTGATAGTCCAGAATGTTATTATAATTCGCTGACACCAACGGAATCTCCATTGGCGCCGCGATAGCCTTGACGTTTACCTTATGTATCTTCACCTCTGATAAAGTGATTTTCTCCGGAAACTGATTTTCGTTCCAGAAAGGGACGAAGACACGTACTGGTGAATTCTTGTCGATTTCGTACTCGCGACCAACGGGAAACTCAGAGTCGTATCCAAGTGATTTGTCGTCCTCGCCAGGTCTGCGGCTCATAAAGTCGGCGAATTGATTTTCTGATCCCTTGATGTAGACAATGTGAAAATCGAATTCTTCCAATCGGCTTTGCCATCGGCTTATTTTAGAATTCTTGAACTTCTTTTTGTGTAGGAAGATCAAAGATCGGTGGTCTGTGTGAATCTGAAAGAATCTACCTTTCAGGAGCTTTTCCAGTCGCTCGCAGCACCAGACAATGCTAAACATTTCCTTTTCTGAAGTGTTCCATTTTCTTTCAGCTTTGTTGAAGGTGTGGGAAATCGCGCTTACTAGGTGCACTCTCCCGCCATACTCTTGTAGCAGGACGCCACCCGCTGCGTACAGGCTCGCGTCTGTGTAGAGATGAAAAGACTCGTCAAAGTTAGGAAAACTTATGACTGGAGTCTCGGAGAGTCGTCGTTGAATTTCCTTGAGCGCCAAATCCGCTTCTTTGGTCCACTTGAAACAATTTGTTTCGTTCGCCGAATTTCGAACATCGTTTATGGGCTTCATTCTGCTCGAGAAGCAACCGGATGAAATAGCTTCGCCCATTTTCGTTTCTAGAAAACCTCGGATCCAATTCAATGACCCGATTAATGAAGCTAACTCCTTTTGGGAGCGTGGGGGTTTCATCTGACGAAGAGCGGAGACTTGCGCAGGGTCCGGTTTGATTCCATCTTCGTTGATGATTCGGCCCAAAAGTGAGCTTCGGATTGTAGGAAAGAGCACTTTTCGCCCTTGAGTTTAGCGTTAAACTTGCGGAGCGCGATGAATAGGTTTCGGAGAGTGTTGTAATAGCAGCTGAAAGTCTTCCCAAAACACACTATGTCATCGATATAAGAAAGCATCTTTTTCCTGGTGGGGCTTGAGTCGAGAATTGTGTTTACGACGCGCGAGAATATATTCCCCGAGCATCGATAACCGAATGGTAGTCTGCAGAAGGCGTAAGATTTCCCACCCCACTGGAAGGAAGTCTTGTACCTGTCGCTTTTCTTTACAGGGCACTGCCAATATCCACTTCGTAGATCAACTGTGGCGAAAAACTTATTGCCCGGTCCAATGTTCGCAATCGTATCCTCCATGCTTGGGAGATGGTAAGGGTCGGATTTGTCGGAGAGGCATTTGTTCAGGCTGTTTTTGTAGTTGATGCAGAAGCGCATTTCCCCAGATTTCTTAGGAATAGGCAATACCGGGCTGTTAAACCCTTTCTGGTCTTTGATCTCTTCTATTATTTTCGTTTCGAGCAGTTCGGAGATGTGATCGCTGACCTGACCATGAAAAGCTTGCGGAATCGGGTGTTGACTGATGTTTCGACTCGTACCATCAGTCGGGATTTCGATCTCGAACGGGAATTCACCCATTTTTTGACCGTCGCAGCCGAATCTGTCGTCGAATTCCAAACACAGCTCGGCGACCACCTTCTTTTGCCCCGGGTCGGCGTTTGCTGGTAGGGTAATTCCGAGTTTTTGCTTCGCTAGCTGAATGGGGCACCTGGCTGCGTTCTTGTTAGGTGCGTCCAGCTTTGGGACTTTTGGTGGCGGTTGAGTGCGGGATCGATCGCTATCCTTGACCGCTGATCTAGTAGTCAAGTATTTCTTGATTTTGGTCCGCTTCACTCCGTCCAGCTTCACCACTTGAGTCTCAGTTTGTGTGAAGGCTTCGTTGTAGCAAAATGAGAGAGTACGATTCTTATTGTCGACTGTGAAGCTGTCCGTCATCGCATTCTCTAGTATATCGCGGCCCAGTAGACTTGGGTATTTACTGCCTGGCATAATGGTGAGATTCAGGGAGAATGCAGGGCCACCATTGAATGATAAGCGGCAGGGAAGGATACCCATCGGCTGCTCGGCGGGAATATTTGGGCTGAAACCGGTGACCTTGAAGGGACAGGGCTTCAGCATCTGGAGAAATTCGTCGGGAACGTAAGCAGCGGACAGACAGGAGGACTCGGCTCCGCTGTCGACTTCCATCGATACGTCAAAACTTTTAGAGCCCGTAATGATGGTAGCCGAAGCGAAATAAGCCTTTCCTGGTCGCTTCTTCTTCACTGTGTAAAAGTGAACGTCGAATGGTTGGAAATCTTCAACGTTCTTAGTCGTATTTATCTTCTTGGATTCTGGTTGTTTATCGTCTTTCCCATCCTTAGAATCGTTGCTGGCGCGCTTAGCATTCTTCTTCTTTTGTTCTTATTTCTGTTGAAGTGCTGGGAGACGGTCGCGCTGTCAACTCGATTCTGTCTTGTGGATTGGGCGAGACGGCAGAGTTCGTTGATATCGTAAACTTTTGATAGGCTTGGAAGGATTGCGTTGAAAACGTCTGGTTCTTCTTTCCTAAGATTCAAGTACAGCATCATCGTCGAGAATATGTCAAATATTTCATCGACCCCGGCGTCGGCTGACTTCTCTTGTCGGTAAGAGTTCAAAGTCGCTTGCTTCGCCTCGTTCATCTTTTGCAAGACGTTGGCGGTGTAGTGTGCAAACGGCTTCGAATGGTCGTATTCGACGTCGAAAACTTCGCTTAGCTTCAGTAAGTAGTGACTCTTCGCGGCGAATGATTTCTCTAGCAGCGCCTTGGCCGATTTCCAGTCTTGACAATTCAGAAATTCGGTTCCAAGTGAGCGTTCGATGTTCAAGTCGAAGTGGCTGTACACTGCTGCGATGAAAGGCTGTTCACGTGAAGGTCTGTCGCGGACGTAGGCGCGGTGATAAATGTCGGCTCTGCCCAAGAAGGTGTTGAAAGATGTGTTGCATGCGGCGTCCAGCTTCGGCAAGTCTTGGACGTGACGAGACCAGGTAGTGGCCACCCATGCTTCTTCTCTCATTGTCGCATTCGTAGAGTCTTTTCCTTGATCGAGCTCGCAGGTAAGAAGCGTTGTACTGAGCTGTTCTAATTTTACTCTGCTTTCTGTGATCAAGGGCTCTAGGCTTGGCTTTAGTGATTCGTCATTTCGCACTTGTTCTTCGAGGTAGTTTACTCGATCGTTTATGCTTCTTATTTCGGTGACGGTTTCTAGCAGTGATTTGTTCGCCGCCATAGCTCGAAATATATCGGCAGTAAGGGTTTATGGGCCTTGGATTACCTTTCAGGCCCTCAGAAAATACTGCGACTAAAAGTCGCAATATGATGAGCTGAGGTGCCTTTTTGCGCAAACGCCCGACGATTTCTCTGTCCAGCGATTGTCGAAATTTCAAGGTCTGGTCCAAGGGTCGATTCTTCGTAAACTTCTCTCGATTTTTGGTGAAAAGTGGCGAAAGAATTATGTTTTTCTCAGTATTTTAGGTTTTCCCCGGCGTGCGTGCGTGGTTGCGTGGGCGCGACTTTCGGCGCGTGGGTCGTGGTGGCGCTCGTGCGGTGGCGCTCGCTCGGGGTGGTGTTGGTGTGGTGCGGAAAATTCTCTGAGTGGAGTTTCTCCGGCGGCGCGGTGGCGGTTGGTGATTCGGTTCCCCTCGACTCCGCTGACGGCCAATCAGCGTCCAAGTTGCGAAACTTCGGTTGTCGATGGCGGAAAAATTTATCTTTTCTCCAACGGGACTACTCTGATACCACTGAAGGGATCCTAGCTTCTGCTGAATCTCCCACTTCTAGCGTAGTTTGCCTGCTCTCTATATCTGGACGAAGGAAGAAAACGAGTAAAGTATCTTTGACGTCTGTATTTCGAGCTGGAGTAAAATAGAGGTTAATTCACGAACTGCGAGAATTACCGAATGAAGAGAAATACACGGCGGCGACCGAGCAAAGCTCGATCTAGATAAGCAAGTGACCTTAGGGGACGAGGGAGTCTAACGAATCTAAGATCCCAATAGAACATATGTGATATATTCTGAACGACCTGGCAGTCTCTAGACATTTGACCCTGTCCCTGCTCTTATCAGTGTTCCTGTTTTTTCTATTTAAATTGAGGGTTGCTTTTGGAGGAAATATTAACTAAAGAGAGAGCGAGCATTAACTAAAAAATAGATTTCCTCTGGGCTTAGCGGTGTCTGACTGAGTCTTCTCAACTTGATGCTCTTCGCGGTGCAAGATAGGAATTTTGGACCATAGACGGTCTATCGCGCTAGGCCTCGTTCTCAATTTCTTTTCTCAGATCTCTCTTGTCTGTCTTGCGTCTCAAAGCTGCCGAATTTGCGGTATGTGAATGTTATTAAGACCTGCTCCTTTTTGGAGTCCTTGGGAACGGGTATCACGGTCTCATGTGCACGATGCATGATTCGATTGACAAAGCTAAATGCCATCCAACTTTTCTACGATAAAAAAATGAATCGGCATGAGGCCAGCTACAGTTGCTGTTACCAAGAGTTCATCAAGCTTTTGATCAGTTGTGGGCTTGCCCTGCACATAGACGGGTATCTTGCTCTTTGAGGGCGTTTTGCGAACGACTTTGTGCGCTTTCTTTGACTGACACGCTCGCTTCTTACCTGAGAGCTTCGAGTTCTCGGGGTTGACCTTTTTGCAGTTAATCTTGGGATCGCTCGTGACAAGGTGGCTCCACCACTCCATTTGGTTCACTTTTTCAATGTTGATCGTCAGAGTACCCGTGTTCAGCGTCCAGAAACTTTCTTCTTGCTAAGTAAAACTTTATTCAACAAGATCTTGTCTTTCAGAAACAATACCTTAATTTCAAATGGAAATTCCGCGTCGATGACTGGCTCTTGATTCTTCAAGGCGACGTAAAGCCGCTTCTTCTGAATCTTGACGTTGACATCGCGCGATTTCAACTTTGGGAGGCGGAAAGGTACTCTCACTTCAACCTAATAAAACATTTGTTTCTTTAGAAATTGAGATTTTCAACTTTCTACTAAAATGTCAAATGGTCTTATGACTTGGCTGAAGACTCACCTCTTGCAAAGTCTGCGTCCACTGGTAGTTTTCCATGTCTGCGCCGTTACCCGCGTTTGGCTTCAACAAATTCTTGTCTTCTTCGTCTTCCTCTTCGTCGCAGTTCGGCTTCTGTTCCTTGAGCTCTGGGAAGCCCTTCGCGTCTCCGGCGGCCTTCTTCTCCGAGTTTTCTTTCTCGAGCGCGGCGGCCTGTTCTTCGCTCACTTCGACGATTTTGGGCGCCTTGGCTTCTTCCTCGATCCGTTTTCGTTCCCGCTCTCGTTGTTCCTCCAGCTTTTTCTGTTGTCGAGCCTTTTCTTTCTTTTTGCTATCTGCCTCTGCGTACGCGATCTTCGCATGGTGCTTTAATCAAAAAACAATCAATTTCACAGGCCCATCTCTAGCTTTTACCTCGAATCTCTCGTCAACAAGCTCTCTGGCCACCTTCTTCGCTTCCTTCAAATCTTCATCGGATCCGGTGAAAAAGTCGGTCTTGCGGCGCAAGAACGAGAAAAACACGTCGACAAGGCCACGTACTCCCCCTTCAGTGTACTGAGACAATTTAATGAGTTAGGAAGAACAAAAAAAAACAGACTCTAGTCTAGGCTATTATTTATCATTCTTGTCAAGTCTTGATTTAGACTAAGACGTACCTGGGCCATGTGAAGGAATTGACCATCGAATCTTTCGTCTGCCATTATGCCCGACACACAAATCTGAAGAAAAGAACAGGTCATAGATCAATTCTAGCGTAAATTTTAACTGTATCAAAGAATTCATTGAAGTTTAACATCAATAAATTTTAATAAGCAATCCATGCTTTTATTATCGTAAAGTTATCTGCTATATTGTTATTTTGATAATAATAAAATACTATAATATTATAGTAGTACTTCTATCAAATTAATTTAAAATGATAAAATTAAATGTTGAGAATTTTCTCTTTTCATTAGAGTGGGAGTAAAGGGTTGACTTGCTTGACGCGTAGTGACTTGTGGCTTAGAGCTGAGCTGAGAGGGCGGCCAATAAGCGTTGTGGTCTTCGTTTTTTTTTCTTTTCACTACTGCGATGGCGCTCGGCGGCGGCTCACTCTCTTCTGGGCCGCGGCGGATCCGTCAGTTCGCGGAGCCGAGAACGAGCAACGACGGGGCGCAAAAGAAGCAGCACGACAACAAAAGAGAGAGAAATTACCACACAACGCACGGTGATCGATCCAACGTGAAAAAAGCGTCACTCTTAAATCACACACACACTCAGTCAAAGACACAAGCTCGCCAGAGAGACGTATCCACTAACGCTACTCCTCGCAACTCAAACTGAGGCAGGAGCTGCTACTCTTCACGGGAAGAGACTGCAGGAAGAGCAAGAACAGAAAATAACAACCCTCATCTTTCAAATCAGTCAAGATCGTCCTGGTCATGATCTAAGACCTCCATGAGTGGCACGCTTCCAAACCAAAAGCAGGTAAAACAACCTTCAACAGTAACTCTAACGGTTTTATGAAGAGCTACTATAGATTTCATCTTACAGAGGGGTTCTAGGGAACGGAGCTTTTTGTGTTATTTTATTGATCTGGTGTCTGAACTTGATAACCTGTGTTAAACCCTGAGTCAGGCTCCTAAAATACCATCAAAATCTGTCTTGAACAATTCTGGGGAAGGCGCTACGCGGCTTCGTTTTGAGAAAAGCCGCTGCGCGGCTTTTAATTAAAGATTTTTCAACACCCTGACTCGGTACTATTCATATTCGCAATTGGAAACTTCATTTTTCTGACCAAAAAACGGTTTTCAGAAATTAAGAAGTCGAATTCTGATTGTAGACTCTACAATGTAGAGGGCTTGTGAGCCGCGGAAATGGACTATAATCTGTAAATGATCGTTTAAATTGGTCTGCTGATCGAATGAGGCTTATAAACACTTGTGACGTGTGCAGCGCCTTCGTGTGCATAGTTGCTCGTTTTTGGCAATGTGAACAGTGCCAGTGAAGGATCTGACAGTATAAATTGACTTTCGCCTCCTTTGGCAAATTAAGAATGCGCTCTTCAGCTCTTCTCATGTGCCTACTTACATGTGAGAGCTCCTCGCATAAAAACCCACCGCTCCGAAGCATAAAGAAAAGCATAAAGCACTAAAGTTAGTAAAGTCGCTCTTCTGAAAGCTGGGCTAAGTCGACCATTTATCAGACTAGAACGAACTCGTAACAAAAGACGCTCCTGACGTCACTCACCTTCGAACAAGTCTAGTACTATTGTGAATTTATACAGAACAAAGCGAAAAAAGCTCCCACTAAGAAGCAGCCATGTCTTAGGGGCTCTGGAAACATAGATGAGCTGGACTAGGAAACCTGTGTTAAAAACCTGATTCAGGGTCTGAAGAATCATCAATGATCTACACGATTTTTTTATAAACGAAATTATCAGTCATGTCTATTTTTCTCATAATTGCTGTTTTTTCGGGTCACAATTCTAGAGCTAGCTTCTGTCACGATACATTTCTTTTGTCTAAAGATTGTTTTCTTTTCAGAAAATTCAAAATCTGGTGAGACAGAAGACAATCGAGTCGTTCGAGTGCTGCGCTGGTCATCACCAGTCTTTCTTCACCGATCCCAACGATGGAACGATCCTCAAGAAAAACGAGATCGCCGACGGCAACATCTCCGAAGGCCACATCATGAAGAAGATGCAGAGCCAGACGATTTCGGTGAGTAGACAGAGAAATCTACAATCTAGCTATCACGGGAAAGACTCACAGAAACTCTGTATTTTACTTTCTGTGTCTATTTGATCAATACTTCATATGCGCTAGATAAAATAAAGATAACTTTCCATTGTGGAATTCCAAAAGCGGAAATTCTTGTATTTTCATATTGTAATATTTATTCAAGTGTTTGATTCCCAAGCTAATCGAGCTCGTGGAGATCGAAAAGGTTGAATTCATCAAAATGGAGAACCTGACTCGTCGCTTCAAAGCACCCGCGATTATGGACGTCAAGCTTGGATCGAGAACGTATCTTTTCTACGAGGCCAACAATCGTCAGCGGAATGACCTCTATAAAAGGTGAGAGCCCAGGAAACGAGCCATGGAAACACGGTCGATGCTACTTTATATTCATTTACTGTAACTTGGCGCTGTAACTAGAAAACTGGGTCGGCAACCTGTGTAGAAAACCTTAGTCGGGGTTTGAAGATCTGTAATGAAATCTTCGCGGTCCCTTCGAATCAATTTTCGAATACAGGCTTTTTATTAGAGATCTTCCATACCCTGAGATTTTATACACAGGTGCCGAGCCCCGACTAGGCGAGTCGGCCTAGTTGTAGAAAAGGCAGCATAACTCGATTGTGGCTTATGTTTCTTTTCTTCGCTTTGCCCTCATGTTTTCTTAATCAGATTTTGACTTACATTGATTTACAATTGGGCCTTTTACATAAGCGAATTAAATGTCACACTCTCATTTGACTAAATTGACAAGGATTAAGGCCAATTACTACTGATGATTTTGAATTCGCGAAAGTATCCGTATAAGTCTTTTCTTTTGTATAAAAAGCGATTTGACACATGTTTAGATGATGAAAATCGACAAAGATGCGCCGACGGATCAGGAGCGTCAGAATGAAACAATTTCTAAATACAGATATTTAGAATTTAGGGACTCGTCCACTACCTCGAAAAAGGAAGGAACGGGAGTTCAGCACTATATTCATTAGAACGACTGTTTTTTATCCACAAGCGATGAGATCCAAAAATTCTAGTGTAACCCCTGTCAAAGCTTACAGAATAGAAGGCTTCAGGCGTTCTTGCGGCGAAAAATTCGATAAATTTTGCCTCAACAGGTGAGAATTTGGCGATATGAAAATCTCAATTGCAAACGCTGGGAAATTCCGCATATTTGCGCTCTCAGCTATAAGAATTGGAACTGACTGGTTCGATTTAGGATAGCCGACAAAAAGACTGCCATGAAGTACTTCGAACTGTTCCTGCGCTGTTCCACGATTCCATTAGCTGAGATCTGCACCAAGATCGTGAAGAAACTCACCTACATCAAAACCCGCGCTCAATCTTCTCCCTTCTTTTCCTCACATTTGGTAAGTCCTACGAATGCGGCACTGGTTTTGACTTTTTGCTCTTTCAGTTTATAGGAACGTCGTTACTGTTCATCCTCGACGAGAATGGCTCATTCGACGTGAAACTGATCGACTTTGCCAAAGTGCGCGAATTCAACCCGACGAAGGAGGACCCGTTGCCGAATAGCGAGTGGTTCCGCGGTCTGGACAACCTTATACGCGATTTCTCCGAGATTTCTACCCTCAATGTTCCCACTAACAGCTGAAAAATACCGCTTTTTCGCTTCTATTCATGATCGACAATGAATACCACATGACTTCGTTTACCTGACTTTTCGCCAAAGCAAAAGCTTCTTAGAAGCGGAAAGTCAAGTAACTAACTCGCCCTTTTTCTTACCGTTCTCATGTTCGTAAAAAACTTCTACTGTTAAATCAAATATAAATTCATTCTATGATGACTCAAATAATAAATATCGTTATTTTCGCATGTTTTCTACAGCTACGTGCGAAAAAGTGCAATCCAAACCAAATTTATTTTCTTGTTAATTCTGACAATCAATGAAAAGATTCTAAACGGCTATGAAACTTTTTGTTTAGTCTACTGTAAATAAGATCTATTTGGCTTTTCTATGGGTCGCGTAAATTTATTTGTTTGCGTTGACCCCCTTTGAAGAATCCCCGGCGATTTTGCGTTCCATCCCTAGCGCCGTCGACCCGTGCATCCACGCCCACGCATCCACCGGACAAGCCACTGTCAGTCATACAATTTAACATCATTTTTAAAATCAGAGAGTCTTAATCAGCAGAGAATTGACTACCAGCCAAGTTGAGGCTCAGCTTTCAGACTTCCAACGCGAAAAGGGATTAAACCGCTGAACATCGATTTTTGTAAAAAAACCTTCCTTTTTCGAATCGCAATAAAATTTATTAAGAACCTGTAAGGAAGGCTTCTCAAAAGTCCCTAAGTCACAGATGCAAGAATAGGAAATTTTCCCCATCAACGAAAAGGGATGAAAAATTTTAAAAACATAACCATTCTTCCTCTTCGTCTTTTCTATTTATTGAGGATTCGAGATCATCAATTGTTTGGATTATCTACATTTGTATTATTTCAGAAATAGACAAATGAACTCGGATTGAATTCTGCAAGATGGATTTCACACAAGATCTTCAACTGCGAAATGAGGAGCTGCCAGAGGATTACTGGAAACTAAATCGAAAAGAAAACGCCGAGCGCATTTCCAGCAGAATTCTTAGTTCTTCAAACGAACAATTAAAAGAATGCTGGGACTGGATCGCCGACGAGGGACACAACAACTTCCTCGTCGCTTTAATTTGTAAGTCGAGAATTTCAAGCTTGGAAAAATGATCCAACTTTCATTTCAGATTGGTCGATGGATGAAGAACATCTTCAATCTGGAAACTTAAGGAGCACCTTCAATATGGGCTGGACGGCTCTTTTCTTGAGGGAAGAAAAAGCAGAAAAATGGATTGATGCGATTATGTTTGAGGTGGACGATTTCGGAATCGAGCCCGAGGAAGAGGTAAGTTACCTATTTAGAATTATTTGTAGCAAATGTATCATAAAAAATGAATAATTTTAAAGTGTGTAAGAAAAATTATAATTTGATTAACCGATACTTGTAGAACTGGCGAGAACTTGTCAATATCTACACTGAGAAACGAGCGGAGGCAGGATTCACGATGCGATCCGGTCTGCGAATCGCATATGCAGTCTGTGTGGGATTTCTGCTTCTGACGCTTCCCGGCCAAAAAGCTGGACTGGAAATTAAAGCCATCAAAGATTTATTCGCCGATGCTAGCAAAAAAGAACGACTGGGAAGAATCCTTAAGGACAAGAGCAGCAAAGCTATCAAAGGCTTCAAGTCACGAGCGAACTGGACTATCAGTCAGTTCCACAGACATCTCAACCTTTCAGCAACGGAGGACACGCCGCCAGGTCGACCATCGAGAGCATCGTCAGCGAGTTCTGGAAAACAGGGCTACGCGTCTTCAGTCAACAGCGGAGAAGCTCCTGTTAATCAAGCAACAACTTCCAACCCGGCTTCGTCTCAGACGAACCAACAACCGCCTCCTCAGTCTTCACCGGTGATCAATCTGGTACCCTCGGTTATGGTTCCGACTCGTCCGACTGGAACTCAACCTCAGTCTACACAACCTCAGTCAATAGTTCTTAATTCGAATCTTCAGCGACACACAGATGTATCAGAATTCGCACGGCAAGTACCAACACAAGCAACATTGAATTCACATTCATTCGATCCTTCCATGGCCATAAGGGGAGTCACGCTTTCGGAAAGCCGACAACGAGCGGAAAATCAACAACAGAATGTTACACAAAATCATATGCAGCAGGTTTCTCTCGCTCAACTCAACATTTCCCAGCAATGTCTCAACATTCCCAGCAATGTCTCAACATACCCAGCAATGTCTCAACATGTGCGGCATCCTGCACAATATCAATATCGGCAGCAGACGCCCTACGGACAACAATTCAGTCAGAATCAATTCAGTCAGAATCAACATCGCCAGAGTTCATTTCAAAATCCGAACCCGTCAGCGAATCAACAGCGAATACCTGACCTTCCGCCTAGAAATGGCCTAGGTGGACCTTTTATCCAATATTCTAATGAATTGCAACAGTATAATCATTATTCTCCTGGGCTAAACCGTAACCATGTGCGACCTCAAAACCCAACTTCATTCCTACCAAACATCTCAGATGCCCCGAATACGCAGGCTCCTCAGTCAGCCGGCAGAGTCCCTCCTCAAATTTCTCCACAATTGGGCTCTTTATCTGGCACTAGAAATCGAGCACCTCCACAAAAATCTCCGAGTGGACAAGTTCAGACTCCTGTAGTATCTCAGCAGCGACAAATACGGCCTAATGCACCAACTCAGCAGCATCGACCGCCCAATCAGCAAGGAATACTTCGGCATCCTCCATCACGGCAGCAGACCCCTGCAACTTCGCCGCCAGTACAACCTCAGCGAAATGGAATTCCTCAACAGGGTCATGGACGAGTGCGTCAGATTCCTGGGCTTGCAGTGCGCCAAAATGAACCCTCTCTCCAGTCACAACAACCCCAGCGCAATGCATCACTTCAACGGCCTCAGCAGCCTAGCCAGAGGCTCAACGGACGTCCTCAAAACCAAAGAGCTCAACAGATTATTCCCAATAACAATAATGGCTTGGCAAGGGCCCCCGAGTTCTTCCACTGCCGAATCTTCCAAATCGCATGCGTGTTAGAGTTGTTCGCCTCCCTTCGAATCTCCCTGAAAATGGTTCTCATTGGAGCGATGAAGTTGCTATTTGGATCATGCAACACGAAGAGTACCAGCGATTATCACCAGGCTATTTTCTGTGTGTTCAAATTACGCGTCAGCTTCCAGCTGAACTCTATTTAAAATGGCTCGTTGTTCGCGCTAGAATCATGGAATTTCCCAACTATGGAAGAAACGGGTTTTTTTAAGAACGAAAACTATGATGAAAACGATTTTTATAAATCAGGAGGTGTAGAAATAAGAAAATTTGTATAAATAAGCGGTTAAGTTGCAAAATAATTTGATCTGTTAAAAAAACCTGTTAGATGTGATCACGCTCGGTTAACCTTCCAAGCATCACAACCGAGCCCGGACTCTGTGCCATATGAAATCGAACGATCAACAAGTAATGAAAACATTCTGGGCGAGGGAACTTGGACCCTACATTGGAGAAAGAAAGTAAAGAAAATAGCTTCTAGCAAGGAAGCGCTGCCAACTTCGACAAACGAGGATCCACCTGCTGATGATGCGATCGTTAACAACGCTGAGGTTGAGGACGATCCTTACAATATGTTCATGCAAAATACCCCGGCGCCGGCTCTTGTAATTTGCACTTCAGTATTAAAATTTTAACTTTCATTTAAGCTACCTGGTGATGAAGATGTTCCACCTACACCGCAGGCACAACCCTCTTCACCAGCACCCCCATTAGTGCCAGTATCTCCAGGTCCTAAACCTCCTCAGCCTCAGCCAGCATTAACAGCAAGCGATCCGACTCAATCATCACATCCTTCCACGGAAGTGACACAACCAAACGTTACAGCCGATGCTACATCAAGAGTTTTGGAAGAAGAGAAAACTACGCCCGTTGCCCCTATTGACCACCGTGACCAGCCGTCGACTAGCAAGCTTATGCCATGGGAGAAGTTATCTACGCCCACAATTATCAAGCCGAAGGTAGAGCCCCGTTCGCTACCTATGTGCGAACCGACTAAAAATAGCAGCGAAGCTTCGAAGAAAAGCGCTCCAACGAAAGAATCGTCCAGCGTGGACGATGCATCGCCTAAAAAGCCGGTCAAGAAACCCACCTATTCAAAGGCGAGAAAAAAAGAGTCCTCGAAAGTCAGCATCGAAGGCAAGAACACCGAAACATCAACTTCGACAGTCAAGAAGATAGTAAAGCCGTACGAACAAGTGTTGAGAGATCGGCAATATGAGGAGCACCTTCTGAAAATACCCGATATATTGGCCGGGAAGCACAAAATCCAATTTTTCGATGACAGTGATGTGGAGTACTCTTCAGGAGATGATTCTTCTGATTCTGGGTCCGATGTCCCAGACTACGAGAAATATTTTGGACCATTTGGACCGTCCTCTCCGAAGAAAGTCGAAAAAACGCCATCTCCAACTGAAGCTTCCATGCACGATGTGCCTCAAATCGAATCTCCTGACGTGGCTTCCACCAATGACGTTAGCATGGAAACAGCAGATGAGCAAATGGATGTGTCACCACCGTCTCTGGAATCAGTTCCACCGCCATCTCCTCCAGAGCAGCCTTCTGCTGTTGACCCGCCGCATTCTTCGCCCTCCCAACTGGCCGTTCCTGAACCATCTCCTGGTGCGGCCATCCGAGGACAAGACGAATATCTCGCCGAGTATTGGCGAGAGTATGAGAAACGACAAGAGGAGATCGATCTGAAAAAGGTAAAAAGAAAAGACCCAAAGAACTAGAAAGATACGTCGTGCGACGGCTTTACAAATCAATGACTTTGAAAGTGTCGACGAAGATTATCTCGACACAGATTCAGTCTGGGGTTACAGAATTTCACACAAAACAGCCACTCACACGTGTGAATGATTGATTGCAATCATTCAGTTCAACTTCTAAGTATCCCCTTGTTAGACTCTGATGGTGAAATGCATTTATCCGTTTATAAAATATTAAAGGCTGTCGATAAACTGGAGAAGGAATTTCGTCTTGGCAAGGGACCGACAAGGGACCGAAAGAGGACATCTTCCCACTCCCCGCCTAAAAAGAAAAAGAGGGAACCTCTTAAGTCTTCCCGCGCAGCGCTTGGGAAAACTTCGAACGAGATTAAAAATGCTCCCTCAGTCAGTTCTGCCAAGTCTCCCCGTATTTCTAAGGAGAACAAACCCCCTTCTTTGGTTGAAGTGAGAAGAGAAACGCCCGAGACTCAAAACGTCTCCTCACCAATGCATCGCTCGTCGGATGAGGTTAGTTGCTTGACTTTTAACTTGATTACTGAACTCCACTTTAGTCTGCCGGGGCAAATATCATTCCAATAGTAAAGTCCGAGCCATCTAATGATGAATTGACGACAAAACGAATTTCTGCATCATCTGAGTCGTCTTCGATGGCTGATCCATCTGATGATGTTATTGTCTGCGAGGTAGTGTATCTCATTTTTAAAGTTATCCTCAAAACTATACTTAGTCGACGCTGAAGAATAAATATGAAGAATTCAAATGTCCATACAATCCGGACTGTAATCTAGTATTCCAGCCCAAGAGCCAGCCTCTCAAAAATTGGGTTCTTAAAAACAAAGATGCGCTGGATTGGCATATACAGATTTATCATGATTCTTCCGGAAAGTATATTCCGACGTCTTGCGACAAATGCCACTTGAGGTTTCTCACTTTGACCGTGAAGAAGCAACACAGCAGGGAGAATTGCGATTACTTCCGGGTGAATTTCGTGGAACTTCTTCTCAAAATATCGCTTCCCGAAAGGTTAGAAATATTCAAAACGCAAGGGTTAATTGAATTATAGCTCAATTGAACCTGGAAAGCGGGCTTCTCGCCGAAGAAAAGAATCCGTCAAATATACTGAACCGGAAACTAACGATTCTGACTCTGAGGAGCCAAAAAAGAGAAAAGTTCGTTCAAGAAGTGGCCGACGAAGTGGTGATCATTCCAGAGAGCCGCACCATGTATATGCGCCTAATAAAAGCAGATGGAGGTCTGCACCTGACGATAGCTCACAATCAAAGAAGTTGAAGCTTGGAATTCCTCAGAGAGCTCCCATGGTGCCATTGCCTGACGAATCCCCGTCGACTTCTGCAGTTTCCGATGCTTTTGAAGAAAGATTTTCTTCTATCGGACAGAAAGCCACTAGTAAGGACACTCCGACCGACCAGAGTCCTTCTGAAGAACACCAGCCCAGCTGCTCAAAAGATGATACTCGTATAAAAAAGGAATTTATAACTCCACGAAAAGAAAAACATCAAGATCTGGACTCTAGTGACGTGACAGACTTCAGAGAGTTTATTCAAGAGTCTGAAGACAGTCAGCAATCGACTGATATCCGCCGTGAATCTCCTATTGAAGAACAAGTCACTTCTGAAATTAAAGTTCCTAACTCGCAAGCACTTGACTCTGGAACGAAAGCCCGAGACTCGTCCGAGAAGCGTGAGCGATCGAAAAAGACCCAGTTCTCTGTTGAGCCAAAACAAAACGAAAATCAGATGAGAGCAGAAGATGCAAAATCGAGTTCTAAAACGAGTGATCAAAGTTCGACCGAGGTGGATGATCAACCGTTAATAGGATGGAAGAAGCTATGGGAACAACTTCAAAATGAAGACGAAAACGCTGCGCAGTCAGCAGATGTCGGCGGTGACTCCATGGACACTGGTCCAAGGAAGACTGCTATAGAAACGAGAAATGACAATTCGACCGAGTCACTTTCTACCAATGTGGAGACTACCGTCCAAGTGAGGGAAGAGGAATCAGCTGCTGAGTCAGAAAACCAACTCGAAGGCAATTTAGAAGCCGCCAATGAAGCAACCCTGGATGACTCGCATCCGGAGGAGGCAGAGGTAGAAAATGGTGTCATGAAAGAACCATGCGCTGAATGCCCGTCTGATGACGAACCATCGTCGGACGTTATAGTTGTGCCTGAAAGAGAGTTGAGCGAAGAAGAAATACGTATTCGTCGAAATAAGATTTTGTCAGAAATGTATAATCTTCTAAGGAGGGCCACGTCACCCGAACTATTCGGTGAAATCCGGCAAGTGATAGATGCACTCAAGGAACACCGGTTTAAAACAGATTCTGATTTCAAATCTCCCGAAAGAATTGTTGAGGACTACAAAAAGCGAGTCAATAAGCAACGGATAATAATGATTATCGATAGCGATGATGAGCCATCTTCCCCCTCTACGATCGCGTCGACAAGCACAGTTGTCGACCGTACGACCGAAATTTCACCGGGAACTGCAATCAAAGAAGAAGCTTCATTTCTGGAAAGTACGAACTCGTCCTCGGGTCCTATTAGTACTCCAAACAATAACGACGATCTACCCGCGCGTTCTTCTTCTCCAGCTCCTTCATCTAGTCAGTCTAAAGACAAGGACAACACTCAACAAGTTTCGGCGCAGAATGAGGGAACTAGCGCTGCTTCGGAAAATTGGCCAGGAAGAAGAGAGACTCCGGTGGTGTTACCGGTTCCCATTAGATCTTCAGAGAAACCTGCATCAGTTGTAATTCCGGCTGTTTCATTTCCAAAGCAGGAGCCAATGGATCCTGAAAGCATAGAAGCGCGTTCTCGTCGAGGCACGTTCATTGACGAAGAAGATGAACGCGGTGTCATATGTTCGAGAGTAATATGCAGGTATAATAATTATCTTTGCACTATTCTACTTTCCGTTTTAAGTAATGAGGAACGGCTCGATAATGACCCGACTACTGATTCTTCACCTGAAGATGCTCATTCTCGCAAACGCGTGAGACCAGAAAGCCCTATCTCTGCTGAGATGCCATCCACCTCAAAGCAATCGAGACGTCAACTGGATAATGAGCAACTGTAAGTTTTAAAATCCTTGAATATTTAATTATCTCGATATTTCTCTAGTGAAATCGAGTGTCACTCGCAGAGCTCCCAAGACAGCGTCAGCTCTCAGAACACTAACTCTCCTCGACGGTTAAGTCTCCACAAAAAACCGCCGATGGATGAGAAGAAGAGGGCAGACAATGCAGTCAAGTTAAAATTCATCAAACAGGGCTACAATGGTGCGAGAGCAAATCCTACTCAAAGCACTCTCACTTCAAGAAAAGAGGAGATCTCAGATAAAAGAAAGAGTTCAAAGCTCTCCTCTAAGAAAAATTAAAATGCAATAATCAACAACGTCTATTCCCTATTACCTCAAATAAATTATTAACACGGATAATTGTTTGTTACTTTCTCTTTTGCTCATGTTTATGGAAGCCTCTGATATCAGGCCCGTTTTTGAACTCTTGAAAAAGTGAGGAGACTGATTCCACACTTTACGACGCAGTCAACAAGGAATCGGTTAATGAACTGCAGACGTTCGCGATCCAGACGCTCGAAAATACAGACGATATGACGGAGGAACAGCGTGAAAAGTACGAACAAAGGTGGGACGAGGCAGAGGAGCTGCAGGAAAATACGGCGCAGAAAAAGGAGAGTCTTGAACTTGAAATTCTACACTTGCAGGGCAAGCACGGAGATCAAAGCAACAAAGTTCGGTAAGACAGTTTTTTTTTTAAGGGGGCCCATTTGTCTTTGAAAAAAAAAGGTACTTCCCATCGTCCTAGACGCATGGTTAGTGTCTTACTAGAAGGAGAAAGGTTCGAACTTGTTAAAATAATTATGACCAGAAAATTCTGACCGCCAGAAGCGCTAGAATTTCAATTTTTCCATCAACAAGTCCATTTTTGGTGGCGCCCGATTCGAACAAAAGCGCGCCTCAGCCAATCAGCGCGCGCCATTTTCGAATAGTGGCGCGAACAATGCATTTTAATGCATTTTCAAGGCTCATTTACGGTTAAAGTTTTAATCAAAATTTTCATTTTATAATTATTTTGACAAGTTCAAGGGGCGGTCTTTCATAAAAGACCTCATTCGACCCTATCTGGCAACTGGAAGTACCTTTTTTTTTCAAAGACAGCTGGGCCCCCTTAAAAAAAAAACTGTCTAAGTAGATTATAAATCGAACGATCACGGAAACTCTCTTGTTAAGAGAGCTGGAACGTTGCGAAGATACGAGACACACGTTTGGAACGCGAAGTCTCCGACGAGAGCGAAATAAAACTTCAACTAGAATCGAGATACGGAAGAAGGAAGAGAAAATGTGCAACAACAAACTGGCACCTCATCACCTGATTCCCAACGAGAATCTCACAAACGGCGTACGTCTTCGTAAACATAATCAATATGATCTCAAGATGATGCCCTTCTTGCTCCCATTTTTATTTCAACCGGGAAAAGAGAAAAATAGGGACACGACCACGAAATGTTTTTGGAGTGAGGTGTGTCGGGTGACTTGTTCTTTTCTTTTTGTCCGTTCGTCTCCATTAGTGCACGTCTTGTCGATACTTGTTTTCACCGACTAATTCTGATTTTTAGTTGCTCAAAAAGTCAGAGAAAGAGACCTGCGGCCGCGTGCGAGTACAACTGCCTCCTCTAACTGCTACACCTGCGAAAACTACATCATGGTTCAACCAGCGCACCGATGTCGCCCGGAAAGTGGTCGAGGAGGAGAAAATGGTCAAGCGCACTCTAGGCAGTCGTCCAGGCTTTAGCGTACAAGCCACTGAAGAAAACGGCGTCGACATTGTTGACAGCTTGGACTTGGATGATTTGCCAATGCCGACGTTTGAGAAAGTTTCTGAGCTACTTCAGGACAAGAGGGAGAAAACTGTGAGCGTCGAGGAAAGTAAAACGCCCTCTTCGGCGGTGCCGACTGATCCGCGAAGACGACCTTCAGCGGATACGCCAGAAGTAAAGAATGTCGAGGACAGCAAAATTGAGGAGAAAAAGGCTAACCCTCTTCAAGTAACTGAGAAGCTTTCTTCGCCAAGGGATCCACGCAGGCGTCCCTCAATGGAGATCTCCGAAGAAAAGCGAGTCACGGACTCAAAGTCAGCTGAGAAGGAACCTGGAAAAGGCGTCGAAAAAACTAACAAGCCTTCTTCGTCAGTGCCAAAAGATCCTCGCGTACGACCTCCAACGGGCAAGCCAGCTGAGACGCAATTCGAAAAACGCGTCGAGCAAACAACGAAACCATCTTTGCAAGTGCCAAGAGATCCACGTCGGAGACCTTCAACGGATAAGCCTGAAGAGAGGAAAGTGGAGTCGAGATCAGCAGCAAAGCAAGTTGAAAATACTCTTCCGCAGCAAGGGGTCTCGAAAGTGAGAACTGTCACGAGGAAAGTCGCCCCTTCGCCTGCTAAAAAAATGAGAGGGACCTCGCCAGATCCTCAAAAAAAGGATACTCTCGAGCAGGCGCCTCGCTATTCAAACGGACAATCTCAAACAAAACATGTTCCTAAAGGTCGCGTTTTTGGTGGAAACACTCCAGAGAAGCCAGTGAAAATGTCTGGCCAGTGGATTAATAGGAATATCGCGTCTGATCAACTAGCGAAGCAAGACTCTCTGAAATCCCGTCCTTCTCCTCCAAAGCCCAACGAAAAGCCTAGCAAACAGCATGCGCCTGAGCCCGCTGTCCCCGACTCACCGTTTTTCATGGCTGACTTACCAGAACCTATCATATACGATAGGGGCAACAGCGGAAGTAAAAAGCAGGGAGGTTCCTCTCACAGAACTTCAAATGTGTACCAGAGCTCCAAACCAAGGGATCCCAACTGCCCTCGCTACACTCCTCCAAAAAGACCACCGCACTACTCTCCACCAAAACGCCCTGAAATGCCGTTCGAACATCAAGGAAGATCTTCTCATTCGGATTATTCAGGTCAACATTCCAACAATCGCCATTTCGCTCAAAAAGCTTGTACTTCAAAACAAGGCGTGGGATATCCACCTCAAGGTCCAACAAAGCGCTTAAATAGCGACCAGCAAAGACCTGCCGATCCTCATCGAAAACGCCAAAAGACCCACCATAATGCAGCTCCAGATGCTCACATTAAAAACTGTCACCAAAATCGACGGTCTCCGACTGATAGAGCTGCTCAAATTGATAAATTTAATTTGAACCAAATGCCAAATTTTGAAATTTGACATTTTTTAATTGAAACAAATTTGTACATAATTTTACCTCACTTACACGACCCCCTTTTTGGGTAAGTCAGAAAAGTATTCAATATAGTTTCTTGCTTACCCTTTTCATCCTATTTATACGCGTCGTTCACAAACTGTCTACCGCTGCCCTACTGAAATAAACACCACAGTGAGATATGCAATCGATAAATTGTTTTCCTTTCCGCAAAAAGAATAACGCAGGATTTTAAGTTTTCCATCTCCTAGAATGAGTCTTAGTTCTGAGGAACTGCAGGGGATTACCCATGTGTTGGCAGAGGAGCCGTTTAATAAGACCATCTCGATGGTGAAGCTGGACACGATGTCCGGTGAAGACTACATTCTCCTCATGAATGAAGTCGTCCACTATTTGGACAGCAAGCAACCGTCACTAGTTCAGTGCAGAACTGAGCCTCCAGAAGCACGAGTTGTGCGACACCTTGAATTTCTTAAAGGCATTCAATACAAACCACACGAGCCAGCTGGATTTAAAAAGGGCATTCTCATGGGGGAAAAGAAATATATGCTCCACATCTTCAAGTTCATTATCCTCGACTTGGCAAATATCAAAGAACGGGCATATCTAGCTAGATATCTGATGAGACTACCGGTGCCAAAAGGAAGGGAATCCATTTTTTAAGCTTCGACTAGCTATTACTGATAACTAATCAGAATACAACAAAAATTTCACGGAGCTGTGAAGTGATTCTCTGAAAAGAACTGATCCAGTCGGACCAGGAAATCCATGAAGCTTGGAACGCATACATCGAGAAGCTAAACGAATTCAAGGAAATCCACAAGTCCGTCGTTCAGCAGCGGAGGGATGGGCCAGATACAGATGGTGTTCGCAGGGATATCAAGCAAATGGAAGAAGAACGCAACCAAATCGCCAATCGAGTAGAAAAGGCTGACAGAAAAGTTAAGAGCCTTCCCAACGCGGATGTCTGGATAACCGCGGCCAGGAAACTCCGTGAGGAAAGAAATAAAGAAGAGGAAGTGCAAATGCAGATCAGGGAACAACAAACGCAGATGAAAGTGCTGGAATCGCGACTTGAGCGGGCAAGCACGCGTCTTGAATCCCTTTCCCAGCAGCGCAAGGGAATGACAACAAGGGATCTCATCGAACGCACGGATGAAGAACTCAAAACAGCAAAGTATCGAAAGGACGAACTTCTGCCAAAGAAACTCGCCGACCAGAAGCGACAGCTCCAAGCTCTGAAAGAAGCAGCTGCTGATAGCAATCCTGACCGTATTGACCTGCTCGAAAAAGTGCGCATTCTTCGCGACGAAGTTCGTCGATACGACGAGGCTAAGATGGAAGATGCGAAAGATCCATCGCTCGTTGCTTTCCGAAAAAATGCGAAGGACCTTGCTCGACGAAAGGAAGCTCTCAGCAACACGCTCCGCAACAAGCAAGATGAAGAAGAGGAGATCAACAAGGAGGTCACTCAGAAAAAAGAACTCTTCGAAAAAGAATACGGCGGTGCGAAAATGTCGGATGAGGACTTCCAGGAGTACGGAGCCAAGATGCGCCAGGAAGGCAAAAAATACAATGACGCCCGTAAGATGCTGAAATATTTACAGCAAGAAAATGGTCTGCTTTCGAGAACAGCGGAACTTACCAAGAAAAACCTCCAGACTGAGGAGGAAAAGTTAGAAGAACTTGAACGTCAACACGGTGTAACTGGTAGTGTTGTTGTCTATTTTGACTGTAGTAAATTATTTTTGCAGGGTTTACGGAGCTACAAGCAAAACTTGAAGCAGTTTCCACACTGAAGCAAGACAAGGATCACCAGAAAGAAAAGACTATGGAAGAGATCGCCCAGTACGTTTATTTATATTCAAGTAGATTTAATAAATCACGCTCCGTCTACGAGGACGAAATGCCCTATTGCCATAGTAACCAGTCATATTTGATAAATTGTTAAAAATGGTCTTGGAAGGTGTCTTGACAATTCATTGTTAGGTTATCAGAGGAACTCAATGCGAAGATCAATGCGAAGAGGGAGTCCATTGAGCCTGTTCTCAAAGAAGTCAGGTCAGCCTCCCCGCTCGAGTCTGTTTTATTAACAAATATGTTAGGCCTCTTCGAACCAAGCATTCTGAGCTCAACAAAAAGATGAAAGAAGCCAAGAAGAAGTACGACTCTGTGCTGGCTGACATCGAATCCTCTCGAGGAAACATCGAACGGGAGCTGACTAAGATCCGAAGGCACCACACTGACCGTAAGACTTGACACTATTTTCAAATCGCATCATTTTCAGAGCGTGCGCAATTTCAAATCCAGCGCGCTCAGCTTGAAAACTTCCGATCTCTTCAAGATCGAATCCAAGATGCTGAGACATGGCGCGACGTGTTGCAGAAGAAGCTTCGCGAGTCTGAAATTCAGGCCAAGCAGTTGAGAGATCAGCAACGATCTATCCGCGAGCAGAAGGTCTTTCTTTTTATTTGGATTCGGAATTGTAAACAAAATTTCAGTCTGCAAAAAAGGAGGAGGAAGCCGCTGTATGGCGAAAAATGATCAAGCTGATCCAACTGAAAGAGCAGGACGGCACCACTAAAATTCGCAAGACTCGACCCGTGACAGTCCGAAAGGAGCAAGATCGTCTTGTTCTCTAATTTTCCATTTTCCTTTTTTTTACATCTGTATCTGCATTTTCACCATGATGTCTCTATTTTTCTATTTACAAAAATATTTCTTATATTTCTAGAACATATGTTTTTATACTGAGCACACATTTACCCTCGTTGAGGTTTGATCATTTATAGGAAAACTTCAGAATGCGCACGCGGGAGTTCACTGGGCCCACGCCCCACTCAGTGGCTTTGATGGTAACTTTCACTTTTCTCTCTCAACTTTGCACTAACACTGTTTCCGCAGTTTAGAAGCAATTCAAACAAACCGCGGGATTATGTTATCCAAGAACGGCAGCGAACAGCTCTCCAGGTAAGCGTTCTCTCCAGGTAACTCGTCCTTTTGCTCATGCCCGTCTTTTAGAACCAACGTCAAGATGCGATGAACCAGAAGATGACCCAACTCACCTTCGATTTGAAGAACGAGTGGGAGAAGAAAACCGACAACGCCATCCGTGTAAGTTGCCATTTTCTGAGATAAAAATCATCTGACCCATTCATTTAGCGACGAAACATTCAAAACAGAGTCAATGCGAAGCTATTTGAGCATGAACTTGCTCTTGAAGAACGCAAAAATCGCCTAAGCGATATTTTGACGGAGGAAGAGTCGAACTTTGACAAGGAACTTCAAGACCATCTGAATGGAGAAACAAAAGTTGAGAAGCTCGCACGCATGCGAGCGCGCGCCAAGGAACTCGCCGAAAAGCGAGAAGCCGAAAGACTCAAAATTGTGGAAGAGAAAGAAGAACAACGATGGCGAGGAGAATGCGAAGGTAAACTTGCCTGACAGTGAGCTGACGCAGAGATGAGTGATTCTTTAGAACTGCGCGAAGTGATGTCCCGCCGACACCAAGACGAAGTCTGCACAGCGCGCAAGCACCAGATTCAAATCAAAGCGCAGCTCCACAAGGACCACCTCGAAGAAGAAAAGCTTTACACTCGTCTGTGGCGCGAAGACGAGCTCGTCAAGCTTCACCGCGAGGAAACAGAAGCGATGCAGCATCACCAGGCGAACCAGCAAAACGTCGCCATCCTCAATAAACAGGTCGCGTTCAAGCTCGAAAGGCAGCGAGAAGCCGATAGAGAGAAAGAACGCGAATTCCAAGAGCTCGAAGAAGAAAGAAAACAACGTCGAGAGGTATCAAATTCAGAAGATGTTTATATATACTCGTTAATTTCAGGAAGACGAAGCTAAATACATCGAAATGCTGCACAAGCGACAAAACTTCAAAGAAGAGCTTCTCCACCATCGAGACATCCGCGCAAAGCGAGACGAGCGCAAGAGAAAAGAAGAAATGAAACTCGACGCTAAGATCGTCCGAGAAGCCTCCAAAGCGCTTGGTGAAATCAGAGCTTTGACTTTCAATCTTTACCTTCATTTTAGATGACGAAAATCATTTCGCGGCTGAGCTCCGCGACCAGAGAATCTCATATGAGAAGGAGTACCGCGAATATCTTCGACAACTTCGACAAGAGGAGGTATAAATAATCCTTAATAAGGACCGATTGAATTTTGAATCTTACAGGCTGAGCGAGAAGCTGAAATCGACCGACTTTACATCGAGGACCAACGCCGGGAGTGGGAAATGAAGTCGGCCAAGCAACGAGATCAGGTTTTTAAATTTCTTGTTACCAAATACTCAACGTTTTAAGAACGCCGCTCGCTCGAAACTCCTGAGCGAAGTGATGCAAATACGGGAACAGCAGCTCAACCACAAGGCTGCAGTGAGGAGAGAAGAAATCGAAGCTAAGCGGGAAGAGCGCGGCCGTGTTATCGCCGATGTCGAAGCCTTCAAAAAAGAAGAAATCGAAAGAAAAGAGAGAATTTCAGAACAAAACCGCTATTTCAAGAACTACCAAATGGAGCAGGCAGAGCGTCTTCGCGAAGTTAAACAGGTCTGTTGCCATAAGCCAGCTCATTAATTAGTTCCTAATTCTAGGCTGAAGCTGAACAAGTTGAGAGGGACCACGCAGAAGAGCTCGCACGGATCGCTGCCAATCACGAGCGCGTCCGTAGAGCAGTCGAAAAGCTCTAAACCATCAAACATTGAATATTTTCCTATTTTAATACATTCTATTTTCATAAAAAATGCTATCAGTTCAAAATTGTAGTCATGCTTTATCCATGAAGATAATTGAGCATGAAAGCCAAAATTGTATTGTTTTAAGATCCTGACTTAGGCAAAGAAATGAAAAAACGGAACATTGACCGACCCCCTACTCAGGAACGAGTCTTATATTATTAATTGCATCAGACGTTAGATTGAAAAGTCAATTTATTTTCAAACGTACTTAATGAAAACTGTATGAGCCTCGATTCAAAGAATCTGGACAATTATCAGCGCATAGAAAAGGTCGGAGAGGGAACCTATGGCGTCGTTTACAAGTCAAAGTATAAGCTCACTGATCAATTAGTCGCGCTCAAGAAGATCAGACTCGAAGGAGAAGAAGATGGTGTTCCCGCAACAAGGTAAGTCCATTTTATCTTTTCTTTATTTATTCAACGATGATTCCTTCTCAAGTATTCGAGAAATATGCACGTTGAAAGAACTCCAGCATCCGAACATCGTCAAGCTCATCGATGTTATTTTGGACACTACGAAAGTTTATTTGGTCTTTGAGTACTTGTACATGGATCTCAAGAGATACATTGACGAGCAAAAGACAGAAAAGACAAGAATGGACATGGGACTCACTACAAGCTACGCTTACCAAGTCTGCCAGGTATAACTTATAGTTTTTGGCGGTTTTTTGACAGTTCTTCTAGGCAATGGACTTTTGCCACTCGCGGCGAATCATTCATCGTGATATGAAGCCACAGAATCTGTTGATTGACAGAGGAGGACTCATAAAAATCGCCGATTTCGGCCTTGCGCGGGCATACAAGATCCCTTTCCGGCCACTGACACATGAAGTGATAACGATGTGGTACCGAGCTCCTGAGATTATGCTCGGAAAGGCCATCTACAGCTGCCCAGTAGACTGCTGGTCCGTCGGCGCTATTATCGGTAAGCTATGCGGTAGGGATTCTCACGGAAAAACAAATTGTACTCAATTTTCGTGAAACTTTCACTCTAGATGTAATTTTTTCCGCTGATTCTAAATATGCAAAAATCAGCCTATGCGAAAAATATTTGCCCATTGCCAAAGAATATCAATTCTTGACCATCGAGTCTCTATTACCGTATTCAGCGGAAATGCTTACGAACGTCGCGATTTTCGCTGGCGACTCTGAAATCGACCAGCTCTTTAAAATCTTCCGTGTTCTCGGAACACCGACAGAAGACACCTGGCCAGGGGTCTCCCAACTTTCAGGTATTGTGTCCTCTTCTAGCATCACTTTCTGACCTGATTAATTAGAGAACAATTTAGAATTCAATCTAAACTTCCCTATCTTTCCTCGTGGCGAGTGGCCTAATCCGCAACGCTTTAAAATTCCTGCAGCAGCTGTCGATCTTGTTCACAAATTCCTCGATTTCGATCCTGCGAAAAGACTGACTGCAAAGGAGGCTCTCGACCATCCTTTTTTCGACAGGTTAGTTCAAGTACGAAATTGGAGCAAGAGTTGAGCATGTTATTTCCAGGCTAAACAAAACCCTGTTTCCGGGCAATAAAGTCCCGGCAGTCCCTTACTACGACGAGGAAGCGTCGAAAGCCGCAGCAATCCTTAACCTCCCCCTTCCCGAATGGAAAGAGAACCAAGCCGCCTAACTGCCCTGTATCACTGAAACACTCCAATACTGTACCATTCCACTAGTCACACAAAACCGTGCTTGTGTGTCTTTTTGCTCTAGCGTGTTCCCCGTTGGGAGAAACTAACATGTCTTGCGAGTGGTTCCTTTAGCCAAAACCACAAATAACTGAAAAACAATAAAATATATCTTCCATGATTTCCATTCTCTATTGGAGAAAATCTCTACTTCAATAGTGTTCTCAGTGTAATCTCTCGCAGTTTCTTTTGACGCTAATTTCTACGCATACGGAATCACGCAGTGCAAATGCGCTCAATTATTTTGGGTGATAAGGGCGAGTTGCTTTGGCCAGGGGCTCTCTGGTGCATCGTCTTACAGCCGCTTTCTGAGCAGGTTTAGGGCAGAAAAATCTTTTTGTCGGATTTTTCCGGCTGTTATCGTTGTCCTGATAAGCTAAAAGTCGATGATATTTGAACCAAAGAGCTCAAAGTTATAAGAGATATGTCGAAAGGGCTTGGCGAGTGGCTAGAGCCGCTGCCGAAGCTTGAACAGTTCCGACTATTTGCATGTTTCGGACCTAAATTTGGCGTTGAAGAAGGACTCAGAATTGCTTCATGGAGACTCTCGGTAAAGTCAAAAATTGATATAAGTTTACGAAACACTACGTTCCTCTAGTGCATAAAACATGACTGTAATGAATATTTTTGATTGTTTTCCTTGGGTGATACTTTCAATTTGCCCGTTCAATAATTCAAGTAAATATTTTCTAAATATATTTTTCTAAAAAAATCGCAAATGGATTGTGTTACTTGAACGTAGTAGAATTATTTTTCTTTTGGATTGGAAATCAAAATTTAGATTCTTTCGTTCACAAGGCTTTTGATGCTTTCTTCTTGGGGAATGATGTCGATCAATTTCCAAAAGAAGAACATGAGACTCGCTGGAATCTGGATTGAGTTTACACTTCTCGTTATTCTTATCGTTTTATCGATAGTAATGATGCTCGTGGCTCTCAAGGTAAGTAGTATCACCAGGATTATTCGAGTGTCTATATCCTTTTCCTAGTTACCACGTCGATACCTGGCCCCAAGCATCATACTTATCCCTTTTCTGATACTAATTGATTTCGCTGTCAAGGTACTCAAATGCTTTCATGAATGTTCCTTATTTTATTTCAGGCAACTTGTTATGAAAGCGTCTTTTTCAATCCAACATCAGCCTTTGGAGTGATCTCTCTCGTCGAATTCTGGATAAGATACGTTCTTCTGGTAATATAAAGCCATGTCAAAAACGCACTCTATTAATTTCTTCAGTTTCAAACATGGACCCTTCTACTAACAGCAATACGACGGCCTGCATTCGATCACTCGGATAGCGTTTATAATTCCTCGGGCTCTACGTTTTATCGTGCAGGAGCTTCAGCATCAGCCAACGGATCTTCCATCGCCCGCTCAAACAGTAGCAAGTGGGAGAAACCGCCTTTCAAGAAGATCGTGCGGAGAGCTGCTTCTGTTCCCCCTGGATTGAGCCAGATTTCTGAACGAGGAACGGAAGAGGACGGCTTCCATCAGCGGTCGCGTTCGACGCGCACGAAGCGCTCAATCAATTCCCAAATGACCGCCTCGGAAATTCAGCAATCAGAGCAGCAATCGTACAACAAAATATCCCTTGAGGTGAGGCACACGCACGTGTTTGAGGTTAAATCAAATCTGTGTAGGATTACAATGATCGATCCAGCGCAGACAGAACGCGGCGCTCCATGAACTCAGAAGTCTCCAACAACAATTACTCGAACATCTCATCGAAACACTCGTACTCGAATCGTTCAAATCGAGTGGAAAGGAGGGAAATGAGGTACTGAGTAAATTCAATGTCATTTTTACAAGACACCGTTCATTAGGAACTCTTACGACACAAACAGCTTCATACAGCATGAAGAAGAGTTGGCTATGGAACAAGAGATGGAATCGGAACCGAGTGCGCCTCCTCCACCTAGAACGAGACCACTCTGGCACGAGCCTGTTCAAAAGTCAAAGGAGCCTCAACAAAATGGTTACAGTGTTCCCGCCCGCCAGACAAGCACCAATTCTTCAATTAACAAATTTCGATCCAACTGGCAAGGTGCCACCAACTGGAAATCCCTCCGAGAGGTACTAATCATTTTAATATTTTCAAAACTGAGATTTCTTTCTAGCCCGTTAGTCGTCTAAACAGCGATTTGAGTGAGATGACACAGTATTCGATGAATGGTATGCCACGAAACCGCCACGAGTCGCAGCTTATTTAAGAGGCGGATCGGGCGCTCTACTGCGCGAATTCGTTGTTTCCTCATTCCAATCTACTTTCAAATTCCTCGCCTGTATAGAAAATAAATTCCGTTAAAAATTTACACGAGTTTGATGGAATTTGCAAACATAGAGGAGAGCATAATATCGTTACGTTTCCGATATCAAAATATGAGCACGCAGATTCAACCCTCTAGCAATTGAACACCTTGAAGCACTGCTATCTTATCCTGCTCTTGCTGAAACGAAAGAAGTAGTGAAAATATTAAGTGAATAGATCCTTGTTTTTGGTCTTATTTTTTTGCATTTTCGGACGCTGACGAATACATAGATCTGATCTCCAGGGTGAAAAAAAATCTTCGAACAGTTGTTAACAAAGATAATAATTGGGATAATTTTCAGCACTGGATGTCGTTCGTCAGTATATATAATATATATATATATAATATAAGGTCACCGAACGTTGAATTGGGGGGTTACAGAAGGACCTCCCCGGAGGCTTGTACGGTGCCATTTAAACAATACGTAAGTAGATAGACACGTTTTTTTCAGACAGAGGTATTATAAATGGGACAGATGAGGCGTTGCTTTATGATTCGGTGTGTATTTAGCCACACTGCCAAGAACACTTGGCCGACATAACGCCACCCTATAGCTGATAGGTTCAAACTCAACTATTTGTGCGATAATTAGTTACAGAAGACACTTTTGAACAAAAAGAATTTTGCGTTCACTGCAGCATCGTTTCACGAATAGGTGATAAAACTCGGTTGGTGCATACAAACGGACACACAATAGATGTGAGCGAGATAGTAGGGCGCCTGCTAGCAAAAGCGCACCATAAGATGATTTGGAGCAATTATTGCACATATGGTTGACTTGCTGGGAGACTTTTAGAGATAAAGCCCGATAGCGAGGGATTTACGAGATCATAACTACAGAATGTGAATTAAATCGACTTAATCCCTCGATTTTATGGAGAAACGCTCAGCAATCCTAGTCGATCGAAAATATTGGACCAAGACTAGCGATCTCGGGCAATAACATCGACCAGAAAAGTTGTGCAGTTAGAGTCCATGCTTCAGTTGACCGAAGTCGCACGCTATCGAGCCAGGTCTCCGTCGGTTGAAAGAAAAATGAAAAGGTAGCACCCGGTAAGTTGGTGGATAACACGTCATCTATTGATGGTTCTAGAATAGGCTGTGGAGCTTACATTGACATATCATATTAAAGTTCTCAGAAACCGTAAAATTTGCATCGTGGCTTTTCTCAAATCGCCGCAATGAAATATTTCGTAATCGATTTTCTGGTGATTGAGTATGATCTAGCAATACGAAAAATCCACGATTAGTTAGTCGCTGAAGATGGCACTATGAACGACATGTGTGTTCAGGTGTCGATGAGAGTAAGGGAGTTAAGTTCGTTTTGTTTCGGGCGTACGATGATGTTCTCTCAAAACTTGAGCGTGACGACGTCATCGGTACTGAACGGCGTGCGACATGTGTGGAACGGACATCGTGGAGGCTCATTATCGTCACTGAACACAAGCATGTTACTCGACCACCGCTCGTAAATATGATAGCAATGGAAATAGCAACGTTCTCACTCTGTAAAAGCGCACGCGCTGCCGGAGTTCACAAGACTACTCCACTAGATCGATAGTGGATCTCACTTACCCCGATTGCGCGAGGGAGAGCTGCTGCTGAACGCATTTCGTGCAACAGATATGGCCGCATTTTCTGAACGTGCATCTGTTGCTCGCATCGACATTGTCTCTTTCTTCAGAATAAGGGAAGCAGCAGATGGCGCACGTCTCGATGCGCTGTGCTCGTTCTCTGATGCTTTGGTTCTTTTGCTGAAGGTCGTCGAATTGCTGGCGCATGTCGGCGTTCTGCCGCGTGAGATCTTGGACAGTTCGTTCCAGCTCTTCCAAGCGGTCCAGATTTTCGCGTTGACATCGGCTGCAGGTGCATAAACCGCTCGAGTTCGGACTTACAACGATATGGCCAGACTCAGACACAGTTCTTGGCAGCGCGTTTTCGAGCTCGCCCATTCGCCACAGTCGACATCGAGGTGACATTGGTTCGCGGTGAACTGTGCCCGGCATAATAGAGCCAGATACAGGGCTCATAGGCAAACATCTACTTGCTACTTCTGCGCTCACAAATTGCTTGACATGAATAAAATTCTCCTTCCTGCTTCCCGTGTGGAGGCACTTGTAAGCGAAAGTGTCATATTCAAACTTGATAAAAGATAAAAAAACGCAAGATTTTTGTGAGCGGTGCCTTGCGTGATATCATCAGTTGAGGTTTGTGCATCATGTTGTGCATGTTGTGGCGTGGGAGGCGGCGGAGGAGGATGAAGCGCGTTGGTGAGAGCTAGAGCGTTTTTGGACTTTGATGATGACGCCATGTTGGAAGGGGCTCGAGAGGTACTGGGGATCGGGGTTGTTTGAGCAGGCATGGGTTGATGCGTAAGTTGGGGAGAGTGTGGGTGGATAGGAACAAAAGCGTGAACTGGCGAGGTAACACCGCCTGGGCTGTAGCTTGAGGTGGACAAGGAGTACAAGTCTTGTGTAGACGATCTGTGCTGCCTGGGAGGACGGCGAGGTTCATACGGGCTGAAACGAGCAGAATTGGTGCTTGTGCTACTGTTGCCCCCGACGCTATGCCGGGAGCTGACACAATCGGGTACTGCAAAGTGGCGAAAGGCTGAGCCAGACTCGGGCGTCCCCGGCAGATCATCCAAGCTCAACTTCTCGGAGAAGCCTAAGTCTGGATTTCCAATTTCCACTTTTGTACTTGAGTATATCGATGCTGGAAAAGGAAAACCATTCCTGATGATGTCTGCGGTGAGAGCAGCGAGTCCGTGTCCGAGTTGACGTCGGATCCAGTAAAATGATGGTGTGCCGCTACGGGACGTATAAGACTGATTATCTGACTCCGCAGCTCGGGGTCAATTTTCTTTCGCTCAGAAATATAGTAGAGCGCCGTCTTATCTGCATCATCTCGAGCAGACACCTCCACACCTTCGTTGATGAGAAACTCGAAAGCACTAACAAGGAAAACGGGATCGCAGGAGGCAGCGACAAGGTGAAGTGCGCTTTCTTGCTTCGCGGTTTTCATGTGCAGGTTGGCGCCGAGGTCCTTTAGAACATGAAAAGCTGATAGAGGGTTCTTTCGATGTTCTAAATACGATTTCTAACTCATAAATAGAGCATAGGATGGTGCTGGGCAAGTGTTTCTAGCGCAACCCATCAAACATAGTGAGCTCTTTTTGGGAAAGTTTTTTTGGTACTTGTCAGCTCACACAGGTGGTATGACAGGAGATGTCGCTTTTTGTGACCGCGAAGGGTGAGTCCAAACTACTTCTTGATCCTGACCACAATGTTGTTTTAAGAAATGAGTACCTTGAAACGAAACACATTTCTCACTTTCCCGGTTGAATTCGTACGAAAACTTACTCGCCAATTTGGCGATTTGTTTAAGCCACTTTTAGCGAGGGAAAGAGAAAAAAAGAAGCGCGCCAAGTTTGGATGCAGACAGATTAAAATTAAGTGGAACAAATTTTATGATGCTTTGGTTAACCTTTTTTGCATTAACACGGGAACCGTCTTCCCCGTATAATAGAATAAAAAGCAACTAGCCAGCGGTTGGTGTTAGAAGACATTCAGAACATTCCTTTCTCAAGCAAGCAACGTGGAAAACAGTTTCTCCAATTCGGTCGCGCAGGTCTACCAGACAGCCTGATGATTTCAAAAATCGCGCTGCTTCGCGTAACCGAAAGTCATCGGTAGGGCAGTTTTTCCAAAAGAGGTAGTGCAGTGGGGACATACCTGCCTAAAATTCAAGTAAATTGACGCCATATTCACAGAGCGCAGAGGGTTTCCATGCTTTAGACAAGTGACTAGGGAAAGACGCCTTAGCCGGTGGGTAATTCGGTAATAGTCAATTGATTTAGTTAAATTTGGACCGCTAAAATGATTACCGACGCTGCATGCAACCGCTTGTCCAGAAAGGCTTCAGTCGGAAGGTTGCGACAGACGACAAAAACAAAATGCAAATTTGACCCTCGACTCGGCTCGATATTATCAGGAGCAACGTGGCTCACGAGAGACAGTAATGCAGCGAGTAAGAAATAAACGGGCTTGCAAATAATTGAAACTGGGCATGATGGAAACGCTGCGGGGGCTTATCACTCGCTCTGTTGGAATAATGCTCGAGACGTTGGAAATGTTGCGGTTAAATTTGACATTTGTCGGCAACCAAAATTATCGGAGAATACACGGCTAGTCGGTAGCGCTAGAATTTCAGCCACAGTACGCACGCAGGTAATGAGCGTCGCTCTGTGTGTGTGTGTGATGCGCGCTGAGCTGGTGTTATATTGTTGCATGCACGTATACGTTCATGGCTAGGTGGGGCAATGTTTAAAAACGAAAATCTAAAGCAGGCAAATTCTAATCGGCATGAAATTAGGCGATCAAGCGACACGTCGGCCATCGCCCTCTCGACGATTTTGCGCTGCTAGTTTGAGTTCCTTTTTTACAGAAACACTTTTCTTTTCGAGATAGCAGAAGAATTGCAGCGTTACCTTATTAACGGATTTGAGAGGACAGCCGAGATCGCGCAGCGTTTTCAGCACGGGCGTCGGGTCCGAGGCCTGCGCCGCCCAATGTGCTAGAGAGCTTCCTTGCGAATCGACCATGTCCGGGCGCAGAATCGCCGTCGACGACCCGCCAGCGGAGCGACTGAACACATGGCGCTGCAAAAGCCCGCAGACGCTGCGCACACATCCAAAGTCTTTCACAATTGCCTTGAGGAGGATAAACTTACGACTAGCTGGCGCCTCCCGAAATGCATCTGACTGTAGTATACGCCTGAAAGATACTCTCAACTTAAAATCAAAGAACTTTGAAGTCATGAAAGATTAACAGAAAGGGAAAGAAGAGAAAGAGAGAGAGAGAAAATTGAGTTGAGGAGGAGGGCGCAGAATTCGCGAGCTCGAGCTTCCGTTTTCCACGATCGCAAAAAATGTTAATGATCATAATGAACCATAGATGTCATAAAAATGAGTTCATCAATCTTAAGTGCTTTCGGGGGCTGCAATTTTAGAGCTCAAGCTCTCTTTTCAGTGAAAATGAATGACCGTAATTTGATTTACTGCATTCTTCTTAAGAAAAAAGTCGCACAAAAACGCTGCCTTACTGAAATTATTTAACTTTAAAAGCGTCTACAAATGATACCATTCTTCAAACTCAACCATCATAATCCGTTTTGTCATTAATATAAATTGCGTTAAATACACGAGTAATTTAGCAGCATTAACGAGCATTGCGTCCGTCGCAAAAAAATGAGCGTCTTCGAAAAAGAGAGAGAGAGGGACGCCATAAAATGTAACTATTGGTAGTATAGTTAGTAGTAAAAACTTTGAGATACTAATAGTTGAACGTGGTGACGAGCAAACACATATTTCGTGTTGTTTTCAAGCAAAAGACCTAGGGCGAACGATGTTTTTAAGCTCAATTGATGAGGGGAACAATAGATCGATACTACGCCTCCTCAACTTTTTTTTTTCAATTTAGCCTCCTTCCATCATTGATGAAATAGGACGAACCTGATCGTATGGACATCGTTATTTCGCGCGTACTCGACTGACTTTGTGGTAAAACTCCATGGGTCGTATCTACCGTTGACCTGCCGCCTATCTACCATGAATCATCGTTCAGCGATATCAAGGACTGGTTAGGTTTCTTCTGGTTAGAGTTTTTCGTGTTCTTTCTTCTGGCTTCCCACGCAGGAATTAAATCTCTTTATTTTTTCCGCTTCTTTCTGGAAGAATATCTCTCTCGGCGAGTGAGTATTTTGAGTGGTGGATAATGTGGCCTTGAAAAAATCGAATGTTGGTGTTTTTTCGCGCTGAGTTCTTCTCGCAGTCTCTCTCTTTTTTTCGGATTATTCTCTCTTGCTTTGGTAGGGCGAAGTTTTGATGCTGGCCGTACGTGAGTTGGGGCTTGGTCTTTTGTGTATTGGTGTTGTTATATGTGTCTGTGCGAGTATGTGTGTGGAAGAAAACGCGCGGATCTAGCAACGGACGAGCGGGTTTAGCTGCTCAGCGGGCCGCTGTGGCGGGTGAATAGCCCGAGAGCCGAGTGAAGGGGAGAGCTCAGTGTAAGAGGCGCTACAGAGTCCCCGTTTCAAAACGGGAAAGACGCGAGAAAGCGAAATTGACCCGGTTGAGGGCAAGATCGCCGCGCCTCAGTCACCGAAGAATCCCCAGTCACCAGATAAAACCACTCAAGAGCCCCTGCTGCAAGCCCCACACACATAGTGTACTCATCGTTGTCTCCAGCCGAGGCACTCTGGTAGCGTGGGCTCCACACTGAGACACGCTGGGCCCACTGCCAATGTCAATTATGAGTAAATATTTAAATGATGGATTTGGTTGGGTGCGCGTGCGCATTTGCGCACATGGAATGCTCGCCCGCGAATTCAGCGACCAGAGGAACCACGAATTAGAGACTCGACCCAAGCAAACAAAGCATGGCAAGACGCTACTACTTTTTGGCAAGACGACTACTCGCGCGGGGCGCTCGCGATAGCCGATATACTCCAATCCAACGACGTGCACCACACCTAACTTGCCACCGTACATTGCACAGAGCTTTGACTTACTAGGATAAAACAATCCACAACGTGCACAGGCCGAACGTGGACACACTGGTTGATTAGATTTTGACCATTCTCAGGAAGAGCACGTTGAAAGACGCCGTCGAAAGAAAAAGAATGCTTTATCGAAGTCGCGCTGCTCGTCCTAAATCTACTGTTGCGGTTGACACTTGCTATAGAAATTTTTCAAGAAGAGTCGAGAGGACGAAATTTCCGAAGGCATAGAATGACAGTGGATTAAAGACACGAACGTCGACTATTCAGTGGGCCACCCTTAAGGCGCCGCACTGCACCACTTTTTCACCACACCGCCTCCTGCTGATCGTTATTGGCGAGGGAGTGAACGCCTACCCTGATCATCTTTGGATTACAGCTGAGCATGACAAAAACTTCAAGTTGAAAAACTGTAGTATTCAATCTTCGAACAATGATTTTCATGAAATACATTTTCGCGGCTTGATTAATTTGCAATTTCAACTCAATTTGTACTTATATTGAACAACAGCGCAAAATGAAAAATGTATTCAGGGTCCATTGAGTGAGCAAAATCACTGCGAAGTTTGGTTCTTTTCGTAGAGCAAACGCTCTCTCTCGGCGGAATCAAGTGCCCTAAACGGCGGATAAGTGTCCACATCGCGAGCGTTAAAATACACAGCCCATACGCATGTTTTCTTAAGTTTAGAGTATATCCGTTTGCGAACCTTTGGTTTTGTCGGTGGAATTGTTTTTTCGACTTCTGTTCTTTCATACGACACACGATTTCGGTCACTATCTAAGCGAGGACCTCAACAAGCTGATTTTTTTACTAATATAACTTTGATGGAAGAATAAATCGATAAGAAAGCTTATAATTAATCTGCTTAGGGTTATTGAGAGGTGTTGAGTCCCTTTCAAAATCGAGACGGCGATGATGAGAGCAATTAACGCCGGAACTAAGATATTGAGCACGTTTGAGAAGTCATTGATCGGCTGGGCTTCGACAGTGTTTGAAGTGACAGGGCCTCTTTGAGTAGGCAGTATCAGCGGATCTTGTACAGGTGTAGCGCTCGTTTTAACAGTAGTTGCCTTGCTGGTCGTCATTTTAGAAGTCGTCGTCGTAGTGCTGGAAGTAGACGTGGCCCTGGTTGTTGTAGATGACATAGGAAGGGAAGCAGCAGTAGCTGGGACTGGACGCGTTCTATAGTTTGACAGAGTCGATAATAGATATTCCTCAGTTACGACAAAGTCGTCCGGATTCATGCCAGAACTCATGCCCGCGTCATCTTCAAACATAAAGCTCAAAATTAAATTTCTACGAATGGCAGTGTTCTACTTTTATCTATAAAGTTGAGATTGAGCTACTCTGAACCTTCGACCATATCTGAGGGGCCATCTAGAAGGGATACATAAATCCCTTCCGTTAGCTCTTGAACCACTGGAGTACTTCCTTCTTCATTTTCGATCGAAGGTACTCGAAAGAATTCAGTAACTGGTCTTGGGCCCCTAGCCTCTTCTTCCATAAGCGATCCACCTGATCCGTCTTGCACGTTACTGTCGCTACCAGAGGCCTCTTCTTCATCGTCAATTTCCACGAATTTAATAATAGTCCACTCCGTAGGATAGCTCGTTTGTACTTGATTATCCGCATTTTTCGATAATTGCGGTGGACTGGTAGGAACGTCCTCATTTATGGTCCTGCTTGTCGTTGCATTTGCGTTTTCGTTCACTTCTGGCTCGGCTTCTAAGATTGTGTAAACTTGATCGATGATTTCTGATCCAGATAAATCTCCAGACGCCTCCTCGGGATCTAGTGGAGCACTAGAAGTAGGACTAGGGTCGCCACTCCGAGCCGATTCTGTAATCAACTCTTCAAGTTCTTCTAAACTTGGTTGTGTCACCGACACCGTGACACTCTCAGACTGGGTGGTCTCTGGCTGCGTGCTTGTAGCGCCTAAAGAGATTTTTAACACGTGCAAGGACCTCAAACTCGCGACTTCTTGATTTTATAAATTTTAGCAGTTAACTTTGGCTGCCGGGGGTTTTGCCTGAGCGGGGGTTTGACCTGGCGTCGGATTTACCTGAACGGGGGTTTGACCTGGCAGGTAAATCCGACGCTCAGGTCAAACCCCCGTTTGGCAAATCCGACGCCAGGCAGATTCTCCGTTTTGATCAAAGTTTCATTCATTGTTAAAAATTATTCTCATAACAATAATTATTTTCAAAATCTATTCAAAATTAAAATTTTAATTTGAACACTATATCAAGGGGTCTAGGTTGTATTCATGGGACAGGAAGTTCCGAAATGGGCACTAGAACTCTTCATTTGAGTCATCGATTGCCCTGTAAAAATGACAATAAAATACTGCTGACCTGCCATCTAGTGCCAAGTGGCTGCTTGAATAGACGCGCTTTTAAGATGGGCGAAGTTTTCTAGCCCACTTGCGCCTGATAAACCCCAGAACATCATACCTTTTTGGAATCAGCAGAAAATTTTAAGAACTTTGAGTCAAAGTCTTTGACCATTTAAAATTCTAGAAATCTCCACTTCCGGTCGATTCTAGAGCCGGAAGTTGACGAAATTTAGGACAAAATGAAAGCTCAACTTCTTAGCTTTTTTAAACTGTATCATAAGACCCCTAGGCATTGCTAGAAAAATCGATCATCTAACAACCCTAAAATAATTAATTTTCTAAATAATTAATGAAATTAAAATCAAGTTGAAGAGTTACATTTTTCCATTAGAAAAACGGCGCTTTCACCTGAACGGGGGTTTGACCTGAGCGTTGGATTTACCTGTCAGGTCAAACCCCCGTTTAGGTAAATCCGACGCCAGGTCAAACCCCCGCTCAGGCAAATCCGCCGGCAGCCGTTAACTTTGACTAGAAAGACCAGAAAGCAACCTTAACTTTCTCAGGGATTAAAAAGAAAGTTATCGCGATTTTCCTCTATATGCAAATTTTTAGAACCTTCATGACTTGGCGACATTTTTCGTAGATTCTTTTCTGGACTTTCTTTTGACATGGTAGAGGTCGCAGTTGTTGACATCGAAGTCGTCTCAATAAGTGCGGCAGAAGTCGTAGTAGAAGTGACCTTTTTAACTGGATTTGCGCCCGTTTCAATCGAATTTAAATCCGCTGTTGAGGAAACACCGTAATCAATAAAATCTTTAGAAGTTGAGGTTACATCCAAATTTGCAACAGTTTCAGCTGGAGTCCGGCTTCTCAGAATAATCGGCGGGTCACCTATCCGGCGAGGATAATTGAGTCCAGCATTGTCCGGGGGAAAGAGCTGTCTGAAAATCCACCTACTTTTTCTGGATATATTTTATATCTATCTAAGCGAAATTGACCTTGAGGCTTCTGACCTGGGAAATTCTGAAGGTTTTTTCATGGGCACTGGTGTGCTCGAAATCTCTCTTTGTCTCAGAACTCAGTCTCACAGAGGATGATCTTGTAATCGTTTTGCTCGCAGATCTCAGTGCACTTTGACCTCATGACTTTGCACATACCTACCTGATAAATTAAACATTCATGTATATACTCTGGATAGTTATCGACATTCAACATGTGGTTTTTACGAAGAGCGGCAGTTCGTCAAACTTATATCACTTCTCAGCCCAGACAGCTGCTTCCATTGACCATCAATTTTACTGTATCCTATTATCAGTCTCTCATAAATAAGAAGATATGCATTTCACCACTCTTTTTTTGTTTTAAAAAATTTCCGAATTTCTTTTCATAATTCCTCTTTTATAGTTGCAGAAAAACTGAAATGCCTGCAAAATATTCGATTTTTTAAATTTCTTGTTTTTTATCGATAAAATAAAAATCAGACTGGGAGCTTGAAAGGTGAATAGAAGTGCGCAGAATGTTGACAGTGAAGATATAAGAAGGGTTGTTTTGCTGTTTTGAGAAAAAAAGGCGGTGAAGCTTGGAACTTGGCGTTACTCAGAGTTGTGAACCCAGAAGGTTCCAAATGTCTGTTGCTGGATTCGCGAGGAGCGCGCGGATCCCGTCGAACTTGGCTGAAAATCAGAGTGTTCAGAAGAGTCGTTTTCCAGTTGAGCTTTACCGCCGGATAGGGCCTAGCCAAAATGCACCGTTAATTTTGAACACGACATATCTAAATCGAAAATGCCACAGATGCAAAAAAATGATTCCTTACGAGACCAGAAAATGGTATTTATTCAGCTTCAAGTGAAGCAGCTGAATCTTTTTAACTGTGGTTTGTCCTTTAGCTCGAGCGTGAGAACAAAAAGAAAATACTTTTCTTGAATTTGTGACATTCGGTTCCAGATATGCTCAAAACACATGAAACAAAATATTTCAATCGCAATTATTTTTCTCCTCGATTATTGAGCGACTCACCGAAGTTACAATTGTCTTTGCTAGCTGTTGAATTGATTCTTCTCTTTTCGCAGCTAAAAAGAAAGGATAATAAGAATCGCACAAAAAAACTACCTTCAATTTCGAGGAGATCTTTGGCCTCAGAAAAGCATTTCTCGGTGATTAACGTCGCTAGTTCTTCGATCTGACTTTCTAGCGATGGCTGGCTCTGGCTCTTTGACTTCTCTTGCGACTCTTCATCTCATAATTTAATTTGGAGAAATAGAAAAAGAACTTTACCGTCATCAGAATCAATGTAGAGCAAATCTTCTTCGTCCGAGAATGTCGAGCTATAAGATACTCGCTAGAAGAGATTAATTATTATATTTAGATACTTACGATGAAGAAAACGAAGTTGAATGGATGATACTGCTTCTGTAGCTTTGGAAGCCGCCCAGCGAGGTCATTCGCGAAGAAGAAATTATCGACACTGGCTAGAACACTTTTGTGAATTTCCAAATGAAAGTGCCAGTAAACGGCTCCATTCAATTTGGTTAGGCGACGACATGAGCGCTCAGATCTCACCGCCGTTAACAGCACGAACATTATTGACGAGTGCTTTATAGACTTTATTTACGATCAAACCTTCTCTCTTTCAGCTGGTATCAGCAAAAAACGTCTATTCTACAGTTGAATACAGAAATTCTAGCTTAGGAAATCGGTTCTCATTTGAAAAAGCCTTAAAAATCGCTCAAGATGATTCAAATTTTACAACAGAAAAATAACCAATTTTTTTACATAAAAATTTCTTTGAATGTGGCAGTTAAAATTTACATTTATAAGTACGAACTAAAGTAAAAAAAGATAAAGTGCGCTTACCTTTGTGATAGACTCTCTCTTGTCGATCTGTTCTTTTTGGAGATTCTAAAAACAAGCTTAAACGCGGAGTAACATTTACTCTGCGCAAAAATGGACAGTAAAAGAAGGCATTAAAATTAGGGTCTTGCGGCTTATCAGTATCGGTCGACATTTTCAAGGCGCTGCGCAAACGTTCCACTCTTGAGAGATTAACGTTCTTATTGCAGCCCTCAAGCACGGCGCGCAATGATAACTCGCAAATTGCAAGTCGCTTTCTCTCTCAAACCCGTCAACAGCAGAGGCCTTTAGATTCTTTCGATTTTCCATGTTTGCAGCCCTGTCATTGAAGCAAATACGCTCTAACACTTCAAACAAGTAAGTTTTTGTTTATAACTAGATTTCATTGAATAAACCGGCGATTATTAATTCACCCAAACGAAAAAAAAATATAGAGAAAGTTTTCTTTCTTGAAATAAAAAGACGGATCAAAGTACTAGAAGATTTCTTTTTCGCTCAATATTGGAAGTACCATATATCCGCTCGTAACTAACCTCAGTCATTTCCGTGATAATTTGCCCTAAACTGGCGTTGCACTCTTCTATCGTGCGCTCTAACTCTTCTGACGCGTTCAAGCAGGGAGTCGAGTTTGGAGCTTGTGCGACTGCTTGCGCTTCCAGAGCTACAACGGAAATAAAGAAAGAACTGTCAGACTTGATGGTTCTTACCGTAGACCGCGTCGTGTATTTCTTTCATGGAATGGCGACTTGCTTGACTAGTGTTGCTGAAGCTCGGCTGGCAGGTGGGCTTCTTTCGGAGTTTCACTTTCGGGCTGATTTTTGGAAAATCTATCAGGTCTTCGGGAATGACTATGCCGGGAATGTTTGCGTTGATGCCCTCTTCGTTTGGAGGCAGCGAAGACATGCTCGAACGAAGAGATCTTTCTTCTCGAATATTTTGGGAACAGAGAGTCGAGTCTTGATCATCATCAGTGTCCCCTGGCTCTTCATCTTCATCTATCGAGTTAGTCAAATCGAGCAAATCGCTTTTCCCTTCCATCCTTGTCACTGAATTAAAACTTTACTTCGGGTTTTTCGATTCACAATTACTAGAATTTCTTTTGGCGATATGAGCGCCGAGATTTTTCGCAGTCTCTGAAAAATCTCGCAACATAGAACGACTAGGCGTATGATGGCGGTGAAGGGCGAAGCTAGAGTCGTCAGACTCGCACTCGGCCGGGAAATCGGGATGAAAGTGAACGGAATTACGTTGTCCCATTGGCAGGTGATACAGTCGATCGTCCGAGTCTTTAAAAACTCCATCAAAATTGTAATTAACTATTTTTTGTACCAATAATGCTCCGTCGAATGATCACACCGGCGGATTTCTTCTTCTGCGGGAGGAGATAACAGCTCAAGACTTTTTGGCCTGATCCCTCGAAAAAATCAAAATAAACCTTTTGCGATGAAAAAATTTTTTACCTGCAAATTAATGTGTTCCTCGTGAAAGCTGACCAGAGGCTTATTTTGATTTTCAGAGAGCCAGATTGCTCGTAAATCGAGATTTTGCACACCCGATGGGAGAAAGAGCAACTCATTCTCTGCGAGATCAATCACTTTGAGCTGTTTACAGTTCGAAACTGATTCGGGCAAGAAAGTGAGCTCATTTTGGCGAACATGCAAGGTTCGCAATTCGCTAAAAGACCATCAGAAGACAGGATTATTTTTTGATACTGTTACCTCAAGTTTCCAATATTTTGCGGGAGATTGAAAAGACGGTTCCGATCGACCATCAAATTTGTCAATCGCGTCAAACTCGCCACACTATCAGGCAGTGTCGACAGTAAGTTCTCCGTCAAAACCAGTTCCGTCAACTCTTCACACAGACCGATGGAAGGAGTAAGCTCGATCAGTCGATTTTGATCAACTTTGAGTATCGACAACTTCCGTAAATCGCCAATGGAATGAGGCAAGCGCTCCAGAAAATTCTTCGACAACGTGATGATCTCCAAGCTCTTCAAGTTTTTGAAGTTTTCTGGTAGATACTCGATTCTATTTGCGCATAAATCAACCCAAATCAGCGACTCCAGATTGCCAAACGACTCTGGAAGCACCGAGATTTCATTTTTGTCGAGAATAAGTTCCCGTAGTTTTTTGAGCTGGCCGAAATTTCCGGGAAGCTGGTGAATCTGATTCTCCTCTAAATCCAAGTGCACAAGATTGCTCAAATTGCAAATTGAATCGGGAAGACTTTCAAGCAGATTTTCGCGTATTTCAAGCTTCGTTAGATTGGAGAGACGACCAATACTAGCTGGTAAATGAACAAGATCGCAGCAATTGAGCTCCAAGTTGGTCAAATTCTGCAATTTGGAGATGGCTGACGGAAGTCGCTCGATTCTATTGTGCGAGAACTTGCCTGGGCTTGTGACCTTTGACCTCTAACGGATAAGGGAACGATGTGTTTATTGTGGTGATCTGCTAACGCAGTCAATCAAGCCCGTGTCATGAGGGATTCGAGTTTGCTGCAGGTTCCTATTGTGTCTGGTATTTCTCAACAATGTTCGCAAATCATGCCGATCACTATGTCGCAAGATAAGGCGAAAAGCGACCCGTCTTTCCAAAATATTTTTCCACTGTTTTGAACAATTCCTTGGAGCTCATTACGACTGAGATTAACTTCCACGAGGTTTATCAGTTGACCAACTTCGCGTGGTAACCAACAAATGCAGTTCGATTCCAGCGACACACGTTCCAAGTTTATCAATTTGAAAAACCCCTTTGGCAAATCTGTCAACGATTGATATTTTATTCTTGCAAATAATAAAGATTTCGTTAAAATTTGAACTAAAAAGATTGAAATTGGTCTTTGTTAAATTAAAGGACCCAACCAAGGGACTACAAAAATGGAGTGAGTAAAAGAATGGCTCTAATTTTTTGTAACCAAAAAAAATATTTTGAAAAAAAATTTTGACAACCGTAGCTTTTAGGTTATTGTCATTGAGTTGAATTTCCTTGAGTGTACGTGCTGAACGCACTGCGTCATCAGGGATACTATCTGCGTTTGGGTCAAGCAAGGCCAATCATGCTAATCTACAAACTAATGCTTTTGACCCGTAAGTAAGTTCGAGTGATTTCGCTCTAATACCTCGAGATTTTGACTGCATCTGGAAAATCCAATGAGATCTCTTTGCAGAGGTTAACTTATCAGATTCGAGAGAATCAAGAGGAGCTATTTTTTAAAGGGAACCTTCCTCAGGCGAACCATTGAGACCATCACTTGCGCTTCTTTGAACTCTCTAACTTCCGCTCCTCGCTGTCACTAATCTCTTTCAGTCACTGTATAATCCGTAATTGCTGTACACATGATTTGATCACAGCGGAGGGAGCTGACAATGCGGGAGTGCTCCTTATCGCCCCCGGCGTGTGCGACAATCATATCACAAAAATACCTCCCCCGGGCCCAGAAAAACTATGACATCTCCACACATCTTCCGACGCCGCACATTGGTGTGATGTGCTCCCATTTTTCTTCCCACTCCGAGAAATATACATACATATTTTTAAGAAGAACAATACTTCAAAATGCTATTGCTCGAAAATCTATTTCAACGAAGTATTTAAAGAAAATTAACTCTTAATTTGCAGTGACAAGAATTTTTTATTAGGTTTCGAAATGTCAGTAAGAAATCAGATAAATTAGAATTGGTTCAGTTAGGAAAATTCCAAAAGAGTTATTTCAGAAAAGTTAGTTGGTTAGTGTTACTGGTTCCTCAAAATGAGAAACACAGCGCAAGGGATACAAATGACACAAAGGAGGAAGAAATAAATCGCCACATCTCGAAGAATATCATCAACTCGTCTTCGTTGACGTCCACTTGGTTTGCCTCCTTCCTCGATTTCAAGTTGCTCGTAAGTGTTGACTCGTAATCCGTGGCATTCTACAGTCAGATCGACTGTGCTGGTCGATGAGTTTCGGACTCGCCTGATGTAGATTCGTTCTTCAATTGAGGCATTTTCGGCTGGGGCTTCGATGGAATCGTCATGTAGAATTTGCTCCGTTGCTTCTACGGATCTTTGAAAAGCATTTTTGCAGAGACGTCGATACGCCTCTTTCTTCATTTTTCGCGCGTAGTTGATTGCCATTTGATCTAAGAATTCGCATTCTTCTTGCAATCGCTCCTGAAAGTTCTCGCCGTTGATTTCCTCGGGTTGAACTCGCTCTTTGAATGACCGTCCTCTGTTCATCAACTCCTCGGCGAAGACATCTCCGTAGCGATGAATGTACGTGATAATGTCACTGTTGATTTCTCCATAGTTTCGAACTTCGCTGGCGAGATGTCCGTCAAATTCGGCAGTTGCGTCGACGAGATCTTCTGCGTGGACGACAATGCATCTTGCAAGCAAAAAACAATAGAGCGATTCCTCCATCCTTCGTTTTTGTTCTGATTTCCGCAATTTTCCGCAACCGGTTACATTTCAAAAACGGTCAAAAGAGGGCGCAACGAGGTCGCAGGTGAACCAGCGGGAGATTCTCGGTGGGTAACAGATGCTATCCTTAGTGATTGATAATCTCTGGCATTTTTCGATAAGGAGTTTATTTTTGCTTTTTTTCGGAAATGCAAAAAATATAGATTTATGTCGATAAAAGATTTGGGGCGATAGTGAAAGGACCACTTTTTTAGCATAATTTCTATGCAAGATAATTCTCAAGTGGTCAAGAGTTTTCTTAACCCGTGAGCTTTCACACCAGAAAACAAAAGTAGCCATTTATTTTTCAATCATTGATTTTCAATGCCAAGATCGTGGTTTTCTTCTGTTACCAAAGCCGAATGCCGTTGATGTTTGAGCATCAAAAAACGGCACCGGCTTAAAATGGTCAGACGGTCTTTTCATTGTCATGCGCGCAGGTAAATTCTTTATGCGCGTTGACTTCGAAAGACAATAATATAATTTGTACGGATGGGCTGTTTCAAAAACAGATATTTAAACGACGGTCTCAGGATGATTTTCTCTCACTTAGAGTTCCGATAAATAACTTTTCGAAATGGCTCGAGACGAATTCTGCTTTGGTTAGTTTCCAATTTTCTGATAGCAGAGATAGATTATTCAAAAGAGATAGAGGGAAGTAAATTTATTTAAGCTAATCCTGAGACCACCACTCACTCTTCTTTGAATCTTCGATGCTCTTTCAGGATCTTCACTACCGCTAATCTTGGAAACATCAATGTCACCGAGAAGACAGTCTGCGAAGGAAAGGTTCAATGCTCTTTCTACCTCTCCGTTTTCGTAGTAAATTTGAAACCTTATGAAAGACGGGCTCTCTGGCAAAGTCCCCAAAGCAAAAGACTCATCTTCATCCTCCGACTAGACATTTCTCCAAGATTTTCGACAACTGAAACTGTCTCCAGTTTATCATTACTTCTAACTAGCGAATCATTTTTAACCAAAATTAACCTTGCCACACATTCAGACAAAAAATGCCAAAAGGAGACGAGATTTGCTTCCCCAACCCAACGGTCAAAACTGTCACTGACTTGGATCTTGACGCGCAAGTTGTTATCAGGACTTCTGTCAAACTGGTGAGCCGAATGAACTTATTCAATTGTATAATGATTACCTTTTTAGATGGACGTCAAAGTGACCCCAAAATGCAATTGAGGCGTTTATCCCTTCCTGATCATTTCTAAACTCTTCCCATCTACATTTTCTAACCATTATTTCTGCAAAATAAACGTAAATTTAGCTCGACAATAAAACCAGATTCATATGAAAACGAGCATCTATCTACTAGTAAGAGATGCTTAACTTTTTATTCAAGGACAGAATCCATTGATGCATATGAGGCCTCAAGAACAGACGATTTTAAATGGCGGTTGATTATTCCAATTAGAATTTCCATTTGGTATGTTTTTGGACCACTTTTGAAGCTTACAGAGAAATTTTAAACCGTAATGTTTTCTTGCTCTGAAGCCATTCCTGGACGAGGTCTTCTTGATGGGCGCGCTCGGCGAATAGGCTCCATGAAGTGATGTCGAAGGACCTCGACTACGTGAACGCTCTCTTGGTCAGGATAGTTGTTCCGGATTTCGATGAAGTTTGACATCAGCTGGTTCAACTCTAATTAATAATGAACATTGAATATTTTAAAGCGGCAAACCATCGAGAGGGAAGAAGTAGCCCCACGATTCGATGACTCCTTCGTTTGATAACTTTGTTGTCACTGTCGGAGTCTTCATATTTTACACTATCAATGTTAAAATGCGGAAAAAGGAAAAATAAACTAAAATATTAAAACCCTCCTAAAAAGCACGCATACGTCGATGTTCCATTTTCTTCCAGCGCTGCCCATTCAGCTGCTATTTTTAGCTTTTCAACGATCAAAAATTTAAACTCCCTGAACACTTGAAATAATAGGATAACTAGGATTTCGACTGTTTCTTTAATTTCGGAAGAAGGACGAAGATTTTCTCTTCCGCATTGGTCTCCAAGTTTGTCTCGTAGGTTCCCCTGTCTTCGGCTGTCGCGTCCCAGACGAGCATCATTGTCTTCTCGTTGATTGCAGCGTGATTGGAATTTTCCGCCAGCCATCTTGACATCTTGACTTCGTCTGACGATCGGATGATTACATCTACTGCATCTTGAAGTCGAAAATTTAGTTTCATCGTTTTAAACATTAAAAGTAGAATACCTTTAAATTTGGTCATAAATTTGACGGCTGAAACTTGAACCGGGACGATTGTTTCCGGTTGACAGACGTACTTTGCAGAATGGCTAAACTTCTGATAATTAATATTCGTGAAGACTTGTTCTACCGTAAAGTGCCGTGGTCCATGTCTTCTATGTCTTTGTCACCAACCAAGAAGTCGATGACGCGCTGCCGATGCTCGAAAAGCTCTTGTTTAGTCTTCAAATGCCGCCCAGAGCGACAGCAGGTCATTGTTGAAATTTCTTTCTCAATGTCTCGCAAGCGCTTCATCAATTTTTCCCTTGAAATCATAGCCCTAGGTTTAGTTTCTCAGATTCTAGCACGGAGAATAAAATTCTTACTGTTCAAACTTTTTCTTAAAGCCCATAAGAAACGCCTTTGTTTCATTCGCATAGTTTCCGATTGTTGGAATGACATCTTCTCCAAATGACACATCATCCAGGTTTCTGTTCAAATCAGAGCCGAAAGAACCTCGAAAATTGTTGAAGGGGACTTTTATTGTAAAGCTAGCACACCTATGGTTTGATCAAGAAGTCTCAAGTCACTGAAAAGCTTGAGAAAGCGCAAGTACGTTCTAGTATGCATTCGAGTCTCATCATTGTCGACTTCAGTCCAGAAGCGATTGTCCAAAAAAGCATCGTTGCCGTTAATGTTCGAGATATTATTAAAGTCGGCGTACTGAATCAGTTGAACACGCGTTTGAGCATGTAACTCACTTGTAGTTCTTTAAATTTGTCGCGGCCAATATGCTCCATGGATGGAATCTGCAAGACGAATTCTGGCTTGTAAGTTGGCTTCGCTCCGTAGCTGTTTCGCGAGATCAATTTCGACGAGTTTTTCTGTGGCAATTTGTTCTCGGCTAAATAACAAAGTGAACACAGACAGTGAGCTGGCGCTTTTCAAGTTTCATTCAGCATCTATCACTGTTTCTTTTTGCCTATTACAGGTTGATTTCTCTTTGTTTTTCTCTATTTGGAGAACCTTTGCTCTTGCTTGTCTTTTTTGGAGCTGCGAATTTCTGTCTCCCCCTTTCCATCATTTCCCAGAAAATGCTTGAAAAGGGCACAGTTCAAAAGAAGAACATACGCAAATTTACCGTAATTGCCTTCTCTTGAAGTAACATTGCGCGGCGAGACAAGAGAGGAACTCATAATTTCGGTTGGAGTCAATGAATGCCTGGACTAAACGGCGAAAGAAGAATTCAGTGAGAGTTGAATATTTTATTCAAGGGAACAATGCTGCAGACTTTTACGTTATTGTGCAAGCAATTTCCTGTTGAGCAGCGCTACTGAATTCATTGTACAGTATTGATGATGGTATCTGGAATTCCGACTATTATCAATTATGGAACTTCGACCAAAGAATTGGCTGCACTTCTAAAAGCTCTTAAGTTTAACCGACAAACTATCAGTAAAAGATTAGAGTCCACGTTAGTGCACTAGAACTGTATTTTCCCAGAATAAATACAAAAGTGCTGTCCTTCCTTGTAGAGCAGCTTCCACTTCTGGAATTAATAATTTAGACTACCTGACGGGTTTGTAGCAAGTGACACAATCAATCGAAAAAAGAGTTTGTGAGTAGCTTCCAAATTTGATCAACTTAATCCAGACACAGTACGTCCCCCGCGCGCAGCAAAACAATATGGACATCCAGAGCGACTACAAGAGGAAATCTTACCGAAAACAGCTTTCCCGACAGGCGAGGGCTTTCAGAACGCAGAGATACTGTAATAACTGTATTTCAAACACGGGCAACTGACAAAAACGATAATCATATACTATTGCCGAGTAAAAAGCAGCATCACGTCCGTACTAAGGTTTTAATAATTAACTGCTTGTAAAGTTTTCCTTGATTTTGTTGGTTTTTCACTATTTTGGGAGAGAAAAAAAGAAGATGCACAAATTCAGAAAATTCTCAATAGGTACTTTTGAATTGATACCTAAATTAAAACGAATCGAGAAGAATTGAAGCTGAAATATGAAATACCGTCATTAGTTTGTTTTATCAAGCCTTGTTACTAGCTGGATGTCGACTAGATGTGAATAATATAAAACTTGTGAATAAAATATCATCAAATTTTAGGAAATGGCTCTGGCTCGTCAGCAGGTCACTCTGATCAAAGTAAAGGTTAGAAGGGATCAGTTTTTCTTAAAGTCAGCGTTCGGGAAAAAAAGCGGATTAATTTGATCGTGAGCCGCCCAGACTTTTAACCCGCTTGCGAGATTCGATCATTCTATTCACAAACTAAGAGGATGGCAGCTTATAGAAAGTCCGAAACAGTCGAGAAAACGATCTACGGACCGGCGAAAATCCATGAGAGGACCTAATGTCTTGAGAAAACAGAGAGCGCTCGACATTTCTATCAACAAATCCATGGAGCAGCGGAACTCAGTTAGGAGGCCAAGGAGGAGTTCTTCAACAGTAGAAGGTGTTCTTTATACTGGCATTTGGGAGGAACTCCAAAAAGGGTCAATGACATTGATGACGACGGCGACCTTGACTTCCAAACCTCCGGAGGAGACAGAGAACTGCACCCATTTATTCGACCTGGACTTTGCACAATTATAATAGGCCGGGCGCACGATTTCGAGGAACACTTGAATATCGAATTGGATTTAAAATGCCTATTTTCGTGAGCCTTTTTCAAGGATTGGATTCGATTTAAAATTGCTCTGAGATTCAACGCGTGAATTTACTTTTTGAACCTTTGAGAGCCCTTACACTACTATTGAGCGCATTCGTCCTCTTTAATATTTCAACAGGAGTACTCGGATCGGCCTGCGCGCGGCTAGCGATACCGCTGTCTTGGTGTCAAACTCTAACAGAAAAACAATTTCAGTCAAGTACTCACTAAAGCCGCGATAATAATAAGAGCGATTCTGAGTTTAATTTGTCGGCTAATGAGTCGATCAAGTTCGGAATTTATTTGTTGCTGGTCAGTGGAGCGATTTTTCTAATTGGACTTGGCGTTACGCTTTGGGCCGCAATTTATGTGAGTTGCGGTTGGTTATGAAAAAGATTATATTTTGGCTTAAAGTTGCTGAAAAATTCGACGCTGGTGAGGAAGTCGTTGAAAGAACGTTATCTCGCCAAACTGATGGAGTGCTCCAAAGGTGACAGGCCAAAATCTTATTGGAAAGAGCTCTTGAACTTGGGGTCATTCTAGAGGCAATTTGGGAAAGCGAGACGATAGAAGCAGGCAGTCAGCTAGTTGTGGCGAACCTGAAGCCGGGATTTTGGTGGTGGATCCGAAACATCGACCGCAAAATGATTAATCAAGCAGGCATGTAGCGTGAGGTGTTCTCTTCTTCAGTTGCAACAAACAAGATGTGTTGTCTTTCGATTTAATATTAACGCCAAAAGATGAAAAGATTCAATATCTATTCCAATCTAGTGTATTTGGATATATCGGACGAAGCGAGCCAGCAGCGGGAGATTCAAGTCAGGGAGCTCTACGTCCCGGACGGAAGTCCAAGGCGAAATTCCTTAAAATCCGAGATCTCGAGGCAGAGTTCTGTTACCTCAAGAAATGAAGACAGGGTTTTTAAATAACGATTCGGGCGGAATTTTATCACAACTATCGAACCCCTTTTTAGAAGTTTCTAAAGAAGTAGAAAGCGTGTATTTCAAACTACCCTTCGAGTAAGCCATATTGAATGATTAAACTTAGAATTTCTCAAATTTGCAGGTATCGCCTAAAGCTCGAAGAAATGGTGCGCGCCGTCGCTTTAGATGGAATTGACAGTAACCAGGTGAACGTAGGCCAGTAGTCAGCCCCGCTCAATAATGAATAGACGCAGAGAAGAGCATGTCGGTGTTGGAATGATAAGACCGATTTTGTCTCGACTTTCGACATCGATCAGCTCTACCTTTCAGTTCAGAAGCCAAAATGAAGAGAATTTCAAAGATGATTCAAAAATTGTATATTTCTGTATTGATAAAGATTTACAAAAAAAGAATGAATTTCAATTTCAATTAAAAAACTCGCTCATAGGACAGGCGAAACGATCTGAAGCATTTTGGTTTTGCAGTCGAACGACGCCTTTGAGCGATGATGGTCGATTTGGAGCTCTTGAAGCCACATTTCCAAGAAGTAGAGGCTGGGCGTGGCGACGAGCTTGACGCAGTCTGGATTCACTTGGAGAGTCAGCGCGCTGCTGGAATGTAGTCGGGGCAGTTTCATTGATACTTTGATGTTGTGGCCTTCGCGGCAGACTTCGATGTCTGAATAGTGGCTTTTGAGGACAGATTCTAGCAATGGTCTCTCTCGAGTAGAAGGGAAAGACATTTTGCCATCGAATTTTCTACTTCTCGGTTACCTTCTGGGTATTCTCCTCTGCTCTTAACTTCCTCCATCTTCGGATTCTTCGAGCGTTTTCGAATTCGCTGCAGCGCAGGTTTTCCCATTGCTTTTCGATTCTTCAGCATCACCCAGTTTCTGTCGCAATCGAGCCTAAAAAGAACAATTTACTCAATAATTCCATTCAACAAGAAAACTCACCCATATTTATCCTCGAGTCCTTGGATGGCGACTGAAATTAAGAATCCGATTTGATACGTGGCGTTTTCTTCTTGCAGTCGCAACAGGTAGCCTTTATTTACGACGATGTCGAATACGTCGCACTCATTTCGTTTGTTGTCTTTTTCCACTCTTAAAATTTGTAAGTAAGCTTTTTTTTACTCCTTTCAAAAGCTCTAGCAGCTGGGCTACGCGGCTTTTAATTAAATCTTTTTCTTCACTTTTTAAATCGTCACCTCTTTTCTCCAAGGGAAATGGGAACTCGGTAAGTGACCGTCAGATTGTCCCTTTCAGCTTCTTCCACTCGTCGCTGGAGTTCCGTTTCGGTGATTGGCGGCGGACTGGGAACGGCATCGTCGTAGCAAATGTTCAGAAACACTTTTGTTGCGTCAGGCTTTAGGTGCTTCGTCTTGATGCAGAATAGAGGCGTCGGAGTTACTATATTTTTAAAATTAATTTATATTTCGAAAGTTACTACCGATGGTTTTTGCTCTTATACCAAGAAGCGCCACCACTATGAGTCTCGAGACATTCGATTGGCTACACCAAAAAACGCTTCATTTTTAAATTTCGGGGTAAAAATCAAAACCATCGGTATTTTGTCAGATTGACTCACTTTCTGAGTATTCCTCTTGTTGCTTTTTCGTAAAGTTGAGTTTCTTTTCGAAATCGGACATTTCCACCTCGTGCATTTCATTTTGCTGCGTCCTCTCGCCGATTTTGTACAGCTCCTCCATCCTCTTTCCAGTCGCCCTTGATCTCTGAAGCCTGGGGCTGTGCGCGCGCGCTGATTGGCCGCTCGTCTCGTCTTCGGAAAAGAAAAAGGAAAGTCCTGAAGAGGAAGAGGAGCAACGCTAGAAATAGCCGCAGCAGAAAAGATGTCACGTAACGGAGGCGTGAACGAACGATTGCTCGAATCGGAGAACAACAAATTATCCGATCAGCTGGCGCGCAAGATCTCAACCCTCAAACAAATCTCAATAGACATGAAGGTATCCGAAATCGCAAAAAGAGATCGGTCTCGTAAAAATTTTCATATAAAAACTGGTCCAGCATTTCCATTTTTCGCCTGTTAGAGTCAAAATTTTGGTTCAAAAGTGCACTCTTTTCCGACAAATTTCGTTGAAAAACGATAATATTCGGCTAGTTAAGGGGGAGGTCGACGAGAATCGGGATTTTTTCAACCAAAATTCCGGAAAAACTAGCTTTGAATGAAAAATTCTGATTGTTCAGGTGAGTAGAAAAGGGTTTGAAAAATACAGCGGCGAAAACTAGAAAAAATTTTGTCCAGAAAAAATGGGCGTAATCGTGTCTCAAAGTGGACCCCAAATCGCAATTTTGGCAATTTTGCGATTTTATCGCTATTTTTTTTATGCCACATTTGGTAATGAAGTGCACGAAATTCCTGCAAAAACTCGTGAAACTCGTTGCCGCTGTCTTCTAAATACCCTTCTGTTCTCACCTGATAAGTCAAAATATGTTTACAGAATCGGGTTTTTCGGGAAAATTGGTTTAAAAATTCCGATTCTTGTCGACCCGCCCCTTAAAAGAAAACCTAGGTCAGGGTCTGGGAACTATGCGGCCTTCCGCTGGAGATTTTTCAGGTCCTGACTCAGGTTTTCTACACAGGTTGCCGAACCCAGATCAGTAAAGTTACTGCTTCTAGATTTCCTCGCCGGAAATTTGTTATTATAGCTGTTATATAAAGACCTAATTTATGTTAAAAAGATGATAAATTTTTCTTTTTCAATGGATGAATTCTAAATATCTTAAAATCAGAACGACGTTGATGGCGACCTGAAGTACTTGGACAACATGGGATCCGATTTAGGAAGTCTTGTCGATCGACTGCTTCCAGGAACATCGAAACGCTTCTCAAAAATGATGGATACTCGGTACAACAAATTAATCGTCTTTATAAAAATTAAAAATCGCTTTTTTAGTGGAAACAAGAAAATAATGTGCTACACAGTCGGCTTTCTCGTCTTTGGCTTCGTGCTTTTGCACTATTTGATATCCTACAGGACATAGATTATTTCCAGCCCCTTGGAAATCGACACTACTGGAACTTACAGTTCGTTCTGTTTAATTAATTACATCTCTACTTTTGAATTCTTGTTCAACGGAAAGAAAGAAGACTCAACATTTTCAACCCCGTTTTTCGTGTTTCTCAGCATTGTGCAATATTTTCAACCTTTCAAGCAGCGTTTTATTTCATAAAATCCTCCTCTTTCTCTTTTTCTCGGATCCTCTTTTTCCGACTTTCGTTTATACTTATTTACCTGCTATTTTCTGGCTTTACTTAAAATATTCTTAATCTTTACATTATGATTATTAACCATTTTCGATCTTTTAGGAGTGTAAGCTTGAGAAAAAGCGAGGATGCAGTGCAACTTGAAAATGATCGACCCAAGTGGCAAAGGACTTTGCGACTGCGAACGCCCAGCGAATTCCCGAAAGTCCATCAAGTTCCAAGTCGTCGTCAAGACAATCTGCCCGCTTCATCCAGAGACGCTATATTTCATCCAACGCGCCTCAATGATGCGAGTGCCAATCGAGCTCATTCCTTACAATCACAGAGAAATCTCCCTCTTCAACAGTAGGGTAAAAACTGGGTCGCTAACCTGTGTAGAAAACCTGAGTCAGAGTCTGGAAGATCTACAAGTCGGCTTTTCTAAAATCGAAGCCGCAGAGCGGCTTCGCTGAAAACGCCGTAGGAAAAGCCCTACAAGGGATCCCTACTTCCTAGAAACTACCATCAATGCCAGTCTACAATAACTTTCAGAAAATGGCTGCGTGCGTGAATGTAACAGACCATCCGGTGATAAGACGAGCACTGAATGATTTGGGCGACTACTCGGCGGGCGAATGCGCTAGAAACAAGCTCTTAGCGCGACAGCTGCTCGCTGAAAATTTGCGAAGATACGTGCTCTTCTCCCTTCATAACGGAAAACTAGAAAAGCACTGGCGAGCGCAGTTGGAAACTTTTCTCAGAATGGGTCCAAAAGGTATCTTTTTCGTATTCTGCTTAGCTAAGTTCTTTATTCAGTCAAATTATTTGACTACTCTCGCGACGGGGTGATCGCCTTCCATTGGAGCTCACAGCCAAGAGAACGCTTGGAGAAAAACGCATTCGAGGATTTGGCAGCGCTCGAACGACTCAAGGTAAGATTTATTAGCGAAATACAGGTAAATAGTTATTGAATTCTAGCGCTACGAATACTTCGGCGGGGACGAGCCCGATGTAATCGACTGCGAAATTGCAGCAACCCTTCTTTGGTTGGCGCACGAGAAAGACACGCGCATCTCAAAAGCGCTCCGAAATTCGCGAATGTGGTGCCAGTACTTGCGACGAATGGAGAAGATTTTAACCCAAGCCAATACCAACTGCCAAAACCTAAGCCTTCGCCTCATTCATTGCAGTGCTGGCAGCCTCTTTGAAATCGCCATCAAATACACTCCCACCGCCTTTATCCTCAGCGGACTTGCAATCGCGCTGATTGCTTGCTTCAGAGGAGCCAAACTGTAACTGTTGCAGTGTTGAAATTCATCCTCAAGCAGCTTTAGTCAAGCTTATATTTTATCTATTTATTTATTCACCAAAGTCTATCTCTCATTTTTTTACCTGAAAGCCAACAAGGACTCAAACTATTTTCATAATAACTCCGATTTTCGGTATTTTGTTTTTAGATAGAAAAAAGAGCGTTTTGTAAAGATGTTTATGACAAGGTCAGAATACGATCGAAGCGTTAATTCCTTCAGTCCTGAAGGCCGTCTTTTCCAGGTTAACAATCCTTTTCATTTAAAATCGTAAAATGATTTCAGGTCGAGTATGCGATCGAAGCTATCAAACTGGGATCCACTGCTATCGGCATCCATACTAAAGAAGGTAGTAACGAGTTCTCGAGTTCTCGTAAGAAAGTCGTCTTTTAGGTTGCGTTCTCGCCGTTGAAAAAAGAATTACTTCGCCTTTAATCGTCCCTACTTCTATTGAAAAGATCTTCGAAGTCGACAAGTATGATGAAAAAAACGCAATTCAACAACTTTATTAACTTCATCTTGTTTAGGCACGTTGGCTGTGCCATGTCTGGTCTTATCGCCGATGCCAGAACCATGATCGATCGAGCACGAGTTGAAGCCCAGAACCACTGGTAAAAAACCGAGAATAAAACAAATACTTTATGCAATCTTAATGACTAAGGTTCACATTCAACGAGCAAATGAAGGTCGAATCTATCACTTCAGCGGTCTCCTCGCTGGCCCTCGCTTTTGGAGAAGGCTCTTCGTCAGAGAAAACCATGTCCCGTCCATTTGGTGTTGCTCTTCTCTTCGCCGGCGTCGATAAGAACGGGCCAAGGTAGTGACAGTTTTTCGAACAAAGAAACAAATCAGTTCCCTTCTTCAGCCTTTACACTCTCGATCCGTCCGGAACGTATGTTCGCTGTGACGCAAAAGCCATCGGCAGCGGCGCCGAAGGAGCCCAAACATCCCTCGGCGAGTTTTATCACAAGGACATCACCTTGAAAGAAGCCACTAAACACGCGCTCACCATTCTCAAGCAGGCAAGGACGCAACTCTTGCTCTAATCTCTTTAATCTTTTTTCTGTTTAGGTGATGGAGGAGAAGCTTACTGCCAAAAATATCGAGCTCGCCCTTGTAACCGCCGAAGACGGATTCAAAATTCTAAAAGAAGACGAAGTCAAAGCTGCTGTCGAGGAAGTTTAACACGAAATTTAATATCAAAATATGCTATATAAAAATTTGCAATTTTCAATTCCCTTTCCCTTTTTATTTTCTGCCGAGTTCTGACTAGTTCAACAAAAACTCTTCAAGATCGTCGCTAGTGATACATGTAATAGATACAGACACGTTTTGTTCAAAGAAAGAAAACATACAAAATACATAGACTCATATTGTTTTTTCGTGATTTAGATGAAATGACAGCTTTACGATTGAATTGCCGCTGGAGCGGCGGAAGACAGAATCTCGAAGGGATAACTGCAGAGACTACCCTTGAGGATCTCATCGCTCAGATATGGTCTCTGTCGGGAGTCGAGCCTTCCGACCAGATCCTTCGTTCTGGCTACCCTCCTACCCTAATTGACATGCAAGATCTCTCCGTCAGTTTGTCGACAGCTGGTATCACCAATGGCTCCCTGATTGCCGTAGAAACTAAATCCAAAAAAGAGTTCCAAACTGACGAAACTCCAATAGTAGATCTAACCAAAGCAGAAACTGCTTCCCAATCGAAGGTTAGTTGACGAATGCTGAAGAAATTTTGGCAAGATTGATCGATTAGAAAAGTTCAGGGATGCGGCGATTCGACGTTCCAGGCGACAATCACTGCTTGTTCTATTCGATTTACTTCTTGATGAACGAGGGCGTGCTCGAAAAGTCAAAGGCGCGGCAGCTGCGCGCTACCGTCGGCCAATACGTGATGCAGCCTTCAAGCAGCTTCACCGAGCTGGTACTTGGGAAGCCGCAGGACGACTACGCCGCGTGGATTCAATCCAACAACAGCTGGGGCGGAGCAGTCGAAGTGAAAATATTCAGCAATCTTTATCGCGTCGAAATTCACGCGGTCGACATTATGACCGGCCGAATCGACAAGTACAACGGTGGTAAATATCAACAGAAGATTTTCTTGCTGTACGATGGAATCCACTACGACCCGCTTTACTGGGAGTTTGAAGAGCAAGGATTGCCAAAGCAAACTGCCTTTCAATCAGATGACATGACCTCAGAACTTGGCGCTGTTGAAATCGCCAGAGTTCTTCAAGGTAACTTTCTAGTCCCTTTTTGCTTGATGATGATCGTTTTTAGCTGCTCGACAATACACCGATGTTTCAAAGTTCAGCATAAAATGCGAAGTCTGCGCGAAATATCTCGAGGGCGACAGAGAAGCCGCTTTACATGTTCAAGAAACTGGTCACATGCAATTCGTGGAAATTTGATGCTTTCTCTCTTGAATTAATTGATAATACTCTATCCATTTTCCCTCCTTTCTTTTTCAAATAAAAGTCCATTTTTTCAAAAATGAATAGTCTCCAACATCGGCAAATAAACATGTATTAAAATCACATCACCAAAAATGATTGAATCAAATTAGTTTTTCTCCATTCGTCTCATAAGCACAAAGAAGTCACCTTCTAAATCTACGGATAAACAGTAGAAAACAGTTAACAAATATTTGTCTGTTTCTGTCCTTCTTCTACACGGCTATAATTATACTCAACAAGCAAAAAAGCCCATAATTTGTAAAAGCGTCTTTGAAGTTTGGTAAAATGCAAAATTATTTTTTATAGAAGCTGTCTCGAGTCGGTGGACTCGTGTTTCCTGTGTGGCAAATTGACGGAATCGGTAGCATCTAATTCAAATTCGAAAATTGGCTCCACAATTCGAGAAGAGAGGAACTAGCTCATGCAGTTCGATGGGGAGGCGCATCATCATCCGCAGCACCACCACGCCCACGCTACGGCAGCTCACCATATGAACCCGCACATGAGCAACGATGCGATATACGACCGCTTCCGCAAGTTAGGCAATTGGGAGCGGATAGACTTCATGTGCGGCCTGCTCGATCTGTGTCACCCCTTCGAGGTGCGTTATCTCGGCACGTTTATCGAAGAACTGCGTAGAAAAGACTACGACACGCTGAAAAAGTACGAAGATAAGGCAAACACGGGGGACAACCCGCCCAAGGACTTTCTCAATCTCGAGGATAAATCTGTTCGTGCTAACTTGGTCATTTCCCTCACTTTATTATCCTCAAAAAACGAGAAAGGTAAGTTAGAACCACTAACGAGCAGTTTGTTTCATCTCAATCTCAGTCGCTTCGGTTATATTCACTATCCTGCACAATTTCATGGAATCATACATTACCCACTACCACAAAGACGGAGCCGCCCTTCAAGAGTACCTTCTCCTGCTGATTCTAGCTGTTTCCCATCCCGCCTTCACTATTGAGCAAAAACAGTGCCTAAGGAGGCATATAGACAATTTAAGATCGAACGACTCAAAGTAAGCTCATCTCTATCTCCCTAAATCTAACCAGCTGTTCAGTTTTTATCCTTTCCCGAGAGCGTTGAATGCGCAACAGAACGCGGTGGATAGCATTCACCGTCAGCGATTCAACGACACTAAAGATAATTGCCACGCTACTGCTGCCAAGCTCAGCGAGATAACACTGAGAGTGTCCGACTGCGCGAAGAGGCTGCAGGATGGAAGACAAGAGCCACTGATGGAGGACGAGATTATCCTACATATAGACGTCACCTGGAGTGATAACCGAAAGAATGAAGTCCTCAGGAGTCTAAACGAAGTTTCCATACTCGAACGAGATATGAGACACGAACTTCTGGGAATGGAAGATATGCAAGGCATGAAGGAACTCTCTGCTGAGCTGCAGCAGACCTTTTCAGTTTTTAGAGGTTTGATCTTGTACCTTTTGCCCTTGTTACCATCCTCGTTTTAGATATTATTCCATCACAGTTCAAAAATGATCCGCCGGCGGACGTTAAAAGCGCGCTGCATAAATTTATCAAGTAAGCTAGCGATGCAGCTTTTCAAAGAAGCTAACGACTTCTAGTGATTTAACAAAACTGCCTCGCGAAGTCTTGGACCAAATGTACATGCGTCGTTTCTTGGGGCGGATGGATTCGCGGACTGAGCAACAGAGTCGTGGTATACAAAATCGAGTGCCAGTGCCGCGAGAGACGGGTGATATCATTGAGGAGCTATCGTCAAATCCTTCGCATCAAACCGAAGAAAGCCAAGTCTACTGGTGGCTCAAGTTTCACAATATGGACAAATACTTCACATACTTTAAAGGTGCTTGTGGCTTGTTTATTGGTCTTAACACGCAAGGTTCAGATATGAAGCTGAATGACTTAGTGACGAATCCAACGGAAGCGTTCCGAAGAAAGAATCGGCAAGAGATGCCAGAGTGGATCAGAACTCGCGTTAAAAACATTATTGCACATACAACTAGGTAAATACAAGCATTTGACAAAGAAGTGGGCCAATGAGTGTGTGAAGAAACATTACCGAACGTGGATTTTGAGCTAACCCGGGACGCTTTTCTCTGATCGTCTTTTATAAAAGTGTAGATTGCTGATTTTCAATTGAGAGTGCAATGTGTGATTTATTCGCTATTTTTATTTATAAACGCTGCACCCGGCCAGGCCATTTAGCTATGCGTTATCCACCCCCATTCATCATCCTCCGAGCCTGCCTGTCTTCTATCAGCCTCCAGGAATGACTTCAAAGGCGTTTTATCGATATTTTGCGTTGTAGGCAGAGAGAAACAAATCAAGCCTCTTTGTTTAACGGAAAATGAAGTCCTTTGCGCAGCGTTTGATCAGATCGTCCATCCTCAAATTGCCGAGATATCGATGGGTACTCTCAAATGGGTGCTCGAATAGAAAGTTTTTATAAAGTGTTTATTTTACTTCTTGCATGACGATTTTTGCACCATTAACCCAGTCCTGAACGGTCTTTCCGGCCGATCTGTATGGCTCCGCCACGTTTAAATCACAATCAGCCAAGAGAGTCCACTAGGGAGTCCTCGCCAAATTTGGAATGGCTCAAGGAGCAATTGGACATATTTGCGCCGGACGACGAGGAAGTTCACCGTCCCATCGAGAGGATAAATCCCGATTTAGTGCGGGTTGACTTGCCCAAAATTGACTCGCGGGAGGAAATACTCACACACTCATTGAACCTGACTTTTGGTTCATTACCAAAATTTGATCACAATTTTACTCAAAGGACGACGAGTTCGAGAACGCCTCAATCACCCGACCCTGACGATCTAATCTCTCATCGTAAGATCTCATTCAAAAAAATATATATTGAGTGCCTTGTTTAGATTCGGATGACGAGTATCAGAATGACCGTAGAAATCACAAGGACAACTTGTTGTCGCACTCGACATCAGCTCCCAACATCGGAAACTACAGGTTACATTTGGGTTTCTGGAGTGAGAGATCTAATCCAACTACCCCCAGGAGTCGACAAGGCGAAGATTCCTCGGATGAGTCTAGATCGACTTCGCAACAGGACTCGCGCCCGTCGAGCTCCCGTGACCAGGACGGTCGAAGAGTCGTCGAAGACGCCGCTCGCCAAATGCCCATGATGAACGGGCCTCATCCAATGTACAATCCTCTTCATAATCAGCAAAGAAACGTTTCCAACGCTGTCCAGCAGCAGCCTCAACAGCAATCCCAACAAGCACAACAGCAGCAACAAGCTCAGCAATCCCAACAAGCTCAGCAAGCTCAGCAACAACAAGCTCAACAGCAGCAGGTAGCCCAGCAGCAACAGGCTCAGCAACATCAACAAATGATGGTAAGAAATCTCGAAAGCCTGTCTTTATCACTAATGATGTTTATTTTAGATGGTCCAGAATCAGCAAACTCTAACAGCTTTCCAGCAGGCTCAAGCTCAGGCAGAAGCTGAACGCCACAAGATGAGCGTAAGGGTAATTACCATCAGTCCAGTCTTTTAACTGAAATGTAGCAGATGAACCACGCAAGTGATCAAAGTCGGCAAATACCAATCTCCTTCCCGAACGTAGCTGGACAACCTGGAATCCCAATGCTTCCTCCACCACTTGTGGGCGGCCACCGCCCTCAGCACATGACAATAAACGGTAGCGTTTATTGTCAATAAGCCCGTCTAAATGGAGGTTTAGGTTATCCTATGTACGCGATCAATCCTGACGGGCCGAATCTGCCACAGGTGCTCCAGCACCAATTGCAGCAACAAATGCAGCAAATCAGCATTGACCAGCGGAACCACCCAGGCAACTTCCCAATGCCTTTCCCGCAAATGCCGATGCCGAACTACACACATAACTTGCAGCATCCGCCTACTTCTCAGCCCCAATCGCAACACATGAGACATCCCTTCTCGGACCCAAGGCATCAGAACAACAGAATTAAGGTACCAAAGTATCCGAACTATTTGGACTGTTGATTAACGCTATTCACGTTATATTTATTCAATTGATTCCAAGGCAAAATATAAATCAACTTCCCCGTTAAGCACCAAGGAGGAGGGAAGAAGTCGTCGTGCTATCGATGCGGCGGGCAAGGACACCAGGCGCAAGACTGTACCGAACAAGTAAGACCCCAAGCCGGGCCCGAGGAAACCGATTACGGACTCAAATTCTCTGCCCAAAACCCCAATCAGAACCCTCTTGACCGCGTTGAATCTCAGAACCAGCGCAAACAGGTTGAAAATTGATAAGCCTGGTCGTTGATCGAAAGAAAAATACTGAATCCAACCATGCCCGATCACCAACTCACAATGTTATGTAACCAAAAAAGAACAAAAAAATGAAAAAAAATCTGCTAAAATCGAGAAAAAAAAGCGAAAATCACTACTGCCACTTTTATTCACAACCGAGTTATTAGCGCCATCGAACTGTGGCACATCATTAGGTTAAGTCGGCCTGGACGATTCTCCAGGCTGTGTATTCTTGTCGAAAGTATTCGAGATTTGCTTCTATTGAAGGACTACGTTAATTTGCTCAATGATGTTACAGCTTATCGGCAACGATAGTGAATTTCTCCTCCCCATTTACCTGAACTCCTTTTCCCTCTTTTACTCCTTTAGTTTTTATTCAACTGTCCTGAATGTTCATCCAGCAACGTTATGATCAATTTTATGCTCTCCTTTATTCAACTTCTCATTTGTCCTGCTCCGCCCCCATTCCGCCTTCCATAGCGATGTGCTATCCAAGGCGCCTCTCGGAAATCGTTATTACTGTCTCGTGATGAATCTATTCCGACAAGCGCGAAATATATGAATGATTGGAGTCATTCACCAGCGCCCTCGGTACTCTTCCTTGCTATCAACTTGAAATCCGAAGCTAGCTTTCTATAATTCAAATTAACTCCCCGATTCCCGAACTTGTAATTTATGCATCAATCTCTTCTGACGCTGACCAGTTTTATCATCGTATTTGCCGTCGGTTCTAAGTGATGAAACGTATTTTCACATTTTCCCAAGTTTCCAAAGTGTCCAAAAGTTCACACTTGCATTTCTTTTTTTACAAATTGAAACTGACTAAAAATATAATAATCAAATAGCGCATATCTGGTTAAAATGTAAAAAAAACGAAACTGAATTAAAGTCATCTGTTTTCGAGAAAAAGTGGGAAACCCAAAATTTTGAAAGCCACAAAAAAAGATGAAAAAGAGTTTCAGGAAAAAGGCTTTTCCCCGGAACTGGGGCGACTGGATGATTTTCTGAAAGGAAAAAATATGGAATAATGAATGATGTGTTTTCAAGCAGATGCGTGCTCTATTACCCTTTTTATGTTATCCTGTAAATAATTAATATATTTTATTATTATTATTATGTTGATGCCGATTTTAAAAGTGGCACAAGTCGCGTTATTATTCTTTAACTCTTCGGAAATACCCTTTTCGAGCAAGTGCACTCCTGAATCCTAATTTTCGCTACTTTTGCTAAAAACGAAGAAATAAGAAAAAAAGAACAAGTCGGAATTCGTGAGCCAGGAAGTTGCCATTTCATGTTTTCGAGTTCTAGCGCAGGGCTCGGCAATCTGATCTGACTCAGGACCTGTTTCATGAGTTTTTGCACGTTTCCTGAGTGCCTGATGAAAATAGACCCTATTTTTGAGCTAGATCTAAGTCCTGAGTAAAATTCCAAGTCAGATTACTCTGACCTGAGTTCTGAGTCAGGTTGCCGAGCCCAGATTCCGACTTGCGAAGTTCATTTTCTGGATTCACTAGTTTTGCCAATGTCATGTATTTCCCAATTTTTTGTTAATATTTTCGACATGTATTTTCTATTATACAAAGTTTAACAAAAATGTAAAAAAACTTCAAAAAAATAAAAAAGTGAAAACGCTCAACGCGGTGAACAAAATTCAAAACGTAAATTACTCTAGTACTGTTGATTGCAACTTACACGTTACAGTATTTGTCCAGTTCGAACTTCGAATTTATAATTTTACGATTCTTCATGCTTCTCCGATGCACGCTAAAAATTAGGCCTGTGCCAGATCCTCTTTACTGTGATTCTTCTTTAAGCAAATGAAATACATTACAAACGTCCCTGACTTTTAGCGTGTGTGTCTTTTAATCCTTTCAATGCCCTGTAGCAACAGCCTTGCTGCTTAATTATTATCTTAAAAATGATCTTTTAAAAAGCGCCAGTCCATTTCTCCGCGACTCGGCAAAGCTACAAATTATAAAAATTACAAAACTTCTGAAAATCCCAAAAAAATTACAAAATAAATAAAATAAAGTAAAAATCTTCAAAACAACAAAAACTTCCTTTTCGCTGTATTTCCAGTAAATTGCTTCAGACTGTTTTGCTTGGCAGGAAAGATTCGGAAATGAAATAACCAAGCCCACTCGCCAATTATTTTTTTTCGCCCGCTCGAGTCAGTAGCTGAGAGAGATGGCACCGCAGTCAAAATCGCAAAATGAGAAGCACAAGATGATCCTCGCCCAGCTCCTCCAAAAGGAAGAAAACAAGTATTGCGCCGACTGTGGCACCAAATCGCCAAGGTAGCATAAAAACTTTGAAGAGAAAAATAAACGTATTCGAATTTGCAAGATGGGCAAGCTGGAACTTGGGCATCTTTATGTGCATCCGGTGCTCTGGAATTCACCGAGGAATGGGCGTCCACATCTCCAAAGTGAAATCTGTAAATTTAGACACATGGACGCCAGAGCAAATGCAGGTATTACTATCGCCGATTAATAGAGTACAACTAGTTTCTTTTTAGAGCATATGTTCAAAAGGAAATGAATGGGGGAAGAACTATTATGAGGCGAACTTGGCGTCTTCATTTGCTCGACCAGGTGAGAACTAGTCCTCTAAGCTCTATTGATGATCCTGAGTCAGGAACCCGAAAAAAGCCGCTTCTGATGCGAATCAGCTCTTTCATGATCCTGACGCAGGTTTCTACCAGTTGGTTTCCGAGCCCAGTCCTTTTCTGCTTGGCCTAAAGAGTCATCTTTATTATCAACAAAAATAATTTTTTTTTCAAGTAAATGACGACAGCAAAATGGAAAGATTCATAAGAGAGAAGTACGAAAGAAAAAAGTACTGCGCCTCGAAGCCGCCAGCATTGAACTCTGTCTCACTGTCAACTGCCTCTTCTAGAACTGTAAGTGAAGCTGTTTGTGTTGTGAAACAATGTCTAAAACGTAGTCAAATCAGCAGAGGCAGCAAGTATCCGTCCCATTGCCAAAGCAGAACGCGACCAGAGACACGGCCACTTCAGGTTAGCCAAAATCAAATTAATCAATTTGAAACGCGCTATTTTGTAGCAATTCCAAGAGCGCGAGGGGCCAGATCAGGCGTGACATCCCCAATCGAACAGATTGGCAACGGTATTCCACAACAAGCAACTGCCCAGCAAGCCGCTCCCTCGGTAAATTACTGTAAAATCCGTATTATGAATCCAGTATACTTACTTTGGAGCATAATCGATACTTCGAACGAAACGTCGGTCGTTTCTAGAATGCACTTTTGGCAAGCTCTGTTTTTAGTCGTCCGGCTTTGACGATTTACTTGGACTTGGATCCCCAACACCAGCAGCTCCAGTTCAAGCCGCCCAGGTTCCCGTCGCGTCTACTCCAAGGTATTCTCTTTCTTTCTATTAGCAGATTATGATATAGCTTGTAGCGCGGCCGATGATATCTTCGGTGATTTCACTTCTGCAACTGGCGAGCCAGCTACCAGTGCTCAGCCTGCGGCTGCTGCTCAGCCAGCCGCCGCAGCAGTTGATTCTGGCAAGAAATCCAATGCAGATATTCTAGCACTGTTTGGAGCGGCCCCTGCTTCAGCTCCTAATCCGATGCAAGGATTTGGAATGAACCAACCCAATCAATTCGGCGCACCAATGCCCCAACAAGGTGGCTTCCCCCAGCAAGGATTTCAGCAGCAGGCCTTCCCTCAACAAAGCCCTCAAGGATTTATGCAGCAGAGTCCACAAGGCTTCGCCCAGCAGGCTCAGCCTTTCGGAAACCAAGCTGGCTTCGGTCAAGCTCCTCAGCAACAAGCTTTCAACCCGATGCAAGCTAATCCAATGGGTCAACCAATGAATAACATGGGTAAGTCTACAAGTCTGTCAGCGAGTTCAAATTTTAATCAAATTATCAAACAGGCTCCTTCCAAATGGGAAATCAATTCGGCGGTCAACAACCATCACAAGCTGCCTTCAACGCGGCCAATCCCTTCATGAACTTATCAAATGCAACGCCACAGCAACAAATGTCTACACAAAACTCTCTCGATCAAGTAATTATGCATATACTCTCAGCATTGTTCAATCCTTTTTAAAGTTGAACATCGGAATGGGAAATCTGACGACGAAGCAATCGCAGCCAAACTCCAACCCTTTTGCATCGATGGATCAAAAGCCAAACCCCTCCGCTGCTCAGAACAGTTTGAATTCTCTCAACATTGACCTTTTCGGGTAATCAATAAGAATGCTTCAACTTTTCGCCAAAGCAAGCACGCAGTTAAAAATGCTTTCCGTTCATCATTTTTATTTTCCTTTCTAAATCTTCATGTCTGCTTTAATCGAATCTATTCCCCGTGACCATACTTATCCTTTCGTTTTCTTGAGAAGGTCGTTCTTCTTTCCAGTATATATTCCTTTTTTCCTTCGTTAAAGAGACTCCTTTAGTATCAAGTACCTTAATGACTAAATGACGAGTGTGCAATTGAATGTTTAGCAAAGTAAGTATTATTTTCGTAAGGTTCTCTACCTGCTATTATCCTCCTCCCGTGTCGACCATGTAATCGACCATTGGGAGTATTCTTTTTCTACGCTGTTTCCCCGGGAAATCTTCCAAGTTCAAGAAACTATAGTTCATAATTCACTATCTCTTCATTTGCCGCGCTTTAGATTGTTCTAAAGTCGATGTCGGACACAATGATAAGAAACCACGATGGCCGCTTCAAGAATATCGTCAAAGCAACCGATCGCCCCAAAAGCATCTCTGGCTTCTTTGCCAAGATCTTCCTTCCAAAGGACTATCCCAGATCCGTGTCTGAAGACTACACCCGATACCAAATCTGGGACTCGGCACAGGCGTTATGCTCATCCGTCACTGGGGCTTTGGCGATTCATTCCGTATTCCAAGGTATAAATGAGTCTCTTCTCAAGAAGATTTGAGTATTTCCATCTCTTCAGGCATCGGAGTTGGTGACAGTCACGCTTCCTCTCTCTCCGCCACGACTAACTGGATTGTTCGGGATGGAATAGGCAAGATCGTTTCGATCTCTTTCGCCTACTACAAAGGGTCTCAAATTGACGCCGATTGTAAGCGCTTCCGGCTCTTCGCTGATGTCGTCAATGATGTGGCCCTAACATTGAACATTATCTCTGCTGTTTTGCCACCAGGAGTTCGACCGTACATTTATTGTATCACCTCTTGCTGCTGGGCGCTCGTTGGTGTCGCTGGCGGCTGCTCACGGACCGCAATGACAATTCATCAGGCGCGACGGGATAATGCTTCCGATGTTCAAGGTAATCTTATTTTATTTTACGGCTGTCTCGAATAAGCTGGTATTCAGCAAAGGACCAAAGCCAAGAAACACTCGTTGGACTAGTTGGACTTGTATTCAGCTACTTTCTTGTCCCTCTGGTAACGACGACCGTGTTCAATTCGTGCTTGACTTTTGTCGCGTTCACCTTTCTGCACATCCTCTTCAACTGGCTGGCAGTTAGGTCGTTGAATATGGATGTATTCAACGTCACTCGTGTGCGAATTCTCATCGCACACTACTTGAAGACCTGTGATATCATCTCTATCCCGGAGATAAATGAACAAGAGCCAATAATTATGAACTATCCACAAACCGCCGAAATAATTGTTGGAGCAGTGTATAACCCACGCAACCAGATCTATTTCGAAAACAACTCTGGTTTTGTATCAAGGAAAAGGTCACGCTCATTTTACTATTATCATCACTGTCTGAAAGACGCTTGTCTTGCATACTAACAAATACTTACTTTTACGTGGCGATGTTTTATTTGCTTGTCCCTTCTTCAAAGATCGTACGACGAAGGACGACCCATTCTTGTCCATCTCTTCGAAGAGAATACCAGCGACGAGCTTTTGAGCTCGTCGCCTCAGCCGCTTACCTGGAACGCGATATAAAACCGAATGTCCACAAGATCAAGTCGCTCAAAGACAAAGTTGTATGCGCCAAGTACAACCTAGAGCGAAATCATTTCGCTCCCAACCGACATAGAGTCCTCAAGCTCCACTAATTTTCAAGAACATTTCCAAAATATTTATTTTTATCTTCTGTACTAGTATAGCTAAAGCACATCTGTAGCCAATTTTGCTCCAAGCGTTCGTTAATTTATTTATTGATAAGTTCTGTTAGTTCAATCTTTTTTCAAAAATGACACTGTCGAGTAGTATTTTAAATTGCTATTCAATAACGATTTGCGTTTAGATGCGCCTGAGTCAAATTGACTGGCCACAAGATCCCGCAAGATGTTCGTTTCTGTGTACTCGTCTCAAGGAGCGCGAAGCAAACCCGATTTCCTTCGATAATAAAGGTAAAAATAGTGGATAAGAAAAAGGAAATCGATCATCATTTTTTAGTTAAATTCTGGTCGGATATATTCGCATGCTATTGTGTGGAATTGCTAGCACTCTCCTTCGATATCGACGATATGAAGAACTTTGTTCAGAGATTAGATGAAAACGTGGAATCATTCGTGCCAGTCTGCCTGGATCAAATCCTGGAAGTGGCCGCTTGCAAATGCATAAAAAAGGTTGACTACGAGAAAAATCTTTCCTGGGGATCGTGGACCATGTCAATCATCTCTTCTCCGGTTTCGGCCATGTCTAGATTCAGGTACCATTGATAGAGATACATAGAGGTTCAATTTCAAAATTGTTTAGTCCGATTCGAAAGAAGGAAAAAGAATTCTACGTGCACATTGAATACGTCGAAAAAGTAGCGGAAGAGATAGAGGAGACATGGCGCATCCAGGCGAGCATTCAATCCGATCTTCACATTTTGTCGTGGAAAGAAATGGCCAACGAAGAGAACCATTTGATCAGGCACGCTTCCGACGTGCCGCTGCTCTGCAAATTACGAAAAGATCTGTATTGCGACGAGGAACTTCAGTTGGTCAAGATCGACGAGCAGCCGCAGCCCGACGAAGCTGCCTGGCCGAAACTGAGGGCGCTGCTCGACGAGCAGTCCGACGTAGCGGAACGGCAGACTCAGATCATCACGGAGAAGTCGGGGAAGCTGCGCGCCAAAATCCGAGCGCGAGAAGACAAGCAAGGCCAGTTGAAATTGCTCAAAGAAAAGAAGCTGGCCGAGAAGGCGCAGCAAATGACCTGGGACAGAGTTAATAAGCTTGTCGATATACTGGACGCGTACAGATCGAACCTCACCAATAAAAAAGGTAGGAACGAGTAAAAGAAGAGTCTGAATGAATTTTAGTTATTGATGTGATGAACGAGGCTAACGAAGGAATGAAGCGGGTGAAAAAGGAAATGCCCGACATAGAAGACGTCCATAAACTTCTGGACGACATCGAGGACCATCAAGACGATCTACACGAAGTTCAAGAAGCCATCGCTCGAGATCTGTCCTCGGCGAGCGAAGAAGAGCTCGAAAAGGAGCTCAATCAAATTCTGCGAAACCCGCAGACGCACCGCGACTCGCTCGATGAGAACGTCGATGATCTCCTCAAAGGGCTCACCATCTCCAGCCACATTCCAAAAAGCTCTCCGAAGTACCAATATCCGTCTCCATATATTGAATCCCAGCTTTTACCTTGATGGATAAGACAAGCTTATTTTTGCATTTTTAATATATTCAATACAGTTTCATACTCTCAATTCAAAATCAACGAGAAACTGGCCCGAGCCAGATTTCTTTCCCGTGTTTTGTGTTTTTTATTTGCAGGCATGTCTCTAGAATCGATATTTTGAGCAATTGTTGTTTCCTCGCAGTCATATCACTTCAGTTTTAAGTCAATATGGGTAAGTTTTATCTTTTTACGCCTTTTTAGGTGTTTCTAAGTACAATAACGCAAGGTGTAATTTTGAGGCGTCCGCGATATATTTTTCGTAATTTTTATCGCATGACTTGTCAGAATAATATCAGATGATTTTCTTTCAATCACCAGTTATGTGGCGCGCATTTTAAAATAGGCACAGTGAAATAAACGCATTCGTAGATTTGGATCAAGAGCAAAGCCCCTCTGATACTGGAGCAGGAGGTCGACGAGCTTCCAATGCGCAAGTTCGAAGGTCCGTGGCAGGAAAGCCTCCTGCTCGATTCACGCAAATAGGCGACAGTCTTCAGGATGAATACGGAAAGATGGTTGACCAAAGCAAACTTGTCATCAAGGTAAAAAGCAGTCACCTCATTCGCAATCAACGAGGACAACCTTTTATAGCCCTTCGATCAAGTTGAGCTCACAGAAGAGGAATTGAAAATCGAACACACTCGAATTTTGACGGCAAAGAATCCACTCGCCCCGGACAATCACGTTACGTATAGCTTTACTACCCGCGAATTCGAAGAAGGACCTGCCATTCGCCATGTTCAAAACCACTTTATCAATAAGGGTAATCTCTTCCACCGAGAATCCGATGAGGGCCAGGTATGCTTTTAACTCTTATAAAGTGCCATCTTAACAAAATTCATCAGGCGAAAATCGCAGAGGAAATCGCCAAGGAAGAAGCTGAGGCTGAAGAATCCGCGCGAGAGTCCCGAATGTCAATCAGGCCATCTATTGCTGGCAGTCAAGCCTCGATGCCCCCTCGACGCTCGACAGTAAGAGAATCGATTGCAGCTGCTCCATCAAACATCGAAGCCCTGGCTAACAAGCCAAAGAAGCCCGCGAAAAACCAGTTCAACTACCAGGAGCGCGATGCTCAATCAGGTAAACCTGTAACTGATTATTATCATCTCTTACTATTGGTTTAGGATTTTTAATGCTCCGAAATAAGCTCTCTCAAACCGATCCACCACCACGAGTCGACATTTCCGACACTGTTTCTCCTTCCGTCATTTATGATGTCTATCAAGAGCATTTGAAGAAACTGGCTGCCGAAAAGGCCGCCGCTGCCAAAAAGCCTGTCAAGCAAGTCAATAAGAAAGAGCCTGTCAAGAAAGAAGTTGTTGTTGAACATGTCAAAAAAGATCTTAGGTATGAATGGCAATTTTTAACGTGATCTTTCAATTTATTAAGTGACGTTACCGCCAGAAAAGTCGAGCGAATGCTTAATCAAAATACACACGATCAACTTGCTGATGATTTCAAGTACTTCGACGATCCAAATGATAGGTAAAGAATTCTTATTTCTTCCAACACTGACCATTTTGATAAGCGAGCGAACGGAAGGTTCACTCCTTCCTTTGTGGAGATTCCAATACGAGAAAACAAAACGAATGGCTGTTACTTGCATGGCCTGGTGCCCTGGTACTGACCACGACGATGCATTTGTTGTTGGTTATGGCTCTTTTGATTATGCCAAGCAAGGAAAAGGATATCTTGTATATTTCAGGTGAAGAATCGGTATTAATTTTCTCCCGCTGAAGATGATTTTAGTATGAAGAACCCAAGCTACCCCGAAGGAACCGTTCCCAGTCCCTCAGGCATCATGTGCCTGTCAGTCAATCCTAAAAAGGGAAATCTCGTTGCATGCGGTCTTTACGATGGCTCGGTCGCTCTTTTCGACTACAAAGAGAAGAACGCTGACCCTCTCATCCAGACTGTCTCTGTCAAGCGACATGGCGAACCTGTGTGGGACATCAAATGGATGACTCAAGATGAAAGCGGTCGAGGTCGATTCTGCTCAATTTCCACGGACGGAAAACTCCGATGCTGGACACAGGTAAAATAAACGCTCGATATTTCTGAAATACAATTCTAATAGGTCAAAAATGAGCTTGTTGGCACGTCGATGCTCGAATTCAACGAACAGGGCTCTGGAATGTGTATTGACTTCCACCCTAAAAATCCAAAAATCTATCTCTGTGGTACTGAGGAGGGTATGGTCCACAAGTGTACTACGGAGTACTCGTCCAAGTACTTGTACTCCTCCGAGGCCCACGCTGGTGGTGTGATGGTCATCAAGTGGAACCCATTCCATGAAGATGTCTACGCCACTTGTGGCCAGGACTGGACGCTCAAGCTCTGGAATCAGGTAAATTTTATCAATCTAAACAAAATCGGACACGTTTAAGGTTCGACCCGAGCTCTGTCTAATGAGCTTCGACCTTGGCGCGTCCGTCAACGATTTGGACTGGGCGCCCTACAGCTCCACCGTCATCGCCGCCATCACCGAGGGTGATAACGCTCGTGCCTTTGTCTACGATCTCTCGCAGAACAAGTACAACCCTCTCTGTTACCAAGGCGTCAGTACCAAGAAGAAAACCAGACTTACACGAGTTCTTTTCAATAAATCTCACAGAATCCTCCTCATTTCGAATGACAGGGGCTCCTGCACTTCCTTCAAACTCAGTCCTAACCTCCGAAAAGTGCCTGTCAAAAGCAAGAAAGATCCTACTCCTCTCCCAGGTAATTTTGAAAAAAATAAATCCATTCATTTCATCCCTTTTAGTTGACCCAGCCAAGGAGCGCGAGAAGATTGGAAAGGTTGCTCTTAGTATGATGGACGGATACTAAATATACTGTGTTTTTATTTAACTGACATCAATTTTGAATAAAGTTTCAATATATACTTACTCGTCCTGTTTTATCATTTTGCAAATCGGAAGCCTAGTTAGATATAGTAAGACTAGACAATACACGTATGCAGCTTTCGTTAATAGCAACTGATTATGTTGAATTTGACGTTTTGACAGCTATATTTTTGGATAATCCCTAATCGTCGCGACATACTGTAATGCAGGAAAGATTTGCTTGTAGTGAAAGCGGTGAACTCAAGCGGAGTCATGAAGTTTGTGACTTTTTTGTTGTTTTCTCTAACGCTATTTGGGATTTTTTTACTCCTTGGAATTGAGAAAGGATAAGAATAAGTTGACATGCAAAATTTTATTTTTCCGCTAGAGAACAGAATTATCCCCGTGAAAGCGATAAAAGAGTACGATAAACTTGGACGAGAGTTAGGTCGACGGCACACAGTTCATCACATGTCAAAATTTTCAACCATGACTGAACAGGAATACGTTCACAGAATGAATTCGTAAGTCTACTTCCGATTTTGTAAAGGTCTTCTTAAATCGGGATTAAGCTTTGTGATGGACTGGACCTCGCTATTACTCGCTCCGCTTTTTATACAAGTGATAATGATTTTGATGGGTATTTTCCAGTTTGTGGATGAAGCGGATAAAGAGCGTATTTTCAAATCACTACGGTTAGTTGACATATAGAACAACTGTGATTCTTTTTCCACAGATCCTTCAGAAGACGAAGGTCGACAACGTGGTCCGAAATCTTCCGCGATCCAGACAACTTCTAAGGATGACTAGGTCCTCCTGACTCAACTTGCTTTTCTGTACATTTTCGTTAGAAAAAATTACGCCCCGGGATAGCGTGACGTAGAGAGGTCTAAATCGTACGTCACAACTCATGTTGCAATTTTCGGCATTCCAGTTTAGAGTGGGCACGCATTCTTCCTTCTATTTTACCTTTTTCATAACTTACTCAAGTAATTCTAACGGGGAGAGGGCACAAACAATTCTTGCTTCTTTGATGATTGTACGAAATAATAACTACCCCATTTCACGTTTTCCTGGTGCTATGACGGATGAATGGGCTAAGTTTAATTACGGCCATTTGAAATTCGACTTCGTGAAATGACCGGTAAAAGTGAAATTTAACCGCGAAAGCTTTTCTTGAGTGGGCGCACTTTATTTAATTGCACCGTTCGATTGAACAGAGACCAAGGAGACGCTATTATCTCGTCTCTCACTCTTTTTTAATTCGAGCTCAACACGTGAGATTGATTATGAACTTCTCATAAAAATCTACTTTTCTTGTTTTTTGGGATTTGCTAAAACCAATAACAGAATGTTCTATTTTCGCTTTAACAAATTTAAACAGTATCTCGTAGACTTAATCCATCAAATTTGATTAAATGAAACAGTAAAAGCTTGTTTTTATTGACTTCAATAAGGAAGACGCTATAATTTTCGAGTAAAATGCCCCTTTTCTTTAATAAAAAGATTTATACAAGAGGGATTAACTCGCGTTTCTACCCTATGTGACGTCAGAGAAAGAGGGATGATTCAACTTTGACGCAGATGGTGGTGGCGGTGCACGTTTGGCTTGCCGCCAGCCTAGTCTCGCGCTATAAAATGCTCGAAGCACCCGGCTTCTTCCATCAGTCGAGGAGGAGAATTAAAAATTCAACTCGCTGAAAATAAAAAAAATGCGAATTTTATTGTCGATTTTACTCGGCGGCACTTTAGGTGCGCCGAAAAACAATGAAGCGAGTACTTGCGGTGATCCAGAGCACGAACTTTCCCACTTCTGCAAAGGAAATGATGACCCTCTTGCCTGCGACGAAAGTCTTTTGTGTGAGTTCTGCCCAGATACTGACTCTTGCTACGTGAGCGATGCAAAGATCGATGCTTGCAATGAGAAATTCAAAGACGAAGATCAGCCTGTCATGTCTTGCATTTTTTCAAACGCACAGTCACACCTTGCACCCAAAGAATCGCTCAATGAAGAAGAAGTGGAAGTAGTCAAATCCGTCGTCCAGAAAATCGATGTCGGCGATGCCGATTCTTCAGCGAGTGGGGCAGCGCGTTCTGGATTTCTCAGCCTTTTCAATACCGGCGGCTCCTTCGGTCAAGTTTCCGCGCCAATGATGCCTTACGACATGATGTCCGTAAATAACCGACTCTCCGCTCAATTCATCACGTGTCCAGTGAACGTTCCCTTTTGCCAGCGTCAAGAATGCACATCTTCTATCGGTAACCCGCAGAATAATGCCATGGACTGCTATCGAATCGCTGGATGCTGCTTCGACAACGATCTTTTCGTTTACAAGACAGCGTTCGGGCAAGGACTCGCTCTCAACGCTCCTGTTTGCTACCGCGCCATTCGAACACCCCTTTTCCACGTCCTTACCGAGCAAATCACTACGACAAACAATTTCCTGCCGAATTTTCTCGTTCCGATTGTCGACAAAGTTGAGGCCTTTATCAACAACGATAAATCCTTCAGCATGATGCTCGAATATCATCAATGCCTGTCGACAGAGGGAATGGCGCCAAGCCGTTTGCGACTCGAGTCTTACCTGTCTCAAGTCTGGCCGGGCTATCTCTTCCTCAAGATGGGACAAAAAGACAACAACTTTCTTGATGATCTCGTAATCACGCTTTCTCAAACTTGTGGATGGCGCGATATCACCAAGTCAGAATGCATGCTCATCGGATGTTGTTACAATCCAGCTTCGTCAACGTGCACACATCCGACTGATTTGACAAAGATCGACCCACAAAAACTCGTTGCCACTGCAACTTGGATGCTCACTTACGATCGAACAACTGGAGAAGACGCAACAACGACCCAGGCGCCAACTACAACTGCTGCACCAGTGGGCGGAGGACTGCCACCTATTTTCAACAACGATGACGGACGATCTGGAGCAGCACCACCAGGTTGGAACCCAAGTCTCTTTGCTGGTCTAAGCGGACGACGACGAAGAGCCGCTGAGAAACGAAATAGCAGAAAACGACGTCAGCTCGGTGCTTTCAATCAACAGTTCGGTTCTCAGTTTGGCGGAGGACAGTTTGGTGGCCAACAATTCGGAGGCGGACAACAAATGAATGTACAGCAGATGGCTATGCAAATGCTCGCTCAAAGACAGCAGAACAAAAAGCAACAAGGAGGCGAGAAAGAAGGAAGGTTTGGACTCATGCAGCCAAATTTGTTGTCCACGATGATGATGAACAATCAACAAACAGGAGGGTCTTCATTGTTCGGTGCCCAAGGAGGCGGTTTATCAAGCCTTCTCGGTGGTTTGACTTCTCAGATGGGATCTATGCTTGGCAACCTTGGAGGCATGAATAATCAACTTTCAGCGATGATGGGTGTGAACTCGAATCCATTCCTTCAAACAGGAGGCCAGGAAACGTGTCCAGTCTTGCCCGGAAACGTCAAATTAAGCTGTCTTCAGCCGCCTTCCGAAGATCAAGCAATCGACGCTATTTTCCTGATAAACGAGCCAAAAAGATGCGAAGTCAAAGGATGCTGCTGGGATCAATCACTCATGAAACAACTTCTTCTTACAAGAAACTCCGATTCTCTTGACTCTTTCAACCAGCTTGCCTGTCCTTGGATCGTTCCCAAATTTGGCTCGAGCTACGGCTTCCCTGACTTGACGAAATCAATCAAAGGATGTTGCGACATTTCTCCTTGTGTTCATAAAGAACTTCCTGCAGATTGGACACTTTGGGGCGAGTGGACACCTTGCACCAAGCTTTGCGGTGGCGGTGAGAGTTCTCGATCTCGAACATGCGTCGGAAATGGATTCTGTCCGGGAATGGTCGACGATCGTCAACGAGAACAGATCGTTAGCAAGAAGTGTAACATGAACAGCTGCGAATCCTGGGCTAGCTGGTCTGCTTGGTCTACCTGTAGTCAAACTTGTGGACAAGGAAGTCAAGAAACTCGCAGATCCTGCATCGACGTTCGCGGCATGGAGATCCAGCCTCCTGGTGAGAGTCGAGGATGCAAAGGAAACGGATACATGACAAAAGCATGCTTCTCTTCTCCCTGTCCCCAATGGCAGAATTGGATGCCATGGAGCACTTGTTCAGTAACTTGTGGCGTGGGAGAGTCTCAAAGAATACGTATGTGCAACTTGCCAGGTCGATGTGCTGGTCCAAAAACGGAGAGAAAAACATGCGGTTCTGCTTGCTACAGTAACTGGAGTATGTGGACGGCGTGTTCCAAATCATGCTACGGAGGGACGAAACTTAGATCAAGAGAATGTATGTACACAGCCGAGACTGGAAAACAATGCTCCGGCGAATCACAACAGCAGGAAAGCTGCAATACTGGTTTCTGCGAACAATGGGTCCAATGGTCGCAGTGGTCGACATGTCAACACCCAAGTGGAGCAGATGAATGTGGACAAGGATCGAAACTTCGATCACGAGAATGCACTGGTGCGCTTGGAGCTCCTGGATGCCAAGGTAATCCTTACGAAGAAGCTCCATGCGAAACGCGACCTTGCCAGTGGTCCGATTGGCAACAGTCCAGTGCCTGCTCTGCTACTTGTGGCGAGGGACAGGCAAGTTTCATCCGCTCGTGTGAGAAAGAAGGGCAGTGTGAAGGCCTTGCAACAGCGACGCGAACTTGCATCGAAGCGCAGTGCCCTGGATGGCAGCCCTGGTCTGAGTGGGGCGAGTGCTCTGTCACCTGTGGAAGTGGTCGCAAAACAAAAACTAGAACCTGCAACGGACGGCTTCACTATGACTGCCGGGGTTCTTTGGAGCAAGTGATGCAGTGCAACGAAGGCCCTTGCAATAATGGAATGTTTCCAAATGCTAACTCTGGATGGAACCAAAATTACAACATGTTTGGACAATCCAATACCGGCTATAACAACGGCTACAATGGCTACAACAATCAAAATAACGGCTGGAGCAACGCGAATTTCTTCGGTGGGAACACTGGAGGTGATGTGATGGATTCTGGGGATAATACTAACCCATGGAATCAGTTCTTCGGCCTTGGCTAACTATTTCTGTTTCATCAATAAGCCAAAACTACAACTGTGAATAAACCTCATTATATTTACCTGCTTTATCTATTCATTGAGTGTGATCTTTCAAAAAGTTAAGCATATTCTGAGCTTGTGAACCTCGAGTGCTTTGTATGTGTGTTGGCAGAGCATCTTTTTCTAAAGCAGTGACTGGTGAATATTAATAGCTGCGCAAATTTGAGCAATTTTGATGTAGCGCGGCAATTTTTTAACTGGGCACATCATTTTCGCGCAATAATGGACGATATTCTTGAGAATCTAAGCGCCGAGGAACTTGCCGCGCTTGAGAAAAGCCTCGAACAAGAAGGAACAGATTTCAGCGAGAAGCAAGAATGGATGGAAAAACAGGCCCGTATTCAACCGGTGATTCAAGAGAAAGAAAAAACATCAAAGACGATTGAAAGATTTTGCCCGATCACGAGACATTCCGATAATAATGGTAAAAACGAGTTTTTATGAAGAAATTAGTTTATCAAGACTTTTGAGATTCGGGGAAAGAAGAGAAACCTAAATCAAGAATGGAAAAAATTTTATCGAACTTGTCGATTGCGGAACTAAATGAACTCGATGAGATGACATACAAGAAAGAAGACAACATGTTCAAGTCAATGAATAAGGGCTCTTACAAGCGAAGGCAAAGAAAACCTGAGGCTGAAAAAGATCAGCAGAGGAACGCGAACATATGCGATCTGAGAAGTGAAGGACCAATTCAGAATCAGAATGATCTAGGAAAGTTTTGGTCAAATTTTCTTAGATTTTTATTTGACATTATTTATTTCCAAAATTTGAGAGAATTCTTAAAAAGATTCCAGCTGAGGCTAGTTCTTTGAATATGAACAACTTAGGTACCAAATGATTAGTTAAAAAAAAACTAACGTACCCCACCCCCTTGCTCGCCCACATTTTGTGAACATTTTTCCCTTGCTCGCTGAGTTAAACTCCAACAAGCCCCCCCTTGGTCGCTCGCTTTTTGTAACCAAGATCCGTTGGTCGCTTTCCTTCTTTTGCATTCTACGCCCCCTTGTTCGCCCTCCTTGGTTTCGACGGCGCACCTTTGCTCGCCCGCCTTTCTCCGTCATTTATCCCTTGTTCGCTCTTGGAGCCCCGCGAGAACGCTATATAATGCATAGCTTATCTTCGTTTTTACTTTTTTAATTGGATTTTCATGATTTTTTCCAAGCAAACTTATCTTTTCACCTCCATTTTTGTCAAATTTTCATATCTTCTTCATAAGAAGAAAATTTCGGGCTCAATTTTGAGTAAACATAAGTACTCGGAATACTTCGATTGAGACTTTGAGACTGTCTTTATTAAAAATCTCATGCCTTCTTTCTCAAAATTCATTTATTGAGATTTCTCGAAAGAATTAGCGGATAAATCTAGGTTACAGTGGGTTGAGCGGATAGTGTACCCCTATTTTTCACCTTAAATTTCAAGGCTTGAAAAATGCATAGCTTTCGAGTTAGTTGAGATCAGAATTCCAAATTCATCCTTTCACCTTCACCCAAGGGTGAGGTGAAAAAATTTCAACCAAACCTCACCTTTGGGTGTACTAAGGTGAAAGCCGATTTTCAATAAAATGAGGTGAGGTTTTTGAAAATTTCAGGTGAGTTGAGGTGAGGTGAAAAAATTTTAGGTGAATGATAGGTGAAGCCTATTTTTCACTTTCACCCACCTTCACCTAGGTGAAACTTGGGTGAGGTGAATTTGGAACTCTGGTTGAGATTATTTGTTTTTGACGCAAGAAATGAAATTCTCACGTCCTTTTGTGTAAGGGAAAAATACTGTTCAAAGAAATTACAGAAATCTACTGTGTAATTTTTGAAAATCGCAGGAGTACACTACCCGCTCAATCCACAGTACCTAGAATGCTAGTTTGAAATAAGCCCTATTTGCATTGATTAAAAATATTCATTGAAATCGAAAATATAGTTCCCTATAAAAAGCTTGAGTGGAAAGTAAAAGCGACCTAAGCCGAGCTAGGCTTTGGGGGTCTTGCGGCGAACAAGGGATAAATGGGTGAGGAGGAGCGAACAAGGGCGCGCGAGGTAAAAAGAAGGATGGCGACTAATGGATCGCGCTGAGAAAAGAATGAGAGCGAGCAAGGGGACTTTAATGAAATTTAACTCAGCGAGCAAGGGAAAAATGTTCACAAAATGTGGGCGAGCTAGGGGGTGGGGTACGTTACTTTTTAAAGAAATCGCCGACTCAATGGTCGAGTCTTTGGCCGTGAAAATTCGTCATCTAAAAGACTTGGAGAAGATTTCTCTTGCATTCAATAAATTGACAGCATCTGGAATTTGCCAAATCATTGATGCTTGCAGCCAGACGTCTGTCAGATTTCTGCAGCTAAATAACCAAACAAAACATCTTGGTTATGCCGGAGAGGCAAAAGTAAAAGACAAGATTCTGTCGAAAAACGGTTAGTCAACTTCGGCATTTGAAAAATTAATCAACAGTTTTAAGATTTACAACTAAAGAAGCTCAGCATTTCTTGGATGTTTTCTCAGCACCAGGTTGCCGTGGAAAATCATCTTCTAAAATCTCAATGTTTAAATAAATAAATAAATCCGTCGCATTCTCAATTTTATTATCATATTTTTACAGACTTGAACATTGTTGCTTTGGCATTCATTTAGGACTTTGTATATGGCAGATAGGTAGGTGCAATCACTATGCTATTGTTTGTCGAAACAGGTCGACTTCTGTAAGGGGATTTCGGAAGAGGCTTGTCCGCAAAGACCGCGCCTCTTCTATTCAGTTGTTTACTCGACGAGGGAGAGGATGTTGGCTCGGCGACTGAGCTTGCCGCTGTGAGCTGATCGAAAAATCAGTAAAATTCGTGGAAAGATCGGCGCAAGAACCTGTTTTAGGTGACGCTTCCTTATAGCGGTTTGCTGCAAAACTTTTCGCAAAGTAAACATTTTGATCGCTTGATAGCCGTAAATAAGCGGATTGACGCAAGCATGCAAGTGCCCAAAAGCATGCAAAAACATGGGTAACCACTTGGGAAGCGTAATAGCAAATGCGGGCTTTATCAGATAAAGCACTCCATAGCTGTAGTAGGGCATCCAGCAGACGACAAATGAGGCCACCATGACGATGCCACTCATCATTGCTCTTTTGTTTTTATTGAAATTTGTTAACGAAATAGAGCTATATAATAAACGGTTGCTTCCTCCTTGATTTCAATCAATTCCTGTAAGAACTGGAAGAGAGACGACCCCTGACGCTTGAAGAGTTGAAATCATCTTTTCTTTTGAATTTGCGCATCGTTATACTATAAAAATAGAAGATTCCTTTGGCAACCCTTAGCGTTACCTATTTCTGATAATTATAGCCAGGTAAACACATGACACTAGAATCAGCGGGAAGATAAAGTTGAAAGAAACTATGAGTCCATGATACCAGGCGTAGTAGATCTTGCCCCTCAGAATAATCGTATTCATGCATTGCTTTGGCTTCTAATTGATACTCAAAGAGTTTCTATTTAGTTCTCTCATTCGATATTTTTCTTATCAATTCCTTTGATTCAGAAGCTTCTCCTGAGAAGTTCTCAAAGTGGCTTTCAAAAAGCTCTGTTTTGTTGAAAAGCTCGTTTTTCGCCAGGTAATCGGGAAAATCCTCCGTCTAAGTAATAGAATTTACGTAAGAAACGTCAAGTCTAGTTACGAGTTCGGGAAGAGAGATGTTTGTATCGGCAGGGATTGTAAGAGGATACTCTACTTCATCCCAGACGTACAGTTCGGGCGCGGCTGTCAGAATCGCGATGATAACGGCCATCATTCCAGTCCTCTCCGTATCGTAGCTAAAATAAATACACGATAAGCGATCCAGGGTCTAATCTAGCGGTGAGCATGATTTTACAGAATCTGCTCGCTTCAAAGCAACGTGCTGAACATCATGTTAAAGTCGATAAATTGGGCTCACCAAATCGCTGTTCGCGTGAATTTCTGCGTCGGTCGGAAGCGCGCGTACAGCCTATCCAGTGCTAAATTCAATGTAACAATTTTCAACGAACTGGCCCAGTTCAACTGGGAAAAAGTTTAGCGCTTCGAGATAAGATCCGCTGAGCGGCTCAGGGAGCGTCCACGAGGATCACTCACCAATCATAATTATGATAAGACCGTCGGCGGTCATGAACGTCGTCTTAACAAACGCCTGGATTTTGCAAGGAATTCGCCCAAACGGCCAGCTACTCTGATAATTCCAGACGGCGATGATGGGCATCACGAATGCGCTGTAGATCAGGTTGAGAATAACCATCAATCTCCTAGATGTCACCACGATACTCTACCTCAATCAAATAAATCATTGCATCGAAAGTCAAAGAAAATCGACATTTTATTTTTAGCGAAGTGATTTTCTGCTGAGTCAAGTTTTCGGCCATCTTGACTCTTTTGTTTATATTTTAACAAGAAATTACCAAAGCAAGTACTCATCTAATTAGCTAAAGAATAAAACATGTCAACCCAAAAATGAACTCGCGGTTCAATTGAATTTGCTACTGAATCAATCTTTTAAAAAATCTCGGTATTCATTCTCAGTGACTTTCCTGACCAAGGTGAATATCTTCGGTTTCGGATTTTTGAGCTTTTGCAGCTTGATCCAGACCAAGCTGAAAAATTGCGATTTCAGGCTCGAGATTTGGTGAAAACGAAATTTTCGGTTGTGTGCGAAATCAAACCTGTTTGTGATAACGGCGATTACGGCAAACACGCATACCCAGATTGTGTTTCCGATGAAAATTTCATTCGATCTTAGCTGTTCTTCTAGCGTTTCCGCGAGTTAACAATTATTATTTCTCGCTTTTTCCTGGCTGTAGAAAATTTTTGCTAATTGAGAACTCTGCCGTATGATAAATAGCTTCTCTTGCTATTTTCTCTGACTTGTTCATTTCTTCTGAAACTTCTTTCTCTGTAAATTCTCTCTTTGAATTTTGTTTTTCTTTGAGACTACGCGTTAGTAATTTGTATCTACAGAGAGATATAGGAAGAATAATGATGTATGAATTATAAACAAGTATCGAGCCAATCTGTCGATTTAATGACAGGATTCAAAAAATCCACTTACCAGAGCTACATTTCAAAAGTTCTTGAATCTTGATCTCTGATATAGTGCGTTTTCTCGCCCCAGAAGATCTTGAATCGTCCGTCAAGCTCAATTAGAAGAGTGACAGCTTCTCTTTTCAGAGTCCAAATGGCAAGGTGTCTTTAAGAGAATCGAATTTATTCACAAGTGAGGTGCAGTTGAATGAGGATCAGAATAGGCTACACTTTTCAAGGCTTAGCTTAGGGTTGAAAACTGCACAGTTAAAATAAAGCTCTTACTCGTCCGGTTGCTTTAAAGGCTCAACCTTTGCCGGCGTCTTTGTTTCGTTGTCTTCATCTTCGTCTTCGCCTTTTTGCTTCTTGGCGCAGCAGTATTTGAATGTCAGGATAATCGCCAGCAGCACACCAATACCTGCAATCATTGCGTTAGTTTCTGCGTCACAGAGATCAAAAACATTTGAATGCGAATGACTATTTCTGTAACAAAAAAAAAAGAATCTACCTATTCCAAGAATGATGGGTACGTTGGATCTTGTTGCGCTCGAAATAGTAGGCTTCCCAGATTCAGCGTCGGGCGAGCTCTCCAGTTCGAACTCGAATTTGCCGACTTGTTTGAGTCCCGGTTGCTGGAGGTTTTTGAAAGTCGGCACGCCAGTGTCAAACTGCGCGTTTTTTAACCTGGGTTGAATATTTGGATACATCCGGGCATCCTTGACGGCTTCGAATCCGACCATGAACTTTGTTCCTTCAGGAGCGATCGCCTTCGGCGCATACAGTTTGATCGTAACAAAGCGGCCTAAAAGCTCGTTTTAGAAGTCAAATTCAAGATCCTTTGGCTTTTCGAATTTTGAGGCTTCCCGTCAGCTTTGAGTCAGTTTTGTTATAAATAAAAACACCTTCATTCAGCATGAAAATGAACTTTTGTTTTATGGAAACACAAGCCTAGTTACTCCTTATTCTAATTACCGTTTTTTATCAAAGCTAGGCTTTTTCTACGTATGCCTCGCCCAAATCCAACAAAGTATTCTTGTTGCCACTAATATCCAAGTTTCTAGTACCAACACAGGCGCCAATTAACGGTTTATCCCCGCAAGAGTTTTGTTCCTATTTGATAGTAACAACTCCTAATGAGAAGCTGCTATTTTCTGCTATTATTTGTTACCATGGATTTTTAAACTCTCCTTATGTTATGACGTTTTTGCTAAATAAACCCTTGTTTTTGTATTAATGGTAGTGTTTTCTCGGCATTATTAGATAAAGCAATGAAATTATACCTGACGTAACGAAATCAGCAGGCTTCGACCTGCCGCATATCGCCGTAGAATGTGCCGTCTCCTCTAGCCCGTCGAAAATCGTAATCGAAGCTTTACCGCAGTTGTCCAAAATGAAGTCGCGCCACGTGAGTTTAATGTACGTCCCGACGGGCGAGCGAATTCTAAACAAAATTTTAAGTCGCTATTCCGTACCCACTCATTCGCATAAACACAACCTAAAGTTCGACAAAGCGAAACTTACTTCCAAGTGCAGCTTTGGGCGCCTGGATTGATGTTTGGGAAGGATTCGGAAACCAGGTTCTGGCGAAAGCCTATCTGCGCATCGATCATTTGCGGGTGGCATCCTTAATCGCGACGTTAATTTTCAACGTATATAAAACATGATATAAACCAAAGAACAGGAGCTTTCTTATCTTTCCCAAGTAAGGTTTTATCAGCCCACAAAAAGAGCACTTTCAAGAGTTTGTTCCAAGAAAAACGCGTTCTAAAGCAAATTTAGGACTCCTAAAAATCCATTTGCAGCTTTCTAAAAGCTGATAAAAATCAACGTTGATAATTTAAGGGTGCTCTTAATATGCAACTAAATCATAAGGATGTAAAAGGTAGCCTGGAGGGTTTAAATGGCAGTCGTTCGAAGAGGGTTCATGATTGCTGATAGTGCGTTTATGCATAACGAAGTTTTGTAGAACACGAAAAAGGGGTTGATTTCGGAAAAGAAGACAAGTTAGGATGGAAGGAGTGACCGATCGCGCTTATCAACGCTCGATTCAATAAACGGAAACTCGCTCGTTGAACCTTTGGCCCTCTCTTTTCGGTGAAGCTTCATCAAGACTTGTTAAAAATGCGAACTGTTACGAGAAATGGTGTCTAGAAATTCGCATAGAAGCTGTTTCTTTAGTGGGCTCCGTAGAAGCAGCGGATTAGTACGAAAGAAAAGCAGCAGCTTAAGCTTTTGCTCTCAGAGATCAGCCGCCTTCAGAGCCGGAAGATTTACTCTTCTACTAGAATTAGAAGACAGCTCGGCTCGTGTTGAATTGAGCAAACGTGATATACTTTAACTTGCTTACCTGAGATTTCCCAGCGATGTTGATCCCGATGGCGGGCAGGCTCGGCAGGTGCGTTGTTGTTTTTGTGGAAAGAGTTCTGCTTGGCGAAAAACTTCGTTTTTCTTAAAAACCCAGTCAACGAGGGAAAGAGGCTGAGAAAGCGATGATGACTGATTCGGACAGTGACCAAAACTGTAAGAAATATTTGCGGTTTTTAATCATACCGCGGAGATAACGTTCAAGATACCGAAATATTACGTTGAGGTTCATTTTTGACATAGAACGTTTTCGCTAATAGCTATTTTTATACTTTAAGTTTGCGAATTAGCAGTAATACTTAAAAATCCTCAAGTCAAGTTATTCGGGTTAGAGCGTATTGATTTAAACAAGGCGAGCTTACCGAGGTCTTCGGGGCGAATTCTGCGGTTGCTGAGGCACCTGTTCTTGAAAGCCTAAGGAACCTTGTTGCGGAATATACTTTGAAAAGGTTAACACGAGTTTTCTTTATTCGCGAATTTGGTTATTTAAGTGCGCGTACGTGTTTATCGAGAAGTACTGGCTCAGAAGCAAGATGAACGCGTAAGACTGAGTCCGAGTACCGTGTTATGCATAGAAACATGCTCAACACGTGAAAGCTTCCCTTTATTCATTTCAATTGAACAAGCGCCTTGTGTAACGAAAACGGAGCGCTCTGCTTACACTAAACATCAAGAGTTGCCATTTCCTACCTTTGATGATATCAGCTCCTTAGAAATTTAGTGCTATTATCGTTTAAAAAGGTTATTGTTTGACAAATAATCAGGAAGGCCGGATGAACTTTTACTTGAAACCTTCTTCTCCTTTTATCAAATAAGGGTATCATAACGGTAACTCTGGAAAAAAAGTCTTGTTTATACTGAAAATTAAAGATGTCTAGTCTATTTTTAAAAAGACTTTCGTAACTGTAACCATTCTAGTTGAGCTTCAACTATTGATGGCAAAATAAACGTAAGCTGAGTTCAATAAGTTTTTATGTAACTTCACTGCCCTTTAACATCCCCGTATTTTACCACATACACGGGTCAGTACAACGTAGCAGCTCGCATAACTGACGCTTCTTGGAATGTGTAATTCCGAGCGCTCAAGACCTTGATCGAACCGCAATAACTAGTAATAAAGTTTTGATTTTTTTGTTAACCAAGCCTGAGGAACTTGAGGTTGCTGCTGCTGCTGTTGGGATTGTTGAGGATATTGCTGGTATTGGTAGCCAAGAGCGAGCGGGACAAACACGGACTTTTCGAGCTTCATTCTCTGTTGAAATCTCTTTACATATGAATTGTCTGTCTACGACTGTACTTGGTAAACTTTTGAGTACGATTTTTTTGGTGCTGGTGCGCGAAGGTAGCGAAAAAAGTGCTCCCTGGCGCCTCGGGGAAACAGAGACGGGAAGGTGGGGAGGAGCTTCTCCGAATTTCGGAACGAAGACCCCCGGGGGTGCAGGCAACAGCACCAGCCTCAAAAACGTGCACGGGCGACAATTTATTCTCAAGATTAAAGAAAACCAGCCAGACTTGAGCGAAACCTTTTTAACTCGAAATAACAAACACTACACGCTAAAGTATCGAAAATACTATTCTTTGATCCTTCATTACAAGATGGCAATAAATGAATAAATTTCACAAATTCACCAATGACTAAATTACGGCTTTTTATATTTAATCAATCAAGCGTCTTTTCATGGCCGAAATAAAGAATAAATGAGGACAATGAGATGATTTTTTCAGCGCGCAGATTATTTTTGATTTTGATCCTCTTCGGCTTCCTGGTCTTTTTTCTTCTAAATTTGTCGGTCAACGCTGCTGATGACGAAAAAAGAGAAGGTAAGTTTGACAATAGTACATTTTTCTAATTAAACGATAAGTGTTTCTAATGTAATAATAATGCAAATTAACGCGAAGGGGTTTTCAACAGAGATGCTGCATAATTTCCGCATAGTTAACAAAAGTACGTGTCCAAAAATGTTCGCGCAAATGTTTACAGTCGGGATTTGTATGATTTGGATGGTGTTTTTATTTGGCGAAAGCAAAGTCCATTTGGTTAAACTTTAACCTGGAGGCGTGTGTTCCGCCGCGCCGGATTCCTAAGCATCAGTTTCTGAATAAAGAAATTGTAGAGAACATGTTTCGCTTTACTGCCCTTGGTTAGTAACATTTCCTCCTTGATTGCGGCCGAATTTGATTTTTAGCCCGCCCCGCTCTTGCCCGCGCCGTCTCTGTCAGACCTTTGAGTGTTTCTGTCCAGAACCTCCTCGGCTCCGACGCCGTCTTCGCCAAGATGGGTGACAAGATCGACGCCGCCGCCGTTGCCAAAGTCAAGGTATTCAGCAAATTTAATTAAAATCAGCTGATTTTTACCCAAAACGTCACAGACTGGACAAGAGTCTGAGCAAAATTATTTCTAATTTCAATGACGCAATGGAAAAATCTATAGATAAATGCCAAGGAATTCCTTTTCAGTCTTGAACCAGGACGCATATTTTTGATCTGAAAGCTCAAGACAATAAGAACAACAAGGACTATCTTTATGTTGTCTGAGTTTGTGTTTAGGGTGTCTTCCGATTCGACATCCAGGAGAAGAAGAAGACCGTCAAGACCTGGACTGCTGATCTTAAGAACGGTGACGGATCCTTGGTCGAAGGCGAGGGAACTAAGCCAGACGTTACTATCATCGTTTCCGACGAGGACTTTGTCAAGCTTGCTGCTGGAGAGCTCGACGCACAGAAGGCCTTCTTCTCCGGAAAGCTCAAGGTCAAGGGAAACATCATGCTTTCCCAGAAACTCGGCGCCATCCTCAAGAACTAATTTACACTGTAATTCTCACTCTGACTAAAATAAATACGAATTTAAATTTGTGTACTGTTTGTATTTACGACTAAATAACTTTAGTTCTTAAGAAATATCTATTTTTAAAAACCGTAGAAAGTTCGGACAGGTCATAAGCGCGCTTCTTCGAAAAGTCTCTAGACATATTGTTATCCTTTGGGCGCAGCGCGCGCTTCACGGCAGAGCGGAGGAGCGCAGCGAGAGAAAGAGAGAGACTGAATATCGGTTTTTTATGACCAAATTACATTCCAGAACCATTACTGTACAGCTGAACACTCACAAAATGTTTGAATTTAGGGTTAGCAGCCACTCTACTTGTCCCGGCGCTGATTTTTCCACCCTTTTTTCAAAAATTTTGCCATTTTTTCCAATTATTCTAAAATCGTTCTCTCTTTCAGACGAATTCTTGATTTTTCATCGTTTACCATGGCTGAACCGGGAAACAACGCTTCTAATTACAACGAGAACAATTTTGGGACGGCTACACACGTGTGCATGACGCATTGTCTCATAGACTTTTTTTGCGATACAGTTTGTTTGAAAACATGTTACGTAACTGTGTAACCGCCAGTAGACTACCGCAACTTTATCCAGCAGGGTGTCCCCATCGCTGGCACCAACGAAGTCATCGTGAAAAATGAGGAGTTACCTCAGCAACAAGTTCCCATGTGGGACAACGAGCAAACGGCCACGCTGACCGAGTGCAAGGAAGAACCTGAAGATGAATACATCCCACAGGTCGAGGGATGCTCCAGTAACTCTTTCGCAGCAACCGAGCCTGTGGATCATCCCTCGTAGCCGGTCAAAAATGATGGACAACAAATTGTTATCGCCGACGACGACGAGATCGCTCCCAATTACGTGCAGCCAAAGTTTCATCAGCAACAGTTTAACCAGCAACAGCAGTTCCCTCAAATGTTCTATCATATGCAAAACAACCAGACTGTCTATCAAGATCAGCAGCATCACTCTGGACAGTGGCAACAACAACAGGCTTGGCAGGCAAGCTTATTTATTCCAATTCAAATCGAACGTCCTTTTAGCAGCAAACTGGCCATCAATACCAGCAGTATTCGCCTTTTGTTAAAATGGGCCTGCAAAACAGCAATGAACAACTGTTCCAGCAGTACCATCAGGGACAAGCAACGACAACTTACAGCACAGCATCTTTCAATGCTCAGCATGGACTCAATATGCATCAGCAGGTTAAAACACTACTTTTTTTTTCTTCAAGGAGTCTCAGCAAGTCCTCTTTTCTAAATAAGATTTAGCAGGGATGCGTGCCTGTTACTAGCCTTCCAAGCTCAAACTTCATGATGAATTCGCAGACTCAGGTACCGTTCAAAAACTATTGATAAGTGTAAATTGGCTTCAGGGGCATAATTCGTCAGGCGTCCCTATCAAACAAGTCTTTACTAATTACCAAGGTAATTCTTGCTTTTCATCTGGATGATATTAATTCATCCTCCTAGGGCAGCAGCTATTCGGACAGCAGTTTAATCAAGGCACTCAACCAAGCATCGTGATTCAATCTCATCCAAATCATGAGATGTTTAGCGAGGGAACTGGCGAGGAAATGTTCACTCTCCAGCCAGCCATGCCCAATCTCAATGCTAGTTATGGAAACTTCGTTGAAGACCCCTCAAACTTGTCGAATGAAGAAACCACCACGATCAAACAAGAAGATTGTGATGATGAAGAGAACAATGATGAGCCTGCGCTTGAACTCAGCACAACATTCGAGAACACCAAAGCTATGAAAGACCACGTCTACTATCGTAAACGCCAAACTTTTATCAAAATAAGCAATCAGTTGTTTAGTTAAGGATTTAATTAACGACCTCGTGCTCCAAACGAAAATTCACGCGAAAAACTCTGGCCGCTATCGAAAAGCCTGTCAGGACCACGACGATATGCTGCCTGATGTTGCTTACGCCGAGTGCAAATCTTTATGTTACAAGACACTCCCAGAGGAATCAGAGTTAAAAGATCAAATTAATCTTATATCATTTATCCAATTATTTATATTCTATTCTAACTCGGCATAGATGGCCAGGGACCCACCAAAACTAAACGCAACTCAAATGCGCAAGCTAAACAAGGCATTCAACTCCGTAAGTTGATAAATTACGCTCGAAGAATACCACTTTCTTTCAGTTGAAGATCAAGGATAAGCCGGAGCTGCCGGAAATGAAAACTGCTCTCAAAGTTATGTGCGAAATCGGTAAAATCGATGACGGCGTGGAGCAATTGATTGAGGAATTATGTTTGTACTTCTTATAAGACTTATTGAATAGCGTTTTTAGACACACATCCAGAAGGCTTTGATGCTTACTGGAATATGCTGAACTCAGGTCAAAAGAAGTGGTTCAACAAAAACCGTAGTCTTGAAGAGAACAAGGTGGTTCCCCGCCCTTCACGTAAAATGGGTCGACCACGAACAACCCCAACCGTCCGACGTTCTCCTAGAGGCAAAAACAAAAATAATAATGCCAAGAACAAGAAGGGAGAAAAAGCTCAAGAAGATGCTAAAGCTGGTTCAAAGAAGAAGTAAAATATGAATGAGAAGGCCGTCTTTATTCTCTCCCATTTATTTTTATATTCAAACACTTTTAACTGCCACAATTATATTTTTCTATTCAAAATATATATTTAAAGTAAAGTCACTTTGTTTCTGAAAAACAAGGTTTCCCCATTGATTTCAGAAAGGCTCCCCTTTTCTTGCAGACTTCATCACAAAGAAATCAAGAGTTTTTAATGTTGATCGGTTCAAAGATGATATTCCTCTTGTCACAAGAGTCTTGTGACTTACCTTAATCCTTGAGAAAGATGCACCTGCATCTTACAGATCAAAACACGGCAAGAGGTCCATTTAATTTAAACAATGAAGCTCTCGCTTGCCCTTTTCTCCTCCGTTTTCTGTGATACTCTTCCTTACGACACGCAATGCACATCAATCGGTGGTACTTGTACTGATTACAGATATCTAACTTGCATTGCCGGATATGCAACAGGAAAGTGCAACGGCGATAACAACAGAAAATGCTGTCTGCCTTGTGATACTAGTTGTCAATTAAAGGTGACGGGAGAAATATATAACTTGAAAAGAGATAAATTGAAATCAAGGAAGAAAGCGACAGTTTGAACGACGGAAAGTGTACTTCCGCCGGCGGCGAGTGCAAGCACAACACAAACTATTGCAATGGATATTACTCGTCTGGTCTTTGCGGTGGCGGATCAGCTCGGCAATGTTGTAAAACGGGCTCAACAAACTGCGAGTTGCTCACTTATTCGAACACGTGGGTGAAAGGATACAATGGACTCACAGTCAAGATTGATCAGGGATTCAAATCCGCCATGGACACAATGAACAATTACGCGGGACAGTGCGGTGTGACTGTTTATGTTACTCATGCATTCAGAAAAGAAGGTTCATCCTTACTGTTGACGTCGTAGCGTCATTAAATAATCTAGGACAAGAGATCGGAGGTACAGTTGTGCCACCAGCAAGCCACAGCAACCATTTGACTGGCCATGCAATTGACATGAATCTGGACACTCCGAGAGGCTGGTGCAATAGCTCTTGCTTGGCTGCCGAGTCGAACACCAATGCCAAATGCTTCACTGATAAGGTACAGATGCTAGCGTAAGCGATTTACTTATTATTTTCAGATTATTGCAAACGCTGGTTTGCGGTGGGGCCAGAGTTTTAACGACCCAGTCCACATTGACGATAATCTATGGTACTCGAATTCGAACACTTGGACTGATCTTTACTACAAACATCAAAATTCTTGTTCTTAGTTTCTTCCTGCTCCTGAAATTTGAATAGAAACAGACTCGAATCGTTTTATTTCGGAGAAAGTTTCCTCGAAATAAAGACTCTTAATTTTGAGCATGAAATTTATTACGCGGCGGGATGAAATTTACGAATTAAAAAATAGAGTCTTACAGTGATAAATAAAAAATAAATGCAGTGATGTAAGAAAATAGTTAAAAAAAAAATAAAAAAGAAGAGATCTTTAGAAATCGAACAAATCGTTGTTCTTCGGAGGGTTGTTTTCTGTTTCTTCACCGATATTGACTATAAAGTGAGTTTCGTTTTGTTCACAGCTGAAATTGTTTACCTGGCTCTGGGTTCTTGTCAGGCAGCGTATTGAGCCATTCGTTGATGTCTACGTACTGCTGATCGGTGATAACTAAAGATATTCAAAGGTAACTTAAATTCTGCGCGCTCGCGATGGTACCTTCTTGCTTCAGAGGAAACTGAGGAGCAGTAGAAGTTGAGGAAGCTGGTGGGGCGTGAAAATGCGCACTTGTAGACGGAGCTTGCCAATGCGCACTTGAAGAGGGAGCTTGCCAATGTGCGCTTGAAGAGGGAGCTTGCCAATGTGCACTTGTTGATGGTGCTTCGAAATTGGGAAACTGCGGAGCAGCAAAACTGGAGGCAGCTGGTGGAGCATCAAAATGCGCGCTCGAAGACGGAGCTTCAAAATGTGCGCTCGTAGACGGAGCTTGAAAGTATGCGCCAGTAGTTGGGGCTTGATAATGCGGCGCACTTGTAGATGGAGTTTCAAAGTTTTGAAACTGTGGAACAGTGGAAGAAGTTGATGGAACCTCATTATTTGAATTGCTTTCTTCTAGTTTCACAGCCTAGATTAATAGATATTGACAAGAAGATGAATAGGCACTCTCACTTCGAAGTAAGCCGTCTGTTCGCCTCGAGAGTTCAAAATTGGCTGGACGACTGTCATTTGACCGGAGAGAAGGGGAAAGTCCGTGATTGGGACCTGAGACTGCATTCCCATTCCGGGAGTAATCGGGTGGAACTGCGGCTGGATGTTCTGGTGATCGTACTGCTGAATCTCCCATGATGGGGGCTACATTTTGTTGTTATTGATAACTCGGAAATTGATTGTTACCTGAACCCATTGCTGATTGTTCATTCCATCATGGTGGAAGTATTCTTGATTGTGAGTGGTGGACTCAGTAAGAATATATTCTTCCGCGGCTGGTGGAGCTTGAAGTTCGAATTGTCTTGTGGGCATGCGATCGGCTGGGTTTGGAGGCTGGTTCAGTTGCTTCTGCTAAAAAAGGACATCAACACTTGCATTGATTTGAATAAATACCCCGCGGAAGCTATGCTGAGCCTGGGCCTTCTCCTCCTCTGCCACCCTTCGCCTTTGTTCCCTAACTTCCTCAGCCAGTTCAATAGCCTTGGCTGAGCCGTTTCGGAGAATCCATTTGAGCAGTTCTGGTTTAGCACGCTGGAAGAAGCCGTATTGATGAAGATAGAAGGAGACGTTGTTTGGGTCACTTCCCTCCTCTTCATTGCGTTTTCTTGAGAGAAAATACGTAAGGAAGGCTTCTTTGGTTTCAGGGATAAATTACCTGAAGCCGTAGAGGTTTAATTGACGGATGAAACTAGCAAATTCTTTCGTCTGAATAGGCGCCTTCTCCGCCTTTGGCCGTTGGAGAAATCCCTCGTCGAAAGCTTCGCGCTCGATGACAAAGTATTCCCCATACTCACCCCAGTAGATGAAGGGGTACTCGCTTTCGCTGCTCACAATTTCATAGAGCTTCTGCACAAAAGGCTGGACTCCGTCAGCTGGCTTTGGCTTCTTTGGCTTTGGAGCGGCAGCTCTTGGCGCAGCGCGCTTTACAGCAGTGGTTTCTCGTCGTTTCACTGGAGCTCTTCTTGGGGAGGCGGAACACGCTTTCGGTTCCCGAGATTCTTGGGAATCGTTAACTCTGGTTTGCAAAGAACAGAGGCTTACATTAATAATCTTCTCAGACATTCGGATCTTCGCCAACGCTCGTTCCATGTGCAGTTTACACGCCAAGGTGAACCGGTCATCATCATCTAACTCGTCTTCTTCGTCGCTCGCCAAGAAAATGGTCTTTTAGGGAATCAGATATTTTTAAGAAGGCTCATTTAAAATGTGACTGTAAACGAGAATGTGCTTTCGTCAAGTCTTACCGATAAAACTATCTTCCCATTCCTCATTCACGAATTCAACGTCTGAATCAGATTCAAGATCGGACGAAGAGACGATCGACTCAGTCAGAGTCGATTCCTTCAAAAAATTAACATTTATAATTCCTAAATTCTCTTCGTTGACTTCAAAGATCGTCCTTACCTCAGAAGAAGCGGGAACTGTGTCTTTTTCAGCGTCAAAAATGATGCACGGATCGACAGAGGTTTCCATTTTTTTCGGTGGAACCTGGTCAGAAACAGTCTTTTCCTATAAAAACAAGTTAGTATCTTCAGACTCCCTTCCTTGACTTCAAAAACCCATCGCTACCTGAGGAGAAGCAGACACCTTGTCATTTTCGACGTTCTCGGGGTCGACAATGATGAATGGATCGACAGAGGTTTCCATTTTTTTCGCTGGAAGCTGTTCAGTAACAGTCTTTTCCTATAAGAAGCAATTATTATTCTCAAATTCTCTTCGTTGACCCCCTCAAAAACCCATCCTTACCTGAGGAGATGCAGGAAGTTTGTTGTTTTCAACATTTTCGGCGGAGAAAATCATGAACGGATCGACAGAAGTTTCGATGTTTTTGGATGAAAGCTGGTCAGTCACAATCGTTTCCTATAAAAACCAATTTGTATCTCCAAATTCTTTAGAAACCCATGGTTACCTGAGGAGAAGCAGGCACTTTCTCTTTATCAACGTTTTCGGCGGAAAAAATGATGAACGGGTCGACAGAGGTGTCCATTTTTTTCGATGGAAGCTGTTCAGTCACAGTCGTTTCCTTTAAAAACCAGTCAGTATCGTCAAAGTTTGAAGTTCAAACTCTTCGTTGACCCTCTCAAAAACCCACCCTTACCTGAGAAGATGAAACTTTCTCGGTTTTGACGTTTTCAGCGGAGAAAATGATGAACGGATCGACAGAGGTGTCCATTTTTTTCAATGAAAGCTGGTCAGTCACAGTCGTTTCCTATAAAAACCAGCTTGTATCTCCAACTTCTTTTCGATGACGTCAAAAAACCACCGTTACCTGGGTAGGAGCAGGCACTTCGACGTTGTCGTTTTCGATATTTTCGGTGGAGAAGATCATGAACGGGTCGGCAGAAGTTTCCATTTTTTCCGGTGAAAGATTTTCCATAATTAACTACGGTTCAGGATGCGTTCTGAAATCAAGGACTCTTTAAAAATGATCCACGGTTAGGGCTGTTAACTCATGGGCTGGCAATCGGGCTTTTTTTGCCAAAAATCTACGTTTTTTTTCACTTTGCTTCCGAATTGCCACTTTTTCGGTATTTTCCCGAATAAATCACGTTAGTTACCAGTCCTGACTGTACTTCGACATTACTGACAGCCCTGACTATCCTGAGACAAAGTTTCGAAGAAATTTTTGAAAATTTTACTTGTTGTTTAAAGCTTAATTTAATTAAATGACTCACAATGAGTAATCAACCGAGGCAGTACCTAATCACGAAAAAAGGATTATCCATATTTACGTTTTTATCTCTTCAACTTACGTTTCCAAGGTGAGAAATCGGTGTTTCCTTCAGCGTGGCTGCGGTGGAATGAGCGCATTCTGACTTTTTGAAAACAAGAAACAAAAGTTCTAGAGAACCGAATGCAGTTGCGGCGCGCGCCGCTCCAAGTCTCGGAGTCTCGGAGTCAACAATTATGAAGAAAAAAAATCAAAAAAATGGTTATTATTAACTTTTGATGAAAATTAACAATATGAGTATGATAAGTTATAAGAGATAACATCAATTAATTAAAAATTTATTAATATTGATAATTTGAATAATAATTATTAATAATTAATAAGATAATAACATATTTTTTAATAAAAATTACACATCCTAACGGGTAATTTCCTTTAAAACGGCGCCATTTTAACGGATTTATTATTCCTCAGGTCACCAAAATAACGGATTTTAGAGTCTAAAATTTAGACCACCAGATTTGATAAATATACTTTAAAATTTTATAGAAAAATCCGTTGGAAAAGCGATCTTCTTGAGAAATCATAAACCCGTTAAAATGGAAATATCTTTGAGGAATTCGCCCGTTAAGATGCGACCCCCTATAAATTTCAGGTTGATTTTCAAATCAATTTTCTTCGAGAGAGAGAATTAATTACTGTAAATAAGGAGTTGGCAATAACCAAACAGGTTTCTAATAAGTGGACAAAAGTAAGTACCTATTCTAGTGCAGCGTGACAAAGAAAAGAGACCGACCCTGCGCTGAATTATATATTTTCAGTGACAATGTACAAACCTTTTTAAAAATTAAGCCTCAGTACAGACAACAGGCAACTTAGCCATGGAAATTGCGAAAACTTAAAACAGAGAAAACGCTGGAAAATCACTGTCACTGCTAGAACTCGCGCCAGGTATTGAAAAACTAGAGTTTTTTTTAGCATTTCTGAGTCGTTTTCATTGTGAATTATGTGGTTCCCATTTTAACGTGCAAATAATTCTGAGAGGCCTCCATTTTAATGGATTTGGATTCACTCAAAAGGGTCCTCTATTTAACGGATTTTCTAGCCCCAGGCTTAGCGTACCAACATTTCTGAAAATCCGTTAAATAGAGGACCCCTTTGAAAAAATTCAATTCCGTTAAAATGGGGTCATCTCAGAACCATTTGCCCGTTAAAATGGGGACCGATTTTATAAGAGAGGAAGTATGATTTTTTTTCATAGAGAAAAAAAACAAGATTTTCAAGCGATACGTAGGTAGATTTTGATAGAGAAAGAATTCGAGAGAAAGAATTCGAATTGAGTTCTCATCAGAAGCGGATGATTATGTCCGGGCATTGTGGAATGCTTCTTGTGCTGCCGGTCTTCTCATTGTCACTCTCGATCTCATTTTGATTGATTGCGCCGCGGTGGGAAGGAGCTATTTTAATGAATTCTGAAATTTTCAACTTTCACTCGACCAAGAAAAAGTTGAGTAAAAGGATTACATCCCCAAGTCTCATTGAACAGATGGCTCCAATTAATTACCAATTCAAAAAATATGGATGAATATAATAACGAGAACTTATTTAATAGTAGATACAAATAATTTTTTTGAAGAAGCCGCTTCACGGCTCTTTTTACAAAAAAGCCGCTGCGCGGCTTTTGTCGAAACTCTTACAAAAGAAAAATATTTCTTGAGTTTTAGATTAAGAACTTTAGTTGAAGCGAATTTATGGTCTTGTCTTTTTTGATGAGAGCTTATCAACTGTCGCCGTTTTTTGATGGATGTTTGGGAGCGGGCTCGATAAAAATGCAGGTACAAATGTTCGATGCAGAAATTCTTGATTCTAGCGCTGAAATCAGAATAGACCAATTACAATTCACAAAGCGCGATTGTGGCGGTGCTGGTGGCGCTAAAGCTACTTCGGGTGGTGGCGCGCGCCACTCGCCAAAAAATATGAATCTCGCGAAAAAAAGGATAGCCAAGTTGTAACCATCCTCCTAGATCATCCTTACAGAGATACAGATAGCGACATTCTCATCTTACTGATACGAAAGTCTATAGTAGTGGCTGTTTTTGTAACTAACTTTGCGGTTCTGGAAGCAAGCGGCTTTGATAATGGTAAGAATTGTTCTTATTTCAATCATTTATTTTAATGCATTTTGGAAAGTTTCAACTTATCTATCATTTTTCCACAGCTGAGAGGTTTTTTTCAAAACTCAAGCACTCAAAAAAGCGTTCATGTCTCTTTATGAAACCGTCTCTTTGATTCGGACGAACTTAAGGGTCTCCCCGTAATTCATATTTCGGTCCGATGTTTCTAGGAATATGACATCTGACAGCTGAGAAAGACTGTAGTCTATAGCGTACGTCAAGTTTTGTAAGCGCATCTTTATGAGGGCAAAGACTCCTTTGCTTTTTTTTTTCTTAGTTACGTTCGGAAAGCATTATTGATTATCTTGCGACTAGAAATATCTGCCTAAGAGAAAAGTAGGAAAGCTGCATCATCAGTGCTTCAAGAAAAGAGACACCAAGTGGAGTTGCTCCACAGAACTCGGCAATTAAGACAAAAGAACTATACCCGCCAGAAATTTTTACCCATTGCATTTTTTTAACGAAGAGAAGAGAAACTAAGCAGCGTCAAGAACGGGGCTCAACTTCTACCAGTCACTCATAATTGAACATATAGATTCTTTATTCATATAGTATTAGACAAGAAAGAAATGTAGTTTTGAAAGAGGAAAATTAGAAAATAAGAACTTATAAGTGGAAAGAAACTGATTTGTGAATTGTCAATAGAAAAATACGATTTGATCTCGCTCTTTGAAGATAGAATTTTTGCAAGAGAAGATATTTTTACGAACTAACGAAGAAAAAGAAAGGCCTCAAACTTCGCGGCCATTGCCAGAACAGGGCAAGTCCTTTTTTTTTGCTCGGATGAAGATTCCATTTGGATGAAATCGGAATTCTGTAAGTATGGAATATCGACTGGATATTCACTCAAGAGAACTTTTTTCCGCAAAGGGTCCGCCAAGAGATGCTCATTTCCAGGCCTTCGTCAGACACTGCTGCAGGATCTGCAGAAAATCGAAGCACTGACTACTGGCAGGAGAAATAACTCAGCCTCCCCTCGGTGGCTGCAGGACGTTTCCACGAGGCTTTATGCTGCTGCATCTTTTGCCACGTTTGGGTTAGCTTCGCATGAGAAATCATAATTGACAAGTAATTTAAAAGAATAACTCGCCCGGAGAATTTGAATGCGCTTATGTGTATAAATTAACGCTAAACCGGTTACAACTAATTAGCTCGCCCTCTGTTGCCGGGATTTAATAGACCCTTCCTGGGGCAAGAATTGAGACTCTTTTCGCGGCTTCGAGCAAAATAAGGCCGAAAAAGCCGCGCTCCGAGCGGCTTACTTTCGACAGTGCTGAAAAAGTCACGAATGTCACGAATGTAACGAATGTCACGAATGTCACGAAAACATGTTTCTTTTTCGTGACATTTTCAGCAAAATCGTGACATTCGTGACTTTTGTGACATTCGTGACATTTTCAGTACTGACCCTTACTTTTCTCTTACTCGAAGCCGCAAGCGGCTTCTCGATTCTCACGATGTTAAAGGAGCAATTCTCCTTCCAGATCAAGTTAAAATTCCCCCCCCCCAGGCGTGTTTTCAGGTCTCCTTGCGCAAGAAGAGTAAATTTTCATTTCTACAATTGTGTGGCATTGTCACGACGCATCTGCGCCCGAAAGAATTAAAAAAAGTAAATATTTGTGCATTTCCATTTTTCTACTTGCAATAAAAGTGGCGTCGAAACAAAGCGCCAGCAGGGTACAATATCCGGCCCTTGCAGAAAAACATTTTCAGTTTTAATTTTAAATCATCTCAGTACTCTCAAATCAGAGAACATTTATGTAGAAGCGGCGAATAAAGAAAGTATCAAGAGGTAAAAAAAAGTAACATTTTGATTCATTTTCTACAACGCCGTTCTAAATTCCTGATCTCTAATTTAATTAGATATTTATTTGAAAATATCTTCTTGATTTTGAAAAATTAATTTTACTTCATGACATTTTTAAGAAGATTTTAAGGAAGTTTGAGGTAAGTTTGACCACTAACCCCTTAAAAATCAACATATGTCGGGATAGAGCTAAATTTGTTGACCCTTATTTAGCAGTATTTTAGCTGGAAAGTTCAGAGTTCCTTTCGAATTCTAATGCAAAAGAGGCGAAAGGGACACGCGCCCGAGGGCACTTGAGAATGAGATAGCACAATTCACACAAATAAATCGACTGTTACAGCCTGATACAAAAGGCCAAACAAGCGGCAAATTATTTTTGTCTCTGACTGTATAAACTATCCTCTCTTCTTTTACAGGCGCTTTGAAATAACAGGTTTTCAAAAACAGGAGAGGTGACTTCAAACGGCAAATTAGAAAGTATAAAAATTGATCAGCGCGGTTCCTACCTTTGTCTCTTCCTAAAGGAAACTACTTACTACTGAAGAACATATTTTCAAGAAAAGATTTTTGTACTTTGCAATTTAAATTACCGAAAATAGCGCTTACTATTACTTTTTAGGCCCTGGCAGCGACGCAACTTCTAATTAACGACCAAGGTAATTATTACTATTGTCTACTCTAAAAACTGTATATTTTAAAGTTCCATGAACTTTATGTAAGACAGACTATGCTACTATACTAAATCTGTATATAAATATTGGAATTCGTGCACAGAACGGATGCTTCATTCTGCATTGTCCAGAGACCAAACTCTTTTTAATTACATTTCAAGAGACTTCTAATTAAACTTTTTTACAGTTATCGAAACAGAGTAGGTCTTGGACTGATTTTCAACTGCTTGTTACACCCATAAACCGATACCCCTTTTTAAAACAGCCCATAACCCTAATGCGAACCCTAACACTAGGTAGCCTTTATCAAGTTGAATTGTTTCTGCGATAGTGGCACTCGTCGCGGGGCAAATCCAATTTATGACAAGGTGATTCTCATCAGAAGGAGCAGAACATTGTTCGTGGTGACAATTGTTAACTTAAAGTGTGATACAACGTAGTTAAGCCATTACTTCGGGATTGACACTTCAGCAAAAAAAGACAAATCCCATTTATCTCTCCTCACTGTTAGAGATCAATTCAGCCACCCACCGACATTCCACCAATGACAGTAATTACAGTAGTCCGTTTTGAGAGAAGGCCTTTTAGGAAACCCAAAATGATTCGAATTTCTAGAGCTCTTTTTTCATATTGAAACAGTGGTCTTTTCTTGGCGGAACAAAGGTCTGATGCTGGCTGACCTTGAGTGCAGTTATGAAAATCAGTCTTTTTGGACAAAACCGATCAGACTAAAGCATCTTTGAAATCGCGGCGGGGGGCGTTCCATTATGTATTCTTCTATACTTATTTTTACTCCGCCACTGGCCCCTAAGAAAAAACGCGATTTCGATAGTCAACGAAATTCACCAAAATTCGAGAATCATTAAACTCAGCTTTTCAGTAACAATGGTCAACAACAACAAAAGTCAAGAACACAACTCGAACTCGACTTCTTCCAGTGGTAAGTCAAACTGTCCATAAAAACCTCTTGTTCTGTCTTTTTTTTTTCGCAGCAAAGAAAAGCCCCAAAGTCATTTTTTTCGTAGACAGAGAGGCGAATCTGTTTTACTGCTATTTAAATCGCCAGCCGTACCCTTAAGTAGATGTCACAAGTATTTCATCTTTCTTCTACTGACATTATTTTCGCCGCAGATAATTGCGATTCGCCCTGTCCTCTGTCTTGAGAGAAGCCTCCTTAGACGAAAAGTGATATTTTGATTTTTGGCTAAAGGAGACAAGTGTTTTGTTTTTTGGCGTTATGCGTTATTGATAGTGTCGGATGCGAGCGTAAGGTTTCGGATTGATAAACTCCAAAAACGCCACCTTTCGACGATTGTCAACAGTTTTGTTTTTCAGCTTCTTGTTACGAGTCGCACGATTTTTAGCTTGTTTCTGCGAAATAATGACTTGACAATTTTTTTAATTATTTTCAATTTTTACGAAATCGGAAAATTAGTAGCTTATGAAAACTGAGAGCGGATGAACAAGTGCTTCAAGCTCATAAAAGTGGCTGGAAGGTGTGCTCGCTGCTCGAGATTCTAGAGCTGAATAAATACATAATCCAAGATTCTTTCTGCAATGTTTCGCCTGGGCGCACTATCCGGCGGGACAAAGTACCGCGCATACGAAAATGTTGAACGTATTTGTATTTTTGTGATTTCTTCAATTCTTTTGCATTGACTCTGCCTAAACGGCGGAGAATCTACTCACGCCCTTTCTTACTGAGAGTCTGAAACTGAATTATTGTCTCTCAATTTATCGACCAATATAGTGACTAGTGTAGACTACGCTGTGGAGTAGACTGAAAGATAATTCCAGCTGATAAACTTTTTCCCAATTTTTCACTTTATTCTTTCAGGAGAACTGGAGGAACCAACCAAAGAGGAAAAGGGATCTTCCCCAGAGTCATCCGAGCGTCGAACCGGCAGCGAGGAGAGCGATGAAATCAACACGAGCCTCAGCTCGCTCCCACAATCACATGCACAGTTTCCCTTCAGCAAGCTCTATCCAGCGCTTGTCAACCAACAGGAACTCAACAAACAGCTGGTAGGTCGTCTAACACTCCAATGAGCGCTTGCTTTAATTTTTCTAATTATTTGAATAATCCAGCTCGATGCTTTTGAATATTTGATTTGCAGGTGTTCCTGCCTCAACTTTTATCAGGGCGAAAATAAAACTCAATGGGTCGAGTTTTGAGTTGAAATTAAAATTTTAGCGTCGATGCAAAATGGGCATATTAGGGCTGGAATTATCCTCTCGACATTCCCATTCAGCCGCGAAAAAGTAACAAGTAGTGCCACTTGAGATTGATTTTTTGGGAGGAACTTCGGAAAATAGGAACACCTCTGAATAGCTGCTTGTTATACACTTGAAAATTAGAAAATCAACTTTCGATTCCACCTGGCGCCTCTTTTTCTTCATTCAAAATAGTTTCGTTTCAGCTATTTTTTGCCTACCCCTTACCTGTGTCAAAAATCTGAGTCAGGTTCTAAAGAACCTAAATGAAAAGCCGCGTAGCGGCTTTTTTAAATAAGAAGTCGCGAAGCGGCTTCGCAATAAATATAATCATTTCAAATTATAATTACTCACTGGCGAAGCCGCTTCGCGGCTTTAATTTAGGCTCTTGAAAACCTGACTCAGGTCTTCTACACAGGCTACCGAGCCCTTACCCTAACCCTTACCCTAACCTCAACCAGGATGAAGCTTAATTTTGGCGAAAACGCAGAGCTTGAAATCTCCAAGAGCAGTTGGCCCTTGAGCTCATTCTTTGTGGGAATATTTTGGAATTGTGTATTCTAGCCAAATGTTTTGTGAAATTCTGCACAACGCGGCGGTGCGCTTTGATCCTCTCCGCCCGGCCGAACAAAATGATTTTGACAAGTTTTAGAAAAATGTTTTATTCTCTCCTCGGCGCCACGGCGGTGCAATTTAAAAACAAAAAAAAGCGTTTTGTTTCTGATTTATTTTTTCTATATCTTACTTAATGCTAAGTATTGATTGATTGTTTTAGAATGCCGAGAGGAGCCAGTCCGACATTTCCGCGATGGAGAAGCAGCTACAGGAGCAGGCCTCCGAGCTAGACATACTGAGGACGCAAGTGGCCGTAAGTAAACACCAGATGACAATTTAATGTCACAGTTACAGTCACTTGCCATGCTTTCCGAGCACGCTTTGTTTTCTCATTTGACAAAACGTTTGCCTTGAGAATGCTTTCGTCGCGCGAATGCCCTTTATTTTCGCGTTTTTCAAAGGAATACGGCGTTAATTGAATTATCTGTATCTAAATGTATAAAAGACTCAATGAGGATGAAAACTATTTTTGCGAATAGAAAGAGTTTTCAACCCTTTGTTCGACTAAAAGATGTCTTTCTATCAAACGTCTGTATTCTACGACAAGTGTTTATTTTTCCGTCTGAAGAGTGTTTTCCTTTTCGATTACAATAAAGAGCGCGCGTAAGGAATAATTGAATTCTTCTTGTCAGCGCTGGAGGAAGGTGGCGTCTTTCTTGCTTGACTGATAACTGCGGTTTTATTGACAATTTCTCCTTTGTGACAATTTCAAAAGTGCCACTCTCAATGTCGATTGTGGTTTGTCCAGCAGGCGCTGCATAATTCATCCCCTCCGACGCTTTACGGATTATACTTTAATTAACAATCCCAAATGTCCGACAAGCCGCTTTTCAACCCATCTTTCAACAGAATCGAGCGCCATTATCTTGCCCAAATTATTTTCCTTTCGCTCAAAGAATGCTTGTATTCAAAATTTAATTCGCGATTGACCTTTCTTTAACCTGAGATAGAAATGAAAATAATAAATAGAAATCAGATCTCTTAGTTATAGAAGTTTTATTATACAGAAGATTTTTCAAGTATTCGTTCTGTTTCAATGACTTTCAATTTGCATACACGGTAAAAGCACAATTGACTCTGTTGGAGTTTTTGCTTCATTTAATTCAACAAACATAAGTTTTGCTCTTCTGAACTGATTATGTAGCAATGAGTGACCGAAAGAGGGCGCAACTCGATGCAAGTTCGCAGCGGGTGATCGGCCTAGTTTTCGAAATTGTAGTCAAAATCTGATTCCGAACGATCCAATTTTTATAATTTTAGTCTTCTTGACTTAGATCAATTAACGGCAACGATCTTTAGGATCAACACTCACTTTCTTTTGAATACTAAACCTTACTTTCTAGCTGCTTCAAAAAGGCGCCGTAATGCAGCAACAGTCGATGAAGTTTCCCACGACGCCAATCGGGCAGAGTCCCTTCCTGCTCCGCGCGCTGATAGGTGAGTCCTCCTTGATTTCAAACCGTCTGCGTTTTTTATTGTGTTGGGCGTGAGTGTTATCTGCACTGTCAATGTCTCCAGTTTTCTTTGATCTTTTGAATGGAAAAAAGGGGAGAATACCTGCGGGCGATTTATGTTGCTTTTTATGGGCGCATTTTAGACCTGGCTTCAATAGTTTTATTCTCGATCTATCAAACAATGTCGCCCATTGTGTCGTTTTATAATCAAATGCTTTCAGGAAATCAGCTGTTGCACGCTAGCGATCACATGCAGCAGCAGCTAAACCAGACCTCGCCGCTGCAAGAAGTAAGCCAGCTAAATCTACTCTCCAACCAACAAGCGCTCAATCACCAGGTAATGTCCGTTTGCTAAAGGAGAATCATGATCACCAGGTGGCGCTAAAATGACCAATCACAGCGCTCAAAATCAATGCAAGACTGCTTTTTCCACCCTCGAAGCTGCTCTTCTATCATCAATTTTATTCAGGCAAATCTTCTGTCGCAGCTAAAACAGCCTCTGTATCAGATGGCTCGCTCGTTCAGTCCGTCCCAGCCAAGCATGAGTCCAACGAAGATTCCAATCACAAGTCGTCCTAGTTGTCACTTCAGCGCTGCGAAAACAGCTTCTCTTCCGTCCCAGGCACAATCCCCGATCGAACTTGCGCAGCAAAACTTGGTCCTATTCGTAAGCTCCTTACTCTTTACTTAATCTCCTGACTTCTATCCTCACCTCAAGGCGTCAATAGATTCTTTTAGTCCTCCCAGATCGGAAAATCTGATCCCGAGAACAGACGAAATTCTCCCAGTCCTCCCACAAAAACACACGGCCGTAAGTGTTCCATTTTTTAATTTAACATATTTTATATAAATCTATTTCCTCCAAATAAATTAAACTTAGAATCGCCGTACGAGACAAAAATTTACCGCGAACCGCGAAAAAACGCATCTGAACACATAAAACGACCAATGAACGCGTTTATGGTCTGGGCGAAGGATGAAAGGCGAAAGATTTTAACGCAAAATCCAGACATGCACAATTCAAATATTTCAAAAATTCTAGGCTCCAGGTACGTCGAGTAATACAAATGACGAAAAATGTGGTTTGTAGTACAGATTTCGTTTTCCATAAACTTTCCTTGACTCGTGGTTAATTTTAAGCCCCGAGGTAACAAGAATTTAAGATGGAAACAAATGTCCCCTGAACAAAAGCAACCATATTACGAGGAACAAGCGAGACTATCCAAAGCGCACATGCAAAAGTACCCAGACTACAAATACAAGCCCAGGCCGAAGCGCACTTGCATCCACAATGGCAAGAAAATGAGGATATCAGAGTACAAGGTAGACTCATCCTCCATGTCAAAGCTTAACTTGATCAGGCGCTGATGAAGCAGAAGAAGGAATCCTTGGGGCACAAATTTCCCTCGATGGACACAGTCGATCTGGTAAGCAAAAGAATCATCACTATTGAACTGGAAAATAGCAGCTTACTTCAGGAATTCCCCTCGAGCCCGCCTGACATGGTGATTCAAGAAATGCAGCCAGAAGTAGAAACCGAGTAACCAACAACTTTTCCCAAAACAAATGTAATAGAAATGTCGCCGATCAGTAAAAATGCCTGTACTCTTCAATAATCTGTGCGAATAATCCCTAGCCCGCCAAGGGCCGACCCTCTATGATGTACACAAATCTGTAAATCTAATAAAAGTTCAGTGTACTGTAATTTTGTCTTTTCTATTATGAGAAAGGCGGGATGGTTTCAAAAATTAAATTGATAGAAAAAACGGGCGCCTATATAAAAATTAGACCAAAAATCATTAATGCAGATGAGCTTCTAAATGTGCGAATTAAACACGAGTCGAATGATGATCCCTTTGATCTGAGATTGAGTAGTAAAGGCCCGTAAGTAACTGAAGTTCGCCCCGGGGCGTTCATCCCTCTCCCAGCGCTAAGGTGACTTTCCAGAAATGTGGCAAGCCCGTGTCTTCGACTCAGCCGGACATTTAAGAGAGCTAGAGTGGATCACCCTCGGAGATGTCGTCCCAATATATACAACTTGTCCGAAAGCAGGTAAGCGCAAATTGATCATCCTCAAATTCAAAATTCGCCAAATTCTAGAGCCCAAAAGAGAGAATCAAAAAAGATGGCTACCACTTGATTCGGCACGGCGCTAAAAAGAAGTCGAAGAGAATCAGTGACGAAGAACAAGATTCGGACAACGAAGATTCTCAAACTTCAATCAAGGAATCTCTGAAAGGTACAACACGAGCTGTTATGTCAATTTAGCTGGAAATTTTGGGCTTAAAATTTTACCTAGGAAAGCAATTATTTAGCTTATAATTATCTTATTTAGCTGTTTTCAAACTTTCTTCAGTGACAATTTTTGGTTGACTTGTATTTTCTTGAAACTGAAATCAAAAAAGTAAATGGAACCCAAATGTTGTGGTCTATCCTTAGGCAGATTTGGCGGTTATCTTCTTAACACGCTCACCATGTAAAACTTATCTTTCGATGTCCTCGAATGTCCCGCGCCGGTTTTCCGGAGCAGCGGGCCCAAATCTGCCGCAGCTCTAAATTAACCCGGCTCAAGAATATTTCTTCTTCGATCTGATTTTCATCCATAGAGAACGTGTTCATGTATCTGCCGCGAAAAGCACTGCCATTCTTCAAAATCGTGTTATCCGTTGGGATCATTTTGATGCTATGCTTGATCTACGAAAACTCCGGAGGTAGGAAAAATCGATGGAAAAGTTATATAAGATTTTATATAAGAAGTTATATAAGATTTTGAGAATATATTCTATGCTGATAGGGCAGAGATTTTGCACCGTATTTAGGCAGAATTCAAATTTGAAGCTTCAATAATCTAATATTAAAAAAAACATGAATACTGACATGTTTCTATTCAAGACACGCTTCAAATCGACAACATGAGTATCATGCCTTCAATACCAAATATCCTGGACGGAAATTTCTTCCTCAAAGCAAAGCCTCAGCGAATTACAGACTTGATGGGAGACACGCAAAATGTCCGAATCAGAGAAAATATCACCACCATCTTGAACCACAAGACATTCTTCCGGTGCGTTTTTTAATCAAAGAATTTTCATGAAATTATTTTCGTATATCAACTGGGATTTCAGAGAGTCGATTCCGAAATCGGTCGATTACAACAAAGACTTTGCCTTTGTTCTGTTGCATGACAAGCATACTGAAGCACAAGGAGGAACCGGCTGTTGTTCTGGCCTGTGGCTTTGGTTGGGCACCTTTCATAGACTCTCTCGTGAGGGATACAGAGTCGTGGGCATTGATCTTCCCGGACATGGATTCAGGAACCGTGTTTTCATGCTATCTGTGTTTCCGCTATTCCGTGAGCGATAGAAGTACGCAATTCTGAACACGCATAAAGTGAGGGAAACCAACTTGACATCCGCGAGTCTGCTCCGTTCATGAACGAATTCGTAAAGCTTTTCCAGCTGTCCAAGATAATTCTTGTTTCGCCATCTACCTCTGTCAAGATCTCGCTTCCATTTGCCTCTTCCTCACCGTCTTCTCTCGCCGGGCTAGTCATTCCGTCTCCAGTCACAACACTCAAGTATACCAACGAAGCCAACATGCAAAATTTGCAGGTAAGATCAAAAGTCTTCGTTTTGACCGAAAGTGGCAATGCATGATGCTAAACGTGTTCTAGACTCCAACTTTCATCACATACGGCGCCGACGACAAGAACGCACAGAACGACTACGAAAAGGCGCTAAGCAAGATTCCCAATCACACCAGGAGCGTACCCAACACGAGGACAGTCGACGACGGCGTCTCCTTGGTTTACTTAGATGACCCGACCCACTTCCACGACGAAATCATCAATTTTGCCAAAAAGATCGAACTTTAAACTAAATCAGCATTACTCTTCAGCCTTTTACCAAATAAACTTTCTGTAAACAGCATCAAGAAGCCCATTATTATTGAAATAGTTGTTTAGAAGTCTATTTTTAAGGTCAAAAACTAAGAACTTGATTGACTTTGTTTTTCACCCATTGTTTTTTGCTCGATAAACCCAGGTTTTTCTGCACCTGCTCATCGAAAAATAAAAATCATTTCATCACTCTGACGTTCAAAAGCAAATTTTCGTCCAGAGAGAACGTTGAAAATTTCAACTTGAAATAATTTCTACCATGTCCGATACGGAACAAAATTCGTTCACAGGACGTCATCGTCGAACAATTATAAGAATGAAGAACAATAACCCCTATCCAAGGATCCAAGACCAGCAGAAGAAAGCCGATGAAGCTCTACGTGGGATCAAGACTGCGATGGCGAGGAAAGTTTACTCTGTGGACGAACGAGAGTCCCGAAAAAATGATGGTACCTAAAGAATCAAAATTAAAATAGCACTTTATAATTCAGAACGAAATAAATTTCGACATCGATACAAACAGCTAACGGATGAACATCTCGACAACGCAAAGCGTCTTGAAGAAATCACATTGCTTCACGAAGAAGGCAAGGGTTGAATTAATTTTTATTCCATCTTATGAAAAAAGATACAGCGACCCAAAAATAGCCAAGGAAGACTATGAAGCTAGCCTTCGGGCGAAGGCAGCTTACGAAGAAAGTAACCCTGAGTTTATGGACGAACTCACACAGGAAAACTTGGAACAATAGCTTCCGTATCGACAATTTGATATCGTTTTATAATATTATAATTTATATATTATATATTTATTTATCTTGTTTATTCAATTTAGCTTTATTCAATTTCACTGAACAAAATCTCATAAACATATTCGCTTATTCTAAATTTGAGTCGTGCTCGAAATTTCCTTTCGCCGATAAGATCTTTTCTTCTTTTCCTGCAGTGACTGCACTGTTTTGTGCCTTCAGCATCTCTTGTCTCGTCTCATCCAGTGCTCTATGACAGCTAGTAGATCGCTTGAATGTCAGTGGCAGTTGTAAAAATGTCGGCTAAAGCACTGCTATCCTCAAATAACTCAGGTATTGCTTACCAGTATTGCAACGCATGCTCCAGCAACAATTGTGTAGTTGAACCAGTCGAGTTCTCCGGAAGTCCGTTTTCTCTCGATAATAGGCTCTTCGGCAAAGTTAATTAATCCTCCGACGATTTCTATTACAGCAAAAGCTATTCCCATCGTTGAATAGGGAAAGCATATTTCAACACTTGTTAATGCTTTCAAACAAAGATTATTAGAAAGACTCGACTTGGTTTGAGAGCATTTCCCTGAATAGTTCGTAAAAGTACCCGATTCGCATGACAAAAGATAGGGAAATAAAAACCAGCCAAAGACTTCCCACAGATGATTGAAAAACCCCAACGGCCATGAGTACCAACGAAAGCATAAAGAGAATATACGGCCAGACAAGTTGGATCAGTCTTTCATCGTATTTTTCCTTGTTGTATTTGTCGCGCAAGTACTGCATGGCGAATCCGAGAACAGGCGAAGCAGCCGTGTTGATTACAGTCTTGGTGATGTTGAAATAGCTCAGGTAATCTTCGTATGTGCTGCCAGAATCTTCAATCACTTCTTTTCGATCGTAGATGAAGTCATTGATGAGGGAAAGACTCATGTGCGAGATGAAGTTCCCAACGGAGAAAAGCAAGACGGAAGAGATGTAAACGGGCGAGGCCAGACAAGCAAGCGTTGTTTTGAAGTTTTGCACAGGAGAAGTGTCTGTTTTCTCGATCCAACTGTCGCCCGATCGGAAAACAGAAAGAAATGTCCGGCCAGCTCTTGTTTCGGTTGTGACTGTGTACCAAGGAAGAAACAGTGCTCCAGTAACGATGGAAAACAGTATCAAGCATGCCCAGATGAGGGAAAGATCTCGCGAAGTCAGATCTGTGTTGTCGCAAACGAGCTCCCACACTTGTCCCATGAATTGGCTTAAATTTGCACCAAGAGTATTTACAGTTATGAGAAACAAGGACCACTCGAAAAGGCGAGAATTCGGTAAAATGCCGATCATCAGGGTAACTGCAGACCCGTACTTGACAATATCTCTAATTTATTCGTCAAAATCTTTTCAGAAAACGTGAAAATGCGAAAAAAAGAAGAGACATTTCCTGAAAAACCCAGCCATACAACAAGTTATCACTTTCTCCCGGAACTGCTTGCCACATGAGAAGGTACCCAAGCGCGAGGGTCAATTTAGTAGCGATCAACGAAAGACCCGGGCCCAGATAATCTCGAATCACTCCAAGGCCGAAGATGATGATTCCTGCAAATGACGCAGAATAGACCATGATTTGGGAAATCTTAGCATTTTGTGACGCACAAACGTCTTCATCTGCAACACACGCGTCTCTTTGGAAAAAAGTTGATTAAAAAATTCTTATTCCAGACATTTTTTCCTTTTTTGAGCGATATAACTGACTCACTTTATATAGAGTAAAATCAGTAGAGAAGGTGATTCTCTAACTAATTTGAATGAAACTGCAGAATAAGCGGAAAAAGCAAAAGTACCTGTAGTAGTTTTCTTTCTTATACAAGGCAGTAAGCGCACTCCAACCAAAAATCAACATCGTATGAAGCAGAACATCAACAAAGCCAAAACAGTAGGCAATGCATTTTTGAGTGAAACTCATGCATTTATCATCGTCCTCTGCTTCTCTCTTCACTTTTTCTTCGCAAGCAACCTTCATGCTCTCGGCTTCCAACTAAAGTTGTTTTAAAAAGTTTCGCCAAGTGCACTTTCCAAAATTTTTATAAGCCGCAAATTCGACTTTATGGCAAGTTACCTTTTCATCAAAAAGAGAGATATCTTCCGCTTTGTTTTCAGAACGAGAATTTTTACGAAATCTCATCTCGATCTTTCGATTCTCTTTGGACTTTAATCTGTCCTACTCTCTATTTCCGTTTTTGAACCTTGAATTATTTTTTTGCAAAAATGTTTTTCTATATTTTGGGGACTAAATTTCCTCCAATAAGAAGAGGTTAAACTTGGATCAATTCCAAGGATACCCAAGCATTAAGAAATTGAAGGTTTATTCAAAGTACAGTTAACAAAAAAAGCAATGGATTATTATTCACCAGAGATTTCGGCCTAAAATATTGTCTCAAGGAGTGTACTGTTGTTGATTCAATTACCAGCTTGTTTTCAGCGATGGATTCGTCGAGAGTGCCGTGGATCTTTTCCAGCGTTGCTTTGAGAATTTGGTTTCCTTCGGCGGCGGCCTGAACAGGAAACTGTAGCGAGTGAGAAGTTACAGTCGACTTACAGTGCAGGCTTTGGTAAGACGCTTGTTGGAGGCCTTGACGTCAGAGAACTCCTTTTTCAGCTGAACGTAGCTCGCTTGTCTGAATGATTTTTTGCAAAAAAACGATAAAATTGGGGAGAAAAGTACTTGGACTCGTTGTTGGCTTTGAGACTGGCGAGTTCACTCTCGAGCTTGGCGATTTCAGCGAGGTTTTCTTTCTTGTCCTTTTCGAGTTGAGCTTCGCGGTCCTTGATTTCCTGCAGCAGTTTCTCCATTTCTTCAATTTCAACGTCTTTGGAAGCGATAGTCACGTCCCTGGAGAAAGTTAGAAGACCACTTTGTCTACCAGACAAAAATACCGTAAGTAAGCGATTTCATCCCACTTGTCGACAATTTTTGTGGACGCTCCGAGCACTCGAATGACGAGTTGCTAATTTTTTATATGTTTTTTTATGAATACAATCAAAATATCAAGTTTAGGGTTCATTGAAAATCAAGAAGTTTAAACAAACTTGTCTCGCAGTCTTCTCTCTGGAAGCTTCGCGCTCCTCGTCGCAAATAATCTGAAGATCCTTCTTCAAAATCTGCATTTCCTTGTTCTTGTAATCCCAGTCGGCCGGCTTTGGCATCGACTTCGCTGGCGGCAGCTCCCGGTTATGAATGTCCATCGCGATCGAAGTCATCTTCTACTTTTTTTTCTCTTGATCCCTTTTACAATTCAGAGATCTTGGAGTCGATTAGTCAACCCTTGCAAGTGATAAGAGCGCCCTGCTGCGTCATATGACGAGAGAAAGAAAAAGAGGAAATTTGTTCTTTTTTATATTTTATTCAATTGCGAAAATTCTATCTAAAAATAATATTTCCAGTCAGCGCGGATTTTAAGGCACATGTTTTTCTAAAGAGTAAATTGCGAAAAAAAGCTTGAAATGAATCTCTACAGATCGTAGTGAGGAATTCGAAGGTCCGACATCGAGTTTTTCACCTCGGAAGCACAAGCGATGATTCCAGCCATGTCCGGCTTTCCGTCCAGCGCCAAAGCAAGATTTTTAACGAGACAGCGGCTAGTAATTAATGTTAATTGATACCGAAAACGCTCGTTTCACGACAACCGTTTTTCTGCAAAAATCAACTAGCCTTGGAGATTTTTCCAGTTTGAGCTTACCATTGAGGCGCCAATTTTTTGACAATAGAAAGGTCGACGGTGCGTTCTTTTTCAATGCGTCCAAGTTGGGCTCCGATTGCTGCGCAAATTTGACCTGGGTTTTGGGCGATTTCATCCAAGGGCATTGCTTTGAGTAGCTTGTCGACAGGCTCGACAACGGAGAACACGTCGTTGCAAGCGCTCTTCAAGGCCTTGGCAGTTTTCTTTTCCATCAATCCAGTGACGGAAAGCATTTGAATCGCATCACAGTCTTTAAAAATGCGTTAGCATTCGTCATTATTCAAAAAAGGGTGCCTGTTGTGGTGCTTTATAAATTAATCATCTTACCGGCATAATCCTTGATCTTGCTCCAATATGACGCCCCACAATCGCATTCGCAGGTTTCCGGGCATTTCTCTAGTGCAAACGAGATTGAAAAAAGCGCGGAAAAATAGGCAGCCAATTTCATTTTGTAAAAAAATTATTTGATGCGGCTTTGGAAATTGTAAAAATGAAGATTTACTGAGGGGTAACGATCGTATTATTCCCCTAGGCCACGTAAACTAAAAGCGACATTGTTCACCGCGCCTTTGTCGATTTTGACGATGAAAAGCGAAAGATTTCGTTGCTTTTCTAGGATGCCGAGCTTCCTGGGGAAAATTACCTGCTACACTTGCTCATGTTTATGACAAATTATTAGAATAGAAAGTCATTTTGATTTATTGACAGTGCGGCGCTGATTCGAATTCTTCCAAGCAAAGGGAGAACATCATTACAGTAAAAATGTAGCTCTGTTCATAAGTTCCAACGAGTAGATGGCTCATCGGGCCGCTTAAAAGACAGTTTTCTTGAATCACCTTAAATATAATTCTTGCCTGGCGTAAACTGGCACGTCGTCTGCTCCGTGATCAACGTCTCTTTTCGAAACGCTTCCAGGAAATAAGTAGTCTTTGTCGTGGGTAACTTCTTGCGGTTGATTGTACTTTAATTCCTCCTTTGCCTTGCTTTGGGCGTATTGGATCTTTGTGAAAGAACCTGGATACCGAGGGTCGTATTTTTCCGAGTACTTCATCGAAATTGTCGCGTCGCCGAACACTGATGAGTTTCTAGCTCCATAACCTGTAATTGTGAAAGAGTGGGAATGGTCGGCGGTCACGATTACCAGAGTCTCGTCTTTTTGTAGGGTTAGACTTTGCTCAATGAAAATAAAATTAAAGAAGGTACTAAAAGCCTTTCCTAAGTTTACATGTTTCAAAACAGTTTCGATTGTGTCATCGAATTCAACAAATTCTTCAAGCGCTTTGTGAGCCTGATTGGCATGGTGTCCCTATAATTGACCTTGTTATACTGAAAAGAAAACGAGTCGACGAGATCTTACATGATCAATCCTTCCGCCCTCAACAATCATAACATATCCGTCTTCATGACTCTCAAAGTTTTTTAACGCAGCAATTGTCATTTCAACCAAAGATGGATCGCTTTCAGGGTCTCGGTCTGTTTTGTAAGGCAAGTGGCCATCTGCGAAAATTCCGAGGTAGCTTTCCGTTTTGTTCAGCGTCATCAGTTCTTCTTTCGTTGAAATCACCTTGTGGGGCGAAGAAAGTCTGGCTTAGGCTTATCATCAATAACTTTATAGAGTAACAATATTTTTTATTTCAAATAACTAAGCCTGTCTAGCTCGGGGCCGATGTTTTTCATTCCTCCACCAAAAATTATGTCAAAGAATCGGGCGTTAGAGACGAGCTGACGAGCGATAGAAGGACAGAAATCATCATCACCAGATTTCTCGTGCCACCGGTCAGAGTAATGAGCGTAAACAGCGGACGGCGTCGCATGTGTTAACCGCGTTGATGTTACTTACAATTTATTGGCAATTTATTGAGCTGAGAATTAATGAACCTAAGGCTGTCTTCTTCCCCTGCTTCTTGGCTTTGACTAAAATAGACTCTGCTACAGATTCATCACTTTTTCCTTCGTTGATTTCATTCTGCCAACTTTTTTCTTCTTCTGGAAATGATTCACAGTTCTGTCTGAAATCCACTTTTGCAGTAACACCAGCGGTGGACCAGGTTGTTTTGAAACCTTGATAGCTGAGCTTTATAATATCGAGAACATATGAAAAAGTGACCTGAAAAGAGTGCATTTGCAGTCGAAGCAGAATCTGGAGTCTGAACGTCAACTGAGTAGGTCTTAGCCATTCCGGTCCAGTCCAGACTTTCCATTGCTGTCACGAAGCTCTCTCCATTTTCTCCTCTTTTTTGACCCTTCAGAATTCTTCCAGCAGTAACAGTCTTGATCGGGGATGAAATTATTTAATTATACCAGCGTTTACCTTCCATTTAGCAGTCTTGAAAATGCCCTGCAAATAGTTTTACAGTACTGAATAATTTATCCCTCTTCTGAACACCCATCCCATCTCCCATGAAAACGATCAAATTCTTCGCCTTCTTATTATTTGGCATTCTTCCTAGGTTTTTCAATAACTGTTTTTTGCCTAGCTCTTTCCAATATAAAACAGTCTCTTCTTCTGCCTTCCATCTTCCGCCTCGTTTTCCTTCATTACAAAAAACCGTGGAAAAAAGCAGAAAAAATTTTGCTACTTTCATCATTTCAATGAAAAAAAAATTGAAATGAACGATAGTTCTAATTTGACTATTACAAAATGTTACTTTATATTGGAGACAGGCAAATATAAACAAGAGACTCTTCTCGATCTTCTCGCCCATCAGCGCAAATAAATTGTTTTGGTTTATTCTTTTGGCTCCTTCTATATTACAAGCAATCAAAAGAGGACAATCAAGGAAGCCAATTTTCCCCAAAAAGAAATAACGTTTCCAGTAAGGCTTTTGATGTTTATTGTCAATTGAACTAACGGAAGTATGACATTGCAAAGAAAAGGAGAAGGAAAATATAGGAACCGCCGAGGACGAGCCTTATCAACTTTGAATACGAAATGGTGAAAATATACCAGCAGGAGGCGATGATGAAGAGCCAAAACAAAAAGTGAAATAATGGAAGCGGAGTGGCGACATATTCTGAATTAATAGAACTTGCAACAATTCTAATATGGCTACCTTCAAAAGTGATTCTTTCTTCTGAATAAGAGGTGATTCCAGTTGACGCGCTAGAACTGCCTTCCTTTTTTCGTTTTCTTTCAAAGCTCTCTCGTTTGCTCTTCTCTACATTTCTGGTTATTCTTTGAGGCTTTTCCTTTTCGACTTCATGTTATTTCAAAAGTTCTCTGAAAGATGAAAACTGTTCTGTCCGGTATGGTCCTCTGCTAGCCATAATTTGGCCTACAATGGGACTGTATTCTCACCTAAACAATGATAGTTGTCGCGAATGCATCGATCTTCCCTTCCCCTGGGACGACAAGTACGGGACCCTAAATATGCTCCAAATAAACACAATTAATACTTTAATGTATGCACCGGGGTTCAATAGATGCAATCACCACTCATTTTATCACACAACTCCGCACATACAAGCAACTGGAAAGAAAGCGAGCTCAAAACTTCAAACGCGAATTTCATATAAAGAATAAATGTTAATAAAAGATTAAAATTGTATCCTTCATGATTGCACTTCAACCAGACAACTCAACCACAATTCGAATAGGTCAAGATTCAGCGTGATATTCGTGATACTTTCCTAGCGTTTTTATACATTTCAATCATATTCAGGAGAATTCTTTCCGGGCTATAAATACCTCCTTAGTAAAGATCTCGTACGCCAGTTTGAAATTGCTGGGAGTTTTCTTTTAGGGTAGATATCCTGCACATTCTCTCATAGAGCGCTCAGAATGTGCTGATTGCAACCCTTCAAGAACTGCTCAAAATCGACGAGATGATGTGCTTTTAGCATTGAGATTTTAGAGCCAGGAGATGAAAAACGAAAAGGGAGTCTTTTCGAAGGTAGAATATAAGCATCTTCTCTAACAGAATCAAAATAGAATCAAGAGAATTCGCTTATGGCACCTTCGAAGAACTACCCAAAATCGACGAGAAGATGTGCTTTTAGCATAGAAATTTTTCAGCTTGGAAGAGAACGAAAAAGGAGTCATTTTATTTTTTGATACCAGAATGGTAGATAGTCGGAAGGGACAACTCTACTGGTTCCGTAGCTTCGTTTTGAAGCATGTCTGTTAGGTACTTGATAGAACTTGCGGCGTAGCGAAGTGTCTTGATCTTGGACAGCTTTGTTTCGGCAGGGATGTTTGGAATGTGGCTCCGCAGACGATTGTAAGCTGAAATGATCAATTTTAAATATGATTAGGGGGCACAAGTTCTTACCGGAGTTGATTGAGGCCGTCCTTTTTTCTCTGCTGCGTTTGCTAGTCTTGGTGTGGCGAATTGCTGGCACAAGCTCGTTCATGGGTACTTGGTACTGCTCATAACTCTAGTAAAGCGCTTGGTTCTCGCAGTTATGAACGAATTGGATTTAATTTTGACAGCTCGTCTGAATTGTATTTTTTTACAAAAGGCAAAAGTTGCAAATTGGAAAGCATTTGATAAGGTGCATCATGAGATATTCTCGATTTCCTTATTCAAACGACTCTTCCGACGCCAAACATCTCGCTATCGAGGAGCCATGCTATCCACGTAGCCTTGTGGGGGTGAATCGGAGCATTTTTCAGTCTGTTTTTAGTTGAGATAAGTCAAGAGAGATGCTGTCACATGCAATTTATTAATCAACTTGCTGAGTTCTGTTGATATTTACATGTTTAAAGTAATAATTTTAGCGAGAATGGGTAGTAAAGCTGAGAAAGATGCTTATAGTCTTCTCGGGATAAACTCAGATGCAGGAGAAGAAGAAATCAAAAAAGCTTTTCGAAGGAATAGTTTGAAATTCCATCCAGACAAAAACCCAAACGATCCAAAGGCAAACGAAAGGTTCCAGAGGTTGAAGCATGCCTACGACTTTCTTCTGAAAACATTGAAGCGAAGAGAACAGCGCAAAAGAGAAGATCAGGTAAAGAAGATTTGAAGGGGTCAATTATGAAAAATTCCAAGCAAAATCGCATTGCTGGTCAGTTGGGAGCGATTGGTGGAGCAGGTCACTTCTACTGGTCCGACAGAAGCCTCACCAGGGGCAAAGGATTCAGAGACGCTTTTGGAGAGCCTCAAATTAGAAAATTATTAAACTTCCTGGCTGTTGGAGCGAAGCATATTAATCTAAAGGTAATTTTAAACTCCCTTGTACAGGTTTTATGTTTCAAGTTTTTGTGGGCTGATTGTTGGAACATCGAAGAAGCGGGATGGATAATGGCGTTCGGGAATGGAAAGGATGAATACGGAGAAACTTGGGTCGACTTGAGCTTTCAGGATAAACGTTTATTCAAAATGTTCAATCAGAAATTCATTATTTTATTCAGACTGCACTCCGTTCACAGTTGTAGCCCAGGAAATCGCCGAATACAGCGGAGAAGAAAGCAATCGACAAGAACTGGGAAGCTCGGCAGTAGGAAACCGTCAAGTCATCAAGTATAAACGAAGAGCTGGTTTCGCTTTTGTACGATTCAACATTTCTTTCTTGTAAATAAACCCTTGAGCGATCGGCTTCCATGAACAATTCAAACTGGGCTTATTCTATTCTTCTTTTTTTATGTTAGAGCATTCGGCCACAAATTGTCTTTTTCATCATTCAGAAATCATCAATAATCATCTGTAAATCAACTGTACGAACTAATAAATACATTTACAAACTGATGCGTGAAAAGTATCTAAATATTCAATGATTATTTCACCCAAAAGAGCAATCAAAAGATTTCTCCAACTAGCGAGAAAACTTTACCGAAAAGAAAGAGCGTCGAAAGATAAGGACAATGTACAAGATTTTCTATTTTATTTTCTGGGCGGTTGGTTTTTTGTATACGTTACGCACGGGTGCAAAGATATAGTTACTTAAAAATAGTCAAGTCTTTGAAATCTTCCTCTTTATTGCCCTTTCCAGACAACATTCAAAACAATATATTTCTCTTTCTCCAGCGAGAAAGCACAATAACTCAAGCAGATATAACCAACACTTCATTTAGGTCGAGAACTCACGTGTTTACTTATCATTAATCTGAGCCATAATGAGTTCTTTCTAGCAGCGTCGAATTTCCCCAAAATTGTAATCTGCGCCGATTCAACTCATTCTCGCAAGAAACTAATTGAGCATTTTCCGAACGTCTCCAACGAGCTGGTAGAGCGCCTGTACGGCCATGAAATTCCGCGACATAATCGTGACATTTGGGTGTTGAAGAGCATGTATCCAGATGTGATCAACAGGGATCAATTAAAAAGTATTCTTCTACGAGAATCAAACGAGAAGGGCTGGTCTGAAGTGAAAGATCTAAGTGAGATGGGCGTTTGAAGCTTCTTATTTTTTGTTCAGTTTTATTGAAGAAATAAACTTATTAAGATCTGACGGAGTTTTTTCAAACAACGACGACGAAGTACTACATTTTGGAATGCCGCCTTCAGAACATCAACTGCTCAGGCTTGTGGAAGCGTATCTGGACGTTGATGGGGCTGTGTCTCGAGTTGGACGTTCAAAAAGCACACGAGTTGGAAAGAAAGAGGCTGACACTCAATCGACAGGCCGCAACGCTTTTGTCACGCTCGTAAGTTAGCGGGAAATATTCTTTGCTTCTCAATTGAGTTCTCAAGAATGCAGAATATCGGGCGCCGGCAAGAAACAGACAAGGAGTACGACCGACCGAGCATCATTAAACAGTTAGATTTGACGGCAAGAGAATTTTTTCATTTCTAAAAAAAGATATTCCCTCATAGGTGGGTTACAATCACTCAGACTCGACCTTCGGCTGGAAAGGGTACAAAAACGCGCTGACAATTTATTATATGCACTCGAACGAGAATTTCATGCGCGGCTCGCAAAGACTATTTTAGTGCGTCAGTGTTGAGTTGTTTGAATATTGAGCGCGCTCAGCCGTTGAAAGCAAGGAGGAGCATTCATACTCGCTCGTTCCCGGCCTAACTCCCGTCGTCAGCGTCAAGAATGTCAGAACAGTCCTTCTAGGTAAACCGTACACTCAGTGCATAGAAGATATCAGTTACACCACGCAAGGATGTCTCTACGGGTAATTAGCAAGCGTCGATTCTAAATCATAACCATCGCAATTAGGAAATTGCTGGATAGAATCGTGCGCATGTGCCAGTGCTATCCAAGCTACGCGGAAGATGGCAAAAAGTTGAAAAAGAAATTTTCTGTAAGCTTCGACACTCTTGGGAAAAAAATAATAGGCTTATTTAAAAAGACGGTGGACGAGTGTAACTTTTATCTTCATGCGACGTGCGTTTCTTTTGTCAAGGTTTGATGCCATTTTTAAAAGCCCAGCTTGTTGACATCTACTTTCTAAGGAGCAGTTCGACCAAACCGAAGTCACCTGTGAACCTGCCTGCTACCAGGACTCCATTCATCAAGAATCTATTCCTGGGCTTTCGAAAAACTGAAAAAAAGGTTTTCGAAAGATTCATTTTTGAAAGCCCGAAAATTCACTACTCAAAAATGGATGACAAAAAGATCGATTTTCTTCAAGTAACACGAAAAACTTCAAATCAACTGAATCTTATCTCCACGCAGCTCAAAATGGCCGAGGTTGTTGGAACGATTTATCAAGGTACTCCCGGTCACCATCATTATTTTAATGGCAAAAAAAAATAAGAAAGGCCAAATTACACGATCAACGAGCTGGTGGCGGATATCGGCGGGTCATTAGGCCTCGTTCTCGGGCTTTCTATGATCGACATGTTGGTGTTTGGAAGAGCCGTCTTCCGAATTCTACAGCGAAAGTGTAACGCAATTCTTAGCACTCGCCACGATCTACGTGCCTTTTTATTTCCAAAGAAGATTGCTGCGACCTCCAGGGAAGGGGTTCCTGTTTCTTAGGTTTTATATCTTCTTTTGAAATAAAAATGAGAAGACTATTAAAAATGAAAATCCAATAAGAAATACGACCGCTACTTTTTCTTCCATCGAAGAGCTAGAAAGATCTCCTGGAAGCGCTAGAAGACCGATTCCGAACCAGGAACTGACGCGAGAATTAATTTAGCAAACCCTTCTATGATTTTCTCTCAGTCATAATAAGTCTTCATCAACAGCGCTTTCAATAACCAGCTACAAGGAATTAGAAACAAAAGCGATTCTTACAAACTTGTGACTTCTGCTTTCGAATTGAAAACACATAATTTATGTTACTGACATTCTTACTGTATTACAAAGCTAGTAACTACCAGGATAGACGCCTGGCACAGAGATGTTTCTATAGACGGAGCGGACTCGCTGAAGTTGGTTAGGTTCACCGGTATTCTCTAAATTTTGTTTTTTAAAACATTTCCGAGAATCTTTTTACCTCTAAAGAAATAGAGCTTTTTGGTTAACGTCTGTTGGTGTGATCCTTTCATGTATTGCCCAGCTGGTCCTTAAAAGAAAAAGTTAGACTCTAGAAATAGTTGCTTTCGTACCGATCGGTATTTTCTCATTTTCTATGTAGCGCTGGACATAGAGCAAAATCTCGTAGAGGTCACAATTAGCCCCGTACTTGTTCAGCGCCCGGTTGAGAATCTCCACATATGGGACCATCATATTTCCATAATTCCGAACTGAAACAAATGTGAAAACATTTCCGACGAGTTAAAAATTTAGCTCACCTGCGACTTCCCCAGATACGGTAGCAAAGGACGTGATTGTATTCGAAAGCCGATTGGGAATAGCATCGCTTCCGTAGCAGCACTAGAAGGAGGCACTAGAATCAGACGCTAAAAAGCAAAAAGAAACCTGAGAAAAGACGACTAGTGGAATCTTTGGACTTCCACTGGCGCTTGCGATTTTATCCATGCAATTTCTGAGAGACATCAGTTCTCTCTGAATGTCGAATTCTGGCTCATCAGCTGTTCAAGCGATGAAAATCGGTGTTTTTACAGAATCATTATGATTCTTTTACGATAAAAAATGATTTTTGACGCGTTCATAAAACAATGCAGCCTTGATAGTTGGGCCCGGGTGCATGGCTGGATACAAAAATCATAACCATATCTGTGTCTTTTGTGGATTGAATTTTGACCGTAAATTGACGGTCCAAGATTGCCACGATTAGTTTAGAAAAGAATCAATCCGTTTCTTCACAGAGTTGTTCTTTCAAGCATTGAAAATCCGCTCGTACCTCTGCTTCAGTCGCGTTCCGCCTTTAAATTCACCGTAGAGGTGCTCGTATAAATGTAGTTTACCGAAAACTGACTGAAGAAAACCCAAGTTTTTCTTCTGCTAATTTCTGAAACTCCTGAGTTGATTTCCAGGTGCCGATTCTATCGGGTACTTTTCCATCAAAAGTCTCCACATTTATTCCCAGTACCAGCCTCTTCATAGTCACGCGGTACTCTGTCTCTAAATCCAAGCGATAACAGAATGACAGTCTTTTGTAAAGCAGTTTACCTGGCCTTCTCTTCGATCTACGTGGCTCCATTACGTTAATATTTTTGCGATTGTCGTAATGTCCGTAAAAATTCTCGCAGTTGTAAGTGACAGCTGGCAGGCCGGAATTCTGATAGCCACCACGCTAAATCGAAAGATAAGACTTAGTATTGGAGAAAAATTCTGCGAGGACGGACGGTGCCGGTACCAATCCAAAATTGGTACCCGGTACCAAATTTCTGGTACCCGGTACCAAAAAAATGTCAGGATACCGAGCCAAAAAGGTGTATTTGGTCAATTAATGAAGTTTTCTTACACTTCAGCCGCGGAGCGGACATAAGTTTTTTGATAGGTCAGAAAAAATGTTTGACTTTGGTACCGGGTACCAATTTGGTACCGGCAGCGTCCGTCTCCCAAATTCTGATACCTGAATATTACAGCAGCTGTATGTGTTGTTGACGCAAAAAGAACCCTGTCCTTTTTTGAGATAGAGTATGATTCCTAAAAGGGGAGTTGTTGAGTGGGTACTGAATATAACAAAAGACGCAAAAGCCCTGTAATCCAGGGCCTAGATGAAGTTAAGCACTTTTTGCTCAGTACCCCATTATGATTAGACTTCAATTTGCCAAGCATACCGATCAAAATAACCAAAACGACTGCAGGAACAACAAGGAAGATAACGTCGAAGTCCGTTTCTTCATTCTCGCAATCCGCGGCGCAGTCTTTGTAGCAACCACATGTCACTAAAAACCAAGTCATTGTCGGTTCAATAAGTTGATATCTACGGTAAAAGCCAGTTCCAGCCTTCTGTGCGTTCATTTTCATGTCATCTGCTGCTTTTTTGATGAAAGCATCGATGAGCGAGGAGCTTCCGTTGAACTCGATCGTTATGTATATCTGCGTATGCGTTTTCTCCTCGTTCTGACGCCTGGTTCAAATAATATTGAAGGGATTAATTTTTTTTCTTCTAAAAATACTTTGAGCCAGTGTCTTTACTTTGCGAACGCCTTCGACGCTGACCGCTTTAATGTGAGTCGGATTGGGCTGAAACTCCTTCGGAATTTCAAAATATTTATTCATTTCGTTGTTGGACTCGTCCGCGTGCAAATACTTCAAATCCTTAAAGCAGTTAGTTAGCGAAAATAAATCATATGCAATAAATGAGGGCAAAAGCTTCCCAGTCATTCAAGCGAAAATAGTTTTTCTCCGCGCTTGGGCAATTTTAAAGATAAATAATAAAAAACAAAAAGAAAGCGAACTTACCTGGTTGACGTCGAAAATAACTTTAACTTCCTCTACTGCATTCTCCGTAGGAATAACACGGACGTTATTACAATTCTCTCCGTTGCAGCTGCAGTTTGTCTTGCAGTCATCACATTCCAAGCATTCGAAAAAGTGTCCTGACTGTTTAAAAAGGATTAAAAACAAATCTTCAAAATATGTTTGAAATAATTAAGCCCTTTCCTTGACGATGAAAATTCCAAGGGAACTCGCAAGAAGCAAGAAACTCATCAAAAGCAAGCTTGAAAATATTTTATAAACCACTTTGGCCCTGAAAACGTTACATGATCCGAAAGGCGAATATTTTTCTTCTTCTTGCTTTGTACTTGATCCAAAGAGGGTCGTATACGTCGTTCCACCACATATCCTTGTCGTGTAAGGTGCACCAGGCAGGAATTAGCACTTCGACCTTTTCTGCCTTCTCTTCAATCGGTTGGTCTTCATTGCTCGCTAATCTCGGAAAACATTCGTGCTCTGGTATCTTCTCAGCTACTAATTTTTCACTTGGGAACACATCATCAAACTTATCTCGTCCTTGGTAAACCTAGAATTCGGATTAGCCATTTGAAACAGAAATAAAAGAAATCTCACCAGTGGATACTCCGGATTGTCGAATTGATCCTTGATCGCCTGTTCATAATCCGGTGGGTCAAAGCCAGTAATGACCTTCTTCGGTTTCTCATCTAAAATATGGTTCAGTATTCTTGACTGATTGGTCTTGATTTTCATTTTTATCTACCATCTGCGTCTCCTCTTTTGATTGCCATCTTTCGAGGGTCTCACTGAGAAGGTAAGTCTAAACTCGCTTCAGCGAACCTTCAAGGTACTTATCTCTCGTTCTATCGAGTCTGGCGCCATCAAGCGTGTTAGAAGAGAACGAAGAAAAGAATACACATTTACGCTACAGTGCGGCTACAAGAATAGTCAATCAATTCCAAATCAGCCTGTATAAGATATGTTTTTGCCTGTTCTCATAACAAAAGCCAAACGGTTTATAAACCTCATGTTACTATCAATTCTAATAGCTCAACCTCAGATTAATTATGTACTACTTAAAGAACCAACACAAAAAAAACTACGCTTCTTGTCTCTAGACTCTAAATTTACAACAAGTTGTTATTCTTAAAAAAAACAACAACCAAACTCTGCCAAAAAAAACTCTCCAAAACTGCTTCTAAGCCTCTTAAAAATCAACGTTTTTGGATGTTTCAGTTAAATTTTATTCGGCGTACATGCGAGAAATAAAATAGAGAATGTGCGAAAGGCATGAAAATGTTGAAGCACAGTTAGAAAGTGATCTGGGAGACGGTGTTCTTGCTCTTGTTGCGAGCGAAGGAGCTAGCTTTTCAAAGGATAAAAGCAAATTGTAATTTACATCATGTCAATTCGTTCTACAAGATTTTAAACTACGCTCGATTGCTTTGCCTATCTATATACTCTAGGACTATTTTATCCTTTCCTGACTCATCATAAGCCTCAGTGTTTGTAGCAGAGTCAGCGGTCTTGACTGCGGCCTGGACGGCGGAAGTAGCGACGCCACCGGCGCTGAGAAGCGGAGCCACTTCGACCTTTTTTGGAGCAGCAGCGGTAGTTTTTGGCGCAGGGGGATCTTCGCCAAAGAAAATGTTGCTAAAACACGCTTTATTAAAGATGGAGGAATATTCTATGATGATAGATTTGGACTCCTATTTTATTACAAAAATCCTGAATATAAGGTACTTACGATCGGCCTCCGGGTGGAGCAAGGACTCGGGAAGTGTTGCGGGACATGCCGGCCATGGTATTGTTGTTAATCTGTCGATCCATCTGGTTTCTGCGATTTGCGACTGTCTTGCTTTTCGGTTTTTTGAAAGTGACGAAAGAAATGGCGCGTGCCACTGAAATCAACGACGATTCTAGAGATCGCAAGCAAAAATTTTTTTCGAAAACACCTTTTTTCACTATTTTTTTCGCATGTGAAACTGACAAACAACTGTTTACACAACCAAAGTCAGTTTATTCTAGCGATATAGATATTTTTCAAGACCTTTTATTATATCTTTTATAATAGCATATTCACTGAAAGCATTTTCCGTATATTCTATAGTTTATTTTGAAGCAAAGCAGAGTCGGACTATCTTGGCGATTTCAAGGGTGTAGCGCGTTTTCTGTAATGATAAGTACTCTGTGGCAGAAATTTACAATTGCGTGTATTTCACGTCGATGCTGGGAACGAGATCTGGAACTTCTTCGATGTCGCCTATCTAAAATTGAGCTTGGTTTCATTTTCAGCAAGAATTTCTCACGTGTTTTGGGTCATCTGTGGCGCGCGTTTTGCGCCAGTCGGAGGTAGAACGCGCAAACGTCGACTTTCTACCGCTAAAGTCGAAGTGCTCGAAGGTTTCGCCGTGGTTTAGTGAGACGCCCATGGCTGTGTTCTGTCGGCTACCATCTGAGGTCTACTTTCCGGGCTCAGAGGAGAATGCAAGGAGAAATAATTGGCAGTATAAGTTCTGTGGAAGGAAATGAGGCCAAACTTTTATTTGAATCTGAGCCCTAAATAATAGCCAGAACTCTGCTTCGAGCTCGCACTAATCTTCGGCATTGTTCTTTCCGCGGCCAGAAAGTTTGAAGGCTGTTCGGGAGCCAGCCCGCCAAGGAAATTCCTTCCCTAGTTCAAATTACATTCCGTGACTTTGCGAAGAAAACTTACAGTATCACTTATTTCTATTATTTGAGGGCTTTCGCCAAAACAAACTGAAGGCATTGTTTTCCTTCTTTTTCCAGTTTCGAAAACATCGTCCTAAATTTGAAGGTTTTCATTACTCATAACAAAGATGTTCTCTTTTTAGTGAATTTCTCTAAAGAGACTAGCAGTTCACGTTAATAACTTACGTCTGTTTCGATGAAATTAGAACGGCCAGTGTTGTTTCTGGAATGATTTTGCGTGCCTTGTCCCGACTGTCTCCCGTACGAGTTCATATTGCCCGATGATCTTTTTGCCGAGTTTCCTTCCGTAATCGTGTTTCTATCCTGTTTTCTAGCGTGCTTTCGGGCTCCGCCGACTGGAGGCTTCATGATGCTGCTTTGTGGATAGTCTCCGCCGAAAGATTCCAGCGCGTTTATTTGCTCCACTAACCAGTAGCAATCCATTTCGCCTCTTCCTGAAAATGAGCTCATTCTCTAGCCCTTTCCGAATCTGAGAAAACCTTTCAAATGAACCTTTCCACGTGATTCAAGATGAAACATGTTGGTTTGAACCAATTCTGCATACGCCTCGCTCGACACGTGAATTTTGAGCTCTTTTCCGTTTGACTTCATTCTGCTGGCCGTGTTGACTGTATCTCCAAAGAGGCAGTATCTGGGCATTTTTTGGCCAACTACACCCGCAACTAAGCTCCCTAAAAATTCATTTAAATTATTTTTTTATTCTCGTTCTCTTCCTTGATTTCTGAACACTGACCTGAGTGAAAACCAATTCTCAGATTCTTTAGCCAGAGAACATCGTCAGAATTAGGATCCATCTTATTCAGTTCGACTTTTACATTTTTCATAAGTTCGAGGGAAAATTTGGCGATTTCGCCGGCGTAATATCCCGGCGGCGGGTTTTCAAGCGGCTCGGGTAGGCCAGAAACGACCATGTAATCTCGAATAAACTGTAAGAATCGATGAGAAATGCACTTTACTTACCGGCTCCGATCGTCTCGACTTTGTAAATGTCTTTAAAGCGCTCTGTGATGGAGTCGAAAAGAGTATACAGCTGGTCAAGCATGGAGACGATCTCCTTAGGACGCGATTCTAGGCATTTCGTAATTTGGGCGAAATTAACAATGTCGGAGAAGAAGACCGTAGCATTGTCAAACTGGCGAGGCTTAATTGGCCGACCATTCTGAATTTTTGACCGTTCAAATTTGATCTCGCAATTTAGGACGCACCTTCATATCATCCGCAACGCACTTTGGCAGCATTCTATACAATAGATCATCTGCGCGTTCTTTCTCCTTTTTGTACTGAATCGTTCTTTCTTCGACAAGATCTTCCAAATGGCAAGAATAGTCTTCCATCCTGTCCATGAGCGAGTCCACAAGAGATGATGCTTGCATCTTGGACACAAGTCCTTTAATTATTTGCTCGCTGTCTGACTTTTTCAAACGCTCGTCTGGATTTTTTGTCCAACAACCTTAAGATAATCATTGTTTATGAATATATTCCTAGAAGTTTTGAAGCTAACCTTCGACCATTGCTTTTAATGTCGGAGAAACGGTGAAAACATCTGCGTCTTCCACAGAAAATCTGTCCGGGCGTTCAATATCGTCCAAAAATGGCTGCGAATCGGACTTGGATGCTTCTTTGCGAAACATTCGCTTGATGATGTTCTGCGGGCGAGTAAATTCGAAATTCTCTGGCTCTTCGGAATCAGGGCCAAGCCAGAAGAGCCCCTTGCGATACATGATCTCGTGGCAAATAATGCCGAAGGAGTACATATCCGCGCTTTGCTCTCGTTTCACCTTATCCCTACTCTCAATTTGAATGCTGTCGTAGGTCGACTTTGACGTTGACTTGAAGAGCTGAATAACATTTAGAAATAAAACGTTTTCCTTGAGTCTATTTCTACCTCTGAACATTCTAGCATGAGCTTTTCTGGAGCCATCCACAGCAATGCCTGGTAATAAGCATCAGTTTTTGACTCTTCTTTTTTCAGCCTTTCCTCTTTTCGCGCATGTCGCACGGGATCGAGCAAACTTGCCAGGCCAAAGTCGGTAAGTTTGACAGTCAGTCGCCCGTCGACGATGCAGTTTTGGGACTTGAGGTTGCCGTGAAAGCCCAAATTCGACTCGCGGTGAATTGCGCTCAATCCTTGAATAACGTCTAGCATCAGGCAGCGTTTCATTTCCCAAGTAAGATTGAATTTGGACGTGTCTTTGTCTTCGAGGAGATCTTTGAGGGATCCTTTGGTTCCGAACTCGGTGACTAGAGATGCTCGTACCTCCCCTTCTACACTGCATGAGTACACGCCGTAGATCTTGGCTATGTGATTATGCTGCAGTTGAACAAGATGACGCAGCTCGCTTATGACGCCAAGAGTATTCAGCGACTTCGGCAAATTGTCGATTTCCGGCGACAGTCGCTTCAAAGCGACAAAAGTGTCGGAGTAATACCCGGGAACAATTGTCTTTTATGGCCTTCGGCAAAAACTACAGTAAATTTCGAAAGGTCACGCGAATGCATTTTATGAAGTCATGAAGGAATTATTAATGGGAGGTTTAACTTTCCCAAGCGCAGAGAAAGCGCTTTCGAGGAAGTTCGAATTCTTTACGTATTACGTCTTAAAGACCTGCCTTAGATTTGGAAATAGGAAAGTCGCTCGAGAAAGAGGACGATAAAGATGAAACGCTGAGGTTTCGAGAGGATCGACTAAAGGACCTGATTCCACTGTAATAACTGTTGTTTGTTGTGGATGTAGGACGATTGTCGCGAATTTCCGGCTTGAGCTTGATCTCTGATTCCGGAATGATGATGACCAGACCCTTCGAGTCGTTTTTCTTCTTCCAGTTTTTATAGCAAAAGTAACCCAGCCCAAGAGCGATAATAACGACGACTCCGACAGTGGTGATGATGCCGGCGAATGCACCCTTGGACAGATTCGTATTTCCAACGCACTTTGAGTTGTCGAGACCACATTTAGGGTTCCCACTCGGAGGCACTCCACCATTCCATAAAGACATAATTTCTTGAATAGAAATATCGCCAACTTCGGAGATCGTTTGCAAGCTCAATGCCCATTCGTCGTTTATTGACCGGAATACGTTGAAGTCCATCTGCTCGTCAGAATTTTTGTTCATAACGATTTTCTTGTCCGTCTGTTTGTAACTAATCTCTACCCCGTCAAAAAAGCGAACCAAATCGTAAGGATCCGCGTCTCCACCGAGCTCGGACAGGGCCTGCGCGAAACCGTAGAAAGCGTCCGCGTAGCTCTCAGCAATCATGTTGATTTCTTCGTTTTGATCGTTATTTGGAGCACAGGATTCACTGATACTCGTTCGGAACGTTGTCGTTGCATCTTTTAGTGAAATGACCTTTTCGAAAGTTTTTCATTGGAATACTAAATCGAAGCTCGAAGAAATACCAAAGAAAAGTAAGAGTAAGAGATCGCAGTTAGCGATAGTTTTCTTTTCTTATCGATTTGAAGCCGCTAGAATCTAATAATTATTCTTCGTCTCTGGAAGAATCTTTAGACGTAGAGCATGTGTCGTTTGTAAATGTTTAAGTAAAACTCTTTCTTGACAGCTTCGCGTACGCCGGTCGTCAACAAGGGCTCCTCGTTCAAGAGGAAACTTTTGTCGATGTAGGAAACATATGGATCCCAGTAAAAGATGGCCCAATCATCGGGGAACTCACGCGCGAACTCTTTAATCGCCACAAAATCCGTCATCGCCGAGGTGAACACTTCCGGCTCTACGCACCAGAGCTGTGCTCGGCTCTTATCGTGCAGCTTTCGAAGGAAATCTTCGCTTTCCTCAACCAGCACGTCTTTTATTAGTTTCATTTTTGTGTGCTTAGGTAATCTTTTTATATCTAGTAATTAGGTGAAACTCTTTCCTAAAGTCGGTTCCTCGATGTAAAACGTCATGTTTGTCCTGTCTGTAATATCCCTAATTGCATTCAACAGCATGTTGCAGTCCGAGGCGAACTGGAAGTCGTAAGGCATTCCGTGCTTGTCAACAGGGATAGTCACGCTTCCGACAGTATCACCAAGCGTTATCAACGCACTCTTCCACTCATGGCACTTTTGTTTACTTTGTTAAGAATTTAGAGCTCACAAATGTGCGCTTTATCGATTCCATTTTTACGTAGCTGTGAAAAGTAGGGCTTCGACTAAAATATGCCATGTTTATTATTCCGCCGCCCGTTAATCGCTTATTATTTTCGCCACGTTCTTATTGTCCTGTAATTGGACTTTCAAAGGTCCCCCTCATAATCGCCGCAAAAAACGATATTTACAGTCAAATAAGCTTCGAAGCGACAAAAGCCAATTAGCGTCTTTAATTAACAGGAAGGGTGGCAAGTGCCTGGAAGTGAAAAAATGTGCTGGTGTATATTTCAACGTGTTGATGGCGTATCCGCTGCCTTGCCCGTGTTTTTGCCCGCGTAAATCACGGTCATATTGTTCCAGCGCGGCGTTCCGGCGTTTTCCAGTAGACGGTTGTTGTAGTTGAACAGTTCTGCGAGGAAGTTCGTCACGATCCCTGTTCAAAAGATGCTCAAAAGTCACGAGAAACGAACTCGAGAAAAATACAAATAAGCTGGTTTGGTGACAGTCGGAGAAATTAATGCCAGTAGCCCCCAATCCACTTGACTTTTACGACCTTTTCCTGAGGTGAGACCAGTTCGCACAGTATACGTACTGTCTGTAGAGTTGTCTTTGTTCTGGTAGGACTTGTTTCGCACGAAAGGGGCAAAGACGGGGACACGCCAGGACTAAAAACGTCAGAATCTGCTGCAAACAGTACACAGAATACACACAAAGAGGTCAAATAAGCACACATTTATGCTGCTTCAAACTTGCCCTAGTGCGTCTTAGAATCTGATTTTCACGAATTTTCGACGAAAAAGACGATATTTCGACTGTTTAGCAAAAATGAATATTTACCTTAAAAATCGGCGCTGCTGGATTATAGGCATTGTCGCATGTAAGTCCCACGTAAGCATCGTAACAAGGCGTCGAGTCGTTGTACCGATCGTTGACCATCGAATTAAGAGCAATCGAGGACTTTCACGGGCGAATCAGACTGTAAAGCAGTGCAAATAGTTCTGCTGCAGCGTTTTTTCAGCGTGAATGTTCACCCGTTCCTGGCACTCGTCAAACATGAAATCATAGTTAAACTTGAAGCCAAAATCTTCTTCAATTGTTTTGACCACACGATCTTTGAGGAGGGTTTAAAAATGACGATTGCAGTATTTTCGTACTGCTTATATTCTTGAAAGGTAAATAGCTTGGAAAAAATGTTTCCAAACTTGAAATTCAAACCCTAACCCAGAGCCGGTCTGAGAAAGCGCTCCTGATGGTAGTAGCAGCCTGTTGCATCGTCAGAAATGGCAAAGACGGCCAAGTTGTAATCAGTAGATGGCGTTCGCCCCTGGCAGACCTCGTCTATCTCGTTGTCAATCGTAAGACTGGCAACGGGTCAAAAGGATCAAAACTGCGCAAAGTGCATTAAAATCGTTATTGCGCCGCATTTGCGTCACTTTCATGTAAATAGGGACGACATTTTGTTCCTTCCATCATCAGATTTATTTTCATCAGATGAAAAAGGGTTATTATACCCAGCCACCAGCTTTTTTCATGAAAGAAACATTTATCGGACTGTATTTTGCATTATTGGGATGAAATTTCTTTTGAAAAAGAAGGCTAGTTATATAACTCGAAAAATATCTTTGGCAGTCATTTTCAGGCAAAAACTGCGCTCATAAAATTCGCGAAATTGATTGTTGCTTGTTGACCTTGTGCCTGACATTGCCGTCGTCATGGCTGCAGATAGCATCAGTGTCGATTTTGCGGCTCTCTCTTGCGCTTGTTTCTGCGAGTAAGAAGATGCACAAGATGCTGAGCATGCGCCGCAGACTCTTCCTTTGGGCAGGTTTCGCACTGGCCCGGGGCGCGTTAATAAGTCGACAGCTTCGCTTCTTCGTTTCAAGGTAATCTCTTCGAAGCTTCAGTAAAAAATCTCTTTCGGTTTAAAAACTAGGTGTATTCCATACGAGGCATTTTCTGTTTCGGGCACACACTTTTTGTTATTTTTGGGCACACTGCTGAAAATGATATTTGCCTTTGAAAATTGCGCTCGACTTTAGTGCTTGGAAATGGAAAGCGATCCCAATGGCGCATTTGCAAATTATTAACTTTGGAGTAGGAACTACTCTCACTCGCCGCGGGGCATTCTCGCCACCGCGGGAACAGAATTATAGCATTGCTAGTAAACTTTAAGCACCTTTAGATAGCCTCCGGCTACTTGAAGTACAATTTCCGGCGATAAAACCGCGCCCGGGGTCGATTTAAAATGCCAAGTCGCCAGTACATTCAATCGCTGTTCTTCAAACTCGTATCCTGTAGTCGCTATTGAATACTCAACTTTGGATATTGCCCATTGCTTTGTATTGTACCCGATTGGTACTTTTGCGAATCTTGATCAACTTGCTATCCTGATTCTATCTGTCGCCTACGGTGCTTCTCCAAATCCACCGCGAAAACAGTTAGTTAGATTCTAATTTGTCGAGATAAACGAGTTTTCTCGCGTGTGGCTACGAGAGTCCAGCTGTCAGAGAATATGATCGCAAATGGCAAGTTGAAGTGGCTCTCTCGCCGCTGCTCCCTAAAAATTGTCGATCTCTTTCGACCGAAATACGCCAAGCTCGAAGCTGAGCCCGCAAGAGTTAGCATTGTTGTTTTCCAAAGGTAATCCGTGAAGCCGATGTGCTCAGCCGTAGATTTAATGTTTTAAAAAGCGATTTCGAAGCAAGCGAATGCTTCCTTTTTTAGAACGCTAATTTAGCTCTTTTCAGTTAAAAAATTCAACTAAAATAACTCAATTTTCGCGCTGCGGTAAATTCATTATTTTATCCTTCTTGGACTTGGTTTATTATGATTTACGTTCAATAGTAACGTGCTTGTATGGACCTATATTTATCTGTTACAAGGTGTCGCCGAATAAGCAATCCTAGTGGCAACAAAGCCTTTCAAAGTTTCTTTCGAATCGGGCTCTTAGTTCTAAGCAGCATAAAAACACAGGTTACTTATTATCCTATTTCTTTTAGAAAACGCCAAGACGAATTGAAGGATCTGCTATTGCCAAATGAAGATGTCGTCTAAACAATTTCAGAAGACGATCTAAGTAGAGCTGTTCTCTTTCTAAAACTGTAAAAAATCATTATTATTATCAGCCCTGTATATTTGTCAACCTGTTTATACTCACATATCAGCCACTGCAAATTCAAAGTAAATGATTTGAAATAAAACATAATTTATGCACATAAATAACGATGTATTTTGATAACAATAAAATATTTGAGATTCCTAAGTAAGCACTGCTTTGATTAACAAAGTGCCATTTTTGAAAGCAATTTATTCTGTCAACTAAAACTTAAAAAGATAATAATGCAAAGTTTTCGACGAACAAATTGATTCAAAAAGGTTCAATTTTATAAAAAAAAAAAGTTTCAAAAATTTAAAAAAATTGCGATTTCACAGAGCATCTGTGACAGAGGGTAAAGATCTCTCTTTTTTATTAGATAAATTGAAAATCTCGTGATTGTTATCCTACTTCTGTGAGAACAGTGAAGCCTGCAGGAACACTAGTAGTAGCGAGAACACGGGTTTTGTTGTATCCACGTGTTCTTCGACGTGGAAAAAAAATTCAATGATTTCATTTTTCGTTTTTTTTTTTTCGGTAAATTTTGAAACAAGGAGTCACTTGAATTTCCAATGCTTATTTTGTTCTATTAATTGGCCGTTTCTAAAACCGATTGAATGTTCCAGCAAAATGGCGGCCCTTGAAATTCGCTTGTTGATATTCATTTCATACAAGAGCATTTCCGCCTTTGAATTCGCGCCCGAATCGAAGTGTTTCTGTTTCAGTCCAAATCTACACTTTTTCTGACATCACCAGCGCTATTTTCGACGGTGTTACTTTTCACGTTTTCGACTGTTGCCAAAACACAGAAGAATAAGAGTTTACAGCGCATTTAATTGCAATTTGGACTGGCCGTCAATTACAATACCCAATTAATTGAAAATTGAAAACTAAAAATTGCTAATTCTAGTAAGCCGCGTATTCTACTTCCTTAATAATTTCAATAGAGTTTTTAATCCGCTCTAAGTAGTAGTTGAATTTATTCCAGGGGCGACCCTCAAACTCGACGGGTCAATTCGGACATGAATTTAAATTTTAAACAAGTTCAATCACAAATTCTAAAACAACCAAATTTATGGCAACAGCAAACTAATAATGTTTATAATAATCGTCGGGGTAGAGGTCAAAACGTACCAGTTGCACAATTTTCGATTGCAAAAGCGAGCAATAATATTCGTAACTTCGAGATAACTTACTAAATTTAAAGCTCTTCCCACGGAAAAAGAGATGATAAATTTGAAATTAAATTAGTAGGACCAAAACAAGCTCTCCCAGCAGTCACATGATCGATGAGGATTCTGACGTTGTTATGTTACTTATGGTTTTCTTTGGCGAATTCGGTGACACTAGAAGGGGGCGCTAGAATGGTGCGAGGTGGCGCGGCGGTGCTAGAAAACGAAAGCGATACGCGTGGATACCGCGCGGTGCAAGCCCTCTCCTGCTGCGCTTGTGATTTTCTCAACTCCAGAACCAAGAGCTCGAAACAGTTTTACAATTTCAGCTAAACTCTGAATAAGGGTGCTAGTTGAAAAGAAATATACATAAACAGGAATCGCAACAAAAAGGAATAGCGAAAAAGAAATACAGAGAAAAGAAGTACAGATCGAACGAAATCAACGATGAGATTGCTCCACACTACTATTCTGGCTGCTACAGCCGCTTCTCAAGGTAATTAAAAAAAAAGAAACAGAAGATAGGAATTGAAATAAATTTTGAATAAAACAAAATTCCCGAAAAAGAAAGTTTATTAGAAAAAAGAAGCACAGATTTTTTCTTCAAAAAAAATTTATAGTGTCCTCACTGAAAATTGCTTTCTTGAATGTATGATCTTATAAGAGATATTATCTGGTATCGCCAGAATCACTTAGAACGGGCCGAGGCATTAACGTGATGCTGCGGGGAAACTAAGTCAAATATGCTGTCCGCACAGATGTCCCTTTTTTGACATGTGAATTTGCATCCACCTTGGATCGCTTTTGGGGCAGAACTTTTTATTAACAAAATCAAGTGTCTTCGCCCTAAAATTTCTTATATCTAAAGAAGCTTTAGATCAGTCAGTAGTAGGTCAATCTGTCTGTCTAAAATCAAAAACCCCTTAAAATATCTTGAAAAGAAACTTTTATCAAACCATTTAAAATATCTCTTCCACGTAAAAAAGCTCGCTTAAAAGTGGTATGGGTCTGTAAGAGGCTCGGAATGCGCCGCAGCCAAAACGTTTCGAATCTCAGAAGGCTGTAACGTCATAAACGTTTACAGAAAATTGGCAAGTCCTTTTACGCAAGGGCGAAATATGCGTTTTTTCTTTGGCCAACGTTTTTTTTGTCTTTTCAAATTAGAAAATCAGCAGCCTTTGCTCCGAGCATCTGTTTTATTAAAAATAAATTCCTTTTTATTAAAAAACCTCTTTCTGCTCAAGTAAAACGTCATATAGCCCCTGTAGCCTACTGTTAAACGTGCGAAAATTCATGACAGAGTTTTGCTGTGCTTGAAGTATTTAATTCGCTGCGGGAAGATTTAGAAAGTATTTTCGTGCATGAAAATTATGTTTTTGCGTACGTAATTGAGTGAGACCGGAAGTTAGGATCGTGTTGCCCGTTAAACATGAAATATAGGGAGTTCCCAAGACGCAAAATAGTAAGCTAGGCATTTAGCAAACACCCGTGACAGCCCTAAAACGTGCGCTGGCGATGGCACATGGATCGCGCGCGCGGCAGGGTTAAATTTGAAATCATTAAAAACGCCCCTTCTCATCCAGAAATCCGATTTTTAACTCATGCGAGAGGGATTATCAGGGAGAATCGAGCCTCAATTAATTTCAATTTCTCTGAAAAATGTCCTGTTTTCCGACAAAATCGCTGAAATTTCTTTCAGAATCCATATCTTGGCAAGAACAGTTGATCAATCGATTGAGCCAACACACGATTTCAAACAGCTGGAGTCTGCATTCTAGCTCTCTCGAAGAAGACGACTCATGCGCCGATCGCTGCATCCTGAACCCATCCAATCGTCTCTCGTGTGGCCGTTCGCGAAGCCGAGACCAGTGCGACTCGCTCAACTGTTGCTGGGACGCAGATTCCGAAATGTGCTACAAGCAGGTAAGACGCGATTAAACCTGCACTAAGGCCACTTTAAAATTTCTATTCAGGTATTCGATCACTGCCCGAAGGATACATGCGAGCGCATTGATCCTCAAGATCGACAAATGTGCTCAGAAATTCTCGGCCCAGATCTGAATCAGGAAGAATGCGCAGAACTCGGATGCTGCTATGATAGGAATGGATAGAAAACGATCTTAGCTTCGATTTTCCGTCACCACTTAAAAATCTATCGTTAGGGTTAGGGTTAGGGTTAGATCCAGGGTTAGGGCTAGAAATTCTAATTGTGGAAATTTGTTTTATTCATAAAATTTTTCTTGAAAAAAAATTTTGGCATTTTAGAGTAATTTGAGAGTGTGATTTTCTAACCTGCTCAAAAAGTTACGTCGACTTTTGCTACTCATCGGTTCCAAAGGAGACCGCAATGGCACCTGCAACACTGGAATGCGAGAGCGTCGAATCTTCTCAGAAGGAGTCTTGTGGATATGGCCTGTCCCGTGACGCCTGTCTCGAGCGAACGGGTTGTTGCTGGCACGTGGATGAAAACGCATCCACTTATTGCTACAAGCTAAGGATTTATAATCATAACTAAACTTTGCTCATCAATAATTTGGTCACTTATTGAGACACAGTGAATTGTGTAAAGAAAATAAGAAGATTGAATCCAAAATAGTCTGCTATCGTTGGCGCGGCAAACAACTTCACTTCTTTGGCTGGATCGTCTCAAATCGACATTACGGTTGATGACATGGAACTCATGGTTTGACAGGGCTCCTTTATTTTGATTTCATTTCCTTTCTAGCCTCCAATCAATCTGAAAGTCGCAAACAGGGACCGTCAACAGGTAAACGCACTTATTTCTGACTCTCTTCAGTCCTCGTCTGCAACGATCCCCGGCTCCCTGCGAAAGAAGCTCCAGCAATGGACAAGCTACGGCGCCGCCTTCACGCAGAAGATAGAAGTCAGCTGCGCCACGAAATCGAAGGTAAAGCAAAAGACAGCGCTCGAATCGAAAATTTGAAAATTAAAATTTTAAGCCCCTCGACTGCATCAACAACAAAAACAGCGAAAAACTACTCGGACTACTCAAGGAGGAGATATCAAAGGCTAATTACGGGCTCGCTCACGTTGCTGACGAGTATAAGGCGAAGGAAATGCTACAGGGGCTTTATGATGTACTCAGGACAGGGTTGATACTTTAAAATGAAAGTCAAGGTCGATTGAAAAAGTCAAATTACGAAAATGCGCTAGAACTTATAAAGAATAACCCTGACAAAAGCTGGTTCTGCATGAACGAGCCATCTGCTCGTTTCTGTCGAACCCTGGTTCTCTCCGGTTTCACGCTGACAGAAGTGAACACCGAGGCCTTTTCGCCAGAAGAATTGATCGTGGAAGCGAACACGCGCTACGAGGCGTTCCTCCGATTGATGTGCGACTTCAAAATGCTTGGCTCCTTCAGACCGCAGTCCAGCTTTGGAGAAAGCTTCGAGACCGACCAGTGCTCGGCGACATTCCTGTTGATGCAGGTTCACACGCAGTCCCTGGATTCGGTGGAAATCATCCCCGTCCAGAGCAGCCACGCTTGCCATGCCGAAAAGGGATGTTGGAAGCAAATGAGGTAAGCATCATCTAAATGAGAAACGTTACGTTATGTCGACACGAATAATATTGTGTTAACTTCGCAGAGGCAATTATTTCTTGGGTACATTGTAGACCGCTGTTGTCTATTGACTCAGCTCCGTTGTGGCCCAATCGAATTCGGACAATTCATATATGACAATATATCTGGTAGATTCTACAACATAGAAATTCATAATTGAGCGAACATTCAATTCGGAAACCATCGAATTCCACTTCCGAATCGATAGAGGAAAAAATGAATATGGAGCTGTTTCGTTAACTATTTTTATTTCCGCCAAAAAGCGGAAGCTCACCAGTTTCAAATCATATTTGTCATGTGCGGCTTTATCCTCTTTAATTTATTCAACCGCCGGAAGTTCTAAATAATTGATTGCCGCTTTCCGCCAAAATTCAACTTTGCATCAATAGAGGTCACTTCTACAGAACAACTTCTACTGTGATGGTTTAAATTGGTTGTGAATTTCTAATAACAATAGAAATAAGAATAAACAAAACTGTGAAAGTTAACGAAAACCCCTCGTCGATATATATTTTCACAAAGCAAGAGCCTATTTGTTTCTTTATACAAAGTAGAGACTGGTTATTAATCTATTACGTAGCCTGCGTGCGGCGATTATTGACTTGTTTGGGGAGTACACGCAAAGCTCGAAGAAGAAGTTCATCAACATGTGGCGAGACGCAATGAGCCCACTCTTGACTCCTCCGGAAGACTCCATTCTAATCGAGAGCAGTTGCATCAGACCCACTCTCAGCAAATTCATCCAGACCAGAGGTAAACAACTTAAGCTTATTTACGAAAAAACAATGATTTTCAAACAATGCTTCAAGCTGATTATTAATAACTCAGCTGATTGAAACGAATCCGAATCAATTTTAGAAACCGATCGCTTGAACTTTCAACTTGTGGGTATTTTAAAAAAAGGATTATACAATGGTTACGAGCACAAACTTGCACAAGAATGATGAATTTGACCTTTCTAAAAAATGCTCTCACGGGAGTTGAAACGAATCCGTCAAAGTTCAATTTCGAGCTCAATATAAAGCCACTTTCTAAACCCTACATATAGCAATAATTGCTGAAATTCGGCTAACTTTATCGCAAACAGGCGTTTGAAAGGCGCGTTTTTATCATTTCCGCGTTCTCTCTTCTAAATCTGGACTTTTTAGATGATATGTCGAATCAGTTTGACAAAGCTCCCGCTCCGCAGAAGAAAGCTGGAGACCAGACCAATTGAAGAATTCGGCGCTAGAATTGTCCGAGAATACGTCGGAATATTGAGCCCTTCCCTGTTGCTTTTGATGACCCTAAAAGCCTATTGTATACTACCTCAGACTGTACATAATAAATTAACTCTAATCCATGTTTAATTGAGTCCTTTATTGAAGTTTACAGACGTTTTGGAGCCTCAGAAAGAATCGGAAGCGGTAAAATTGGATATTATTTTGCTATTGATTGGCTCGAGTTCGACCATTTCTATACGGCCAAATCAGTAGTCGTCGAGAGTCAGTAAAACATGTGTTACGCGTTGGCGCAAAAAAGTTACTACATTTGAAACGCCGTTTTTATACGTGACCTCTCCCACCAGTTTCCTCACTTAGGCAGCTCTCTCTTTCTCCATTTTAACAATGATAAATTATGATTCAAGCAATAAATTTGATAATTTGATCAAGCAGGACTTCAAAGCAGCATTTTCTTTTCAGAGAAGGCTCCTCCTTTTTGTTCGATCGAAGCAGAATTAATGAAATTAAAAAATTGTTCGGATGAACATCAATAATTGTTTGGTAGAGTTGGAGTTGTCTGATTAAATTTAGGCCAGTTTTAAGTTGTAATAAATGATCAAAGGAGAGTGCTTGTTTACCTCAAAGCGTCGCAATATTATGGCAAGTGCGGAATCAATCGATTCTTGCTTCGAGTAATTTTGTGTCCATCAATCGCCGAATTCTTTAAGTATTTCTTTCCCTTTGTTTTCTGTAAGCAAGTGTCTAGGGAGTAATTAGGGCCAGATGAGCACCAAACACAAGAAAAAGAGAGCTAGGCAATAATATTATGTTCACTTTTTCGAAGTACTTTTTGATAATTGAAGAAAAACAAAAAATATACTATACTATTGTTAATTGCCTAGTTGTCCAGTTAAAGTAGTTCTTAAAGATTGCTCATTGTCCGTAAGGGTTAGGTTTTGCGTTAACTGGAGGTTAATTAGGTCTACATTTCCACCACGAAACATATTCGAGACCTAACTGAAATGTATCTGAGGATTATCGATGTTGAATTCGACAGAGTGAGGGAAAGAGTAAAATCGAGTTGAAGTTCAATGAACGGCACGGACAAAACTTGTCAATTGATCTTTCTCAAGGACCGCTACAAAAGACCAAAAAGGAAATGAAAAACGTTCCTCAAATACTGTCTCGTCACTTGATTTTTACATTGTTCCCCAGTCGAAGATGTTACTCTTGAATTGCATGCGAAATCCAGAGCCTATGTGTTCATGGAATCGGTTCAAAAAGGGAGGGGACTTATGACTGTCAACCAAAGGGGAGAGATCATTAGATAGAAATTATATAGAAAATAAATGCAAGGGAAACAGCAATAGGTAGTAAGGGGAATGTTCGATTAAGGCGATTAAGGCTAATTAGAAGAAGAGAAAGGTGCGCTAATCAAACCTCGTTGACAATGATCCGTCTTCTTTCCAATTTCGTCCGCTTCACTCGTCTCCAAATCTAAAAACGAAGAAAAATGAGCATTCGAAAGTTTGTCTTTGAACCTTTTTTGCAGAGACAGAAACTCTCCTCTCAGGCGTCGGCTTTCTTCAAATTTTCAACTGATAACGTTATCGCTAGAATCTTTTCAAGAGCATTTTCTGGAGCTTCGGAGGGTGAAAATTAAGTTCATCTAGCAGTAACGACAGCAAATTCGTTACAAAATTGGCTTTGATTGGCTCTAGCAAGCTGTCTTCTATTGAACGATCTCTGTAGTACTAACAATAATTAGTTGACCGCAAGACACGATTCTACAATGCTGGAGGAGGATGTTTCGAGTGGTCGCCTCTCGCCCAGATCGCCTCTCGCCCAAGTCGCCTCCTGCCCAGATCGCCTCTTGCCCAACTTGGGCGGGAGGCGATCTTGGGCGAGAGGCGATGTGAGATTATTTTCAGTGTAAACTAACAAGGACAAATTCAAGTTGGGCGAGAGGCGATCTTCGGAAGAAGGCGTGGAACACTCAAAAATGACTCCATTAGACTTCCCTATCATGACTTGCTCCCGCTCAGCAAGTACCTTTCGTCGTAAAGCCTGAACCATCTTTTTATTATTTCATTCGAACGAAATATTTCGCTAGATGAGCTGGTACAGTCAGGAAATTTTTGAACTTCTGACGAGTGAGGTAGCCGGTTGAGGTAGCAGGGGAACTGATACATGGTGAAGACGACTGATGATATACTGATATATCGCCTCCTGCCCAGATCGCCTCTTGCCCAACTTGGGCGGGAGGCGATCTTGGGCGAGAGGCGATCTGGGCAAGAGGCGATCTGGGCGAGAGGCGACCACTCGGATGTTTCCCGTCCGATAGCAGACCAATTAAAAGTTTTTGAGTGGCGATCATTGTCGACCTACCGTATAATGCCGTATAACTTCGTCACCTCTCGTGGCATAAGCCGCTTTCCATTGTAATAAGTTACTCCTTCTCGCTCTAAAAGATCAAGTAGTAGCACTTGTTAAATCAATCTTTCTAAAATAGCCGCTAATAATGAAACAAGAGATAACTTTCGCTCCAATTCCGTAAGTACGAAAAGCGAAAAACTGCAAATAAGAAAGCCGGTAAAAAGAGACTGTCGCGCAGCAAAGAGCGGAATAAATGGAAGCTGGAAAGCAGCAGGCGGCATTTGGAGCACGAGCTCGTGTCTCAGACATTTCCGTGGGTTCACATTTTCTTTTGCTCGCTTCCTCGAACATGTGTACCCATTTGTAGCCGATTGCGATATCCTACAACCATAAGTACAGACAGGCGCCCTGAGTAGGCTCGTGAAAGAGCCGACGTGCGGGCCGACTTTATTGTCTTCTGAGCTTCGGCAGCGTCAACCCTTTCCTCCCCGCGCCTTTTTTCTTCGCCAGTAATTTTCTGCTGAGAAAATTGAAGCCGCGGAGGAGAGGTAGATGGCGGTTTCTAAAAAGAAACATTCAGATTTGGAATGATCTCGGTTCTGGTGGTGATACTTATTGGATTCTTGTATGGCATCACCACCATCGATCGAAACATCTATGCAAGTACATTCACGTTGTGAGACAACATTCCAAACAGAATTAATTGATTCCTGCTCTGCTTTGAAAGCAAAATAGAAAACCCCCTTTTTATGCTTTTGGGCGTTTTCATTTTAAAATTGTATTTTTCTATTTTCAGTGTAAATTCTACTCGCTCAATTATCGAAAGATGTCATTCCACGTGACAATTTTCGATAATCATTTACGAGCGAACGGATAAGGGAAACTGGAAGAAGATAAATACAACTTGTACTACTGAAAAGTTATTGTTGTAAAAAGGAGTTTATGCGTAAATTTGTATTAATTAGTCGTGTTCAGCAATTAATCAAAGCGGCGCGGCACGATCAAATGATCGAAAATGTGGAAAATGAAGGGACCTTGCTGCTAATTTGCATCGGCTTTCCAATGACTTTGGCACGGATATTCGAGAAATTACACAATCGCTTAAATTTTTGCATTTTTTAGGGTTAGGGTTACGATCTTATACACGAATAAAAAGTGTAAAAAGAGAACCTGCTTTACTGAATTCCAGCTTCCTGGTAAAAACTAGCAGCGTCCGGAGCCACTTATCATTTTTACGGCTTCCAACAGCGTCTCGAACTGACCCTTTTTAGTAGCCGCTGACCGCGAAAGCTGCCTCTTTCCCCTAAAACAAAACCCTTCGGAAGTCACTCGTGTTTATCAAATAACTGGCTGGCACGTTTAATTACCGTTTACCGTGGCAAAAACGAAAACAACAACTTCTAAGGGTCGCCGCGATCGGCGCAGATTTACGGAAACAATCCATTCCATAATGAAATCAGATTGCGGGAAGTTAGAGAAACAATCGTAATTTGCCAGAACCAGAAATCTGATTTTCCAATTTTGTTAAGTCGAAAGTAGAATAGAACAAGGAAGGAGAGATTCTTGGGATAATTAAACGAGATAAAACATGGTCACACTTCTGACTAGTCAACTAGTAGTACAGTAACATGGGAGAAGAAATCGTGATAGAATGATAGAATTCTTGTCGCATTATTGAGCGAGTTTTCGGACGAGGTAATTAAATCGCTCGAATACCCAAATACCAAAGTTGCTCATCATGATCGGCATCGGCATGAATTCATGGACAGCATCCTCCGGCATCCAGCTCAAGTAAGTCTTCAAGCCTTCAGCTCGTTACGCGGTCACTTTCGATTTAGCTTCTATCAGTACACGTGGCTAACTACCATTTTTCGCTCGCTGATGTTTTCATCATCGTTAAAAAAATGGATGATGCTTTGAATTCAAAGGAAGCCTTATTAAGGATCATCGATCTTCTTTTCTTCCGCCCGTGTTAATGCTAATTCTTGATCGTGGCCTTACATTACTCTTAGTACACTTGCTTGGCGATATTTTCGCTAAAAATAGAAAACACTTAATCTTCTCGGCTAAAAATTATCTTCCAATAGGTGGCAATAGATGTAATGCTATGTTATAATTTAAAACTGCCGATTCAGCAGATTAACCAAGTGCTCTCATCTGCTTTACAATTCTAGTCAAGTACATCGACTGATAATGAGCTTGTCGAAACGTGCGATTATTGAACTGAAGCAATCCGTTTTTCGAGTGCAGTTGACAATCAGAATTCGGAAATCAGTTGTTGAGCTTTTCGGATTCCGGGAAACCGAAATTATCAGCAATTAACTCTTTAATTTTCTCATTTCTCAGCGATACAATGGAAGAACACTACGGGCGAAAATACATCCGCCGAATGTCGCTTGAGCTACTGAGTCCGTGAAAAAGAAGAAGAAAGCGGAAGTTGGAAAGGCTAACTACCAGAATAATAAACTAAGAAACACGTGTTCGAATATCAATCTTTAGAAAGGTTCCTTATTTAACGTGGAGCGGCAGATGCGTGTCAAGGAGAAGTTATCGCTTGCACAAGATCCCATGGCTCTCAAATACGGCACCTTTGCTCCTACTTTGGAGCAAGCCATAATTCTATCCATAATCCGGAGGGTCAAAACCAACGATTTCCATTTCACGTTTTGACGCTACTCGACAATTTCAAATTTAAAAAAATCATCAATCATACTCTTTCAAATTCACTTACTTTTAACCAATTTTAGTAACTGATATTTTTTCATAAACTCGTCTACACGTCAAAGTCGTCCTTGTTGTTTGGGTATATTCGCAGTAACTCGTGTTGTGATGGAATTGGCGTTTGAATACAGCTTTGTTATCGTCGGGATGATCCGGGGATCACCAACTCATCCACTTTGCATTCACCTGTTGCGCCTTTTTAGAGAGTCATTTTCAAAACACAAGTTTGTCTTTTCGGGATTATTTATTTTCGAGGATTCTTTTGTGAAAAGGAAGACGAGAGTTTGTTTGTCTGAAAAATCTATGGTATTAATTCATAATTACGATTTTATTTTGAGAGACGATCTTATTTGATTATTGCTAGTTACGACTCTTCTTGTAACTCGCTCGTAAGAATCGCTATTTGTCCAGTTATATGCGGGCAAAGGTTAACTGCTCGTTGTTTGTAGGTGACGGGCTAAGCTGGCTTATTTGTATAAAACTAGAGTGGCGGGTAGGCTACTTCTAAGCGAACTGCTCAGATTTGAAGCGAACGAATAGCAATCGCGAGCTAGCAATTAATGTCGTCGAGTTGTGAAAACAAACTTATTCAGGCGCCGCTACATCTTCAAAACTCGAAATTATTATTTTCTGATTGAAGACATCTGTTTTCGCCCCTCCTCTTCTACCTCCGTGGGAAGCTGAAACTCATGGATGAAGAGGACATGGGATTATTGATGGCAAACTTGAGCCAGGAGTCCGAAAATATCGTTCTGTCAATTTCCATAATGAGTAAATGACAAGAAGATTATCAAATCTTTTGATTCAAATGTCAACTACAAAAGTTTGCAACTAAGTGAAAAATGTAATGACTGTAACAGTAAGAGGAGGATTCTAAGCTTTTTAACTGAGCTAGCTGTGCTAGGATTAGGCTGAAATACAGGAGTTAGCAAACACGCGATTTTGTCAAAGACGGATCCGGTTAATCCGGTTAATAACCGTTATCCGGAAATTATTGAGGGTAAAGGTGACCGTTGAGTCGTTTCGTTTTGCGTAACCCAATAAATTTGGTCCTACAATGTCGATACATGGTCATTACAATGTGTATGATGTTAACTAGCATCAAGGACGTCTCTTTGAAGTCGCAGGGACGCATAAGGGGAGGTAAGAAATGCTTGTACCAAAATAGTTGCTGCTTCGAGATACATATTTTGAGTAGATGGTGATTGACTAAAACGTGATTTTCCGATAGCGTGTTTGAAGCGCTTCAGAATTACGAGAGCAGCGGAAGACCAAGTGTTATCTAAGAAAATCTCAAGGCGGATTTCATTCCCAACCGAATTTTCTCAGCCGTTTTAGAATGCTAGAAAGCAAGTTCAGATGAGTTTTTTTATCTTGTTTATGAATGCCAAACTCTTTTATCCGAAAAAGATAGCAAGAATTATTATTTTATCTATGTAAGTATAGAGATCTATCTTTTTTCTACACTGTATAGAAGCCTTTGCTAGCCATGTTACTTTTCGCTGTTACGAAAACGCGTAATCGGGACCTACCCGGTCTGTTCTCGCTGTTCTGTTTGATGCGCAAATGTCAATCTTGCACAGAGAGGTCGCTCGACAAGTTCGCCAAGGAATCTTCACTTTGAAAATGCGTGTGCTCGGGTTACTTTTTTCCTTGGCACTTGCCGACAGAAGTCCGCTAGAAGCAAGAGATGATGGGAAGTTTTGGCTGAATGGCGAGCCGATTACGCTTGTTTCTGGATCTATCCACTACTTCCGTGTGCCCAACGAATACTGGCTAGGCAAGGATCATCAATAACCGTAGAGATTTCTAAAGCTTTGCAGTCGCTTGACAGTAGAGCTACTACTGTCAGAGTAACGCGTAATATTTTGCAACTTGAATGTCAGCAGCTGGCGATAGCAAAGTGGCTCAGTGGATGATCCTGCGGATGAGACCGCTTGACAAAGCTCAAATACGCAGGCCTCAATACCGTCGAGCTGTATGTCTCGTGGAATTTGCATGAGGACCGTTTTTCCTTTGATACAATTATAACTGATGCGCCATCTAATACGTGTAAAACAATGCGCCTGTGTTTATAATGATAATCGGCCACTATTCATGGTTAAACAATCGAAAAACTTATTTAAAGCCTTACCAGGGCGAGTTCGACTTTTCGGGTGACTTGGATGTTGTCCGTTTCATCGAAATGGCCGAGGAACTTGGACTACATGTGATCTTCCGCCCTGGCCCGTACATTTGCGCCGAGTGGGAGTGGGGAGGACACCCGTACTGGCTTCTTCATGATACGGAAATGAAGGTACGCACTACCTATCCTGGCTATTTGGAGGCTGTGGAGAACTTCTACCGCGAGTTGTTCGGTCGAGTTAACCATTTGATGTACCAAAACGGCGGCCCCATCATTGCCGTGCAAATCGAAAACGAATACGCTGGATTTGCTGAGGCACAAAATATCGGTCCACTCGACCCGGCTTTCCTCACATGGCTCCGTCAATTGATCAAGGACCAGAACTGCGAAGAGCTTCTTTTCACTTCTGACGGAGGATGGGATTTCTATAAGTATCAACTCGAGGGAGATCCTTATGGACTCAACTTTGACGATGTTCTGAAAACTGTTAACTTCCAGACAAATGCGAATTTATGGCTATCCGCCCTTGAAAACGTCCAAGTACGACTCTCATTTAGCTTCTCTTTCGTATGTTTTTGTAGCCAAATAAGCCAATGATGGTTATGGAATGGTGGTCAGGCTGGTTCGACTTTTGGGGCTACCATCATCAGGGAACAACTCCGTAAGTAAATCTTCCAGATGCTGATTTAAGATTCCATGCGGAATTTAAAAACCACGTTCTTCGACTGTCTATTGGATCGGACAAACCACAAAAAATTCTTAAGGGCCAGCTTTGAGGAAAACTTGCGATCAATCTTGAGCGCGAACGCTTCTGTCAACTACTACATGTTCCATGGGGGCACCAACTTTGGCTTCATGAACGGTGCCAATTTCAACACGAACTCGCAGACTGGCGGGCTCGAGTATCAACCAGGTCTGTTCTTCTGATCAACATCCAAAGACATTTTTCTAGTGATCACAAGCTACGACTATGACTGCCCCCTGTCCGAAGAAGGGCGAATTACTGAAAAGCTGGATATTACTCGAACTGTGGTTCAAGAAATTCTTGGATTTTCTCCCCCTGAAGAGCGACCTGCTGATCCCGAGATATTTGTTTACGAAACAACGGTGGCTTCTGAGGCGGCATCTCTCTGGAGAAATTTGGCCCAAGCTGAAACCTTCGCCTCCGAGGAATGTATCGCTATGGAGTGGTTCCCCGTTAATCAGGGTCGAGGTCAGCCCTATGGATACGCTCTTTACAGGTAGCGCAGTTTCTTGTAACTATGAGTAGTTATTGCTTTAGATCTCAAGCTTCGTTTCCAAAAGGAAACATCACTATCGACGGAATGGACAAGGCGCTCTCCGGTCGAGCAAACATCTTTGTCAACCAAGAACGAGTCTACTCGATCACCAACACTCCCGGCAACCAGAACATTCTTTCCGAAATTCCCGTCGATATGCCTCAATGGGGCAATGTCGTCGATCTTTTGATCGAAAACTCTGGCCGAATAAACTACAAAAAACTTAACGACGCTTATATGGGATTGAAGGAACAGATTGGCTTCGGTGGCAATTTCGACGCTTCTTGGAATATCTGGTCGCTTCCTTTCGATCAGGAAAAAGGCTTAGAATTCGATCGGATTGATTACGATTAATTTCCGAGTCCACGAAGAAAGATTTAATAAAGGCTAATAAACGAAAAGCCCGAGTCAGGAGTACATCGAGAGTCTCAAGTGGGACTCCAATCCAGTGATGTTTATCGACGCGCCTGCGTTTTATAAATTCGATGTGTACGTCGACGAGCCCATGGATGCATTCATAAACATGACCAAATGGGGCAAAGGTACGTGCCCATTTTGATTTCTTGTTGAAAACTGAAACAGGAGTCGTCTTCATAAATGGCCGCAATTTGGGACGGTACTGGTACATTGGTCCGCAGCAAACTCTCTACATCCCCAAGACCTTCCTGACCAGACGCGACTACAATTCAATCGTCGTTTTCGAAGAGATCCAAGGAACCGTTTCGAATTGATCAAACGTGTTTTTGATTTGATATAACTGCTCAATCACTATTTTGAAACGTGCGCAGCCCCTGAAATTCGTGAAATCGAATTTTCAGCGACTCCGATTCTCGACGTGAATCAAGAAGAATGGCCCCAACCTCAATAAATTCATTTAACTGCTGCAAAAAGACAGCTAGAATAAAGAACTCACTCTCGCACAGATTCTTGCGGAAAACAGACGAGTACAGTTAGAGTAGCATTAAATTTCTTTATTGTGCAAATATCAGAGATAATAAATGGCTCTTTGTTTGATAGAGTGCGCTGGCTCTGAGACATAATTTCTGAAATTGATTCAGAGGCCGAAGTTATCCCAAAATAATATCTTTGCGGCGCCCAGCAGGAAAATGAAGCAAAACATGGCAACTAAAAATACAATTTAGAGTTCAATGTTTCCGGCGATCCACTTACTTAGCCGCTGTGGTGTATTTCGGGTAGGCACTTCTTTTTTCTTTTCTTTCTGTTCTGGACCTAGTCGGTGCATTTGTCGCGCGTACCGAAGCGCTTTTCCTCGGCAGTTTCGGCAAGTAATCGATCCACAAATCACGGGGCGGCACAACATTGGGGGGTAATGAGATCTTTCATTGCCGGATGGTCTTTTAAGAGCTCATTTAGTAAGTAAGACGGACACAGCTTGAGAATCAAAGAAGCCTATCCTTGGTGCAGTCATAGAAAAATAAGGCTCGTTGCAACAAAGATCCGAGAAATTGTTGCGGTCGTCTAGAGAGTGATCGAGCTGCATATACTCGTATTCTTCTGGAAGTGGCCCTCTGACAACCAACCCGACGTTTGGGTCGTACTTGGCTCGCTCGAATGCTTTCAAGTATGCTGAAAATAGTGAATAGGTAGCGAAGAATTCGATCTTTCTTGAAAATATGCTTTCTGAACTCACCTGGTTTTCCTTTCATTTCAAAGTATCGGTCCATCCCTTCCGTTGTTTTCTTGACGAGGCCCTTTGGAATCTCAAGTAGGGAAGGATGTCCGCGATATGCTAGTGATGGTGCTACTGGTTCTACTCCGTCATTTTCTTTGTGTTTTGCTCATTCGAGTTCCATATTCAAGGATTAACATATCTATTCGTCCGATGGTGTATTCACATAACAATTAGAAACAGCTTGTTTTGAAGCTGATGAAACTCAACCTGGCTCAGTGTCTTCCCTTGGCGGTTCAGTCTGGAGACTCTGGATCTTTGATTTTGATTTTTTGAACTTCTTTGCTTTCGTTTTGGTTGGTTTTGCCGCAGAAGGGGACCTTTGTTTTGGGATAATATTTTCGGTAAAATTAGTTTTCCGTCTTCAATTCTCGTGATTCCGCTTTTGACGCATTTCAAGTTCGGCTAATTAATAGTATTAATTTTTCTCTGTTGGAATGTATGATCCCTTTCGCGGAACTCGCTCACGATGCTTGAGAAGTCATCTGCGGTGCTCATTTTTTTAAACTGGAAGAATGACGACGAAGCATGCTCAAAAACATTCCACCGCAGATCATCTAGAGATTTTATCCAATTTATGACCATAACAAGTAAAGCAATAATTATCAGTTCAGTTTGTTCATTAACGCATAAATACAAACAATTCGCAGAGCAAATTTTCGGCCCAAACGTAAAGTAAGTTATACTTTTCAAATCCAATCAAAAAAAGTAATATTATCAGATAATAAGACGCGAATTTTTCGTCGTGATAACTTTTCATTGTTCAACGAAATACTCGAATGCTTTGGAGAAATCATGAAGGGCTGCCAAGCACGCTATATAAACTCCGTTGGGGCATCCTTCTTGCTCAGAAGAGAATTTTTAGAAAATTTCAGGTTTTGAAGCTTAATTTTAACCGTTTGCTTTACCAAAATATGTTTCAGGAAGGAATTTGTAGAAGATAGGACAAGAGTATTGGAGAAGAATGGTACGAACTGTAAGTTATGATAATCAGGAAAATGAGAGCAAATTAACTTTGATAGCGGGCCAAGAGATCCGATGAAGAACCTGGGCCGTCGAAACGCAACACGGCGCGGAAAACCTCGCACAACAAGACGGATCTTGCGAAGTCCGTCCGAGAAGCGGTTACAAAAAAGCCGAAGAAGAAACTGATCCTCCCGAAGCCCCCGACTGGTAGTGGCAAGAAAAAGAAGAAGTTTACCGGTAAACGACCAGTTGCGAGAAAGTCGACTGCTCGACCAGTGGAAAGACTCCGACGAGCGCCGGAAAACTTCAACGAGGACGCAGAATGGGAACTGGAGGTAAACACAGATCATTTATTTGAAATTCAACAGTTTTAACAGGAATTCGGCGGCATGTATCTCGCCTGGGGAAAGAAGAAAGTGCGTCAACCCGACGGATCCACCATAACCGAGGCCTATTTGAAAGGAGGTATGATTTTAAAAACATCTGAATGGACACTTTAATATTATAAATATATTCTATAAGATTTACAAAAAAATTTTCAGACACAGAGCATCGAATCTGGATCAAATGGACAGTCGCGTTTAGTGACGGAATTCGCTGGTCGGCCGAAAAACAAGGCAAAAAAAGCAAAAATAATAATGATGTTTAAATTTATAATTCAGACAAACTTGTCGGAGTCGACAAAAAGAAGATCAAAGAAATCGTCAATGCTCGGGAAGCGTGGCCACTGCCCTCGATCAAGGATGGCCGTCGCTCCTTGTGGAAGGCGAGAAAGTTGATTTGCCAGGGCTTTGGCATCACCGAGTGGCAGCCAGCTTCGAGCAAGCCCAATGACAAATGGCAAATCATTGATCCTGAGCTGCCAACAACTACGTCGGAGGTCGACGACACCGACGAAGAAACTGATGACGACGAAGCATAAACCGCTATATTTCGCCCTCTTTCCCACTTCCATTTGTTTAGCCGATTTCCTTAGACAAATTTCTCTGGCTGATAACATCCCGATTACAACTCAAATTCTGCCTGCAAAGATTGAAAAATAAAACACGAAAAAAGTTTCGAAATCTGGAAATCTGCTGCCGGAAATCTGGCGATGACATAAATTGACGGGAGCAGGCATTTCTTTAATAAAATCGCTGAAAGAAGCTTGAGCTACTGGCCCCAGCCACGTTTCCAGAGAATACATGAGTCCTTAGTTTCCGCCGTTTTGGAATAAATACGGATCCGTTATTCTCTAATGACCAGAAACCAAGTATCCAGAATACAATTAATTAATGTTCCGTCCTAGAACCGTAGAAAATACTAGTCAATAGAGAATCGATTTTTAGCGGCCCACGCGAAAAAGGGATGAGTTCCCAAAGGAGCCCCTTCTTTATTCTTATCATTTTATTGCCTCTTTAAATTTGACAAAAATGAGACAAGCAATAAATTACTTGTTTTTACTTGCTTCAGTTACAGTCACAGTTAGCGAGACAGTGAATCAAGAAGATGCATCGCAAAAAACAATTTCTGACTACACGGGCATTGAACAGTGCGAGATCGAGCACGGAAAGCTTAAAATTATGCTCGACAGGATGTTGGACAAGGTAACTCTCACTCGAGCGGAGTCTCTTTTTTTTCAAGTATTTGTTGTTTGGGGTTTATTTTATTACTAAAACATGAAGACTTGAATGAAGCTTGCAGTTGTAACGGATGTCCGTGGACTTACTCTAATTTAAGAGCAAATATTTTAAAACTCTTTAATTGTTTATTGATGCTTTTTTCATCCACGTGCTTGATCTTTCGAAAATACTGTATCGCGTAAACAATTTTTACGTAAGGAGCGGTACGATCCGCGGATACGACCTAACTTCGAGGAGCGTCGACCGGTGGAAGTCGGCCTCAATTTATTTGTTGCTGGTATCGACGAGGTTTCGGAAATGAAGATGGACTACACGCTGACAGTGTACTTTCTCCAAAAATGGCGCGACCCACGTTTAGCAAAGGGGTTGAATATTCAACGCGCTGCATTCGACCAAGGGCAGCGCATTTGAATCAATCCCCGCACAGTTCTTGACCCTGCTGGCGAATTCGGTCCCATCGGCTGGCTCGACAACTGCTCCATCGCGCTTTCTTCAGTCATCGAAAGCGATATATGGTCAGGCTTTCTTGAACAGACTTTCAAAAGTTCACGAATTTCACTACTTTAGCTCGCTGAAAATTTTTGTTCTTCAGACCCGAAAAAGCCCAAAAAAGGTACCAGACGTATTCTTTGTCAACGAAAAAAGCTCCTTCCGACATACAGTAACAATGATGAACACAATGGTACGTTTGTACCCAGGAAAGAGTTTGTGCCAACGCTAGAATATTTATGCCCGTGTTGTTGAAATTCTGGAAAGACGGAAATGTTTTTTACTCGATAAGAATAACAATGAAGCTTGTTTGCCCTATGCTTTGGTTGAAGCACTTTCTAAACATTAACACTAAACATCATGTGATCGAACTAAAGAAAACGCAGTCCGCAAATTTTCAAAAATAATCTATTGTCTTGATTAATTTTGAACCAAAATCCAGCAAATGCACAAGTATCCCTTGGACGAACAAAACTGCTCCTTGATCATGGAATCGTACAGTCATTCGGAAGACGAAATGAACCTGTATCTGATGGGCAACGAGAAAGAGGGCTTCAACAGCATCGGCAACAGCATCAACGGGCTGGACGATCTCAGGGAGGGATTAGAAGCGATAACGTAGCGCGAAAAAAAGTGGCTTAAAAATCGCGTGAATAATTACAAACCCCAGCCAATATATTTACTAATGGCTGTGCATAACACAATTTTAGAAGACTGAAACCGTTGCATAACAAGCATAATAAGGATACCAGTCACATAATTTTGTTTTCTAATCTCGCCCAGTCTCCAGCAATTCGAGGTGCCGAAATTACACACTGGCAACATTGATTCAATCTCAATTATTATTTCAGATTCAGCAGGCGAGTGTCCTGCGCACCGTGCACACACAAAACGACTTTACGAACCATCGCATCACCCTGAAGGGATTTGGGGCGACCTTTACCCTTAGAAAACGCGAACTTCTAAACTCACAGTTTTGTCTAAGCAGAGACTGTTCATTTAGAAAATGCGTCGTAGAAAAGCAAATTACAGGGGATTCAGGGACAAGAATGTCACTAGATTCTTTGAGGCCTTTTTGAGAGTATCAAATAATCACTTATCTAACTATTAGCTAAAGACAGATTTTCAGTAAAAATCATCAATCGAAATTAAACCTCAAAATTTCCCCTGAAAAGTTCTGGCTTCGACGCCGAATAACCTACTTTCTCTTGCAATCCTACGTTCCCTGCACTCTGATCACCATTCTTAGCTGGGTCTCGTTTTGGATCAATTACGAAGCCACAGCTGCGCGAGTTTCCCTAGGACCGTGATCCGTTTTTATCAACAAATGTGTTATTAATTCAAATAGCACAGTTAATTAACAGCTACAATAGCTTGAATATTCTATTCTGCGTTTATTTTGAGCGAAAGAAGACATTATAATTGGCGTTTTAATACCGTATTTGGCTAAATTGGGATTGGGCTTCTATCACCGAGTTCCGTAAACAAAACCTAATCGAGCTCGTGGCTCAGCTGCTTGCATCCAATAACGAGCTGTTTTCAAAATTCCAAGTTTCCGTCTCTCCTTCCTTTTCTTGGGGAATCACTCGCAAAAGGCATCACCACGGTGATGACGATGACTACAATCTACACGCACGTCTCTGCCGGAATGCCCAAAATCCCTGACCTCAAAGCGCTAGATGTTTATATGCTCGCATGTTTCGGTACGTTACCCATCATATGTAGTTCAACTGGCGTAAGCATAATTTAGAGATCACTAAAATTGAACCTCTCCACATCAGACTCTAATCATTAGAGTATTAGTTTAATGAGACAACAAAAAACTCATGCAATGGCACTCGAGGTTCTATTTCTTTCTCGGAAGATTGTTAAGAAGGGATTTTCTTGTTCAAGTTATTTGCGGAAGACGCGCGAATGTTTACATCTTGGCATGTTCAGTTGCAGACATATCTGGCCGCATCAACACTATAAACTGGGAGTTTATTTTGCTTCTAAACTTTTGAGTTATCGCTGGAATGTAAACACGCCACCACTCACAGTGCTCAGAGTCTTTTCAGTTTTTGTCTTCATGGCACTGCTTGAGTACGCGATCGTCAACTACTCTTACTACGGGCGGAGAAGGAAACTCTCACGCCAACGGCATTCGCAACTGGTCGAGAAAAGCGAAGAAAGTATTGATTTGAGCGATTCGTACGGACTTGGCGGAGGTGGAAGCAGAATCAGAACATGCAGGAATTCCCTGGGAGGAGAAAGGCAACGGTTTTAAAAAGAGGAAATGTTTACTTTTCAAAAATGCTCACGCAGCAAAAATAAGAAGCTCATTTATCAAAGCATAATTTGTTTTGAAATCGGCGCAAGAAATACGATAACGCAAAGATCAGTCCCGAACGGAGATGGTCCCCAGCCAGGAGTTCTATTTACTATTATACGGGAGTTTTTCTGCCTCTTGAAAATCGACTAGTGGTTCTGTAACTCTAAAAAAGCTGCGCAGAAGGGACGCGACACGACTCAGGCGGTTGAAGGGGATCTCAGTTTGCGACATCAAAGATGTTTCTGTGATCGACGAGTTCAGCCGCCGCGCTTTTCCGGTGAGCGGCGTTTCTTGTCACTTTCCGTTACATAGCTTCTCTTTCAGATCTCGTTCATCGTCTTCAACATCGTCTACTGGGCTTACTACAAGACCGACTGGGGAAGGTTCACAAGCAATAAATAAGCGCGGGTCGATTAATACTCGGCTCTTGGAACCTAAAAATCAGAAACGACTTAGTTGGTGACCGCGACGAAGGCCGCCACACTTTGCTTGCATCGCGCAAAGAGCTCCTTCTCTGCTTAATAAAAGTAACTCTAGAATTGACTCTCCAAAACGTGGAAGCTGCCTTATCTCTTTAACCGGTTTATTTGACTGATAGTGACATAATATAAAGCGCGCAGCCAACTTTGCGGAAATATTTACGTCGATATTGATCTTTATTAAAAACAGATCAAAATTATTTATGCCTAAAGATGATTAACTGAGATTTACTTGGAAGAAGGGTACGATTAAAATGGCAGCATTTGAGGTCAGTTAGTTTTTTCTCCAGTGAAAAAAAACCACTGAAATCAACGAGGAAAACGTTTGAGAGGAACCAATCTGCTATTGAATACCTCTTTGTAGCCCACAAATTGTAGGGCCATCCAGTCCAAAAGTCGTCCAAAACCTTTGGTATCTTCAAAAATGATGACTCTGCAAATAGGAATCAAAGTGAAAATGGATTCCTCGTGACCAGGTGATAAGAACGTTGATAAAGTCATTATTCACGCCGTGTCAACGGGGAGAAATCGGGGAGTGCCTTTACGATTCATGATTTCTTCAGCAGAGGTGAGCAACGCTGTGACTCAGCCTGTGAGTCTTTATTTCGTGGATTGCTTCTGGTGGTCACATGTCAGCACTTCCAGAAAGCATTCTACTCGTCTCAGAGCCGCGCGCCTACACTGATAAGCAAACAGCTCAACCTCTTTCTGTTCACTTCATAGCTCACTCCTACTTTTACCAAAAACCGAGGAAGTTTATTCCTACACTTTATCCTGCTTTACTACTGGCCCTGAGTTTCGCCTGTTCTACGGCGAATCTAGGACTAAGGATTAGCAGCTCGCCAGAAATAGAACGCGGCAGGGGAGCCTAGTCAACAGAGGCAGAGATTCCCAGGGAGCAGCGGAAGGTGTCAAAGGCGCTCGAGAGCAAGGGATTCAAGCGGGTGCAGCGGAATCACGCCGGTTCATTCCAAAAGGTTCTAGCCTGAAGCTAAAACCTATTTTGAGAAAAAACTACGCAGCAATCCAGGAGTCTCTCAGCGTCTTTGCAAGCGCCAAAGGCGATTTTTCGTCAAATCGAGTGATTGAGTCATTAACACCCTACATTTGAAAGGCTTTCTTTCTTTTCATCGGGGATAACTGACGAATCGCCACCAGGTTGAGATTTTTTGCCGCGGCCAACCCATTTTCTCACAAATAAAAAATATCTTGAGTTGACAAGAATTCAATTACTTTTCAATTATTAGCGTAAACTTTTCGGATTTTGCCTTCGTTGAAAAACAGAACAGAGAAAAACAAGAGATATTTAGTACTAAATCGGGAAATTTCACTAATTCCCAAAAACATATGAGATCATAGTGATTCATGGTTATCACAGGCGTGAATGAGATGAGCCCTCCCACTCAGGGAATCTCGCATTATTTTACAACCTATCCCTCTATTGACAATAGACTATTGTCAAAAAATACCCTTACCGAGAATAAACGAGCAATAATTTTAGAGACAAGTGAAAATGCCCGGTCTTCCGACGGTTGTAACGATTACAGACACCTCTTCTGGCTCCGGACCCATCCCGTTCTGGCTGGTTATCGTCACTCGCTTATTTGCTATTTTGGGTAAGATCAATGTTCATAATAAAGGATTATTTCAAAGAAACGAAATTAATTTAATTCCGAAGGACTTTCCTCTCTCGTCTGGATCTCCATTTTCTACGTAACTGCTGGCGGACTTACCACTCTTCTTGGACTCTTGATGTTGTAAGTTTTTTTTTGATTTTTTGACTTTTTCTTCCGCGAATCCATTTTATACAATTTTAGCATCTTCGGAGTCTACCACTTCTGCATGGAATGTAGCTTCTTCTGCGTCTGCGGCATAAGGGAGCGCATTCCCCTCCCAGCGCCGATTTCAACCTTCCTCGACTCCGTTGAAAGCCACCGCCCAAGCTACTTCTACAGAGCAGTTCTCTACTTTCTGTAAGTCACCTATCAAAATGTCACGGACTCTATCAAACTCTAGCACTCCTGTTTCGCTCGCTATCGCCTCTAAAAACGTCACTTGGTACGTCTTCTTCAACTGTGGCTCCCTTATCTTCTCCTGTAAGTACTCTACTCGTTTTCATTCTGCTGAGGAAACTTTCTAGCTCTGCTGTATGGATACTGCGTGTTTTTGATCAAACGAAATGGTTCTTCAAACTGGATCACTGCCCAACCGCCGACTTCCCTAAAAAACTAAGATCCTCTTCCTCTGTACTCTTGACCGCGATTTGACCAGAGAATCAATCAAAAATAAACACCTGAATGCGAAAACAAATCGAATAGCTAAAGTTTCCCGTGAACTTTCATTCTGTCTAATTGTTTTAATCAAAATGATGCATTGGCAGTAATCAGGTGCAATCAATTGCTTGGAGAGCAGTTGCGGTTTTCGTGATTTGCGCCACAGAAATCCCCATTCCTCGTTCTCCCCATTTTCGAGAACGAAAGAGAATGAACTCGAGGACGATGAGGAATCTTGAAAGAATCAAATCCTTGCAAAAACTGTACCAAAAGCAGCGGCAGCAAGAGCGCAAGACAAGAACTCGTAAAAGATCGCACAGAGAAAAACTTGCAGAATCACCTCTTTCTGCAACTTTCGGCGGGCCGATTTATTACCCTCGTCCAATGCGGCCGGAAGACAAAGAACGTTGCTATAGAACATCGGGAAAGCATAAAAGAAAGCGAGTTGTGTTCTCAATTCTGCGCTGGCTTGGTGAGAAACTAGAATAGAAAGTTTTTTCTTTTACTTTTAGGCTGTCTTGGGGATTCGTCAAAAAAGAGTGGGTTTATCGAGTGTGCACCGATCTAGGGCTAGAAAAAAATACGTTCTCTTTAACCGCGTGGGACGAATTGTACATTCCAATGTAGTTTAAGACTTTGAAGAGCCCTAGTTCAAAAACTACTGATCGTATAAATCTGAAAATTGAAATGTGCCTTTGCACATCCTTAATCTCTCGCTCTTTAAAATTTCAGCGAATTATCGCGCACCACCAGCGCTCTGCAGCGGATTACGTCTGACCTACTTCGCGCTGCGCTCCTTTTCTCACTCGTAAGTCAGGTTTCAATTGGGATTTTTTATTATTTTCAAAGTGAAAATATAGGTTTTCGATAGTGGAGATTTCAAATTTTGAATAATATTTACAAAAAATCAATGCGAAATCAACTCAAACGGTCAAAACAAGAGCAACAAGTAATATGAGAATGAGGTTTGCAGACAGGAAAACGGAAATTTAAGTTGAAATTATGAAAGCCTGTATTTGATTTAGTATTGTCAATAAATTTGGCGAGAATCGGATGAGCGAGTCGCGAGTTATTCAAGTTTTCGCTTAAACTACAATGGAATGTACAAATTGTACAAATTATTCGTCCCGCGCTCATACGCGCGGATTCGTCCCACGCGGTTAAGGGCTTCGCTTTATTTTGAAAAAGAACTGATTCATAAAATCAAGCACCATTGTATGTTTCTTCAGTTGTCTTTTTGAGCCCGTCTTAGCCAGAATGTAGCGAGTGCAATCAACGAGGAGTGTACCAGAAAAGCGCTCAGATGAACAAGTATTTTTATGAGCTGAAAGGTACTTTGGCGATGGCGAGAGATAAGAGTGAGATTCTGATAAATCTAGACTTGCCAGAAGAGAAAAGAATCGCTCTGCTCAAAAAGGCTTTGAGGGCCGATGATAGTGGCGGTTCTGACACCGAAGATGACGACTTGGCTTTCAACTCTGACGATGAAGAAGTTTTAGATTTAGAGATTGAAGCCGTCGAAGCGGAAGCAGATGCAGAAGACGCAGATCAGAATGAAGGAGCGTGATACTAGAAAGACTTATGTATCTTATACATTGAATAATATTGAATAAGTCGCGAATAGAGGAATCGGAGTCGTCCGCCGACGAAGAAAGTGAGGGAGATGACAATGAAGACATCGAGTTTGAAGAAGGCTTCATTGACCAAGACGAAGACGATAGTGAAGGCGAGACTTGCAAAAAAGTTTTTTCAAATTTGACAAGTATAATTTAGACGACGATGCCATTGAAGACGAGATCGAAAACTCAGAAGCGAATTCCAATTTTAGCTCGATGCAGTCTGATCACGGCGATTCGGACGCAGTGATTGACGAAATTGAGAAATACAACTTTTTGTATGTTTTTATTTTTCGCGTCGTTTTATATGCTTGAAAATTAGCGAAATGGATTACTTCTTTCAAGAGAACTTCTTGATCAGCCACGTGTTAGACTACACGTATGGAGATTACCGCTCTGACGAATACGACAGATCTGGATTACTGTAACAACGTCTGAATAATAAATGTTTCTCGTGTGACTTTGCTTTAATTAGAGACGGCGCTGATGATTTCCCGGAGTCTGAAGGGACAGGAATGAATGAATCGATCGACCAGTTCCATTACCAGGAACATGTTAACTCCGCGAAAATTATTTTTTATTTCTGTAAAATTCGTAATTAACGCGCAAAGTCAATCGATCTCTCTTTGGATGATGGTGGCTCCTGCAATTCTAAAATCTCTCTCGTCTTTCGTTCGAACGAATGGGAAGCTACTTTCACAGCAGGGTTCGAGAAAGTAGTGTTCATCTGAGAGACCTGTTCTATCTAATATAATATTAGTAATATTCGTGAACCTTTGAACAGACTGTTCAAACGGCCTGAGCCTTGAATCAGGTTCGATGGGGGGAAGCGAAGATTCTACCGCCGAAGAAGCTTCCCAAGAAGATGCATAGTTCGAGAAGCTGTGTTGCGTTTATAAACACGTATCCATTTAATTTTTCTAATTAGTCGTTTAATCGGACACTTGCAAAGTGAAAATGCGGATTAACCCGCCGACGGCAGTAATTCCCACTAGGCGACACAGGTACCCGTCGCATTCATGTCACTTTTACCAAGGACGCAAATTTGGCGTGCGCCGCCATCTCCATTCAAATTTACATTTTTTCTCGAAGTGGAAAATAGTTTTCTGTCAGGCGAAATACAGTAGTTGTATTTGGAAGTTTAGATTTCGGCGCTTGGGATGGCTCCAGGTAGAGGTCAGTGATCTGAGGAGTGGTAGGTCGTAAGCGGCGCGCGTATTGAAGATTACAAGCCTGCCTGACAGAAAGGACAATCCCCCTCCTTTAAGCCGCAGGAGCCACTCGACTTACAGAAACTAGGGCCAGGGAAAACAACAATCGCGAGCGTCGATTATTACGCAAGCTCATCAATTTCGATGGTGAGATCATCCGGGCGCTCGATTGGGATCCGGCCAGGATGCGCAAATCTGAGTACTCTTTCAAAGGCGTGGGAAACTCTTATCAGTGGCTGGAGCTGGCGTTCGGTGCCGCTGACGGTGGCTCTGGTGGCGCAGGATGAAATGGTATCCGCAGTGAATCACGCTCGGCGACTTTGAAATGAAGACAAATATCACCAAAATTGAGGCTCGGATTACGCCAAATCAACCTTTGTAATCACTCGGAAGGCCGCCAGATTGATAAGGACGGCGCACATGCCGCGCCGCAGCACCAGCACCGCCGCCACTACCACTCAGAATCCTTCCAAAAGCCGCCCTCTCCAAAAAACTAGTCGGGTCGGTACGGGATCCGTAGTTGGCAAATTGGGCGCTAATTGAAATGAAGATATCTGATTTAATGTTCTCATGCAAGTTGACTTTGATGAAACGAAAGCCCCACAATTTCGAGTTTGTGGCTAATCAATTCGTTCCAACAGTGAGGAAATGTACTGTAATCGGATCGCGCCGAGCTGACAGGTAACCCGCTGCTAAAGAAGCTAGAGAACGCCATTGTTTTTCATTTCTCTCGTGGGAAGAGAGCATCTCCGCCCGCGGATTACCTGATTCACCACCGCCGCCAAAATGCACCCAGCTGTTTCCCTAGTGGAATGTAAATTGACCGGGATTCGCGATCGGCCAAAAACAGGTACGCGACAATGTGTGCTTCCAGTCCCACGTTGGTTAGTGAAGCGATTTCATGACAATGGCGGCGAGCTCCACGTTTAGATTAGCCACTGAGGCACAGTCTTTAGGGAAGCAGCGAAACATGTCCCTGGAAGGGCTACATCGTCAAATCTTTTGATACTCACAATGCTCCCGCGCTTAGAGCTGACGAGCTGAGCTGTTTTCACCAAAAACTCAAATACAAAGCACTCATCCGTCAAAAGCGAAAAAGAAAATGACCGTTCCAACAAGCGACAAAGTACCAATGGCACCAAGCTCAAAGCCAGGCGCCGCCGTAATTCCGCTGCTTCTGTGAGAACTCTGAAGACACCTCATACGGAAATTGATCCTCTTTGGATTCTTGGAAGTTCGACGCGCGCCGCTCACACTTCCATCAGTCATGTGACCTGTCGCTTGCAATTTTTAAAATTGACGCGCGTTTTCCTGTTCGTGCTTCTTTTTCACGCACCAAAGCCTGCAGCCTAGACTTAGTGTACTTAGTCCGACCAAAATCAAATCTAAACTTGGCGCTTCTCGCGTAGAATTTATTGAGTGAAATCACCAGACGGTTTTCACTGAATAAGCATGCCATAATCTGTGGAGACAAACAAGCAATCGTCAGATTAAGTAATCTAAGTCGTCTTATTACGAATTTACTCCATAGAAAATCTCCCGCGAGGAAGAGCCCCTCATACTTTGGCAAAAGAAAATGTCTCAAATGGACATTTAATCCGCTACGGAGCATGACAAACGTGATCCGACTGTATATGCTAGTATCAATAATGGAGGGAGAATCTGAAGGGCGTGAACAGCTGGGCGTTACAGCGTGAAATCGGGATCAAATGAGCAAGAGCGAAATTAACAGAATTCTTCGATTTCGAACGAATTGCAATTTGGAACTGGTTCAAGTACAAACTCCAAGTCGAATTCATTGATTGCACTCCCGGATGATCCGGAGCCACACGCTGCGAGCGCATCAACATCCGTTTTTATCTCCCTCTGGATCATCCCCACTGAACGAGGCAGCTCAACCGACGCGACTGTTTATGTCTCCTATCGCTCTGAGACGGGACATTGTTGATGATCCAGACTGCACCATCTTCCTGTAGTTCAAATACAAGCTCTGTTGTTGTCATTTCTGTTGCTCGAGTAAAGATTAATTAGCATTTTTTGTGGTTGCGTTAATTTTCAAATAAAGAATTTGAGAAGCAAAAGCTTTACGTTGCAGTTTTTCCAGAGTACTTGAGTCTACACATGGCAATTAGGGGATGAGTTCAATGGAGCAGCAACAATGAGAGTGTCACAGTGTTGGTTTAGCCGTTCCAGTTTCTAGATAAGGATCAGGAAGTGAGCCACGTTCGGATTTCCACTGCGACACTTCCACTCTCCAATTTCCCAAAGAGCTCAGTTTACGTCGCGGTGAAGCAGCTGGAAACCATTCCCTCTTGGTGGAGCAGTGGTGCTCCTTCTCCACTGTGGAAAGCGGCGGCTGCGATTGGCTGCGCGATTCCCGACGTGTGCGCCGCCACTCGGCTAATCCAGCTCCCCTCTCGACCCCCCGCCATCCCTTTTGATCACTCCGGCGCCTTTCTCCTCCCTCAGCACGGAGCTTCCGGAAGCGAGTTTAAGCTGACTGCAACTGACGGGATGTGACTTCCAGTACTCGAAAATCGAACTTACATTTTCCCAAGTCATTCTTCAGTTCTTAATCCAACTAATCCTAATCATAACGATTTCCACTCTCATCTTTTAATGACCATATAAAACAACTAATAAATCTTCTGTCCTAGTTTTCTCTTCCAACAAAGTTTCTTGCTTTCCTGAATGGAATATTTTAGGCAGGTCATAATTGCGTGTTGATATGGGATGAGTTCGGAGCGGCGCGGACAAAAGAATCACTCATGCAAAACATGGTGTTAGCGGCTAAATTCGTATTTTTCTTCGCTAAGCCGTAATTACGGTGCCGTGAAGGACGGCCAAGTGTGGATGCGCACCGATCCAGATCGAAATTTATTACAAAAGTACTCGCGCTGCTTTCATCTTGGGATTGTTGGAATTTCGTCAACTGGTGATAAACATTAACCACCCTTGTTCGTACTAACGTCTTTTGTTCTCCGTCCAATTAGGCGATTTCGCACGTAAATCCAAAGCGTATGGAAATAAAAATCGTCCAAATCTATTGGTGCATCTTAGAAAGTATTCAAAGGAGAGTCGAGAGAGCAAAAAATAGGTGCTTCTTTGAGAATGCTTTTATGCTTTCATTTGAAATTTTGATGGAAAAAACTCCAACTGCAATCATCTTATCACAGTCACGGCAAATAACAGTAGTCGATCAGTTATATTTTTAAAAGATACAGATTTTAAGAGCTTTATTAACGCTCTTAGTGTTGATTGCATGATTGGGCAGGTAATGGTGGTGGTGGAGGTTTAAAGCTAGGGAAGAGACTAGTCGTGTTGAGGAGAGAGCGATGGCGCGCGCGAGTCCCGTTTGGCACTTCAGGAGTTCCTGGCTTGGACTCTGGGCTGCTGTGGCGCCCCCGTGCGCCCGATCCGATGCCGACGGGTCCATGGAGCATCCAGCCGCCACTTGAATTAGTCCTTCTTGTTTATACTCAGATACAGAAGACATAAAAACCTACCTGCCTTTTTCCGAGAGCAACATCTTTACGAGAGCTTTTACGAAACTGCAGCGATGAGCGAGAACGGCTCCGTCGACGAAATCAAGGTCGAGGAGATCAACTACGACACAGATGCAAACAACGAAGTCGCCATCAAGGCTGGCGATGGCGCGGAGCTAAGTGAAGGTAAGTCTTTTTTTCCACCTTTGTAAATTGGATATTGACCTTGTCGTTGACTCGGGCGCCCGTGGGAACTCCTTCTGAGATTTGTTTTCCAGCAGAAAGTTGTCCCAACTTTGGTGATTAATTGGAGCTAATTAGGAGTATAATTAATTAGCGCTTGATTCCACTCTCGGACACTTCGGGAAGCGCTTATCCGCCAGCGCACTCCTCAAAGTTGTGACAATTGAGGCCCCTTGAGTATTTATACGTAAGGCCGAGTTTATCAAAATATCTGGAATCTGTTTTCACTGTCGAGTAGGCTCAATACCAACAGTGCTTCGTGTAAGAGGTAATCTTGAGATTTTCGCGCGAGCAACTTCTATCGCTATGTCCAGCTCAAAACAGTGGAAGAATACGGCATGCGCAGTGGGCCGTACTTTGCGCGTGAGAACTTGAATGGCCCATAGGAATTTCGTTCCTTATTATTATTTGGGCTTGTTGAGGTGGATACTGGTCGAAATGCGCGTGAAAGGAGCCTCGGATCCGGTGCTGCCAGTTCTGGCCCACTCAGCCATTTTGAGCTAATAATGATTCGCATGTGAACTTGACACAGGAGCCGTGAAAGTGGCATTAATTCGAATTCCTGGGAGCGTTTCGTACTGATACTAAATGATCATTTGCTCCATGGGTGGTGCTCTTTATTGAGTTTTCCCTTATCCCAAATACCAAGCCCGTCGATATCGCTGGAGAACTTCTCGAGCTCACTGACGTCGTCTGCAGCTCTCCCATAATCTCTCATTTTACTAATTAGCCGTCTCGTCGACGCAATGTATTTATTATGTAATTGATTAGATTTTTGCCAATGCAATATTGAACATAGCCGATAAAAAAGGACGATTGTCTGAAGCAATCTTTACTCGATCATCACTAGTCCTATATTGCGGAAGTGGACTCTAGGGATTCGCCATTTTTACGGTTTATGAATCGATTAATAATGTTAACTTTGAACAACGGCGAGTAAGCCGAGTCCTCGTCTTGGAGCACAGAGCAGGGAACAATTGTTATGGATCTGCGCGTTTTCCTCGAGTCCCTGTGCGCGATAATCCAGGAAACAACGAAATCGTTAAATTTTTAATAATCGGCCCCTTTCCCGCAGAAATTCCAGCAAATGAGTTCTCCACGGATTCTGAAAATTCCATCCTTCGCGCGAAAATCCGACAGCTAATCGGACATGATAACGAATCGGTGGCGCTGCGAGAGACAAAAAAAACGGATTTGAAGCACTTTAGTGGAGAGTATCCTAAATCGATTAATCCCTAATTAGACCAGGATTAAAATTCGATCATCTGATGATATTCCACAGCCAGGAGCCGGTGCTTCAACTTTTTCTTTCATAACTCTCGAACTCGAGATTCAGATCACGCGTGATATTCATTAATCATTTCGACGTAGCGAGGGACAGAGTTCAAAAATTTTCGGCTCCCGGGCAGGGGAGCGGCGGCCGGAGGGATTTGAATTCAGAATTTCTAATGAAGCTTTCCTACGCCATTTTCGCGCTTTTTTCGCGAGCTGTGTAATGACTAGCAGTCAAGTTTCCTAATTACGGCCCTATTGGCGTAAGTTTTATTGGAAGCCATAATTACGATTTTACAGTTTTCCTGATTTGCTTTGAAGCGCCAGGTGCTTGGCTAGGTGGTCCTGGCTAGATCAGCGCTCAGGAGACTAGATCAGGAGACGGAGATCCCGCGGCTGAGCTCATTCCTTGGATAGAGCCAGAACACGTGCACCTGTGGCGGCGCTAGAATGTGAGCACTTTGATACCTCCGCCTCCTCTGAACTCAACTCGTTCCTGCCAGAGCCCGGGCCAAGCGTTTCGTCAGGAAGCGGACGCGTAACTCAACTCGGAAGGAAAAATAATTATCCCCGCGTCCGGAAAGCGAATTGCTATAATTAACACGGCAGAAATCAGTGCTAGTGTCCAGAATTCGCGCGCTTGCTCCTCTCCACCGCCGAAAAAATGCTTGCTTTGCTCAACACGCGGAATCTTGTCGCAAAATATTTGTTTGGCTCAATTACCCCATTTGAAGGCTTATTTCGCGCGCTGAAAGAGTGATCTTTGCCAAACTGTGATCTTCTTCTAATCACAAGACGTTCTAAAAGCCGGCATTTCTAATGCTCTTTTTGCACCAATCCATTTTCATCAGAGAAGATGGCGCCGGACTTTGGAAGTGGAAAGCGTCGGACAAGGAAACAGCGCCACCATTGGAATGCGGCGGGAGCGGATTGGGCGCAGCCATAGTCTCGCTGAGGAGCGCCGACTCCTTCCCGCGTCTCTCCGAGCTGATCCCGAGACTTTCTTCTGATTCTTTGTCTTGTCTGTTGAGCGCTGCTTTTACGGCCGTGTGGAGCAATGCCGGATCAACCGGACACGCGTAAAATCGATAGCCCCAATAAAAGCGTCCTGGAAAACGGAAGCTCGCTGTCTAAGTCCCAGGGAAATCCACTTTGTCCGCAGAATCACCTTGTAAGCCGAAGGTTAACCCTCCCGTGTCCTGATCCAATCGAAAAGTAAATTTTGTACTTCGCCGGGTTAATTATCTAAAATTTTCGGAAATACTCAAATCGTGCATCCAAATAACTCGGAAAAGGGAGCAGTGCTCATTTTGACATTCCATTGTCCGAGTTCTTTTCGCTGGAAAATGTGGAGAATCGTATTCGGCTCCTGGCCAGTTCTATGGCTTTAACCGCCGACACCAGATGCCAACACCACCAATTACAGCACCAACAACAGCCGCGCCAGAATCGCGCCGAATTCCGCAATTTCTATTTTCACGGATTGTTCGCATAGCAGGGCAGCGCTGGAATCCGACTGGCGCACGCCGAAATACCCCAGCGGTTGCCAACCAATTTTCTTCCTTGACGGCGATATAGCCTTAGTAAACTTTTGATAGCTGCTAAATCAACAGCGGCTTCCGTGGGACTTGAATTGAATCTGCGCCGGAAATGGCGTTTCATTTCATGGGAGCCACTGTCGACTACTTTCCTTGGAGTGTCGATGCTCTGCGCCCAGCTCGAGCGTTTTGGGACAATTGAGACGAGCACCGGAAGCCACTTGCTGGTTCCGCTTGTTGTTATAATTGCGATCCATCACCGTTGTTGGTTCAAAACTTTGATTTGAAATCCATTAGATTAGGGCCAGCCTGTAGATGTAGCGGGAAGATGATCCGGAACTTAACGTGAATGATGAATGAGCCGGTCGTGTTCCAAGCATCACTGAGAGGGCTCCAGCTGGGCACGACTCAGCTGGAGCCTTACATATATCTTTACATTAATTATGGATGCGGCTATATGTTTACAAGTCAGAGTAAAATGTGTCTTGATCCTCTCTGTCACGGGCGGCGCACGTAATGGATGAAAAAAGTCAGAATCCATTTAGCTAAAAGGTCTAGGGGTGCACCTGCTAATGGATGTAACTCCCCGTTCTCCGAGAACGGGAGAAGATAGTTGATTCAGTAGAAGGAAACTGAGACTGTCATAAGCGGGTCTTTTATCCGGATCAGGCTCAGATCGCGGTGACAGGACAATTTCGGGTGGAAGGTTTCGCTCGATTAGAGAGGATTAAGAACTGGCTCTCCATATCTGGCCGGGGGATTGTATATTGAAGTGTTTGTTGTTTCGCACGGCTGCGAGTAGCAATTTCGTCCATTGCGAACAATTGGCACCTCCACCGAGCTCCATCGTCTAGCCTATAATTTGGGATTGAAATCTCCTTCCTCCGATTGTTAAAGCCCCGGGCCGCCCGTCGCAGATCGCCAAGAAAACAAAACCTTCGTTGTTACAGCCAGAGCGCTAACTCCACAATCGACAAGCACACACAAGCACGTGCAGCGGCAAATTATAGCTCCCGCCGCGCCACGGTTACAACTTAAAACACGCACAGCATTAGTATCTGGATTCGTCTTTATTGAAGTTCACTCTTGGAAAAGACTATCAACGCAATGCGCGGCGGGTTAATCCCCTACTCATTGGGATTAGCCGATTTGCAGTTCGCCACTGTTGCGGCGCGCCCCGTCGAGATCTCCACCAAAGCTTCTCACCTGTTGATGTCTTTGATTCTCCCACTTTGAAGTGTTGTGTATTCCCCGGTTATCCGTTAATTATCAGCCACTGACATTTGCTTTTAGACAACGAGCTCAACCGAAAGAATGGACGAAACTTGAACCTCATCAAGTGCGAAGAGTGCGGCCTGATCTGCGCGGGACAGAGCCATTACAACGTGCACATCCGATCTCATACAGGTACAATCTACAGCATAAGCAACTAGTTCATCAGTAACACGCGATTTCAGGAGAACGGCCCTTCAAATGCGCTATTTGCGGCGTGGCATTCACGCAGAAAGGAAATCTCCGACGTCACTACAAGATCCATAGCGACGAGAAACCTTTCCAATGTCCAATCTGCTCGTATCGATGTCGTCGACGTGACGCGCTCAACGGACACATGCGCATTCACTCAGGTAAAGTTTTGGAAATCGGAGGCCTTTAGAATCTGCCCGGAGTCTGAACCTGTCAAATCTGAAACTGCTAAACATTTGTTCTGCGGGTGGGCCATGCACAAACAGCGCAACACGGAAAGAACAGAAGGGGAAGTCACACTTCCCGCCGGAACACGCGTCAACACATGACCACATTATAAGCTAAAGGCGCGTGGCCGGCTTCTTTTTCGCGTTCCGATTCTAGCGTCGAAATCAAAAGGCGCCACGGCCGGATCAAAGGGACTGGGATCAGGGAAATCACTCGACGCAGGAATGTGTGTTTTCAGATGTAGGTGATGGACTTAAGCGTGTAAACGAGCGCCGGCTGTCGACCTACAGGAGATATAGAGAGCTTTACTCCAAAATTACACTGTCTTTACTTTCAGCTTATTTTTTTCATTTTTTTCTTCTTTTTTTTTCGCGCGAACTCACGCGTTTCCCAGCGAAATTCACACAGGAGAACATGCCGAAGAGGTGGCAATTATCGCGCTGCTAAACCTGTAACTGGAATTGCTCACATAGCGCTAGAATATCCCAAATATGCGCCATAAATAGCCAGTTTCCCAGGGCCGCTCAGAGCCCCAAACAAAAGCGTGTTTGGAGTCGCGTAGATCCTCGGAAATCGGCGAGATGGCGGAAGACATAATGAGCCGTTATTAGCACTCGCCAGTGACGGATTCACGTGCCTAAGTGGCGATTTTTACGCGCGAGGAAAAGCGCTGAGCCAGGGAAAAGAGAAACCGCTCGATCATGATGGTGGATGCGGCGGTGGTGCTCTGGAGGTGTGAGGTGATAGATGCGATCATCCAAGGCGCGCGAGAATTTTCGGAATCTCGTATTTTTGATCGATTTAAGTTGAGCAACCACTAATGGAAGGTGCGAGGCGCATTCCGACGGCGCCATCTGCGGTGCACTTTCGAAACATTTACACCTCCAATTAGGGACTCTTTGAAAAAAGGAATCACACACCACCACCGCCGCCGCCAAAATTTACCCTAATTGGTACTCTCGCCGCACTCAATTAGTTTCTCCTCTTTCTCAACGCCACTCTCGACTTCGATTTCGAATGCATATTCTCGGGTTAAGTATTTAACAATTGTGCGGAGCGCCCGGATGATCCCTGGATCTCAATTAGGATCGGTGCGTGTACGTGCGATCTGCCAGGTGCATGCTCATGTCAAACTTGGGACTAACTTCTGACTCCGGGCTAATCGGACTTGCGCGGCTCCTCAATTCGGCGCTGGGGAAAGCTTCTTTTGGAAGCTGGTAGGGCTTAGCGCCGGGCTCAGTTTCAATCATCATCCGATACAATCCTTAATTCGTCCCTTGAGTACTATTGAGCAAACGAGAACTCGCCTCGCATTCGGGGGGAAATCACAGCTCCCGACATTTGATCCCTTCTAATCGATTAATTTCAGACATGCGGCCTTATCGCTGCTCTTACTGCGCCCGCTCGTACAAGTCACGCCAGTCAATGAAGGAACACGAATATCAATGCCCGTACAAGTCAGACCCCGTCCAGCCTACTCCACCAGGTAGTAAGATAGTAACAAACACTCAAAAAAATACATTTCTAGGATCAGAAGGATTTCCTTTCCAGAACGAAGCAGGTCTTCGAAATCCAATGGCACTTCCTTGCCCTCGCCCATCTACAAGTCAGCCAGCACCAGCGCTAAATCAACTTGGACAACTGGGAGCACGACCACCAGCATATCCACCAGCAAACATCAACGAACTTCTAGCCCTACGAGCGCGACTAATGGCACCCGGAGCACCTCCTCCACCACCACCTCAAATTCGACCAGGTTTTCCTGGCTTGTTTGGCAACTCGATTCCTCCAATACCTCCTACAACAACTCCATTTAATGTAAGCTGTAATTGGTTGTGCATATTAAATAATGATAAATTCTAGCCTGAAAACCACCGCAACGGAGCAGGTATGGGCGGAACGCATGCGCTCGCACTTCATATACGTCGGCTTCTGGCCAACGCCGTACAACAGCAGCAGCAGGGTGGAATCAGAAACCCACTTGAGAAGTCGTCCTTGTCAGAGGCGACGCCAAGCTCGCACTCCTCACACTCCTCTGCCGAGGACTCAGGCCAGGTAATTAAGGTAACTCGTTAGAGAGAGGAGGATCACTTAGGACATCAAAATACTGAATGAAGACCGAAAATAGAAAACTCTCCATAATAATTATCTTTTTAGTTTTCGCCTACTGAGTCGAAAATCAAGCCAACCGATATCAACCAAAATGTTGCCAAGATCCTTGCAAACATGGTCCAGCCCCAAGCCGATTCTCCTCTTATTCCGGAGTCACGAAAGCGACCACACTCCTTCGAGTAAGTCTTGTTATTTATTTATCTATAAAAATCTATTTTCGATAATTCCGCGAGTATGTCCAAACTGTCGTAAACTTTTTTTTCAAAAGGGCGCTCGGGCAAGTACCAAAGCAGTTAACACGCGCCAGGTGTTCCTTCAATCGCCCAAACTCTCGTAAACTCCGACATCAATTATTAATTTACCTTTTTACTATACGTTATTTACGGGAGGTGGTTTTTCCCGCCTCTCTGCCCGGAATAGAGCTGCTTTAATTTCCTAACACCGAATTCCTTTCATCGACGCAGCTGCTTTTTTTAATGGGGCTGTTTCTTTTAAATATTCTTCTACAAATCATTGATGTGGATTCTCCTACTTTGAATTTGAAAACTGTCAAATTTAATTATCAATTTTCAGAAGCGAGCCAACTCCGAAACGTATGCGCTCCCCAAATCCAACAAATTTGAACCTCGCCGACTCTTCCAAAGACGATGAAGTTTTTGTCAACGAATCGCCTCTGGAAAACTCTGTTGTCGCCGACGTCCCACCAGTTGATGACAACGAGGACGTAGATGTCAGTGTAGAGCCACTCGACGAGAGCAAAAACGAAATTTCCAGCGTTGATTCCCAGTCGCCCCTCGACCAAATCGCACAAGACGAACATATGGAAATCAAGGCGCAGATAAGCGTCTTCAAAAACGGCGCCAAGTTGAATAGCTGGGAGTGCGAGACCTGCAACTGTATTTTTCTCAATGAGGTACTTGCTATTGTCATTTCTCTTGACTAAATACGCGATTCAGATCACTTATCGAATTCACATGGGAGTCCACATGCATGCCGATCCACTGTGCTGCAACTCGTGCGGCAAACGTTGCTCCGACCAGCAAGAGTTCCAAGCCCATCTAGTTCACCACCAGCATGTTAATAATACGGTCCCCACTGCTCCAAAAGCAACCAATGTTGTCTGACTTCCTTAATGCTAAAAAAACAATCGACCCTCCCACAGTACTGTACATTTATACTTTGACTTAGGATTTCTATTACTGTCTTGACTGTATTTTTTCAACACGATCTTTCATGCGTTACTTTGAGTTTCTTTCTTTCAATCTTTGAGACTAGAAAAAGTTAGTATTGCTGGCACACATGGAGATACCCTGTCTGCATCCTTATCACCCGGCCAGAGAAAATGATAAGATAACACTGTCGCAGGAAACGACATTTAGTAGGCTTGATTTATGTCAAGAGAGTATTTCAGGCTAAGGCTTTTAATTTGAACAAAATACGTTGATGGGGACTTTTATAGCCGAAAACAGATCACTCTGGCGGGAACCAGGAGAAGAATGCTCACGAAGAGGGTCAGTTGTTAGAAGCATCAGAGAGGGAATATCCAGTTTCAGCTCTAACAATACAATTGCCTCGTCTACTTTTTCTCGCGTCGGGCTACTAGACTCGATGGTACTTTGCTGCATGGGAAACTTTTCAGATTCGGACAGCTCATCTGACTCTGACGAAGACGGAGGCAGTGATACCGATGATGGTTCTGAGGCTGAATTTGATATTCTTCAGGTGGAAAACTTAAGTTCATGCGTTACATGATAGTTTTAGGAGGACATTGTGCAAAAAGACGAAGAGTCCGAGCTCGAAGACGACGGTGGAGACAGCGAAAGCAGCGATGACAGACACCTTTATGATTTATATTTAGCAGCAGAGAACCAAAATGCTGCAGTTAAGAGTTCAAAAATTACGCATTGAAAAAAGAAACATTTAAAGAACTTGAGATCAGATGAAGAAGGCTCCATCGTTGATGTGAATGAGCAAGATGACATGTAAGGAGCTCTTTTAAGAAGTTTTAGAAATTTGACAAATTTGAGGTTTCTTAGAATCTTTCAAGACCTCAACGTTCGTATGGAAGAGTATGACGATGAGGATGATTATATCAGATGTAAGGGGTTTATTCGTTTCTTCACGAGTCGCGACTGTGATTCTTTAAGACATGGGTGAATTGGAAAAAGAAGAGGTTCTTCCAGAAGAGTCAGATGAAGAGGTCCTCTCACACAAAAGCAAAGGTATAAGAAACTGTTCATGCTTCATCTATTCTCAAAGGAAACTCCTCCGTCGAAACTTTTGCGCTTTACAGCTCCGATGGTGTTTGCAGCTACGAGAGCACTACCTCCGGCTACTTTCCTGATTACTGAAACTTTCAGTCTGAAAGAGAAATCTGCAACAAAATCTTACTGATTCGTCTTCCTCTGTATAATTTTGTGAATTGAAATACCAAAATAAATATCAACAGCTAGGAATCGACGACTGAGTTCACTAAAGATAAAAAAGAAATCAAAGAGGAGAATTGTCAATAATTCCGAGTGGGAGTTTTGAGTTTCTTGAAGATAAGTTTAGTCCTGTGACAGGATCATAAGAGTAGTAGTAAACAAAAAACTCCCCATAGGGAAGAACTAGCCGCGAAGGCGAGTTTTTTTTGGCCACGTTGGCTAGTAAATATATGTTTCGATGTATTCTTTCGATGCTTCCATGTTTGGTTTCATGATTCGAACTCTCTACTTTGCGATTGTTACGCTGGGGTCTTACCAGCGGGCCACTCGGGGTCAAAAGCTGTACTGAATAACGGTTGGTATGTGTTAGCGAAAACAACCCGAGCTCTTCATTGATCATAACCGGTCGCAGCTGTCTTAGACTCGAAGCTACCTTAGTCACAAAAGGAGCTTGGTTCGCTTAGATTCGGTTGTTTTGGATGTCTGTGGCGGTTTTGGACCGAATAGTAGATCTTGGTGGGGATTTCAAGGTAATATTAAATAAAAATTTCGGAATAGTTTATTTCTTCAATAATTTAGAACTGGAAGACAAGGAACAGATCCAAGTAGATTTTGAGTGAGTCGCCAAAGTAATCCAACTGTCCACGGAGAGTTTCTAAACCCTCCGTTGTTAGAAACGTGCCGCAAAAATCAACCTAGAATGAATAATTCAGCACTGTTCATTAAAGGCTCAAGCTTCTCAAATGTATTAATGAATAAAATAACAAGCGTGCGAGATCAGATCATACCTCTATTCCCAAACCAGCAAGAAAGGACTCCACCGATTGAGTCTGAAAGAGAGATTTAAAAAAAGGCAGATGAGCAAAGTTGCGCAGAAGGTAAGAGCTTCCTCAGTACTTACGGGAGAATCAAATGTCCAGCAGCATTGGTTTCCAATTTCCACGATTTTGTCGACCACTTTTCTTGAAGAAAATAATTTTCTACTTAAAATGAAGTTCGGAAAAGTACCTTTTAATGTCCTGAAGGAAGTTGTCGACCTGATCAAAAATGATCTTGACAAGCTCATCTCCTTTGACAACAACGCTATCATTGCTAGCAAGCACTTCCATTGCATTTTCGTAAGCGTTTTGGAAGTCATCGAATTGGCTTAAAAGCTCTACCCCCACCAACTGGCCTAAAATGGTTTGAAAATATCGACGAGATGCAATTTAAGATATTATTTGCGATTTTGAACCTTTGAGGAGAATCTGGGTGACGTTGAGCAGCGCAACACCGTCAAAGCTCTGAGCTTGAGTAGCTCCAAAAAGGAGGCAGAAAAAAGCACTTGCTCTCATAAGTTCCTTTTAATCGTTTTGAATTGAGCTTTCCTACTGACTCCGGCTGAGTTATAACGGGAACAATGTCGAAATCAAACAGTCGCATTGAAAAGAATAACGCAACAGCTCGGAAGTTCTATTTTACTAGTATTTTGACGATCGTCTATATTTCTTGACGACAATTTGGAAAGACTTTACTCATCATCATTATGATTATCACGTGATTTTAGCATTAATTGTCGTTGACGACATTTATGAACACAAATATGGACATTTTGAGCGACCACGGACAGTTGTTTTTGCTGTCAATATGTAATTTTATCATTTAATCAAATTTCTGTGACACATTCCATCGAACGCAGGTTTCGCTACGATCAATGAGATGCGTCCCCGCCCGAGGATAGTCCATTAGTTCTACTCGTTCAGCTCCAGTTCCCACCCCTAAAAAGTCTTACGCACATTTTTTATAAAAAAAGCCTACAAGAACAGAAATAGGTAAATAAAATTGAAAGAGCGGCCCACGTTTTGCATTTTTCTGACATCACAATTACTCCCTTGGGAAGATCGTTGCCCACTGGATGAACCCTGAGAGAGGATTATTGATTAGGGCGTCAGATTAACACGCACTTGAACAGCAACAAAATAACAACATCTCATTCATTCATTCTCTTCAGGACATGCAGCGTGACGAGATAGTAGCAATAGAGAAGAAGCCAGAAAATGAAGAAGAAAATCTTGACCAAGGACTTTTCGGTCGCTTCCTCGGTAGATAGAGAGTTTGTTCTATGGCTTACGAACTCTTTTAAGTTTTCATAACCACAATTATTATCATCGCTGGCTTTCCAATTTTCATTTGGAGCTGCGTCCAAATCGTGCAAGAGTACGAACGAGCAGCTATTTTCCGCTTGGGTCGGCTCAAACAGCGCAAAGCAGTTGGACCAGGCCTTTTCTGGATCAACTTTTTCACCGACACCTATATCAAGGTACGATTTAGCAAAGACCAGGTTGTCAATTGACTGTATTTTAGATCGACTTGCGAACCGTTTGCTTTGACATCCCAAGCCAAGAGATTCTGACCAAGGATTCCGTCACTATTCGTGTCGATGCGGTCGTATATTACCGAAAAGTGGAGCCAACCAGGTCCGTCTGCGAAGTGGAGAATTCTGATCATTCTACTGTAAGTATCTCAAATTTGGAAAAAATGATAATCTAAATCGTCAGAGACTTCTGGCACAAGTAACTCTCCGAAACACTTTGGGCACTCGAACATTGACGGAAGTTCTTTCTGAGCGAGAGTCAATCAGCGACGAAATCCAGCAAGCTCTTGACAGTGCCACAGATCCATGGGGAATTTGCGTTGAACGCGTCGAGCTCAAAGATGTTGTTCTTCCGGCACAAGTAAGAGGACTTTCCAAAAGCAAACTTTCTAATACGCGGTTTTCTAATTTATATTCAGATGCAACGCGCGATGGCCGCAGAGGCAGAAGCCACTCGGGAGGCGAAGGCCAAGATCATCCAGGCCGAGGGAGAGATGAACGCTTCAAAAGCCATTGCAGAAGCTGCCCGAGTCATTGCAGAGTGTCCACAGGCGATACAGCTTAGGTGAGCTCGGATAAGTTTGCTTGAAGGTAGCTAAACCAACCTAATAGATACTTGCAAACACTGACAACAGTCTCTGCTGAAAAGAACTCGACAATTATTTTCCCAATTCCGATCGAGATGATGTCCGCTTTCAACAAATCCGAATAAGATTAACCTTCCCTTGTTCAAAGAAGCAATCCCTGCAGTGCTAGACTCCTCGTTAACCCTCGCCTTGCTCACTTTCTCACTAATTCCAAGCTGTAATAAAAATATCAAGCCACGATCTTATTAGTTTCATTGAAAAATGCTTCAGTTTAGCAAAAACTCAAAGCACTTCTTTGATAAAAAAAGCAATAATTGCTTCTTTGTAATTTACAAGCAGCTTTGACAGCTAGTTCCTTTGATCTAACAGTACCGAAAATGATGAAAGCTGGACAATCATGATTATCCCAATCTGCTCAGATTTTATCATTTCCGGGAGATATAAGGATGGATGGAGGGGAGAAAATTTCAAAACGATAAAATGAAGCAAATTTAAAAAAGAGTTTTCGATGAACGATTTTTTTAATTGTTCACCGAAATTTATTTTTTAAACTTAAATTGGGTCACGAAGGAAAATTTTCGGGCGCAGCGAAATTTTTCACAAAAATCTTCTAGAGCAGTTTTTTGCTATTGAAGAAGCTGAAAATGCTGTTTCTGTCTCTACGAATCCGGCTTCTAGAGCGATTACGTATTTTCAATCACAAATCACTTAATTTCTCGAAAAATCTAAAAAAAACAAGCAACTGATTTCCTTTTTCTGCTGTCGATTGAATAAAAAAAAAATTTCTCGTCTGAAAAAGTCCCTTAAATAAGATTTTTTTGAGGCGCAGATTTTCGGCATTTTTCGTCAAAAAGTCCCTTTTCTTGGTGTCCCTTATTTTGGACTCCGGCTGTATAATAAGTTTAAGTTAAAACAAATAAACTTAGAATCAAATCCCTTTTAATAAAATTGTCAGCTACGTATGGAAAAACGGCGATAAAAAATGTTATCAGTGTTAAAAGTTTAATTTGTAACCTTCAGTGTTTGATCAATGGGAATTAATAGTCCATTGAGCCCGTGAAAACTGCTAATTGCATTGGTTGCTTCTTGTCAAGAAGTTCTTGAGGTCCACGTGGTAACTGATCGGTATGCTAGCTTCCAAATAAAAAGGCCAGCTTTCGTGGAAGGTGAGAAGGTGCCCGGCTGATTATCCAATATTCTAGTCGTGTGGCTCATTGTTTTCACCGCAAAAATTTCCGAGATCAGAGGCGCGCACTCGCACAGCTTCGCCAATCACGCAACTTCCAAAACCAAAATTACTTGGCTACCGGAATATATAAGCCGCTTTCTGAGCCATGGTCAGGCAGTCGAACATTTTCGAGCACAGGCTTCAGATAAAAAAGGAAGACAACGAGGAGAAAATGAAGGTCAGCGCCGGTCTACTTGCCATTTCAGGCGCCATTGATGTAGATACAAAGAAGGTTCCTCCAAGACATCCGCTTCAGAGACTTCATCGATTGACCCAGTTTAGGAAAAGAGTTAAAAATGGTGATTATGAAAGAGAAATTCAGAGATATCACCCTGCAGCTTTTGACTCTTGAAAAGCGCAGAAATTCTCAACCAGTGGTTCGACTTTTTGCCATCTAAAGATCTCTGGATCGGTAAATTTGCCGCAAATGCTGCCAGAATGCGCACTAACTTCGAACGCGGTAATTCTTTTCAATGGCAACCCAGTGAATTATAATTTTAATCAAGGACAGCAGCGTTGTGGGTTCTACGATCCAAGTTTGCCCCACGGTGGACCTTTTGACCCAGATGAGAGATTTTTGGACGGCGAATTTGATGACTACGAGGACTTTGAATTTGACGAGCGATACGATCGAGAAGACCCTTGCAAAGGTAAGACCGAGTTTAAGAAGATGATTTTACAGGGCGGAACTCTAGGTTCTCGTCAAATCACGACTGGCTATCGAAAATGGGCACAGCGTTATCTTTCCCAATGCTCCGGACAGTCCCGCTACCGATTCCAGGTATAAACTTCTAGCTCCTCTTGTTTTAACAAACCCGTTTCAGATCAAACGAATGCACAAGTGGCGCAACATTCTGCATGCTCACCTGAACAGACACACTGGCAGCGCCTGCCCAAGACGCGAAAGTGACATGGATATTCTCGACTCTCCTCTCATCTGATCCTGCTTTCCCTGAACCTATTTTTTACACTGCTGGAGCATCGAACCCAGCACACGGGATTTATGAGCTCCTTTTCTACGAAAACTTAGTTGGTGGTAATAAATAAATGTACATTTTGGACAAAACTTTCTTTTTCCTTTATTTACAATTTCAAATATTGCACATTTTCAATAATAACTTAAATTAATCTCTATTTATTTCTCCGTTGAAATCACCCCGTCCAGCTTTTTTGAACTACCGTATGCCTAAAAAGAACAAAGCTAGAATTCAGATCAAAGACAAGAGAACTGACCCATCTATCTCGTAATAGACCTTCTCTCTTATAAGCGCGTAGAATTCCGGCTCCGAGTCAGCTGGAGCTATCGTAGCGGTAAAGGCCCAGCCAATATGACTCTTGCATTTGGGACATACGATTATCGTCCAGTCATAGCCAGGAAAGAACGTATCTGCTGAAACGCGAGCTCCAACAGGCAGCACATCCGCTTCCCTCACTGTCAGAACTTCAAACGGTATCTTGTGAGGATTGACGAACTCTTGAAGCAGAATAAACGCGCTTTTTGAAGTTTTCATTTTCCGAAAATTTCGCGCACTTCTATTTTTTCTACTAAAACTTTTCTTGGGAAGGACTCGTTTCTTCTACCAACTGCTTCATCGCTTCTGACAGTGATCACCTGATCGAAAGTTGTGATGTTCTCGCCGCAATATTTACAAAATACGACCACGTCGCCACTGGCAGCAATAGAGCAAGAGCACCACTGAAGCAATAAGATCAGGAGCAGCCTTATCATTTATCTGAAAATAATGGATGGAGAAAATGAGGAATCGATTTGTAGCTTTTCTTGCACATGTTATTTAGTAGAAGAATGAAGATGAAATAAACGGGTCAGGGAAAGTCAACAAAGTGCAACTACTGTAGTTAGTAGCCATCATCGTTCCAATCGACTTTTAACTCAGGAAAGGCTTCTTCAATCGCCTTGGCAGCTATCGAATGATCTGGGCGACCAAAGCCAATTGAATAGCCGTAGACAGTGCATTCTTTGGGTGTTTTTCTTATACGCCCGCCACCGATGCATCGAACTAGAAGCATCAATTCAAGCAATAATTTCCTAATCTAGTTATGGACCTTTTAGTCCAAGTGCTTCGAGTCCAGGTTGTTCAATTTCCAGGACGTCTGCGTGATAATCAGCTTGCTCACAGCCACGGATGATTATTTTAGAGATATTTGTCGACGGATCCGTGCATTTTATTTGAATATATTTGTAGACACCAATATCGTCTATTTTCACTGAAAAGAAAGAAAAACTAGCAACAGTTCAATTAACAGAGAGCTACCAGTAGGGACGGCATCGAGCTTCGTCGACATTGCAGCGCGGGAAATTATAAGGCGGCGAAACACGATGCTCAATCTTAAACGAATAGGAAAAGTATTTCGCGAAAAATAATTAAATACATTTAATTTCTACTCAGTTTCAAAGAGTTTGTACGCTTGTTCCAGATTTTTAAGCTGCGACACTTTTCCTTGAATTCGGCCGTCTTTGACGAATCCTTTTCCGTCCAAGACGTCCAACACTTTCTTTCCCTTTTCTTTGATGATGTTTTTGTCTCCAAGGACGGAGACGTTTCCGCTATTTTGACGGCCGCATGATAAGAATACAATTTTTCCCTCCTGAAAAAATGACGATGTCACTTTCTTTGTTTTTAAAATACTGAGTACCTTGTTCACAAGCTGGGATAAATTGTCCGTGAGTGGGACGATAAACTCGGGTCCCAAATCCGCGCAGTGGTACTTTAAAATCTTCCCATCAAGGGAAATCTCTCGTAGCGCGTTTTTCAGTTGCTCTCTCTCACGCTTACAGTCCGGCTGTACGTTTGAGTCAGGATTCACGGCTTTCAGCTTCATTTGGATTGCTTCCGCGAGGGTTGAGCCGTACTCACTTTGAAGATTTTTGATGGTTTTCAGGGACGCTTTGCTCGATGATTGAAGATTTTCGATTCTTTCTGGAATTTCTTCCTCTTTGCAAGACATTTTTTTGCACGCTTCGCGGCTCACACTCCAAGAGCCTTATTATATTTTGAGTATTACATTAAATTTGTTAATAGAAAAACCAATTATAATAGCAAAGATGTAACATACTTGCTAGAGTTCTGAGCACTCTTTCTCGGGTACCCTCCTTGTGCCGGGAAAAACCTTGAAATCCCGGCACACGGAGGGTCAAATCCCAAACGATCTAGAAATCCCCTGTTTCCGTCTTTTTAAAGGTTTTGTAAAGGGTTTTTCTTTTATGTTTGGTCAGGGAAGAGAACGATAAAATTCTGGCGATGCTTTTCTATGTACAACTTCATAGGATTTATCAATCTTATATTTGGATAGGAGTCTTATGAAGTTATGTCCATTAAATTAATTTTATCATCTTTTTTTGTCTCTTATGTCGGCCAAGCAGATTATTTATCTTTTTGACAGTATTCTTCTTTTATTTGGGTTAGGGTTAGGCAAAAAAAAATTGAAAGACTGTCTTGAATTATATAACGATTAGTTTTTGTTCAAAAACACTCGATTTGAAGAATTTTTTGGTCCAAATTCAACGGCTTTTTGGGATCTCTAGAACGCCACCCTCCGTGTGCCGGGATTCTCGGCAAAATTCCCGGCACACGGAGGTTTTCCCGGCACACGGAGGGTATCCCCTCTTTCTCCACAGACGAACCAGACGATTCCCTTGCCCTTCTTTCCCTTTTCTTGGTGAAGAAGTTTTATCATTTGCAAATCCGTCAAATTGTCGACATGGGTTCCGCAGCACATGTTCTGATCGATTCCATCGATGTTCACTACTCGAATTGGCCCGGCGAAGTCTTTCGGGAGATCTTTACATCCTTTCCTCAGATCTTCCTTATTTTTGAGAAGTTCGACTGTCACTCGAGTTCGATTCCGAATCGCTTCATTGCAAATGTCCTCCACTCTTTGCACCTCTTCATCCGTCACTGCTCTTGATAGTTCAATAAATGACTTATCTTCGCCGAGATTCCAGCTCGTCGTGGAAGCGTCAAAATCAGCTCGCTCAAAAATCGCAGAAATCAAGTGCTGCCCGGAGTGTTGGCACATGTTGTCGAAGCGAGAAGCCCAGTTGATTTCAATTGAGCATTCCGTGCCCTCTGGAATTCGCTTGTCGCACAAGTGCACCGCTTCTTGGCCGTCCCTTGATTGAAATTTGAAATTAACAACTCAATTCTATGAATGCACCGAATAACAAATGGATAATCCTTAAATGGGATTACCCACAGTAGTATTTACCGAACTGTATACAAGACATTGCTGGAATTGTCACTCCCCCACGATATTTTTCCATTATCTCCTGGTTGTCCACCTCCCTCGGGGAAGAAAATCGTCTCCCCAAGTAACACTTTGAAGCATTCTACCTTCTGGTTTTTGATCTTATACGTTCCTGCTTTTTCTGAGCACTGTTTCACGAAGACTGACTGCAGAGCCCTCAGATAGGGCTCGGTTTGACAACGCCAGGCCATTACTGTAACAAGCTTCAATTCAATTTTCTGCAGAAAAAAATTTCAAAAAGCTCGTGATTTAAATAGATAGATTTGTATTTGTTGTCCTTGAATTGGAAGTATGGTACAGAAAGTTAGAAATACAGAAATGTTGCGCTAGAAATATTAGTTTCGGTGGTTCAAGTGCGGCGGCGGTTTCCTTTTGGAATGGATGAGTCCAGAAGCAAGGGGCTCAGCTTCGCTGGGATCGAGCCAGAAAAGCGAGAGGCAGGGTAGGCGACAAGATATACAGGCACTCGTTGAAGATGAATCCTATTAACTCTGTTAAGTATTGAGTTACAGGGGTTAGATTACCTTATTACGCCGTGGTATTGCGCTCTGACATCCAAGTCCCAGATGTTCAAGCACCAGCAAAGTCGGAAATAGTTGTCAAGCTCTTCCTTTGAATCCTGAGCAGTTACAGTAACGAGCCAGAGTAAGAAAGCGTACCTGGCTGTAATATAAAATGTGAGTTGAAGTAGCACCCGTCAGCAGGGACAAGTAGGGGTTTTGTTTCTTTTTGCTGTCGCAAGCGAGCGTTTTCGAATCAATGACAGTAGCTAAAGTCGTGTCTCAAAAAAGTAAGAATGGGAAAAGACAGTACCGGAGGAGATCTGTGACTTGAGCAGTTCTTCGTATTTTTCTTTGACCAGCTGCTCGAGCGGCGTGAAGTCGACGCGTTTCGAGTCTTGGTGGAAACCGTGATGGCGAAAATACAGTCCCTGCATGTTCCTGTCCACGTTCAGGCCCTCCTCGCCGAAGTGGAAGGTGCGCGAGATGTCAGGGATCAAGCAGTCGCGGCCTGAGAATAGATTATAAATCCATCATATCTTGAGAGGAAACATACCTTTTCTGTTGGAAGGGTTGCGCATCCACACGTCCCAGTCCGTCATTCTCTCTTTTGGCAGCCACTTAGGGAGGAGCTCGTCGAGAATGGCGCGCGAAGTGGCCCATCCGAGACCTGGCATTCCTTCAACTCGGTATATTTCCCGTGCGTTGCCGATCGCGTGCTCCATTCCGTGGTCATTCCATGCGGAAACGCAGTAAATCTACTCAAAAGTTATTATCGAGCAAAAACGCGAAAAAGTACCTGTGGATCCATTTTGAAGATTGGCATCACGTGGGCCATATAGTGGAAGAAGTCCGGCGAGATCTGCAGATCGTCTTCGATGACGATGATGTGCTCGCTGGTCGAGAAGATTTCGTTCATCACCGTCGTCAGAGCGCGGCGGTAATGCTGACTTACTCGAGCAGCTTTGGTTCCTTCAGGCTTCGATTGAATCACTCTGTTTCTGGCTCAACGTGGGAACTATCTCACAAGGAAAAAAACTCGGTTGCATCAATAAAATATATTTTTATAAAGGATCAGCCTTTCCTTATTGCAAAAAGATTGGCGACTGCAACTGATTCCGCAAAGAAGCCATCGATAGATACAACAATATTGGCCCTGTTGACACCTTCCGCGTTAAGAATATTGAAGAGGGTCCGGAAGAGGTACTTGGGTCGATTGGCGGCCATAACCAGAATCGGGACATCCTCGAGAGCATCGAGCCCAGGATCGTCTTGGAAAGAAATTGGCGCCGGGGAGGTGCAGGAGCAAACCGTCCTGAACATTTCGAAGAGTTTCTGGTTTCCGCAAAATGTTGCGCGACGTTCTGCGTCTTCACCACTCCACGAGCTAAGAAGAAAAGGAAACGATCAGTTCTATTGTGTGGGAAGTTACCATGAGTGCCGCTGCTCTGCATTATGTGTAGTTTTGGACTTGACGATTCCGCTAGGAAGGTTGAGAAGAAGATAGGACACGACGGAGAAGAAGAAAGCCGCCACAGCAACGAGAATCGCCCAGATCGATGGGACTAATCGACTTACCCCCATCCATCACATCTGAACGAGTTAAATTCTAGAGCGTACCTACTTTTAAATGAATAGTGTTTATCAATAATATAAAAAAAAACAAGACAAATTGTATCAGGAATGTGGGAGTTCATCTTTTTCGCGACATGAATTGGCTCAAGTCCTGGCTAGCAAAACGCTCAGCTTTTCGTTCCTTCACCGTCTTTCTTTTCGGCTTCGCCGGTTCTTTCTCCTCTCCCTCTTTTGGTTCCGTTCCCTTTTTTGGAGGCATCGCTGGGACTCGGCTTTTTCGTCTGATTATCTTGGGCTTTTTCGTTGGCAGTTGGCTTTCGTGAGGGATTTTAACCTGAAAATAGGTTGATTACATGATCATCAGCATTTTTACTAGTTTTCACGAGACCCCTCTGTTTTGCCCAAAACATACCCCCAGGATATGCGCTGGAATTTTTACAATTACGATCAGGCTGCACTTCCACTTGTTGATTAGTAATTTATTTATTACCTCATCACTCCACTCGTCCATTCGCGGATTAAAATAGCTGAACTGGATGGACTCGTAGGCCTTGTTGTCTTCATAAGTCCGCTCGTGAACTTTTCTTGGCACCGTTTTTACCCAGGAGTTATTCTCGTCTGGGTCAGTGACATTTTCTTCTTTGAAATTTGGCCACTTGGCAAATCTGAACTTCTCAAAAATGTTCAATGGTCGGACGTGACTGTAGTTCGAAACATCTTGGAGTGTCGAAAGATCTTCGAAGACTTGCTCCTCCTCTTGAACTTGATCGTTTTCAGCCGTTTTAAGGCCTTTGGAAGAGTTGCCGATTTCCATGCTGCTTTGGCGTTTGGATGGTCCAGCAATGTGGTTAGAGCACCCGGCTTGCATCCACGGCTCGAGTGTAACTGGCGTTTGTCGGATCATACCGGTCTTTGAGGCCGAAATACCAGAACGGGAGGGTTGATAATAGCGACTATTGACAAGAGCCTTCTGTTTCTCCATTCTCTCGTAACGCGCAAGTCGTTCTCTGTGCTCCCTTGCAAGTGGAATATCATCATCTTCGTCGAAAAAGTTCATTCGACGATCTTGAGTGTTGCCGATCACGGAAAGCTCTGGATCCGGAAGAGCAAATTCCGATGCGCCGTGTTTTTGCCTGGAGACCGATTTCTGCGTTGATTGCTTGTGAATTTTTTTCCGGAGTTTTTGGTAGAAATTTTCTGTAAGCAGCCCTTCGTGCTTCCCCTGTCAGAATGGGCTGCTCTTTGGGCTTTGCGCGGACGGCAGGAGGGATGGAAAAGACGGTTTCGGGAACTGAGCTACTGTAATCCATTTCTGAAGCTTCAACTGGGGCTTTGGCCTTGTCATTTTGCCGTGTCAGGTTGAATTCTGTTTCTGGTACGCGACTAGTGTATTCCAGATTAGACGGGCCAGCCATGTCGTGCTCACGGAGGTATTCCTCTGCGGTCATTAGCTTCTCATTCGGATCAATATCTACCCCGTCATCGTCATCGGTTTCATCTTCGAAAAATGAGTCCGGTGCTAATAGATCCTCTTCAAATCGATCGCTATTAAATCCTTCTTCATTCTCGGAATCGTCACTTTCGAACAGCTTCACTTCAGGCTCTTTCTTCTTCTTTTCGACGAAATATTCCTCGATCTTTGGCGGCTCTCCCACGGCGAGGTCCTCCTTCGGATGATTCGGGTTGTAGATATATTTTTTCAGGTCCAAAAAGTACTCCATTTTGACAAGGGGCACATCTTTCACTCGCAGTGTCTTTTCTGCGAAAAGATCGTCGGTTCTTTCGCCTTGGTAGAGCAAGTATTCGTAATCTTCCTCGGTCTCGACGGAGAATTCCTACAGATTGATTCAGCACAAGAGTCAGCAAAAAGAGATAGAAGGTACCTTGAAGGCGATGAATTGAGGAAGCTGAGGATTAGACGGCGGGAAAGGGCAGTAAAAGAGCAGGGGTTTCCCGGTTATTTGGAATTCTGTGCTGTAGACTCCAAAAACGATCCCTAACTCGATCGGCTCTGTGTAATTGAAGGAGGATTTGTCCGAGTGATCAGACGAAATCACTTTGCGCCAGTCAGCTTCGGCATTTAGCCTGACCTTCGACGAATACTTCGATTCATCCTTTTTCAGTGGTTTACAAGACTATGCGTTTCGGCTGTTTTTGCGCTGTAAGCCACTTTCCTGGATAGACACGACGATTTTCTTGAGAACTTTGTCATGAGAAATGACGATTTTGGCATGTTTCCGCGAGATGGACTTGTCTGCCTTGATAACGAGCGCGGTCGTGTTCTCACCGAAGTCGATCTGAATTTTATTTGATGAAAAAGATGAAAATAGAGAATCCACTTGATTTCTTACCGCTTGCTTGGCCGGGCGAGTGATCTGGTAAGTGTGGTCGAAGCGCATCGGAACACGGAGATTTTTTGTCTTGTGCTCAAGCCAAAACATGTTTGAGCCCAGTTCGATTACTTTTTCTGAAAGAAATATTTTGAGGATGAGGTCACAGAATAAGAATGAATATTGCAGAGTAACTAGAGAGTTGCTAAGATAACTGTCTTTCACGTAGACCCTGACTTTCAGCCACACAACAGCGAAAGACCTAAAGGCGTAAGCCCTTGAAAACTGGATATTCTCATAAAGATAAAACTCTTTTTGAATGTAGATAAAGTTAAAAAAGGCTAGCGTCGTTAGGCATTTTACTAAAATGACTCAAAATAAGTGTGAATCTAAAAAAAAGTTAATTCATCAAATTTAACTATTCTATCGTGAAATTGAAAAATATACATGAAATGTTTCCGACTGCGTTGGTACTTAGGTATTATGAGAATCAATTATTATTCCCGGAATAAAAAAGGAATTTATTATTTAAAAAGTATGAATTTTTGTTTTGAAATAAGAAAAAAATAATTAACCAGATAATCAATAAACTTTTCTCTCGATTTCTACAAATTCCTAAAATAGAGATAGCTTATGTGACAGTAAAGAACAGAAGATAAGAGTAGTGGAGTTCCTATTTTTTCCTTTTCGGAGGATTTCTCAGTTGAAAAGGCGCGCGCCGCCCACGCTTTGTCAGAGAAAGATTTGGCGTTTTCGGCGATTTGGAATTTGGGATTCGCTAATTTGAATTCAAATTTATGTTTTAATTAACCTCCGTAAAATTGCACTCTTGTTCGCTTTTTATGTCTGAAATTGAAAGTCTCTCTTTTTGAAATTTTCTTCTTTGAAAAACATTAACTCGGAATTGGGAATTCTAGAATGGAAGCGATCGCGGATCAAGATCTCAAAACTGCCATCACAGCCGTCTCCAAACTGATTCAGTTTGAGAACAAGGGACAGCTTCTGAACATCAACTCGGCCGAGAAGATCTTTCTCAAAGTTCAGATGCACAGAATTCCCAATCTCGGCGGCACTCAAGAATGTACGCTTCTTCTTAAATAAGATATCACGTGATAGAAAATTTAAATTGGAGTAGACACAGAAAATTGGTCGATTTTTAAATTGAAATTTTTAGTGCGAGTGCGCAACATCCTTCCTAACCGTCTATTTCCCGAGGATGCTTCCACTTGTTTCATCATTAAAAACACGGACGAGAAAAAGGATGATGAGAACTGCATCGAAAAGACGAAAGAGCTCCTCAAGGAACAGGGAATCACGGGAGACATGTTCATCACTCTCGATCAGCTCAAGAAAGAATACAAAGGTTCTGCTTCTCAAAAGATCTTAATTTTCACTTTTTCTCGCCAGGCCACGAATTGAAAAGAAAGCTGGCCCAACAGTTCGACGTGTTTTTTTCGGACTCTCGAATCGCCCAGCTCGCACTGCCGCATCTCGGCAAAGAGTTCATGTCCCGACGACGAGTGCCCTTCGTCATCCGCATGGAACGCGTCCACAAAATCAAGCAAGAAGTCGACCTCGTCCTGCGCACCGTCCAATTCATCGTTTCCGGAAAAGGCGACAATGTAAATGTACACTTTGGACACACGCAAATGTCACACGAGCAGCTCATTGAAAACATCAAGGTAAAATACCAAAACTTAAAAACTTCATTTGTCTTTCTAGAGCTTGATCGAAAAATTAGGCGAACTGATCCCTCGTGGCGTCAAGAACATCAAGTGTCTCCATGTTCAGGTATTTCGGACGTTCTCTGGTCCGATTAAGATCGATTTTAGGGCACGAATACGAAGGCAATTCCTATTTACCGCTGCAACAAAATGGACCCATCAGTGAACGAACCATCGGGAATTGAGCTCGAGCGACAGAACATGCAGAAACAGCTGAAGGAGATGATGTCCGATGTTCAAATAAAGCAGAAGAAGAGATCAAAGGAACGGTCCTCTCTAATTGATCAAGAGAAGGTAGCATCTCAGGTTTTACGTGATGGGAGAAACTTTTTGTTGTTAATAAGCAAGGGTGATCATGACGTAAATCACAATTATGCTTATATTTTCTTATCGATGCACTATTGTTGATTACATTTTTACAAAGTCTAAAATTGATGCGGAGTTATTGTGTTCGGACCCTTTAATCAGATGCCGAAAAAAGAAAAGAACAAGCAAAAGAGGAAGACGGAGGAAAAGGCTCAAGAAGAAAAGGAAAATGAACAACCTGAATCAGCTCCCGTGAAAAAAGAAAAGAAGAAGAAGGCTGTCGAAGCTGAAGAGCCAGAGCCTGTCAAAGAAGAGGCGAAAAAGAAAGCGAAGAAGGGCAAGAAAGAAGCGGAAAAGGTGGAAAAGAAAGTTGCAGAAAAAGTGGAATCGAAACCGGAACTTGGAAAACGCCGAGCATCGACAAGAAGCCAGAAGGCCAAACGAGCGAAGATCGAGTAGTTTAGCGTCTGAAATTGAACTATTTTTAATAACTTATTAATTAAAATTTGTCGGACGCTCCTCCTCAACCGTTTGCGTAAGCTGTATCGCTTTTAGAATGATCAAGAATGGGTATGACGAGTAAAACGACTAGTAGTGTGCCGCCAACGCGCGAGAAAGACGCGTTCGCTGGCTTCCACTACGACGATCTAAATGATTTTGATAATGAATATAAATCGGCGCTGGGCGATTGGGAGGATTTTCCAACCCGCAAATTCAAGGTAAAGCCCCTTCTTCTTTCTTCTATCCGTACCTCAATTTATAGGCACGAGGAATCATCACGTGCTTGTGTTTGAATATCGACGTGGACCCAGAAGACTGGCGAGAAGATCTCGCAAAAGATGTGCCCGTCGCTAGAAGAGAGGGAACTATAAATGCTTGGGATGTAAATGACAACTTTGACAATGAACTCCCTCCTCAAGGTATTTCTTCTTCTATACCAGAACTAGAATCTGGTTAACACTTGTCAACCCTGTTTAGACGTTATCTACCGCAACATCCAGGACACAATCAAATCGAACTTCATCGAGCTCGCCCCTCGCGTCCTCCAAACCAACACCTTTAACTGGAAACAACTCCACCACAGCGATGCCTACAAGCAGAAGATCTTTCAAAACATCGACAACATGGTTCGCATCACGCAATCGCGCATGGGCCGTGCCGAAGACCAACCTCTCATTTGTTTTCACTACAATGGACACGATGTGCCCAGACCAACGGAAAACGGAGAAATTTGGGTGTTTAGTCGACAAATGACACAGGTACATACTTAACGGTAGACTTCGTGTGACCGTCACATTATTAAATCTATTAGAAAAGTCTTGGCTCAAGCAATCTTTAGTATCACCCACTAAACGTCCCAGAAGAACTGGCCTCCAAGATCGGCAGCGGCATCTACATCTGGGACTGCTGTAATGCCGGCCTGATCATCGAAAAGTTTAACAAAAAATACACGGGCAATGGTACCAATTTCCACTTTGCCGCGTGCGGCCGTGACGAATTCCGACCGATCAAGAGAAACATTTCCGCGGACATCTTCACCGCATGCCTCACAAATCCGATCAAGACGACGCTCAAGTGGGCTCTAGGGCGCGATATTGCAAAAATCATTTGCCCAGATATTCAACCCATCATGATCGACAGATACCTTCCTGACTGGTATTCTAAGATAATCTGCTTTTCTTGCTAAAACACTCTTTTCTAGCGACTTTGGCGAAAGAAAAGACCGAAAAACACTTCACGGCGAGCTCGGCTGGATCATGACCGGCTTGTTAGAATCAATCGCCTGGGACTCTATGGCCAAGTCCGAGCTAAAGTCCTGTCGAAAGGCCTTCAAGCTGTTCCACGACGGATTTCGCTGCGACTCGCTTCTGTCCGGTCTTTATCGAAATTTTCTTATAGCAGATAGAATTATGCGCTCTTACGGGTGCAATCCAGAATGCTCTCCAGAGCTACCAAAGGTAATTGAACTAATTGAAGGATTGTGATAAAGCTAAACTTGCTTTCAGAATATGCATACTCATCCCATGTGGAAAATGTGGGATTCAACAGTGGACCGTGCTCTCACTCAACTTCAACGGAATCTAAAACCTGACCCCCTCGTCGATGCTCAATGCCAAAGCTGCTTCTTCCCTACCTGTAATTAGAAAGACTTATTCTGATTACCATTTTTGATGCCCTTTTTAGTAAAGGAAACTCACCTGGAGTTCTACGACCAGTGCCTTAACTCATTCGAAAATCTCATTCAACTGCCTGTATATAAACGCGATGTGGTCGACAAGCCTCCCATCTACTTACCTCTCGCCCTTCAGTCTATTCTCGAGCAAGCGCCGCGAATTAAAGCTCTCAGCCTCTTTGCTCGCTATATGGACACTTGCCCTAGTGCCATTTACAACACCCTCGCTGCTGGTCTCAATCAAGGTCAGTTCTGGCGAGTTTTCAGGAATTTTGAGTTGGTTACTTTTAGAACAAAACTCATATTTGATGCGTTTACTCGACGGGCTTGCGTACAGCAAGCAGCCGCACTTCTGGATGGTGTTTATTTGGACGAAACTGATTGTCTTCCAGAACAAAGTTGTTGGGAACCTATGGCGCCCACGTGACCAGAAAGACAAGAAGAATAAGTCTTTCATTGTACCGATGGAGTACTTTTTCAAGTTCTGTTTGATCCCGCTCGCGAAACACTGATACGAGCCATGGTAAATTACCTTTCCTTTCTTCCTTAACTAAATTTTACCCAAGTCGGCGTTCGTTATTGCTCGAATTTGCGAGGAAAAGGGCACTCTCACCGATCCTGACCACTCGGCCCAACACGACGTCTACAGCATGTTTACCAAGAACCAAAACTCAAACAACGGTCTTCCATCTCCTGACTATCTCTATAATCTTCCGCTTTTCCTCCTCAACGACGATGGCTACCCGCCGAACACGGGCGATCCCTTGTTACGCAAATGGCTCCTTATCCTTACTGGCCGTATTTGGGAAGATTACCCTTACGCTTTTCAACGAGCCTTTAGAGGCGACTACGTCGAGCCCATTATCATGGATTTCCTGCGTGAAGACAAAGATCCACTTGGTTCGAATCTGATTGTCCAGCTCATCTTATTTCTTCTTTTTAGTTCGCGCTGCAGCTGTTTACGCGATTGGAACTTACATTGGCTGTCGGATAGACAACGAAGACGGCCGATCGGACCGAGAAAGCCACCACGACAAGACGGATCCGATTCACAAGCTTACTCTCATTGCTGCGGAGCTCTCGAACTCGCGATATACTGACGATGCTTGCTGGCTTGTTCGCAAAGAAATTGTGTGCAGCTTGCAGTTATTCGTGGCTCGATACTACGACAAGTTGAGTAAAGACTTTCATAAATTGGTGAACAATACCTCTGGCAAGCGACGTGTCTCAATCGGCACAATCAACAGTAGAATGCATAATCGTGGATCACGACCTGGTAGCACTCACTCTTCTCCACAAAAGGTAAGCATTGATTTTCCGAAATTCAGCGATATCAGAGGTTAGGAACACCCTTAAATATACTTGATTTTCAGCCACAGCAAAGTGTATCTGCTGATCACATCACTGCTGCCCGCACACCACCTAACCCTCCGGTGGAGAAAACACCGATCCAGTACTTCGAAGAGCTCTCAACCGGTGTTTTCTTAATTGAAAACCCCATTCATAACATTGCTCTCGCCATTCTGAAGCTCGCCATGGATCCGCACACGTAAAAATTTATATCGAAGTCCACATTTGACCATGATTTTCAGCGAGGTCGCTAGGGATGCAAAACATCTCTTCGACATTGTTTTCAAGCAAGTCGGCAGGCGAAAAAACTCCGGACACAGCAGTCACGTGCGATCGAACAGCGCGCACTTGGAAATTATACCGAGTCATTCTCGTCAAAACAGCGCGAACTTGGAACGCGTTCGAGAGGATTCCAACGACTCGAGTGGGAGTCAATCGTCGTGTCATTCAAGCGGCATTCAAAGGGCCGCGCAAATTCATGTTAAAAAGTCAACCTTCTTCAAATATGCCTCGAAAGACTGGCTTCGAAGTCAACTTAAGCAAGAGCCCGTAATACCGCTCAATCTTTATGTCAACACTCAAAAAGCAACGCAGCGACAGCATGGTTAGATATTATCAACCCATCCTCTTTTCATCCTCCTTTTTCAGACCTAGACCGCGCCCATGAACTCTCCGAAGACGCTCGAAACGAGCAGCGAAATCGTTCGCGCTCGAAGCCCCAAAATCGCGACGAGCAAAGTGCACAAGCAACTCACATATTCAACGCTGCCAAAACGCACAACAAACGCATCCTAGAACGATCGAAGACGATCTTCTCAGGCTCTGAAGTCAGCGATCTTCGTCAAATGGTACACTTTGGCGAGGTTGATGAGAAGATTTCTTCGATGATGTTTGTTCCTTACAACGAAGCGTTGATTGCAACTGGACAGTCGGGAATTCATCTCATAGATTTCGCGTACTTGCCTTTCGACATTCAAGGTACCCATCATTTTATCTAACTCAAAAGAAAGCTGAATCCTTTATCGAGTTTATCTGAAGCTCGATACTTCGAACAACACTTTTTTAAGAATAATAAGTCCCCTTAGGACCCCCTATATTTTGAATTGAAATTTTCATAGATGGCGACACCCGAAACGCTCAAAGCCGAATAATAGCGACGGACAAGGGTGTACATCTCACTTCAATGGCAATCATGAACCAAGTAAGAATCAAATCTCGTTGACAACTGATAACCTTTCATTCAGGGAACTTCGCCGATTGTAGTAGCTTCATCGACCGATGGTTGTGTCAAGTTGCGCAAGTTGAGACGAAGCCTGGAAGGACGGCTAGAAATTCAAGACTCAATCCTTACCTCGTGGAGGGTCGCACCGGTTGGTCGGAGGCAAGAGATCAAACTTGCTTGGGACGAAAGCTACCTCGCATGTTCCTTCCAAGAGCGCAACACTGCAGGTAAGCTACTTAGTAGTAGCTAGTCTAGCTAATATTTAGATCAAAAATTTATCAACAATTTTCCTAGTTGTGACTCTATGGGATGGTGAACAAGAGCGCCGGGTCCATCGAGTAGCCCCAGTTGCGCTAGAAAATCGAGAAGTAACCTGCTTTGCAATCATGGGCGACTTTGGCCTCAAGTGTGAAGACTTGCTTTGCGGCACCGATGATGGTGGAATCTGGAAGATCGACACAAGAAGCGGCCGCTTCCTCACAGCGAAGTTCGGCGATCGAATGCAAAGCAGAGCAAAGGGCCACAAAGTCGTTGGCATGGACACAAGTCACGATAAAGTAATGGCTGGCTACGCCGATGGCACGGTGAAAGTTTGGGATGTTCGGTAAGATAGAGTAGAGTTGAAATTTTCAGCCTTTCATTCTTTCTTTAGAAAAATGTCGAAAGAGCTGGAAAAGCTGAAATTCGGAAAGAGCGATAATTCGAAGTCTGAGTGTTGCCAGGCCTTCGCTGGATCGCTAAAGTATAACTATTTCGCGCACAATCTGCGCGCGGATCTATTCGTCCGTCGCAAATCGCACCAAGAGTAAGAACACCTTGACCACCAAATCTAACAAGGATTGTTTAGAGCGAGGGAGTCTTCGCTTCTCTTGGACCCTATTTATTCGTTTAAAAGTTCATCTGCCGCTCGGATGTTTATGAGCAAGCCGGATCCGAAGATCCTGCACCCGACATCACTCGCTACCCATCCGTTCAACCCTTTTCTCGCAGTTGCTACGCGTCCCGGAGAATCCGGCGACTTTAATCCTGGAGTGATCTCTGTCTGGATGCCCAAGAATAAAAAATATTCATGACGATTATTACTAAAACTCAATATTATTATTAGACAATATTATTTCTTATTTCGCCACGTTCTTATATGCGCCTGTTCTGTTCACTGCCAAAATCGAGCAACTCAAGAGTGCTCGATTGCTATTTTCAACATTTTCAAACATTTTTCAAAATCTCAACAAAATATAATGTGCCTAACTTTTTTACTTGAAACTTAGATTTTTCAATAAAAAAGACTTATAAGAAATGGCATTCGATCGATTCCCCGGTCCCGGATTCGGGTTAGAACGAAGGCCTCCTCCTCGCAGATTCACACCCCCGGGGCCACATGACCACGAAGATTTCGTGATTAAACAACAACTCAAAGCCGGGAAGTTATTTCAACAAGACTCCTGCGCTCTGTGTCTGTTTTTCGAGGAGACAAATACGGCGGCTTTTACGTGCGATAAAGACGGCGGAGGGAGAAAGTTCTACTGCGCTAAGCATGTGAAAAAGATTCCGGAACACAACAGGGAACATAAAAACTACCATGCGCCAATGACGATATATCCGCATCCGACGATGAAGCGAAAGGAGTTTGACGATATTCTGGACAAGAATATTGATGATACAGAGGTAAACGCTTGTTTTCCATCTTTTGCTATTTGCTACTGTAGCTTTTGGCCGACTGTATGATCGAAGAGCTCAACATCCACAAAGCGGCGATGATCAAGTCAGTCCACGATCGAGCAAAAGCGATGCGGGAGCATTGGGCGAGAGCGATGCTCATTCAAGAAGGCGTAGTCAAAGCCAGCTCCGAGCGGAACAGTGAAGAACGAAAAAAAAGAATAATGGCCGTGCAGCAACGCTATGACCTGATTAAACAGCCGCTTGAGGACTTTCGCAGTGGCAAACTAACTGATGAGTTCGACTTTAAACGTGCTGCGCTTAAAACCATCGACTACAGTAAGTTCACCTGCTATTGATAAGTTGTGATTTAAAATCCTCTTCAGTTCAAAAATGTAAAATCGCGCATCCACTATCTACGGAAGTTGGCATCGCACCTGGTGGAAAATATTACGACGCCTTTGGCCCAACTCCGATGCTTTTCTCTTGGGCAAAGGTCGATGCGATCAATTGCCACTGGCGCGATCTCTCCGCCGCCAAGCTCGTTTACGTCGAGCCAAACGAGATGCCAAAGTGGAACCTTCGCGATTTTCCTGTCATCACTGTCGAGCATCCTGATAGAGCAAAGCTCGGTGTTGCGATGATCGCGGCTATTTCTTTGCGAGCACGAGTGCTGATTGAATGTGGTTTTATCCGACCCTACGAGAACATGGATCAAATAAGGGAGTTGGCGCAGAAATCAGCGGCTAATCAAAAGACACTTGCGGTGATTTACCGAAACGATACTGACGATAGTCTTCACCGAATGGCTCTTCGCTACTTGTCACGTGAGCCCTTTCTCCCTTCTTCTTCCTCATTCTCCCTTAGCTACGTTCAAAGATACGCGAGAAACTCTGGCTTTGCAGATATTCTTCGAGCTGATCGACGAAGAAATGAATGTAAAAGACGTCGTTTCCCTGATCAGAGAGGAATTCCGCGCCCCGGGTCTCGAGTATCAACTTCGAAAGAACTACCGAGGCATAACTCTCAACACTTTCATCATCTTCCCTCAAGATGAACTGGAGCTAAAATTCATTAAAAAAGCACTTGATAGCGATCCTTATTTATTCAAGCGAGATGGAGTCGCAAAGGTTGAAGGTAGATTCATATTTTCGCATATATTTCGGACTTTGAATTTATTTTAGTAAAGAGCAAATCGAACTTCATTCTGACCGACTTGGACGACCCAAACAATCCACCTGTTATCATCACAGAGCAGCGACTCAAGGATAAAAATTTTCTCGAGTGCCCGGACGATCTGCAAGTGTCGATGGCGATGCCAGCGATGGTGATTGAGTGTTGGTTTGATTTGGCGCATCCGACCGGTGGCGAGAAAAACTACGATCCTATCATCAAGCAAATGTTAATCATGTCTAGTCTACATGAGATCCGACTGGAGGTCAACCAGATGACCAAACCTCTTAAGATCTCGCTTGAGAAGCCTTGCGACTATGAACGAATGCCTTGGGTTTGGCTTTGCGCGGCAAAGGTAAGAAAACATGTTATAAATGACTTTCCATAAGAATTTTTCGGTCAAAAAAATTTTTTCTGAGTTATCACCATATTCTGAAAGCCCGTGTCAGAATTAGTAGAATCCCCAAATTCTATCACTTGATGACGTCACGATGTAACTGATGATTGAAGGTCCAGTTTTAACTCTTCTTTTCCATTAGGTCAGGGGAAAATCAATCGAAGAAGAGTTGGACGCGATGTGGAAAAAGCGAATATACGGGTTTGCCGCAATTGACGAAGAAAGAGCTGACTGTCTTGATAGACGCGAATATGATTCGTATTCGTCCTCAGAATATTCTGATTATTAGAACTAGCCTCGTCAGTAGGTGCCGTTCTCTCTTCGGGATCTTTGACCTCATAATGTACATTTATTTTAAATTACTAAACTCACTGCGAAACAGCTCTAGGTTTTCCTAGTATACTGTATACTATCAAAACTAGCCTTATCACAATTACTATCACATTCTTCGTTTATTGCCTTTTTCAAGTCCAATAGCAAAATCGCTATTTAAATAGTAAGTTTCAAGTTCAATAGCAAAATCGCTATTTAAATAGTAAGTTTCAAGTTCAGTAAAACTGGAAAAAGCTGTACAACTGCCGATTCACTATCAATTTTCTATTCTAGTAGAATGGAATACATACCCACTTCGCAAGGGTCAGTCGGTCGGATCTTGTGCTGCCAATGTGGCGTTCCAATTGAACCAAATCCGACGAATACATGTGTGACTTGCTTGAAAGGGCAAGTGGACATCACCCAAGGAATCCCTCGACAGTCAGGTATTTATCATCTTCAACGCAAAAAAACGTCGACTTATCTAGTGGTTAACTTTTGTCGCGGCTGTGACCGATACCTTCAGCCACCAAGCTCATGGATTCAAGCTGATCTCGAGTCGCGGGAATTGCTGACGCTCCTGATTAAGAAACTCAAGGGCAACTTGACAGATGTACGCCTCACCGATGCTAGCTTCATTTGGACAGAACCGCATTCCAAGCGAATTAAAATCAAACTCACAGTGCAGAAAGAAATTCAAGAGGGAGCTGTTCTCGAGCAGATCATTCCCATTGAATTCGTTGTTCAAGGTAATTTCAAGGTATTGATTGAACAAGATTAACTTGTTATCAGGACAGCAGTGTACTGATTGCCAGCGAGTCGAAGCGAAGAACTTCTGGAAGAGCGTAGTGCAAGTGCGTCAAAAAGTCAAGCACAAACGAACTTTCCTCTACTTGGAACAAGTTATTCTAAAATACAACATGTTCGAGAACACTATCCGAATTGGCCCTACTCAGCACGGCCTCGATTTTTCTACGGCCGTCCTCAAGATAGCCGAAAACTTGTCGAATTCCTCCAACAAGTGGTGCCGATTAAGTACAAAACAGCTCAGAAGCTGGTCGGGCACGATACTCATAATGCAACTTATAACTATAAGCAAACTTATCACTGTGAACTGCCAGTAGTTTGCAAAGATGATCTTGTTTGTCTGGATAAAAAATTAGCCGCAAAAATGGGTGAGTAAGCTGTTAATTGAAATCAAGGAAGAGTAACTTCTTATTCAGGAAATATGGGACAGTTGTTGATCTGTCTTCGAGTGACTTCAACAATTCAGCTGATTGATCCGGCCACTCTTCAGCTCCGAGAAGTCGACGGGTCCCATTACTGGGCTAATCCTTTTGAACCGATTGCTTCTTCCGCGCGTTTGGTTAAGGTGAGGCTTATTTTGAAAATATCAGATGATTGAACATATTTTTTAGTTTGTAGTGATGGAGAAAGAACTACTAGGAAAGAATGATAGAAACCACAAGGCGGGCCAGGGTAAACTGAGCTTCAAACACCAGCTGGCAGATCTTTACGTGATTCGCGAAGATGAGCTCGGCACTCACGACGACTACATTCACTGTAGAACACATTTGGGTCAACATCTCGACGTTGGAGATGAAGTCCTAGGTTATGACATGAAGAATATGAACTGCAACAGCGATGCCTTGGACGGAATGAATGGTAATCACCCTGACGCGGTGCTAGTGAGAAAGATCTATGGCGACTCTAGAAGACGAGCTCAATTGCGAAAGTTCAAGCTGCGCCGAGTTATTGAATACAAAACTGATAAGGTACGAGTATTATTGAAAATAGTTGACTAATTCATGTTAAAGGATGACGAAGATGTACAGCGAATGGAGGAAGAACTAGAAGAAGATCCAGAAGTGAGAACGAATGTTAATATGTATCACAACCCAGAAGCCAACTTCTCGGATAATGAAGATTTGCCAAGAGTGGACCTTGCCGAGTTGTTAGACGCCGTTAATCTGGATGATAAAACTGTTCCAGCTGATTTTTAAATCTAAAATTAACGTGTGCTGGATTATCTCAAACAACTTTTTTCCGTTTCAGAATGCGTTTTCTCCGTCGATTCTCGCTTCAAAGCAGAAGCTACAGAAAGCGATACGTAAAGGACTACGATTTTATGGAGACGGTTCCGGCGGTCGAGGCGAATTTGAAAGAACACGGCTTCAGAAACATTGGCGGACACTTCGTCGATGCTTCCAAAATAACGAACATGCTCATGCTCTCCGCTGATCGAGCACATTATGCGTATGTTCTGCCATTTCAACCCACTCCTATGCAGAAGTTGCTCGCAAGTTCGAGTAGCGAAGAGCTGTTGAACACGATCATGGTTGAGTACAACCAACTATCAGACGATGACAGAAGTGAAGTGATAAAATATCTTGGCTTTGGGTCGAATCAGAATCTTCCCACGACGCATCCAGCTGTTGCTAGGACCTTCATCGACGTTGCCAATTTACTTCCAAATGTTGATCCAACTGTTCTTCTCCCACTACTCAAGAGAGCCTCTGCTATGGAATTCGATTCTTCTTCGAACTGTATCAAACAGATCACGACTTCCATCGAGTACAATATCAACGAGCTGGGGTTGATAGACTGCGCCCTGCTTCACGACACATTGAACAAGAAATACTCCTCAATGTATTCGAATTCCAGCACCGAAGCGTTGCTCAAAGCACGAGGGAAAGTTCTCTTCTCTCAAATGGAAATTCAAAACTACCACGGGCAGGATAACTTCGATCTAGATGACGTGAGAATAGTTTGTCTACTGATGGAGCTTCTCGATTACCCTGCTCAAACGAGTCTACTCTCAACACTGGAAGGAGCTCTTTATAATTCGGCAATGGATCGAGGCGATTCGGAAATAATGGCACTGATCGAATGCGTTTTAGTCGGCGAAGTTTTACTTAAAGATGCGGAGCGAAACAAGCGCAGTAAATCATTATCCAAATACAGTAAACACTTCCAAACTTGCGAGATAGCTGCTCTAGTCTCTGCTGTAACGGGTTGTCATTACTTTTCAACAGATGTGACTGTTCCAGAAATATCAGCTCGAGTGGAATCTCTTACCCTTGGCCTTTCGAATCTTATCTCGTCTTCAGGAGATGTGGAACTGCTGACAGAATATGAAGAAAGAATGGAAATCTATACCGACAAATTAGAATCTCTCGATGTCCGAAATTTAGGTGGAATCTACGCTCTTCTGAACAACCAAGACATCCAGCAAATGTATCGAATAAAAGACGCGAGTTATTCTGACAGAGCGCCTGTTAAATTATCTTCTGCTTTATTGCCAAGCCTGTAAATACATGCTTATATGTAAATTAAAAGTTTATAACTAGAAATTCCAATTTACATGGGAATTCTTATTCTTTCCTCTTCAATGCAGTGCAAAATATCGATGTCACTAGCAAATCTTGATTGCGTGCGATTCAAAAAGCCAGCTTTGCTTTTCTCAACTGAATACAGATTCAATCAGTCAAGCTTTTACTTTCGTAACTGAAATTTTCCGTTTATGTCTGAAGGTTTCATTTATTTTACTTTATGCATGAAAAAATAACGATATATACAGCGCACAATAGCTTGATATGCGTTAGCTTATGTACAGAATTGAATTAAGATGATGAAGTTTATGTGCAATTGGATGCATTTGTACATTTTTCTGTTGATGGGTGGTTGTCGAGACTGTTTCACAGGTTGTGACTCAATGTTGCTAGTAAAAGTTTAGTATTTACAAGTTTGAATTGGCATACCTAAATTAGTAAAGTGTAATAACATTCTTCGATTTAAAACGTTTCAAGCAGATCGGGCATCTTTTCAAGCTCGCCAAACACGAACTTTCAAATCGATGCCCACAGGACGTTATGCACGAGTGTTCATGATTCTCTGTATCGTAAGGACACATGCAAATACAACATTCGTCAATATTTTTCGCTCGATCGGCGATCGTTTCGTTGAGGGGTTGCTCTTTTAGAAGATTGTCGACTTTGTCACTGAGATTATTGACTTTTTCTTTCGTCGCTTCAAGAATCTGCTCAGACGCATCGATGTGGTCAATGTGACTTTTACAGAAGTCATCATAATAAAGGAGGTCTTTAGCCAATTTCGAATTAGCCTCTTCAGTCCAACTTATATAGAATAATCCGCTATTCTGGTAATTGTGCAATTTATCCTCGCCATGTTTTTCCTTGAAATCCACGGAAGCTGATTGATATTCTTTCAGGCTTTTTAGAATTTGATTTTCCTTTTCAAGCAAATTTCGGGAGTCAAGCGCGAGAATCTCTTCACTTTTGTAGTTCTCTTGGCATTCTTCTAGCTCTGACAGAAGTGTCTCAATCTCCACGATTTTCTTGTACTGTTTCAGGGATTTGAGGTCTGTTGCATTTTTATTAAAAGAATATCCTAGTCTCATTTTGTTTTATGTCGGCAATGACGAGGAAAAACTTTTTGGAAAGCTAAATTTGCCACACAACTCAAGTGCGCCTGAGATTTTATCTGCATCGTTTACGGTTAGGGAAAAGTGCCCACAGGAAATCTGAAAGAAAGATTGGAAATCTTTACAGAAAAATTAGAAAAAGTCGATGTACGAGATTTTGATGGAATCTACGCTCTTCTGAACAACCAAGACATCCAGCAAATGTAGCAAATTATCTTCTGCTTTTTTACTGACTTGGCAGTGCTGACTCTGTTATAAAATGAACAACCATTGAATCTAAAAACTGAATCTAGAGGCACTGAAGTTTCAATTTTTTAACCGTTGTTTTAGCCTGCTTTGCCGAAAGATTGAGAATGAGGAAGTTCAATAGTTCATTTACAGAAAACTCGAATTTATTTTTTCCTTTTCAAGAAAAAAAAAACGATATATACAGCGTAAGATAGCTTCGCATCTAGTGATTTATGAGCAGATTGTTATTTACAGTTTGTAGCGGTTCATTCTTTACATCGTTCTGTTCTCGAATCGCTGGCTAAACTTAGAATAAGTAAGCTATAAGTATAAAAGTAATTCACCTCAACTAATAAAGCGTGATGACTTTATTCGATTTAAAACGTTGAAAGCAGATTGGGCATCTCTTGTTAGACAATCTATTCAAGCAAGAACTTCCGAATCGATGACCACAAGTTGTTATCGCCGAGTGTTTATGATTTTCTGTATCGTAGGGGCAGAGGCAAATGGCACACTCGTCAACCTTCGGACTTTCCGGAATTGTTTCGTTGAGTGGCTGGTCTTTGAGTAGATTTTCGACTTTTTCACCCAGAGCATTGACCTTTCCTTTTTTCTCTTCAAGAATCAAATCAGACTTGACAACCTCTTCTCTGTGACTCTTATAGTAGCGAGTGTAGTAGATGAGATCCTTTGCAAATTTGCAGTTGTAGTTTGAACTTGATAGGGTATTCTGGTACTCGAGCAACTTATCATCGCCATTATTAGTCTTGAAGTCGCTAATAGCTGCAGCATATTCTCTCAGGCTATTTATGAATTGCATCTCCTTCTCAAGCAAATTTCGTGAATCGAGTACAATTTTCTCTTCGCTTTTAAAATCTTCTTGGCTTTGTTCTAGTTCCGTTAGAAGTGACTGAATCTTCATGATCGTTTTGTACTGTTTGAGGGCTTTAAAGTCTTTCGCTTTTTTTACAAAAGAATGTCGTCGTCTCATTTTGTGTCTTTTCTCGGTTCTGACAATGAACTTTTAGAAAAGCTGAATTTGCCACACAACTCAAAAGCGCCTTAGATTTTATCTGCACTGTTCACGGTTACAGCAACTACTCGCCCGCCAAAAAATCTCCCGCGAAAAAAGTCAAAATCAACAGAAATCCACACTAACCACTCACTCAATAACCACCTTCACATCAGCAAGAAGTTCTAAACTAACGAACGCCTGCAAAAAAAAGACACAACACAGAGTTAAAAAATATCCAACAAGTGTGTATTCAACTGAATAAAGAGTGAATGTTGGGAGATTTCCGACAGACTGTCTGAAAGAAATTACCGCTTCGTTAGCAGTGAAAATAACCTCCTTCGTAGGCAGTATGCAGCAGCCCGATCAGTTGAGTGGAGATCTTAATTGCAATTTAAAAATTAGCCAGAAAGAAAGCAAAATTACCTGATTTATTTGCCGTTTCGGACCCGACAAGTTCGGGAACTAACTAAAATTAAAAAAAGAGCCCTCACAACAACATGGATTCTAGAGACAAATTCGCAAAAGAGAAGCTAGGTGATCCAAAGTGAAAGCGATCACTGGTGCGATTAAGGATCCAGCCGCATGAGCTCAATCAAACAATTTCTTCTGTATATGTTTATTTGGGTCCAGCTCTTTTCGCGACCGCAAATTTTGACGGGTGATCCTTTGCTTTCGCGAAAATCTTATCGCGCCCTTCTTAGAGTTCGCAGCTAGTCGAGTGTAAACTCGCTTGCTGGAAGTCCTACTCGAGTCTAAACGGTTTTTCGATGTTCGGATGGTGGGCCCAGCTGGAATGTATCAACCGCGCGATTAGACGAAAACGTGAAAAACTGGCACCTGACGAGTGGAATCGCATTCAACCCATCTCTCTTGACAAACTCGGCTTTCAGAAGCGCGCTAGAACGTTGATCTGGGTTTCTTCCGACGCTCTTTAGCGGAACTCCGCTAAATCCGCCTCTTTTGAATAAGCAATTATAGGGTTTAAATCGAAAGCCCAGTTTCAAAGAGACTCTGTTTTCTTAAGAAGTTCCGACGAGAATCGAGTCAACCAAATTACAGAAAATGAAGTTTATGTCTGAGCTTTTTTTAGGCAGAATACAGAGTGCAAAATCACTAGTGATAAAATTTATTCTTGTGGACGGTCGAAAGGTTAGTCTAACAGTGTTAAAATAGGCAGTGAGCTACGAATTTCTCTAGCAGGATGCTCTTCTTAGTCTTCTCGGGGAAGTTCTACGTCTGCAATGGGTTGTTCTTGTGAAGCCTCTGCTTCTTCAAGACGCCGAATCTCCGCGAAAGCTCGTTGATCATCTTCGAGAATTCTTCAGAATAAGTTATGGAAAATCAGCTAAGTAGCAACTTACTGTTGGGCGCTTCCGAACTCGTCGCTTTGATTATCCCCGAGCGCAAGTTCGTGTTGATAGAATCTTTGCATCATTTCTGGGGACCGATATGCATCTCCAAGGTCGAGCCAGGGCTGATCGATGTAAGATAGACGAAACTTCATGTAGTCCCTTGCAGTCAGCAGACTCAACAGTCCTGTGTCGACGAAGATCTTCATCGCGTTCCAATAATCAAAGAGGAGGGTCCGTGTTTTTTCGTGCAGCTGGTCTTCTGTAGAATTTGCGATGAGGTTCTGGATCTTTCGAACAGATACTTTTCCTTGGTTGTTCAGGAACGTTCTTCGACTCCTACGACCCAGACGAAACCCCCGGTTTGCAATGTTGTACTTTGATTTGACTTCCCTCACTAAAAATAAACGTTTATTTCTTCTTGGGGAGTACTTTCACTTACTTGTGTTGTTAATGTGAATGGTGAGGAACAACAATTCGTGGTACCGGTTACGCCCAGGAAAAACTCGTCCTTGATTTTCCATCTCTCGCTGTTGTCTATCTCAAATCAACCGAATAGAACCTTTTGGCGGAATTCCAGTCTAACGAAAAAGGAGTTGTGTCTAAAATACCGCTTTCTCATTTGCGGAAAACAAATGGTTCGATCTTATAAATCAAGAAATTTCTTCACTAATCAAGATTTCATGTTAATCTACAGTAGACTACTGATAGCATAAAGGTGCATCTCGATTGAGTTCCTTGCTTCCGAGCGCCGCTAATAATAATCGGCGGTGTTATCGTTTAGCGCCACCTTGTTCTTCCTCCGCTCTCCTGCCGAGAGCCCCTTATCATTTCAGCCCTTGCACTTTTTGCAGTAACCGGAAAGGAAGAAAATAAGGTAAACGCATAGATGGCACTTCCTTTCTTTCTAATCAATTCTTCAGAGCTCATTTTTTCGTCGAAGAGTTTTTCACCCAACCCAGTAACGAAACATGATGCGTACAGTATTTGCCTTGCTTTCCTTATCATCTTCTCTCCCAGTCTCCGAGGTAATCGAAAAAGAGATATTTGCTGGGCATCGAGCGTGTTTTCAGGATGAATTTATTGGTACAACCGCAGCTACTCCTGACCTGCCAGACTTTCTATTCAAGCATTTTGGCGAGCCACCCCTTACGGACTCGCAAATGCTCAATATTCTTATTGGAAGGATGGTATCACAGCTGTTAAAAGTGTATTCTAATTTATCTCTTCGAAAACACAGTGTTACCAACAAGCACGAGCACGGCAATCCCAGCTGAACTCCTGACAGAGCAACCAGAAAAGTTTGACGAATTAACTACTCCTGCTCCAATGAATCTTGATCTTACCAAGGCCGCGGAGAAGGAAACAGTCGACTTATTGGAGGTTGAAATCATAGAAGAAATCGAAAAGACTGATTCGATCCAGGCTGGATCTGACGCGAGCGCCCTCCAGAGGTAAGAGTCTTCATGAAAAGATGAATTTATATTTGATTTTTTGTTCAAATATTGATATGAATATTTTAATTCTAGCGCGCTCTGGATGGTCCTACCTCTCATTTTCGCCTTGTTTTAAAGAGAAACGAAGTCCTCTTTCCCCTTTTCTTGTAATTACTGTAAATAAAGTCGACCCTTCAAAGTTTCATGTTTGTGTGTTAATTTTTATTCGATTTTCAGCGATATTTTTTGTGAATTTTTTAATTTGAGAGGAACACACCTATAAACGGGGTTAGTGAGTTCTAGTTTTGTTTTGTTAGAAAAGAGTTACTTCATTTTGCCAAGTTTGCGTATCTCAGTTACTGTAATAACGTGCTCTATACATATAAATATATTTCACGAGATGCAGCTTTGGAAAATGAGCTTTTTAGTACTTTTTGTGTTAAATTTTTTGATAATGGAGGAGGGGCGAAATAGCACTCGGGTAGATTATCAGAAGGCAATAATATAAAATAGAGAAAAAAACAATTAGAAAAAAGATGATCCCTATTTTCAGTTAGGGTCAGCTGCGACGCGGTCAATTCGAAGCTAAACATTCAAAAAGGAAATTTGAAAAATTCAGCTTAGAGTTGAGTGCGTCTTGAAAAAAAATTACTATTTTTTGAGCGGGATTTGAGCGGTTTCACAGAGCTTGAGTGTAAACAATATTAATATAAAGTTAAGAAAGAGCAAAGAATAAAAACTGCTATTGGAAAAGTGCTAGAATAAAAACGACGAGCGCACTGAGCATCACTTGGCTCGCCGAAGAATCTGCCGGAGTTGTGGCCGATTCCGCCGGAGTGGTCGTGTCCGGTCGGGGAGTGCTTGCACTCGTCGTATTACTCGCTGGAGTGGAGTCTGTTGATGCTGCTGAACTGGTTATTTTTTGAGAAGGAGCGGTTGTGTTGGTTGATTCTGTTGCTGGAATTTCATCTGTGTTTGTTTCTGTCGATTTTGAGGTATTTGATTGAGTGGTTGAGATGCTTTCTGCTGCAGCTTCTGTCACGGCCGCTTCTTCTGTACTGACGACTGGTTTTTCTGTTGCTGGCGACTCTGCTTCTGTCTGAGCAGATGTAGACGAGGATTCAGTGGAAGCGATGGTTGATGAAGATGTTCCCACCGATGAAGCGGTATCCTTCAATAAAATTGTTAAATTATTGAATGAAGAAGCCTCAACTGAATCTTAAAATGGGATACTACGAACATTTGAAGGAAAATATAATCTATTGATAGTAAATGTACCTCAGCGGTCAGTAATCCTGACTGTGTAGTTGTGGTTGACCTAGCAGTAGTGCTGGGTGCGGTATCGTTTTCTGTTACGCCGCTTGGTGAAACCGAAGTCGACGCTGTGACGGGAACGGTGCTCTCGACTTCAATCAGCGTATCGGCTGTTGTGGCGGCGGGAAGCTCGATATTCTCTGGAACGGTGAACAAGTCAATTATCGGGCTTTCCGTTGTCTGGAAAAGTAGATCGAGAAGATCTGCGGGAAGCTCGGTCGGACCGAGAATGTCAAAAGGAGAGTCCGTCGACAACTCAGCAAGCAGCTCATCGATCTTAATTGAAGCGTAAAAATATGTTCTATTTCCTTGAAATTATGAAATACATTTCAAAATTATCAACCCAAATTATGTTCGAATTTTTCTGATGTGGCAAATTTTGGCCTCCACAGGAACTTTATTATCGATTAACTAACTTAACGTTGTCACTATGTCATCATTACGGAAGAATGCCGATTTAGGATGTCAACCCTCTGGAATTCAAGAAGTTAGCCTTCCAAATACCAACTAGACTGAACAACTATGACCGCTAAAACATGAGCAGTTTAACAAACACAAACAAGGCATCCATGAAGTTTTATTTAGGCAACGCACTTTGACGTATACAAAACAATCACACCCGAAAAAAGAAAACATAATTTTAAAACTCACGGAGCTCTGAGTGGGGCCAGGGCTGAGAAGCTCCTGCGCCTGGGCGACGGCGGCGATGGCGAAGAGTTTCATTTCGCTCTGTTCAGGCAGGCGCAACTGCTCTCGGGAAAACGTACAGTTTACAGTTTTTTAAGTAGCCCCCGCAATCTGTCAAATCTCGAAACTGGCGGTGGTGGGGGCAAGGGAAGTAGCAGAGGGATGAATCACCAGTGGCGAGGCCAAACACCGCACTCCATTGTACGATTCGCACGCCCACAGGCGCAGACATCGATTCGCACCACCACCACCTGCGCCAAGTCTCATTAAAAACATAGTGAGGCCCCGGACGGTGTGGACACACCAGCGCACCGCATCGATCAGCCGATCATGTCATTGATAACCCACGGAATTCAACGACGGAATTTAATTTTAAACCCCGGAAAACTCTTGATGTTTCACATCAAAAAAAAAAGTATTCGGTTAGAGATCTTACACCTCAAATCTCTTTGAATTTTGACAATTTTAGAGACAAATTTATTTAAAAAAAAATATTTTATTTTTGATTCGAATATAATGACGGAAACTTACTGAAGAGCTAACTGTTGTTGCTGGAAGTTCTGGCCAAGGAGTATTTGCCAAAATAGCATTTGAAATGTCCGTCGTAAAATCGACAAAATCCAACGTGTTTTCTGTTGTAGAAGGAATTATAAATGATGGAGCTGTTGTTGGAATCAAAAAAGAGTCAAAAGATTCAGTCGTATCTGGAAACAAGCCTTGAAAGAAATCGCCCGTGGTTTCAATGTTGAGAATGTCAAACCAACTTTGAGTCGTTGTGTCGAGAAAAAGATCGATGTTTTCTGTAAAAAGTGGGCTGGGATTCTCTGTTGGCGATTGTCGTTTTTCTCTTGAGACTGTACTTTTGCTTGATGATACTGTAACAAGCGAAAAAAAAGCTTTCATTTCAGACTCAATCCGATGGAAAAAAAAAAGTTAATTTTGTTCTCTATATTTTTCTTTATTTGACTAAGTCTTGGGCTGCGTGTGAGGTGCTGGTGCTGGGCTAAAATGAGAGCGATAATGGGAGGAGGATGATTCAACCGATCGAGGACTGAGTTGGTGGAGGAGCACCTCGCCGCACACAATCACGTAAAAGCATACTCAGCGTTTTAAATGCCCTCATGACGCAATTTTTAATATTCGTCATTCCAAGAAATTTTTCTGAGAGTTTCTTTTTGAACAATTAAATTTTAGAAACTTTGATAAAATTAAATAAATTTATTGAATATATTTTTTGGCAATTTTTAATTGGCAGCAGCTTGATAAACAACAGAATAGATACAGGAACACGTTGTTAACGTTATTCTTATTAAATTGAAGTAATTGTAACTGATGATGCTCATTTGCATAAGTCAGCATAAAACGACATGGAATGTCCGACGATGTCACAGAGCTGTCGATTGAATGGAGTGAAGAATTCCTTCAGCGCTTCGATTTGATCTTTTCCAAGCTCCAAATAAGAAGGATCGGCCAAATTCCTGAAAATACAAATTTGAAATTTAGAAATTCGATTCCGTAAATGTCATTTTACCCTGTTCGTCCCTTTGATTTCGGAAGGCAGAAAGTTTTCTTCATATTTTCGGGCCTCTTGGCGCAGTAATAACCAGTCTCCTCGTTGATGAAAAAGTGCTCATTCGTGAGCACGTGATCCAAGTTCAAGAAATCCTGCGCCTTGTCCATCGTCTTGTACGGTGCGTTTAGGGTTTCTTCTCCGTCGAGAAACAGAATCTGATCGCGCGGAAAGTAATCCAGCCAGTGATTGAGATAGTGCGAGTAGATACTATTAGTTTTAATTAGGCGAGGGAGCTTTGACAGGCGGAGGAAACCATTTTTCAATAAAAGATTAAGGATCCGAAAGATAATTTCCAAAAAAGGCTTTATTTCAAAATTTTTAAACTAAAAGTATTTTCTGGTTGTAATTACCTGTTTGTGAAAATGCTCGCTGTAATGTCATGGTAGTAGACGTCTGTAAGATACTCCTCTCCCTGCTCTAGAATGTTTCGTTTCACTCTTGGCAGCCATTCGTCGACGAAGGAAGAGATGTTTTTGTATCCCTTGATTTCCTGCGCGTGGGGCTCGGTCGTCAACGTCGTGTGGATAAAATCCGAGCGCATGCGTTTGATCGGGTCGCAAAGAGTAATGATGATCTTCATGTCCTTGCTGATCGCCTTGGCTCTAGCAGGGACAGAAGACTCAACTAGGTAGCGAGGAGTGCCTTCGTAGGTGATCTGGCCGGGCTCGCTTGTCGGTAATTTTCGCTTGTAAGACTGGAATCCGCCTTTCCATTGCGAATCCTTGTACAGCCAGTGTCCTTCTGTATAGCTCGTTCTTCTGAAGTCAGGATTCAGGCTGAGGAAATAGGCAAAGGCGATCGTTCCGCATTTCTTGGCACCAGCTCCGATTGCATCTGGCGGCCGGATGTCGTCGTTTTCCCCCGCGTTCATTTCAAAAACCTCTTTTGTTTGTCGCTTGCCCCATCTTGACTATGAAAATTGGCATAAAAGGTCCCTTGAAGCTTGCACTTTGTACCTTGTCGACAGGAGCAGGAGTATACCAATCCGACTCCATAAAAAAAGTAAGCTTGAAGTTTCTATATGCTCGTTCATTTTTAAAAACCAGGATCAATGAGCCGACTAGAAGGTGTATAATTAACATTCGCTAAGCTGGATTAACTTCATGAATCTGAAGTACTTACGACAGAGTAGAACAAGTAATATTCGACGAACTCGTAGCATATCCATGCGGAAGGTCCGCGGAATTGACCTTAAGAAAATTAAAGAACTGAACTTAATTTCCTTTCCATTTAAATCAAGTGTGAAGTAATTAATTTAACGAAATTTCCGATTTCTGGTGTACTATATATTCAACATGAAAAAGTTACCTATTGAATCGCCTTATTATATTTCCGATCATGCATTAGGAACACTAAGAGTCTCTTTATTTGGTTATTTTTCGAAGACAAAGGATATTCATGATACCACAAATGACGGTCAAATTTTACGATGTAATTACGACGTATTGGCGTCTATGACTTTTTTCACCTTCAACAGACTTAGCCTCATCAAAGTGCGCTTTAGGAATAACGCTATTGAAAGCAATCAATCACTGTTTTTCGCTTACCGTTATTGTTTCTCTCTCAGCGGTACCTCACAGCGAAATCATGAGTATGTTGCACTAGAATCGGCGCCTGTGCCCTAAAGCCCTTCCACCTACTCTGACATTTACAAAAATGCAGCACCGGTAATCCGTCCCGATTCTTTCCATGCAGCAAAGTGAAAATGTTGCATTCCATCTTTCCGTTGCTCCAAAAGTCACCTTTTAAGTTGGAACGGATTGTTTTTATTATAAATTTTTTTCTAAAGATATATTCGAACACGTGCATAAGCGATTTGAACTTAGGGCATTTAGAAAATGGGCGAAAATGTTCAGAACAAGCTAATCCCTCCCTAAATCTAATAAGCAAAGTTATTTTACATTATCACTCATCTTTTTACAGGGCAACTGTGAAAATATCTATATACGAGACGGCGTCACTAAGAAACTTAAGGGGATCAAGCGCGGTAAACTCATTTTTTCAAAATATGCTCATCTTTGTCGTAACGCTGAGAGAGCCCTAAGTCTGGTCAATATCCTTATTCTTCATTATTGCTGTTTCTCGCTTTCTCGAATGTCGAGATTTTTATTTTCGTTTCTAGGTCTAGGTCTCTTTAGATATCATCTGCGAAGAAAAGAATTAGAATTTGCCCGGACGGGCCTCGTAACATTTCTGCGCAATGTTCCGAGTCACGAAAATGCTTAGGTAAGGCGATTAGATTTCGATTATTCTGCTGTATTTCTTCATAATGTGGGTTTAACATGAAAATAACTGAAAATATTGCTTGAAAAAGGCCGGATTTATTTTCTTAAAACTGTGACCATTCTAGCAATGAAGGTTTATCGGATTTAACAAGTGTTTCAGGCGCAAACTTTCAGAAGTAGTTATGAAGAAAAATATGTAGAAAAACAAGCAAGACCATCAAAAGAAGTATTTTATTATTATCTCAAGTTGCCAATGCAGGACTTATTTTCGTCTCCAAATTTAGAGGGAGGTTCTTTGAGTTTGACCCAGTTGTTGAGCTTTATCTGTCAATTAATACTGTAATAGAAGGGGCGCGTGGTCCAACGTACTACCGAAAAAAAGAAAAAGGTAAAAAGTCCGATTTCCGATTTGCAAACTCGGGAGTCGAGACAGTAAATAAAAGAGAAAAAGCCAAAAAGTGGTAATTGTTCACCTCAAAAGTTGACGGGTGGAAGCGCGATTCGCTTATTGAAGCTGACAACGACGCAGTGCTCCGAAAGCTAAAAGAGCGACTTGTCTACTGCTGTTTCGAAATGCAGCCGGAATTCTTCTGAAATGGGCAGGAGTGTATCAGAGAGCGTTCTTTCCATGCTACAGACAGTTTTCTTCTTTTGCCCGGTGAAGCGGCGATTCAGAGAGGGGATAAAATAAATCCGTTTTTATTCCTTGTTGATTTCAATCGTGACAATCCTCGAAAAAAGAAGGCGTAAAAGCTTGCCGCCAGATTTTAAAAAATCGTTGAATGAAAAAAAATGCACGCACTCAAGCCTCGTTTTCATAAATTCAGTAGCCAGTATTACTTGTCCATCATAATGATTTCAAGATAAGGGAGGGAATAAGATAGAAAATCCAAAGTTTTCGGTTCCAATCCCTGATGAAAAACGATTGACAGCTTTACTTCTCGCCAAGACTCAAAACTTGTAGAAGACGAGATTTGCGACGAGTTCCAAGTCCTCTACGAAGCAAGTCTTCTGGGTCGCCAGAGCTCGCAGAAGAGCGACAAGTCCTCTAGGAGCTACACGAAGCGATCAAGTTATGAAATCGCAGCAGAAAACCGCATTGCTTCGAGTGCTTCATGCAATGGCAATTTGGGAACTCTGGACCGCGAAGAGCTTGGACAAGGAAGTTTGTATTTTCTCGCATTTTTTCATTAAAAAAAATAAGTTACGCTAAAACGATCTCTCTCTAATCGCTCTCACAATGCAAGAATAATTCGTGCCAACTCACCTCACAAATGTAAGTAAACCTTTCTTCAGAACTGATAATTCTTGACTATTTGCGTTTTCAGTGAGCGTTACGAAGTCGTTTAACAAAAGTGTGAATTCGGTACAAGATGCAATCAACTGGATGGTTAAATAAATTGATATTCATCATTTCGAAAGAAATAAAGCTGAAGAGATCATATCATTAAGATGATGTTGTGTTCTTTAGGGACCAATGCGTTTCTTCTTTTGTCGAATCGCTCGTATGTCGCAACGGGGCACACCATTTCTTTTAAAATAGTAATTAAAAAGTGACTCCTTACTGAGTAAAATTTACCATAGTTCAAATAAGAAGTAATAAAGCCATAAAACAGGAAAATAGAGCAGCTTGTCCACCAAAGAAACCAAATAGCTAGAGTGAGCGCGCCAGACAAATAAAATCCTTTAACAAAATTTAGGATAATGACTAAAAGGACTGATTGATGGATTCTCAAAAGACTATCGATAAAAGGGGGTGTATGGCGCCCAGGTTATGCATGCATAGGAAAATGCAGGAAAATGCATAACCTGGTTATGGCATAACCTCGGCGCCCGACACCCATAAAAGGGCGTGCTTTGCGCCTCAAAGGTATAAATTATTCTCTGGAAATATGTTCTAAGTGCGTTAGTGAGATCCCATTGTCGAAAATCCAGCACCATATTGAAGTGTGATTCGCCTGGCCGTTTGGAATTTCTCTTTATTTGGTATAAAATTTGGGTAATTGCGAATTGAGACTAAAAATTTTAGATACCATTTTTTTCTGAAATATTTTTTGATCATTTAGAAAGAAAAAAATTGGCAACGATGAGACTTGACTGCGTCTCATCTTGAGCATCCCTGGTTACTGATAGCAGCTCTGTGATATCGAAAAAGGACTCCTTTAACTTATTAGGCTATCAGCTTGTTAGAAAAAATCTTGTTTTGGAAACAACGAGAAAGATAGTTTTTTTATAATTTATTGGTCTAATTCTAGTTTTTGACTGTGACAGGAAGAGTTGAAATAATTTGGATTCGAAATGAGGTAAGAAAAAGTAAAAAATGCTGCATCTTCCAAGCCAATATTCGCGGAAGCCATTGTCGATCTTCGTGAGTCGTTGTTGAGTCCAAGCCAAGGTCGTAGTCCAAAAAACGTTACTCTTTTTTTTGTTTGTTTCACTTCGAGCTGGTGGTTGAAATCTCCATTTTCTGTCGCTTTGCAGCACTGTCATCACCATCCACATCGTCATCTAGTTTTCTCTTTCGCTGGGCTCGAAGGATATCGTTCAGCGGAATATCCGCATATCGCCAGTTTCCGTAGCTGATGACATACTTTCTTCCTGTCTTTGGGTAGTACTTGACGAGGTTAGCTAAAATATCATTTCAAACAGTTGATCGAATATATTCAATTACCGTTTTCCCAGTTCATGTAGAAAATATAGCCATTTCCGTTCTTGAATTCAGCATGAGTGCCAATATTGCCCTTAGAGTTCTGGAACCATTCGATCTGATTTTCGTCGTATAATTCTTTCAGAACATCTTAATGTAGAAAATAAGTTAACCAACAAATAAAATAGTATTCAGACCTAAGACGTGCACCGGATTCACATCCTTGTCAAGCAACTCCTGCTCTGGGACTTCTCGGTGGAGATAGTCCTCATTTTCATCCATTGCGTCTATTTCCTCATCGTCCTGCGCCCAAACGTGGTCGATAACGTCTTCACTCCAGTCGAAATCGACAGGAATCGCCTCTTCAAAGTCCGAAATCGTCATGTTCACGCGCCAGGTATTTGTTTATTGTTTGGGGTTTGTCGCGTGCGTACCACGAAGCAGCGGTACTCAGCTGAGTAGGTTCCGCTTTTTAATCCCCCAATCAGCGCTAGAAAACCCCTAGAAAGCCCTCCGGCGTTTCGACCTCCATACTGACCTTTAAGGTAGAAGCTACGCCGTAAACTGTGAATGTTCCTCCTTGATTGCAATCGAGCAAGGTCAAGGTACATGTATTGAAAGATAACTTGATTTCGTCAATGGATGATTCGAAAATGAACAGCCTGTAGCCCGTATGACAGTTTTGTCAACGGTAATCTACCCATATAAAGTCACCCCGCATAATCCACGTAAGATAATCACGCGAAACCAGAAAGCCAGCGACACCAATTATATTTTTTTTTCAAAAAGAGATGAAGTTTTTTGTCGCCTTCGCTTTTGGATATTTTCTAGTCTCTGCGACCACGTTTCACCCCTGGAGATTGTAAGTGATTGACAACCTTAGAAGTCTATTTAATTGCTGACGCAATTGAAATTTATTTTTAATAATGCTTTCTAAAGTCGATCAGTCAAAGAACGAAAGTACTGGCGTTTTAATAATTAAAGCCATGTTCATTTTCTTCGATTATATAAATACACTTCTGCAATCCGGTTTCAATAATGAATTAACATTAAGCTGAAATAAAGCCCCTCAGCGATTTTTCACGCGGTTACCTACTTTTGAGAAAAAAAGGGAGGGAAAAACCCGAAAGAGAATGATTATAAAAAGTTTATTGCTTTATGGGACTCTCGTCGCTGGTTTCAGTGGTCATTTTAACCCCTTTGACTAGTAAGAACATAGGAAAAATTATTGTCGGGAACAATTATTTATAATTTTTATTTACTATTTTCATTATTTTTTCAATAAAAAAACTTTTAAACGAAAGCTGCTAAATTGTAACAGAACTCGATAAATATTATAAATTCATCGACGTTGCAGAACCATCTTTATGGACATCTTATTGGCAAATAAAGCAAGCTTTCGTTTTATTCTTAAATAAGACAGCTAAATATATATTTTTAGTGTTGATTATGATTACGAGGAAGATTCCACACCCCCACCAGCATCAATTTATGACAACCTGAACAAAAATCCAAAAGCGATGAAAGATCTTATGCGACTAAAAGTAATGATTTAAACTAAAGCAGAACACAGCGGACAGACTATTTTAGAGCGCATTTACGATGTACAACTTGCTGGAGAAAAATAGTAAGCGCTCGTCTCCGTATCTAAGTTCTTCTAATTATGAGTGATGAGAACGAGTTTGTATTTGAGACCCTCTTATCGTAATCAAAATAAAGTGTTGACTGCACCTGCTTGCATGTCTTTGATTGCACGTGACTGACACTGTGAGCGACAAGTGAAAATTGCATGAAAAAGAGAAATCAAGGAAGTTTTGTTTTATGATCTTTAGATAAAGCAGCCGTTAGATTCTGGAAACCAGTCAGAACGGAACCTGCATATTACAGTTTGTACGAGATCTAATTGAAAATTCTGTCGTGCTAAAATATACAGTGCCCTCTTATCTCATCATACAGCCGTAGAGCAGAAATGTTTATTGAGCAAAAAATGGGTAGATTACGTGGCAAAACGAATCGCCGACAAATCGAAGAGCTTAATGTGGTGTGATTGAGATGAAACCATTAGAAGCCGATCTAAATTATGTCAGTCGTAATAGCGGATGAGCAGATTTGCCTTGGTTACAGTCTCCCCAGACTTATAATTAACTCATGTTATAGTAGAAAGCATATAATATATCCCATATATTATATATATATGATACAGCCACTTACGGTAAGTGACTTACCTTCGTTTATGACGAGGACTCGGGGTGCGATAATACCGTCTACTTCTACAAGAATATGATTTCGAAACTTTCCTTCTGCCGTATAAAAATCGATCTAAAATCAAACTTGGACCGTTGCTATAAATGACAAAATGCTCACTCTGTTATTTCCTTCATCGGCGACGAGCAATCCATTCGCCCAATCCAAGAAGACGATTCCCTCCGGAAAACTGAGCTCCCCATCTCCTCTCCCTTTTCTTCCGAATCTCGACAAGAACTCGCCCTTGTCGCTGAAAATCTTGACACAGTGATTGTGATGGTCAGAAACGTAGATTCGATTGTCTGGTCCTGTTGTGACATAACTTGGCGACTTGAACTGATCATTTTTGGGCCCAAAGCTGCCGAAAGAAAACAGCTTCCCCGTCGCTCCAAAAACTGTGACGGAGTTTTTCTCCAAGTCTGTGAGAACGTAGCGGCCCTCCCTATCGATGCAGACGCCGTGCAGGTCTTTAAAATCTGGATGGGTGAATGTCGAAGTTAGCGTGCCACTGGCAGTCCACAGCGTAACAGTCCGCTTGCAAACCATCGCGATCGACTTGTCCGGGGTTACTTAAAATTGCAAGGATTTTAAATCATAATCATAGCGACTCTTATACCCGTCAGACAAGTAGGCTTGGCGGCAGCATTGATTTTGATGGGTTCTGTTGCTTCCCAACTAGAATTGAAGACAACGACTCTTCCTTTGTCGACAGCCCAGCATCCACCGCCAGGAATCTGGATATACCATTCGATTTATTTGAATTATTTTTCACTTACCAAAGTGATACCCTTAGGAGGTCGTAAAAAGGCGCCGTTCCCCTTCCCCTTTGCCCCTAGAACTCTAATCGGTTGCAAATTAAACGGAGACTCGTGAACAATGGGCCGATTTTCAAACTGAGGCGTTTTCGCTCTTGGAATTGTCGAGTTCTCCTTAGGTTTTGATGGTGGTGGAGGCGCTCGGCGCTTGAGACTTCCTGTTGAAAAAGTTCTTCCGATCGAGGGTGGAGAGGACTTCTTTGGCGAGGGAAGTTTCTTTTGATAAAAAGGTCTGATGCCAGTAAGAGTGGAAACATTGCTGTCCCATCGAGTAACACCAATTTTATTCGAGCGTGAGAAGTTAGCGGATAAATTTTCGCTCGGGTCAAAATCGTCGTCCTCCTTGATTTTCCGTTAGTAGGATTTTGGTTTCTGTATATCAGTACCTCTGACATGTAAGAAGACATTGCCTCGCTGCCGATAGAAGATGTTGATCCAGCTCGTAAATTTTCAATTTCATATTTGATCTTGCTCGAGGAGGACTTCGTCGATCGATTGTGCTCGACAACATCGCCGGGGACATCTGGCATGTCCGAAATGTCAAAGTCAGATGCGTTAGAATCCGTAGAGCTCGATGGATCCGGCGCTTCCAGAAAGTTAACTTTCTTGACGACTTTGATTTCTGCCGTCATCGGGAGATTTTGGACGAGAGTGTGGACACGGACGCTTTCGATGGTTGCTATTTTCTCGCGGCAGAGTTTTGAGACGTTTTTGTCTCTTATATTGGTTGATAAAGTGTCAAATCAATAAAAAACTTATGGAAGAATTCAAAACCAACATCTGAGCTCTTCAATATTCTCGTCGATTTTTCTGAGTTCCTCGAGTTTTTTCTCCAAATTATTTTGAACCTCGACAATGATCCTATCTTGCTCCTCTCGTAGCTGTTTGAAAAGCTTTTCATAATGATTTGAAATCGTGACTAAACTGCACGTTACAAGCTCCTCATGCTCTTCTCGAATTTTTTGGATAGCATTTGAGTTCTGGACGTCTTTTTCGAATATCCGGTCGATCAGCTCATTAAGAACTTGTTTCGCCACTTCTGCAGCTGTCTTCTCTGAAGCCATCTAATGGAAAGAAGTTGAATAAGGAAAAAACAGCGCGCTTACCGTCATGTAAGTCATATCTGAGACAAGCCCGGGCCGGTGGAGGAGCGGTTACGTAGAGCTACCGCCGTGCAAATTGATCAAGCATTTTACACCAATTGAAGAGCTTATTTAGCGATTTAAGATTGAAGCTCTATTATTTTTTAAGTTTTAGCCCCGGGCTTTGGAATGAACACTGACTCAGCCTCACTGTCTGTTTGTTACAGTCTACTGCAGTCGAAAAGTGAGATAGTAGCTAACAATTACAATCAAGAATTGTTGCTTGGACACTGGATAGAACTCAGACTGGAGCAAGCAATCCAGAAGTAAGCTCACCGAAATGGAAAGACTGATGCGCTGTAAATCTCTATCTCGATATTCAATTTGCGTTGAAATCCATATTTCGCGGGGAGCGTTTCCTCCAATTAGCCCTGGTGACAGTCCTTCAATCTTTTCCATCCTCATTCTACACAGGTCGTCGTAGATTTGTTGGCTCAACTAGAGAGGAAGAATACCAATTAGAGCTTTCTTTTTGAGTGCAGTAGACCGCAGCAGCAGGATTTAGGAAAATAACGCGACCGGAAAACCGAGTATTTTTGGAATTCTAGCATTTAAAAGTAAAGGAACGTGGAGAGTCCAGCGCTATCACTGCTTTAATAATAATAATGATAAGCGAGACAGGTGTCACTTTGATGCTACTAAACGCTCGCTAATGGCGCTTTCTAGTAATTACTCAGGCGCCCTTTTCCGTTTAACAACTTTTGGACTCTGAAGCTGGTTTAGATTGATCGTTTTGACGAACAGGCCACGATTTTGAAGCTTAACGCCTCCTGCTGATTGAAAAACATCCGCAGAGCAAGCCACAGCCGCCTAAATAGAGTCATTACAATCACAAGAGAAACCGCCACGAAGAAATCTACTGTAAGAAAAATCGCGTTTTTTCTTGCGTTCTTGAAGGTTCAGTAACAGGTGTGTGTTTATTGCGCTAAGCTTCAGTTTTGTCACCACTTTCGGGAAACTTATCCATTTTTCTATTTTTGCACTTTTTGTAGCTATAATTTGAACTCTAAAACAAGCTCTTAACATTTCTTAAAATTCAACAAAAGAATTGAAAAAGAAAGTGTAAGGCGATGAATTAGAAATAAGAAGCCTTCCTGTGGTTTATATTCAAATAAAAACACGCTCTACGGGCAAATGACGCGAGTTTTAAACTTATTAAAGTTTCCAAGTTAAATTCAAAAGAATTTTTATTTGAATTTAGGCGTCGGCGAGTGTGGTGTTGGATCACCGGACGTCTCATTAAGGATATCAAGTGCGCTGGCTCGGATCAGCCGCAGTTTTATTAATGAAGAGCCGCCTGTCTTTAGAGAGCTTCGACTTTTACTGAAAACGAAATTGTTGCTCGCCACAAACTTAGAATGGCACTGACAGAATGCAAGGAAGAGAGAACCAACTCCGCAGGTTTTGTCATTTCGTCAATTAAGGATCTCCACGGTCGATTTTTCCCCGAGAATCTTTTGCTTCGAGCTCCAATGAATTACTGTGAAAGAGATCCTTAAAGTAGAGCAAGTTTGTTGACTCTCGGAAAGAAAGCAATCTCACCCTTACCGACACAATCATCCAGAAGTATTGCGACCTGCACGTATTATTCAGTGAGGGCGAAGATCTGATCCCGACTCCTCCTGAGGATCTTTTTTACTCCGTTTTGTACATTGTACTCTTCATTGTTGGCTTCTTGGCGAATATAATCGTTATTGTAACTCTAGGATCGTTCTTAACTTGCGCTAAAAAGGTGAAATCAGCGACAGTTACAGAGCTTTTACAGTGAATCACCGCCATGTTCTTATTACTTCCGCTCATCTCTACGTTCTTCATCTTTCAATAGCCGATTTTATTTTCCTTCTGAATATACCCCTAGCCACGTTTTCTCTCAGTTAAACTCTCAAAACTGGCGTAATAAGAGGGGTTGAAAACGCATTCAAGTTATCCACTCCAGCCGCCTCCATCCCGAACAGTGGCCTTTTCGAGGAATTATAGGGGAAGTGCTTTGCTACGTTCATCGCTCCGCTGCCACCATCAATTTCATCGTTTCAATTGGCTTGCTCACAACTCTCGCTGTTGATCGATACTTAGGTTGGTTAAAACGACGATAAACCGCAATGCCCAACATTTTGATAATTTTTTAATTAGTGCTCGTGAAGAATGCGTGGAAAACGGTCAGGATAAGAGTTGGAGATGTTCACTGCTTCGGTAAATTACTTGTGCGAAACCAATACCGCTATTTATACCTGTATTCTGGTATTTGAGTTTGATAGATTTCTGATGTCATAAATCTATTCGCTACATATCCGATATGTTATTTTGAAAGGGTGTTCGTAGTAAACAAAAACGTTAAAAAAAACTAATACTCTCAGCTTGTGACAGAACGAAGTCCCGTCCACCAATGCTCGCCCATCTCTATGTTGCGGGAATTTGGCTCTTTAGGTCTTGGTTCACACTTTTCAACAGATAAACTCCTTTGAAAAGGCACACAAAGTGACCCACAATCAGTTTGCTTCTGGCCACCCCCAACATGATGGCAACTAGCTACAGTGAAACAAACGATACCGCCAAGTGCTCCGTAAATTGGACTCTTATGGACGCATGGCTCCCTGAGTATCCAAAGAACTCAGAGCTCGCGCTTGAAACTCAAGGAAATGTCTCCTTCTACGTCTACGATGATGAAAGTCTTTACCTGCAGAATCTCACTCACGAGGATCCACTTTACTTTGGATTTTCCGATTTGGGGTCTTTCGGCAACGAAAGTGATCTTCTTGAAATGTTCGGTGGAACGACAGAGGAAGAGAACGAACTGCTCGAAGAGGCTGGCTGGATAAATAACACTGATAGGTGTCGGGAATTCATCAAACAAGCGAATGAGCAATACGAGGTACTAGAACTGTTATCAGATCCGGGGCGGAAAAGGTTAATAACTCAGGGACTCGTTAATGAAGAAAGGTTAAGAAGCGAATATACATCGGAATGACCTTTTAAAAACTAAAGCATAAAAACATCATAAACTAGTAATACTTAGTACTTAGAAATTCTAAAAAAATCAAATAAAAATGCATAAACTCGATATTTAGAATTCAATATCCGACGCTCAAATGTACCACCTCGAGCAAACTTACAGCTACTGCTCAGTGCCAGAGCCACGATCAAGAAAAATTGTAAGTAAAAAAATGCTACTTTCCATCATAACAATCTCCTGTCTGCAGTGGCTGTGGGTACTCTTTATCAGCTGCTGCGTAATTCCTGCATTCGTGATGATCTTCTGCTACACGCGATTCTGGTTCCGCGTGAAAAAAGTAACACGGGATGTGCAAAACTTTCAAAATTCGAAGCGACGAAACAAGATGGATTCAACGAGGAGACTCGCTATTCTAGTGGCAGTGTTGTGCAGTTCATTTTTCCTGTGCTGGGAATGGATTTCGGAATTCTAAGAACCAATCAATTAAAAATTTTATTTTCAAATCGAAATCCATCAGACTCCATTTCACGTGTTTCACATTTTTCGAGCAACTGGAATCAGCGTCAACAGTACAACTTGCGCAACTCTTCGCGATGTCCTCTCAACGATGGCCTACGTAAACGCCTGCCTCAATCCTATTCTTTACTCTGTAAGAAATTTTCTCGTTGACTGGCCAAATTTTGAGCCTTTTAGTTTATCGGAGCTCGTTTCCGCGACCGCGCAAGATCCGTTCTGTTGGAAAAACCACTCCAGCTCAAGAGAAAGATGAGCACGAACATTTCTGAGGGCAACACGCAACTAACTCGCTTTTCATCAAATCGAGCATCTTTTGCCTACAACTCAAGCAGGCTTTCAGACTCCTCGAGGGCTTCGGTCAGTGATTTTTGCAAACCTTTTTTCTATAAATTATTTTTAGAGCGAGTCTTCAAACAGTAAAGCTTTTCAAAAAGGGTCGAAATCGACGGCTTTCCGTTCAAAATCCGTTCCGATTCCCGAAGAAACATCCCTTCTCGGAGAAATTTATGAGAATTCCTCGGCTGGCAATCTTCCTCGTTCTTCTCAATAAAAATGAACACTTCTCAAAATAAAATATTCAAAGCAAAATCAGATCAATGATATCAGTTTATTCAAGACTCTGGAAGAAAGAGATTAGATAGTTGGTCGTGTATGTCAGGGGAAATGGAACCTTTGGCGGAGTCAGACTGAGGGACCGGTTCCCGATCCAGCTGATTTTCAGGGAAATTCGAAAAAGTGGGGACTTCGGGAAGTAGAAATCTCGGAGGCTCTCTCTCTGGTATGTTTGTACCCTTGTTATGCTTTTGGAACTTGGTTTGAGTTTGTGCATCCTTTTTATTCTTTGGTATCTTGTAGTTCTTTGTTCTTATCAAGACTTCTTTGAAGCTGTCGATATCGTCGAACTTGATGATTTGCAGCAATATCGTCGAAAGTTGATCCCTGGTGATGTTCAATCGGTCGTAAAAGTACTCTGTCAGGGTCAAGAGAAATTCGATCAAGTCGGGCTTGTATAGAAGGTCCAAGTTTTCTTCTTCCGATCCAAGAATTTCGATAATTTCATCGTCAACATCGCACGCGCCGACGTACATCCAAGTTAGGAGAGAGATCATCTGCGGGAATGCCTTGTCGAAAAATAACGAGAAATGTTTTCTGCTAATTCGACTTGTACCGAGAGTATTCTTCCTGTAGTTTTCGTCACATTGGAGGGAGTGGGCAATGAAGTTCCGCATGAATCTGACGAAATCCACGAGTGAATGCTCATCTAAGTGAGCTGTATCATTCTAAAGGCGTAAGTAAAGAATAGGGAAGAAGAACGAATGCAACTAACCTTGTGTTCTTCCATGTAACCCCTAAGCTGAGGATGGTCCTTCCAACTGGTTGTTGGTTCAGGCCAGGCCAAAGGAGGATGATCTGGTATTGGAATAAGACTTGTTGATTCCCGTATAATGAGCTCCGTGAATCTGGGCGACGTAAGAATTGCACGTAGAATTTGGAACTTTTGTTTTCGCGAGTCTCCCTCAAACACTTGGTTCAGCTTGGCTCTCTGCAGTTCATTGTTGAAGTTGTCCATGCACATCATCTTTATCGACGGGTAAACAGCATTAAAAACTTTATCAGGATTGCGCTCGTGGGTCATCTGGGGCAAAATTAGTTACCATCCATGTTCTAGGATAATTACCTGTAACTTGTGCCTGAGCAAATCTTTTGCTCTCAAACTGCTCAAGGAGGGAGTTCTTTGTGGTGGTAGATGAATATCTTCAGCGATTTCCATCCCATTGAAGAGATTATCATTGATATCTTCCAGCAGGTTATTATCATTGTTGTCTTCCATTATTCTCTTGTATCAGCTACTGTTTGCCTGATGGAAATATATCAAAAAGTGACGAATGTGTTGTTTGACTTTTCCCACGAATAGTAATTTTGCTCACAATGACTCGTGCGCGCAAAAAAGATAAAAACGAACGTACGTATGTTTTTCTTGTTCTGAAAATTTTTTCAGTAAAACGGAAGTGGTGACTAAAAATGAATAGCGCTGCTCTTTATGCAATCGACGATGTCGCCCTTCCAAAAAAAAACACCGACAAGTAAGTTGTTTTCTCAGGTGAAACACTGTCAGAATTTAGGGCAGCGTTGATTTATGATCGCAATCGCAAAACCAGCCGAGCACGAAACTATCCCTATTTGGGAACCCTCAAGAAGTGTATTCTCAGCAAACATTCGCTAGACACGGTGCATGCACAAATCGTGAGATAATCTTATTTATTTCCTTCCACCAGGGAAAATGTAGTTACTCTTTGTACAACAAAGGTGTTTGAAAGCACATCTTCATATTCTTCTGGACCTGCCATAGATGCACTTGTCGATTTCTTGACTAACAGCCTCTTCGTGCAGCCCCGAGAAGGCGTTGATGCAGCGGCCGTCTTGGAAGATCCTGAACGTCGGAGTGCCGCGCACGTCCTCATCCCACAAGATCCTTCCGAGTCCCTTATTGAGTTGAGTTACGAGCACGTTCTAAAGTTCAACCCTTTCCTACCCTCTCGTCACAGTCGATTAACACCATGTCAAGCTTGTCATAGTAGCGCGTGTTGAGTTGCTCGAGCTCGGGGAGAATCCGCTGACTGATCAAAGCAGATCCAAAAGATCAATTCAAAGATACGGTTCATAAAGCGCTAATGACGCCCTAAATCAACCTTGATTACTTACTCAAGTTGATTTAGTACGTTAATCTTTTTGGACCTGTAACAGAACAGACACTGTTTTGAGAAAAAAACTGCCACGGAAAGTCGACCCATTTGGACCATTTCGGTAAACTCGTCTTCGGTTTTTATTCTTCGGATCTTTTTCGTGGCGATTTCGCCTCCGTTGACCGTGGGTTTGTACTGTTATTTGCTCTATAAAATGGAAAATCAGGGATTTTACCGCTTGCTTTGAGCAATGTCCTGTTGAACGAAATGTCGGAGTCTTGTCTCGTTTGTTCCGATGATTGAAACAAGCTAAAAAGTAAAATTTACCTGGAAAGTTCTTTTATACTTTTTTCTTACTTCTAGTCCGCTTTGGTAAAAAGAAACAGTTGGATAAGTTCGGACTTCTTCGTTCAACGCAACTTTTCTCAGCGCGTAATCGTCTGTGTCGACTCTTTTAGAATATTATTTCGAGATTGAATCTTTGAAAAGTAAAAACCTGATGAAGCGCGCGTGACCGCGAAATTCAAGCGCGACGGATTTGAAGATGCTCTCGTAATATCTGCACGGATTGAACATCGAATCCGTAAAGAAGCAAACTGTCAAACCGCCGCTTGTGATTCTCTCTCTGAAATGCTCTGCATTTTCGATGTTTTCAACGGCCGAGACGGGCTTCTGGAAGCTCTCCGCGCTGGGAAATTGATTGAGGGACAAGGACGCCTTGGCATTAGCCTTCTCGAAGCGTGCGAGGTAAGATGGGTTTATGTACGGCCCGCGTACTACCATGCTAAAGCGAAAAATGATGTTTATGGGAGGATTTTCAAAAGAAAATTTCTCGTCATCGAGTTCTAAGTAAGTAAATGCTCTTTCTCTCGGCGAATTTTCGACTTTCAAAAAGAGAAATGAATGAACTTTAAATAATTTCAACCACCCGCGAACACGAGCGCGTGTGACGCGGAAACACAGACACTGCTCGTTGTCGAATGCCAAGAACAGTATGAAATATGTGGAGCTCGTTACTCTATTACTGCATCTGTCAACTATCAGATCAGACCACCGTGACAAGAGATCAACTCACGCTCAGTACTTTCTCAGGAATTTCAAAAGACTGAACTCACACTCGTTTGTCATTAATCATACGGTATGATTCATACCTTACTTGAATCTCAACGCAAGAATAACAAGACACATTTTTTAGTTTTAAATAGAGCGATTACAATAATCGCTGATTACGATTTATTTTCTGACACAATAATCAGCAGGTGCTTCCAAAAGAACGGGAATTTCATTTATAACGGCGTGGCTGATTACTGTTGCTTGTATCAACTCGTCTCCATGAAAATCGAGTCGTTCAATAGAATGTGGACTTTCGTAGCCAGAAACGATGAAGATTGAATTGTTAATCATTATTACAGATCCTGAATCATTCGCCTAAATTTTAATTAGCCTTATAATCAGCTAATTTTTGAAACTCACGTTTTCAAGATTGCCAATCTGAGTCCACAGGTCATTTTTAAGAAGCCAGATTGCAGTTTGTGGAACATCATCTTTATCTAGTCCCCCAGCAAGCAAAAGGCTTCCACTTGGAAGGCCGATCAAAAAGTGATGGGCGATTTCACTGAGAAAAAAAAAATTCAAAAAAGAACAAAAATGTTTAATTACCTTGGAAAATCGCCTAAAAACGACCAGCCAGAAGAACTGAGTGTCTCAACTTTATTCTGCCCTTCCCAGGAGTAACTTCCAACTGTCGTTGGTTGTCCTTTGTACAGCCCTAGCTTTCCACCGTCATGTTGAAAATTGGCTTCATGCGCCGAGACTGTTGATGTTCCATCGAAAAGTTCACATTTTTTATTCGACTTCATGTCAAAACAAATCAATGCTTCTTCGCCACCGGCCGTCGAAAGTGCTGCAGACCAAGGGTAAATTTCATTGATCAACCTTGTGGGTTCTTCTTTCCATTCACAATTTTCTAATTTGGCGATCTGAACATTAAAAATTAGTTTCATAGAAGATTGAATAAAATAACCTTCGATACGTCCGGCCATCCACCAAAAATAAAAACTACTCCGTTGACAAGAGCATGAGTAGGTGTAATGGTAGAAAAATCGACCCCGTGATCGCCTTTTCTAAACTTCTTTTTTGATGCAGAATAAGAATCGTTAGGTCGCGGCGATCATTTCGATACCAAATCCATGAAAATCCGACTTGGTTTTCGGCATAAAGGTACCATTTGAAGTCCAAAAATGAGCACTAGAAATCTTCTACCGCCCGGAAAGGGATGAATACTCCAGCCTATCAGTACATGCCTAGTTCCAGATTGTAGAGCATATTCAATTCTATCAGAATCTATTCTCAGATGTTGTGAACAGAGGCTCTTGTGAGAACCATCGCCCGAAGAAGCTCGAAAAACGATGCAAAATTGAGGCGAAATCGTTAGTCTGAGTTCACGGGAGCCAAATTTGGCTTTGATTTTGCCCAATTTTTTGACCTTCTTCGGGCGCTGGTTCTCACTAGAGCCCCTGTTCACAACTTCTGATGACAGATTCTGGTAGAATGGAGCCTGCTCTACAATCTTGAATTAGGAACGTACTGATAAGCTGGAGTATTCATCCCTTTCCGGGCGCTAGAAAATTTCTAGTGCTCTTTTTTGGACTTCAAATGGTACTTCTATGCCGAAAACCAAGTTTTTGATGAATTTGGTATCAAAATGATCGTCACGACCCAGAGATTCTTATTCTGCATCAAAAAAGATGTTTAGAAGAGGTGATCGTGGGGTTGATTTTTCTATCATTACACCTAAGCATGAGGAGCAAATTGAACATAGTCGTCTGATGGTGCACTGATTACTGATGCTGCTTTGGTTGCTCCGTCAAATGAAATTGAGAATGCTTCGCTCAATTTTTCGCCCATTATCAAAATCACTAAATAAAATGGTTGAATATCGTTAATTTTGAATTGCAATCTACCTCTTTCTTCTGAAGCTTCCTCTTGGGCACGGACGGACAAGTTGGGTTCGGTGACCGGTCGGACTCCGGTCCAAGGTCTGCGCCGCTCCGATCCATCGCATGGAACGCTTTGTGTTTCGGAATTCGTTGAACATTCTTCGTGTCGAGTTCTTGATTTGAAACCGTCAATGCATTCACTCCAGGAGGACCTAAAAGATTAGATATTCGCAATAAAAAGATCATAATTTGCTTACCATACTCCAATCTCACTAATAAAAGCAAGGGTCACAAAGTTGTTGCACTCTTCTTCCTCAACGTCTTCTTCGTCGCAGTTAGTTCTTCGCCTGTACTTCTTGGCATTACCGCAGCTGCTACTACAAGGAGTCCATTCCGACCAGTCAGTGAAGATGCCGTTATTGCCGACGTTACAAGATTCGCGTTCACTGTTGCTTCCAAAAAGATTCAAGCACTCATCTGGAGATCCCTCGCACTGGCGGAATCGTTCGCGGAATCCGATGCCACAAGAGGTAGAACAAGATCCCCAATCGGTCCATTGCGACCAATACGCGATGCAATAAGGTGCTATGCAAGGTCTTTGTTGCTTGTCTACGCGGTGAGTACAGATTTCAGAGCGTTGGCGGGATGATAGAACTGGCTCATCATTTTGATTATAGCAGCTGAAATAATTCTTTAAAATCTTACTTCAAACGATAATTTACCTTGGGCAGGCGGACCAGTGGGACCATGACGAGTAATTTATAGGATTTATGCAGCTATCAGTCTCGATGTCAACGTGTCCGCCGCAGATTCGTCTCCGTTCTCGACTTCTTGAACCGTAGCCACAAGATGCCGAGCATTCCGACCAAGCGGTCCAATAAGTGTATCCAGGATCGATTGCTGTGCAGCGAGAGAATTCATATGGTAAACCAGGGCAAGAATGGCCATACTGACAATCGCGCCGTCGAGATCGGTTTCCCTGGCCGCAGCTTGCATCACAGGCTGACCAGGTTGACCAGGTTGTCCATTCAGGACAGCTCCCAAAATTGCAACTCTTAATTTTCAAAGTAGGTTTAAAGATGAGAAACCCTTTTTACTTGCTCGTAGATGCTTTCGCCAAAACATTCATATTCGCGGTAATAGTCTTCTCCGATGCATTCTCGTTGTTTTTGGCGAAATCCAGGGCCACAGGTTGTTGAGCAAGGGCTCAACGGAGACCATTCAGACCAGTAGCCGGGGCAACTAAAGATATTTTCATCTTCGGATTCTTTTAAATTTTGTTCTATTTGTCTGAAATAAGATCGGACTTACTTGCCCCACCAGCCACAATTTGGCCGCGGAGGTAATATCGTCGGCTCATCAGGAACTACAAAAACAGCGGCAACCACGTCCAATTCGTCACTAGTATATCAATCAATTACTCTCATTTTCCTGGAATTTACTTACGAATTACTATCATCATTTGAAAAATAGTCATCTCTTGGATAATATTCAATATAATCGACAGATTCAGGAACCCGAAAGCCCAGGCATTTCGTCAGAAAAAGAAGAGAAAAAATAAAAAAATACATTTTGCATTTATTTTAATGACGAGCTACAATAAAGCGTCCTTAGGAACAGGTGCGCTTCCGCGAAAATTTGCATCTTTTTGAAAACATATCCAAATAAGGACAGAAAGACTTTTTTTGATAAAAATCTTCAAGAACTTTAAGGGCTACGCAATGTATAACTCTTTAAAAAACAAGACAATGTTTTGTTGTTATGAAAAAGAGAGACTTTATTATGAAAATAATCGAAAATAAAAAGTTTCACAGCTTCAATTTTCAGCATCTTCAGCACTTTCCTCCTCCTTTTCTTCTCCAGCTTCTTCTTCTTCTTCTTCCTGGTCAACTTCCATGTCGTCCCAGAAATTGAGCTCCACAAGACTTTTTGCAATCGTCTCAAAGAGCTCCTCCTTGTTTTGGCGAAGGACGAAAATCAGAGTGATGTGGAAGTTGCACTTGCCACAGATCATCCAGTTCTTGACAGTGTCTGGGTCGACGTTGCCCATGATCGTGAATTCGCGCTTGCAGTGCTCACACGTAGCTTTAAAAATAACTTAGTTTGCCTTTCAATAAAGGGTTACCTCGGGTATAAGTATAATAAGGATAGTCCTGGACAAAGAGAAAGAGTTCACCGACAACCTCTTGTTTAACAGCTCCAGTAGAATCGCGGATAATCATTATCGCAAAATTAATTTCTGAAAATATTGACCTGCTATTAATCAATCATTAATACTAAAATTGAACGGCTCAGAAAAAAGTAAAACACAAATCGCTGGAGAGAAAAGCGCAACTGATTGATCTTTTCCGACCAAGACAACAAAATGCCAGTTCATCTAGAGAATTTTCTCAATTTTGTTCGAAATTCGAAATCGCCTTCCCCTTGCACCATGGAAATCCTTCCCAATGAACTTAGATGAAGAATAAATTCTTCGTCGTAAATACGACAAATTCGACACTCAACTTGACCATATAACATGTTGCTAATAAGCAATAAAACTCTAATTTCGCGAGGATGCCATAAAACCCTTAAATTTGGGAATTTTTATGGCTTTCTTATAAAACTAATTTCTATCGCGGAAAATTTTCTTTCGCAAAGAGAGTAGAAGAGAGATTGATCATGTTCTTACTTCTATTTCCTTTACTGGAGATAGTCGGGGCATCGAGAAAATTGGCTGTCCATAAGACTTGGACTTCGGCAAAGTCTGGCAGTCAGTTCTTTGCTGAGATTGACGGTTATCCAGAGTACAAAAGAGGCGTCGTTAGCCCGAGATGCGATGTTGATGTACTAGTCGCGGTAGAAACCGGCTGCTGCTTGCAAGAAGCCAAACTTAGACAGATTAAAAATGTTCTCAAAGAGTAAGAATGTGGTATCTTCTTTCGTTTTTATCGTATTTTTAGCTTCGCGACAAGTTTACACGAATCAATCGACGGAGAAGATCATGGGCTTAGACTTTCAATGATCAGCTTCGGAGACCACACGAAATCACACCTTTCTTTCAACGACTCCTCAGAGCGAGCTTTCAAAGCGGCCGTAGACGAGCTGGACCTCTTCGGCGAACCGGTGCAGTTCAACCAACTATTCAATGATCTTCCAAATCACACGAAAAACTACAGACAAAGTGCTCGAAAAACAATTGTTCTCTTTACAGATGGAAACGGAGTCGACGCTCCTAACTTTGAAATTCTCGAAGGTAATCTTCCTTGTTCTCAAAATTCATTTTCATCGGTAAATTAAGATCATGAACGCGAAGTCGACTTTGACCTCCTCGGCGTCACATTCTCGAAAATGTGCGATGGAGAGCGAACGCTTCCGAAGAACCTCGATCGTCATTGTCCGAATAGAGAGTTTTTCGAAAACATCGGCACTTTTTATGAACTCACTGGACACGAAGTGGCGATGCAACTTCGAGAGCAACTTTGCGCTCCGGTAATTGTGACGGATATGAAAATTGACACTGGTTTTCCAATTCAATTTCACGAAATTGCGCAAGAGGGATTGCCTGGTCTCGATGGTCCACCTGGTAAAGATGGAAAAGACGGTCGGCCAGGGCGTCAAGGACAGCCCGGCAAAGACGGGAGAGATGGTCTTCCTGGGCCAATGGGATTTCCTGGTAAACAAGGCGACAGAGGAAATCCTGGTAAGCATGGTGCTCGTGGCGCTACTGGAGAACAAGGGCCCAGAGGAAAGGTTGGCGAACGAGGACCGCCAGGACAAGCGGGAAATTCTGGGACTGACAAAGTTGGACCCAGAGGTGAAGAAGGACCAGAAGGACCCCCTGGTACGCCGGGAGAAAGGGGCTTCCGCGGAAATCCAGGCAAAGACGGAAAAGCAGGCGAGCCAGGCGAAGATGGAAAAACTGGTCCTTCTGGAAAACAAGGACCTCAGGGACCCGTCGGAGACGCTGGCGAAGATGGTGAGCCAGGATTTTGCCCAGAAGGTATTTCCCTTCAGCATGGAGCGCCCGGAGCTCCAGGTATTCCAGGGCAAAGAGGAATCGATGGCTTCGACGGTCAAGATGGCACAGATGGAGAGAACGGCGAAGCTGGTGCAGAAGGTCCTCGAGGCTCCCCAGGTGCGCCTGGCCCAGTGGGTCTTGATGGCGAAGCAGGCAAAGATGGTGAACCTGGTCATGATGGTCTTGATGGAGCTCGTGGGAAAGAAGGACCCTCTGGTGGAGAAGGCGAAGTTGGACCTGTTGGTCGACCCGGACCAGTTGGTCTTCCAGGTTTGGGATAAAATTAGACAGCAGTTTTCAAGTCTTTTTAGGCGATGCAGGAGCAGTTGGCGACGAAGGATCCCCTGGACAAGCTGGTCTACAAGGCGAACAAGGACACTCCGGAGAAGACGGTCAAAGAGGTGTCCCCGGAAAATGCGGATTGCATGGATCACCTGGGATCAAGGGGCCGCCTGGTAGGCAGGGATCCGACGGCGAAATAGGAGCTCAGGGTGCACAGGGTTGCCCGGGACCACGAGGACCCATCGGAAATCCCGGAAATCCAGGTGTCATTAATCACGAAGAAGTTCAAGTTTTAGGCAAGGGATAAACTCAAAAACTGAAAAACAAATCGATGAAAGATCAGTTTAAAAAATCCCTTTCAAGTCTTCCAAGCGATTCTGGAGATTTTCAAAGAATGCGATAATCCACCCCCAACTACTGAAGACGTTAAAAACGACGATATCTTTCCGGCCGTTGCTCGCGGAGACATCGTTGAACTTGTTTAAACAAATCATTAAATAGAATCGAGCTTTTTTCTTCTTTATTCGACGAAATGCACAATTTGTTTGACTACTGCAATAAAAAATGGAAAGCAACCACTTCGACTTGGGGAAATTTCCGAATTGTCAATTATGATTGTGGTTCACCAAAAGCCAAACGCTCGCCGAAAATTTGGGGATTGGAACACGTTAAGACAAACACGTTTGTAAATAGCTGACTCCGCAAATCACCATAAGCCGCTGCGGCGCCTTTTACGAAAGCCCTTCGCCAAAAGACCAAAAAACGTGATAAACATGAGTTTAAGTAATCCCAAAGATTAAGTTTTTTTGTTATACTATCAGCGGCGGCTTTTTTAAGAAGATTTATTTTTGGAAGTCGAAAAACAGATGTTTTCTCCAAAAAAGATGGAAACTTTTAAAAGACAATTTTGAAGAATAAAATACTTTGGGTATCTTTTATCCTGGAAAAAATCTTCTTACTCTTTTTTGTAAAAAAATAGGTTACCCAATAACTGTGTTGTCTAAGGAGCATCTACGTGAAAAGAGATCAGATCTGGTATTTTTGCTGGCTTAACGCCTGCCAGAATTGGTGGATGGTGGTGACTTGGCATTCTTAATTCACCGGATCAAAATTACAAATCGCCGCTATGATGATAACTGCCGTTTAGGAACCCCTCAAGACGTGTCCAGCTACTTTTGACAGCTGCTAATCAAGCACGCAAGTCACTTATATCCGCGTACAAGTCCCGTAATTTCTCGCCCAGACGGTTTATTCATTAGAAAATCAAACGAAAAATTGTTAATTAAAAACTTCTCTTATAAAATCATCAACAATTTAAAATATAACTTTATTCCAATAATAAGCTATCAATAATCAAGATCAAATCTTTTGCATAAAAAGCTGTGCGTGATCAGAGATAAAAGCCTATTATTAATAGGGAGCATCTGTTAGACAAGATGCTGGCTAAACAGCTGTAGAATTTGGTTAAATTGAGGCTTTACTGGCTATTTTCTATGAGAATTCGAAAATGAAGCAAATATAAAAAGAATTTTTCTTTGTATGAATTGATTATTTATGCAGAGAAAGATACTTTTCCTGCAGACTAGATCATAATCAAGCAAACAAAGTTAAATATCAACACGCTAGGATAAGTTTTTCAATAGCTATTTGTACCCGAAGTTTCAAGAAGCTAAAACGAACATATGATATTCGGATTATGATATTCCGCATAGGAAAATAAATTCTTTCCTAGATTTGATTTTAAGCAAATAAATAATTGAAGAATAAAATGATTTCTATTTCTTTAAATTATTAAAAGTAATTGAGGATATGAGGATGTTTTGATACATTCTCTGATTTATTTTTGAATCACTACTCTTGGTTATTTATTAGTATAGTTGTGGAAATTCGAGTTCATCGTTTGTTACTCAATAAGCTTAAATCGGTATAATCAGAACTCCTTTTTGTTTGATTATTTCATTATGAACGCTCAGGGGGCGCTCGCAACTCTCGGCGCGCGCTGTGCGAGATCGAGGCCAGGCGGCGACCTCGTCTGTTCTCCGTATTTTTTGCTTAGTGTTGGAAATAAAAAAATAGTAATTAAAAAGAATCAGAATCAAAAAGTGATACCAGTGGAAGAGAGTTGCGAAGCGCGAAGTGAATGAAGAAGCTCAACTGGTTACTGTTGCCTGTTATCGTCACAGCGATAGAAGTAGAGTGTAAGTTTGACTTAGAAAGCCTTGACTCTAGAATAGAGATCTTTTTCATCTGAAGATATTTTCACTTTTTGGAAGAAATAATATTTATTGCTCATCAACTTATAACTACTACAGATAGTTAGGTTAGGATAAAAATCATCGACTATATTGTCCCTAAATTGTCGGTAAAGCGGTAGAAAAATTCGCCTAAATTGTCGTTTAGAACTGCCCTTAAAATACCCAAATGTTGTTACAGTCATTCCCTTACTGAAAATGACAGTATTTATACACAGCCCTGAAACCAACTTTGTCTAAGAAAATTTCATAAAGATTTTCAACCGTCAGATTTTTTTTTCCTTTCTAAATTGCCCCTTCGAAATTAAATCAAAAGTGCCCTACCTGGTTCTTCTTATCACATTATTTTTTTTTTCTTACAAAAGAGCACCACACGTGGCACGTGATGTAAATCAATACTAATTTTCAGAAACCTCTGAAATCTTATTACGCCCGTTTTTATGAAGATTAGAGGCATCAAGGTGTTTAATCCCTAAAGAAGGTGATGAGGAGTCTAATTATAAGCACTCGTTATTTCTATTTTGAATCATGGAATTTTTTCAAACACTGAAAATTCAACAATCATTTTAGACAATCGTCGACATTAGCATCTTAGAACGTAAATTGCATTTTATAAGATGAGTTCCAAGTGCGCATTTGTCCGAAAGTCAACGCTGTCAATTTCTCAAATGGGTTAAATTTAATCAAACGTGGCTTTATTTTCATTTCATGAGTAAAGATATCCTTTTTTGGAGTCGTTTTTGACAGGCGCTCTTGAATGAAACTCTTCCTTGTTTTCCTTAATTTGACAACCCTTTCTATAGTGCTCGTTTTTTCGAAAAGGGAGGCGATAATTCTATAAGATACGGTGAAAAGGAACAACCAACGGTTGCAATTTAGAAAGCGGATAATTATAGCAGATGTTAGAAATATTTACGCGCGTCGGCGGAATATTAGCGTTTCTTTCTTTGGGAAGCTTTACACAGTTGGCGATTTTTATAAACACTTGGGTAAAAATCAGAAGAGATTTTTTATTCTTTTCGCAGGGTCATGTGATCGGTCACTTGTGACTTGATTTTAGGGTAGACATTATGAATCGAGATTCTTCTCCCAAACATAACAAAGTGACTCCCTTATTTTTATATGAAAAGAAAGCGAAAGCCTTTATCAAGTTCCTCTGAAGGGCAAAATTTTTAATTGAGAAAAGTTTCTAGGCCCTTATCATCATTATCATTGAGCAGTCACACTAGAATAACAACTTAAGCCTACCCGTAATTCACTTACTGTAGTATTTCAATCAAGGAGCATTCAATGGGAATCATTACGGAAGCCGCCCGCACGACCTTTTGTCGATATCGGCTTTTGCTTCTCTAATCCAGTGACTATAACGGATGGATTTGAACATTTTCCTTTCCCAAACCGATTTGACATTTCGAATAAGGCCTTCCTTCGCTTTCCTTAATTTTATAAATTTAGAAAAAAGTGTTTTTTGGAACTCCTTATTTCAGCTACTTGTAAATCAACTTGTTATTTCAGCATGCTACCAAGAAACGATTCAACTCCAGCCCTACGATTCGATGGAATTGACGACAAGGGGGTATCCGGGAGACCTAGAAGAAACTGTTTCGTGCTTGTATAAGTTTGTTGCACCTTTAGGAAAATGGTTCAATTTTGAAAAAATATGAATAAGGGCATATTTTAGTTATAAATGAAAAGTTAACAGATAGGGCTTAAAAATTCTATTGACAAAATTTATTAAGGGTATCACTATGCTAATTTTCTGAGAAAAATCTCTTTGAATAACCACGAATCATCAAGTCTAGTCTTAATTTTTTAGATCCATTTCGATGTAGAGAATGCTTCTAATTTTATTCAAGAAAAAGAACCTTTGCACAGGATATCGGCCCGCAATTCAATTTATGGAATGGTCGATTCCTAACTGCGCGCTCTCCAAATTCAACGTCTACGATTCAAAGGGCCAAAACAGCTACAGTTCGTTCTGTGGTGTTGGAACTCCAGGCACTTGTTTGAGAATTATAGTGAAACAGAGAGCTTTCTTTGGAGGATAATTTTGAAAACAAGAAAAGCTCCGCTGACGGCGAAAGGGAGATTTTTAGACATCGACTTTTCCTTCCTCGGCCGGATCGGTTCTGCTTGGGGAGGCGGCACAGGAGTACGAGTCAGGATTCACGTGGCTCTTGTCAGAAGAGCGGGATGGAAGCCGGAGAGAAACTCTCAGCCTGAATTTAGATCTACAGCAGTGTAAGTAGAGGGAAAATGGATTTGACTGGTTTTACTTCGGAAATACAACCAATATCGGCCGAAAAGTCCAATTTTTTATTAAAATATCTAAAAAACTATCTACAAACTGAAGAAAAACTTCTGAATTTTCCGTTATCAAATTGTCAATTTTGCCAGTAAAATGGGAATTCAACATAAGGAACCAAAATCTCAGTTTTGAAAGATTTCATTTTTCTCTCAGGAAAGCGACTTCTTACAAGCGGACTTCAACGCAAAACGACTGGAGCTGGACGAAAGAAGACAGTCTTCGATTGGCAGTTGTTGGCTCACTGGTGTTTTTGGTCATTCTCGGAGGATTGCTTTTCCACTTCAATATGAAAAAAGAGGAACAAATGGTAGTAAATCGGATTTTAGCTGGAAATAACCGTGATTCTTTCAGGCAACGAACGGGGAAGGCCCGATGAAGGGGCACCCGCGGCCCACTGGATACCGTGCCTATCTGGAAAAGGTCAAGATCACGCCGAATGACCAAACGAGCTCGACTGATGCGGGCGAATCGACCGACAGAAGTTCTAACACCGAGAGCAGCCAAGTTAACGGATCTCTAACCTTTAAATTCCCAAATCCATCACGTTTTTCAATTATGTAAGAGCGCCCTAATCTGCCCTCCTTATTTCTGCATGAGAGGAGATTCACTCCAAACCACATCATCAAAAATGTCTTTTGGAAGCAAATTTTTGCTCTAATGAGAGGACAACTTTGAACTCTGTAGAAATCCATATAGCAGGTAGTGACAAGCAAATCATCAAAGAAAAGAAGTTCACCAGACGACCCCAGCGAAAACAACGAAGACCAAGGAAGGAGTCATTTAGATCGCCAATGGAGCGCTTTCAGTTCGACATCTCCCAAGCCTTCCGAAGAAGTGGATACGACTTGGAAAGCCAAATCTCCAACTCTTCAGGTGGGAAACGCTTCAAGGAACTAGGCTTGATTCTGTCCTCTAGATTATTCGCAAGAAGAAACGACGCAAACTGGTCGAGATCCTTCGATGCCTTCAGCCGTACCTGAGAATCCAATGAACAGCAGCCACGGAGCGCCAGCCGGCCGCCAAACGCGTTACAAAGACGAGCATTACGAGCGTTGGAGTCACCGAAACAAACCTAAACGCAGCGAAACAATGCGCGAGAAGGTAATTCTAGACGCGCGAAAAGCAGTCAACAGAGCGCAAAACAACAAGTTCAACTACTATTACGAACGCACTAATTCAATTAACTCAAACTTAAACAGCTACAAAAGCAACGCCATTTACATACCTACCTCCGTAGACTTAGGCTATCGTGCGCATTACGATAACCACTTCACTCAGAAGTAGGGACGATAACAAAAATATGAAACGACTGGTTGATCGCCGTCAAAACAATACTACATTATTCTAGCGCAATTTATTTATTTCGGTTGTAAATAGGGCTACTGTGTGTAATCCTATCTTGTGCAGGGCACGCCAAATCCTATTTCTTGGTAAGCGAACGCTGTTTAATAGAGGAAAACATACAGTAATTCTTTAGAAAGCCGATACATCATCGTCGTTATACCCACTTTTTTGTTATAAAGTCCCTAAGGCGAGTGTAATATCCGATAAACCTCAAATTTAATATTAAAAAAAGTGTTGCCAATGTGAATGGAGGAATATATAATTTCAGCGTGAGAAATATATATTCAGATTAAACGAGCATTTTCCATCAAATCCGTCAAAGAAACATTTGGGGCCGTAAATCGGGAAAAATCCCGGCTTTACGGGCCGCATGCGCGTCCCGCTATGAGACAGCGAAAGGCTGAAAACAACGGTTAGTCGAATTAGGAAGAAAAATCGTTGCTAAGTGTTATTTTTAGAATCCTAAAGAACCTCGTCAAAAACCTTAAAAAAGAAGCTGAACTGTACATATACATTCTCATCCACTGTAAATAAAGAAGATTTACAGACCCTCGATAATCAATCACTGTATTTGTTAGTTACAGATCTCCGAAATCTCCGAATTACACCCCTAAAACCGCCGAGCAAGAAAATGTTTTTGAATAATTGAATAAGCGCGGAATATAAAGTAAAGCGCAACTCGTTACCCAATTGCTACCCAAAAAAATAAGAAATGAGAACGATAAGGAAGGTTGTTCGAGAAGCATTTTAAGTGAGAGAATCGTTAGATTTAAAAAGAAATAGATTCGAAAACCTAAAAAGCTGCTTTGTTACTATTTTTTCAATGATTCTTTTGGTCAACTGCGCAGGCAAAGCTCAAATTAAGAAGAATTATCGAATATCTTAAGAAGTTAAGAAACCGTGCTACAGTTATGGTCCTCCTCTTTTATTAAAAAACTTGTTTGTCCATCTTTAATTTTCCGAAATTTATATTCTTGAGAGATAATTTCGTTCTGAGCTTCATCTTTTGCCCTTTCTTCAATGCGTTTTTTCGACCGCAGATCGCAGGATTCATACAACAACTATATTGGCACGTGTTCTAAGAGAGAATAATTACAACTGTAATTAAAACACTTGTTACTTGACGTTTAAGAATCAAGGTTGAACACGGCGAAGAATACTTGAAGCATGCGATCAACGAAGACGTCCGCGGCACAGGCGAAAATCATGTTGGAAAATCGCATTTGGAAGATCCCAATGAGCTCGGAATCATGAACGAGTTTATGCTTTGACAAATAAATGACTACAGTAAATGAGAATTATTCGAACAATTTATCGAGAAAAAATAGACAGCTATTCTATTCTATATTTCAAATGCAGCATTTCATACATATTCTTTACTAAAGATAGACAGAGATTGACTAAAATGCTTCTCAAATTCGATGTCAAAATCACTTCTTTTATCGTTCTTTTTGATCAACCAAGGGCGCTCCCGGTCGTTTGCTGCCGGCATAAACGACATCGAGCCAAATATAAGCGACTGCTGGGGCCTTTGCCGCTCACTTTTGAGTTTCCTTTTAAGTTTCCCTTTTTAAGTTATTTTTTTGTTTCCTTTTTTTTAAGTTTCTTGAGATGAGATTTTTCGCTATTCTAGCGACTCTTGGAGTTGTTGCTAGTCAAGGAGTAGGTTGCGCTTCGCAGCCTTGTCAGAATGGGTGTACTTGTCAGGTAAGCGAGAGATAAAAACCAAGAATAACAGAGAAACTAACGGCTTTTGTAGCCATCGTGTAGGGATGAAAATGACTACGTGTGCGTTCCACCAGCAGGACAGCCTTTCGTGGGCAAGAATTGCGAGTGGCGAGCACAGGTCTTTTGCCGGGCTGATTCGACTATCTCCATCCGCGTGCCAGAACAAGCAGTTGCTCAGTATGCACAGGGTATTGACTCCGTCATGGTGCAGGTTAGTTCGATCCCGATAAGTTGCGCTAGATATTTCTTTTTCACTTTCTGAGGCGAAATGGTTACGAAATTTCCTTTCAGGGTTGCCAAGATCCGCTCTTTTTGTGCAACGGCAACGGTAATCGACAGCAATCTTGCGGCCCTGCGACGCAATCTAACAACGGTTTCTTCGATCTGACGTGTCCCAACCGGCCTTCGCAGCTGAACGCGGCCACCGGCGAAATCGTCTTCTCCGAGACATTTGTTTTCGATCGTCTCTCAGATATCATCTCAATGCCACGACCCATCATCAAGGTCAACCAAGTCCTTAAAAATCAGTAATTAATCAAAACTACAGGTCGATTGTGCAGTTCGAACGGAACCTGCCATCGGACGAATCACTCCTGAATTCCGCGAGGAGAATGTCGTTAACCAGATGATTGTCTGGCAGCCAATCTTCAACTTCTACAAGACCGCCTGGGGAGTAACACCCGCTATCTCAGGTACTGTCTGAGAGACGTAATCCTCCATCGAAAATCTCTATTTTAGCTACACGAGTTCCCAACTCTCTCAGCGTCAACTACGTCATTGGTGAACGCATTCACGTCCAGTTGACCGCTGGGGCGAACATGGCCACAGGAGTGCACAGCATGGCTCTTGGTGATTGCTTCGTTCAACCAGTCCAGAACGGCGTCGCCAGCAGCTCTCCCTCTATCCAAATTATCACAAACGGTGCTGTCGTCCCCGGCGTCGATTTCCCCGTCTCCGTCGCACAGGCGACCGGCCAGATCGGAAATGGAATTCCAGCCACTGCCCAAGGTGTGGCCTTCAGTTTCCAGGTCTTCACATTCGGCGCTGGTCTTGAATTTCAGCTCACGTAAGCTTTCTTTTCCATCGGTAAGGGATTCTTACATTCGTATCTTCAGCTGCACGGCTTCGATCGATGGCGTGTCTGGCAGGCGACGTAGATCCGAAGACAACAACTACAACTTCTCCCAGATGATTGTGTTCATTCCGATCGCAGCTGATGTCGACCCAGATTTACCTGTTGTGCGAATGGCAGTTGAAGAGACTGAGGACGAAATCATCGACGAAATCATCGATGACGTGATTGACATCATCGACACTCTGCGCAACTTCTCCCAGACTGTTCTCGACAACATGACCACCACGGAAATCACTGAAATGAAGCAGGAGCTCTCCCCCCGACTCGGCAACATTCTCAACTACTACGACGAGTACGAAGATGAAGAGGCAGAAAATGTTTGGGAAATTGAGATTGCAGAAGGCGAACTCATCTACCAGACGATTCCGGCATGGGCCAAGTTCACCTCTCTCGCCTTGATCTTCTGCATCACGATCATGGTAAGTCACGGAGCCATCCGCAGAGATCATAAAAAACGTTTTAGATCATCATCATCCTCCGCCAGCGACGGCTAATGCTCATGAAGAAACTCATCGACGAACAGTACCAACCATTTGACAACAAAAGCCTACTCGACTAGTTCTTCCACTGCCAAAAATCTATCTTTTTTTTAAGTTCAAGCATTATTATGTTTATATTTGCTATAAATAAATGTTTTTATTCTGTTTATTTCTGAGCCGTTCTTATTTTCTTTTAGTTTTGTAGCAGGTGAAATATGAATGAATATAGTAACCCCGGGTTTGTTCAACCCTCAGCTCAGCGACCTGTGTAAAAACCTGAGTCAGAGTTTTAATATATAACTGTCACAACTCCACTGGAGCTTCCAGGGCCCTGATTAAGGTTTCCACACAGTTCGGCGAGCCCTAGAAGAGCCTAAGTAGAGCCTCTAACCCCAAATAGCTCAATCTAAGATTACATCATCTTGCGAGTACAGTTTTCCGCTTGATATGATTTCTTCAGAAAAACAAGAATATCCAGTGGCGATTCACGTGGTTCCAGTGTTTTTATGAGGGCTGTATTTCCACGGGTTGTATTTTGATGCCGTTGTGATAATCTCGATCCCAGCGAAATTAAATTTACTCGATTGCGCGTGGGTGTCCGAGAACCCGCCTCATCATCAAGCAGACTCCGAGGGTATTCATCAAGCCACAGATTTGTTTTCGTAAGACAGGAGGAAAGAAACAGGCCGGGAGAACAAGCTTCCTGGAAAATATCGCCCGAGGGATGGAACATCAAAATGAGCAGCAACATGAATCGGACCTCAGCTTCCATAATTTCAAAAAGACAAAGTAAGCAAACTTAACATTATTTGGTAAATAAATAAATCAAATATACATTTTTCTTACTTTCAAATACAAATTATTTTTCTACATAAAAATTCATTTGATTCAAAACATTCTCTCTCATAATGAGATTTCACGATTATCTTCTTTTTAGTTTTCCCTTTTTGGGTATTTTTCCCTCGCGGGCGTGACTCATTTTTCCCAGAGCGCGTTCCCATTCAAAAAATGAATCAATAATTTCAAATTGAAACGAAAAAAATCGACTTTCATGTTGTTTCAGAACAATAGAGAAGTGTATACAGTTGGAATACTTCATCTGGACACAGAACTGCCGAATAATGCCACAATTGACGCGTTTTGTCGAAAACTACGAGCGTGATCGGCTGGATTATGTGCGAAAACTGCGTATTTTTGATGAAACAGGTTCGATTTCGTCTTTGTTTCTACAAAACTTATGAGAATGGCTTTTTTTAGTGCCCATGCCACACAACACGCTTCCTCCATCGTCGCTAGAAGTACGAAACAAAGAAGTAATTGAAGAATCGCGCTCAGATTTGGCGAAACGAAAGCGCCAGTTCTTCGAGGAAGACAGCAATGCCGTAATTGACTATATCGCAGAAGCCACGTACGTCGACAGTAGTGCATGCTTCTCGCTTCAAGGCTAAGTTAATTTCAGTTCAGACGCAAATATGGCTTCCGGGAGCAGCGGGCCCTGGTGCAGTGCGCCAGGGATGAGCGCGAAGCGGAGCTGTCGCAGAACCTCTCCGAACAACTCGCCAGCACCGTCGAAGAAGCGCTAGCTGACTCGCTCGAGACGCAACTTCGCTGCGACATTACCCTCTCTAGGTAACACAAGCAGTCATTTGGTGAAATCATTCGTGTTCTTTCAAAATTCTAATTGGTGTCTGTACATTCTCCTGCTGCTGAAAATTAAAGGACTAGACATCGTCAATCGTTATTTTTCATTAGGCTTTTCTCCAACAAGATTGCCTACTCCCTTAATATTTAGTAGACTGGTTTCCTTCCTTTCTATTTCACTGTCTTTACCTCTCCAGTTCCAGTTCGAATAAAGTTCCAACTTCCAAGAGCAATGACTCTTCATTCTCTTCACGCTGCTATTTGACAGTGACTAGTAATTATTAATCTAATCAGGAACCAATAGATGGTGTTACCGGGCGTTTGCGGCATTTTCGCCGTGTTTCTTGATTTCTTTCGCAGGTTCATGGGTCAAATTTCATCGTTATATCGATTCTAGGTTCGTTTTCTTATTACAATAACTCTTACATATAAAAGCATGAATTGACCCAAGAATCAGATGCGCAAAAGGATGGATTCAAGCACCGCAAAAGTATTCAAGCTCATGATCAATTGTTTTAACATTCTAGTGATCCCATTCCAGAATACGACGATGAAATGGATAGTTTTGTCCGAGCAGCTTTGGTTGGAAAGAACTCGAATGACATTGTTGCGGAGATTTCGCCATTGTTCATTACCAAGGATCATCTGAGTAGCTTGAACGGAACGAGATGGGTCGATGGAGAGGTAAGCAAAAGAGTCAAATCTTTCTTCAATGAGTTCACTTCTTATTCAGGTGATCAACTTGTACGCAAAGTTGATCGAGCAGCGGTCTCTCCAGAATCCGGCCATGCTTCGGGTGCATTCCTTCAACAGCTTTTTGTACCCGAAGCTTCAAGAAGCAGGCCATGCTGCAGTCAAACGATGGACGCGGAAATGCAACATTTTCAAGACAGACATCATCTTGTTCCCGATCCACATTGGCGGGACTCATTGGACGCTGGCGTTTGCTGACACGAGGAAAAAGGTGCTCCGCTATTGCGATTCAATGGGTGGACATAACCCGAAATGCTTGTCGATTCTTCTTGAGTACTTGAAGGTAATTTTGATTGATCTCAGATGTTTCAAACTGATAATTGTAGACCGAGCACGAGGTGAAGCAAAACTGTCCACTGGGCGATGACTGGAAGACCGAATCGATCTCGGGAAAAGTTCCCCAGCAAAAGAATACTAATGGTAAAAAAGAAGAGAAAATAATGTTGAAAGATTTGTTCAGACTGCGGAGTATTCGTGATGACCTTCTCGGAATATGTTTCCCGCGATGCTGCCTTCGACTTCAGCCAAGATGACATGCCCAATTTGAGGAAGTTGATAAAGTTCGAGCTTCTCCAAGAAAAACTCCTCCGTTAAGCAAATTCCTTTTTTAGAAATCTTCGAATTCTGCCCGTATCTCACCTGCCAGTTCTTTCTTTATCATTACACGCTTCTAATATTAATATAATTCTCGATTAAAAATATCCACTTCTACTTATTAGATCGTTGCGATGTCGTCAGATGAAGATGCCGAAATGGAAATGCTGAACGAGTTCAATTTTGCTAACTCGCGCCCGCGAAGACAAACGAAGAATCAACAGGTAGGAATGAATACCAAAGGCGAAAAAGGAACTTACCATTGATTTTCAGATCTATGGAGTCTTTGGAGATGACGATGATGATGATGAAGGCCAGTTTACTTACAATAGGTTGTAGAAAACCTCAATTTTCAAGCTTTATAAAGCTTTTTTTAGACAGAGCAGAGGGAGAAAGGGCAAAGTGGACTACACATCTGGAGTTGCGTTCGTCTCGGGAGGCGTGAAAGAAGGCTCAGCCGGAAAGAAATCAGAAGAAAAAGACGATGAAAAAGATTTGAAGGAGACGATTGAAGACATCAAAAGCTCAGATGACGAGGACGATGACCAAGAAGTTCTCGATCCAAACGACGAAGAATACGAAAAAGAGTACCTGGGGAATAAACGGCCGCGAGAGCCGTCTGCAGAGCCAACTCCGACATCGGAACCAGAACCAAAGCAGCCGCAAAAACTGCAGACGCGAATAGACCCAACTAGTGGGTTGAAAGTCGGCGGAGCCACCTCTGCCAAGGGTGGATACTCGATGACAACGCTTTTTGGAATGAAGGAGAAGAAAGACAAGGACTTCGGTAAATTCGCGAAGAAGGGTTCTTTCGCTGAGCGAATGATGGCGAAGATGGGTTATAAAGAAGGCCGTGGTCTGGGAAAATACGATCAAGGAATGATCAATCCTGTCGAAGCTGTCAACAGAAAAAAGGGAACTGGACTCGGTGCGGCTGGAACTGAGAGGACTAAACAAAGGTAAACTCGTAATCCTACTTTTTTATTAAATTAAATTTTCAGTTTACTGCATTTTCCTACCGAAGAAATAAAGAAAAAAGCGATGGAGAAGCAGGAAAAGAAAGAAGCCAAAGGTCCGCAATGGAAAATCCGCCCTCAGCAGAATCAGTCATCAGGGAAGAAGAGAAAGCCGCAATATCAATACAAGACAGTCGATCAGCTGCTGAGTGGAAGTGGCTATGCGATGAGAGATACAGATTCTGAGGACGAGATTCCGCAACAAAAGACAGCCGGAGTGAAAATCATCGACATGACAGGAAAGAACCAGCGGATAATCACGGACACGCGGTACATTCCCTCTCAAAAGGGAAAGAAAAGGTCGAAATCAGAGGGATCTTCGGACAGCTCTTCGGACAGTTCCTCGGAAGAAGAAGTCGAAAAAGTGTGGAGCTGCCCAGAACTCGAGTATAACCTCAACGAGCTGGTAAAGAACACTGAAAGGGAGCTGCTGAAACGAGCGAGGGAGAAAACTCAACGAGAAGAACATGTTCTTCACAGAAATCACGAGAAAGACACAATGATGAAACAGATAAAGCGAGATACTGTTGCGATGGTTCAATTGACTAAATGCATCGATATTGTGAAGACAGAGGTAATTCACTATTAATATCACCTGATTATTGTCAAGAAAATTCTAATAATTGAAATAAAGAAGAGTCGGTTGATAATTTCTTTAGATTGCGGACCTAGATGAAGCAAAGGAACTCATAGCTTTACTGAAACTGGACCATCACAATATCTGGATTGAGTTCGAGTAAGTTCTCGAAAGCTGAATTTCAGTAATAACTCTTTAAATTAGCCTTCCATCATTCTACACGGTGAAAGTGACCAATCTACTCTGTATTCATCTGAACAATTGGGACCCTCTTGAAGAGCCGGAGCAAATGGTGGAAACAGTGAAATTCTGGGGTGGCATCCTAGAAGAGCATTATTCCGAGATTCTATGGAAAGCGTGGCTTCCTCCGGTTCGTGCAGCGATTCTCAAATGGGACGCGCGATTTCCCGTCAAAATGTTGCACTTCATCGCTGTTTGGAAACCTGAGGTAATTACAGTAAATCCCTGGCGATCTATTTAAAATGTTTTACTTAGATCCCGGAAGCGATTTGGTCGAACATGGTTCTCCAGCTCATCTTCCCAAAAATCAACAACACCGTTCAAAACTGGAACCCTTACACTGATCCTGTCCGTATCGACACCTGGATTACGCCATGGATTCCAATCCTTGGCAAATCGAACATGTCTCTGATGATCACTCAGATTCGCCAGATGCTTAAGACTTCCCTAAACGAGTGGCAAGCTGGAGACAGCTCTGCGTTCATCATGATCGAGCCGTGGAAAGCCGTCTGGTCTGGGGCAGAGTGGGATCAATTCGTCATGCAAGCAGTTGTGCCCAAACTTGCGCAGTACCTGAAGAACCTAACGATACCAACAGATTCTGTTTCGCCAAAAACTCTTGAGCCCTTTCAAAACTGGGTCAATCACGTGCCCATGGGAGCGGTAAACAAAATGCTCGTCGATTTCTTCTTTCCAAATATGCTTCAAATTGTCAGAGGATGGGTCAGGTCTCCAACTGTAAGTCCATATTTCTGTTGAGTAATATTTATTAATTAATTAATAAATAAAATATTTAATTATTAATGATTTTCTACTCTAGTGTGTTTTGAAAAATGTTGCCACTTGGTATCGCCTCTGGTATGATCAGTTCGTGCCAGAACTCAAGAAATCCTCTGTTGTCCGAGACTGCTTGACGAAGATTCTGCAAGTGATGGCCCAAGCCTGCGACGATCATGCGAAAAAGATGCCTGAAAGTTACGTCCCGCCGCCTCCTCCTCCACCAATGCCGGATAGCAACTGGCAAGACGATGAAGATGAAGACGACGATGAAAGCGCTTCCTCGACTAACGACTTTGAGTTTGGTCACAGAGGCTCAGATGACGACGGGCCAGACGCTGAACTTGAGACCTTCAAGGATTTGGTCTCTTACGGCGCGCAGAAAAGAAATATCGGTATCTCTATCAATAAGTCGATAATCAATAATCTTGGCTTTCAGTTTTTATGCCGAAGGGACGACAAGAGGATGGAAACGATCTATTCACCCTGGGCAAGTTGACGCTATATGTGAATCAGGGCGTCTGCTTCGTTTCCGACGGTGCTGGTGACTGGCTTCCTACTTCACTCAACACTATTTATGACAAAGCACTCTAGTAAACTTTAACTTTATGCCACTATCAAGCAACTGCCATTATTCTTTCATATTAAAATTGATTATTATCAAACTCATTTTTCTTTGATTCCAACTTGACCCGCTTCGCCGAGACTTATACATTCGAATAGAATCGGCACTACAAAGTCTTTCAAAGAATCTACTTTTGTCTCTTTCAGTTTGCATTTTTACAACGGCAATATATAAAAGTTTCATTACTTTGTTTCGTTTTTATTGCAAAAATTGAATGTAAAAAATGAAAAGAGGAATTTACTCGGCTTTTGAAGTTGATTTACTTCGCTGGGGCACCTTTGGCAGTCCTACATTCTCCAAATAACAGTTGCTGACGTTTCCATGGCTTCTGAAAATCGGGTCATCGCGACTACAGGTTTGAGTCTAGTACCTGTACTTGGCGACGATATGGGCTCTGTTTTCATTGTCGTACTGGATAGCGAAGCCGAACTCGTACGATTGGCGCCACACGAGCTGGGTGAAGCAGCACCACGAATTGAACTTTGATCTATCTGGGTACTTTTTCGCATCGAGCGATTTGAGGTAGTTTTGAAGTTGGCTTTTACCGAGAATGAATATATTCGAAGTGAAAGAAATCAGCTTTATCGCCAAAAATAAAATTTTCAAACTCGTGCCTGTACCATTCGAAAATAGTCTCGCGTGTAAGAATTTTCAGCTTTGATTCTTCTGGATCTTCTTCCTTGTCATCTGGATCTGGGATGGCACACACTCTATAATTCGTCCCGTCGGAACTGCTTATCGATTCTTCGAAGGGTAGGTTCTCCGGACTCGAGCTGGAAAGGCTTTGTATTCGAGAAGTAGCTTCCTGCTGTGCTTCTTGGCTATGAATTTAGTAAATTACTAATTACTATTCAATTATGGAAGGAGCGTTTTGTAGAGCGGTACTTACCAAAGACGACGCGATAGCTCTAAATTGTACGTATCACAGTGCCTCTGTCTTAGCGCGTTGTGCCGCGAAAGAGCATCCAGCTGGTAGCCCTCGAACTGCTCTAAAATCGCGGATGACTACTGTTACCTTCAAATATCAAGCCATAAACTATACGCACCGTCCTTATTGAGCTCTTTTACACGCTCGCGCCGAGCGCTCGTTTTTTTCTCGTTCATTTTGATCTCCTCTTCTTTGATTTCCTTCCATGGCCGCTCTGGAAGCATAACTTTGAGGTCGTACTGATTCTCGCTGTTTCCTTGAGGTAGGTACTTAGCGACAACGACGATTCCCTTGTCCGAGTCATGCGCAACTCCAAAGCCGACTTCTTTGGTTTCGCTCCAGACTAGCTATTTTAGGCTCTTTCGATCTTAGGTTTCATAATTATCGCAATTTTTATATGGTGGATTTAGTATTAATTATTGCCCTGCCTGACTAAAATCGCACCATTCAGCAAACTTGGCTTGATTCGGCTGAAAATCTTCTCGGTCCAAACCTTCTAAGTAAGCGACGATTTGGTCGTACCATCTGTGGCAAGCAAGAACAGCACAATCTTGTTTATCCTCTTCAAGTTCTGTTTCTGAAACTCGTCTCGCGAAGAATGCCACGCTTTGGCCTGTCTGGTAGTCGGCCGTTCGATCGCTGAAAATCAGAGTCAGGAAGCGATTGGAAAGGAAGAGCACTTGAAAGTCGTCTCTGTTAGACTACCGTCGTCCGTTGCCTGTTTGAGCTGCGTCAACAATTTGACAGCAGTCCCGACGGCTTCATGAAATCATGAAGGCTTGTGACGGGAACATCAATTCTACAAAAAACTGTATAGTATTTCACTTACTTGCAATACTTTCTTGCAGACTTCTCCGCGGATATACAGAGCTCTTTGGAAAGTGCTAGCGCGGGTGTATCGCGGTGGTTTTCGCGGAGGAAGTTTTGTCGTTTCAGAGCTTCGTGGTGATAGTTTTTGAAGACCTCCTCGTCCGTAAGTTCATCCTCAAGTATCTCCGGCACTGTGTTTTCATCTTTGCAGAAATGAGAACGGCGAAGACTCTCAATGACAACTTTTTATGTACTGATTTATATTAAAATTCAAGCTAAAATATTCAAACAACTCTGAACGAAGTGACTGTTCTATTCAGAAGATAATCCTAGTAACAAAACGTCAGCTAATTGTTTGGAATGGGTGTCTAAGTGAATGATGTGGGGTCCGCAAAATCAAAGCGAAGACATTTCGCTTTATCCAATGTACACAAGTTTAAACATTTAATCTTTGCCCATTTTAATGGTTCCTGTTCCAAGCATCCAGGCTTGCAATAGTGTGAAAAAACGATTGATTCACAAAGTGTGATGGTGGGTTGAGGGCTGAAAATGGCGCGCTTTTCCTTTAATTACTGAAGCTGCTCGATATTTTTAATTATGGGCTCATTAAGAAATGATATTGGGGTGCACTGGGAGGGCTATCCGAGTGGCACAGGTTGGAACATTATCGGATTTTGTAATATTTGAAGGACAGAGAGTCTTCACTGTCTACCCCTAGGGGATTTTGATTTTGCATTTTCATTCCCGTCCCTAGATCTGCAGGCGGTGCTATCTTCGACTCCTTACAGCCCATGGCTCTACTCTCTCATTGTTTCTGGTGCTTGTGCCTTTTTTCCGAAAATTGTTTCCCAATTTCTATCTGAAACTGTATCGAAAAAATGATATAAAGCTGGGCAAAGTTTTGCGACTGTGGATGGGCTTGGGCACACTCTTCTGTGATTGTCAGGGTAACTGTGCCTGTTAACATTAGATAAACATGGGACGAAGCTGCCTCTGCACACGTCCAGGGCCGCAGAAAATCGCTCAGCGGACAAACAATTGAGGACTTTTGTTTGATCAAAGCACCTGTTACTGTCCCAGCACCGACACAAACGATCACAGTGAAATCACTTCTAAAAGGGGCAGCCGCAAAGTACAGCAGTGACTGAGTTCCGTTCCTACTCGGCTACGATTCTTCGTAGCATCGCGCAAGTACCATCATGCATCAAGATCCCATGCATCATAAAACTGTCACGAAAAGATACAAATGCTTGAGCATGCTCGGTGACGTTTATGGACTTTGTTGTTGCATGAAGTCTCATGCAATTGACGAACTAAAACAAACAGACCATAGAAAATTGAACCATCATCAAAACTGCACTAGAATAAATCTAATCAAGTCAAAATGTTGATTCATAAATGAAAAACCACTGCAAGAATTTTGATCAGTCTTGAATTTTTACCTTCAGATTTATATTTAGCTCGGTAATTGGCTCTTTATATTAAGGAAAGTAACAGTTAACTTGGTTAAGTAGAATTTAATTAGGCACACATGGGTGGCGTGATGGGGCGCGTCTGGTGTCTTACTCCTAACTGAACGGATCAAACTGTGCCCAAGTTCGATACAAATTACATCCCTTACTTAGTGGAGTAAAAGAAGAACACCGAATTGCATGCCCGCCCAGACATTGTCAATCTTTTTAATTTGATGCCGAATGACAGAGAATATATCCAACTATGTGAGCGAGGGAGAAGATAGTACACTTTTGCTACTAAACAGCGATGAAAGCATACTTTCGCGGGCGCTTGTTTGCGTCCTCTCGACAGGAAAAGGTTTCCAACAAGTTAAATTTAAGCTCACTGTTATCTTATGTTAAATCTACACAGAACTACATGACATTTAGCCGTAAACCATGAATCAATGATAGACTATAATTGATAGTCCGTCGTACTGAATTTAACAGAAAGTAATATCATGATGATATTATCATCAAGTTAAAAAAGAACATCTAAAAGAAGCGGGCAGAATAAACTACAATAACCTTTCGACCTAAAGTCGATGAGAATAAATAAAATCCAGATCAGCGCCAAAAAGAACCCCGAATGCTAATCCCAAAGTTATTATAAGTCGTATGATAATGAAGAAGGCTGGCCCGCAGCCTGCTTATTAACTTTGAATTAACCTTCAAAGGCCTACTTGTCGTCGCCTGTCTTGGTTGTGTGCTCAATACTATTGCATTTACGACGCTTATCAGGTATAGTTTCCATTGCTGTATAAATTATCAATAAGCGAAGACATCCTGCGCGTGTAAAAAGAAGAACCTCGGAGATATATTTGATCCACATCTCACTGAATGACTGGCTCTTTAGTCTTGGACTTTTTCCACAGGTGCGCAAGGGAAAGAGCGAAATTCTTGTGAAATCAAAGCTCTTTAGGCTTTTGCAATGATCGCTAAATTTGATCTTGGAGATACTGGCTGCAAAATTGTTCTTGGAATGACAAACATCAACCTAACTGCTTCAGTTTTATTCGTCACAGGAAGAGTTTCATGCTCAGTTTATGGCATTAGTAAAATAAACAAGCACTTTTTGCAACTCAACATAAGTGATGACGATAGATCGATATTTAGCAGTACTTTACGGGCCCCAAAAGACATCTTTTCGCAAGTGGCGAGCAAAGTCTTCCGTTCAACTACAGGTCTCATTTTCAAGTGATCAAGTAAAGTCCGCAATCTCAAATTCAGGCCTGCTGTATTTGGATCGTCTCGGGTATTTTGTCCCTGCCCGTTTGGCTGTACTCCGTGGGACGGCTGCATTCAACAGACGATGGACACTTTTCGGAACACCCGCTTTGCGGCTTCAAATAGTAAGAATAGCAGAGACTAGTGTTTGTGTTTATTTATAACTTAATTGTTCAGCACCTCGCACGCTGTGGCATTGTTCCATTGTATAATGCGCCTGCTATGTTGCTGGCTAATCCCCTCTTTCATCATTCTAGCCTCCAACATCGGTCTTCTATGTTTCCTACGCAGACGGCCAGGGGTCGCCTCAAAGAACGCACTCAACAGGGGTTTACTCCCCATGTGAAATGTACCACTAACCGGGCAATTCTGTTAGTAATCTCGATTTAAAGTAAAACGTAAATCTGCGCTACGAATCCCTCGCCATTGCAACACAACTAGAATCGTCTCAACTGGCCGCCGCATTCTCACTAAGATCAGTGCATTCGTGACAGTCATCGTTCTAATCTGCTGGATGCCGGACCAGATTCTTTCCTTCTATGTCGGAGTCGCTCATGAAATAGGCAAAGTTCATCACCTTATACTAATAATAACTAAATACTAACTATAGAGAGTCCAATCAACTACTATCGGTGGCAAAATGACCACAAGTATCGACTAGTAATAGCTTGGTACTGATTAACCAGAAAGCAATTTCACCCAAGAGATTGATTTTTGAACTCTTTGAAGAAAATGAAGACCCTGAACATATTCCGCACTCGCTCCCACTGGCTATCCTCATCACCAAATACGTGTTCAAAGGAATGTGATATAAATAAAATTATTTTTTTTCTATAAACATAAGTAACAAAAATTATATCGAATACTAGTGCTTCTATACTGCACGGCTGTGATAAACCCGATAATTTATTGCTTCATGATCCGGTCATTTCAGGTGATTGAAGCTTTCAAAAAAATTTTTTTTGGATTAAAAAATCAATCAGACTCGCCTCCATCGAGTAATGAAGTCCAGAAACCACCGAGCGAAGCAGATGCTCATCGAGCGCAGAGTGATTCTCTCATCCTTCATGGGTATTTTCAAAACAATCACAGCACAGTTTCATAAAACGGAAAATTTCAGAAACGAGTCTCGCGCCCGTGTCCTGCACTGCTACCTGCCACTACATTCGACAGCACCAAAGTGAAATTTCAATTCCGTTCATAAGTCACAACTAGAAAAGACAACTTCGAAGAAAATGAGTCCCTCTCTTCACTGTGCCTTTATTGTATTATAGAAAGAACGGACAAGCCAACAGTTTCGCGTATGAAAATACAGTCGTAGAATCTTTAAAAAGATAGGTAGATTCAAAAGAGTCGATTCAATATCTCGTGATCCTCTTTTTCCTCGAGAAATATGCTTTTCAAGGCAGCCTAGAAAAAAAGATTCAAGCTAAAGTTTCTCTAGATTTTAAAGCAGTACCTGTTCTTTCAGAAGCGAGGCCTTGATTCTCAATTTGTTATTTGTGTTGAGCAGGAATTTCACGGTTTCCAGAAGCTCAGGACCAACGATCTGAATTATTCAATGCGATGGAAAATAATTATAATCCGCACGTGTGCTTACACTCGGGTCGACAGCTAAGCTGCCGTTTTTCACATTTTCCGCTACATTCAGGCCGTACGGTTGGAGCCCAGTGAATACATACAGGAAAAGGCATCCCACCAAAAACATGTCAGAGGATTTATCAGCATTCTGAGGCTAGGGGATATCTCAACTTGGATGAAGCTGCACAATATGATTCTCAACAAGTCACTCTCCTAGACTGTCCTTGGAACTTCCGTTGACTATTTCCGGCACAGGCCATTCATCGTTTGCACCACGGGAAAAGAGCCTTTCTAGGCCGTAGTCACTGAGTTGAATTTTGAACTCGCCAGGAGTGTGAGTGGATTTGTACAGCACATTTGACGGGCGTAAGTTACCATGCGTCAGGCCTTGCCCATGAAGATAGGCGATACCGGAGGAGATCTGTTGGCAGACTTCGAGGCGTGCTGTATCGGAATCATTGTATTCGCTGGATACCCAATCCGTAAGATTTCCATCGTACCACTCGGTTGCCACGAAGATTGATAGCCCTTCTGTCCAAGAATCAAGAATTGGTGACACATAAATATGATCTGAGCGGATAAAGATACCAGCTTGTGCTGATCAGTGTTTGAAAAAATGGTCAAAGCTCTTGTGAGTGAGCGAGCGCGAGCAGACACTCTTCAATTTTTTTCTTAAGTGAGTGAGCGTGAGCGCAGACCCGAAATATTTTTAATGAGTGAGCGAGCAAGAGCGCTCGCTCGCTCGCTCGCGCTCGCTCGCAGCTTTTCGGGGGCCTTTCTAGCGAGAATTTCCTTGAGAATTATCATAATTGTAATTTTTAACGCATAATTTAATATAGAAAGACAATGACGGGCATTATAACGCGATTAAAAGAGAAATTTCTCAAATATCGTAATACTCTGTCTCCAGGGTGTATTAATTAATAATGACTGTTGGCAAGCGCGAGTGAGCGGGAGCGGCGGCCCGGAATTTTATGGTGAGCGAGTGAGCATGAGCGCTCGCTCACTCGCTCGCGCTCGCTCGTGGCTCGCGCTCACCATTTTTTCAAACTCTGGTGCTGATTTAGATTCTTGATGTCTAGTTTTTATGGAAAGTTTGTATCCAGGCCTAAGTTTTTAGAAAGAAGACGTTGAATACCGTGTTGAACTACAGTAACATCGGCGTCGTCTCGGAGCTTATATTTCTTATACTTCGGGTAGAAAGTCTGTCTGAAAATTTTGCCTGAAACGGTAGACTAGGAGATGCTATGTCTGACGAAAGGAAAGTAGTTTATACTGTATAATTTATACAGTATAAATTACACAGTAGTTCTAAATTATATACACTCTCAATCTCATATTTTCCATGACTGGTGAGCGCTACAGCTCCTCGAGTCAGGAGGTTTTGTAATAACAGTTTATATAAACGATATTGATCGAGGCTGGTTCTAATTAGAATGTATTTGCAAATTTATGTTTATTTATGTGACTAACTAGAAGTTCCGATTGCATTAATCATAAATTCTTGACTACCCTCTTCCTTGACAGCTGTGCAAGTTCTACGCGGTCCCCTTGTCGTCTGATAAATTGCACCCCAGATGCCGGCCTTGAGAGGGTTCTTTGAAAGGTTGTCTCTATCTACGACGACTGCCATTTCAAGCAAAAAATTTAAATCAAAGTCTCATTCACCAAGTTGTTGAGATGCAAAGTGCAAACATTATTTAGATGGCCATTCTACACGAGTGGTTTTGACAGCTCGTTGTGGGAATTCGAAAGTGGACACGCGACTTCGTAATGCTTCAAGGACATTTTTATAAAATCGTATTATATTTTGGAAAACGGGTCATGGGAAGTAAATAGCTCAGAAACATTCAAGGGCTTGGAAACAGTCAGGGAGTACAATTTGGCTCAGACACGAACCAAACGTTGCAAATTGCTTATTCTTATTCGTCTTCTGTATTCAGCAATGCTGATATCCCGAGCAGATGGCTTTTGGGGACCTTTGTGGTGGCGGATGAATGATGACTTTGCGAATGCGGATCGAGCATCGGCGACGGCGGAAAGAGCCAAGAAGAAGATGACAAGAACATTCATTGCTTGGAGAATTGGGAGATTTTTGTTTAACTCTGAGATGGTCAGTCAATCGCCTCTGTTTATAAATGACACAGAGGGAAGGACAAGCGACAGAGAGCGAAATAGAGGGAGTTAGAGATGTCGATTTTAGGAGGGATTTCGAGGGCGGACACTCCCCCTGTATCATGAATATCTTCTCCAGCGCGCGCTATGGAAAGTTTTTCAACAGGTCTCATTCATTGCTCGCCTATTTTTCTGCTCCCTGCATTAAGATTACTCGAAGACTTTTGCTTGATGATCAAGCCTTGATCGAGCTATTATTGCTCTGATAAAAGCTCTTTGATGGATGGTTTATATATATTTTGTTTATTATATTAGGAAAGAATACTGGTTTGAATTTTTTTTTGTGTTTTTTAGTCTTTTAAAGTTTTTGTGGGTTTTTTTGGTTTTTTAGAATGTAAGAATATCTCCTATGTCACCTGATGGCCTTTTATGAGAATGAAAAAAGGACCATAGGTTTCAGTAGGAGATGGTTTTGGATTATAGCGGCAGTAAATGGAATGTGGAATAGTAAAGGAATGTGAGAGGTACTGAGGGAAGGAATGTAAAGAAGATCTCGGTCGACAATGACCGAGAGGCACCATCTTTTTCAAATTGCTAATTCTGGGAGTTTTGGTTGTTGGCTGCAATGTTGACAATGTTAAGGTTGGCAACAGCGAGGGGAGCTTTCTTGCGGATTTTCATCTCCTCTCCTAAAATGGGAATCAGTGAATTTCAGTCGAGAAGATGACGAATTACCTTTCTTTTCGAAGCATCCTCGGCAAGCAGCGAGGTAAGTATCAGCTCCACCGATAAGCTCGAGTCGGTGGTCATTCTGCTGGATGCGCTTTGTGAAGGCAGCGTCGTCGCCGCAAATCATGCACACAGCACTGAGTTTGATAACTAAAATCCAACTAATGCGCTCGCTAACTAATCAAATATCTTACCAGATTCAGCGAGTGGAACCAAGTCAGTGATCTTGTTGAATCCTTGGCGTCGATAATCGCCGTCGAGAGCAGCGATGATGACGATCTTGCCCTTTCCTGCCATGTCCTCGGCGAATTGGATGCAATCTGGGTAGAACTGTCCCTCGTCAATTCCAATGACTGAACAAAAGGTCGAAAACTCTATTCGTACGCATTTAATTTTGTCTTACCGTCGACGTCGTCGAGATTTTTTCCACGAAGCGCTCCCAGATTCATAACAGAGAGCGCTTCTATTGTCCGTTGATCGTGTGTAGCCATGGCGCTATCATGGTACCGGGTATCCTTGAATTCATTTGAGTATAGGCTTAATAAATGCTTCTTACCCGGGCGTATTTGACAGCGAGGCATTTCTTGTTAGCATACTGATAACGAACGATACGCCGCATAAGCTCACTCGACTTTCCGGAGAACATAGGGCCAAAGATCAGCTGGATTTGACCATTTCTAGTGCGAGGAAGCGCGTTGCACAAGATGGTATCCATGGTTCAAATGGAAAGATTCTAAAACCAAATTTGGTTAAATTATGAGGATTTACAGCTCAGGTTTATCAGTAAAATGGCAGGAACTTTGCAGGCAGTCGGAAATGGCAGGATTCGCAACTAAAAACTATTGTTAGATTACTCATTATTTATCGCATTCATTGAAATTGGTTCGAACCCGAATTGGCGGGGGATCTCGATGGCGCAGTTGATAAAGGATAAAAAATCAATGATCCGAATTGTGAAAAATTGCAAATCTGAGCTGGAAAAGTCTTAGAGAATGCCGAAGATCAAACCTAATAGTGAAGCTGATGAGTACACCAAAAAAATGACCGAGTTTCTAAAAGAGAACCCTTATCCTTCTGATGCTCAACTGAAGGACATTTCAGAGCGCATGGGTAAATCCAAGATGCAGATTTATATGTGGTTCGCGAATAACCGACGTAAACATGGCATAAATGTAAGTATTGAAAGTTTCAACTTGAAACAATGCCCTAACGGATTGTTCTGATAGAAGAAAAATAATGAACACTATGAAGAAATGAACGAGCTTTTCGTGAAAAATCCTTACCCGTCTGATAGTCAAATGAAAAAAATTGCAGAAAAATTGGGTAAATCAGAGGAACAAATTCAAACTTGGTTCGCCAATAATCGACATAAACATGGCATCCGCGTGAGTGCTCACAAATTCAAATTCCCTCTAACTAAGAAATAAATATAGAAAGAGTCGAAAACAGATGAGTACACTGAAAAAATGAACGAGTTATTTAAGAAGAACCCTTATCCATCAGCAAGCGAAGTCAAGAAAATTTCAAAAAAGATGGGTAAATCTGAGAAGCAGATTTATTCGTGGTTTAGTAACAATCGGCAGAAACATGGCATCCGCGTAAGTATTGAAACATTTGAATTCCCTTTGACAGAATGACAAAGAAATCGAAAATCGAAAAAGACGAGTTCAATGAAAAAATGACTGAGCTACTTATGAAGAACCCTTATCCATCTGCAAGTGAAATGAAGAAAATTGCAAAAACAGTGAATAAATCACAGAAACAGATTTACATTTGGTTTGTCAACAACCGCCATAAGCATTGCATTCATGTAAGGAAAAAACTACTTCAATTGCATCTAAGTAAAAGGCTTCAACTCATTGAAATAATAGAAGAAAACGATAAGTAACAAGAAGCTATTAAATGCCTGGCGAAAAAACAAACACCCGTCGCCTCGACTTTGTAAGCAGCTGGCTTCTGAAATCGGACGCTCCGAAAGATATGTTTCTTATTGGTTTTGGAAAAAACGCAGAGAGGTAAAAATTATTTCTATAATTTCAGTTGTATATACTTTCTGCTAAGGGAATGAATAATCCAAGTGAAACTACTGATGAGGAGGAAGAGTTTACCGTGGGAATAAAAAAAGAACTACTCACGCCAGAAAAAAAAGTAATTTTTACCTTTATGAAGATTGTCGGAAAAATCCTAAGAATCGCCCATGACAACAAGAGAGAAAACGGAGATGGAGATTCTAGAAAGTCGATCTTCAAAATGGCGAGAATCTTCCTTGACGCTTCATCGAATATCACTAAAACTAAATTTTAGGTGAGAGGCCTTCGAAAAGAGTCGAGTGAAAATTCATCCGAGGAGGATGACCTGAAACGAGAAAGAAAACCCCCCCTAAAGGAGCCTGAGCTCGAGACCCAAAACGTCTCCTCTGGGAAGAATGACGACTGGACGAGCGCACAGAACTTGGGCGGAGTAGCTAAGTCGTCAGATGACCTGGCTGACGTTGAGGAGGAAAATATCGCTCATGGTCGCTCAGGGACGGTAGAAAATTCCTTTAGACATGAGTCTACAACTTCGTACTCGAAGTATTACTTTTTCACCAAAATATAAAGAAAAAGCAAAGGCTAAAAAAGGAGCAATGAAATATATAACTATTTCGGCGTTTAGTAAGAAACCAAATCGATAAAACCTGGCCTAACTAAATCTTTTCAGCTGAATCTCAAGATGATGATGAAGAATTCAGCGACTCTGAGGACGAATACGAATTCATCTGCACCGAATTGACGAAAATAGAATTGCCGGACGACTTTACCCATCCCGTGCTATCTCCCTGTGGTGAGCACGTTTTAACTGTCACAGAACACGAGATAAAAGAAATGGAAAATAAATAAATTAAGAGTTAATTACTATTATGATTTTTGAAGTTTCGTGCAGTTGCAATGCAGGAATTTAAAGGAAACACCTTCATAGCATCAGCTAAAATGTTAGTTCTACATAATTTCATGCAGAAATAACTTGGAGACACTAAAATGTCACTGTTTGGTTATGTAGTTCCTAGGTTTAGCCTGGCCGTTTTACAAGTGGGGAAAGAGGCCGATTATGAACGCCACCATGTTCTCAGCCTTGGCGTGTATGCGCGACCGTAGAGACAAACGAACGTGAAAAACCATAAGGTACATTTTTAATGGCTTTTTAAATTTCCGATCATAAAATCGGGAGAGCGGAAATGGACTGGCATTTTTCGGGCCAGCCAATAGTAATCAGCCACTGAGCCCATCTACCCAATCAGCGGAACGCTACTACCCCTAGCCTTGGGAATTCTTCGCTCCATAAAGCGAGGCTTTCCCGACAAATATTTGTTTTTAATTTGACAAAGAAAAAAACTATCAGCTTTTAAAAGATTCTTTGATCTTAGTTCAAAGACAATTTAGATGGAAAATTCTACAGGGATCGGGAATGAACCGCTGCTGGTGGAGAAAAAAGTAAGTTGGCTTACCTGGATTGGCGATTATTCTTAAATTGAGAGAATTACCGATATCAATGAAAAATCATCGCGTAATCTAGAAATCGGAAAATTTTAAAAATGAGTTTTCCAATTCCGGTAACAGTCGATTGCCTCCATCAGAAAAAAATGTAACTTTCAGCGACAGTACTAATCAGTAGTTCGGATAGTGATTGAGCTTGAAAAGCTGCATTCTTCTGTTTCCAATTGCCATAAAACCAGATTTCGGCGAGAATCCTCCTTGACTTATCGTGTCCAGCTTTCGTTGTCCGGGGAAGTTTCGAATAACACTAAAAATATGATTTTAGCGCGGGAAATGGAATAAAGTGTTCGATAAAGAAGACAAGGATTATCTAGAACGCGCATTCGCAGTCAACCCGTACCCATCAAAAGAAGATGTCGAACATTTCACAAAAACGACTGAAAAAACTTGTGCGCAGATCCGAACTTGGTTCAGTTTCAGAAGACAGACCGAAAAGAAGGTGAATCCTGAATTTGCACAATTGAAAGAATCGAAGGTGAAGATGCATCCTGCTGAAATGTTCACTGAGGACGATTTCAATTTTTTGAAACGAGCCTTTGATGAGAATTCGTATCCTTCCAAGGAGGATATCGACAGTTTCAGTAAGAAACTTGGCAAAAGTCATACACATATCGGTCAATGGTTCGGTAACAGAAGATATAAGGAAGAAAAAAAATTCAGCGATACCCAAAGAAAGCGACTGAACGAGGAGTTCCAAAGAAGTGACGGAAAGCCATCGATAGAGAGCACGTACAATCTTTCCATGGAACTAAATTTGACCTGTTTGCAGATCTCTGACTGGCTAGGGTCGGCAACCCAACAAAAAAACTCTTGTTGGGTAGTGGTTTTTGTTTTGTTGGGTTTTTGTTCGTTTTTTTCTGTTGGGTTTTTGTTGGGTTAGGTTTTTGTTGGGTTACTTTTTGTTGGGTTTTGTTTGGTTTTTGTTTGGTAAATTTTTGATTTCGGCAAAATATGACATGTCTTGAGAACAAATGATCCCGGATAATGAATACTTTTTAAATTCTTTGTTATTTCCCCATAATGAACCAAAAAAATGACCATGCAACTCATCAAAAACATAACAGAAAACACAACAATAACCCGAAAAAAAAACCAAACAAAAACCCTACAAGAAAATTTCTTGTTGGGTAGTGGTTTTTATTTTGTTTGGTTTTTGTTGGGTCATTTTTGTTGGGTTTTGTTGGGTATTTTTTGTTGGGTTGCCGACCCTAGCTGACTGGTTCAAGAGGAAGAATCGATCGTTAGCATTCAGAGCTGAGAAGATTGAGCAAAAAAAGCCGCTGTACATGGAGTACGAAAAAAGTGACGGGTATCCATCGAGAGAGAGCATCAACAGGCTCTGCGTGGAGTTAAACTTAACGTTTAACCAAGTCTACGAGTGGTTCAATACGAGGAGAAAAAATACCAGGAGGCAAGAGGCAATCAGAGCTGTCCAGTTGGAAAAGCCGAGCTCTCGCCAAAACGATGCGAATGGCAGTGAAAAAAACATTGGAGTAGTTATCAAATCATCGGAAAATGCTCTTTACGCTCAAGGGACGGCGGAAATTTCCTTAAGACTTCAGTAAATTAGAATCTAATAGCTTTTTACTCTATCAATAGTGATTTTCCATGAAAAGATAAAAATTCAAAAGCTGCAGAAGGAAATCAAAGCCTTAAACAAGCCGTCAGAGATAGTGAAGGTAAATTTAATAATTTGATAGCTGAAAAAAATGATTAATTAAGCAGGCCAAGAAGATAAAGACAACAACGACTACGAAAGCGACGATTCGGACTACGAAATAATCCAGACACGCTTAACACAAGTGACCTTCCACCCCGACTATAAACAAGTTTACAAAACACCCGAAGGAGAATTTTTGCATGTTAAAGAACGCGATCTCGTTTTCGAAGATAAATAAACCTAACTATAAATTTACCTTTGTGAGTGGCAGTGTAATAATCTGGCTTGATCGGGCAGCAGTTCTGATCCAAAAATACCCAGCTCGCCAGTCGAGTTAAACTTCTGAAACGTCACAGGAGCGCGCAGGTTTTTCAACGTTTTCAAACAATCTGGATATTCCTTCGTCATGCATGTCTCGTCGTAGAGGTTGATCAATCCTGAGGTCGAACCGATCGAGAAAATTGTCTCCTGGTCGTTGACTCCTACAAAACAAGCTCTAGAAAGACGAAAGCAGGAATATAAATTTTACCTAGAGACGTGCATCCCGCCATATCTTGAAAACTGTGAACTGGCTCCATTTTTCGCAGATCGAAAGTCATCACTTGGCCGCATTCTGACAGCGTCCACATTCTATTCCCGTCTTTTGACATTTTTACATCAACATTCTGTTCTGTGGCGCTTTGCAGCACTCCCACGACTTCCTTGTTCTTCTCTGAAAAGGATTTGTAAGTTCACTGATGACCTCTTGCTGAAATCAAGGAAGAGGAGAAGTACTTACTCGAAACGATGTGAATAGGTCCATCTCTTGATGTAAAGGCCAGGTATTTGGACTCGTAGCTTGTGTAAAACTGTTCCACGCGATGCTTCCGATCTCTGCCTTTGATGAACGGCGTTCTAGTTATCGCGCCCGACTCCAAATCATGACTATAAAACCACTGGACATGGGAGGTGGCGAGGCACTCGTTTCTCGAAATAATGCGCGCGCATTTGATGTGAAAGTTGTCAAGGCGGATCGCTTGTAAAAGCGGGTTTTCACGACCGTCGATCTGAAAATTTACGTTCGAAAATATTTTCAAATCGTAAAAACTCTCTCAAGGCAAGTTCTAGAGACAATGCATATATGTCTCTCTCTTTCTTTTTCTAACCTTGAACATCGCCAAAGTGTCCGCTTGAGTGAGCATCGCCGCTGGAGCGTGGGGATGAAAATCAAAGCCAGAAATCGGCAGTCCGCCGAGTCCCCCAATGACGAGCGTTCCTACTTCCTCGATATCGATCTCGCCCTGTGGGAGGACTCCACGGCGTTTCGAGAAGATCTTCCCACTGAAGTTCTCCTCGTCTTCAGCGACCGGCTTTACGTTGAGCCACGCGCCGCTAAACTCGGCGAATTTCATTTCTGCCACTTTTTTTCTCTCGACATCATCATCCTCATCGTGCCACACGCAATCTTCTTCATCTTCGTCGACCGTCGGGGGCGTCTGTTCTTGAACTGTTTTTACTGGCGTTTCCGATGTTTCTTCATTGTCAGAGTCAATCACTTCACTTGATGCAGTGGAAACGACGCTCTGCTTCATTTTCTTCCCAAACAACCTCTCCATTAGAGATTCCTCGGACTCGGAGTCTACAATAACGATTATGCCAGTATAAGTACATCTTCCACTTACCAGAATCGGACTTGTTAGCGTTCTGCTCGTCATCCTTTCTTTCTTCGTTATTTTTCTTTAGCACAATCGCCGCTTTTCGCTTATTCTTTATCATTCTGAAATCCGCAAGGTTGAAGCGTTTTGTGTAATCATGAAGAGAGCAGCTTTTTTTAATATTAAGAGGATCAGGCTTTGCAAATCTTTGTAAATCAATGGCTTTTTTAAATAAATATTACGCTGAAGTAGATTCGATTTGTGAAGTTGTGGAATTAACGATTCTTCGACTCCTTGTCCACGCTACGAGGAGAAAGAACCTTCTTTCGCTGAAGAAAAAAATGATAACGGTCGCTTTAGAGACGGGAGGATTACCTGACGGAACATGTGACTGTATAATTGAGGGAAGTAGATTACATACAGCGGAATAATTCCAATTAGAACGTAATAATAGTCGAAGGAGAGATTCCATGTGTTCGGAAGGCCCCAAGAGTAAAGCTTCGAGCTATGAACCACTGGAAGTGCTCTACAATCAAATTTCAATAGAAACAGGTGTTAGCAAAGTGGACTGTACTTTGTGATGCAGATGAGCTCGCCAGTAACGCCCATGGGATAGAGTACGATGAAGAGAGTGTATCGAAGGTATGTGAGGATGAAAGGCGTCATGTTGAGTTGGTTGAAGGCATAATAGCTGAAAACGTTAGGACTTAGATAAGCAACATTTGAATCTTATCGGAAAACCACAGCTCATGATTTAAGATCCTACTCTGCTTACGTGTATCTGATAACTTCTGTGACAGTCCAAGCAGCAAGGATTAAAACATATCCCCATGAGTTTTGCGTCTGGGGGACCGGAAACAAAACCCCCAAATAAGAAACAATCGGGATGAGACTTGGAAGGCAGTGAGCATCACCGATGACTTGACGAATCCCACAGCTGCGTTGAAAACTTCAAGCAAGGCAGCTGTCTGGAAAATGAATAACGACTTTTCCGTGGCGCTAAATCAAAATTTTTCCTGCAAAGGAATTTGACGCGAATGCTTACCGGAACAGATGCTTGACATGGCCGCTGTGATTGTATTCTCTAACTGCAGCCCAGCCGATCGATGCCCAGCCAGCAGCGAGAATGACGTTATATAAGAGTAAATACGCACGATGCAGCCCGGTCATCTGATAAAGGCAATTTATTCTCTTTACATTTTTACAGTAGAGGTGTGTTCAAGATTCAAATGGCAAGAAGTTCAATTATTTAGGTGTCAGACTAGAGAGCTAGAACTTGGAAAGAAAGAAAGCGAAGCACGTTTTTCATGCCTTTTTGTTTCCTTTCGGTATTAGGTAAGTCTAAAGGATCATGCGAGCAGCTGTGTTTTTGTTGAAGAAAATCAGTCGGTGAAGAAGTTTAACAGAATTCGGCTTGAAGAACAAAAAAATTGAAGAAAGTAATTAACAATGCTGTGGTCTAAAATTGAGTTGTTGAGGTAATCATCAGCTGTTATCATCTCGAGCTTGGGTCTAAAAGGGCGCATTAGAAAAGTATTTGAAAGATGCATTCAAGGGCTACCTTAAGTCGGACGAATTCCTTAGCGAGCTCGTCGGTAGCACGCTGAGAAAGAATGCGTAAAATTGTGCAGCCAGTGTCGTCGAACTTTTCCCGCTTGACGAGTGTCGCCCAGACAGCACAAGAGCCTGTAATCAATTCATTTTGAACTGAACTTTGAACTGAGCTTGCTTGTACCTTTGTTGAGGACTGGTCCGAGATTGATGCTAGTTGATCCAACGAGCTTGTCAATACCCATCACCCACCAGTCTTTGCACGAGATATTGAGCTCGAAGGAGCCGGCTTCTTCCGTGGAAGGGAGCGTGAAACTGAAGTGTTAATTAACGAGAGGCAGAGAGAGAAAAAGGAGAGGTTACTTGGCAGTTTCGTTGAATTTAGGACTCTTTTGGTTCTTCTTGGCTTTTGTCGTAAAGACCCGCTTGTAAGGCTTCAATGCTGGTCCCATGATGTTGAGCTCGATATAAGGCCTAGTGTATGGTTAGTTTTTCTACTAGAAAAAGAAGATGATTACTTAAATGCGGCTTTCCATTTGAGATTCTGAGCGGAGACGACGGTAACACTCAGCGTCTTCTGCTGATTAATTTGACGCAAATCTATTTGAAGATTAACTTCCCCAAATGACTCCAACTCCTTTGGAATGTCTTTTTGTGTTTCGATAAATCTCTTGATCAGGTTATCTGGGAAAAATGAATTGAAGAAAAATAGAAGAAGATGAGATTCTCTTGCAAGTCTAAAAAACTAAAGAGAAGGATTACCTGTGGAGAGCGTGTATAAAGATAGCGCATATTGAAGTGATTTGAGATCGTTTGATTTACTCAAGAAGCCCTTCTTGAGGCCCATGTTGTCAGAGTGGAAATAAATCTTCAAATTTTCAATCGCACATTCCATTATCGCGCAGTGTCTAGGAGTCAGTGTTTTCTCAGTCGCTCCGATTCCGCCAGATATACCGCCTTGTACAACGCTCGCAGCACCCGAAAGGCTTCCAGTCAATGTTCCAGATAGAGCTGAGCTCTTCAGGTTCGATCCAAACTTGCGCCCGAGCTCTAGTGCACTTTTACCAGCGTTGAGAAGCATGTTCCCAGATGTAGATGGGAGAACGACCTGTTTCTCAATCGTGTTCAACAAAATCTTCCATAAAGCTTTAAGCACTCTTTTCAGGACCGTCTTCTCCGCCGATTGCGAAAATAGCTCGAAAGAATCGTCGAGAGTCGACAGCACAGGGGAGAGAATGTTATCCGTCTCTACCATTACATCTGGATCGGTAGCGGGAGCTTCAGGACCTTTAACTTCGTAAAGCATTTCGCCCATTTGCTTGACGCCCTCGTTTATTCGAGCGAGGAAGGACTCGCCGAAGATAACTGACAATTCGTCGAGCTTGTTACTGTGCTTGTTTTGCAAGTCTTTGAGAATCTCTTGAGCAGATGGGGCGAGCGAATCGCCACCCATCATTTCGTACATCTTTTCTAGCTGCACTCGACTTTGCTGGACGTTGTTCATCAAGATACATGCCTTTTCTTCGTCCGAGCAGTATTCGCGGAAATCAGCATGGATAAGTCGTACATATTCCATCAAGACATTATCAATCGTCCTCGAAAAGCGCTGCATGTAACAACCGCGCACTTCTGGATTTGGACAGTCAAGCTTGCGAATGACCTCGAATGATTGATTCATCTGCGTAAAGATATCCACTACCGAACATGAAAACAATGCCATATCAGTACTTGTCGCAAAGTTCTCCTTTTTATCGCGCTCGTAAGCGCCAGTGAGGAATTTCATCGAAATCGTTTCGTTTTCCTCGAGCCAGTCCAAAGTGAACGTCTGGAATAATGCCGGATATTCGGGCGTCATGTCGCCGTATGCTGGTAGACTGAGGACGTATTCTTTGAACAACCATTTCACCTTGAACTGGAGGTTCATGTAATCGGTCGTCGAACAGAGCTTCTGCTCAGCGTGCTCGTCCATTGCCCGGCGGAGATCGTCAATGTACAATTTCCAAAGCTCGATGGCCGATATTTCGAAAATGCTAAATCCTTCCAAAACATTCATCGAGTTCGAATAAACAGTTTTGTCCTCCTCGATGATGAAGCCGCAGAGAGTGATCAGCTTCGTCCAAAAATCCAACGATTTTAGACTCGTGTGCCCTTGTTCAACAGGATCCCAAGGAGTTTCATCCCCAAGCTCGCGGGAAAACAATTCGTGACAATTAGAAAAGATGTAATTGTAGCTGCCTGCTACGCTTGCTCGCACGCATTCAGCGATGACATCTTTCGGTGGCACTTGATTGGAGAGCTGAAGAACTTCGGTCTTGAAAACGGATATTTGATTGAGAAGGCCGACGATCGAGCTTAAATCGTGGAGCCGTTGCTTGTCTGAGGCAGGGAAGTTCTCCCGATAGCTAGAGAGATCAATGCGGAGAGAGTTGTGCACTTGATCCAGGATGCTCTTGAAACGGGAGGAACCGAAGTTGGATGAGTTGAAACGCCTGCAGGGAGATATCTAAAACAATTGTTTGACATATCATGATTTTGTTTATGCACTACCTGTGTGAACGAATCAGAAGTATAAAATTTGATAATTTTCTCTAAAAGCCTCGTCATGTACCAAGGAACACCAGGCAACATATACTTCGTGGCCAAGCAGCTAAAATGCACCATCTCGGCGTAAATGGGTTCTATTCCGTAACGCACAGCGAATTCAGAGACAATTTCGTTTTCCGGCAATTCGAAGAAGCGTTTCACCTCGTTGCCTTCTGGTTCGGGTAGTTTTGGGATGTCTTCATTTTTCGAACAGATGAATATGAATAAACTTTCGTGGAGAGCGTTGTACTGGAGATGGTAGGGTGCGACTTTTTCTTCTCCCTTGATTTCACAGTTGATCGTCAGTTTGATCGCTCCTAAGAATCATTGTTGATTGCGAAAAAATGGCAGGAGTTGATTACCTGATACAAGTGACTTTTCCGATCGCTTTTCAAGGTTGTACCAGAGCTCATTATCTCCCGAGAGCGTGCGCACCTCAATGACAGTCTGTCCGAGAAAGTCATCACTTTCTCTGAACAATTTCGATTTGACCTTGGACTTGATGTCATTGTCCTCGTCCCAAACGCGCACTTTAATTCGATCCGTGGAGTTGGAACAGTCAAAGTGGAACTGCTCGTTCCACACTGGATTCAAATTTTTGTGAATTGTCTTTGTTCGTTTTTGGTTCCTGTTTCCGATTTGAACGGAGACGTATGGATCAGAAGTTCCGGTCTTGTCCTTAGGCGCCAAGCCTTGAGCTTCGTGCACTTTAATCGAAAGCTATTTTTTGGATTTAAATTCAACAAATGTCTACTAGACAAGTTGGCTGAATCATCATCATTCTCGCGTACTAATAAAATATTAAAATCCATTCCTTTGCACGCCACTGGCTTGTTCCATCCAAAATACTTTGCCGCGCCGCGTTCAGCGCTCGCCCATGATCCTCGTCATTGACTCCAAACACCTGCCGTAGGATGTCGAAAACGGCAGGGGAGGATTCAACGCGGTTCTCCATCGACTTGTTCATCACGGAAATGATTCTTTGAGTCTGCTCTCCGAGGCTTTCTTTCTTCGAGCTTCGTTCTGCCGCACGCTGGAGGCAGTCGGCGTTGATCAGATCTTGGCATTTTTCGTGGCAGATCAGTCGGCATTCGCTGCAACGCATTCCCTGAAATAAAAGACAGTTTATTTTCAAGCGCTAGAATAATAAATCACCTGACGAGCGAGGCCCCAAAGTAGCCCCCTGCATTCCTCGCAGCACACAGGCCGAGGAGCAGTGTAAACTTCAAAATTATGCGGCGTCGTGTTTGAAATAGGATATATAAGTGCCTTTCCAAGCGTTCTTAAAAATATAAAGAAAAAAATCATTCATTAGCGAAATTGAATAATTAATTAGCCCGTTAAAAGGGATGATTAACTAGTAGGTGCACCCAATAATATATTTCTTGGGTCGCATGGCCACAAGGTCCTTAAAAAAGAAGAAGAGTATTTCACTTTTTCACTTGCTGTGTTGAATAATATATTTGAACACTGTGCCTGTAGTGTTTTCTTATAAACATGCTGTTTCAATTCGTTGTCCTGGAAGCTGGCACGCGAGTTCAGTAAAGCAGTGGTGATTCCCGTCTTTTGACGATTCATTAGTTCGGCAGTGAGTTCTTGCATCAATGGAATGGAGTTTTTTCGCCGCACAAGGGTTGTAAAGAGACCAATTTCGGTAATAAGCACGGCGCGTTATTTTTATTTAATTTTGAAACGACACTTGAAAAATTGAAAACGCAGAAGAAATTTGAATCAAGAACGTTTACAACCCCGAAAGCAATTTGAAATTGGGCATTGAGTCTATCGAGCTGAGGAAGTTGGAGGCGATGGCTTGGACGCCCCAGCCGGATTTGCGGATCTTGGGAATGTCGGCACCATTGCCTTCGTTGTCGCTCTCGCGGATCTTCACACGGATCTTGTTTACCGCTTGAATCCAGCGGAACTTGGCCACGGAAAAGTTTTGGTCGTCCAAGTCGATGCCAGTTATGCTGTCGCGCACAAAGGAGAGCTGAGTGGTGCGCCGCGTCGACCCGCTGTTATCCTCGGTTCTGTCGGGTCTTTCATCGGATCTAGCACGGTTTATGCTGTGCTCGTTGTTTCGTTCGTTCGTATGTTCTTTTGGCGTAAATGGCACTCGCGAGGAGTCATGAGAAGTCTTGATTTCTTCGTTTATTATCTGAGAAGGCAATTTGTGATATTCCTCCAAAGGCGATGCCGGGACGTCCTCCCCAATCAGAGAAGGCTTGACAAAACTATTGTCGGTTTCCGATTTCGGATTCGAGAACTGGCGTTTCGGGCTCTTCCTGTTCGAGCAGAGCGCTTGCTCGCTCAGGCGTGATTCAGTTTCGCTTCCAAAGTTCTCCACGTGTTGATCGCACTCGGCTTTTTCTTCGATGCTTGTTTGGCAAAACTGCTCCTCGTCAGAGTAGAGCTTGTCTTCTGCGAGCTCATCTTCCTCGTGATAGCACTCGTGGTCCGAATTGTCGAACTCGATCCCGTCGAAGCCGTCAAAGCGCCAGTCGGATTCGAATGACGTCTGGAGAAGGAGGATTTCTTCCAGCGTCAAATCGGAGCCAGACTCGAACCTAAATAGTTGAAAATCACGCTATTCTCATTAATTGTAATTGATTTGCAATTGATGTGAATTATTCAAGGAATAGATAAATAGATTCACCAAGATAACAAAATAAACCATTAATGCATTATTGAAACGTTCCAAGCCAGGATCGTTGATTTAACCCACCTTGACTCGACGAGCAGCTCATGGCAAGTTAACCGGTGCCCGCGAACTTTCGATGAGCCGACCGCCGTCGGGAGAAGTTCTTCGTACATCTGAAGCCACTTCGGCCCGCATTTCGGATCTGCGAGCGGCGTCTCTTCCGACGAAGCAGAAATCTCCTCGAAAGGAATACAAGCAGTGCCTAGGATCTTGTCCCAAAGAAAACCCTTCTCCCAGACTTCCAGTGTCACCATTTTGTCTCCGATCTTGTTGCTCGGGAGTTCAAAGCAAAACTCCTGTTCCCAGGCGGGCTGCTTTCCAGAGCGCTCGACCGACTGAGCTTTTAAATTATCGACTTTGATGGAGACATAGAAGTTGGAAGAAGTGTTGTCCGGCAGATCAAGGTTACCGCGGTGGATCTTCAAGCACTTCAAGGGGATATATTTTTATATTATAATATTTATAACATAAATTATATAAAAAGATGTTTTTGATTGAGAAAAGAGGCAATTCATATAAATAGAAAATTGATTTCTAGCAATTAGTCTTCTATGTCTTCAAAAATTATTAAAAGTGACTAAGGCGGCTAAAAAGGATGCTAATTTTAATAAATCCCCACGCAAAAGTGCCATGTGGCGTTAGCCGGATTCACTTCAAATCCCATACGTCACATGTTCCATACGTCGGGAGTTGAGCTCTTTTTCGTTGTGCTCCCATTTTGGCTCCACGGTCATCTGAATGCGGATAGCGGTTAGTTTTTCTTTTTTTCTAATAAATCTCTAGTAGAAGGCACGATGTCGAGAATATAGTATTATGACCAAGGTTAGTATTGTGACGCAGGGCGACATCTAGTCTTAGCAAAAACAAAACTCAACCCCGCTCAGCGCCCGATCAATATCCCCGGTGTAATTTTTTAACAATAAATTCACAGCCACTTTTATCATATCGATGAGAATCCTAATCGATCGATCTCAGGCCCGCTTCTTCTACTTTATCAGCTTTTCAAAAAATAATTAGAATATCAAATACTAAACTCAAAGAAATAAAACTGGAAAGATGAAGCTCAATTTTTCATTTATTATAGGAATTTTCAACGTGAGTTAAATAGCGAAAAATAATATGGAACTGACGGATAGTATGTAAGAATACCAGAGAAACAGTTCTTTCAGGAATATAGTATAGTACGTAGGAATATGGAAATTCCAGAAGAAAAAAAAAGTTAGAAGTCGCATTTGCACTTAGAATTGTGGATCATAGAAGAAGAAAATAAGAAGAAGAATATGAACTATGATATTTAAAATATGAATGAGTTTTTCAGGGAAGAATATTGTACATAGGAAAAATAAAAAAGAAGCAAGTTTAAAAAAGCACGTGGTGTTGGATTCAGCAGTCACAGCAGCAGTGTTTGCGAAGAATTTTCGGACGGGCATGGTAGTGCATTACTGTATTAATATGTTCAGAAATAATGGTGCCAGAGGCAAATGATAAGCGTTCAGGAAGGTCTAGCACCTTTACGATCTTGCTTAGGCGAAATTGATTTTTTTTTTATTTAGAGATTAGGTAATATCGTTTATTCTGTTTCTTGAAATGACGAAGGAAAGAAAAAAAGGGATCAGGGAGGGTAGGGAAAGTTACGAACTTCGCGATAGTGAAATTCGGTAATGGTCGTTTTTTTTCTTGAATGACGGAAAAGGAAGGAGGGATTGGGGAGGATTGAAAGAATCATATGAAACGTTGCTACAGAAAGGTTTTTGGCTCGAGGTAAGACAAGGTTAATATAATATATTACTGTACATAAATACTGATTATAGAATATGAAAAATCCATATCAGAGAAGGAGTACGCGATAGAGATAGAATACTTAATAGTTAGATACTGTAATTATGAACTTTGAAAAAAAGTCATCCAAGCTCGTGGCTTGGCGTGGAGGGGAGCAGTCCCCCACCACTGGTGCCTGCGTTGGGGGCTGCGGAGAAACGCGAGTGCGCGCCGATCTTGGGTGTCAGGTCGCCGTCTGAATAGCATTTTGAAAGAGGCTCCTCTTTCGACTTCTGCATATCGCCCCTACACTCACCAGAGATGACAGATTCAGTGCGCGCGCGTGGCTCCGAGGTCTTCTTGTAGCTCACGGAGAAGATTGAGCTCGATTGAAGAGAGTTGGCAACGGAGCCGGACTCGGACTGGGTATCCGACACAAGCCGCCGCAGGGGCTCGCTTGTTGGGGAGGACTTACGGACTCCGAGGGTTCGGCTCCGCATGAGGGGTGGAGAAGCTCAGTGCAGTACTTTTCGAAACTGTTGTTCGTCGGCAGCCGTAGCTTTCTGATCGTCTCCACCAAGTAGGAATTGCGATCTTCGAAGAAATGTCTAAAAAACGACTTCATTCCCTGGAAGCAACAAAAGCGCTCACCGATATCCATCAATTTTGCTCCTAAGAGCTCTGGCTGCGTTCACCGCCGTTTCACGCACTAGAACTCCAAGAACATCGCCAGAAACAATCATGTTGTCTGTCAGCGGACCAAAGAAGGGCAAGTTCTCCTTTTGAATGATTCTAATGCGGAAGAAGTTGTCCTTGGAAAGTGGGTAGATGCAAATGACAACGTCAGCGAATTCAGACGAAATTATTGATGTACGGTACTCGCGCCAGTGCTCAGACCAGATTATTTGCACGTTGTCGTTGCCAATATGACGCACTTGATAAAGAGAGGCTGAGTTAAGATTTTAATAGGCGCGTACCTTTTATATGGGCAGGCTCTTCGTGGTTGAACATGGTCGAAACATGATACATTAATTCTAAAGACGAGTCGGCGTAATAAATCGAAGAGAAGCCCGTGCTCCCGTTGTCTTGGAGGCCTCCCATGTACCCTCGATGGTTAGACAGCTCGATTTCCCAGCCCAAAGAGCGAACAAAGTTCTCAAATGCCCGCTACAAAGGCCTTTAGCGCTATAATTTATGATAGAACTTACAGATCCAGCTTTGTTCGAAAGAATCGACTGTTTGTCCTCTTGGCCATTGCCGACATAAATGCAAGCGAACTTGTGATTCTCGCGGATTGGCCCTCGATTGTCGAGATTTTTTAACTCGCGCTTGAGACGCTCCACTTTATGGAGCAAGTCGACTTTTTGCCTCTTCTCCCACGTGAGAAAGCCCAGCTGCGAAAGCAGAAATCTAGAGCGCCAGAACGTATTGTCGATAATAGAAGCAGTCGACGGTTTTGGCTTGGCGTTGAAAAAATGCGAGTCTGTGAGGCGAAGACGCGGGCGCGACTGAAGCTCGACGATGAATTGTTCTTTGATGGTGTCGATGATTCGGTGCTCGAATTCCTCACTAAAAGGAGCTTTCGAAGGCACAGTCAGAGGCACGTCGATTAGACATTCTTGAGACTTCGAGTTGATATAACGAAGCATTTGTTCTAGACGATCTTTGCATCCAATCTGAATTAATTGTTGAGTAAATATGAACAAACCTAGAGACTTTTACCTGAAGGGGCGATTCACTAGTCGGCAAAGAAGTCTCAATATTCAGAACACTTTCGTCCTCAAGCTGCTCATGATCCCCATATTGCCAGTAATCGGCCAGTGAATACGACTGATTCTCCTCTCGATTGTCCAGAAAGTCGCTAGTACTATGTGTCTTTTCTAGCGAATCCGATCCAATGTAGTCTGAATCGCTAGCCAAGCTTTCCGTCCCTTTTTCTGAAGCGGTCCCTTCTTCTTTGTTTATTTCTTCTTTGACATCTATCTCGTTTTCTAGCGAGTCCAGAATCTGGCAACTCCAGGAGTGTTTTCCTGCGTGTGTTCTTGTTATTACTCGAACTAAAAAAGTGATTAGAAAGACACAGAACTAAGAAGAATTACCTTTGTCTTCGAATTCAATCAAAGTCACAATACACCGCTCGTCGATTGAAATAAATTGACAGTTTTTACTGAAACGGCAAATAAAGATAAAAAAAGGATGGTATAATAAACTCACCTTTCTAGCAATTGGGTATCGTCAAGGTCAGTTCCGTCGCTATCTAGAATGGTGGAGGACATCAGAGTTGGGCCAAATTTAAGGGGAAAATGATTCAAATGAATGGTTATTCTGTCCAAGCAGCATTGAGCAGCTTGCTTGAATTTCTAAAAAAGTAAAAAAACATAAGAAGAATTGAGAAGGAAGGATTTACTTGATTGCCCCGTGGCTCATCAGTAGAGTTCTCGGCAGTCCACTCGTTGATGGGCGCGATGATGGTGTTTGGATCGAAGAGGTCGGTTTGGAGTGCGGACAGGTCGAATTCAAAGGAAGTGGAGCGATCGCCCGTTGCGATCTTGAACGTTTTTACAATCACTTCGAATATACAGGTTTCCTCGGTTAATTCCATATTGAGCGGCTCCAGAAGTGCGGCTAGAGGGATAAATTATTGTCATACTTCAGTTTTAGAGCTACCTGGCTCGATAGACAATGTCCATTCTGCAATCAAGAAAAGCAGAACTGTAAAAAGCCTGTTTTCCCGTAATCTCGTCGAATACTTCAACTAAAAAGAGCTTGCTTTTTTCGTCTCTTGGCTAATTTTACCATTAGATCGGATGTAATCAAGGGCAGGACGGTGAGAATCGTGCAGTACAAACTGCGACATAGCGAGAGAAGTTCTTTGTTGTATTTGACAAGAGTTCTGAGGCAGCTTACAGCGGCGACAGCGACATTTATGTCATCAGATCTTTTGATCGACATCAGGCAGATTGACAAGGCTAGAAAGAGTTAAAATAACTTTTATGGGCAGAAACCCCTACCTTTGGCAATATCAGGCAGAGAAGGGTCTGGCATAGTCAGTCGACTGACGAGCCAAAGAGAAAGGGATTGAAAAGCAACGCATCGAGAGTGGCCCGACGGATCAAATTGGCAAGAAGAAATGATAAACTCGCCAATTCGTCGCTGGTACTCTTCATCGTCTCTAGTTACAAAGATGAGGGATTGAACCAGTTGCTGTGCTTCCACGCGTGGGCAACCATCGTCAAGATCGGAGGATTTGGCAATTTTTTCACAAGCGTCGAGAAAGTGCGGAATGAGCACTTGAGAGCCAGGAAGATTTCGGGAAAAGAATCCACCGCCGCAGCTTTTGACAGCTTTGTAGGTGAACTCGAGATTGTCAGTTTGGACTAGAGACCAGCGTAGCAAGCGATAGAACTGGCAAACCATGTGCGTATCCAGCTCATAGTCGTTGTAGATATTGACGATGAACTGGCGGCAAATGAGCTCCAGAGCGAGTGACTGACCATCTTGGAAACGAGAGTCGAGTTGAAATGCACCAAGACACCAGGGAACGAATAAGTAAAGCGGAGGAACTAGCTCGGGTGGCTCTGGCGTCTCAGTGTTCGTCACTGAAACTGCAAGGTTATTGCGCACCTTATACAAAATCTCCCATTGCTTGTGCAGGTAGCCAAAGACGCGTGCGTGAATCTCTGGATTTTCGATTTTATTCACATCCCCAAGTACACCGAGAATCCGCTTCCACAAAACATAGGCGACATCCGCTGACCAGCCAGTCTTTCGACCACCAGCCATGACAGTTGTGTCCTCATCGATGTCCGTAAACTCATCTGGCAGTTCTGGATTAACATCGTTGCGGATGATGATCGAGTTCGTGTCGTAAGGGCCAAATCCCATGTCGGATTCCGAGCGCGCGAATGTTGAGTTACCCGTTTTATTTCCAAAAACCATCGGCGGTGTTTCATCAAAACTTTCAGACACATGATCCTGGTGATTAATCGCAGGATTCCAATCTTGGGTGAGCGAAGCAGTCTCCGACTCACCACCATCAGTGTTGTTGAATCTGGCAGAAAACGACTCGCTGTCACCAGTCTTTGGCCCTTTGAAAGAACCACCTGAGCGGGTTCGGTACCGCAGGCTACCGTTTTCGCCAGTTTTGAAAAGCTCGGCATCCGAGTGAGCTCGTTTTATCCTCGAGTCAGCTTCCTGTCCAGCATTTTGTCCATCAAGTTGCGATTTCGAGAAAAACTTCGGGTCGCGGATTGACGCCCCATCTGGCGCGGAAATTGGCGATGCTAGCTGATGCCCTGCCGCTCCTTGCTGAGCCGTGTTTTGTTGCGTTTCTTTTGGAGCTTCTGCTGGCCTTCGCTTACCTCGTCTTCTAGCACCAGAGCGGTCGAGGGGAAGTGCGTCGATGTCGAGGTTGTAAACATGTTGAATGAGCATGTTGGACACGACCTCCATCGTTTTGGCCCATTCCGTGATGAGCACTGACAAATGCGTCATTTCCTTGCTCAGCATCAGCATGTCGTTCCATAGTTCTGAAGAAACAGCAGCGTACAAAGACGCCTTGATCCACGCGACGATTAGTGTCTGAATCAACGGCTGCGTTACACTGCTGGATAATGCACCATTTGGCGAATCTGCGTTGTTCAAATGGGCACGAGTGATGTGCACGAGAATAATAAGCAGTTGATTCCACGTGTCGTCATTCATCTCCAAGTGCATAATTATCGAGCGGTACTGATTGATGACGTCTTTGCAAGTGCACGAGTGCATTTCGATCATGTCAGGTTTTGGGTTCAGAAGGAAGACATACGACGAGTTGACGATGAAGGATTGTAACGCCGCCTGGTCGCCAGCACGAACGATGTCTTCTGGCGAGCCATCGTACTTTGGCTCCTCGCACCAAACCGGTTTGACACAAGGAGGCTGCCGTCCTTCGTTCGCGTTCAGCCACATGCTGAAGGCTTTGATCACCACTCCCGCCGGGCTAATCGCCTTTTCTTTGTCATAAATACAATCGTCCACCTTGACAAAGGGTAGAAGAAACGCCTGGCGGAAGATTTCATGCACTAAATTTACGTTTTCGCGGTTCGAAAACACCGTAGCGCGGATAATCTTGCCGTGTCTTCTGTGCTCTTCTTCGGACTCGAACGAAGATGAAACGCTTTCCTTGTCGTTTTCAGTTGTAGACGAGTTGTTTTCATGACTGCTGAGCTCGTCGGTTTCGTCAAGCGTTTCCATTTGCCCCTTGCTCTGTCGGGTCTTTTTCGGCGTGTTTTCGCTCTCCGGAACATCGATGCAGTACTGAACGAGCCACTGGATAAAAGCGACACGAGCTGGGAGAAGATCGTCTTTTGCCGAAATAGCCGAATCCACAGAGCCCGTGTCGTCGATATATTTCACGTAGTCGTGCTGCTGTGGAATTGTTAGATGAAGCTGCAAGGATGTATTATAAATATCCGTGGATAGGTCCAAATCGGTAAAGATATTCTGGAGATAGTATTCCTTGAACATGTCCCACATGAATTCAAAGCCTCGTTTCTCCAGCTTCTTGTCCTTCCACTTGAAAGCAGCGGAGTAAGTGGCCATCGTACCGATCACTGTCTGTGTGAAGATCTTTATCAGGTACCAGTTTTGATCCTGACTTTCTTTTACTTCGGGTGGGACGATCGGCTGTATCGGAACAGGAGTGATGATGCCTCCTACGTTTTCGTTGATCAACGAAGATAGTGTATGGCTTCGGCCATCGGAGCCCTTTGGACTAGGCATTCCGGGGATAAGGCTAGCATAGATCATTCTCGCATGCTCGCCAGCGTTGTCCTGCAACGCTTGAAACCACTGGAGAAAGATCTCCGTCCCTCGAATTCGCGTGTGAAGACAATTCTCAGGGTGGATCAAACGCTTGACAACGTCCAGGATTGAGTTGTACTGCCAGCGTTGGTTGATCTTGTCTGGCATTAAAAAGATCATCTCCTCGAGGACCCAAATGATTTGCTCGAGCTCTTCCTGCCCTCGCCGACCAGTTTGACCCCGGAGCTTTTGCTCCGTGATGAGAAAGTTTTCATAAAAGACATAGAAGAAGTGCGTGTCAAATTGATAGAATATCGTCTAGAACAACAAGTTAGACGTAATGAGTTAGTGAAGGACGAACCTGATGGTCTGCTACCTGAGTGGCATTTTCAATGATATGGCGGAGGTTTGCAAGGCGCTTGTCCGGATCGCGCTTCGGGTCGAGGAGCTTCTGTATTGACTTGCGAACTCCATCACTCCCCTTTTTGTTGCCTCGAATGTTAAACATGTATGGCAGTAAGTCAAGTAGCTACAGAAAGTACTACTGGCTATAATCAGCGATCAAACTCGTCCCGACCCATCAAACTCAACAATTTTCCTGCGAAAATGGTAAAAATCAAAGAATTCGACAAGGAAAGAATAAAATCAAGCATGTTACATGTATTGGTCCTTTTTCGGAAGTTTGGACAAAGAAAGAAAGAGAAACAGATAGGGCAATGAGAAGGAGCAAGTAATGAGTGAGAAAGAGAGATTATTCACAATGTTAGATCACGTGTCAGAATTTTATCTGACTTTTTTGGGTCTTCCAATTTTTGAAGATTTTTTTCTTTTCGTTGATTTTTTCTTGGTTAGGTCGATTTCAGTACAGTCTTTTACTGGCAAGGCCGGATTGTCTTCTGGGTCTTCTATGTCGGGAGCTACTGGAATATAAATGCAACCGTCGTCTAATAACAACAGTTAGGAATAGTAACTAAAAGTGAATTACCGAAATCTTCTTCGTCGCTGGAGAAAAAGGCTTCGATCTTTTCGACTTTTTCAACGTCGATTTCGATGTCTTGATAAAGCACATCTTCATCTGGAGGAAGAGATTTATCCTCGTCTTCTTCGTCGAATTCGGATTCTCTGAATTGATTTTAGAAATGAGAAAGGTAGAAGGAGGTTACTTTTCAACGTATTCGACGTTTTCATCGAGCTCTGTGAATTCAGGAGCAAAGGCGGACCAGTTTTCGACTTGATTTCTCGACCACACGGTCATCATACAATTCGAAACTGAAACAACGATGGGCCGCACCGGATGCCAGACAAGATCTAGCAATTGCTCTCCTCGAGTTCCCTGAAAGTTGGTAAAAGGATTTAGTAAAACCGGCGCCTGTGTTACATAATTGGCAGCGTCTATTTACCTCGAGAATTTTGACTAAATTCGTGTTTCCCGATTTGATCTCGCGTTCTTTTTCCCAAATGTAAATCTGGTGTTGCTTCGCGCTTCCCGCGCACACAAACATTCCATCGCCCGAGAAAACGCATGTCTTCCACAGCGTTCTGTTCACGAGATCCTGTAGCCGTTGAATAGGCTCAATCGTTGATACGCAAGGTGGTTTCCCCTCGGGGATCGAGTAGTCGCTAATTATTTTCGAGCTTCAAAGATGCATGTTATCGCTACTAAAGGGCGGCAATTATAGATTTACCTGTCATAAACACGAATAACTCGATCGACGGAGTTCACCAGAAAATGCGCGCCTTTTCATTGGGTCTTTAATCTTTCTTAAATCCACCTTTTCGCGTCTTAATTACAAGAGTAATTAGCTACTCGTTTTTATTAATAATTCGACCCTTACTTTCCGCGCGAATTTGATGTCCTTGACACCTTGGGACGTGTTGCCGACTTTGAACGCTTTGAGCAGCTTGTACTTCTTCGCGCAAATGATGAAGACTTTGCCCTTCGAGTTGCCAGCGTAAATGCATCTTCCGCGACGATCAAAGGCTGCGCAAACGCTCATGTCTCCATCCTCGACGCAGGGAAGAGAAATTCGCTCACCGCTTGTTTCTTTTTACGCGTTCGAAAATTGAAGACAACGAAGAATTATTTTCGGAAATTTTGAAGTCTCTTTCGATTTATTAGATTTACAAAAATTATAAAATCATGGCAATGCAAATAATTGCTATCAAAGAAATGACAAAGCAGATGCAGGGAAGCATGATGCGCGTGAATAACGAAGAGTTAAAGCTGTCTGCTAGACGCCAGTCACAAATGATCCAAAAGGAGCTTCGAAAAAGAGGATCACTAGGCAAAAATTGGAACCCAGAATACCTGAATAAGACGACAAAAAGGAAGAGAAGGGAAAATGTAAATATTTTCGTCCAGATTGTGTATTTTTTGCTAAAAGTAAGATAAAAAATATGGGCGAGTAGTAGGAGGGCCATATTTACCGATGTGTTACAAAATCATCGTCTGAAATTGGTGAAAGCAAGCTCCGCTTTTTCTGGCTCATTATTACACTGTTCCTACAATCAGGCGGCTTCGAATCTGAGTTCGTTGAAGAATTCTTGAAAGAAGAATCATTCAAGATTTTGTCATGATTCCCGATCGAGTTGGAACTGGCCCCTTCGCAGTTCTCTGTCAATGAGGGAATCATTCTGTCAAACACCTCTACTGTAGTGATATTTTATTCCTATCGAGATCGGCTATTGCTTTTCTATCGAAAACGAAGAAAAAAATCGGATCGATATTCATTAAGAAGGCAAAGAAACGACGCACGTCCTAGGGGAATATCTCCCCGATATGAGTAGATTGAGCGTAGTTTTTTTATTATGAAATTATTGGTTTCTTTCCCGGTTGGAATATTTCTTTAAAGGTTTTCTTATTTAAAATGTGGCTTTTGGAACGCGTGGCTAGAATAATCGGAGGTAATTTCATCGGGCAAACGAGTAGTTGCTTGTCATTTCGTGGGTTGAAACAAGCGGATTGAACGGGCCCAGGAAATCGAAAACTGTACTCGGCCTCGTTGGTGAGCACATTCCAAATAGCGACGGTGTGATCTGTTCCCGCCGTGACAAGCTTGTTCCCTTTGCGATTCCAGCCCACTGAACAAATGGAAGAAGTGTGCGCGAGAATAACTTTCGCCGTCCGTCTCGTCAGAAAGTCCCAAATGACAATTCGCCCATCGTTGCAGCCCGTGGCGAGAAGACTTCCTCGACGATTGAAGCTCGCGGCGAGAGTGTTGTTCGTCGAGTCTAAGACTCCGTCGAACTCTTCTGGATAAGTGTAGTTTTGCCCATACGCTTCCAATAGCTCCAAGTTCATTTCATTCAAGAAAAACCCTAAAATAAAACTATAATATCAGATATCAATGTCTAGTTATTTTCCCGTGTTCGTGAAGAAATACATGAGTTTTAATACAAGTCGTGGAGCAGGGAGTAGTAATGAGTGGGAACTTTGCAGAAATATTGAAAGAAAAAAGGGGAAATTAGATAAAATCGCCGCCGAAAGGGTCGCCAAATCGTCCCCGTCCACCTCTTCTCGGGCCTCCTCTGGGGAAGTGATTTCCTGGGAAATCTGGAGCGTCAGGATCTCGACGGCCAAACATATCCGGATCTTGAAAGGCTCCTGGTGCAAAAGGGGGGTCCCCGCGAATCGGGCCGATTCCGCCCGGCATCGGCATTCCTGGTCGCAAATCGTAGTCGCCTCCGATCATTCCTGGAACTCCTGGGAATCGAGGCGCGGGGAACAATGGATCGGGGAAAATCGGCCGAGGAGGAACTTGGATATTCGGCTCCGATTGAGTTCCACGTGGTCTAGCTGCGGACTTGTCCCGTTGGTAAGATAGTCCGTACAATTTTCGCCATGATGCTTCGTCCAACCCAATTGTGGTGAAATTTTTAAAGTAGAGTCTTTTCCATAGACTTTCATCGCTTCCCACTTTTTGCAGTCGCTTGCACGTGGCACTGAGTCTCACAAGGCTTTTAGCATCGAGACGGGCACAGATATCAAGGAGGATTTCGTCCGGAAGGGCGAGAAATCCTTTCGCTAGTCCACTCAACTCTTTGAACTTTAAAACAACTTTGGGGAGTATTTCTGTCAGCTTCTCCTTCTCGTCTTCAGAATTGGCGACAAACGATTCGGTGAAAACTGTAGCTTCGTATGTTCCGATTAAATTTACGACGTAAATTGTAGATGAAGGAATGTCGCTTTTGATGAAGTTCATTTTTGCTCCTGGAATCGGGCCATAACTGTACGTTTTTTGCCCGCTTGTGTCGACTGAATATTAATGTAGAAAATTGAATATAAAAGCATTTTGGTTACCATCTAGTCGAAACTTTAGTAGACTGAAAATATCGCCAAGAGGGGGAGGAGTGGAAATAGAAGCAACTAGATGAACTCGAATTCTGTCACCAGCGACGATTCCATGATCAGAAAAAGCTCCACTTAGAGGCAACATATCGGTCCCGTTTAGTGAAAGATCGAAATGATTCTCGGAAGCTGCTTCTCCAGAGATATCTTTTTCACGTAATAATCAAGATGCTCTTGGTTTAATGTTTGATTTAAATAATCCTTATTAACGTTCCTGCTGAAATTTTCGAGCGAAGATCAGTTAGATCCGTTGCTTCCAAAGAAGTGTTTATATTTAGCAAGGGCTCTTTTATCCGAAGACGCATTATTTTCTTAAGAAAATGATCTTTATCAATTGGTTGAACATTTTATTCAAATTTTGAAAAAAACTGATAATTGATAATTGAACTATCTGGAGGTTTTCTGGATGTTTCAGTTTGGCAGTATTTGTAGGATACTGTACAGTAGTGATGGCAGCGAGTGTAGCCTCCATGAGGTTATTTTCGGCGATTTTAGAGCGATAGTCTTTTCATTTTACTAGCGGGAAGTGCATTTGTGCACGCTTCGATGAGCAAATTTCGTTTTCGATCTACGAATTCCACAATTGCTGCATCCTCCTCTTTTCCATTTTTCTTTTTTTGCGCCATTTCTTCCATCAGCTCCACCGAGTTGCGCCATGTTTCGTCGTCCAGCTGAGCCGTTGCAAGCGCCAGTTCCACTTCTTCCTTCTCCTTAATTCAATTGTTTCGATAAGGCTCTTATCGTAGAGTTTATACCTCATTTAGCTCGATTGCGCGGTGGATAACACCTTCTTCGAAGCCCGCTAATTTGGCGATTTCAATTCCATAACTCTGCGCACAGGGGCCTTCGGAGACTTTGTACAAGTGTGTGATTTTCCCATCACGGACGAAGACAGAAGTGTGCATGTTGAAAACACCTTCGCAGCGAAATGCAAGGCTAGCCATTTCGTGGTAGTGGGTCGCGTAGAACGTCAATGATTTTATTTCTAGATGTTTTAATTTTACGAAGGGTCTAGCTTTACTAACTGGTAGCAATGTGCTCCGAAATCGCATACGCCAATCCGAAACCGTCCCAGGTGCTGGTTCCTCGCCCAAGTTCGTCAATAAGCAACAGCGAACGCTCTAAATAGAACTGAGGTTATAAGAAAAATACCATTATTTCTCTTAAACCTATCCTACTTATACAATTCGACATTTTCATGGTTTAAATCCGATATAATTTTCGTTGTTTTAAAAGCGCTACAAACCTGTGGCGTAGCGGAAGATTGCTTCTGTTTCGATCATTTCGTGCTGAAAAGTCGAGATGCCTCGTTGTAGATTATCTCCAGCCCCGATTCGGGCGATGATTGTGTCTACTATTGGCAGTCGAGCACTAGCTGGAAAAAGGTTCAAAGAGTGTCTCACTTACTAGATCATAAAAAGAGACAATGAAACCATTCCTGCAGGAACAAATGACCCCATTTGCGCAAGGAGGCAACAAAGACCAACGCTACGTAGAAACGTTGACTTCCCGCCCATATTTGGGCCGGTTAACAGCATCAATCGTCGACTCTCACTCATTGCCACATCGTTTGGTACGCATTCCGCTAGTTGGCTTTCCAAAATCGGGTGGCGGAGTTCCTCAATTTCCATTTCTTTCTCTTTCACAAACTCAGGTTTCGCCCATGGTTCGCTCGCCGCCAGCGCAGAATGAGCAAGAGCCAGGAGAGCATCCAATGATCCAGTGACATCTCCGATTTGTAGCAGATACTTAGTGTAGCTCAATACAATGCCCATCATTCTTTGGACAATATCGCGAGTTAGTTCTTGGACGATGACGTTAAACTCATTGAATTCATCGGACAAGGCTTGAAGACGTCCACTCGTGAAGGTGATTGCGCCTTTGGTGGTTGAAACACGACTGTATCGACCCTTTTTCTCCGCGGATGAAACCGCCTTGTCGTTTTTGTTTGTAACCCGGAAAACCTTTCCTCCGATTGTGACAGGAGCGTCGACGATGCTCACTTCGGAGATCGCCAAGTCTAGATCTTCAGCTGCATCTCCGACGAGTTCATTCATTCTGGACACGACTTCGTCCGCCTTTTCAACTTGCTCATCGAGCTCTCCGCTGATGCCTCGTTTAATTGACAATGAATGACGGCCCATGTCGATGTGGCTTTCGAATAGCAGAATCAGTTTTTGAATTTTGCCATCGACGATGTTCAGCGGCGAGAGAATTCTAGAGTAAAGACAAATTAACGTCTTCTGCTCAAGGAAAGTAACTTACGGTTCAAAGATCGGATCCTCTGCTTCTTTCATTATTTCGATGATCGCAGGAACTCTCTTGCACAAATCGTGAATGCGACAAAAGCTGCGCAGAGTCGCCTTCGCATTTATCCCCTTTGCCGATTCCGTCTGCTTCATTTTGAACGCGATGCGAGTAATGTCCGGTATACCCTTCAAGGCGACGGAAGAAAGGCGTTCTCGTACATCTCCGTTTTCGATGAAAGCGGCGACGATATTCTGGCGCTCAAGAATCGACTCTTCGAGCATAAGCGGCTGAGTTATCCACTGACGAACGCGGCGTATTCCATGCGGCGTGGCGCAGTGCATCGACAAAATTGAAAACAAGCTCTTCTCTGTATCAGAACAAAGATGAAGATTTTCGAAAATCGAGGAGTCCAGTCGCATCGTATTCGCCATGTTCAACGGGCTGACTTTGAAGAGCAATGGGCCGCTACTGCCACTTCCCATGTTCAAAAACTGCACCGCCGCGTGGAAGCAACCCATTTGCTCGCCATCATTGATCATTGAGCCTTTCGCAAAGAGAGATTTGCAATCTTCAGACTTTGGCTGCTCGAAATTTGATTTGGGAACTTTGGTGATCATTGCGCGGCAACGCTCGGCGATCCGCTCGAGTTTTGGATTCGAAGAAGTGACGAGGACTTCTTTAACTTGCGACTGGATAAAGATCGACTCCAAATTGGACAGTTTTGGATCATCATCAAGCGTCGCAACTTCTACTTCTCTGGCTTCGCCGTCCACGATGGCGAGAGAGTAGCGTTCTCCTTTGAGTTGCAAGCCCATGATTTTCGTTGACGGAATGTAGGAGTCACCCGAGGGATCGAAGATGAAATGCTCGACGCAGGAGAGATTCCCTGGCGATCCATAGTTGACCTCCCACTCCTCATCTCGTCCTTCCTCTTCGCCTCGCTCATATATCTCCACTCGATATCCACGGATGAAAACGAGCTCCTTGAGAAGCATGCGAAGCTGGATCAAGTTCATCATCGCCCACGGCATGTTGGTCGTATTCGCTTCTGTTTTTGCCTTGACGATGCTGTTTTCATTCTGCAGTATTTCTACCATATGTCGTGTGTCATCCGCATGGACGGTGAAATGGCCCATGCTATCCATGCGAAAGACCCGAATGCAGTTTGCTTGCTTTTCTGGCAAGCTATTCCAGAACTCTTTGAAGTGCTGACCGTTCACGCCTTTCAGCTGCGATTTGTAGTCTTTCGACATTGCAGCCTTCTTAATTATTTACGTCGTATTTTTGTCAATACTCTCATTACAGATACAGTGTGTTAGTATGGCACTCAGAGTTACTGCTACAAAAAATGAAATTTTAGCTAAACTTTTTCACAGACTATTTTATTTTTGAAGATGATTATGATTTAATGATTGATCAACGGAATAAGATTTATTCCGATTAATTCACTGGAGAAGCGTTTCTAGAAAGCAAGAGAATTCTCTGCGGAATGGAGGAAGCGCACTTCTCGCGCGGGAGCGTTCAACTCCGGAGCTAATTGGTTGTTGCCGCGCGGGCTACTCTAACGCGACTAGTCTCACACTTTCTCGCACCTCAGGTTCACCACTGGCACCAGAGGATCACCAATTCTGTAAGTCATGTCGTCGAGCCAGGTCAGGGCTCGATTTTGTGTGAAAATATATTAGTAAAAATATATTTTAGTATATTAACATTTGTTACTGAACTTGAAGCGAATTTTGATAATTTGAAAATATAAATATGAGCCTTCAAAGATTAATGGCAATACTCGACAGAAGATCCTTCGCCAGTTGAGGAACATCATCCCCCGCCCCATCACTATTTCCCCCGACGATCCCAACGCCCCACCCGAGCGCCGATTCCCCGTCCGGGTCTCCCCCCTGAACGTGCCCTTCGAGTACCCCGCTGAACCGATTTTCAAAGTACCCAAGGTTCCCAAATCCATGTTTTTCTACGACACTCCTAAGCCGAAGCCGGAACCAGAACCAATCGTTGGAATCTCTCAGCGTACCGTCTGGTGCCCGCTGAAGAGCAAGAATCAGCTGAAAGTAACTCCCATCTACGCTTGGGGATGGGACAGAACCTATGCCAGAAGTCGAGACCTCGAGAAAGCGGGAATTAAGTTTGTCCCACCATCAGGAAATAGGTGCGAAAGATACAGTAGTCTTAATCTTGACCCAGAAATATTTGAAATAATTTCGCACCTCGAGAAAAAGAGCGAAGAAACAGAGTGGTTATTCCTTACTACCCACCGAACAGCGATTCTGCAACTCCTCTGGCTCCTAAATCCAAGAATATTAAGATCCAAATCCAGCGGGACGAGCCAGAAGCTCAACTCCCTGACCAAGTCCCCACTCTCCAGCTTCCAACACGGCAGCTTCCCTTGCCCGAGCAGGACCTCTTCGGGGTCAACTCCGAGGAAGTTCCTCAGCCTTTGTTTCCACCAAAAGAAGACGATGAAGAGGACGAAGACCCCTTTAACACTTCCTTTGTTGGAGAAGGTGACGATGATGATGAAGACGACGAGAACGGTGAATATCGCGGCCGAATCAATGAAGAAGTCGAAGAAAAAGCTGATGACTTCAAGGAAAACTGGGACCCCAATGCTCCCGGCCCATCTTCTCCTGGAACCGATCCAGGAACTCCACGACCAGGAGCGTCTACTAGGCGCCCGGCCTCTCGACAGATCTCCAAGGACGAATCTTCCCCGATGATGGATCTCTACGGACCAGAAATCGTCACTTCTATCTACAACGTCCGACGAGACGCCCTCAAGCGCCTCTAAACTAAAAAAGAAATTTATTTATTGAAAAAAGAAAGAAGAAAGAAAAGCGCTCATTTATCTTCACCTGCCGCGCAAAAGAAAAACAAAAAATTTCAAGAAAATATCAAAAGCACAGCCATTTATCTGCCCACTCTTCATTTATTTACTATCTAATAATATATTTTTTTATAAACCGTAAATTTGATTTCGTGCTTCACCAATTTTTCTTTTCAGAATGGCTAGTTGTGGAATTGCAAAATGGCTTCTTCTGTTGAGCACAACCGAAATCGTGAGTCCATTCAAAAGTGGTGTCTCGTCAGGATCTGTTGGAGGGACGTATAAATTCGCTCAGAAGTTGTATGGACAGGTCAGGAAATATCCTTTTTTTTTTTGAGGTAAACCGGAATTTCAGGGAAACGTCTTTCCAGCACTAAAAACATTCGAAGCAGCTTTTCGAAATCATTTGTATCGCGAAGACGTCGAACTCACTTGCCAGCTGAAATGCATAAAGAAGGAGAATGATTTTGAAGAAGATAGAGAAGAGATAGAAGCGAGGGCTTTTGAGTCTCTCTTCACGAAAACCCTTTGCCTGGAAAACTGCTTCAAAGAAAACAATGCTTCGGAAATGAACAGAGCAAGCGGAAATAGTAAAACTGAACTCGACAATGTAAGGCTTGATTCAATTCGATAGAGATTATTAATATCGATTTTCTAGCGCTTTGTTTATCATTATCTTCATTTTCTGTACAATGAGATTGGCGAAGGAAAAGAAGCGATGAACCTGGTCTGGACGTATTTGCAAAAGTTTCCGAAAAACAAAGACATGCTGAGTAATTACTTCCTGTACCTCGAGCTCTACCCCGAACTCAGTCGCGCCAAAGCCACTTTTCTCGACTACGACGAAGGAACTCTCGACAAGACCGTCAAGAAAATCGTCAAGCTCTATAATGACCAAGACTACGCTTCCTTGCCACCACTCATTGACGCCGCCATCATTGAGTACTTCCAGCTTCAAAAGACTTGCAAGCTCCGATGCTTCCTAACACCAGAAAAATCCGATCACAACTTTGGCCAGTCAACTTTCATTTCCCTTCTCGAGCAAGAAATATATAATTTGGATTGTAAACGAAGCTGCTTGAAAATAAAGTCACCATATGGGATATTTTCCGACTTTCTTGTTAAATTTTTCGTACAGGCATTGGCTTTAAGAATCGATTTTTAGAGATTAGACTCTTATCATTAAAGATCAAGAATCAGGTTCTTTCTTCAGATTTTTCTTATAAAGTAAACATAAGAATGTCACCCAAAATTTTCACTAAAAAAGTTCGAACCCTTAACTTGCAATTCTATTCTGAAGCCCTGATTCTCGATTTTAAGTGCTCAATTTTAAAGCCTTCATAGAATAAAAACCAGACAACGTTCGATCCGTTGATTCCAATCGAGACCTTTCTTCACTACCTTCATTTTTCTTATTTCCAGAGCGGTAATCATACGGCGGCGGCGGAAATCGCAGCCACCCGCCTTCTCTTACCTCTTGACACCTTCCACGAAGGAGGAGAGAGCCGAGAAGATATCAACAACGACCTGCAAGCCTTTCAAATACTAAACCCAGATGTAAAAATTCAACCTCGTTCAGACATAACTGCGCACTTGGCCGAGCTTGATGAGCTCGAGTCTTTTCTGTTTTCGTCTCTTTCTTTATAGTTCCACTAACTTGATCTTGCCTGAAGTTCCTAATAAATAAATAACGAAGAAACATTATAAATGTATATAATTTCCAGAAAATGCCTGACATTCGAATAGTGCCACTGGGAGCCGGACAAGATGTCGGCCGAAGCTGTATTTTAGTTTCGATCGGCAGTAAGAATGTCATGTTCGACTGTGGCATGCACATGGGGTATCACGATGCGAGACGCTTTCCAGACTTTAACTATATCACCGGTGGCGACCAGGTAAGGCCCTACCCGCCAATGTAAGCCCTATATCCTCTGGTTCTTATGATGGTATTAATTGGTTCGATTGATAGTGGTTCGGGTTTAGTCCTTGTTTTATTCGAGTCAGTAGTTGTAACAAGCCGTTTTAGACAACTTTAACGCCGCATATCGACGCTGTAATTATTTCCCACTTCCACTTGGACCACTGCGGTGCGCTTCCTTACATGTCCGAACAAGTCGGCTACGACGGCCCAATTTATATGACCATGCCGACGAAAGTGATCTGCCCGATCCTTCTGGAAGACTTTCGCAAAGTCGTAACCAAACGCAGCGCAAGTGAAGAGACAAACTTCTTTACTTCCGAAATGATCAAAAACTGCATGCGTAAGGTGGAAGTCTGCGGTCTCCACCAGGTCATTAAAGTCGACGACGAGTTGTCTATAAAAGCCTATTACGCCGGCCACGTCCTTGGTAAATAATAAAGAACAAACTAACGCTGATAAATGTTTTTGCAGGCGCGGCAATGTTCAAAGTAACCGTCGGTGATGAGTCTGTCCTTTACACAGGCGACTTCAACATGACCCCTGATCGTCACTTGGGCGCTGCCTGGGCGGATCGCTGCAAACCAACCGTCCTTATTTCCGAATCTACTTATGCTACGACGATTCGAGACTCAAAACGATCTCGGGAACGGGATTTCTTGAAGAAAATTCACCGAACGGTCGAGAACGGTGGCAAAGTGCTGATTCCCGTTTTTGCTCTTGGCCGCGCGCAGGAGTTATGCATCCTTCTTGAGCAGTATTGGGATCGAATGAAGCTCAATGTGCCGATTTATTTCACCGCTGGTCTTGCGGAAAAGGCGACCAATTACTACAGTTAGGGCACTATTTACCCTCAGTACTCTTCTATGTCTTCTTTAGAGCTTTTCGTCAACTGGACGAATGAGAAAATTAAAAGCTCCTTTGTTGAGCGAAATTTATTCGACTTCAAATACATCAAAGCCTTCCAAAAAGAGGTGCACTTGAATCAATCCGGCCCGTGTGTTTGCTTTGCGACGCCTGGAATGCTGCACGCCGGCATGAGCCTGGAAATCTTTCAAGCTTGGTGCTCCGATGAAAAGAACTGCATCATCATGCCCGGCTTCTGCGTGGCGGGCACGGTCGGCCATCGGCTCTTACACGGCGAGCGTCATTTCAAATTCAACGGCGTCAGCGTTACTAGTCGCATTAAAGTCGAGTACATGTCTTTTTCCGCCCATGCAGATGCAAAGGGCATTATGCAGTTGATAAAAATGGTCGAGGTTAGGCTCGATTGAGGATTTACGAATATAGGAGCCTTTTTGTAGCCTAAAAATGTAATGTTCGTTCATGGCGAAGCGGCCAAGATGGAGTTCCTCGCCAAAAAAGTGCAGAAGGACATGAATCTCCCTTGCTACACTCCGGCAAATGGCGAGACTGTCAACATCTCCTGCCCGCCTCAAATCCGATTGAAAATAGAGGCTGATTTGGCGAGGAAGATTATGAAGCGCTCTTTGAATCGCGCTGCTTTCCACGCCGCCTTGGTCAATGATGGTAAAGACGTGCTTTTTTGAAGGTTATGCAATTTATTTCTCCGATTTTTTCCATTATCGACCCAGAACACTATATATATTTAGAATCAGTGAACAAAATCTAGAAACTTGACCGTTTTAGTTTTTCGAAATTCACTTCCGGTTACGATTCTAGAGCCGGAAGTAGGCGAAATTTTGGAGTCATGGTAAAGTGTGACCTATCAAATTGATGCGCAGAAGATTCTCAGTCATCTCATCATCGATATACTTGAAGAAACAGTCCCGAGCGCGGTTAAACTGACCGGTAAAACTATGAAAAAAGCATGAGTTAATGAGAAATTTTTCAATTTTTACCGGTCGTTTACCGGCGGTTTTTGACCGTGCTTAGACTCGGTTCCGATAAATAATGACTATATTCGTAGTGAGCTTCAATTTGATAGGTCATATGCTCGTTTTTCTTATAAATTTCGTGAACTTCCGGCTCTAGAATCGTAACCGGAAGTTAATTTCGAAAAACTAAAACGGTCAAGTTTCTAGATTTTTTTCACTGATTCTAAATATATATAGTGTTCTGGGTCGATAATGGAAAAAATCGGAGAAATAAATTGCATAACCTTAAAAAAAGCACGTCAAAGCATTTAGTATTGCAAGTTCTCACATCAATTTCTTTTCTAGGGAAAAATATGGAGCTGCTCCATCCAGACGTGGCGATGAAAAAACTGAAAATCCAACAGCATCACTTTCAGTTGAACAGTAACGTCGACTTGCCAACCGGGGAGTCTTCTGCAGAGCAAATTATTGTTTCCTTGAGGCTTTTAATCAAGGTATAAATTCTTCTTTCCCGAGTAGTTTTCCATTAATTTTTCAAGACCTATCTGCCACCGATGTTAGAAAAGTGGGTTCAAATCGGAAATCTTATTCACACGATCGAACTCGCCTCGCCTGACATGTCTCAAACAATCTCCATCACCGCAGAAGTCCGAACTAGCTACGGATACGTTGAAGTCCAGCGACACAGGAGTCTCAAAGTCACGTGGCCCCTCTCCGTCGACGACGAAATCGGAATCCTGCTCTCTCGGCTGTCGAAAGAATTCGCTCTCGTTGTTCCGAGATGAATTGCTAAAATGAAACTGCTAGATTTAATAACTTGCTTTTTGCTGCCTCTTTTTCTTCAATTTCACTGCCGAAAATACGCATAATAATTAATTATTAATATCACAAGAAAAAAGTATCAATCTTTGTGTTTCCCAGAGTGGTAGAGTAGGAAAGAAGGCGAAATGAATGCAGAAAATGTGGCGAAAATGCTGGCAGCTACAGTCGCCCCGGAACGAGACGTAGCACAGCAAGCAGAGGCGAAATTGGAGGAAATGCAAAAAGTAACCCTTCTCAAGCTTTTACGAAATATTATTTATGAATAGATAATCGGATTCCCTGGTATACTTCTACAATTGGTCATGGGCGAATCTGTAGATCAGTCAGTAAAACAGGCGGGCGCCATTATGCTCAAAAATTTTTGCCACACTTTCTGGGCCGACAGGGAAATGACAGCAGCGGGCGACTCGGCGACGAACTTCGTCATTCATGAAAACGACAAAGCTGTATGTCGTCTGGATTACTTCCTATTAGTTTTTCTATCTTTTCTTTAGTATATCCGGGAGAACATTGTCGAGTCTATCATTGCCTCGAACGAGCTTCTACGAAATCAACTCACAGTCATCGCCAACCACATTATCAAGCACGACTATCCTCACAAATTCCCAGAGGTCAATGATAAAATCCTCGCTTATCTGCAGGTGAGGACGCGACGCGAATTCAATTCAACCCAACCCAACTGCACAGTTCTTTATTAAAATTAATCGTAGGAGAGAGCGGAGCCAGCAAAGCTGATGGGATCTCTGCTGGTGCTCTACCAAATCGTGAAATGTTTTGAGTACAAGAGCTCGAAAGAGCGCGAGCCACTGATCATGAGCATGAAAGTATTCCTGCCAATTATTCAAGAAATGATCGACCAGCTCTCGGCGGGAGACAATAACGAAGCATCTATCCTCCTGCAAAAACAAATTTTAAAAATCTTCTTCGCTCTCACACAGTACACCATGCCCCTGACACTCATCAACGCGGAAAACTTCGCCACGTGGATGGAAATCATCATTCGAATTATTGCAGTACGTAGCATCTTTCTTTTTGTTCTCAATTGAGACCTCTTTTAGATCGAGGTCCCAGCTTTTGTTGATGAGTACGACGAGTCTGATCGGGCAGAGTCGCCTTGGTGGAAGGTCAAGAAGTGGTGCTGCCATGTCGTCTCCAGGATTTTTGAGCGATACGGAAGCCCAGGAAACGTCGATGAACAATACCTAGATTTCGCCAACTTCTGGCTCAAGAATTATTCAATCAAAGGTAATCCCTCCCCTTAACTCAATAAGTCTAATCACGTTAAATAAGTGATGGCCGTCCAGCTCCAGGTGCTACAGCGGAAGAAGGAGGAAAAATACATCGCACCTCGCGTGCTTCAACAAATCCTGAATTACGTCGAAACAGCAGTTGGGCACGCACAGACCTGGAAGATCTTGAAAAACGTCTATAACGATATGCTGATCTACATCTTGTTCCCACTCCTGTGCTTCTCAGAAGACGACAAAGACCTGTGGGAAGACGATCCACAAGAGTTCATTCGATCGAAGTTCGATGTCTTCGAAGATTTCATTTCGCCCAATACTGCCGCCCAGACTGTGCTACATACTGCATGCTCAAAGCGTAAACAAGGTATATTTTATCGTTTACCGACATTGTTCTGATGCCTTGTATAAGTGCTCGAGCTAACGATCAACTTCTGCTCTCAAAAGATTCAAGAAGGCTGCACACCACAAGAGCAAGACGGCGTGCTTCATATCATCGGTTCTGTCGCCGATGCCTTGATGAAAAAGAAGCCGTTTAAAGATCAAATGGAAGGAATGCTCCGTGACCTTGTTCTTCCAGCCTTCACCAATCAAGAAGGATACATCCGCGCTCGAGCTTGCTGGGTTGTTCAACAATGCGCACATTTGAAGTTCAAGAGCGATGACATTCTCAAAGCGATGGCCGATTGCGTCAGGTACAATTTTACCAAAAAAGTTCGTTTCTCAGGTTGAATTACTTTAATTAGGGGTCTCTTGCTCAACCCCCAGGAACACCTGCCCGTGCGTGTTGAAGCTGCGATCGCCCTTAACCAGTTCGTCTGCCAGCAACACAAAATTGCCCAGTACATGACTCAATCGCTCAAAGAGATACTTGAAGGTAACGTTTTATCTCGATCTTTCAAAATAACGGCTCTAGCACTTCTTTTCTTGATCAACGAAACTGAGAATGACGAGCTCACTGATGTGGTTAGGAAGATTATCTGCTACTACTGTGAAGAAATCGCTCCATTTGCTGTTGAAATGGCCGACAAAATTGTTGCGACCTTTTTAAAGGTTTGAAAAATTCTGTTACTCTGGTTTTAACGGCTTTAGGTTATCGACAATGATGACGAAGACACGTCTGATGATCGAGCAATCACAGCTGTTGGTCTTCTCAACACACTGGAAACTATGCTCGACGTGGTTGATCAAGAAAAGAGCATCATGGCTCGCTTGGAGGGTATTGTCTGCCGGGCTATCGCGCACGTCCTGGCTAATAGAATAATGGACTACTACGAAGAAGTGCTTTCCCTGCTGTACTCGATCACATGCAACCAGGTCTCTCCAGAGATGTGGCAGGCGCTCGAACTCATCCACAACGTAAGTGAAGAACTGAGAGTTCAAGAATGCAACCCTTGTTCATTCCTAGGTTTTCAACGACGATGGATTCGACTTTTTCACAGAAATGATGCCTTGCCTCCACAACTTCCTTGTGAACGACACGGAGATGTTCCTATCGAACCCTCGGAATCTCGAAATCTTGTTCTCCATGTGCTGCAAGGTGCTCACCTCAGACTGCGGAGAGGACCCGGAGAGCCACGCAGCCAAGCTACTCGAGTGCATTGTGATCCAATGCAGAAGCCAAGTGGACCCCATTTTGCCGAAAATTCTTGCACCCGCACTTGAACGACTTACGAAAGAAATCAAGACACCAGAGCTTCGCCAGATGTGTCTTCAGGTAACTTCGTCGGTCACTAGCTTAGCAAGCCCTGATTTGAGTTCTCCTAGTTCGGAATCCGAACTTCGGATTTTTCCACAAATTTTGCAAGTTACCCTTCTCAAGCTCGATTATTTTAGGTAGTGGTCGCTGCAATGCTCCACAATCCGGATGTGGTGCTTGGCTTGCTTAACGAAATCCGCTTTCCGAATTCGCCCGAGCCAATCGGATCCGATCAGTTTGTTCGCAAATGGCTCGGCCATATCGAGGATTTTACTGGCATCCACGACCGTAGAGTTTGCATTTTCGGTGAGAGCCAAAAGCTTTTTTCATTTTTCACATTTTGATTGATCAGGTCTTTGCAATTTACTGTTGTCATCTGCAAAGCCAGCATGCGTATGGGAACTTAGGAATGAAATTTTGCCGAACTTTATCCACCTCTTCAATGGACTCAAGAAAGCCGTCGCGCTGAGGGACGAGGAAGAAGACGGGGAAGAGGAAGACGCCGAGATTGACGACTCAGACGAAGAGCTAGAGGAAATTGACGACGATGCCGACTTGATCGACTCTGACAATGAATACAAAGATATTCTGAAAGACCTTGACGCAGGAGACGAGTCGCTTTGGGAGGCAGAAACTGGATTAGAGGTAAGTCAACAACCAATTTCACTGAATTTATGATTGATTAAGACTTTCCAAACCGATTTTGACGATGAAGAGAAAGAGGATAACGATGAATATTTACGCTTTTGCAAAGCGATGCAAAGTATCGATGCGGGAGATAAGCAACTTTATAGCGGCATCACTGAAGGCTTAACGAATGAGTTCCGAGATGTAAGTGCTGTATTTCATTACAGTTACTGTAATCCTCTTATAAGGAGCTGATGTCCATCATGAATCTATCCGAGGAGCGAAAGAAAAAGTACTCGACCTAATACAAACCACAAGAAGGATCACCAGAAAAGCTAAAAAAATGTTCACCGAGTTTAAAAGTTATAAATCTGCATTTAGGAAAAATACCTTTAACCAGTTCAAAAACCTTTAAAAAAACACGCTCTTTTCCACATTGAACCAAACACGCCATAAAAAAAACGGAGAGTCCAAACATGTAAAGCTAGAATAAAAATTATTTTTTAACAAAAGATATGTGTATTTGCTCGTCTGTGGAAAAGAGAGAGCGATAATTCCTTAATGCCACCTGTAAAACGAATGATAGAGAGAGTGAATAGAATTTGAATATTACTATTACGAGAGCTCCATACGTATTTACTGTATTTACGCGTATATTTTCATTCAGCACTGGAATGCGTTATGGCTGGAATCGCTGATGGATCAGATCAACTAGTGCCAGGGCGGGTTATTACATGTATAACACGAAACGATGAACAGTTCTCTGGTGCCGTAAGTGGAGACTTAGCCAGGGTTTGCAATAGAGGCTCCTTTGGGGGGAGGTTAATTAGGGCCATTAAAACGATGGACTATCTAGCAAATCAGACGCTTGTTATATTTTTGTCAGCAAATCACAGCTAAAAAACCTCCATAAAAGCAACCCTCCCCCGATGGAGCTTTAGCCAACGCTAGCTTGTTAGACAGTTGGGTATTGTGTACCTGTTTAAATTTCCTTTAGATCATTGCTGCTGATCCCTTTAGTTCTATTGTGATGATAAAGTGCAGCAACAGCAAAGTTGTGTTGGTGAACTTGCGACAAATCAAGTCTCTTCAAATCGAAGACAAAACAGAGCCCATTCCAGAAATTCCAAAAAGTTCGTAAAAATTTGCTTCACCAAAAATAGCCCAAAGAATAACAACCAGAAAAACAAGTCAATATTGTCAAGAAAATCATGGCGGAAAGACTGGCAATTCTAAATATCTGTTTTTAAGAATTCGCCGTTGCCAAGTTGGAGCAGCGTCTTTTGGGCAATGTTAAAGAGAAAATGAACTTGGCGCAAGAAGATGGTCACGAGAAACACCCTCTTGGCGCTAAGATCATACAGGCAAGGGTTCTCTTTTAAATTTACTTTACAGTCAGGTTTTGATTCTGGTTCGCTCACAAATCATCGAAATACGGGGCATTTTCTCCATTTATCCGAAAAAATGATCATTTGTCAGCCCTGAGTACCTGACTTAAAATGATATATAATGATGCACTGTGCATCAAGTAAAATTACTAAAACCTTGGGGTAGAAAATCAACCGTATTCTGGAATGTAAATGGGAAGGCAAGAATATCGGTAAGCGAAACGTCTTTTTGTCTGTTTATTTAAGCAAATTCTAGTTGTAATGACTGCTGGTATTGAAATTCGGCCACCGTTCAACGAGGCCAACGTGTTCATACGCAAAGGAGGAAACAAACAGGGAAAGGAGCGTATTCAGAAGTTACTCTCCAAATTTCACGAAGAAGAGAAGTCGTCGTGTATGCACTAGAAACTTAACAGCTTGAAAATTTCAAACTTTTGACTTTCAAAACAGAAAAAACTGATTAGAAATGATAAACACATGAAGCATTTAACCGCGGTTTCGGCGAATGTCCAATTTTCGTGTTTCTAGAGACGCGGTGGGTGTGTGCTTCGGATTGGGCCGCGGATTTAGATGCGTAGAGAGAGCTGCGCAGAGTACAGTTCGAGGTCAGTACTGTTTGACATTGATATGTCACCTCAACTGCCCTCGGGTGGGGTTTTTGTTTCACCTTGGACGATGGCCAGTACTCTACTCTTCATATTCGAATATTTTCTAATTCCAATTTTTGGTTTTCAGAGCAATAGAAAAATGGTGGGAGGACAGTCCTGCCGCCAGTGCGAAGTCTACCAGGAGCGGTTAGACTCGCTGCGTTCCGACTACGAAGTTCTGAAAGAAGGACCCTTTCTTCCGCCTTTTGGAAAGCCAAAAGAAGTAGAAGAGATCAAGGAAGAGGGCCTAGCCGAGCGAAACCGCGTCTTGGAGCAGCGACTCACTCAGGAACGCTCGCGCGCGGCCGAACTAGGTAAGTGAGAACTTTTTGGTTGAAATTAATCATCAGATGAGTCCCTAAAGGCGGCGTTGAGTGAGCTCCAGATCCAGAAAGACCTGAACCACGAGCTCCAAGAGAAATTGTACCTTGGCGGACACATTTTGGAGAACGCTTATCACCTACAGCAGCACGAAAACGTCGAGCGAAATGCACAGCTACACGAAAAAATCGAACGCCTGAGCAAGGACTGTGGCATCCTCAGAATAGACCTAGAGCAGCACGATGTTAAACATTCCGAGAAACTTGAAAAGGCGGTGCAAAGGGAGCAGGTGCATCTTGATACCATCAAAGCGCAAGAACACGAGCTAGAAACGACGGGAAAACAGCTTTCTGGTAAAGCGAGAACAAAAATTTTGAAAGATGACGCTGATTTCTAGCGGCCAGAAGCGATATGCTTTTGATGGAGGACAAAATTACCACCCTAACACGCATCGTCAACGACCACGAATCGGAAAACGACCAACTTCGAGTTCGTAAAAATTTTGATAACAAACATACCTTTTACAAAAATTTTGATTGAACTTAATAATTTTACGATAATTCCAGCTACGAGATTTTCATCGGAGATTTCCTATTCATTTTTTCAGATGGAGCTCACCGAAGCCTTCCGCGCCAAAAGTCAGCTCGAGCGAATGCTAGAGCAGTACAAAGACGATTTAGCTCGTCGAGAGACTGAACCACGTATCGGTGAGTTTTCATCTACAAAACTCTGGAATATGTTTGTTTTAGATAACCTTTTGCTGAACGACGAGGAATACGTCCAGAACGTCTCTTCGAAACCCATGTCTATTCCGGAACGGCTTCTTATCCATCGTTTTTGATTTATATTTTAAATGATAAGAAAACCGACCAAAGTCAAAACGAAACTAATTCTTCTACTGAACTCTTCATCAATTGACCTTCCACAAACGACCTTCAAATTCTCTTCTCTCCTCCTAAATGATAAATACAAGTCTTCTCTTCCAACTTAAACATAATTTCTGTCTCAAAAACGAAAAAACGTATTCCCAAAGTTCAAATATTTCTATTTCTAGAGATCCGCTCTAGAACGGGAAATCAACCAGTTCCTCCTTCACTCCTCCTTTCAATCCGAGTTTTAGAATGAAGAAGGATTTGCGCCCTGACTCCGCTAAGATCAAGACCGACTCGGCGAGTAACAACTACGTCGGCTTCGCCAACTTGCCGAACCAGCTTTATCGTAAAGCTGTCAAAGATGGCTTCGAGTTCACGCTGATGGTCGTTGGCGAATCTGGACTCGGGAAGTCGACTTTGACAAATTCGCTCTTTCTCACGGACATTTACGGCGCCGAGTACCCTGGTCCATCGCAGCGAATCAAGAAGACCTCAAAGGTAAGACTTCAGTAATAAGAGTTTGCCGATTTCAATTTCAATTTCAGGTGGAGCAAACACGAATCACCGTCAAAGAAAGTGGAGTACAACTCAACTTGAGCGTGGTAGACACTCCCGGCTTCGGCGACGAAGTCAACAACGACAAATGCTGGGATCCGATCATTGAGTTCATCGAGTCCCAGTTCGAGCTTTATCTGAACGCGGAAAGTCGAGTTGAGCGGCCGTGCAAGATCCAGGACACACGAGTCCACTGCTGTCTCTACTTCATTGCGCCCAGCGGCCACGGGTTGAAACCCCTCGACATTGAATTTATGCGACGCCTTCATGACAAGGTTCCCTTTTATTTTTTATACCAGAGACTCACCGCCCACTTGAAGGTTAACATCATCCCTCTTATCGCCAAGGCAGACACTTTGACTCCTGACGAGTGCCACGAGTTCAAACGCGAAATCCTCCGTGAAATAGAGCTGCACAAGATCAACATCTACAAGTTCCCAGACGGAGCAGACGACGAAGAAGCCCGAGCGAACAAGAGAATCCGTGAACGGATCCCATTCGCCATCATTGGCTCTAATCACGTTCTCGTAAGAGCTTTTATCTTGTCCATGATCGTGAAAACTGAGCTTTTCTTTTAGCAACTGAATGACAGACGCGTGCGAGCGAGACAGTATCCCTGGGGCATTTGTGAGATCGAGAACGAAGAGCACTGCGACTTCAAGGTCCTTCGTGATATGCTCATTCGAACACACATGCAGGTAGCGTACTCCTCCATGATTCCAACTTCTTAAAAAATTAGGATCTTGTCGACCTAACGGCGATGGTGCATTACGAGAACTTCCGCGCCACGAAGCTCTCTCAACTGATGTCCGGTAACGCAAAGAGCACTACCTCGCCCCTGCACCAGCTGGACGTGGAACGGCGAGAACACAAGAACAAAATGAAGCGAATGGAAGCCGAGATGGAGCAAGTTTTCGAACTCAAGGTCAAGGAAAAAATCAGCCGACTCAACGACTCTGAAATAGGTAAATCTAGTGCATGGATAACGATGCTTTAAGTGAATTTCAGAGCTTCAACGGCGCCACGAGCAACAGAAAAAGAAGCTGGAAGCGGAATTCGCCGAGATCGACTTGAGGCGGCGCGATTTCGAAAAAGAAAAAGCTGAGTTCGAGTACGTCTACCGCGAATTCCAGGACAAGATCCAGACGAGCGACAAAAAGAAAAAGAAAAACGCCTCGCTCTTCTAAAACAGCAGCATCAAAATTGAAGTTACCACACAAGTTCCGCTCAACTCTTACTCGCTCAATATCTAAATATCTCCGAACTAAAACTGCCGCTTACTCCAAACACATAAATAATTCGAGTTCAAACGCGGCCCTTTCCCCCTCCCTAAATGTGAAAATTAAGCTTGATGGTTCTGAAAGCGTCCAAAACCTATCCCAACAAACACAATTTGAGATTAAAACCTATGAAAGCGAAATTTTGATTTTCTGTAGCTTACTACCCTTACTGCCTTTTTAAAAATGATGATTCTCCGCAAGTTCCGTGTCCTTTTTAAATGTGTGACTATTGTAGGAAGCGTCTGACTACCTCATTATTATTTTATTTAATATTCGACTCGTTAGGAATGGTGTAAAAATTAACACTGGTGGAAATAAACTCGTCGCACACATGTTCGATCAACTACTTTTTTTCTTATCAGTCATTAGGGATTATTGACTGATCTATTGCTTTATTTTTTCCAGGTAAATGCAGGAACTGCAACATTCGCAGGTATTCTCACTCGCTAAAAGATGGATGTCGTCGATACTTTTCACGACAAACTTCATCTAACTCTGACTCCAAGAATAATATTTAGTGATTTTTAAGTCCTTTCGGAGTTTGTTGAAAATTGACAGTGATTTGCGGGAGTGAAAGATCAGACTCAGAGAACTATAGTAGAGAACAATAGTAGACATCCTTTTTAAAACCGAAAATGTGCACGGAGGTAATCCTTCAGGATCCGCGAAGACAACGCATTGCTGGCGGTTTAGTTACGTTTACTCAACCATCTTTATCAGTGGTGAACAATGACACGCAAGAGGTTTTGTCATGACGAGTCACACCTGAAGCAGGAGCTTTCGATTTTACTTGTGACAACAGTCTGTCGCAGCAAGGTAACGAACCGTTATAATCACCGCTAAATTGGAATATTTTACGATTCACCTAAAAATTTAAAGATTGAGATTTTGTATCTAAATTATCCGTTTTATTAGGCTCGTTAATGTAGACATGAAATTTTAAGAGTCGAAGGACTGCCAGGACGGTTTCCGCTGGAGCAATCGCGGTTGAACTTCGTAATCGATCGACACATTCCCGTGCAGAGCATCAAAAATGGCAGTATCTTCTGGATTCTTTCGTACTCTAGATTTCGATGCCTTCGCAAGAAGCGTTATTTTTAGCTTGTTGCCTCCGTATTGAATTGTTTGGACGAGCTCGTCCATGTCCATAAAGTCGAGGGAAGATTCGTCCAGTTCGATGAGTCTGTCTCCGACGCTAACTCCCGCTTTTTATGGCTTCAGATTGTCGTTCTATCACTATATTGATGCTTGATCAAATAAATATTGAAGCCGTTCCTTGATCAGCTGCACCGTTCGGTTGAACATACTCAACATAAAATCCTTTCGCATCTTTTGTCACTTTGAATCCAAATGAGCCATTGTCTCCTCTTGTAAGAGTCACTGTCAGAGGTTGCGTCGCCGACGAGAACTCGTCGTTATTTGCAATTGAGAGTACTTGGAGCGTCACTTCTTCTGTGCATTTGCTTCGGACGTAATCGACCAGCTCTTCATGCGACCATTTGGAAGGGTTTTTGGCGTTTATTGAGCCCAGACGATCGCCGATCTTGAGCCCAGCGCGATCAGCTGGAGAGCCGATCGTGACATCTTCAAAGAAGTGTCCGTCCGCGTCGAACCAAAGATGGAATCCGAAACTCTGCTGGGCTCTCCTTGCAATTCGGATCGTCTTTGTCTGGAGCTGGTCAATAACCTCTTTGAACTCAAGAGTGAGAGTAATTTCTCCATTGGTGGTGCTCTCTACGTACTGCACAACTTCTTCGACGCTCCAGGCGGTCACATCTGTCCCGTCGACCTTGAGAACCTTGTCTCCATCGCGCACGCCGAAGTATTCGGCTGCACCTCCTCGTTTCAGCCAGTGAATAATGTGCGACGAGTCAGACTCTTCGAAGCCGCTCGAACGAGCGAGCTTAAAACCAAAATCTTCATCCTCGAATTTGAAAATGGTTATGTCAGTTCTCACGGTAACGCTTGTCTCAGTGACGTCTGAGTTTGAAACGAAATTGCCGCGCTGACGATTTCTTCGCCGACCGACTTTGGAACTTTTGGACAACTCGGCGAGAATGGACGTAATTGGGATCTTTTCACGTTTGTAACGGTGGAAGGATTTGGTGTCGATCGACAAAGTGAGCAAAACGTTGTTAGAGGACTAAAAGATTGAAGTGAACATTAAAGATCTTTGAATGTAAATTACTTTTATTCGAACAGCGACATCTTCGGGAGAATCGTGCTCGATATTGATGTGGTTGAGCTCGATGATTCTATCTCCGACTCTCAGGCCCGACGATTCCGCGATGGATCCTAATTTCGCAGCTTATAAATTTCAACTCTCGGGTTATGAGTTATATGCTCGTTCTCGAAGTGTGAATATCCCACGGTGACTAACTTAACAAAAGTGGTTAAATTAAAGCTGTTCCTGAGTTCACTGTCGCGAAGTAATGTCCGTGCAGATCCGTTCCGACGGTGAAACCGAAAGACTCGTCTTTTTCTCGCTGAAGCCTGCAAAGCAGCGGTTTACCGGCAATGTTATTTTGATCGCTTTTCTGGTCCAACACAAGAATTTTGACATGATTTCCAGAGTTCTTAATTAGCTCCGCTACTGCCTCGTGGCCCATGGAATCGCATTTGATTCCGTTAATTTCAAGAACCCGATCGCCATCCTTCAATCCAGCTCTGCGAGCAGGACTATCTGCCTCGATTCGCTTTACTATCTGGGCTTCGCGATCCCGATCAATCGCTAGGAAGAAGCCAAAGCCTTCGCTGTCTAATTTCACCAAGTCGCACAGCCGCGGAACTCCGACATCCGCACTTTCATGCAACTTTGAAAAGCCTGAGATGGATTCTCCCTCTTCCGTCCCGACGAAATCATCTTTGTGCTCGTCCTTTGTAAAGAAGATGGGCTGTTCCGGAACTGGTCGTTCATCATTCTTAAGCTCGTCCATTCCGCTTGTCTTGAACTGCACAATATTTCTGTAATGCGTATCCGACTTTCCTCCAGCAACAAGCAAAGATACCTCCGAAGGCGCATTGCGTAGTTTTTGCAGAACTGCATCATGGTTAGCATTTTCCACGCTCATCCCGTTTAGTTGAATAATTCTGTCTCCAATTTTCAGGCCTGCCCGTTCGGCAGGACCTCCCGCATCGACTTCCTCAACGTAATGTCCGTCGCGATCTTGATCGTAGTAGATGCAAAATCCAAGCTGGCCATCTTCTTTATAGATTTTTGTAAGTCTTGGAAGGGCTCTTTTATACTGCATATCATACTCCTGCGCCACGACAATCAAGTGGCAAATGTTCTCGCCAGAGAGGATCAACTTTGTGATAGTAGTGTGAGATTCATACTCGCAGTTGATGCCGTTGATTTCGACGACACGGTCACCGAGTCTCAAGCCGCCTCTATCGGCCACGCCACCGACATCGACCCACTTGACAATTTGCCCTACTCGCTCGTTATCAATAACAACGTAAAGTCCAAAATCTTCAGATGGTAGTTTCACCAGGCGACAGTAGCGAGGCTTAGCCACTCGAGATGATTTGGATTTCATGTTTTTCGCCAAACTTCGCGTGACTTGGACTCCCTTCCGCCTGAAAAATGAGTCGCACTCGGGAGAGAGCACCAGAAGCTCGACTGTTTGTCTTGATGCACTTCCAACATCAAGTTTGGACACGCGCTTGCCGTCGATCTCAATCAAGCGATCGCTGTTTTGAAGTCCCGCTTTATACGCAGGTGATCCTTTTACAACTTCCTCGACGTACTGCCCCGTTCCGTTTTGCAGCGACAAGACGCGGAAGCCAAATCCAAAATGTTCGTTCTTTGTGATTTTTATTATCCGCGGATGGTGTTGCAAGTCCAAAGTCACTCCAGCGATATTCTCTCTGTTTAGATCAATATTTTTGCTCGAGTAAGTTTCGTCAACTTCTTCGCTGATAAGGAGCAAAGTGAGGACCTTTCCAGCTGCTTCGAGTTTAAAACGAGCATCAGGTAAATTGTTCTGATTCAACTGCACGCCGTCGATTTCGATGATTCTACTTTGCTCCTTGATCCCGGCTTCTTCAGCAGGGGATCCTGTTTTGACTTTTTTAATGACAATTCCATCTCTGTAGTTGTCCACTTCCAGTCGGAGACCAAAGTCGACTTTTTGACTTGAGCGGTTGATTTGAAATAGTTCCGGCAAAAGATCATATCCGCTCTTTTTCGCAAACGCCTTGAATGAATGGATGGCCGCTTTTTGCTCGGCTCCGACAAGAGCTGTTTTGTCTTCTTCATCTTCAAATCCATGGCTCAGGCGGATGTGGTAAACGGCGACAAACAGGAACTTGACGATGAATGAAATAAGGAGGGTGACGGTAAGCGCAATGGAGTAGATGAACCATTCTGTAAGAAAAACGCTGACTTGGGGAACGCAATCTTCTGTGAAGTATTCAATTCGTTGGATAAACTCATCACCACCGTCATTATTTGAAGTGCACGCCATTTGCAATAATTCCTTGTCGTTATCCGTAACATTTAGTCCCATTTGTGTCCAATCTTCCGTATTGAAACAACACTCATTAGCGAGTTCTACTTTTTGCAAGTTGATAATCGTTTCCGAATCTTTTTTGTAGTCGAAAATGTCGCTGATTTCGAAGGAATAAGAAAGCCTGATGAACAAGGCATGCAAGATCGACGCAATTATGAAGATGAGAGCTGACAAAAAACCGATGTAGATTGAAAGAAGTTTTTCTTTCTTGAGGTTGATAACAAACATGCCGCCAAAGGAAATGCAAAGAGAGCAGATTCCAAGGATTTTCATCATCGATGCATAAAAATTCGAATTCTCCAACATCGACAAGATCACCAATTTCGCCCTGCCAAGACTGCTATCACTCGCCAACATTCCTGAAACGATGGCAATACCGCCCAGTAACCAGTTGAAAATATGCAGCATTGTCAAGGAGGTTCTCGTAAACTTCCATCTCTCGAATTTGAGCAGCAAAAAAGAAATATTCATTCTCAGATTTCCAATGCAGCGAAGGAAAGAAAGCACCAGGCGCGCTTGAAATTGTTTTGGTGCTACCGCCTGTGGGCAATTTGGACGAAGATTTTTGGTGGAGCAAAGTTTCGGTCATTTTCCAGCATGGTTTCATAAGAATAGTTTCATAGACCAAGTTGGCTTGGACAGAAAGTTCGGAAATGGGCAGACTTATCATGTCCATAGGAAGACAGATGGGAGGGAACGATTGTCGGCTGAACACACAGCGCTGACATTTGGCGCGTATTTGAATATTCTCTATCTGGTGTGAGGGGCACTTGACATTTGTCACCAGCTTATATAGGTTTTTCCTCAGTTATCAAGATTTTGATGAGAAATAAGGGAAATTTAATAAGGGTATCATGATCGAGATGTACTCTTTGTAATTTCTAGAGCTTTTTTTATAGGGTCCTCCCTAAAGACAAATACGAATCAACAATCATTCAATTTAATGATTATGATTATTTTTCAATTGGCATGGGCTCGAAGATAAACAAACTGAGCAAAACATACAAACGTATTATCTTAGTACGCCTTTGACATTCGTTGATCCAAGTTGCTTCACATCAAATGGCTTAATAGCCCCGGTTTACAAGGGCTTCCCCATAAACTAAACAGTGCCCACGTGGCGCCCTCTGCTCCCCCTTTCAAGGGTTCTCGACGGGAAAGAGGAAAACTTCTCAGGTGTCGATGTGAACAAAACTAGGGCGAGAGCAATACTACAGACCTGCAAATCCGACTGTGAATTTTCGTCCCACGTGCGAGGAAGATCAGAAGACTGAAAAATAATAGAGATTTCTGAGAAGAAGGAGAAGATGTGGATAGAATGCCTATTCATCACAACAGGAGTCTTGGGCAAATTCTTCGGATCAGGTAAAATCTTACTTGAGGGATAGTCTTCGGAAAATATAATCAGGTGACCAACTACGCGACTACGAGTCTGATGATGAAGATCTCGCAAAACTCAGGGAGGAACAAGTTTTTGCGTTATTCTACGAAGGAATGGATTTATTTCCCTTTATTTTTGTTTATAAAATACGAAGAAGATTCTATTCTATCTTGATACACCTAGTCTCATAATGAAAACCATGGCAAGGGGAAGAAAAGGACGTCTCATCGCCGAACCCACTGAATAGCGCGCCTGCATTATCCACGACCACAAAACCTTCGATATTGTCGCAGGTAAAAAACAATTATCAAAGTGTCCATTGTGTCCATGACGCGTCGTCGATCAAGAAAACGGAAAATGAATTTTTAGCCATTTCCCGGAAAGGAGCGAATTGCTCAGCCAGAACAGATGGATGATCTTTTGAAAAAGGGACGGGCGCTCTAAATTTAGAATAATAACTAAACGCTTCGTTATTTTTTCCCTTCGAGAGTCACCCTTTTTAAAGAGCTATTTATTGGCGGCGATTGTGGCGGGCATCATTGCTGGAGTTATTCTTTCCGTAGTCATCATTTCCCTAACAGGTTCTGAGCTCGTAAAAATGCAGGTGAATGAGCGGTATATTTAAGTTCACCGAGTGTACAAAAGCAATCAGGGAAGCTACGTCGTGCCGCTGCTGAAACCGTCGATAGCGGAGAGTGAATGAACGAACGAAACCACTTTTTGTGTTTGTACCATAAATTTGTATACACGAGTCTTTCTCACTTTGATCAATGCGACAGTGAGAGCCACTTCTACTTCCTGCGCCTGACGATCAAAAGAATAAAAGTCCTCTCCTCGATCGTTTCGTTGAATTTGGTGATCATTTGCGAAAAATATTATAAACGAAAGGCCAAAAAATGAAGCGGATTTAGATGAGATTAGTTATTTCCGAGTAATATCGCACAGATGTGTCAAGGTCGAAAGAAAGATCGGCTTTGGCCGATTCTCAGACAATAGGCTTTCAGGAAACATAAGCATTTGATTTAAAGAAATAGAAGCAATAAAAGGTAAAGAATAGAGCCGAGAGCAGCAATCGGAGATGAACTTGGTTCTTTAAAAGCCCATCCCAAGTCGCCTTCGAAATTCATTGTTGATCGCAAGGCAATGCGTTTTACACGCTCTGTTTCCCCGAGAAACTCCATTCCAGTCAATCTTTCAATCTCGAGCAGCCTATCCAATGCATAATATATATCAATAAGAATCTTGAAGTTTACCTGACTGAGTGCATTTCTAGTTTTTCTTGCCACCACTCGACGAATGGTATGTAGTAAACTAATCTGCAGTTGAAATTGCCCCAATAAAGCGGCCGTGTTTCTTCTTGATTGATGACCATGCACGGAGAATATTCACTGATATTGTTTCATCTTATTGATTCCGGAAATACAATTTGACATAAAATATAAGAAATTGTTCAAACTATCCTTGCGAAAGAGTCAGAAGTATTGTGCCTCCAAGGATACAGGGCAGGATAAAGTGAGCCCTCTTGATCTTCGAGGATAAAGTACATGTGTGATGGTTGAAAAACACCCTGTCTATTTACCGGATCACCAAGAGGCTAAGATTTTCTGTAAGTTAAAGGGCTTTACAATGAAATATCCGGCTCCTATTGCACCATTTGTTCGTCTGCCTGTTCATCCATTCAGAAGGAGGAACATAAACACCAGTTCCTGTTGTATCGAATGCAGTTCCGAATCGAAGCGATTTAACGTCGTTGGAAAATACTCTTGGCAGCATGTCATCCTTTAGTGTGTGCCACCAGTAAGGTTCATCGAAGAACTCGAGTCGCGAGTTGTCTTCGAATCCGAGCCGTAATTTGTTCATACACTCGTCAAGTGAAGAACAACTGGAGTATGTGGGGAAGTTGTGATGCTCATCAAAAGCTATGTCGATCGATTCATCAACTTTTACTCCGTCGGGAAATTTAGTTTCTCCAATAAATGATTTTGATTTAGCGGGATTCGTGGGTCTTTTTAAAGCTGGCTCAAATCGTCCGTCAAGGGAAAACTGCTGTGAATAGAATTTTTCCATCAACTTTGGAGAATCAGTTCTTATGCCAACAAGATCCATGAGAAGTCGGAAGACTTCTACGTTTTGAATTGGTGGAAGAACGACATTTCTTTTGATTTTAGGGCCGTACATTGTCAATGGGACTTTCATGCCTTCATATTTTGAATCCCAGCCGTGGTTGCCCATGTATCCTTCGTCGTTACAATTGTTCCAGGGATACGAAGTTACTTTCGTTGCAGGTTTCATGTAATAAAGCAAGAGCTCAATAGACGGAGTCGGGTTGTCATAATGCAAGCGTTTCGGTGCCAAGTATTTGTCATAAATTTTAAAACCGTTCTCATTCCATGTGCACTTGACGCCATTTATAATCTCGACAACATCAAAAGGATCTGATGAATTTGAGCCCATAAGACCACCCTGCTGTGCTGTAGTTGTTTTCGTTAGAAGATTTGTAGTCCTCATAATATTCGGGTTGACTTCATCTAAAAGGGGAGCTACAGCAACCATGTCCTCGCATAAAGCCTGCTCCATTCCGTGATCGGTAGTCAATACTATGTTCACGCATTTGTCTAAGTTGTACATTTTCAATCCATCCATGAGCTGCTGTAGTTGTATGTCAACTCTTTTTAGTGCTTTATCGAGCTCTCCGGACTCGTCGTATGGACCAAAAGCATGTCCAATATGATCTGGCTCGTCAAAGTACAATGTGAGAAATTTCGGCCGGAAACCTTCCTTTGGTCCTGACCCAGGATAGGGAGGGAGATTAAGCCATTCTAGCATCTGATAGATTCTGTATCCAAAAGGCTCTTCTCCGTATGTTCCATAGTCCCAAAAGTAAGTTGGATTCTCGCCATTTATCGAGAGATCATTACCAGCCCAGAGACAAGACGCTGAAATCATGTCGTGTCGCTCAACAGTATTCCAGAATGGATCTCCTGACCACCACCCTTCATCAGGAGAGGAAACATTGCAAGAGTAGTCGCCAGTGTTAGGCGAGAAGACGTTGCAGCTTGCATCTTTTTTCCAGTCGTACCATTTGTTTCCAACAATTCCGTGTTGGCTTGGATAGAGTCCAGTCATAAGTGTGTGGTGATTCGGGAAGGTTTTGCTCGGATACGAAGGCTCCATAAACTCAGGATAGGAACCACACTCTCGCAATTTCATGTAAGTTGGTAAAAATTCTTTCCGTTCCAGGTATGATTTTCTAAAGCCATCAGTCGAAATTAGAAGCGTGGTGCCTTCGTAAGTTTGATCAGGGCATTCAAACTCCTCTTCCACAATGCACTCTGATTCTGGAAATGTTGTCTGTCCTTTGCACGAAGTCAAATAGTCGGTGCAGCAGTCCTTTCGCTCTAGGCACTTGTCATCGCACCAGCACTGGGTTGACTCGACCGTGTTTGTGTTTGAGTTGTTTGGCGCCTCACCACATCGATCCCACTCTGGGAGTGAGGGAAATCCAGCTCCCCACTAAATTTATTCTGATATGGCCTGCTTGATTTAAAAATAAGTACTTTGCTATCTTTGTTTTTGCATAAAAAGATTGAAGCGTCGTTAGCGTACGCAGATCGTTTGCTTCGGGTCGTTGAGCGTTTTTTCTGAAATCACAATTTATCAATATAATTGTTAAGTAAGTACTCACTCTGAGATGGGTTATGAGATTTTCGAAGCTATCCGTCGCCTGGAACATATAGTTTTTGTCAAATCTTACGTCGTCAAGCTTTTTAAGAATGTCCGACAAAGAACTTTTCTCTTCTATGTCTTCAGCAACATTTAAATCAACCCCAAATGATTGCCCATTATCAAGCTGGAACAAATATCTGATGGATGACACTCTACCATGTCTGTAGAAAGGGATGAAGGTAAATTTCGATTCAGGATATCGTTCAGCAAGATTTGGAAGAAGTTTGAATAGAAACTCCGCGTGTGCATTTGTGTTTGATGGAAAGAAGTTGTTAGATGATCTGGCAAGGGTAGTCCTCAACTTAGAGGACGCCATCTCAGCGAGAAACAGAGGCTAAACAAATATGTATTTACAAATGATGCAAAAAGTCTTCTGAGCGATAAGATTATTTCACCTGAATCCCCGTGTTTTTCGAACTGGAGCGAGGATCGACAACCTTAGATCTCAAAACGCGATCATAAGAATTCCATCTGATCCCTTTGCCCGTCACCATGTACGGTTGATTCTGCTTCTTGTTATAGATGCAAATGTAGTCCTCGTTATGAAGAATCCAGTAGTCTTTGTAATACCTCGAGACCTCCAGAGGCACTTGAAACTCATGCTTGATTTCCAGTTCCTTTATTTTCTCGAGATCCAAAGCGAAGTGCGAGTCGAATAGGGTTTCAGCCTCTGGCAACCATATTGTATCAGGTCGTTTCCCTACGAGCTTTGTTAAGCGAGCCTGTAGTTGATTCCTACCTGCTACAATGGCAGCCAGGAAAAATGCAGGAAACTGCATCAGGTCTCTATCGTAAAATGGAAGCAGTGGACTCAATTTGGAAGATTTTGAAAATCAAATTTACTTTGGGATAAGTCGGAGATACAAGAACCCGCATGAATATTTGATTTTTTATTTGCCAGAAACGATAATTTGCATTTACTGCCGATTTTCTAAAATCGTAGATATATTTTAGGATAAGACATCTTTCGTACCCTTTTTGTAGTTAAATTAGTTTACAAGTAGCCATCTAAAATTATTTTGAAAACCATCAAAGAACTTTTTCAGTCATCGAGATCCAAAAATAAATTGTCATAAATGAGGAGCAGCTATATTTTTTGTTATTTCTTTTGTCATTTAATTCTTGCTATTTTTAATTTTCCAAAAATAATATCAAATTGAGCAATTATCGTGAATTTAGGGGAACTCAAAATGATATATTGTTTTACTTGCACCTTTGTGAATTAACCAATAAACTCAAAATAAACTGAAACTTTTCTTAATTCTGTAAGTCATAATTGCCTTCTGCCTATTACTCATCCGCAAGTTTATCGTTATGTTGATAAGCTTAATATATTTTCTGTCAACTTGTCGCCAATTTATTGACTTCTCTCTCTTCTGCGAGATTTGAGCATGCGTCTTTCACGCTATAAATTATTCCAGTTAGCAATAAAAGAACACTTCAAAAAATTTAAAAGATTGTTGCATAAGACAAGTCTTTCAAATAACAACCGTTCCGGGACTTCTGTTTGTTTGGTGCCCAGACGAGAAGTAATTTATTCTTCAATTATCAGTATTAAATAGTCAGAAAGCTAAGGAATGGTAAGCTCAGAGTTGACAGTATATAAAGAAAGCAACTCAAGAGTGTTTATAGCGCGTGCTTAAAAATAGCTCCATAGGGCAATCTTAGGTGTCTCCCCACGTGATCGTCGAATTCAAGCTATTTGTTACGAAACACTGAATACGATGTACAATGAATAACAAACGATGAATGGTGGATTGCATGATGGATAGCTTGCTTTCGAAGAAGGAAGATTCTTGAGTCGGATGCTCTCGCATGCTTGGGAAACCCATGCGGTGAGAGACGCGCCAATTCAACTTTGGACTTTTCGCCACTTTAGGGAGATCCAGTCAAACGCATCGTTGGACTCAAGGAACAGTTTCCTTGACTCGCGCTATCTGCATAAAAAGACATTCTACGAGAATCATCGAATCGGAAGCAGAAAAGAAAGAGATCTAAAGGAAGATGGTTTCAGAATACATTCGCGGTCAGTCCGACTTGCGTGCACTTTCGCTGCTCGAGGAACTAAAGGTTCGTTCAATTAGAATTGGAGACATGAAGGAGTATGGGGGCATTTTAGTATGTGTTGTTGCAGCAAGACATGCATATTGCCAAACAAGCGATTGAAATCGAAAGATTAAACAAGGAAAATGAAAAGCTTCGCGGAGGTAAGCATTAATCAATCTTTCCTTCGAATAAAAAAAACTCAAAAGATATAACACGACTAAAAGAAACTCCAAAGGATATTTTGTTCTGCGATGCAGACATGAACTCAGCACCAAACTCCCCAAAAGCTGAGCGACGGGAAGAAGACATGAAGTTTAGGTCACCGTCTAATAGTGCCACTCGTTTCTTGTAACAGACCTTGACCGCGTTAAAGTCCGAAAAGAGCGAGGACGATTCCGAGAGTGATGAGCCAAAGGACAAGTATGAGATGTTCAGAATCTCATGAGTGATTGTACACGTAATGGGAGGCGAAAATATTTTTATATATTTTTCTGTCCCAATGATGTTCAATAAAAATAACAGTAGAACACACGTTGAACTCTTGTAAAGGAGCTGGTCCCAAAGATGATATTTCGATTGAATAAAGAAAAAGGAAAGGGGCTCTTAATTTATATCTTACCAACATATTCGTCTCTCTGATGTCTTACTATAGCTCTATAATAGAGTCCGAGAAGGAGCAAGAAAACTTGGAGAAGCGTCGTGAAACGGAACAAGAATTGGCGGAAGTTATAAACCCAGCGCATATAAAAGAGGCTAAGGAGAATATCACGAAATCGATTAGCCAGGCGCTGAACAGAAATATGATTGCGCCTCACCAGGAAAATGATTAGAATTTTTTAATCGTCGAGCAAATAAATATTATTGCACAAAAACGCCTCTCACTGAGTCTCGATCATTTGTACATGAGAGTCTATAATTTATAGATGATTAAAATTAGAAATGATCAGGAGGCTAAATTCTAACCATTGTTAAGGAAGAGGTACCAAAATAACTACTAATGACAACTATTAGTGCCTATCTTTTTGTTCTTGCGCCATCATGTGTTTAGATGGCGCGTCCACCACTTCTATATGACCCGACGTTAGCTCGTCAAAATCCACAAGGACCGCCACAAGCAGCTCAGTTCAATCTCAGGAACCCGTTCGCCGTGCAGTCTAACAGGTTCTTGAACAATCAGCAAAGTAACTCTCTTGATAATTATTCAATAGGCCAAGCCAGCAGCTGACAGAGGAGGAGAGCAACAATCCAAGACGAGGTCGCTCCGAGTCTCTTCCAAACACTTCCTTTCCTCCACAGCAAAATACAAGCGAGATCAACTCGCAAATGTACCAGACAACAGCATTCCAACGACGCCACGATCGTCAGGTTGCTATTTCTCTTTTCTTCCGTCATTAATCATTTTTCAGAGCCTGTCGCGATCAGGCTGCGGTGGCGAGATTCAACAATTCAACCAATATGTCGACAACGGTGTCTACGACGTAAGTTTCCCATCATTTGAGGCTGCCAAGAGCTTAACTCGCCTTTCAGCAAGTATACGGGTACGGCTTCAACGATAGTTTCAACAACTCTGTCGATCAACAGGTGAGTGCGCTCAAGTTAGGCAGGGCCCCGTAAAGGCAATCTTAGAACACTCTCCACCCAATGTATCAAACTTGGCAACTGGGACCGAATCCGATGGCAGGAAATCAAGATAGCTACGGACAAGCACTGACTCCCAACTCGACGAGTTCTTCGAATCTAGACCCCTCTGGTGACCAGCCGAGGGCGCGAAAGCTCAACGAAAACTGCAGATGTGCGTACTGCAACAAATGCTTTCAGGTAACTCGATGACAACCCATAATAATGAAATGATTGCTTAAAAACTAGAGCACGTGGCATCTGAAGCGACACGAGCGAACGCACACGAACGAAAAGCCCTACAACTGTCAGAACTGCGGGAAGTCTTACTCGGATAACAGCAATTACTCGAAACACGTGCGCAAGTGCTTCAGCGGAATAGTTGACAACGACATCATGCCGCAAATGGCGGCGCCTGGATCAATGGGATCCAACGAACCAGGCGCCAACTAGTTGTTGCTTCTCATCACTCCCTGTGCAATCTCGTACATTTTGTGGCAGTAACGTATACTTCAGTGTAAATTCATTCTGTACATAGCGCAATAAAAGCACATCCGAAGGGACGCGCTGGAGTGATAAACGCTTCATAAAAGGCGTGTCGAGCAGAAAAAAAAGCAATCAAGGAAGAGTACCAGGGGTTCATTCGTTTACTACTTCCAAGTGAGTCATTTCGCGGAAGTTCGTAGCTGGTAGGTCTTTTGGGGGCTTGGAGATGATTACTTCTGATGATCTTCGCGAGCGAGGCATTGAACCAACCAAGCTTCAATATTTAAATGCATCTTGTTATTACTAGGGATTTACCTCGGGAAAGCCAAAGAGGGCCGATGAGAGCGGAAACTACGCCCTTCACAATCAGCCTTTACCTTTCCTCCAATGCAGAAAAATAACAAGAAGAATATTGTCGACAATATCTTAAGTTTAGTACAAGTAAATGTCAGCTATCCTAGCACTTACGAACCCATATGAACACAGCGTAGCCAGTTGATCTACAAGGGAAGTATTACTCTCGTTATCTCTATGTTTCCTATTCTGATATGTACTCACATGTGAAATATCATAACTGGAGTTAGAGTTCTTTTACCGCGAATCGCATCTAAGACTCCCAACGGGGGTATATAATTGATTCTAAGGAGCACTGATTACTTTCTTAGACTCATTAACGACACGATCTTGTATAGTCGCGGTGCAACAAAGTGAAAAACTCAGTATATTCAAAATCAATACGTTTGAAAAAAGTAATTGAGCTCATGCCTTGAAAGCTTATGCATTTTATTTTCTTCGGTGTACACTGTACATCCTGAATACTGTATCCTGTTTTGCTGCTGATGCACGTCAAGAAAATTAGAGGCATGATGGAACAAGTTAGTTGCCAGTTCCGTCAAGTTCTAATATTATTAGAAGGGAGATATGGTCTCATGAATTTATTATAAAAAGTTTGAAGACTTTTTGTTGTCGATAAGGGTGGATATTTGAATATTGGGTTGGTGAAACGGAGTGAAAAGAGCAGTTTTTGACATGAGAAGCCTAATATGCATGCAATTATGAAATTTGCATGTATATATTGGTTTTAATTTAATACAGACACGTATACGGTATAAAATGGTTATGTATCGTATGTCTCGCCAAATCGGTGGGTTCACGGCCCGGCGCATGTACATGTTTGGCCAGACAGGCGAGAGGAGACTGTGCGAGGCAGTGTGAGAGGCTTAGGCGATAGGTTAAACCTGCAAGTTACTTGTTCTTGGAGGATGAAACCAGTCATCTTTTTTCTGTGTCCGTAAATTTGGGGGAAAACGGGGAATATTACAATATAGTTAATAAATGAGGGCAAGAAGATTAAATATAATACATCTAACAGAGCTCGGCAGGACCCAGAAATTTGGGAGAATAAGGCGCCTCGCGAGTCAACAACTGGCAACTGATCAGCCATCCATGTTGTCCTCGCGCTCGTGGGGGTTGAGCACGCCGGGGACGTTCATCTGACGCTTGCGCTTCTCTTCGGCCGCCTGTCGGATCTCCTCTTCTTTCTGGTCGAGGAAAAGGTCGAAGGTGTTCTCGCCGGCGAACTCGCGAATTTGAATCAGGAAGTCTCGGATGTGCTCGCGGAACAGCGCCAGATCCGAGTTCATCGCGAAGAGGCCTTCCACGAAGACCTTGATTTGAGAACTGAAAAATGTCAATTAAAATCTTGGCCATCGAATTTTTTTTCTTACATTTGGAGTGTTTTGAAGTGCTCTTGAAGCAGCTCTGCGATGTAGTTCTGGACGAATTCGACGTTCTTTTGCACGATTTCCGCCTTGTTGTTTCGAATCCATTCGGCGTCATTTTCTCGTGTTTCGTTGGGGTAGAGAGGCACGAACACATGACCGTTCTCAACCGACAACAGAATGTGGCACAAGATCTGGCAGTGCATCGGCAAGCCAGCAATGTGGGTAGTGTCAGTAACCACGCCAAACACCTAGACAAAACAAAATGTGAAATAGAGTCGATAGCACACCATTTACCTGGCTGATAACTTCCATAAGATAAGTTTTGTAAAACTCCTGTCCTTGGGCGCCTCTGGACTGGACGTTTTTCAAAAGCTGCAGCATAATATCCAGGCCTGTGTCATTGACGTTTCTCATTGTGTGTTTGAAAGCCCAGACGATTGAGTCGAGAATGAGCTAAAAATTAAGGTTGAAAGTTAGTAAAAGAGTAAATCCATCTCACCTTGAACATTTGAGGCGGGATTTCGAGGAAAGCGCCGAAGCATCCCTTGTTTATAGCTTGAATGAGCAAGAAGAAGTTCGTCCTGTGCTCTGGGAACTCTTCGAAGTTCTTATTAATCATCTCGAGCGTGCACTCGAACACGGCGTCGAGGATCTTTGGAATCTGTGGTGTGATCATTCCCTCCAGACGATTGACGATTGTGGCCATTGTCGAGAGAACTTCAGGTTCTCGAGCTGCCGGGACATTCGATCGGTAATCTAATATAAAAGGTTAAGAACGAAGTTTTCTCGTTTTTGTTTCTTACCAAGGAGAACAGCGTCGAGAAGAGGTTCGACAAAGTTATCAGAAACAAGTCTGGTATCGGTTGTCTTCGATACCCAAAGAGAAATCAGAGTTAGCGTCTCTTTTTACAGTCTTCATCTCTCGGATAATAGGCTGCTTGGTGACCTGCTCGCCGCCTCGAAGAATCGCGGAGGAAATTGATTCTGAGAGTACTTTATAGACATTCAGAATGTCGAGGAAGATTCGGGCAAGTTGGATAATGTATTGATGCCCGAGGGACTTGCAGGCGCGGACGTTAGTTCTCAGAATATTGACGATTTCCTTGACGACTTCAAATTCTCGGAGAGACGCAACATCCTTGGTAGCAGCTAAATGAAATAAGTTAAAGAAAGCAGCTTGAAAAGGGAGAAACCTTGGATGTATCTGTCAAAGGACTCGTTCGGCAGCAACATGTACTGTTCAATAAGTCGCTCTTGAGTAACCGCGTCCTGCTGTGAGCTGATCATGATTCCAACGGCTTCGTAAAAGGTATGAATCTGCTGGGGCTGCAAGTCGCAGATAATGGAATTGACACCGTTGAGGATTTCCTCGATGAAAGGCATCACCTCGCCCATCTAAAGAGAAGAAGGTAATTGGATGAAAGGGATGCAAATATACCTGGATGTGGACAAAGTATCGTTTGCACTTTTGCGAGATCTTGATGAAGGTATCGCAAGCCATGTCCTGGACACCATCGTGCGTTTCGTGCATAAACTCAAAGAGCTTGTTTACGACGGTTTTCAGGAACTTCCAGTGCGCGCGGAGGAAGCGAGGATACTGGCCAACAACGTACATGATATTCGAGGCAATAATCGCCTTGTTGTCTTTGCCTCGTTTTTGTTCGCAAAGACCGAGCAAGTCCTTTAGGGTTTTTAAATAAATTGTGGAAGCGATCAATAAATACCTTGATGACTTGAACGAGGAACTTTTTCTCGGCATCTTCGGTCATTGCGCCTGAAATCGAACCGATGGCCCAGCAGAGCGTGTTGAGATTCTTTCTCGACCACTCGGATTGATCGACCTGTCGGGCCAGCTTCGAGGTCATGATTGCTTCGGTGTCCTTGTGATCCAAATGCGTCAAGTACACGAGCGTCTCACGCATTGTTTTGTACAGGTTGATGCTGTCGGTGTCCTTTAACTGTTCGCGAACAACTTCTCCGTTTTCATTTTCGACGACGAGGACTTCTTCCGGCTTCGCCATTCGGGAGATCATGATTTTGCGCACTTCTGTGAGCACCGGAAGGTAGAATTGGCGCCGTGGCGGGACATCCTAGACGAACAGATAAAATGCTTGAATGAAAGAATGGGGAATAGGTAGTAGAAGCGGTAAGATTGTTGGTGGGAAAAGTTGTTATGAGAAAAATGGAAAATGAAGAACTGTTTTTGAATAACGCAAAAAAACACGATGTTAATTGAAATTTAAAAAGCGCGTGTTTTGTTACCGAGAGCAGCGTGCTACAGAAGTCGCCTCTGATTCCATCACACCAAATATTATCATTAGGGATCTACAGACACATGACGATTTAGAATAACAGGAGCTTTTTTCTGGACCTGATTTTTCTACTTACGGGAGTGTTGTTGAAGCCGAGAAGGCCTTGATGGTAGATTTGCTGATTCGAGGGCGCTTCTTTGTAGAGATCGCCGCTGAGTGAGTGCCAGAACTCGAGGCAGACTTTGAAGACTTCGGTTTCTTCGACTTCGGAGATCTTGACGAGGTAGCGGATGCCGTCTAGGAGCTCGGCCTTGCAGCTACGTTCCGCCAGCTCGGCGTAGTTCTTCAAATACGTCTCCAGGAAGAGCGCCAGGTTCTGGATGAACGCTTGCTGCGAGTCCTTGCCCTCCTTGTACGCTTTTTTAAGATCAATATCGACCGGGAGCATCTTCTTGAGCTCAGTAATCGTCGCCTGGTACAACTCGACGTACTCAGTTTCGTATTCTTTCGCGCTCTCGCCAGTGATGCCCGCGATTTCAGTCAAGCACTTGAGCGATACGTTGCGGAAGTCGGGCACGTTCAGGAAGCGCATGATCAATAGCTTGCACACGTCTGTCTTCATCAAGAACCCCATCGGAATCCAGGAGCAGAAGCGTAACAGCGTGTTTAGCGTCGCATCCAGTAATAAGGAATTATTAGTGTTGTTCTAAAAAAGGAGATAAGTACTGTTATAGCCTATTACCAGGCAAAAAGTAAGCTTTTTGATCTGTGGCTTTAGCCCGTCGACCTCCTCCCTCTCTCTATACACCCTTCCACGGGGAGGGTTAAAGACCCCTCATTTTCGTTTGTTACGTACCAGTACGAACATACAGAGCTCGAACACTTGTGAGAACTCAGTTGACATCGATCGCTTCAAATGTTGGATCTTGGCCTGGGTCATTTGGCCGGCGGAGTAGTCGAAGACCTCTTCCGAGAGCAGCTTGAGGATCACCATGTTGTTGGTGCACAAGCTTTCGCTTGATTTGGAAGCACCGCAAATATCTGAAAAGGGATGAGGACGAGGCAATGGGGGAAGGGGAAGTTACCTGATATGAAACTTGGCCAGTTCTGGGGCCATTCTTGTTTCAGCACTTGAACGAGGATCATGTTCAATTTGTTCAAGTAGACTTTTTCGTCTTCGGCCTTTTTCGCATCGGAGCTAGAAAATTTGCATCTTTTCTTTTGGCGCTAGAATAGTACCTGATTCCGATAACGAGCTCAACGATGAAATCTTTAATCCCTTCGCACTGGTTTCGAGGGAGGACCTTCCATCGTGTTTTGATGACTGATTCGAGGATTTGAAGGCCGTAGAACTTTGTCTGTTGGGAGGTGGAGGTCTGCAATGCGCGATTTTAGAGAAAGCTGGAAGAAAATGGGAAGCGAACCTGGAGAATTTTGTCGACGCGTTGCCAACTGTCGGGGTGGTCCTTGAGCTGGTTTAGGATTTCGTGCGCTTCTTTGTGGTTTGGTCCTGCATCGTGGTGCAGACAGTGTACAACCTAAGACGATGGGTTAAAATTGGATTTACGGAAAAGAGAATTGAGGATGATGGAATTGTTACCTGTTCGAGAAGTGGCACATCTAGGTTCGTGTTGAAATCAAGTAGTCGTCTCGCTCCTCCGTTCTGCATGCTGACTGCCATTTTCTAACTCTAACCGGCTGAGGCAAAAGCCACTTTTTCAAAACGCAAGTCAACGCTTCTGAAAATCACAAAATTGAAAATTCGAATCAATTTTCGTCGTAAATAGAAAGTACAGTAATGCTCGTGAAGTTTCTTTCTTAAAGAAATTCTCTCTCTTTTAGTCTTCGCCGCAGTCTCTTGCTACAGTAGTATCATCGTCTCTGACTGTATCATAATCAAATAAAACAAAAATGATAAACACTTTTTTTCATCGAGATAACATTTAACACTTTAGGACGAGATTTTTGATTGGTTGAGGAAACTGGTTCGGTCTGGCTTTTACAAAAAGTACAATTATTGTTATCGGCGATGTGCACACGCCTGGGGCGGAGGAGGAGCCTATCAAGCGTGGGAATTTCTTGTTCTTCCAGGAGAGGAGAGGAAAAGGAGGACTGGTGGAGGAGGAGTCACCGGAGGAAAGGTGATTTAGGAAAGGAAGGGAGGAATTTTTAACTGGGCGATGAGTGGATGGCCTTCGACTGCGCAGCGCACTTGCCCGTTGCGCGGGGAAATTCCCGCACTCGCTGAAAACTAGTTTGAACCGGTTCGCTCCGGTTCGACAAAACCAGCCACCCGTCAACCGTCAGATCCTCCGTCAGAGCATCCACTGGAAGAGCTGAGTGGAAACTCCGACGCTGAGAAATCCATTCGAAGCGGCACTTCCGTTTTTTCCCTTCTGAAAAATCGCGATCTTTGAATCCAATCAATTGATTTTAAATCAACATTTATCGAAATTATTTAAAAAATACTATTATTTAAATGTCTTCGAAAAAAAAAAATTCTTTTAATAAAAAACATTCGTATAGAACACAAACACAGTTAAAATTCTACGATTGATTTAAAAAAGGAAAAGTCCTTTCGAAAGAAGAGTTTTTATGAAAATTATTATTAATTAATAATTCTATAAAATTATTAAAATTGAATAATAATTAAAAGCCTTATAGATTACAGATCGATAAGCGCGATCACTATCTTTGCGAAAAATAAACAAGAGAATTGCTCTTTTAAATTTAAAGACTCTTTTAAGGACAAATTAATAATTTACGCCTTCTGCTCTCTCTCTCTGAAAATGCTCATCAGAAAATGCTCTCAGAAAATGTAAATTCTAATGGCGCTAAATTATACTGACCTAGAGCCGCCTCGTGTTGGAATAAAATATTCTTCCGATTCTACATTAAATTTCAAAAGATTACCATCGTTGAAAGCATCAAATTTTATGCTCACGTGGCTTTCATTGAGAATTTCTGAATTAAGTTTTCTGAATATTTCAGAATTCGCCAGTCAGCAATCCAAGCCTGGATTCTCCCCTGGAAAAGTTTATGGAATTTTCCATGTTTTCGAATCATGATTTTATGACGCGTGGTCCTTTACTTGTGATTACACTGTGACTCTAGGGTCGGCACCGACCACCATTTTTCATGGTCGTTTTGGTCGGCCGGCTCGGCTTTTTTGGTCGGTCGGTATTTTCAATTTTCTGTTCCAATCGAAATTGTCCAACTCTAGGCGAGAATATTCTTTGTTTTTCTAAAGTTTACATCTGTTCGAGGGCTGATGAAGGCTCAATTGTAGCCGAAACGCGTCCCCAATAAATTATGAATCAAACAAGAATTACCTCGTATAGAGACGAGGAAAATATCATGTATTCTTTCTGAGACAAACATCGTTGATCCAAAAGTCTTTACTTTTCTTTGTTTGTAGCGGTTGAGTTGGGCAGTATTGTAATAAAATAATTATAATAATATATTTAAATAAGTGGATGTTTACTAGCAGGATAGGTCAATAGGGCAGAGTTCGAATATTTTAAAAAGATGGCCACCGACTGCCAGCCATTTTCAAAACCGCAACAAAATTAGCAGTGGCAGATGGCAGTTGGCAGTCAACTGGCAATAACTTTCGAACCTGCGATAAAGGAAAGTTGTAAAGCAGATTGTTTTAAACTACTTAACAAAGCGGCTAAATTCACCGCTTTAAGATGCCTCCGTTACATAATGGATAATCCAAAAATGGAGAGCTCTGATTGGCAGAGCGACGCCAGGACGAGCGCCACCGTGATCCACTCTTTTCAGTTTCTGGGTTTTCTCGACGTTAGTTACAGGTTAGTTAGGGAAAGTTTTTGTACATTATCTCTGTCACATGAAAGTCTACTCAAGAAGGGCTATTACTGAAGGTTCGTAAGATCATTTCTTCTCCAGAAACAGCGTCAAATCGGGCGAGAATAAGTTGCTTTCGTTGATCTGAAAACTAGCTTCGACGGAAACTTTACCAATGGAAGTCGCCAACATCGCCACCCCAAGTCCTTCGGAATCCACGGAGCCGGAGCAAGAGCCGACTGTCATCATCTTCGGCTACGAGCTCAATCCCCTGTCTCCCGAACTCAAGGAGCGATATCATGTCGCAGGAAGAGTCCCAAGAAGGAAGTCAATGAACTTGGAGGACGCGAGAGCTTACGAGGTTCTCCCAGTCGACCTGAAGATCAAACAGCTCATTCAATATCTGCTGGTAGAGGATTTACGATCGGGCAATCAGCCGATTGAGTGGTCATTCACCGACCCTTCGGACAAGTTCTGCTGGGTGACGTCGATCCAAAGTCATGAAGTGTTTCCATACTTTCTCTACAAAGCCGTAAGTCATGTGACATACACATGTATATTTTCAACACAATTTTCCACCGTCTGATCTTACTTTTATAGGCATGGGATGAAGACTTCGAGGCGATCCAATGGGGCGAACACAACCAAGGGGAAACGATCTTGGTTAACTTCGAGCTCCTCTTTATGGTACGTCTGAATTTCGCTGCTTTAAATTAACGGAACAACTTTTAGTTTGCCCAAGGCCACGGAGAATTCGCCTGTTACCGGCCAACGAACTACGAAGACAACTTTGTAGCCGGACAGGCGAACCGACTCGAGCACAATCTCGTGCACATTTACGGTTTCAATGGTATCGGCTGTGAAAATTTGGAAGAAGATCGCATGCTCAACGAGCAATCCCACGTCCGTATGTTCCAAGCAACCAATGAAACATTTCTTCATCAATTTTTAGTCGACGGTTTCTTCGACAAACTGGACGGAATCTGCCACAAGTACGGGCTCAACTCCGCGGGGCAATGGCACGAGTTCCACCACTCCGACTTTTTTCAAAGCGGTGAGAACAAAAAACTACTCTTCTCCTTGATTTCATAACTATTTCTAGACAATCCCAAGATCGAGGACCGCCACAGGCCGAAGAGAAAGAACTCCAAGTTTTTCAAAATCTGCCAGACGCTGAAAATCGACTATCGCGTCCGAAAAAATGGCTTCGAGAAGAACGCTGTAAGTCTCAAAACTATCGGTATTTTTCATGAATCCGGTTACTTCAGCAAGACGGAGTCCCAAAGCCGAACCGAAAAAAGTAGAAGGACTCGCTTCAATTAAATTAAATTGCCTCACTTATCATATGCACTGTCAGCTTCAATTATCTGCCAATCTGCTATTTCCAGTTACTTTGATTGAAATAAACCCTAATCTTGGTCAAAAAGGCTTATACCGAATTCGACAAATGCCCGTTTGAGAACGAGGGATTTGAACATAATGAATGGAAATTTATTGGAGTGTCTGTTGATTTACTGTAGAATAAGCAAAATGAAAACTAAGGCAGATGATATAAAAATATAGTATCTTTCAAGAAAACGCAGGTTATAACATACCCCACCCCCAAGTTTTCGCGCATTCCTCGGTGCATTTTCCGTAATTTACTCTTCCTGATTTGTCCAAAACCCCCCAAATTTACGCCGCTTAACTTTTCCGCGCGCCTCAAAATTTCTTCTCCTAACTTTTCTGCGTGCGCCCAAATTTACTCTCGCGGCGCTGATCGGCTTCGTCGGTTAACTTTCTGAGTGCACAAAAGTCTTGTTTAGCTCGCTCCGGGTAAAGAAAGGATGATCTTTAATAAAAAGCGAGATGCCCTTATAGGGCAGCCCTATCTTATGTAATCTTTGATAAAATTATTGTTTATTATTACAGTGAAGATAGATGAAAAGTTTTCATTCAGAATTTTTCATTTCAAAAGTCGTTACGACTTCTGCGGAGCAAAATCCTGACCTCAATATTTTAAGTTACTCGAATGGTATGATTTTTATGTGTCCAAGCCACGAAAAATTTCCAATTCTGGCGCCTCAAGTACCTGAAAACCAACTGTATTCGACTGCTTTTCACATGCTTTTAGTATTTGCATGTTACTTAAAATTATCTATTCTAAGTCGAGTTAAAATTTCTGTAAAAACAACTTTGAGAACATGCACTAATAAATAAGTATTACTAAATTTTCTTTCGCGCCCGTTAATGAATCATTAGCATTGACGCGCATTTCAGCGGGTCGCGAGTAAATTTGGGCGCACTCGGAAAAGTTAGGAGAAGAAATTTGGAAACGCGGGGAAATGCGAGGAAGCGTAAATTTCGGGGTTTCGGAAAAGTTAGGAAACGTAAACTTGGGCGAAATACCACGATTTGCGCGGAAATTTAGGGGAGGGGTATGTTATGTAGAATTACTCAGGTTGAAGAAAATATGGTATCGCCAGTAGCAGCGTTTACGTCGTCGAGAGTAGAGTCGCTCTTGTCAAGGGCAAAAACACGGCCACAATCGTCCAGCAGGTTCAGCTGGCCATCTTTTACTTTTTCTTTAAAGAGCTTTTTGAACATCACTTGAATGAGCTACGAAACGGATTAAAAGGGCAGCATTGGAACAATAGTTACCTTGATTTTTGTGGTCTTTATCAACTCCTTTTCGATGCACTCGCCGGATTTACTCTTGAGATTGATCTTGAGCATCTTTGACTCCATTGTTGTCGCCATTTTGACTAGAGTAAACTCCTTAGATTGCCTTTTGCCCAAACATACCTTGTTGCACAGGCTCACCCAGTTTCTTAACAAGTTCTTTCCACCTCGGATTCGCTACGAAAAAACAATGAGGACGGATTAAACGAAGATTGAACGAATTACTTTTGTAAAATTGCTCTGACGAAGGCCCTGGAGTCAGGGCGTACCACTCGTTCGCTTTTCTATTCAAATAGTCGATTTCTGCCCCTCTTCGCGTGTTTAGCTTTGCACCTGTGCTCAGGCTGTCTGCATCCGTCGCTGGGATGAAACTTCTGTTCAGATACAACAAATTCTCCATTCTAGCTTTTTGCTTGGATCACTTTTTCATCTCTAGCAAGTCGTCAATGATCTGCAAAATGAGATCCATTCCTATGATTTCCTGGCGAGAGTCGTCGTTGTCTTCGCCCACAGTGGAAATGTTATTTACTGACAAGTGAGTCAAGCTTTCCATCACGACGTTGAGATTGGAGAAGCATTCGAGATTGTCGATTAGATTGCCGGACAAAATCATTTGCGTGAGCTTCGGGAAGCGAGCTTCATGACTTGTGATGTTCCGCAGAGAGCAGTTGCTAATGTTGAGGTCTTCTAGCGACAGTTGAACTTTGCTTTATCGAGTTGAAGAATTTTTTTTTTCATTTTTGACGAAGGATCTTGAAAAATTGCTCTTGAACTCCTTTCCTAAGAAGATTGACAAGCTCCTCCCACGAGTTTATTTCTTTATTGTCGCTCAGATCCAAAAATGTTAAGTTCCCAGGAAGATTCCATTTTGATTCTTTGAGAGAAAGCCGATTGCCCGACAGATTTAGCTTCTTCAAATTTGGGAACATGGCTGATAAAAGCGCTAAATCTTCGTCGTCGTAGTCGCAATTGCAGAGAATCAAACTGTCGATGGACTGAAAAGCTAAATTTTCCATGCCCGCTGAGTTTAATTTCATTCTAGAGGCTGTGAGTTCTCGTATTTCTGTCACTTCGACTGATTCGTGAACTTGTTTCCAGCTAGTTATCTTTGTATTGGAAATGTCGAGGTGGCGGCATTTCGGAGTTTTCTGGAGAATCGTTTCCCTTGACAATGAAACTACTGGAAAATCGGTTATTGAGACGGAACGCAGCTCCGTCGTCGGCGTTTCAATCAAAAACAACGCTGAGCTGTTCATTGCTCCGACTTTTTCTTCCAATTCCGTGTTTCTCTCGTATTGAGCTATCAGCGCTTCTTCCAAGCTCATTTCTTCGACAATTTTTGAAGGCTTGACGAAGCTGCCGAAGTTCTGCGCGCACTCAAAGTACCGCTTTCCATTGTGTGTTCCATCGTGCTTGCCAATCGGCTCCACGTAGACAATCCCGATCCAGCAATCTTCTGGTCGACCTTCGATTGCACCTACGTAGGCCACTGTGGCCATTTGTATCGAGGTTTTATGCCTGACCCCGATTTTGTTGCCGACACAGACCATTCTTCAGAAACAGAAAATGATTGATGAGCGGAAGAATAAAGAAGCTTTATTGGAATGTGAAAAGAGGTGAATACAGTGGTGTTTAGGGCAGTAACTGTAAAGTGGTGTCTTGTGAACCGTGAAAAGAGGTTTAACTTGGACTTTTTTCTATTTGAAGTTTATCTTGGGTAAAATGCTTCTTCTGAAGGCGCTGCTTGCGATTTTCGCCGATGAGGACTGCAGATTTCGATGATTTCCGGAAGCCTACCAAGCACAAGCGTTTATAGAGGACATGAGTTCATATATTACCGTAAGTTTTCGTCTACGTAGAAGTTGTTGTAGTCGTAAACATTGGAGAAGCCCTCGATTCCGAGATTGACCTCCAGGGAGCGCATGAGATCGCAGAAAAAGCGCACAGAATCTCGGAATGATTTTCCAGCAGCGAAAGCGCTAGAACGATGAGCTGTTAGTTCAGGTCTTCGTAAAAGAAGCTTACGTATAAAGAAGCTCTTCGTCTTCGGCGACCAGGTATTTGCCGAAGCAGACACAGAACATGACGATATTGCTCATCATTTTGTTCTTGTGCGCAAGGAAGCGTTTCATATCATTCGTGAGCAAGCAGCCAGTTTTAATATGATGCAGGTATTCATCATGCGCTAGGAAAAAAAAAGTATTTTTCAATGAGTTAAATCTTTCTTTACCAGGTAAAGTTTACCTTTTTTCAGCGAGTCGATTGTGAGCTCTCCAGCACGCTTCAATTTCTCCAGGTCCTTCTCGAGCTTCTTCCACTGCGCTTGCATCATGAACGTACAGATGAAGTTGTAATACTGGCCGACAAAGACTGTCATCTCATTTCTGATCAAGTTCAGCTTTCTCAACTCGTACGTAAGCGTTTGGCCTCGCTGCGAGTATGTAATCGATTGTAAATTCCAAATCGCAAATCGCATGTCTTGAATGTTGAATAAAAGGTTTCCCCGCTCGTTTATTGAGCCTACCGAATAGGAATTTGTTGACTTCTCTGTATGTTTCTTGTGCTTGTTCATCGACGATGAGGTTGTGGGGAAAGGCACTGTCCAAGTAGAGCGAAAGGCCTTTCAGATTTGAAAGCGGACTTTTATTCTCGGAGCGATTCTTGGCAAAATCTATGTACAGCTTGTCGATGTGCTTTTGCGATTCGATCATGTTCGTTGATAGTTTACTGGATAAAAAATAAGCTTCGTCGACTTCAAATAAGCCTTACCATCTGTTGAGGCAAAAATTGAGCATCGATGCGCCACCCTCAAAGTTCCCCGTCACCAGCGGGAAAATCTCATCGAAAAACGCCATCGAAAACACTCCGTCTTGGAACCAGACCAGTTGACTTGTCGCTTGCAAATACCCGATCATGTCGTGAATTTCCATTATTTCAAACATCAACGCGTCCTCTTTTGAGAGTTGTTTATTTCATGAGCAGTTTTTAGAAACTTACTTATCAAAGACGCGTAGATTTTGATGGGATCCTTCAATACAGCGTCAACATTGTTGAAGAAGTCGATTACTTCTTGCGTATCCAGAGGTTTATCTTCTTCCTGAATTGCTGAGGGTGAAACTGACTGTATGGTGATTCACATACAGTCTCAAAAACAAAGATAAAGAACTTACCAAGTATGTCGTGACAGACGAAAGCGGGTTCTCCCTCCTCGAGGACTCCCTCTGGCTTCTTATCACGCTCTCGACTTCAAAGTTGACTTTCTGCATGAATTCCTCTTGTGTGATCACTCTTTCGCGGGGCTTAATCGCTTGCTCTTCGCGCTCCATCTCCTCCCATGCCTTTTTTGTTATGATAGTTCCGCGGACAAAGCCAGACTCGGAAATGCCCTTTCCGGAGATAACCTTTTTCCGTGGAATAAACGTCGCCCCGGATTCAGTTGTCGCACTTTCTTCGCTCACGTGGGGCTTTTGCTGATCGACCTCCATTGGGAAAGATGCAGACGAATTGTTTTGAAGACTTTATACAGGCTAAATACTGTATCGAAACAATAAGAGATCACTTTCTTGATACAATTTCAGATTATTTTTATCGTCTTTTGATCGAGACAAGTCAAAATATCCAGCCATGATTCCTGATTTCATCATTTCTCGATTCCTTCTCCCCATCAATTTCCATTTCTTCAACCGATTCGCTCTCATTCGTTCGCGACTGTAACTGCTCCTTCAGTAGATCAACCTCTTCATCTATCTTTTCTGGTGATAGAATGTATTCTGGTGATTTTTCATTCTCTTTCTTCTGATATTCTTCGATGAGCCTAGCTTTTTCTTCTTCAATCAAGCGCTCCTTTTCATTAATATACTTTTTTCGCGATTGCTCTTCGATTTCTTCCAACTCTTGCTGCAATTTCCGGAGTCTGATTTTGTCTGAAATCTGCTGGTTGAGCATTGATCTGAACGACAACTGTCGATTCCTCAGTTCAATCGCTCGTTTCACCCGCAGTTTTTCCGCTTTTAGGTCGATTTGCTCGTTTTTCTTCCGCCTTTTTTCTTGAAGTCGTTCGTAATCTTTTCTGATGCTTTCGTAATGCTCCTCTTTGCGCGTTTCAATTTGAATATAAGACTCGGCGATCCACGAGGAGTATTCTTTCTTCCATTTTTCAACAGAAGTTTTGGACATTTCGCGAATTTGCGGAACGTTGCTGTGGAAGAGCGGGTGATCAGGGGTCATTATTCTCAGAATGTGGCAGCTTTTTGTGACGAGTAGCAGAGTTGGAACGAGCTTGTAAATCAGGGGGTTGTGATGTGCGTCTGGTCGAAGGCGGAAGAGAGAATCCCAGCATGAGCGGTCACGCCTGTGCTGGAGGTTGTAGTCCTTTAGCAAGGGTTAATTCAAACGGATATGGGATTGTTTTTTGTGGAAAAAATGATACCGCGTGAATATGAATCATCACAAAAAAACGTCATCAAATGGAAAAATGATGAAAACTTCCTACATTCTTTTGATAAAATTCTGAACCCTGCCTTAACTATACTCTCGGTGAGCAATCCACAATGCTGATCGAGATAGATCCAGCTGTAAACAGAATCGAGCACCGGAACAGTCAGGTCGCGAATCATCAGCGACGCATATTGCAAGACACCATTGATGCGCGCGTTGGAAATAATATCGGCGATGGAAGAACTCTTCTCGCCAAGCATGAGCGCGCATGCGTGAATCGCCGCTAAGTCGCCAAACAGTCTTTTAGAAATCGCTTTGATTTCGTTGACGGATTCGATCTTCAGCGAAAAGATGCACGATTCCACAGCAATGACGATGTTGCGAAGCGACCAGCTTAATTTTTGACGCACGATTCTGTCACTTTTCGCGTATTCGTCGATCATTTCCTTCACGCGAAAGATCAGTTCACGATTTTCGTTAAGCGATTTTCGCTCTGACTCGAATGCTTCTTTGGTCAATCCTTCCGCCAGGCAGGAATCGTCCAGGGAAAGATGTGATGAATGGCCGGTTATGTATAGCTTGATTTCTTTCTGTAACTCTTCTTGGGATAGTATGATTCTTCCTGTGTAAGGTCCACAGGCCTTTGAAGAGTCTTTCAGCTCCTGAGAGGGATTCAAATCGGTGGAAACAGCGCTGCTGAAACTTCCATCAGCAGGGGCATTTTTAGAGGCAAGACGGGTTGTTGGCTCGACAGTATTTGCACGGAGAAACAAGCTGGACAAGGACCGAGAGTCTTCTGATAGTTGAGTCGGATTCAGAGAGAATTGTGAGTCTATTCCAGAATCGACCGAAGCCTGGGCGGAAAGACGCGATCGCTTGGAAAAGAGATGATAAGTGGAATGATCGAACATGTCTTTTGAAATCTGCTCGGCGCTCAGGTCGAGCGCATTTTTCGTCCTGTTGATGAGCGATTTGACTTCTTTGTGGAAAGTGCTGTACTCATCAAATACTGAGGCTTCTTTTCTAATTGAATGTGGCTGCTGGTCACGATTTAGACGATCGTTCATTTCGGAAAAGACGGAAGTCCGCTCGGAGAAGAGGGTTGAATTGGCGCTCGATTTGTTGAGCGAAGAAAGGTAGAATAGAAATTTGAGAATTTGCGACGTCTCGAAGCTCCCGAACGCGCCAGACATTTTAAATCTCTCCGTTGCTTCAACGAGTTCCTTGGCCAAATGCGGCTGCGAGTGTTGATAGTTATCCAGGGCGAAGAGAAGCGAGAGGGAAGAGCTGCTTGTCTCGCTCAAATCAACGCCAGAGTCCTCGTTGTTTTCAAGGAAAGAAGAGTAAAGAGTGCCCAGTTTGGGGAGTTGAGCCGCAGCATCGCCCGACAACGACTCCAACAATCGACGAAGAGCTTCGAGCATCTCGCCCGCCGATCTACAAAAAAATTTTGTGAGAACAAATTCTCAGATTCACAGGCGGCGCCGAGGAACAGCTGTGAGAAAAAGGCCAAACAAGATGCATGCGAAAAAATATGCACAGCTGCTTCTTGAAAAAATGGCGACTCTTTACTTCAGATAAATTCTTAGAAACTAAGATGAGAATCTTCTGAAAATGCAAATTTTAGGCAATAAGGGTTTTCGTAGAATTAACTAGCTTCTAGATTCTTTCGGAATAAACAGTTTTTTGGAATCATGATCAGTTCCCTCTACTAACAGAAAATAATAGGTACCCAGGTCGGTTTACGGTATTTACGGGTTTTTCAGGAAAATCGAGAAGCCGCTTGCGACTGAGCTCGGCAACCTGTCTACAACCTGTAGAAAACCCCAGTCTGAAAGATATCTAGTGAAAACCCGCTTTCGGGCTTTGTTTCAGACCCTGACTCAGGTATTCTACACAGGATGCAGAGCCCAGGCTTGCGGCTTCGAGCAAGGTGAACAAAAACATAACCATAATCAAATTTTTATGGAAGAAAGAACAGTTGGTTATTTAAGAATTTACGAAAGCATGAGAAATAGGGTGGCTCACTTTTCGGGAAGGTCTTCCGATTACGTTCTATCCTTGTCAGGTGGAATGTTTCTACCCATACAACATATAAAAAATAAAAATTCGAAAAAAAATTTTTTTCCCCAAAATTTTTTTCCAGAATATATTCTCAAAATACAGTTTTCGTACTGTAATTTCTCGGCACATACCCGAACCTTAGTACTAAATTACATTTTTCGAAAGAGCTCATCAAGCCGGTCATTATGATAACCATATCTTTTTTCGGACAGAAGTGTGACAAAAACTATGGCCAGTTTACCCCAGGTTTTTTGGCCAAAATATCGAAAATTTCAGGCTTTTTCCTGAATTTCAAAGGCAGATAAAAATACTTTCCGAAAATCTCAAAGGGGTGGTTGAGTGCTTAAAATACTCAGCGGAATGAGCTCTTTCAGATAAGCACAAGAAATCGGGTGTGCCGGGAAATTGTTGAAAAAGTGAGCCACCCTAATGAGAAAAAGAAAAATAAGATAAATTGGAGTGGTTTTGGTTTTATTGGAGAAATTAGGTTAATAGTACGCGATTTATTTCTCTCTTTTGAGATTGTTCTGATAAAACAAATTGCGGATAGCAATTTCAATCGCAAAGATCGAGTCACGGGTGATTTCATTGTTTTCCCTTCGTGTGAGTCAGGCTTCCCTTTTGCCCGATCGAGGTCGGGGTCAAAAGCCGCCTCCAGCTGGGCGCTCGAGGGGCCAAAAGGCGCCTACGACCAAGACTCACCAAAAAGCTCAAATCGCTGAAATTATTCAAACGAGAACGAGAAACTTTTTTTCAGCGCGAATTTTTTTAAAGTTTCGGCAACCAGCTTACTTTCTCAAAAATTAAGAGGCACTAGAAAACAAAAGCCCTACATTCTCAAAAAATAAAAAGGTAAACTCTCATTTTCTTTTTATCATGGTTTTTTAGCATTTATTGATATCTGAATGGGAGCTTTTTGAATATCATTAAGAAATTTTATTACAGTAGAGAAATTACGTGAAAAAGGCGCAGTTTATCGCAATTTTCAGTCTAACTGGATCTTATTTAAACACGAGCAAAAGTCAGAAAAGTAAAAGAAAATTTTAGGATGCCCGGCGCCGCTGAAAATCGTCGCACACCTCCCCGCTCATCACCCGCTCATTCTTGGGGCTCCGGCTCTTCTCATCCGAGCTCGAGCGAGTCCGAGGGCCGCCCCAGGTTCTTCGGTCCGCGGCGAGGAGGAGCACAGTACAACAACGGTTCCAACTCGTGGGGCAACAACCAAACGCCTAGCCGACCGAGCGGCCAGCACTTCCGGCGCAACAGGATAAACTCCTCTTCTGACACGGACTCGGTCGAGCGTTTCGCAGGCGCACGGTAAGCCGTACAAAGCTCTTCTCGACCTTAATTCCTAATTGTTAGGTTTTCCTCGCCGCCCAGCCCAAATGCAGTACCGCTGCCACCACTCGAGTGGCTCAATGTCGCCAACAACAAAGAGCATCAAGAGTCCCCCCCGACTTCACCGTTCTCCGACGAGCTCAGTTCCGCCACTCTAATTCTCAAAGACATTCTCAGCTTCAAGGCCTAAACAATTCGCAAAACGACAACACACGTGTATAATAGCTTGGTTGCATTAAGAAGTTCACAAATCTATCTTCCAAAAGTAAGTTTTTTTAATCCAAATTATCACCGCCCAAGATCTCGGCTAATCCCAACACGGGGAGCAAAGCCCCCCGCAACATTTTAACCTAGATTTAATGGCTCCCCGAAATATGATTCTGACCTAGGAGGCTAAATACACTTGATAATTTCAAACTGGGCGGTGGCAAGTCAATGTCATAGACCAAATTTGGGACTAGCTGTAGAAATTATCGAAAAATATTTTTGAATTTCAAGCTAAATTTTCACTTTCAGAAGACGGATGATATTCTCGTGTCGATTCTTCACTGTTAATTTTCTGGGATCCAACTCATTTCTTCAACTCACCGAACATGATCCTAACGATCCCTGCACGAATATTTCTGCAAAGACAAACACACATGAATGGACAATCGTCTTCTCACAAAAAGTTCCTATCTCCAAACTCAACACCCTCCCTCCTCGACCCCCGCTCTACTGGCGATGCTGCAGCTGCTTTTTACTAAGACGTACAATAGTAAATACGACGATCAACTTACAGACAAGATAAGGTGAACTCCCGTGGCCCTCCTTTTATTTTTCACTTTTCTGTTTTTCTTTATTTTAACATTTTGTTATTGTTACTATTTTCAATTCTGTCGCCTTCGGCGGACAGGTCGGCCAGCGTTGCCCGACTTGCCCACCGCAGGGGACGCGTTCACTCCCAAAGGTTCCCCAAGGGCCTCCTCCTTGTTTTCGTTCCTTCAGTTTTACCATTTTACGTTTATTCACTGCTCGTTGCCAATTAACAAAGTAATACAAAAAGCCATGCTCAATCACCATTAGCACCGCAGCTGCGATTTTGCTCAGTAAGTGACTCTTTTAACCGCTCCTGTTCCTTATGTTTCACGCTGGGAGCTGAAATTCGCAAGAATCCAGAATTATCCCCTGGCGTTACTGCCGTTAGCAATCTTCGTTACAACTTATTACTGTCTATCCACTCTTCCAAAGAGAGCGACAGTAGTTCAACAGGAGCTCGTCCTCCCCGCACCCCGCCCCAACCCTGATCTTCTTCTACCAAGCCTAAGCCACGCAATGTTTCAATGCCCTGATTTTTCCACCAGCGTCGGTTTTTCACAGCTCGCTTTTCTCATCCCCTCCAGATCGTAGACGACCGGCAGTTGATTAAAAGATACTCAGACAGACTGATGACTTTCTCTCTTTCTCTAATCGCCTAAACACTTCAAAAATAAGACTATAAAGTGCAACGCTGTGCGTCGCGCTATCAGTTCTCACTGTCGGCCATCAGTGCGTCTGACCGAGATATTTCCAACTGGCAGTCACTTTATTTTACGTCTACGGGGTCGAGAAAAATCGGGATGGAAAAGCCGGCGCTTTTGGAAAACGGTTCTTTTTCTGTATGTCGGTATTTCTACCTATTTTGGTTCATAGCCGCGCTTCCCTGGGCCATCTTTCCAGGGCCAAGTGCGGCTCTTCTGAAGCACAATTCATAATAAGCTCATATCAAAAAACGATCGTTGATTTATCGACGATGTTTCGCTGACGAATAATTCCATCTCATTCCAGCTTAATTCCTGGCAATATTGCTCTCTCGTGGCTCTACAAGTTCGCTTGGGCCGCGATACAGAGAGCAATACTGTACTAGACCTCCCCTCGGTCGCCACTTCTGTTAGTAGCACTAACACGCGCGAACTTCAAACAAGTTCTACCTCCCTTTCCAAGCTAAAAACAACATCGTGCTGCAACTTCAAGGTGCAATCTGCGCACATTTAGAAACACTCCAAATTCACACCAAATCTCGCAGTTCTTTGCCTTTCTGAGTCTCGTGTTATCTGTCCAATCACGTGTTTTATCTATTTAAGACCCGCGCTGGGTCGTAATATTATTATAGAAGCGTGATTACTCAAATATTCCATTCCTGATTCAGTCAAACCGCATCGCAACTGCCTTATTCGAAACAATCGTAAATTAACCCTGTGTTCATTTCATTTCATTGTCTCCCATTAGGTCTTTCTTTGGCGCCAAATTCTTCTTAAATTCTGAACACATGGAAACATAATAAACAATATTCGGCAATTAAGCTCTCATTCGGATCCACTTTGAAAGTCCTTGAACATCGCGGAAGCAAATTGGATTCAATTTTATTGTCTTTTGCAGAATTGATTTCTTTTTTAACTCGCATGCCTAACATTATAAAGAGAGAATTATCGCAGAAAGGATAGGATAGAAAAAACATCAAGCATTCGTTTTCGTAACTCGATTATTATCCGATCTAGAGAGAGGCAAATCAGCTACTACAAAAAGCTTCAGACTCTGCAGGACTCTCTGACAGCCACAAAAATCGAAATGTACAATCGGCCAACAATATCATCGGTAAAGAGAAGTTTTGCTCATGGGAATTTTGAAAAATTCGCTTTTTAAGACATTAAAAACCCTAGCATGTCCGGCCCATCCATTCGTAAGGCCTGTTAGCCAACACACAAGTCGAAACAAACTTAATCCAAATCCAAATTGCAAGGAAAAATACTTCAAACTACAACGAAACAAAACGCGTCTTGAAAGTATCAATCCTCCCAGTCGAAGGGAGGATTGGCTCGTCCCTGAAAACACATTCATCGGGCGGCCGGTTCAACACAGATTCAATAAGGAGAAAACTACAATTTCGATAAAGGCAGAGTTCGGCGGTCGAGGGGGCCTAAGTCACTCTAATCGCTTCAATACAGATATTATGGGAAGTCCGATTTGGCAGCGCCCTGTTAGGTTCGTTGATGCACTGGCATTCCATTTTCATGAGATTTTTGAAGAGTGACCAGGTCGTATAATTTTGATGGAGGGCAGTGGAGTCTCAACCCTCGTGAAAACACCTTTGCTCCTCGGTAAAGAGCTGCCTAAAATCATCATCAAAATAATTCTAGCGAGAGCGCCGACTTTTCATTGAAGTTATTACGGAAGAACACGCTGCTTAGGTTGAACGCAAGAGATGAACTGCGAGTACAGCTAGACGGTAACCCAAAATAAGTACCAGGAATTCCAATCGTCAATTTCCAGTCGCTTGCAACAAGAAACATGAACACGAAAGAGAAAAACGAGTTCGGCGACTACGACCTTCTCCAGAAAACGACCCTGTCTCGTATGTCATGAAGAAGAAGGAGAAAGATCTATCAGCATTGGTTTAAACTTTAAAGCTTCTCGCACACACTTCCAATTACTTATTATGAACCAGAACTAGAAAACGAATATAGATACAAGAGAATTGTCCGCTGGCTGACAGACGTCGAGTTCGAGAAGAAAACTGATCAGCTAACAAGTAAAATCACTGACCTTGCCTTTTCAAAAGTAACTGAGCTGCTTTAGAGATCGTTACAGTAGAAATCAACCACCCGGAAGAAACTTTCTTTGAAAACATAAAACGGAAAATAAAAAGAGTGAAACGTTGAAAATCGCCGAATATCGCTGTTGAAAGTAAAGATTCTTGAGTTAGAAAAACTGCACAAGTACAAAAGTGATCAAGGAAAGTGCTAGCGTGGTCGGGGATGAAGCTGCGCAGGGAATGTCCCATGTGTTGTCGGATTGTTGCGTTTCGCATTGCGGGTACTCGGCGTAAGTTTCGCCCTTCGTGCATTTATCTAGAATTTCTCGTTATTATTCGATCAGATCAATCAAAAAATCAAAAAAGCGCAAGAAGTGTCGTCCTTCCTAATCTCTTATAAAATTACTTACATCCATCAGGCGCCGCGAATTCCGACAAAACACCGCGCAAAACTTCGTTGAATCCCTTCCCCCAGTCAGGATTCAAAGCGTACAGAAAGGCGCTCCTTTCAAGAACGTACCAAGGCATGTAACAGACAAATTCACCCTCGACTTCTTCAATCGTAAAGTTTCGCGGAGGGTTGAGTGCGTTGTATGCATCTGTGTAATTTCCAAGATATAAATTTACTGCGCCACTGTCAAGCTCGCTTCAAACGGTTTTCAATCTATTTGTTTCGGCTACTCCCGCATTTCCCAAAATCCTGGATTTCCCAAATCCTGGATTTCCCAAAATCCTGAATTTCTCAAATCGCCAAATTTTGGGAAATGCGGGAGCAGCCATTTGTTTCAGAGCTCTCAAAACGTGGCTACAAAACCGATCCTTTGCCAGTTGAAAAAGTAGTAAAGCAAGTCCCAAGCACGCGGCCCGAAACCAGCGTTGTCGTAATCAGTTAGCATCAAGCGATCAAGAAGCGTATCTTTTTCTCCTCCATTTTTTAGGAAAATATTACCAGCGTGGACGTCTTGGTGTCTGATTTTCGTATTTTGATGATTAAAAAATGAGGAAAACTTACGTCATAACAACAGGAGAGTTCGACATTTCTACGTTTTGTACGGCGAAATCGTAGATATCTTTAAGGCACGTAAATGAGGCTTTTTCGTCTTCAATCGGGTCTTTTTTGAAGTTATCATTGATGTATTCAAGCCCTTTTTCAAACAACGGATTGCTCAAGTGAACGCGGAGCGCATTAGTATTCCAGGGCCAGGGCTCCGAGCAAAATTTGATCGGGATGTCGATCTCTTCTTTCGTCATTTGATGAAGCTCCGCTAGTCGTGTCGCTACGGCCATGTATGTTTCCGGTTTGTGCAGATCTTTTACATCGACGTTTTTGCCACTGAGAAACTCTTCGAACTTGGCGTAGAAAAGGTTTTCGCCGCATGCATCGAAATTTCCGCAGTTGACATACTCAATTTCAGGAATACCAGGCTCGCAATTGTCGAAATTGCCGCACACTTCATAATTAATTGGAAAGCCTTCCGTCTTCGAGCCGTAAAAAGCTGGTCCATTGCCGGCATCACCAACTGCTCTGTCAACCTTTATCCGAAATTCCGGCTCTCCGACGAGCTCGTGCGGCTAAATTTACTAATGATGGTCGTTTGAAAATTTCAAGCTCATGATTAGATCTATTTGTAGGCCTCGGACGTAAAAAATCATCACCACCAGCCGGTCGTCGTACGGTAACAAGAGTAGGCTCATTCGAAAGCTCTTGAACAGGGCTTTCTGTTGGGCTTATAAAAAAAATGGGCCCTGTCCTTCTTTTTCGAGATATTTGATTTTGAAGGTAAGCTTCGAAAAATATTTTTTATAATAACTCGTAACAGAAAGGGAGGGTCCAGTTTTTTTATCGGTCAAATAGAAAGCCCTTATCAAAACCTTTCGAATGAGCCCTCTCATGTTCCCGTACGATGACCGGATGGTGAAAATCGTCTTTTTTACGTCCGAGGCCTATCTATTTGACAAAATGATTCGAGTCGAATTTCGAATGAGCTTTCCCCAGGGGAAATAGCAAAGATATTATCTTTACCTTTTTGTAGATTTTCAATGCGGAAGTCAAGGTACTGTTCTCGCATTTGTAGACGACCGCTTGTTCTCCTTCGCCAAGTCTGCTTGATGTCGCTTCTATTAAAATTTTAAGAGGGTAAATCATTCAGGTAAGCAACCTTCTCCAAAGAACTCTTTGCAAGTGCTGAGCGCCTTTTCTGGAGATGTATCTGCGGCGAGAGTGCTCTGCGTTAGAAAAACTGGAAGCAGCCTCATCCTTCAAAGCAAATCTCTCTTTTTTATTCGAAAAAATTCAATCTGCTCAAAAGTGGAGCGGCGATAACGACAAGAATGCGTGCTTGGCTGCTCCTTTTATCGCCTCGGGCTTGAACTAATAGACTGTTTGTCGAAGTCGAACTCTCGTATAGACTGGCGGTTTTTGGACAATGCGGGCGTTCACTATTGAAATCTGGCTCTGTATATATGTCTTCGGAAGCAAGTAAAACGTAATAAAACGAATATTCACTAGCCTTGACAAATTTACGAAATGAATTGAAAATGAGCGCCTTTCAAATACAAATGATATTATATCGAAGAATAAACTCACAATAAACAAGTTATAAAGTGTTCCTATTGTTGCACTTGCAGAGTTGTGCAATTATCTCACTGGATGAAAATGTAGAACTTACAAATTCTCGGTCTCGTACAACCTTAGGTGTAGCATTAAATTTTCATCGCAATAGATGCTCAATAATAAATTGCAGAGGCTCGCTATATAAAAATGCTTTTGTGGAATTGATTTGTGCAAAAATGTGCAACAAAGGTGGAGGTATTGAATGTTGATATAAAAGCTTAGTGCATGGAATTGCAGATTATATTCGGGGTGAGGATGATATCTTCTTGGACAAAGTTGCTTGACTCGTGCCAATTTTAAGAAATTTTATGATCGAAAATGCGAATTTCATCAATGAATAATCGACGAAAATGGTTTGATCGCGCTCCTGTTCCGTCGGGATTAGCGCCGGTATGGTTTTCCTGTTTTGAATCAGTCATCGCATTCGCCCTTTTTTGAACAGCTCCATTCCTGTCATTTCAAAATTTGCTCGAACCAAGTTTTACCTTTTTTTTTTATTTCGAAGGAGGCAAGGAGAAAAGATGGAAGTCGATGGGAAATACTACCCGCCGGAGAATATCTATTTTCTATCTGAAATGAAGATAGATTTTCCGACAAAGACTCCTGCGAAAAAGAAACCTCCCAAAGATGACATCCAGATAATTTCGGAGATGGTCCGATCAGGACAGAGAATAACCATCGAGTAAGTCCATCGACTAAAATTTGATTCTATTCTTAAAATTTATTTCCACTAATAACTTTATTAGACAACAGAAGATCGTGCTACGAGAGTATGTCTGCAATGAAATGATACTGAAAGGAACAGACCGTGTTCTTTTTCAAGATCTTCCATTCGGAATGCAGCGCTTTTTCTGGAACGCGCATCATGACAAGTACGAGTACAACGAGAAACTCGTCTTTGGTAAGAATCTCTATATTTTAATTGTCATTTTTCAAACTAATTCTCAAGCACTTTTCTTCCTCGAGCACGACAGCGTCACTAACATTGAACGCTGGATCCGGAGCGCTCTCGAACCGGGCCGGGAGTTTAAAGGCGATGAAGTTTATCAGGAGAAAACCGTACATAAGAATCTTCTCCCGATGGCACTGATGAGCAATGATGAGTGGAGGACTCTCGCCCAAGTGGACTTTCGCCCAAGTGGACTCCCGCCCAAAAGGACTCTCGCCCAACTTGGGCGGGAGTCCATCTAAGGCGAGAGTCCATGTGGTAATTTTCAACCATGAGAAACAGAAAGTTGGCCGAGAGTCCATCTTGGGCGAGAGTCCACTTGGGCGAGAGTCCTCCACTCCAATTGTTAATGACTATTCAATGACTATGCAATGTACTTTATATAAATTAAAGTTAAGGTTAGGGGGCACTGGGCAAAATGACAGAACAACCTTACCCGAGGGTAACCCTAAGTAACCCTAGACTAGACCCCGGAATCTTAGGACCTAAGGGGCGAAGCCCCGTGGTAAGGGGCAATTAGATTTGATAATTTTGGCTGAAAAGAGGTGCAGTAGGACTGACCTTCTCTTTCAACCTAGTCGAAGATTAGCACTTTTTTTGAGAGTTCCAGTTTCGGTTTGTCTAGCAAGATAAGCGAAAGCATAAATTCTTTGATGTGAGAAAATATTGCGCTTCGCTAATAAAACTGGAACTCTCAAAAAAGTGCTCATCCTCGACTAGGTTGAAAGAGAAGGTCAGTCCTACTGCACCACTTTTCATCGGAAATTATCAAATCTAATTGCCCCTTACCACGGGGCTTCGCCCCTTAGAGCCTAAGATGCCGGGGTCTAGTCTACGGTTACTTAGGGTTACCTTCAGTAACCCTAACTAACCCTAGCCTATCCTCCTCGGGTAAGGTTGTTCTGTCATTTTGCCCAGTGTCCCCTAACCCTAACTTTAATTTATATAAAATACATTGAATATTTACTACATACATCTCATTGCTTTCTTTTGTCATTGAATAGTCATTAACAATTGGAGTGGAGGACTCTCGCCCAAGATGGACTCTCGCCCAACTTTCTGTTTCTCATTGTTGAAAATTTCCGCATGGACTCTTGCCCAAAAGGACTCTCGCCCAACTTGGGCGGGAGTCCATCTTGGGCGGGAGTCCACTTGGGCGAGAGTCCACTTGGGCGAGAGTCCTCCACTCGCAATGATACGTATCTAATGCTTTACGAGTGAGTACTCTCTACAGTTTTATTCTTCTAACTTGACTTCAAGAATGGCGACGACTGGACGATACAAGATCAAGAAGAAGTACGGTCTTGACCTGCCTTCAAGAGTTCTTGCGAACTTTGCCGATGTTCTCGATTTGAAACGTCAAGAAGGGCTGATGAGGTTGATTTACGCGGTCAGAAATATTTTCCAAGGTAGTGTATTTGAGCATTTTATTATTCTTACGCATAAACATCAGGTGTTTGGAAAGACGGAAAAGCCTGCACAATTGGGATGACCGGCTATGGAGCGGAAGTAGATGCATGCCACGAAATCGAGCATTATGGGGGACCCAACGTCGAAGTGTTCGATTACTGTGATCGTCATTTCCGCATCCTGGAGCTGGACCTCCTCAAGTTCGCTTGGAAACTCACAAGATTCGATAAACGACCGTTTTTGTTGGATCGCCTTGATTATGCAATCGAGAAGGTGGAAGGTGCATATTTTTGGCTTCCTATCAGATGCGAGATTTGCAATGATCCGGACTACATCTTGAATGACCTTGATGCTCATGGACTATTTCCATGGTGTGTATGCGAGGAAACGCCGCAAAAGATGCTAAGTAAATACATAAGTGAGGAATTTAAACCGCTCATCCAGTCGATTTTTGCGCCTTTCGAAGAAGCTCAACTAAAGAAGGTAACCAAAAAATTCAAATTAAAAACTCCAACGCAAAATCCAGATCAACTCGAAGAAGCCACTTCCGATTCAGTCCGAGATTGCTGCGAAGGATTTTCCTCCACTTCCCAAAACTCGACGAACTCGACAACGAACTGTCTCTCTTCCATCGGATCTCTCTTACATTCAACTCAATTTTTCAATTGAAACTGAAGAATAAACTCACAAAAAATCGGTTTCTGTTGCTTCCATTTGTAGAGTCAGCCATAAAAGGCAATTGATAAAAATGCGTTCCACTCTCATACAATAATAAAGTTTATTAGACAAACAACATAATAACAAAGACAGATGTCTTTTGAGTCCGGTCACTGAACTCTGGTTTATTTTATATAATTCGGAATGTTCCAGTATAAGTTCTTGATATAGGCATATTTCGATGAGTATGGATTTAGAAGCACGGTTTTCCTCTTCTCCGGATAGGTACAGTTCTGCGTTTCAGAGTCAGAATCGAACGAATCTTCAGGCTCTTCATTCTTCTCAGTCAATTCGAATCTGTTGAAATCATGAAATTTCCGTCCGTTCTATCGAGTGTTATAGCCTATAACTTATAGGCGAATCGCAAGAAAACCTACCATCTGAAGCGCAGCGCGGAGTTTTATTCCAGCTCAGAGTCCAAAGACCGTAATCAATCGGGTTCTCCACTAGCTTCCCATCGTTTTCTAACTGATGCCGAAAAAGATAATCAAAGGCAGCCTTATCATCAGCCTCTTCTAAACCCTGGAAAAAGGGCCACATGCGCTTCTGCTCTTCGAATTGAGTCAATTATGAGAGAACAAAGAAGAATTATCTACCTCGAACGGCTATCAGGGTCTCCTGCAGCTTCTTATCGAATTCAAGCTGACCTTCGAAGTCTTCAGGATTTTGTCGATTTCGACATCCTAACACAACGAGAAATGAATTCATGTAGGCCCGCACTGCGCTCAGGAAATCAAGGAAGAGTCCCATTCTGAAATCGACAGTACTTTTAATCTTGCGATTCATTCAAAATCAATATATTGAAATTACCAGGTAATTCAATCACCAGATATTTGATAATAAATTAATCAAATAGACTTGTGGTCTTTAAATTAGTGAAGGGGAGATTCTCACGGAGGAATTCACACGAGAATCTCTTCGTTCGCTGATTGGCTGCAATATTCGCGCACGGAGGAAAGTTCGCGCGTGCCCAGTCTCCACTTGAGTTGGCCCTTTCGAGGTCGAATCTTGATGGCGAGAAGGGAAAGGATAATCTCGGAAGTTGATCTGGGAACGGGCAGCCGTCTTCTGAGTCGAAAGAGGAGGTAATCGGCTCGAAGTCTTCCTCCTTGAGCGCGGCGTCCGGCCAATGACGCGTGGGGCCACCGCGTGGCGCTGACTCTGATTGGCCAGCTCAAGGACGCGTCTGAATTCATTGAGAAATGCGTTTTTCCGCCGTCCGCCATCTACGCCCGAAAAACACCAAATACAGAGAACGAACCTGGCTCAAAGATTATCGAGAAAATACTCTCATCAGTCATCACAGTAAGTCATCTGTTTAATCTTGAACCTTATTTACCTCCATCGGAATCAGTTAATTCCAGTCAGTTTTTCTAAGTCTATTTTAACTTTAATTTATTATTATCAAATTTAAATTAAGGCGAGACCCATTCCGGAGCTGTTGGATGGGATCCCGGTGCTCGGCCTCAACGGCCCGTGGAAACGCCGAATTTCAACGGAGTCAGATCATTCATCCCTCAACTCGCCAGACTTGTCTTTAGGTAGCTCTGTTTTACTTTATCACTTCTGTCCTTCTATCAATGAATTGTAGGCTTTCTCCCTCTGCTGGCCAATCAGCAGCGTTGCGAAGATACATCGATCTAGAATTGTCGACTTTCGCTGATCAGAATCCCTGCACAGTCTGTTATGTACGACCCGACGAAGAGTTTTCTCAAGGTTCACAAAATACCAAATCTTCAACTCTTCAAAACTAGTATTCAGGGTTTACGGCTCCTACAGTTTCTGCCGAATATTTGGACGAAACGCGCCAAGTGGTGGACCTTTTGGACTTCAACGAGCAAGAAATTTCCCGCGTGATTGAATTGCTGAGTCAACAGTCGACGGCGGAAATTAACTGCTATCGAAAGAAGCTAACGTCTACTCAGAAACCCTCAATCCAAGGCTATTCGTTTTCATTTATGAAAGGTAATTTCCGACTCCTTCATTTGATGAGGACAATTTTAAATGAGCAAGATTCAAGCTATTTTTTAGAATCGAAGCCGCTTAACTTGAAAGAACTTCCCGAAACGAAGCTAGCTGATTCGTGGGCTGTCGAAATTGATGAAAAATACTATCGCGACGATGAATTAGAAAAGGTCAAATTCCGCCAATTTCCAGAAGAAAGATCGCGCAAGGAAGATCCATTTGGCCCCTTCGCCAGTGTCGAAGAAAAGACTGACTTCAAATACTGATTCCACTTCTTAACTCGTGCGATTGATGCGATACAGTGCCTTACAGTATACAGCCGATTCTAGAATGGGCGATGAGTCCGAAGATTTTAACGAGAAAATCGTTAAAATTGGCGGGAGCGCGCTTCTGGGAACCTCCGTGCTGACTGGGTTGTTTGTCGCGATCGGCAAGAGCCAGATTGCTCAGCGGGCGGCGAAGAAGGGAGAGGATAACTTGGACTTCGCCAAAATGAATGAAGGTATGGAAAATCTATTTCCCGAAGCAATTCGTTAAACATCTCCTTAGCCAGTAAGTGGGCCATGAAAGCGCTAAGAAGAGCGACAATGTATAATATCATCGTCTTTGGTGGAGCGATTTCTGCCTTTTGCTACTCCTACGACGTCCGATCATTCGCCGATTTCAAGAAAACTGTCCAAGGGTATCTTACCACTCACCCTTTTCTTCTAAAAAACATTCTTTAGAATCAAAGGAGTTCAAATTTCGAAAGAAGGAGCAAAGCCAACTACTTGGAATGATATTTTTCCCGAAGATTCAAACAGCAAAAACTCCAATTAAATTCTATTTATTCTGTACAGACCTTCTCTTATATCATTCCGAGTACTAAATCAAATCAAGTTCAGAGTCGGTCCAGAAAGAAAATGGCTGTCGTCCACGATATGGTCGTCGGTCTCAACAAAGGCCACAAGGTCACCAAGAACGTCCAGCCTCCTCGACAGAACCGAAAGAAGGGCACAAACACCGCCAAGGTAGACTCCGACTTGTCGCCGATGGATTCTTATCATAATTTAAGAACGTTTTCGTCCGAGAGGTTGTCCGTGAAGTTATGGGCCTCTCCCCATACGAGCGACGAGGAATCGAATTGCTCCGAATCTCCAAGGGTAACGCTCCCTTTCTCTCTTCATTTAGTTATTTTCATTTTCAGACAAGCGATGCCTTCGATTCTTGAAGAAGCGACTCGGTGCCCACGTCCGAGCCAAGAGAAAGCGAGAAGAACTCTCTGACATCATCGCTTCCCAGCGAAAGGCTGCCAAGCACTAAACCATTTCTGCATTTCCCTGATAGCCCAACTGAAAACTGGAATTAATCAAGGTCGAATACAGGATTGTCTGACGTGCACATGTGTCCTCTATTTTTTTTTACAGAGCAGGAGTTGTTTGGGATCGAAATTGTTTTTAGAAGGAGATTTTATTTGTAAATTTTGAATTGCATTGACAATTTAATTATTAGCGGAAATAAACAAATGAATTGCATTTCGTAAAAGCACCGAGCCTCAGTACCACAGGGGGATGATGATTGTTTTCGTAGAATGGATCGATTGAGGAGAGTCGGTCGCAAAATGACCTCTAGACATCGAAAGCCTCCGCCGATTGTGAGGGAAATAGAAAGTGAGATAATTTATCTTGGTTTAGTACGAGCATCCAATAAGGACTCCAGTGGTGAATGACCAAACGCTTGGTTCTGGAAATCTCCGGATGGCGGTCATGCTCCCGGTCGGTGAAGATGAAAACGAATGGATAGCATATCACCTCGTAGATTTTTTCAAGCAAATCACGATGCTCTACGGTTAGTTGAATAATTCACGGCTTTTGTTTATTCTCATCTAGGCACTATCTTACCGTATTGCACCGAAGATAGCTGCCCTACGATGAGTGCCGGACAGAACAAATACTTTTGGGTAGAGTTCTAACCGTTTCGTGGTAAAATTCAATACTCCCTCTTAAATGGTATCGGAACGGTCTTGAACTCAGAAAGACCGAAAATGGAAAATGTGATTATGTCTGCCAGTGAATATGTCGACAACTTGATGACTTGGGTTTCCGAACTTATCGATGATGAGTCCGTCTTCCCATCTCTCTTGAACAAGCCTTTTCCGCAGAATTTCAAGGCCACCTGTTCCGATATTATAAGACGTCTATTCCGGGTTTACGCGCATATTTACATCGACCATATTCAACACATCCGGAATCCCCGGCTTGATGAAGAAGCTCATTTGAACACGAGCTTTAGACATTTCATTCTTTTCGCGCAAGAATTCCAGGTATTCATATTCTATCAAAAGCTCTCTAATCATTTTATTAATCCAGTTGATTCCCCTAAACGAGCTTGCTCCGCTTCAGAAGATCATCGATCGGCTTACCAAGCACTGAAAATTATTCTAACAGACTCGTCCGCTTCCTACTTATTTCCGAACACCTCGAATTGCCTTCATCTTCCTCCTTTTATTTTTCAGAACAGCGTTATACTTCAAGCAAAGAAATCCTTACTCTCAAGTCCGAGTACTATATTCAATGCGTTCGTTTTAGTACTATCTAGCTCTGTACTATAAATTCAAGATTCATAACCACAAATGTTTTGTGAAAAAAATTAATCTTTTGTCTTCTCAGAAAATTCGAGCGGGAGGGGATGAAGCTGGACGATGTAGAGTGGTCAAATAATGTTGTCTTCTTGATTCACAATTCCCCCCGTGCGATTCTTCGCTGCCATGATAATTTCTGGTGTGGACTCGCGGAAATCCAGCTGGCGAATTATGAGAACGCGGAGATGCGACTCGAACAAGTGGCGAAAGAAGATCCTAACTATTTGGGAGCGTTGTTTCTTCAGCAGCAACTTTGTCGCACTGAGCCGTCTGAGCGAAACCAGACAAGGTACAAAGAATTAGACGGAGAAATAAAATCTCTCCGAAACGGTGCATCTTCAATCGAACTTGAATTCGCGGCCATTGCTCAGTACGCTATTGGAAAGCCCGGAAAAGCGGCAGAATACCTGGACAAGTCGCTAAAACGACATGGAATCGATCAAAGAACGCTAGCTCTTCGATGCGCTGTTGAATCGAAGGCTGACAAGATGGACAGCCTACTTGAACAGATTCCTGAAGATACCAACTGCGCGCTGGGACAATATTACCTTGCTGAGAAATTGCTTCGTGCTCGTCAACACACCAGAGCTCAGACGTTAACTGAAAACATGTTGCAGGCGAACTCTAGTTGCTCATTAGCCCATGTGCAGATGGTCAAAGCCGCCTTTGGTGTTCAGGACTGGGATGTCGTTAACTCTTCCTCCTCTTGGTTGATCTCAGTGATTCCACAGTTCTGGGACGGATACATGTATCTCGCACTGGAATCCCTTCTTACCACTGGTTCAGAAACAGCAGCTGCAGACAGACTTGAATCAATGCTCTCAAATGCAGGCGAAACCTTTCCAAAAGCTATCTCTTTTGCCCGTTTACTTGTGAGAACTGTTGGCCAAAGTAAAGTACTCTCGCCACAAATTGAAAAGATGCTTGCCAAGTGTGCAGACTCGGCCGATGCGAAGACTGTTCGGGGAGACTACTATCTGCTCAAAGGAAATGTCAGAAAAGCAAAAGAATGTTATAACGAGGCACTGTCTATGGACTCGGGGAATCCTGGAGCGTTTGTCGGTGTTGTTTGGTGTTGGCTCAGGCTTGGAGACAGACGACGGGCAAAACAACAATTGGATATGGCGGGAGCAATTCCAGAAGACAAAAGGAAACAGTTACCAGAACTGCATCTGCTTGAAGTTGAGCTTGGAATCGTGGCAAATAAATTTGATGCCCTAAAGACCGCGACAGTTGAGATAACTAAAAATCTAGCAGGCCGCGCCTATGATCTTTCATTGCTAGAGGAGCTGAACCCAAACTTATGTCTCGAGATTCTCAAGTGCTACATGAAACTCATCGATAAAGAAGAAGTAAGGACTGCAGCGAAGCTTCCCAACCACGTTAAACGAGCAGAACGATTACTAACCGTTGTCAAAAACGCTGTCGGTGGTCTTACACCTGTCAAAGTTGTCGATGCAGAGTTCAAATGTATGATTGGAAAGTTTGAAGATGCTGAGGAAGTGCTGAGGCGAATGGTGCCGGGATCTGACGTTTATCTTCTCCAAGCAAAAGTGGCTAATGAGCGTGCCGATCCAGACAGTGCGCGACGTCTATTAGACTCCGCTTTGGCTGCAGATTATAACTTTGGTGAGCACTGCCCTTATCAGCTTGTGGCCGCGGAGACTGCCATGCTGAAAAATAATTTTGGAGAGGCTATTAAGCTGCTCAACAAAGCCCTTGCATCTGGAAATCTGACAGAGAATGAGTCCGTCGCTGCGAATTTGAAGCTTTCAGAAGCATTTCGTAGAAATGGCCAAGCGAATGAATCTTCGAACGTTATGGAAAAGATCGAAAAAGACTTTTCTTCCGCTTCAGCAGTTGCAGCAAAACTTGCCCTTTCAAAAGCCGAACAGTTACTTGACGCGGGTAATGTTGAAGCTGCTATCGATACTTTAGAGAACGTGGCTTACGACACAGCGGGAGCGTTTCAAGCGAAAGCGCGTCTCGCAGAAATCTATCTAGTTCAACGCCGTAACGAAGAACGCTATCTGACTGTATTCCGGGACATTTGCCACAATAGGCCTGGTGAATTCGAGCCTCTTGTTGCCTTCGCGGATTCATTAATGCGCGTCAATAGAATAGACGATGCAGTAAGAACATATGAGGCGGCGTTGAGACTGAAGAAGACTGATACCGCGCTTCAAGTCAAAATTGGACAGGCAATGGCAATCACTCATGATTACTCCGGCGCTATATCATACTACAGGAACGCGGTGAATGCTATAATTTTAACTATTTTATAAACTATGTATATGCATACCATTGTTTTCATCACGACTAAGAAAGAGCCTTGTCTCCAGCGAATGCGGAGGACTGCGTCTTGAACTCGCAGATCTTTTTGTGCGACTTGGACAAATCGAGGATGCGATTGCTACCCTGGAAGAAGCGTACGACGACCCAACTATTGACAAAATGCTCCAAGCTCGTTGCTACTACAAACACGCGGACATTCTTGCAGAGGACTATAAAACCGATGAAGCTCTTCAAAAATTGGCAAAAGCAAAGAATCTTTTAGGGACTTGTGATTAATTTTCTTGCATTTCACCCAAGATGTGTCTAATAAATTAACCATGATAAAAGACGAGGCGATCAAGAATAATGTCGAGGGCGCGCGGGACCTGTCAATAGAGATCCATCTCAAGATCGGTGACTTGGCAAGGGAGCGTGACGATGCGGATAACGCGGTGAAGTTCTATTCTCGCGCAAAGACAATCTCGCCAGGCTCTGCCTCAGCTAATCAAGCAACACTAAAACTGGCAGATGCTTATAGACTCAAGGGAGATCTTACATCGGCCCAAGGAAAAGGTTGAAGATAATTACAAATTGTTTAATGTTGCGCAATTTTATTTATTCAAAAATAATAATCAGGTGATCCACGGGTAAGAAATCGCCCCATTTTTCTCTTGGTGAAGCCGGTTTTGGAGCCACCTCTAATTGAATGAGTTTTATACATTTATGAAAGTTCCATGAAAGATTACTTATTGTTTAGCGAGACATTTAGTGAATTATATAAATTAATAAAATTCTGCGGGTAATTATGTCAATTTAATTTAAGTACCTCAAGCTGTTCATAAATGCAGTAAAGAAGCTTTGTCTCTTGTAAAGTCTAGGCTGGTCCAGAGACCACATAGACTCTGCGCTTGCGAACGCGTAAATAAAAATAAATACACTTCCAAAATTCATGTTTCTGAATATTTCAATTTTGTTGACTCTTTATAATTGATAGAGAAAGACGCATCGGATGGCGCTCGTCATGTGCCCCTAGGTGCGTGTATGTGTTTTCACCCTTGTAAAAGCGGTTCTTTCTAAGCTGTTGGACAGTGATGTGGCAAGTCAGGCACAGTCTATGATAGCAGATGTTATTTGTGATACTGGAAACATTCAAGGGGCCATTCAGGTAAAATATGAATCAAGTTTTGATTGCTAAATTAGAAAGCTTTCTCTTGGAACGGAGCTTCAGCTGCATGCTCTCTTCCTTCCAATAATACTAGTGAAGTTAGCATAGCTAATAGAATATCTATTTTATATTTTTTCAGCTAACAGTCCTTATAAATAAGTCTAGCATTTTAAACGACTCTTCGAAGGTGGAAGAGACCAATGGGGAATACTCGGACGAATGATGCCATTGTTACATCGAAATAGACAACTCGATTTAGCTCAACAGGAACATGGAGCACAGAAAATAGACAGCCTGACATGTCTAGCATATCTTATTCCTAATGAGAGTCTTATATGAACTTATATGATCAGCCCATCATAAAGTATATGAAACAAATCAAAGAAAACAGCAGTCCTGCGGCAAAAGCATACTGCTTCGGGATGCTGGATGGGTACCAACTCCGCACTAAGTCCGCAATAGACCATTTGCTACAGGCGAAGCGCAGTCCCCGCTGGAGAACGCAAGCGATTCATGCGATCATTGACATCGCCCTTGGTAAGTGTATTGGAAAATTTTGAATGATTGATGAGCAATTATTGTGAAGGTCTTGAAAGTGAGGAGCTGAACATGGATGAAGGCGCGGTTTACATTTGTAAGCGGCTTTTGTACGAACTACCGCAAAACGATCTGGAAACTAAACTATATGAGAATTGGGTGCTACTTGCCAACAACGATCTCAATGATGGAATAAAAGTATGAATAGCTGTCAATTGGTTAATTTAAGAATATCTCTTGTTTACATAGGCATAATTGAGTTGTCTTGAACTTATCTGATTTAAGGGTTTCCAAGCACTGGATAGAAAGTGTCACGTCGCCTCGCTAACAGGTTTCTTTCTTACTTAAACTCGTTGAAGAAAACATTAATTCAGGTTCTTGCGCTGGTTTAATTATGCAGGGCAATGGCAAGATTGCTAAAAATCAGCTTGTTAGTGTCTTATCAACGCCGTATACTATGAAAGTGGCAAAACACCTGCAAAAGGCACGACTTTTATTAGGTGAATATTGAACTTCAATAGTTTTTATTAGTGTTCGCTTAGGTCAGGAACTGATTAACTCCGGGAAGCCGGCAAAGGCTCGTGAAGAGCTAGAAAAAATTCTAGAGAAGAACCGCGGCTGTTGGCGTGCAATGGAACTCCGTGGAATTACTTTCGAAATGGAAAAAAATTACGAGGAAGCAATGAAAAGTTTCGAATACGGCTGGAAAATGTGCAGCCGTAACAACCCAGCTATCGGCTTTCGTCTGGCCCAAATTTACCCAAAAGTCGACCAGCCGATTAAGAGTATTCCTATCTGCCACTATATAAAGAAAAATTTCCCTGATTATCCTCAGATAGATGAAATCTTGGACGCCGCTCTTTATCAAGTTAGACATTGAAGAAACAACCTCCACTTTTATACTGTCATTTTATTTTAACGCTCTGTCATCCCTTTTCTACGATCATAGTTTTACTACTTTTATACTCATCAAGATATTTTTCTACGAATAAATGGATACTTTTCTTTGTATCTTGACAACGACAAAGTAAACTATTGTTACACGATTGGTCTCATTTATGGAGGCTCATCCGGTACTTGATTTACTTTGTATTCCTTGCTTACATAACTGTTAAGGCATATTTTATTTACAGCAGCTATACCGTGAGTGAATACTCGTAGCCGGGCAGGAAGTGTATTTTATTAAGCCGGGTACTCGAAAGATTCAGTAATTTCGCCAAGCCAGGTGTCGTTACTCTCATTTTATATTCCCGTCGGGTGATGAATATGCACTTTCGGAGGCTTTCGAAGTCGCTTTTGTATATTATTCAGGTACGGGCTATTCATATATTTCTTGTATAAGGCTCGCATTTAATATATCATGTTTTTCAATTGATTTGAAATCCTCATCAAAATGATCATTGCAAAGCAGCACGTCGTTACGGTTAGGCCATATGGAATTGAAAAGTAAGCTGGCGTCTTATTCGCTTAATTTAATTTCGGTTATCAGACACACTTACTTATTCACTTACTTGTCCACGTGAAAAAAACAACAATAAATGTAATAGGTATTGCAAAAAGAAGACAGAATAGCATGAATATTTTCTTCACGAACTCAAACTCCTGAAATATAATCGTAATATATATTTGCTTTTCCTAATCGTGAAAACATGCGAATAAACAATTTTGAATAATCGGTTCTACACCTGAAGAAGATATTTCATAAGCTCGGGGGTCATCTCTTTTCTCTTCTTTCTACTTCACACTAATACTGGAATTTTAAAAAGGAATTGCATACTCCGAATAGGGCATGGCCACATCTTCCATGTATTAAATTTTTGATTAGATTACTTGATTGCGGTTAGAGCATCTTCTTCCGAAGCTACTCAGTTTGGATGAAGTGAAACTTTGTTTTGATGCTCAGATAAAGCCTTTGACTTGTAAAAAAGTTCAATTTATTCAAACCAACCGGATTATGTTAGCTTTTGTCGTGAGGAAAGTGCAGTATCGCAAGAATAAAAAATTTTTAAAGACAGGAACAGTCTGAGATTCTGGAAAAATAGGACCAGACATTCGTCTCCAAAGTAGATCCGGTTCGTTGAAAGATTCGTTCTGGTGAGTTTTTGAGATGATTAGCATACCAGCATTTGGCTTGCAAACGGCAATTTCGTCGAGAGTTGGATGAATCTGTAGGCTTAGATAAATCCGGACAGACAGCTTAATTTTTCTGTGTTATTATCCCTTTTCAAGGTAAATAAATCTTACGTTCACAGAAGTTTAATTTTCCTCGTCTTCTGTCATGACAATTTATGCCGCCTTCCCAACCGAGAATATTGTACTTCTCGCCAAATTCAATTCTCGCAAGTTCTGGATTACAGTCGCCGACGACGATTTCTGCTCCGCCGCCGGACTCAGCTGAGCAGGGGCACGTGATCACTTCTCCGTTAAGAATATTCAAATTCGAAACCGTAGGTGATCTGAACTGAGCATTTACGTCGATCAGGTTGTTTCCAAAGTTGTAGCCATCAATGAAGGTAATCCAGTAGTAAAACTTTCCCTCGTATTCCCGAACAAATTGAACGTCCTTTGCTGGGCCAGCGATCGTTATGAAGGTCAGATTCTCGTTGAACGAAAGATAGAGCTTGTCGTTTTCATTGGTGTTGAAATGTGTTCCCGCTGGTACTTGAGTCAGGTCAACCTTTATTACGTTCTTGAATCAAATTTTTATCTAAAAAAGATTTTCGTTCGAATTTCAAAAATCTCGCTCCTCTCGCATCTCTTCGATATATAACGTATCCTGAATTCTCACATTGAAGCAATCCTTGCAAGCCCAAGAGTTCGTAAATTGAACGCCTCCAGGAACAGCTTCACAAGTGTAACTTTCTCCTTCGACACAAGCCTGCACTCTGCTCGCGACAAAAGCGGTGAAAAGAGATTTGAAAAATTTCATTTTAGCAAGTTTCGCACTTTTAAAATTCAATTTTCAATAAAAGGGACACCTCCGTAATCTAATAAATTAAACGCTGGGTTGCTGCTTTTTATAAGATCTGGAAAAACCGCAGAGTTTATCTTGTTCGACGGGACTAAGAAATTTAACATACGATGTACATACGACTTAAAAATGTTCGGAATTAGCGTTGTAAGTCTGTTAGGTTTATTTGGAGCGCCGCGAGATTTCCAAACAGAAAAATCCAAAATTTCAAGAGATATGCAAGCAAATCTCTTAACATGTCTCTATATTTGCGGAATCTTTATTGACCTTTCGTAATTTTTATAAACACGAATGTTTATCAAAAAGAAACCAGCCCGGTCGGCGGTTTCATCAAAATAGCTGTCTAGTTCACTTGAACCAATTTTTCGATGAAAAATTTTAAGAGATCTAGCTCATGGCTTGCGACATTGCCGAAGAATTTTCAGGGATCAAATCCTGGTAAATCATTCAGGCTACATCAGTCTAGTTAACATTGATTCTCGATGAAAGTTAAATTCAGCAAAGCCACTGATAAGTGCACCAGACGAATTGAAAAGGAAAAAATACGACGCTTTGGTCGTTGGTGCTGGTCATAATGGGCTCATTGCAGCGACATATCTCGCGAAGAAAGGAAAAAAAGTCGCTGTGATCGAGAAGCGGCACATGATCGGTGGAGCAGCTGTGACTGAGGAACTACTTCCTGGGTTCCATTTTTCTCGGGCGAGTTATCTTATGGCTCTCCTCAGGCCAGAAATCATTCAAGAGCTCGATCTTGTCAAACATGGACTCAAGTGGTTTGTCAGAGAGCCTCATGCCTTTACTCCACTGAGAGATGATGATAGATTTTTGTTACTAGGTACTGGCTAATAATAAAAACTACATGTATCAATTTGAAAGGTTCTGATGCCAAAGCGAATTGTGATTCAATTGCGCAGTTTTCAAAGAAAGACGCAAAAATATATGACCAGTACAATAATGAAATGGAAAAACTCGGTAAATATGAGATAAGAACTTAAAAAAATTATAAAATTAAAGCTGATGCTATCACACATCTCATGACAGCCATGCCTCCAGATGAGAGATCAAGGTTGGGGGAGAACATAAAAACCGGAAAGCAAATGTACAAAATGGGAAGAGAGCTTGATTGGGACTTTTCGCTTTTGCACAAAGTTGCGACCGCCCCAATGAGCAAGATTCTCGACCAGTGGTTTGACTCTGAGCCACTAAAAGCTTGCTTGGCGACTGATGCTGTTATCGGAGCAATGCTCAGTCCGCATACTCCTGGATCGGGTTATGTGTTACTTCATCACGTAATGGGAGGCGTCGAAGGACACAAGGTGAGATTTCATTTAACTATTATACATAATTGATTAAATTCTCCGTGAAGTAGTAGACTGGGATTTAATTTAATCTGGAACATCATTTAGGGCGCTTGGGCATATGTTGAAGGCGGAATGGGAGGAGTATCACTAGCTATTGCTAAAGCACTCAAAGAAGCTGGCGGAGACATTTACACTGAAACACCAGTATCTTCTATAAATGTCAGCAATGGCAAAGCCAACTCACTTACCTTACATGATGGGTCGATTGTAAGAAAATTCATACAAAGCAAAAAACAAATTTTCAAGGTTTCTGCGTCGAAGATTCTAGCAAATACAACTCCAAAAGTTACTTACGAGCATTTGATGTCTGAAAAAGATCTTCCGTCTGGATTTCTAAGTGATATAAAAGGCATTGACTACACATCTCCAGTGACGAAACTCAACATCGCTGTGGACAAATTACCATCTTTCAAATGCACGCCACACTCGGGAAATACCCCAGGCCCTCATCATTTCACAACAATCCACATGAACTGTGAAAGTATGGCAGAAATAGACAGGTGATATCATATCTGACATATCAGTTTTTAAATTATGGTAGAGCGTACATGGAATGTGCGACAACAGGCCGACCATCGAGAAACCCGATCATCGAGATGACTATTCCATCTGTCCTGGACAAAACCCTTGCACCCGAAGGCTCCCACACAATCGGGCTCTTCACTCAGTACTCGCCCATCACTTTTGACGGGAAGAAATGGACTGACGAGCAAAGAGAGAACTACACCGAGAGATTGTTTTCAGTCATTGAAGATTATGCACCAGGCTTTAAAGATTCAGTTCTGGGTGTCGACGTCCTGGTAAAAATAACGCCATTTTATTGCTCTACCTTCTTTAAGACGCCGCAAGATATCGAGGAGCAAATCGGTCTTACAGGAGGAAACATTTTTCACGGTGCAATGGGTCTTGATCAGCTCTTCATAGGACGCCCCGGCTATCGATCCCCTATTTCTGGGCTTTACTTGTGCGGATCTGGAGCGCATCCTGGAGGCGGAGTGATGGGACTCCCTGGGAAACATGCTGCTCTTGCTGCTCTTGCTGACTAGTTCATTTAAATTTGCTGAAGGCGCATTGAATTGAAATTTATTCTCTTTGACGATTAATTGAAAAAGTAGTTTGTAGATCTTCGCGGTCTGAAATAATGTAGATTTTTAACTAAAGCTAGAAATCATGTTTATACTACATGAGACGATGCTGGTTAAGTTTTGCGGATTTCATGGCGTCGACCGCAACATAATTCGGGATTTGGGTTTCTTTGTTCGCGGAAACATCTTCAAGTAAAACGTTTATATGTTCTTCAACTCTGTATATAAAACTTAGTCAAAATTACCGTTTTTGAAAGGTCGGCGAGTCGACTGAACAGTTACATACTGCCCGATCGGGTTTGCATCTGACGTACTCTTAGAAGCGCGCATTTATTTATTCATTTTATGCTTATTGATAATTACCTTTGATGTGTGTCGACGAGAGTGATCGTTTCTCGTATTGATGCGGTTCAGTAAAGCTGCTGGCTCTCCGTAACCTAAAACAACGAAAAATCTCATTAACAATATTCTTTTTTTTTCTAAACTTACTTAAACTCTGTGAGCGTTTTCCTTGCAGCCTAGCAATGTCGAAGGGGCTAACATAAATAGGACTAGATAAGCCGCCGTATTTACTGGAGCTTGGCATGTTCACTCGTGGCGATGGCCTGGGAGGAATAGGCGGAGGAGTGTTGTTCCTGGCGCTGCTAAAGTTCGTCGGAGTTGCCGGTGTCGAGTCGAGATTCGTGTAGATTGTACTTATGAAGGTAAAAACTGCTTCATTTTAATCTTGTCGAAAGTAATAAAAAGTTTCTCCTTTCCTTGTGACACCTAAGTTTCCATCTGTGATGGATCTTCGAAAAGTAGGTTGCTTCTTTATTGAAGGTAGAGGAGCTGGCGAGGTTGATGCTGACAGAGACTTTGACGATCTGTGTCTCTTTTTCTTGTTCTCGCTCTCTTTTGAACTTGACCCCCGAATTTTCTTAGTCAGAGTCGAAAAAAATGACTTTTCTTTATTTTGGGCTTCTCGTTCTTTTTTTCGCTCTGGGTTTTTCGCATCTATTTCTTCTTGTAGAACTGTTATTGCCTGTAGTATGCTGTTCATCTTAAAAAGAGTAAATTTAAAATGTACTTCCTTCTTACAAAACCAGTTGGATCGAATGGGGATGAAAAAAATCTAGGTCTGTTCATGGTCCCTATTTTCAAATGCTCTTTTTTGTGGGTTAAAATTTTTCGATTTAGGCACGGGCAGGTCCTGATCTTATAATGGCAAAAAGTCGCACCGGATTAGATTGTAATTTTACGTACTTTGTAAATTAATCCTCAACAATAAGCCGCATTGTACCTAAATCCTCCCAAAATAAACGAGCATAGATCGCCTAAAGTTCATTTTGATAACAAGTTTAGGTGAAATGCAAAATTCCGAATTTCGGACTTTAAGTTACGTTCAGCCGACTCAAAAATTGCATATAATTTTATCTGAAATACCTGAGAAGCCATGAGCTTGCGCTCGAGTTTCTGGTCATTTTTGTGTGTCATGGTTCCTCTCACTCAACTGATGAAAAAATGATCTTGAAGAAGCGCCACAAATCTCCGTCCAAGGCCACTAAATCAATAATCCAGCTTCAAATGCTCTGAAATATTTCCTCTGACAACCCGTTGCGTAAATTGAGACTCATCAATTTCAAGTAAATCTTTAAAATGCTAGAATATATTCTAAATCAGATGTCTACATGCATTTAAAATAGATCTAGGGGAATCAACCCAAACCATGACCCGAACCAAGCCTATGTTAGGGCTACGCCAAAGGTTGGGGTCGAACCCTGACATAAATTTTCTCCTTGATTTTTATTCCCAAATTATAGTTGACATTTATTTACATCCCCTCATCCCGAGTCAGGAGGGTCCAATCTTATAACCGGTCTTGGACTGTCAAGAGTAAGACTGTCAACAAAAAAGCCCAGAAGAGATTCGGCGAAGAATCAACGAGTTTAGTCGCCAAAAGAATATGAAGGCAGCTCTTCTACTGATGATGGAGAACTGTATGTGTTTTGATATGAAATGACACTTGGTGAATACTAATAAATATCCTAGCTAACAGCTAGAATCGACAGTCGAACCACAAAGGGGTTATCCTCTATGATTTTTCAATGATTCATGAACCATGATGAGGAATACCTTGTTTTTTGTACTCAATTATAGTCTATAATTTATAGAAAGAAAACATTGAAGATTGAAGAAGTGAATTTAAATCAATAGATTTTTGTGTATAGATCAGAGAGTGCGCTGCAATTCATGAAGTATACGTCATTCTGATACTTTTTACCAACTCTGGTATAGATATTATACCAGTAGGTAAGAAAGTTTTAATGGTTTTAGGCTAAAACTTTTAGCGAAGTCTGTTGGAGTCGGTTACACGACGTTTTCAGCATACCGACATTTTCAGCAACCGACGTTTTCAGCAAACCGACGAATTCAGCAGCGCTGAAAATGTCGGTATGCTGAAAACGTCGGTTTGCTGAAAACGCCGTTTTTCACCTGAAAACGCGTGGGCGTTTGCAGTGACGAAATTTTCTAACCAAATGGATCTAAAGACGACGTTCTCGGAATTTTATTGGCTAATTAAAAGTTTAAAAGCATTTCTAAATGAGTCATTAGAAATTCATTATTTTGAAAAAGTAATAAGAAAAAGCCAAATATCTTTTTTAATACATAATTATCATAATAATCATAGTCACCAGTTAGTTAACAGTATTAACGTATTATTCAGTTTCGTGAATATGCTGTTAAAAGATTGAAAATAATGATAAATCAATATTTAAAGGAGAAAAATAACAATTTTATTAAATATAATCTTTTGTAACTGACTAATTAATATTCAATCGATTTTATGTTATTTTACTATTTACGGGAATATCTTTTTCAGATGAAATTTGATAAAATGGTTGCCTCTCTAAACGCCCACGCGTTTTCAGGTGAAAAACGACGTTTTCAGCAAACCGACGTTTTCAGCAAACCGACGAATTCAGCAGCGCTGAAAATGTCGATATGCTGAAAACGTGGGTATGCTGAAAACGTCGTGTAACCGTTGGAGTCATTGTTTTTGTGGCTTCAAAAATAGACAGCACACCAAAGCATCGGTTATATAATACGAATGGCGAGTGCTCATTGGTCGGTTCTTTTGAAGCGCGTTTCGTAGCGAAAATGTCCCATTTCACTTTTTCGAAGAGTAGAATCGCTTTCATCCTTTTTGAATTCCTTACAAGAGCTCAGCGCAGCAGCCAGACGACTTTTTAGTGAAAAAGAGGCACTTTCAGTTCGAGAAAAATGACCAAAATTGACGCAACAGGCTGGCGATTCGCGAAAAACGCGAACTCTCAAATCTTCCCTTTTTTGAGCCAACTTGTTACGTAACAACATCAGTTCGGACTTTCCTGTTAGATGATATTTACGATACGTTTTTTCTACCGATGTTTTATGAAAATTAGCATCTAAATCCGGATTTGACTAATATCTAGCGTAATTATTTGTATTTAGTATCCTCGAATAAAAATAGGAATAACTTCCTTCGCAACTGAATATTCCCATATCACTCATTAATTTCAATTGTTAAGAATTTATTGCTTCAGAATGTTTCGTCTTACAAATAAAGGCAGCCAGTCGCGTAAAAACCACAAAATCATAAATCAAACGACAAAAATATCGGAATCGGATCAAGCTATTCCAAAAAGCTCCCTCCAGCTTCAGATGGAAAAGCAAAGGTGAATGATTGAGCTGAATCGAGAGAGCTTTAACTTAGAATTAATGAAAGCTGGGGGTTTCCCTCAAGCGTATAATTCCGAAATTATCGGATAAGCCATTCACGAGTGCCATTTCGTAAATGATATTTTCCATAGGGAACTAGAAGAAAAGGCAAGGATAGAAGCAGAAGAAGCCAATCGAAAAATGCTAGAGCTGCAAGAACAGAAGAAAGCAGCCGCAGCGGCTGCCGTTCCAGTGGCTCCTGCTCAAGTCCCAACGTCGCCAGAATACTCGCTGAGTGATATGGAAGCTTACATTGCGAAGATGACAGAATACGTGAAACATATGCAAATGCTCGAACAAAGAAATTTGCTTTTGGAGAAGGAGAACTCAAGAATCCAAGAGGTAGATTCTATTTGAATCTTTCATTTGAAATTTTTAAACTTGCTTTTTAGGAAAATAATAATCTTCGACGCGAAATGGCCGAGCGTGTTCACATAAAGCCTGGCATCATCACAGCTCAAATTCAGAAGTCATTTCCGAATTACCAATAACTTCCGTAAAAGAGTTAGTATCTTCCCTCGTGATATCCCATCCACCCAAATATATGTTCACTTTACCAAAAGACCACATTACTTGCATTTTTGAAGGTTGAGAACTTTTCTCCCTGCCTTCTTGGCAATCATGCTATTATTAAACTTTCCTTTATTCTTTGCGTTACTGCATATTCAATTCCATTTTTCACGTTCTTCCGCCCCAAAAAATGCCAACGTTGGTTAACTTCAAATTTGGTGTTTTTTGCTGCGATGCTTTCTTCTCGGAGCGTAAAAAATGGACATCATCAACCATCTCTTTTCCTTCTCATCCCTCAACCAGTCTGCTTTCATTTTCTACAGCATCGTCGTTCGTGAAACCACAGTAGCAGTAGCAATAAAGATCATTCATGATCACGAGGCATCAGAATTCAAAGCTCCAATGCTTCCTTAAAAAACGGCGCGTTCTGCACTTCATCAGTCAGAAGTTTTCGTCTATTTAACGCCGACACGAATACCGACCAATTAATTGGTACAACGCCCTTTAATGCCATTCCGACACTTTTGGAAATCTGCATATTTACTCATATTTACGTAATGATATGAGTTTAATATGGGGATAAAATTAAAGCTAAGCGTCTGAGAATTATTTATCTATATCATTTATACAGTAGACTAATCAGTTTCATTGTGATAAAGGGGTAAAAGGGGCATACCAATTAATTGGTACGATCTGCGTTCAACGTTGAAAAAATTTTATGCGTTCCGAAATAAATTCTTCTCAAATTGAAGTTTAAAATTTCATTTTTTGGCTGTTACTTAATATAAAAAATATTGCTGACGATTCAAAGTCCGTTTTTTTCTCTTCTAAGTTATGCTGTTATCTCTCATCAAACTGTTTGCTGAGTATTTCCATTCAATTATTATCGGTGACGGTATTTTGTTTTTTTTTCCTGTGAGAACTTCCTATTCAAAGTTTGTCCCATTTTTCAGTAAATAAATTTACCTTTCAAAAACAAGGCTCTTCATTTTTTTAATACGAAATGAAGCTAAGTGTCTTTATTATTCTAGCCTAGGACTTTGAAATTTTTTTCTTGAAATCATAGAAGAGAATCTTGCCTTGCCTCACAAAATTCGCGAAAGAAGGCAAAGAGAGATCGAGCCGATATTCCTGCCAGACGAAAACTAAAAGGGGCTTTAGGCATGTTTTGATCATTTATATTTTAGTAACTGATAAAACAACAAGACAGCTAATTTGACAGAAATGATCATTTTATTTCTTTTTGACAGAAAAGATCGCGAATTATGAACGTTGACTGTACAAATATATAATTAAGGGCGGTGTGTGTGTTTGATGGGCTGATCAATGGAATTAGGGTCGATGGACTAAGGTATCCAACTGATCTGTTTGTAAGTTGCGCTTATCGCAAGGATGGAACTGAGACCTTTAAACGCGCTTCCTTCTATGCGAGAAGGCGTCTCCTTCGTATCCTTGGTGTGATAAAGGTGTCGCGGATCTACAGGTGTCTATTCATCCTATAATCACAGAGCATCCAGTGAAGAACACTGAAGACTCGAAGAGCGTAGAATGCAAATCACCTTAGATAAATAGACGCTTACTGTACAAGTAGATGAGAGAATGTGTACTTGGCTGTGTAGAATGGAGAGAAATAAAGAGAGGAGCTTTTGCTCCCATTCGCAGTATTTAAAAATCATGAAGATTGGTCTGTTTGATTCGGCAAAGACACTTTAGGAGATACTTCTTGGAGAGTGGCTTCACGCGGAACCAACTCATGCGGTCCAGGGTCTTCTGATCGGAAGGCCAGAGGTAGAAGGGTCCCGAGTGTCGGATTGCCGGAGGTCTGAAGGAAATAGTGAGCAATGGCGGAATTAATAGCTCGCTATTAGTAGCGAAAGCGCGTGTTGCTGCTATGATGTAAGCTGGTACGCTACAGCACCAGCCCGCGCGGTGCGCCTTCTAAAGCGCCAAATGGTGTAGTAGCGATGGAACATTTGTTGAACCATGTTCAATCATTATGCTATTAGGGCGCATCTTGGCGCAGGGTGGTGTGGTACCCACCAGCACCGCTTGGCGCATTACAGCACCAATTTAGAAAGCCAGAAGCCGTGGAGGCTTTAATTTTTAGGCTCTGAACGCGGGGAGTAATTGGCGCGCCGCTGGTAGGCCTAGCAATTTTGCAATCGGCGTGCACATGTGTTTATCTCGCTCTACGAAATTCGCGAGGCTTAATTTTTCAGCGTCTAACTGGGCGCATTTTTTTTGGTGGAACGCGTACTAGACCCCTGCGCGCGGTCTAGTGAGCTCTACTCCACCGCCAGCAGTGGTGTTTAGAACGTCACTGAGACTTGGTGGCGAATGTCACTTGACATGAACCTCTTACCACATAATATTCACTGTTCAATAAGGGGCTTTACCTCTTTTCTAGGTAGTAGTCGAGAATTCGGACGGGGCATCGTTCTGGCTTCGCCAGGTTGGGAACAATCTCGCCACGCTTTGCATTGCCACGCGAATCTTTGTAGCGGTATATCTCTAGCAACTGAGTTGGGTTGCTTGGGTTGAAAATTTTCACTTTCTCAAAGTCGGACATCTCCATATCACTAGAAACAAAGAGTTAATAAATCTTGCACGTTCACATTTTCGAGTTTCGATTTTTGGGTTTGTGATTTGATTGTTTTGACGAATAAACAAACCGATGAGCCTGGGATGAACGAATTTTTAGATGCTTGACGATGATCATAACGAGCGTCTGCGTAAGAGCCTCAGGCGAGTGGTAACCAAGTTCTCCTGATTGCCAGAGCGTTTCTTCATCTGATCTTGGAGTTGGCTGTATCACAACTGTTTTCACGGAACAGTCCATCGCCTCATTCATGGCCTTAATTTTGTGTAAAAATACCAAAGACGTCAAAGGAAAAAAACATATTCGTCGATTTTTGATACAATACCTCGAGAAAAACAACAAATTTCTCATTTCGAAGAATATCAACTTGTCGACCAGTCTCCTTGAGAACTTTTTGGAGAGAAAATGCAAACGCAGTGATGCTATCGATTTGGTAGGCTTCTCCGGAGTCTTTTCGAATCTCTCTGATGAAGTTGCTCATCCATCTAAATTATATGTTAGTTTTGTCAATTTCATTTCAGTGATAACAAAATATAATTTCTTCGTTTCAGTTTTCCTAAATATAAATTTTAGCTTACTTGACAAGGTCCTCAGTGTTATCCAAAGTCAAGAAGTCTTGTGGCGCTTGATCGTTGATGTCTGATTTGATAGTCAAACCAGGCAAATTACCGGCGTTTCTCTTCTTAGCCCATGACTCCCACTTTCTAAGGGTCCATCGGCACTGCTTGCAAGTAATCTGTGTTTTGCCATTCTGATCCTTAGTGATGACTCCTGTGCCGACGCCGCTAAACTGCGCTGGACCGATTTCTGCATCCGGCTCGATATCGAGATTGTCTCCTGGTGGGAGATCGTCTTCATCTTCATCAGCATCACCCTCGACGTCAATGTCAAATTCGCCGTTCTCGCGTGCAGCTCGTTTTCTCTTTAGTTTTTCCATTCGCTTGATGATCCACTGCGGCTTTATTTGATGTGTTGGCGCCGGAGTTTCAATAACAGTGTTGGCAGCGTTAGGGTCAATGATACCCGCTTCATGTTCGGAGCTAGAATCTCCATTTCCTGACTCATGACCGGAATCGCTCTGGTGCGATGGAACTCGTCCGTCCATGCCCGGGATCTTCTCTTTGATTTGGTTTTGCTGCGCTCGAAGAAGAATCGAGTACATCGCATCGCTCCAGTATCTATTGACGGGCTGGTTCTGGCCGACCATACCTGGTCTCAATCCTGGTGGAATTTGCACCTGATTTTGTGCCTGTTGAGCCTGCTGTTGCTGATACTGATGATATTGGTTGTTAACCATTTGTTCGTGAGCTTGCTGTTGAAGCCGGTTGAAATACAAATTCTGCTGAATGTTTTGTTGGAGTTGGAATACAGCTGGCTGTTGTTGGGAAAGTGCTTGTACTTCTTCTTTTGCTTCAGAAGCTGAGGAGCTGGCGAGGATATCGGATATTCCGTGCTTGACCCTCTTCGAGTTTGATGATGGTTCTGACTTGCTGGAGCATTCGGAATCCATAGAGCGCTTTCGGGAATCTTCATCTGTTGTGGCAGGGAAGAAGAGCCAGGCTCAAGCTTGATGCCAAGCTCATCTGTGAACTCTTCGATGACCTTTTCAATCTCGCCCTGTCTCTCCTTGATGTACATAGCTGTTTTTCGAACAACTTGTTGAAGATGGCGCATTTCTCTAACAACGCGGTCTGCCGTTTCAGCGAATTTCGGATGCGAGCGCGCCTGCATCAGCTCCAGAGGCATTATCTGTCGTTTGTTGAGCTCATTGGTGAACGCCTGGTAGACATCCTGGTCTTCCTGCTCACAGGATGAATTGTGAAAGTTGAGCATTTGCTCAGTGGCTACTGTTAACGTCTCCAGCTTGACTGATTTTTAAAAAAAGGTAGTATAAAAATGGTCTCTAGAATTTTAGATTATATTACTTCTCTATTTTCGAAAAATATTTTATGTTCTGATGGTCGAATTCAGAGAAATATGCTTCTGAGAAGGTTTGCGCGCTCCGCGCAGATGCGCGTTTAGAAACAACGCCACCTAGCCAGTCTTCTTGATTGAGCGCCGCGCGCCATCGCGTAACGCGGTACTTGGTGCTGATGTAATTGTAAAGGACTCTATTTAGAAGACATTTCTCTACATGCCATTTTCCCTCGGCAATAAGAATATTTGCAAGGAATTCAAGGAATTCAAATTTTAAAGGACCGACCGTTCTTTTTGACGATTTTCGGGGATCAATTTTTGACTTTTGAAAATTTTCTTTGCCTGTTCTCACGAAATTAAATGACGACTCCAATCAAAATTTGCCCCATTTTTCGTGTGGGACGCAGTATTGAACCCCTTTAGATATCATCACAATTCTTATCTGGTAACCTTTATACAAGTCTAAACTATATTTCGAGCAATTATTACCTAACGTCATGAAATCCATAAAAAGAGCGGGATCATTTTTTTTCTTTCTGGTTCCCTTCGGCTATTATCTGGCTAAATAATTGGCCAAAAATATTTTTAAAATCTTAAAGGTATTAACCCAAAACCGATGTTTGAGAAAGTCATTCCAATATGAGGGGGGAGGGCGTTTCATAATTCCTTTATTATGGAAAGTAAAGAAAATCTATGTCATCAATAACTTTTAAGGTTTCCTTATTAATTTTCATGAGCAGTTATTTTTGCATGACGATTTTTGCCATTTTATGTGAGAGATTCAACTGTTTTCTGTTTTATTTTCGGATATGATACGTACACTGGTTAGGTTACACTGATACAGGCATATGGTTAGGGAAAGGGTTACAGAGAAGCTAGGCTACGAGAAAATGTTGTCATATTATGCATTCGTATGAAAAATAAAATGTTAAAGTAATAATGAGTTATCTTGTGTACGGTTCACTGAATTAATCGCTTCTCGTTTTAGAAAGGCAAAAAGTTATGTCACTAAGGAGAGGCCGCAGCACCACCAAGATGTTACTACACCATGAGACACCACACTAGCTAGGGCTACGTTCACTTCGTGAATTATTTGGCAATCCGTCGAACACCTCCTCCACGCTGTCTTCTTACGATTTTGCCTTTTTAAACGAGCCGCCATAGTAATAATCATCATAACCTATCAAATAAATTCCATTTTAGAATAAGATAAAAGCAACTCTAGTGTGCAAAAATTCTATTCGATTTTTCAATAGAGCAAGTATTAGTAATTGACTTTTACTAAAAGTCGCCGACAATAATCGCAAAGAAGTATGTTACATACAGCTTCAGCTCAAGTATCATGTAGAGCTTATATGAAACTACTTTGGTAGAACTATTATTTTTACAATTTGTTGAAAGACCTGAAAATTGTGAGTTAAATCGAATCCCATAAAAGATTATCTTCATTAGTATGCATAATTACGAAAATTGTATTTTAATCTGAGAGAACTCAAATTTTTGAATAAAACACTATCTTCGAGAGGGTGCGGAGCAGATGCGATGAATTTCCACATCGTAATCGCTATAATCAGCATCAATCTTTCATTTCAATCTAATAAGACTCTCATTCTATGATATTTCAAGCTTTGGCTTGTGATCGTTCGGTTTTGGATATTACGGTAGCCGCTAGAAATATTCGAAACGCATTTGGCCCGCCGCCAACTTCTGACATTTTCCTTGAATCGCTGCCAATTTTCTCGGAAAAAAGGGATACCACCCTTATCGCTTTACTTTGCGATAGCTGCAGGGAAAAACATTTGAAATTTTGAAAGTAATTAAATAATTTTTATTATCATTGTGCGAAGTCTTCTTATTACATTAATAGAACAAAAATAAATTAAATATATCAACTTTTATTAAATAAAATTCGTTTCTGTTCAAATAATTATTGGTTTATTGGGATTTCTAGAGCAAGATAACGAGAATTAAAAGATTGACTTTTCCCAGCGTGGGAATTTAATTCAAAGAAGAGCGAAACCTGAAGATAATCAGTGATCACATTAGAGAACATTTATTAGATGTTTCTCTCTTTATTTTGTAAAGAGAGCAATCCCTGCCTCCGATGAACATGAGACCGCTTTCTTTCGAATGCGAATACTGGACGATATGCAGCGGGATCCATTCAATGGTTGGTTTGCTGCTCGGTGAAAAAATAACTTTGCGACTAGAACAAAATCGGTTAGAGAATATTTTGAGGCTTAAATTTACCTCGGCGACAAGTCACACTCTTTTTTGACATTTTTAAGTTCTGTCTGAACAATTTTTAATAGTTTTTGTTTGTTCTCGCTTTCTGGTAGGTCTTGAAGCGGGCTCACAAAGAGGGGACGGCAGTTGCTCAGCCAGCCAGTGAGTTGAGATGTAAATGGCGGATAGTCCCTGAAGATGTTTGGCGCTTTTCGAAGAACATGCTCTTTGCGAGCTATTGTGAACTTTTTGTAAACTCCGTCAGTGCAGTTTTTGCATCGAACCTGGACGCCACCGCACGTCATGCACTAAGTAAGACAATTTTTATGTCAGTCAGATATCGTAATAAACTATCACTTCGATAGAAAGGTACAGTTCGTCTTCAAGGCTCAAAGTACAATTTTTTAGATTCTACTTATCCTCTTTACCTCAACTTCTCCGTCTCCACCGCAATTATCACAATCGCCGCAATCAGCTTCTTTCATATGAACTCCATTTGACACCTCAGTACCAATTTCGTATCCTTCATTCTCCTGCTCCTCGTGTCCATCGCCCATGTCAAACTCGACATCATCACAAAGCGAGACTTCGTCCTTTTAGCAGGATCAACTTTCAATCTTCGCGAGCGCTCTCGTGATGTTACAGCTTAATTAATTTTATTTTTGTTGGAACGTTCCAAAGTTGACCGTTTCCTGACAGGCCATGTCGCCCATTCCGCCGCACTGTGGACATTCAACGACGCCGTCTCCGCCGCATCTCGCGCAATCGTCTAAAGCGCTCCCAAGACAGTTTTCACAGCTCATATTTGCCAATGCAGAAGGTAGATTTTCTATGCAATAATTTTTAATTTTGTATTTATTATAAAAAATAGTCAGGGTTAGGGTAAGGTTAAGCTACTTAGGGCTATGGTTAGTTTCAATTAACATTGTGTAAAAATTAACCTTGAACAGTAGAATTCGGACGAATATATTTTGTGCTTCGATGTTTCCAAATAACTTCTTCAATTTCTTTCTCAATAGCTTCCGTGCCGCGTCTTCCGAGCATTCTCGTCTCTATTGTAACTGATATCTGTTAGGATCATTAATGTCATTTTTTCATACTATTTAAATGAAGAATCCCTACTAATTGGTAAAACGGCCCACTTAGCGAGCAGCTCATCGCGATTTTTCGATATTTCTTCTTCTTGGATTTTGCGATCATAATATTTTTTATATCTTCAATTTTAAAACAATTGTATTGGCGGCATATCAGCGGCTGTTCTTCCTCTCGAAGAAGAGGAATCATCAAGTGTCCTATATCGCCTGTAAAAAGTCTCTATTAGAGCCTCTTATCAAAAGTTACCTTTGTTAGTATGGTTGATGGTCACTATTGAACACTTTTTAGGCTCCTCTGTGCGCTCCACGGGAAGTAACTCCTCATCGATCAAAGACAAAACATCCTCGCTCCTTGAATTTCATTTAAATAATTATTCTCTATGCAATATTAATCAATTCCTTGGAAGTAATGAATAAACTTTCACAGACCGTTTTGAGGCAAGTCTGTTAAAGTACGCGGATTCTTAAAGTTTCATAACAAAGGCTCACTAGTCACTTGGATATTTTTTGTTTTCGTAAAGGTCAGAATAGTATCTTACCCTTTGAGCAAAACAAAATCTGGAAATACTTTGACATCGCTCTGGCCACTCGTCTCAGTGAAATCTAGCGGACGGCCTAGCCGCTCAAGCTTTTGAAGGTTAAGTGATATTTTTGTTATAAAAGTCTACCTGTGAGATGTTTCCATTCTCTTCTTTTCGCTTTTGCAAAAGATTGAAAGCGATTTTCCATCGATTTTGATTTCGGTAAAAATCGCTTGTTTTTGAAATCTTTCTTGTCTCATCTGGACTTCTTCTTTCGGAAAAATAACTAAGGGACTCCGACTTGAGACTCTCTTCCTTGATTTCAAATATATTTGGTTTTGTTTAGAAGCATACGGTATGCTGCATACCTCTTTCTTTTCTTCTTCTCTTTTATTATCGGCATTTTTAATAAGAACAAATGCTCTCTGCCATTTTTTTCCAACTTTAATTGACATTATCACAGCTTCAAAAATTCATTAATTTCGGATGCTTCATTCGATAGAATCATTTTCAACAAGTCGAATGTGTTGAATATTGGCCTCGCCATAAAAATGAATGATTTGAAGGAAAATCTACATTTACGATCCTCTTCCCTTATCCGTCTCAAAAGCTCTGTCACGCACGTTTTATCTTTCAGAATAATTCATTGCCGAGTTGACGATGACGAGACAATACCGACCATTTGAACAATTACTTCCTTGGCTCGAAAATAAGGATGTTACTACGTACCGAGTATTTCAGACTCCAAACCCGAGAAGCGCTGCCACTAAGGCTTTCCAGAGCTTTGATTGGCTGACCAGCAAATTGGATTTTCAAAAGTCGACGTATATGTCTCGGGGCAAACGCTTGAAATACTCGGTATATCATTTTCAAGGATGATTTTTTCAAAAAAGTGACATTGGTATTGAAAAGGACATGTTTAATCGATCAAAATTATTATAGTGACACCCTTATTTTACTGAATTATATAAAAATATTTGCTCCTAATAAAAACTCCGAACATTTATTATTTTAACCTAACTGAAATCAACAAGGAGTTCTATCAAAAATCCTTAAGTTTAATTTTTCAAAGGAAAACAAGAGAGTAAATCTTCGAAATTTGAAATCATGTTTTTCAAATAAACTCTAATCAAATAATCTGATGGGGTCGTCCGCATTGCCAAGGATTCAATATGGTCTATACTCTCGGTAGGTGAAGGCGCCAAGCCGAGGCAGGGAGATGCAACGTGACCACCGCCAAGTGCTAACTCTCGCAGAGGCAGAACCTCGGCCCAACTCGACAGCGGCGAGGCTACTCTCGGCGTGTGATGGCTGAGTTGATGTGCAAACATAATGAGCGAGTTGGGCTGCTTAATCAAATCAAGCTCGACCCCCGGATGAGCTGCATACATGTATTTGGAGATATGGAGGGAAAAAATTTGAATTGGCTAAAAGTTTCCCTTGTAGGGTTTTCTGATGCGAGGAATCCGAGTCTGATGTCAAAAACTCTTTATGTCTAGTTTTAACAGGGTAGTAATATTAGCGAAATTTTCTGCCAAAAGTAGAAAAGCCCTCCAGGATCCAGAAAATGGAACTTTTTATTTTTGATTTGTCAAAATTTCAATTCTCTATATCTTTTTTAAAGATTTACTCCTTTGTTAAATCACCCCTTATTTATAAGGACTCTCCAGTGCTAACAACATACTCTGAAAGATAGGGTTACACTTTTTCAACAAAAGATTGTCAGTGTTGACCTCTCATAATGATTGATTCGTAATATATTTGGGGTACGCGTTTCGGCGACTATTGTGCTTTCATCAGCCCCTAGTACAGATATTAAGGGTAATGGTATACATCGGCGCGGCGCTGCTCTCTCGATCCGCGCTCCGCCAGAACCTATTTCTCACGGAGCCGTAAAATCTGAACGGATAAAGATTTTCAAAATTCAAAAAGATTCTGAATAAATAAAAAGTCTTTTCTACAAACACAGCGAAATTGGTAATGATTGTCAAAGAAAAACTATCTGAAAATTGCCAGTTTCCTTCCAATGACATTTTCTTCGATATTACTCATCCAAAATTTTTGAAAATTATACTTTCTTGTAGAAAATCGTCAGCTCTACAGGTCCTGTTTTTCAGATTTTTGTTTTAAGATCTTTGGATTTTAATATGCGCCCTTGAAGTCAGCGCTGCGAGGTCGTGGCGTGAGAAATAGAAAGCGGAGAGGCGCGAGAAGAAGTAGCGCTCTTTACAAATTGCGATGTAAAATTTATAAAAGCTTCAAACAAAAATCTTAAAAACAGGATTTGTAGAGCTGACAATTCTTTACAAGACAGTGTAATTTTCAAAAATTTTGGATGAGAAATATCGAAGAAAATGTCATTTGAAGGAAACTGGCAATTTTCAGATAGTTCCTCTTTGACAATCATTACAAATTTTGCTGTGCTAGTAGAAAAGACTTTAATTATTCAGAATCTTTTTGAATTTTGAAAAAATTTTATCCGTTAAGATTTTACGGCTCCGTGAGAAATAGGTTCTGGCGGAGCGCGGATCGAGAGAGCAGCGCCGCGCCGATGTATACCATTACCCTTAATTTCACGAGAGGTTAGATTTTCCGTAAATTAGATTTTCCGTATATATTAGATTTTTCCGTGGGATTGGATTTTCCGTGAGTTACGGAAAATCTAATATACGGAAAATCTAACATACGGAAAATCGAACATTATCTTAATAGCCTTATCTTTAAAAACACTTAAATATACTGTGTAACATTGAAATAAATAAAAAATTCTTCAAAGATGACATAGTTTGCGGTTCTTGTTTGTTCAAATACTGCATCGACCAAAATTGGGTTATTGGTAGGGAAATCACTAATAATTAAGCTTATTTTCTAGCTTCGAAAGGTGAGATTATAAATTATAATTTATAATAAAGATTTAGAATCCTCAGAATCTTGGGATCATTTTAAGTATTGATAGTAGTAGAGTTTTATATAGGAGAGTTGACCCCCTCGTACCCTGAGGGCATTTAGGCACCTCCGAAGTCCCATAATCCGGCAAACTTCAGAAATTTGAATTTTCGAACGCCCAGACCGCCCTTTTAGAGCGAGCGGCTGTGCTAGAATTGTAGCCCGGACTCTGACGGTCATTTCTAGGGGTCGAAAAGTACTGAGGCCCCCTTTTCTGGGGCGCTAGAGACCTCCGAAATTGGGGAAGTCGACCGAAAATAGGTACTTTTTCGAAAAATATACTTATTTTCTTCACTGATGCTTGATATGAGTTCCGATCTACTTTTTAAGGTAGCTGACACAATTTGGGGTCATCTGAGGTCACTTGAGGTGAAGATTATAAAAATAATTAAAAGCTGAATTTGTGACCTCAAGTGACCTCAGATGACCCCAAATTGTGTCAGCTACCTTAAAAAGTAAATCGGAACTCATATCAAGCGTTTTGGAAGCATCAGTGAAGAAAAATAAGTACTTTTTCGAAAAAGTACCTATTTTCGGTCAACTTTCCCAACTTCCGACTAGAATGCGAGAATCAGCGCTACAAATGCAAAACAAAAACCTGGATTTATGCTGCTTGCCCAAATGTAGAAGATCCAAGATTCTTTGAACAAATGAATTGGCAAAACTGTACATTCAGTAATTTTTAATCAAATACTTTTCCTTCAAAGATTCGAATTTCCGTAGATTCGATTTTCCGTGACTCACGGAAAAACTCCGTGAGATTAGATTTTCCGTGAGTTACGGAAAATCTAATATACGAAAAATCTAACATACGGAAAATCTAATTTACGGAAAATCTAACCTCTCTAATTTCACAGCTCAGAAAAAGAAAGAATACTCTCACCTAGAGTTGGACAATTTCGAATGAGATAGAAAGTTGAAAACAAAAGATAAAAACTCGCTTTCGCGGCAGATGTAATGGAGCGCCAGAGAAAGCGAGTTTCAAGCTTGTTCAGCTGTGAAATTTATATCTGTACTAGGGGCTGATGAAGGGACAATGGTCGCCGAAACGCGTACCCCAAATAAATCACGAATTTTCAACAAAAGCTTAAAAAACGTGATTGAAAATTGGCTTTCTTTATATTTTGCCGCAAAAATATACTTTGAAAAAATTTTGCAGCCCCATTTTTTCTTTGATGACCCAATTTAAGGGACTTTTTCGAAAATTTTGGAGCAAAAAAGTCCCTTATTTTGGACTCCGACTGTATCAGGAAATTGAACCTGGCTTTTTCAATCATTTCAACGCGAAGATTTCTGTCAGCTTCAAAAGAGTCAGATTCAAACTGAGGAATGTTAGGCTTGATTAGTTCATGATTGGCTTAATTTTGTGGTTAGGGTTAGGGGGCACCTCGCAAAATGACAGAACAGTTTCAACCGAGGGGGATAGGCGAGGGGTTAACCCTAAGGGGGTAACCCCAAGTAACCCTAGACTAGACCCCGGCATTAAAGGACCTAAGGGGCGAAGCCCCGTGGTAAGGGGCACTAAGATTTTTAAATTTATTATCCAAGAAGGTCCACTGATATGGCATTTTCTCTTTTTAAAATCAATCATTATTCAAAGCAATCATGAAAACCTCGAGAATCACTAGAAACTTTTCTGGTCGAGCAAGAAAAATCCCAGGTTCAATTTCCTCATGAAATGCGGTGACCTGGGTTTGCCAAACCCAGGTTCTCAGGAGTGGCTGACCTGGGATTTTCGAAACCCGGCTTCTCGAATTCTGCAACCTTGGACTAGTACCATCCAGGTTAGGCACTTTTGAGAACCTGGGTTTGTTAATCCAGGTGACCGCCTGCAACCAGAAAAATTTTTACATTTTTAAAATTTTGATTATATTTTTGGATTCCTTAATAAAAAATGAACATTTTTGTTATCCAGCTTTTTCGGCATTGACTTACTTTTTAAACAAAATTTTCGATTTTCTGTCTAGAATTCGAGATTTCACAAAATTTTAAAATTGGTGATTTCACTCAAGAACAATCTGTATCTAATTTATATTTTTAAGATAGGGTTTTTAATGATTTCTTTATCATTATGAGTAAAAATTCCGAGTCTCCACGACCTTGGTAAAATTCTATTTGAGAAATGAGCAAAAATGAAGATCGGAAAATCGTATTATTTTAAGTAACAGAAAAAATTTTTCAAGAAAAGCTTTCCTTTTTAATTGTCGCCGGTGTATTCATAAGGTTTTGAACTTACTATTTATTGTATTTGATGGAGAAGAAAAGATTCCGTTATCGAGATTTTTTGATTACGAGATACTCCCACTTTTACCTAAATTTTTGAAAATCTTTTCGAAAAAATTTTTCTTGAATTCGCCGCTGTATTTTTCAGACCCTTTTCTTATCACCTGATAAGTCAGAATTTGCCTATCTAGGCAGAGTCTTCCGCACTTTTGGTTACAAAATCCCGATTCTCGTCGACCCTCTCCTTAACGGTAAAACATGAAATCGGCGCGGCGCGGCTGCCCGTTCAGCGCCCCGCCGTGACCTATTTTTCAGAGGCCCGTCAAATCTGAACGGAAAGAGTATTTTCATAATTCTTTTTGCCTTATAATCATCAAAGCCTGCACTTTCATGAGGACAATTTTGAAAAGAATTTTGAGCGTAGAAGTATGAAAAAATGGGATGACTTGGTCAAAGTCTATCTCCTCCCACAATTCTCGTGTGATTTTTCCAAATTAGAACCATTTTGTAGAGCTCCGTCTACTCTACAATTTCGTAGAGTAACTTTTTAAATTTTAATTTTATAGATTTTAAGACGGAGCTTGGAAATGAGCGCTCCCTCGAAAAACGACATTAACAGGAGCGTAGCGTGTGAAAAAGGCGGCCGCGGAGTGAGAGCTATCATTTCAACGCTCCGTCGAAAAATCTATAAAATAAATATTTAAAAAGTTACTCTACGAAATTGTAGAGTAGACGGAGCTCTACAAAATGGTTCTAATTTGGAAAAATCACACGAGAGTTGTGGGAGGAGATAGACTTTGACCTAGTCATCCCATTTTTCATACTTCTGCGCTTACAATTCTTTTCAAAATTGTCCTCATGAAAGTGCAGGCTTTGATGATTATAAGGCAAAAGAATTATGAAAAATACTCTTTCCGTTCAGATTTGACGGGCGTCTGAAAAATAGGTCACGGCGGGGCGCTGAACGGGCAGCCGCGCCGCGCCGACTTCATGTTTTACCCTTAAGGGTACCTAGGTCGAGTTTGGGTACCCCCTTAAACCATTTTCTCGCCAAAGAATCGAATTCTTCAAGTTCTGAGGAAATAAAAAACTCTATAATGACCCTATAGCTATCTAAACGTTTTCACGGTGAAAACTAACTATAAAGTATAAAATCTACAGGAAATGCTAGCGCCTCAAATATGGACGAAAAATTTTTCTCTCCGATTATGCTGATTAAGTGCTAAAATGAAAGCTTATGGCCTGGTTAACATCGTAATGAAGCTTAAAATTGCCCCAGATAATTAATTTCAGATCAAAATCAGAGAAAATGGAAGCTTACCAAGCAAAAATACGAAATTCGTGAAGACTAGACCAAACTTTTGAAAATTTTCTTAAGAAAATTTTTGAATTTCATCAAAAGCTACTGACAAAAGTGAGATCTAGGTTGAATCCTTCAAAAGGCTATTGTACGCATTTTTAGCCCTTCCAGGTTCCTCAGAATAAACCCTTAAAGTCGGCGATCTCGACCCAGGTACCCTTAAGGCTCTCTCTCTGCTATTCGAAAAATGGGCTCATTTTTGAAAAATGAGCTTGACTTTTACATGCTTTATCACCTTATATTTACGGTGGATAAGGTGCCGTATATTGATATGTGCACAGTTTAAAGACTGACAAACAAAAATTGAGTGGTACTAAGGGGTGTAGCTAAGATAGTTTGGCTAACTTTTTTGTCTGGTATCCCGTTAAATAAGTCATAGACATCAGCTCACATATAAATATGTGCATAGATAAAACGTCTTTCTTTAGAATTTTAAGTTCGAATTTTGAACAAAATAAAAGGCACCCTTGATCTTGATTTCTCAAAATTCTGGTCCGCGTGAAGCCTATTTGGTTTCGATTGGGGGTGAGTTAAAAAAACAAAGCTAATGGATAATAGCAGCAAAATTGATCCCTTCAGTTGCCGCGCCAAAATTTCATCCAATCGCTAGCAAGGTTGCGTTTGAGGACTTCCCACGGGGAAGATCGAAGTGCATTTTTATAAACAAGAGCGCAAAAGAAAACCCCTTTTTAAGACTCTTAACTGGCCAAGACAAAGGTAACAGCTCTGAACAAATGGAGAGAAAACGATAAGACATTGAAGAGTTCAATCTCTAAAAGCGGCACACTATCTATCGAGACTATAAAAAATGTTGCCAAAACCAAAAAAAGAATTTATTCACGAAATGAAGAAATCTTTGTTTCTAAATAGAAACGAGAAGGAAAGTCTTAAAAACACAAATTGTTTTTGTGACGATATCTAAGCTATAAATTTTTATTTTTATAAAAGACTCAAAATTAGGAAAATCAAACCTCGAAGATTTCTGTGGAACATACACCGCGCAGAGCTACTATTTTTACTGAGGGTGGATTATGGAAAAACGGAATAACCAAACACAAGGAGGAGCTTTTTGACGAAAGAAACCTTGATATCCAGTCAAAAGTATGCTTTAAATTGTTAAATTTTGAGCTTTTTAAATTAATCTTACTGTAGGATCAGTAAGAATCATAGGCTATGATTCATAGCCCTTTAGTCTTTATTTTTATCATTTATATCTTGACTGTTAGAAAGGTAAATTTCGAAATAAAGACTCGTCGATTTCCCCTGTCTTGAAAAAACCCTAAGGATCCCTTAATGTAACTTGTGATCAGTCACGTGAATAATTCTACTGCTTTTACACCAAGTAAGCAAGTCATGATGAGTGATGAGGTTTATTCAATGGAATTGGTGATGGTGTATGCCTGCGGCTAGAGCACCAAGCTGCATGGATAATGCAGAATCCGATAGTTTCACAACCTTGATTTCATCCTTTTTTCGAAATAAGCGAGACTATAAAGATTTTTCGTATAATTAATTATTTCGTTGAAAAAAATATACTTGAATATAGCACATTTTTCGATTTAATCGATGAAACAAGAGTCACCACAAAGAATTAAGAATGCGATTGACAAACTCAAAGCCAAGGTAGAAACTTTGACCGTGATTCAGGGCTGCTTGAATTCACGAATGAAATATTATGTGAATCATAAACAAAAACTGTGTTCTTCGAAATGCAATTACATCTGAAAAAAGCATTTTTTCTTTCAGGCTGCTTCGCTTCCTAGGACGTCTATGCTTGTCAGCCCGAGCCCGACAAAAGCGCAGAAAGCAGCGATAGAGAAGAGATTGACCTCGATTGATAATCTAGTCGATCAGTTTAGACGAGGAAGCCCCTTCAGCAGTAAAACGTAAGTTGAACTGGACAATTCTCAAATAAGAAAGTAGAAATGAGACTTCACTATGTTGAATATGTAAGTCTTGATATATTTTTAAAGTCAAAGTCAGCTTTATAGACTCTTAATCATTAAATTTGATTTTTTCATTAAAAGCGATCAAGATTGATGCCCTCGACTTTTCCATCAAAATTCATTCGGAAGAGAAAATCTCTTTGAAATTGTTATGAGAGCGGCTTTGCTAGGAAGTGTTATGTCTAAGCGGACCTCTTTGTTTCTGTGATTTATTTCTTTGTCAAATAGACCCATCCTAGTCCGAATAGAAAACTCGACTTTCGGAAGAAAATCAAAAGGAAAATGATCAATCTAAACAAGAATCGAGAATAAAATGAATATTGATACTCTTACTTTACCAACAAGGAATGGTCGCGGAAAATTTTTGTTTCTATAATGCGAGCTTCGTGAATATAATTTTAAACATAATGTCTCTTGATTAAAATTTAATCGTAAAAAGAAAATTAATTCTGTCATAATCTAAATCAATCTTGCTTAAGGACCCCTCCGTCATGTGATAATGACTTTTTCAAACACGGATATCAGGTTGATCCCCTTATGATTTTGAAATATTTTTTGATAAGTCTGTAGCTCGATAGTTGCTCTAGGGCACCAGATGGAAAAGAAGCTCATAGGCCTCTTAAGGGTGTCGCAACGATAAGTTAAAGTGAAAATATTTTTCAAACATAGATATCATTATGATCACCTTAATTGATCAAAATATATTTATATTGAAAATTTAGCTGAGACCCTTGTCGAGGGCACCGTATCAAGTGTATGGTGATATCTTAAGGGTTTCACTAAGAAAAAAGGGTTTGAAGATTGGTAATCGACCGAAAAATGGGCAAATTTAGCTAAAAAGCCCGAAAATCAAGATTTTCAAAGTCGATTTTGAGGGTCAAGGAGTCGAATTAGATTTTTACGACAATAGAGAGAAATGATCCTCGGAACTCAAAGAATCGATTTCCGAAAATCGTCAAACATGACGGGGGTCCTTAAAATGCACATTCTCGTATTAATAAGACATGCTGTTGATTTATCGTGACAGAATAAATTTCTAATTAAGAATACTCTGCAAGATTCTGTGTGGTCATGTGAATAAGTTTATACTCGGGGCGCTTATGAGAGCGGTTTGATTATTTCTATTTTAATTTATAACTCGAAAAAGAGAAAATGCGGTAGTGAGATTTGACTAATTTTGTCTTTGTAAATTTTTAACAAGGAAGAAGATTTGATATTTGCATTCTAATGCAAAGAACTGCATACTGACACAGTAGATAAATCAGGCGCTATCAAATAATGTTCAGCATTTCTCACTGCTTCGTAATCATTTATAAATCATCATCTTTAGTCTGATCACAGCGCACATAATAAGCGAGAGATAATAAAACTCATCGTGTTTGAGAACAAGGCCCGTGGCAATCAAATATAGAATTTTAAGCGTTCGCGTTGTACCCATATTTATGCAGAGAATGGGCGAAGAGGCATTTTTTCCAGCCCAGGGAAGAGAGCTTCAACGAAGGGATGCAATTTTCTTTCACCTGCCGGAACAGACGGAAAGGTTTGATAGAAATCTGCACTTTACTCTTTACTCTTTTTAAATACCATTATGATTTTCTCAAGATATTTTTCCGCAAGCTCATTCTTAAATTGTTTTTTGCGCGCACAGCGATTAATAAATATAATAGTACGCTCTTTTGAAAGATCTCTTGTTTCTTAAGTGCGATTTATGACTTTTTTCGACAATTCTTAAGAGTTTACACGCGAAGTAGCGATTGAATTTTATTCGTTTTTATTGGAATTGCTCACAAAATTTAAAAAAGGCAACAGCTTCCAATTGTGCGCAATTAATTGTCTATTGATAAAAATCGCTCGAAATTGCTAGGAAACGCGGAAAAACTCCTTTAGTTCTAAAGGGCCTTTCTTTGTCTTCCATATTTTTAATGCTAGGAATCTAAACAACAATGACACACTTTTTATTTGCAAAGAACTGCTTTAGTCTTCTTGAATTTTTTCGAGATTTTCCTTTAAACTAATGGTACGCCCATTTGGTTATGTCGCGAGGTAGATATTTTTCTTCAATTGAACTCGTTAAGGATAATAAATCTCCTTTGAACTTACTTTCAACTTCGCCCTCGCTAATTGACCCTGAGCAAACAGAGGAACAACCTTTTTTCTTCTGCTACTTTTTTTTATAAACCTCAAAATGACAGTGGTAGAGAGGTTGAAAAGTCTTGAAATTATAATATTACCTTTTCCGCCATGGGACGGCAGTGTGAGGTATTTGCTAGTCATTAATAAGAATTTGCATGTGATGAACCCTAAGCGTGTGCAAAGCCGCATCTTATTGCTTTATCTTCCTTTTTTGTAACTTGCAAAAATATCCACTAAAGCAAAATTGCATGAGTCGTCTTTTAAAGAGAAGAGCCTCAGAAGACGAAAAAAACAAAAAGTATGATTCAAGCTATTTTTATCGCGGCGCGATTGGATGCGCGGAGAACGTCCGTACTCGAATTTCGATAAGTTTTCGACAGTAATGTTACGCATCTATTTCAGAAACTCCGTAATAGATGGTTATTCTTTTTCAAGATCGTCTGATCTTTTAATCATCCTTTTCTTTGCAAGACAAATTACTTTTCAAAATGAAAAGAAATCAATCTAATATCTTCTTCTTAGAAAATCTTCTCAATCGAATGAACTGAGTGCAAGCTCTGAGAAACTCCCTGGAAGTATCGAAGACCTGGAGCCTGCACAGAACTTGATACATATCACTCAACAGTAAGTTAAATATACCCATCCATTGCTCATCTAAATTTTACGGTGTCCCAAACTGGTTTACGAGTCTTTTTTGAGTAAGATATCTTTGCGAGTCTTTTTAAAGCCTAGTGCACTCTTTAAATAGTGATCAGGTGACAATCCAGCATCGAGAAAATTTGTCTGAGACGATTTGTCACTTTCCAAATATTGAACTATTGACTTTCATAGCGTTTTTATTTATAAAACACAAGCCATTTCAAACAATTAAAAAGTGAAATGATGGAAATACTGCAGAGAACCTATTCTGGGTAGGTTAAAAGAGTTTATTAATTAACTGGACTTCACTTATGTCTGAGCTGCTCTTTCTATTAATTATTCTTACACTGAAGTCTTTCATTAGATATGAAAGAAGAATTCAATTGGTTCAGAGACATTCTCTCTTTTATCAAGGTACTATGTGAGAACGACACAGTTGAATTTTTGAGATTGTAGAGGCCCCTACTTCATAGAATATGAATCGCTTGAAAATTGCGAAAAAGAAAAATCTGAAAAGTAGAGACAGGCTCAAGAGCAATTCCTGCCACAATCTAGTATCTAGGTTATCTTAAGAGAAATTTAGTTTTTCAAATATAATAATAATTTCAGGGAGCAAAATGAGAAACAAAAGGAAGAGGAAAATATAAACTACAAAATACGAAAACTTGATGAGGAAATATCAATTCAAAAATCAAACGCGAAGAAGTAAAAGCAGCATTTTTTCGCTCAATCCTCGACCTGACCAGAAAAAACGCGTTGAAGCAAGCTATGAGAAGCAAAAACAGAAGATAAATGACAATATACAAAAATTAGATAGACGCAAGCAAAAACTTGGTAAGCTTATTCACAAATTTGAGTTCTTGTTTAATACTTCTTTTAAAAATAAATAAGTTAACTTCGCAAAACACTTGGTCCAATCATTTGACCAGCGCGATTTTGGCCGCCTGTAATTCTCGTTGTAGTAATCTGTTTGATCTAGATATTTTTTGTGAGCTAAGAAGACGTTAACGAACCTCTTTGTGAGTTTTCGAATGCAGACTCAAAAGTAGTGGTGTTTTGTATCAGATTTGTCTTACGCTCTATGGTGGAAAATCAGTTCGATTTCTTTGGTAATAGTTAAATAATTAACTATTAAAGGAGAAAGTTAAAGCTTTCTACCAATTTATTTAGAAGCTTTTTTACTTTACAGAAACGTCAGTTAGAGCAAAAAGTCCTAAGCGCTATTTTTCACAGTTTAAATTTTGCGCGCCGCGCGGGCTGGATAATGCATTGTGGCCCAATAATTGGACCCCGTGTTTTGAGCGCTTAGTCGCGCGTCCGTGTATTGAGAAGTGAAGATGTAAATAATACATTTAATTTTGAATATTCTTTCTAGAAAACAATACTACAAGAGTCTGAAACACTAACAAATAAATTAAGAAGGAAAATTAAAGACCCATTCTTGCTCTGAAAGCGACCTTCGCCAAATTGTTCGTAGCGCGGATTCAATTCGAAACAATGACATGAATAGTAATTCAACCGACACAATTATGCGAGACGAGCACAGCGAACCGGGCCCGATGACAGTCAATTTCTTACCGAGCAAGAAGAGCAGCTCACAGAGTCTGATCTCGATGGAGACTCGCAGTCTTGAAGAATCAGAAAACGGAGAAATCAAAGCGTCAAATGAGATATTGACAGAACTAAAACTGCAGAAAGAACTCTACGAATCTGGTCTCAAAATGATTAATACGGCAATTGCTGACTTTGAAACGAAAAAGGTACGTTTTTGTTCTTAAAGACCTTTTCCGGGGTTTTCCACGAAAAAGCCCCAGTGCGTACCGAAATTCACTGAGACGTAGATTATCGGGTGCCCTTCTTTTAAAGATATGAAAAAATGGAAATATCTAACTTGGTATCATTACCCCTAGAGTTTAGGGTAAAAATTCTTCCAGCCCTTCTTAGAGCTCGTAAAAAGTATTAATAGACTCAAATTACTAGAATGAAAGATTTATCCTAGATTCTACCATTTACAAAGCTTTTTTTAGAAATTTCTAATGATGCCACGTAATGATGCCACATTTCTAATGTTGCCACATGACTGGTTCTCATAATTGGTATATTGATAGAAATCGGTGATATTTACGGCGAAATTTCTCAGATACAGTCATTTCTCAAGTTTGTTAACAGGAATAGACGGGCGGTCGCTAAGCCTGCCTTTCTTGGTTTTGTAAAGTGGAGCTTCGCACCCCTGTTAAAAACTTTGGTCTTCCAAAAATAGATAGGGCGCCGACCACTAAGAAACATGAGTGGAAATCGGTGAAAAAATAGTAAAAATCATGACTACTTAAGGGTAGAACATGACATCGGCGCGCGGCGCCTCGCTCGCCCAGCGCCCCGCCGTGCCCTACTTTTCAGAATGCCCTAAAGTCGGAACGGATAAAACTTTTCAAAAATTTTTCGGATTTCAGATTATCAAAGCCTTTACTTTTCACAGATCAAAAATGAGCAGAATAAGCAAAGAATAAGTTGGAGAAAATGACATGAGTTGGTTAAACTCTATCTCCTCTCGCAATTCTTATCCGATTTTTTCAAATTTAGATAGGTCGAAAGTGCTCCGTTAGACCTAAAATTTCGTAGTCTCAGAATTAATTTTGAACCTCCCTTAAGTTCCACACGGCTTCTCAAAACAAGTGCTCTCACGCCGCGCCGCTTCTTCTCTCTCGCTGCGCGCCTCACGACGGTGCAGCTCTCATTTCAAAAGCTCATATAAAATTCCATAAAGCTTCAAAATTTATTCTGAGACTACGAAATTTTAGGTCTAACGGAGCACTTTCGACCTATCTAAATTTGAAAAAATCGGATAAGAATTGCAAGAGGAGATAGAGTTTAACCAACTCATGTCATTTTCTCCAACTTATTCTTTGACGATTCTGCTCATTTTTGATCTGTGAAAAGTAAAGGCTTTGATAATCTGAAATCCGAAAAAATTTTGAAAAGCTTTATCCGTTCCGACTTTAGGGCATTCTGAAAAGTAGGGCACGGCGGGGCGCTGGGCGAGCGAGGCGCCGCGCGCCGATTTCATGTTCTACCCTTAAACCTGGGGAAAGGGATTCCTCAAGAATAAATTTTTATACTTTCTCTCAGAGTGAGTTGGACGGTGAAATACGAAATCTTCATTCAGAAGTTTTCAAGAGTCAGAAAATTATTGAGCAGACAGAATTTGACAATGCGGAACGGTGAGAGAACAAAGCTAATAACAGGTTTTACAATTAAATCCTAGGCTGAAACAAATTATGAACGAGATTCACGACGATTCAGATCTTCAGAAGATGGAACACTCAAGATTACAAAATGATTTGGATCAAGTAAGAATCATATTGAGGCTTTTACTCCCTAGTTAACCCTTCATTAAGTGCAATTACCGAAGTAATGAACGAAACAACGATCTCATAGAGCGACTAGAGAAGATGCAAGATCGAATCGAAGCTCTAGAAATTAAGCAGCGGAAGGTGGAAACCTCGAATCAAAGACCGATTTTGCCCGGACCACTTGAAAAAGGTGATAAATTATTTTTCTCTCGGTTTCTATGCGTAATTTAAGCTCTTGAATTGCTTATGCCCATCTTTGCATTCTTTCTCTTCTACTATAATCGTTTGGTACGCGGCGACAAAGACTCTTCATTTTGGCTCTTTGGATTATCTGGAGTAGCGATATCTGTCATCGTTCTCCGATATTTGACGCAGCGCGCATCAACATTAACTGACTAAAATTCTTCATCGTCTACCGATTTTTACTTTTTGACGCCATCTAACATCAACAAGAAAAGATAATCATAGTTTGAAAGAAGCTACCTCTTATTCTGTACTATCAAAACATTTCAAATACACTTCAAGTGAATAAAGTAGGGTTTTTCTTTCATTTTTCAGACAAATGGACTAAAAAATCAACATTTGGTTTGTTGGCTTCTTCTTGATGTTTTAAGAAATAATTTTCCTGAAAAAATTTGTTTATTTACTTTAAGAAATGAAAAAGCAGACACTGAACGCATTTTTTTTGAAGAATCGAATTGAGAAGAGCCGTGTTAAGGTCGAATAAATAACCCATTTTGGTCCTTCTATGTAGGAGAATAAAAAACAAGAATAAATTGGAGCTAAGTATTAGAATTCATAGAAAGATCAATCTCATCCATACCGTACTGGTTACATGTAAGAGAGAAAAGATTTAATATTTCTGGACTTGAACTGAAGAAGTCTTTTGAACTTTAAACATTGAACTTAGTAGAGGAAGGAACTTATAATGGGAGTCTGGTATGTAAGGTCAAATTTAACTTTAGATTACTCTTGCAGAAACTTAGGGCTTTTGTTAAGCTGAAATGAATTATAACTTTGGTGAGTTTGTAAACAATTAAGCAGCATATTTTCACATTAAAAGACATGTTTTTACGTAAGCAGGGCTGTCGAAAACGCCCATGAATAATATGATCTCGAGAATAGGCAAATGCTTCAGATTGCATTAGTTCATTGTCATTTACCTCTCAATAAAACTTGAGTTATTTGGGTACAACGTTGAGGATATTATTTTTTCCAGAAGCTACATGTTTCCGGATTATATTGCGATAAGTTTTACATGTCACAACATTTCAGGGAAATTCGGGAGAGGTTGGGGACTGAGAGAGGGTAATTGGGTAAAAATATAGCTTTGAATAGGGTCTGAGAAAGACACAGGGGCAAGATAGGTTGAATAATTTCTTATTTTGTCAGGAGTTAAAAGCGATTAGCCTGGAACGTGCGCTGAGCCGGAAGAAAAGAAGCAGCAATGGCAGTGCGCTGCTCGTAAGCAGGATGACCGTGCGCCGCAACAGGCAATACGCGCCCGTACGACAACCGTCGGTCCATCTGAGCGATAGTGTGGTTCTCTGAATACTCATCTGATAAATTTGATCAAGAGTATAACGCTTTCGTTACCTTGTGCGCGCATTTGTCCACGAGTCTGACAAACGTAAGTCGAGATAGTCCGCCGCACAAGAGACTCGTTTGCTTTCTCCGGGTAAAAACGACGTGATTCCGCAAGTATCATGTCAAGTTTTTTCTCGTCAAGCAAGCCGATGCCGCCTCTACTTACTTCTTCCATTGAAAAGAATACCTACGAGGAATGTTATCTAGTTCTGAAAGAAGAAAACTTTTTAAAGCTAGCTTATTCTAAAAGCTTTTATAGCCTCATAGGAGTCCAGCAAGAAGCTAAGTAAAAGAATAAACTTCTACTCCTATCATGGTGCATTAATAACTGAATATGTAACCTTGCAAGCGCGGCGTATAAAGCTGGTTACAGAGAGCTGGCCTGTCTCGGCTTCTCTGCGCAAATGATCCAGGCGAGATTGGGCGGCATGGGAGAGCTCAATAGAAAAAGCAGCTGAGCTTTGCTGAGCTTGAACAACAGCATTGGCGGCGTTTTGAGCGGCGGCAGTAGCTGCACAGTACCCTGGCGTTGACACTTGGTATCCTCCACCATGCTCCCCTGTGTAAATCACCTCTACCTGAAAAGAGAGAATGACCACCTGCAAAAGGATAAACAGTTGCAAATCAAACAAAAAAATACATGCTTCTACATTTTAATCCTGCGAAACCTGCTTTATTGGCCTTTTATAATTGTATTTATGGTGCATTCTTGCAGTGAACTTTATTGGGCAATATATTCCAGTAGCTCTAAACTCTACAAAAGTAGCTAAAATATGAAGTGACTCAGAAAGACATGACCTAAAGTTAGGTAATACTGACACTGTCTGGGCGCATAAGTGGTAAAAGATAGGCTGGACGATGTACATTATATTAAGATATTATTTAGGGTCAGACTTGTATCGCCTCGTGCACGGTTTTGAGCAGCAACAAAGAAATATGAATGGGCATCTGATCGGTTACTTTTTGTAGAATAAGAATATGAACTGTCCTGGAGGTCTTTACAACTCAGGTATACAGCTATTAGTCTATCTTGTTTATCTGTGCCACGTGAATTATCATTTTGTCGGTGGAAATGGATGCATATATAAACGAATATATATGAGTAGATAAATAAATATAGATATTATAAAAGTTGAAGTTGTGAGACGATGTTGGTAGTCTGGGCACAAGGCTGTATTAATTTCAGTAATTTTGAGTGAATATTCTAAATTCTAGACAAAATTTCTAGAAAAACTAGCGGCTAGATTAAGAGTCCATCTCTCTTATCTGCGACGCAAACTCAGGCGCCTCAAGTGCTAAGGTCCCTCTTCCGAGCGGTAGTCCCGCGAAATAACGCGAGTCGGACATGTAACGCGGCATGGATCCATTCTGCGAGAAGTTAGGCCATGCAGAGGGCGCCATCACTTGTGCGCGGCCGGTCTGCCAATGAGCTGCTCGCTTAGACTTACGAGGGGTCACTAGACGCAAAAAAGCGCTCCTTTTAAGGGGCTGGGGTCGACGAGAAAATTTTTTTCGATTTTCAAAGTTTTTAGGACTTCTCAATTAAAAAAAAGGCTTTGTTGTTAGCTTTTGGGAATACTAACTTTTGATCGCAAAATTTTCGATTTTCAGTCTGGAATTCACGATTTTTAGATGATTTTAAGTATATTTTTTTCTTACAAAAGTAATCATGATCATATTTATATTTATAAGACGTAGGTTTTTAAATATTTAACTAATGTGTAATTACAATTATCGAGTCTCTGTGACTTGCACAAAAATGTGTAAAAATATGGATTGTAAACGATGTTTTTTAATCAGAAAGACATTATTTTCACATGAGGTAATCCTTATTATTCGATTGCCACTGTATTTTAAGACTTAAAACCATTGGGCTTATGCCGAGCTGCGATTTTATGTTCACGACAAATTTTCAAAATGAAAAATCTATGAAAAAAATTAGCCAATCTACCGGCCAATCAGTGGCCAGTTACTTTTTTCGGGAAAAGTTTGTCGCGAACAAAGTATCGCAGTTTGGCACTTTCCCAAACTTTAATATTTGAAAAGGAAAAAAGTAAGGTTCTATGGTTTTTAAGGGATCCCCCCCCCCCATTCGGCCAACTTTGAGGTCGAACTACTTTTTTTCGGGCTTAGCTATCTTAGACCTGAGGGGCATTTTTTGAAGCCCATTTCTTAATGAGCAATCTCTAGAATGGAACTTAAATTTGAAAAGGCGAATCACCTCTAAAAAAAGCCGGCAAGACATTGATAGTCGCCAAAACCCTTGTTTTGGGCCATTTTCAAAATCGATCTTTTTCAAATCGGGAGGGGATCCCTTAAGTTGAAAAATGGTCCCAGTTTGAGCCAATTTTCAGAAAAAATTTTCAAGATTTTTTTTTGGTTTTCGCCGCTGTAGTTTTCAGAGAAATTCACCTGACCAATTAGAAATTTTCTATCATAGCGGGTTTTTTCCGGAAATTGTTTTTGAAAAAAAAAATAAATCTCGTCGACCTCCCCCTTAACTTATTCGAGCCGTGCGTTTGGGCGTTTAAGAAGAGTCTAGTCACCCCGTTCCTTTCTGATCTCAGAAAGCCTGATGGAGAGAGTCTGTCTGACCTCTGCCATGTTCGCCCGGTACCACCGCTGAGTCTCAACCAGAAGAATTGATATTTTATTCTTATCAATATCCTTATATTGGTTTTTGAAAAATTTCGCGTTGATACCAAGGAAGTGGTTTTTTCAAGTACCATGCCTTTACGGAGTCGACCATCAATTCACCGGGCTCGAAAATGATTTTTGACAAAGTTCGCACAAAGCGGGACATTGACAAGTACTATTGACTGGCTATAGAATCCGTTTGAAATTGAAGCGTGTCAAATTATTATAACGAGAAGCAGAGTTATTATTATAATTATCTCATTAATGTCTCCCTTATGTTAGAACGCTGGGCTAAAGCTCGATAGAGCGTGAAATTTTCGGGTATACAAGCCACGTGGATTAAAAGAGACAACCTTTTTTCGCGAAGACAAGAGAAAACACAGACCACGTGTCAGTCTTGAATTTGAGATTCAATATTGACACTGCTGATTAACTTAAGTTATGAATATATTTTTTCAAAGCAAAATTGAGTTAGGCGGCGAGAATTTAAAAAAAACGAACGCGCGCGCTTCAGATTCTATAGCCGTGTCTCATCACCCCTGTTCGCTTCCTGTCTCAGTGCTTGTAGTTCAGCTTTGTGTCCGTTCTGTTCTGCCAGTTTGTCCACACTCGCTACTGAGCACTTGTTAAAGCTCAAAGGACCGCTCCGCGTGCCGACCAACTTCTGAAGTAAAAATTATGCGGCTGCATTACCGCGAGCGCGAAATAAGCGGAGCAAGCTAGAATCATCGTCTGTCAATAAATTTTGATCAACCGAAATTAATAATAGTACTGATAACATTAACAGGCGATGATTAAATATGAGAGTATTGAATCAAATTTAAGCTTTTTGTCGAGAAATACCGTCGCTCGTTTCTAGCGATGGAAAGCTGAAAGCGCAAAAATTTTGAGCGTATTTCTCATTGAAAGGCTATTTGAAGAAGACAAAAAGAGTGACTCATTTACTTCTCTTACTAGCTAATTTATTGCTTTTACGTTTGATTTAGCGAGCAATTTTGAAAGCGTTGGCGGGTGGCAAGCGTGGCAAATCAGAACAGCACAAAGGTGAGCGAAAAGCACTAGAATTCGGTTAATTTTTGCGCAGAATACAACGATAATAAAATTTGAAATCAGTTCCTGCGATAAATAAGAATATGTGACTAACCATTGTTATTAATCTAATGGCAGGTCAGTATAACAACCCTGCTATTATTATTAATGTAACTGACATCACCATAAGCACAATGTTCAAAAGCTGCATTCTGCTTGCTGTTCATTTGCTGTCTGATTTTGCCAAATAGCGGCGGCGGATGGGCACGATCAAGGAAGAAAAACACTTATCTCGATCATTAGCAATAACGAGCGCAGAGGGCTTTGGCAATGGTGTTTTTAAGCATTGTTTATGATTATAAATAAGAGACTCGCCAGATCAAATAATAGTGCAGCCTTGACGGATTTTATAGAAAAAGTCGCATTGCGTCTCTTATGTTTGATTCTTCATTGAATTTTTCAAGTGCTCTGATTTTAAAAAGCCTGGTCTAAGAAAAGCGCAAATTGTATATATCTTGTTATGATTATAGATCAAACGAGTCTCTGGGAGCAAAGATTGTGGCTAGCTGCACTAAAACAAGTTCAGTGCATATAAAACTTCATTGTGCGAATTTGCGTTGGCTCTGTTACCTGTGAAGAAGGTTGATTTCGCGAAGCATTGTCAGATGACAGTGCAAAGCTCGGAATCGACAATTGGTTCATCGGGCGCTGAAAACGTTTTTATTTATTCGTTAACTCGCTTAGCTTTAAATGATTCTATTTTCAGATACTAATTTAAATTTCAAATTATAAGATGAGTTATTTTCGATTTCATCAAAAAAATTTTTTGAGTTTAAAATCAATCTTTGAAAAAAAACCATCTATTGAAAAAATAAATAAAATGATACTTGTCTGATATTAAAAATAAAAATCAAAGATAGAAAAGCTTACCTGAAGAGGTGTTTCGAAACTTAAAGGAGGTCGCACAACCGAGCGCATCGGAAGACTTTTGGACGTTCCATTCTAAAATTGGCAGGTTAACAAAAATTTCATGTTTTTGAAGCTACCGTATCGTCTCCAATAACTTCACAGTCAGAGTCAATATCTTCTTGTTTAGGCATTATTGGCTCTCGTTGGTGAATTATATCGTTTCGGCCTTCAGAACTAGATAGACCTCCATCTATCACCGAGACTTGAGAAGAAATCACCCCATTTCCTGATGGTACTAAAATTGTGATTAATAACTAAAATTTGTGATAAATATCTCCCCCGATTTCGTCAACTTTGAGGTCGAACTACTTTTTTCGGCTAAGCTATCTTTGAGGTTAGGGGCTCATTTTGAAGCTTATTTCTAAATGAGCAATCTCTAGTATGGAAATTAGAGTTGGCAATGGAAATCATCACCGAAAATAGCTCTGAAGACATTGATAAGCGTCAAAAACCCAGTTTTAGGGCATTTTCAAAGTCGATCTACTTTTTATTACTCCTATAAATTTCTCATGTTTTATTCTTAACACCTTCCTTGATCCCTGATCTACAATCTCGAGTACATTCATCTAATATTTTAAAGGGGTCTGAAATTTTTCTTAACAAAAACTGTCTTGACTGATTTTTGCCATTTTTCGGACTTTCTTTGCTCTATAGCGTTTTTACGTGGTAAAATATTTCATCAGATTCAACTTTTTCTGATTCAATTTTTTCTCAGCTATCCATAGAGCCCCTATTCATCTGATTCTGTCGACTTGAAAAAACGAAAATTTAGCGAATTTTTTCTAAGTAAAATTTTTTATCAAAATAAGCCATTTTCAAAGCTCTGTTACGGCCAATCACGTTACGTACACCCCTTGACATAATATATTAAAATGATCGTTAGTCTATGGAGATTTTAAAAATATGTCAAACAAAAGCTCTCGATGAAATCTTTCAAATCGGGAGGGGATCCCTTAAGGGTATTAGCCAAGGATTGATATTTTGGGTCTTTAAAGCTTAACATAAGTCGACGCGGAGATCAGTAATCCATTGAATCAATATTTTCTAACGTAGAATAATATATGGCAATTTAATACCGCAAAATAAAACCAAGTCGCGTAGACGGACCTTAAAACCCGTTTAATCCCTATTTAGATTAGGGTGAATATAGACGATTTAAAAAGATATCAACCTCAGATAATGCTTAAGAATAAATCGATTTTATTTTTCATCGTTAGTTACTTACCAGAACTAGGTATTGATTGCTCCATCTTTTCTTGTTGTTTAACTATGTCTTCTAAGTTCATGTCATCAACATCTCCATCGGATATGTTGTCAATCTCATTCGAAATCTGCCGAATAGCATGATGAGGATGAAAAGGGCCGCTCTCCGAAGATGAAGGAAGAACGATAGCACTCGATGAAGAAATTGACGGCGTATTAAGATTACCATTATTTTCGATTTCAGTCTTATTTGATGGTTGACAATGCTGATTATTGCTTGGCGCAGCAGTGGCCTGCGTATTTTCTGCGACAACGGAGTCGCGCCGTGAACAATTTTCCTAAAAATAAAACAGTTATTTAAACTGCCGCGTATTTGACATATAGCAATGATTTTTTTCATTAAAATGTTCTTACTTGAGGTGATGGAGAAATGCTTTTGTTGATAGTGACTGTATTTTCACTTTGATTTTGAGTGTTTTCCTTGTTGCTTAGATCTGAACTTAATTGGATGACGGATTTGGGCGTCGGTGGAGTTGGTTCTGTCCCTGGGGTTGACGGTTTTGAAGACGGGTTAAGTCGGATAATGTTGCCTCTATTTTGAAGCTGTGTTTGGATTGCCTCTTGCAAGTTATTGAGCGCGTTACGGTTGGCGAGAATGGGGTCTATGGAAATATCGCCAACATCGAATTTCTTCATGCCCTCCATTGACAATGTGTTCGGATTGATAGGAATCGCCAGAGGAGCGCGCGAAGTAAGTGCCGAAGGAAGATTAAAGGCCGAAGAAAAGGAAGGAGGACGGTGCGCAGACGGATTAGGCCGAGCACGCTTAGGAGTCATCGGAATCTGAATAATCATTTAAATCCACTACCATCAAATATGATTTAGAAATTGAAAATTTTAAACTTGACTCTTGACAATGGCGTATTAAGTTGGAATTAACGCCGCAAAATACGAAACCGCACACATCAGATCAAAAATTTGAATTAAATGGGCAGCCGCGATGGTTTTTTAAAGTGCAGCGCACTTAATCGTCTTTCTTGCCGCATTTCTTTATTCTGTTTGTGCATTAAAAGCCGCGAATAAGCTATGTGCTTCAAATAGTAATAATCGGGGCCCGTCTGCTAGTTCTAGCTCTCGGGGGTTAGAAATCAATAATATGATAATGCTAGATATTCCGCAGGGCAAGTTCAGACCCAATCCTGAAGCTATTTTCGAAGGCTAATTTCAGTCCTACGAATAAGAAAGGTACACGGTCGCGTAGCTACCGGGTCTAGTAGAATTCGAAGCAAAAAGCTAGAGTTAAGTACGATACTGGTGATGTTGGCGCGCACGACACCTATCCGAAGCAATGTCACCCGTTCTAGCCACCTGCTCAACCCACGGAAAAGTAAAAATGGAGAAAAAAAGAAAAAGACTGAGGCTTCTTTTAAAAATCAGTTAAGATGAATGCGGAAAAAGTAAATCAATATTTAATCAAACTGAAAAATGGAAATAAAATAATTTAAATAGCACAATTGATATTTCGATTTGTCTCAAAAGAAAAAAGTAGGAAATCATGAACTGCGCAATTCGTAAATATTTTTCATGCGTTGTTTTATTGAGGCTAGTTTTGCACGAAAACGAAGACCAATGTAAGCTGTAATTACTTAGTATCGCTTCCGGCAAAGTACAACAATTTTCAGCGATACTCATAACAAGAGATATTATGAAGATAAGCAATTTGCTATCTTTTTGCGCGTGGCAACGAATTTAATTAAGGACAAAGAGTAACATTTACCTGTAATTCGGGGGATTGGTATTTGAAGAGAAGCTCATTTTGAAAGTCGTTTATCTAAAGGAATTGCATAAATTTGATGGCGAAAGCAATGCTTTGAACAACGATTTAGAAGAAATCGTAAACAATCTTTTGTATAGTAAAGGTCCGCCTGAGAAGGTCATAAAGACAAATTCTGAAAATGCAACGTATCGAGAGGGATTCGCCTTCTTCTGGCATCGTATCGTTAATACGTTAACCTATCACGCGCGTAGATTATTACAATTGACCTGACTTAACCTTTTCAATATATTTTTTATAGAACTGAATTTAAAAGGATATTTATTAAACGAAGCGAATGATACCCCTTGTAGCTCCCTACATAAGAAAATAAATATCAGAATGATTTATAGAAAAAAAAATTAACAGCTTTATTTTTCTACTTTTGTCAAGTCGGTAATTTGTGTGCTTGCAAGTATGAACAACAGAGCCAAATTTTAGCCTGAAAGTATGAAATAAGTCTTTGTCAAAAAATAAGCAAATAACGTGTGAGTTGGATTTTTAAATTTCTGTTGTAGTTTTAAAAGGAATATGAAAATAAATAATTATTGAAAATAGACTGACATTTTTTTTTCTGAAAGATTGTCAATCTAAGATTGACAAGTGGGTTCGTCCTTAACGTTATCGCTCAATAAAATTGGGTGTGGTAAGATCCTAAATCTTTTTACCGCCTTGACCTGACCGTAAACCACGTCGCTATTCTTAAAATTAAATTCTAAAATAAAAATTAAGATAGTGCGATTATTTATTTTATTCTGTTTAAATACATCATCGACGTCAAACACTCATTAAGAAACGAAGTTAATTTTTGCTAAAATACGTGCCCATAATTCACTATTTTTTCCTTAAATCGACAAACCTAGTCGTAGAATAATTTTCAAATTTTGAATCAATAGAGTCTGTTTTAAGGCCATTCTTTTAGGAAGAAGAGTTTCTCTCGCTGACGGTGTGGTGAGTTTAGGGAGTGTGGTGCGAAGCCGCTAGTGAAAGCACAATGTCAAGAGCAAGTTTTAGAAAAAAAGAAAGGGAGCTCTTCGCCGCGATATCGAGAGTATTGACGGCAATTTAAATTGAAATTTTAATTTTTTAAAATGTCATAAAATTAATCATACCTGTTGAGTGGCATGGCGCTTATTTCTGATATTGACTGGAAGAGCACCTTGGTTCGGAGTTGTTGCGTCCGGACTGGGCGGAGGAGAAGGGGGCGCCGCTTCCGAGGATTCCCAATACAGTGTGCACTGTATCAAAAATTAAAAGCGGCGGAAGAAAAAGATGTTACCTGAACGCCAGAGTCGTTGACGAGGATAGACCATCTGGGCGGCAGCATTTCAGAAAGATTCTGATTGTTAAGCGCCGCCCAAAACGCGCTCGGTATGCTTTCGAACACGGTCGCCATTAGTGTAACTGCTGCCACTGTAGCTGGCCAAGGGTCTGTCTCTATAACGTATTTGGGCGGGCGGCTATTCTCTGTGGCGCATTCGCGCGCAGTGCGGCGTGTATTTCGGGCCTCTCTCCCTATTGATCCTATTTTGGCTTATAATCTCTCTAGCGCCACGAGGATGCGGGTTTAGGGGACAGCAGTAGCGGGAGCGCAGTTTATCGTAGGTAGATAGAGCTAGTACGTGCGCCGGTCTAGTGAAAGTCAAGAGCAGCTCACTATGTTTCTTGAAGCTCATCAGCGTTGACATCAGCGCCGCGGTGCCCAGGAGATCAGAGCTGCTACGCTCCCGACTTCAGTTCTCTGTCGACGGCGCTCTTCTTGTCCGCATCCATTGCAAGCCCCACAAGCAGCCCTTCAACTTAGCCTTTCTTCTTCCGGCCAGTCAGAAGACCGTATTGGGCATGCGCGTAATGCAGCGCCGCGTGCGGCCTCTATTTCGCGCTATTCGCTAAACAAAAATAATGGAGACCTGCTGCAGCTATAATACACTACGACTAGATTTACCGCACTTGGTCTCCTTCAAGTCCAAAACGACATCGAAGGCGCGATTCGAATTCGCACCACACCGTCCTCGAGCTTTAGCTCTAATGCTAAGGCTTTATACTAGACACAAGCTGAAGCACACAGCCACGAAAGAGCTTTTTAATTTCAGCAGAGAGCGCACGTTCGCTGTGCCCAAGGCACGACAACCCCAATAGCCTTTATCAATCGTTAATAAGTTTTCTTCTCCTCTTTATCAATTTTTCTCAACCGAAAATGACTGAAAAATTGGATGAAGCAGAGATGAAAGATTTCAAATTCTGTTGGATACGAATTTATGATATTCATTTCTAGTCTAAACATGGTATTCTAGCGCAGAACAATAATAAGTTTTGCGTCAAATAGGAAAAAAAGACTTCTTTAAGGACTCCCCCCCCTGTCAGCATTTTTCGAAAAATCAATTTTCGAAATTTCAAAATTTTGACCCCCGGAATTGGATTCTACGGGTCTAAAAACGATTTTAGGCTTCATTTTTTCGACTCTAACACCCTCAAAATCGCGTTTGAAAATTGGAGTTTTCGTCGAAAAATGACGAGAATGTGCAATTTTTGGTAGAATTGTTGAGATTTTTGGTCAAAACTTGCTCAGGACAAGATTTTATACTTAATCTTACTTTCAGACGCATTCAGAACAAAAAATATAGCATTTTTAAAAATTTTCATTTTCGTAGAAAGGTGAAAATTCGGTAGAGGGTCCTTAGTCAATTAAATGAATGCGCGTATATAGAAAGGGACATCGAGAATTCAGAAAGTTTAACATGTTCAGTGAAGTGCACAAATCGAACCGGCTTCTGAACATCAGATGAAGATCCTCTTAAACTTATTATATTTCTTTTGTTGAATTTACTAAAGCGTGAAATTAAGGTCTTTCAAGTAGATTTTGGTTACTTCTGATGATGACAAGTTACTTAATAAAGTTCACTCATAGAATATAAGCGTGGATTTTACTAAAAGATCGAAAAGCAATAATTTCATATCGTTGAGAGTAACAGTCATAAAAATAGCGATAAAAGTGCTATTTGAGAGTTTTGACTGTGAGACGGAACCATGAAAGTCTAAAAATCGTCAGAGGCTGGCCTATGTTTATGCCAGACTTTTAAGAGCATCTTGGGTTAATCAATTAACTAGATAAAGGCTCGTTCTCTGTCACGTCTTAAAACAAGCCCTGTGATTGAATCAAATCGGTACCTTTAATGATGATAAAGACATATTTACAACTCCCTGAAGGGAATTTTAATTCAGCGAGCGAGTAATAATCCAGGATTAATACTCCTTATTTTGGAATTATTTATGTACTTTTATCCATATTCGATTATATTTCCTACGTACTTTTAGTTCTACGACTCAGTCTCGACAAAAATATATATAATCAAAAATTTTATGTTTATAAAGCTTACGTCAAGAAAAAAATGCTTTCCTTAGTGATACAGGCAACTAGACTAAAAGAGTTAAAATTGGCTGTGGTGCGACCAACGATCCCAACCACCAATGTCAACGTGGCTGTCACGCTCGTTAAGGTGATTTTCGACTCTTGAAGGCAAGTTCAAAAGAGAAAGGCGCTGCAGCTAGAATCGCTCAGATTTTCATATCCACGCACTTCTCAAGTCGCCATTCATTCATCAAGGGTAAGACAGAGCAGCCTTTCTAAAGGAGGCGCCAATAATTGATGCTCTAATACAATTTCCCGCAGAAAATTCGAGTTTATTTTTATTTTAAATATATAACATGCTACGAAAGTGAAAGTCTTTGCTATTTTTTTTTGCGACTAATAACTCACAAACAACGAAAAATACGAATAAATTTAAGAATTAAGTCAGTAAGTGCTTTTGCCGATGTTCAAACCTATAGAAGAATTTCAGACGCCGTCAAGTTTGATAAACTCGACTGTTTCTAAAATTTGCTCCCTTTGATGTATAGTTAAATAAATGGTGCAGTAACTAGACCGTTTTTGTTTAATTTTTAGCTAGCCAGGAACTTCTGAAAGGGATTTTAGGGAAGCCGTACGTGATGCGCGACCAGACGTTTACACTACCTTCAGATGCTAAACTACTGCACCAACTCTCTGAATATAGCTTAAGACAACACTAATTTTTCTTTTCGTGCATTAGATCACCAGCTCCTTTCCAAAAATAATTTCATCCAGCCGGAGGGGTGTTCCCTTAGCCTCGCGCTCTGGATGCACTCTTCGTCAAAATTGAGCCTAAATATAGAGACTAGTATTAAGTGTACCCCGCCGAGGATTATTTCATGTTTTGAATAATTTAAAAGAGCGTTGCGTGACGATATATGCGCTCATTAAGCAACACCATTTTTTGAATAAGGGCGAAGCCGGAATAATTACCTCGTATATCCTATTTTGAACTAGATTACTTCTCGTCTTAATGAACTTTTTCTTTTTTATTCGTATTGAAATGCTTTGAAATCATGGTTTTCTAAAGGAATATTTTCTTAAATTTTGTGAGACAGTATTATGTTCACTGTACGATTACTGTAGCGATGTGATGAAGTTACAGTGGTGGATGAGTTTAAATCTATGGAGAGCGCTTGGCATTGGAACTTGAGTGTAACAAAATAGCATGGAGAAAAGTCAAGATTATCTTGTTCCCCAAGAAGATTTTCTTGTTCGCCATAATGTGGAAAAAATCCTACTTTCAGGCTCGCTGCAGAGCTAGTCTTTCGCGATGCGATACCTGCAATAAGCTTTCAATAATCCCCGCGCTATATCAGCAAAGTACAAGTCAGAAATTGAGAAACCGCGCGACAAGTTCAACCGGCTTACTAACAGTCAATTGAAAAATGGCTCTTATATTAGAAAGAATTAAAGATCATTTGAAGTTGTACGAAGGATTACTGTCACTCAAAGAATTATTGCCACAAAAAAAGGAAAAAATCTAATTCCCAAATGGTCCCTTCGAAATCGAGTTGACATTCATTTTCGCTATTAAAGAATCTGAAGATAACGATTCTGACATTTAAAGATATTCATGGTAACCTTCAGAAATCTGCGTATTTTTAGTAAGCGCAATACGAATGTTCTTCGTTGGGATTGAAAGTTACTTTTTTTCCAAAGATAAAATGTTTGAATCGAGTTGTACTTGTTGCGATTATTATTAGCATGAAACCTTTTAGAAAGTAGAATCGTGTTTTTTCGAATCAAGGAGGTAAGCCCTTCGCCGAGAAATGCTTGTAATACATTTTTCTGCGGGTAGAAAAAACTTTCAACTTGGCTCGATGGACACTGTACTGGTTCTTAGAAAGGAGCTAGTGAGACACCAAGGAGTATTTAGGCTTAGAGCACGTTTGCAGTGAAAACTATTTTTACGAAGATAAAAATTACTGCTTCGCCGTATTGCAAAACATCGAGACGCAATATACTAGACGCAGACCATCCTTTTCAAATGGTAAACTATAAATAACAAGTCCTTGTTACCACGCACTCATCTAATTGAGATTCGATTAGTAGCGCACTGACTGTCCCCCTATCGAATTCGAGCTGCGTACCAAAATCTACCGCGGAATAAGGAATAACTTCTTAGCTATAAAGGCACTTTTTAAAATAAATTTAAAATACTACTCCGGAATCAAAAATTCAAATTTTAAAACACACACAAATATTATAAGTTCGGTAAAATTGTGATTTTGAGTTTATTCGCGGGGGTCGGATTTGCATTGACGCGTTTTTTTTTAGGTTGCAATTTAATAACTTTTGCCTGGAATATGATAAGGAAGTGGTTGACGGCTCAAAATGGAGCTTACGAGGAAAAAAAAATTCGTACCGCATTCGATTTTTTAATTTTGGTACCAAACTTCCGGTATTGAATTTCGGTACTATTTTTTGTTATCGGATCGGTACTAAACCAGTACCAAAAGAATCTCCAGAAAATTTCATGAAGAATGGTACCAAAAGATCAGTACCACGACACTTCCGGCCGGAACCAACCACCATTGATTTTCCTCAAATTTGCCAAAAATAGACCAAAAACCGTGATTTCCGTAAGCTGTCTCGCTAAAATAAGTACTTATGCGTGATTTATTTTGGTACCAGTCTTCATGAAATTTTCTGGAGATTCTTTTGGTACTGGTTTAGTACCGATCCGATAACAAAAAATAGTACCGAAATTCAATACCGGAAGTTTGGTACCAAAATTAAAAAATCGAATGCGGTACGAATTTTTTTTTCCTCGTAAGCTCCATTTTGAGCCGTCAACCACTTCCGTATCATATTCCAGGCAAAAGTTATTAAATTGCAACCTAAAAAAAAACGCGTCATTGTGGCACCCCGTAATCTCAACGAATCTGAATTTTCAGCTACCATAGGAAACAGATATTTATCAACAGACAGCTGTGGATAATTATCTAGATTCTATTTAGAATTTAGGTAGAATAAGTAAGGGGTCAACTATTTTAAGAAATGCCAATTCTGCCAATTCTGAATTGGATAAAAAACTGTTTAGAAATCCAATTGTTGAAATCTACCCCTTTAAATAGTAAAAGCTAATGATAAAGAGATTATTTTTAAGATCATTGGTTGTGTTTTGTCTTCAGCGTACTCTTCGTTGTCTCCAAGAAGATATTTGTCTCGTGCTTTTATTTGATAATTAATTATCAAGCCTTCACAAATGAGCTTTGGTAAAGGTATACACATGGTAGACATCAATGTCGCCACATTGCGAAGAATAAGGCGTTATGAAGTTTATATTATAGAAGATTATGATAAGCAGTATCTGGCTGATGAAGGAACGAAGAATCGCCACCACATCATTTTCCGAAATGATCCTGTAGGCTCTCCAACCATTCCTCGGATTGAAAGTGCCGCGCAAAGGTTGGCGACCTAGTCGGCTTCGAAACTGGTTAATGGTTAAGGATAAGGTTAGGGTCATTGTATTTCAACAGAACGTTGTTCAACGTTCTTGAACAAAAAAGAAAGTTTTCAAAAAATAGGGGATCATTGTGATATTCGTAAATGGCACCATTTGTGATGGCACGCGTCAACATCACTGAAATGACGAAAAAATCATCAAACTAAAGATTGTAATCTCCAATTTGTATTCTGCTGAAAATTGAAATTTCAGAAAAAAATATCTTGTCTCATTTTTTGTCCGACCTTTGAGCTTCTAAGCCAGATAGAATTAGCAATAAATACAAGACGTGAAATCGTAGACACATAGAGAAAGCTCAAACTGGGTAATCGCCGCGTTCCAAAATGTAAGATTTGTTCAGAGTAAGAAATTTAAGTCTTAATGTTTTACTGCTGCGTAGGTTCCAGAAGATTATCCAATCAATGCGAAAAGTTTTCTTTTATTTTCTTGAGCTTGGATTTCTACTTATTCCAACCCTCCGAATAAAGTGCGAATAAAACACTCCTCGAGGCCATTTGAGAGAAAAATAAAAAGCAACTCTTCCAAATTATTTCGTTAGTTTTTCTGAGATTATGTTTTGTTAACTTTTGGACTCGAACGAGGGAAATTATCAGACGTTCATTTGTGCAAATTTGCACAAAGAGACTTTGTCTGAAGCCGCTCGGATTAATAGCTCATCGATAACTGACAATTCGCAGTTCAGAGAAGCGACTTCTGCAACCTACGAATCCCAGATATCCATTTTAGAAGAAATGGAAGTTAATATTGACACTCTGACCAGTTACACTCTCTGGGCGGCCTTCTGGACAGTACGCGAATTCGTAAGATTCCCTGCGAAATTTGAAATATTTAGTTTGGGACGTTCTCCTTCTTCCCTTTCGTCAACAAGTTCATCCCACTAATCGCCCAGTGGCGCAAAGGAAAAGATGCCGACACTATTTTGGACATGGATTGTCGCTTTTCGTCTGTCTCGAATTGTATCATAGTCTTGGTGCTTTGTTTCTACAGCCTCTTTGACGCTGACAACTTTCAATGGTGGGACATTCATTCCGACCACTGGGCCGCCGAGATGGCTTGCCAGTGCTGCTTGGGCTACTTCATGTCTGATGTTATCCTGATTTTCCGACTGAGGTTATTTTCGATCGTAGCTAAAAGCAATAACTTTTCTTTCAGAAACTATTATCCTCAAGTGTCAGACTTCTACGTCCACCACGCCGTTTCTCTGACCGCGTTTCTCCTCGTTGATGCCAATCAAGGTATGTGTGCCTGATTTTGACAATGAACTCGCTAACCTCGAGCCTTTCACAACAGTAACTTTCAGCGTGTCGCTATATTTGCATCATCCGTTTGCTCAGTGAGTCGTCGACCCCTTTCGTCAATGGCCGATGGATGCTGCTGCAGCTGGATCTGAGAGATTCTCTGATCTATCGTTTCAACAGGCATCTGACTTACTACACTTTCTTGCTCTTCCGCATTTGTACTATTCCTTTTTACTGGGGAGTCTCCGCTTACTACTTCTACACTGCTCAGTTTGGCAAATGCTCCTGGGCCTTGATAGTGATCCTCTTTGTCTCCGGCATCGCTCTCGATCTTCTTAACGTCCAATGGTTCTCTCGACTGAAACAAGGTTCATTTCTCCTTTTCTCACCAACAGTTCTCGACTAAATATTTAGGAGTCGACCAAAGGAAAGAGCAAAAAAAGCAGGAGAAGCAGAGGAAAAGCGGTTTCAAGCGTTCAGAAGATCCAACAGAAGAAGGAGTCTTCTGTTGCCCGCGCCTGGCGAATCTGCTCTCGTTTACCAGCGAAAAAAATCGAACAGAATAAACGAAACGAGAAAGACAAAGTAGACTACTGAAATTATAGCTCTGTTAAATTGAAAAATGAGAAAATAAAAGGATTCAATTATTACGTCGCTCACGAGTCGAGCGATTCGCGACATCGGCGACTGTCACAGACCCGATGCTCGATCGCAGACTTAACGATGTCGGGAAGTGTTTCCAAATACAGATCAAATACGTGATAGTTTCCGGGACGGCCAATGTGACTGGCGCACTTCTCGTCGCTATAAAAGAAGCCGTCCTGCTCGGCATGTTTTAACTTACTTGAAAGTGGCCTTTACGGAAACAGAAGAGTGTCTTTGATAAATAGCCCCAATATTTTGGAAATCAACCCATCCTTCAAAAGTAAATTTAACTACTTATTGTTCCAACTGAAGGTGAAACACAGTGTTCTTACAACAATTTTTTTCTATTCGATTTGTGAGTCAATTCTTAAATTTTCATTTATAAAATTCTCTTGTTAAATCACATGCATATATATTTTCTTTTGTGAAAAGGAAACAGGCGGACAAAGGTAGATCTTCTATTTTAGCAATTTTAAAATAGAGGATGATCTGGAGGATAAAAGGAAAGCGCGCTGCGTAGGCAGAGAGCCCATGACTCAGCAAAAGGAAAAATCTAAAACAAAAAGCGGCGCCGAACCTTTCTCCTTGAAGTATCCTTTTTTTCTAAATACAGAGATCATCAGAAGCCAGAAATAAAGCGTGAATGAGAGTTTTTCCCGTTTTTCCTAAACTCGAACTTGAATTCCAGAAATTCTGTTTTTAAATAAAAAATGCAGCTCGTCTAATCTAAGAAGAAGATTAAGACTGAAACTCGAGTCGACTCTGCTTGTAACTTGGAATTCTATGTCCAGCTACATTGAAGCTATAAAACTAGCTCAGCAAAAGAAATCAAAGCAGAAATCTGCGCCAGTTAACTCTGGCACTTATGCATCAAGCTCCAGTTCCCTTCTCTCGGGAAACAAAAAGCTAGAACGCAAAAAGCCCGACCCAAATGTAAGTTTGCGGCTGTTTAAAAAGTCGATGACAATTTATTGCAGGCGATCGCGAAGCTGAAGCAAAGAATCGCGGCGGAAAAGCCAAAACCTGCGCCGCCGAAAAAGCCAAAAGAAAGCAATGTCCATGGACCCAGCTCTAGCAAGGCAGTGAAAGATAAACCCAAAAAGTCTTCCTCTGAAAGCTCAGTTAGCAAGAAGGTAAGCCGCGTAATTTACCAAGAGAGCCGTGAATTCCGTTTTTGTAGCCTAAATCGCTCGTCTCTTCAAAACATGCTCCGAGCAGCTCTTCCAAGTACGAAGAGCCGCTCAAAAAGCGGAAATCGGAGAACGGGCCTTCTTCAAGTTCCTCAAGTTCAAAGAAGGCGAAGTTAAGTTCAGAGTCGAATAACAACAAGAAGAAGCAGGCGGTATCGTACCACGAAATGATGGCGAGAGCGACAAGTGGCAAGTCGAACAAAGACAAGTCTCCGGCAGAAACATCCTCACACAAATCTTCAAAAAACAAAAACAAAGAATCGCAAGGCGAGTCAAGCAACTCCAAAAAGGATGAAGAATATCTTTACTGGGGACTAAACGACGAAGAATACAAATTCTACCACAGTCTCAATAAAAAAGCGCGAAAGGCGGCTGAGAAGGGAATTGAATGCAAACTGGACTCGTACGAGAAGAGAATGCAGGAGAGAATCAAGAAAAAGAAAAATGAGTATAAAGCGAGGGCCAAGAAGGAGGCTGAAAAACAATCGCTGCTGGAAAAAGCGAACAAATACAAACCAAGCAAGAACAAATCCACTAACAAGTAAGCGAAAAGCATAGTTTTAATGAATCTAATTTTATCTAAAGTCTTCCGCCGCCCAAGCCTCAGCCGCCTAAGGTACTCAATCCCTACGCCAAGCTGGAGATCAGCAAAGGGAAGAAATCGAAAATACAAGAACAATCTAGCGAATCGTCAAAACTGCCAAAGAAAGAATCTAAGTTGCCCAAATCTAGCTCCGTTCAAAATTCACAGGTACTTGCCAAGTCCGATTTGAATGAGTCCAAATTGAATCCTAGCCTAAAAATGGCTATTCGAGGCCACAAACAACATACGGAAATCGCGGTTTCGACCCGTATGCGCACAGAAGAGACAGCAACCCGTACCAACAAAGGAGTAGAAATCCGTATGACGATCTTCCTGATTCGGAGGACGAGTACGACTCTGAACTCGATGATTTTATCGACGACGACGAAGATACAGTTGGAGTCGACGTAGCCCGTCAGCTTGTTCGGTAAGTCCTCGATTGACTTTGTTATTTCGATTGTAAAATTTTTTCAGTGCTAGTTGCAAGAAAATCTTCACAATGAAGAGTGGCGAAACATATTCAAGTGACAAATGGGCAGAGCGAGAACGCGGCCTCTCCGACCACGCCCTCCGTAAGCAAATGACGAGTTCGAATCGTCAGCTTATGGAGGAGGAACGCATCGCTGCTAGACGGGCCAAAGACGAGGAGAAATTGTACAATCAGAAATACGGCGTTGACCGCGCCGTCGACTACGGCTCCGACTGAGCCCCTTCGCTCATTTTCTAAATTATTTCCATTTTCACGTGCTGTAACATACACCACACTTTTACGTTGAAGCTCAGTTTCCGTGATCGCCAGGAATGCACTAAAATTGTCTCACTGTGCAGTGCATTTAGATCTCTCTCGTTAAGTGTTTTTAATTTTTCTTGCGGCCTATTTTCTACCAGTTCAAATCACTCTTCTTTCTTCTACTTTCCGTTTTGATCAAATTGTCTCTTTACATATTCAATAAAATACGCTGAAAATGTCTCAGAATAAAATAAATACGGATTGGGCACCATCTTTTATCCCGGAGCCATCCGAAAAGTAAAAACGGTTAATAAAAATAAGTTGCCTGTTAAAAATGGCTAGCATGTAAATAAATATCTCAGCGACACTATTTGCCGCCTGTTCACTACCGGTAGATGAAAACACTAAGATCAACTGTTGGTCGCAAAATTACAGAAAATCAATAAACGTCTTCTTTTAAAAGTTGCGCTCAGTTGTTCACCAGGCTCTTTCTAGAATCGAAAGGGAGTAAATAAACATGTCTGGTCTTGGTTATAACACGCTGGATCAAACTGCCAAGAAGTTTAGGAAGAAGCAAGACAATAATGCGTTGGGATTTCTATTGAACCTATTTCAAAATTTGATGTTCGACGATGCCATTCTATCTTGTATTTTCGGGTTCGAAATCCCTTGATAAGATACATATGAGTTTTACGGATCTGTGGATGATCGCGGTAGACGAACGTGGGACACGGCAGCGTACGAGCGTAAAGCTAAGTACGGCCATGCTGGGACTGTTGCGACGGACTTGAAGTCGGACAAGCGCAACCTACCGCCGAGTCAGCGAGACATGCTGAAAGCGAGAGACTACAAGGTCGATCTGGATTCTAAAGTTAACAGAACAAGTGTCGTATCAATGACAGACGGTGGAAAGGTAAACTCTATGCACGATTTCACCAAAAATACATAATTGAAGGATGGTTCCGCTGGATATTACTGTGAAGTTTGTGACTGCGTGATCAAAGATTCAATGAATTACTTGGACCATATCAATGGACGAAAGCATATTCAAAACCTTGGAATGAGTATGAATTTGAAAAGATCTACTGTAGAAGACGTCAAAAATCGGTACTGATTAGATATCACAGTATTAGTTTACTTGGAAACTGTATGTAGCTTTAAAATGCACAAAGAGAAGAAAGTAGTCGAAAAAAAGGAATACTCGCTGGCAGAGAGGCTGGCTGATGCAGCTGAGGAAGAAGAGAGAATGGCAGCTTATTCGCAACAGGCAAGGGTCAGTCAGTGATTCATGTTATAATTTCCGCTAGGTTAAAAAAGATCGAAAACAGCGCAAACGAAACAGAGATGAAGAAAAACGACAAAACGACTTAGAACTCAAACGAGCAAAGGTAACCTAGTTTTTAAGATAAAATGAAACGATGAGAATATTTTAGCGTGCTATGGAGGAAAAGCTAAGAAAAGAGCATGATGCTCTTATCGAAGAAAATCGAAAGAAAGAAGCCCAGAAAAAAGCTGAATCAAGACGACCAGGCTCATCTGACGAGGACAGCCCATCTGAAAAAGACAATCCACCACCTCCTCCTCCTCCAAAGGTTCTTTATTTTCGCCCTTCTGATGTCATTTGTCCATTTTTTTTGAATAAATCAGTCCCTAGACTCCCGAATGAGGAGTTTAATTTTGAAACTGATTTATTAATTAATATTGTAGCCGGTGAGCGAGGATTTATTAGCCGCAGCGGACAATGACGATGATATGATGGCCGCGATGGGTTTTGGAGGCTTTGGGGGATCTGCAAAGGATGCGTAATTATTTTACAAAAATTTCAATTATCATTGCCACACTACAAACATGATCACTTTCCTAAATTTTAACTAAGTTTTTAACCTTTTTAGAATGACAGAGGACAAGAGATTCGAGCGATTCAAAACAGATCCCAAATTCAAGAGTCTACGAAAGAACAGAAACAAAGTCAAACTTGATGACCGGTTTACCGAAGTGCTGAGGTAATTTTTTCCATTTTTATTTATAATTGCATTTGAGAAAAGAAAGGTTAACGAAAGAATGACATAAATAGAAGGTTGAATAAGACAGTGGAGGATTGGATAAATAGCGATTAGAATAGTAGGGTTAATACTCGGAAAACAGGAGCCGATCGGCATCGTCAACTCGCACAACATTTCGAGTTCCGTCTTGATTGACTCGGAAGGTAGTCAGCTCGTTTGTTTCCTCATCGAGTTCACTTGTGACGTAGACTGGAACGTCGACATAGACTGGATAATCCTCATAGACAACGTTCTGCACCTCGTTTGCTGACTGCTCAATTTTGGACTCGTCGGAAGTCGCATACTCGAAGAGCACGTCCTTGGCGTTGTCAGATCTAAGGAAGGTTCGGGAACCATCTTCGTTGATTTGGAAAGTAAGAACTGTTCCACTTTCGGGGTCGTAATCAGTTTCAATGTAAACTGGCAAGTCGATGTAAACGGGGTAGTCTTCGTAGATGATTTCAGGCTCAACACTTTCTGTTGTAGTAGTCGTGGTGGTTGTGGTTGGAGCAGCATCAGTTGCGCTCTCGGAAATAAATTCAACGTTCTCGGCAGGATCGACGCGCAAGAGAGTTCGTGAGCCGTCTTCATTGTATTTGTATGTGTAGATTTCGTTGGTGGTTTCATTGAGTTCGGTATCGACCCAGACGGTGACGTCGACATAGACGGGGTAGTCCTCGTAGATTACCTCTTGAGTTGTAGATGTGGTAGAAGTTGTCGTTGAAGTGGTCGTTGAAGTGGTCGTAGTAGTCGAAGTTGTGGTAGTTTCTGGTTTGGAAGTAGTTGTTCCCTTGAAAACAATATTGTCTCGAGGATCAACTCGGATCAAAGTTCTTGATTCGTCGTCATTGATCTGGTAAGTGTAAACTTTCTGGTTTTCATGGTCGATCACGGTTTCGACATAAACAGGAACATCAATGTAGACTGGATAGTCGACGTACTGTACGTCTTCTGTTGTGGTTGTAGTGGTTGAAGTTGTGGTCGTAGTGGTAGTAGTTGTGGTGGTAGTGGTTGTTGTCGTAGTCGGCTTAGTAGTCAATTCCTGCATGATGATCATTCTTTGAGGTCTTGGCATCATGATTGGCATTTTCTGCATATTTTGTTGTCGAATGAGCCGTTGTTGTTGCTGGATAAGCTTCTGTTGTCGCTGCAGAAGATTGTTGAGGCTCAACATGTGCTGTTGGGTGTTCAATTGTTGCCGTTGACGTTGAAGCATGAGGTTCAATTGGCGAGAAGCATGAATTCGATTTCGTGGACGCATTGCTTGAGCAACTTGTTGTGGTCTCATGACGACGGTTCCAGGAGCCTGTTGGTAGAACTGCTGAGAGTTGACGGTCGAAGAAAAAATCAGAAAGAGGGTTTGCAAGATCATTTTGGAAGTTGTTGATCGAACTGTTCTGAGTTTGTCAAGTTCCCTTTCCTTCTTATACTCCGATCAGCTGCGGCGGTAAAGAGTGGCACCTGTCATAAAATTAGGTCGCTAGAATCGGAACGATGCACATGATAGATAAGGAGGTCGATTAGAGCATGATAAAAATTTCACAGAGCGTAACTCCCATATTGCGAGCGAATTCGCATTCTGGGTATGGGAATCTAATTATTGCATTTAGTAAAAGCGGCGAATTCAATCTCGAATGGAAACGTGATCGCTATGGCAAGAAACTGTCCAAGTCGTCGACCGAGAACTTCAACCGTTTCTATGAAGGAAATGCACACAAATCTAGAAAAGAATTTAAATCGAGGATTCTTGATGAAGATGACGATATGAGCCAACAAGATCTAGGAAAAGACTTCGATAAGATTCGAGGAATGGGAGCTGAAGTAGATACCTCTGAATCGGAACCTGACTCGGAATCTGAAGCTGAAAGTGATGGTGACGACCTCTACGATCAGGCCAAGGATGAAGTAAAAACCGCAGCCGAAATTTTCCCCCGACTGGCGATGCAAAATATGGATTGGGATAGAATCAAAGGAAACGTGCTTATATTCGCAAATTCTTTTATTTTCGCGTTGTTAGATAAGTTCACTTTAAAGCACTCGTAAGCCGTTGATATTTACGTATTAGTTGCGTCTGTGCTCCCTGAGGGCGGGATCTTAAAAAAGGTGACCGTTTACATGTCCGAGTTCGGAAAGAAGATGACCGCAATAGAGGCTAAAGAAGGACCCAGGCTTGCTGATGTAGGTTCAAAATTCTCGTTGATCAAGATAGCGATATTTCATTTATTCAGAGCTCGAAGGAAGACATGAGCGAGGAGGATCGTCTCAGAGCCTACCAGCTAGAGCGATTAAAGTATTGCTATGCGGTGATTGAGACAGACTCTGCAGCTACTGCAGATGCCATCTACAGTGAGCTTGATGGCCAGAGTGTCGGAGAATCTGGTAGTTTTATCGACCTTCGATTTATACCCGACCATGTCAGTTTCGACGATGACGCACCAAGACTCCAAAGAACAAACAACTTGCCCGATGAATGTACTCAAAAGCCGAGGAATTACGATTTGCCAGAATTCGTTACATCCGCCTTGAGTCGAACAAAAGTGAATCTGACGTGGGATGAGCAAGATCGTGGAAGAAAATCGATTGTCTCAAAGTTACGAAAAGGTAAAAAAACCAATCCTATTGATTAAATTTTTGTGGCCGGCCGATTCATTGCTTATAAAATGATTAAGGAGATCTTGTTGACGACCAAATTAGTCACCTAATCGCTTCTGGCTCTGAATCAGAAGACGAAAGCACCCTTACAAAGTACCGTTCTCTCGCTGGAGGTGCGGGAGCTTCAAGTAATGGCGCAGTCGAATTCAAGATGGAACGAAAAGAGAACAATTCTGACGATGACTCCGATGATAACTTGGTTTCGGACGAGGAGAAGGAAGAGAGCGATGATGAAGCGAGCTCATCGGAAGATGAGCAGCTAAAGGAAGAACTCGATCTTCTTATGTTTGACCCCGAGGATCAAGGAAAAGAGGATTTTGCACACGAAAAAGAATCTAAAGAGAAAGGAAAACGAAAGAAGAAAAGGCGTCCAAAGGTGATAAAAAATTTTTTTTTTGATAAATCCTAATCTTATAGAAACAAATGGCGGAGGGCGCTGATTTGGGCGATAGTCGGTTCGGTGATGCTCTTTTGAATGATCCCGAGTTTGCGGTAGATCGAACGCATTCTGCTTATAAACCGTCCAAAACCGGAGAAGAGCTTCACAGAAAACGCACAGCTAAGCACTTAGCTGATATCTTGGAAGGAAAAGCGAAAGAGAGCGCCCCTGTGGAACCAAAGAAAGCTGCCAAGGAAGACAATAGAGATATTATTGCGAGAATCAAAATGCGAAACAAAAAATGATCCTTTCTTTAGTCTTGCAAAATTATCTTTTGTTTACAATGTTCTTCTTCAGAATGAATACAGACTCGTAGTCGTGTCCTTGTGGACAATGGATAATATAAAAATATTTTAAAGACAAGTCTGATGGTATTGGTAAGTACTGCTCTTCATATTCTTGTGTTTATTTCCTATTAGTAAACTACGTGGGAAAACTGCGTAAGGCAGTGCCCTCCCTTTCTCGTGCTGGCGATGATAGTCGTCATATTCTCATCAACGAACATCAATCGGAAAAGTTCTCTAAGAATGCCATCGGTAGTACCTTACAACAATTTTTTGTTCGTAATACATTGCTTTTAGCTACGGGGAAATACAACATCTTCACATTTGTTCCCTACTTCTTATTTTCTCAATTCAAACGCGCGGCGAATGTCTTCTTCCTTGTGATTTCTATTCTGCAGCAGGTGCCCAATGTTTCTCCGACTGGCCAGTGGACGACGCTGGGGCCGCTTATGTTCATCCTTTCTATTTCGGCCCTTCGCGAAATCGCTGAAGACTACCGCCGGCAACGCGACGACGATCAAACAAACAACAAACTCACCAAAATTGTCAAAAACGGAAAATTGGTTAAATGCAAGTGGAAAGACGTCCAAGTCGGCTCCATTCTCAAGATTGATTCGGGCAAGCAGTTCCCTGCCGACTTGATCTTGCTCGCTTCTAGTGAGCCCAAAGGAATGGCCTACATTGAAACATCGAATCTCGACGGGGAAACCAATCTCAAGCTAAAACAAGCTCTTTCTGTCACGGCTGATCTGACTAGCGACGTAGAAATAAGCACGTTGAGAGGGAACTGCGAAGCTGAAGCTCCGACGAAGCATCTCTACGAGTTCTACGGGAATATCAAGCTTAGCGACGAATCTCAGACGCACCCGCTCGACCAAGTGCAGCTTCTTCTTCGCGGCTCTCAGCTTCGAAACACCAAATTTGTCTACGGACTTGTTATTTACACTGGTGCAGAGACCAAGCTGATGAAGAACTCTCGTCAGGCGCCATTAAAACAGTCTAATGTGGAGTTTTCCGTCAACTACCAGATTCTATACATGTTCTTCGCACTCTTGACCCTCTCAATCATTTCCACCATTGGAAAAATCTATGTTGCGAAATTTCTATGTGTCCATTGGTATCTTGACGGGATTTATGATGTTCAGCCAATCAACGGAACATCGTACGACCCGAACAGCAGCGATCCTATTTGCGAGTCACTGGATGCAGCCGGAGTGGTGAAAACGCTCATGACATTTTTGATTTTGTACAACAACGTTGTCCCCATTTCTCTTTTGATCAGTATCGAAATCGTGAAGTACGTACAAGCGATATTTATCAATCAAGACGAGCTTATGGAATGGAACGACACGAAGGCAAAAGCTCGAACGTCCAATCTTAACGAGGAACTTGGGCAGATCTCCTACATCTTCACGGATAAAACAGGCACCCTGACGGAAAATGTGATGGAATTCAAAAAATTCTCCGTTTGCGGGGAGCTTTTTTCTGCAGACGAGAGCGATCTGACAATGGAAGACAACATCAGCGAAATTCAGCGAAAAATTGACTACGTTGAATCGTCTGGTTCTTCAGACACAAAGGGAGACATTGAGCGATTCCTTCAAATGCTAGCCGTCTGCCAGACAGTCGTTCCAGAATACTCTGATAGTGGTGAGCTCGAGTACCAAGCAAGTTCGCCGGATGAAGCAGCGCTAGTGAAAGCCGCTGCTAAACTACAGTATGTTTTTAAAAGCCGAACGCCAATATCAATGGATGTGCGGGAACGAGGAGAGCTGAAGACTTATCAGCTCCTCCATGTTCTTGAATTTTCTTCGGCTAGAAAACGGATGAGCGTTATCGTCGAAACTCCTGAGGGGCAACTCTTCCTTTTCTGCAAGGGCGCAGACACAGTAATCTACGAGCGATTACAAGCAGCAGCGGAGGGCTCTAGGGATTACCAAATTCAAAAGAATACTGAAGAGCACCTTGAAAAATTTGCCACAGCTGGTTTGCGGACTTTGTGTTTTGCCTTCTGTGAGCTGGACCGAGAATTCTATGAAAGGTAAGTTCAAGTTAAAAAAGAGCGCGTCGAATCAATAAATAATACATTCATACCATTCCAATTTGGTAGTTCCAAAGAAGTGTTAATTCCTTTCATTAGATGGCGAACTAAGGAGCTCGAGCCGGCGAGCACATCAATCGTCGATCGCGAAGGCTCCCTGGAGAGTGCCTATTCGAAAATCGAAAAAGACCTTATCCTTGTTGGTGCCTCAGCTGTTGAAGATAAACTCCAGCAGCAAGTTCCCGAAACTATTGCAAAGCTTCGCCAGGCGGGTATCGCTATTTGGATGTTGACCGGTGACAAACAAGAAACCGCTGTCAACATCGGTTTCTCCTGCAAGCTCATCGATCAGACACAGCAACTATACGATCTCGACTGCGATTCCTTAGAATCGACGAAATCTCGTCTTCAATCCATCAAAGAAGAAGTAGAGCCTCTTCTAAAGGAGGGAAAACCAATCGCTATGATTATAACTGGAAGAACAATGAAATTTGTATTCAAGCAAACGACCAGGTAGTAAAAGCTCTTATCTAGTATTTTATTATAAATTAAGGGACTACTTTATGCATCTCGCCGTCAATTGCAAATCCGTCATTTGCTGCCGCGTCAGTCCGAGTCAAAAAGCCGACATTGTCAAAGCAGTGAAGAAAGAAGTAAAAAAATCTATCACTCTTGCTATCGGTAAGTGTACATTTCTGCTATCTTTTTTAAAGTTTTAAGGTGACGGAGCTAATGATGTTCCAATGATTCAATCGGCTCACATTGGTATCGGAATATCAGGCAATGAAGGGCTGCAGGCTGCAAACTCTTCTGATTACAGCATTTCCCAGTTTTATTTCCTACAGCGGCTGTTACTCGTTCATGGTGCCTGGAATTACTGGCGGCTTGTCAAGTGCATTCTTTTCTCTTTCTACAAGGTATCTAAAGCTTTCTCAATCCGTTATATAAATGCTAACATAGAACATCACGTTGTACATGATCGAACTGTGGTTTGCCATTTACAACGGCTGGTCAGGGCAGATTCTTTTTGATCGTTGGTCGATTTCGTGTTACAACGTCCTCTTCACTTTTTGGCCGCCAATAACCGTCGGCTGGTTTGAGAGGCCTTGTGAAGGTAACCGCTCAATTCTGTTGAGCATTTATTAATTATTGCTTAGACAAGCACATGCTCGAAAAGCCACAGCTGTATGCAACATCTCAAAGTTCGATGAAATTCAACGGAGAGGTCTTCTGGAAAATGTTTTTCAACGCAATCCTTCACAGTTGTTTACTGTTCTTCGTTACTGTCGCCTGCTTCTCGGACGATCTATTAAACCATGGGGCTGAGCCAAATGGCCTTGCCATGGAAACAGTCAACTCGTTTTCTGGTCAAGTCGGTGGCTATCTCTTCATAGGTATTTCTTTTATGAAAGAAGCATTCGATAACAATTTAGGAAACTTTGTTTATACAAACGTCGTCGTTACTGTTTTATTGAAAATATCACTGGAAACATCCACTTGGACCTTCTGGAACTGGCTCTCCAACGTCGGCAGTGGCTTCCTTTGGCTCATGTATGTTCTGATGCTGAGCAAATTCTGGCCCTCTGTGCGCGTCTTGTCGCCCGAGATGATGGCTGGGCAAGGCGATCATCTTTTTTCAAGTGCTGTCTTCTGGTTAGCGCTGGTGCTCGTGCCCTTCATTGTCATTTTCAGAGACTTCTTGTACAAAGTGTACGTATCGCTATTTCTTGCTTGTCCGGATATATTTCGATAATTTAGATACCGCTATGAAACTGCAGCAGACAATACCTTCAAGCGCGAACGATATCAAGCTATGGGATCAATTTTCATTTTTCATTAAAGCCTAAAAGAGGCTTGAATTCTCTAAACAAAAATTTATCCCCGAATTCAGACGGTGAGCGCATTACCTTCAAAAAATTCTTCAATCAAACAAAAGAAAAGTACGTTGGTCTTTCTGAGCTAGGGAGCACTGCCATTGAACCCGAGCCTTCTTCTCGCTTTTCCTCCTCTTCTGATTTACCAAACTCTCAACTATTGACCTGAGTTGTCTTCTTCTATTCTATTCTTCTACCAGGCACTGACTAAAGCGTTTTTAGTATTGAACATATGGCGCTTATCTGCCGCAAGGCTCCAACGCTACCGTCGACAATGGCTACTGAGCAAGCTGCTGCTCCAATAATGATCAACGAAGATGGCCAGCGACGCAGTTTCAAGGGCTATGCTTTCACACAGATGGAAGATAACATGGGCATTCAAGAAGATATAATCAGACACAACCTCCCAAAGTCGAAAGAGTCCAGCTCCACTAGTGTCCACGAACCTGTTCCGACCGTTCTGTATTCCTACGTCCACAAAGAGACGTAATTCTTCTTTTCAAACAGCTTCTTTTTCCATTTCAATTTTCTTCAAAAAAAAGGTTCCATCCCAAGTTTTTACTACTGAGCTTACAGACTTCAGTGTGATTATTTAAACCAGTAAATACCAATCAAAGAAATTTCTTACAGCCCAAAAACTCCAATCACGTTCAACTTTCTCTTTCTTTCATGTTCTTTGCACATTTCGAGTACCGAAATCGAATCAATCGGGATTTTAAATTAAAATCGAGATTATCGCAGTTACAATGGTTGATCCTCGATTGGGAAGGGCACTTTATCTCGTCGCTTCCCAATCGAGGACTCGGTCCGCACCACACTTCTCTAGAGATCGGCTGGCTATATGCGCTGCCGCTTCCCAATCGAGGACTCGGCGCGCGCTTCCCAATCGAGGATCAACCATTGTATTTATTAGTTCTATTTACCTTTCGATAAATTTCGAGAATAAGCCGTCCATTTAGTTTCAACTGTGTACAAATGACAAAACCTTAAGCACCGAAATAGCTCCTATTGATTTCTCAACCTTCTTGTTTACCTTTTCCAAAAAATACTTCATTCCTTTACATAAAAATTCAAAATGTAATTAAAAAATATAGCTCATTTCTTTTGGAAAATGACCATACCTCCACATTCCAGTATAAAAAACCTGATCTTTGTATATTCCTATTCAGAAAAAAATTCAATCAAACTGTTACCTACTAATATGACTTATTTTTTCACGAAAAAAATAATGAAAGACCGTGAGTTATATAATTATTCGTATATACCGCGGTTGGCATTTTTGACTGACTAATTTTATTTTTCTAGATAGGTTACAAGGGCCTAGTTAGCACAAACGCCCTATGTTTTAGCGTTGCGAAATGTGCTAATGAAATGTGCTTTAGTCAGTCAGAAATGCCAACCGCGGTATATCTGTACGGTTTCAGACTTCTTTTGAAATAAAGTTTGATAGTAAATATGTGCAAGCAGGTGTTATTTTTTCAAACAAAGCATTGTTAGGCATATTGGAAAAAAGATCGATACCCAAGGTGACCTATATTATGCTAAGTCGAGGGCTCCGAAAATTATCGGATTCATCCAGTGCTCGGGGTTTACTTTTCATTAATTAAGAACCAGAGAAGTCGGGAGTTTGCGATGGGCAACTTCGGAGTCATGTTTGGCATTCTCTCCGGGGTCACGCTCTTGGGATTCCTAAATACACGCACCCAGGCGGATGCACAGGTTAGTGGTTTAACTAATATACTCGTTGCGAATTGATGATTCAGCCTCACTTTACTGACAAAAAACTGGGTGGACAAAATGTACTCGCCTTTGCGATCTGTACTTCCTGAGGGTAAACTACTTGCTCCTCGAGCTATTCATTCCTTCTTTGTTCAGTTACCGAAACGCTGTTAACCAGTACGCCCAACTGGTGCGACAGCGTTTCCCCGAAGACGAATTGAAAATTGAAGTGAGCAATTATCCCGTGGAGAGTACGCGCGCTCTTCTTGCACAAATCCTCTCCCTCGCGAAGTTCGCTTTTCTCGGCATCGTCGTCGCAAACATTCAAATCCACACAATGCTCGGCATGGAACATCCGCCCCAGTTTCTCGTCTGGGCGTGGGAAAACAAAGGATATGCCTGTATGATGGCTTTTTTCATCGGTATTTGGAAAATCAAAATCGATGCGTTCGTACATTCAATTTTTAATAGGAAATGCGATTGAAAATGGGCTCACCTCGACAGGAGCGTTTGAAATTTATCTCTCAGGGGATAAGATGTGGTCCAAATTAGAGTCAGGAAGGATACCTTCGCAGGAACGGGGCTTGATATTGAATAGTAGATTTCTGAGAGAATAATTATCAAGTTAGCAATTGTGTCAAGCCTTAATTTCAGCACGAGTTTATGAAAATGATTAACGACAATATGATGCTCGAGGCAGGAACCTTTGATCAGAACCAATTCTAAATCAACGCGACTGGAATCGCTGTCAGTGTTTTATTGATTCATGATTTGCATAATGATAGACTTGCTAATAGATTATTTGTAAACTACTACTCCAATTGAAAATTTTTTCATCTGAAATGTCGTTGGCGACCAAGAGAAACGCACATCAATTTCATCTGAACATGGGCGTGTTCTGAAATATATGGGTGAATCTCATTTGACAGAAGCGTTGATGGAATCTGAATCAAAATTCACAGCGTAGTAATTTATGACGGAGCTCATCAAAGCCAGTTTGGAAAGTGAGCGTCCTGAGAAGCATTTAAGCCTTGCCGCTGCTTGACATTACGTTCAGTTTCCGTGAACGCTACTGTCGGTTACTAACGAAGTTTACTGTACTGAATTGATCAGCTGCAGTATACATAATTACTTGATAAATCTGCCAATCATTTATAAAAAGTGTTTTCAGACTTTCTTGTGTTTTTTTTTGTTAATGTTTAGATGCCTATTCAATCTCGCTTAAGTCCACATGAATGTTTATGTGTTTAATTTAGATGTGGTGGTAGTTGGTTAATACTCCCTTTCCAGAAAATTAATTGAATGAATTGAATTTTAGCCAGGATTTATAATATACTAAAATTCTCAGACTGGACATATTTTCAATCATTATTTCAAATATGTCCCTCCTGAAGCGATTTTTATAGCATTTGACAAATCCTATTTACAGTTAAATTTCATCATAAATAATGGTTGGTGTTGGGGAAAAGTCCGTGGCGGACAAATTCGATGTGCTGAAGGCGGCCGTTGGTAAAATTCCTGATGAAGAGATCGTCGACACTGCACTCAACCTTCTCGTGAATGGGCGCTTCGACTTGGAAACTGCGTTTATAGTAGATGGCGCCGAAGCCCTGTGCGGTCTCTTCGATTTTATCAAGTCCATCGGACCGAACCTTCAAGGACTTGTTTTGTCTATGTTCGCGGCTATTTTACGAAAGTCAACATACAACCTCGACCAATGTTCGCGTGCGGAGATCATTCCAAGAAGCCTCGAGCTGCTGAGCACCTCTGAAGGCCTCGTGGCTGATCTTTTAGGAGATATTCTATCAGTTTTGGCTGGATATAATATGTCCGTGACTGACTTGAAGAGGCTAGTTGCCAAGCTACGCGTGGATGACGAGGGAGAGAACGAAAAGGATCCCCGCTGGCTGCCAAACTCTTTAAAACTAATCGATGTTCTGATTTCTGCCGCAAATATATCCGGACCCGATGCATTTTTCCTATTTCCAGGGAAGTCTTGCGCCGCAATCGCGCTGCCGCCTGTTAAAGCATGGCCGATTCAAGACGGATTCTCAATTTCTGTATGGTTCCGACTTGATCCACTAAATAACCTGAACATCGAGACGGACAAGCCTTATCTTTACTGTTTACGTACATCTAAAGGCATCGGTTACTCTGGTCATTTTGTTGGGGGCTGTCTGGTTATCACTGCCTTGAAGTCAAAAGGAAAAGGCTTCCAGCAATGTGTCGCCGTTGAATTTTCCCCTAGAAAGTGGCATCACGTGGTTATCGTCCATGAATACTCCCGCTGGAAATCATCTTCTGTCCGTTGCTATGCTGATGGCGTGCTTGCTAATAAGGTTGACATGGCCTGGCCGATTTCAGCACACACAAATCAGTCGGAATTGTTTGATAAATGTCTTCTCGGCTGTGCCGAAACTGGAGATATTTCAAGGGCGTTCACTGGCCAGTTCGGAGCGTTCTACATGTTTCAAGAGACTATGTCGTGCATTCAAGTCGAGGGACTCTATAAACTGGGACCACAATATCGTAATCAACTTCGCTTTCCCCACGAAGCTGGACACAAAATCACCATTGAAGAACGCGAGGCGCTATATTTTTCCAACCTTTCAGAAAAAATCCTGATATCGTACAACCCCGCCGCAGTTGATGGTAATCTCACTTTAGAATCATCTCCCTCCGACTCTGTATCCTCATTCGTTCACACTCCCCATGCGCAACTGTTGAACGGCGTCGAAGCTGTCGAGGTTAAGTCACTCAAGCAAGCGCTGCATAGTATTGGCGGGCTTGATGCCATATGGCCACTCTTCGGGCAAATTGATGTCCCCCAGTCTAACGGAGAAGTCAACTATGAGCTCGCTCCTATGCTAGTTGATCTTGTTGGGCGACTTCTCTCTAGCTCGGGCCGATTCCGTCAGCAAGCACTACATGAACGAGGATTTCTCCTCGTCGCGCGGGCTCTCGAGAAGTCCTCGCCTCAGCATCTCAGCGATCGTCTCCTCAAAGAACTTATTAGAATAATTGAAAAAATCCAAAAACTGCCTCAAAATCATGGTCCCGCGCTGCTCCGCCAACTAGCCGACTACGTTTTATTCAACCCGTCACTTTGGTCAAATGCCCCTCCTAAAGTGCAAATCGACCTGCAGAAGTATCTATCCACGCAGTTTATCGCCAGTCCAACTGTGCAAAAACACATTCGTCGCGTTTCAACGACTTTGATATTTCTTCATGCTCTTAAAAATTTCTACTGGATCGTTGCTTCCAATGACAAGTCATTTCATCGGAACCAAGACGATTCGAAGCATCGAATGGTCAGACCTAACGAAAATGAACTGCGCAGCATAAGAGCCTATCTGCTTCTTTTTCTTAAACAACTTATGTCGCCAAAGCTTTCTGATGGATCAAAAGTATATCGTCCTGAAGAAGAGCTGAATGCTATTGTTAATTTCCTTTTGACAGTTCAAGAGGACGAAAATCTTACAGACCTTCTCGAACTTCTGGTCCAACTTGCTGTAGAAAGTCCTGCTGGAGTAGCTATTCATCTAGCCGACCCTAAAGGGACTGCATGTTGCTTTAAGCTTCTCACTTCTACGTCAGAAAACATTCGGCTAAGTTCGATAAAGCTTCTTTCGGTGATTCTGGAAAATACAAAGCCAGACGCAAAGAAAGAATTGATGGACGAGTCTGGTCTTTGGGCTTTACTCGCAGATAGATTATGCGCGCACAGCCCGAGTCTCACTACAAATATCTATACATGCTTGTTCGAGCTTATGGTGCAATCTCCGATCGGCGACGGAATGAAACCAATGAATATAACTTCTACGACTAGAATCCATCATCCTGAGCTACTCAAAGTCATCGCTACTGTTATACGCGCTTCTTCAGAACGACTTATGCACATTAGAGTTCTCTTCCTCGACGACCTCATTCGACTTTTCTCTCTTTCACATGAAAATCGTAAGATAATGCTTCAACAGTCAGTTTGGCAAGACTGGCTTATTGCTCTTGGTTCGCTAAAGCCCGTCACACAAGAAGACCGTGCCTGCCAAGAGAAGGTTTACAGCTTGCTCAATATTCTTCTTCATCACTCAATCAAATGGGAGTGGGGCGGCTGGCGAGTTTGGGTAGATACCATGGCGTTAGTCCACTCTGGAGTCTCAAAAGTCCAACATCAAACGGAGATGGATAAACTGTACTCAGCAAATGAAGCCGACAATAACATCCCTACGTCTGTCGATTCTACTAGTGATGTGCCTGACGATTCTGAACCAAGAGAAATCACAACAGAGGAATTCGCAGCTGATATTGTGAATGAAGCAATCGAGCGCGCTATAAAGGAAATACTGGGCAAATCGAGCGATATTTTAGAAAATAAGAAGATTGAAGAAAACGATATTCCCGTGCAGCAAGAGCCCTGGTCTCCAGCTCCACGGACACCTGGTGCATTCCGAATCCCTGAGTTCAACTGGTGCCATTATCACTATCGCATACTTACTGAGCTTTTGGAAGAGATTGAAGAAGACTTGGAGAACCTTTATCAAGATCCGACACTGGCGGGCTCTCTTGACAATCAAATTCTCATGCATAACTCGCTTCATTTGACATCACAGCTCATCGACAATTTGATTCTAGCAACTGGCGGTGTTCTTCCTATTCTGGCTTCAGCGACAAGTCCTAACTTTGAGCTTGATGTTGTAGAAGCTTCTCAAGGTTTGAGCTTGAAGAATGCCTGGAAACTATTTGATAAACTAATTGTCGTTATTGATATTACACTAAAAGTGTCCTCGAGAATGCAATACGCTGGAATATCTATATCAGAAGTTGAAAGTGAAAAGTCCATGCAAAATGGGGGAATTTTACGTCAGTTCTTACGGGCAATCGCCGTAACTTCAGTTAGAAACTCACTGGAAACACGATACTGCATGCTCGTTGATGGCGAATATGTATGTCCGATCGCCTCATTACTCGAGCTTATGATAAATCACAGCAGTCCCGTCTCGAACATGGATCATCTTCTACAAGAAATGGACGTGGAAAGACTCCGACACATCGTGTACCGAGACGTAGACGATGTTAAGAACTCTCAATTTTTAGCCTTGGCCACTGTTTACCTCGTATCTGTACTGATGGTCTCTAAGTATAGAGATCTTCTTGACCCTAGCATTCTTGCTAAGCTTCAAAAAATCAATATTGACGAAATAACGAAGAAAACCGAAGAACAAGATAACTTATCGAATGACATCAGCATGGATACATCGACAAAAGATACTCCGACCGGCTATAATGGTATAGAATCACCGGACACTAAAGTTTCCGAAGCAGACAATATTCGAAAAGCATTGGCCGAGTTAACTATTGGTGCTCAGCCTAGTGGTGCAATGGACGGAGGTAACCATGTTTCGTCCGTTGGTGCTGCCTATGGATCATTTGTTCGCGAGCTTTCGCAGGAGACTGGACATCCGAACAGCGAGAAGAGCATCACAGAAGAAGAAGAAGATGATCCCCACCCCGAGGCCCAAGTTTCCAAGACCGAAACTGCCGAGGCAGACCATCTTCCACAAGTAGTAGTCGAAGAGCCAGCAACCTCTGATGACATTTCTGATAAACTGATTTTGTCACTGGGCAATTTGAATGGCCTTCTCCGTGATATATTGAATGATTTTTCTGGATACTTAACAAAGACATTGACTGGTTCCCACGGGCAAAGTCTCGTTCCGGAAGGTCTTCAGTCGATTTCCACGGATCAGGGCTCGACGGTTTCTCTAGTTATGTTACTTTGTTCACAAGAGTGGCAGAACTCAATTCAAAAGAATGCAGGAATAGCATTTATTGAGCTGATCAACGAAGGGAGGCTACTTTCCCATAATATGAAAGAGCATGCTGTACGCGTTGGAAATGAAGCCGAGTTCATTCTGAATCGAGCTCGTGCTGATGATGTCAAACGCCAGGCTGAGGCGGAATCAAGACATGCCCAGCTGATAACAGCTACACGGAGAGAAGAAAACGCGTGCTCAACTTTAATAAGAGCAGCAAGACGACGAGACGCACTTCAAGGAGGATTTACAGCAAGAAAAGCCTATCAGTCACTCGTTAACCCATCTGGATGTTGGTTCCGTAAAGAGACTGACAAAGTGTTCTGGAAGGTGGATGCCTGGGAAGATGATACACGAAGGAGAAAACGGATGGTGAAGAACCCGTGGGGATCAAATCATATTGAAGCCACCCATAAACCGTCAGCAAATGGAACATCAGAGCAAACTCCAAACGATTCTTCGAAACATCCAGACCTGCCGAAGAAAATCTCTGATCTGCCAGTCAATTCTGATAATAGCACGGATCAAGGAGTCGACGATGACTTCCAGGATGATGAAAGCGATTCTGAGAACTCCATGGGCGTTGTGGCTATTACGTACTCATTCGCAGCAGCGATGGTCGCACCTGGTGTTTACATCCCAGGTACTTTATCGATTCATGCAGAGGAGCTCTATTGGGAAGCGACAGAAAATCATCCTGATTTTGCAAAAGTTTCCAAAAAACTCATGTGCTATGTTGACGGCTGTCCTGGAAAATGGAGTTTCCATGAGATACGAGCAATTTACTCTAGAAGATATCTTCTGCAGCATACAGGCATTGAGATATTCCTTGCAAACAGAACTTCAATCATGTTCAACTTTGATTCAAACGAAGTTGTGCACAGAGTCGTAGAAGTTCTTCCGCGAGTTGGCATTGGCACCGGATACGGTCTTCCTCAAACTAGAAAAATATCTTTAGCGTCTGGCAGACAACTCTTTAAATGGTCTAATATGACACAGCGGTGGGCAGCGAATGAGGTGTCCAACTTTGAGTACTTGATGTTTATCAATACGATTGCTGGACGATCCTACCAGGATCTTAACCAGTATCCTGTATTTCCTTGGATCTTGAAGAATTATGAAACGGAGACGATTGATCTTAACGATCCAGCAAACTATCGAGATCTATCAAAACCGATAGGCGCCTTGAATCCTCAACGAGAGGCTCAATTCAAGGTAAAAATAGATTAACGATCATTCGGGCAAATCGAAATTATAGGAACGTTACGAGGAATGGGACGAGAAAAGCGAATGTATCCCAAAGTTTCACTACGGAACACATTACTCCACCGCTTTGTTCACACTCGGATGGCTTGTTCGAGTTGAGCCCTTCACTTCAATTTTCATCGATATACAGGGAGGCAAGTTCGACCAGCCAGACCGCATGTTTTCAAGCATATTGACCTCTTGGAAGCTCACCCAGCGTGGTTCTCATGACGTCAAAGAGCTCATTCCAGAGCTATTTTATGGACGGTGCTAAATTTTTGACTTGTGTCTATGTATCTTTAGAAATCTTCAGTTTTAACACCGTGAAAAAGCTCTCCGAGCTGTTTACAAATAGAAATGAGTACGACCTTGGTAGCCTTTCGGAAACTGGTCAGAAAATTGACGACGTTGTTCTGCCTCCTTGGGCGAAAACTCCCGAAGACTTCGTCAGAATTAATCGCCTCGCACTCGAGTCTGAAATCGTCTCCTCGCAATTACACAAATGGATAGACCTGATCTTTGGATACAAACAGCGTGGCCCTGAAGCCGCTAAAGGTATTTTATTGCAAAGGACTTGAATTTGTCTACAATTAATTCAGCCACGAATGTTTTCTATTATCTGACGTATGAAGGCAAAGTTGACCTAAGCTCCATCCCTGATCCTGTCCAAAAACAAGCATGTATAGGAGCGGGCCGTTTATTCACATTCGCGTAATGTTCCTTCTTTTCTGAAATTAACAGTGACGAGAATGATGATTAATCACCCGTTTATAAGACCAAATAAAATCATTTGGGCAAACTCCGTCCCAGCTGCTTATTGAGCCCCATCCCCCAAGGTATTACTATCTTCTTGATGAGTTAATAATATCGAGTTAGACAACCCGAAAATTTACCTGTTGAAGAAGATTCTCAAGAAGTCCGTATGGTTCTAAAGTTCGTATCAAATTCTCCTGTCGTATACCTATCCTCCAACACTCATCCCTCTCTTGAAAACCCATCTATCGTCACTGTCACACAGTCTCTTCTCTTCAATGTTAACAAATGGATAAAGGTAATTTGTCTATTACAATTGTAAGTAAAACTATTTCCCTAAAGCCAAGCTCCACAAAAGTACCGATTGAGCCTGACCCGATGATGAACAAAACTGGTGGAATTCAAAAACGCCAGATTTCCGATCGACTCGACCAGTCTATCACCATTTCACACAAAGTTCTTCTGGTCTCTGCCGACAATCGCCACATCATCGTTGCGGGCTTCTGGGATCGGTCTTTCCGCGTTTACTCTACTGAAAACGCAAAGCTAGAACAAGCAATATTTGGACATACTGCGCCGACTACGCTGCTGGCAAGGAGCGAAACGTACATAGGTAATCTTTGAAGAACTCGTCGATCAAATGGGATTATATCAGCTACGTTCAAAAATAGGATAATTAGAATTTAATAAAATGGAAGTAATATAAATAGATAAGACAAGCTTTGTAGCAAGAAATGATTCAAAGAAATGCGATTAATTGACGGTCGTTAGCGTAACTAGATTTTATGCGTGATTGATTTCAGTCTTTCGTGTGCACTGCACCTCTCGTCAATCAAAATGAAAAAGTATGCAACCTAATCTTAGGAGGCGATTGCTATATTGTGTCTGGCTCCAAAGACACGACGCTTCTACTGTGGTACTGGAACGGTCGACGACAACGCATCGTAGGAGACTCGCCCAATATTTACGACAATCCGTCGCCCCGCGCTACCCTTGTTGGACACAACTCTGAGATCACACTGGCTTCGGTTTGCGCCGAGCTCGGTATGATCGCTTCGGCCGCCACCAGTGGTCCTATTCTTATTCATACAATCACTGGCGAGCTCCTCAGACGCTTGTCGCCTGAGGAAACGCGTCCATCACAAGTTATATTTAGGTATTTAATCTTGTGATTCTTTAAATTTATACCGGATTTAGTAATGATGGCTTTATTCTTTGCTGCTTTGGAAAGCAAAAACTTGTCAATTTCACTATCAATGGTGCAAAAGTTCATGAACAAGAGCTAGAAGAAGAAGTTTCAACGCTCATTCTCAATAGCGAAGGGAACATTGTGATTTCGGCCGGGGATAATGGCAAGATATATCTTCATGATGCCTGGACGCTCAAGACCTTGCATTCTTTTCCCAAGATCGGGCTCCCAAATCATCGTCAGATATTACTATAGATTGTTTCTATTTAAAGAATATTCACTGGAGCCTCATCAGTGCGACACTGCAATACAACACCTTGCACTCACTCACGATCAACAAACGATTATTTCAGGCACGAGTTACTGATTATATTCAAAGAGAATTCTCTCAGAAGTAGAATAAACTAGTCATAAAATAGCTTCATTCGAAACTCGCAAAAGGCATGAAATCCGGTTCCGTTGTTGCTTTCAAAGTAGACTTCAAGAAATGGCATCTTTCCAAGAATGGAAAATTCTGATGTCTTTTTTCTCTTTTCTAATTCCTCTTATGTGCAATATCTTCGAGATTCTTTGTTTTTCCTTTCCTTTTAAGTTAAAACTGATTCTTCCAGTCTCAAACCTTCTGAAAAGTCAATTAGCCAGTATCCTATTCTAAATAAAAACATACATTCATTTCTTCGTATTTTTTTTTGCTCAGCGCGAGCCCTGTATCAAAAAAGCATACATAAAACTGCAATAAATATTTAATAAATTCGCTAAAATGATATTCTACGCAAAAACTTGAACTCAGTTAAAATCAGATTGTCCTAGAAATCATCATGCCAAACCATGTTGAATATGACCCTGGCGTTCCTACATTCAAACATTCGGATAAGTTCGAAGCGAAGTCTCTTGTGCGAGAGATGCAGCGCGAAGCTGCGCAGGCCGAGCGAGCTTGGGAAGAACGATGCTCCCAGCGCGACAACAATAAGTGAGTTTCCCGAATTAAATCAATCAAGTGATCTGACTTTTTATTTAGGCAGTTTTTTCAGAATTTGAACCGAGAAGAGGCTGCCCTTGATTTGAAGCTGCGCATCAGTCATTTCAAGAACAGGGAGCCTGCACAGTTCACGATAACTGAACACGGCGAGAAGATGGGCACTGCGCTTTTGAATACGTACAACGCAGATTTGGGTTCACGCAATTATGGAATGAAGGAGCTTCGGCGTCTGGAACGCGTGAAGGCTAGAACTGAGAAGAAAATTGAAAAGGCAATGGCAAAGAAAAATAAACGTGAAACTGTGGCCTCGTGGCCACCACCGAATCCAGATGGTCAAGAGGCCAGCGAAGTATGTATTTGCTCAATTGTATTTACAATTTTAAAAAATAACTTATTTTTCTTAGAAAACGAAAGAGGAAAAGAGTGCCAAAGAGTCTATCGCGTCGTTTGAAGACGACAAGGAGGACCAGTCGCTTAAAAATCTTCCAACTGCCCTGGCCAAACGACTAGCTGCTCGTAAAAATTTCCGGAAGCGTCGTATCTCCGACTCAGAGAAGAAGCCTTCTATTCCGGATGGATTTGATCCCAGCAAAGCAGAAGCTGCTGCTCAGGCGGCCATGGTAGCATTTGACTTCAGCACGGTCGGCCTTGACGCATCCAAATTAACGAAGCTGATGAACGAGCCCGAGGAAAAGGAGGAAAAGAGGCCTGCAAAGAAGCTGGCGACATCGCTCGAGAAGAACGAAAAACTTGGAAGGTATTTGTGGTTTTGGTTCTTTCTGAAAGATGATTTTCTTTTAGCTTCGTGAATATGCCATCAGAAGAGCCACTGAACATTCCTGGACTGCCGATTGGATGGAAATTCGGAGATCCAATGCCAGAAGGAACTCCGGTGGAAGAGGAGAAGCCACCGGAAAATCAGAATCCCCTCGAAGTCGTTTCAAAAGCAACAAATGCAAAAAAGAAGAGACGGCCGAAGCAACCACTCATTTTTGAGGTTAGTATTTTAGACGCGAAATGTGCTGTTTAACCACTTTGTATCATGGAATAATCATAAATAATGAGAATTATTCCGAAACACGATGTGAAATTTTGAGAAATCGTAGTCTCTCAAATCGGTGTATTTATATTGTCTGATAGACACGTCGGCTGCATTTGAAATATTTTGTAGGCGGATGCGATGGGAGCTTTGGTGGACCCGTCGCGCTTCACTAGCAAGAATCACATCGAACAGAAAAATCTAACGCCTCGTGTGAGATTGAGTGATGCCAAACAGGAAGAGAAAAATTCAGCCCAACCTCCGCCACAATCCACCACACCAAAAGTGATCGTTGCCCCTGCCATAAAACGATCGACGAATACTTATTCCGAGGTAACAGACAGAGGCATAGATATTTTTTGGAATCGCATTGACATTTTCTTTCGGATCAATTTAGAGATTATTCATCTTTTAGGCTGATTTTGTAACGAGCTACACGGCAAAACCAAGCCATACAAACTATGGAGGACAGGCGCGTACCTACGGAACATACAACGCTTCTGATTTAACAATCTCGCAAGGGAGGAACAAATACAATAGATACAAAGGAGGCGGAGTCGGCGGAGGAGGATATCGATAAACCTTTTTATGTTCCAACAATTTCTGTCTCAATTTCTTCTGTCGAATATGAAATTTTCCAGATTCGTTTTTTTTAAATGGATAATTTTAAGATTTGTGGTCGAAAATGCCACGACGGGCTCGACAGGAATCCTCCCCAGAGTACGCAGAAGAACCTTCGTCTGACGAGTACGAAGCCCCAGCACGAGACTCCGACTCTGATTTCGAAGTGAGCCCTAAAAAGAAAGCTCGAACGTCGACTGGTGGACGGGGCCGAGGACGTGGAAGAGGTCGAGGGCGGTAAGTAAAAAAACTACATTTCCTAATGTTGTCAAAAATAGATGTTAACTAAAGATTAGCGGAAAGTCAACGGCGAAGTCTCCTGGTCGAGGACGCGGCCGTGGACGCGGCAGAGGGCGTGGTCGTCCAGCAAAGGCAAAGAGGGATAGCGAAGATGATGATTTGTCCGAGAATTCGGACTCTAACGATGTTCCAGAGCCCACTAGAAAGTCCAGTCGTAGGAGTGCTTCACGAAAAGAGGTAATTTTGTGATATTGGAAGAGAGCAACTTGCTTTAGCATACTTGCAGTTTCTTTTTGTTCTCCATGAGCGGGCGCTTATGCGCGCTGGACGCACTGCTCTACACCGCCTCCCAGTAGAGGAGCTCGCGGACCGCGTAGGTGTTAGCCCCACGTGTATCTGCTCTGATATTCTTTATCATCGTTAATCTGGTTTAATACAGATTATCAGTAGATAACTGATAATCTACTCACCGTATCGCATTTTTATATATTTATCGTAGGCCTCGGATGCGGAAGAGAAAGGAAGTGGATTGGCGGCCGGCAGATCCCGTCGACGAGCTTCTGCTGCTCGATTTAGCTACGCCGACGACGACGACTCCAACGAAAGTGGTAATTAATTTGTTTTGATAATGTCTTATCCGACAGGAGATAGGAATGAGTTAATATAAATCCTAACGACTTATTCAGATGCTGAAAAAAGTGCGGAATCCGCCGAAGCTTCGGAGGAGGAAGCCATGGAGACCGATGGCTCTCCTGAAACTGATGCCCTTTCTGACGCCATAGAAGAGAAAGCGGAGGGAGCCAAGAAGTCTGATCAGAAGGTCGACGAACCAGAGAACGAAGAAACAGCCGATAAGACGGTTGAAATTGAAAAGAAAGCAGAGATCACTGACAAGGCTGAAGCTGCTCCTGCCGCCCCCTCTGACGAACCTGTTTCCTTTGCAGAAAAAGTTGACGAGTCGGCGAAAGAAGCCGTCCCAGAGCCAGTCAAAGAAGAAGCGCCCGCAGAAACGAAAGAAGCTCCATCCGAGCCAGCGAAAGAAGCTTCATCCGAGCCAGAGGAAGAGGCTCCATCCGAGCCAGCAAAACAAGCTCCATCCGAGCCAGCAAAAGATGTCCCATCCGAACCTGCGAAAGAAGTCCCATCCGAGCCTGTCAAAGAAACTGCTTCTGAGCCAGTCAATGAAGCTCACGTCGACTCAGTGAATCAAGCTGAGACACCGAAACCATCGGAGAAGGAAGAGACCATTCCTGCTCCTCAGGCCGCCGAAGACGCCGAAGAAGCTAGTAAAGCAATCGAAAAAGAAATAAAGCCGGTCGAGGCTGCTATCACGCCAGCTGTTCCCTCTAAAACGAGTGAGCCTCCCGCTGAAGCCAAAACGGAATCTGTCAATGGCGAAACAGAAAAGAAGGATGTTGAACCAACACCCGAAGATAAGATACTGCCCCAGGTTGAAACGCCGTCAGGTAAGCAGTCTACCATGAAGACTCGAACTCATGTTTTTTCAGAGCCAGTCGCCGCTGACAAGTCTTCCAAGTCAACGCCTTTAGAGAAAGCTAAAGTCGATGACATCAAAGAATCTGTAAATAACTGTGAGGATCCCAGTTAATTAAAATTCTCCTTAGGTCCCCACTGAAGTTCCTTCTAAACAACAAGTTGACATTCCTAAAATCAGCAGTGGCGAGAAGAGTGGTTCTGTGATCGTCGCGCCAGCTGCGAATGGCGAGGCAGAGAAGAAACGTAAGTTTTCGACTGTGCAAACATGCACTGACATTGTTAAGCGGAATCAACGACGATTGCAACCCCATCCGTCATCGTATCAACTATCCAGGCGCAGAAATAGAGAGATTTTCTCTCAGGTCACCAGTTTATCTTCCTTTCGCGCCCTTCGCTGACCTGTCTCGATTTTTACTCAATGTCCATAAACATCTTTTAATAATAGTAACAGAAGAGCTAATTTAGTCGAGCCGAGGTGAAAATCCAATTTCAGCGGTTCCAATTCGACTAGCTCTGCTGTAAGGTTCACTCTCAGATCTCAGGGTCTTAAATAGTCATATGTTGTGTCTAGGAGACTTTCGTGAGGAATTAGTTTTGAAAAAACTAACACCTGACAGCTTTCTGAACCCTGCCACCAAACAAAAAATCCTGTAGTTCTAATTCTAGATATCTCTAGAAATTTCGATTCCTTTTTGAAAAAAAAAACCTTCTGCCGTGCAGCTATTAACTTGTATTTTTTATGAAGTGCGCGGCACCGCTCTGCTAATTCAACTTGCAAGCTTCTTGCAAAATCAATTATCTGCAACAAAAAGTTAACTTTTAACTTGACCCTTGTTTTAATACTGTTTCCTTTAGACATTTTCTGACCATTAGAGGGAAAAAGCACGGAGATGCCCCTATGAGAGCAACCTGGGATGAAAGTCGAAATGGCGGTCGCCATCCCAGAAAGCAAGAAGTTGAGATCACCAGAAGAAGAAGTCGCTATCTGAGACCAGATAGGCGACTTTTGGAGCGCTAACGTAAGTCAACCTCTAGCAAATTTTATAATGATGGCTCAAATGATGAAAAACGATATTTTATCGTTTTAACGATATTATTATAACTGAGCCGTGACTCGGCCTCAAGAAAATGATAAGTTAACGTTCCAATTTCTGATGGGCTTGATTATGAAAGCTTTCAATAAAAAAATAAAGATAAGTCTTTTTAGGTTCCATCAGACCTCACTTCACGAAGCTTCGGTGACTTCCGAGTAGAATTATCATCTAACCAATTTTACTCCTTTCTCCGAAAACTGATCATTCTATTCTTATTTTCCATCCGTTTTATAAACTTTCCGGAGCGTCGTGATAGTACTTAATGATGACAAGGCGACTTCCGCCCTGCATTCTCAATGCAAAAAAGCATGTCTTCCTAGCCTGAAAGTACTCCGACATCCTATTCTCTGTGTGCGACCCAAATTGGTATTCTCACTTAACGCGCACAGAGATGGAGCAGGCTCGTCCAACAACGAATACCTCAAATTTGCGCACCGAATAATTACTCGATATGTGCATCATGTAATCTTATTCCTGATTTAGTTATTACTTTTTACTCTTTCAGAAATGAAGCGCGATCAGCAAAGAAGCATTTCATCGCAATTCACCTTGTTTCAGTTGGAAACGCGAGAAGACAAGACGTGGTAGAATATAAGGTGAATTTTTAATTTCGATTAGCTCAAAAGCGTTTTAATGATGAGAATAGGGTAGACGGCCTGCATACTCTCTGCAATATTCTCGCGTTGTGATCTGATGAAGCTAGGGACAAAGTTTATACTTTTTATCTATACTTACTATCTCCTTTAGCGAATCACCGCAGAAGTTTGGTCACCCTTCGCATCCAAGGAAATATTTTCCAAGCATGTTCCAGTGGAACAGTTCCAGAGTGAGGATTCGAAACGAGAAAGACAGCCGAAAAACGCGAAAAAATCGCGAAATATACTTTGTCACCACTGAATGCTTTTATTAATTCTTCAACGTATACAACCAATAAATTTATTTCAAATGATACCGGCTTATTTGAACATTCATTTTTAGGGGCCTCTACTTGCCCTATACGGATAATCTGGATGCCGTGCGCTCCAATTGGCTGAGCGTCAAAAAATGCAGCGTCATGTATGCCACGTTTCCCGGTCAATGAATGAACCCTCTTTTTTATATTTTCGAACGCCCGATAAATGAGAGGATGATTACTTGTCTAGGAGAATTCTCAATACATCAGAACTTTTGGGACTAAACGTGATTTTTAAAACCTTTTTTGGATGATTGAAAGTTTCATGCCCGTGCCAATCAAACTAAATTTCACATTTTTAGAGTTGAGTCGTGCAGTTGGAAATCATGAGACTTTTTAGCCTCTTATTCGCCTTTGTCTCTGCGAACTTGGTGAATGAGAAGGTGATCCGTGTTTTCGATGCGACGACCCAGTTGCTCAAGTCATCAGCGTCTGTCCAAATTCGTAATGACGGCAACGTTGCTGTTTCCACCATCCAGTTGTCGGCTGATGCTTTCAACGCGGACAAGCTGATCTTCTTGGATGCCAAAGTTGATGACAAAAAGCTCAAAGTTGACGGCGATTACAAAGCGACGCTTTCAAGCCCGCTAGAACCAGGACAGACAATCACTCTTGAAATCGAGGAAATCTACCATGGATCCGTGAAGCCCTTCCCGACTGAGATCAAGCAAGCCGACAAGCAACTTGTCCTGGTCGAGGTGAATCTTTACTACACGTCGCCATACAAGACGCTCATCTCAAACGCGCGAATTAACATCGGGACGAAGAAAACTGAAAGTGTCTCGAAAACTGGCAAGCTCGAAGGATCGGCTGTGAAGCTCGAAGAGAAGAAGGATTTCGAAGGTGGATCTTCGCAGAAAAGCCGCGTTCACTTCGAAAACAACTCCCCTTCCTCGTCGCCGAGCGACTTGAGCGTGAGATTGAAGTGTCTCACTGGGGAAATGTTGCTGTCACTGACAAGGTCTGGGTCAAACACACCGGTGCTACTCTGAAGGGATCGTTCTCTCGTTTCGACTTCCAGCGTCAAGACACGGTAAGTAAATGGAACAATGAGTAAATGTTAATTTTAATCACTTTGATGGAAGGCGATTGAAAACGTCTCCGAGCGTATGTGCATTGTTCTCTTTGTGCGTAATGCTCCTCTCATTAGAGCTGTTTCCTTCTTTCAAACGGCTGTTTCCATTTCGCGTTCACACGTATGCTGTAGATTCTCACGCGATTTTAAGGGTGCTTTTATTACGGAATGGAAGATGATCCTTCCCCTTGAAGCTCAAGACGTTTACTACCGCGATTTGATCGGAAACATTTCCACTTCCGCTTTGCGACAAGACTACCGAGCTGGCGAGACTGTTCTCGAACTGACGCCTCGATTCCCAATGTTCGGTGGCTGGCGAAACCACTACACGATCGGATACAACGTCCCTTCTGCCACTTATCTCTCGTCAGATGCCTCAAAATATCAACTCAAGGTTTCGACTTTATATTTTCATCTTATTAAATTTTATCAATCAGGTCCCTGCTACGCCCGAGCTTTACAACGAATTCATCATCGAAAACTATTTCCTGAAGGTGATTCTACCAGAAGGAGTCGCCGATGTTTCTTTCAAAACTAACATTGCTCTGGAGCGCAAACCCGACGAGTCCCGCTACACCTTCCTGGACACAACTGGGCGAACCGTTGTTGTTTTCGAAGGAAAAGACGTCACCTACCAGCACGCGGCGAAGATCGCAGTCACTTACAACTGGAACTCGATCCTGATTTTCAAGGTATTGTGGATTAAAATGAAGCGCGATTTAACGAATTAAGGAACCTCTTCTCGCTATTTCCGGATGGGCTGTGTTCTTCTTTGTCCTTCTTTTCTTCGCTCGACTTGATTATTCCATCTCAGCGCCTGTCTCAGCGGATAAGAAGAAGAACTAGACAGCTTAGAAAGATCATTGTTGACAAAGCCAAACTCTGGTTTTTCCCACGAACAGTGCAATTTACTCATATTTAGCTAATTCATTTAGAAAGATTCCTTCCTTTAATAACATACCTGGATCTCATTACTTATATCCTATGCGTCATTTACTGTGCGTTTTAGAAAGAAAATCTTAGTGCAATAAAATCTATTCGGCCCCTAAAATCATGGCAAATATTCTTGGAGTACTTTTGGCGATATGACTGTATTTGCTCCGGAAGGCATTTTGACTATCTATTTGCCGGAGCAAGCTTCAGTGAAGTATTGAAAAAGGTTACAAAAATATTTGCAGAGTTGCCTTATCTGATTCTTTCGCATAGCAGTTCGCGGTTTCGATCAAATCGGCAGAATTGAACATTTAGAATGGCAGGAGGAAAGACGGTTCTGGTTGTTGGGGTTACCGGGAGCGGGAAGACTTGTTTGATAAGGGTGAGTCACATCTCATTCACTAAAAAGAAAACACTTGTATTAAACACAAGGCAGCGTCATTTTTATTTTTCTAAGCAACAAATAATTTCCTAGAGACTCAAAAGAAAAATATTCAAAGCCAAGAAAAAGCATGACTTTCATACGACAGAGACCAGTGGTTTTGTCCCAACGAAGATAGGCGAAGACTCATTTGGGGAAGTCGGGGGAAAGCTTCAGGCAAACGGTCACCAAGTTCATTCTTTGAGAAGTATTCTCGAAACAACGAAGAGAATTTGAAATCCTAAGCCGCTTCCTCCTAGAGTTAAAAAGGAGATAGATCTGTCAGTCAGAGATTACTCCTTTCCTAGACATCTACCATTTTGAAGAGATGTCTATCTTCATAGGTTTGAAGGTTAGATACTCTGTTGTTCATAATGTCATTTTATATTCTTATATTCGCTATTTTATGATAATAGGAAGAATACTAGGTAGTTCAAAGGATTAAGTCTTCCCGATATCGCTTCTATTCTCATATTAATCGATAAAGTTATTGAGTCTCAGTATATTTTTTGCCGGGTGACGTGAAGCCTGAAATTGGTTGGTTTTTTTACTATTTCGCTAGAATTTCGGAATTCTTTGGCAATATGATCCTAAATTAACGGCAAATAAACGTAGCTACAAATTCACATAATAAACATCAATTAAAATCGAGAGATCGATCCACGCTCGTGAATTGCGTATAATATAGCTAATGAGTGCACAAAGAGGAAAGCCCAGAAACAGTATTTTCATTGTTACTCGGGTACATGTGTGGCGAGCATTTGACATTGGCGACCATGAGCTAGCCTTTGTGGCTGGACTACGCGCAGGATGTCTCGGGCATAATGTGAGTTGTCTTTGAAGAATAGAAAGAAACGTTACGTCCATTCTTCTTCTAGCTACGTTATTGATGCCAGAGCGCATGGACGTCTCACTCAAACTGCTGTTTACGCTCACCAATTACGAGAACAGACACAAGTGGTACGGACTAATCCACAGAGACTAGTTTAGAATTAAATGAGAGACCTGGAAAAGTGAATCATTTTTGGCGAAGGCTTGAACTTTTATTTTGACTTGAGAAGTACCCCTTCGCATTACTACCGAAGAGCATTACTCCCATGGCATTTTTTGTTTCCTACGTATAAAAAGTCAAAATGACATGTTTCAACTGCGTTTGAGCCAGCATGATTCATTTCTTCTTCATCACCCAATTTTAGCCATTGATACTGTACGTTCGACGAGCAAAAAATATGCATGATTGCAAACGAATTTTAAATCAATGGCTCCTCGATGATTTCAGGAATTCGAGCTCACGAAGCTTTAACTGCGAATAACGAAGATTAAAAAAGTTTTTCGTAATCGACTCCAAATTAATAGTAATCTACCTGGGCTCCATCTTGATACGTTAACAAATGTTTACCCATCAAACTCTAGTGGGCTATTTCAACTGCTCGATAGTAAGACAAGTTGAGAGTAGAACTTTTGATGGATAAATGGGACTCGGAAACTTTCATTGATTGTTTTGAGCTTTTGTGATGAAAGCACGGTTTTCAAGTGGACTCTTTTATTTTCGTTTAAAAAAGCTTGAGCGAAGATTTATTTGCGCTTTGGACGGTTATGACTGCGACCTCGAGGAGATACACAGCTTCGTCAAGTCGCTGCCTTGATTTTTACTTCCGCCAGTTGATCACCTGCCTCTTTCTTTTTTAATCTTTAACTAGACGTTCTATTTTTATACTGTCACCAAAATATTTTCATACGTTCATTTTTCTTAACATTCCTTTTCAATCAGATGCGTAAATTTGAAAATGGATGAATTCGAGCGAATCAAAGACCTTGGGAAAGGAAGCTTTGGCTGCGCCATACTTGTACGCCGGAAATCAGGTAAATCCTTTGGGAAACTTTTCAAATGCACCAAAGGTATTCGTCTTTTGTTGAAGGACGAGCGTCTAAATGTATACTGTATACAGCTCAAAGTTCGAAACTGTCCTGCCTTCTTATATTAAATTCTAGACAACAAGCAGCTTGTCGCCAAAGAAATCAATTTGGCTCATCTGTCAAACAAGGCTATCGACGAAGCACGGAAAGAAGCGACATTTTTAAAAGAGCTTACCCACCCGAATATAGTGCGATATGAGGGTTGCTTCGAGCGCAACAACCGGCTCAACATATTGATGGAGTTCTGCGAAGGCGGTGATCTGGCGCAGAAAATTAAGAAGCAGAATGGGGTGCTTTTTGACGAGCCGCAAGTGCTCGACTGGTTCGTGCAAGTCTCACTCGCTGTCAGATACTGCCACGAAAAGAAAATTCTACACCGAGACATCAAAACCTCAAACATATTTCTTCATCGCTATGGAAGACAGGTTAGATAAATTGTATCCAAAAAGGAACCTGGGAATCTTTTTTCGGGCGTCATAACTGCTAGCCGTCTGATGATCTTTAGTCTAATCCACAAGAAAATGCCAACTGGCATTAGCATTGCTAATCGTGCTCATGTGATTTGCCTGAGAAAATATTCGTATCTTTCCACTCATGCAAATCTTGGTATCAGATCGTATACATGGCCTATGCGATAGCGATTAAGTTAACTCGTCCAAACAGAGACCTAAGTTCTTTATTACGGAATGCACGCTTGAGCGCGAGATCTTTATATCTTGCGATTAAAATAGCAAGAAATGGACATAATTCTATGCAAACTACTTTCACTAAAATTCAGAAAGCAACGTTTATTCTCGTATATAACTCGTGCATCTTGGGCTGAGGGTTTTTGGGGCTGATTTTGCGTGAAAAGGCTTCATGTTTCACGTTAGCTGTGAAATCGGGACCATGTTCCTGATGGGCATAATCACATTTACTGAATCATTCGAATGGCGCTCGCCCGATTTTTACCTGCATCTAGAGTTTTGCATCGATAAGAGAGTGAGAAGATGAGAGTTTTAGATCTTCTAGTCGCCTGGAAGACTGGAGAATCCATTGATGTCCCAGGATGGTAGAATGTAGACTTTACATTGTAGAGAATATTCAATTGAAAAATAATCCTGGTACACGGTCAGTGCACTCAATTCAACTTCGTATATCGATAAGATGGATAATTACATCTCCCATCCTTCAACAAAGATCCTTATGATTATATAAGCGTCCCGGACGCTCTTGCCGATGAATCTTATCAAGATTTGATTTTCACCGACGAAAATATCGAATTAGAATCAAATGCACCAAGTTACACGAGATTCTCGTCTGGTCTCTCGATATCGGGATCACTGGAATCTGAGCTTTTTCGAAAAAAGTGGCTCGTTTACGGGGAGTATGCCGGTGGATTTGCTAATTTCAACAGAAGGGAGGAGATCGACCACGAAGATGACGAAGTTGACGAAGAAATAAAGAGAAAAAAGTCAAGAGGCAAGTTTGATAAGAACCGAGGTGATGGCTGGGGACACATCGGAAAAGGCTCATCAGCACAATCAGACAAGGATCAGAAATTTAACTACTATTCTGGGATTATGAAAGATTTCTGGACCTCTTGAGTGAGCAGGAGTCGTCGAATTCAATAAGTACAAAATGATAAAATCGATGGTGATGTACTTGCAAAACCAAAACAGACAGTTTGGCAAATTTGTTGGGTATGGTTGCTGGTGTCTTGCAGGTGCCGATATGTATCTTGGTGAGCCGTCAGGCGAACCCGTCGATGCTATCGATAAAGCGTGTAGAGACTATCATCACTGCAATAGATGCTTGAAAATTGACCATCCAAGTGAAGAAAATGAACTTTCATGCAACATGTTTCGCGGTTATAGATTTCTCGGAAAACAGTTCTGGGCTGCTCTTTTTTATTGACGGCGCTATTTTCAATCAACTAGTGTCTGTAGGTTGTTATCGTCTCAGAGTTAGCCTTAAAAGTCCCGTTTCGGTGATCGTTCAATCGTTTGCGGAAATGTGCACGGTTCATGTCAGAAAACTGCGTGTGATTGCGACGTTCAACTTGCAGAGCAACTTGCTCTATTAGAGGACACATGGGACATAAATCACCACACGGCATGGGGCAGTTTTGATCGCCGGCAATGTGCTCAGCGAGTCAAGACAAGTTTCCTCATTTATGTTTTCGAGTTCTCATGAATATATTTGTATATTCAAAATCAAATCATTTTTCTCAATCTCTTTCCCTATCGTCTACTCATCCATGAAAATAATTATTGATAGATAAGCCTCCATCGATATTTTCAATTAATAATTAAGTTCTTATTTGCGTAAATTTAGAAAACCTCCTATTTTCCATAATGAAACTTATTCTAAGACCTTGATGCCGAAAGGTGACCAGTGTTGTGGCAAGGCGCCTCATCGATTCCCTTTCTACTCCGCAGATGGAGGCAAAGCGTGTTGCTCAGGAAAAGTGTTCAAAACCGCCGATGCCTGCTGCAAGAACGACACCATCATCAGAGGTGGCACTTGTGAAGAGGATGAAGAACTTCCTGAAGTTGTCATCAATCGACCTGTTAAACGGCCAGGATTGAATTGATTTTACTTGTTGAATTTTTGAATAAAGTACTTACTCGAGCGTAGTTCCTTGTTTGTTTCACTTTTTCAAGGAAAATGTATATGACTAACGTTTGAGCAGGCGCTGGCAGGTGGATAATCACATCAATAGTTATCATTATTCTTATGTTGTCTCTTCAGGTTAAACTCGGAGATTTTGGAATTGCACGAGCTCTGGACAGTACGACTGATATGGCGAGAACTCTCATCGGGACTCCTTTTTATATTAGTCCTGAGATATGCGAGGGGAAGCCCTACAATTCTCGCTCTGATGTATGGAGTCTCGGATGCGTTTTATACGAGATGTGCACACTCAGACATCCTTTCGAAGCTGCCAATATGCGAGGACTAGGTAGGACATGTGCACGAAACTTTACATAGACTAAGTCTATCAGATAGACTCTATCTCTAATAGCAGCAATCTTATACAATATCCACTCTACCGTAGAGACAGATCATTATTTTGTATGTTTTTAATTATTGGATATATTTTGGATCAAATTCAGAAGCTTATTGAGACTGTCTACAAAGGGGTAAAGGGATGTGCCTGAGAATATTTCTGAACCAGGATGGGTTCTCAGAAAGCAAAAAAGGTCTTAATTTGGAATTATACGAAGTTATTATTATTATTTATAAATCTATGGGCTTTCCAAAGAGCGCTTTCTTGTGTCTCATTGTCTGTCGTTTTCTAACCTCTCGTTGCGCAAGCAATTTTTGCTTTATTGCAAAATTAGATTCCTGGTTTGATAAATTCTTCGTAGTAGTTTATTATTAAAAGTAGTTTTCTTCGTAAGAACTTTCATTTTATTTCAATCTTATTAGAAAGTTAAAGAAATAAATGGAATTTATAATTTTATCGTTAGATTTGAAAGAACAGACGTCTTGTTTGCTAAGACGGCTATTTGCTTCGATAGAAAAACAATATATATTGAGGGTGCTCGTTCTTACCGTATAACATTCTAGCCGCAAAGATAATGCGAGCAGAATATGCGAAGCTCAGTCCGAGGTATTCACAATATGTGAGAAGCTTGGTCGCCGAGTGTTTCAAGAGAGATCCGACCAAGCGACCTAGCGTCAATGCCATTCTAAGAAGACCCAAAATGAATAACATTGCCCTTCAGTATGAACCTACTCTCAATCTAAAGCCAGCTCCAAGGTAAGTTAGTGTCGAAAACTTTCGCTTATTCGTGTTACAGTGCCAGATCCGTGATGGCAGATAAGCAGAAACGATCGAGAAGCCCCGATCGTGCTCCAGAAAGGCGAATAGCATCGTCTGCGGTGAGCAAAGAAAAAGACAAAAACAAATCCAAAAGTAATGCTCATTTTCTTTCAAAACTCTAACAAGCTGGTAGTGTATACGGAAATCAGAAAGTAATAATTCCGAAGAAAACGAACATTCAGTTGAGTAGAGAAAAGCGCGCCCAGAAAGCACGAGAGGCTGAAAGACAGAAGATTATCAGCGGGATTCACGCATCAGTTGCTTCCAGTCGCGCATCCAGGAAAGGGTCCGTCACACTTTGCTGAATATCTAGGAACATGTAGTCTACGAGTCAAAGATCTTGCGGAACCTTGCTAGTGCTGTGTCGAGGTCTTCTGCGGCAGCGATGCAAGCTCCGCCACCAGGCCCAAGTGTCGAGGAAATCTGGTCGCAGCGCCACAATGAAATTCTGAAAGACTATTACGCGAACAAAGAAGCTGCAAGAAGGAATAAAGTTCTTCAACGAGGCGGCGTGCTGCCCGAACCTAGAATTCCAAAAGCATTTGACCCAGATCATCAGGAGGCGTCAAAAGAAAATGAAGAAAACTCCTCCAGAAATAACAGTCTCAGTGAGCGTTCGATCAATTCTGGTGAGCTAGAAGTTCTTTTGCTGTCTTTTTTATTCAGAAATTAAGAGTCTCCCTCCGCTCAAGAGAGAACCCGTGCGCTTGAGAAAAAGAAATCTGCACTGCAGCGGCTAAATGAGCGCAAATCTGAAGCTCTTGAAACATCGATGAAGAAGCCAGATGAAGGCGGAGATCGAGCTGTCGCGCCACTTCATTTATCTTTGGATCGCACATCCTCCGATGCCTCTTCTGGAAAGGATCTAAATACGTCACTTTATATATAATATAAAATTATAAATATAATATAATATAATGTATATCAGAAATACCATATCTTTTATCTTTTTTTTTTATGAAACAAACGAGTTGATAAACTCAGTACTAGATTAATTTATGTAAAAGCGCATTAAATCCTTAAAAACAGAATCAGAGCAGCCTTCAGCGCGTAAACAGTGGGATGCACCTTCAAAAACAATCGTCAACAACTTTCAAGAAATGAAAATCGACATTGGTTCCATCAAAAGCTCAAACTTTGGAGAGACAATAACAATTTCATCGTCTGTTGGCAATGCAACCGAAAACGTAAAAACAGGATTATCTAGCTGACAAGTTAATGTTTCTAGGACAAAGACTTGGTCCCAGCAGAAACGAGGGAAAAGTCAACGAAGACAGGGGATAATAAAACGTCCAGTTTAACAGAGAATGACAAAGAAGATGTAAGCGTCCCAAAAGAGCCGGTTCATCAGCCAATTATCAAGGAACGAGTTGCAAAATTTCATGAAAAACTTCACAAAAAATCAAATTTAAAAAAAAATCATCTCTGTAAAGGCAAAGCCTGCGCTTATTAAAAAGTATAGTTTCACGAGTCTAGAGAAGACTCATGAGTCGGTCGTGATCCCAAAAGAAAATATAACCCGACCACCTTCAAAAGTAGAGAAAAGCTCCGTTCTCCGCAATTTGGCAGCGAAGTTCGACCCGCATCGAAAAGATGCCCCTGCAGAATCCAGTGAATCAGAAAAATCTTTCGAAAAAGCAGTCGATAACCAAGAGATTCATTTCAAAACTCCACCCGTTCCAGAATCTTCAGTTCAAATCGATCACAAAGGAGGTAAGTTAATGGATTCTCTTAGTGCCGCAGCATCGAAGGTACTTCGAGTGCATCTTTGATTTCTCCAACGGCCGTTTTTAGATTGAGTCAATCACATCCCACAGATATAATCAAGATAACACTTTTATGTGCCGTATGTTTGAGCCCACCGTAGAGTTTATGAATATTTATCATTTTTACTTTGATACAGAATCCGTACTTATCTCTCTCGTCTTGTACCTGATCTACAAGTATACGTCTTAACTAAACACACTTCTGAATATGAGAATCAGTCATAAAAGTTAGGTGGGTTCATATTTTATGAAATAATAGCGGCAATTGTTTTTAATCAGCGCATCTGCGCACTACGCACTTCTCATCGATAATAATTAAAACCTTTTCTTTTTTAAATTTTCGTAGATATTGGAAGCCTTCATGATGAAAGCCTGGACGATATTCAAATTCGATCGACAGCAATCGACGATGCTACAATCAAGAGCTTATCAACGACGACTTTAAAGACTATAAACAGTGCTCGGTCAAGTCCCATTCCAATAAAGATGAGTCTTAGTCCATCTGGCGTGGGTCCCTTCAAAGTCATTCCAAAGAAATCTATTGGATCCGCTCCTAGTCCATCTCCAGTTGTCGTGAAGCCTTCTCTTCCTCACTCGAGGTACGAACAAGTTCTTGGTTGTAGCGAAACAAACGTCCCTTTCTAGCTTAAAGAGTTCAAAATCCAGCGCATCTCCAGGCCGCTTGCCAAGCCCTGAGCCTTCCACTTTCACACCACGTAATGCCGAAAAGGAAAAACAATCAAGTTCAACAGTGCCTCCACCTATCTCGAATAACTTACGAATATCGCAGTCTCTCCCTGACCTTTCAAAAGCCGACGCCGAATCAGTTCCTTTGCCACAAAATGAAAGGAACGCCTTTTCAAAAATCAGACTGACAAAAATAATTACAAAAAGAAAAAATATTTTAAAGGCTTTTTAAAGTATAACACTAGTACGCCCTGTTAAAGTTCGGTCCCGTAGCCCTTCATTAGTACGAGTAGAAAAATCTAAAAACCAGGCTCCAACTTCGAGCTCGCCCCCGAAGATCATGCAACCAGTTTTGACTAAAACGGCTCAAACGTCGAATAACCAAACAGACGAATCATCCTTGGAGTTATCCGCTATTTCTCGTTCGTCGAAGGTATTGATTGAAACTCAATTTGAATATTTTTTAACAATTTCCAAAAAAGGACTCGTCGGTAAAGGAATCTTCAAAAGAAGATATCGGATCCGTCTTCACGCCGATCGGAAATCGTCTCCAGGATCTGGAAAATACCAATTCCGATGAGCAAGTCATGGCGAATATGCAGAGCCTGATTGACGTCCAAGAGTCGATAAATGTCGACGATATTGAGAACGAGTCGGAAAAAGTTGGCTCATTTTACTTTCCGGACCTAACCGTTTATTAGGAAAACTCACCAAACTCAACTCAGACAACAGATGAAACAGGCGATGACGATCTTTGGGAGTCTTCGACACACAACTCTTCGAAAACAAAGAAGACTCTCAATCCATTTGACGATCTGGAAGTAAAGCGTATGAACCTAGAACAGGAACTTGGAATCAAGTAAGAAAACTTCAGAAAAACATATTTAAGTACTTTTAGGCTCATGGTTGACGCATATAAGATTCTCAGTCAAAGTTTGGACGACACTTCTATTTCTACAATGGTTCAAAATCAGATGAAGACCTTACTTGGTAAGATCCTTTTCCGTCGTATTCTCTTGGTCAGACTCTTGGTTCAGCTCTTTATTTGAGTCAGTATATTTTTTAATCTCGATGAAAACGAGGTAACCATCCTTGATTTCGATGATTTGTCTCGGAATTTGAATAATTTGTAGCCTTTGAAAATATTTATTAATATTCCTTTTCAGCGGAAAAGTATGAGTCTTTCTTTCCCCGAATAATGCAGCTGGTCGTCCAAGATTCTATAACTTACGATCGAAACTGTATTTAAATTTATCAGCAAAAAACAAGGAGACACATTCCCGGAAGAATCCGTCTATTACGAGCCCAAGCAAAAACTTTTTAAATTCCATTTGTTTCTTTCAATTTCATTCGAATATGCTAAAAACTCTGCCGAACTTTTTCAATAAAGGAAACTGTTATTTTATACTTCAAAAGTCCCTATTTTTGTATCAAACTAAAAATAAATTACTTGCACTTATTAATAACATGCGCGTTGAGAAGTTATACTATTGAAGCTAGCTTCTCATACGCTGTGTTGAGAAAATGTTGGCAGTTAATTCTTTCGGCAAAGATGCAGAAAATAAAGAGCATTCTTAAAAAGACTAAAAGGTGAACCTTCAATCATGGGGCGCCAGTGGGTACGCCCTCCTCATCTGACGGCGCTATAGTTAACGACATAAAAGACAGAAGGTCTTAGGCAGTCCAAAGTAAATTGTCGAGGAAAAAGGCATGTTTCTGTCTCGATTTAGCATTTCCTTCCTACTCCTGCTACTAAGGAGCACAGATGCAAGTTATAAGCTGCACTTCGACCCGCAAAGTGACAGTTCCGCGAATTTGGACCGCGCTCTCGGCGCCGCCATACAGAGTCGTTTTGATATCGAGTTTAAGAAGGCATCGGAAGAAGCTCTGCTGAAGTCGTCAATTGAAAAATCGTCAGGACTTTCTCGAGGCGGGCGCCAATTTTACTCAAGTCACGAGCCCCTCTGTAAGTTTGAGCAGGCTTACATGGACTGGAACAGGTTCATAGAAGAGAAACTCTGCCCCATGTTGAATATGGAAGAGAGTAGAAAGTTCTGCGATAAAAGGAGTAACTGCTTTGTCAAATTCGACTGCTACGGAAACGGATCATCAAGTAAGAGTTCTCTAGTCGTTCCAACAGCTAGCATTATTAAGTCGGAGCAGTTCCGGTGAAAAATTGTGTGCGAAACGAGTTTGTTCATCCGTCGAACACTTGCGACAAAAGTCGCCTAGATTCAGGTACTGGTTATTATCTCGACGAAAAAAAATAACGAAGTTTCAGCGCAATTTTGTCATAATACGGATCCGATGTTGCACTCCTTTGCTTTTACCAACCATTGCCCTGTGTCACATGTACCCAAGGGATACGAACAAGCACGCAAGCAAGAATGCTGCGAACGAAAACGTCACCAAACTCCCGAAAAAACTGTGAGATGTTACGTTGCCGATTTCAGTTCAATCGAGGAGTACGAATTGTAAGTAAAATAATTTAATCGTAATATATAGGAATTTACATATATGTAAAATATGATTAATTATCGACTGAGCCTTAATTCTTTTAACCTCTTATGGAAAGTAACTTTACGATTAGATATATACGAATCCATACGAAGGGCGTGCTCACACCGGACCGAAATCGAAAATACCGACACATGATCAAATACAGATTGCCAGAAAAGTGTTGCGCTTATCTGTGAATCGAGAACTCTCTTATGAATATTTTGCAAGTGATATCTGTGTGCTCTGCTCCCTAACAAGGTTATCTATTGTAACTACTCGTTATTAACGAGCTTCAAATATTTCGATAAGAGGGGCGAAATTCTCCCGCTATCAAGAGCGCTTTTAATTAAATCATTTCAGTTCTTAAACCCAAGTAATGTCGCAAAAACTTCGATAGCTCTCGAATTCCCCCTTCAATGTGATATTCTATATATCTGACCCTTGGCGATATCGAGACGCTTTTCATCAACAACATATGTAAAATTATATCGATCAATTTAATACCAAGTATAATTTCCATCGTTTCATCTCCTTTCGTGATTTAGGAGGGTCTGTAAGTCTGTTAAGCCTACAAGCCCTCTCTCCTGAGCATTTTTACTGCCTTTTATTATTGTATATTCATTTAAATAAAACCAAAAATGCGTACTTCTTTCATTTCGATTATCTACAACAGTAAGCAAAATTTGAACTGTATTTAACTTTTTACAGATAGTAGAAAAATGTAGTGTAGCATCAATAGCTAGCCAGGGCCGGAGACTTTGATTAGGAAAAATAATCTTCTCATGCAATACCATCTTTTAAAAACTCAAACGAAAGCAGGAGGAGAATTGGGGCGCATGTCCAACTCGGGATCGGTTCCAGATAAAAGCGAGTCGCCAGCTACGAAAAGAGGTTACGTTTTATAGATTCTGCGAAACGAACTGCTGAGAATATTTTAGTTAAAAAGCTATTGACCAGTTGAAAGTTTCATTTCTTATTCATTTCAATTTGTCGCGCAGCGATAACTTACTGAATGAATATTCTCAGTAGTCGCTGTCAATAGTAATAACAGTTGTCAATAGGTCGTGCATTAGAATACTACTTCTTAACTAGTCATACCAGGGTTTGAAAAGTCTGAGCATGAGCATGCTCAGAGCACTGAGCATGAGCACTGAGCATGCTCAGCGTGCTCAAGCTCAACAAAAATTCCAGCGTGTCGTGCTCAGCCGTGCTCAAGCTCAATAAAATCTGAGCATTCGCGTGCTCAGCCGTGCTCAAGCTCAATCAAATCTGAGCATTCGCGTGCTCAGCCGTGCTCATGCTCAGTCAAAATTTGTGACTTTTCAAACCCTGAGTCATACCGTTGAAACTGTTGTCAAGGTTATCTCTTCGCGAATTCCTAACCATACTTGCTTGTCTTTCATTAATTTCCTTTGCAATGTTTTAAGTCATTTTTAAATAATTGATCTCTCATTAATCTAAAAAAATCTGGAAAATAATAAACAAAAAAATCATAAACATGTTCCTGGGTGGTCGCAAAGGACATAGAATTTACAACATCATATCTTTTCAAAAAGCTCACTCGTCTTTCATTGACGGTGATATCTGTTATGTTACTGATGGGCGATTGAGATCGCTCGTTCAGATCGTTTTTCGCATCTTCTTGGATCTTCGGAACATTTTTCATGATAGCAGACCAATCCACTACAAATCGTTTTTTAGAATGCTTTACGATTTGCTATATTCTGTATTTGAAATGTATACTGTAACTAAACTCGTATTGAGTTTAGTTAAAATTGGCTGATATTTCATAAGGCTTTCGAAAATAGTAAATTTAAAGGGTCAATTAATACCTTTGCTCTCAGCGTTGGCGACACTACTATTGATTCCAGTGATTTCTGACATAGTCGATATCGAGGCACGGCCCTTCTGATAAGATGAGTTGTAAATGCGCACCTCGTCGTATGTTGCGTTGATTTCGTCCACCTCTTTTTTGGACTAGAAATAAGCAGTAGAAAACGATACCGCTGAAATTTACAACCTTATCAAGGACGCCTCCAATAGTATCCGGATGGTCAACTTGTGCGTGGTCGACAACAACTTTATCGTCTTTATCTTTTTTCATCAGGTTGAACATGTAATAGTACCAGTCGGGTTTATCGTACTGAATATCGTATGAAAACGCTTCCCATCATAAAATTTGGAAAATGAAATCTTTCAAAATTTTCAAACCTTATAAACGTATTCAGTATCTTTAGTAGCTCCCGCTGCTCCCATACAAAGCCAGTAATAGCAACAACAGAGCAGTAAAAGAAGAAGTAATAACACTTAAAAGATATGTTAATACTTGAAATTAGTCTATAATGGTCCGAAGCATCACGCACATAAAAGAAGAATCCACCAAACACCACCTATAGCAGCTGCGGCGCAGTCATTTTTAGGATAATATTCCCAGTCTTCGTTGTCATCACAATCACATGCCATAATTGAGTATTCATTCATTCCCCTGGGCTCAGGAGCACGACAGGCATCAGAAAATGAGTTTCCGCCATTGTCACTAACAGTGAATTTGATGCGTTCTCCGTAGCCAAGATTCTTTGAAAGAAATGGTCAGAGCGATGTAAGACTTAATAAGAACTTACATAATCGCCTCTATATGCAAGTAAGTAGACCCTAGAGTGGGAAGTTTCCTTGAATACAAAGTCGTCCTTGTTATCTTTGGTAGTTCCCTCGTCGATAATGGTGAAGGTAAAAGGCGCGCCATGACCGAGCGCGTCCTCATCCTTGTCTTCGACAATAGCGATAGCAACAACGTTGAGTCCTTCGACCCCATCATTTATCTCGACGTTTTCGATTCCATGCTGGAGAAGAAAATCCTTTTCTCGGTTGGAAAGCACTTAATATAATTGACGTAGATTCAGCACGGCAAAATCAAAACCCAATTATTTAAATACTCGCTTCAAAATAATAGAGATTCTTATGTTTTCGCACCGTGCCTGATCGTCGAAAAATCTGCTCAAATCTCGGCAAACACCACTTTGTCCCGAAGAAAGGATAACTCTTGGCTGTTGATCGTTTATGTCCCTGAAAAATTGAGAGCAAGAATACTGTTTCTACTTACTTGCACAAAATTAAAACCTCCTCGTCAATGACTTCGTTCCTCTCAGTCGCAGTTATCAAGAGTCTGTAGTATCTAGCATCGCTATCGGGATTCTGTGGACGGCAATGTAATTCCCTGTCGATTGTCTTTTTGAGCACAACTTTTGCAACCTTGTTTGCGAAATCTGTCGACACTTCGAAGAACTCATCATCAGAAGAGTAAGCTTAACATATTCATTTCAAATCCAGAACATATACAAAATTTTATAAATCGAATGCGTCATACACTACGTATTAACATAACGTACCCCCTAGCTCGCTCACATTTTGTGAACATTTTTCCCTTGCTCGCTTAGTTAAATTTTATCAAAGTCCCCTTGCTCGCTCCCATTCTTGTTTCAGCGCGCTCCATTAGTCGCCATCCTTCTTTTTACCTCGCGCGCCCTTGTTCGCTCCTCCTCACCCATTTATCCCTTGTTCGCCGCGAGACCGCCAAAGCCTAGCTCGGCTTGGGTCGCTCTTACAGCTCTTACTGTACTTTCGACTCAAGCTTTTCATAGGGACTATATTTTCATTTTCATGAATATTTTGACAGTAACTAAACTTCATTTCCTCTTTTTAAAGCGTCCAGTTAAATTTTTATATCTTGTAGCAACGCTGTATTATGCCGTAAACTTGATAGTGTGACTTTATATGTACATTTTTACTCAAAATAGTCGGATCTTCATGTTGAAAATGGTTCCAGAGTTGTAAATTTGCTGAGCTGAGTGAGCTGAGCTGGCTGAGTGAGCTGAGCAGTCGCTCAGCTCAGCTCAGCTCAGTGATTTTGGAAAATGATCTGATCTGCTCAGCTCAGCTCAGCTCAGACAATTTTCACTCAGCTCAGCTCAGACGATTATCACTTAGCTAAGCTCAGCTCAGCTCAATGATTTGAATACAATTTTACTGTAAACCCTTTAAACAGTAAAAAACAGCTCAGCTCAGCTCAATCAGCTCAGCTCAGCTCTAATTAGGGTCCGCTCAGCTCAGCTCAGCTCAACTCTCTTTAACAAAAGGTCTGCTCAGCTCAGCTCAGCTCAGAAACCTCCGAAGTAGCCCAGCTCAGCTCAGAGAAATTTTTCTCGGGTCAGCTCAGCTCAGCTCAGAAAAATTAATCAAAATTTGCAACTCTGACTGGTTCTTTTAACAAACGCCGCGAAAATCCCCCCAAACGTATCTATTATTTCACTCTAGCGTTCTATGTACTGTGGATTGAGCGGGTAGTGTAACCCTGCAATTTTCAAAACAGTAATTTGAACACTATTTTTCCCATATACAAAATGACTACGTGATAATTTCATTTCTTCTGTCAAAAACAAATAATCTCACCTGACCCGAAAGATATGAATATGATTTTGAGGTGAAAAATAGGGATACACTATTAACCTAGATTTATCCGTCAATTCTTTCGAGAAATCTCAATAAATGAATTTTGAGGAAAAAGGCATTTGATTTTTCATAAAAAAAGTCTCAAAGTTTCAATCTTAGTATTTCGAGTACTTATGTTTACTTAAAATGGAGTGTCCAAATTTCTTCTTATTAAGAAGATATGAAAATTTGACAAAGTGGGCGTGAAAGAGCATAAAAAGATAAGTTTGCTTGGAAAAAATCATGAAAATCAAAGTTAAAAAGCCTTTTAAAAGTGAAAAAGAAAATGAGCTACGCGTCATAAAGCTTCAAGGGGCTTCAAGAGCGAACAAGGGATAAATGACGGAGAAATGCGGGCGAGCAAAGGTGCGCCGTCGAAACCAAGGAGAGCGAACAAGGGGTCGTAGAATGCAAAAGAAGGAAAGCGACCAACGGATCTTGGTAACAAAAAGCGAGCGACCAAGGGGGGTCTTGTTGGAGTTTAACTAAGCGAGTAAGGGAAAAATGTTCACAAAATGTGAGCGAGCTAGGGGGGGGGTACGTTATACTGATTGACGTAGGAAAGTATTTTAGTCATCTTTCGATTTCGCTTACTTATTTCTTTTCCCTGACTATCTTCATCGACTGCCAAGATCATCTGATTATCAACTCGTTGCCCTACTTGTGTTTGACAATTTTCAATGACAGCTGGAAATCCTTCGCCACTTCTAGTCATGAATGATCGGAATCGTAATGGGTCATTGACATCTCTTACGCGCATCGTACAAACTGTCTCAACTGGCTTTGCATCTTTTGCCTTTGAGTTGTGAAGACGGACATTGAGATTGACGATTCTAGCAGCGACGGAGCCGCGGGTTTCAATCTGTGCTCCAGGAAGTTCGTAGTTGTATGGTTTGAGAATGTTGACTTTTCCTGAAGTCACCCAAACTCCATCAACTCGCTCGATAGTAGGAACAATTTCAAGCGAACCGTCAAGAGGATCTTCACTGTCCAGTACTTCAATCTCAACAAACCCGTTTCTTTCGTCGGCGTCACGATCAACAATTCGAATGTTAGCAGCTTCAGGAGCGTCCATGCTATTTTCATCAATTATTCCAAGGTCACAACTCTCAACTTCTGGTGGTTGATTGCACATGTAAATAATTACTTTTTGAGGATTACGATTAATTTCAATCCGAAAAAATCCCCAAAAGGACCGGAGAATTCCTGGTATTATAAATACCTCTTCTAGGAATAAAGATATGTGAGGCAGAACATACTTGTCGCATATGTGCGCAGATATGAAAAAGATTATCTCAATTGACTGATCCTCTCCTTGAGCTGAACGCGACCCGTAAATTGGATTGCCTGGATGATCACGTACGCCGACTTCGATGGATAATTCGCGAACCTTATTGTTTATTCTTGGATCGAAAGCACTGACACTTATGGTTCCATCCGCATCCAGTCGGAAAATATTTTGAATCTCTTCCACTCTACCGTCGTAGTAACGAACAAGGACCGGCGATCCAAAGGGCTTTCGATGAGTGAAGAAAAATTCAACTTTTCCATAAGCTCCAATGTCCATATCTGAGCCCGATAGTTTTCCAATTTTGGTACCCACTTTCATATCCGGACAGTAAGTCATGCTCAGACTGTGGGGATCAAGCCAGGGGATGTGATCGTTGATATCACAGACGTCGATTTTTATATTTCGCGAAGCAATTTCATCTCCGGCGCAATTAAAAGCTCGGACTGTAATTTCATGAACATCTTCTTTTTCTCTGTCAAGAAATTTCTTCAGAGCAATCTGTGCGCGTTTTCCAGCAACAGTATCTGCATTCGAAATCCCAAAGAGTTCATTTTCATCAATACTATATGAGCAAGTTTGATCTGTGTCGAAATAAACTTCAGGTAGGTCGCCTTTGTAGAATCGATCTTCGAGGGAAACCCCTTCGCAGATTCGAATGGGCTGACAGTTGTGCCACTCGCCGACGACCGGGCGCACTGCTGGCCGGATGGTAACGCGAGGAACAGGCGCTTCTTCATGTCTCACCGGTGCATAGATTTGGTTAGCCTAAAGAGGTAGTTAATTGCTGTCTATGCAGAGCGTTCGAAGAATAGAAATGTCAGTGGTAATCTAGCTTTGTCAAAACCATGGGTTGAAATATGAGTTTTTACGGAGCGATCGTTTCCCTAACGATCGATATTATGCTAAAACATTCGATAGAAATAACGTACCCCCCCCCCCTAGCTCGCTCACATTTTGTGAACATTTTTCCCTTACTCGCTTAGTTAAACTCCAACAAGACCCCCCTTGGTCGCTCGCTTTTTGTTACCAAGATCCGTTGGTCGCTTTCCTTCTTTTGCATTCTACGACCCCTTGTTCGCTCTCCTTGGTTTCGACGGCGCACCTTTGCTCGCCCGCATTTCTCCGTCATTTATCCCTTGTTCGCTCTTGAAGCCCCTTGAAGCTTTATGACGCGTAGCTCATTTTCTTTTTCACTTTTAAAAGGCTTTTTAACTTTGATTTTCATGATTTTTTCCAAGCAAACTTATCTTTTTATGCTCTTTCACGCCCACTTTGTCAAATTTTCATATCTTCTTAATAAGAAGAAATTTGGACACTCCATTTTAAGTAAACATAAGTACTCGAAATACTAAGATTGAAACTTTGAGACTTTTTTTATGAAAAATCAAATGCCTTTTTCCTCAAAATTCATTTATTGAGATTTCTCGAAAGAATTGACGGATAAATCTAGGTTAATAGTGTATCCCTATTTTTCACCTCAAAATCATATTCATATCTTTCGGGTCAGGTGAGATTATTTGTTTTTGACAGAAGAAATGAAATTATCACGTAGTCATTTTGTATATGGGAAAAATAGTGTTCAAATTACTGTTTTGAAAATTGCAGGGTTACACTACCCGCTCAATCCACAGTACATAGAACGCTAGAGTGAAATAATAGATACGTTTGGGGGGATTTTCGCGGCGTTTGTTAAAAGAACCAGTCAGAGTTGCAAATTTTGATTAATTTTTCTGAGCTGAGCTGAGCTGACCCGAGAAAAAATTTCTCTGAGCTGAGCTGGGCTACTTCGGAGGTTTCTGAGCTGAGCTGAGCTGAGCAGACCTTTTGTTAAAGAGAGTTGAGCTGAGCTGAGCTGAGCGGACCCTAATTAGAGCTGAGCTGAGCTGATTGAGCTGAGCTGAGCTGTTTTTTACTGTTTAAAGGGTTTACAGTAAAATTGTATTCAAATCATTGAGCTGAGCTGAGCTTAGCTAAGTGATAATCGTCTGAGCTGAGCTGAGTGAAAATTGTCTGAGCTGAGCTGAGCTGAGCAGATCAGATCATTTTCCAAAATCACTGAGCTGAGCTGAGCTGAGCGACTGCTCAGCTCACTCAGCCAGCTCAGCTCACTCAGCTCAGCAAATTTACAACTCTGGAACCATTTTCAACATGAAGATCCGACTATTTTGAGTAAAAATGTACATATAAAGTCACACTATCAAGTTTACGGCATAATACAGCGTTGCTACAAGATATAAAAATTTAACTGGACGCTTTAAAAAGAGGAAATGAAGTTTAGTTACTGTCAAAATATTCATGAAAATGAAAATATAGTCCCTATGAAAAGCTTGAGTCGAAAGTACAGTAAGAGCTGTAAGAGCGACCCAAGCCGAGCTAGGCTTTGGCGGTCTCGCGGCGAACAAGGGATAAATGGGTGAGGAGGAGCGAACAAGGGCGCGCGAGGTAAAAAGAAGGATGGCGACTAATGGAGCGCGCTGAAACAAGAATGGGAGCGAGCAAGGGGACTTTGATAAAATTTAACTAAGCGAGCAAGGGAAAAATGTTCACAAAATGTGAGCGAGCTAGGGGGGGGGGTACGTTATCAAACAGGGGAACACAGTCCCATGGATACTGTCCCATGGATACAGTCCCCCATGCATACAGTCCCATGGATACAGTCCCATGGTGTACTCACTACCGTCTCATCTATGGTTTTCCAAACGATGAATGACAAACTGATTAATGAATTATTAACCGCTTATCAAGCAAATTAACTTCTTTTTTCGAAACGATAATTTATACTTTACTGAGCGTGCAATGAGTGTGCAAGTAACAGTTTTCTGATCTTATTACCTGTATCAAGGCAAGGCCCGTGGCGAGCCACAATTTCATTTTTTTATCAGGAAATCTTCTTCAAGCTCTTACTTATTGTTGGAACGCGTGTCTCTCTAGTTTTATACTATAATCTGGCTTTTTTCAATAATTTGAATCATGCAGCGGTGATTCGAATAAAACGAAAAGGTCGAATTTACGACCTTGAGGCTTGCGAAGTACCGAGAGAGAGGTCGTTTTCAGAGGCTCTCTTTTGCTCAGGCCCCGGCTCTATCCGAGCCCATGAGTAGTCAAGTAGTAATCTCGTAAAAATGAAAAGAAACAATTAGCCGCTCAGTCTATTTTATTTTTTCTTCTTCGTAATCTTGCTGATAGTAAACCGATGCATGATAATAAAAATGCAGAATACAGATTTGCTAATTCGTTCTGTTCGTTGAATCTGACTTCTCGGAGCTCTGCTGAATCAGTAGTTTTCTCAATTCACTCAGCTCTATAAAAGAAGTTAAATGACCTTTTTAGGCATATTTTTGATATTTTTTAATATTGAGATTTTCTCATGGAAAACCGGCAATTGACGTAAAATGATTATATAAACTTAATAACAACATATATTTTTTAGTTATTCAAGCCAAAAAGATACGGAGATAGTACGTTAATTCAATCGGATTATTCTTACAATTTCATTTATATAAGGTGATCTCCTTATTTCAACTTTAATTACCAAGAAATACGGATTAATTTCATAGTATTTTAATGAATTGAAAAACCCATTTGAACAAAACAGTTTTGATTTGTGCGTAATAAGAATCATTATATTACCATCTTGAACTTGAGTTTGTTGGCGGCTTATTGAGTGGATTACGCTGGCAAGCGAGCTGGTGTCAGAGGAGCGCGGAACTGGAGGAAGTGGTAAGGAGTTTTTACGCTTGTCGACTAAAATTGTAAAAATAGCAATAAATAGCGGAGGATTAACGACTGGATCTGAAATTAAACGCTTGCCTGTGTTTTTATAAAGCAATGCCTTGTCTGTTTGCGCCAGAGGAGGGTCCACAGCGTAATCTACGGATTTCACCCGGTGGAGACGACGTGTCACAGCTGTCCTCTTCAAAAATCTTTATTTCCTTCCAGATTCATGGAAGTTACATTTTGGGCTGGGAAATACGGTATTTCAGGCAAACCAGCTGCCATTGTGTTCAACCTTCCAATCGAGCCTACAGAGGGGCGTTTTGGACAGCCACCAGGGTCAGAATTGTTCTCCGATTGACGACGCTTTAAAAGGCTGTCAAATTTCAAATAGACGTTGACAATGTCACGTTGATTAGTAAGTATATTCATGCTGTGTTATGTCTTGGCCCCAGACTCTGGGGTCAGCTGAGCTTATGACTTCTTTGCGGTCGAATAAAGTGTATTTATGCGCATAAACTATCGATGATTAATTATAATCCACATTCTCAATTCTCAATGAAAAACCTTGTCCTGTAAAGAGGGAGATGCTCTAGTTGTGACTAGTGTAGTCCGGCGCCGTGAAAGTGAATTCGTTCTTAGATTAAAGTTTAATCATTAAACTCTAAAATTTGAGAATATCATTTCAAACCTTCTTCCTGAGGATCTGGTGGAATATCGAGAGGGCCTGAATCTGCTCAATCCGCTTTGAAAGAAATTCGAAGCCCAAGACTGATGATGTCCACCCTCTAAATCCACTTGTGAATCTTAACTGGGTTAGTTCTCATGTTTTATTTCAAATAAAACACATCTGATCGTTATAAGAATCGTCATATTTAACCCCTGTCCTTTTGGGTAATTTGGTTCGTCGCAATCGGAGTGTTCGGCTTCATTTACGAGCTTGATGGCGTTCGTAAGCCAGCTCTTAAATCAAGGACAATTAATTGCCTTAAAAATTACATTTGTTTGTTTTACCACTTCTTGCAATAAATATACTTTACGGGCAGATGGATCTCTCTTCGAAGCTAGGGAAAGATCCGCGAAAATGTACCTGTGAAGATTTTTTACGAAGAAATTGGCCACCTCTTCTGACAAGATTCTCCAATGAATCGAGTTTTCGCGAAATGTGTGTCGTTGTTATTGCAGTTTCATCTACTTGAAATTCTTTCTCCAACCTAAATCCATGTTCTTCAAAATGTTCTTTGAGTAATTTATCTTACGATAATTCAGCAGTTTCCGTGCTCTTTTTAACCTGTCGCCACTGCCAAAGAGCCTCTAAAAGGAAAGATTAATCTGGTAAGCCACTCAAACTAGTACCAGAGGTTGCCTTAGCAAGTTTCATCCGTTCACGACGTCTTCCCAATTTGGCAATAAATTCTTCCGTTTCATCTTTTTTCGCCATTTGCTCCATCAACATTCGACACTTGTATTGGCGCCAAACGAATTGAATCAGACGAGCAGCGCATTTTCTTCTGATAACATGTGCTCGTTGTCGCTCAACAGATGCCATGAGACGTTTTTCTTCTGGTCCTATAAGGAGAGACTCGGACAGAACACCAACGATCAGCGCTGTCTAACAATTTTATTATAGGTATTTATTGCCACACATAATTGTGTCAAGTAGACTAGCTAGTGAAACTTGCAAAATAAAGATAATTAGCGGGATTAGTTAAATATGCTTTCGCCGTAAATTTTCGCACCTGGAATAATCCGAAAAGCGACAACACAGCCACAATGCTCCTTGAGACCCAAAAGTTGGAGTAAACTCGCCGTACCCGAGATTAGTGAGAGTCACGGCCATGAGCCAAACCACGTCTAAAATAATAATTTTGAAGTATTGAAAGCAATTGCGAACCTGAATATTCCATACACGTGCCATATGATCGCTCTAGTGCGTAGATTACATACCCCATCGCAAAAACATTGAAGAAATATACACCCGCCAGCATCGTGAGCGGACGTTTCTAAATTATTTTCGGGGACCGGTTTTATTTATGACGGTAATCAGGAGTAACAATTGTAAGCCCGCTGAGGAAGAGTAACGAACCAGAAAATGCGATTTGAGCAAGAAACTCGAAGACATTGTCACACTGCCGAGATTCTTCAGAATCTCCGTCATTCTGTTGTAACGCATCGGATGGTGCTCACGCATGTACTTGATCAGATGATACAACCGGAGAAAAGTCATTAGTTGCATTTCTTTTGGCAATCCGACATCTAAGAAGTTATAAAATTAAAAATAGGCTTTCTAGCTTACTGAAAATCGGAACATGAACGGAGCTGATTGCGAGTTCGAGGTAGAACCAAAAAGCCAACGGAGAAAATGACAAGATCGTTGATTCCGAAGGGAGCTGTCGACGAAGCACGAGGAGTCTCCGCTCAAGCTCAGAATACCACCAAATCAGAATCAGAGTCATTATCGTCATTAAGCTGTAATTAAGATCAGTTCTCACCTCAACTTGACTACTTACGTTATTGCCGCTTTATATCCCTGAGCATAAAACTTCAACAGAAACTTCAATCTTTCTTGACTACCGTCGCCTCCAGTCGCATTTCCGAAGTTCAATTGTGAGTTTTCCCACTTGTATTCGCAGATTTCTGCCTTTCCCGAATAATGTTTCTGAGGCGGAGTCATTTCCCCGGCTGAATCGAACTCAAGCTCGATGAATGTCACTGTAGCCACAACTGTAGCGACGCCAGAGCACGCCAAAGCTCTGCTTGCATGCCTCAAAGAACGGTGAATCCTCACTTTGGCTAGTTCGTTCTGTTCGAAAGCCGCTACGTCTTGCCATTGCTTCAGTTAATTTTTAATTTTGGCGATTCTGGACGAATCATCTAAATCTTAAAATCTCAAAAATCCTCCTCTTTCCTTGGCTCTGTTATTGAATTCGTGGTCGACTGTCACCATTCTGTTCAGTTCGCCGATCTGGATCTTGTCTTGATTCACCATCGCCGCGAGTTCTCTCCAGTTCTATTTCTGGTTCCCTCTCTTTGTCCGTTCAAAACAAAACCGGCTAAAGCGCACCTGTGGAAGAAAGGAGTGCAAGTCCGACAATCCTCACAAATAATTCATGCGCGCTATCCCTCATTTTTGGATCTACAGGAGAGCCAGTACTAGTGCATCGATCTTTAATGTTGCCGTAATTTTGAAACCGCAAAGGGTTCAGCTGAAATTAAAACTGAATATATGATGATACTGTACTTGGAAAAATAATCATGGAAACTTGTTTCGAATGAAATTTATTGCGCAAATGAAAGAGGGAAAACTTTCCCTTCTTGGCGCGTAAAACGGTTGTTCAGTGTAAAGTTGATGAATCTGGAAAGATGGCGGAGCCCTAGAGTACTTCTTGCACATACTTATTGGTTGACAATGGCTCAAAAATTATCCACGCAATTTTGAGGGTATAAAAAGACGACAGCTTACGAATGCAGCTCACTCCTGAAGTCAACTTCCTATAGAAGAGATGGCGGCGCGAAACGACACCAACCAAGATTGGTGTAGTCAACTTGCCGAACCCCAACGCTTTCCGAAACTGGATTTGCGGGGTACCCAAAATCCCTGAGGAATCTCCTAGAGATATCAAGGAATTCTACTTCATGGACAGCCCTTCTTTTGACACGGCCAATTTCATCAAAATCGAAGAGAATACACCCAATTTCATTCTCTTCGACACCAAGGTCGGCGATCGCTCCCTCGAGGTGAGTTATCTGAACTCATAATTCTATGTTGATAATTTTTTAGAACCCCGACCATGAAGATGCTATTTTGGGCTTCATTCGAGGCTGCCAAGACCAATTCAAGATCCAGAAAAGGGTGAGTCGTAAACCAATGCGTTCGTTTCTTTACTAACTGAAATCAAGGAGAGGGTCGTTCCATGGCGCGATATCCCATGCCGCTTGAACATCTTCGAGCAGGCCAAGGTCACAGACCAGTGGTGCCAAAGCATGTTCAGCTGGATCTCGCCGAAGTGCAACAAATGTGGCTTTCACTGCCAGGCTCACGCCCTTCGACAAAAAACCGAATTCGTGACCACGGTCGAAGTAAGTAACAATGCTCGTCATGATGATTGTATCACACTAGTCTAACAAATTTTGAGTAATAACTTACATGATCTGGCTTTAAAAATGACTTTAGAATTCGCGTATCGGACGCCTAAGAAAACTGCTCTGGGCTGATGAGTTTCGTCTATCCATCGCCGCCATCTTCATTCCATTTGGCTTTTTCACTGCTGATTCTCTTCTGCTACTGGTAGATTGAAGTAAAAGTAAATTGAATAAATTGATATCGAAGATGAAAAGATCTTGGCTTGTTTGCATTCACATTTACAGTCGATTATCTTTGCAATAGACTTTGCGTTTTTTGAGCTTTGAATAGAGGATTCTCTAGAATTCTCGCCGGCAAGAGAGATGTTTATTCTTTAGTTGTCACTTCAATTTATGAAGTTAAAAAGTCCGAAAAGAGCATAAATCCAGGTAAGATTTTGTCAAACTCAGAATAACAGTCGACACTTTTTGGGCAAATGTTGAAATACCACTAACCTCTTTAATTTTAGGACTTTTACGAGGAATCTTCACATTGAAGAACGTCCAAGACACTGAAATACCCTCAATCTCAGTCGAAAAACGAGGGAGCGATAAGAAGACATCCAAGAAATCGGGTATCTTCACCTTGAATCCAAAAAGGATGTCTTGATCGAAAAATATGAAACCTGAATAAAATCAATTTTCCTTCAATCTATCAAATCCAAAAGCTCTCAAATCCTTTGAATTTCAAAGTTTGAAAGTTTTTGCAAGTTTCCCATTTTATTTTGAACAAACCCTTGTTTTATCTTGGCACAATAGCATAATGCAATATTGTATAGTATACACAGTATATTGCATCTATTATATATACAATATAACTTATATTATATAAGGGGGTTCCCTTATAACAATATATATATTTATAATTTTTTGTATATTTTCGAGTCTAAATATCAAACAACTTTGGAAACTCAATTTGGTTCGATCCTCCTTTTTCCTGCGCCCTGGCCAATCAGGACAAACAGAGAAAGTCATTATCGTACCTTCCATAAAATAATTTTAAAAATAACTAAACGCGAAAGTTCCACAACAATAAGAAAACCGAGAAGAAAACAATCAAGAGTAGATTCGTCGTATCGTTAGAAAAGATACGTTAATTGGTGCATCTTTTGAAGTTTTAAAAGTCTTTCGAGGCCGCGTTAAAAACACTTCGCTTGAAACAATTTCCAAATTTGGCGATTCCAACCGACGAAAATTTTTTTCGAGAGAGTTCACGGCAGCTGCAAAGATATCATCTCGCGAGTCGCTGTCCCTCACCCTCACCTCCGATGGTGCGAGCTTTCATTCGGCCGTTTGCAGTCCTAGAGGTAAGTCGCAAAGATAATTTTTCCTAATTTCCGGCCCTTCCCTTTTTTCCTCGTCCAGCGCTGCTTTTGTCCCACAAGTTCAAGAGCTCCTCCATTATTCATTACAAAATCAATATTTTGATTCCGCGCGTTGAAAATTGAATCCGGTTACAGCCAAAAAACTGACCATTGTCTTTTTCTTGGAAGATTTTCAAAGTGAATAATGAGTTGACTAAAGTAATAATGAGTTTTGAAGAACCACGAATTCGGAGAATGGAGAAGATGGAGCTACGAGCGGTAAATGGAGTGACGGTCACAGGACCGACCAGGATTTCCAGCACCCACGGCACTTTTTGCTGGACTTCCGGTCCGTTCGTGACAATCGTCGAGGGAGAGAAAGGGCTTGACAATGCGGAGTATGTTTCAGTCAAGGTAAGAGCTATTTTTTTTATCTTTGCCACTTTTTAATATTTTCTAGCGCTCTATCTCCTGCCTGGCGCTCTCCGCGGACAAGAAGAGAGTCGTCACCGGCGAGGCGGGCAAAGACCCCTGCGTGCGAGGTATTATTATTATTATTTGATCTTCATAATCTTCATTATCATACAGTGTGGTGCCGCGAGTCGAAGAAATACACGGCGAAATTTAGCGGCCACCGATTTGAGATCATCAACGTCGCCTGGCATCCAGAAGGAAAGCATGTCCTCTCGTGCGGCGACCAGCATGACCGGCAAATTTTCATCTGGTGCCTGCGGACTGGCGAGAAGATGGCGACGAGTAGACTGCAGCAGGAGCCCTCGTTTTCGTTGTTTTTCAGCGCCAAAACGTTCATCACCGTTGGCAAAGGTAACGCACAGTCGTTCGTTATTGATCTTAATCTTTCCGTTGTAGGTCTGATTCGCTTCTGGACCTTTCCAGCGCAGCGAACCCGTGTGGCAGTTCAAACGCTCACGGGGCGCAACGCGCCGCTGAAACAACGAAGAGATCACACATTTATCGATGCCTGCGCGACATCTACTAATGTCTTCGCTGTTGCGGAAGAAGGCATCGCTAAATTGAGTGGTACGCGCTCCCTGCAGTCGTGGTTTGACTACTCCAAGTGCCAGTGTATCAGCACGAATGGAGAGCACCTCTTCCTCGGAGTAAACACAGACTATGGAGGATGTGTTCTAGGTAAACTCGACTCTTTCAACTTCAGAAACTAAGTTTTTTCAGTTCTAACCACAAGCTTCGAGAGATTGTGCGAAATGGCTCTCGGCGATATCGACGTTCCGCCAAATCCAGTAGCGATAGCGCCCATCAAGGAGAATGAGGTGTTCGTCGTGTACAAAGATCGCTCGTGCACCCTCTGGAACAGCGATCCCGAAACGCCCAAGATTGTGGAAGAGTACGCAGGCATCCGGGGCCCTGTGAATTCAGTGACTGCTTTTGAGCGGAATACTGTCATTTCAGGATCAACTGATGGTACTTGTCGCGTTTGGGAGTTGGGAGCTCGTGATATGTTCCAGGTAAGAAGCGATTCTTTAGACAATTTTTTACATTAATTTTAGCTTGAGATTTACGCCACCATGGATGAAAAATCCATTCGTGTGGTGTCTTTGAACGAGGCGAAAGATACACTCGCCGTTGGTCTCTCGAATGGGAACCTCGAGCTGTACAGACGAATGCCATGCGAAGAGACGGATCAAATGATCTGGAGTCGACTTGAGAACATTGAGGCGCACAATGGAGAGGTGACATCGATCAGCTGGCGTGGCGACATGCTTGCGACAGGCGGCCGTGATCGCTTTGTTCACGTAATCTTCACGAACAGCAGAAGACCGTCGCTCACGGTGGACTATCATACTTCGTCTGTGAGTGCGGTCAACTGGATCGTCGATGAAGCGGACAACGCGACACTTGTCTCTGGTGGTGCGGACAAAGCCTTGTTCTTCCTTGCGCCAACAGAAGAGTCCCTTGAACGTGAGAAATGGATCAAAACTCCATCCAGCATTTGCGACATCAAGGGACGGAAGCGAGCGTACGTTGCCCAGGGAAAGCAGGTAGCATCGTACGACATCCGCGGCGAGCTGATCAAGAAGTACGAGAGCGAGAAATGGACGAAAAACCTGGTCTCAATCTGCCTTGATGACAACGAAGAGTACCTCGCGACAAGCTGCTTGGTGAATGTTGTAGTCTTCGAAGTTGAGCGTGCGACTGTTCTCCATGTGGTGCCAGTGCATGCAATTAGCATTGCACTTCTTGTCGCGAATTCGTCGCCGATCTTAATTGGTGGCGATTCCGAAGGAAACATCTCAATGTGGAGAACGCCCGTGGCACAGATGATCCATCGATCTCAATCGCTACCGCTGCCATGTGTCGTGGAAGCGTCAGCACATGAGGAAATGTCAGCTTCATCGCGCACGCCGAAGCGACAAAATGACTTCGAGGAGAAGAAAGTCCGCCGTCGATCAAAGGTAGTTTTTTCGTTATTTAGGAGTAAAATTTCCATGTACATTTTAGTGGAGCTCGATGCCTACACCGTTCAAGATCAAAGCCGCACTGGACTGCAGTGCCGTGACGATCTACGATGAGGATGAAGAGGAAGGCGAGGAGCAAGATAACGAACTCCCCGAACTAACTCTTGAAGCTGATGAGCAAACAGTTATTGCCGCAAATAACTCCGTTTCTCCTGATGCTGACTCCAACGAGTCCCTCGAAGCTCATTTCGCCACTTGCACCAGCGAATTTCCCGAGTTCCCGGAAATTCCGAGTGAAGGTAAACCCCTTAGAAAAAAAATCATTTATTCAAATTTGTTTTAAGAGTATTCTCGTCCATCACTCTCAACAAACGCCATCAAGCGATTGACGAGTCAGCGCTCTGCTTGCGAGTTGATTCCTGAAGAAGATACGGTCAAAAACGACTCTTCCGGAATCAGCTCTGATTCCTCAAACTCGCCGAGGAAGGAAAACTGCACTCGCAAGAATATTAGTTCGCTCATCTCTGAAATTCAGGGCATGAATGCGAACGAAGTTAAAGAGTCCGAAAAAGAGCTCTTGGAGCTGATCAGAGAGGCGAGTACTAAATTGTACTTGTCAAAATGATCAGTTCTATTCACTATTCACACTGTACAGTTCACTTTCATTCTCACTGCCCTCACTTGAATACAGCTTCCTAATCTTCAAAGTTATAAGTTTTTGTTCTGACTTTTCTGCAGGAAAGCATCAGCAATTATAATAGAATCATCACAGAAGATAGGCAAAAATACTAATACCGTTAGATCAGATTATCTGACCTATTAGGTTTTTAGTGAGATTCTTGATGACTTTAAATTAAAGTTAAATTAAACTGACAATGTGAGAAAAAAAGAAAGGAGAATGATGAAAAATGCTTAGAAAGTTTCGTCATCTCTAGAACAGGCCTTATTATTTTGAATTTGAAGTTCGTGCTCTTCAGTTCATTTTTTGCCGAAGTCGCGACATGTTCAAAAATACGTTTCAGGTATTTAACCGGGTTTGATTTTTAGTTCAAGGAAATCTTCAGAGCGGCTTTTTGTCCATTTTGTACAGTATCGGTTCAAAGCCGCTCCAAATCTGGGACAAGAAAGTGCGAAACGGACACATCAAGCGCATCACTGACAACGACATCCAGTCGCTTGTGCTCGAGATCGAAGGAACCAATGTCTCCACCACCTATATCACATGCCCTGCTGATCCCAAAAAGACGCTGGGAATTAAGCTACCCTTCCTTGTCATGATTATCAAAAATCTCAAGAAATACTTCACTTTCGAAGTTCAGGTACGCCTAGAGTAAACAACGCGATTCTAGAGACTTTTGAGGTTTTGGATGATAAGAACGTGCGAAGACGATTCCGAGCTAGCAACTACCAGTCGACCACTCGAGTTAAGCCCTTCATCTGCACAATGCCGATGCGACTTGACGACGGCTGGAACCAGATCCAGTTCAACCTTTCCGACTTCACCCGAAGAGCTTATGGCACCAACTACATCGAAACTCTCCGAGTCCAGGTAATCCCCTCAGTCGCCTCTTTCAACTTACTTTCTTCGTTTTTTAGATTCACGCTAATTGCCGAATCCGACGAGTCTACTTCTCCGACCGACTTTACTCCGAGGACGAGCTGCCCGCCGAATTCAAGCTCTACCTACCCGTACAGAACAAAGCGCAAAAGGCATAAAATCGCACTTTTTATTAACCTGTTTATATAAGGTACTTTTTATAATAAATTTATACAAAAAATACGCCATCATCAGACTTAGATTAGACTTTTTCGAAAGGTCCAATCTAAATCCAAGTCTCATTGCAACTTGCTTCCTTAGTTTCCAAGCATATGAATTGTTACTAAGTGAGAAACATGGCACGATGTATAGAGATCGATCAAGATATGGGAAATGATTTATTCCGTTTCGAAACTTCTAGTTCGGTTTCTGCTGTGAAAATTCAGGATCAACATCTGCCGCCACTCGGTGTCTAGAATTCTATAAAGCTCTTCTTATTTTCCGATATTTAAATCAAACTGAAAAGAAAACATTTAACATGATTTTCAAAAAACTCTTCTGCATCAAGGATGTCGAGCATCAGATTGAAGAATCGATCATCTATGAAATTCTAGCCATTGCTTCAGAAAGTCGCCTTCTTACAAGGCATGAAAAAGTACTTGCTGAATACAACAGATTGAAATATTCCTCAGCAAAACCACAGCAATAATAAAAGATCTGTTTTCATTGAATAAAAGTTTAAATAGGAAAAAAACTTCAGTTTTTGATCGGTAAACTCAAATAGAACTTCAAGGGGCGCGAGTAAGATAAATCCGATAGTCCGGATCAATACAAATACCTACATCCTACCTGCATCAAGAAAAGTGCGCCCAAGAAGCAAAAAAAAAAACAAGCGCATTCGATTATTTTCTTCGATGAGCAGCAACGAAGAGAGGCAGTTGCATAGAGACATTGTTGAGTTTGTCGATGCTGCTCAAAAGGATATGCTTACAAAGTTGCAATATGTCGACAAGATATTTGGAAATGTTAATTATTTAACTATGGTCGAGCAGGATAGCTTCTCAATTTATAAAATTCTTAATTATATGAAAAGGATATATGATAATTTTCTCATTTCACGATTTTTTTCGAAAATACTGAAGCTTACCAGGACATTCTCGACGTTGCAGTCTCAAAAGCGCGGATGAAAACAGTCTCGAATTTCTACGATCTAAGACTGCTTCGTGAAAGGATGAATCTGCGTGCCCACATCTCTGAAGCACTCGAGCTGAAGATAGCGCTCGACGATGTGATCGCCAAATTTCAAAAGTGCCGTGGCCTTTGCTGTTCTGTCGTGAAAACGATTCAATATCAGCTTCTTCCGACGATGTCACTGGTTCACGTCAGTCGATCTACTATCGACGAGATGAAACAGAAGCTCATTGCGATGAAGAGCTTTCTCACTGATGACGAGAATGAATACCAGTAAACAGTTGATAAATCATTTTTCGTTTCTAAAAATTTTCTTCCTTGATAGCAACGAAAAAGAGATCTTGGCCCCGTTTTATGCTGAAAAGAGCGATTTCGTCAGCATAAACCGTTACCCCTTGCTCCTAATCTTTCCAACCTTTGTGTCGCTTGCTGGAAAAACAATCGCAGTAATACGCCGCTCTGGTAATTATTGATGCTCTCTGCTGTCATTGATGAATTCGTAACTTGAAATTCTTGTAGTGGTCCAGCTAAGGCTTTCTGGAATCCTCGAAGCGCGTATTTTACTTCAGGTAGCTAACATTAATCCCCTTATTTATAAAAAATCGGTAGAGCGCGCAAGAAAAGACAGAGAAAAATTGGAGAAGCATGAGAAATCTTGCGAGGAATCTGGCGATGAAAGAAGAAATAAATAGCTCGAAGGTTATCTTTGAAAATGTGAAGGTCAGAAGAAGTTTTCACTATTTTTCGAATTTAATGATTCAGACCTCTCGGATTCCATTGCCGAGAAAAGGGTACAACGAATTGCACCAATTGGCAATATCTCGGCACCGTCCCGAATTTAATCGAACGGATTCCTCAAAAACAGTTACTAAAGAAACCCTCGATGTAACTGACGAATACGATCTCACAGCTGAGTTCAACGAGAGACTTTCTATGGCCGATTTCCAATTCGAAAGTACCGTAGGAGAGGCTTTACTGACCAGATTTCTACGAGAAAATTACTCGATTCCTAAATGCTGACAGAGGAAAGCCCCAACAGACAAAATGAAAAAGGCTTGCAAAGAGTACGATCGAGATATCACACGAAGATCTCAAGAAATCAAAGTGAAATTGCTTGAAATTGAAAAAGACGCTATGCGGCGAAAATTAGCGATTGTAAATTCTTATGCAAAAGAGCTCGAAGAGAATCTTGATCTTTTAGTGAAAAAATCTGTTGAAATGGACAATATGTCTAAAATGTGATTAAATAAAAGTACTCATCTTTTTTTAGTTCTGTTAGACCCTCGTATATTCGTTTATTATCAATTCTCACTCGATAAGGTATTTTCTCGAAGTTAGTTTATCTGCTGCGATTGTTGTTCGTGCGTGAGATGCGTTTTTGTTTATTTGCTATTCCGTCCTAGTGGGTTTTCAATGGACGATTTGGATCCGCTTACGTTGTAAACGGACTCTAAGACTTCCATAATCTGATCGATGACGATCTCAAGAGGCGAAAAAGCAACACGGCCATGAACACTTATTCTTGATTCTTTTCTTTATTTCGTCAATAGGGTCGTTAATCAGGGAAAATTCAGACTTTCAATTTGCGTAAATGAAGATTCATAATTCCGTACTTGCTTCTGATGCTGAGTCGAGGGACCAGTCGTCTGCGCTTCTTTTTAAAACAATGTTCAGCATTGGAAATCTTGGCCATCGTTGATCAACTAGTCTCGGTCGCCAGATGCAGAAATCTTGGTGCTCTGACACTTCTTTCCAGCTTTTGAAACTGATCTTGCAGTTCGGGCAGTCTGGCTGGTGCGTCTTCCGGATGTGTTTTACCATTGTGGAACGAGATGTTGTTTCATAATTCGTGTCGGACTGTTGACGACAGAGGATGCACTGAAGCCATTCATCTTCTGTGCATTTGAGCAGCATTGCTCCGCTGACATCTAACTTCGGGCAGATATTGATCCTCTCGTTGTACGGCTTGCAACGGCGATTTGTATGCTTGATTTTGTACCGTTTCTTGATTTTCTTGGTTATCTTTTCAAAAGTCGACATTTTTGTTGTTTCCGGATAACATTGCCCGCAGCGTGTATAAATACCGCGAGTTCGGTCGAAAGAGGGCGCCACAAGAGTGACTTCTCGATATTTTTCATAACCCGCAGCGATTTATCCAGAGTAATTATCCTCGAAAGATATCCAATGTTTATCCCCAGTGGCAAAGACTTTTTTTAGCTCTTTAGTTGTCTACAGCTTCTGTATCAATGCAGAGTAAAGCCACAGATAGCGAGATCAATGAGGTTGATTGTATACAAAATTGTTGATGTTTCGGAGATTGGCGATAATCGCGAGCAAAGCAAAGTGGCTCAGCAAGTAGCCCAAGTGGTCGGAATATGGAGTATCCTGTTGCCGGTCGGCCGCGGTTGACCACATTACCGTCCGGTACCACAAGGCAACGGCCTCCCTTCTGTATTAAGAGCCTTCTGCCTTTATTATTTAAACGCAATCAATCAGAACTCGCGAAAAGCGGTAAAAGTAAACAGAACTTCCAATTACAAGCTCGGAGAATATAAACGTACGATTATAATTTTTGTAAATATTTTAAACGCGCGCCTTGCGAAATTGCTTCTTCGGAGTAGATTATCTCCCGCCAGAGCTCCTCCCTTAGCCAAGCAAAGAATTTATTTACTAGTGGAAAATGTCAATTTGGCGAGATAGAAATAGTTAGTGTGTACTATTGTTAGTAAGCTTCTTTGGCGAGGTGCTAATCAGGCTGAGGCTCGAGTGTCGGATATTCCGGCTCTATCTTATCCGACAACCTTATTTGGGAATGGACAGCGCGTACTTGAGAATACTTCCGTTGCGGGGTGCCGTAGCGCTCTATTCTAGTTCCAAATTTTAAAGAGTTGCTCATCGCCCTTCAAAAATATAAATGAAGCTGATTATTTTTTTTGATTTTATTTTCACATATGATAATTGAGTGTTTGTGGTGATTGAGTGAAGTAACAATAACTGTATGTATGTGTTTAGTTATACTGTCATTTTGTTTTGTTGTGAAAATATCATTTTTTGTATGGTGGCAGAAGATTGAAACGAGCGTGATTTGGCGTCGAGATCAGAAATTTACATAAAATTGAAATTGCATAGATTGAAAAGTTGAAAGCAGGAAAAATAATAACGATTAAAATGGATAACGGTATTGTTTTGTGAAGCTGGCCACGTGATTTGGGCACAACCGTGGTTCCGGGCAGAGAGCAGAGTTTCGATTTTTCGAAACGAGTTAAGTTCGGGCACAGAGTTAAAAATGTTCGAGCTCACACAATTGCTTAGTTAAGCGCCTCTCCAGTGTTCGGCATTTAGTTACAAATATATAAAAGTTTCAGTCAATTGGTGACAGATCAAATGGTACATCGGGCAAGAACGGCGCGGCACACGGTTTTGTACTTAGTTAAGTTAGGGTCGACAAGTTTTGGCGGTGCCACGCCGAGCTGCGACTTCAACTCAAAAAGCTAAAATCGCAAAAGGCCCATTTTTGAGAGAGTAGTTACTGATAAGTGAGCTGGTTACTGGAGGGCTTGGACGTTTTTTTGTGTTTTAGGAACATAGTGCACCGTATTTGTAAACTTGGTTGGTTGAGGCAGAACTTGGTTCGAAGCAGACAGACTCACTTGCTGCAAAGTCGGGACTGGTAGTCGTGGTACTCTCACTGCTGCCTAAAGATGATCATAATTTTTGCACGCGAGAAGCAAAATGGATAAGAATCATGAGATGCCACTGATTTGCGACTTGTGAATGATGAAAATTCTACTCACTTATAATGGGGAACATTTGGATGAATAGTGGTGGTGGTTTTGTTTGTGTTGAGGTGATGTTCACAACAAACCTGGCTGTAACGCCGAGCTCACTGTCGATTCCTGCGAAGTGGGCGTCGTCGCCGCGGTGGGGAGCGAGGCGAGGGGGGATGCGTACGCAGAGGCGCCGTACTGCGGGTAGCCGGGATAACTCGACAGTCCACCTCTGGACGGAGAAGCACCGCCGTATGCTGCTGCAGAAGCGGCGGCAGCTCCATAAGGATATTGGTAAGGATTCACCGTTCCATAAGGCGTCGGGTAGCCACCAGTAGATGTGGGGAAGCCAGGTGGTCGAGAAGTTCCGAAGAGTCCAAGTGGGTAGCTGCCGGGGCACATTCCTTGCGTTGTGAGTTCCAAATGCTTGTCTTGCTGAAGGCGCTTCATCTTGTATCGCTTGTTCTGGAACCAGATCTTCACTTGCTGCGAAGTCAGGTTGAGCATTTGCGCGAGCTGATCACGCTCGGGTGCGGAGAGGTATCGTTGTTGTTTGAATCGTCGCTCCAGCTCGAACACTTGCGCCTAGAAGTGCTTAATAAGCGACCGGCTTCTTTTGAGAGTTAATTAGTACCTGACTGAAGAGTACGCGCGGCTTGCGACGGTTTCGCGGCGTTTGCGATTCGGAGTCATCCCCAGAGTCGCGACCGGACTGGTTGCCTTCGGTGTCTTTGTCGTCTGAAAAGCAAGATTAGCGAAGGAATGCATGTTTGAAAGAAAGTCGGAAAGGGCATGTTAAAATGGGGAAAACAAATTTCCGAACGCGAGCACTTTACCCGTGCATGTTAGTATCCGCAATTGCGCGAGGCGATTGAAACAAATCGCGCCACTCAGTAAACCCTAATCAACACCAGTGCTTAATTTCTAAACATGTAAAAATACTTGAAACTGTACATCTATTTCTCTTTCTCCCTGGAATTTATGAATTTGGCAGCGGCGTGAAAATGCGCTCTAATCAACGCTGGGTCAGATTCTAGGGCTATTGTACCTGAAGTGGTCGACGGGGAGGGCTCCTTTTTCGGCTCATAGTTGTAATTTTCGGTCAAGTGTGCGAAATATGCGCTCGGGTTTACTGTGTACTGGTGGTCTAATAGGCTCATCTCTAGGTAGGTAAGGTCAGCTCACGTCAAGTGTGTTGAGAGGGAATCCCAAGTGGATCTAATGAGGCCCTAGATTGTCAGTCTGGCTCTTAGGCGAGATGCACCGAACAGCGCCTCGCGCGGCCTTACAGTATGCGCGATCCGCGGAGCGTACCGCGGCGCGCCATCACCCGACAAGCACTTAAATGCATTGCCCTAATGCAACTCCGTTAACGATACGGGAGAGTGAGTCTCAGACGATCTGACGCCCGACGATCCCGGAGGACGATAATGAAGCTAAACAATGATTCTCGTGTTCATTCTCTAGACAGATAACACCACAATTTGTAAACAAACTCCGAACTCCCACTCATGAAAATTAAAAGCTTATCATTACTTTCTCATTTGATAAATTGTTGTATTCGCTTGATAGATGTTGTTTGCAGAATAATAGGCCTTTCTCGATTTTCTCCTATCCTTGAGATTTGTTCTACTTACGCAAGAGAAGTAAGATGGGAGCGTAAATAAGTGGTAGTGATTCAAAATTATGAAAAATTCACTTCTTGAGGTTTATGGAACGTGCTTCACAAATTACGCAGCAGGTGATAATTAGTTCCTCAGTGAGGGTCCTTCATTCAATCGAGAGAGCTCACTTTACCCGAGCTCAGACTTTTATCTAGGGTCCTTAACATTCGTGCTCAATACCCTTGAGAAGAGCTCAACACGTCGGATTTCCGCTGCGTACTCTTACGTGAGCCCAAATTCTACTATTAATTATAGGCAAGTCATTGAGCCGGATAAGTACTCTATTCTGAATCCACACACAGTCCTAGATAAGGCTCGCAGGAGTCCTTGTTTCAGCTTATCTCCGTGATTGGGTTCAATTTGCCTTTCTACATTCAGAAGCTCTTTCCCGTGTCTTCCAGAATGCGTGTGTGCCCAGACTGTCGTTTCCCATGCGCGACTCACAATAATCGCATTTGGGCACAGTTTCTATTCAATCAAATTCACATTCGGGGGCACGAAAAATAGGCCCGTCGAACAAAAGCTCCACTGATAGCCCTTTTCAACACCCCTGCCGCATTACAATTTCGAATCCTTATCAGTAAACGCTAAGCACCCGCTGCGAGCAGCGTATGTGCCCAACACGGTCAAAATAGACTTAGCGCAGGCTGACAGGGGATACAGAAGCTTCAGGTCAAGAAATTATTGTTCCCTTCCAAAAGCTCTTATCTAATCATCTAGCTGTAATCCGCTGACGAATTCAGATAATTTGGGCGAGCAGGTCGAGCGCAAGTTTTAGCTCTGGGAGGCGAAAGTGTGCGATAAGGGGACTTATGGGGATTACGCTGGTCAAGTAAAACCGTGCGGCTCAACCGAGTTTTATCGAGCAAGACGATCGGCTCCACTGTGTTTAGACGAAGGCGACAGTTTACAGTTTGTTGCTCCTCGCCACGAGCGCAGTCCTGCTGATAAGAGATTACAGTCGCGATTTTGGGACTAACGAGCTCATGTTTCTCCTCGCTATCTACTCAGAAGGCCGTGTGAAAAAGTCAACACTTCAGGAGAAAACGCCTCACAGGTTTTATTTTCGTCGTTTCACTGAGTAAGGCTAATATTTACATTCTAGTGTTTATCTGCCAGGAACGGAGTGCAAGTGCCTGCGCGCTTTCATCTTTCAGATTCGATGTTCCGGCATCTTAGTTACTAAAAATGTCTGCGGGTAAGGAGCTACCCCGCGGCCAGCAACCTTGGCAAATCGGAAGAAGGGAATGGGGAATGGTTTTACCGAGTGAGTCGGATTCAAGTGGCGGTTACTGATGCGGCCCTTGTGGCACTTGAGTGTGTCTGTTTAGGCGCTTTCCCATCAAACGAGCAATGTCGTTTTTGATTTCGCTACTCGCGTTTTGATTCCTCGCCCTTCCCAATCTGCTGTTGGTTTTAGCCCGGCCATAAACGTCACCAAATGCACAAACAGGTTGATCCGGAGCATGATCCTGATTTTGATCAATCGAGTGGCTGTTTACGCTGGAGACAGCAGCGCTCCAAAATTATAATCGTAAACGCGCTCTCACGCTCGTGCCACTAACACACAAACAATTAATAAAAATTTCACGCACCGCAAAATACAAGTGATCGCAGATACTGATATCAGCAGCGAAAGTGCAGATCAAAATTCACAGATAGATGATCGTACGAAAGTCTGATGGTCAAAATTGTAATGAAAAAAGAGGGATCGCAGAGATATAAGCCAGAATTTGAATATAAACCTATGAATTGATATTAGTTCAATAACTGATAAAGGAAAGCCAAAATAGAAGACGAAGGAAATTGTTCCTCAGCGCGAGCGAAAAAAAGCGGTGAGGCCGGCTGGTGTTCTGGACGGCGGACATTAGGCGGATTAGCGTTTTTTTCCTGAGACTTAATTTTTTGAAACTGATTCTGAAAACTCAAGTACCCGACTCGGCACTGATCAATGGATCAAGTCTGTGTGCTCGACTGAGCCCATTCTTCGGTAGAACGGCGCCACAGTCGAAACACTAGAATGATAAATGCTACGACCCGGTCGGTGCGGCTCGGGTGCGCACTCGAACCTAGCGTGAGGTTTCATGATCGATGCTGGGCTCACTATCACAGGGAAGGGCACTTGAGATTTTACCATCTTTGGAGTTTCGTTTACGTTTCGACATGAGAGCATCTTTTCTAACAACTATCATTAACCCGTATTTTTCCTGTATTATAAGAGCTAAACATCGAGAAGGAAATATACCTGGCGGAGGTTCTCAAGGGAAATTAGCACAATTTTATAAAGCTTCCGTTTAGCAAAGTTTTTCAAATCGTGTCATTCAATATCTTGAGAGTCAAAAATTCGTCTCGATTACGACTGAGAACTGTGCATTTCCGCGTTTATTTTTAAACACTTTGCAACTGAGAAAGCATGCACGTTAAATCTCCCTCGCACATTTATATTGTTACGATAATAGGATGATGATATGAACAAGCAGCGAGAGTAAGTGTTTATGCTTTGTTTTTAAGATGCTGCTGGTACAAATAATTAACACTTAGCTCGGCGCAACGTTGATCAACTTTGTCGTTCGGCAGGTGAGTGCCCGGAAGTACCCACTCAGCTAGCCACTCGATACCCGATCGATGCACCGGTTGCTACCTATACCCTACCCATAGCGTTATGTTATCAATACAACTCTAAAACTGTATTCTAAAAAAGTTCTATTGTAAGAAGACGCCCTAAAAATTTTCGGCTCTTGTTTCGATAACGTCAAAATGTGTTAATTAGTATCCGGCGAGTGGCGGAATGAGCACCTTTACTATCGGTAGTCCAACTTCTTTCCTCTGCCAGACGATTTATCTCTTCTCTTGAAACTGCATTGTTCTAGCTTTTTTTTCAAAAAAAAGTGAATCATACTCTTCGAAGTGCAAAGTGAGTTGCACTTGCAAGAAGCCTCCTTGAGAGCTCTTATTCCGATAACGCTTCATTTGAGTCCTTTCTCTCTCAAACTAAGTACCTTATTCTTAAAGCACATCTCGTGTCTAAGTCGTGTAATAAGCTAAACACATTTATGAGAGCGTTATAAGATAGGTACATCCGCTCCAGACTGACACAGTGGAACTCTTAACTTTTGCATTTCCACTTCCATAAGTCCGTCCAAAATACGCTCGCTGAGGTGGCCCGCTTTCGGAGGATCGAAATTCAGATGCAAACAATGCCAACAAGAGAACAAGAGCGCAAGTTGCTTAGCTCCTTGAATTAGGTCGTCAAAGGCTACAGCGTAATCCACATTCGAAACGTTATTTCAAAATGTTTGACTTCAATAAGTAGCGATCAAACACTTCTTTTAATAAAATGAGCTACTCGTTATGAAACTTGGTGAATCTCAGAAAATGGCAAGGAGATAAGAGAAGAGTGCCCATTTGTATGCAAGAGGAGGGAACAGCGAATGTATATGGCTTTGATAATTGATGGGATCTGTATTTGATAGGAGAAGAGCTTGTGGATAGCGAAAGACGGCGGATAGCACCAACAGCACCAAAATAACCACTTTTACTCGGCACTTGAGTTTCAAGCAGATCAAAACAAACTGGCTAAGCGAGCGCTAGGGGCGCAATATCCTCCGACCGGTGAGCTCCAGCATCGCCGCTCTAGAAGTGCCAAGCGACCACAGAGAGATACGAAATAATCGATCGTATCAGTCTTCGAGTGCTTATTTGACCGCAACAATTAACTGATAACGGCTTATTAATATAGGCACCTAGCTTCTTTGTGGCGCTCTACCGTAAATACACCGATCGACCGCGATTTTCCCAGCGCGGATTAAACCCCTCCATAAACCCACAAGTGCTCCACTTGACTTATTCCACCACCCGGTTTAAAGTATCAGATATAGAAACTTTCTAGCCTCACCAGTCTCGATTCGTGAGATAGAAATCTAAGCGAACGTTGAATTTTAAAATTTTCAAACTATTCTGATTAAAGAAATGCGAAAGAATCTCGAGTGGTCAAGAAGGAAAGCTTTGATAAAAGGATCATCTTTTGCTCATCCACAGACCTCAACATAAGGTCGAAGATTATTAGAATTTAACTTTCAGCGGGAATATAAAGGCGAATAAGCGGCCCTAAGAGAAACTTAATTACAAAGTGGGCTAGATGAAAAGTTAAAAACTCGAAAATTAAAAAATCGCCCGTTTGGTGGTGCCGTGGCGCCTCGGCTAGCTCCACCACCACGGCCGGAAAATAGTTGAAAACAGCGATAACAACGCCCCCTACGGCAGAGTCGCACCACAAATGCGCCTTCGTGTAAAAATATGTGGATTCTCAAGTGGGTACATTTTAATCGCTCCGCCAGTTTTGGCGCTCTCTCCTCGGACGCACCACCAATCAGCAGCCACTCTACCACTTTAGATTCACTTCATATGCTGAATATTCACAAGTGCTCCTGACCAGCCAAGTGTATACCAACGAATAATTTTAGATGATGGCTTTGTAGCCAGCACTTAGATACACCGGTATATGCCGGTTTATTTTCATGCAGTATTCACTAAGATGCACTCTTGCCGCTTCCTGAAACAAAAAATCTGCTAACTATTTCGTTCTTGAAAACGTGATATGCCAAAAAGAGGTGCGAAGTTTTGTTAATGTTAATTCTTATAACGTGACGGTTTCATATGATTCTTCCATTACTCTTAATTTCATGATGATAATCGTTACATTCTTCAGTGAGACTTTGGAATGTTAGGATTACGGTTATGTTAGTTCCTTTATGAATTCAGAAGAGGGGCGGCATCACTCTCGGGGCACTTAGTTCGGGTATCCTCACTTCACCTTGTATCCACCTGGGCATGAATAAAGCAAAGTAGACGGCAGCTCAACCAACGCTTTGGGCCACTTAGACGCCGTGTCAGGTCCTTAACCCTCGACCCGCCCTGTTACGATAACGTCATCGCGTAATCTCTTCACGATCTCGCTTCTAAATGCGTTTCTTTCTTCTCCGAAGGTAGCGTGTGATTTCCGGGGACTTCGTTAACCCCTTGACGTTCACGTAGCCATCTCCGCAGCTACGCCGGTTATGGCATTTTAATTGAACCGTCGAGCCCAGCGGTGATATAAGAAAGCGGCTCTAAGTAGCCGTCGTTCACTTTGCCGATTGCCAGGTCAAGTGCCACTGGAACACATCACCGCGCGCGCACGCACAGACCAACCGACACTCCCACTCATTCACCACTCACTCAATAACCAACAAATCAAGAAAATTCTAGCACCCAACTTCTAGTTCTCTATGAAACGCATATTACGTTAGTAACAGTCCCGTTTTTATTGACCTTTCTTTAGAAAATTATCTTTCTTTTTTGAATTCAAAAACCCAACCAGTAATATTTAACTACTATTCATAAAATGAAAAGAGGCTTCACTATGAAAATCAACATAATCTATGTGGCGTAGTGCATTTGTTGCAGAGCAACGAAAATACTTTTAGAAGTTCAATGTTCTATAAAAAGTAAAATTCGCGAATGAGCAATGAGTGTGAATTAACCCGTTGCGCCCTCAATCGAGCAAACATTTCAAAAAAGTGTCGCGTGTTTTCTAAACTCGCTGTGTTGTCTAGTAGACAAGTTGATATATGTATAGGATGCTTGAATTATTGGTGGCTGCTTTTGGCTGCAGAATAATGAAATATGTAAACTGAGTTGTAAATAAAATAGTCAAAACAGAGATGGCTTTGGCACTAGTGTCGTTTCAAGTGGTCGGCGCTTAGGCACACTTGAGAGGCAAATTTTTAATACTCAGCCTCTCTACTCTGAATGAAGAATTAATAATTTCCAGTGAATCATTAATGCTCTTAGCAGTTATTATTTTACACTACTTTTTCTACGAACTGTTCTTCCTCTTTTGCTTTCATGGCAATTTTTCTTTCGAGTTTGTGACTCGAAAAATTCTCTCGCGAGGGAGAGTTTTTAGAAAAGATATCAAAAAGTAAGTCTGTGAGGCACCGAGAAAGTATTAAAGTATTAATATTGAGCTTGAATAACGGAGAAAACATGGTGAAATCTACCGGCGCGACAGAAGGGATACTGTTCGTCATCAATATTGCAAGCTATCAAAAATAAAGAATTAATCTAAAACTTCTTGGAAAGGAGGATTCGCACCTCGTCTTACGTTGATTTGACATGCTCAGCGTGATCTTGTTTTAATGAAAATTTGAAATTATCACTTTTCTTATTCCCAAAAGAGGAAAGAAAAAGTTGAGCCCCGGGTAAAACCTTAAATTTCGCCCCTGCCAAAAAGCACTTGAGAATGCGCCCTCGTGCGGATTAGAGCTTCAAAACGTCAATTCCAAAACAAATTACCCGAAAATCGGAAGCTTAAAAAACGAGCCCAGTACATAAGATGCCCAGAATGAGCGAAAAATAGAACATTCATGTAAACTAGTGAAGACATTTTTCTGATCTCTAAAAAGACGTGTTCTCGGTCTTCTAGCACTGTCTGCTCCGTCAAAATAATGTCTCCAAAGTCAAATAGAACAGTGGCAGGGCACTTGAGTCGAGTGACAGTAAGCGCACTGCTCATCCCCACCCTTGCCGACGATCTCTTTGTTATGTTCTAACACGGTTTAGCGCTTACCTCCGTTTTCAGAAAGCCTCTCTTGCTTCGTACTTTCGGACTCAACACCTTCGGCCTCTGTCTTGGTCGTTTCGTTTAGCAGAGTCATCTCTTGTATTTTCGGACTTGTGCTGGGAGCTGTACCGTTTTCCGTGTTGGTGCCGTTTTCGCCACCGCCAAACGTAGAGCTCGGCGTCGGACTTTCGAAGCTCAGAGATGTCGGAAAGTTTTCATAAGCGCCGTTTGGATACGAGCTGGGAGCGTAATTATTGTAAAAGCCCATCGAGTAGAGAGAGCTATCGCGATCTCCCTGTCCCGAAATTAGGTCCTTGACTGTAAACGGGTGTCCGGAAATGCCTTTGAGAGAAGGTTCAACGTGTAAAACTACGAGCGCATTCATCGCCCTCAGCGTCTACCACCGGGATGCGTTATTTTGGAGGGTTTCGCCTCTCTAGCTGGATTTGGAGATTTCAAACCGGAGCCGACCGCCACCCGGTTGGATGAATTCTCAAGTGGTTAGACTACGCCCCGAAGTGAGCAACTCAACGGCCCTCAACTCAACTCTCGGCTCTAGCAACATGCTAGTAAGAGTGATAAAAGAAACAAAAGAAAGAAAGTAAGTTGAACCTTGCCTAACGTTCCCGCGGCAGCCGCCGCTGCTGCAGCAGCAGCAGCCCCAGCAGCTCCAGCCGAGAACATACTCGGCGGGAGATCTGAGGCTATACTCTCTTCTTTGGTGGCGCTTATCGTTGCAATTTTGACGATCAGGCTTTCCTCTTCCTTCAGTTTCGTCTTCGTTACTCTCTATATTTTTCTTCGCAGCTTGAGTGATTCTTATCCTCGGATCTCTAGGTTTCTTTGAGTATCTGTGCTTGTTGCCCTTAGGGGAGTGGCTGCTTATCTCTTCCACTGATGTTGTACTGCTGTTGAAAATGAGTGATGCTCTCGTCCTTCGTATGTAACCGAGCGTTCCTTCTATCCCTGCGGCCGAGAGGGGCGACGGGGGTAGCTCAATTTGCCTAAAGCCTAGCTCTGGCGCTCCAACCGACCGGCGCTACACCGCGCTACCGCGATCCTATACACAACACCGCCGCCGCCAACACTCAGATACACTCACCTACTGTCCTTGATATAAGAAGAAAACAAGTAAATCCAATAGAAATCCATCTTTTTGACCCCTCCTTCGTTTACTCGAGCCGTTCTCTTCGTTGATTTCAATATTGAATAAACAAGAAAGAATGGGGCCGTTTGTCATTCTTAATTATGATTATAAATATTTCTGAAAGCAAATGGTTCTCGTATACAAGAGCTGATCCATAGATTAAGAAATCTATTTGGGGTTTGAAAATTTCAGTTCGAACAATATAAAACGCCACAGCGTTACAAAGACATCTTTGCAAGTAGCTGGGATGTGAATCTTCTAAAATGAAGAGTAGACCGTTCTGAGCAGTCTGTCTTCTGCAACTTTTAACCAGATAAACGAGCTCTAACCGGTAAGACGAGTTATTTGTGATGCGCATTAGGCGATGTGTGCCACTCCAAAAAGGGCGTAATTCAAGTGAGTTCAAAGTAGAGAAGCTGCTCAATTGAACAAAGTGCCGATATCTTCGCACCCTTATCTTCATTATTTAAGAACCAAAATAAATATCATTCTTTTTATTTAATATCAGCAATTTTTCGGCACTTCGGGATAAACGTTGGCACATTGATCTTCTTATTCAAAATTCACGCTAGGAAAACTTCAATACCAACCAAGTATTTAATAACAGTAGTAGGAAAGGTGCAGCAAAGAAAACCTCCATCAATTGATAATTAACAAATTGCAATTAATATTGCAGCAGCGAAGATTTTGATTACAGAGTGCTTCCAAAGCTCCGAGATTCAAGAAAATCGCTAATTTTGGGAATTATTGATAAGAAATGGTAGTGCCTGCCCTACTTCCACACAACTTTTACCGAATCACGAAAGAAAACTCCCTGAATTCTTCAGACAATCATATTATTAGATCGCAATCCAACAAATAGAAAAATGAAAACATTACTAGTTAACAAAGGTGTTCTCATATGATACGAACAATTCACTTGTTCAGCAACTGGTTTAATGAGTTCTACGGCTATTTCTTTTTGTCCCAAGTATTGGAAGACACAAATGGCTTTGCTCATGAAATTCGGAATTAGAAAGCACAAAGGAAGCCGGCAAAGAACGAGTGCCCAATCGAACAAAATTAGAAATTTTGGAAACAGAGAAAATTTCTAGTGCAGGAGGCTCGAAATTACTAGTTGATTAGTTAGTTGATTTGGAGCTAGACGAAGTAGTGGCCAGCCCGTCGAGAGGCCCTCCAAAGAGCACTCGAAGCACGGAGCCGAGTTAAGTGCCCTGAAACGCCAAAACAGAAATCGCAAAAACGCAACTTTCTCCTCCAGATCTACGCTCGATTCTTATCAATCAACTTCAATTTCTGCTCCTCCTTTGGCTATTTAGCAAGCAAACAATAACCATAATATAAGCACATTTCATTAACCAGCATTTAACAAATTATGCTTCATGACTATGTAACATAGTCTATGTTTCTCTCGACTTTTTGGGAACTGAACTGACTGTAAAAGGTTTACTACGATGAATTTAGAAATCTGTTTTTTTTCTCTCTTAGGTTTCCCGTGCCAGTGGTACTATTTAGTATAGAAAGAAAAAAATGAAGAAGCCAAAGATATTGTGATGGCGACAGGGGATGATTGGTGAACGGCAGAAAGAAGAGATTGTTATAACAGAAATCGAGCCTGAGTGGGTGCTTGAGTGGGTGATGGAAGAGCGAAGTTCGATGGGAACACACGTGACAGCGAACACTCAGCCTCTTCAAGAGAAATTTACGCTGAAATCATTTTCAGGAAATCTCGATCGCCAATGTCGCTCAACAGCGGGCGAAGAACAGATCGAGAATCTGTTCTGGGGAGGGGCTCAACTCAAGAGTGCCTCATTTATTATTCCTTTTGTTACCCTCAGGAATTTTGAAGAAAATCGAAAAAATTGCAACGAAAATTCCAGTCTCGTTTCAACTTCTTACGCGTCTCGTTCGACTTGTGCCAAGATTTGTAAATTGTTTTTTGTCTGGCGATGATTAGCTCAAATAAATGTATATTTTTTCTTTAGAATTTCTACGCTTCTTGCTAGAATTCACCTAGAGGAGAATCGTGCAAGCATCAATCTTGCGTAAAGAAACAAAATTTTAATCGAAATATTCAAGTGGCGGTGGATGTTATCATCAAGTGGATGCTCCTTCTTCTCCTTCCCACAGACGCAGCGAGAGTCTAATCACAAACTTTCAAATTTTGTTGCTGGTTTATCCATTCTCCTTTTAAGCCGGTGAAATATAAGTCCACTTGAGACCCTTTTTAAAAATCTGGAAAAGGTGGAATTTCGCCGCTTTTTTAAATCTTTATTTTTCGAGGGTTTCAAAAGGGGATTATTTCTGTTTTTATGAGAATTTTATTATTGAAAAACAGAATTGTTTTATTTTTAATATTTTTTTTTCTGGTCGATGCTCTTTGCTTATTCTTCTTTTGTCTCTACTTCAACTCTACTGGATGATGTTTTGGGTTAAAATAGACCTAGCCGGAGTACCGAACAGATGCAAAATTAGCACTGGAAAGTACTTGAGTCTCTGTTTTCGGTTTTCGACGTTTTGGAATAATTCGGGAACTATTTTGGTTTGTCCAAGTGTCTCGAGTGCCACGCTGCCTCTCAAAAAGGAACATAAAATTGATAATAGCCTGAACCTGCTTATCGAAAATTACCTGTGCCAAGCAGATCAATTTGTTTTTACTCGCAAAGAATCATTGAATCCTTCTCTATTACATTTCATATTTCCCCTTGGCAAATAAAATTATCAAACGAAAAGTTCCACGGGACGATATCTTCTGTCTCTTTCAGTCTCCTCATTGACTGTTTCTTCCGCTATGCACTTTGTGGTGCTCTTCTTCGTTCCTGAATTTTTACAGAACCGAAACATCTGCAACTGCCGATGATCAACCAAATCAGACAACACGGAACCAACATCCCAACCAATAGCGACACATAAAGAATTACGATCAGAAAAAACGGAAGTGAAGCAGTAGAAGATCGCCTTTTGACTCGTAATTAAAAATAAATGTCATTTAGGGAATCATAGGCGATATAAGAATATTTCTATGATATTATACTTTGAAATGGCGTTCCCAGAGTTTTTAAATTTCAACTCTAGACGGGCACTAAAACTCTTCCCATCGTTTCCGCTGCTAGGTAGATTGGGAAAGCGAGGAAACTTTGCGAAGAGGGGAAAATTTATTTCTTCGCGCAAGTGTCCTCGCTAGCACCGCCGTCGATGTTTTCATGGTGAAGTGGTGGCGGCGCGAAATTTCGCAGCTTGGCTGCTTCGCCAATCTCAAATATTTTCTTTTCGTTTTGAAAGGCGGCTGCTCTGACGCCAACCCATCAATTAAAACCACACACACTTAGTGGCTCTAATTCTCAGCTCCTTCCAGTACATTTACCGGTTCTTCAAGTCAGTTGAAGGGAAATGCACTTGGTATCTCTTCTCGATGTGTACTACTTTTTAAAGGGTCGACGAAGCGAGAGTCCGATGTGCTTTAATCTTAGCAGTGGGTGGTTTGGAGGGAGCTTATCGTTATTTCAGTGAAGTGTTTTATCATGCTAATGCGGATGAAGCGAGCGACAAAGCCCCAATATCGATTTTTACTCTATAATTGAGGCTAATAACACGATGTTGAGATCGAACATATCAGTATCCGTTTCGGGACAAAGGATGTTTTTTCCTACTGGAAAGGGATGTTCAAAGTCGGCGCCACTTGAAAATGGATTTTGATTGGCCGCTGCCCAGGCAGAGAGAGACACCCAGTGGCACTTGGCTTATCCGCTCGGCGGGGCACTTTTGCCTTCCCAAATATTATTACACGAATCTTTTTGATTATCAAACTCGAGTGCAATAAAATCAAATAGAAGCAACTTTCTATTTATTATCGTGTCTACAGCGACAGCCTTGAAAAAGCAAGCCTCTCAAGAGGACTTAATGTTATTGACTTGCAATATGAATATTCGAATTTGTTCCGTGTTCGTTGCTGCTGGTGCACAATGGTGTTTGTGTGGGGGTACTTAGCCAAGTGTGCGTTTCCAAAGGCATAAAGAATGAATTTTTGAGAAATCGGCGACGACTCTCTTGAATCTCTGAATTTCGACGCCGGATGTGGCAAACCCATACCTCCCCAGAACAAAGGGCTAAATCTAAAATAGCCTCACAGATACACATTCAGTCTCTGCAATCATGAAACGCACTAGAATCATGTTGGCAGCTCCACATTTTAAAGTTGAATTTGAAAATTGCTATTTTCGTTGAAGGTGAGAATTAATCTTTCTCGAGTTTAGAGAGATAGAAATCCAAATAGCGATTCCGGTCGAGATCGACAAGTGGCTTGTTTCAAGTGGACTGCAATTTTCTCGAAATTTTAAATTGGCTTAATTGACACCTCGCTAGCTATATTTTAAAAAAAGCTGGTTCAATCGTTCGCGTTCGCAGAGCTTGGCACAGATTACTGAAAATGCAAATTCGTTCAATTTGGCAGTCCATTCGCCGTGCAACATCCTCGTCGCGGTTTTCTTCTTCTTCCAGTTTCAGCTTGCCACTGGTCAATATTAATCCGTGTTCGATATTTTTTACATTTCGTAAAATTCGACATCGTGCATAATCGCGCCGCATCATACAGTTATCCCTGCTAGACCGTGATTGAGGTAAAATTTGCGACTTTGGAATTCCAGTTTTCTTGAGAGCAGAGCGACCCTAATCAAAACTGTCCAGGTATCTGACGAGTTTCGAAAAAGTTCATTGTCCTAGCCTCATTTTACCTTTGGCGCTTTGTTTGACAGGGCACTTTCTGGCTTCCCAGGGGCTGTCAGATGTCCCGAGAAGATGTCGACAGGTACTTCCTCATCAGTTCCATTTCGCACATCGCCATCTAGTGGCACCTAGGATGAAGGGAAAGGATGATAGTACACAAGTATCAAAACCCGCGACGAAGAAAGAGCATAATTCTAAAGAGAGTAAGCGGAAGAAAAATGCGAAGCTTCTTTATCGTGTCTTTATTGGTCAGGCTTGGCAAATATCTGAACCCCATAAGATATGATAAACTTTCCTATTCTACACCAATATTAATCCGAGATTGAATTAATTAGATAATTTTCTTGAGAAGTATCTTCCTATAGAGATCGATAAGTTCTTATGAGCCTCTTTTGCCAAGTCAAAACAAGCTACTTTCATGTGCAGATGGAAAAGAAAAAGAGCGAAAAAAGAAAAAGAACAATGACAAACAAACGAAAGGGGCTTGGAAGAAATGCAAGAATCTACTGAACAATGGGGTCGTATCGAAGATACCAAATGTAAAACACTTTTAAGCGATTTTAGTTTGAAAAAATTTTAAGAACAATGATGGGGTTGTCCTCGTTGAGTGCAATACTGGATATGATCTTTTCGTCAATGGTGAAAAGGTCTTCGGCGCAAGAGAAGTGGGATGTACCAATGATGGTTTCAGAGAGACTGTTGTTTGCGTCAAAGTTTCGGTCACTAAAATTGAACAAGATTTATTCTGAATAATAAGTTCTTAATAAATGACCACGTTGAAGATGAAAATGTTCCAGTGACGACAACAACCGCTGTGAGTACAACAACTCGAGGAACAACGAAGGCTCCCTGGAACGGAGTGTTTCCTCCGGGATGCGTCCAGCCTGAAGCCGGCGCTGTTCAAGTCAGTGTGATTGACAGATTCAAGCGAAACGGAAAGTTTGGCTTCGTGATGAACATCTTCACAACTGTGAGTCTCCCGAGCATTTTTTCAAATACCAAAACAATTATAGTGGACTAATGAGTACTCGATTTTGCTTCGATTTTCTGGCTCACCTGGTGGTGCGAATTTTCAAACTTGGAACCTTTCTTATTGGGGCTTCTACTTACCAGGAAATAGTTGCTTTTCTTTGCTATATATTCAAAATGCATCAGACAGTGTAACTATTACGAGACTTCATTCTCTTTCATTCCAAGGAAAAATACGCCGATTTCGACTTTGACGATCCAAAGCAATTCGTCATTGTCGCTGAAAATATGAGCTCTGAGGAGATTCGTACGTAAAAATTAAACGTTTAAGATCGTTAAATCTTTCGTTAGCCGAAGTAATGCTTCTGAATGGCCATAATCACGCGCACACATGTTTCAGACAAGGGTAAGTCAATGGAAAAATATGAGATTTGAGGATTTCTAGGTTCTCTCGCTCCTCCCATCAAGATTCGCACCCATCGATGATAACCGACCTGACAACATCTGTGAAGCTGAAAGCAAACGGAAATTCTGTGAAGAAAGCAAAAGGCTGGAAATCGCCCTGATGCGGTCTCTTTTTTCTTACTAACAATTGTTCCTTTTTTCTGATGACCCTCAACTAACTGAGGTATCGGAAGGTGAGTCGGCCACCCAGACCTGATTTTTAAAAATGATAACAGCTGCATGAGGAGCTTCAAAGACCAACAATGCCAAATGCTACCTGCTGAGTGATATAGATCTGCATCGGCCAAAGAGAACACTGACTTCGAATTCGGAAATTTTTCGATGAGATCTGTTTCCCAGTCAGCAAATTGAGACCAGATTTTGAGAATATTGCTAAATTATTTAAAATATTTCGTAAATCATTTCTAAAAACAAAAACCTTTCTAGCCAATCGTCGTCCTGCCGGGATTGTTGGTCCGAGTGTTCCAACCTGTATGTTGCTTGAAATTTCCTTTTAATGATACCATTTCTGATTAGATCCGAAGATTTTCACTTATTGAAATACCGGAAATCTGATGGGCAGCGCACTCTCGGTCGAGGAAGGCGCTGAGTCGCGCTGATGGAGGAGGACAGTGCCCACCGCCAGGTGTAAACTCCTCCACGGGCTCTTCCTTTGCCCGACTCGACGCAACGCTTGTTTCAAGTTGAGCCGATGAGTTGGGGTTTCCCCAAGTTGGGTAAACGGCGATTTGAAAGAACGAAGGAAGTTCTATAGATTTTGTTCTGAGAACAGTACATATTATAGTTCGTATTTTTTCGTTGCCAAGTCCAAAAATTTGCGCTATCAGCTCGTTGCCCTGATGTGATACTATACAAGACCGGAGGAGAAGAAGAACATCGACTGTAAGTGGCAGCAACTGCAGTTATTATCTCTTGGTACGACGGATTAGAGAAAGGAGGGGCCATTGAAAACAGATTTTTATTTGCGAATGCGGCCCTTTTGCCCTGCACCGTACCGATTTCATATGCTGATTATAGTCACTTGCTCCCCTGGGCGATGATTGATAAGCCGCGTTGTGCTGAGAGAACGTTCCAGCTGTTATCATTTTTAAAAATCTGGTCTGGGTGGCCGACTCACCTTCCATTCCCCCAACTAACTTATCTATACTTGATCCATTTCAGCTCCTTTGAAACTATTAATGAAAATATTCTCATTTTTCTATCCAATACTAATTTATTGCTTTTGTCGAAATTCGCAGGGATGACTTATTTAGGCAGAGTTTCAATAAAATTGACAGTAAGCAAAAATTTGACTATCAGTCGTTGTAAAGCTTGAGGATCTTTCGTTGGGTGAATGGAGCGCGGCATGTTGGGCATTGCTTCTGAGGAAGAGAAGAGAGGCAGCCGAAGCATGCCTTGTGTCCGCATGGATAAATAGCGGCTTCTGGGTGCATCTCACCGAATTTTCCGAAGCAGATTTTGCAACTCGCCTTCTCGTCGTCCTCTTTTTCTTTTTCCTCCGGCTTGGAGGCATCCTTGGTCTTTTTCTTCTTTTCAGCAATTTCTAAATGTTTTTAATGCAATAGGAAAACGGTAAAATTCATACCGAAATCACATTCATACTCCTTCATCCCATCCTGAATGAGGAAGAAGAACCGCTTGTGAGCTTTTCTTCGCGTGTCCGTCTTGATCGTGGCTTTTTCGTGGGCATCTTTGCTAACCTCTTTCGCTTTCTCGAGGTCTAGTTTCACTTTCTCGAGTTCCTTTTGCAATTCCTCCGTCTTTTTATCGGCCTCCTTCTTGTTCTGAACAGCAACTTTTTCTTCCTCTCCGACTTCTTCGCAGATTTTACTGACCGCGTAGAGCATCTTGGGTATAGCTTAAATTCAGTAGTTAGTAGTAGTAACTTCTTAGACAGCGTCAATAAAGATTTAGAATGCTTTCTTCTTTCAATGACTCATGTCGGGAAACATTTGTACAATATCGGACTTACAGTTTTTATCAGTCGATTTCGAAGCGTTTTTACAGCAGGCTCCAAGGATGTATTCTCGGTGGGTGAGATTTTCAGATCCACAGCTACCAGGGCACTTAAATTTCGCATCACTCTCATCAAAAACTGCGTCCGTTTTTTGAGGAAAAAGTACGAGCATGCAAGACTTGCAATATCGTTGACCATTGATATCTGTAGTCGAACCAGGAAACCTTAAAATTTGATTGATAACTTATTATGAATCATAAGTTAACATTTATCATTAAATATTTTATTCAAATCATTAATTTGATTAAGGACCCCCCCGTCAGCTTTTTCCTTCGAAAAGTTGAAATTTTTAAAAACACTATATTTTTGGTTCTTAATGCGTCCTAAGGTTAAACTTGCTTCAAAAAGCTTTGAGGAGGAATTTTTGACCAAGGAAAATCAATATTTCTCCCAAAATTAGGGCGAATTCGTCAATTTTTGGCGAAAAGTCCAATTTTCAAATGCGATTTTGGGGGTGAAGGAGTCGAGATAGACCCCCAAAAAATGAAGCCTCAAAATCGTTTTTTGACCCGTAGAATCCATTACATAGTTGAGTTTTAGCGCTCGGAATTCTTTTCACAAAACTCAACTATTCTCCAGATTTCTTGTTTCGTCGGTCACTTTCCTCTTTTCAGAAACTTTGTCTTCTCCTGGAGTAAGTTTGGCGATTTCAATAGTGGGTTACCGAAGATAGACTTTGAACTTCGAAAGATCTATCAATAATAAATCCAGAAAACTTATCAAAACCGTCAACTTCACCGGACATAATAATAATATTTTTACATTTTTAAAGCCATTATTTGTAGGCAAAGCATCTGCGTTTCTGTTTTGGTGAGTGAATACTGTACTGAAGCTCAAATAGATAATCGTCAATCAAAGTGCAAAGTGGAAGTAGAATAGGAGTAATTTATTAATTTGAAATTTGCGAAGAGTATATATCAGTGCTCAACTGTCTGCGGCTCTGTTTCCAGCCGCTTCTCATTCGATAAATCCTTCTGGACCCGTGAAAAAGCTCTCCGGACTTGACTTTTCAGCTGAAACCGTCATAATAAGGTCATTTAGAGTCTGTCTCACCATTCTCTCAATCTTCTTCTCCAGATTTCCGAAGTCGCCATGGTCACCCATCTGCGCGCGAAATTTTCGAGAGAGCTTCTTGCTAAGATGAACTTTACATGGCTTGAAAAACGAAATCATCTTCCTTGATTTCAAAGAGTGCGATTTTTAAACCGTGCCTTCAGTTCGTTGAATCAGATCGTTGAAAACGGCATAAGCTACAAGAGGGTTGCTAGAACTTAGCTTTGAATATAATTTACTATTAAGAGAGAGAAAATTAAGTAACCCAGCCTTGGTCAATTTGGTCGGCCATTTCGTCTTTAAATCCCTTCAAGGTCTGGTTGAAGACTTCAAGTTGACGTTCCTGCTCTATCAATCATATTCAGATCTGGCTCGTGTCACTGGCTCAGAGCTTACCTTCTCGAATTAGAATGAGGCTCTCCTTGATGTCCAGCACGGGGTCCGCAAACTCGAGTTCATCGCCGGGCAGCTCGAGCTCTAATACTAGTTGAGTTTATTTTCACTTTTGAAGAAAAGACAAAGCTAGACTCTCACCGAAAGGCTCACTCTGTGAAACGGCTTCGGCGCATGTAAAAATAGCAAAAATCCAAAATGCAAATCTAAGTGTCATTTTGAGACAGCGTGGCTCTGAATACTCTTGCTCAGTTAAGGACGTCGCTTCTAACCGGAAGTCAAGTTGGCTCTCTCTATTGTGGTTAAATATCAGCAATCGACTGGAATGTCTGCATCTGCTCTCTACCTGTGTGCCCAAACGGAGTCCAACTATTTCCGAACGAAATTTGTCTTCTTTTCCCCTTTTAGCTAGTTTTTCTTAATCGTACTTTGAAATTTCTGTCGCTTTCTTTGGCGTTTTTGACTTCGGTTGCTGCTTGAACAGCTTTCTGACTCTTATGGAGCGATTATTTGGTTGTTTATACAATTTGGATACACAGCGCGGCGCTACTTACAGGATTCTTTTTTCAACTATCACTTCCGTAATTGCTCTTTCTCGTTTGCCTCTTTTTACACAGCGAATTTATGATAAATAACTTTCATTGGCATTTTTATTGATCGTATTTATGAAGCATGAGCTTTTTTTACGTATACTGTTCTCTGTGTATTATATCACAAAAATCACATTCCCAATTGATCTGAAGCTCTGTCATCATTACAGTCACTGGAAATTACTTCGGTTCCAGGCACTGCATTAACACACTCTCATAAAGATTTCCAGTAATGATCAGGTGTATTGATATAAGAGAAAAAAAAGTTCACGCCAATCGGAAGTGTTTGATCAGCTTCTGAAGCTTTTGCATTTCCGTTTTCCAAAAGGAATTTTTTCTCACCGGAATATTTAATCGCGATAAGCTAAGTACAGATAAAGAAAAAAATAATGTACAGGACCTGTGTTTCAAAGTCGCTAATTTGAAAGTTTAAAAGTGCTTGAAAAAAAGGCTATATTGGAAAGACGGGATTTTCGGACTCCGTGTCGGAGCGCTTCAGGGTCGATTGTTGCTTCACCAGACTTTTGCGACTGACGCCGTTTTGGAATTGTACTGCCGGCGCTCGACCATTGGGATTAGCCATTCCGTTGACCTAGCGTTTAGTTAAAATTCCATTGCTTGAATGATTTGGAAATTATCACTGATCATTAGTATTGCTAAGTGTACTGTAAATACACTCAAAGAACGATAAATTCTGTATAAATTTAATCTATGACAGTATCCTTTGAATGATCTTCGGGATTCCTTTAATCTAGCGAGGATATCCTTGTCTTCGGAGAGATAGATAGGGAGCTTTTAGGTGCATAATTAAAATAATATATCTCAAATGCTGAAGTTGCTATACTTACGATATTATTGCGCGGCGAGGCGAAAGGATGCGAAAACTGCACGAGGGTGAAGTTCGGGTGACAAACTGTAATGTACACGAGCACGAGGAATAGTAAGCACAGAATCAAGCCGATGGTTGACGCAATCACTGAATGCAAAATGAAGGATGATTATTGCTGACCACCGGGGCAACAAAAGCCTATTTTTCCCGAACGCTTTCATCGATCCGACCATGAAATATTAATGCTTTATAGTTTTATGCGATAAATTGAATAATCTCACGACCGCAGCCAATCTGCCGCATATAAATTCGGCATACTGATTAATATACTCTTTCTTGTGAAACCAGCTTAATAACAATAAAGTAGCCTATTGTAAGAGCTTTGTGGAAACAATTTTTCATGTCTTTGACGGAGGTTTTTGATAATATCTGACGCAATTTTTAAGAATTTATTAATAATTAAGACCATTTCTTCGTCATTTCTAGGCTTCTATCAAAGATGAAATCATTTAACTTAATTACAAACTTACTTAGAAGCATTTTTTCGTCCACTTTGAAGCGTTTGTTGTATTCCAAGTCCATTTGGTCATATTTGTCGAGTGGTTTAATGTATCTGAACTGGTTGGAGGTATCCCTCGTCTGTCTCCCCGCATTGTTCTGTATCATCCTGTCTTCATTATTGCCCGCGCTATCTTAATGTTTTCTCAGTTTTCACTGTTCAGAATATTGAATCGTCGAATATCTCTGCCCGCGCTACAAACATGCCACGGGCTTGCTTGCTTGTGAGACCGATTTTATATCAATAAATAATATCAATAAATAAAACTTCAATTAGTCCAGTCGCCCATAAAGCGTCCCGCTACAGGTTAAGATTAAACAAGGAATAAATAAATTTTAATTAAAATACCCAGCTACCCGCTCACATCATCACGCTCCGGGGCAGTTCAAATGCCTCCCCGTCTAAAGCCCTCGCGATTCCTCAAACTCACTGTACTACCGTTCCGAAATTAGAAGCCTTTCTATACACTAGAAATTTAAAGAATTCTTGCCATGAGTGAAATAAACAGCGGTAGGTTATGAACCGGAAACTGACCACGAATACGTTTAAAATTGCGCAAAAGATGAGACATTAACTTTCTAATTTCTGGTGATAAGGGAGTGATAAAACGTAAATAAAATTGTGGTTCTTCAGTTTCACCTTTATATAGTTTCGCTTCTTTCGATTTTCTCTCTTTCTCTTCCTTTGGTGGAGGAATCTAATCGTAGCTAATTATATCAAGAATATTAAAGCAAGTAGCTGGATTTACATAGAGCCGGCTTGTAAGTTTTGTATGCACTGTTGAACGGTAGCGTGCATTAAGACATTACCATTTCTTTTGAATCTTTAATTTTGACGCTCAATACGGAATGAATCCTTTGGCCCCCGAGATCTATCCCTAACTAAACCAATCTAAAGCGCGGCTCTCATTTACTTACATACTCTACTCGTCTACTTTTCAGCTGCACTCAGATCAACTACAGTTGATGCTGCTTGATTTTCAATTTGATTGCCAATTATAGGAAACCAGTTAGACATTATTGTATTTTCAATATACTATCGAGCTTCTTTCTTTTAACATTTTCGAATCCTTATAAATGTCGTATTCTATCTTAAGAAAAAATAATTTTATCTATTTAACTATTCGAATTTTTAAAAAGATAAAAAAATTCAATTGATTAGAGAAAAATTACCGTTTGATTTTCTGTTTGTCTCTATTTAATTTTTAGGCTTGCCATAAAAAGTGGTTTCACTTTCTGATTTAAAAATGCTTCGATTTGGTGGAAGATAAAAGCCCAGCTGCCATACCTCCTAATAAGAAAACTTGAGAAATAGTAATGACGACGGGGAGACGCGTGGAAACGCATGAAGGCGTCGGATTCGATACATAGAACTGTCAGCAGCATGTTTCCCGCGTTTATACGATATTACACTCTAACTGCAATTGAGAATTCAATCTGGACAAGGCTACTCGATAGAAATACAATAATTGTATTATTGATTGATTATTTTTTCTTATTCTTTCAATTCTAATGTGAAGGTAGATGAATTAGAAAGTTGAAAGCTTTCTAGTGCTGAGCATTTTTATATGACTTAAATCCTCCTAGAATCTAAAGTTACCTTGGTCTGTATCCACTTGTTCTCCACCTTCTAATGCTTTTCGTCGTTTGATAATAGGCTGCTTTCTAAAAGTAAATTACCGATAATAGCTCAATTCCACTACTCAAGAAGAATCATCCTCACATTACTATTTTCGAACGCTAATCGACCTCGCTCAAAAACTAGAGAAAAAGCTTTTTTCAAGACGATTTTCTCTTGGCTCTCATTCGGGAATAAAATTAAGAAATAGAGAAAAAAAGAAGCTGAAATCACTGTATATGATACTAACGGTCGTATTTGTGACCAATATTGCATATGGCCAGAAAGTGATATTTGATAGAGTCCAACCGTTCCAGCATGAGTCTCTTAATATCGCCGACACAAACGTCGGAGAAGTAGAGGTTTGATACAGTTACTTTTCGATGATTTCAGTTTTGCCATTTCAGGTGACATGCGCGCCGAACCTGATGTGCATTACCTTTGGAAACAACAACGAGTTCTTCGCACGGGACATCATCACCAAAGTCAGCAGAAGTTATGCTTGCTTCTAGGTCTAAAAACTTTTTAGGAAAATTATTCAGCAGAGGACTTCGCGGTGGAGAATCCATGTGCGGCAGAACGAGAGTTAACCGACGAGTCGTCGAAATACTGTGTTCATCCTGACTGCCCTTTTACAGATGGCTTTATGAAGAATGGGACCCACGCAACATTCAGAACAAAGGATTGAGTTCTCAAGACAACATGCATTACCGTACCAACATCTTCCTTATAAATTAGCTTCAGATAGAAAGTTCTTCGCTTTCTCTTGAATCCATTGCACACTCGACAAAAGCTGCGAACATCGCAAAACTACACACAAGTATTATTTGAAGCTAGCCCTAAGAATCAAATCGAAATCAACTTCCAGGCGAGTCTCAGTTCGCAGTCAATTTTAAACCCTTAAGAGGCCTTATGTCGCCTCAGCGTCGATATTATATTGATCTAGTAAAAAAATAGAGAATTAGAAAAAAGCTAAATTGAATCTTCTAAAATGACTTTCTTTGTAGTGCAGCTATCCCTTGGAAGTTCTCCTCACAAGGGATTTCACGCTCAACTACCAAGAAATAACGATTACAGAACAGGGAAACTTTGCGGCTAGCATGTATCTTTATACAAAAGGTAAAGCATTGAATTATAGTGAACTAGGCGAGTCCGGTCGTTATTTCAATCAATTCTGATTCTTCGTTGCTTAGACCGTTTAGTACATTTGATGAAATATTCTAGATTTCGGAAACGTCATCGTCGATACCAAACCAATCCTCCAAGGAAAAGATGAAAACGGCGCGATCAGTCGAATCTCAGCAGAAGTACAACTGTTATCTTTGGAGAAGTCCGGCATGTTCGTAGAATTGCGAGACTGCTGGGCGACCCCAGATGCAAACTCAGCCAACATTAACCGCGTTTCTTTGATTCGTAACGGTTGCCCGGTCGAAGATAGATCGCTTAATGTCCTTATCCATAATTCAGGAATTGTTGAAACTTTTTCAAATTAGAAAAATTGATCAAAGAAATTACAATTAGACAAAAGTAATTATCAACAAGAAAAAGCGGACGATTACTATGCCCGCTTCAGCCATGATATTTTTGCTTTTTCTTCTTCAAACGAGGTTCATTTGCATTGCTCGATTGAAGTTTGTGCGAATGATTGGTGCAACACCGTCAATGATAACTGCCAAAGCTCTTCCCTGCGGAGAAAAAGACGCGCTATTCGTGGAGAAGTTCAAAAAGGTTTATTCAAATATGCGTCTTTTTATTTTCATCGAGTCAAAATTCAGTCACTGAACTTGTGATCTCTGCCTCACCCGCCTTCACGTACGACTACCAAGACCCTTCGCTTCGTTTCGTCGATGGACATCGCGACGATGAAGATATTATCAGAACAATTTTAGATTCTAGCGCAGGCGTCACCGCTGATTTCTTCTCCGTCAGGTTAGTCAAACATTTTTTCTACCATAAATTATAGTCTCTCAGTCTGTTGAGCGCACTGGCAGCTATGGGTACACTCTTAATCATCCTCATCGTGCGCGTTGTTCAAAGATCAAGGCGATTCGAAAAACTGTAAGAAAACTGCTGTATTTTATTGGAAACGACTCTGAAGAATGCTCGAAACATGAAAACGACATGTTCTGCCCTGAAATTCCTTCTCTTCGAGATCCAAAACTAAAATAAACATAAAATAGTGAAGCAAACTTTTGATGTATGAGGTGATAGCTGATTATCAAGGCGAACTCTCATCTCGCGTGTCACAGTCAGACTGGCACTGGGTTCTTTCAACGATAGCGACGTGCTTTCTTTCTTCATTCTCATTGAACACGTGTCAAACCCAGAAGAGCATGTTCACGAGCAGTCACACAACTTTTCATGCAAGAGATTGAGCCCAAGTTCCGTTTTTTTGAAGTTACAAACATGAAATCAAAATGGCCAATTTTCACTTTTACTCTTTGATCTGAGCGCCATCTTTATTGTTATGGCGTTAATAATGATACGCACTCGCATAAATGATCGTAAATAAAAACTCTTGACAAGTGAGAGATTTCGTAGCAAGAATAAATTTTGAAATAATTATTATTTTTCTATAGTGAGAGCTCAAACGTTAAATAGTTCAGAAAGGTGAAATAATAGTGCTTTGAATCCTGGGGCAAAGTCTTCTGACTTCGGCGAAAAGAATTCGCCGCGTTCAGATATTCGCGGCTCCGCGCGGATCATCGGGCAAACACCGTGTGTCACGTCCACGCAGAGAGCACTACGAAAATTTCACTCCCCTCTCAAGTGCCCCCATTTATTATAATTAAGCCTAAATCGGACATGGGCATTGGCAGTGGCAAAGCAACACGTGCAAATACAGAGATAGAGAGAGAAAGAGACCACAGTCGTCGCATTTTATCGTTTTTATAGAGAGAACAATGCGAGTTCACTTCAAACATTTGCTGAAACGGATTTACTTTGAATACTTTGTTTCTCTTTTGATTATTGCAGCTTGCGCGGCATCATTGAGCGCGCTCTTGAATAAATGTTCAGAGAAAAAAATGGAATAATGGTGGACGATGACGGCGAAACGACTCATCGGAAGAACGGCGATTCCCTGTATTGCCATTCTCGTTATCATCTATCTGGCCTTTCCAAAGAGCTGGTTCCAAGTAAGCGCATCTAGTATTTTAGTAATAGAAAGCAGCGAAATTATATTTTCCGGGATTTTTCCTAACGCAAATTTCAGCAGGAAGGGAAATACGAGAAACGATCTGTGGAGTGGTTTACATACGATGACCCTTCCGATCAGCCAGTTGCTTCATTCTTCGATATTCTTCCATCCAACGCGTCCCCGAAACCCTCGAGCTCCGGCAAGCCAGAGCACTCGCGGCCGACCGACACTCTCATTGATAAATTTGACTTTAACAAGCCTGTAAGTTTTTATTATTTCAGGAAATCATACTTCGTGGCATCGACCGGAGATGAATCGATTTAGTACTCTCGCGAGAATCGTTAGATCTCAAATCGCAAGCTCAGCCTTGTTAAAATCGACTTCCTCGAGAGCTTGACTATGATTGATGAGAGTTAATTCAGCACATTCTTGATTTCATTCTGACAGATTTTCTTTTTCAAGATATAGCATTTCAATTTCTTTTTGCAAAAAAAAGAAAAATGAAAAAAAAAAGATTGTTTAGGTTGAACTACAGTTTGAATGGGCAAGCGTCAATCAAAATTTCACTGCCGAAGCCACCCGATTTCTTCGACTTATTCAAAGCTCAAAACCTCTATGCCCAAATATGCTGACAATCAGTGATCTAGAGGTGCTAATTGACTAACAATCAGGTCAAATGAATCTTTTAAGTTCAAAGTCTGCAATGTAATGCTGAGCAATTTCCCGGTGTACAGCTTCAACATCGATCAGAAAGATCCGTTCGAGATCGAGAAAAACTTTTGAAACACAGCGCGGATCTTCAAATATTCGGACATAATCCCAACGCCCAATTGCCAGTACCAGATGCTTCTCACTTTTCGTTCGAGATGGTCGCTTTGGACAACGTCGACTCTGCCAAAGCGAAGAATCGCCGCTGGAGTAGGAATACTTTCGCTACTTTGCGCAAAAAGCACAATCACAACATTGTAAGTAAAATAGATTCTTGTGTCTTTAATGAGTTTATTTGTCAAGATCAGCCTTGTGATTTTATCGATGAATTCTGCCGAGTGGAAGATCCTGCGAAATGTGCTCGAGACAGGGGAAGTTAATCGTATCGCGCAGCTCGTTGTTCAGCTGCATCTTTCTTGGGCTGGCTTTGGCGTCTCCGGAGATGATGCTCAAGTAGTGCACAACTGGACAGAAGTCGTCAGTGGACTGGCGAAAGCGGGCTTTACGTTGATACACTCCGCTGAATTGCCAGGTCCAAAGATGTTTCTTGGTCAAACAGATACATTCAACTCGTCTAGCCGATACTATCTGACGTTTTTGAGGAAAGACCTTTTAGATTCTTCTGTTAGCCTTTAAATAAAGTCACTGAAACGTAAAAACAGGATGAATTTTTATTGATAGAATTGTGGTGCAGTTCTCTCTCAATAAAGATCGTACTTTACTAAGCCACTATTTCTTGCACAGTGGTAAGGATCAGGATGGCGGAAGCTTACGAATTTCCTCTCTTGAGAACACATCTTCAGATCGATGAATCTGATCGCTAAATGGTTGAGGTCGATTTCCGGCGCCATGAGACATAGATGTGCGAGTTTCTTAAAGTATTGAGGATGGAGAGCTTGAATCGCCGGGAGATCATCTTGACCGAGAATAAGGAGCGCCCAGTCCTTTCTCAATGTCCAAGTTGCAGCTTTTTCTGATATCTTTGGCAGTAGTTTTTGCACTTGCGCGAAATTGCGGCGATTAATGTTTACAAGGAGTTTTGGGTGAAGAGAGTCTACTAGCATCAGATGAAAGGCGTCGCTCGTTGAGTTTTTGTTTTTGGTTTCTGCTCTCGCCATAAGAGTGAGTTCATCCGCGAGGAGCAGCTCCTCCGGAACGGAGTAGAGTATTGTCCTGCTAAGTTTTAACTCTGCGTATTGGCCATGGTTGTCTGCGACTAGCGCGAAATCCTTTTTGCCCAACTTTTCTATCGCTTTGTCCAGTGTTTCCAACTCAGCTGGAATAAGACCATCGACTGAATAGACCACTCCTACTTCGCCAGATAGATTTTCAAGCTCTGCAGCATATGAAGAGTGCTCCAAAGAATAAATGAGCGTATCTCTTTGCGAGGTTAAATAAAAGGTCTGTTTTCCAAAGAAGAGTACAATCTAAATTTCAACCGCTTCCTTAGGTGCTCAGCTAAGTTGGAAATGTCATCTGTCTCGAATGTTTTGTTCTCGATCTCTGCGAGCCTGCTCTCTTCTGAACTAGTTCGCGTTGGAATCAATTCTTTGAGTTTTTACTTACAAATTTCTCAGCAGCCACAAAACTAGAGAAATATTTACTATCGGCAAAATCAGCGTTTTCAGCCCTCTCATAATCTCGATTGGAAGAAATAAAAAATCAGGCTTGGTGTTCTATTTTTGCTAAATAGAGCGCAAATTTCGCCCCGGGCTAAGATCACCTTCAAAGGAGATATTTTTTTCTATGGCTATTCAAATATTCTTTATTGTATTTAACGTTGAGGCGAGCGCTCGTGGTTTTATTTATTTTGGAGAATTTTAATTTATTTATGATGAAATTAAAAAACTTTTTGCAGCAGAAATTTCGACTTGTCGATTTTTTTAGCTCAGTAGAAAGAGCGAGAAATTCTGAGTTGAATCCACTTTCCCATGAGGAAAATTTTCTAGAGAATGACGTCACAAATGACGTCATAAAGTACCAAAAACCGAAAACTTTGAGTCGGTTTTTGAAAGCCTTTCCGATGGATATTTCAAGTGTTCTATGGGTCAAATAGAAGCTTAGAAGAAAATGAAGGTCCATTTTAGATGATTTTCAGAAAATTTCAAAAAAAATTGGCTCTAGAATTTTTTGAAAAAAAATTTTTTTCTAAAATAAAAAATATCAAAAATGAACCTTAAATTTTTTATAAGCTTTCATTTGAGCTATTTCACGTCGAAAATAACAAACTGAAACGCATCTAAAAAGTGACTCAAAGTTTGCCCAAAATGACCATTTTTGCGGTCTTCTCAGGTCCTCTGTGACGTCATCGTCTGGTATTTTTCGCTCAAATTTTGACAGATCGAATCAGAATTTTCCGGGCTTTCTTTAGAGCCCAAAAAATGAATGGGTCAATTTTTTTGCTGCAAAAAGTTTTTTAATTTCATCTATAAAAATCACGCGCTATTTTACGTGTCTATCATTGATAAATTAGTATGGGAAAGTTTAGGAAGAGGGGGATGCATTTCTTTGTTCAAAATTATGATTCGTATCCTGAAAGTTGTTTTCCTTTCTTTTGTGATTTTTACAATCACGAGAGCTGAATTTACGGCGCAGGCGCAAGAAATGCCAAGTTAGAAATTATCAGAGAACCAAACCGGAAGTTAAATAATGTGAATATAATGCTGATCAGAAAAATTGAGAAAGTACCTAAATCCTAATGCCTCATCGATAATCCACACTGGTAGATTCTCAAATGGATTTGAAGCTTCATTTTTGCTTGTATTGACAAATCAACAAAGAAGTTGATGATTGCTAAAATGCAAATAAATAGCACGACTCCTTTTAAAAGAAGTTGCAGTACTTACTCCGCACATTCATCCTTTTTGAAATAGAGACGACACCGAGAATTTCCCAGAAGCCCTAGGGGTATAAAAAATTATTGACAATTGATACAATTATCCGAGTTTAAGTTCTAGTGAGTAAAATAACCCCGCGAGGCGGACTTGTAATTGAAGCTTGACTTCCTTCCCGTTTATTTCGCTCTTGATCGAGCCGACGTACTTTTTTGCAGCAAGTTGAAACCGCGTGGTCACAGCTTCTACGAACGGGCGCACACTAATCAATTCTGCGTCAACGGTCTCCTCGGGCCTGCCCCAAAAAAAAGCCCTTTCATTCGACTCAAGGCTTATTTTCGCAAATCACGGAAAATATTTTTTTTCATTCAGAGAGAAATCGGGTCGTTGAAAATGTGGGCGACCGCCTTAATATTTCTGGGCAGTGTGCATGGATATTACGGCGAATCGAGTATTAGAGCAAAAGCCTTCTTTAGAAAGAATGTTTTCGAGGGCGAAGATCTCAAGGAATGTTATTTAAAATTTAAAAATGGATAGCCTTATCAACTGTACTTTTTTTACATAAATTTATTGTTTTGACAGGTGGTTGAATAGCATTGAACAGATTTCGATCCATAAACTCGGCTGGGACTCATCCAAAACATCGAATTTGACTGTCTCGATCGCATTTTGCCGAGGCTGGCCAACGCCACCGCCACTTATGGAAGAAAAAATCACATTTCTACAGAACAGTGAAACCATGCTCATCGAGAAAACGTTCAATATTTATCAAGGCATTCTTGCCGCAAGAGACGATGATTACTCTGACCCATGTGTTAAATTGGTGTTGGAATCTGAAGACGAGGAAGAAGACGACGACGCTTTGAGTTACTACGGGAGAAACGACGGAACTCTTTCGTCGGAAGAAACCTTCGAAATCAAAAAAAGGAGTCGCATTTTAGTACAGTCTGATAAGGCCAAATACAAGCCAGGGAACACCGTTCAGTTTCGTGTAATCGCAGTCGATGAAGAACTTCGAGCGCTTGATGCCAAAATTACTTACGACATAATTTCACCTTCCAATAACAAAATGGCTTCCGTAACAAAACAGAACAACAAGAAAGTGGTTCAAGGATCATTCCAGCTCGACAAATTCGCTGAACAGGGAACTTGGGAAGTCAAGATACAGTCGACAGCTATCGATTATGGCGAAGACCACGAGGAGACTTATACATTTGAGGTTGAAGAATATGTCCTCCCCAAATTCGAAGTCAACATCGTGAGCGAGGGTTATGTCATTGAAGGCGAAGACTTTCCCTTTGTTGTCGAAGCAGAGTACACATTTGGACAGCCGGTGCCAGGCGATGCCAAAATTGAAGTGACTGAAGTCGCATGCAACACCTGGTACTACCGCGACCCCTGTGATGACTTCGAGAACTGTTCCGAAAAGCGGCTCGACAAGTCCGTCACAAATTCAGACGGCAGTATTGGCGAGACTCTGAAATATGATGACTGGAAGGGACTCTTTGGCGAGTCTAACTACTACTGCGACAAACAGTTCAAGATTCAGGTTTCCTGGGAAGACACCGCGTCGGGAGAAACAATCGACTTCTCCAAGATTATCAAAGTCGAAACTGAGCGTTACCAAATCGATATGCTCTATGAGCCGCAAGTTTATAAGAAGAAGACCGGCCTCAACTACATCGGACAAGTGAAAATGATCGATGGCAGCACCTTGGATAAAGAAGGAGAAGTGCAAATAACAGTCACATCTCAAAAATATAACTATGACAAGCGCGAATATGAGACAACTACGACTAACGATGCGATCCAACTCAGATTCGAAGATGGAGGTATTTTTCAGTATAAAATTCCGGAAGAACAATTTGAAATGCTTCTGGATCCAGAAACTAGAAGAGGTTGGAGTGTGAGTTTCGACATGTCCTTTGAGGGCGTCAAGAAATCGCAGAGCGTTTCAATTCCTGAATCAAACTATGAGCTTGAACTTGAATCTGATGCCGACGGAAAACTAACTCCCGGAACATCCATTGACTTACGAATAAGGTAATAGTCTTTCTTTATTCATTTTTGACGGTATTCCCTATTCTTAACTCATTACAAAGAGCCGATGTCGACGGTCCTGTTCTTCTTTTTGTGACAAGCAACGGAAAAGTTCTTGCCGAATATAAAGTCGAAGCGATTCAAAATGTGGAAGTTGTCCAATCGGTCGACATTACTGCTTCCATGATTCCCGAAGTGAAATTCCTTGTTGTTAGCGGAGCGGCACGTGATAACACGGACTGGGCTGCTGACAGCATCAGCTACTTTGTAGAGACAAATTTTGACAATGAAGTAGAACTCGCGGCGCCGGAAAAAGGAGAGCTCGGTGAAAACATCGAGATTGGTATTACTGCAGCTGAAAATTCGCCAGTTTATCTTCTTGGTGTTGATAAGAGCGTTCTCTTACTCAAGGTTAGAAAACCGGACCAAAGATTTTTTGTTCATGAAAAACTTCAGAGTGGAAACGATATTGGAGAAAAACGAGTTTTGGAAGCTAAACAAGGAGGCCCCGACGAAGAGCATGGCTGGCGACCTTGGCCAATTTGGGGTGGTTGTGGAATCTGGTTTCCTTGGGGTTATGGCTCAAGCGCAGAGCAAAAGATTGAAGACGCCGGCATGGCCACAATGAAACTCGGAACGGGCTACTATTTGATTTTACTTAGAGTATTCACATCCAATAACTGACTAACAGTTTAACGTTTTCAGCAATTTTGCTTTAGCAAGCGAGTCGGCACAACTCACTTTTACGTTTAAACTTATCATACTCACACGTTTTAATGCACGAATTTTTTTATTTGCGTATCCATGAAATAGGAGAAAACCAATACATGTTCGAGGTCATGTACATGGAGGAACTTAGTGCTAGTAGTGCAGCTTCATACGATATGGCATTTGGGAATGTAGAAGCGGTCGCTGATGTTTCCGATGCTAAGGTAAAAAAGAAAATTTTGTAGAAAAATGAAATCGCGTAATAGGGGAAAAAATACTTTTTTTTTCAGATTTTTTATTGAACCTTTTTTTACGACGATATGGATATGATCACTTTTTGCCCCTAATAAGTTCCTAAAAGTAGAAGAAGAATGTACTATGCGAAACATTCTCCGATGATGATGAGCAGACCTAGGGTAGCAATGAATATGCGGCCTAACTCGGTATTGAAGATTTTGAAACGATGATTTAATCAGTAATTTACTTATTTTGATTAAAAATGATTTTCACGTGATTTCGGGAAACACATTTCGGCGAAAGATGCAATATTGGTCCATTCAGTACGGTCTAAACGTTTGTGGGTAGAACTTTTACCGTAATTCTCTTTGATTTTACCTACTGTTACAGTATTAACTGTAGCCAAAACAACAATCAATACAACAAGCAATAACTAACGATATCTTACTGTTTCATTTTTTTTTGTAGTTTTTTAGACTTTAGTTAGCGAATAGGAACAACTCACTAAATTAACCTTGCTAACACGTTTTATTGCACGAGTTTTTGATTTGCGTATCCACGAAATAGGAGAAAACCGATACATTGTCGAGGTCATGTATGAGAGACCAGTTAGTGAAAGCTTTGCTGCAGCATCAGACGACACAGCTTTTGAGAATGTAGAAACTGATAAGGTAAAATGGAAATATCCTAGAAAAATGAAATCAATTGGATAAATTAAACGATTTTAAAAGACATAATGACCTGAAAAAGTCAAAGAAAACCACGCCAAATGGGGAAAAATTATCATAACGTAATCTAGCCTGAAATTAGAAAAAAGGAAAAAAATAGAATTCATGTATAGGTACCTAAGTCTAGGTAGAAGTATGAATTCAAGTCCCATGAGCTATGAGATGAGCTATGGGGATTATAGCTGGGAAGAAGTAAGTTTCCATCAGGTGTCTGAAAATGGTTTTCCCATTAGCGGTGTTTCATAATTCAGAAAAAGGTGCTGTGAATTAAACGTGGAAAGTTTTTTTTTGAATCCTGAGAAAGTTCTCTGAGAGGGCCGACTCTAGCCTTGACTCTAGCCTGAAAACAGAAAAGAGGGAATTTTTACTAGGCATGCCCTTATTCTTATCGAATAGTGCTTCTATGGATGGGGGATGGAAGGGCATGGGGCGTATAATTGGCGGCGCATCTGCGCGTGTAAGTTTTCTTCGCGGTGTCTGAAAATTGGTGTGCAAAAAAAGAATAGCGTGTGTTATATATTTTTATCGAATTACAAATGACGATTTAAAACGGTTTAAATATCAATAAATCAATTTTTTGGTGCTTACAAATGCTAAAGCCTAAATAAGATAATGCCCCGATGATAATGTACAAAGAGATGTCATACGGTCCGGTTTATGCCGAAATGGTAACTTTCACAAAAATGTGTTGTTTGTGATTGTTTTGCTTGATTCTCATGATCATCTACTATCTCATCATTCATGTTACGAATATTCATTTCATTTGACCGGTGTTTACTTGTGGTGTGATTACCTACTTATCGAAAACAAAGATTTAACAAATGTTTAAGATGCCTGCGCCCGGTGGATCAAGCGCTCCGGAACCAGAAACGAGAAAGAAATTCCCAGAAACCTGGATTTGGTCTTCCGTTGAAACAGACGAAAGTGGAAAAGCTTCAGTTATGAGTTAAAAAGCAGTCTTCGAGACTCGAAATCTTATTTCGAGTTTGTCCTAATTACAAGTTGATAACTTTTTAAAAGTGAATGTCGAAGTTCCGGACACGATCACTTCATGGATAGTGACTGGATTTTCATTGTCTGGCGAAAAGGGCCTCGGGTATCAAAAGGAGCCTTCGAAAATTGTTGCCTTCAGAGATTTTTTCGTCAAACTTGAACTGCCCTATTCAATCAAGCAAAACGAAATGTTCCTTGTCAAGGCCGTTGTCTTCAATTACCTTGGACAGGAAGTGGAAGCCGATGTCACTCTTGACCTTGCCCCCGGAATGGATCTGCTTGCTGATGAACTAACTAAACGAGTTTCTATCAAGGCACAAAACAGATCTCCAGTCGGCTGGCCGATCATCGTAGATTCTAGCGGTGTCGTCCCAATCAAAGTCAAAGCAGTGGTCGTTGGAAACCTCGCGGGTGATGCTCTAGAAAGACCTCTGATTGTCAAGCCAGAGGGAATTCCTCGAACAAAAGCCTTCAATCTTCTCCTCAAAGACGACGATGCTGATGATATTGAAGTTGATTTTCCACCAAACGTTGTCGCTGACTCCGAGCGAGTGGAAATGCGTATCTTTGGAGACATTCTTTCCAACACCTTGCAAAACATTGACGGTCTGTTGAAGATGCCATACGGTTGTGGAGAACAGAACATGATTAACTTCGCCCCTGCGGTATTTATCTACGATTATTTGGAGAAAAAGATGGAACTTACTGAAGAGATAGAAGAGAAGGCTTCGCGCATCATTCAATCTGGCTACCAACGCGAGATGACCTACGAACACAGCGACGGTGGTTTTTCAGCTTTTGGCGAGAACTCATACTCAAAATCAAAGGCAGCCACGCTTTTGACCGCCTTCGTTGTCAAATGCTTTAGAGCGGCTGAGAAGTTATCTAAAAAATTCATCCCAGATGGAGTAGTCGAAAAGCAGTTAGATTTCTTGGTCACAAGATTCAACACGGAAACAGGTCAATTTGAGGAAGACGGTAAAGTCTTCTCTAGCTACATCAAGGGTGCTCTGGATGCTGATGGAGACAGCGCAATCACAGCATATACCCTCATTCCCTTTATTGAAGGCGGAATTCTTCCTAAATACAGTGATTTGGTAGACAAGGCACTTGACACTCTGGAAGCCGCCATTCCAACGAGTACAAATCATCACACTCTTTCGTTGATTGCTTATAACTTATTCCTTGCTGGAAGAGAAAGCGCCAGTGCAGCGATGGCTAAGTTGGAGACTTTTGCTAAGAACGAACCAGGCAGTACTTATTGGACAACTGAATCACGCTACTCCGGAGAAGAGCCATCCGTTGAAATTTCAAGTTATGCATTGATGAGTTATGCAAGCGGCGATGAAGACTTTTTACCGGTTTTCCGGGGAATCATGTCTCAACTCTCAGAAACCGGTGGTTTTAAATCCACTCAAGATACCGTTATTGGTCTCCAGGCTATCAGTGACCGCGCAAGCTTCTTCGTCAGTCCAGAAGACAATCTATCGATCGGAGCAATGCTCGACTCTGAGACTGATCTGTTCAGCTGGGTACCTGACGCACTCACTCCTGCAAATTCACAAGTGGTGCAGATCAAAAACGTTGAGCTCAGCGGGGAAGGACTTTTTGGAATCACGTCTTCTGGCAAAGGAACTGCCATGATTCAAGTTATCATTCATTACAACACCAAAGACACGTCAAACGATCCCTTCGACGTCGACTTCTTTTTCACAGAAATACCGGATAAGCGAAAACGAAAGCGACGAAGTGCAGATATACCAGATTCCGACTTCTGCATCCAAGTTACAACAAAAGCGACAGATGTAAGTGATTGATATTTTTTGGCGATTAAAATGCTTTTGATTTCAATATCATATTTTTTCAAGAACGAACAATACCGCGTCCCCGACGGAATGAGTTTGGTCACAATAGAGCATCCATCTGGCTTCGCGCATTTGTCGGTAGAAGCAACTGACGGCTCGGATGAGCCAGAAAAAGTGGAAATTAATGCCGATCGAACTGTTCTCTACTACAACGATCTTGCGAATGCTGTCGGCGCTTCCGTTTGCCTCACAAAGATTCAGCCTGTCGAAAACCCCAAACCAGTGTACATTTCAGTCCAAGACTACTACAACCCTGACGCCGAAACAACAACTGAAGTTGTCCTGCGTGACCTTCAAAAAGTAATCTAGAATAAGAAAGCTCCACTCATGATCATTTAGGAAACTCCCCTATGCGACCTCTGTGGCGACTTCTGCGCCCTTGACTTTTGCGTTTCTGAACCTGCACCTGGTGGATCTCAGAGCTTTGGTAATATGAATATGCCTTTATTCGCGTTGGTGATTATCTATAATTTCTGCTGATTGTGGACAGATTTTCTTTTGTCTTATTTATTTTTACTTACTTTCTTGTAAATCCCCTGTTTTCTTATTTTTCCACATTTTTTTACTGTACATATGAATCATATGATATGATCCACCGAGCTATTCCAAGAAGGTATTTTAGATATGCCGTAGATAATATGTGTTAGTTTTCTTTAAAATAACTAATATAGAAACGAGTTAACCCGTATTTGAAAAAAGAGCAATCAAACTAGATGCATGTTTCACATTTGAAATATGAATGCAGATTTCTTGACACGAATTGACGATGTTATTTTGTAGTATCCACTCTTATCATTATTTCAGTTCAACCTCCTTTGCCGCCCCTCCCTTCTGAAATCGACAGTGGATGGATCAAGCCACCAAGTTTTATCCAGCTTCCGGAAGATCTGACGATCGTAATGTACCATTAAAAACCACATAAATCATCATACATTTCAGATCCGTGATGCGAACAATTGGAACACTGACAAGTTTGCTGATTATGTTGTTAAGCTACGCAAGCGCATTCTCAAGCGTTCTCCCCATAGTTATTCAAGAAGTGTCATTAGAGAGTTGGAGGAACATCTCAACATGTTCAAAATCATCCTCGACAAGATGCTCAATTAGACGTTTTCGAAACGATTACAAGCTTCCTATCCCAACTTACTGAAAAAAAAAACTTCCATTCAGTAAAATTCAAATAAACAACAGTTCAAATAAAATCGAGAAGTAATAAGTATTGAAAAACAATGCATAAACAGCACTGCAAGCAATTTGAACAAGTTACGTAAAAGGACTAATCCCAAACAAGAAAGATCAATATTTACGAAAAACGCCAAAATTCAAATAAATCCGGAGCAGAGTTCATCTCAAACATTTTTTACTCGGAGAAATTTAGAGACCGCAGGAAATGCTATCCAGAATCGCATTAAGATCTTTTCGACCAATCGTCCGTTTTTCCTCCGATTTTCCAAAAGAAGAGCAGCCCCTTATTGTCGAGCGCCTTCAGGGTGACGATGAAGGTACGAATGTAATTTTTGCAGGGAATAAAAAGTTCAGGCATTGTCGTGTGGGCTTTGAACAGGCCAAAGTCTAAAAATGCATTTTCCCGACAACTTTCTGCAGAACTCGCTCAGGTACCAATGATCTCGAAGGCCAATTCACTAAGTATCAGGCTTTTGAAGAAGTGAGATTCGACAAAAACGTCCGTTGTCTGATTGTTCGATCCACTACTCCAGGCATCTTTTGCGCTGGGGCCGATCTCAAAGAACGACGCTACATTCCAGAAGAAGAAGTCGGCGCCTTCGTCGCTAGAGGCCGAAAGTTTTTCCGCGACTTTCAGGAAATGCCTATCCCTACTATTGCAGCGTTAGGTACTACTATTGTAGCGAGATAGAAATTCAAATTTACATGCTTGATAAAGACGGCTTCGCTCTTGGAGGTGGACTTGAGTGGGCAATGGGCCACGATCTGCGCACTTCTTCGGACGAGGCGAAGATGGGAGTCACCGAGACAAAGCTCGCCATCATCCCTGGCGGCGGCGGTACTCAAAACTTGACCCGCCTCGTCGGCGTCGGCAAAGCTAAAGAACTCGCCTTCACCGCCAGAATGATCAACGGCAAAGAGGCTGAAAGAATCGGACTTGTCAATAAGTCCGTTCCTCAAAATGAGACCGGTGATGCTGCTTATCAAGCAGCCCTCGAATTGGCTCGCGAGATTAAACCAAACGGTCCAATTGCACTCCGTATGGCCAAGACGGCGATCAACTACGGCTCCGAAGTCGACTTGAGCACGGCGCTGGCGATCGAGCAAATGTGCTACGCTCAGGTATCACTTTCTGGCGGAGCTTTCTTTACAGAGCTATTCTCTAGGTTATCCCCACCGAAGATAGAATGGAAGGACTCATGGCGTTTATGCAGAAGCGAAAGCCTGAATACACCGGAAACTAATGAGGAATGCTATTAGCATTAAATTAAATTGAAACAAATTAACGAATTGCTAATAAATTACTATCAATAAGCTATTGACTCTTTCTTCAATCGAGTGACTGTTGTTCGGGTTCGCAGAAAGCCTTACAATTAGTATTATTTAATAAACAATTTAACAATAATATACCGGTAATAACCGAATTTTTAGCACGACAGCCCATTTTGTTTGCCATTTTCTCAAGAACGCTTTTCTAATTGTTAGGAATTTTCTATTTGCAACGAAAAATAGGTGTTTTTCATGGCCATCTGCATCGGGTCGAAGCCTTTTCTCCGTTTCAAAAATCAAATCAGACCTAAGGTCTCGATTAAAAAAAAACTAATTTTCGTAAAAATGTCAGAAGAAAAAAGAGTTATACGTCTCAGAGATTTCGCTAGGGAGAATCTTTCGAAATTCCGCGAAAAAGTTGATGGAGAGCTCTTAGCTGATTGTTCAAAAGCTGCTCGTGTAGAGAAAGGACAGTGATAAAATTTCTTTAACTTATTTGAATAAATAAAATTCTTATCTTGGAAGAGAAAAGGAAGAATTTCTTCAAAAATACAAAATGTTGAAAGAAGACGAAGAAAAAGCCTTTGCACTATTTGATGTTCTTAGGCCTAAATTTGAGATTGTAGAGCAGTGCTACATTAGCGCTAGGAATGGTTGAATAAATGACTTACTCTAATCACGAATAATAATTTGAAACCCATAACAAGACAGAAAACCTTCGCTCATATAGAAGCTCGTCCTCAGTTCGCTCATCTTGTCCCTGAGGAGGCAAAGAAGCAGTCTGCTTGTCCTCACTGGACGCCAATAACACAAGAACCAACATTGCCTGCAAACATCCCATCGTCGCCTTGTTACAGCCCAACATCGCCATCTTATAGCCCGACATCACCTTGTTATAGCCCGACTTCACCTTGTTATAGCCCGACTTCTCCTTCTTACAGTCCACCATCAGCTAATTACAATTCTATGTACGGTGGAGAAGCATCTACATCTCAACATCAATACGAAACATCACCTGCCTACAGCCCAACATCACCATCTTATAGCCCGACTTCTCCCTGTTATAGCCCAACATCACCGTCCTACAGTGATTCTACGCCAGCTGCTGCTCCTCCACCATCAGGAAATCCGCCTCTCCGATCTCAATTGATAACCACTCAACAAAAACCTAAGCGAAAGCGAAAACGAAAGAATCCTCCTTCACACAAAGCAAAACGAACTGCGTTTTATCGAAAATATCTCAAAAATGGCAACAATAATTGAAATAAAATTAGCCATCACAAAAATCTCTCTCCGATTTCAAAATCTCAACGTTATTCTTTAAATTCATACACATTTAAAGCATGTTACATAAAACGAGTGAAACAAGGGCAAGCGTGAAAATTGCGATTGTTTAGAAAAAATTGGCTGAAATTGAAATGCACTTGTTGGAAAGACGAAATTCTCACCTGACAAGAAAGTTACGATATTATGTTGCCCGTCACATTCTTCTTCCGAGGTTAAATTGCGTTACTTTAACGAAGCTCCAGCTCTCTTTTCTGGGTGGAGCGCGTTTTGAAAATCAAAATTGATAAATTTTGAGAAAAGGAGATTTTCTCTAGAACACGTGTTTCCAAGCTAGTTGTTTTCCGCGCAGTCCTCACTTCACTTTCACGAAGTTTGAAAGTCCGAAAAGAGCGAAAATCAAGGTAAGACTTTGTTGATAAGAATCAATACGAAAAAAAGTTGTATTTTTTCACACGTAGTCTAAAGCATAAACATCACAGTCTGCGACAGACACTAACACTTCCCATTTAGCCGGTTGGCGACGACCAGGTCAACGACGAGGCATCTTCACCTTGAAGAACTTCCAGGACTCCCAACGACGATCAACCGTTATCGAAAAACGAGTTTGAGGTCAGAAGACATCCAAGAAGTCCGGCATCTTCACGTTGATCCTTAAAAAGGATGTCCTGGTCGAAAAATATGAAGCCTGAATAAAATCAATTTCCATCAATCCCAATTATAAAAAAACTATTCAGGTTAAATAATACTTGATAGTTTTTATGAGTCGACTCCTTTTACTGCAGCCAGGTTACGAATCGGTTAAATATACCGGTATTCGGGATTCAATTATATAGGTGAAAACAGCAGAACTTCACAAAACCCCTTTGAACAACTTCAAGATTTTAACCAACCATTCAATGTTTGAGGCTGAGTCCTTGTTGATATCAATTAAAGTAAAGTCCAATTCTATGTCATTTATTTCCTTTTCTTTCGAAAAACAAACCAGCAGCAAAACTTTCTAGCTATTAACTCTTTCTTCTTCTTTCTTCATTCGATTTGCTGTTCCTCGGGCTCACAGGAAACCTAACAATTACTTATTTGAAAAGCTGTCGTTTTAACAAACCTCCATTCGTTCACCATCTTGACTTGCTTCAATCGCCGCAATTTCATCTGCAAGCACTCGTTGCTAATTCAAATCTTATCAAAAGAAATGGTAAAAGAAGATACCTTTTGAAGCTCCTTGTAAATGGGAATCTTGGTAAAGTCAGACTCCCTCTCGACCAAGCTTTTTTATGAATTACAAAACACTCGAAAACCCGCCATGCTTTGATTGAATTCTTTCCTGTTGCAGATACTTTTGACTTCGAATGGAGCCAACAACAAGCCTGTGAATTCAGTGTCGAGACTAAGGATAACCGTAGCGCTCAATTTTTAAAATAAAGGACTAATACCTGGCCGCTTTGTTCTTCACTTCCAAATTATTGGCGGTCATCTTGCTTTAAAAACGTTTTCGATTAGCTTTATCTTTACAAAAGTGATTCTCATCAATACTTTAAATAATACGAGTTTGAAACGCTCCTTTTATTTTCGAAGACCTGTTCGCGGTAGCCAACGAGGTTCGTTTTTGCAGCTTTGGTCTTCTTCTTCGCCTTTCTGATATCGCTCTTTATTTTTGCTCTTTCTGCCTCTAAATTTTGCGCCAGTAATAAACATTCACTGAGACATACAAGAACAACTCTATCTCTAATTAAGAATTCGGCCGAGGAACTTACCTAGTTCGCGTGTTTTTTGGAGCTTCGAAAGAAGAAGAGTTCTGTAACTTTACAGGGAAATTGAAAACAAAATTATTTTTTCTGTAGTGATATCAGTTGCATCTAATAATTAGGAAAATTTCTTTAAAAATGGTCTCTACAAATTATTCGTTTATATCAACCCGTTTCCCATCTCGCTGCTCTTGAGTGAGTTCCATCAACTCATCCTCCCCCGACTCCTGGCTTCCGTTTTCCATCTCCCTCTTCTGCGCAACTCTCGCACTGAACCGCGGCATTTTCAGAGAAAAAATTCAAATTCTCGATTTTACTCTTCGTTCTGAGTGCCGGGCGTCTTTCCTGTGAACGAGAGTCGACGTTTTTCGACTCGAAACGGAAATCCAGAAAAGTTAAAAAAAGATAAACAGAATCGCCATCCAGGGAGTTGCTGCCTTTGAAAAATAAAAATAACCGATAAAGATTGAAATTCTTGCAAGATCAAAAGAAGGGGGTCGGGGACTCGCAGTACCAAAGCTTTTTGGTACTGCCAGTACCAATTTTGGTACTGGGAGTACCAATTTTGGCTTTCCGAGTGATATTTTAACGAGATATTTCAATCGGAATAATAGTAGGCGGGTAAATAGAAGTGTATCCTGTCCGAATCAGTAAGTTTCTTATCACAGAACCCGCGGAGCGGGCGTTTCTGACTGACTAAAATTTTGCCTTGCCAAAATTGGTACTGGGAGTACCAAATTGGTACTGGCAGTACCAATTGGTACTGGGAGTCCCCGGTAGCCCAAAAGAAACGCTAAAATTTCTAGCGTTTGCTTTGTCTGAGTTCTGTGAAGGTGATTTTATTCATGAATCAATGGCAGTTTGATTATAGTACAAGACATGTTCAGGGGCTTTTTACTTTTTAGCTCGTCGTTCGATGTTTGAGGTGATTTCGTTCATCAGTCGACGGAACTTGTTTTCGTCCATTCTGATCTGGACACTTTTTACGATCTCGCCGGCGATGTATTCGTACTGAACATCTAAGATGCTCGCTTTTTCCAACTCGAACACTTCTTTCAAAGGGTTCAACTTTTTCTAAGAAAAAACTCTTTCTTATGCTCTGATCATGTGAGTACCCTTCCTTGGTTAATTGAGCCGATCGTCCATTGCGGAATCAACGAGCTTTGCCTTCCCGATATTTCCTGGCTGAGTTCTCTGATCGTACTCGCTCTGAAGAATATCTTAAGCTCCCATAGCTCAACTATTTCGACAAACCTATAGCCAGGATACAAGCGCACCAGATCGCTCAGGCTAATCGGCGGATTCTTGGGCCCTCCAGTTCGCATAAACACAATTTCCGCCAGAATCGTCCATCCGATCGCTCTAAAGAAGCCCTGTTTGGCCATTGAGGATCGAAAGCCCGCTCTGAAGAATGAATCGAGATCCTTGTTTATCGTCGGCCGCTCTTCTTCGGCCTCGACTTTCAGATCTTTGCCTTTCTTCTTCAAATAGTTCTGGATAAGAACGTTGGCTGCGTCGTCGTCGAATTTCAGATTGAAGTTGTTCAAGTTGCTCAGTATCGTGTTGACGTTTTTGACGTTTTTGGAGGGCGGGCCGTTCGGAGAGGCCTCGCGCTTTCGTTTTTCCGTCACTAGAAACGGTTGAAAATGATTTCAGCGCGATATTTTACCTCTATAGACGACATTTTTATCAAACTTGAAGGACTCGCTGCATTGCGTGGCGACGATGAGAACCGTCTTCTCGACGAGCGACGTCTTTGTCGCTTTGTCGAGCTCAACGGTGCGAAAGTTTCCGTCTTCCTGCTCTGCCATCGGCCTCAGTTCGTCCCTGACTTCGCTATTGTGGTACATTTCCGTGGCGAGGTCCTCGATTCGCAGCCCTCGATTCGGCTTGATCAGTTCTTTCATCTTCTTTCTGATGATTTCGTACAAACAGAGTTGGTTTGGAAGCAAGCAATCTCTTTCCCAGTTCCTTATTTCGTTCTTTGACCACTCTTCGTGTTTGTTGTGCAAGTATTGGACCCATAGTATGCCCGAACACGGCCGGGGCCGCTCCTCGGGGTCCTCTGGATCGTTCATTTGAAACGGCATCAGAAACCAGGACAAATTCATCGGAGGATCTTCCGGGTGATTGAGCATGATCTTCCAAAAGGCGGCTTCGATCTCGTAGCTTTTGAACTCGTTTGCATTCGGCGATCTACGAATATACTCGTGAATATAAGCAAGAAGAGAATCGTCAGCGGGTTCTTCGTCGAACTTGTGCAGTCCTAAAACAAGTATTTATCGATTCTATTCGATGAGAAAGGCGCACCTATGGAAACAGGATCGTTCCGCGTTGATGGCTCAGAAAACCTGTGCTCGATCGAACAGGCAACAATTTCCGCGAGTTTGCGAGAGTCGCGAGACTTTACTGGGGGAATGTATTCTCGAACTTCTACAAATTCCAGCTGCTTCTTCATTTTTGAAAAGGGCGTAAACTTTGCGTCTTTTTCGATTTTCACCGTTCCCATGGCTCTACCAGAGGGATCCACTTTTCTAATGATGAATTCGTTTCTTTCCCAATCTGTTCTCAAGCTCAGCTCAGTTTTAACTTCGATCGTTTCCTGAATCAAAAGCTCGAAGTGGTCCTTTCGCATAAAGAACTTGTTCCTCGGAACCACTTCTTCCAGCTGACTTGGAAACGTTGAGAAAATTTCCTCGCAAAGTTTTCGCATTTTTAATGGATATTTTTCTTGGGCTTTGATGCACATTTCGAAGTATTCGCACAGTTCTTTCTTCAGCGTTGTCTGGAATATGTGCACTTCGTCTTCGGATTTCTGAGATTTTACGTCTTCAATCAAACTGTCCAGGAAGTACCCGTCTTCGTCATTCTTTTCAGCCCATGTTCGTTTGAATTCGTCCGCAAGGCTCGCCACAGTAACATCAACTGATCTGTTTCGCTCTTTGACCGCTTCGATAGAAACTTTCGGCTCATCATCTACGCCTGGAATGAGATCACCGCCTCCTCCACCAAGAAAGAAGCCGTCGTCCTCGATTTCCATTTGCTCAGTTTTCTGAATCGCCAAGTCTAATTCTTCTTTGCTCTCTTTGAACTCGAAGTCTTGATTTGTTTCGCTTACTAAATACTTTTTGTCCTTTTCCGCCAGCAATTCGGCTTCGATGCTGGTGACTTCTTCTGTTTTTATTGTCTTTTGCGCCTTCATCACTTCTGGAACCTGGCTCTTCTTGATGAAAGAATCGACCCTGATGCTCTCAATGTTGTTCTGAATCCCGTGCGTTCCGTCTTTCGTTTGGATGTATCCTTCTACGATTTCGTATTTGTCGCTGAAGTGCGTCCTGATCGCAGACGAAAGAAAATCCTCGTCTACCAAACAGGGGATGAAGCTAAACGAGTTGTAGACGATGTCGATGACAGGAACAATGCCAAAGTCGCGACTTAAAGTCAATTGAAGGTACTTTTCGAGCAGCTGGAGAAGATGCGACTCGAGCCGTTTCTGGGCCTCTTTGACTTCGCTTTTGTCTCCGCGGGTAACGACAAGCGGATAGGAAAGGATCAAGTAGTTGAAAAAACTTCCGAAGTTGTCGACGATGCTCTTGGCAGTAGACGGATCGCGCTGAACAAGGCCACCTGAAGAAAGCAATTTTAGGAGACTAATTTGTGAACGAGAATTGGGCTGGGCAACCTTTGTAGAAAGTCTGAAATAGAGCTAGAAATTTTATAACAGATTGGAATGATAATATTTACGTTTCGTTGTTAACAAAAGCCGCTACTTTCTGACCCTGACTTAGGTTTTCTGCACAGGTTTACGACGCCAGATTACCGGCTGATTCTTTAGCGTACCTTGTTTCTTGCCTTTTCTAGGACGAAACCATTGTCCCTTAATTTGCTCGATTCCCACATCCGGCTTGTAGAGATAATTCAATGCTCCTATCCTTTTGGAAATACTCTTCAAGCGTTCTGCGTTTTCACCAGACGAGAGCAATTCTGAGGGCATCTGGGCTACTCTCTCGATTCTTTCAGTCAGCGTGACTTCTGATAAAGATCGGTTGTCTTTATTAATCCGAAGTTTAATCTTGTCCGAGCATCGGAGAGTTCTTTCGAGATTCTCGGGAGTAAGTTTGGCTAGTAGCGCGGCACTCATTCTCAGATTTCTTTCCTCTTGCTTTTCTTTCTCAGATTTTCAACTTGCATTTTACAGGTATTAATAATAGCCAATTATACATACTTATATAAAAGTCAAATAGTATAAAAACCATTCCTTTGTACGTCTTAACTTTCTCTTCAAGCTGATAATGCTGAATCTTCTTCTCATCTTCAGCGAAGATGATATTAATGCAAAGTTGCTCAAGAAAATCCTCGACGAATTTATCAAAGAATGGCGAACTTGCCCCCACTTGAAAATTCTCTGCTTTCAATTCTCTCCCATTCGTATTCGCCATTCCAACTTATTTTCGCTTCAGTTTTTCTGAGCTAATCGTGGCGTGAGAGAATTTTTGGAGCGAAGCGCGGAGGACTTTTTTTGCTTGAAAACATTTTTTGTCAAAATCGATGCTATGAAGCTGAAATGCAGTAAAAAGAGACGACTCATTAAAACTATCAAGTATTATTTAACCTGAATAGTTTCTTAAAAATTGGGATTGATGGAAATTGATTTTATTCAGGTTTCATATTTTTCGACCAAGACATCCTTTTTTAGGATCAACGTGAAGATGCCGGACTTTCTGGATGTCTTCTGACCTCAAACTCGTTTTTCGAGAACGGTTGATCGTCGTTGGAAGTCCTGGAAGTTCTTCAACGTGAAGATGCCTCGTCGTTGATCTTCGCCGACGATGGCGCCAACCGGCTAAATGAGAAGTGTTAGTTTCTGTCGCAGACTCCTAAGTGAATGTTATTTAAATTTAGACTGCGTGTGACTCAGACTGCGTAAAAAAGTTAGTCTAAATTTTGTACTGCTTATTCTAATCAACAAAGTCTTACCTGGATTTATGCTCTTTTCGGACTTTCAAACTTCAAAAGCTGAAGTGATGACTGAATAAAAACATCTCTTTTGCCTGCGACTATTCTAGAAACGAGTGAAAACGTTGTTTATTATCCGAGAACTATTCATTTTCTATATCTTTTATTCAATTTAGCAGAACTTAGCAGTCAAAATACCAAATGATAATTTCAAAAAAATTGCATGGCCGGAAATCCTTAAAAAACTGAAAGTGCAGTTTTTATCAGCTCGTTGAGACGAGTTGAACGATGGGAATGAAGATGACGGCGATGGAGAGGAAGCTCATCAGCCAAACACGATTTTCTTAGGCGTTCAAGACTTGGACGTAGCCTTTTCGGCGACCGTCGGCACTCTAAAATCGGTTTTAGAGCCAGAATGCGTATGTTATTATTAGACATTAAAATAAGCTACATTAATATTTTGCTAGTAGATTATTCATTATGTTAGATTAAATTTGTTAAACAAGTGTGATACAATTATCGAAACAAAATTGTTACTTACTTCGACCGCGGTTACGAATTCGATTTTTTTTCCTAGGTTGTGAGCCTGGCAGTGAAAGCCACACTTGTTGCATTTCGGCGAGAGCCAGCTGAACATGCTTTGGCACCACTGGTCTGTGACCTTGGCTTGCTCGAAGATGTTCAAGCGGCATGGGATATCGCGCCATGGTGCGATGGGTTCCTTGATTTCAGTAAGTGAAGAAACTAATGCATTCGTTGAAGACTTACCCCATTCTGGATCCGGAATTGGTCTTGGCAGCTGTAAATGAATCCCAAAATGGCAGTGTGATGCTCCGGGTCCTAAAAAATAATTAACTTTCAATTTCGAGTTCAGAAAACTCACGTCAATAAGTGGGCAGTTAGCTGCAACATCGAAGACGACGCGGTTGGGTGCTTTCTCTTCGATTTTGATGAAATTGGCCGTTTTCAAAGAGATGGAATCGGCGAAAAAGAACGCTGTAATATCTCGAGGAGATTTTTCTGTTGAAATTCGGGGCACCCCGAAAATCCATGGGTGGACGGCGTTTGGGTTCGGCAAGTTGATCACACCAAACTCAAACTTTAAACCCGGCATGACTCTCTTGGAGATTGACTTCTGGAGTGAGCTGCGTTCGTAAGTTGTTGTCTTTTTATACCCTCAAAATTGCGTGGCAGTTTTTTGAGCCATTGTTAACCAATAAGTGTGTGCAATAAGTACTCTAGGGCTCCACCATCTCTCCAGATTGATCAACTTTATAAGAACAACCGTTTTGCGCGCCAAGAAGGGAAAGCTTTCCTCTTTGATTTGCGCAATCCCGCGTCAGATCTAAGACTCAATGTTGAAGACTTCAACTTGAGGTCCTATACTTTTATAAACCAAATTGCATCCATTATGGAATCCCGAATTTTAACCTGGAATGCGATAAAAAGAGACGATTCGTTAAAACTATCAAGTATTATTTTCTTGAATAGTTTTATTATAATTGGGATTGATGGAAATTGATTTTATTCAGGTTTCATATTTTTCGATCAAGACATCCTTTTCAGGATCAGGGTGAAGATGCCGGACTTCTTGGATGTATTCTGACCTCAAACTCGTTTTTCGAGCAAGGTTGATCGTCGTTGGAAGTCCTGGAAGTTCTTCAAGGTGAAGATACCTCGTCGATGATCTTTGACGACTTCGTCGCCAGCCGGCTAAATGAAAAGTGTTAGTTTCTGTTGCAGACTGCTACAAAGTCTCACCTTGACTTTCGCTCTTTTCGGACCTTCAAACTTCGTGAAAGTGAAGTGAGGACTGCGCGGAAAACAACTAGCTTGGAAACACGTGTTCTAGAGAAAATCTCCTTTTTTTAAAGAACTAGGAGACCTAGTACAGTATTGAGAGTGGGTTCTCATGTGATTCTAATTGACTTATTTCATAGCGTTTCTTTTATAATAATTGGAAAATGACGAATGGATCAGCAAAGTCACTGATGATCCTCGTGGCTCATATTAGCGCGATGGCGAGTGCCTTATGGCGAGTGTCAATTTGAAATGAAAAAGCGGAATATTTCCCACTCCCAAGTAATGAAACCTATCAAATACTGGGGCACTCTGCAGACGGACAACTAGAGAACCACTTCGACAATTTATCATGGAAACATTTTTGAAGACGAATCGCACTTTAGAGACAATGTGCTTCTGCCAAGGGGTTCAAAATAATCCTATAACTGCTTCTAAATGGATCAACGATAATAATTAGATTGCTTTACTAAAAAACAACCCCTTTTTCGCTACGAAATCTATCCACCCGAAAGCCTGGTTACGGACGACGATTGGATGGACATGGATTTCGGCGAATTCAATTCAATAGATTTGGGCCCTGAATTCCATCAAGAGCTTGATGATGCGAGTCCGATGACTGCGTACAAACGCTTCTTCATAATTGCCTACTACATCATTCTCATTATTGGAATTCCAGGAAACATGTTTGTCCTTGTTATGGTAAAATTTAAGCCGCTCAATCCACAGGAGAGTTTCTTCTAGTCCTAGTCCGTTTCTGACGACTCTTTTGAGAGAAACTTTGAGAATGCATTTCTTCTGACAAATTTGTCCGTCTCCAGTTTAATTCTGCTAATAAGTCTTCCTCTAAAAATTGCCCTTTTAAACAGTAGAGATAATTTTAACCACACAGCGATGGGCTTCTTTTTTTTAGCGAGTATAAACTAGCACTCATTTCTTCGAAGCCCAGTCAGTTCCAGAATGGCTTTCGTCGAAAATCGGCACAGCGAAAAATACTATGATAAATAATGGCTTGTGCAAGTTTTATTTGGGACATACTGTTCTGTGCCTTTTGGCGACTCTTCTAACAATCGTAGCAGGTTGCTTTAAGAAATAGAAATCATTTTCATTTAATCATATTTTAGTCGCTGCTGACAGATTCATAGCAGTGAGAACAACGAAGAATATCATCCTCAGGTTCTTATTATGAAAAATTTGTGTGAAGCCCATTTATCAGACAAAAACGAGCGAGCTGGTTTTTGGCGTTGTCAGGAGCCATTTGGCTGATTTCGTTGTTCATCACCACTCCAGTGTTTTACTTTTCGCTTGTAGAAGACAATCGCTGCCAAACGGTGTGGATTCTGGAATCGGAAGTAACCGCTTAATTTCCCAAAAATCAAGGCTTATTTTTCGACCATAGGAACAATGCGAGCAGTATATGTCAGAGCCATTTGAAGGAAAGCACGTCTCTGAGCTGTGTAAGAAAAAGAATACGCTGTCAACTCACAACACTTGCGAGGCGAATCATACAGATATTGAAAAACTCTACTCTTTATTCTGCCTTGGTGGCTTTATATTATTGGTGAATACTATTTTAATTCTCGGGAAAGGTAATCTAGTCTAGCCGATGCTCGCTGTTCCAATGCTATATTACTGCTTCTTCAGCCGTTTCAAAGAGCACACTATGGAAATAAGTACTCGCAGAATAGCAGCGATGCTCTATCTTATTCTTTAGACGGTTTAAGTCAGAGCAAACCCAATCAAGTAAACGACCGAACTTCTGAAGTGAAGAGAAACGTTATCGCCCTCTCAGTTTCAGGAAAAGGATGATCACTTGTTTTTTCGTTGAATTTGTAATTAGTGATTATTTCGACTAACAGTTGCTTTTACTTGGATACCGTTTCTGGTATTTCACCTGATCCGATTCCTGGGACCGCTCGTTTCTTATCAAATCAACAAGACTGCATGTGACATGTTCGGGTAGATTCAAATTGATTTCGCAAAGGCCGAATTTTTAAGAATGGCCACTACGCTACTGCTATATCTAAGCTGCCTTGTCAACCCCTTACTGTATACCTGCTTCGGCTCAACTGTGAGAAAGAAATTAGGTAATAAGTCATGGGGACTTACAGCTTGAGCGTACAAACGACAACTTACCTTTTTAAGTGCGCATCGTTCGATATAGTTTTTATCAGGGAAGAGGATTAAGGATCTCGAGAATGTGCTTATCGATTTTCTAAAACTATAGTGCACTATTCGCGACGTAAAGTCAACCATCGCTTCGTCAAACATAAGCTCGCCTATGCCCACAACATCCTTTAACTTCCACTCGATTCGCCTCAAGTCACTCAGGAAACTTTCCAGCAATGCTCAAGAATAATAATATTATTCAATGTCCATCCTTTGTCGAAAATAATTGAAGAGAACGAGGCGCCAGAGGAAGACAACGTCGAATGAAGCGAGACTCCTGGCGGAACAACACCATTTCCATCTCCGAATCAGTTTCGGACTCAGGTTTGGTATTTACGCGTTTTGAAATTCGCAATTTAAAATTCAGACAACAAAAGTATCAGCTGAAGCGAGGTTCTATTCGCTGTTCACTTTGTTCAATGTTGGTTGGATTTATTTGAAGAAAATGTACACAAAAATAAAGCTATTGAATAGAATTGAACGAAATTAATAAACAGTCTCAAATTCAAAAAGTGACCGTCCCTCTCCAAGTACTAAGTGACAGAATTCGAAAAATAACGGCAAAGGGTTCGACAGTAAAAACATTAAATTTTAAAGAATTAGGGTTGCGATAAAGGCCTCGTGAAAAGTTCGGGCATAAATATATAGAACGGGGTATGATAATCAATGAATTGAAGGATTCGACTGCTTCTCGACTTTTTATCTGGCCGTAAACAAGAAGGCGCTTCTGGTTAAAAATTATTTGTCAGTTTGAGATTGGGATATTTTTGAAGAGAGAAAGTGTGCTTTTTGTGTGGGTATTATGTTTTAAATTTGGTCGTCCTTGGCGTTTTCAAGCTTTGTCTCCCTTAGTATATTCTCCGTCGTCTTTTTTCCTGTGGCGGATGAAGGCGATAGCACCGACAACAACGAAGAGCGCCGCCACGGCGATCCCGGCGTACATTATGACACTGTAGTCCTCGGAACCTGCATTCTCGGGCTCGTCCTTGACGTTCTGAAAATTACCGTTTTTATGTGAATAAATGTGAATGTTTAATTTTTGGATAGCGTTTGAAGGCATTGCCTGGTTGAAAGCAATTTACAATTGTCCCTCCTTTTATTCAAAAAGAGGTGATTTTATGGCGCATTTGATTTGAAATGTTAGATTGATAAGCTAAGCACATGCTTGGGAAAGTTTAAGCCAGCTGTATTACTGTATTTAGTGTTGTCAGACTCTCTTCTGTTGCGTCGTGGCTTTTCGGTTGCAAAAACTATCCATGTACAAATAAAAATCATCCAAGATCCGAGTTGAAGGTATAAAAACGATTACTTACTGGGATAGAAGGACCAAAGTCGCCGGAGCCGGAGCCTTCGAAGTCTTCGTCGTCGTTGTCGTACTGTGCTTGTGCGGTTTGGTAGAGCATCGAGGAGAGTAGTGCAAGGTCTCTAGTTCGGCGGTTCATATTCATCGACAATTTTTTCGCGTTTTCAATTTCTCACTCTGAATGGAGAATTCGTCAGATTGGCCTTATTTTATTTGACTTAGGCAGGTTTAGAAAGGGCACGCGCAGCGGAGGTCCCGTTGCCTCTCCCCGTTTCTCTCAAGGTCAGAGTGACCTCACGCACGATCTTTCACAGGATATATAAATTAGCGCCATTAAGTATACAAGGACAGGGCAGCTCGAAGAATAGCAACTTCTGCGATTATTATCCGGCCCAGACCTTAGGATTAATTATGGGAAGCTGGCAGCTGCTGCTCTCTCTACTGATGATGCAATAAAGACTTGTATCTAACCAGCAGCCATTAAATTGTTGTCAGAGTCTCTCAATAAACGGGCGATGATTTAGAACTTCTCTTATAGAAAATTCCATCGCGATGGGGCCGCGTCACTTTTTATATTTACGATTCGCTGACTAAATTTTCTCTCGAGCTCTCTTCTCTCCACGCTGCAGCGATATTAGCATTATCTTTTCTCAATTAAATTCCGGCCTCTAATCGGCGGAAATAAAGCCCTCCACGCTCTCACAAGCGATTACTGTAAACGAAGGCGTAATTATCTCAAATCTCAAAAGCGTATTTTCCGAGAGGCGACCCCCCACGGTGAGAACACTGTTTTTATGAGCGCGAGCTAGTGGAATTCATACTTCCATAAAAATTCATCATAATTACCCTCTCGCAGCTCTTTGCTGACAAGATCAGACGCCAATTAAAGCTTTCATGTTTTTCGATTTAAAATTGTCAAGATTCTCTGTCGCAGCGAACAGAAAAGTGGTTTTGTTTGAAAAACGAATCTGCAAAACGTTAATTGTTCAAATAGAGCGCGCATGAAATGGATTCTCGCCATTTTTATCAAGTTCCTGGCTCGCTTCTTTCTCTCTCTCTCTTTTTATGAAAGTGTGTCTCGTTGTGCTCGCAGCACAATCATGTTCATATTTATGTTAAATCACACGAAAAGAAAGTCAGCTTCAATTGAGGGGAAAACGACTTGTGAGTCGAATTCAAACATAGACGGCAGATATTGTCGTTTCTCCTCTATGATTGCACTTAAAAATTTAAACTTCAAAGTTAGAATTTCGCGATTCCCTTTGAAGAGGCTAAATCGATAGAATTACCCAAAACTTGATTTTTATCTTGCGTCCCTTGAGACTCTCAAGTTGAGAGGCTTTCATCCTGCTCTGAGAAATAAACGAGTAAAGGAGATATTCTGATTGTGTTCGCCAAAGGGCCGCTATCGACTCTCTCTCTCTCTCTGTTTCCCTCCCTCACGTCTCCCATGTTCGTTATCGGCTACTATAGTGTATTCTCAAAAAAATAAACTCTGCGATAAGAAAACCGGAGAGCGACTTGACTCGTGTACGTGAGCCCGCACTGGCACTGTCCTTGGCCGAGCGAAACACCACGCAGCTTTTTCTTTTTACTTTTTTATTACTAATTAAATTCTCGCAATTAATTTATTTCCCTGACAGCCGACGTGATTATAGAAATTCCCAAGTCGCGTTTCCTCTTTTATCTTTATTTTTGAAACAGCCTAAATTCTTTGAAAAACATTTTAACCGACAATTTAAAACTGATTCTCTGCTTTAATCTACGCGACGCTGAAGGGATTAAGCTGAATTATTAACGAGTCTATTTTCATTTATAACTTTTACCCTTCTAAAATTAATCAGATGCGCCTGTTGAAAAATACATGGCCCTACTTCAGATACAGATCACCTCCGAGCCCCTCTAAATATTTAACAAGAAAGGTATAATTTTAAAAAAGCAGCTAGCTCAAAAAGACCTCATGACTAGCGATGGAAAATTAAAAGACAGATGGGCCTGTGAATCAGCAAATGATGTTCTGTTGCCTCGTGACAAGTGTTTGAATAAGTACGATAAAATTGTAAAAACGCCCTGAATAAGCACTTTTGTATAACGAGCTGTCAAAATCTGACTGAGTTCGATTTCTTTACTCTGTGTGAGTAAATTCTCACATAAATTCTTGTCCCCTTCAACTTATTCGAATCATTAACTCAGTGGCCTTGTACCACAAGCTAAATCGATTCGTATTTCGAAACTATTTCAAAGAGAATGGAAAACTCTTCGTGTGTATTCTCTTTTCAAAAAAGTGAAAATATTTCTTTTGCAAAATTAGCAAGGTCGACGAACAACTTTCGTTGAATTTTTCATGGTTTGATTTGGTCGGAGTTCGCGCACGCGCATGAGCTTCAGCTCAAGCGGCTCAGCCGTTGGCGCTCCGCCAGTCTTTCGCTGAAAAAAAACGAAGAAAAAACCGTAAAAATTATGTGGTCACGAATTACGACGTTTCTCAGCCACGTGCGGGGTTAATTACAATCCGTGCATGTGTAAATATACAGTCGTCTTATGAAGATACTCTTTGATCTCTCCGGCGAGTTTCCAAGGACTGCTCCGTCCAGCAAGGATAGATCTTATTATAAAAATAAATAGTCATCTTATGTTTCTCTTAAGGGTTCCGTGATGTCGTGTGTGAACTGATGTAGATGGCCTGTGATAAATGGCCCTTCCCGTCACAAGTCAACTGTAGTTTCTTCGCATAAACGACTAACTACTCCCTACAGTAACTTTTTCTTCCAAGTGCCAGGACTATCCATTTACAGTTCCTTATCTGTAAATAGCAAGCTAGCAGTTTACTCGTCCAGAGAGTAGTCAAAGACTCTGATGGCATTTTTTCTCTTGGCTGATATTGTGAAAGAAGATGATCGGCTGCACAAACTAAAATTCCCTCCGCCAATTAATAATTAACGAATTATTAAATGTAGAATCTGTTTGCCCTGGCCAGCTGTCATTCTATTCACCGCAAAGAAAATCCAGCAGGGGCCATTTATTTTTATCAGTGTCGATTGTATCAGAAATTTGAGGAAGAAGTGGAAAGGGAATACAATCCGACGGAAAACTACATCGATCTCACACTCGTTCTTCACTTTCGAACTTATTTCTCTCTTAAAAATGATTATCAACAATTAAAAAATAAAGAGATTGGATTTTATTTTTTGCTTGTTTCATGCGAAAATTCTCGTGGTTTTCTGCCAGATGCTTGAAAACGGAGCTCATTCGGATTCAAAGTCAACGCCGGCTCAGGTACCTGATCTCATCAATATCTCAGGAATCACTAACCAACTCTTAGTAATCAATTGTTGGTGATAGAGTGCACTACTCTCGTTCTTTTCATTGCAGAGTTCCAAAAGCATCGCATCTTAGTAAAAAGCAGTGAGTTCTCGAAAGTAAATTTTCTAAGCAAGAAAAAAATTGGAACTCTTCCGAAAGTCTACTTGAGCTACCTTATCTTAGCGAGAAATTGAGCTCTGCCAAATTTAATTCATCCTGTGCTCTTATTATTTTCTCCTGCATTAAATTCAATCTTCAATAAAAAATATTTGAAATCTCTTATTTTTCAAAGGCTCCCACTGAGCTACTGCTGCTGAAGCTGACATTTATCGAAACTAGAAATCGCAAGTTATCAGATGAACGCAGCGGGGAACGGGCACTACTTCAAAGATTAGGAATAGTGCACGATGCGCCCTCTTTCGACAAGGATTTGAATAAAAACGTCCGGCGGATTTTCATTTCACAAGATCGCAAAATGACTGACAAGCCAAAATCTCCAGCTACAGAAGATCCTCCCATCTCGCTTACGGCAACCCAAGCAAGACCGTCGAATCGCGTCATCAGAAGTACTTTGCTGAAGGCTTTGGAAACAGATCCGACGACTGTTGGCCGAAGTGAAGTCGAGCACGATCGCGCCGATCGCTTCAAACTAGAACGACTTGCTCTTCCCGACGGAAATCCCACTTCCTATCTTCTCTGCCGCCATTTTGCTTGCGAGGAGAGGCCCTTCAAGGACAAGGTAAAAATGTGCCATATTTTCTCTAGTCCATAACTTTTAAAGGTGTTCCTTGGAATAGGAAAAAGTGGCAAAGTGACAAATTCGCAGGTCAAGAATCACATGGAAATAGGCTATCATGGAGGTACCATGGAGCAACTTTCCGAGGCTGCGGCAGAAGTATGCATCAGTCTGCGACTTCCGCCGACACTCTTTTCCTCGGATAGCTTTAAGAGACTCACTGAGTTTCTAAGCGACGGATACTTTCCAGGCGGCATCAACGAAGAAGACATTCGAGGACACTTCGAGTAAGCTTTATTTATTTTAGTCAAATTCCGAATAAACCCATATTTTAGGCAAAAGGGCTACGATCCTGAATGGGAATCCGAAGAAGAAATGAACTAAGGACAATAACTGCTATCGGAGACAGTAACGATTCCAAGATCTTCCCATACTTATTACAAAACTGTGCTTTTTAACGAAACTGATAATAAAATAAAATCTGAAACCAAATATCATCGTTTGCACATCGTTTGCTTCTTACAGACTCAATATCATGAAAAAATGCGGGCTTATTTAAAATGCGCGTGAAAATTAAAATGTCGGTTGAGAAATGTTTTCGAGAGCGCTGTTGTGATACGCATCAGAAAAATCTCGAAAAGCAAACGGCCGAAGACGCGCGCGAGGAGCCGGTCCTTCCTCACTCCCAAAAGAGACGCTGTCGAGGTAACTGCTTTTTCAATTTTTTTGAATTTTTTGAAATTTCGAGTTTTTCTTCTGGCTTCCAGAGATTAGCTTGATAGAAATAGAGGATCACTTCTAATAGCGGCTAGAGACTGTTCGTGTCCAATTTTTTATTTAGTTCTGTCAATCAACTTGAACAAGGTGAAAATGGTAAAGGCCGAGGAAACCCCCGCTCCCGAGATCACCGAGGAAGCAATCAAGAAGCTCTTCAACATTGGCTACCGTAACTTTATCGCCGGCGATTACCCAGAGGCCGCCGATGCCCTCCAAGAAGTCTGCCGCTTCAAGTAAGCACAGACTCGATCTTTTAAAACTCTTAAATCTGCTTTCAGCTCCGAAAAATACGGAGAGAAGGATGATAAGTGCGCGGATGCGCTGCTTCTCTACGGCCGAACGTTGCTGGAGCTTGGCCGCGCCGAGAACTGCGTTCTAGGCAACGCCCTCAAGGGATGGCGCGAGATCGAGTACGACTCGCAAGACAATATCGACAGCGAGCAGTTCGAAAACCCCGAAAAGGTCTCCCCAGGTAAGTGAAGGTGCAGATCGCGCGGCTAATTCGGAATTGTAGATGAGCGTGAAAAGCTTAGAAATGACGTCAACGAGGCTATGGCCGAGGCTGACACCATCGAAGAAGAAGAGTCCAAGGACGCCAAGGATGAGGTAGCCATACACTTTTGCGAGTTGTAGTTTAAAATTGGTATTTAGGAGAAGTCCGAGGATAAAAAGATGGAGACTGAGGAGACCAAGGCCGAGGAAACTAAGCCGGAGGAAAAAAAGGAGGAGGCGAAACCTGAGGAGTCGAAGGAGGAGCCCATGTCCACCGATAAGATGGACACTGAAACTACCGAGGCCAAGCCCGCGGAAGAAAAACCAAAGGTAAGCACTGCAAGAACCTATTCATTTTTATAATTGGACCTTAGGAGCCTGCGTCTGAGGAACAGGATTCGCTCGCCGAGGACCCAGACTCAATGCCCTCCCTCCAGCTCGCTTGGGAAATCATCGAGCTCGCCCGCGTTATCTTCAACAAGGTATTTTTTCCGTTTTATATCTGATCTTTAACGGAATCTAGCGGCCTGAGTCGATGGAGCGCGACATCAAAATCAGCGAGTGCTACTTGCGCCTTGGCGAGGTCAGCCTCGAAATCGAAAACTACGCCAACGCCGTTGGCGACTTCCTCGAGTGTCAGGTACTGAAGTAACATTCTGGTCAATAGGCAGTTATTTTTCTAGGCGCTCCAGAAGAAGCATTTCGACAAGATCGACCGCCGAATCGCCGAAACCCACTACCACCTCGGCGTCGCTTACGGCTACCAAAAGCGACACGACTCCGCCAAAGAGCACTTTGGCGAGGCGCGCAAGATCATCGACGAACGAATCGACTCGTTGACACTCAAGTTCGACGAGCTCACCGAGAAGGATGGTCCGATGAGCGAGCAAAATGAGTTGACCAACGAGATTGCTCAACTCAAAGATCTCCTTCCGGACCTCAACTCCAAACTTGAGGACATCGAGGCCACACTCAAGTCCGAACCCGTCTCTGACAAGGTCTCTGAGCACCTTAACAAGGACAACAAGGTAAACTGAATGCAAAGGATTTTTATTATAACTTTGCCTCAGGTTTTAACCGACTCGAACAAGACCAATGAGTCCTCCAACATCCAGCACCTCGTCAAGCGCAAAGCTGAGGTATGATATTTAATATATGATATATATAATCTAAGCAAATAGTTTATATTCGTATTTGTGAAATAATATATTTTCAGGAGATGGAAAAGCTAGAGGCCGTCGAGAAGAAAGCCAAAGTTGACGCCACTGCCTAAAATGTTTTTGAACTGCCAGAGTATGCTCTTTCTTCATTTTATGGGCTTTGTTCATAAATAAATCTCTTTTAAATTACTTATTTGTCCATGTCAAATCAGCTAGGAAAACTTTTTAATCAAGATGGAAAAAATACGTATGGCTGTAAAAGCTCGAATAACGTGTTAAAGCTAACAGCGGTTTTCAGCGACAGGCATTGACGCCAACGCAGCTTAGTGGTTCCATTATGTTTGTTAAACAAAAAAAGGTTCAGAGTTTTAAAGGGTTTTTCTTCGCCACACCGGATAACCATTATTTAGCTTCCATCTCAATTAGAAACTGAACTAGCGCATCTGATCAATTAACAATACTTCATTCGAGAGTTGTGTTAACGCGAAATTATCATGATAAGAATGGAGATAGTTTATCGGATAGACGCCCTTGATGCGGGAAGAAGGGATGCAATAGAAAGTGAAACTGACCGGAAACAAGCCCGTGACCTTCTTCCCACGGCGCCACGGCCGCACTGAGGTGGTCGAGCCCACTCACTTGCAGTCTCCATTTCTTTATTCTTTTCTGGTACTGCTAGACACAGTTTGTACTCGTAACCAGGATGAAAGGCTCAAGTTCCAAATTAAAGCATGACCGAGCGATTTCGTTCAAGGAGCTGGAAGCACTCCCGTCGAGAGATGCTCACACCACAATAATCATTAGATTCCTATCAAAACGTTTTAGGAGCTTTAGTGCGCCATAAATAGCACATTTAGCTGCATTTATGTCCTTGAACAGTGATGGCACTTCGTCAAAAACGTAGTCATGCGTTGCGAAAGAGACCGCCGCTGCGCATCTTATGGCGCTGTTGCGGTGCTGAGGAGCATTCTGAGCACCAAAATCTTAAAAGGTTCTGAGAGATATTAGAGCCAACATCAAGAAAAGAGATTTCCCGAAGATTTACGTTTCGTGCTAACGGTATGAGCAATCAGTTATTAAAGTGGTCTTCATTTTTTGATAGCAGTACATCAAACCTTTTTCGTAATTCGTGTACTGCCCCAATACTGGAAGATATTTATCAAAAAAAAAGACATTTAAATGCTCCTGCTTCTTGACGTTGCGTTACGAGCCTATAATAAAAAAGTACCAGGAAGAACAAACTTTCACTAAAATCATGATGATAATCATAGAAAATATTATATTTATACATTACATACAAATAAGAAGCAAATAAATGGTTTTAAAACCAGTAAAGAAGACAGAAAACGTTTGTTTTACATCTAAACGTAGTGGCATTTAAAAAAGGATGCTCGTCCTAACCGGTTCTTACTAAAAGCCAAAACATGATCCCAAATCTCTCTCTGATCTTCTGGCCTAGATCTACGTTGATCCGAGATTATCTTAAATTTCAATGTAAAGCAGATTTTACTCGGCGTGAAACGATCCTGTAGAATTCCGACGACCGAACTAAGCTGTATTATTAGATGTAAAGTTAGCAGCAAGTAGGCGGTTTTCTGTTCAATATGATAATCTTATAAAGGCCCATAAGTTATGTTGACAGTACTTCCATATCTAAGCTACTCCAGGAAAGATCACGTCAGAGTGCGTTTTCCAAAACCGCTAGAATAAGCGCGTGATCTTTTTTGTCAAAGTGTGATATTTTCAGCTCTTATTAGCTCGTTCTCATAAGCTTATTTCAGTATTTCTTATCAATCTTTTAAGCGGTGGGCCAAAATGAGCAAGCTCAGACTTCAGTTGATAAGTTGCGGATTATTGTCTAAAGGAGTCTACGCATGGGTCGAATCCTACGATGGAGGAGAAGACGGTCGGTTTATTTTATCAATTAAAATGCTCTCTAAAGGGAATTTAAGACGAGAAAGTTATCAAGATCATGTTGCCCATGATTGCTATCGCCGTTTTGGCCTGCGTGGTCGGATATTATATCAAGAACAAGTTCTGTAAGGTCGACGAAGACGAAGAGAACAAGAAAGAGAAAGATTTACAGCGGGATCTCGAAAAGATGCGTTTCCCACCGCCAAAGGCGAACAAACCGTGGCTAAACATGCCTCCAACTAACAGTGAGTTCGTCTTTTTTTTTTGCAAAAATTCTATTTTCATGAGATGCTCCGCGAGTGCCACCAGGAGGATATGAATACACACTACCTGGATATCCATCTTACGGCGACAAAAGGACAAATTCAAGAGAATCCGGAAAGGTAGGAAATCTTCTGAAAATGGCCTTTTAAAAGTTCTTTTTTTTTCAGAATTCAAATGGATCTAGTGGATACCAGAGTCACATGACAGTCAACAACTACCATGAGAAAAAACGAAGCCGACCAGAGGTTCGTACCTAGCGCAGAATAAGTCATACTATTCCATCATTCGTTTAGAAAGAAAGGCGCCAAAAGCGCTCTCGCAATTCCGACGAGAAAAAGGCTCCTAGAGAGGAGGCTAGAGTAAGATATTATTTTTTAACGCATGGGAGACCTTTTTACCCTGAAATAGAACTGAATACTGAAAATAGAAAAATATAAACTATTATTAGCACGGAAGACATGGAGGAAGACAAATGCAAGAAACTAACCGCACTAGGACGGTTCCAAATCCACAGATGCAAAACCCTACGAGGTACTAAACATGTACCTTTCGCACATCTACACTAAGTTAAGCCGCCCCTCACGAAAACAAAGACCCTGAATCTGATCCTTTGAAAGGACCCAAATAACTGTTGTAGTTCACCAATACTTCTTCGCTTTCTACTTTATTATATAAGCGCCTGTTTTTTTTCTTTGCGAAATACGAAAAGTATATAACTCACTGTACAAAATGCTTAATAAATATTAAATTAAACGTCTCTTTGAACGGAAATCTGTTGCATAAAGCATAATCGAGTGTATATATATTTTTGGCCAAGTAGTAAATATTTTGAATCGTTTGAAGCAACACGGAGCGCTGAACCTTCTGAAGCGCCTGCGAAGGTCTTATGCTGCTTTCATGAGCTTAAATAATTTAGAAACTTGCTTGCAAATCATCGAATTGAGGATAAATACGATCAAAATTTGATCAACTTGTTTACTAACCAACTGTCTTAGCAAAGTCTGACAAAATAGCTCGTTCTCAGACAAATACTAGTTCAATTTACATAATCTTTATTATTAAAAATACTGGTGATATAAATGCTTGGCTTTGCAGAAGTAGAGCTACAGAAAAAATGAAGTTAGCGAAAGAAGGTTAGGTTGATTGAGTAGGTAAAATTAGGAAACTTTTAGTTTTTTGGCAGCACGGTGGAGGCGCTCCACGACAAAGTCGTAGAGTTCGTATTCAAGCTTCAGCGAAGTGTTTTCTTTGAGCCATTCTCGCGTCTCTGGCGATGTCTTTTTCTTGTTCAAAGTTTTCGTTTGTGTTTTCATGTTTTGGGATTCGTCCGAAACGGTGAGTTCTCGGGCACCGCTGAAGAAACCAGGCAACAGCTGCTCCAGAATCCCGAGAGAAAGGTCCATTTCTTCAAGAGTTCCAACGAAGAGATAGTTTTCTTCAATATGTTCCTGGAATAAATAATAAATACTTGATTGCGGTGATTTCAATAAAATATCGAAAAGGATTCTAATTCAAATTACTATCGAGCTTGTCATCTCTACTTACTTTGGCAATCTGAACGGCGCGAATATGTCGATTGTTGCATTCAGCGTCCATGCCACAAAAGTAAGGAACAACTTGCCAAACAGGTTGGGTACATTCACGGCGTCTTTTTTGCGACGCACTCATCAACAGACTCGTTACGTTGTTCATCGGAGAGCCGCGCGTTCCCACCACCGCCCTTTTCATTGCCGAATCTGGAGAAATAGTAGAAACTTTCAAAACGGTCGATCGGATCACGGATCATGTTGATGTAAGCAGCGGAAAAATCTTCGTTGAGTTCACTGAAGAAGAAATTTGTATTCATTCGAGCTAATTTCTTTAACCTGAAGTCAATGTAGTACTGATGTCTAATGTACATATATGGAGGTTCTTGGTTTTGAAGGAAATCGACGAATTCTCGCTGCTCCGTGATGGTCTTTTCGGGCTTCTCGCCTGGCTCGTAAGGTGACTCCACTTTAAAATTGTTCTTTCCTCCCAGTTTATAACTCAGGGTAGTCATTGACATCGATGCGCACTGAAACACGAATAGAGTAATCGAACCGTTCGAACGAGAATAGTATTCACCTTTGGAACTCGATTGTAAACGACGAATTGCGCTTCAGGCATCGGTCTTATTTCCAAATCCTCAAGATGATCTTCAAGTTCTTTGATTGCTTCCATTGCATTTTCTAGGGGAGAACTTCAAACGCTCTTGCCCAAATTTTCTGTTACCTGTGTCGATGTTGATATCTTTGAGCACATTTTCTAGCTTTCGTTGGATCTCTTTTGTATCTTCAGTAAAGTAGTAAAGAAAGGCGAGCATTCCAAACAGCCCAAAGAGGAAGACACATCCTCGAATCAAGTTCAATTGTCTACGACGCAACACAACCATCTAAAAAGTAAGAAATGGAATATTTTCAGCCAGCTGATTAGATAATTCAAATGCTCAAGAGAATAGATTCTATTTATCCGCCGGCTTCGGCTTCCACTTTTTGTTGACCGGTTGAGTGCCAGGCGGACAGGGTTGAAAATAAATATCACGGAAGCCATTTTGAAGACTGAGTACGTCGCCAGACGCGTCAACATCTTCGGAATGATGTGATTGTATTTTTGAATAAACTAGCAATATCCTCGACGTCCTCATGTTCAGTATTTGCTCGCAATCGCAAAACAGTTCGAAAGAAGAGTGCCGCGGGTAAAGAAGCTTGCCATGCTCTGAAATTTACTGTTTGAACCTGAAAATAAACTATCAATACTTTTTAGCTCTTCTCTCGAGACCGGATACCAAAAGACTAGTCGTCCTCCAACGCGTAGGTGCTTGTTGGAGAACTTCATCAAGTCTGCGAACACGTCGTTCAAATTATAAGCGACTTTATCCGGAAAATGCGTCCCATCAAAGTCAATCCAGTCATCAAATTTCTTCGAAGTTCCAACCTTTTCCGACTTTTCTCGGACCCCATAAGGAGGATCAGTGATAATCGCGTCAAACCAACCACCATCTATGCCTCTCCAGGGGTTGATGTTGTTGTCAATAACTCATCCGCGGATTCATAATTTTGTCGAACGAATAAGGCAAAATTTAGGATCATTACTTAGTCATAGAAAAGCGAATTTAAAATCCAACCTAATGAGTCCACACAATGTCCTCCAAGTCCAAATCCTTCTAAAGCTCCACGGAGTGTTTCGTTCGGTTTTCTGTTTTCCTGTCCCATTCTCGCTGATTTTCCTTTCGCCATCATTACGTTCCAGCAAATATCCGACCCCAAGACCATCGATTTGAAATGTGCGGAAGTGAGGAGCATACTCCCCGTCCCACAGAATGGGTCAAAAACAAGAGACCCTGCGCTCACTTGCGCCAAGTTGGTCATGAACAGGCACAACTCTGCATCCATGGAGGTATTTCCAACGGCGACACGATTCCTGACAGCATATTTTTCGATCAAGTTTCGTTGTCCATTGCAGAGAAATCGACCAACTGAGACGTAGACAAGGTCGTCTTCGCGACGAGGCGAGTTATCCTTTGGTATCCCATAATTCTCGATGATCGTTATTTTGCACTCGGGATTTTTTAAGTTGATCTTGCCTCGCATTGGCAAGCAGTTTGCAAAAGAATCAAACTTGCGAATTCTCTCTGGCATGGTCATCTTTTTTCGGTGAATTAGTTCGATTTCGAAAGCGAATTCTTTTTCGTAAAAAGGAGCCCTCAGACTATCATCGTTTTCCCTAGAGTAGCATTATTAAACTTCTTTTTGTTATGTGTTTACTGACCGAAAGTTTTTGTGAACTTCTTCGTACGACGCTCCTTCTTCCCACAACTCGTATAATCCATATATTGAAATGGATCTCGAGCATAACTCGCGAAGTTTGACTTCGGTAATATCTTTATCTTCCTTCAAATTGAATCTGACGTTATTCTGAATATACTTTTTTGCTCTGTATTATCTAAGCTGAACTCACCAGTGCACATTCTGCGTCACTAAAATGATGAGCAGGGATCTTCATCAACTCTGCTAAAGCTCGTAGCTCAGCCATGACGAAATGAAAATGGTCTTGCTTTATTGATAAAAGCAATACCCATGTTTTTTTTCTTGACATTTTCTTTCTAAATTTATATTCAAAAGGACCATTTTGAATTAGGTCTAATTATCTTTCCATCGGACAGCTTGAATAATTCTGAGCTAACAGTAATTGAACTGGAATCAAGAATAAATACTCCGAATCAGAAGTATTTGATCAGGGATGGAAATCTGAGCGGCACGGCACGGCACGGCACAGCGGCATGGCACGGCACGGCACGTGCCGTACCGTGCCGTGCCGGAGAGTAAAATCTGGTTGCGGCACCGCGGCACAGTAAAATTAACCATTCCTTGATTTGTTAATTTAAGGGCTTGACGGCCCTTCGGGCCGTTTCAGCCCCGTTCCTTGATTTGTTAATTTAAGAGGCTTGACGGCCCTTCGGGCCGTTTCAGCCCCGTTCCTTGATTTGTTAATTTAAGAAGCTTGACGGCCCTTCGGGCCGTTTCAGCCCCGTTCCTTGATTTGTTAATTTAAGGGGCTTGACGGCCCTTCGGGCCGTTTCAGCCCCGTTCCTTGATTTATTAATTTAAGGGGCTTGACGGCCCCAACCCCACTCTCATCCATTGTTAGAAAAATTCAAATTATCCAAGATTTTGATTTTATTATGGTTTTCATTTTAACTTTTGAAAATTCTATAAGTACACTAGCAGCTTTAATTTTTTTCATTTATATAAATAAGTTATATGATTCGAATTTGTGCCGTGCCGTGCCGTTGTGCCGCGGCACCCCATTATCGAATTTTGTGCCGTGCCGTGCCGTACCGTGCCGCGGCACGGGTATTTTGGTTGTGCCGTGCCGTGCCGGTGCCGCTTGAAAATTTTCTCCTATTTCCATCCCTGTATTTGATAAGAATTGTCTATCCCGAAGGATGTGAAAATATTTCAGCAAGATGAGAGTTTCCCATTGAGAAGTTATCTCAGATAGCTTGGGCAAAAGTGACTGGTGCTCTTCCACCATTCATCCATAAAAGTCACAAGCTCTTCGTGAAGAGGGCCTTTCGTCATGTAACTCATGTTCGTTTCGAGTTGCTCAACTCTTGAAGCACCTTTCAAAGGCTTTCAAAGGAAAATTTCAAATCAAGTTGAATGGAACTTCAGCGTTTGCCTAGTATAAAGCCTGGCCTAAAACAATGCGATCGCCTTTCTCTCCAGAGAGGCATGAGTGATGGAGAAGCCATCGATAAGCTGCCTCGGCTACGGTAGCATCTTCTCCATCGTGGTGCTTTGCCAGAAGCTCCTTGATCTTTTCCATTGCGTTGAAGTGCTCAACTTTCCAGTAGCGATCTCTTTAACAAATTCAACTTTTGAAGACGTTGGAGTTTTTAACCTGTAAATTTTGTCCCATCCATTGTTGTTCATATTGAATCGGCCGAATTCGATCTTCTGCTCTTCCTCATCCTTGAACTTATGCTTGCCAGTAAGAATACCGCCACCAAGGGGAGAGTATGCGTAGAAACGCATGTTGTGATATCGCAGACAAGGGATGAGTTCGACTTCTACTTGCCTCGTGATAGCAGAGTACATTCCCTGGTAAACAGTGGGAACGATGAAGCCTTTCTGCTTGCAAATGTTGACTGCTTCAGCCACGAGCTAAAGATCTCATTACAACAGAGAAACAAATCCCCATAAAGTCGCGACACCGGAAATCGGCTTGAGTTGAAGTTCATGAACAAAATCAGCGGAAACAAGAGAACACACACTATTTCCATAGAGACGCTGATTATGATGAGACGATTGACAAATGCGTTATGATAAGGCAGCGGAAAGTAAACATGAAGAAAACAAGTTAAAACGTACCCATGAGGAATAATTCGATAGTCCGAGCTCATCAAATTTGCCCTCTTGGTGCATTTCGTTCATAGCAGCCAGAGTTTCTTCAAGAGGTGTTTCGTGATCTTAACATATGTCTATCGCAACAGGAAAACGTTCCGCAAATGAATATTTCGGATATATAAATGGCTTCTTGAGAACGAGAAAAAGTCGGAAGCAGTAGAGAAAACTCACCTGGAGCATGTAAGTAACAAATCTGAACCTTCTTGACTCGCATGTTCGCCAACGAGGTTTCGAGCTGTTTACGGACAGACTCCTTTCCAAGTCCCTTTCCGTTCCACGGATTCACCTTGGTAGCCATCCCGATTTCTGGTTTCTTCCATGCGGGAATGGTTCCTTAAAACTTTTTTAATCAAAGCAAATGATGATTCAGACAACGTTAAATCTTCAGCTTGAGTGGTGTGCCTTGTTCTTCTATCGCGCTTTAGTACAAGAGTAAATCGATTAAGACACATTCAAGGGTCACCATGGAAATTTCTATTATACACGCGAAGTTTTTTTCTTCATCAAAAGGAGCGATTTTTATTTCTCTTTCAGGTGATAGTAACATGGACATTGCGCCAGAGCTCAAGGCCGCTTTCGAGGTTTTTGAACGAGAGAAAAAAGACGATGTGATTGAAATTTCGCAGCTTGGCGATTGTCTTCGCATGACTAATCTAGTCATTACGGAAACTTTTCTTGAAGCACAAAGGTACATTTGTACTTGTCTTACTATTTTATTTGGCTTTAGAAAGAGACTAAAAGATGACGAGATTCCATCGATTGATTGGAATCTCTTTGCTGGGATTTATAGTGCCGCTTCTGGAGAGGTTCTAGCAGAGGATACTCTTGGTGAATCGTTAAAGACGCTAGAAGTGGCAAAAATCTTCGAAGATGGAACGATAGGCCGTAGAATAAAAACCTCGCATCTGAGAGAATTTCTGACGACATTTGGGGATGATCCTCTCACAGAGGAAGAAGCGCAAGAACTAATTCAAGACATGGACCAAGTATTGAAAACTTCCAAGCGCAATAACTAAGAAAATCTTAGCTGCTGCAAGGGGAAGTGCAGTCAGATGCAGTGGCGATGGAACTGGTTCATGGCATGCCACTCGACGAGTTCTGATTTTCAAACAAAATAAACTTTAGTCATACCTAGAACTTTCTCCGTCTTTCCGCCGACGTACATAAAGGCAGTATCGATTTCGTCAGCCCCGATAGATCCACCCTTGCTCAAAAAAAACTCGACCATTTTTTTGGGCACGTCTCCCACAGTGGCGTTTCTGCCCATTTCCATCGTTCCGAGCGATGCTTTGATCATCTTTGCACTCATTTTCTCTAATTAATTTTCGTGCGAGCGGGATAGAATTTGGCAACTACATGTATTATCAAGATTTCAGTAAATATTGGTATGAACAGCAGTAAACTTCGCGTCTTTGATTTACATAGTTTAAAGTTAGAAGCGGATGGTACAGGTAACAGAAAAATTTACATTGCTTCATCGTTTTCATTAGCTTCGTGCCGCGCAAGGTAAAATAAAAATATGAACAGAATTATCTTTCGAAGTTGAGTGTCGCACATTGGACAAACGAATATAACTGGAATGTTGTGCAGAATAACTTAAAGTTTAAATTTTAGACGACATCATTGAGGGAACTTGAGTGGGCGCTCAGACACTGTCTAACTCGAGTTAGGCAAAATGGAACGATAGTCAACTATAAATTGCTCATTTTAGACGAACTCGGATTCAGAACTTGAAGAAATGTGATTGTAATTTCGCTCCAGGTCTCTTTCTCGTTGAGATCTGAGAGGGAAAACATGGCCGTCGCCGAGCGAAGTGAAAACAGGAAACATCCACAACTTCGGGTTCGTCCCAAAGACTTCTTCGAAGTTTTTCGCCTTCCAAGGTTGTAAGCGCGCTTGTCGACCATTCCATTGACGAATACTGGCGGGCGGAAGCTTTCTTTAAAGAAATAGTAATTCATCAGCGTCGATAGAACTGTTAATACCAAGAGTAGTCATGTTGTAAAAGACGAGGTACATGTGGTAGAAGAAAAGCACCGAGACGGAAAATGAAAACATGGACCCAACGAGGAAAATGAAGAGAATATGAAAACGAGCGCTCTGTGAATCCTTGAGTTCGTCTTTCCAGAAGAGCAGTGAGTACTTGAAACTGCGTTTTATTTAGTTCCTTGGCGACTGAATATACCTTGAATGAAGTAGTGCAGACGAATAAACAATACGTCAGTGCGTAAAAGAGGAAGAGCATGAAGAACTTGTAGTTGGACCAACTGACGCAATTGTTAACCCACGGACAGTAATGGTCCATTTTTAATACAACTTTTTTCGTCACTAAAATTTACTTGCCTTTGCGGCTTTAAATCAATAGCCTACCTGAACAATAATGCGCTCGGTCTGGCTTGATGCACTTTGTTATATGACAGTATCGATAGGAGCCGCCAATCGTGCGATTTTGCACATGAAGATTGCGGGCCACTTGTCGCAGAAGCAACGATTGCTCCTCCTCTGTCGTGGCGTTTTCAATTTTGTGTTGTTCTTCTGCCGAGAGAAAGTACTCCTGCTTAGGATAGTGTGGCTCTGTCATTACTGCTTGCCAATACGACCATACAAACAGCATCAGCAACGGGTGATAAATGATAAGGTAGGCTACTCGTTCCCCATTCGAACTTACTGTCTTATCGTGGTTCTTGCATTTTGCTTTCACAAAATTAGATGATTAATGTTGATTATTTAGAACCACTTGACAGAATGCACAACTCAACAACGTACGCATAGTAAGACCAGAGAATCACCCCCGTCACGAATAACGTTGGTATCCAACGCAAGCTCTTCAAGAGACCCGAAACGATAGTCATTGTGGAGCGAAATGCTGAAATAACAGTTTCAGTGAATAGATAGAAAATAGATATCTTTATTAAAAATGTGAGATTTCCCGTACAAAAGTAAAAGTAAAAAAGATTGTGAAAAAAATGTGAAGATTCAAAATTGTTGACTTTGAAAGTGGAAGAGCATAACTGAAGAGATACAGGAGGGAGCACATACTCTGTAGTACAGAGTCTGTACTACAGAATGGCTAGACCGACAGTGTTTGAAAAAGCTGAAATAAAGAATTTAATCATAGTCCCGCTCTCCAAGAAGCTTGTGCGCGGCCTCCAGGCTGAAGAATAAAGGTGCGTGTCGGCTGAGAAGGGTTTTCTGTCGACATAAGCCGTCTGTCAAGCGTTCACGAAAAATATATATTCGTACATATATTGGTAATAATTTCAAAAAAATCTGATTTAGTTAACGCGCCTTTGATGGGAAGAAGTTGGCTGATAAACTCTTGTTGGATCCCAGTCTGCTAGCTGATCATTTCTTTGCTTTCGTCGGGTCTCTTTGATTTGTTTCTCGATATTCTTCATCCGCTCAGATTCTTGCCTCTCGCGCGTTTGTTGTTGCCTTGACACGATGTCCCGAGCAGTTAAGCTTTTGACTTTCTAAAATTGAAAATGAAAAATTTATTTTAAAAAATATGAATTACCGCATTAGCTTCAGCTCCCTTCTTTCGCTTATACTCGATTTCCATTTCCTTTTCTTGTTCTCTAACTCGTTTGAGAGCGTCGGAATCTCGCTGACGCTGTAAGTCGCGCTCCTGAAGAATTTTGCGTCGCTCCGCTATCTCTTTCTTTTTCTTCTTTTCTTCCAGCTCTTTTCTTGCAATTTCTTGGAGCCGTATTTGTTCCTCAGCTTGCTCCTTTTCTTGCTTCCACTTTTCGATTCTAGCCTTAAAAATGATTAGTCAAGGTCTCACGAGTAATGTTACTTTTTTCTTCGCAGCAATAACATCAATCTTATCATTAGATTTGGCGTTATTTTCATGCGCAACAGCTGCTTTTTTTACTTGGCCACTGCGATACTCCTCGAGGCGCTTTTTGCGTTCTTTTTTCCACTTCTGGATGGCGGTTCTTTGCCCATATTCAAGTTTGTAGTAGCGCTGATACCATTGTAGATGGTCGCTAATGTCTTTCATCGTTCGTCCGGGCAGAGCCTGCTGGAATTCATCCATGACTGCGCTGTCGTGTTCGAGAGATTCTACATCGGCCACGTTGTCTTTGTATTCTTGCGAGCACACTCTCTTCCAGGTTTTTATGAAAACACTGTGGTCCACCATGTTCCAGCTTCCACAATGACCGTGTTTCGCCACATAATCCTGAAACTGCTGTACTGCTTGATCGCGGCCATTAGAAGCGTTTCCGGTGTTCAAGCTGCGCTTTTTGTAGTGATTCTCTTTCTCGTGGGATACTTCTTTATTCCGCTCTATCTCGGTTGCTCGACGTATAGTGACATCAATTTCTCGCTTGAGAGAGGCTTCTTGTTTACAGATTTCCTCGAATTCGTCGGTGCGAAGCTTTTTGAACTCACTCACGAGAGAGTGTGCCGCTTCAAGTTCTTGTTGAAATTTTGCTGTAACACTAACGAAGTCAATAAAAAACGCCGTTAAATATATCAAGACTCACTGTTCGTTGGGAATGTCAGGGATGATACAATTTGTATATTCGTGGCATTTCTTAACTTGACCCTTGATTTGGTCCATTTCGCCCATGATAATTCGTTTGCGGTTGTTTGACTCGATCAATGCTGAAATATTCGTAAAAACAGTTTGGCTGTTACAGCGAACCTGAACTGTACTGCTCTGCGATTTTTTCAAAGGCGGATTCTTGATCTTGAAAGTGGCTGTTTTTGGACAGAAAGCGCGTGAGATCGGCTTCGATCGTTCTGTACTTTAGATGAATTACCATAAGAATTTTTCGGGCAAAAAAAAATTTTTTGAGATATTGGTATATTCTGAAAGCCCATTAAAAGTTAAACAGAATCACTAAATTCTAGGGTCAGATGACGTCATTATGACGTCATCGGGCTGATTTGAAAATTTTGTCTTTGGAACGCTTTTTCGAGCCTAAAACGTTTTTTAATTTTGTTTTTCTCGCCGGATTCGGATTTTCCATGAAAAACTACGTAGGGACCCGGGATCAAACCGTTGAATATCAACCATTACCGACCGGTTCAATTTTTGAAACCGGTCGGTTCGAAAAATAAACCTCGGGTCCCTACGTAGTTTTTGATCGCGAAGAACATGCAATCAATAGAAAAATCTATTTCCAGCAAAAACCGCCTCAAAAAGCGTTCCAAAGTTTCATGAATTTGGAGCCTTTTCGGTCATTTATTAATCATAAATGACGTCATAATGACGTCATTGAGCCCTAGAAATTTGGGAATCGACTAATTTTGACTTGGGCTTTCAGAATATGTTCTTATCTCAAAAAATTTTTTTTCGGCCAAAAAATTCTTATGGTAATTCATCTTTAGTTCCAGCTCTTTAAACACCTCCATTCTGAAATGATTACTTTTAGTCGAAGATGTAGACTTGATACGCTAGAAACAATTGTTAGGGAGAGAGGAAAAGAGGTAATAAAACAGAAATAATCATATTCAAGAGCATCATTAGGAACTACACGAGTGGATAAGAAATTGGAAATTTCAAACGCGCCCAATCGCGTTTATCTAAAAGTCCGGGTTAAATGAGCTAGGTTAACTTTTGCACTAAATGCAATTGAATTACTGACCCCGAAATTCGAAAATGTCTTATCCAAAGGTGTGAAACGGTAAAGAAGAAGAGGATTGCCTTTGAATTTTTTGAATTAGGTTTTTGAGAATTTTTATGAAGAGAGTACTTTGAGGAGCGATTTAAGAGGAATCTCCATAGACTGATTCATCGGAATACATCATGTAAAGAAAGCTGTCTTCGTCGTGGTAACGTTGATAGACCTGTGAAAGGATTTATTCGTCGAAACGCAAGTCTAAAATACCTCGCCCATGGACAGCGACGATGCTGGAATGGTCCCGTTAACGAAGAAAAAGAGAGCTTCTTCTGGTCTCAAGTCGATTCTTTTTCTAAAACGGGTTCGAGATAAATGCAAAAGCCGAATCGTACCTGATAATGAACAAAAATTGAGCTACTGTTAATTCTGTCGGAACCAAGTATTTTTCTTGTCAACGTCTGCTACGCGAGCTTTGGGGCTCTTTTCCACGATGACTAAAAGTTTAAAAATAAGAGGCGGTATTACGAATGAGATGTACCAGGCACTCTTTCCGGATATCTGAGTCTAACTTTGTCGCCATCTTGCCGGCGCCTCTCGAACGAATGGTCTTCTTTGTATTGAAATTTCATCAAACGACCAATGAACTTAACTATTTAACACTTGTAGAACGCGCGCTGCAATCATTTGTTGAAGAAATTCTGTTAGGGAAAAGACAGGTGAAAGCTATCAGACAATATAAACTACATGAACTTTCTGCGAAATGCAGGGAGAATGAACAACACACGAGTGATTATTTTGGAATATTGGAGATTTGAAGCATGCGTCTTATGGGTGAATTCATGGTTGTAAACGACGGTGTCACTGTTGAGAGTGACGAAATCTTCTGCTTTGGCTCTGGAAGATCGGCAGCACCGGCGTACCAGTCGGGAATGCGCGTCGTGTCGATCTTAGAGGAGCTGCTCTCTTCTTTGATTTCGTCCTTGTTGAGTGCACAGTTTGCGAGATCCATTTGCATTCTCCACGTCGACTCTCCACTCGCATACAGCGCGCCGCCAAGCCAGCAAATGCAATTTGATTGCGCGGGCATTTTAACAATTGAAAACTGAATAAGAATGAGCAGTTGCCTTTTCTTCCGGCTTACCCTCAAGTCTTTGAGTTTCTTGTACTTTTCCTCCTTTAGCTGTTCTCTTATTTCTTCAAGCAATCTTCTACCGATTCCTTTCAGCTTGGCGAGGCCCCCAGACAAAATGATATGTGCAGCTAATGCTCGACGATTGTCAATCGGGCTTTCTAATAGAAGGTCTAAAATTTTCGTTGTGATCGTCTCATCTTCAGCGCGGCGATCGAGAAGTAACTCGACAGTATCTCGAACTGTAGACCGCTTTACATTTAACACTTTTTCACTGTCTACGTCGATGGGTATTGTTTTTTCATCCTGCTTTTCCAGTGTCTAGAAAAGACATTTTTAATCGCTGCGCCAACCGGGAAGTGTTTTTAGTACCTCTGGTGGGTTGACTAGATGCGCTCTTGATCGGAAAAAGCCTAATCTGCTTATAACATCTTCCAAGAAGTCAGTGGAAACGGAGTTACCCGGGTCTACAGTTTTTCGGAATTCGTTGACAAGGTGTTTTCCGCCAATGGTGCTTTCTTGTTGATTCCAAATCTCTGGAACCCCGTGAATCACGCTAGTTATGTTTAGCCCGCTCCATCCAAGTTGAGCCACTAAAATTAACCGCGTAATTTACCGTGGTAGTAAGTACCAAAACCTATAGCCGTGGAGGAGTTAATACCAGTAGCTGTAATCGCTGCTACTGGTCGCGGAACAAAAACCAAGCCCGGTAGCGCAATTCGAGTTAACGCGGCTTCAACTATATTCTCTCGAAAGTCCTTGCGTTGGTTGATATCTTCGACAACAAGTAGCCTTCGCTCACGTGGGGAGATTTGAAGCTGCTGGTTATAAAGCCAGAGAAGAAATTCGCCGATTTCATCAACGGACGCAGTTGAAAAGTCATCCGGAGTTCTGCAGATGGCTCGAGGACCGGTCTCTCCGCTATATTTTCTCGTAAGGGGTTTTCTCGTATAGGGGTTCTCAAACCTGAAGCCTATTCTCGTGTATCTTGATCCGAATTCGACGACGACTGCTGCCTTTTCAGACGTTATACCGAGCCCAGCCATAAACGACATTCTACAGAAAAAGATCGGTAACGATTTACGCAGCTTTTTTCTTTTTCGCGGCCAATTTGTGAACAGGATCCCATCCCTTTGTGCTGCATTCTTCCTTTAGCTTTTTTCGTTTCATTGCGATATACGCCTCGCTCAAGATGATTTGCTGCTCAAGCGAGTTAAGTCTTTGAAGAAGCATTTCTTCCATTCTGTGGTAGCTTTCTACTTCACGCTCCTCTCGCGGCAAGAGCGCGTCTTCCAAATTCTCTTCCTCGAATAACGTTACTCATCGTTTCCTAATTCAGAAACTTACTGGATGAGCTGCCTTGTAATCCTCAATAGTTTTCTTCTTTTTAATCAGATCCTTCACCTTGTCAAATTCTAGCCGGCGTCGCAACGTTAACTTATTTTGGGCTAGAGGAGAAAACTTATCAAGCGTGAAAAATACAAAACTTACCATTGAGTGCGGCTTTTCGGGCGTGCTGAATAACTTTCACCTTATTACAGTTGAACAAGTACGTGCAGTAATATGGGAAGAAATTTCCAGCAGGGGTCATGTCTTGAAACGAAGCAAGTCCATCGTTCATCAAACGATACAGAATTTGGTTGGCATCCTTCTCGTCCATCACGCACTTCTTCGCTACATTCTTCGGCTCTAAGTAATTTCCCTCGAAAAGAAGCGCCATTATTTTCCTAGCATCCGTTCCGTACTTGGCTGCAATCCACTGTAGAACCACCTGTTGCACCATTCGTTCGACCTGGTCAAAAATCAGAACTGATAACATTGTCCCGTTCTTTTCCAAAAATTGAAATCTTCAAAGCGTTCAAAAATTAACATATCAGAGTAAACTTCTTTTGGTCTTGATTTAAACGCTTTCCTGATCAAAAGATCTAACTTGCCGTCTAGTCCGTGATCGGTTTGATCACCGGCATCAGCGCATATTCTTTGAATTTCTGCCTGCGTTACGCTGTATTCGTAGCAAAGGACATCCCTTGAGTAGTTTTGCAGCCTCAATATGTGTCGCATAACATTGGCGGCTTCGGCGCCACACTTATGGCGTGTATAGTCGACCAGTAGCTGATCTGTCGTGAACTGCTTCAATCTTACTAAGTCCAGGCTCCAATAGTCTGGATTTCCGGCGATCTTATCCACGGCTAATTTTATTTTAAAAATGACTTTGAATCATAACTTGAAAAAGCCGATTTACCTGGATTTTTAAAGTAAACTTCGAATCTCTTCTCTCCTGGCTCCACGAACTCTCTATTTCCAACTAAGATAGGCTCTTTTGATATGAAGCTATTCGCGACCATCAGGCTGAAACAGTCACGAATTCTTATGCTTGCAGCTTCGTACTGATGTCTTTGAATTTCTTCATCGGTTGCATCTTTGCGAGAGTTCAGTATATTTTTAAATAAGCACGTTATAAACGGATCTATCAAGTAACCATTTGATAAGTAGCGAGGAATATCGAACCCTCCCCGTTCGGAACAGGAAATGTCAAGTCTTCATACATAGTTATGCACGGAGCTAACTCTTCAATGATTTCATACGCTTGGCACTGGCCACGTTCGAGAAGAAACTCAAGAATAGCCGCGCCAAGCTTCCCAAAGAGCTCAATCACAAAGAATTTGAATCGCGGAAAGGAAAGAAAGATTCGAATATTTTGAAGAACAAGTCGATACTGGGTAACACCATTTGCTGTCCTCGATTCAATGATTCTGTGTCTCAGAAAGAGGGTCAGTACATGCTCCACGCGCTCGAGACGCTGGGCCAGCTGGACTTTTCCCGCAAACGACTATTTTAAAAATATTAATAAAATCATTGATTTGAGTTTTCGCTCACTGTTATTCGCTGTTTGATGTGAAAAAGCGTGAGAAAGTCATTTCCGCCGATGATAGAGACGAAATCTTTAAAGTCCGGGCCAAAGTAAATACCCGCAAGGGTTGAGCAAAGTTCGATTTCCTCTGCTGTCATCACCTCATTTCTAAATGATTTGAACTACATTTCTGTATTTTCGAAAAAAACAACGTTCGAAAAGGTTAAAACAAAAATTGTCAGCGTAATTGAAGAGGCAGTAATGGGCGCGGAAAAAGCACAAATGGGGAACCGATTTCCCAAGTAAGTTGCTAATATCCGTCGAAACGTTTGCTATGGGTGTTTCGTGAAGGCATCGTATTATTGACAAGATCGCCTTCTTCCTCCTCGTCGAGATCGACCTGAGCTTCAATCTCTTCCAATTCTCGCGAATATCTCTCGTGCATTTTCAATGCTTCCCGCAGCTTTATCTCACTGGGCATGATCTTTGATCGGAGCACTTCTTTATTTTTTGTTTCGACGTTGAGGATACGGCGCGCTTCAACCGTACCTGCCCGTGTCGTTGCCAATTCTATTGCCAATTTATTTTTGATCAATGCAGCTGCGTCTGCTGCTAGTTTCTTGCAGGTTTCTTGAAATTACAATTTTTTATGCCGCGAAGGAAATTTACAATGATTCTTTAGTTACCGTCATTTTTTAATTCATCGCGTCTTTTCTGTATAATCTCCGTTTGTTCCTCAATCTGAAGGCGAGCACTTTTTGTTATGTGGATTTTCTTTTCGTATTCGGCAATTTTTTTGTTTAACTCCTCAAGTTCGGCTTCGTCTTCAGCTTCCTCAGTAAGATCGATCTCTGGCGAGTCTTCTTCCTCCATGCTGTCATCAAGGCAAATCACTAAATTGCCAGATCCAGGAGAGGCAGGCGCTGGAGACGGAGATGGCTTTTTAGGACTTGCTTGAATGTTTTTTTTTCATTTGCCGTTTGGTTGATCATGTACCTCTAATTTTACGAGACGGAGTTATTGAATTCTTTTTCAGGCTTGATTCGTCTAGTGATCGATTGGACTCAGGATCTTTTTGTGGGCTTTGAAGATGTTCATCTACTAGAGCAGCATTATCTTCAGAAGAAACTTGTAGATTATCATCAGGCACACTTTCGAGTCCAGGTATTTCATTATCTGGTGGCGTTTCAAAGTCGTAAGTATCCGGATCCAGATCATTGTCTTCGAGCCAATCAGATAGTCTTTGTTTTAATTCCCCCTTTCTTTTAAGGTTTATTAGTCAAGTTAAACTTATCGAATACACGCGTCTTGCCTTATTGACATTTTAACCTTTCTTCCTTCCTTTTGGACTTTCTCCCCTTTCCTCGAGAAGTGATCGAAGCTCCGCAACTTTGAGATTTTTTACAAGTTTCACCATTCTTAAACACGAAATCAAAGACGATTGCTTGCGTTAAATACAATTACAGTTATATTGCACAGTCCCGTAAATGATAGCGGAAGGAAAAAAAGTTATAAGGATAGAGTTTAGATTTGGAGCTGAAGCAGTAGGGAGACTTGCTCGGGTGTTGGAGCATTTATCATTGCACGGTCCTCAGTCGAGTAGTGTTCCCAGAGTAACAATTGTAGTTGCGAGAAGACAGCCTAAACAACTAACAAATACGCCCAAACTAGAACAAAAAACCTGGATGTTGAGGCGAATCGGTTTGAACAAAATAGTCTCTGTATCTTTGTTCGCCAGGTAGAGTCGCATTGAGCTTTGGGTTTCCGTCATTTTCTTCTTCATAAGAGCGTATGTGTCGCTACAGAGTTGTTGCATAGATTCCGTCCGCGCAAAACCATTTTCTTTTAGAACCTTGAACAGTATTTACTTTTTGACCGAAATAACGTGAAGAAACCTTGGTATTGTGTGGATCTCTTCGAGAAAGCTCTACAACTGCCTCTGCTCTGGTGAGGAAGTCTTGCAACTGACCGACCATTGCAGCAGTTCGCGAAGAAATAAAATCTTCACATGCAAGCTTCAACTGACGGTCGACATGTTTCTTAGAATCAACGAAGTATTCTTTCACTTCTGGCCTTCCTTCGAGCATAAACTCTAACAATGAGTTCTGCTGATTGACCTTAATTTGGAGATATAATATATCACATATTGCAACAGAAACTCACATTGAATATTCTGCTGATATTGTCAGATTGAAGAAGTTTATTAGCAGCAGATTTAGTCTTTTCAAAGTCGACTCGGGTCTCCCGAATCGAAAAATCAGCATGGAATGGTGCAATCTGCTCCCGTAAAATCAAAAGATGCTTGACGAGGAAGAGCTGTCCATCGATTTCAGACTTACTCAGCTAAAAAGACGATTTAAAAAGTCACAACAACCATTCGATAGTTAACCTTTATCTGATTTGAAGCCGTAGTGAGTGACTCAACGCAGCTAGAGAGTGCTTCTTGCGATAGACCTTGAAAGATGCCACGCTCAATACACCTGTACAATTTTGACAAGCAAACTAGAACTCGGCGAACAGTTGGGTACCACATTCCATGCAAATCCGCTGGCGAGGAAGACATACTTTTAGTCCGCTCCAAAGGATGGTCCAAGGAGATCTCCACCATGTTATCTTCTTCTTTCGATGTGTGAAGTTTCTTTGCAATATCTTCCATCATCTGCAACTTTTCTGGATAAGCAAGATCCCCCTGACTTGGATTGAAGCCGAGAATGTCCGATTTGATGTAAATGTTAGTGCGATAGACTAGTCTCTCTTGAACATCTTCGAGCATTTGCTTGACGATCACTTCAAATGCTCCAAGTTCCGCTGGGTTTCCAGAAATGTGATCGTCGATCATTTCGAGCTTGAGAATAGAACAGAGCTCGGCGAGAGTCTCCAGGTGATAAATTGAAATAATGAATGGTCGGAGGAGATCGTATAGACCTTGACAGAGACGCTCCAGCATTTCATCGAGTGCTGCAGATGGCAATGTGAAGAAATGACGGAAGAGTTGATGCTCGTCTTGACACACATGAAGCATGAACGCGCACGATGCTCTCACAAGGCCACAGACATCTCTTCCTGTCCGGAGATCGTTAAAGGAAGAGGAGACTCCAGGGCCGATAAGTTGTTCTCGTTGGGCGCAGTAGCATGTGTAAATGTCGGCAAGCGCTTGGCCGTACTGAGGAGCGCCTTCTGAACGTGACTCGATCAGTGCTACCAATGTCTTGATTTTTGGTGCATTTGTGCGGAAACGACCGTAGTAAAGCGTAAACGCATCGTCGGTAAGGCTACTGTTTGAATAGGTTTTGCTGACTTTGCGTTCCAGCAGTTGATTAGTCGTCGTCTCGAATGAGCGCATCACATGTGTTTTAATTTGACCCAATGCTTGCGTAAGGCACTGATTAAATTGCATTAAGAAGGTCGGCGCATCTTTGAACTGCGAGTTCTGGGACATGTAGCTAATGCACGAGTCAATCCGTGAGAGAAGTGCGAGGAAAGCTTCAGAGTTAACCTCCAGTTTGGGATTCTTGAGCGCGGCACGAATAGCATCTCGCTCTTGGAAATAGGAAAGTTTTTCATGGATGGCCTCGGCGGAGTCCGTCAACCGAGTTTGTTCAAGAAGTAGAGACTCGCAAGCTTCGTGAAGGGCACATGTTTTTGAACGGACGGAAACATATTCGGATGAAACTGCATTTAGCGAACCTTGTGAAGAGGCTCGAAAACAACCATTATTTTAAATATTTAGAGCGAAATTTAAAAGAATCTATAAAGCCGTTCCTAATGCTGAGTCGACAGATCGAAGAATAGCAGCTGAAAAGTTTTTATCGCTTTCCAAATTGTTGAGCATCGCTTTTGAGACAGGATCGGCTACTTTGTGCGACATTTCGTTCTCCACCTCCGTAAACCAGTCGAGTAGCTTCATGCCGTCGTCAATTGGACTAACTCCTGCTTTTTTCATCCCGTTCACGAGACATTCTTCATCTGAGTTAGGGACCATTGGAGGAAGCTCGGTTTCATTTTGACCCTTGTTTTGAACGGGAAGATTTCTGGGGAGTTCTTTCTTAGAAGCTGCTTCTTGAAGATAATCGAAACAGTCGGAAAATGCCTTGATGCTTTCCACAACTGCCCGATTCGATTCCCACCACTCGAATGCGTCGGACATTCTTTATAAGAACACAATTATTGAGGGAAATGAATTCGAGTAATCTATTCGAGAAGCATACAGAAAAAATATAAGGAAAGAGGCTTTGAAGAAGAGTTTTGGGGAAGGCGAGAATGAAAATACAGTAGTTATTCGTCCGTCGCAGAGAGAAGTGGCTGGTCATCGGATGCTTGGCTATCCGCCGAGGCAACACAGAAGCAATTGTTGAAAGAAAAACTTTGAGGGTCGCCTGGACACGAGTCCTCTTCAGAAGTACTGGCATCCAGCGCTTTTTGAATTCCTCTCGAATGAAGCCGATGTCCATTATTTTTCTAGGCAATAATTTTGAATGAAAGCTTGATTGAATATCATTACCTTGATAGTTTCATAAGAATCCATCACGACGGAGATAAAAAGGGACAAAACTGTGTAAATAAAGAGGCAAATGAAAGAGTAAAGGTAAATCTGGGAGAAAAAAGACGGTCCACCGGGTTCGAGCATTCGGAATGTTGCAAACATGTCATCGCCATTGAGCAACGAGAAGAGAGTTTGAGAAGTAATGATTGGATTTCGGAACTTGGAATTGAACGGGCCAAGCACTAGCCATCCGCAAACGACGTAGCCAAAGTAGAGTGTCAGCGCACAAGTTAGGAACTTGAAAACTTTTGGCATCGCGTGCGACAAAGTAAGAACTGTTAAAAGGATAGCACAATTATCATAAAAAACTTTAAATTCGCCTTAAATAAAATAATGAGAGCTTTCTATCCTTCCTAAAATGTTGTAACCGCGGAAGTAGCCAAGATATCGCAAAATTCCTGAGTAACAAAGAAGAGCTCCGAGACCGAGGAAAATGCAGCTTATTTGGAAATCATCGACAGAAGGCAACTGTCGAGTTTGAACGTCCAGTTTTAGACCAGTTCCAATGATAACAAATACGTCAGATACTAAATAAAAGTGATTCTTGGAGTCTAAAGATATTTTTTACCGAGCATTAGAATGTACCAGCCATCTACGAACTCGTTGCAATCAGAAAGTGTCGCTTGTTCATTGAATTTCTGCATGTACCAAGAGGAGAATTGCAAGCGCAAAAGTTGCGCCCGGAAGAGCGACCTGATTACCAACATTGTAGATAAAATCGACACGACAAGGACGAGAAAATCTAAAGAACAGAATATCTTGGATGATAGATCAAGATACACGTATACCAAGAAGAATTATTGGGGAGGCCGAGATGGCTTCTCGATCGTCGACGCCAGTCATTGTTTGATTGAGAACAACATCCGCCAGTCCGGAGTGATCAGAATTGTCGATCTTTAGCATGTAGGAGAGGGCATAATCTCGCTTGGTCCGCTTGTTGACGACTTCGTTATGGTGGGAGATATTTAGATCGACTCTCATGACAACAATTTCATGAAGAATCAGATCGAGTTCAATATCTGCTTCCGTGGTCGGAACTGAAAATATTTTAGTAATAAAGCAGTGATAATTTCTGTCGATACTTTTAGTCGAGAATTCTTCACCGGGCGTGAAGTTTGTTAGCGTGTAAGATTCGAAAGGTCCCTCTAATTGCTGCAGTAATATTGTGACATTGCTGATTCCACTTATTTCAGCAAGAGAATCAGTTCTTTTTGCGATTGAGAAAATTATTCCACGATCATTTCGGCCTTCCAAGTGAGTATTATTTTCGACAACCGTTCCTAAGAGTGTGGACTCCTTTTCGAAATAAAAAGATTTGCTTATAAAACTCAGATTTCGTTGTAATCGTACTCGTGAAGGGTGATTCGGGGAAGGATGGGTTTCCACCAGAAGGGTTCACTATTCTCCACACACTTTTTCGCATGTCGCTTTTGAACTCGACATTGTCTATTGGAAAGAATCAAAACTGGAAGGCTCTAAATCAACGCGTACCTTGAGATACTTTTCCAAAATTATAGATTTGGATAGTAATGGCAATGATTTTAATAATTTGGAGAGCGAGTTTGAAAGGCTTTCTGCCATGTTGCCATTTCTGGCACGGAGACCAAAAATATTTTCTTACTTTCCACGGGACGGACCCATCGTTCATTCTTTCAAGAAACTTTATGGAATACCGTTTTTATTACAGATTTTGGTTATGAGGTAAACATTGGATCGAGTTTGAAGAAAAAGGCACAGCGCGGTGGAAAAATAGTTACAGATGCAATGCTTTAAAATTTCATTTCGATGTCGAGAAGTTTTATGTCGAAAACAAGAGTGGCGTTGCTTGGAATTACACCAGGATACCCATGGTCGCTAAAAAGGACCCATAAAAAATTTTGGAGTGACTCTTTTTTACCCGTAAGCATAATCAGAACTACAGATCAATTTCGCCCTTTCGCCAAGGCTCATTTGAGAGATTCCTTCGTCCCATCCTCTTATCACTGAACGGAATGTGTCACTCTTGACCCGAACATAATATTAAAACATTACCTTTTCCGAGGCCTAGTTGAAACTTGAATGGCTCTTCCCTTTTTCTCGAGGAGTCAAAAACCTTTCCATCGACCAGCATGCCTGTATAATGGACACTTACGTAGGAACCTATTGGCGGAAAGTTGGTTCCGTCCCCTGCCGAAATAGTCTCAACTCGAACCACCATTCTTGAAAAAAAATATTAATAATAATTATTCTAATTCGAATTTCCTATTTCGAAAGAATTTTTATCGCTTTGCCAACAGCAATCGTATCAGAACTGTAGCGCAGAACTATTCTGCTCAATTCCTTGACCTCATCCCATAGTTCTATACAAATTTCGGAAGCCAGAGTAATTTCCATCTCAGCAAAGTCGCCTGATTTCAACATCTAGCATTAATTAAAGATAATGCAGCGACTGGTAAACTAACCTTTGGCCGCATCCTTGCTGTTGCACCATTTCTGTCCAAAAGCCTTACAAGTTTCTTTATGTGACCACAAGTTAAGTTTCCACGCGAGAAGAATGTAATGGGAAGGCCTGGAGTGATTGGAATTGCATTCTTTCCTTTGATTATTTTTGCTTGCACAAGAACTGTTGCCGATTTTGGAATTGATAAGATGTATGAGCTCAGCATGCTCACAGGCCTGATCTGTTCGAGTGCTGAAAATACATTTTCCCAAAATGACGAAGCGATTTCTCACTAACTTGTTCCCTTCAAGACGACTTCGCCAATATCCCCAGCCATTAAGGCTTTCACAGGCGGCTCGACAATATCGTTCACAATGGCTGTTTCCATCGTAGGGCACACTTTTAATTTCGTTCCAATCGCCAAACATCCGCACTCGACACGAATTCGACAGAAAATTCCCTTTGGTTCTTCACTTATTTCAACCACGGACGCCCGCAGAGGCCGAGCTCTCAAAGCTGATCTATCTGGAGGTGTGATTGTATTGAAAGACTCTCATACCAGGATTTTGAAAGTAAAATTCAAAAATATTTATATCTAAAGATTATATCTACTTGGATTCTTTCTCCATTTTCCGTAATCCGATCCTAGAAGTGTTGGTCCCGTGAACCAAGGGCATTCTGTGCCATGGCTATGCTGAACCCCGACACCTTCAAGAAATTGTTATTTTCAATCTTCAAAAAATGAATACCTGATAAGGCAGAAATTGGAATAAATGTGACTTTTTTCTTGACATCATACGATGCTGATTTCAGGAAGTCAGTTAGTTGGCTCTTAATTTCGTCGAATCTTGACTTATCGTAGCCAATTTGGTCGAGTTTGTTGATGGCCACAATCAGTTTGTCGCAGCCCAAAGCTCTCGCAATTGTGATATGCTCTTTTGTCTGGCCTCCTCTAGCAAAGCCTGCTTCAAACTTATCTCCAGTCGCGTCTATCACCACCATCGCCACATCAGCTGCCGCAGCTCCTTTGGAAATCATGGCTGGCACGAAGTCGCGATGGCCCGGTGCGTCTACTTTTGTTATTAAATTGTTAGATCAGACAGTTGTTAGTTTTTATGAATAGATATAAATGATAGACCATTAAAATTATTTAATAACGCTTTCCCCAGAAGAGCCAAGTTATATGACTCTAGCTCTATAATCTCGGCACTTCCTACATCAATTGTGACTCCACGTTTTCTTTCTGTTTCTGTCGAGTCCATCGCGTAAGCCAGCGCAAAGGAGCTTTTTGAATTGATGTCCGCCAGTTTCTGCAATCCGCGCGTTGTTTTCTCGTTTAGATTTCCAGAGGCAACGCTCAGCTGCCCGACTAGAGTCGATTTTCCGGAGTCTACATGTCCAATCACACACATGTAGACGTTTGGTTTCTCGCTTTCGATGCGAGCTTTCACTTCAGCCTCAATGTTGACGATCGAAAGCTTCTTTGAAATGAGCTCGATCTCGCGTGCCTCTGAGGCCGATTTCTCCTGCTTAGGGTCTTTCTTCGGAGTGTTCGTTTTCGTTTGTTTCGGAGCATTTATTTGCTCTCCAACGAATATCAATCATGAAAATAGAAAAGATATAATGATTTTGATTTATTCCCTGTGAAATATGTGAAAGAACTTTTGTAATTCGTTTCTTTTTCGGCTGCTGATTCGGGGTCTTTTTCGCTGCTTGTTTTGGTTTTGGTGGCGCCTTTGGGGCGACATACCCATCGTATCCGTCGTAATCTTCATCATAGTAGTCATCGTCATAATCGTCGTACTCGTCATAATACTCGTCGACCATGCCCTGAACATGCCGATGCCTAGACATTCTTAAAAGAAATCCTCATCAATTACCGATTTTGAGAACTTTCCCATGGACTTTAGAATTTTTGAACTTTTCAAAGAATTATCTAGGGATTCACTTTCTCCTCCAGTCTCTGTTCGACACACTTTCCATCGTCATAAGCTCCTTATAAATGAAAAGTAATAGACTTTTGAAAGTATTTTAATCTTACGGATGGAAGATCATCCCAATCATCCTCGTTAACTGGCTCTTCGACTTTTTGTTGCTTCGTCGAGGGTTGCTGTTCTGCTGGCTCCGTTTTGACAGTGTCATTAGTTTTTGGCAGTGGCGGGTTTGACGTTGCTGGAGCTCCATTTGAAAATTGCTTTGGTTCACGCATTTTGTGCTTATAGGGATTCATATTAGGCAGACTATCACGGACTGGCTGATCGTACGACTTTCTCTTTTTCTGAAAGAACGAATAATTCAAAAAGGCGAGGGCGAGGCGCTTACATTGATACGCTCAGGTACTAGGTGCTTTGTTTGATCTTGGATATTCTTTGAAAGCGGATGTTTGGCTGTTCGATTCGGTCGCACTTGTTTCGGGACAAACTGGGCACCGGCGATTGGGTTGAGAATATTCAAAGTTGGATTCGTCGCACCTAGGTCGACTGGCTTTAGTAATGGACCGTCGTCTTGGCTTGCATCCATTGGCTCCGATTTAATGTTCTCTTCTTTCTGAAAAAATAGTGACAATTCTTCTAAGCTTGAATAAACTAACAATTTCTTGTTCGAACTTGATTTCTTCTTCTACTTGAGTTTTAACAGGATGAGAATCCGGCATTGACGGCAGATTTTTCAGCATTTTATCGTGCTCTGCTCTAAATTGCTGGGCTGTCCTTTCCCGTCCCCGGTTTTGCATAGCATTCGTCGCTAATTCCAGAGCATTTTGCATATGATTAGGCTCAGGCTGGGAGAATTCTTCTATCGAAAAGGTTACGAAACTGATACACATAGACTATGTCACATAGTAGTCGATGTTATTTTTTGCTAGTTTGATATTTTTTTAATGTGTGTAGTGTCTGCAACCTAAACTGGATTATATTCCGCGGGATCGCGAATAACTCCTTCGTCGCTATCCACTTCTGAGCTGTCAGTAAACACAGGAGGTTGATAGCCCGGTTCGATCTCATTTCTGATAGTTTTTTCCTTTTGCTTTTTAAAATTGTTTTGAAGATCTTCTGGTTCGTAGGTTTTGAGAAGGTGTTTCTTCTTCACGCCTGGCGCAACTTCTCCTTCAGAATCTGAGGAACTTTCAATCAGCGCATCTGCTGGTAAACGCGTTTCTGTAGCAATTGCCTTTCCGAGCATGATATCTCGCTCTAGCTGTTCTTTCTTCAGCCTTTCTTCTTCTCGTAGTCTTTCGAGCTCTATCAACTCTTCTTGCGTCTTCTCTGGCGAATCTGGTATTTCATTGTCAATTTCCATTTCTCCGGCTTCGTCATCATCGTTTTCACCGTCCGAATTTTCGGATTCCGATTCTAGACAATTATTACTCCAACTAAGCTGTACTAGACAAACCTTTTGCGACAATTCTGTTCTCCCAATGCGACATTTTCACGTCTTTGATATCGAGCTTGAGCAATTTAGCGACAATATTCTTTGCCATGTTGAAGATACCCTTCGTGTTCTTTTGGCAAACAAAACATCTTTTCGTCTTTTTGAAGTGAGCGAGAGCGCATGCTTCGCAAAAGTAGTGCTCGCAGAGTGTCAGCACTGGCTTCTGGAAGTGATTTCGACAAATGATGCATTTGAATGGAAGCTCTTCTTCGTCGGAGGATACTTCCCAGTTTTCCTCTTCCGTTTTTCCGTAGATACCCAATTCCTTTGATGAGTTATTAACCTGCTCGATTACGGAGTTATAACCAAAATCACAGATTTTGTTATTCAATAAAACGAGAAACTTTCAAACCCAGGCCTGTTCACGCTCAATCATCCAACCAAGTTTGTAGTCGCCTCTATCGTGAATGAATTTACACGAGTCACCGAATCCACAGAAGCCCGTTTCTTTGTAATCTTTACAGATGCAAGGATCGTGGTCGATTCGAATGGAAGCGCGGAAGAAGGAATTCCCTCGGACAGGCCCTTTCACTGCGAGTGATTCTTTCGTGTGCGCATCTGAGCGGATTTTGTGGTAATTTCGGTATCCACCTTTTCCACGGTAGACATTATCGTCCAGCGTTCCATCCTTTCAAGCGGATAGAAAGACTCCTTCTACTTTTTCAGAAAGATAAATTTCCTTGTTCTATCCGCTCCCTGAAGACCTTTTTGAATCTCTTCGTCTCGTTTCGTCTTTTCTTTGATATCGACAATGGGACCAAGATCAGCAGCTTCCTGCGTTGCGATATCTTGTCTGTCTTGCGTCGGAGCAGTCGTCATCGTAGATTTGTACTAAAATAGGTGAATAAGATATTTTGGAGAAAGAGGGTCACCCTGTACCTTTTTGTTGATAAGTGCTCGCATGTCATCTTCGTCGTCACTTTTAGCAGCGTAGACGCGTTTACTCGTCTGCTTGTTCAATCCCGACCGGTCCCGCTTCTCGATTCTTACGATTTCCGTCGATTCGTCTTCTTCTGAACTTTCTTGTCTTCGTTGGCGCCGTACGCCTCGATTTTTACGCTTTTTCGACGCAAACATTCTTGATTTATATTTTATAATAAATTATACAATTATTACTTACTTTTCAGTATAAATTATATACCGTATAATACGGTATTATCAATACTGCTGAATAATAAATCACTCCAAGATTTAAAATATTTCTCTTTTTTCAACAAAGAAAAGCTCTGAATAAATGAAAAGGTTTTGAAAGAATGCTGGTGTTGGTGGTGGAGTTGAAATAAAGCGAGAGGAATAGATGATCCCTGAACAAGCGCTATTGGCCGCTGAGAATTTAGGAGAGTACGCGGGAGCACACTCAAATGCTCGGCGCGCTCATTTGCTCAGGCGCTCGAATGCTCGGGACGCTCTTTTGCACGGACACGAGCGAAAGAGTGCCCAAGCGAATGAGCGTTTGATTTAATTGGTCGACGATAAAAAATGTTTTACAGGACCTAAACCATGACTTAGTGATGTCAATTCTTAGAGTTTTATCGAAATAAATTCGGAACAATTTCCAAAACACGAAATCATCGGGAAGAAATGAAAATGGACATTATTTTTTTTTCAATAAGTCATCAAGTGTTATGTAATAATTGTCCAGAATTGTTAAGATGATCATACAATGAGTCATTTTAGCGTATATTTAGAAAATACAGCATTTAGAGTGATAATACGCTGATGATCACTTTCAATTGTTTATTTTCGGAGAAATATTCTTGTGCTAATTTTCGACCAATTAAATCAAACGCTCATTCGCTTTGGACACTCTTTCGCTCGTGTCCGAGCAAAAGAGCGTCCGAGCATTTGAGCGCCCGAGCAAATGAGCGCGCCGAGCATTTGAGTGTGCTCCGAGTACGCGCGCGCCCGTCCGAGCGCCGCTGCTCTTTTTTCGTCCTCGCTGAGAGAAACTCTCGAAACTCGCCTGAGGCCATGTTCGGCTTTCTCAGGAAAGGGAAGCAGGAGACAGGAATGGATTAGAACGGTTAGAGTCGCGATTATTTCCATTACTTATCAATTTGAGATGAAAGAAATCCGAAAAAAGTGTCGCCTGCGGATGTTAAATTGGAGGCGTTCCAAGAACATTGGCGGCAAATCAAGCCTGTTCTTGAGAATACTGGCCCCTGGAGTGTGGGAAATCGAACTCGCGAGTCAATCGAGAGTGGGGTCATCTCTGTCCGCGCGAATGTTAACTCGCTGACGCACTTGCTGGTGGAAGAGCTGCGCACGCAAAGCCAACTTGGGCCCCTGCTCGAATTCACCTTCGAAGAGAAGATTTTCAAGCGACTGTGTGTCTGGGCTAGACAGCCCGGAATCCAGCAAGAGCAGCGTATAATCGACCAGCTTCGAATGTACGAAATGCTCATTTCCGAATCGGACCGCTGTATTCTTCACGACAAGCCGCTACTCGAGCCGATGTTTTCTCTTCTGGCGCATTATCAGACCGGTGCCGAGAACCTGGAACTCGATCAGATCGTTTCTCAGCTCAATCAGAGCCTTTGTCTCTGGATCGGCCGAGACCCGACGCTCCTGCCTGTCTTCTTTTGTTGTGGACAGGAAGACCAGGGCAAGACTGGCTTCTTGCTGTTTTCTATGCTCGTCCAACACGTCTACCGAGATGGGCCTGTTGGAGATCGCGCAAGAGACTCAATGCTACTTATTTTCAGCTACAGTTCAAACTTCAACTCAAATCAACCGCTTTTTAATCAGAAAAAGTGACGTAGACATAGATTGTAGTTTTGACTCAAAACTTTTGAGTATAAACTCAAATCCGTTAGAATTGCAAAGAAATTGATTTTATTCAGGAAGTTATAAATTGGAACTCTTCCTCGCTTTTTGCGTTGATGAGGAGGGCAAAGGACTTTTCAGTACTCATTTGATGCACGTCCTTCGTACTCGATGACCGGCTGGTCTTCTGAAAATAGCTTTATTTCGCATTAGTCGATTTACAACAAACTTACTTCATGTTCTGGGCTTCGCGGACGTTCGGAAACCGAAGTCTGACCAGATCTTAGTAAAACGCCCTCATAACAACTTCGATTCTAGAGAACCGGGGCAAAAGAAAGAAAATTTTGAACTGAGTTTACAGCCATTCTGCTCGCTGCGCTGAAGTGTCGGAGTACATCGCAAATAACTCAAACTTCTGTCCCGTGCTTGCTGCTGGTCTTTCCGGACTCTACAGCTCTCTTCCAAGACGATTAGAATTTCGCGGCGACGAGTTTTGCTCGCTCGAGCGTCATCACTGGGACAATGTGCCCACCCTTCGCAGTTTTATGCAATCGCTGCTTTTCATCAACTCGGTTTGCGAGCTCGCCGAGCAACAAGTTTGCGAGTCGCTGCTTTCCTACCTACACTCGGGCTTTCTCGTTCCCGTTCTGGCACCTTCTCTTCACAAGCCAAACCAGGAAGAAACGCTCTGCTCCATCGCCTACCTTGATCTCTTCGTCCGCTCTGTCACTTCCGAGCCTCTTCTTAAACTCCTCCTACGTTTCATCGTTCTCCATGAATACGAAGGGGTCCCTCTTCTTGACACGCTCACTCAAACTCTGGGTAACTATTCGCGTCTCGCTTCTTTGCTTAAGACAACCTAGGTTCTAATCATCGTGAATGTCTCGCCGCACTGTCTCTTTTCTCTACTCTAATCTCTATCCAATGTGAGGACCTCATGTTCCAGCTTATTTTCCGCTACCTCATTCCAGGATCGCACATGCTCTGGACCCAAAGAGGGCTCATCCGACAAAATGAAAATCTCGTTATCTCCGCAGAAAAGTAAAACCCCCTTTTGTTTTTTCGATTAATAGATAAAATTTTAGATTTTTGAATTTAACACCGAAAGAAAGCTTCAAGGGTAAGAATTCTGGAACGAACTTCCGAATCACTGAAGACTTGTTTTTGTCTGCTGACGAAACGGCTGAAATCGACGAAGCTGATGAAGAGCTTGTCGCTACAGATCTTGCTCTTGTCGGCGCCGTTCCTGGTGCTATTGACCAAATTCCTTTCTCTTACATGGATTATTTGGAAGGTAAAGGGTTGCACGTATTCGTTAATAATTTACTTAACGCTCAGACGCAAGCGCTAGAATTGCCGAGTCACGGTTATCCTGCGCAACTTGGCTCTACGATTACGACGGAATCGATCCTCCCCCGAATTTCATCTCAGAGAACACTGATCTCTTCACGCCACTGCACGGCCTCGTCGCCACACGAACTCATGAAGCACTCGTTAACTTTGACATCGAAAACAACGATTTACCTTCGCTGGACGAGCTCGGCATCGAATCTATAACTTCGAAGCCCCAGTCATTTCAAAGAGCGAACTCGACTTCAAATCAAGCGAAAGTTTTTGAAAAAGTAGAAAGGCCACGAAACAACAAAGTAAAAACTGAAGTCGACGACTTTTATCGCTCACTAATGAATAGCGAAGGTAGGGCTCGAAAATATTTTTGAATCAAATCAGTGTACTGTGGTTTTCGCAAAAAAGAGCTCATGGAAAGAAATATCAAGTGTCAATATGAAAGAGTGCGACGATCTGGACCTGTCGGTAGACCTTAAAGATGCCGAAGAAAGCTTCATGTCTGACATCACAGCTGTCGAAGCACAAATGAACTCGTCACTCGGGGAAGCCAATTCTGAAGTCGAATCGTTTGAACTTCCATCAACAGCTGAAACTGTTGAGGAGCTAGAAACAGTGTGCGAAGAGAACGCAAATGAAAGATCTATTTTGGAACTGGGTCATCTTGAAGAACAATTGACGACTCTTGGCGATCACTTTCTCGATGCACAGGTAGAGGCGACTCTTGTCCAGTAAATTTATCAACTTCTAGGCGAGTACGACCATCCATGTACCAATCAAAAAGGCTGGAACGCCATTTCTGGGCCCTTTTCTGTCAACTCTATTTGGAAGGCTGGAACAAATGCCCACCAATTCCTTATATTTAAACTTAATGCTCACTGGTGTCGTCACTAAGCTTTGTTCGATGCCTCAGCCTCTACTCCGAGGCTTCCTGTTAGATACGCGCGTAGTCTTTCAGCCTGGAGTACCAACGCTCTTCTCAGTTCTCACAAAAGTCAAGGGAAAGCTGAATGCTTTTGCGGTCTCTTGTGCAGACTTTAACTCGCTCTGTGCCCGTGCGAATCAATTCTTGCTCCAGCGGGAAGAAGATCCGATTATCATCGAAGACGATAAGGGCAGCAGTACTCCTTTTGACTTAAAGAAGTTCGAAAATGTCATAAAAGGAAAAAAAGACAAAGCTGAAAAGGTAACGCATCCTGCAATAATTGAGACACAACTTCAACATAAATATTGATTATTCAATCATATTTCAATCAAATTTATGTGGGATTCTTTTTGGGAAATTGATTTTATTCAGGTCTATGAATAAGATTGACAATGCTTGGTCCAATCTTTGGACGAAGCTGCATGAAACAGATTATCAGGCATCATTTCAGTGCATGGGTGCTCCACCGCACAGGGAGATCGACAGCAGTGGATGTAAATTCTTAAATTTTAATTACTCTTTTGCGTCGCAAACTTTCAAACTTACCATAAGAACCGGTGTTATCGGACTTTTCAAAGACCAAAGTCTGCGATATTTCATTCCTTTTGGCCCCAAAATAACTTTTATTCTAGAAAAATAAGATATTTTTCTAATTTCTGTTTTAGTTTATAAAAGCTGCTCAACTGAATCTGGCGATGCGAGAGAAGCATTCGTCTGACCCGCTCCGATTGAAGAACGGGATCTTCGCTACTGTGATACTGCGCGAATTCGCGAAAGAGCTAGCTGCGCTCGCTCATGAACACGCTATCCTTTACTAAATCAGTTATTTTCAAAGTATCTCCATCTCTTCCGAAACCGTAATTTTACCTCCTCATTGTAATGCTCCTCCGAATGACTCAATTTTCTTCAACACACAACTTTTCTATCATCGTGTCGAAATTTTCCGCTGCAAAAACTCTTAACAGAAACTGCATGCATGAAACCTGAAATTCATGACAACTAATAAATTGCGAATATTCAACCTTGAGTTTATTGTACAGTCTAATTCGTAAAAGTTAATTATAAGAACCTAAGCTTTACATACTCGTAAACAAGCATCGCAACAATATTAGAAGGGAAAGCACGGAGCACAGTCGGCGTGAATCCTCGGTAAACGCTTCGAATTCCCCCCGAAAGAGTCGCACGGGCGCATTCTCCAAGCGATCTGTACTGACCAGAGAGATCAGTCTGATATCTAGACTTTAGCACGTCGCCTGGAAAGCCCGCTGTCCAATAGAGACATCCACAGACTCCGCCAGCAACGCATATAGAAGGAATGTATCCTATCTTCTCATCCAGCTCGTCCCTGAAAGCACTAAGAACGTCATAATTGTGTGGTTTGGTTACCGCAAATATCTGTATGAAAGAAAGAAGGCAGTATATCCAGGAACATCGCGCAGTGCAGTGAAGGTCCAGCCTTTGTAGAGACCCATGAAGCCGTAAGATCTAGTGAGAAAGAAAAGCGCATCGCGAGGTCTTCGGAGATGACTGTTGACTTGAAGAACGCACTTGATTCTTTCGCCCGGGCAAGAGACCGCCGTCGCTAGCAGTCCACCGAAAGCAGCGCAGGTGGAGACCTGGCCATAAGCTCCTTTTTCAATGCCACGTGGAAAAAACACAGCTCTCGCAAGAGTTTTTCCTGTAAATGCGAGCGATGTTACAGGAGTAGCCAAGGTCGCAGGAGTAGACAGACCGCGGAAGAACCCTTTGAACCCCTGCTCCGCAAAGAGATCTTTTGCGCAGCTTGACATTGAAATCTAAGACAGTAAAGTCGAATTTGGCAAGTTCTTATAAGGAAGCTGATTCTCACCTTGGCATCACTGCACTGCATACGCACTTTGAGCGTGTCAAGTGGATAGCCGATGAAAACGGCCGAGAGGCCAGCAGCGGCGCCAGCTCCACAATTGACAGCAATTTCCTTCATTCGATCGCACTAGAATCTCTCATTATACTCTGACTCTGCAATCAACACTGCTCTAGCCAATCACTTTTTGAGAAAATATTTGACAAACTTTACACCTAGAAACTCGAATCTCCTCAAATAAAGGGATTGTTTAGATTTGTATAATCGTCAAAATCGGTTTATTCCTGGATCGGGCCCCAGAAACAGCAGATGAAATAGCGGCTCCGATAAACGGGACTCTGCCTTGGAGAAACTTTGCGCAGTGAAGTGTTAAACTTGCCACTTGGAAGAATTTTTTGACAAATGTGCGACGGGCCATTGGGAATATTCATTGCAACGGACGGACAGTGGCTGGCCTCTCAGCCCCTCTTCAGCTATCTTGCCACAGATGACGTGGCAGCGTCTGCGAAAAACGTTTCACGTATGAACTCGGTCTCCGAGTTTGGTCTCGCCAATTTAAGCGCCTTTAATTCATTGAGAAGAACTAATAGTGGAGCTGGCGAAACAAGGCCCAAGTCAATTGAGGAACAACTCGTGAATCTAAAGGGATTGCCTTTAGCCACTCTTCTTTTGAACGAGTTTTCTGACAAGGAGAATGGAATTCGTGCACCAAGTAACATTAAAGTCAATGGACTGAGATACGTTGGCTGGCCAACAAGGGTGCAGAATAATGCCGAGAAAAAGCATATTACTGGATTCAATCTAGTCTTCGCAATCAAGGCTAGCTGCGATCAAGAAGTCGGTCAAAGATATCAACAAATTTCGCGCCACATTTCTACAGCGATTGTGGCAGAAGAGAAGCGAAATGGATTCCTGACTTCAGAAATGAAAAAGTGGCACAGCTACCAACAGAGCTTACAAGGTCATGATGGGTTAGAGGTGCAAGCAAGTGGAAAAATCTCCGATTTGTACAAGAAGACCCTCGATAAGTCGATTCTTGGCCAGCAACTTCAGAAATGCTTCCGGATATTGACGAAGAGGGACATGTCCAGGGATATTTTCATCGGGCAAATACGAATCGGCATCACAATAAATAACGCTTCACAAGTGATTCACAGGCTTGACCTCGATTCTAATGACATGATCCAGCCCTTCCATACTTTAATTCTTCTTTCTGAATTCGCAAAAGACGGAGAGGGGATCGAATTGCCGAATGATTCCTCAGCCACTCTCTTTCGCATGATAAAGAAAATTCAATCCAACCGGAACTTGATGGATACGCAGCACGAGTCGGACGTTCTTCTCATTCACCTTCAGGAAGTTGCAGCTCATCTAGTTCAACAAGGCCTTGCCAAGTTGATCTATCCTATTGACAAAAGAGCACGCTACGTATTAAACAGGGAATTCGATTTTATCTTGCTGGAAAAAGACGAGAAAAAGCGATCTCGGGATAAACGATTCAAGCCAACAGCGCTAGTCGAGGAATTCGAACAATTCAAGCAGATCTACATGCATGGTTGCAGTATAACTTTCATTGAAGTCCTGCAGATGTTCAAAGCCAGCACGAGCGTAAAGAAAATTATTGCCAAAGTCTGCAATTATATGCACAATATGGAGACCGCAGAAGAGACTGTATTCAGTCTCATGCGGTGGCTTATCCTCAAAAACATCGTGACCCGACAACACTTTCTTCTCTATTTTCTGCCTCCGCCTTCTGAGGAACTTGAGCAACAAGCAGCCAGTAGTCCGTCTTCAAATGACACCCCCGAGAGCGATCAGAAAATAGCATTCAGTGATCTACCATCGTTCCTGACTCTTCATCAGAAAATTTATGTTGCCCAAAAATGAAGGAAATATCTCCTTCGCTTTCATCTTCAGTCTCCGATCAACCATTGTTCAAAAACATTGATGAAGGTAGAGTTCGAAAGAGAAACTCACAATTATTTTTTCGTGTATTTTTGACAATAATTAACTCTTCGAAGGTTGATTCTCTCGAACTCTTTACTTAGTCAATCGCGTTTTCATGAAGATTATAAAATACTACGCAAATGGGCGCACAACCTCTGAAGCAATTCGCTACTACGAGAATTTAACGAAAATTCAATTAGAAGAACTAATAAATGCTTATTCAATATTTCTAGTTGTCCGAGAGGGTACCGACCCTCATGTTGAAAAACTAGCCTCTCTCTTCAAAGGTTAAAAACAAACAAGGAAATTCCCTGCCATAAAATATTAAAAATAATTGAAATCATAGACGATTTATTCTTTTATTTATTGCAGGTTTAACAGGAGAGTTATTTTTCATATTCTTGCTGCGTCTTTGTTCTTGAGTACTATTTCAGAATCAATCAGAGTATATAATTCATAGACCTCTCATTAGCTCTTTCTCTGCCGTCCAGAAGGGGTTCAAGGGAGTCCTGCGTCGACGGGCTTTCACGATTCTCCTCCCATATTTGTTGCTTTCCCTCGCAGGAACAACGTGATCATCCGTTGTTTCCATGATCTCGACAGTTTGAAAGTTGTCCTCGTCGACGCGCTTACTCTCTGCGACAAGATCATCCCATTGACATTTGGTGATTTTGGTTTTGACGGAGAACATGTTGTCGTTCATGAACTGTGCAAAAGAGGTCTCATCAAAAAATTGCCTTCGTCCTCGAGGGTCTTCGACCTTGATCTGAGCGGGAAAGTCGCGAACCTGAACTCGCTCAATTTTTGCAAACAGATTTTCAGCCAGTTTGATGTAATACTGGTTAGATTCAATCTGTTCAATTGGCATTTTACGTTATTTTTTGTCTGATATGATAGCTCATCGGAAATCTGGTTATATGTGTGGAAATGGTGGTGCTCGAGAGAGGAATGATTAGTTTTTTCGGCATGGCAAAGCGGGGGTTCGCTTCTTAGATATTTATCATTTGATCTTTATCAGTATTATCCACAGCCGGTAAGTAAGAGAAAGGAACAGTCTCGGAAGCTTCAAATGGAAATAGACCCGTTTGCTTAAAATGGGCTGATCCTTCTTAGCTACCGTATTTTTTATTTATAAATATGGAAATGATGCCATACACTGTATTATCTGAATGAAATATTAGACATGCACCCCTCCGACTGGACATATTAATGCACTATCACAAGTGATGGAGTGCATAAATAGAAAGGAACCTCTAAAGGTTACCGTCTTATTTCACAATGATCATTTTGTTGTATTTATTTAGTTTTTCTCAGGGAAATCCATTTAGCACAGGCAAGATGTTTCAGAGCATGACTGGAAATGATTTGGAGAAATTGGGACTGTACGATTCCCACTGGACGGCTAAAAAGCGACTTTTTCCTGCCATGCCACCAGCAAAATCGGGCAAAGGATGGGGAGCTGTTTAACAATATTCCGTAGAATAACAGTTCAAAATTTGAACTTCAAATCGTAACTGATCCACTCGGTAATAAAGGATCCCATATAAGCAAGAGATCTTTTGAAGACATTTGATTTTGTCGATCGATTCGGCTAACAACTTTACTGTCAAAAATTTTTATGTGTAATAAATCGTTATTGGATTAGAGCTTCACAATTCAGGATTGTCAATTCTATTTGTCATTTTATTCGGATCACGTGGTGTGTATAAGAGCGATTTGAAGTCGATAAATAGATTTAATAACATGTGAGGGTCTCTGCAGTGAATATATTGAAGTTATCTGTCAAAGAAGTGCAGCTATCTGTTGTCGAGAATTGTGTGGCTAATACGGTGGAACTGATCCTGTGTAAAATATTTGGTGGTGCGCAGGTAAGTGAAAATATGGCTGACTCGTTACGGTACTGGGCAACTGGACGCCGTGAGCACCGGCAACGCTCCCACTATAAGTCGCGTAAGTCGGAAAGCCGCTTGAGCCGCTAAAAACAAGATTGAAATCAAGGAAGAAGTAGCGAGCTCACCCAAGAAGGATGTTCGAGTAGGCACTTTGAATTGGTGTTATGTTAGGCGTCAATTGCAAGGAGGCCATTTCAGTTTGAGCTGACTCCAAAAACTTCGAAGTCAGAGTCTCATTACGAATCACAGGCGTGAACGCAGATGACGAACTGTTAGGCGTAACCCGAGATGTTGGAGTCGGCGAAGGCGATGGCGTGTAAAAAATCGAGGCTGAAGTGGACGGCGAATTTCCCAGGGACGCGGGGGGCATTCTGGCTTGCCGCTTCGCGACAGCTTGTCTAAGTAAAAAATATGAAAGCCTTTGATTTATCATTAGCTGAATTTACCTCAATCTATCCTTGACCTGCATTTCTCGCTGGAGTATCTCGATCCCCGGGTCTACTTTTCCAAGGACATGTTCTATTTTATTCTCAAGCCGGCGCGCAACTTGTTCTTCGAATTCCTGTTTTGTCATTTTCTTGATATTGCTTGCTTTTTGGGGCGATTCTGGCGTCATTTGAACGATCATCGGGGAGGGATTGAAGGAACCTCCAGCAATGGGTCCCATCGGCGAGTATGGCAGCGAAGTGAGCGGGATATGTGTTGAGTAGCCACTGGACGGATAGGACACCCCCGAACCTGGATATAGGTGCTTTTCTGGGTTGCAAAATATGATCTTATTACTATTCTGCTTTATTATCGAACAAAGAGGTCATTAGAAAATTCTTTACGCATGGCCACAGGATGAGATAAGAATTCTTACGCGAAGCGTAACGAGTTTCAACTGCTTTTGCAAAGCAGTAATTGCGTGGAGAACAATTCACAGCCTTTCAAGTCGTGTCTCGTTCAAATTCCCACGGTGGCGGCGGCGCCTCAGCTGGAACAAGCGAGTCTATGATAAACGCAGGCAGACTGTGCTCATCTGTTTAGTAGTATCTAGACAACCCGTAACCTGAAGGGAAGGATGTATATGAGGGGGGATCCCCTGACCGACCGGGGTCATCTGCGCGTAGCTCAAACTCGCTACTTGATTCAAGCGGCGAACTTCTTCGTCTACTCTCCTTAAATTTCGTTTGTTCAACTTTTCTAAGGTTGAAGTCTTGCCTCATGCAGTGCCTTTGTGTGCCATTGTAGAGTCGTTGGTTGTAAATCTGTTGGGTGGCGATCTCGGCGGCTTTTCGTTTAGGTCGTTGCTTTGGCATATTCTCCCACTTTTTGCGGATCACTCTCTCTCAACTATTCTTCTTCGATGCAATGTTTTTCTTTCATCGACGCACGTTATATTCTTTCAGGTTCTTAAAATATGTTAACGACTTTTATCGATAACTCGCGAAAATCAAATTAAGATTATGCAGATCAGTTCCGTTTGTACTCTACCTTTATGTTCTTCTATTCTCGAAGTTAACGATATGAAATTTATTGTCTCTGAGAAAATACGAGTAAAAGGGCGAAAAAAAGTTTCTTCGAGCTTTTGCGAAAAAAAAAACGGGAAAAACAACAAACTGGACCGGGGCCGGGTCGCCGCCGCCGTCCGAGGAGTCCGAGTCGCCGCGGTGATTTAACATAATTGGGATCTGGCTGGAATCGATAAACTTTCAAAAATAATCATATCCGCGGGGCACTAATTCCGGGACAATACAGCCACCTCAAACATTCCATCCGTCAAACACAAACAAAGCTCCTTCACACGGGTCTTGACGCAATGGCGAGAAAACATCCAAGGAAAACCGTGAACAGTTTGCTAATTTTTAGGATCTTTTATCATTTTAGAATCTAAAATTTAGATCCAAGTCCTCTTTTTCAATTCACTGTCAAACTCATTGAGTCAGCAAAGGACTTACCTTTCTTCGTATCGAAGGAGTGCCGTCTCCACCGGATCTCTTTGGGGCGCCACTTCTGAAAAGAAATCTTTTGCTTTTGAAATTTCTAAAAAAAAAGAAGAAAAAAGCGTCGAGCAGGGCAAGAACGGAAAGACGCAGCGCCAAAAATAATCCAACTGGCTAGTGTTCGCCCCCTTGTTGGGGATGCGGCCACTTGTGAACAGTCCACAATTAAAATTGGTATTTCTCTCTTTCTCTTTCTCGACAAAAAGTAACGGCAAATGGCTATCTGATGCAATCGAATCGGACTCACTTTGGCTCGCCCAGTTTGACTTTACTCGAAAAGAGTCAGGCTTTTCGGTTCAACTCAGAACCTCTCGTCTTTGATTTGCTATTGAAAGAAACTTGTCAAGAAGAAGAATAACCCTGCTTTTAGTCCTATATTTTTTACAGTGAATACCTCTCATGCTAACTCCTAACACAAGAATTCGCAATATTGATTTTATATTGTTCTATTTCAGCTAATTCTGTGACAAAGAGTGATCATCACTAATTTGATTTCGAGTGTGGTGTTAGTTGCTATATTTGCATCATCGATTTGCATTGTCTTTTAATAGCTGCGGATGGAACGTTTGGTTGAAAGTGCGGTGCTTCGCGGAAAGTTACGTGGTGTGGTGGCGCTGCCGTGCTCCTATTGAGTAACAACAGTCCGGAGCAGCGACCGTATCTCTCCAGCGGTGCCTTATCGCTTCTTCGCACCTCAATTTCCGTTATGATAAAAACGAGTTCATGTGATCTCGCAGATCGCCGTCTATAGACGCGACAGGATCCTTGACTACAAATTTCACTCGCTTAACAATTTTCAGTTTTCTAAGTTTTCGTCGCGCCTCAAACTTGCTACGGTTCAATTCAAGTGCTCATGGACCAAGCAAATCAGTAAAGGCAGATTCAATTGAATTGGTCATGAATGAGCTGTGAGTGACAGACAGTGTGTTTGCAAGTAGAGGCGCATAAATGCATTCGATTCAACCAGAGGTTTGAAGAGTTGAATTGCACATCAATAGTCCGTGATCTGTGATCTTCGATGTGGCATTGAGAAACTTGATAGAATCGTTGGATTATACTAGAATGTAAGTTCTCTTGGTGCCCGCGCATCTCAGGTTTACGTAGTTTTCTGAGAAGGATGGATCCCCGCGGCTAAGGCGCCCACGCCACCGTCCGTTCCATCCGTGGCTAGCACCACCGCTCGATTCTTATAATTCAGGCGACATAAAAAATACTTCATTTATTTTCTTTTAGGGTCGATTAAGACTCCTTCTTTAGATTCAAGAGAGAACCAATAAACCTCACCAGCAGTAAAAAAAACAGAAAAGAACTCAAGATGAGGAGCTCGACTAAGCTGCTCTTGGGCAGCATGATACAAGGTTAGCATTCTTTTATCTTTATTTATATTTAAAAATTTATGACTAAAAAAAGAAACAATCATATAATTTCTTAAAATCTCAATCCACTCGGTGTAAAATTTACATTGTAAACCTGTGGAAAAAATTTCAGATATTTCTAAATCTAAATCTAGTGCCAGGAATTTTTTTCTTTTAGTTAAATAATTTTTGATAACTTATCAAAAGAAAAAATAATGTAAATAATGAGTAAGATTATTGGACCTAATTAATTTAATACGTTAATAAAAAGGCTGATTTTTAATATCTTAATTGAATATTAAAATTTCTGCACAAAATTCTCGAATCTGATAATTAACTGCGCTTTCTTATGACTGAACTTTTGAAGCTTACGCTAATAAAAATAAAAAACTACGTCAGGAAAAGTTTTAATATAAGAGAGACACTCAAAACATTCATTCGATCCGTTTAATCTTTGCCTAAATTATTTTTCGCGGAAGTGGAGTTGCGCTCCGTTTTCAAAGAGGCCACGTCTCGCCCTAATCATACATAAGTGGAGCTCAATTCGTTCAATGGCAAATTATCTTTTACTTAATCATCGTTCCAAATTTTCATTATAGGGTCAGTACACAGTCTCGTTACGCAAGAGATGTGTATGATGGATCACGAAGATCGATTGGAATGTTCGCTGAACCCGGAAATTACGAGGAACGAATGTCTCCAACTCGATTGCTGCTTTGACTCGCACGTTCCTGCTGGGACACCACACTGCTACTTCGCCATGATGGAAGAGGACGAAGACGTAACTGATGAAGCTGAGTTGCTGGCCATTCCTCTCGCACAGGCTAGCGGTAGTTACAGGCCTCCTCAAGAAGAAGAGGAAGAAGAAGCCGAGCAGCTGGTTGAGAAAGCCGTGTTTCTAGGAGAGCAAGAGCTTACATGCGATATCAATGTGAAAGAAGCAACCAGATGTGGCCGTCGTGGAGTCCCAAAAACTCAATGTGAACGAATCGGTTGTTGCTGGAATCTCGCTTGGGTCCCCGGTGGCTCAGAAGGACCACGATGTTTCAAAAAAGAGGTAGCCGACGCTGAACATTCTTACAACAATGGAAAGCGAGAAGAAGCCTTTGAGGATCTTCCTGCACATTTGCGTGTTCCTCTTGAACCTGAAGAACAAACTCCATCTTCTGTAGCTGATTTCCTCGTTCAAAATCTTGCTGCTAAGAAAGCGCATTTAGCGGAACACTCATGCGTTCCAAACCATTCACAACTCATGTGCTTACAGGGCGTCGAAGAACGAGAAAAATGTGACATCAAGGAAGCTCTGGATCTCGGTATACCCGCTTGCAATGCTTGCATAGACCAAGGATGTTGCTTCGATCCTGAACCAAAAATTATGAACGGGCAGATCTACCCGCTGTGTTTTAGACGAGGCCCGATCGATGAGGACCTTGCAGCTGATTTTGACATCGGGCTTACGACAGAAATTCCGCCCATCGACGATAATGAGTTTTTCGATTTGATCAATATGCTCGAAAATGCGCGAGGCGGTGAGGACTCGGAAGATACTCCTGTTGAAGCTGAACCGGTTGAGGAGACGCCGGAAGAAAGAGAACGACGACTTCGTTTCGAACGATGGCAAGAAATCCAAGGAAAACTCGGCATGGTTGATGATGTCCGAGGAGAGATCGGTATGGGCGAACTTAACAATCCTTCCAGCTTGATTCAATTTACCGGTCACCCGAATCTTCCCGGCGCAGGAAACGACTTCCGTCAGCAACAGAAAAGTGTTGACCAGATAGTCAACGAACTTGAGAAGCAACGAGAAGTCGATCTCCGAGATATGCTTCCCCAGAGTTGCAGCGTTTTGTCGGCGACGATGGAAAACTCATCTCAACAGGAACCGTTGCAGAGGGATGGCAGACACCAGATAGACAGTCGGCAGCGCTAAATTTGAAAGATCTTATCAACGAGATCGGCGAGGACCAGAAAACATCTCCTGCGACACGCCCAACTACAACAACGACGACCACAACAACTACTCGTGTGATGCCGACACGGCCAGTTATCTCAAACAATCCAGTTGAAGCTTACAAAATGCAGCTTGTCAATCAATACGTTCAATCGAAGAAATCCCAACTTATCAGAGAAGGATACAGAGGCGACCAGTTGAACGCCGAGTTGGCAAAATGGCAGTCAACTTACGAAGCGAGATTCGGCGTTGCGAAGCCCACAAATATGCCACTTGTCCCAAGTTCAATTGCAGTAACCACCACGACCAGTACAACGACAACAACTACAACGCAGTCGCCAATTAATCAACAGAAACAGTTGCTTGAGACCAAATTGGAGCAGATGCGAGCCTTTTTGATTTCACAGGGTAAATATTCGTTTTTTTTTTCGAGGAAATTTTCTTTTTCATCTGCTGAATTTGTGGGATTACATTCATATTTAGGATACAACGGCGAAGCTTTAGACTTAGAAATGAGTCGCCAGAGAAATCTTTTCTCGAAAGCTCTTGGCATCACTCCTGACACCACTATGTCTACAACAACCACCACGACGAAAGCGCCAACTCCACCACCTGGAATGGAGCTCCCTACTCAGAGCGACGGTATTTACCAAAATATTCTTTGCGTCGAACTAAAAACTATCCTTTGAAACAAATTTATAAACATATTTTACAGATAAGTGCTGGCCCGAAGAATGCGGAAATCCAGTAGAATTGAATGCTAACCTAAAGAAGATTGTCGGTGGTGTCGACGCTGGATCTATTAAATACTGGCCATGGCAAGCGTCTCTCAGACGATCATACACTGACGAGCCATCCTTCTTGCATCACTGTGGAGCCACACTCATTCAGAAACAGTGGATCCTTACTGCCGCTCATTGTTTCATTCGATACAAGCGAAAACGCGAGATCGGTAAGCTCATTTTTCATGTCTATTCGACAGAATAGAGTCTATGTCAAAAGTAACAAATAAACGCAATTTATTAAGACACCCGAATGATGGAACCAGACAGCTCTCGATTTTTGGTTCACCTTGGTCGATATGACAAGAATTCATTCGAGATGAACATGCAGCCTCGAGCTCTTTCTTATTTCGTCGCTCATCCGGGTTTCCAGCCATGGGTAGGAAACCAACAACACGATATTGCGCTCGCGCGACTTCACAAACCAGTAGAGGTAAATATTTTTCTCTTGAACGCAGCAACTAAAGTTTTTTAGATTACTAGCTACGTAAAACCAGCTTGTCTTCCAAAGTTCGTTCCTCCTGTTGATGGAAAACTCTACATTACCGGCTGGGGCAGCACTAAATCTGTCGGTCCTTCTTCTCAGCGACTCAAGGAAATTGTCCTTCCTTTGGCTTCTCAAGAAACTTGCCGAGACGAATGGAGAGGCTATTTCAATGATGGTTGGATCTGTACCGACCCTGGTTTGAACGAAGACGCTTGTCAGGGTGACTCTGGTGGGCCCGCTGTTTACTTCGATCAGTTCTCCAAGTCTTTCGCTGTTGTCGGTGTCACTATCGCTGGCTCTGACACGTGCTCGACGTCATCAGCCACTGTTAAGGCTGGAGTATACAGTAACGTTGTCCATTACAGAAAGTTCATCGACGAAGTGACTCAATTCGGCTGTCGGTAGATGGCCTGATCCTCTTATCTATTAACAAAACAGCGCCATCTACCTCAAGCTGAGTGACCCTTGATAACTGTACAAATATTCTGAATGCAAAATTATTGCCCAACGGAGCCACTTCTTTACTAACTTCATCCAACGCAGCAAACATGATTGTTTCTCATTCCGTTCATAGCTGCAAAAATGAAAGCAATAAAATCTTAAAAAATGAAATTTGAGTCATATTAAAAATAAGGGAAATGTCTTAAAAATATTCCGGAAATTTTGATCAAACAAGTTGTTTTGAAATAATTGTTCCTGACAATAACCGGTCCAGCGTTGTCCAGCTGGCAAAACATTTTATGGGCTCTAGACTATTTAACAAAATGTTGCTGATTGTCTGAGACCATATCGAGAGAATGAAATTTACTCCATTTTTTGGGCTGCTCTATTTCGCGAATGGGCTTGGAATAGAGATTGAATCGATCGAAACTCGAGTTGTTGGCGGATATGCAGTTGATTTAGCCCCTTCTTGGCTCGGCGCTTTGGTGGTAGTTAATTCTAGAGGAGAGCCAGATCAGCTGATTTGTGGAGTTATTCTTGTCAGCCCTCACGTGGCTATTACTGCTGCACATTGCATATTCGAAGACACTTCGATTTACAGAGTTGTGTTTGGTGTCTCATCGCGGGACGACCTCCCGAAGTCTCCTACGAAAATAGAAAACCCTGCAAGCATTAAAATTCATCCTGACTACGAGTCGCCTGCTCCCGGTGTTTTGCTAAATGATATCGCAGTGATTATATTCAAAGAAAAGATCGTCGAGTATACACCCATCCGAATCGCCAAATTTTTGCCATATGGAGAGAACAGTCAGCAATGCCAAATCTTTGGATGGGGAGCAACGGGAAAATCAACTAATGGAGTGCTGAGCAATGGTGACCTCCCACGGCAGCTCCATACGGCAACTTTAGAAGTTTTCTCGAATGAGCACTGCCAGAGGTTCTATTCAGGAGGGTTTCCTGATGATTTCGATAAACACATAATATAGATGAACATCTGAATAGCCTGCTCAGAATACACGTCCTTCGTCAATGGCGACATTCATTTGTGCGCAGGGAGTGTGAATGGGAGCGTTGACGCTTGTCGCGGAGACTCTGGAAGTCCTCTCGTTTGTGGTACAGAGGTGGTCGGACTAGTAAGCTGGGGTATCGGATGTGGCGAGCCAAATCTACCCGGCGTGTATACCAACGTCCTCTATTATTTAGAATGGATCAGTTTGTTGTTCACATTTATTAAGTTTTATATACAAAGCCAAAAAATTTTGATGTAAATCTTTTTTTTGGCATCAGACTGAAAGGATACTTAACAATTGACCTTTTGTGAAAATATTGTGAACACAAAAATAGCAGTTTCATAGACGACAATGAGATGGTGAACACTGACACTGGCATTGCAGAATGTGCTTGTGGTTTGAGCCGTGCTGACAGGCACTGACAATTTAAAAGAAGAAAAAATTGATTAAAAATTTAAGAATCACCAATAGCCAGAAAGCGAAAACAGACACGTGGCCATGGTTTGTACTAATTGCAAAATCAGACGAGGCTGGGAATTACCGTCAAGTTTGTGGAGGAACGCTAGTCGGAACGAACTTCATCATCTCTGCTGCGCATTGTTTCGTCTTTGAAGGTATTCTCGAAAAATAGGTCTCGATAAAATTCGCGGCCTAGAGAATGTTTCCGGTTACAACTTCATCCCTACGCAGCGATATCGGTTCTACTTAAATTTCTATTCGAAGAGGGATTTGAGTAATGCTAGGCTTGCAACGGCAGAGTGGATCAAATGCCACCCCCGTTTTTCACAGCAAAAACGAGGAATCTACAATGACATTTGCTTGATTAAGCTCAAGAAGTCGCTCCCCTGCGATAGCAAAACGAGGCCTGCTTGCCTTCCGACCAAAACTCCATCTGAAAAAAAAGTTGGTGGTCTCTCAGATTTGTTTAGATCGACTTTAATTAGATTTGTTATGCGGCTGGCTTCGGTGATTTAACCGGAAACGACAATTATGCAAAAAATCTCCAAGAAGGTGTTCTATCTGTCATCTCTCAAGAACATTGCAACAGGAAGGAATACTCAAGCGCGTCCTTTACCATAATAAGTCTTTAGTGTGTATCACGTAGAGAAGGAGAGTCGAGACTTTTTTTGCGCTGCGAATTCGACTGGAGGAGTGGACACATGCCAAGGCGATTCTGGAGGACCCCTTGTTTGCTACGCTAATTCACGAGGATATGTAACTGGCATTACGAGCTTCGGAGTTGGCTGTAATGATGAGAGATATCCCGGGGCGTATACAAATGTGGCAAATTATAGAGAGTGGATCTTGGAAAGTCAGAAAAGTGAGGACTTCTGCATCGAGGCTGCCTCAAATTCATCCTGTGGGGGTGTCTATGACCACTCTCCAGGCCTTCTGCGATTGAGAACAAATCTGGAAACGGGGACTTATTTTAACAATGAGTTCTGCAAATGGGAGATTCGTGCACCAGAAGGAATGAACATCGCTTTTCGGGAAAGTGGCGATTCTTCGTTAAAATGAGATTAAAAAAAAAAGACTGAAAATCACCAAGAAAGTTTATTTGTGAATTTGAAATAGAGTTCGTCGTTGAAGGAAACTCATTGTTGTGCTATGATTTGATAACGATCGAGGACCCCAAGCAGCGAGAGAAAATTTCCTACCAGTTCTGTGGACCAAGAGTGAGCGACTCATTCCTTAGTTCGGAGTCAAACGAACTGGATATCATCTTCGGCAGCGACTTCAGGAACATTTCAACAACATTCAAAATTCATCTTACTTTCGAAAAATTCAAATGAGCATTAATGAAATGATCAAGTGACACTGGTCGAGGATTCACAATCGAGTACAAGGCAAGAAAACAGGAAGATCTAGGCCTATTCTAAAAATGAATTCAGTTTGTTGAGCCTCCTGCAGCTGCGAAGCTATCAAAAATAGATTCAACGATCTCGATACTGGCTAGTCATCTTTCTCACAAGACATCATCCTCTCTTATTAGAAAATTGAATGTTCTATTATTAATCTTATCTCTAGTCAGTTTTAAATAAAATAAGATATAAGAAAATACAGCTTTTTAATTCATATTTCTGTGCAGATTTTATTCCTTATAGAATTATTAGCAACTGTGAATTCTGTTTTCGTCGACCTAGAGCTAACATCTTCCGCAAGTTTATTACATATCAACTTGATTATTCCGCCGAGCCACACAAGACCACATATAATCCAAAAGAAGATGCAGACCCTAAATAATCAATTAAAATTTAGAACAGCCCGTCTACCTGTAAATGTCAAAATACAATTCTGCATTTTCAGCGAATACAGTCTCATCGCATGGGTTGTTTAAATACGAGTGCTGTGCAGGCATAGGATTCACCAAGTGGTTGAGACATCTTGTTTCATTCTTCTTATAAATTGCATAGCTTGATGGTGGATCTTCCCTAGGAACAATATCCCCAAAGCCGATTGTTGATAAAGTAACGAGTGAAAAGTATAGCGCTTCGAATAATGTCCATTCTTCTATCCGAGAGAAAATATACACTACACAAATTATGAGCTGGTCGACATAGAGTGCGTTTACCTGGCACGAGTATAATAAAAACGATTCCACCAAAGATATAGTCGCAAGACGGTGAAATGATACCCTTCAGGGAGATGGACATTCATATGAAAAAAAAAGAACATCTAACAGTAAATTTGACTTTTGCCTGTCGATTTCGTGGCAGATCTCCGTTCCTTTTTGCGTTGCAACACGTGAATGTTGATTTCGGAACTGATGGACTGAGTTAGCATCGCGAAAAAAGGGATTCCAAAAAGCATGAATATCATAAGGAAACTTCGTCCTTCTGCTGTCTTCATCAAAGTTGGCGAAACATCAGAAATTCATTGTTCGACAGTCGAACTTCGACTCGTCAACCGCGTTCCTGAGGGACCATGTGACCATATCCGATGGTCGTCGCCACGGTGCCAGCAAAGAAGAAAGACGAATGAAGATTCCATTGGTTTTGACAGTGATTCTTTGCAGTCACATAGTTATCTTTTGGAGGCTTTTGTTAAGAAAATTTTAATTTGGCATAAATAAGCTTATTAAAATTATAAAATATGGTTACCCCAAAAAGGTTGGATCCTATTAATATTTAATTCGTATATTGATCTTGAAGATTCCAATTTATAAAGAAATAAAGAAGCCAGAACCTATAGCAACTGAAGCAGATTCCTCCATTAGCGCACGAAAGGTCGCTCCAGATATCTCTAACGTTTCTTCGTTGAAACGTTCTGTTATTTGGGTCAGCAGATAAATTATCAAACGGCGAATCCCAATGTACTTTTCGACCCTATTCAAATTGTGATATCGCAACTATTCGGTCGTACAACTGGAAGAAGTTTTCTTCTAGCTCTGGATTGCTCATCAACTGATTGACAATCAATTCGTATGATTCCTTTGAACAGTTTTCTGACTCCCAGCTGTAAAACAACGATGAGCTCTTTGCAAACTGACTGCCAAGGCCTCCCTGCTCCTTCATTTTCCGAATTCCCTTGCACATTTTTTTATTGAGAGATAACCTGAATGTTTAGAGAAATTTCTGGCTTTTACTTCTCATTACTTGTAGAAATACGAGTCTCCAAAGGCCGCAACTTTTTCACCAAGTTGTTCTTGAGCTAGAGAGCATCTGTTTTGTTCTTAAACGGATACAACTTTTTTAACTACTTCACAAAGTTTAGGAATTAATCCGTTCCTGCTGGCTGTTCAAGTTTTACGAATACGATTGATCCAATAAACAAAACTAAAATGTAAGCTCCAAGAAGTCTAATCGTCCTGGGAATGATGAATATTTTCTCAACCACTGGCCATAGAGTATTCTCTTCCATTTAATCAGTTCCTTAATCCTTTTAAGTCAGTTACTTTTTCGAATCAAGTTTTTTGGGCTAGTGTTCTGGTTTTCAGCGCCTGTGCATCTCGTTAAATATTCAGTATCGGCTGATAGGGGCTCATTACTACTGGAAGCTTAATGCATTTAACAGGTTCATATTGCCTAGATGAATGTAGGTGTGGGATAGGATTCTTGATTATTGTTTTAATTAAGAAACTCGCCGCAGGATGACTGCGTTTGATATCTGCCCATCCAGTGAAGCCTATTTTAAACTAACGATCCTGCGAGATGTATTCGTAGATGCAATCTCTTCTCTGACAAAATCAACTGTTTTCGTCCTTCTATTTTTGTTATTGCCATTTACAGCAGCCCACTATTAAACAATTCAGGCGGAATAATATGTCATGTCTTTTTTCATAAGGTGTTTGTATAAGCTCTGTCAGATGTTGCCTCAAAATGAATTTTATTTCTTTCTTTGTAAGATGCGACGAGGGTTTTTAACTGATTGTGAATATTAAATAGAACGCGACAATGCAGGACTAAAATGCGGTGTGCACAGCTCGATTTCGAATGCGAAAGTTGACGCACATTGACGGCGAAATATTCATTTTATTTACAGTAGAACAATACGCAACACACTGACTGAATTACAAACAAATGCTTTTATCATACCAAAACCGGTCTTCTCCGTTGACCTTGACTACAGTCTCGTTCCCCATATTCGTTTTTTGAGATAGTTGCTGCATTTTCATGAAAATATCGCTTTTGTTTTTCCTGAACTTTGTGAACTGCACAGGAGTGCACTTCGCATAGCCGAGGTTCTCATAAAATCCTTGCGCATCTAACGTTTGAAGGCAAATGCGATTTCCAGCAAGATGCTCGACAATAAACTGTTCAATAAATGACATGAGCTTTCGTCCAAGACCGCGCCCTCGAACATTTTTGGCGACGCAAACTGACTCTGCATAGAATGTTTGATTATTATTCAGGCATCGACAGAGTTTGACATGACCGTGTGTTTCTCCAGACGACTTTTCAACAAGAGCAGACTAGAGTCTTAATTGCATTGAAATCATAACTAATTTCATAAGTGCGTATGGTCCGATTGATCAATTCCGACAAGTGAATTTTAAGACTCCTACTCGAAATGAATGGGTAAATCGTCAGACGAAGACTTAACGTAAAAATTATTATTAAGAACTTGACTTAGACCAACTTGCAAAATACGAAGACGCCCGGCAGGATTTCGCGATGACCACTCATCAGATAAGAGTTCAGCGCATTCGGTTAGATATTTGTCGGGAAGCTTAATCCGATTAGTTTATTTCTTTTTCATCATCCACCTCATGTAGTTTAAAGAATTGGTAATCTGGAGAAGAATAAAGGGGCACCGAGGTTTCCATTGTAAGGGGATACAGTGCTAAAGGTGACGGATTATGAAGTGTTAGTTTGACTTGAAGAAACAGTTTGGTGGAATCATTTTGGCAAGGAATAAAAAAGTGGAATCAGACAAGACAACTGCGTGACAGCCGAAGGAATTCATAAACACAGTTCATTGAGGTTCATTCATCGAAAAACTCGATCGTTCCGTCTCGCACAAGAAGGGCCCTCGTCGGCCATGAGCCTTCCTCGTTGTCCCCATATTCGCTCATCAATTCATGAAGCTGGTCATCCCATTGTTTATGTGTTTCTTAAAGCCAGTGTTAACGCGCAGAAATACTCGGTAGTTCGATTTACCTATTGCTTTTGGATCTATCGTACTCATCCCGTCACAAACTTTTGCGGTGAGCTCGAGAGAAGTTAGAGGGATTCCAAAATTGATGGCATCAATAAAGGTGTTTCCGTCAAGCTCAACCTGTGAAATGTAGCCAGCACACTTCGTTGGGTCGACGAGGTCTGAAAGAGTCGCGAGCTGATCGTCGCGTATTCCAGCACTAGATAATTCTTCTTGGGTTTGTGGAAGAGCTACGGGCTGTAGGTCGTTGGAATGATTTCTCAGTACTATGGGATGGTGGATAAGTGCTTCGTTTAGATGATAAAGGCCCATTGAAGAAGAAAGAATTTGAATGTCATGTTCCCAGGGGTAGACTTTGAATTTGCGAGCAGTTTCCAGACATTTTGGAAAGGACCGAAGCCTAAAGCCTCGTGGAAGAACAAGAGCGAAGGGACCGTTCGGAGATTTCAGGCTAAGAAGAACTTGCAGCCATGGATTCGAACGCCGGCCAGATGGGTTTCCCACAAATGGAATATCAGGAGGTAGAGAAGGCAGAGAGCAGTTGATATCGGCCATGGAAATTATCATACTATATTGAGACGCAAACCGCTTCTGAATCACAGCTGTTGGAAGCTCATTAAGGGTTTCAGCCCTAAACATATGGACTTTTCCAGATACTCTTAGCATTTCTGAGAGCGGGTGTATAAAGATTCTTCTGAGGTAACCAAAGAAACAATAAAAAATTTTATATACCCCTGACTAGCGCAAGAAGTAAAGCACGACCCGCCTCAAAGTAGGTCTCAGCATCACCATCCGCCCCATAATCTGAAATAAAGTTATTACCTCTTCGCTTACGTAACTTTGGATAACAAGACTGCGAATCCCTCATGGGACATAATCGCGAAAAGTGTTAACTGCTCGACGGAAAGGTACTACGGTTCAACACTTGATTTCTGGGTTCATTCACTCTCTTTAAACCTACCATCTATGAGACGAAGCTCTTCAGTCAGCGCATCAATTTGGTCGTTTCTCAATTGACCGACCTTGAACATTTCAAAATAACTGTTTAAAGAGAGGAACTTACCTCGAACATGGTGACAGCGTGTTTTTTCAGGCCAGCTAAAAATTAATTATTTGACAACTTAGCAAAAGAGAATCTGTATTCCGCAAAAAAATCACCTGAAAGATTTCCCATCATGAGCAAGGCAGCTAAGTTCGAATCGTAAATCAACGCGAGTTTGGAATGGGCATCCTTGTCTTCCTTGATGTCACCAGGCTCATCAAGAGATGTTGAAGAGAGTGTATCAACCAGATTATCATCTTCGAATTCATCCTCTTTTTCCGCAAATCCGAGCCTGTTCAATGTTGAAACTGCTTGTGAGACGAGACTCAACTCTTCTTCAAGCAATTCGGAGAGTTCTTTAACTGATTGAGAGGATAGGGTAGAGAACACCTTGTAGAGCAAGCTCTCAATATAGTCACCAGATAGACGGTTCATCACGAAACCTTCAAGGACTATCAAATGGCTAAAATTATTCTTATAATCATAAATTTAAACAAGCGAAAACAGTTGAAAGGAGGAACTGCTTAAAATTTCCCATGAAAGGATAAGCCATTTTCCTGGAATGCGAAATGAGTCCAAGTCTCCAACTGGAATTTCGATAAACACGATTTCTTTTTGAATGAGTTCGCGAAATCCAGGCTTTGAGGTAAATTTAGCCACCTGGAAGAGTTTGTCCCCAGAATCCATCATCGCGTCTAGCAGTTCTTTTGCAGCAAAAGTTAATCCTTGAATCTATAACGAGTTAAGAAGCTGTCGCCTACCACTTACTTGCAATGTTGTTGGATAGCCCACGCGGACCATCCACCAGGGCTCAAGTTCAATGTCTATGGGCTGAGACGGTAGTTCTGCCCCATTTTGAGAAGACTTAAGTCTTGATATCGGTGTTTTCCGGAACAGCATACCCGAAATCGAATTCGTTATTGACTTTTTCGACCGTGACTGGTTTAATAAGTCAATGTACTCATTCCTCCCAATACCAGTTAATCTAAGGACGTCTGCCGCAGTGAAATTTGGAAGTTGATCATATGACTTTTCGGCCTCTAGATGAGCACACAGCATCTTGCGATAATAAGCGAAAGGGGAGACTTCTATCGCCACCATTCGCTCCTAGGAAAAAAATTATTTAAAACTTTAATAAACGTATATCATATACCGTATATGTTATGGTAATATTTTCAAATACAATGCAAATTCAATTTAGCAATCTATTAATCGAGATCTCGCTCGTTTCGCCTTGCCTGACAATGGCGGAATGCTGTAAGGGCGCAAAATAAAACTGGGAAAACAATAATATTTGGAATTAATGATTATCGCAGGGACACCAGTAATTAAAGAAAACGAACTATCTTTCGTGGGCAGTTTCTTATATTTTGCAACTCACTCAAATATTTGCGTATTTTGTCGATTCAATCCCACTGCCCTAATACGGTAAACAGAGATTCGCCGAGAAAAATGGTAAGAAAAGGCTAGCCCGGAAGAGATGAAGGAAAATTTAGGTGAATTGGGGGTACCCTGCGTGTGGTATTTGCGCGGCTCTTGGTCTGTTATGCATAACGTCATCATTTTTTGTTAATGATCAAAGTGGATCAGCTGATTCGCATTTTGTCAACAGTGTTTCTACGCAGGTAAATGTTATTGAACGTCTTAAATGAATTTAGCCTTGAAAGCTTTTGCTTATGAATTACGTAAACTGAATTTACTTAGAGTCCAACAGTTGTACGCCCGTCGCAAAATACGGAAGAAAAGAAAGTACGGACGGAGACAGATAATGCCAGACAAAATGATCCGGAGGTTGCTACCAGATATTAAAATAATATAAAGACATTTTAGTACTTGAACTATCTGGAGGGTATGTGGACACCAGTCAAGACTGTTGGTTTGGAAGAATATCTAGAGGCAGAGAATGGCCCATTGTGGTACCAGCAAATTGCTAAGTCCAAGTTGGGCGCCCCTGACATTGAATTTGCAAGAATCGGCACTTATGTAAAGGAGGTTTTATTAACGCGCATGACCGAAATTTCAGGAATTCGCCTTCATTGTCCGGATTGGAATAATTTTCAATAAATCTTTCCCATTCTATTTGGACAGATCGTTTGAGCAGGACTCGATACTCGGCGACACAGTGGTGACTTATCCTCGTATAAAGAAGAATCATTTGAGTTTCAAAATAACAGTAATAAAATTTGTGAAGCTTGAATTACTTCTGAAATTAGGGCTCTCGAGCTGGATTGACGCGAAATAAGATCGAAATCAAGGACAAAGACTTCTTAATTCTTACATCTACACTGGTCGACAAGAATGTTACGTTTCAGAGAACGTTTGAACGTATCGCCTTGGACCCTACGGAATCATAGAAGAAAGGAATACGAACACTTTAGAATTTTGACCCTGTAAGCAAGGTGCCTTTTTATCTGAAAGAATAAACATCTAAGTCGATTGCACACGAAAAAAATGCAAGGAAAATTTAGGAGAAGCAATGGTTACCTGAAGATGGTAAGGATAAATTCTCATTCGTTCGCGACAGTATTTTTCCATAGTTTGGTAATAGGAGAGTTCATTTTTGATCGCCAATTTTGCAACTAAAAGACAAATATATTGCGTCCTCAAATATAGATACTTCACAAATACTGATTTCCAACGATACTTTGTGACCCGTCTTAGGGTCACCGACTTATTAAAGGCGTTGTTATGCAATAGAGGCAAACGAAATGAAATAAGGACACGAGAAAACAATATTTGCGATAGTAAGAATAAAGTACAGAGGTTAGTAGGTCAGTTGTACTTTTCAAAAAAACAGAGCGTCGAAGAACATTTACCTTTGTTAAAAACAAGCTGTCGGTCGCAGCATGTGCTCATGACTCTGTCAGCGTATTCTTTCTCAGAAACAAGATTCTTAAGTTTATTTGGCAAGTCTTCATAAGAGACGGCTTATTTGGTGATCCTCAGTTGGAAATAGTTAAGATTATTAGAGTATTATCATGTTCCATTCAAGAATTATACAAGAATGCGACTATTGAAAACCACTATCCTTCGAGAATCGAGCGGAGCAAAGCGGCTTCTTTTGCATCCAGTTCCATTTTTCTCCAAACGACTTACTCAGATATCCCGATCACCCTAATAATAAGCATAAGTAACACCCGGAAAATGGAAAATTAAACGTTCATATGAAAAAGTAAACTTATGAACCCGAGTTTGTCAAATAGATAACGCGTTACTATTTGCAAAGAACCAGTGTCCCAGGACAGTTCGGAACATGTTGCTTAACAAAATCAAGGTCAAGCTTAAAAGAAGAGCTGAAATCGCAATTCCAGGAATGTTCTAATTCTAATTTCATTTTACGGAAAATAACATTTTGCATTTAGTCTAGTAGGATTAATATTTTGAATTTATCGGCAGCTTTGTTATCTGTAATAGCTAATGCATTAGATGACACGGCGTAAAGCAAGGGCTCATGTAAGTGCGGCAACCGTGCAATAAGCATGGTGGAGTTTATCAATGTCAAATGGGTTCATTTCCCAAACCTACTTTTTTGCCGCATATGAGTAATTCCAAGCTAAGAGAGCAAAAGAGGAACAATTCAGGTAATTTTTACTTTCTAAAACTAGGTGCTAGAAACTGATTGCAAAATACTTACGCCACTGCTATGGATTGATTTACGAGTTACTCATAAACAGTGCAAAGTTTACTTTTGTCGTATAAAATCGACAGGATAAAAGAGCATAAAAGTTAATCATGGAAAAAGTCGCACTGGCGTTCATCTCTATTGTGCGAGAAACTATGACCTCAAGTCAACGTAAGCTACGTAAATTACATTTCCTTTCGTAACTTTGCTATTAATGAAAATTCTTGTTTAGTGAATGAAAAGAGAATTTTAACCAGTTCTAACACGCCTGCTAACTGAACTCTTTTAACATTCTAAACTTTGGTAGGCATTGACCTCAACAGAAAAAAACGCTGTGCGAGCGCCACACTATTCGTGAGCGCCTTCTTGAAGGCTTGGCTATTTATTCTTGAGCAGGGAGAGGCAATCGGAAAAGAGATAGATTTTAACAACACTCAAAAAAAAAGATCCAAGACTAAAATTAGAACATTCAAGCAGCTACTGACGAAAAACGAAAAATGAGTACCAGATCTAGCTCGCCTGAATACCCCAGCTCGAGAGACGAGTCTCTTTCATCAAAGGTATTTAAAATATATCATTTTTTTTTTGAATGATTTCCACATACAAAAAATTCTCTAGATAGCATTATTATGTAATCTAGCTGTATTGAAAGTACACTTTTCAATTAAGGCACCATTGATGTCGGATTTGGAGGCACAAGATAGCGAGCCAGTACATCAAGGTCGTCAAAAGGTTGGTGCTCTGCATCTATCAGTTTGTCATTTTTCTAGTGCTTGAAATTCTCGATACTGAGCTTGGTTGTCTTGGCTATTGGCTGCCTGGGAGGATCCTTTGCTTATGCAAACTTGAGCAAATTCACAGCCGATGAAAAATCATCCGATCACTTGGACTTGCCGGACGAACCACTAGCCGCCTCAGACGAGAAGCATCTGTTGCTATTAAATCCAACCGTAAGCTCGTAAATAATAGCATTTTTTTGTTCATTGGCTTTTTATGACTTTGATATCAGTAAACTTCCGCGAAGAGGTTAGTTAAGTTTGTTTAGGTAAAAGAGGCGATCATCGGACGATGGCAGGAGAGGGCCAAGTTCAATGTGAGCGAGTATATTGACGCAGAGAATGGTCCAACTTTTTACAAAATGTTTGCGAAGAAAATGACAGCCGACCTTGAATATGAGCTAGTGGACGTAAACGTGTATCAAACAACATTCTACGTCTCTTGGATGCCCCCACTCAAGTACCCACTGCGGCTGGACCAGCCCTATCAGCATAAAAGCCCTTCTGGTGACCCGGTCACATCAGTGGCTCAGTTCCGGCCAGAATTCGACGATATTTTCGTCAATACTCAGGTACTGAAAAGCACGTCAACTTGAGTATAATTTTGATCGAAACAATAGAAATCTTTGAAATCAAATGTAAATATGGACAACCCCTTCGTGAATAATATGATAAATAAGTTCCATTTTCAACTCGATATTTCAGGGCGGGCACGAAGGGCCGGTAACCACGAGAATACAAGTCATCGATGGAGAGTTGATTCTCACATCGACAATGGTAGAGAAGAATGTTTCGTGTCAGAGAATTTATACCCGAAGAGCCCCATAAACCACACATATCATTGACTAATATTTTTTCTTGATGCCATAATGCCAAAGCAACGATTTCTACTGTAAGTAAAAAGAAATGCAATCTGTTCACTTTCCACAAGTTGAAAATCTACTTGAGTGTTCTCTCACTAATTAAAGTTCAATATCCCGTTTAAACAATGCATTCCTGCCTACCTGTACAATCTCTTATCGCAGCTCTTCGCTTGAGCTCTCACCACAAACTATACAGGGTCACCATTCTAGGAAACATTCTCATGCATTACACTGTACAAAATCAAATAAATACGCAGAAAGGAATGAAAGAAGTCGGAAATTTAATTCTTAAAAATCTTATCACTCTCTTTGGCAGAATTTTCCGTCGTCGGTGTCGGTCGTTCTTTAGATGTCTGTAAGTTGATATCTTCTTCGAAATCGGCAGATTCTGCGAAGAGTGAAGTTATTTGGTTTTTGTCGATCCACTTAGTTTCAACTTCCGATAAGAGTTTTTCTTCTGCTTCTTCGGATTCAGCTAGAGATCTATCTTTCGACTCTTTTATGCCAGTTTTCTATTGTTAGTATTCTTTTTGAAGTGAAACTATATCTTCATATCAAAGAAATTTCAAAAAAAACTATCAAAGAAATTTTCGGCGATATAATTATAATAATAGAATTGTTCTTATTGAGAAAACCAGTCCCTAATAGTTCCTGAAAAAGTTCCAACTCAGAAGCATCCGGTAGACCTAAATTTCTGGAAACCTCTGACTTGTCGGAGTGCGATCTGAATTCAGTTTTAAGGAATTGTCGAGGAAGCTTCGATCTTACTTGAATGCATTTAGTTCTGTCGGGCCGATAGGATCATTCATAAATAATGGTTCTTTCGATGGGCCAATTAGCAGTAAACTTTGTGCAATTTCATATGACGTCTTCAGCTCATCGTACTTGGATGGACAAAGTCCAGTCGCATTTTCGGTGTATAATCTGCCTATAAAATTAGATTAACTGTTTGCGATCAGCTGATGCGGCGAGCACGAGCTGTCACACGGGCCCTTTAGGTGGCTTCTAAGATGGATCATACTGTTGATAATTCCCTTCCAAAGTCTAACGAGAAATTTGTTCTGTCTATATTAGGAGATTGAATAACATCTTAAAATTGTTACGAGGGTCAAGCTGTACATTTTGGGTTCACTTTTCAAGCGAAACGAACGTTAGTATTTGCAGACCAGAAAAGAGCCGTATATCTTTCATACAAAATCGTAAAAGAATAATATACTCTGGTCTACTGTCTACAAAAATTTACCTGTGTACGGCGATACAAACTGCGAGATAAGCTGAACATTTTTGTAGCTGATGCCTTGGATGGATTTGAAAGTGTTTGACAGATTTATTAACTGTTCTTTCTCGAAACCCCTTCCTGTTCCACAGAGTTTACACCTCTCAACAGTATCGAAGAAATTCTTTCTTTTCACAAGCGTATTTCCAGCCAGGTCTTTCGGCAGTTTTTCCGATAAGATTCTCGTGTAGAACATTCTAAGAAATTATTCGACAGTCGTGAACAGGTCTATTTGTCTTTAGAAGTAAAATAATAGTTAAAAGCAATCAAGATGGTGGGGAACTGGGTGAGGGGAATAGCAGCAGCAAATTCTCTGATTATTAGTTTTTTCTTTGAGGCTGGATTTGAGGTTTTCTTGAAGAGGAAAGGGTTTACTCCATGTGCTGGAATGATTGATTTGAAGTGAGCGACATGGATTCTACGTCGACGATACGTTTGTAGCCGTACAGCCAGTTCGACTAAAGCATGCTCTGTTAACGCCGGAACACATGAAATTGATTTTTCCCGGAACGCATATCGACCCATTTTTGGGTGAGAGCCCGTAGATACGTTTTCTTGCTTACATCAACCCATATTTTATCATAAATATGATCTTCAGACGCCGAACTACAATATTAGATACATGAAATATCTTTCATGTGTTGTTTTAACACTAGAAAATGACGATTTTTGAAGCCATATTTCACCGCCTTACCCAGAAATGGGTCGGTATGCGTTCCGGCGTTAAATAAAGTTAAAAGGAAATGTTGTCACCTGAAAATGTCGGTAAAGACCGAAGACGGCAAGAAAGGCAGTGAGCATGCTTCCCCAAAGGAAAAAGAATGGCACAGGAGAGATTTTACAAGTCTTATGCTTTGGAAGATTGTAATTCTTGCGAAAATTATTTTCGATGTCCACAGGCGGCTTGCCGATATCAGCGTCGATCACCGTGAGTTTTTCATTCTCGGAAGACTTCGTTAACGCCACACTATAAGAAGTCAGTTCTGCGCTTATAATGAAAGTATTACTCGATCGACGAGAGTCCATCGCTAGCGAGTCTTTCATGGGCGTGCGTCACCATTGTGTACCGAAAAGTCGTTCCAATTTTGTACTCCTTCTCGTAGCCATCTAAATAGACTCCCTTAACCTCGGCAACGGAGACGAACGCTTACGGATAAGCATGTCGTAAGGGTAGTATTTATAATCAGCTTGTTCGAGGCGGAGACATGCACTAACAACGCGGATGTACATGTCATCATCTTCGCATCCCCAGCCCCAGTATTCATTTGAATAGCCATTCACTTTGTCGAATTGTTCTGGAGTGAAAGCCATGACCCCGCCAGTAATTCCTTTCCACGGAGTCTTAAAGGAACATGTTTTGATAGAAGCTCAAGATCAAATTTAACTTCTCAGTCAGGCCATCGTGCGATGTTACATCAATAAAGCATAAAGTGCGTATTTCACCGAGGCACGGATCCAAAAAATGATGATGACACGCAATATGTAGTAAACGATGCCAGCTGAATTCTCAGCTGCCTTGAATTTCGACTTACTTTGTAACGATATTTATTGATAGCGGCGGACAAGTGCCTCGGGTGGTCGTTCGAACATTTGTACAACCCGCCATAGTCCTCAAGTAATAAATCAACGTCGTGGAAGATGTAGCAGTCCCATGCAATCCCGCTTTGTTCCTATCTTTGGTTTTGGAAAAAGAGGACTTTTTTAAAGACTTTACTTAAAGGATTTCAAAAACTCTCCTTCAAATATTTTACGCCAGCGTTCATCAATTTCGCTCGATTGAAGACTCCATTGTCGAGCTGGTTGACGATGAAGACTTGAAATTCCAGCTGCTGGCGTTTGAGAATAGGATTGATATGTTCGATGAGCGATTGAAGCTGTTCGGGACGATTTCGGTAAGGCACGATGATGGCTGTTCGTTGACGGGCGGTACAGTTTCGCGGCGAATGGAAATGGCCTGATTTTTTCGTTCTCGTTTCAGATGAGACTTCAGCATTACCTGTGAACTGGGAGATGTTCTGCGCGTAAGGCACTTTCAAATATGGACTGGCGGGAGGACAAAGATTGGGAATGTTCTGGAGGCGAAGAGGAAGCTCGTTCTGAAGCTTTGTGTAATCAGTCCCTGTGAAAATCGTGTTGTCGTTGCACTTGCTCCTAAAAGGGCCAACCTTATGTTTGCATGGAATCTGACTGCAAATAGCAGCCTGTTGTGTCAAATAGAATCACGTGATATTTGCCTGATAACAGGTTCATGAACTCTGTGCATGCTCGAAATTCATGAAGTTAAGTTATGTCAAATCGGGGTCACCAAGTGTAAATGTTTTGGAAGTTGAATGCTAAAAGATTACCTAATCGGACTGATCCAAAAATTCCCAAGATCGACGTGGATCAGGAAGAGCTTGAGGGTATCCTGGAACTCAAACGAGATAGAAATTTAAAATAATATCGATTTTACGTAATATATCAACGCAGGATCTATTACTAATAGATAAGTAGTCGAGCAACAACTCTGATCCCGTTAAAATCTGAATACTAAAATAATCTGGCTCGTTTTCCTGAAATTCGCATTGAAGAAAAAAAGCGAGGCTGGTGATGAAGGTAAGAACTGCTATGAAGAACTTTTTTGAAGAAGGCATAAGCCCTTGGCTGCAGCAATACAGCGAGAACGTGCGGTTTTCTGAGAGGGCGCGTAAAATAGAGTCCACAGGGTTGAGATAAATGAATGATAAATGGAGAATAATGCTAATGGTTCTTCCGAATACCCATTTTGCAGTCGCTCAGTTCGAGGAGTTCTTTCTTCGATGACAGCGATCGTTCACCAGTTCATTCTCTGTGCGCTTGGAATCTCTCGCGCCCCTGATTGGCTCTGCGCTGGAGAGCATCTCTGACTCATAAGAATGCCATTAGAAGAGCCCGGATTATCCTCTTTATTCTGCGTCTTTTTTCTCTGTCTTTCCGGACAATTAAATCATCAAGATACTTAATTTTCTTTTATACTAGATGGGTCGAAAAAAAACAAAGAAAGACGCCGAAATAGAGGCCGGTCCGAACGGCCCAAAAGATCCCCGAGTTGGAGAAAAGTACCAGATAGCGCTTCCTGATTATGTCGACTTGAGTGCCATTGATGATGCGGTAGACGAAAGTGAAGTAATGTGGAAGCCAACTGATCTCGTAGATGATGACGAAGAAGACTTGGCTCACTTCATCGAGTACGCCAGAGCGAAGGACTATCAAGAAGATGATGCGCTCACTCTGCTGCGCCATTTGAACATGGACATGCGAAGGGCATATCTATACATTGACAAGTATCGACTCAAACTGTTTGTAATACTAGCGGACTCTTTGTTCCAATGAAATTTAGCCCTGAGGACGACTGGACGCAGGAGGAGAGCAACCTGTTCCACGAGGCCTTTCCTGGAGTTGGAAAAAAGTTTAGGGAGCTGAGCCGTCTTTTCGAGGGCAAAACTACTGCTGACGTCGTGTTCTTCTACTATTATGATAAAAGAGACAAGAAAGAGCTTTCTCGTCAGAAGAAAGATAAGAAGAGAAAAATGGAAAGACGACTTCGTCGAAGAAGAAGTGAGAGAATCTTCCTTGAATTCATTGTTTTATTATTTTAGAACTCAAGCGGATAAGGAAGGATACCACTTCCGAAGAGGAAGATAATCAAGAATTGGAAGAGCAGGAAGAGCAAACAGGTAGAGTGCAAATTCAGCTTCGGAAAGTTGATTTTAGTGCGCACGACTGAGGCGGCTACTACTTATTCCGCTGGCCCAGCACTCGCCGAGGGAGACCTTGCTGAAGGTGCCAACCCAATGGAGGGAGATGTCAATTTCGAAGAGGGCAACGAAAGACAAGCAGAAGTTACGAAGGAGAATAGCTCCGAAGAAAACATCGCGGAAGGAAACGGCGAATTGACGAGAAAAGAAGAAGCCGCCGAGGGAGACATTGCTGAAGGTGCCAAGTTGGAGGGAGTTGTCAATTTCGAAGAAAACAACGAAAGACAGGCAGAAGTTACAAAGGACAAGAGCTCCCAAGAAAATACCGTGGAAGGGGACGGCGAAGTTCCGGGAAAAGAAGAAGAAGCTAAAAAACTCCTCCCGGAAGAGGACACCTCTTCGGAGACAGTAGAAATTATCTATCAACAGGAAGAAGATCTGATGGATGTTCAAGTGACGAACGAGGCCTGGGCCGTGTCAACTTTGTTTAACCAGGAAATGTTCCAGGAGAACATCCAGGAGAACTTCCAGGAAAACTTCCAAGAAAACTTCCAGGAGAACTTCCAGGAAAACTTCCAGGAGAACTTCCAGGAGAATTTCCAGGAGAACTTCCAAGAGAACTTCCAGGGGTACTTCCAGGGGTACTTCCAGGATACTATCCCAGAAGATTATCCAATAATGAAGTAGGGAATTTTTTCGTGAAACAAGAATAAAATCATTTTTAGCGAAGAACCATGGGACGACGAACCGACAGCTGTAATTTGGGACGAGGACGATATTGAATTGTTGCGAGAGGGATTGGCCCAATATGGTTTGGACTGGGAGAAGATCGCAGAACTTATCAGGAGCAAAACGGCATCAGAAGCGGAACAATTCTTTGAAGATAATTGTATAGATGATGTTTACAAGTTCAATGATGCCTATTCGGTGTATTTGAACAGAAAATACGGTCCTGGAAACTCGTGGATTACTCCGATAATCATTAATCTTCTTTCTAATCTTCCTTGCGCTCCCAGTCCTGGAATTACCATAGACTTCGAGCTTGACGATGAAATCGCAGAACATTTGCCCGTCAGCTTTCTTTTGACCACGTCATACCTCGACCGCAAGGAGAATGACGATATCATGGAGGACAGCCACCCCCCAATTTCCGAAAGCTTAGTGTACGATGCAGACGAGTCGTCCGCAGACGAGTCGTCCGCAGACGACGACGAAAGCGATAGTTAAATCTACTCGTCTCATATTGGAAACTTTCTCATTGAAAATTTGCATTTATCTTTTCTCTCATCTGCTTTTTAAACACTGCCCGTTCAAAAAGCTCACCAACTATACTCGTTTATGATTTCATTCTTTTAGAATGACAATCGTTTTCATACTTCGACGAATCGTCGAAGATTTGCTTGCAAAAAGATCGATCTTAATCACTCTTTGACCACCGTTAGATGCTCAACATAGAAATTGTGCTATTGGGCATTTCATCGCCATTTCGCACTTCCTGTCCCTAGCGTCCTGTCCAAAGAGGTATGCTTTGAAATTATTTCGGTTACACGACGTTTTCAGCATACCGACATTTTCAGCGCTGCTGAATTCGTCGGTTTGCTGAAAACGTCGGTTTGCTGAATTCGTCGTTTTTCACCTAATCAAACCAAATGGATCTAAAGGCGACGTTCTCGCAATTTAATTGGCTAATTAAAAGTTTAAAAGCATTTCTAAATGAGTCATTAAAAATGCATTATTTAGAAAAAGTAATAAGAATTAGCCAAATATCTTTCTTAATACATAATTATCATAATAATCATAGTCACCAGCAAGTTAACAGTATTAACGTATTATTAAGTTCCGTGAATATGCTTTTAAAACATTGAAAATAATGATAAATCAATATTTAAAAGGATAAAAATAATAATTTTATTAAATATAATCTTTTGTAACTGACTCATTAATATAGCAGCGATTTTATGTTATTTTACGATTTACGGAAATATCTTTTTCAGATGAAGTTTGATAAAATGGTTGCCTCTCTAAACGCCTACGCGTTTTCAGGTGAAAAACGACGTTTTCAGCGAACCGACGTTTTCAGCAAACCGACGAATTCAGCAGCGCTGAAAATGTCGGTATGCTGAAAACGTCGGTTGCTGAAAACGTCGGTATGCTGAAAACGTCGTGTAACCAATTATTTCACATTTCGGTTAGTTTGATATATCATTCTTCCACTTCTTATAGCAAATTTAGGTGAAGTTAAATGCAAATTTCATGTTCACGCGTACTCATAAAGGCATACAAATCAAATCAAACGGCGGCCCTTCAGTCCCACATGGTCTAGGGGTTAGGATTTCGGATTTTCACTCCGACGGCCCGGGTTCGATTCCCGGTGTGGGAGGACCTTTTGATCCTGGATCATCCGAAGAGACAGTTCATCAGAAGAGAAAAAGTAGTTTTTTAGACAATTGTCGCCAGTAGCCAAATCTTTTCTCACGTGTGCAGACTCCATACTATGTCTTCCACTTGTGTCTAAGTTTGCAAAAAAAGGAGCTTCAAGAGGTTACGAAAGGTTCAAAATGAAAATCAGCTAGAGTTGCCCTCTCCGCCGTGATATGTGTAGGAGACTGTGTATCCATTGAAAATAGATATGTTGCTCTCGTCAACAGCGGCTAATTAATTGCGTCGGTGTTTGTAGCGATAATTTTCTTATATTTATTGGACAAAATATTCTTTGAACTTTTAGACAGGAGGAACATTGACGGAAGATGATTGTTTTGGGTTCCAGGGTCACGTGGGTCGTTGGTGGGTTAAAAGGGTTAATTAGGAGGTTTTCCTTGTCGACGGGTGGACTGGACGAGTCACTCCTGACTGCGCTTGGACGTGGAGATGATATCAATCGAGTTGTCATAGCTGAAGAGTCGGGCCAGCAGATAGGGCATCTGACACTCTGAATACCTCTTTTAACTTTGCTGCAAAAAAGAGAAGCTCCAAAAACAGAACAGGTATTTTCAAATTAAACAAAATCAACCAAATGGACGTAGCTACGTTCCATTGGTCCAAACTCGCTCCGAATTCAGCGAAAAACTGTTATCTTCTGTTAACTCGGTATAAGACTCACCCATCTTTTGAAGCTGCGCCAGCTGAATACTCAGCGAAGTTTCTGAAATGTTTCGGAGACGGGTGAGAACGTCCAAAGTCTTCCCGAGGAAGAGGCCTGATTTGTTTCTGTACTTTTTCTCGAAGTAAATTTGCAGCGACTCGATGTACTGTTCCTGAATTGTGTAGACTTGGGAGACTTCGCCGCGGATCTTGTCTGGGATGTTGCCACGATCGGGATTAAGCAAAATCAGCACCTGAAAATAAAATCAAACAGATGTCATAAAACCGGATGTTTCGTTTTCATAAAAGTATCGTTTTATCGGAAATCTGTGTCATTAAGAGCGGAGCGATCAATTATGACAGAATTTGAGAACGCTGTGCTTTGCACATTCAGTCCGACCGAATTTAAGCCCAGTGTTGATAAGCAGCTGTAAGAGCGGGAAACATGGGTTGCTCCAGTTTACATATCTCTTAATAATTGTCAAACTATCAACCTTAAATAACACTTGTCAATCTATGTTGACATGTTTCGATCACAAATTGGTAAAAAATAGACCCGGTATTGATATATCAAATATAAGTACAGTCAGATAGACTAGCGAATCAAGCTTTCTTCGAAAGATCTTCAAAAATAAACACGAAATCGATAAGATCAAAGAAGCGTTTCCCAAACTATACAGTGATTTCTACATCAAGAGATGTTTGATGCTACTTAATCAATAGCCAGGAGAAAACGGTGCCGAAGAAAGACGGGTTCGTTCAATTTTAAGTCACGTTCGCAGATGATTCTTGTGAACGCTTTGCCGTTTTATGAGCACTGGTCTCATCTTGGCACGATTAAAGCACTGATCACACTTCTAACTCAGAAGTTCTTAGTCACGACTTTTAGTAGTCTCACACTTTCCGCCCATAGTCCCCATCATTCGGGTCATGCTTTTCAAAAATTATAGGGGAAAAACGTTCTCGACGTGATTCTCTCACGACTGATTCGGCGGTCCGACGCTTCAGATTCGCATGAATATCTACGTTCTGTCAAATCTCAGTATTATCTCAAGAATAACTTACCATCAGAATCGCGCATACAGACTTATCAAGTTTCAGCCTGTCAATACGGTCCCAAATGTCGAACATCGCTAAATCAAACGTTACTGTAATTGAATTTTTAAGAAACACACTCACGTTCAACCATCTCCTGCCGAAGGCCACATTTGAAGAAGTCCGTTTTACTCCTCCACTCTCCGTCAAGCCACCTAAAGACATAAGTTAGTGGGTAAACATAATCATTGGCGAATAATTATTTATCTTGCTCTTTGATTTTGACCTACATTGTGGAGAAGTATTTAATAATACTAATTATAGCCATTGTTGACCATAATTATTAACGATTATATTGACAAAGTTAGCCGGCAAATCCTTCAGCAGATTTGTGGTAAAGATATCTTTCAAAAAGTAGCAGTTGGCAATTTATGAGAATTTGGTTAAAATTAATAGGCGGATACGGCATAATTTATTCCATAAATAGAGAAGAATATTGACGATTATGTGTATATATAAAATATTCCATGAGAATATTTACCTAACAACTGGCTCTTTGCCACCATTTTTTTTATCGAAGGAGGGATTATAAGTTGTAGAATTGAACATAACCATAGACTCTGAAAAGTTGTCATAAGCACTTGCAGTGGTGGTGTTTTGTAACATAAGCTACAGTTGGTGGAAAGCCTTCTACCGTACGGCACTGGTCAAGTGAAAGGGCGTACCTGCTAGACTTTCCTTGAAGAGCCAAATGCGCATATCACGCGAGAGCTTGTGGACCCCAGGCAGGAAGTTCATGAATTTAATGATACGTTTTGTCTTGAAAAAAGCCATCTCCAAGAAGAAGTCGAGGCGCATCTTCTCAATCCCTTTCAACTCATCAAACTCCTCGGAACATTGTGATGCACCGGACAGATAAGACTGGAACGTCTGAAAGATTAATTATTTTTCTGCATGAGTGGCGATTGTATGAAGGTAAGGACGCGGATCTGCGGGTAGATAAACGCAACTTTAGCATTTTTTTACATAATGACCATAAAAGCACTGACTTCCCGACGGTGAAAAGCAAAAGTCCAAGTCGAGAACGGGTTCAGAAAGAATAAATATGAAATTCACTCTTTTACTTGTTTAGCAAACTCAAATATTGTCTCGGAAAGCGTTTTCCGAATCGGCTATTTTGGGAGATATTTACTGCTCAAATACCAGGGCTAACTCGAGATGTTGATTTGGAAGTTTCTACAATGAACTCGTACACCGATCCTATTCTGGCTCGATGAAGCAAAGGAAAACGATCTTACAGTTTCCTTCTTAAATGATAAGCTGAAGTACTAACCGGCTTTTCTACACCTTCCGTTGCTGCCTCCCACGAGCGGCGAACATTTGCCAAAAGGTTTTGGACACGTTCAGGAAGCTGTTTCGAAGTGACCGAAAGATTCTGTTTTTTAGTACGGTTGATGTACTCGCTCCGCATTCCCATGCTCATGCACTTGTTCAATCGACACCACTGGCAACGTGGTCTGTAGTCAAAGTCAACTGGACACACTTGTTTCCCAGTTTTGCAGTGGTAGATCAGTCCTAGACAAGAAATAAATAATCAGCAGCAATTATATCTCTACCTTTGATAATTGCACGTCGAAAGAAATTCTTGCATCCTTCGCAGGAAAGCACATTGTAGTGGAAGCCGGTCGCTTTGGAATTGCAGATAGAGCATCGCTCGGAGCCGAATAACTTCGGAGCAGGTCCCTTCCGCGATCTGTAATATTCATTATTATTCTTTCCTACATTAATATTAAGCCACATTTGCCCGATAGCTTGACGGTACAAGCCCGAGGCGAATCTAGGACATTCGATAATGGAACGACCACACTCTATCGGCGCGTGATAAGTTATTAAAGCTTCAATTAAAAATTTATATAATGCAACTTGGAATCAAGCCCTGTTAAAGCTCTTAGAACAAATCGTAATTTAGTTCTTATTAGTTTATCCGCAGCAGTGAGAAATATTCTTACCTCTTTGGTGGAAGAATTTGCTTTATCGCTGTCTCAAAGGTACCAGACGGATTCACCCTGCGAAGCTCAATAGAGCTCAGCGACGATGGAATTGAGCTTCGCACTGGGCTGTCATCGACTTCGACGTCCACTTCTTCTTTGCATTTCAAAGGAGCGACAACTGACGACCCACGATATGCTAAAAAAAGTTTGATTTTGTATCAATAATTTTTGCGCATTATTTTTTTAACAATTAGAAAAAGCGGAAGTATGTAGATCGTTTTGTCTCAATATTCGATCGATTTTTACCTGGATTACTGACGATAACTGATCGTCTCGCCATCTCACGTCGAGAGATAGAGCGATCGATCGATTTTTTCGATGCTCTTCTGACTGTAACCCTAGTTCACCCTCGCACGATCAATTCAGTGATTCTGTCAGTCGTTCTCTTCTCTTCTAAAATGAAAGGTAAAAGCAGCAAACGCTTTCTTCTGGTAAAGAATTGCTAAAGAGGGTAACATCAGTTTTTCTGTAGTTCGACCAATAAAAAACATTTTTAAAAAATCGAAAATCAACTTTAGAAGCTGCCCGTATATTCGTACCTACAACAAGCACCCGAAGCGTAATGGAACGCACATTTTAGACTAGTTTTGACAACTCACTGGCGTTTGGCCTCGCCAAGAAATTTGAACTGAGTGAGAGACGAGAGTTTATAAGGCTGGTAGCTGACTAGTGATAAAGCGACTGATCCCCCAGGGCACTTATGCGGAAAAGAAAAGCGGAGATAGTTTATCCAGCAGTCAGGACGAGTCACAAGGTGATGGGGTTTGTCTGAAGGCTGAATACTGGATCAGGAACTAGTTGTAGAAAATTCTTATGATTAAACAAGCTCAAGTGAAAGAGCACTAAAGGATAGATCACCTAAAACAAGTTTTTTCTCTGTGACCTTATTTAAGAAGATGCATTGTATAAACTAACCTCTCAACGTGATCTTAATGGAACTGTCATTTACGACTGACGGCGTGCCGAGAGTAAGCCGAGTTGCTTTAAATTGCTGATTGCTTTAAATTTCTACGAATTCGATTCTCTTAAAACTTGCTTTCGAGGTTATTGTTTGCATTCATTGGTATAGAATGGGCCTTGGCACAAACCCTACGCTCAATTGGGGTATGGGTACCTCGGGGGCAAAGTATAATTCAAGAACTCGCTGATTCTTGCTACCAGCGAACCTATTTCGATTCTTCCCTAATAGACACATCTGATAAAAGATGCCACTGTAATCCCTGCTGTTCAACTTGCCTTATTTCTCGTGAATGAATCCCTTCGCTAAAAAGGCGGATGTAAACGCTGACAAGGCATCACAAATGGGCTAATAAGACGCAGAATAGAAAACTAATTTTCAACTGATTAAAGATAGATCAAATGCTCTCTCACAAAAGAATGATTGCAATCTATTTCCGCAAGAAAATGGTTGTTTACACAAACCCATAATAAAAAAGGTGGCCCCAGCAATACTAAGAACATTGATTGCCATAAAATTCGACTTACGATTTAGGAGGTACACTCGCAGACTTGGTAGCTCACTAGTTTCTTCTTGTCTCTTAATTTTTTTTTATCTGAGGCTTGTTCTATCTTCGTATGGCTCTCGTGATCGCTCTCGTATTTTTAGGACAACCTTGGCGAGGTTATTCGCGACTGTCTGATTTTCGCCGCGAGTAACTGAGGTGGTTTGTTGGACTCAGGTTAGATTTGATGCTGCGGCCCACGCAAAAGAAAAACGAGTGAGAGAAAGAGGGAGCTCGGGAGAGGGCCAGCCCCAGCCTCATTGATAGCTCGGCTCAATTCTCTCCTAAAGATACCTCTCCGTCACCACTCTCTAAAATTTAGACTAGCTAAACGCACGCCCGAATTAACTAAGGAATAATGACGCAGCTCCCAAGTTTTCATCAAAAGTGGCCTTTTATCTTTCAAAGTTATGTTTTCACAAGAAATCACGCTTGCTCGAATAAACATTATGCTTATAATTTTCGCTAAGATTGAGAAATGATTTCCTATCATTAAAAGGAAACATACCGAGCCTTGGAAGGACGAGATGGGACCGGAGAAGACGGTTACAGTTGCGCAGTACAAAAAATATATAATATATATATTAATATATAATTATAATTTATAAGTTCGCGGAAGTCAGCTTTGAGAATATAGACTTATGAGAATGTATCCTCGTTCAAGCTTTCTTCAATCAATTGAGAAAGTAGAAATGGAAGGAGGTAACCGGCAAAGCTCCTCGCTGGCAGCAAGCCAGTAGAGCTTGTCTGGTTAATAGGGTTACGTTTTGCCAAAAACGGTTTTGGAAATTTTGCCGACCATTCAATTTATCAATGGTCTATTGTTCTTTAAAAGGAATTTACTGAAAATTACTAGCTAATATTTGACACTATGTGACATAGCAAAGTGGACGATTCTTTGTTGCTAATATTCTTATCAGTAAATCGACGAATGTTATAAGTAAATTTTCAAAAGAGTAAATGAGTTGCACTAAAAATTGTCCAAGAGCTGATAAAATATTATTTAGAAAAGTTGCACTAGGGAAAATTGCTGTAATGAACTTCTCTTCAATATATAACGAATTATGACGCCATCGATTAATTATAAAGTCGAGCTATTATCTTTCAACCGGCAACACGAGTTGCTAGAAATCGCGCAGAAGTGAAGTAACTGCAGTAATTTACTGCCTCAAGGCCGGACGAGGAAAGTTCATTTTTAAGGTGGAATACTGAAGAGCGTCTAGTAGACTGATTTCTTCAGGAAGAAGTTCTTCAGTAAAAATTGTAAAATATAAATTAAAATCTTATTCATGAAAAAATGATTCGTTAATCCCTTCGAGACATATTTATTTCAAGTCCGCGTTAAAATTTGTTAAAGAAGTGGAAGCTGATCTTTTTTCTGAACATTCAGGGTTGGCGCAGGAAAGAATGAGGAATATAAGGTAATTCAAGTATCTCTAAGTCCGTAAGGAGACTCTCCGAGGGAGCAGTCAAAACAATCTTAAGACATTTAAACTATCACGTGCTCAGCGCGCTCAGTCGGGTTATGTTCGCTCTTCCGTGGATCGGGGATCGTAGCCCGCGTTTTCTCCGTGAGTAGAACCGATCCGGCGTGCTATTCTTGTTGACGGCGAAAGAAATGCCTTGGAGCAGGGTTTTTGCCGTATAAAAATACTTAGGCGGCGGAACTGCTTTACGAGCAGATTTATGACACCCTTCAAGAAAGTCTGTATATAAAAAGACTGCTGATATAATTTTTAATCTTTTCATTATTTTTAAGTCTTCGAAATTCAACTAATTACTTCTTTAAGAAATTACTTCTTTATTTAATAAACGAATATTCATCAATGGAACGGCGAAAATGAAATCGACTGAAAATGAGTATCTTCAAATTGCCTTTTGAGAACAAGAAATGTAGACAAGTAATTCTCGTAGAAATAGAGGCGAAATTATGGATAGTGTATGCCGCATAGAAATACTGCGTTTGATAACTCAATAACATAGAAATAATTGTCCCGAAAACATTCTACGAAAGGAACTACCTAGGTATATTTTGAAACATATCTATCTGAAGAACAACAATGTTAAACAGCTCGCTGATCAGAAAATTAGACAATGTACAATAAGTGGTATGTAAACGATATGCACGAGTTGAGCAAGTATTGCAAACATATGAACGTTATTCTGAGCAAGGGTTCACAGCCAGCAATGTAACATCGCCGATGCTAAATTCCATTGATTAGAACGTCGAGTGTAATAAAAGAACGTCGAGGAATACTTCTTGGCAGCCGCGTTTCTATTCAACATGGCCGCCTTAGATAACATTCCTTGAAGCTGCTTTATTTTTTGAAAGAGTAATTTCTAACCAGAGTTCTCTCTGTAGAGTTCAGCAATCAACGCTTGAAATTGCCAGTTCCAATGGACACATGTTTTCTCTCTGAAATGTTGGCCATGGGAAGAGGTAGTTCCAATTTTTGATTGTCAAAAAAACGCTTGCAAGCGCCTCTGTCGATCGTGCCAGACTTGCCGGGGCACTAGCTTGAAGGACTGAGGGCTCTCTAAGTAAAGTCAGCCTGCTCCATACTAGTTCCACGCTCGGTACTGGTAAACTGTTTTTTATTCTTTTTTTGGCTATTTAGCCAAGATGTTTAGAGGGAGCTGCGTTGGATCCGCCGTTTTGCGAGTTTATAAAGCGAGTTTCGGATCGCGATCGCCCAAAAACACGGCAGCTAAGAATGTCCAACCGCCGTTGTATTTTTGAAGCCGTCAACGAGCCCCTTCTCTCCATTTCTGACCCTACCTGATCTCTCTATCCGCTAATCATTTTGTCTCTCTCGAGCAGGGACGGCACTAGAAGATAACTTTTTGGATGCACTTCTGCCGCGCTCGACCAATGGAATTCGTCTTCAAGACACGAGGTGCGCCTCATCTGAAGTGGCGCCCCTTTTCTCTCTCTTCCCTGTGATTCTTATCACTGGAAATTGAAGATGGAGATGATTTGTCGTTTGCAAACGATCGAGTTATTGTCGGGTGAAAGCAAAGGACAACAAAACGAGAAACAAGGTGGCGAATTCTCGATAATTTCGTTCGGGCGGAGAGTTTCTGCTCTCCTAGATCTCTTCGTTTTCTCTGAGTAGGTCTCTTGGCTGTAAGTTATGAAACTTTGCCAGTTAAAAAAAGTGATAGCTATGCCATGTGCCAAGCTTCAGCCAATCGCAGAGAGTAAGAACTGTTCTGACTCAGCGATGTCTTCTTGAGCCAATCGGCGGCGCTAAGGAAGCTGTTATTCTTGTCTAACAGACATGTCAAGTCCAACAAGCATCTCTTGCTCTGCTGGGAATAAGAGAGATGATGCATACTCGTGTGGAATTGGCTTCTGTATTCAAATTGATGACAACGAGGACACAAGAAGATTCACGATTTTCAACGCGAAAGTTTTGGATGTGCGGTTTTACGCAAACAACAAGGTAGGCTGTTCACTTTATTCTGGGTGGAGAATATTTTTGAGAATATTCACAAAGTCGAAAACGTCAGTAAACTTATTGTACATCGGGACAGGTGCAAGGCGAATGCTTCCTGGCTCGCGGAAATCGCAGACCACACCGTGTTCTCTTAGATCCCGAAACACTGCCTTCGGCTCTGGCTTCCCGCTTGTCAGAGTGAAGCTTTTCTGGTGTCAATCAAATTCTTAATTGCCAAAGAAACTACTAATCCATTTCGGTTTATCTATCATTCTAGTTAGACACTTTCCTTACTTGACATCCTCTACTATCGACATCAGTATGTGGAGTAATGAAGGTGATTCGTGATCCAACAACTGCTCTCAAGAGTGATATAAGGTAACCTGAAAGGAGTTTTCCCACCGCTTCGAATTGACTCATTGAATGTCTGTTGAAAACTAAAATTAAAAAATTATATCAATTGCTATTCGCGCAAGAACTACGTTCTAATGGTGCGACTAGCGTCGCCATTTGAATAGGAGGTGGGTTACCAAGTCGAAACTCGCTTATTCCACCAGAACCGTCCCAATTGTTATCCATCTTGAAATAAAGCCTGTTAAAAATTAAAACTAAAAAGCAATTGCCTTGAAGCGGGAATCAAGCTTGTGTCCCCACCAGCCTCTTGATTTTATCAGCGCTAAATAAAGCTTCATATAAAGAGTTCAAAATGAATTCTTACTTTTTGCATCAATTGAGGAATGGAGAAACGCTCCACCAACAGTTCCGGGACTCCCATTCAAATACTTATATCCGCACCAAACGGCAAAATCAGCTTTCCAGTCATGCAACTTTAATTCTATATTTCCAATACCGTGTGCACAATCTCGTGTCAAGTTCAGCAAAAAATATCTTCTCGATAAATGACTTTTTCATCTTTATTTTTTGCTAAGAACTTTTCCTAGTCCACAATAGGCTCCAACATTATGGGCTGCAGAGATGATTTCTTCAATATTGAAAACTTGACCGGTAAAATATTGAACAGGTGGCCAAAGGACTAAAGCTAATTCATCACCAGTCTCTTCGATGGCGTGCAGAATATCTTCATGATCCAGAGTGTGCCTCCCTTCTTTTGGACTGATTTCCATAAGGCATTCATCTTGAAAATAGAGGATTTCAGGATCTATAATTTTTGAGTACCTGGGTCAAGCCCTGCTAGTTCAATTCTAGAGGCCACTAGATAGTAATCCGAAGGAAAAGCATGCTTCTCAATTATAATCTTTCGCCGTCGTCCACTTGGCTTATAGAATGCAAGCAGAAGAAGCTGAAGATTAACACTGATCGTTGTTCAAGCTTGAAATCAAGGAAAAAAATCTCAATTTTTATTGAACCGATCCTGAGGCTATTCATTAAAGCAACTTCGCCAGCTTTGGCGCCTACAATCGGCAATATAAGATTTTGTATTTCCTCATCACAAAGAGCGGCAGGAAGATATCCTTGAAAATGGCAATTCATCCCCTTTACTTTCCAGTTTTCTAAAACTGATGTTATGTGGCTCGCAGTCGCTTTTGGTTGACATCCTAGAGAATTCCCGTTAAAGTCTTAGACGGCGATACTCTTTGGGTTTTGCTTTCATATTCTTATGGAAGTATAGCCGTTCATATTGCTTCCTTGTTTTCATCATCAAATTGTTTGACGAGGTCTTTGATTTTGGGGATAAAATAGTGTCCCCGCAAGTATCCCAGGGGATTCGTTTCATCCAATTTCGCCGCGAATCCGCGCGTCCGATTCTCTAAAAATGCCTCTCACTTCTAATGAAACATATGCTCGACTTACCAGATGTCACGCAACCTTCGTGAACTGCATCATCAATCAAAATTTCGAGATCGCGAATTTCCGCCGTCACTTCTCTCATTGTTGTTCCCGGCACTTTGATGAGGAAAGTATTTTTCCAATCAGAAGTTTCTGCTAGAATTTACGGCTGTTTTGCGATGAGAAATAATAAACACTCCCATTTGTTATGTCTCATAAAAAATCTAACTTGGTTGAGATTGTTGATGTAGATTGCCTTGTTTCTTGCCAGAGTTGTTCTTTTCATAGAGATTGTACAGTTGAGCGTTAGATTTTCTTAATGATCGAAAATGTCCAGGCTCTAGACTTATTTCGCATGAGCGCGTGCATTCGATTATGCAGATGCTTCTGGCCGCGAGGAGATCACAGAATAGGCCAGTCGGGTTTCATTGATACCCTGCAGTGATGTCAAAGCCGCTCGCCGCGGGGTATCGCAGGCACCCGCACTCCGCCCGTCTCCGTTTTTGTAATCGCTCTGGGGCAAATCTCACTGACCCTCAGGCGAGTAAACGAGGTCATATTGATGCGCGCTCTCCAATTTGCTCCATATCTTGTGTCCCGTCGATATTAAGAAAAGAAGGATGAAAGAATCGCAGTTAGCGGCCACTCGGCTTGACCCCCTTTCTCCCCAAAATAGGTTAGCTGAGTGTGCTTGACACGATTACGAGTCACACGGGAAATCCGACGAGAAAAGTAAACAAGCCTGCTCTTTGAAATAATTCGAGTATCATCGCCTAAGCAATCCTTCCAAAGCAGTCTCTTCTAGTGAAATCATGTTTTCTTGCCTTTTGAAAGTGACATTTTGGATTCTTGCGCAGTGAATTTCTTGCGTCGAATAATTCAGAATAAATTCTTTCCGCCAAAAGTTGTTTAATGTTAGCGCAACGTCCGCTTCGGCGCTATAAATAAGAAAAGCCTGTTTATTTGGCTTTAGCTCCACCAGTGCACCACCTCCGGAATCCTTTCTTTAATTCTAGAGCCGTTTATATAGTCGTTTAAAGATATTGGACACGAATAACTTTTAAGAGAGAAGATTCTTCTTGTTAAAGGTAACTTGGATTGAATTTCAATATAGGATGATCACGGGGAGCATAATCTCTATCATCTATTCGAGCGTTAAATACCCAGAATCTAACATCGCACGAGTTTTCTAGCAGTTGCTTGTTGAAGTTGAAATTTATGAGAAAAAACGCTTGATCGATTCTATCGAGGCGCATAACAAAGAGTGACTAAAAAGAAATAGAGAACTGATAAGATGGGAAAGAAAATCAGTGGGGCCTAAAGCGAAGGAGCAATTTCGATAAAACGGAAAATTTGGAACAATAGAGTCTTCAAGCGCTAATGAGAGATAAAATGTCGTGACACAGGAGCTCCGTCCCGACGTTTTTAGAGATACCAATCCCCGAGTCCTGGAAAGTTATTTATTAAATAGCGCACGAATTCCAGATCTGCGATGCGATTGAAATGTTTAACTTTGGTTTTGAAGGAAAAATGGTTGTGGGGAAGTAGCCAAGGCCCCGTCTAAGAATACTTATTTAAAAAGTGACAGAAAGTTCGATAATTTAGCGGTCATCGGCATCGACATAACATAAATAAATAAGGCGCTTGAATTTATTCAACATAGTGCGCTCGAAAAGAGGGATGGCGATAGAAAGGAAAAGTGACAGAAGGCCCATGATGAGAGGCCGGGCATGTGATCGATTTCTGGTTTTGACTTAAAAAGAATATAGAGCTGGAGCTGGGCGCTAAATAACGCGCCAACTCCTTAATTCCGAGCCTCCATTTTCTCCCTCACCGTGTCTGGTAAAGGGAGTGAGAGTTATAGAGTGTGGTGATCGATCCGGGGCGCCAGCGGGATCACGGCTAATTCGTCTCTTAGAAGAATGATACTCAACCAGTGGTAGAATTCGAACACAAGAATCCACTTCGAGATCTTACCCCTCAAGAACACTCAGAGAACCTCTTCATCACCTGCTGATCAACCATTTTAAAGAAACTCCGGAAAATCGACCTTCGATATCAAGCTAGAATTTTAACTCTAGAATGATTACAATTTTCAGGATAATCTCCACTTTGTAATAGAAAAGTTATTTCCAAAACTCAATAAAAGCTCGTATCGAAATCTCAAGAATCTAAGGGCATTGATCCGTATAGAATATTTATGATATGTTTCGAACTTCGATGAAATCACAGAATAAGCGCTTCAGAGACATTTCGCTTTGCTTTTCTAGACTCACTTTTTGCGAATTTCAATTTCAAGATATTGACCATATTGTACTCGTATATATGATTTTGTTTTGTGCTTGTGGAAGAGACTTTCTGTACGTAGAGAGAGGGCTAGAAAGAGATATCTATTTTCCAGTAATTCTTGGCGAATGAAAAGACTTAAACTCAGCATCGATCTGCGCTGATTTGCGAGACAATAAAAAAGAAAGGCCCAATTTGTCGGAGAAATTTTATGGTTCCCGGGGAATCGATTTCCCCCTTTCAATTTTCGAAACGAATTGGACACTCGCCTCTGGCGTCAAACATTTGCGCTCATTTTGGGAACGAGGGTTGCACGCAGCACGAAATTTCTTCCCACCATGAGGCCTGACTATTCTTTGTTGGGCTGAAATCAAGGAAGAAACTTTCGTAAAATTAACGCTGATTAACTAATTTTGTTGAACGTTATCGTTGACGATCTGGGCGCAGCCGGTTATCGCTGAGTCTTTCTTTCTGAGGAAATTCTACACTTTCCCATGGACTTGAATCATTCAAGTTGAATCTCGTTATTGTCTGATTTCGAGAGTCGGCGACATCTCGGCACGCACGGCCGACGATTCTAGTGATAAGAGCAGTGATTCAACCGAAACGGTGAAAGCAGTCTCAGTGAGAGTGCGATAGTTCTTTCAACTAGCGGACCCAGGCTATAGATCATAAAGCTTCGCCCGGATCAATTTAAAACGTGATAAATTCTCATCAATGACCTTGTAAAACTCGCATTTTCGGGATGGCATTGATATACCGAATATTTTCAAGCACGCTGGAATCAAGTCAGATGCATTTGATGATTCAGCTCAATCTTTTTTCCCCTTTTGCTGAATGCACCATCTTCGCGTGATGTTTGATTCTTGTAGAGTGGTAATTAGAATTGGTGGGGCCTAGGTGAATGCAGTAAGCAAATTATTTTCAAGAGACAGAGACCACTCGCCTGAGGCAGTTTCTGTCGGAGATTTTCCCCTGGGGATACAATCCTTCTTCACCGCGACAATTTTTCTTGCAATGCGTCGCATCGATCGACGAATATGCGATCGAGCACCGTCTCAAAGCCACAATTGATTCAAGAGAAATGCGCCTCGGATGAATTCAAGTTACTAAACTTATCTACTCTCCCTTTTTTCTAGTGATTTCCAAGAAATGACAGAAAGTATTTGCGCTAGGATTTTATTAAGAGTTTATTCTTACTAAGTAAATGACTGCGTACTAAGTAGATGATGACATTTACTATTGAGAAAAGTGCTATGATTCAGGGATCTGTATTCGAATGCAAATTTCTAGGCTCACAGTGGGAGACTTAAGGCTGGCTCGAAAATGCGTGCCCTTGAAATCTTGAATTTGTCGGGTAGATGCGATCACCTGCGGCGCGTTTGCTTTGGAAATTTGCATCTCCCGCCGAAGCTATCAGCTGGATATTCAAAAAAAAGGGCTGGCCTAGAAATCGCCTGGGTTGACGGACACCCGCCGAGAGGGATTGCTCCCACCGGCTCTGTCGCGCCACCATTGTAATGGCGCTAATTTCAAAAGCTCACTATCTCTCAGCCAACTGACAGTATAAAACGGCTACGGTGCTAGAATTTCCAAAGCCCAGCACAACTGATTAAATTATTCATAGAGTTTTTTTTTTAATATTATTTTCTTGAGAGATTGCCACAACTGGAACAAAAAAGTTGATCAGATTAAATTTTGAGATCTACTCAAAAACCAAACAGGTTAGTCGGGCAGACAGATTCAAAATTTAGGCTCAATAGAGCCATTCTAGGCTAGGATTTTGGACTTTGAGGCGCAGATTGATAGAGAAAATCGTACGAGAAGGACGCTTTTATGTTTTTATTTTCCAACGAAAGTGGAATCGATTCCAGGAGGCTGATTCCAAACTATGTCTTGAATCACATAAATTCGGATTTCAGCTATGATCATTCGGTAAGCTTATCGGTTCAGGGGGAGATGAAATGGAGGGAAAAATTGATTCTGATCAAGAAGAATCCTTTTTCGAAATATTGTAGAAAATTGCAAGAGCGCATTGGAGGCGGCTTTCTTGAGCTGATCTCAGGTTCTAGAGTGAGCTGATCCCCAAATCCTCCTTCCATCTCAAATTTTCTGTCACGAGCCTCCGCTCGAACTCTTATGTTCTACAAATTTGACTAAAACTAAAAATTGACTTTCTAAAAGTTTTTTTCTTGCCTCAGAAGGAATACAATTGTAATCGTTATTACGGAAAGCGCCCAAAAGACTGTGTCCCATAAAATTTGCCGTTTACTCATCCGCGCTAGAATCAAACAAAAAAAAACGAGCTAGTCGTAAAGAGCTACATAGGAGAGAGAAATAACTGCGCGAAGCTTGTCAATAATATAAGGTTAGTTCCAGAGCCAGGATTTGACGAGTTTGAGATGGAAGAGTTACTTCCATTCAACAAAAATTTTGTTTGTTGAGGAAGCATTCGTTGGAGAAATGAGGGTCAGTCGTTTTCTTAGAATGTTTTTGGCGGGTGAAAGAGTGCTCGGTTTGCTTGAGTGAGTGCTAGAGCACTAGTAGGTAACTTCCTTTCGTTGTCCAAACAATACAATACTCTAGCAGTATCATCCATTTTCGCTTTTGGGGGTGAAGTTGCCCGGGCCTCAAACGTGTTTCCAAGAGAATCGTTTAGCTTTTCACGCAACTTCTCCAACTGTTCTAGCCCCAAGACATTATGTAATCACACGTGGCTTGGGCACACCACCGCGCTCGTTCTAGAGCTTTGTTTGAACAAAAAGAGAGAAGGGCACACAACACACTAGGGCTCTAGCCACTGGTAACTGGTTTCGAATATTATTTAGAGAAAACATCTTCAAACTTTTTCTAATTCTGAGGAGTCGAATCTACCGGTTCTATCATTAGGTTTACTTGCTTACGCTAGCCAAAATGGCTCAGTTAACCACAGTGTGGTTGGTGAATTGTTTGGACCAAGGTGAGATATTTCCGTCAATCTTTGTCCAAACAAAGCACTAGAATTCGCTTGTATTTCCAAATAAATTAACGGGCCTTCTTCCTTTTTCAGAGAATCAAACAATTTATCTAGGTCGGATTTTCAACTATTTTTCCTCAATTATTTCACCGATATTTGCAATAGCTTATAAAAAATATTTCAGAAAATGAACACAATGTCGCTCGTCCCGCAAATCTCACAGCATGAAACTGGCCACGCAAACAGTCACAGCAGCCTCAACGGAAATGCATTCGTCTCCATGAGTCCCCACAGCCACGTCCGCACGCTCGAATTGAAGAAAAATCAAGGTCCCCTCCCGTGTCCCGAGTGCGGAAAGCTCTTCGCGAAGGAATTCGATATCAAACGTCACATGTACACTCACACCGGAGAGAAACCTTTCAAGGTAAATTTGATTCGACTTCAAATCTTATAGTTTTTTCGAATAAGCCCAAATTTTAATTTTGTTTAATTGAAGCTCGCATCATATCTTGTGCGCGCTAAAATTCTAGCCCGGAAGTGTTCAATCATTCATAATGGCCCTCAATTATCGCGCAATGTTCCTAGAGCTCTTGAATTTTTAAAATTGCCGAATTTCTCATAATTTTCTTCAGTGCGACGTTTGCGGCCGTGGCTTCTCCCAAAAATCGACTCTCAAGGTGCACTACAACATCCACACTGGAGATATGCCATATAACTGTCACCTCTGCGGCAAGAAGTTCCGCCAAAAGCAAGGATTGAACGCACACATCAAGGCTAAGCGCTGTCAAAGTGGACCCGGTCAGCGAGGGGATCCCATCGGCGCTCGTATCAACCAAAGCAGTAATACCAACATCGGTGTTAGCCTCGTTGTTCCTCCCGCTGGTCTAACTTCTCCCCTTGGTCTTCAGAATCCTCCACTGGGACAATGCAGCCCTTCCGTTCCGCCCACATACGAGCTCGCGCTAGAAGCCATCAGGAAGATCACCCAAGGACAGTTCTCGCAATTCAAACTCAATCAGACTGGCGACTCCGAAACAATGAGCAATTTCCTGAAGCTACTGACTCCCCGAGATCACCTTGGCCGAGCAAACAGTCCGACATGCGAAATCGAAGAAATCTCGACTGCTACAATCGAAGAGTGCCAGTCGCCGCGCGCCTCAAGCTCCGACAGTGACGAGTTCAACTCTTTGTCCACGGTGATCGACAGTGCCAGTGATGATACCCTTTCGACGAAAAGCGAAATCACTTCGAATGAGATTAGCGAGATCATCACCAACCTGCCGGCTCCAGAACAAAGCGACAACATCGGACCTATCCGAAGGCGCAACCGACGAAAGCAAGGTAAGATCGGTCTTAGACCCTTTTTCTTAATAATAAAAAGTGACCGTTTTTTAAAAAAATTCTTAGCATGTCCTTCTCGAGTTACTGACACCGCCTGACCGTCTTCCAGAAACAACCGACTATCCTCTTGGACCCTTTGATTTCTTGCCATATATTTATCATACGTCAGCAGCAGTATTATCTTTCGCAGAAAAACTTATTCTCGCTCTGAACCACCCTCTGCACATTTTTTCGCGCCGAACCTTGAGTATCAGTTTCCCCTGCACATAACGCACCTACCCAGTATTGCCCTATTCACACCTTCTTCCTCACGCCACTTTTCTTCCAGGCTTCATCATCAGCTCATCAGTATTATATCGTAAAATAGCTTCCAATAGCTAGGAATTTTTTTCTTCCTTGACTTTTATCACTGTTGTTTTGTAACATCGAACTAGCAAAATTATTTTATTATCACGTTCGCCCTGGTTTGGCTATACTCACTAAATTGCTACTATTTAAAATGAACCCTGTCTTCCATTGAGAAATGAGCTTCCATGACATGCTTCCATTGGATATAAATTCATTACGAAATAAAACAACAAAAAAAAAGAAATGAGAATTCTCTTCATTGATATCAACAAAGTACGCATCTTCGCAGCAGTGCATTCTTATTGCCACTAAGGATTGCCATCATACTTGCAATTATAGATATTAAATAAAATCTGCAAAAAAAGGAAAATCAAGAATATTCAAGAGGTGTTTATTTTTAAACATTAGCCGTGCAGTTGTCCAGAAATTCTATTTAACCATTCAACACGCTTTAAATATCTTCGTCTCCATTGATTCTCCACTCTTCCATACTGGTGCCTTCGCTGATGATTCGTTATATTATAAAGCGTTCTAAAATATTAGTGAGAAGGAGCTTCATCTTTAAAAAAAAAGTCGAGCTCTGTTACAGAAATTTTCTTTACCTCAACTCGGCAACATGTCTTCTTGGATCGTAACCATCTTGTCTGCGATCTTTGGGGTGTATTCCCAAATCAACGGCCCTAGTTTCTTATAAACAGGGAAAACTTCAAAAAAGTAACCTGTATGAAGGATGTCCTTTGCAAAGTTGGTGAGGCGTGATGGACGGATCACTTCCCAAGATATCAATGAAGTCATAAATTCCTTCGTATGCCTTTTTGTTTGAAAATGGATCTTTTCTGACTTTCCATGGAATTCCTTTTTCGAAGGGATAATTTTGCACGCTCGAAGCTCTGTAGTAAGACTTGAGTCTCAAGTTAATATCACCTCTTTCCTGGTGTTAGCTTTATTTCTTGCTGAATGAACTTTCCGTTGGGTTGTTTGAGATTGATAGTCTCTTTTTTGAAGTGCTTATCCGAAACAAAACGATTGTTGAACTGGTTTCGATCAGGAGCTCTTGCTTCCGAGTAAGTACTACCTTTCTGTAATACCCACTGTTCAGAATCAATGTCGTGCTGATAAAAGGCTATTGTGTGTTCTTTGACTTTTTTCTTCAACGTAATTATCAAGCCTTTTCCTTTGCAATACTATCAGGTACAGGGACATTCCTCGCACGCCGCTGATGGTGAGGATATGTTTTTACTCCAGCAACCCGAGAACTCGTCCCAAAGAACCTCCGACCGATTCCCGTTATCCGATTCATTCTTACAACATTTCGCTATTTTAACTAGACTAATACACTTTCAATTTGAAAGGTTCAAAGTCATCAAAGGAATCGGCAATTGTTTTTGAAATGGCAGGATTTTATATTTCTGCAGTGAAGTAGGAAGTGACTAAAGTAGTCTACATTGCAGGACTACAGTGTTTTCCATGGTGAAGAAAATAATGGAAGGTATAGGTAGATAAATTGTGTAAAATGAAGTGATGTGAATATTCAGAAAAAACCTTCTGCAGAAGATCGGCTTGATGCTCCTTCCCAGTCATCTTCAGGGGAAGCGCGTAACCTCGGGATGGTAGATTTCGAGGTCTTTGGGCTGTTTGAGCTTCATTATGAATTGGAAACGAAGCTGTCTTCTTGCGGACTTGGTGGTCCTCAACTTCAGTACGGGATCTCTTTGACATTGCTCGTCGCGAGGGCATGGTAGAAACTATTTTGGGTAGTTATTCACGAGAAAACTCACACACGAACAAACTCACCTGAATCTTTGGATGTACAAGAACTAGTCGGCGGTTCTTGATACGTTTTTGAGAGATCAATTGCCCCTTCTTTTGGGTCTTCTTTTTTCTTGTCTTTCTTCGGTGTTCTGGCGGAATATCGCACGGAGAAAAGGGTTCCGCATCGCTAATGAGTACTCTGCTAGACTGAACGGTATAAGCTTCTGCAACGTTTGTAATTTGTCTGAAGAGTTCGTCGCGGCAGGCGATGAAAGCTTGCCGAGTAGAATCGATGTCCGTTTTCTTCGCATCATAGTTGTAGTTGATGTTGCACAAGGGATCCTGCTCCATCCAATCGAGCTCTTTACTTTCTTTTTCTAGACTTTTCTCAATCGTTGAGATCTGAAGAAGATGACTTTATTGATCGCCTGAAATATTCGTTTACCTTATTCAATACACCGGCTGAATGCAGGAGTGCAGTAAGTTTACGTTCACTATCGTGCTCCAGTTTTTTTAGCTCCATCTCGCGCTGCAGTTGTACAGCGTCTATATAGTCTTGGTATTTTCTATCGATTTTATTCTTGAGGTCCCCCACGGTCTTTTTGAAAAACTCAGCTAGGTTCTCTTCCCTCGTGAAATCGTGCGACAACTCAACGTGACGCAGACTCTCTCGGCTAAGAAGATGTCTCCCAAAATCTAAGCATCCTTGCACGCGGTCTTGAAGTTTACGACATTTTCTTTGATGTAATTCCATTCCATCTGGTGACGGCTCAGTCTTTACGCAAACATTGGCTCTGGTTTCAAATGATTGAATCCCCGCATCATCCATCGCTCCACTTTCAGTCGTATTTAGAGTAGAATTGCCGTTTGAATTTGGAGGAGCTCTCTGCATCGAGTGAGCTTCGCTGATGGCACTTTGAAAATTCAGGTTAGCATTGAAATTTCTTCGAATTTCACTGGTAACAGAAGCAGCAATTGAACTTGTGCGGGTGATAGCTCCTCCCCACTCGGCTGGTGGTATTTTGGTAGAATCCTACGAAAATTCATAACACGGTTTTCGGGGAAAAAAAATAAACCTTTTGGCGCTGGCGGAGTTTGTGCATTGCTCTCTCATGAGGAGTCTCGCGGGTGTTTCGAATAACAGTCTCTTCGAACGACCCAAAAGAGGCTCCTTGATCCTCAATCCCGCTTTGAGGGGAAATCATTGAGCTGTTCGCAATAGGACCACGAAAAGAATTACTAGCAGCGGTTGATCTTTCCAAAGGTGGGGTGATGCATTCTTTTGTCATTATTTCTTTTGAATTTGTATGATTTACATCCGGGAGAGACTGTAGGTCTGTCATATCTTCATCATCGCTATCTAAAGGCCCGTATTCTAATTCAGGTCCTTCTGGGGGTAGTGGATTCTCCGCGAGAAGACGGAGTTCCTCGTCAGCGTCCATCTCTGCGAGATCGTTCTGTTCATCTATGGCGAGGATGTCTTCCTCTGTAGGCGGTTCAGATGTGTTCAGTGCAAACTGACCCATCCTTCGAACACAGATATTCTCTAAGAAAAAAGTCTTGACAATGCGTTCGCTGAGGATTTTATTGAAGAGAAAGATAAAACAAAAGGGTCGCATTTTATCTGAGCTGAATAGGAAATGCTTGCTAAATTGAAAAGCTAAAATAGAAACTAATAAGTTAGTGTCATTCCCCTAAGAAGACAGGGATCGCATTTAATACAGTAAGGAATGACAGTGGAAAGTATTGAGTTAATTACAGTCGTTGGCAATTGTTTGTCGTCGTAGTTGCGCATAAAGCTTCTTGAATGAGGGTCGGGAGGCTTCATCACGCTGCCAGCAGGTTTGAATTACCTCCCAGGTTTCTTCAGGGCAGTCCTAAAACAAATGACGAACTGAAATAAGAAAAGTGTCTTACCGAAGGTCTTGGTAACCAGGGAACCATTCCGCAAGTGATGGTGGACTGGTCTTTGTAAAGAGCAACCATTCGCTGAATCACCTGCTCGTCTGACAACATCTCCAGTGGCCGCTCTCGACACAATATGTACACTTAATTAAAAGCTCAGAAAATTCAGAAGTTGTCTAAGTAATACCTTCGTAAACAGTAACACCGAAACTCCAGACATCTGACTTCGTCGTAAAGTTGCCAAGAATAATTGATTCCCATGCCGACCAGCGGATGGGCATCACAACATTACCAGTGACTTTGAAATAGTCTTTCGAGTACAGATTTCGTGACATTCCGAAATCTCCAACGCGAACACGCAGACCGCGCCCAACAAAACAGTTTCTTTATTTGAGTGAAGATTAGAGTTTTTAGCATTTGATCAATTGGACATTACTACAGATTTATAATGAAAATAATTCCAACTCAATGCCTAGCGGCTAAATCGCGATGAACGACGCGGACAGACTCCAAGTACTCCATTGCGGCTGCAATTTGTACTGAGACATCGAGCAGAGACTTGTACGAAATAAATCCGGGATCATCAGAGTCACAGTCCTCACACGTCAGCCTTCTTCTCAGGTACTGACGAAGATCACCGTGTTCGGAGTAGCCTGACAACAGCGCTGGTATGTCAGGAATCACGGCCAAAAGAGGGAGAATATTGCGATGGCGGAGACCATACATTAAATTCGCTTCTTCCAAGAAAATCTTTTTCGTTTCAGGAGAGGAGTTGTTCTTTAGCCGCTTTAGAGCTGCTAGAACCTTCAAATTCGGTGTAAGTTTTGGGATTTGGTCGAAGACGAGTTACCTTGGTCGCACCAGCCGGCAAATCGGACCTATCAAGTCGTGGGAAGCAGTTAATCGGCGCCTCGACAAGCATAACTTCACCAAATTCTCCCTAAAGTACATTTTAACTTAACCGCAGCTACAGGGCCCGTGTAAAAACGATGACTCACCGCGCCAAGCTCTTCAAGAGCTTTAACATGCTCCGCTGCAATCGTCGGTGGGGGTTCTTTCGTTCGAAGAGCTTAATCGAAAATCTATGCCTGAATTAAAGGAGAGTATAAATACCTTCTGGTGAGGCGTAACGAATCGTTCCAACTGGGCCGTATATTCGGCGACTCTGGTCGCGGAAATTTGCTGGGGGCTCGTAAATTGGATCATCGTTAACCTGAATTCTCATATCATCAACATTCAATTAGATTTGATCTTACTTCAGGGGTAGGAATTAAAGGCCTCCCAATGTGACTTTGGTTGGAAGGCTGTCTTCTGTGTGGGGAATAGGCAACGGGGGCGGTGCGCCGGCGATCTTGTTGAGGAATTTGGTCCTGAATGTAAAATGAGATTTCCAATTTTCCTCCAAGTTTGAATTTTCAAAAAAAAAAACGAGCACTGAGTGTTTCATGAATAGCAGAATGCACGAGACAAGAGCATGTTTACACCACTACATGATGAGTTTTTTTTTTGCGCACGACTTCGGATCAGTTATTGAAATCGATGAACGTGATTGTGTGTGATTTCGCGAAGAGGGGATTATTGTGAATGATAAACTTACATAGAAGTTGCGCGGTGTAGCATAACGCATTTGATTCTGAATGTATAATCACCAAATGTCACCATCTTTCATTTCCCGAACAGCTGTCAGAGCGAGAGAGTACACCAAACGCTCGTTAAAAAGGCCTCATCAAGTGAACGTTAATTCCTGGTAATTTGACCTTTACGGAGGCCATTGAATCATCAAAATGTGATGACCGTGACTCTTCCCCACTTTCGGGAAATGAAAGATTATTCACCAAGAGATCAATGTTATCAGCTACTTACAGGCAGCGAAATGCCTCTAGGAATGAGGTCCACATTTTGCGTCATCAGGGGCTGCGTATGGGGATAAATTGGGGAGCAAGCACGTTCTCGGCCGGTCGCGTAGTCCGGAAAATCCTGCTGCCGTTTTCTCCATATCAAAATACAGGCAACGAAAATGACGACAATCAACGCGCCTACAATGCCAACAACTATCCCTGCTAACGTTTCTGGACTAGAACTAGCGGGTGTTACACCTTCTTCGCTCTTGTAAAGGACCGTCGGGGTGATGCTTTCAAGTTCGGCATGTATTTGATCCCCGGCGACTATCGTGGCGATTCGAACTTTCTCAATATTTGAGGGGAAGCGAATCGCCAAACGTCCATCCTGGTTCTCGTCAAATTTCGCATGCCAGAGGTGAGTAGTGTCGTTTTGCTCGAAAAGAACAGTCTGTTGGAATTCTTGCTTGTGGATTTGATCGCCTACAGCGTACTCAGAGTTAAACTCTCGGCTCTGTTCGTTTTGCCACTCAAGGTGTCCTTGGAAAGCCAGTTCCTTGAAGGAGTTTCCGGTGCCGATCGGAGCCACCACAAGGATGTCGTGCTTAGTCGGGTTGACAATCAAAACTGAGTATCTACCAGATTTCGGCATCGAGTCACCCGTCATCGTATAAGTAATTATTTCCTCGGATGTAAGGTAAAATTTGACATATTTGAGCCAGATGTGACAGTTATTTTCTTTGTGGAAGGTGAGATCGATAGAGTTGTAGCCTGTGTTGCTGCTGTGCCCAATTTCGAAGATGGTTGTCCTGTAGTTCGTGAATTCGGCTTTGAATTCCTTTTCTTCTGGAACTCCTTTTCCGTGCTGCAACATGATCTTCACATCAGTGAATCCCGAGTGCTCCCCATTAGCACTGTCGATTCGCCAGTTCACATGAATTTTCTTTATTTTGAGGTAGGTTTTCGTGTTGGGCTTGTTCTGGTAAAACTCAAAACGAAAGGGTGTCCATTCTTCCTGAAAACTCCCAAATCCAAACTCAAGATCCACATTTCTGGGGGTCGAAACGATCATGGGTGTCGGCAGAATGATTTGACTTTCTCCACATGCGAAGAATTCAAATCTTATGCAGGCAGTCGAGCTGGATTCAGACTCTGTATCGAGGACAAGGCGCAGTTTAAATTTGTTGGAAGTCGTTTTCGTTTCTAGTCGTATGCGTCCGTTCGGCAACACCTTTAGGACATCATATCCAGATCGCGTCACGTATCGCTTGAACTCGCCAATGCTTTTTTAAAGTAATCCAGTTTGATGTATTTCGGCAAAGGACGCCCGCCAACTTGAGTAATTCCAATCTCTTCTACGGTCGTTTCCTCGTCAAAGTCTACAATAACAGTCAAAGATTAAAAATGAGAAGGTAAAGGGCTAATCTTAGTTTATGTGAAAAATCCACGAAGCATGTCATTAGCGGTTTCAGTTTCATTTTAGGGCGATGGATGACTAGAATATTTGAATTCAGTTTTATTTAAACTGGTCGGGCATTGACGAGAAACTCCACGTGAGAAACTCGCTATCTTCAAAGATGAAAGAGGTAAATATAAATGTGGTTAACTGCAAACAAACGCTAAGTACAACTCCTCAGACGAAAGAGTGTGTTTTGTGTTAGTGTTTAGAAAATGAGTGAAGGTCACTTACCAACTTGCAGCGCGTCGCTTGAGGGAGCGCACCATCCCTCTTTTTTCAGCAATTCGGAGCTGACCTTGTCCGCATTTGTGGAGATTTTAGTACAGTTTGATTTGGCTTCGCACGCCCTCAGAGAGAACAAATTCTCGCTAGGACAGGCTGCGATCGACGCTTGTCCTTCGAGCTCATTTTCGGTGCTGGATGTTAGCGCGCTCACTTCAGGAGCGTTCGTCCTGACCAACGGGGCGAGAACTGACAAAAAGTAGAACAGGAGCATTTGCCTCCTCAAGCTTCACTTCTCTGGTCTCGCCATTTAGTCTTTCACTCCCCCCACGCTCTTCCTTCAGATCCAGCTTGAGGAGAGTGCGAATCTGCGCGCCGCGTCCGTCCCACTTCCGATTGTGCTTGGGCTATCTGCCGCTGAAATTTGTGTAACAAAGTGCTCTCGCTGATAATATTTCCTTGTTTATAGCCCGCGCGTGAGTAGCCGACCACTTGCCGGGAAATGATATTGCTCGCTGTATTCATATTCAAGCAATTACAAGTTTAAGCCTCAATCAATCAAGCATTAATGAGTCATTAAAATAGATATTGTTAATTCAGGTGAACATTTCCGAACTGTTCCTGACCGCAAAAAGGAGCTAGAAAAATGGGGTTCTCAGGTGTATTCTCTGCTTCTGAGTAATCCCGGACTGGGTGGATTTTATGATTTTACTAATAGCAAACACTTGAGGTCATGGCGCTCCAGTGGAGCGTTGCACTGACTACACAAATCGAAAAAGAAAGGAAATTCTGCGTGGAGGACGAGGGACGTAAATTTCTATCGCTCGTCCGCGCTTCTAAAGCCTTCTCACTTCTAAAACAAACGGGCGAGTTTATTAACCACGACAAAATATAACGCCCCTTTGTTTTGATCTCCGGCGCGTACACAGCGATTCGGAGTGGGAAATCTAAATCCTAAGCGACATCAATTACAAAATTCAAATTCATGAGTCCAATTAGCTATTGTCTGCCACAAAGAAATTTAGAAAGAATGGATTCTAGTGTGCGAATCAGAGAAAGCGCATCATTTAAATCTTTGAGCGTTTGATGCACAATCAACGGTGACTGTATTAGCAAACTTTTGAATTGAGCACCAAAATATTCAGAAAATTTAAAAACGAAATGATAGAAATAAAACTTCGCCCTTTGAATGAAGAGGTTACACTTCCGGCTTCAAAAACGGGCTATTAACTTACCTAGCGAGACTTGGGAACGGGTCGAACTGAGTCTTCTCGGTCTCTTCTATCAGATCTCTCAAAGTTCAAGTTTCTTGGCGAAATCAAATTTCGCAGATTGACAATCAGATTTATTTTTCGCGAAAAAATGCGCTGGTGGAGTCGGAGTGGCGCGCGTAACTGCGCCGAGGGCAGCCGCAGCGGGTGACTCAGGCTTCACAGGGCCTAGTCATGCTCAATATTCTCTCTATCAATACTCAGCTCAGCACCGCCACGATTCAATTCTTCCCAGCAAATAATTATCACCCGTTTTTTCACGTATTTAGCTAGAATCGTCGTCGGCGAAATTACTTTAGAAGTTAAAGTTATTTGAAATTAAAGCTAGCAAAACTCGTAAAGTTTAATGCGCGATGAATAACACAATAGCCGCTTGATTATCTTTGTTTTGAAGTACTGTATTTTTTCAGTTATCCTATAAGCAACACTACGACCGTGAAAATCTATCGAAGTGGCTTTTCTTGATCAGAACTATGGACAATCAAAAATCGTGGAGTAGAGGAAATTAAGAAGAGGAAATTTTCAGACGTCAATTATGAATGAAAATTTCTCGCATGTCTCGAAATTAAAGTGAACGTATATTTTCTCAGAATTCTTCGAGTAAACAGTTAGACGAGTGAGCTTTGAGGAGGATGACTGAGTACGGTACAGTAGAGAAGAATGCCCACCCTCGGGTGAGATCAAGGAAGAGTAAATTTGCAAAAATGGGTAAGGATGTAAAAAGGGAAGTTAAACGGGCTAGCAAAAGTACCTTGCGAATTCAAGCCGGAGATCTCGGATCCTTAGAAATCAAGCGCACTTAGAATCCAATGATCACACAATATCAAATACAACCAGAGCAAAAACTTTGATCAATTTGTCGATAAAACGGCCAAAAGGCAAATCTTCAGCCCTAGTTATACTAAAAATCAAATCTTTCATTCAATGTCTTGAATGATGCTTTGGTATCGAGTTGTTATTGCTTATTTAAAGAGCGAGGTTGAGGTTTTCGTTACAGTAATCTTTTTCGGGATTATTGAGCGGGTTTTGATTTTTAATCGAGATCGGAGCCCACAAGAGTGGTAAAAATAAGTGTTTTCATAGAAATGAAAAACGGGAGGAAGAGCGCTGATAATAGTAAATCAAATGTGATAAAGGCAGGTATAGTAAACAGACGATAATGCAGGGATTCGTATCCTGATCCAAGATTCATTGATTTTCCGGGGATTTTACAAAGCGGGTTTTTCTGAAAGAAGATGATCGAATTCGCTCGTGCAGCAAAGGATGGAAGACAGTCGGGCCCAACAGCGCACGCGGCGCTAAAATAAAATTAAAAAAAGGTCTAACCGTTCAAGCTTACACTAGTCGAGAGCGGCTTTCCACATGAACTGCATCGAGCATTTTGAGAGGAAGGTTGAGGTTTTAAATGGTTATTCAGATCGTGGCATTTGCTCTCGCCAAGCTTAGTGATCAAAGTCGGGTCAGGCGCATAATTATTATAACGAGTGTTTTTCTGCAAACTTCTCGGCTGACTAAATGCTCAGCTACTGGATTTGGAAGAAGAAAGATGCCATACCTTTGTGGCTTCTTTTCTAAACTTGTTTTTGCAATTCGAAGGCCACGATCAAGACTCCGAGCCTCGGCCGCCTGATTCGTGGCGAAAACGAATTTAGTCGCCCCTACGGCAGATGACAATTCTTCTTCGGGGGAGCACCACCACTCAACGTACCATGTGCTCGCTTGGACGGAACGGGGCTTCGGGCGAAGAGGCGATTGATGAGCTTTTTTGTTGAAGAATTTGTGAGTGAAGTGTGGCGTTAACTCAACGACTAGAGAAGATCTGGGCTCGCGCGTTATCAGCCAACTTGGCCGGCGGAAGATGATTTTCAGCTCCGAAATATGTCTTGGAACGAGAATGTTATCATTCTGTCGATTATTTTGACTTACTTTTCTTTTTGAAAGTACCCTTTAGCAGTGCAAATAATTTCATCGTTGCTGCTTGAGTCCATTAACGAATTAACTTTGTCATCTGAATTCAACAATGCTTCATTATTAAACGCTTTTTAGAAAAAGTAAATCATTTATTTAGAAAAATAAGGCACTAGCTTGATTCAATATTTTTTGAATAAATGTCGCAGGAGATAATTGCATATTTTGATTTGATTATTTTAACTGCTATTTATTTTGAAGAAAAATCGAGAGAAAGCTGGAATGAATTATATTTGACAGTTTTTCATGCTGTTTAATTTCAGTTGAAGGGAACTTGGGAGGTTTCTTTCTTGGCGAGTACGGCGGTAGAGAAGAACTCGAGCTCGTCCATCAGTTTTTTGATATTCTTCTCTATCGACTCTTTGCGCTCTCCAACGCAGTTTCCTTGCTCGTCCATTTGGATCTGAACGTTTGGAAGCGTGACGGTAGAAGGAAGAACAGCAAGTCCGATCATTCCCAAAGTCTGTCGGAGCGTTTGCTGCGCGATCATGCCGCCGAAATTGCCCATCGAGTAAGAAATGACCGAGGCACAACGCCATCGCCAAGTATTGTACGGGAAATGATCCACAAAGTTAAGCAGCGCTGGGGAAACGCTAATCCATTTAAATCAGATCTCGTTTGAAGGAAATGTCTTACTTGAAGTTGTACTCGGCGGTGACGAAGATGAACGCGTCTTGACTGCTGAGCTCTTGCTGAAGCTGCTTCAGGATTGCTGGTGGTTCTTGATTCGGCGGGTAGAAATGAAGAGGCTTTTCGAGAAGAGGAAGTTGACTTTCAGCAGGGTCGAAAATCTTTTAAACAAATTACAACTAATATGACAGTGATTTTGTACCTTTGGAGTGTGTCCTCTATCTTTGAGAGCTTTAGCTACGTGCTCGCCGACTCGACAGCTCATACGTCCTGGTCTGACTGAGCCTAGAATAATTCCGACTTTCATTCTAAACAAAAAGATTTTCAATGCTGTCGTCGGGGGATCACTCTAAGTCCAGCTTAAAAAGTCGCAGTGAGTTTGCCCATGCCGCATCAGCCACTTCATTCGGCTCTACTTCTTTTAGCGCAGCGATAATTTCGACGATCTGTACGATGTGGCACGGCTCCGAGCGTCCTTTCACGGTATGTCCGTCTGCCCATTTCTTCGGTGCATTCTTGGTCGGGAAAGTCGTCTTGATCAGGTTGTGACCAGCGTGGGATGCTTTGACTTCGCACCAAGGGCAGTCGGTTTCTATCATCAAACGCTCGAGCGGAATGTTTTTCACTACTTTCAAGTTTTCTTGCGTTTTGAGGCTACAGCCGTTGATTCCAATGTAGAACTAAACAATTTACTGAAAGATCTAACTAAACACTAAGTTTACCTTCGTTTCATTTAGAATTCTGTCTCTCTCAGCTTCAGTTCCGTCGAATGAATGCACAACTCCTCCTGCTTCAATTTTGTCTTTGTTTCGTAAAACGATTTCAAGGAAATCCGAGAGGTGCGATAGAAAATCCGTTCAAAAGGAGATTTACTAGGGCGGACAATATTCTAGGCCTGAGCGAGAAATTGGAAGAGATCAAATCAAATATTTGAATTTCAAATATTTTCGTCGCGCTATCATTCAGAAATCGTCATTTTATTTAATTTTCATCATGATAAAAATAAAAATTCATTAAAATTCTTCTTCTCTGCGCCTTGTTTCGAAAAAGTAAAAGAAATTCATATTATGAAATTTGTATAGGATTTCTGGATATTATATCACACGGACCTTCACATGCTGCCCTCATATGGAGGAAGAGAGGCTTTCCGCTATCCTTTGAGAGGCTGATCTAGAATATTCGACTGAAATTGAAGCTCGTAAAAGCCATGGAAGATTCCGGAATCGAGTATTCCTGTTTCCTGAGCTGCCTTTCAAAATATTTCTTTTGCGTTTCTTTCTCGCAAAACTGAAGTCTATCGTAATCAAGGCCACACTCGCCAATCGCCTTTACTCGTTCATTCTTTGCTAGATCGGCAAGCATGTTAAAGTAGATCTCTGGGTAGCCAGACATTTCGATTTCGTTGCAGCGGGTTGGATGGACCCCTACCGTTGAAAATCCGCCAGGTAGTTTTTCAGCTATTTTAAGGGCGTCTTCCGAGTCGTGGTAAGTTCCACCTGTGACCAAATAACCTGAAAACTACGCTTATCCACAATGAGTTTGCGATGTGTCTACCAGAAACGCCAACGTCAGTAGCCCGCTTTATAATACGATCGAAATCATCCTCGTGCTTTCTATTTCCTCGGTATATCCCAGTAAACACGGGATCCGTTAAATTCGCGCCGATGTCAAAGTATTTCGGCATTTTACAAAGTCTGAGCGGTCGGACAATGATTACAACCGATAAACGCGCACTCTAAATTAAATCTTGTCAACGAGCTGTTCTATTTAGGATATTCGTAATCTTGAAAACCGCGCGGTCAATCCGAAACACCCCGAGGCAAATCTGCGGTAGTGTACGATTCATGCGGTTCGGCGCCCATTTTTACGAAATAATTATTTCCTTTCTTTTTCACTCGGCCCGTGCTTTTCGGCCTTTTGCACTTGTAAATAGGGCAACTATGGATTACTAAAGAGTCGCTTGTATTGTTTATTAATTCCCAAATCGGTGGAACGTGCGATTTTACGCCAATAAAGTCGAGAACGACTCTTGAATAAAATTGTTTATCTCAAAATACGCTGCTTGCGGACCCCCGGGCTCAACGGAGACATGAAGTTTCCATAAGAGAAGCTGCTTTTTTGATGACTATACGAAGAAAATGGGCACGGCAAATCAATTGATGGTAAGTTTTATCAACTCTTCTTTTTAAAAGCACTTTGTATAATGGATACTAATCGCGTGCGCATGAGTGTACCCATTCCCTAAGTAATTATCGTCTCAGACAGACTTAAGCGTGTATCTGACGACGGGAACTAAACTGATTTTTACAAAAAAGGGCTCTCTATTGTGTAAAACGGAAAGTATATAAACGGGCATAGTTAGAGTTGTGTGCCGAAAGAGCAAGAAAGAAAAAAAAAACGCTCGGCGTGTAGTGTGCTCCAGAGGGGTCATTAAACACAAGCCAAAGAGCATTTACCAGGTCTTTTCAATAGTTTTTACGTAGCCCGTGACGACCCCAACAGAATTACATTGAAAAAGAGACAAAATCGGAGTGAGAGAAACAACAATTGAAAATGAATATAATCCAACGATAAATAAGCTTCTTTTTTTTTATTCGAATGCGAATACAGCCACATGGCGAAGCTACAGAGTGAAGCTACTAAAGCGGTGGCTAGCTGTGCTGGCAGTGGATGGAGAAATCCTAATTTTGGAATTCTTACACTCCTTGGTGAGTAGCATCAATCGCCCCGCTACGTTTGACTAAGCATTGTTACGAGGCAGCTTAAATAAATTCAACGAAATTAAATATACTCGTTTGTGCACGCGTATTTATTTTTTACCACTATTGATATTTGAAATATTTCCGACTCTTTTAATATTTGAATCGTTTTCTGAGCGCAAAAATTTGCGAACTTTTAGGTTTGATGAAAAGAGACCTGGTATTTACTTTTTATAGGAGTTGTTGCTGCTCCTCAAATTGTTTTTTTTTACAAGCACTAATTATTATTGCTAGTGTTGCTGATAGCTGTCGCGCAGGCCAGTAATGGCGGCCGTTTGAAGATGAAGAACCGATTTTTTGTTCTCGTCGGCGCTAGTCTACTTTCTGTCTATTCTATTTATGCCTTCAATCATCAAAAATCACTGCCATCATGTGTTCAAACTCAAGGAACGGCTCAAAAAATTAATTCCGCTGTCTAAGTTTTTTTTGGAAAGTGTTTTCAAGCCAGATGAAGGAAGTCTATCTCCCCAGGATGAAAAAATGATCCATCTCCTTCGAATGGTGGATACGTTGGGGCTGGATGAAGTGAAAAAACTAGCCGAAGACTACCTCCATCCGTCGAACTCGAGCGGCAATGCGCAGAAAACCAAAAGTGAGAAATTCTCACTGTTGCAGCTGCATCGTTTCGACCCCTTTGTATTCGCAAGGGATCATAAAGCGGACTGTCAACGACGGCTACAACTATCTGAGCTTACGTCCGAAGACAAGGCCCAAGCCGGATTGACACCGGAACAAGCTATCGAAAGATATAAAGGTTTTCTTCGCATGCTCCCGCACATATCGTTACTGACTATTAACCTTTCTATCAAAGCATTCACTAATCAAGTTTTGATGATTACCGGAAACGAGTGCGCACAGCGCGCATTCTGGCATTTGCGGCGATAATTTTTACACCTTGATAGTCGATCAGAAAGCTGTTAATATTTTGCAATTTAAAAGTTGCCCACTTTAGTACAATAACAATTGTTGGCTCCTATTGTTTTTACGTGAGAAGAAAATGATAAAACTCTAGCGAGTTTGGATGGTATTAAATTTTATTGAGTTGGGCACGGTCAGCTCCGGTCAATTTGTCGATCATAATTGATAGTTCTGTCAGATGGACTAATTGTTTGTTTCAGGAAAATTGCCAACGTGGGAAATCAAAGAAATTTCATCAAAGAAGTTTCCGAGGATATTCTTCGCCGGCGAAGGAGCGAACAAAACACATATGCTGCCAATGAATTTAACGAATAATTTTGGATTCGATGAGCCTAGCGAGACGGAAAATAAAGGGAAATACCGGTGGAAAATCGGCGACCATTTGGCCTACCGCTACGAGCTCTTGAAGTATCTGGGCGGGGGTACATATGGAGAAGTGCTCAAGGCTAGAGATCACATGCTAGAAAAGGATGTGGCCATTAAGGTTCTCAACAATTACACGTCAATGTAAGCTTATAAATCTTGAAAAACGAGTAAACCCAACTTTAGAGCGAAACACACGATGGTAGAATATAATATTATAAGCAAAATAAACAAAGCATTCCCGCATTCACCATTCTTCATTGTAAATATCGACAACTTCAAATTTCGCAATCATTTCTGTATGGTATTCGAGCTACTTGGGTATGGAATAATAAAATTTGCTGTATGTTATTAACGATTTTCAGAAAAACTGCCTACGATGTCTATGAGACAGAAGCATTTAGAAAAAATACTGAGCTTTTCAAGTCGTATGTTTCGGACTTGCTCAAAGGATTGGTGCTTATTCATTCCCTGGATATTCTTCACAACGACCTTAAACCTGTAAGTTTCTTTAATTGAAGATCATCTTACTATTTCTAGGATAATTTACTTTCTCCGCTCGAGCGTATTGATAACGAGCCCCGGATAAGAATAATGGACTTCGGGCTAAGCTGCGTGCTTGGCTCTAGTAAGGACAGATGTCCTTCTTACTACGTCCAGACTCGCTATTACCGTTCTCCAGGTAAGATTAATCGAATGATTTTTTCACAAAAAAAAAATTAAGAAGTCATGCTGGCGATGAATTACACCACTCAATCAGACATGTGGTCGATGGGAGTGATCATCGGGGAGATGTTTCGCGGCTCAGAATTCATTTTCGGAGAGACTGAGCCAGATCAGATGGCATCGATAATGGAGAACATTGGACTCCCTCCTGTACCATTCATCGAGAAAGGAGTTCGAAAAAGGATTTATTACGGTTAGGATGAAAATCATCAGTTTATGTTGAAATCTGCTTTTAGAGGGGGTTCATTACAAAACTGAAAAGGGTTTCCAGCGTCGCCCTTATCGTAAGTCGATTCCGAAAACTCTGGGCCTTATTTCGCCGGATGACGATTTGTTTCACGATTTCCTGCGTCGTCTGCTTCAATGGGAGCCAGACAAAAGAATGACTGCCGCGGAAGCACTTAACCACCCCTGGTTAACAGGAATCGACGAAGACATGAGGCGAATTCCAGCTCTGTAACTACTTTTTATATAACGCTCATAGGTTCCCAATAAAGTTCATTCAATAATGTTCAAGGAGGAGTTTTGTAAGAGTTTATTCGGCTCTTTGGATTTTATTTTTAAATGCGCTTGCAGAGGACTGCGTTGAGAAAACCTGAGGAGGAGGCGGCGCTCTGATCGCAGAAAGAACTAGCAAATAAATAATCGTTGAATGATCGTCTTAGGAACCTTGGAAGGATTCCGCGTTTCTCAGTTCCAGCTCTGTGTCTTCTCATGAGCTCGTGACCTCTTCCGAATACATGCCCCGTCCAGGTCAGCGGATTAAGTTGACCCAGCGAGTCCAGGAGTTCCTTTCCCTCGTTTTTGATTAGTAAAAAAGAGAACTATCACTGAGATTCAATTAAGCATTTTCAAAAACTTGACTGGGTTTTCTCTCCATACGAATGAGCGAAAATAAACAACAAAGACAGTTTCATGATTTAAAATCTTGTCTCTTTAAGATTATGATAATCCTTTTACTCGACTTCACTAGTGATGAGTTTTAAATAGAGGACTCGCCTTAATAATGGATCGCCCAATTGATTCAGAAGACCATTTTGGGTCTCGAAACAATGAGCAGGAAATCCTAAATGATTATATTGGGAATCGAAGAAGAGAAAATATATCTTTCAGACCGCGACTTCAATAAGAAATAATGTCTAAATTGACAACTGGGTTGAATAAGAGGAAAATTTATTTAACAGATTCGCGCGAAAATAAATCCAGTTTAACTTTATGCGAATAGTTTCCTTTAACAAATTCACTTATCGAAATTTCTTCTGGAATATCATATCCTTTTCGTTTTTCTTTAATGCTTTCTAGCGAGCTTTCAGGATCATTTCGGGTGAGTGTTCGCATAAGACCCATTTTTCGTTGCTCTCGTTCGTTTTCCACTTCGAAATTCACCATGAATGCAACTTTAGATGGCTTTAAAGGTACGTTAATTAATATTACTTCAAGGAGTGCTTCAAAGCCGTTCCTAATGCATGGCCGCCAGTAAGTCCAAGGGCACCGCATTTTAAAAAGAAATGCTTATTATCAGAAGTCGGTCGCATCGTCCGATAAAACGAGCTCACTATTGGCATCTTACGAAGTATCTCCGCGATTCGAAGAAGCATGCCGACGATTTCTAAATCTAACATAGTTTTAGTATCTTAGAAATGGTAGTTATCGATTATCGTACAGTGGACTATTGCAGTGATCATTTCGAGCTGACCCTTTTTTGAGGATTGCCTGGTGCCTCGCGACTTTGAGTACGTTTCTTCGTTCCCACCCGTTCCATTTGTGCTAGTTGTATTTTAGCTTGATTTGAAGGAACTCCGTAAGGGGATTTTTCCGTAGTTTCTTGGAGACACTTCACGATCGCTTCCGGGTGCACATCCGCTTTGAGCAGCTCCACGATGCAGCGGAATAGCGTGGGATCAACGTCAACCCCTGCGTAATGGGAAAGCTCGTAGAGCTTGAAAGTTTCTTCGTCGTAGTCTTTTAGGCAGCGAGGGATATCGCGAGAGCTCATTCTTCAACAACAATGATCACTTTTTGGCCTTACGACGCGATGCCAACTTGAAAGATGTCCTGCCTTGCAAGCCTGCGAGTTTTTGCAAAATCAAGAGTCAAGGGTTTTTGAATCATTCGTGATGTCTATTTTTTCATTGGTATTAATTCAAGTATTTTGTTGCACAGAAAACCGAAAAAAGTAATAAGGATAAGCTGAACTTTGAAATAACGAAGCCTTAAATATGCATGTAATGTCTCTTATTTGAATGAACTGTGAGTGTTATTTATTCTAGTGTACTGTATCGTACTGTCGCAAGACCATACTGCACGAAGGATGACAGTATAGAGATGCAAAATAGAGAGATTTGTACTGCACGCGAGTCGCTAAAATTTGAATGAGTTTTTTTTTTGTCCTATCGGCGCGACTGAAACAGTAGCTACGGCTTAAACGGTTACATTTTTGCTAAAACCTTGGGAGCCAGGATTAGCCGTTGTTTTCGTACATTTGAAAAATCGGTGGCGTAGAAAAAGTAAAATTTAAATAATTAATTAAAACTGTTCAAGTGATGTAAAAAGGCAGCACCCCATCGGCAGGATCAGGAACGCACCTAGGGCGTAAATGATCACGAGGAGCCTGAGGGGGGCAGTATTTCCAGACAAAAATAGTAATAATAAAGGTGCGTTTTGGGGCTTGTCATTGTTTTATGTTGATGATTTTCGAATGTTCACATGTAGATTCACAGGTTGTAAGTGTGTGAAAGAAGTGAGAAGGGAAAGTGTACTCAGGCTTTGATTCCCTCGAATTCGATGATTCCGGAACCGGAGGTTCTGATGTCGGGGAGAGAGGCAAGATCGCCGATGCGATCCGAGGCTTCGAGCTCGTCTCGTCCGGTTAATTGCCATTCGACCTTGAAAATTTGTTTGGGAGAGGACTAACTAAGAATCTAACCTGGACGCCGTCGAATTTCTTTTTTAAAGCATCCTTTGAGGAGGCGGAAACCATCTTCTGTTTGATAGAGGCAGTGGAAGGAGCCCAAACGATGAAAGTGAGTTTTGTTCGTGTTCCTGCAGGAAGACCAGATCCCATGTCAATCTTCATCTCAACGTCGTAAATTCTAAAAAAAAATAAGAAATTAAGAAAAAGCTCGAGCGTACCCGTATCGGCACTCGTTGTCTGGGAGATTGGAGGTCCAGTTCTTCCAGGCACTGTCTGATCCAGCGGCGATGATAGAGTCCTCGCTTTTCCAGGGTTGTCATTTTGCTTGCATTTAATTTTATTGATTGTTTATGTTAAAACCCGTGCCAGACGATGATTTCTTTCATGTTGTCGGAAAGCTTGAAGTTGCAGGCCTTGATCTTCTTCGACTTGAGCGCTTCCCACTGCTTGATGCAGGCATCGTTGACTTTCACTCCGGACATAGCCATCTTTACAAAGGTTTAATACGCTCTGTCTGAAATAATGAAAATCAATCTTTGTTGGATCAAAACATACGATTCAGGAGAGTTTGCAATAGAAGGTTATATAAATTTAGGCAATATGGGTCAGTTAAAAAGAGATTAATGAAGTTGGTGAATGTCTGGGACAAGGAGAAAAAACGTGGCAGGTGAAGTGAAATGGGGAGGATGGGTTCTAGGAATATCGTTTTGTTGGTGGTTTTGGAAAGTGGGGAACAGAGGTGAAGATATATGTTTCTAGAGAAAAAAGGAGGAAGAGATCGTTTTCTTGAGGAGGCTTTAAGTCATTAATTGATAAGAGAGATGATTATATTGGACTACGATTGGGAGTATGATCAATTCAATTTTTATAATACTCCTGTTTATATCCGTTGCCAGCGTAGCCTGCTCTTGCTTCTGAAATAGCGATTTGCTTGTAAGGTAAGAGTTTCGAAGGCTCTAAAACCTGGTGGGACGGAAGGATTGTAGTATTGACTGGAGCCTGAAGCTGCTTCACTGCTGGACTTACTCTCCTGCCCCTTTTCCCTACTGAAAACGCATATTAGCTCAATTGGCGTTTGAATCTTTTATACATTATCCGATCCCTTTTTCGAAACTCCAATGGCAGAATGCGATACAAATACTTTGCATTTTATCGCATCAAGTTAAGAGAGGGAATCAAGGAACGGATATTTGACCTGTATTGCGTTGAGAAGAGTTGCCGATAATAGTTGCAATTAAGCTTATACTGCAATTCTTGATTTTCACTGAGGGCGTCAAAAAAGACGAACCATTTCCGCTTTGACTATGCAAGGGGAGAATTTAAAAGCCAAAATGACAATTGAAATCGCAGGACCAATCACATTCGAGCATTTAAAAAATCAGAAAAAATCGAGAATCGCGGTAGAAATCAAAGACGATGGAGGTAAACGAAATTAACGAAAGAATAAAATCAAAATAACAAAAAGGAACTAAAAAGAGGCGGTACAGCATGTACTCTAATCGAGTCTTCGATTAGGGAGTTAAACAATTTTTCTAAGGATATATAGCGGAGTAAACGTTCGAGTCACTCAAATGACTACCTAGATCCATTTGCAGCCGGATCGGCGATATAAGAGCCGCTACGACCGCTGTCGTAGCCACTTGGCGCTGCTGCATACGCAGAGTTGTCTCTAGAAGGAGGCCCAGGAGGTGGCGCCGGATATCCTCCGTGGGTATGAGGAGGGGGATCACGTGGCGGATAGCCGCGGTCGGAATAGCTATCACGAGGCGGAGGAGGATGCCCACCATATCTGTTTTGCTCCGGTGGGCCATACCGATCATAATAATCCCTTATTTCTGGCTGTCTAAGAAAGCTTGCCAATTTGCAGCAATGCCAAAGTGCGTGTTAAACTACAATAAAGCCAGTTCCTTGGAGGACCGTAACGGTCTACAGGCGGTCTATCGTAACTACTGCCATATCGATCGTATCCTCTAGGCGGGGATCGTTCTCTTGCGTAGGGATCTCCATATCTCTCCTGTGGAGGACCATATCTATCCCTTGGATAGCCTCGATCTTCATAGCCTCCCCGATCGTAGCCTCTATCATATCCTCCTCTATCGTGATAGCCGCCGTGGGGAGGACCTCGTCGATGGTAGCCACCGTGCTCGTCGTCGTACGGCCGACCGTACGGATGATGGCCGCCATAATGCTGCCGGTGATTTCGGTCGTGTGCGCCGCGGCGCTGCTGACTTTCACGCCTCTTCGTGGCCGTCTCGATTTGAAATCTCGTTAGCGCTTTTCGCGTCTCAACCGGACGCCCGGCAACCTTAACGAGGATAAATGAAGCTGCTGAACTTATAAACACTTGTTGCTCGCACGTCACAATACATCTTACAGCAATAAGGCAATAATCAAACACGAAAGCAGTATTTTTTCTCTCAAGGACTTACCGTGTGCTTCTCGCCAACTATTCTGTCGACGGGATCATGGTCTTGAAAAGTGATGAAAGCCTGTCCCTTGTCGGAGTGAAGCTCGAACTCTTGAATGGCGCCAAAGCCCTCGAAGTATCCCCTGATCTCTGACTCCGTGAGATCGCCGATCGAGCCGATATATAGTTTCGTGGTCGATACTGCAGCTGCCGGATCCCGGGACTCGTTCCGAGAGATCGCTCGCTTTGGCTCAAGTACACGCCCGGCAACCTTTAAAGTAATCGTTAGTACTATGACTGGGAAGAAGCTTTCACCTTGTGAGGCCGATTATTCATGACTTGGTCGACGGCCGTGCCTCTGGTGAAAGTAACGAACCCAAAACCCTTTGCAAACTTGGTTTTGGGGTCCTTGGGCACCACACAATCCACTATCTCTCCGAAACTCGAAAAATGATTTTTGAGCATTTCTGTAGCTAGTTTCATTATCATGCCGAGTTCAATTAGCTGCTGTATAGTTTGCAATACACCAAACAGTATGTTTGCAGGATTGATACATGTGAGATGTATGCTAGACGCAAAAGCTTTAATGCTTGTCAGAATTATTGATACGAAATGACTGTAATGACTCTATTCCTTCATCCGCCTCATAAGGCAAATTCCCGATGAAAATTTTCCTTGCTTGCTCAGGCTCATTGAATTCATCGTCGAGTATGTGGTGCGAGCTTTCCGACATCTGAAAAGATAGCCTGGTTTTTGACTGGTTCACTGAAGCAAACGCTGGTTAACCTGAACCAATTGACCTTGGGGGACAGGGACTCGCCATGCATCAAGAATAGTACAGTGCAGATTACGGTCAAAAATAAAGCTCATGCGAGGTAAAACTGTGAATGTCAAGTCAGCTTGCTGATCACAACCAACATTAAGCAAATAGTCTAGTTATTATTCGACAGATCACAATGATTGTAAGATGCTAGAAAAGTTTCATAGTTATTTTTTGCCGTGTCTCGCTCTTTTCTCAAGCGCCTCAGCTTCCTGTTTAAATGCCTCAACGAATTGAGTTGAGAAGGTCTCTAAGTCAATAACATCTTCTACCAGGCCGAGCGACTTTGCAAGTTCGTATCTTACTTCCAGCTCTACTACTGTAATACTATCATCAGGGGTTTGCGTGAATAGTTTCTAGAGAAAACTAAAGTCGAATGGAGGTCAAACCCGTGGCCATTTTTTCTTGGAGTGAATTTCCACCTCGTGTCGAGGAATTTCAACGGGAAAGAGGTGCTATTCTGCGCTAGAATCTCGCTCTCCGAGTAAGTAAGCTTAGACTTCCAACTGTGTCTTATCGGGCCGAACTTGATGTCAATCTGACCTAGAAATGTTCAGAGAAATGAATTCACAGTCGAGAAGCGCTAACCGCTCGACTTGTCGGACGAAAGGATGGAATTTTCGCAAAAGGGCACGAAATTGGAATAATTGCCGACGTCAGCCACAACGCCGTAAATAGTCGCCATCTCAGCGCGAATAACTTTCCCCGAGTGAAAAATCGCCTTTTAGAAAGGTCCTTTTCATTATCTCTCTCTCTCTCTCTTTCGTAGTTAAATGAAGATCGTCTTTTGTCACTCTGACTTCACGCTTGTGCAAAGTGGCGAGGCCACGGCACAATTTACCCAAGCCCAAAATCCGACTCATTCTTTGTGTCGACCGAGCGGTTCGACCGATTCGATTTTTTCTCTGAAAAAAAAGTAAAAAAATAACACCCTCGAAAAAAACCGTCCACCCGGACCGAGAATGCGCATTATGCAATTGTCGTTGAACATCGAGTCTGTCAGTAAATACGCGTTATGCATCTCTTGCTTCGAGCCTGGTAGAAAGAAGTATTTAAAAACGTCGCAAGGAAAATAATAATTCGGCAAACTGAGTATTTTTTGTATTGATTTTTCGCTGAGTCAAGAGTCACTGAGACATCAGGCTCCTTTTTAACCCTACGCTCGAAATTGGTATAGAAATAGGCTGAACTCCCATAATTGTTACCTGAATTTAATAAAGGAATCAAGCTGAAAATGCGGATCATTGCGTTTGTGTATAAATTGGTTTGAGGATGAAATGGTAAGGAATGAATACTGTGAACTGGGAAGAGTACAATGCGAACATGAAAGCCGATCTTTCTCTGTTGCTTTTGAAGAAACATTAATGAGAATGATATCAAGTATCTTCACGCTTGGCGGATAAATACACTAATCAAGCGAGAAAATGTTACCGGCTCTGATGGGGCTCTGGAATGACAGTTTTTAGAATCTCTCTCAATCTCTGAGTTACTGTAAGTTTTTTGTATGTTTTTGGAGTTTTATATTGACAGGAAGTTAGTCAATTGGTGAGATCTCTGCTCGTCAATGAGTAATCACTTCGCCGGGATCTCTATCATTGTTGTTCACTAACGGAAGTGGCCTTCGCTGCGGGGCGATTTGCACCGCCTCCACCCCTTCCATGCGCCGACCGTTCTTTCTTTTTACCCCCTGCTACCGCTGCGCTGCTACTGTCGATATTCTTACGATGGAATTTCACAACTGTCATTTATGATCAAAACTAATTTACTGGCAATCAGAGATTTCCGTTTCCTTTTGTGCGTCATTGAGCGGCTGGTTTTTACTTCTAGCAACTCTTCCACCTCTATTGCCTTTTCCACGACCTCTGTCGCTCCTTTGAGATCGATTCTGCCCGTTTTCTCGGGCACCGTTGGCTTCGTTTCTTTGGCCGCTTTTTCTGGAGCTGTTTGAGTTAGACGAGGAAGTACCAAGAAGTGCACGCTTGTTCGGAGCGAATTTGACAAGTTCTTTTATAAGAAAGTTACTGATAAGAGTGACCAGTCGTGGAGCTCTCCGAGATACTATGAGTGTATCTAGGTCTTTTGACGAATTCGATTCTTCTGAAAAATATTATTCGAAAAAATCGTATTAACGGATTGTGTTGTCAAAATCGTAAATAATTATATCGCAGATGCGTTTTAGAATTTCTCTAGAAATTTTGAGCCGTGACCAGGCTCGTTCCTCTTTATGCGCTCCAAAAATGGCTTTGGCCTTGTCTACAAAATTAAATGAATCATTTGAAGCATCACACTGGCACAAAAGATGAGCCAGAGTCTCCCTATTTGGGCATTTTTCAAACTTTAAAGAAATCAATGCGGTCGATCGAAGGTAGCAAAAAGCATGTTACCTAACGGTTTCCACTGCGTAGTAATTGTCGACTCGCAGATTTCGGTATAAATCCAGACTCTTTTCCGGTGTGTCAATTCCCCGACAATTTGGGAATGCACACCCACAGCTTCACTTGCGTAAACTTTGGCAGCTTTAAGAAACAAATTAGGTCGCAATTCAAAACGAAGTGTCAGAACACTTACTTGCGTTTCCTTCCGTAGCCATGATCGCCTTCAACATTTCTACAGTGTCGGTAACATCACTCTCGTTGTTTAGTTCAAGCTTCATATAAACGAATTATTAACTTTTGCTCTTTTATTGAAAGCAAATACCTCAGTTGGTTCTAGCTTCTTGCTAATGCACAACTTATCAATCACTCCACTAGCATTCGTGATGGTCGTTTCGTCGGGAATGTAGTTCTCCATTGTTCTCAACTGCTTCTCTTCCTTGTTTTCACCGGTCGCTTTCAGTAAAATCACAAAAAGCGACCGACTTACGCAGCCATGGCTAAACGGCCCCAGATTAAGCATTTCACATAATTTTTATGAATATATAAGTTTATGCTTGGTATTGCGGAAGTCCCGGAGCAGTTTAAAAGTTGGGGCGTGTATATGTGACAGAAAGAAGGTCGACAGAAAGTTCATAATTAATACTAAAGCAAATGTGGTCTCTGGCAAGTCAAATAGACAAGCCCTGTTGTAAAAGTTGAGTTATCGAAGTGATTTCATGAACAAACTCGGTTTTATTTTCGAGAGTGGCGTTCTTCGTGTAATTTTCGACGGTGCCTTTTAGAAGTGACAGGCGCTCTTTCTCACTCTCGTGATCGTCTAGCCATTGCGAGTATCTAGGGAATAAGACAAGGTAACACCAGTTGTAAATTGTCAAACTACTAGTACCTGCTACGGCTCCAGTCTGCTACTTCAAAAGGCGATTTTAATTCTTCGGCTGCCCTTGATATTAATAGCGTGATACAAGTAGAGTGAGGAACGCTTTCTCCAATACATCCACTATTTAGGATATCTTCTTCGGTGGCGCAGACGAGTGGCCTCACCGCTCGGAAGGTCTGATAAACTTTATCCAGGTCACATAGTCTCGAACAGAGTGGCGAAAGAGCCTCTTCGAAAAATTTGAAGTCATTGGAAATCTTCTGCTTGCCGCCTTGACTGATCGGACGAATGAGGGTTATGTGGCGTATAAACAGTTTTAACGCACGACCAGCTAGAGGGCTTAAATTCTGTGCAAGAAAAGCGCGAGCATGGATAAAACTGAAATGGTCCTTGTATGAGTTCAGTCTGCTACTAGTAGATTCATAATATCTTTGTGAATGAAAATGGCAACAATAAAACTTCGAACTCGATTCCTTCGCGACACGTTTGATGAAGGTCTCAAGCTCTCTGATGAAAAGGGACGGCTTGTCTGTTACGCTGGACTCGTCTATAGAAAAATCCTCCTTGTGCATAGTAAGTATGATTGATTCTATTGCATCAGCGACAGAGGCAAAGATCGGTTCCATGATCGTCTCCTTGAGCTGTTCGCATGAGTCCAACATCGAAGTAAAGCCGATTTTCGCGGTTTCAGTAAGGCTTTCTCTTTTATTTCGGATGGCCAAAGAAAGGATTAAATGATTTTTCGTTAAAAAGAACAATCCGTGCCTATGATCTGCCTGTGTTCCTTCCAAGTACTCAGACAATATATATGTGGAGTTAACAAGGCCGTAGTTTTGAACCTGAGTGTCATTCATTGGTCCAATAACTTGAGCACTATTCGGTGTTCTCGTGACGAGCCCTTCGACTTTTGCAATGTAAAGATTAACAGCCTGCTCAATGTTCTTTATGATATCGTTTTGTAGTTCGTCATCAAAGAGAATTGAGCTTATCTCAGAATTGATTTCCTTGGATACTGAATCCACATCTGCCACGACGATAGTCTTGTTGTTTGAAATATGCGGCTAAAAATAACAATTAGTTCAGACCTGAGTGTTCGTTTCCCGCACCTGGAAGGAATTGTTCACATGAGTCAGGAGATTGTTCAACGAATTTGAAACATACGCGGCTTTGAAAGAGGCGATCGAGTTTCTAAGATCCTGTTCTGGGTTGTACTCTGTGTCCTGTGAGCCAAACATCAAACTGAAGCCTTCTTTATTTTGCTGGACTTTGTCCCATAGAGATAGCAGAATTCGCAGGAGTCTTGGGTATTCTATACATTTCCATTTACTCTCTATTGTTTTATCCAGACCAACCTTGTTCGAAGGTCGTTTTAATGACGACATTGTATTGCGCCGATTTCTTGAGAGCTTTTTGAATATGGCTGACTAGATTGCGCCAAAAGACCAAACTCAAATTCGTCTGGCAACCTTCTTTTGCCATAAGTTCGGAGAAGAGAAGATGCGTAACTGGGTCGCGTTTTTTCAAAATCACTTTTTGAATTTGCTGCACATTCATTATCATCACATGAAGATACTCCACCATTTCGTCCAATGATGCCCAGAGATTGGCTTTCAAGTTGACCTTATGATGATTTATTTTTTCAAGCATTCAATCGCTTTTCAGAGTATTTACTTGATTAGATATATTCATGTTCGCTCTTCCAGGTCGAGCTCCTTGTGACGACGAGCTATCTGTTAGAAGACGGACGTCAACGGCCTCTTGAATTGACTTCTCAGCATTTGTTTTGCAATCTTCGACTTGCCTATTCACAGCGCTACTCAGTTGGCCGAGATTAAAGAAGACCTACGACTTTATGTAAGGGATATACTCCTTTCGAAGCAATACCTGAAGAGAGGTGGCCACTTGCGATGGGTTCTCGCCTGAGATGCCTTTCTCTAAAAGACGATGTGCTTCTACTTCAACATCCTTCCGTGACTTTGATATAAACTCTAAATCTTCTTGGATGATAGTTATCTTCGGCAAGACTTCATTATCTTGCTGTAGAAAGTCGAGTTCATTCAGAGTTTGGGCAGCCTTCGTAACTTCTTTCATTCCTTGCGAAATTTGTGTTCTCAAGCGTTTCGTCAGATACAACAAACGAATCAGTCGACGAAGGAGATCCGTCGCGTCCTATCGAAAGACTCGTCAAAGGCCTACAATAGCTAACCCTACCTGCAGTCGCGATAATTGAAGTGTTCTCGCTTCCATTTTAGCAAAGGGCTCGCTAATTCTCGCAGATATTCTTCCCACTACATCTTTGAGGGACGAGATCCGCGAGGTCATTACGTCGAGCACAGACTCAAGGGACTCGATGCCCGTCGTTTGTGCGAGAAGATCTTCGTGTCTTGCAGAGATTTGATTTTGAAGTTCGTTATTTAGAAGGTTCACTGAGTTCTTGTCGGAAGAGTTGAAATATTATTTTCGAAATTGACCTATTTTCGCCTTTTAAATATAGGAAGAATATGTTCAACTCTCCTGCAAATTGACGAGAACATTGGAAACGACACTGGATTTTAGCACCTGCATGGCGTATTGCTCAGTTTTAAAGTCATTCTCAAGGAATTGTGCAAGATGAGGATCCTGCTTTGTCAAGCGCTGGACGACTTCGTTTACATTGGCCATTCTGTGAAAGAAACAAATTCAGACTCCCAGAAGAATAGTCGAATAGCTTTATTTCGAATGTCAACATTTTCTTTGAATAAAATATACAACCATAAACATACAGAGAAAAAGAATCACTGATTAGGTTATTTTAGGGAAGATGAGTTAGAATTAATTTGAAAATTAAGCTGCGGCGAATGTGCAGTTCGTTTTTCTTCTCTCTGAGCTCGCACTCTTAACTCATCCATGCTCAATTCATCAAGCTTCTTGCTCTTATTACTCTTCTTTTGATGAGTAGACGCGTTGAAATCCCGGTGTTTGGTGCTCCTTGCATTTCTCTCTGGCCCCAGTTCATTCTTTTCTTCGTCAATTTTCTTGATCCGATTCTTATAAGGGCTAATTTAAATGTTTCTATTTGTAAAACGATTGATTTATTAGTCCATTTTCCTTTGATTGGTGGCTTGTAGCGTTGAAATCTTTGAATGTCGAGCTTCTTGCATTTCTCGAAAAAGCCGCATGCATGTATTTCTCCTCACGAGTTTTATCTAACTCCCGCTGCTGCTTTTCTCTCTTTCTGCTCAACTCTTGAGCATCACTGGAGTCACTTGCTTTAGCGCGATTTTTCGACTGGTGCGTTGAAGCGTTAAAATCTCTAAAACCTGACGGATCGACAATCGGCATCTTGTGCATTCGTGGCGCCAGGATATCATTTGAGTCTGTTCTGTTTACTGTTTTCCGCACAAACTCACTCTTTTCGCCAGCTAAGCGCTGTCGTTCTAGTTCTTCTCGCTCTTTTCGTCGAATTCTATGGAATACATTATTATGTGACATACAAGACATCACGCACTCATTGGACTCGAGCCGATTTTTGACATATTTCTTGTGTTTGAGCGCAGACCAGGTATAGTCTTTATCCATCATGAAATGCAAGAGGATTTGTTTCCAAAGTGGTGGACGGCTGTTATCTTCGATTTGCCCAAACTGCAGTTGTCGAGCCACCGTTAAAACATACATGACAATTACTAAACAAAACACTCCATAATCGGCGTAGATGCGCTCTTACCAGTAGGTACAAACGTCTTCATGAACTGGCGATCTTTGAACTGTTCCTCCTCTTCGTGTTCTTGTCTCTTTCTTTCCTCGTCCATTGTCTTCTTAATGAAGTCAGAATGAGTTCGAAAGTCGGAACGCGTTGTGTGGTCTTGATACTGAGTGTAAGTGGTGGTTTGAGGCGGAGGAGCTCGATAATTTGATGCTCTTCTCCGGCTCTTTTGCTTTTCTTCGTAAAAATCGAAAGCCTCCTTCAGCTCAAGAAACTGTTCCTACTCAAATTAAGGTCGAAATCCTTTAAAACTTCAACGAACCTCTGTAGAATTGGGATTTCTGTCCGGATGAAGCTCCTTCGCTTTCTGAAGATAAGCAGCCTTAATCTCGTCGTAAGTAGAGTCCTCGGGTACCCCAAGGATTTTATGCGGCGCTCTCTTCCTTCGATACTTTTTGGGGAATGAGAAGAACCTAGTGGAGACCAAGGGTTGGAAGGCCGGCTGACCAGCAGCAGCCCGGGAAAGCATGGCGTTTCTCTCGTATTTTAACGATCTCGACAAATCTTAAAATAGAAGAGATAATTGTAAATTTCTTGAACGGCAGTGGACAGAATTTGATAATAACTAAAAGTCATCAGTATTGGCGCGCCAAGCTTCAGTGACTTGAATTCTCTTTTCGTTGTGATACGTGAAAAGCTTTGTTTCAAATCCAGTTGATCGATCTGAAACATAACCACCTTTAGAACGCTTATATAAATGCTTATGATTACCGACGCCGTCCCAGCGATATCCAGGAAGGATTCCAAACCGATTCGGGGCAGTGCTTGAGCCGGTATACATCTTTTTGTTCGACTGTTGTCTTGCCTAAGTTGATAAATACAGTTCCTGTCGAATAACTCTTTCTGTACCTTTTTGGTTTTGGTTTTGTTTTTACTCATCATGTACTCGTACATTGGATCGTCTGCAAACATCTCAGCCTTCTTCATACTAGAGCACATAGAATATCTTTCACTTTTTAGACATCTTACTCGTTGAAATCTTTATCATCTTTGTATCGAGCGAGGGGTTTTTCAATTTCTTTGAGATAGCTTTGGATCTAAAAGACAGTCTTGTAAAAAAGAATGACTTGAGTGAGATCTCTTACGTTTTCCTCTTTTTGTTCTAATTGCTTCTTTCCCTTATTCCAGACTTTATAATTCTTGAGTTCCTCTTCCTTCCGTGCCCTCTCGGCTTCGTCAAGTTCCTCTTCTTTTTTAAAGTCCCGCTTCTTGCCAGATTTATCTCGATAAATTGTCTCGGCATTTTTTGCCTCGTCGATGATTTTTTGAAGATTCGAATTTTTGCCCATCTGGGGTTTCATCGCCAAGAATTCCGACTTTGTGTTTAACCCTGATTTCGTCCCGTCCATCATTTTCTGTCTTTTTACGGACTCGCAATAGTAAAAATAGATGAGAAACTGATTTGAGGCGAGATCCATTCCTTGAATTAGCTTGTTCATCATCGGAATCGGAGTCAACACGCTTTCTTCTTGGAGGTGACTCGTCAGAATCAACTCGTTTTCTTCTAGGAGGCGATGAGTCGGAATCTTTGCGCTTTCTTCTTGGCGGAGAAGCATCCGAATCGGCTCGTTTTCTCCTGGGTGGCGAAGAATCGGAGTCTTTTCGACTTCTTCTTGGCGGAGAATCATCAGAATCAACCCTTTTCCTTCTTTGAGGAGACGAATCCGAATCTTTCCGGCTTCTTCTTGGAGGAGAGCTATCAGAATCGACCCTTCTTCTTCTTGGGGGAGATGTGTCCGAGTCTTTTCTACTTCTTCTTGGAGGAGAAGAGCTTGAATCCTTTCGTTTTCGGCGGGGTGGCGACGAGCTAGAATTCTTTTTCTGTCTTCTGGGCGGAGATTCTGAATCCTTACGAGGAGCTTTTCTTCGTGGTGGAGAGCTGTCTGAAGGCGAAGAGTCTTTCCTGGCTCTTCGCGGAGACGCTCTTTTGATCGACCTAAAGCACTCAATTTCAAGCTTTACATCTAATTCCTACCTTTTCGGGGAGTCGTCTCTGCTTTGGCCTCCAATTTTCTTCCACCCATCTTGCTTCCTCTTTACTGCATCAGACCTGCTATCGACAATATTAACAACTTGCGGTGCGTCTTCTTCGTGCTCATCTGCTTTCATTTCGTCCCAGTTCACATCGTTGTCAATGATCGCGATATTGCCTCATTTCGGATGTAAAATATAATCTTTCTTGAGATTCAAAAATGAAGGAGAACTGGTGAAAATGTGTCCGATTCCTTTGACTTTCTTTTTCTTCCTCTTCTTTTTTTCTTTCTCCTTTGTATCATCGGTCATATATTTCTTCAAATAGTCGGCCTTCGACATTTTGAAATCTTTCGATTTCTCAATCTAAACTCTTCCACAAAGATATTAACAATGAAGCTATCGAAATTTCTCGTTATTGTTAAAGATCGAAGCAGATAATTGAAAAACGTACCGCAATTTTTCTGCACAGTATCAATTAAAAAAAACTGTAGTCAATCAATTTAGATAGTTATGAGTCGAACTCGCTCTTGGTAAAAGTTTCCACGCGAATCATATGGATCTCTTGCATATACGGCTTGATTACTTTATTCACCATTCGATTTCGATTAACTGCTCGTTTTCCTTCAAAGGAATCGCAAATAACCTAAAGTGGAACCTTGATAAACGCGAATAATTTACTGATTTGTCACCTGGATATTAAAATTAGTTCCGCATCCATTAGAAGCATCTTCGACTGAGACCTTTCCTTCTGGAAAAGCCTTTTCGATTTCGTTCTTCAAGTCCTGCTCCTTGACGAGTAAACTCGGGGTTTGCGAAAATGCTCTGGCCGAAATTCGTGAATTCTGTGCAACTCCAATCGACAAGCTCGTTCTTCTGACGCCGCTGTTTATCGCCCGTAAAAGGTTCATTTTTACTTTCTTTCTCTCTTTTCGACGATCTTTTTTTGGATGATCCTGGACTTTCTTGTCTCCGCGACAGAGCGCCAATCAGGGTGCCGCTAGCGCTGTTGCGCGCAAATTGGATAAAAATAATGGAACAAATTCATGATCAAAAGTTCTGATCCGGAATTGAACGTCTTTTATTAACTTGTCCTGAGACTTAATTATGTTTTAACAAGGAATTGACTGCACAAATTATTATGCGTTGGTTTGAAAGTGGCGCTGTAAGCACTGATTGGCTCTGACTAAATAAGGAAGTTGTGTCTTGTCGAGAAAAATAGCGGAAGAACGGGTTTTATGTTATCCGCCAGTTCCAAGAGAGTGAGCAGCTCCAGTAAGAAGATTGTCACATGGCAGAAACTAGGCTCGCCGCTTCGACCAGGTCAGAATAACAACTTGATCTCTTTCGCTAACTGTTTCAATAGAAAGATCGCTTCAAAAATCTTACAGTATTGGTACTGAATTCATCCACAAGAATCTCTCGTACAGGCACGGTGCTCACTTGAGCTGAATCATTCTTCATTTTGTGCAGTTTCATTAGAAAATAAGTGATCATCGTTGATTTTCAGTGGCATCATTTGCTCGCCTCTAAAAACAGTGGACGAAAATGGTGCTCTTGTAAAAGGCTTCTATTTGGCTATGGCGACGAGTAACATTTCGCCAGGCAAGAACTTCTTGTTCTCGCCTTCCGACTTGGAGTACGACTTAGAAAAAGCTGAAGGGCAAATTGGCCTGCAAAGAGACAAGCATTCATGTTTGATTAGGGTTCAATTCGGCGCACTTATTTTCAATAGCGCTACTATTCTTGAACCCAGAACGGGATATCGTCAGCTCCGAAGACATTCTTCCATTCCTGCCAGTTGATTATTTCGAAGCAACTTCAAAGTATTCAAACGAGTGGCTTCGACGAGACGAGCGCGAGATTCTTCGAAAAGTCGGCATAAAGAAAACTTTGATGAAGCCGGAAAAACTTGATCATATTCGCCAGCTTAGTCCGCTCACGCGTTACTCGAACATCTCTACTGATGAAAAAGTGTTTGATTTTACCGTGAAAACTCTTTTCCTTTCTAAAACGAAATTACGCTCATTCGGAGTTTTGCCACTTGGTGGGATGGTCGAAAGCGCTGTTATTAAAAACGATGGGTTACTGGGAATCGATACGGAGCAAATAACATTTAATTATTCCGATGGGGAGACCTGCGATGCCGTTACTTCCTGGCTAGCAATTATTAGGTAAAAGCATCGAGGTTGATATTCTCACAAAACTCTCGCTCAGAATTAAGAACGTCTCAAAATCGGCCCGAAGCTTGCGCAACTTGGAGTTTTCATTTTACGCAAAAGATGGAGCCTTTGCCAAAGCCTCCTCAACAGTAAAAACTCTGAAAAAAGTACTTGCTCCTGGAGAAGTAACCCAAAATACTTTGAAAATTACGCTCTTCGAACCATTTACTGTCAAAACTTGTTTGAAGTACTCTTCAGGGAGGCGCAACTCAACTGTTTCAATTGATGGTATAAGTTTGAATTCCTGAATTTTGCAATAAAAAAAACAAGGATGCAATCATATTTACTTTATTGAGGCCATGAAATTTAATGGAAAAGTAATAGGAGGATAAACAGAGAAAAATAAAGATGAGGAACAATTTTCATCTAATAGCAGGATGCGCAGCGGCATTCGTCCAAGTTGATTTTCTTGAAGGATCTGGAGAGGTGGCTCGACATCATTTTGTGTAGGAAGTACTCATTTGCCGTCATATTTTTCGTGATGCCCGCTTCGGCAGCGAGGGCAAGTCCAACTTCGAGCATGACGTGTACTGAATTTTCATTTTTCCAAAGTTGACTTGATGATTGTTCTTCTGTGCAAACGACCGGCACGTTGCTGTAGCAGTCGTCCATTCTGATGAGGATGGCAGCATATTGCTCCAACTGAACGCCTTCTCGTAGGACATTGGCGAAGTCGAATAGCTCTTCGGGAACCATTCGGTCAAATCCACAAGGGACTGACTCTTTGACGAGGAATACGTTGACCGGCTGGAATCGCTTCTTGGCCTTGAACCGACAAGGCTTGTTCATCGTGAAGGGATCGTGGTCGGTCTCGTAGAACTTCATCTGAATTGCAAAGCAAGGAAGGCTTTCTTCTATCTTCAGCGTGAACCAGCATCCGAGCTGCGGTGAAAAATGGAGAGCTTGTCTTCCGACTTTTTGAGGATACAGCGGCGATGGATGTCTCATTTTGAAATCATCGTTTGGTGGGATGGTTTCCAGGACTTTCATTTTTGGCTAAGGAGATCGTCGATTTTGTCTTTTTTTGTACTTTTAGCACATTTGGCGTTCTATTTATACTGTATTTTGCGTTATAGGTGGCGCCTCAGAACGACTACGTTAGTTCAAGACAGCGGGTGAGCAGTGCTGATTGTCAACGATAAACCTCGATTCTAGCTGCTTATCGCTGGCGATCAGGAAATTTAAATTCCATCTGGCGAAAAAAACGGCGATATCGAAGATTTTCTAGAGCTTATGATTATTTATTGTAGGAGAGTTTTAGTGCTGTATTTTAACGGCGCGTCGGTGGTCATTTCGGGAATCCAGAGGTCTGCAAGTCTTTTCGGAGCAGGGGCGGATGAAATTTTGTTTCCAAACAAAACAATCAGGTTATGTTTTAATATAGAGTTTTCAGTCCAGCCAGCAGACAGTCTCAATGACTGCTGATAAGCAAGATGAAAGTCAGGCTATAGGCATTCAGACGATGGAACTTGACGTCTCCAACATTGGACAAAGGATTGGTTTACCATCAAAGTTTGACGATCATCTAAGATAATGTGACATTACTAACGTCTTTTAAAATTTAGTAAACCTGAAATAAGAACAGCTGTGTCTCGTTCCGAAAGATCAAAGGATAAAAACGACCACCTTGCCGAGGTGTTCCCGATCGAACAGACGGCGCCGAAAGAGTATGACTCTCCTGAGTTTACTGTCTTTTTCTAATTCCATTTTTCCAGAAATTAAAAGGTCTACTTGCTGAGGGTGACGGAAGGAAACGATCACTGGTGGCCGTTGGCAAAAATGTCAAAGCCTTTACTAAAGGAACGCTTTCAAACTCATATCAAATGCTGTATTGAAAAATATCACATTTTAACAGCTAATAAAGATGGAGAATCAACTGAAATTCCCGGATCAGACGACAGTGCTTCTAGGATTCGCCTTGCTGAAGCTTGTGTTCGACAAACTGCGTCGAGCATTCCTGTTGGTTTTGGTCGTTTTGGCAAAGGAAGGGCTACAACTATTCGTGTTTCCAAAATCTTTCAACAAGAAGATAGATTTTGGAAAGTATGAACTGCTCTGTAAAATTTTGAGCCACAAAAAAGGTACAAAGAACAGTATTCTCAATGTCAAGCAAAAAACCCAATCTGAAACAGCCCTTGACGAAGACGAAAGCATAGGCTCGGATTCACTTTCTGTCGTAATGCGTGTATCGCCAAAACGAAGGTTCAGTATGCATCTTTGAATCCTCTCTAGAATCATCAATATCCTCTCTTCTTGATGTGAAAAAAGTCAACAGCGCAGCCTAGAACCAAAGCGATCAGTTTCACCTGTTATAAAATCTTAGTTACTGACTGTTAAAATAAAACTGGTGTATGTATGTATCTAAGATTGTAGTCATTATTTCTTGAAAACTGATGGAAGGGATTCTTTGGAGAATTCGAATTAGTCGACTGTTGAGATATGAAAGCATTTCTGAAGACATCTTCATAGCCATTAGATAAGAGAACAGGGCATGTTCAACAGACCTTTTATAGAAGGTGCTGCACTGTCTGACAGCCGGAGTCAAGGTCGCGATATCGAAGTTATGAGTCACCATTTTTCGACAACCAATAATAGGTTACTCTTAATTTTACTGACCTTAGTACCATATTTCTGTAATCATTTTTAGTCAAAGACAGGAGAGAAAATTGACGAATGCTGGCGAGTTTGTACAAAGGGAAAGAGTTATTAATGTCTGCAGACTTCTAGATTTAAGAATTTAGGTTTGACGAGAATAATATATCTCTGAGAAGTCGATAAATTACGCGAAAGAGTCGATGAGACGATCAAGTACTTTTCGCCGATCGGGATGGGCTGGTTTTATGAACGAGTCTTTAACTATCCCTTATCGATAGTAATACGTAATTGCCGAGTTGATTCATATAAACATATCTTTTTTATTAATAAATTAAAGACTCAACTGGAGGCGAAAGTTATCATCATCATTGGGATCAACGTAAATCCAATTTGTTCGATGCTGAGTTTTCACGAGGCCTTCGAATGTGAGGGCTTTGATGACGACCAAGGATGCCAGGTTCTCTGTTCGCAACGATACGCGCCAATCTCCAGCAAGGACTTCTGGAACTTGCAAATTTTCGTCACGCTTCTTCCGTTCGTTTTCTTTCAAAGTTTCACGAGGTCCAGTGTTGTTTCTTGTCGCTTTATGAGAGCTGCTTTTAGAAAACACATCGAGCGCAACTCAGCAGAAATCGATGTTCCTTATCCGTCTTTCTCCAAGGTAATATCTTTCTCCTCTAACGACCTAAAAAAAACGATTTACAGTTCAAGCTCAAGCAACGAACAGTGAATTTGAAGATTGAAAAGTTTGCAGAAGATCGAATGATACGTATAACCAAACTCGTAACGCTTTTTACACAACTTGTACTCGAAGGAATCGGTTTTTGTTTTAGAATTATGAAATCAAGGAAGAACACTTTCTAAACCGAGTAAGTGGCATCTTTGATTGCAATCGCAGATCTGCAGCGCCGGCGATATAACATGACAAGCGAGGATCTTGGGTAAGTAGATTTCTTCTCTTTTGGAGCATCATTTTTAGACTTCAACTGATTGGTGACTTCACTAACTTCACACGTACAATTTTCCTGATGCCTGAACACTACCGCTGTCATATGGCAGAATTCCGACACAAATCATTCTTCAACTTCACTTGGGAAGAAGATGTAACTTTATTAAATCCGCAAAAAAACCTGACTTCATTAAGTTTAATGGATATCATCCTTGCATCACTGCCGGAGATCTTGGGACATGCTGGACCACTAGAAGCGTTGAGGAAGGTTTTTGAATTGCGATTTTGAGAATAGACGTGTATAAGTTGAATCGATGTCAAAAACACCACCTAGTCGAGTATCATTCAAACAATTCTTGTGGGATTGTTGATCCTCGGACTCTTTACAAACATTGGCGAAATCGTTTACATTTTATGCCGCTCATTCAAACCTGCTTATCGACTTACAAAGAAGCTGTCGAACCAAGTTCAGAACTTGTCGAAAAAGGATGAGCAGCCGTATACAGAAAGAGCTCAAAATACGGATTTAGCGTTAATTACATCTCAGACACAACAGTCGGTCTTATCATGAGCTCCGTTAATAGAAAGAATTTACACGGAACAAATGGTTCAGGTATATGTCCTTTTATGTTGTAAAATTTTTAATTAATATTTGCTAGGACGAAATAAGAGCAAGTAATTTCAACCTTCACCGTCAGGATCGGGTCTATGAGTCGTTTTATTTCTTTTGAAGTCGTAAATGAATTGAAAATAAGAGCCGTGAAAGACTAGTCCAGAGTTCCAAAAAGGACGATTTCAAACTAATCCCGAGAAGGAAGAGAAACAAGTTCTACAGCTCTTCGAATATACAGGATTGAACTTCAGATGCACCCCTTGATTTAGTGAATGGCCAGCTCCAGTACTTTATAAATCAATTTAACAATATTCTTTCTGAATTTCTGTTTGAGGCAACAAGAAACGAATAGAGTGACGAAGATGAATGTTGGGAGAAGGAAATTGATCCGCTACGGTTTCGGTGTCGCCATAAAATTGCACTGCCAAATTTTCTTCACTAAATAAATCCAGCCCGTGCTTAATTTGTGTGTAATTAACCTCAGCAGGTTAGACAGGCGATCACGAGAGCCAACGCAAGAATCGATTCTGAAATATTCTGAGCTAGCTGAAACGGAAATAGAGCATTTTGAAAAGAAAAATCGGCGTTTTTTTAAGAGAATGACCGTCGGGGTTCAAATTTCGCAGGCGAACAAAACAAAGACTTCGATTCCTACAGGGCTGGGTCACAGACACATAGAATACTTAGGGGGGTTCAAGGATTAATTGAATAACTTTATGGAGGGATACACAAATTAGGCTTCAATCAAAACAGTTTGGTGAGACAAAATTTACTTTCAAAATAAACGGAAGGTTTTTCCGCTAAATATTTGCCTTCTTGATTTGTTTCAAAGAAATATTATTTTGCCAAAAACTGTAACCCTTCCGTTCGAATTGGACAGTTTTGGAAAGGACATCGGACGAAGTTTGGCGAGTCTTCTTGCATCTTGGGGAGACGAAGATAGTGCCTCGAAAAGTCTTTTGCGACGTATTTCGACAAAATCGAGGAAATTTTTGAAAAAGAAAAAACGACACTTTGACGAAGAAGAATTCACCGAAGATGTTTTAGAAAAAGATGGCAAGCGCGTTGAAAGCGTGGGGCCAGAGGACACCCCAAGTCCTCTTATGAATACTGTTGAGGAGATTCCTCTGAAACCACCAGCCCTGTTTTCCTCCAAGAGTATTAGACAACGTAATTCCCTCGTATTTGTATTTGAGTTTATTTTCTGTCTAGCTCCAGATCATTTAAGCCGCACACTGACTTACCGAAGACTACCGCGCTTTCAAGATCCAAATGTAAGACAAACAAAGAGTCCCTCTTTTAAAACGCCTCCTAGCCAAAGCAGGAGATTACTTCAGACACTGAGATTCTTTGGCAAAATGCAATTAGCAAAAAGAATGAAGATGATACAAGAACCAATCTCACTGATCCAGATTATGCGACGAAGGCGCCCGTGACCTGTGCCTTCAATACTAGGTTAATTGACGCGAAAAAAGAGCAAAGTTCAATCTGGGCGTAGCGTGTCGGAACTAAGTAAACTGGAAGATCAACACCTATTTAGGGTTCGTTATGTTTCTTATCGCCAGGCAAGGATGCGTTCGAAGAGCCTGGGTCGAGGTATGGATGCGCCGAGAGCACAGTTTCAGCCCTGCGCAGCTCCAGAAGACATTGGAAAAGGGATCAAAAGACTTATCTTTGGATGATGCCCGAATCGACCCTTTTTCATGTTCGCCTAATTATCGCAATAAACCACGTATTTGAGTGTTAAAAAGGGGTGGTGTCCGATATAAATAAATAATATCATTTCCCTAAAGGCATGGCAGTCGGCGAGAAGAATCGAGTCACGTTATTTCATTTAGTTAAATTATTTTTCCATCACCATCTTTTACTTACGAAGGTAAGTCTTTACCCCGCGGCGCGCTAGCTCGGTTTTACGAGTGGCAATCCGATTGTACCATTCAATTACAAATACGACATTCATTCACTTGACCGCATGCCAACTTGTTTTTGATTATTTTAATTACGTTCACAGACTTCTGCTCTGGCTCATTCAGAGAAAAAGTGCAAAGTAGATCTCTGCAAATAGAGAGGAAGTTTCGAAGGCAAATCGCTATCTGATGGCGATACTATCTTTAGTGTTTGCGCGAAAGATAACTAAAGACGTGCAAGAAGTTCCAAGTGAATTGTTCTTATTCAAAAGAAAATTAAAACCTTTAGCGAGCGGAAGTCAAGGAAGTTCTAAGGAGCAAATGTAGAACAAATAAAAAAAACATTATTTATTATTTTATATTTTGAGGATTAGACAGTCTACCCTAGACTCACCAAAAAACACGCGAGAAAAGGTCAACTTTCTTGGCGCCCTAAACGTGCGTGACCTACTAATCTATTCTGGCTCTCGAAGTTTCTAGCTTTTCAACAAATGAGGACGCATGATTGGTATCTAGGCGTGTGAATGAGATGCACTGAACAAGAGTAGTAGAATGGCTTCGGAGCAGCCCGCTGAACTGGATGAGTCACTGCGCTTTCTTCTCTGAAGAGGAGATGGGGGTGTAGCCGCGCCACGTAACGCGCCCCAAGTCAGCACTCAACCTTTTCTCAGCCTTTCTAGAACACTTACTGCTTTCGAACATCCGAACATTAGCAAAGGAAGTTTATTATTTTTTATTCAGAGAAACGCGGCGAATTTATCGTCGAATGCTACAGCGACTAAGCAAACGAACTTTAGCAAGTGGATACAGGCTTAGCTACGGATTCACAGATTGCACTTGAGTTAATTTCATGTGAAACAAAGAACATGAAAAAAAGTTTGAAAGATAGAAGTTAATCCATTTGATCAGACAGCAACAACAATATCAACCGAATAATGACGACGTTTCTCCCCAAGGAATAGGTAAAAAGAGGAGAATATAGACTCTTGCATATAGTCCATTGACTGCAGTGGTTAAGTTTATCTAAAAATACTGTAATGTTCTTAGGGCTCTTAATTGACTCTAAGATTAATCCTAGAGACTCTAGTTATTTCGGTACTCGCACTCTGTAAACCGGATCCAGATGACATTAGATGCATATTAGTGCTTGTTTTACACGAGCGAGTGCCGTATTTAAAGCAGCTCACGTGCGACTAACAGATCGGAGGACGGAACAAGCTTAGTTTGAAATTCAAACTTTGAATTATTGATAAAGAACTTGGGCATACATTTTTGCGTGTATTCAATAAAGGCGTAAAGAACGAAGATGATAAGTGGTGATTTCAGATAATAAAAATGGTGAGTCAAAGACCAACGAAAATCAAAATCAGTGCATGCTTTCCAACCGAAATTATCGCCATTTAGCACATTTATCGTTTCATCTTACTGCACCATAAAATTATCTTAAAAATCGTAATTTATTTGTCTTAGGAAAGGAGACACGATATGTGAAGCAAGGCAATGCGAAGGCCGACTGGTGGCTTCAGGCACGCTCCAGGAACGGTTCCAAAGTTACGTCGGTTTTAGAGAATAATTATTTTCATAAAGCTAAATTCGTCGTACCACTATGTTCAGCGGAAAGCGTCATTTCATTTGAACATTGAATTCATGTGTAAGTTTATTCTTGAACCTTGAAAGACTAAACCGCCAGTTTGATATCGAAACAGATCGAAAATTGACGTTTACGGATCATAAATTCGCATTCCAGTCCAAGACAACTGCGGAACTCTTGCGTGCATCGCTATGTTTCAACTTGTTCAGCATCAAATACGTAAGCCAGTGGTTTAGTGAAAACGAAGCTTTTCAAAAAAGTCTCTAGCTTGTGGAGAACAACGAAAAAATCATGGCCGTGATGTCAAAAGTTCTCGGAGAAAAGGCCTTTCATGCGCTTATGAAGGCGACTGTCTACGGTCAATTTGTCGCTGGCGAGGACAAGGACAAAATCAAGGTAGCTATTTCTGACGTTATCTGGACGAGTTCGATTGTATTCCTTTCTTGTCATTAATCGCATAATTCATCGTGGAGCGGTGCCCACTTGGGAATAACAAAGTGTTTCTAAAAGACTTGGATCTCTTTCTAAAGTGCACTCTTGATATTTTCCGCAATGGAAATTTGTTTTCGCAAATAAAGTTATTGCAAGTTGCACAATTAGATGCATTTTTGCTCAGAAGAATTCTGAACTTGTTGAATTCAAATCGTAATCCTTCGAACGAACACGAAGAGTTTTGCACAAAACAATTCACATTGAGTAAATCCAGTGGTCACAACGTAACGTGTGCCCGGGCGTGTTCTTTTCAAAACATGCTGGCCATAAGAATGATCGAGTGTTTTTAGGGCTGCGTTGAGCGGCTTACTGGTGCCGGCGTCGGAAGCATTCTGGATTACGCAGTCGAGGAAGATATAGATGAGGACGAAGCTGTCGAACTCGAAATGGACTCTTGTTTGTCAACGGAAGAACACTTGGCGGAGATTGGTGATCTTCCCAGCCAGAGTTTTGACAAAAATCAAGATGACAAGCTAAAGGTGAGTAGCTGCTAGCTGGGATCGCCACATGCTGTAGGGTTCCCGGAGTTGTAGTGAGGGATTGGTGGCCTGTGATAAGCTAAGAAAAAGAACACTGTTCGATGATAAGCTTAAGCACTCCAATACTCCTACATACTTCGTGGAATCTTTCGCTTTGCTTAGCCCGGAAGTTGTGAGATTTCTCTTGCAAACCTCTCGAGGTGGGCTGGCTGAAATCTTTAAAGCTTTTCGGTTTGCGCTTATTATTTACAAGGAGGCGATTCGAGAAGCTCTCATTTCTCTATTCAGTTTAGAACCCCGAGCCAGTATAATGACTATGAAATGGTATGAACAAACACCTTAAATGGAACCTTTAGCAGACGCCATTTATCACTCTGCACGCTTATCTTTGCTTCTTTCACATTAACCTCACGGTCTTCACTTAAATTCACAATTAAATTTAACAAATGCATCCAGACTGAATGATCTAGTAACATCTTTTTAGCATAAAGAGGCACGTTCTGAGGTGATGGAAAATTTAGTAAAATTCACGGATCATTTACCATCTTCCTGTAGAGCTTTTCTCTACAGTTTTTACCAAAATAATAATAATGAATAGGAACTCAATTTTGCTTCAGTATCGAGCTCATAAAGAATTCGCAGATCGTCGAATGGGAGTAACATCTGCCCGAACTTACTTTTACAAAGACGAGGAAAAGTGTGACAAGTACATGGAGCATTTTCTATACTGCATCAATGGTAAGTAGAATACAAGCAAGAGTAAGCTTATGGCACCCCTCTGACCCCCTGGCGTATTTAATCCTCAGTTCTAATGGAACCCGAGGATACACGTGAGTAATGGATAAGAGCGAGCTAGAATCTTTCGTTGTGCATTAAACTTCACGCAAGAATGCCCAAAATTGAAACGCTAATTTCGCTGCCATGGCTATAACCTTCGTTCGAGCTAATTCCGTAAACCTAATCCAGTTCTAATCGAGCTCAAGAATGGAGGAATTAAGACGCTTGCCGTATTTGCGGCTACTTGAACTCGAGGCCAACCTCAATCTCCCTGTCAAACCTACTAATGAACGCGTTCAGCTGCTGGTGGTGCTTCCGACCACGGCTTTGCCGCGATCAAGCTCACTGCCCTTGGACGACCGCAGTTTCTTTTACAGTTTTCTGACGCCCTCGTCTCCTCCCGGCAACTGTTTGAAGAGCTAGCGGGAGCAACAAAGGCAACAGGCTTCTACCTTTTTAGTCTTGCAAAAGATGGCACACGTAATTTAGTCAGGGCACATATATTTTGAAAGGCGATTTGAAAGTTAAAATCTTCGTTAATTTTTCTTCAGATTTTTACTCGTCGACAGCAAGAGAGATTCTCCAAAATTTGATGATAAAATTAACTGCCGTCCTCGCGACTTTAGTTTTCTTAAAATTTAACCAAATTAAAGAAACATAAAAATATTAAATTTACCATTTCTTCGAGCACTTTGGGTTGCGCGCCAGCGGAAGGAGTAGGCACAGTGTACTTTTTCTCACTGTTACGCTTGAAAAATCCCATTTTTTGAGCTCAGACGTTGAAACTGATGCTTTGAAGAAAAATCTAAAAAAATCAACAAGAGTTCTAGAGATTCTCCGAATTTTGCTGTAGAAGCCTCTTTTGAGGATATAAACGCGCAGAAATCAGTTCTTGAGCTTGGATTCGACGAGTCTCGATTCATTGACAAAGCAGGACGAATGGGACTGGCACGTTCTAGAGGCGACTTGCTGGAAACGTTCACTTTCATGCGGGAGGAAGCCGATTCTGAATGGATCGACTTGCTCGACTGGAATAATCTCATGGACAGAAACAAGTCCTTCGGCGATATTTTTGTAATTGACAACAACGGCGAAACCGTGAGACTGATGAAAGGAACAGTTACTGACGGCTTCGTAGTACTGTCATCGTAAACGCGAGACTACGACAGTTTGACGTGCTCACGCAACAAGAACTTTGCCGGCTTCTCACGATAAGGATTAGGATTAAGGCATTTCGTAACTTTGAACAGATCTGACTACGGATGAAGAGGACCAAATGAAGAGAATGTTGGAGAGAATCAACACTCTTGCTTCAGAAGCCAAGCGCCAGGGTGTTCGCCTGATGATCGATGCCGAACAGACCTACTTTCAACCTGCGATCTCAAGGTTACTTTTGAACATTCTCGGGATTTCTTTTCCAAATACGACGTTCAGAATTGCCGTTGAATGTATGCGAGAGTTCAACAACGACAACCCGGTTATTTTTAATACCTATCAGTGCTACCTGAAACAGGCCTTCAAAAACTTCGTCATTGATTTGGAACAGGTACGTTTCGCTTTTATTTTTATTTTCAGTAGTTAGAATTTTTTCAATGTTTTTTCAGTGTAGAATAATATTTAATTTCCTATAATATGTATCAGCGAAACACTAAGTTAACAATTTGTCCGGTCTGATTTTTTTCTTAGCCTACCATATTCGTGGTAGTCTCTCATCTAATGCGTCGATCTTTATCTGCTGTTTCTAAATGAATTTTCGCTAGATGCGTATTATAGAAAAATACTTGCCTTGAGATATTCTTTTGCCTTTTCAACATCTTTTCGAATCGATCTAACACAACCATGCCCCTCGCAAATTTGATACTCGGCCGCGCAGCAATCGCACCTTAAATTTTTATCATAAAGTTTGAAATTAAGCGATAATTTTGTAAGGCGAATGTTAATTACCTCGCCCATCCAAGGCAGTTCTTTTTCAAGTGTTCTTTTATGTCGGAGTAGGAGACTGTTTGCTGACAAGCTTTATCCCGACATTTTACCTTGAGTGATTTCAGAGTTTTTAAATAAAACTTTGAGGGCTCATGGTACGGTGTTGGCTTCGATGGCTGACAAACAGGACACCTGAATTTTGTAATTGATCTATATAAGTAATGAACTTACTTCTCAGTCAAATGTAAATTGTACGTGTCATGATGGTATCGATTCTCTGGTGTCAAGCACTCCTGACAGAAAGCTCTGTTACAGCAAGCCATGATTTTCGGCTCTTGAATAACGTCATCGCACTTTCTGCATAGGAAATCTTTCAATCCGAGCGTTTTAGGCCCACTGTACTGCCAGGATTGATGCTTTTGGACAACGACGCCGTCGAAAGTCTTAACAAGTTTTTCGATTTGTTCGTCCTCGTCGGAATCCGAAAATCTTATCATTTTTCCTGAAAGGTTTTCTGTTTGCGACAAATAGCCTGCGCGGCCATTTATATAGTGACATAGACCTTTCGCGACGTTTCAGTAACAACCAAGATTGCAGATTTCTTTTCATGACAAATAATATTGCCAAAATCAGTATGACCATTTAGGCTCGTCGAGAAGGTTTCCACTTTGGTGCAAAGATCGTCCGTGGTGCTTACATGGAGCAAGAACGAATTCGTGCTGACAAACTCGGCTACGAGGATCCCATTCACGTGAGTCCATAATTTCTTCGCAAAAATTTAAATAAAGGCAAGGTTGATTACGAAGCGACGTCTCGCTGCTACCACAGGACGATGGATGTAGGGCTCGAATACATCCACAGTCACGGAGACGCAAACATCATGATCGCTTCTCACAATATTGACAGTATCAAGGTAACGTTTGTGGTTGCTCCTTTTCCTTATTGGTTTAGTATGCCATTTCCCGAATGGAATCGCTCGACATTTCCCGCTCAGAGGGAAAAGTATTTTCGGACAACTTCTGGGCATGTGCGATCAGCTTACTTTCCCACTCGGCCAAGCTGGCTATCCTGCTTACAAGGTTACAACCAGCGCTTGCGTATTATTTGACAGTTACTTTCAGTATGTCCCGTTCGGCCCTGTCGCTGACGTACTGCCCTATTTATCCAGAAGAGCGAAAGAAAACTCCGCGATTATGGAAGGAGCAAAGGTGACTTTGACTCAAATTCGAATCGAGAATTACAAAATTATTTTAGGCGGAAAAGCAAATCATCCATCGCGAACTCTTCCGACGATTGCGCACATTTCAATTATAAATTCCACGTTTATAGAAGGTGTTCGTAATTCTCAAAGTCTCCATGTGCTAAGCTCGCCAAACTAATGAATGCTACTTTATTGACATTGAATTACTGTTTCTCTAGCTTCAATTTTTATCATCATCTGTCAAACGGCTAACTAAAACTCAATCTTAAAAGAAAATATGTTCTGAATAATATAAACGCTGTACTTGCTGCCCAGCTTGCATGCGACCTCCACAGTTGCGTTGAACGTGCCAGCATAAACACATCTTTACTGAGTCAATTTATATCCTTATCTCTCTCTCTGGTGTTCTTGTAAAAATAAATAAAATAATTCAATCAAAATTCGTTTTTTTTTCTACTGAGTCCTTCAAAAATTGGACTCCTGACATTTAGGTACTTTAAAAAAATCTTCAAAATTTGAAACTTTTTAATAACAACCCGAAAAACAAAATGAACTTTTTCGTACGAAAATAACTAGCACGTGAGACATCCACAGAAATACGCAAGAACTTTCGAATGAATTGCATGTGACAGTCTTACTCTAGCGCCCTCGGAGTTCGTACGATCGTAATCCTAGAGCGCTTCTCAAAAGTTGTACAAAACCCAGAATCACATCGATAAAATAATTCAGTTCTCTTTTTAAATAACGAAGATGATATTATCTGTTATTTTTTGCTTGTTTAATTTGTCTGCCGCTGATCGTTTTCCAACGATACAGTGCTTTACCTGCGTTGGATATTCTCTCGAAGATTGTCAGAGAAATGGAAAGGTGATGGAATGCAGGGGAAATGAAGAAGTTTGCCAATTAGAGGCGCGAAAGCGAAACGGAAAGACGGAAATGGTAGGTTTTCTCGATATTTGCATAGAATTAAAAAGAAGCGATCATTTGTATTTTTTTAATAAAATCTTCATCAGATTTCTATGGGCTGCAAAAGCCTTGACGCCTGCAAAAATAACCGTCTCCAAAATTTCTCCAACCGCTGGCATCCTCAATGCCGTCCCGACAAAACGCGCGGACCTTCAGTCTGTCGCCAATGCTGCGATAAATCGCCAGACTGCGGACAGAAGATTATGAGCTGGAGTCTCAACAAAGTTTGGGGCTGGAAGAATCCAAACTTTGTCACTTACAAACCTGGAAAGCTCTCGAGCTCAGAAGCTAAGTCAGCTACTACACATTGGGAAGATAGGCCATCCAAATCTGACACTGGTTTTCAAGTGAGTCGGGAGAAAGAAATTGAAACCGAAGAACGAATAGAAGGTTCCCGTGCGTTTCAAAGAGCGTACTCGTCTTAAAACGATGATTCATCGTCGATGAATCGCTGAAATGTCCAATTAACTTCAACCCTCCTCCTCTTTGCACATAATCTGCCGACTAACATTTTTCGATTAAAATGCGATCATCACAAAATATTTCACATAGTTTCGAATGTGTAAATTGGAGAAAATCAAACAGAATCGCAGGAGAAAGAGAGGCAGATAATCAAAATCGAGAACATCGTCAGCAGGAAATCGTTCCACCGTTTGGTTTCCAGGAACGACCGCGGTCGCATTTGTAAACGAGTTTTTGTACAACTTTTTTGGCCTTAAAGTTTTATTTCTAAAATTAGAAATATATTTGTTGAATATCTTTAATAACTTCATATTTGGATAAATCATTAAAGCCGTTCCTGTTCCATCTGGCCAAGTGTAATTGACAGGCGATCCAGTGTTCTTACATTTAGCCTGGCAGATGTTTCCCTTGCAGTTGACGATTATTTCTTCAGCGTTGACATTGTACATATCAAAGAAGTTCGTCTTGCACGTCGGGCCATCTAGTTTGACTTGACTACTTTCGTCAAGCTGAGAAAGTAAATCACCCCCAGCAAGTTTCGCTCCAAGAGAGCAGCTGGCTTCAACAACTTTAGGAAGGACCTTCTTTTTCTTGCAGATGATACTCTGAGTTTCCCACTTAGCAGAATCGGTGTCAAAAGAATGGAGAGGGTTTACGCAGGAAAGTCTGCAGTTATTAGCCGTGCAGGACATCTGAAAAGACAGAGATTTAAATTCGAACTAGAAAATTGATTGCTGATGAATACCTGAACTGACGAGTCTATTCGGTTTACAATCCTTTTGTTTTTCGGGTTCATCAAATCTCCGCATTTTCCAAGAACAGTATTCGTCGATGATTGAGAAGTACCTCCATCAAGAGGCCTCGGTGCTTCGACTGATCCTTTTTCTTCGGCACTGCAAGTAACCGACCCCTTTGCTGGTTTGTGTTGTTTTTTCTTTGCCTTGAAGCATGTTATTGTTTTGATACTAGGAACTTGGCCATCAGGACAAGTTGGCTGACAAGTTTTGACCCCGTCACAGTTAGGATCAACATTTTCTCCAAATGAAAATTTGGCGTCTATTGGGCCGCATTTAGTCACTCGTGATTTAGGTATACAGCTCAATGATCCGCTCTTTGGAAAGAACTTTTTCCCTCTGCATTTGAGAGTAGAAGAGCCGCTTAGAGAAGAGTTTGGATCTTCACATCTGGCCGAGCAATTCAGAAGTTTTCCTTTTCTCCCGCATTGAACAGACACGCTATCTGCAATATCCACTTTTTCGAATAAGTTGCAACTCATGGTTGAGGCCATTGCCACATGTTTCTTTTCAGTTGGCGTTGTTGTGCTCGTCGATGTTGTGGTAGTAGTTGTAGAAGTAGTTGTAGAAGTAGTTGTTGTCGTGGTTGTTGTCGTAGTCGTGGTTGTTGTCGTAGTCGTGGTTGTTGTCGTAGTCGTTGTTGTCGTCGTGGTTGTTGTCGTAGTTGTTGTTGTCGTCGTGGTTGTTGTCGTAGTCGTGGTTGTTGTAGTAGTCGTGGTCGTAGTTGTAGTTGTCGTCGTGGTTGTCGTGGTTGTTGTCGTAGTTGTTGTCGTAGTCGTTGTCGTGGTTGTTGTGGTGGTCGTAGTGGTCGTAGTGGTAGTAGTCGTAGTGGTCGTAGTGGTAGTAGTCGTCGTGGTCGTAGTTGTTGTCGTCGTAGTTGTTGTCGTAGTCGTTGTCGTGGTTGTTGTGGTGGTCGTAGTGGTCGTAGTGGTAGTAGTCGTAGTGGTCGTAGTGGTAGTAGTCGTCGTGGTCGTAGTTGTAGTAGTAGTCGTGGTTGTCGTGGTTGTTGTCGTAGTTGTTGTCGTGGTGGTCGTTGTGGTCGTAGTGGTCGTTGTGGTCGTAGTGGTAGTAGTTGTCGTGGTCGTTGTCGTAGTTGTTGTCGTGGTTGTGGTTGTAGTTGTAGTAGTAGTCGTGGTTGTCGTGGTTGTTGTCGTGGTTGTTGTCGTAGTTGTTGTCGTGGTGGTCGTAGTGGTCGTAGTGGTAGTAGTTGTCGTGGTCGTTGTCGTTGTTGTTGGCGTGGTTGAGGTTGATGTTGTTGTGGTTGTAGTCGTAGTCGTTGTCGTCGTGGTTGTAGAAGTGGTACTCGTTGTAGTGGAAGTCGTAGTAGTTGATGTAGTGGTGGTTGATGTAGTTGTGGTTGGAGTTGTGGCAGCACGCTTCCAATGTGAGAAATCAATTTCACCGAACTCCTGCGCACAAGAGAGACGAGGATTGGCGTTACCGAAGAAAGCTTGATTCGCTTGCACAAATGGGAATCGTTGAATAGTCTGCAAGTCGTCTTCTTGAAGAGCGTGGCACAAGAATCCCGAGAGTGTTCCAAATTTTCTAATCTCGTCTAACTGAGCGACAGTAAACTGTCCTTCTCTTTCGTAGTATTTGCGATCACCGTGCTTAAGAGCAATGAACTGGTCAAGATTAACACAGATAGCAGTGGGTCCAGCAATAGCTCCTTTCTGTGGTACTTCATTGAGCATACCGACGTATAAATCAACATCTTTTTCTTGGTTACTGTACATTTGTGAAATAATAACCGGCCACAATCGTGTCATCCTAACTTCTCTCGCAGTTCTGGCATTATAGAATTTTTTATACAGCCCATGCTGCATACATCGGTCCCTTACTTCCGTGTAAGAGGCAAGGCCGTGGTCTCGACCTCTCATGATATTAACTATGTTGAGTGATTAGAGATCGAATATATCATTGAGTACATACTTGCTTGAAGATCTATTCCATGAGCTGCAAAATTAGGCTTGAAGAACATGTGAACGGTATCCTCAACCCATTTAGAGCTCATTTTCATCGGTTGTTCACGCGCAGCTGCTCGGATAAGTTGTCCTGGTGTTACTCCCGATGCCTCAGATAGAATTTGTGGATCAAAGAAGTTATCTCGCAAGAATGCCGTTTTGATTCGTGTTCCCATTTCATTTATGGCGAAAATTTCAGATCTTTGCATCGAATGTCCCCAACGGAAAAGAGCAGCCCCAAACTCGTTTCGAATTGAAGGGTCAGTTTTGCTTGGAAAGCCGTCGAAGCCGAATTTTGCATTTTCGGGGTTGTTATCTGCATTATCGTCGTTGACTCTCCCCATTTGTTGCCCTGGAGGAAGGGGGAAAAGATCAGGAGTGTCGAAGATGTTGTTTCCAATTACCAATGGCATGAATTCAGTAAAAGAAATATGTTGGAACACGGCAATGTTTATTTGACGAGCTTCCATGAAGATTTCATCTTCCGTTGCGTCTTCCATGACACCCTTGAGGCCAGCAGCAAGTTTATTGTGCATGCGGAGGAAGGCCGTGTGAAGAGATGTTAACATGGGGTTTTCAGCGCATCGGGTGTCACCTGCAATCGGAAATGGCAGTTTCTTCTCGTTTAAAAACTCTGGTGGCTAAAAATATCAATGAAAATTCAATCCTTTTGTAGATTTTTATTCACAAATTACCTCGAATCTTTTCAGAGTCAACTCATCATCGCTAAAATTTTCGTCAAGGTTGTTTGGAAGCATGGTTCCTTGAGAGGGTGAGTTTTTCACTTTGAGCATAGTTCTATCAGCGGGATCCCGAAGTTGTTCTGCCTGTCTTTCGGATTGCCCATAAACTCCAGAAAGGTCAACAAATGACGGAAGTTGATTGAATTGTTCTAAGAGTAAATTATTTTCGAAGTATAAAAATGATAACATTATATCTTTATTGTTAACAGGCTAGCGTTAGTATTAGATTTAGAGTTAGGGTTAGCTATAAATAAAGGTATTAACAATTGAAATTCACAAGACTAATCCCATTTTAGTCTCTTTTTTACTTGGAGACCCTGATTTACCTTTGACGAGTTTTCCGTCTTGCTGGAGGAGACCACCAGTCGATTTAGTGATAAACATACACTTGAAAGAAAACATGATCGGCTCGCTTGTTTCTCTGCCAATGGGAATTGTAAAACATTCATCTTTTTTGGTACAAGAGTTACAAATTGAGTCTCCATCTCCTTGCAGGTCTGGTGTCTAAAGTAAAGTTGAGCTTCTAACTAGATGTGAAAAAATTACCTGCATGATATTATGGGTTAAAAATTGACCCCAATCAATCATCAGCCTCGTGTGAAAAGGGTTCGTTTCTATTTGACCCATTTGCCCGAAAAGAGAAACGATTCGGGGATTAGTTAGTTCTGTTTTGAATGTTGTGCAACGATTTGTATCCCGATCATTACAATAGTTCGCCGGCGCCCATCGAATGTAAGGCGTAAGGACAGAACCCTTATTCTGAGGGTGATTACAGGTACCATCGAACGAATGAAGTCGCGGATCGCACTCTGCCATATAGGTTAAAAAGAACTATCGGAAGAAAACTTACTGTCAGCTTCTTCTCCAGTAGAACGAGTGAAGTTAAGCGATCTCTGAGCAGCCATTTCAAGTTCAAACTCGCTTCTGGTTTGAGCAAAAGGGTTCAGTGCTACTTCTTCATCAAGTTCTCTTAATATAAATTAGAATATTTCACTTTGTAGATTCGTACTGAAGATATTCCTTGACAAATTTTTCGGCCATTCGAAGACCGGCTGATTTTTCTGGTGACAATTTGGCAGCTCTGATCATTCTATGGGCGGCGGCAATCGTGTCCATCGGATTAACTCGGCCACGAATAGGCTTGATGGGCTCAGGATGACCGATTCCGTCAACGTAGTTTTGCCCTTCTGGCCAAACATCAGGCACAACAATATCATCTTTTGGAAGAGGTGGAAGAGGCTCTGATTTCATATCATTCGTCGGCCATTTAAAAAGTTCCGGGGTCACTTGAGCCCCGGTGACCGCTAAAAGAAATGTCTTTAACTTCATGCGGGCAGTATTCTTGATTTCAGATTACCGCGCCAGCAAGAATGGCACTTGCGCCCGCTCTTATATATAGGCCGCGGTACAATCCAAAGCATTGAATTCGATTTTCCACCCTTTTTCGCGAGAAAAGGTCAGACTCTGCACGGACCGCCACACGATCACGGGTTCTTTTCTGTTCTGATTTCGGTGGACTCAATCAGCTCGGAGATTAAACCTGATTTTCCATTTTCCCGCATGCTCTCTTTTTCAGGTAGCTAGTTTGATTCGATTCGTAAATTTTTCTATTAGAAAAACTTGAGGAAAGTTGACCTTCAGAACGTTTTGGTCAGCAGTTTAAGGATTGAGTTTTGGCATTTAGAAGGACAACGCAGAAGGTTCATGCAAACTGGGAAAGGCGAAGCATTAGGTAAACCGATCAAATCGCATTCACCTTCCAAGGCTCGTTGTCATTTTTGTCGTTGCGTCATTTATTACTGAATATTTAGGACAGGGATGGAACTATGGCCGAATTTTCCGGCGGCAACGGCACGGCACGACCCGAATACCCGTGGAGTGCCGTGCCGCTCATATTTCGATCCCTGATTTCGGACAGAAACATTTATTTTGCGGTAGATAAAGCAGTAAGATTTTTTCGTGACATTATTGTTGTTATCATAGTTCTCCAAAGCAGCAATATTTCAATTCAGTGAACTCATCTGTGCCAACTAGGCCACCTTCTCGCCCAAGTCCAGATTTTTTAACGCCTCCGAAAGGAGCTTCACAACACGAGATTGCACCTGTATTGATACCAACCATTCCAACTTCGAGTTTCTCGGCAACTCGAAAGCATTGTCGTTGATCTAAATTTAGCGGTTTCTTCGTGTGTATTACGTGAGATTGTTTTAAATAAACCTGTACTAAAGAAATATCCAGCGAGGCCAAATTCAGATGCGTTAGCGCTTGCCAAAACTTCCTCCTCGGAGTCGAAACCACGAATAGCACATAAAGGACCAAATACTTCCGATGAGAAACACTTGGAATCGCTTGGGACGTCAGTTAAAAGAGTCGGTTCAAAATGAGTCTCATCAATCGCAGAACCGCCCATTTGTATCGTCGCTCCCTTTTCGATCGCGTCGGTTACAAGTTGCGAGACTTTTACTGCACCACGGGAATTAATCAAACAACCTTATTATTTTTAAATTAGCAAGAAAAAAACAGTATAAAATACCGACTGTAGTTGAGCTGTCGAATACATCCCCCAATTTCAGGCGAGACATTTCTAACTTGAACGCCTCGATAAAATTACTCATCACAGAATTCTGTACAAAAACGTTATTGGCAGCAATACACGTTTGACCTATAAATATAAGTAGAATGAAGTATCGGACGAAGTAGAAATACCCGTATTTCTGAATTTTGCTGCTATAAGAGCTTTGGCAGCGACAGACAAATCTGCACTGTCAAAGACGATGAAGGGCGCCAGGCCTCCTAGTTCTAATGAAACCTTCTTGACGGTGGATGCCGATTGCCTTAGCAAAATTTCGCCGACTTGAGTCTAGTTGTAACTATTGAAATATGTCCAGTTAATTTTTTTACCGATCCTGTAAAGGAAATTGCTCGAATATCTGGATGCTCGCAGATAGCTTTCCCAATAGAAGGTGTTTCATCGCGGCAAGCAGGGAGAACATGAAAACACTCCGGAGGAACGCCAGCTTGTAGAGCAAGTTCTCCAAGAGCTAGTGCGGTGAGAGGCGTGTCTTCAGAAGGCTTGAGAATAACAGGACAGCCCACGGCTAGTGCAGGAGCCGCTTTACGGGTGACCATCGCCGCTGGGAAATTCCAAGGAGTTATCATTCCCACAACGCCGATAGGTTGCTTTAGCGTTAAAATTCGTTTATCTGCGAAGGGCGAGGGAACAGATCCAGAGCCAAGTCGGCGGCCTTCCGCTGCACTCCATTCGCAAAAAGACGAAGCATAACCAACCTCTCCTCTACTCTCGAAAATCGGCTTTCCTCCTTCCAACGTTATCAACTACAGACATAAAACTAAGTTATTGGTTATGTTCGATATTGTTCTGCACCTTTGCAAGCGACTCTTGATTTTCATCGATTAGAGAGCCCCATTTATTGACTATAGAAGCGCGCTCTTTAGCCGTCTTTGCCTTCCACAGTTCGAATCCCTCTTTTGAAGCTTCCACTGCTTCTCGCACTTGATCAACCTGGCAATTCGACACGTTAGCAATATTTTCTCCACTATTTGGGTGGGCGACTGAAAACTTCTGAGGCAAGTTTCTCCAGGTGCCGTTGAGAAGAGCTTCAGAGCGAAATAAACCCTTCGGTATTTGGGAGATTTGTTCTTTACGTTGTTTGAATATTAATTTTTAATTGCTCGTAAAAGTGATAGCTCAAACACATTCCCGCCAAGCTGGTAAACTTCGGTCTTCCGAACATAGTTTTATGAAAACCTCTCTTGAAATAATAGTTTATGGTTGCCGATTGGCTAATGCTGGCCAATGAAATGGCAATTCTCCTTTTTGATAGCAAGGAAGACTACCCACCCAGATAACCTGCGCACTCGGAAATAGCAAGACCTTTCTACGATTGCACTTGCAGACAAAGGAAATATTGGACAATGTTAGATTGTCAATGTATGATGTAGGACAACATACACAGTATGAAAATATTTGAATTTGTGACGTGTATTCCTTTTCTAGTGGATGTGCTCAATTGAAAATTATACAGATCAGCAAGCAGTTTCTTTCTCAGATGTTGAAATAAATAAGGGCAGAAATCATTCTCTTCTCAATTAGACATGGACGGCAGAATCATGCAGCAGAAATTTAGTTGAATCAGCGGAACCGCCCGAGTCATCGGATGCTTTTGATGTTTTCAGAGCTGTAGCTTTTCTCCGTTTTTTAAACTTTATCCATATTTCATAAGATGCTCAAAGTTTTAAACGGTTCCTTCATCAGCAATAGAAAGCTCAGAATCACGGCGACTGATGGATGCGATTCCCGAATCTTGGCTCACCTTCGCGTTTGCACTTTCCGCTTGTTTCACCTTCTTTATGTTATTGAAAGAAGAGGTATTATGTGTGTCACTCTTCGCCTTTTCATCTACCGGATTGCTTTTTTCCAGCTCTTTTTCTTCTGGTTCTTCATCCTCTTTGCTTGACTTTTCGGAAGTGTCCTCGAGGGTCTTCTCATCGCTTGTTTTCTCCTCGTTGGAAGGTTCACTCTCTTTTCTTTCTTCCTGCGACTTTGGAGCAGGCGGTGATTTGGGAGATTTCGGTGACTTTGGCGATTTGGGTGACTTGGTTGACCTTGGCGATTCAGGGGACTTCTTTGCTTTCCCGTCTGGTAATGAGTTCAGGACTTCTGAGAGAGGCTAAAATATATTATTAATAGAAACTGAGTTTGCGTCACACCTTTGTCATATTTGGTATATGAAGTTTGAGCAATGCTTTGAAGGGCTTTCGGCAGATAGGACAAGAGGACTGTTGATATCGAATCTTTTCGGCGCATTCGGCGCACACGGCTAGATGGCGACAAGGCAGTATTAACGTATCGCGTGGGTCGTCCCAACAAATAGCACATTCTGACTCTAATTCTTCGCCTTTCGTTTTCTTCTCGATTCCGTAAATTTCTAAGAAGCTCATTTACAAACAGTTGGTCAATTTTGCTTGATTACCTTGGAGGGAGAAAGCGAATTTTCCGATACGCACACGTTGTTTTACAGCTTTTAGTGACCAATTATCTACCCACTTTTTTAATAGTCGACTTTTATCAGAAAATACCTTGAGAATTTTTTTCGAAGACGCAATAAGTAAAGAAGATTTGTTCGGTCGGTTCACTTTTTGTTCTTAGTTGAATTACGACTTCGATGTGCTCCCAAGTCCATCTTTCCTCCTCTTTGTCGGATTTTTTGAGCTTGGACGGGCAAATTCTGTGGTTGAGCATGCAAAACTGTTGATCCATGCCAGCGGCGAACTCGAGCTGATCAGATTTCGTTGACGACTCTGAAACTGGAACTAGCTGCCCTTTCGGCGTCTCCTTCACTCCATAGTGAATCCTTGCTAGGCAAGGGACAGAGCAGTCGACAGTAAACTCGACATGAAACCATTGAAATTTCTCGGCCTCTTCTTTTGTTTCCTCGAGACTTTTGAAGCGGATAAGAAGTTTTCGTCAATAAGTCATTGATAAATGTTGAATGATTTTATCCGGTCCCTGGGAGCTCTTACAAGTCGCACTGAGTGTTTGCGTACATTGATGAGCACGTTTATCGGGCGAACGTAGCCAGGGTGGCTATTCGTTCCGCGAAGGTTCAGCTTTGGCAAGTTTGACGAGTCCGATCCTGCTGGGCCGTACGGACCTTTGGAAACGATTAAAATCATGGAAATAAGAAAAAGAGTACCCAAGTAATTTAAGTCCGAGATAGAGCCAAATAAAAACTTCTGCGGATCGGTCGTTTCGAACTTCTGCCCGCCCATGATGTAGTTCGGCGTGAAAATGCCAGTTTCCGCATTTTCGTTGAAGTAATAACGCTGCTCGCCACTTGAAGAGTTCTGGTTTTCGTCGCTTTCACGATAACGATATCCCGGCAGCGCGCTTAATTTATTTTACGATTACTTTCAGAAAAAATTATTTATAAAAAATAACCACGAAAGGAAATACAAAAGAAGGGGAATCAAAAGACTGAAATTGAATAAGCAACTGGCCATTGTGTCCAGCAGCATCAGATGTCAGACTGACAAAGCCCTAAATTACCTTAGAGCCGATCCCATAGACGCGGCAGTGACTTCAGAATATCATCATTTCTTCTCAATTCGCAGTGATATTTTCTCTCCTCAACTGTGCGACTCTCGAATTTTTGCTCGTTGGATTTTTTTCGCATTCAACCCTAATGTGAAATCATTCGACTCTTTTTTTTTTGTAGCCCGCGGCGGCCTACGCAGATGAGAACTCCCCGCGGCGGACTCTGTCAGCGCAGCGCGTCATCGACCCGAAGAGTTCGATTTTTTAGCCAGCTTCCGATATTTTCAGAACTCATTTCAAGTCTACTTACAGTAGGATAGGTAGTTCAAGGATTGGGGGCTCTTAAACCAACGCTTTTTGAAATCAAAAATTGCATTTGTACTCAAACACCAACGACTGATTATTAAAAATAAGTTTCTATTTTAAAAATAAACTTGAACAGAAAGCATAACATATAAACGGCTTGAGGTACAGGAGTGCATAGTGACAAAAAAAACTGAATCAGAAAAGTGTTCCAGTTGAGTTGGACTTCTTCATCGTCGACGAGGGCAATCTAACAGTAGATGAGTCGCCCATGTCCAAATCCTTGAACATTATAAGCGGGTCTTTTTCTTGCTTTTGAGAAAAGTCGGTGCCCGCATTTGAAGTTGTTTCTGCTTCTTTCTCGGGTGGTTTAACTGACGAGGAGAAGTTTGTCCCTGAAGAGCTTGCTTCTGAGTTCGAAAATGTTGTTCCTGATGTTCTTGGAGTTTTATCAAAGCTTGTTTTGGCTAAAGTAATCAATACATTTGCTGAAAGATTGCTTCGACTTACCTGATGGTTTTTTCAAAGCAGACTTTTTCGTCAATGCCCAGGCGCCTGTTTTACGAAGTTTCGAGGTTTTATCCTTTTCTTCGCCAACAGCAAACTTCACACCCCTCGGAACTGTTGGATAAGGATTAACCGGGTCAAAGGAGTCATTCGCATTTGAGAAGGAAGTCTCTACCGTCTCTATTTCTACATCTGCGGGAGAGGTGAAAGACGGATTATTGAGTCCCTTTTTCAGATGAGTTATTTCCGCGAAAACACTCTCGTCCGACATTCGTCGCCCTGACTTGTCTACGTGGTCGGCCAATCGATCAAGACTATCGTCAGAATCAGCAGCGCTGTCTTGCGAATCTCCAGAAATTTCAGAATCGCGGGGTTGTTCGTTCACCCTTTTTAGCCGCTGTTTTTCCTGAAGAAAATGTAATCAGTTGAATTTTAAATATTTCATTTCTGATTTCCCTTTCAGTTTGATGTACAAACATTTGATCGAATTTCTATTAATGTTCGTGCGTAACAAGTTATTACCAGTTTTAATTGCTTTTCTTCGATCGTGCGCCTCTCATCAGGAATTCGGATGTGTGCCATATAATGGTAAAATGTCGATATTCTAAAACAGTAGTTTTACGCTTCCGCTTTCCAAGTTCTAATGCGACCTGTGAGAAATCATACAAATGAATTGAATGACAATCAAAACAATATAAAAGGCCATAAAGCAAAGAGTAAGCGGCTGAATTTCAATCTGGTACGTCGGATCTGGCTCCGTGTTATTTAGTCCTGGAAAAAGTCCTGGCCCTCCAGGAAGCAGACTGTCTCGAGGAGCAAAATGACTGAAGGATGAGAAGGAAATCTGAGCTTCCGTGTCAGGTTCGCAAAAATCAGGAGCATCGTAGCCAATTTGTAGAAGACGATCACCAAATTGACGGAGCATCAGTCCGATCGTCTAAGCAATTTATTAGAAGGTTATATTCGGTCAAGAGAGCACGGCGCTTACCATCCACAAGATGTTAGCGACAATGTAGAAAAGAAAGATATCATTTCTGAATTTAGCAAGTGCTTTCTTTCTTTCATTCTGGAGTCGCTCTTTATCCACGTCAGAATACTCGCTGTCGACAATCTTGAGATGGCCATTTGCAGGATCCTGCAGACTTTTCCAAAAATTGTATTCTGGATCAGCTAGAGTATAAATTCGTGTTGTTGGCTCGAACGGCGCGTTGGGTTCCAAAAACCAGGAAAAGTAATCCAAATTACCGCGCATGGCACATTCGCTGTATTCTCTTAGTCGAATCTTGCGTATTTTTATTGTTTCATGATGAGTAGCACGGGGAACTGGAGACTATCACTTATGATTTCATGAGAATTCGGAACAGAAATATTACCTTTGACTTTGTTGGATAGGTGAAATACTCAAGGAGAAGGGACAAATGAATTGGTTCGGTGATAGTTGACACATTCAGAACTTGAAACAGTTTCCGCATAGTTTTCTATAATACAAATTAACATCATTAAAAACGAATTAATTGATACCCTTGTAACGCCTCCATAGTTGAGGTAGGATCGTTTCACCAGCTCGGTATCTCTACTCGAGTCATCAATGTCGATAGTCAGAACCTTTTTGATATTCTTGTATTGAGAGCTGATTAGTTCATTGAAAGATTTGTTGTGCTTCATCAATGATTTTCTGAGGGAACACGCAGATTTCGACGAGACAACAGACTGCCGATTGTCTGTATTTTTTCTTAGCGAGTTGGTTACTCGTCTTTTTGTCAATCGCTTCGTATGAGTACTCGAGTCGGGATTTGCTTTTTCTGTCTGCAATGGCGTAAAAACTTGAACTGGTTGGGTTGGAGGTGGAGCTAACTTTTTGGGAGATTTTTTCTTTTGCGCAACTGATGTTGTCTTTGTGTAGTCGAATCCTTCGTCGCGAATATTAAAGCCAAGCTCAGCTGTTGTGTATCTTTTCTTGATTTCTCCTGCTTCTACCGTTGTCGAGCTGTGCAATTCCATATCAGAGTGTCGCCGTAGTCGATGACTTGATGAATTTTATAGGATGATAATCGAACGGATGGGTACCTGAAATCAAACCATCCGTCTTCGTGGACAACCTCTTTCTTAACAATTTCTTCTTCATAGTCGTTGTTGTCTTCAGAGCTCTGATCTGTTTGAGTTTGCTGCTCTGCAACTAAAGTTGCTTGTTTGGGTTCTTCTTTGATAATTGAGTCCTTTTTGAGTGAGTTTCGCGTTAGTTCTAGGTCTTCTTCGTTGTTCGTATTTGGTTTGCTTTCGTTGGGACAGCAGCATTCATTGCAAGAAGATTCGCCTTAATATTTTCAAAGATAGTTTGATTTTAAAAATCATACCCATGCACATGGAGCAAAAAGAGTTCATAATTCCACCAAATATTCCCATATCTTTCTTCTTCTTTGATGCTTCACCCGCGTTTTGTCGTGTTCCCCAAGAAATATCATTAAGATTTGCCACCATATACAGCTGGAGAAATATGAAGCAGCTCGGTATGAACATAAAATAAATTATTCCACACATCAAATTAACGATTTCTCCGTGGCTCAGGGCAGCGATTCCATAAATAGCAGCTAAAGCTAAGAAAAAGAGGACATTTGGATCAGCAACGCACTCGATCGCGTCAACTAACAACCCAATCATAACAGTGACCATCAGAATCGCATAGATAAATGTCAGGAATGATGCAAGTCCGATCTGCACATTTTGGTTGTCGTAAAATCGACAAACTAGGGCAAAAATGACCACAGGGGTGCAAATGATGATGTATGCTAGGGCCGCTTCATCAGTAGGCATTTTGATTGCAAAATTAAAGGCCTCAGAAAGCATCATCAGTGTTGTCGAGAGGCCGATAACTGTGAAGATAAGATTGAAGCCTTGGTACAAAACATAAGGAAACGAGATGTATGGGTTGTTTTTTCTGGCAAGCCATTGTTGCTGTATCAAGTCGTAAATATTTGCAGTAGTGCTCGGTCCCCATCGTTTTCGTTGCTTGAAAAACTCCTCTAACTCTTCTGGTGCAAATGTAAAGCAATGTGAACCAGCTTCGTACTCGATTCGACCACCCTGCATAAGCATAAGAGTGCAAAGCCAACGATCTTCTCCCATGTCATACTGAAGCTTCTGCATCGGCGTTTCTGCATATTGACGGTACCGGGCCATCACGTTGTTGAATCGGAGATGATGGACTCGCATCAATGAAAAACAGCCTGGCGAGCAAAGAACACATCCCAAAACATGTTCGGTTGCCTTTTGTAGCCAGTGGCCAACTCCATATTCAAAACGTTGGTACCAGTTTATCCAACCGCCTCCAACGGGATGAATGCGCCCGCAAACAGCAGCCACTTTATCATTTCGAAGCATGCGCTCTAAGCAAAGTTCTAGAGCCGATGGTTTAAATCGAACATCACCATCCAAAGCTAAGATAAGTCTACTTACAGTAGGATAGGTAGTTCAAGGATTGGGGGCTCTTAAACCAACGCTTTTTGAAATCAAAAATTGCATTTGTACTCAAACACCAACGACTGATTATTAAAAATAAGTTTCTATTTTAAAAATAAACTTGAACAGAAAGCATAACATATAAACGGCTTGAGGTACAGGAGTGCATAGTGACAAAAAAAACTGAATCAGAAAAGTGTTCCAGTTGAGTTGGACTTCTTCATCGTCGACGAGGGCAATCTAACAGTAGATGAGTCGCCCATGTCCAAATCCTTGAACATTATAAGCGGGTCTTTTTCTTGCTTTTGAGAAAAGTCGGTGCCCGCATTTGAAGTTGTTTCTGCTTCTTTCTCGGGTGGTTTAACTGACGAGGAGAAGTTTGTCCCTGAAGAGCTTGCTTCTGAGTTCGAAAATGTTGTTCCTGATGTTCTTGGAGTTTTATCAAAGCTTGTTTTGGCTAAAGTAATCAATACATTTGCTGAAAGATTGCTTCGACTTACCTGATGGTTTTTTCAAAGCAGACTTTTTCGTCAATGCCCAGGCGCCTGTTTTACGAAGTTTCGAGGTTTTATCCTTTTCTTCGCCAACAGCAAACTTCACACCCCTCGGAACTGTTGGATAAGGATTAACCGGGTCAAAGGAGTCATTCGCATTTGAGAAGGAAGTCTCTACCGTCTCTATTTCTACATCTGCGGGAGAGGTGAAAGACGGATTATTGAGTCCCTTTTTCAGATGAGTTATTTCCGCGAAAACACTCTCGTCCGACATTCGTCGCCCTGACTTGTCTACGTGGTCGGCCAATCGATCAAGACTATCGTCAGAATCAGCAGCGCTGTCTTGCGAATCTCCAGAAATTTCAGAATCGCGGGGTTGTTCGTTCACCCTTTTTAGCCGCTGTTTTTCCTGAAGAAAATGTAATCAGTTGAATTTTAAATATTTCATTTCTGATTTCCCTTTCAGTTTGATGTACAAACATTTGATCGAATTTCTATTAATGTTCGTGCGTAACAAGTTATTACCAGTTTTAATTGCTTTTCTTCGATCGTGCGCCTCTCATCAGGAATTCGGATGTGTGCCATATAATGGTAAAATGTCGATATTCTAAAACAGTAGTTTTACGCTTCCGCTTTCCAAGTTCTAATGCGACCTGTGAGAAATCATACAAATGAATTGAATGACAATCAAAACAATATAAAAGGCCATAAAGCAAAGAGTAAGCGGCTGAATTTCAATCTGGTACGTCGGATCTGGCTCCGTGTTATTTAGTCCTGGAAAAAGTCCTGGCCCTCCAGGAAGCAGACTGTCTCGAGGAGCAAAATGACTGAAGGATGAGAAGGAAATCTGAGCTTCCGTGTCAGGTTCGCAAAAATCAGGAGCATCGTAGCCAATTTGTAGAAGACGATCACCAAATTGACGGAGCATCAGTCCGATCGTCTAAGCAATTTATTAGAAGGTTATATTCGGTCAAGAGAGCACGGCGCTTACCATCCACAAGATGTTAGCGACAATGTAGAAAAGAAAGATATCATTTCTGAATTTAGCAAGTGCTTTCTTTCTTTCATTCTGGAGTCGCTCTTTATCCACGTCAGAATACTCGCTGTCGACAATCTTGAGATGGCCATTTGCAGGATCCTGCAGACTTTTCCAAAAATTGTATTCTGGATCAGCTAGAGTATAAATTCGTGTTGTTGGCTCGAACGGCGCGTTGGGTTCCAAAAACCAGGAAAAGTAATCCAAATTACCGCGCATGGCACATTCGCTGTATTCTCTTAGTCGAATCTTGCGTATTTTTATTGTTTCATGATGAGTAGCACGGGGAACTGGAGACTATCACTTATGATTTCATGAGAATTCGGAACAGAAATATTACCTTTGACTTTGTTGGATAGGTGAAATACTCAAGGAGAAGGGACAAATGAATTGGTTCGGTGATAGTTGACACATTCAGAACTTGAAACAGTTTCCGCATAGTTTTCTATAATACAAATTAACATCATTAAAAACGAATTAATTGATACCCTTGTAACGCCTCCATAGTTGAGGTAGGATCGTTTCACCAGCTCGGTATCTCTACTCGAGTCATCAATGTCGATAGTCAGAACCTTTTTGATATTCTTGTATTGAGAGCTGATTAGTTCATTGAAAGATTTGTTGTGCTTCATCAATGATTTTCTGAGGGAACACGCAGATTTCGACGAGACAACAGACTGCCGATTGTCTGTATTTTTTCTTAGCGAGTTGGTTACTCGTCTTTTTGTCAATCGCTTCGTATGAGTACTCGAGTCGGGATTTGCTTTTTCTGTCTGCAATGGCGTAAAAACTTGAACTGGTTGGGTTGGAGGTGGAGCTAACTTTTTGGGAGATTTTTTCTTTTGCGCAACTGATGTTGTCTTTGTGTAGTCGAATCCTTCGTCGCGAATATTAAAGCCAAGCTCAGCTGTTGTGTATCTTTTCTTGATTTCTCCTGCTTCTACCGTTGTCGAGCTGTGCAATTCCATATCAGAGTGTCGCCGTAGTCGATGACTTGATGAATTTTATAGGATGATAATCGAACGGATGGGTACCTGAAATCAAACCATCCGTCTTCGTGGACAACCTCTTTCTTAACAATTTCTTCTTCATAGTCGTTGTTGTCTTCAGAGCTCTGATCTGTTTGAGTTTGCTGCTCTGCAACTAAAGTTGCTTGTTTGGGTTCTTCTTTGATAATTGAGTCCTTTTTGAGTGAGTTTCGCGTTAGTTCTAGGTCTTCTTCGTTGTTCGTATTTGGTTTGCTTTCGTTGGGACAGCAGCATTCATTGCAAGAAGATTCGCCTTAATATTTTCAAAGATAGTTTGATTTTAAAAATCATACCCATGCACATGGAGCAAAAAGAGTTCATAATTCCACCAAATATTCCCATATCTTTCTTCTTCTTTGATGCTTCACCCGCGTTTTGTCGTGTTCCCCAAGAAATATCATTAAGATTTGCCACCATATACAGCTGGAGAAATATGAAGCAGCTCGGTATGAACATAAAATAAATTATTCCACACATCAAATTAACGATTTCTCCGTGGCTCAGGGCAGCGATTCCATAAATAGCAGCTAAAGCTAAGAAAAAGAGGACATTTGGATCAGCAACGCACTCGATCGCGTCAACTAACAACCCAATCATAACAGTGACCATCAGAATCGCATAGATAAATGTCAGGAATGATGCAAGTCCGATCTGCACATTTTGGTTGTCGTAAAATCGACAAACTAGGGCAAAAATGACCACAGGGGTGCAAATGATGATGTATGCTAGGGCCGCTTCATCAGTAGGCATTTTGATTGCAAAATTAAAGGCCTCAGAAAGCATCATCAGTGTTGTCGAGAGGCCGATAACTGTGAAGATAAGATTGAAGCCTTGGTACAAAACATAAGGAAACGAGATGTATGGGTTGTTTTTCTGGCAAGCCATTGTTGCTGTATCAAGTCGTAAATATTTGCAGTAGTGCTCGGTCCCCATCGTTTTCGTTGCTTGAAAAACTCCTCTAACTCTTCTGGTGCAAATGTAAAGCAATGTGAACCAGCTTCGTACTCGATTCGACCACCCTGCATAAGCATAAGAGTGCAAAGCCAACGATCTTCTCCCATGTCATACTGAAGCTTCTGCATCGGCGTTTCTGCATATTGACGGTACCGGGCCATCACGTTGTTGAATCGGAGATGATGGACTCGCATCAATGAAAAACAGCCTGGCGAGCAAAGAACACATCCCAAAACATGTTCGGTTGCCTTTTGTAGCCAGTGGCCAACTCCATATTCAAAACGTTGGTACCAGTTTATCCAACCGCCTCCAACGGGATGAATGCGCCCGCAAACAGCAGCCACTTTATCATTTCGAAGCATGCGCTCTAAGCAAAGTTCTAGAGCCGATGGTTTAAATCGAACATCACCATCCAAAGCTAAGATATACGTTTTCTTTCTTTCCAAGTGTTCACTCTTTCCTTGTCCACCAGGCATGCTATACTTGCATGCATCCATCTTCCAGCCGATCAAATAATACATATACATGACCTGACTCCATCGCTTTCCCTTTTGGACAAGTTCTGCGTCCTTCAAGTGCACATGCATATTTGTCTGCCCAAAACTATAGTCTATCCGACCGCCATAAGGTGTAACCATCAAGACTTCAGTATTGATAACTTCAGATACACGTTCTTGTATTACTAGCTTCTTCAAAATCCGCTTGAACTGCTTGACAAAAAAATTAACGACTTTGTGTTCGTTTCCACCATCGTCTGTCCAAATTTCATAACAATTGTCAAATAGAATATGGATTTCGATATTATAAAAATCACTGAGGTTCTTGCTACGTCGTTCTTCAACAGTTTTGATCAGTCGTATAAGAGATGTCATCAGAGTTGTCATTTCGGCTTCGTTTTCGTGCCAAAGAGTGGTGCAGACAAAGACCATTGGGATCGTTTGACCTTTGTTCCATAAGGCAGTTTTTATAGTGGTCCGTGAGCGATCAAAATTTACAGTCAACCGGGAAACTCGCTCTTCATATGTCTCCACTTCTTCCATGTCGACCGTATTCCGGTTCAGTATAACATCGAGTGCTGTGAACATTGCCCTGTATCCAGGGAGTATCATTATTTGCCGATCAAGTGCGTAAGTAGTTGAGTAGTCGGACCAGATGTGTTCGGAAAGAATGATGAAAGAGAAAGTTCCGCAAACGATTCCAATGATGATTAAGTTGGTCGTAACAGCATCCGGAATCGTTGGATACCAAAGGTCACTTACTTCAAATATCTCGAAACATAACTGAAGAGCACATGCTGCTGGTGTCGCTAACAGCAGTGGAGCGCTAAAGCAGGCATACTGCAGTTTAAGTTTCACTGCAAGACGAGCAAAGTAAGAAGTAAGGAAGCCGGAAATGAGATGAACGCATACGAGAACGTCCATCCAACCTGCCTCAGTTAAACCATTCTCATCTGTTTGGAACACCCCTAATAAAACATTTATTTGACTAGATGATACAGCAGCCATTTTGCTAATAAAATTTGTGGAAAGCTCTAATTATCCAAACAGGAGCTACGATATTAGGAGTGCTAACAGAGCTGGCAAAACTAAAAGCTCAAACATTTTCAGAACGAGTGAACTTTCGAAGCTCAAAAGATAGATTTGATTTCACGAATTAAAATCCTTCGAGAATCTTCTATGATTTCAATAGAAACCTAACCTTCATAATGTTCGTGACTGAAGATGTTTGTCAGGGTCCCATCTTTAACATAAACGGAAACAACAAACACAATCGTTATGACCACCATCTTGATTGACGAAATCATTGCGTAGAGTGGAAATATCTGAAGAGTAGGGTCCACGACTTGGGTATCAACCACATCAAATAATTGCGCCAAAGCTTTCTCCATCCCCAAAATCTCATTTGCACACTTCTTGACCTTTGAGCTGTCTGGTAATAATCTGGCAAAGTTCTTCCACCAAATTCCGCTCATTAAAATTATGCTCAGCGGAGCTAGACTTTTGAAAGGGTTAATCGAAATACAGTATTCCCATAAGTGTTTAAATAATGAGCGAGAATTGACGGAAACGATATTTTCGATTACCCTAAATGAGATCGTAGACCATAAAGTTTGGAGACATAAAGACGGCGGCGATAATTGCTGCGGCTCCAGCAATGAAGGCAAGCACACAGACAGAACATTTCACGATTTTTAAAGTTTTATCTCTTCGCCAACGCAAATCTCTTACAGTAAGTCTTCAATATCTCTTTCAAGTAAACATTAAAACACATTCGCTTGATGTTAAATCATAAGACCTTCCTGAATTCTGAAAATTCCGCGACTATTTTGAAGATAAGCGGGACAAAAGTAACAAGTTGTCCAGATGCAATAATCAGGGGTCTTACCATGAGAGGGCAGATAAAGAAAGCGAAAATGCTTAGAAAATATAATTTCATCGTCAAATGAAAAAACAAAAAACCTTTGTGCTGCTACGAAAACCAATTCTAGTCCGGCAGGGAGCAAAATATGAAACCAGTCGATACTCTTGTCATTTTTTCGTATCAGCTGCGCCTGACGAAATATGCAGAAGTAAATGCAATTTGCGAAAGTATAAAGATTCGGGAGAATGAGCGCAAGCCAGAGATTGAAGCTATATCTTCCTAAAAGCTCGGGAGTAAATGCTGGCAGCTCAGAGAAAAGACTCTGTGCTCTGCCTACAGCTGGCACTAGATGAGAGGCGAGGACTGAAAATGTTCCCTGTTGTGTGACCGCAGCTCTAAATGTTTTGTTTCATTTATAACAATTAATTTATTTACCCAAAAGTCAAAGCACTTAGAGTGAGCGCGAAGAGTACTCTCAGAAATATCTTCCAGTAGTGAATGAAGAAGGATATCTCTTCCGAGGTGTCCGGGTCTGCGCGAGCTTTGTTCCAATCTTTATCCTTGAAGGGATTTTTATCGACAAGACTCTCATCTTCTTGTAGAACACGCTCACTCTCAGCCCCACTGTTATCCGAGTTCAAAAATTATCGTTAGAGTTGGGTCAACAAAGAAACGTTTGAAACTCGTACTTAGGTCACTTACATCGTCTGAAGGCTGCCGGCTCAGAAATGATCCGGCTGATTGTGCTGATCGAACGGAAGCTGCAGATGGTCGTGTAAGGTTAAATCTGACAGTGGTCCTCGATCTCTCCTTTGGAATGTTTTCTGATGATTTTCTCTGTTCCATAGTTTAGAAATGGCTCACCTGGACCATGAAATAAACCGTTTTCTTGTTTCACTTCAGCTGAAATTGTTTGATATTCCTGAAACACACACTAGCACCTGTTTAAACGCGCACTTAGGCAATGATAGTGCTGCAGGACAGTGGCATTTGCGGGGCAGTTAGCCAGGAGACGCAAAGGAAAGCACCATGATCACACAACTTACCAACTAATCACTGTAAATGTTATTCTAAGACTGTGAACTCTTCCTTACATCGTTCAAACGGTTCGCTTTCAGAATAAATGAATAGTTTAGTTGTTACGTGGCAAATACTTTTTTTTAATTTATAGCTAAACAAGGGATGAAATTATGGCTAAATTTTCTGGCGGCACCGGCACGGCACAACCCGGTGGTGGTAGTGCCTTTACTCGATGAGTGTAGTGCGCATGCGACATAAGAAGAGGAAAACAAATTCCCGACTCGACTCATTTTTTGCTGACCCGGAAGATTACCTGATTGGCCCCTAATTCGCCATCGCAAGAGATCTCGAGGAATTTCAACGGTGATTCGTCCTAACTCACCTAAAAAAGTAGACGTATTACTGCCAGTACGTTTTAATAGGAACTCTGATTCAGATATGGACTGGAAAAATGCGGGTCGCAGAAGAGAAGAAACCTCACGAAGCCTATACGAAGAAGGTAATTTTTCACCTTACTCTTTGCGAGATAAGAACATGAAATTCTCACCGTGTTTTTGAGGGAGTTAGCAATTATTTAAGATCTTTCTGATGGACCACTTATGAACAAGGAACCATCTTCCCTCGACGATTCTCGCCGATTCGCGAAAAGAATAATCGCCATCGGGATTTCTGAAATCTGTAGAAGAAGATTGGCCATTCCAGATGAGGAGTTCCTCGTCCGATGTGCCAGTTATCGTGGAACGATAGTCAAGGTATGACTTCAATTTCGATTGATTCGCTATGTTTATTTTCAGGTGTTGCATCCATTTATAGAGGGCAAAGATAGGAGAACGAATCGAGTAAGGAGATGGCTACGAACGATTTTAGACTTGACCGAAAAGGACTGGCTGGAAAGCGTTTCTTTAGTGATTTGCAAAGAGGTAGAGATTTATCTTCTCGCGGTTATCTTGAGTCCATGATTTTTAGAAGTGCCGCCGATGTGCATTGAATCGATGGAGGGACACGCATTGTGCCAAATGCACCACTGAGAATCCAACGGAAGTCTATAATTTCCAGGTGGAAAAGTCTCTCTCGGGTGAAGTCAACGAGCAAGGGATCATCGATGATGTTCGGGTCGAGTTAACGAAAATTAGCGACAAGATGGTGTTTCAAAATTCCACACAAGAGCTTATCGAAGGAATCAAAAACAAAAACTTCACTTGTTACCCGCCAGGAACAAAACTATACTATGCGATAGTAAGGCAGCTAAACCGTTTTCCGCAAAATATTTTTCTTAGCGTTTAACCTTGAACAAGAATGCGCCAGCCGTTTACAACGATGATCTGGGTGATCTCTGTGACCATGGCTGGCTCAACGGGTCAAAGCTCAGGAGAGTCAAAAATCCTTGCACCCCTCTTTCATATAAAGTCAAGACAAGGTTTCACGAGATTTCTGTCACTGGAATAGAGACTGCGGTCACTTATGATTGGTAGTCTCTGTCTCCGTTTCTTTTTTACTTGCAACTGCCCATCATTTGTTATGTACTCAGGCCCAAACCGAGCAGATAATATGAGCTGGAACCTCCAGCATGGAGGGTGCAAATTTTGTCGCTTTTCCCATTTCCGAATCTTCCTCGCTTCTGATTGGGCGCTCCAATCAAGAGCGCGCCCCGAATTTCTCGAGATCAGCCAGTTTGTTCTTTTTAGAGTTTGATTACGACTAAAATTCCTTTTTTTATCCTAGAATGGAGAGTAGTGACGACGAATTTTATGGCTACGATGATGATGATGACATGGAGATCGGACCAGATGCTCAAGATGCGATCGACCAGATGTCTGATTCTGACGAAGAAGTTGCCGTGCCAGCTCCTGCTCCTGTCAATCCGGTGGGACGAAGGGAACGGTAAAGACTTCATTTTTTATTTCTCTTTTGAGTGATTTGTAAGACGCGACTCGGACAACAACTACTTTGCTGAATACGACGATAACGGCTACCGAGTCCCGCGGCGAGAGCTTAGAGGTGGAACCTTGACGAGTGCTCCAAATCAGAATTATCGCTCTTCGCATTCTCCTTCCCGGGAAGCTAACAAGGAGAACTTGGACAGGTCTGTCAAGGAACATGCCGCGAAAACCATCGATCAGATCGACCAGGGCATGAAGTTAGCCACGATTACTTACAAAAACAGTATATCTTACAAAGTACGACAGAATTTAAAAATAAAGACTATCTATTCTTTAGCTTGATCTAGATAATATCGGAATTGCGCAAATTCCCGAAATGATCTACAACTATCAAGTCCAGCTCGACTTCGATCTCTTAGACGACTTCGAAGAAAAGCTGCTTAGCGACCCATCGGGCATCAAGGCCGATATGGTTGCGAACGGCCTGATGACCTGCTCGGAGGATGATAAGTTGGAAAATTTTCTGTGAGTCGTTGATAATTTATTATAATTCTGAATGTTATTTTGTAGTTTCGCGAAGCATGAGAACAACGAAATAATCGCCGTAAACCAGTCGAAATACAAGAAGTTCAAGAAGGGAATTACGAAGAAAGCCGTCAAAGAGCTGAAAGAAACGGAGTGGAAGCTACCAGAAGAAAAGATCAAAGAATGCGTTGATGCTGTCAAAGTGATTTCCGGCGAGGTACTTCGCGCGAAGCATATCAGTAACATTTACAAAAACCGCTCGAATTTCCCCATCGACAAATTAGATGAGGGTGAGTCTTTTCTCTCGTAGGATCGGAGAAACCTTTCTTATAGAACTTGATCGTCGGGAAGACATTTTCGAAGCTGATGTAGACGCTGAGGGCGCTGAGACAATGGCTCGCTTCACAAACAGCATGAAGCAATATCGACATCTCTTCAGAAACTACCTGGGAGACCAGGATAGCGAGGACGACGATCTTGTTATGGAGGAGGAGGATTTGGTTTCCAAATGCCCGATTTCGAAGACACCCATTCGAATGGCTGCCAGAACAACGGTACCGAACTTCAACTAACGCTGTAGTAAAACGTTTTTAGTGCAAGCATATCTTCGACTATAACTCTTTGATCAATATTTACGAGCAGAAATTCGGAAAAAGAATCAAAGACAGACCAGAAGTATGCCCTCAGCCCGGCTGCCAGGCTGAATTTACGAAGCTCGATATCCGCAAGGACGAAATCTACCAACGAAAGCTTGACCTCGCCCGTGAAAATGGAGAAATCGATTAAATATGTCTGTTTTCCTCTCACTAAAAGAAAATCAAATCTAGTTAACTTCTGCCATCTCATGTATTTTTATCGCTCTTTCTAAGGCACCCCGTCAGTATTTTTTTTCTTGGCTAGTTGGCTCATCTAGCTAGGCAAATAAAATTGCTGAGGGGGTTTCCCTCCAAATTTTTTTATCTATTCAATTTGAAACCTCATAGAAACTCTTTCTATGAATCTTGCTTATTATAACTGAAATATCACTAAAAAAAACTCTAAATATTCCTAACGGTTGAACAAGCGTAATGTTTGCTTGCCTTTTTTGCACTGCCGCATACGCTGCATTGTAACAGAAAAGTTCAAAACGAATAAATAACTTCTATTGCAGTAGTTTTCATTCGTTAATTCTTTATGCTGAGGAACGCGACAGGGCAGGGATATTTACTTACTGCGAGAGACCAGATAGGTGGCTTAGACTTTTCAAAATCGCCACGGTATCGCCAGCATCTGGGGAAGAATTTCATATGAATTTCAAAATTCACGGACCCTTACAAAAGGGCAATAAGATTTGGTTCGGTTCTTATTTTCGAAGTTGTTTTTACCGTTTTTGCGCCTTAATTTTGACTCTGGCGACATTTTTATCTGATGTGGGGTTTGTCTATGCGCGACCTTTTTTTCGGTTTCATTCGGCGTTCGAATCGCGCAGAGACAACCACCCTTGCACTTTTAGAGAGCAAAAAATCGGTTAGTAAAGGATTCAAGTTAATTCGCAGTTCTTTCGAACTCAATAGCATGCATGGAATGATAAAGCAGTACTGAGTGAATTTTGATACTCAAGAATCGAGATTTATTTGTTGTTTTTAGAAATGGGAGACCAAGAGGAGGACTTGTCGAAATTGGCGACTTTCGACCTGGTCCAGCATAGCAACTGGAAGGGACGCAAGATGGGATATGAGCGGCTCTTGAAAGAGGTCCCAACTTATGTCCTTGAGCCAGAGAAGCTGAAGAAATTCTGCCCTTTGTTGAAAGGACTCGTCAGCGAGAAGAATGAGCTCAGCAGAATCCTCTCTTCTGAGCTAGCGTTTCTCATTCTCGAATCAGCAGAAACGAAAACAGTTGCCAAGTAAGCTATCTTACCCAAAAATCTCTTCTCTAAAATTCCGTTCAGGCACGTTTCTTCTGTGGTGGATGGGGTCATCAACAACTGCTTCAGCTCGAAACCAAAAACGAAGCAGAACGGCGTTGATTGTGTCATGCAGTTTATCGAGCATGAGAAACACGCTGAAGCTTGCGCGGGGCTCTTGGAAGGCGTCAAAAACAAGAACCCAAAAGTCGTGACGGCGGCCGTCGAGACCTTGAATCAGGCTCTCTGCGAGTTTGGTCCAAAGGTCGTTCAATTGAAGCCGCTTTTCGATGAGCTTCCGAAACTTTTTCAGCACCGCGACAAAAATGTGCGAAACGCGACGAAGGACTTCTTTGTTGAAGCTTACTGCTGGGTGGGTGCAGCTGTGAAAAGCCAGCTCGAAAAAATCCCAAAAATCGAGCAGAACATCAAAGAATGCGAAGATGCTTGGAAAGACATGAAAAGCAAGGTAAAAGAGAGTAATTTTTTAATAAATAAGTAACTCATCTTTTAGAGCAAGCCGACTCGCTTTTTCAAGCGTCTCCAAGCTGAAAAAGAAGCAGAGGCGGCGACTGTAAACGAGGCTGGCGACGCTGGAGAAGCATGTGAAGAAGCAGCCAACGAAGAAGCGTTCGCTCAAGATGCGTGGGAGTATGCTCCCAAAATTGATCTTGGCGAGATTAAATCTGTGAAGTACGGAGAAGACAAGCTATCGTTTGCGGACGCGATGGCATCGAAGAAATGGAAGGACAGGGGTGCCGCTTTGGATAAGCTCATGGAAATATTGAAGATCGACAAAGATACGATCATCAAAGTTCCTAAGGGTGACTACATCGCACTCATCACCGATCTTAAAGTCGTCATCAAGAAGGACACGAATGTTCTGCTAATCTCAAAAGCTTTGAAAATTGTTAAAGCTCTCGCGGATGGCATGAGGATGGGCTTTTCTCAGTACGGTGCTATCTTACTCCCTGAAATCATCGCTCGCTTCAAGGAAAAGAAGGCCGCAGTTCTCGAGGTCGCGCGTGCAGCTGCTGATTCGATCGCTCTCGTGACGAAATTTCCAGACAGCTCGATGGAGCTCGTTCTTTCTTCCCTCGAAGATAAAAATCCTGGTGTTCGTGCGGAAACGATGTCTTACATTTTCAGAAACGCGAGACCGAAGACAATCAAGTTTCAAAAAACCGTCATCAAAGAATTTTTAACTAAGGTGACGAAAAACATCGAGCATTCCGATAAAGGCGTCCGAGAAGCAGCTTATCGTGTGCTGGCACTGATGAGCACTAAACTTGACGCAAAGATAATGAACACCTTCACAGCAGACTTTAAAGACGATCGTATGAAGCTTTATGAAGACGCTAAAGCGGAGCTAGCCAAAGCGCCCGCTCAGCAGATCATACAAGCTTCTCCTGCCACTTCAGCCGCCTCTGCGCCGCCGAAAAAAGTACCGCCTCCTGTAAAGAAAGTGCCGTCAAAATCAAAAACTGCGCCTATGAAAAAAGCAAAGAAAGTACCTGACAAGAGAAAATGCCCAAAAGAGAACTCTGGAGATGCCGGGCCACCTTTAGAACCTGAAATTGACGAACTAGCCGCTGTCGATATCTGCAATGAACTCTACGGAGAAGCGACGATCAAAAAAGTACAAGATAAAATCTGGAAAGTCCGCTTGGAGGGCCTTCAGGAGCTGTTCCAAAAAGCAGAGATAGAAGCCCCCGAGGAGATAAAGACGCAGGCGATTCTCAAAACACTGTCTCTCGCGCCTGGTTTCAAGGACTCAAACTTCCAATGCAACCAGGAGAAATTCAAAATCATCAAGGTTGCTGTGCGAAACCCAAAGCTGTCTGATACCTCGATCAACATTGTCTTTGGCTACTGTCTCGATAAGATCGCTGATCCGAAATGCTCTGCTGGATCCAAAGAGTCGCTTTCTTCAATGGCTGATTCTGTTTCACTTGCTCATCTTGCGCCTCGAGTGCTGTGCGAGGGAAATAAACTCAAAAGCGTCAAAAATGTAGCGGAGTGTTGGAGATGGTTCAGCGATGCTCTCCCTCAGTTTGGCTTTGGCAAGTTGGAACTCAAAGTAATAATCGAAGAAGCTGTGAAAGCTCTTGGTAACACTAATGCGATCGTCCGTAGTAATGCAGTCGACGCTATCGCCGCTCTTATCCGGTACGTTCCCCAGCTCCGTCCTAAGTTCGACGATCAAAAAGAAGCCATCAAGGCCCAAATAGACTCAGCAGTAGCAAAGTTCGACGGTCCACCACCTGCACCCACTCGTGGACCTGTGCTCAAAGCGCTAGTAGCTAAATCAGACAATAACGAAGACGATAATAATGCTGTGAACGAAGACGCTGAAGAGGACGATCTTATTCCACGTGAGTCAATCTCGAGCTCATTCACTCAAGATTTACTGGACAAACTCGGCGACAAGAACTGGAAACTGCGCAAAGAAGCACTCGAAGAGGTGAAAACGATCTTTGATAAGAATAAGTTCATAGCACCTGATCTTGGAGATCTTCCGCTTCCACTCTGCAAGCGACTTGTGGATGTAAACAAGGTCCTAGTTCAGATGGCTTTCGAAATCACAAGTGCAATTCCAGCTAGTCTTGGTGCAAAAGGAGCGAGAGCACATTGCCGCACCTTTACCGTGGCGATAATTGGAGCATTGAATGATTCAAAAGTTCAAATCCGTGAAAAGGGTATCAGTGCACTCGAAGCTTGGCTTAAAGAAGCACCTCTTTCCTACTGGTTCGACGACTCCAATTCCATTGCGGAACTTCTCAGCGATGCTAAAAAAGTACATTTGCGGTATACCTTCTTGTCCTGGCTGTCCGATCATCTAGCTACCGCGAAAAAACTATCGTCCAGTTCACTGTCGGCTTGTCTTCCTCACCTGTACAATTGCCTTGAAGATCGCGATGCAAAAGTCCGTGAAGCAGCGACTAAATCGCTGGTCAGCTTTATGATCCATCTCGGCTTTCCAAAAATGGTCAAAGCTTGTGGAACCAACCAAAAAGTTCGCCTCGAGTTAGAAAAGGCCAGAGAAGCTCTTCCAAAAGTTGAAGTCAAAGCCGAAGTCATTAATCCTGATGTCTTGATGACGACTAAAGATTGTGGATCCCCGCCCACCAAGAAAACTAAAAAATCCGAAGAAAAGACTTCCACGGAAAAAGTCGAAAAGAAACCGGAAAAGAAGACACTCAAGAAGTCGAAGTCCTCTTCAAGATCGCTGAAGTTGGACAAGGATGATATCGGAGAAATTATCACGGGTATGTCAAAGATCTTTTTGCAAAAATATACTAACTCTTGTTTTTCAGGAACAGAGAAGGCCAAAGATAAACGGCGTCTCGAAGACCGAAAAAAGAAAACACTGACTTGTAGGGTAGGCCAAAAAAAAATGGAAGGTCCGTTTCATCCCTTTTTTCAATTTCAAATTAAAGTTAGTATAAAAACTGACTTTTTTTGTTTTGATTGTCATACCCTCACGCGAGGGGAAGACACATTTTTAAGCCCTTCAAAACCGAAGGGCTTGAGGAAAAAATGGCGGCGCCGGGAATCGAACCCAAAACCTCCAGCTTGGTGGAGGACTGCGCTCACCACCAAGCCATCTCGACTTGGAGGTGGAGTAAAATAAAACATTTTTATATGATTTTTGATATTTTTAATATAAATTTTATGAAAAAAATTCATTTTTTATTAAAAAAAAATTACTTTTTTTATAATTTGCCACAAGTGGCAGCAAGGAGCAGCCATTTTCGTCGTTGGTGGAGCAGGAGCACGGATTTTCTTCCAGATTTCGAACTCTGGCGGAGAGACAGCGCAATATTTGCGCTTTTTTTCTAGGTGGTCGAGTGCCACGCTGGCAAATTTTGCCGGTGTTCAGTGCCGCCCGGCCTCCTTAGCATGGCCAGTTTTTTTTTAATTTTGAATTTATTTAAAATTTTAAAGAAGCTGGTCCCCCTTCCCCTAGAATTTATGGTAAGATGGGGGCGGGCGCCGGCCAGTTCCGTCGCCGAGCCCCATTTCCCCAGAAACCCACCAGGGATGGTTTCGTCGAACCAGCCCGGCCCTAGCACCGCGAGGGGGGTCTAAGTGGTGGGTCTGGGGTTGCCCCCTGAAGCCGCGGTGACCGGACCGCTTTAGAGCAAGCCCTGCAGCTCCCTTGAGCAAGGAGTGCTGGTCTCTTTAGGCCAGCGGCAGGGCCCGAGCCCTTAGGATCCCACCGGCCGGGGCACTTGCCTGAGGCGGGATTATTATCCCACAACCCGAGCCTCTTAAGGGCAGTGCCCCCTGCCACCCCGACCGTTCCCCTGCCTAATCCGGATCTACGGGCAGGGGGCCCAAGCAAGCCAGGGGGGGGCTTTGCCCTTCCTTGGTGTGCCAGAAGAGAGCAGTCCACCCACCAGCACGGGTGACTCCCGGCGCGCCCCAACCCGTCCCCGGGATCGAGGGACTTGGTTTTGCCTCGGGCGAAATCAAGGCCCACCTGGCCCTTGGCTTAACAGCCTTGCGCCGGGCGAACCCGAAATGGGGGAAACTACGGGGGGCACTGGTGGGATTAGGGGGGCTGCCTGGCACACGGGCTGTCGGGGTAAAAGTGGAAAAAAGGAGACGGGTCATGCCCAAATTTTGATTTTTTTTTTGTTTTTTAAAAAGAACTTTAAAATGATTTTAATGGTTAGTATGACTGTTCACAAGACTATTAACTATTCTAAGGTCATTTTTTAGTCAATAAAAAACAGAGATGATCGAAATTATGGCTGAGGGAGTAGGACTGTAGTGATTATTCATATTTATATGATCAGTTTCTTTAAACACAAGGATGATATAAATTGAATTATCGAGTCCCAAACCGAATAGGCATTGTGAACATTATTACTTTCTTTATCGACGTACACATGGAACCGACGACTATTATCCAGGAATATTGCTTATTTTAAAAATCTTTTTGCAAGCAATCTCTGCAGACACAGACGACTGGAACCGACGACTCATGGAACACCGCATATTCAACTTATACCAGAACATTCTCCATTTTTTTTGAAAGAGGAATCTACAAAAGCATTTTTACAATTATTTTTTCCACACAATATTTTTTGTACTTTTTTCTTCTTTTGTTCATTCAGAAAATAGGTTTATAAATAACTAACGGGACTTTTTTTAGAAATCTCGGTATTTGTGAAATGTCCGCTTCGAAAATCTCCATCGACTCGAGTGTTCTCTCTGAACCAATGAAAATTGCTGAGCTTGCGAATCGTGCTGGTGTTCCTATCGAGAAGCTTGTTGCCCTTGCGAAAAAGAAACGAAATGCCAAAGAAAGGGAGGCAGCTAGCTCAAAGCTTGCGAGGAAAATTCTCAGCCACGCGTTCGCCTCCCGAGAATTCCTTCAAAAAAACACCCGAATTCTGGCAAGTCAACTCCTTACTTTCCCGAACAATGACGAAGTACAGCTTTTTGTTGGGCAACAGCAGGATTCAATTCTTGATGCTTCAATGAGAAGCGAGACGAGCCTTGAAGAGTCTATGGGAGAAGACCATGGCTACGACACAACTGTCAATAGTCTCGATGTGTCTCATGCCATGTCATGTGACGATAGTGAGCTTGTCGAGGAAGACATCATTTCTTCTGGAATCAAGGATGATGCCATCGAAGAAGAACAAACAGCAACAGATAGTTCCTCCGTGTTGAAGGATCAAGTCATCCAGGCGATTATCAATTTTCCGAGATTCCGGGCGCATCACATGGAAAAAATACTGGAAATACTTAATGTTGATGTTGTGAATCCAGATGTGCCGTCCGATACCGAGTCGACCACTGATGCAGAGTCAGTCGCTTCTAATTTCAGTGATTCTTTGGAAGACGAGAAACTCCCCACATTGGACAATAACCGAGAAAAATTTTCTCTTTTGAAGTTGATGTCAGAAAGCAACTTGAGGTGAATTTCTTTCTCATAAAATTTATAATAATATCTTTTTCAGTTCCTATCAAGCTCAAAATGTCGCAGAAGAACTCATTCAACCTGAAAAAGCCCGAGGGCTTAGTTCGCGAAATCTTCGAAGGCTGACAAACTGTTCTGAAGAGTTGAGCACGGAGCAACTCATCCGGGTCATCGAGAATTCCGACGAATTTGTCCTTGGAACTGACGGCTCGAAAATCGCTTCGAAAAATTCCAAAGTTACACCATCCGAGCCGGGCAAGAGTGTTACATCTTTCGAATGGTCAACATCCCAAACGAAGTTTCTGAAACCGTTTGTGAAGCATTTACGACTTATCTGTCGGAGTTTCCTCGAGAGACTCAAATACAGTTTGCGTCAAAGGTAAACTTAAACGCATTTATTCAAACCAACATTATTATATAGTGCATTGCATTGAGCAGTGATTCCGCCCCGTCCGCATTGAAAGCCTGCAGGCTCATCATGTCAGCCTTGGACAAGATTCATCCCCGAGAAAGGCTCCAGTTGAAGTGCAGTATGCATAGGGTTGTACATTGTGAGAAAGGAATCCGATCATGCATAAAGGGTGTCTTCGATTCGATCTTGGAGTTTTGCGAAGCCTACCTTACCTGCAGCCGTAATCACGGACTACACTCAAGCAAGGGCCAGCAGCTCGAAGTTTACTTGCAGGCTCTGCGTCTTCGGGACGGACTGGAGAGAGTGACAAAGCCTCTAGAAATGCAAAGCCATGTTCGGTAAAAGATCTCATTAAAATCCGATTTACATAAGTCTTCTAGCTTTGGCAATCTCACGCATAACACCCAACGTTTGGTCGTTAATTACACCGACATCACCAGCTTTGTTCGCTATGAACTTGAACTCGAAGACGATGCGAAAGTTATGGAAGAGAACAAATCGAAAGCAGTTTGCGAATTCGCCAGCTCTGCATTGGTTTACAGTGTTATCGTTGCGCCATATTGGAGTCGTGTGTCTGGATTGTTGTCATCAGAGAATTATTTGGGGCTTGAAGAATACTTCATTAAAATTCTTCGAGATGTTGCGGAATGCGCTTCTCCAGCTTTATTTCTCCTTGAAGAAGCTAAAAAGACTGAAGTCGAGTGGGAGTGTGGCTTTGAAATGGCTGTTTTGCAATTGACTGCTGACCAGAACACGTCCAAATATCTTGATGATTGTATAAAGCTTCGACTCAAAGCTGTGAATGAGCGATTTTCCAAGTTTGCTATCGACTGCTCATTTCCTTTTACCAAGGAAATAACGTTTACGAATCAGGTTTACTCAGCAATTTATTTCAAAAAATAATTTTAATAAGGACTGCGAAAGAAGCTTTTCAAACGCGAAAGATCTCTTTTCCCGGAAATTCAACATGGACACGAAGAAATTCGAGACCAATGTCATGACTCGATTTAACATGACCTACAGTTTTTGGCAACGTCAGCCGGATTTCGAAGAAAAACTCTCGAAGATATTGGCTAAGGCCTCTTCAAAAGAAGCAAAGAATACGGAGAGACGAAAGTCTTTACGAATTGAGTCGGCGGCGAGAAAACTTGAGGAAATCCAAGAAGGTGAAGCGAGACGGACACGATTGGCCGTTTTTCATGCTGTTATCGGGGAGAACAAGCTCTGGCCTTCTGACGATAATGAGGTTAAAGAGTTCATTCATATAAAATAACAAATATTTATAGAACGACGAGAACGAATGCTTCGAAAAGTTTCTACAACTCATCAAGCCAAGCTTTACCGGAAAAGTTTCTCTTCGAGAATTTCGTGGACATGTTTTGGATTTCTTGAACAGTCAATTGTCCGAAGAGGACAGGAATGTCATCAATTCAACCCTGAAGAAAAAGAGATCGAAAAAAGAGCTGTTCACCCAAACTGTTGAGTTTTACAATAAAAATCAATGATTTATCAAAGTACTTAAATTTCTTGTTTTTATTTTTTCGAAAAAAAAATTGGTTTTACTGGGATTCGAACTCGTGCCTCTTGTATTTGTGACTCTTGCTTATTGTATTTTTAAAGTCTAAATCGTTTCAATAGATTGATATATGGCGCCTTAACAGCTAACATTTTGATATTTGATTTTTTGGACATTTTTATATAATTTTGATCTCACGTGACATCACATGACCCTCGATTACCAAGAGTCACGTGTCAAAATAATCAGTGGATCATAAGCTTTCGTTTGATATGTTAATCATCCCTATAAAGGGTTGTTTAAAAAAAATTGATTTTACTACTCCGCGTAAATACGTATGCGGTACACCTTCTTATGAAATTTTGAATGTCTTCCCCTCGCGCTAGATGGTCTGTCAGATACTCAAAATGTTCGTCTTTTTAAGATCTTTCTAATAAAGTAAAAAAAACTTCTGAAACGCAGGTACAAAAAAAGTTATGAGCCAAAAACCGTATTTTTAGGTTTTGAACCCTCCGGAAAGTAGGGAAGAAAAAATTTTTTTGGATTTTTTTTTGTTAAAAATTTATTTATGGGCAAAAAACATTAATCTCGTAAAGTTTAAAGGAAATCTAAGGACCATCCCTTTTTTTGGCCTACCCTACTGACTTGGTACTTCGACCCAGGAACCGCTTGTGGTAAAGAGCTCATCGAGCAACTGAATAGGCAGATATCGTCTTCTTTTGGGGAAAAGTTCGCCGCTCTCATGCATAAATCCGACTCAACAGCCATTGGTCGAGTCCTGGACATCATTCAGTCCCAGCCTACTGATAAGCTCACCAGTGTGCTGGATATAGTTCTCCGGTGGTCGACGATCCGACTGAATGAAAAGAACTCGACTATCACCATGCGGGTGCTCAACTATCTCCACTCAGTCGTTGAACAGTTGCGCAAGGAGGAATACTTCATGTCTCCCTTTGAAGCCATCCCTCTGTTGCCGCACTTGATTTTAAAGCTCGGAGAAGCTCGTGTTGAAGTTCGAACTCTTGTCGAACAGATTCTCAATGAAATCCGTCTTCTTTTTCCGGAGAAACAAATTTTCGAAGAGTTACTTCAGGGTGCAAAGTCGAAAAACTCTCGTCAACGAGCGGCTTGTTTAACCATCTGCGCTGGAATGATCCAGAATTCGGGCATTGAAATCATTGGTGATCCAACGAAAGGAAATTACAAAGAGATTGGTGCTCATATTTCTGATAAGGATCAAAACGTACGATCAAGTGCGATGAATTGCCTTGTCGAAGCCTATAAAACAGTTGGTGAGGAGCTTTTCAAATCAAGAATGGTCGGCAAGCTTGGAGACAAGGAAGAGTCTTACTTGAGAGAGCGGATTAAACGAACACTCGGAACGTCAGATACGTCAGCCAACGAAGCTCCAGTTCTTGCTCCGAAAAAGGCATCTGAGACTCCACGCCGAGGAACAGTAACGCTTAAAAAGGGTGCTACACAACCTGTTAAACGAGATCTGCCTGAGGTGTCTAAGAGCGTGGACAGCAAGCTTATGGAACGATTCGGCTTCAAAGTGCCAACATCAGCTTCTATCGATTTTAAGTCACCAGTGATGAAGTCTGTCAACAGCGAAAGCATCAGTAAGGTTCCCCGTCCGCCGAGTGCTAGTAGCCGTATTCCGAAACTCGAGAAAGAAAAAGAGATTGAAGAGCTAGCGAATCTTGTTGATCACTTCTATCTTACCGAAAACAAGATAGAAGATTTGCGAAAAAAGCTAAACACGCTCAATCTTGCGACTTTCAGAGATGGTGCGAAGACCTTGAAAATTATTCTGAATGAGACAGAAAAGCCGATTTCTCTCTCAGATCAAGAGCTTTCTGGTCTTCTCTTGCCTGTCGCGAAAAATGGTCTCCAGCTCTCAAAGCAAGCCATCGATCAAGGCGAGCTTCGTAAGTTCTTTTTCGATAAAATAATAATATAAAATACTCTTTTAAGGTGTCACGCAGCATGTGACAATCCTTTGCTGTAGCATTCTCCAGAAGTTTATCAAAGGAAAAGACTACCGCGATCGGATTAACGGAGATGACTTGGCTGCAATTGGAGCATTTCTATTCACCATGCTCAAATGCAGAGAAGCCCAGGTAGAACGGCATAAGTGCTTGAATTTTAATAATGATTGTAGGAGATCATCAAGACCATTGATCCTAAGTTTACTTCTGCGATCCTACAGGTGATCAGTGATGTCTCAAAGCAGTGCAAACATGACCGAGTATCCCTCGTAAGTATTCTTTGTTAAGAATTTTCAAATTTTATTCGTTATTAAATTCGGTTTAGATGTACTTGGATCTCATTTCAAGCGCCCTTCGTGATGAAAAACTGGAAGAAATTCAAGCGATTAGCAACAATTTCTACAAGTTTTTCACACTTCGCAATACGACGGAGAAGCTGAATGAGAACGACGTCTCGAAAGTCTACTATCCAGCAGAAAGTTTCTTCGCGGAGTTTCCTAAAAGTCACCAGGTGTTCAAAAAGAACCCTGAGTATTTCAACGCGCTGAGGTTTTATTTCAATAAGTAAGATATGAACTAACTATCTCTCGTAGAACGGTTGTCACATTTACAACTAACCTGACTCGCCACAACGGCGACGCTGTCGAAAGATTCATCAGGAAGTTCCAGCCAAAGAAATCAAGTCTTTTGAGCCTCATCGAAAAGGAACTTCTCAAGAAAAAAGCGAAGGATTCTCAGGATGAAAATGCTCGGCAAGCTTTGTAAGTAGCCCTCATAAATGCTCTTTTTTAAAACAATTGCTTCAGCACAAATGCTCTCGCTCAAATCAAGAAAGTAGAGAGCCATGACGCCGGATTAGAAGCTTTGCATCAGTTTGTCTCGGCGAACCCAGAATTCGATCTTGATGCGGGACTTTCTAAAGAGGACGAAAAGTTCAAGGCTTACGTCAATAAGAAGCTCGGCGATAAAAAAGCTGGTAAGTTTTTAGTCAACATTTATTATTCTCAATTAATAAATCATGATTAGGTCACGAAGTTACGATGATCAGCAGCGCTCCACCAACTGCAAGCGCTATCGAACAACGGGCAAAAGTAATGAGCGAGAAATACTCTCTCATTTCCCAGCCCAGTAAACTGAAGAAGCCGACTGCAAAGGACGAAAAAGAAAACGTCTCGACAGCGGCGCCAGTCGAAGCTCGGAAAGTGCCCTCGAAGAGCACCCTGGACGAGTATCGAAGACGACTGGAGCAGCTGCGCAACGCTAGAAAGTAGCGATACCCCTCCCATTTTCACTAACCCAGTTTCTCCCGTTTCACTGATCCCTCCCCCTTTCACTAACCCAATTTCTACCGTTTCACTGACCACCCCCAAATTCCAAAACTAATATCTCGCGCTTATCACATTCCCCTAACTGTTCACATTCCTAGGTTCAAACACTCATTTAACTGCCACTACAATACAATAAAACCCACAGTTTTACTCCGCATTTGTTAACTTGGTTATAAGCAAGTTATGGCTTTGTAGTTTATTGAATCATTTCATTTCAGGGCAGTTTTTTGACGCATTTTTTTATAATCGTTTTGCAGGTGTCGAAGCAATCTTAGTTCTGCGACAATTTTTTCAGTTGGCTAAAAACATGTTTTCAAATCCTCGGAAAACCATCGTTCTGGTGGCCAAAAGCTAGTTTTTCATACAATGAAGATTTTCACCAAAGAGTCACTGCAGGAGAGCAAAGGGTTCACACCAGAGCAAGAAACTTTTGCGAGGAACAGACTAGAAATATCTCTTGGTGACATTTCCGACCTGTCGAAGGAGACTGGGCGTCTATTCATTTGCGGATTTTGCAAGTAAGCAGCTTTTATGAAAAATTATAAAGTAACATTATCAAAAGCTTACTCGCGGAAGGACCCCTAACTCACTTGCCGTGTGGGCATATTTGTTGCAAGATTGAGTACCAAGCGGATGAATTTGGCCTCTGTCCGACTTGCTATGAAGAGACAGGTAATTTTGAGCTGCAGAATTCTCCAAGAGTACATTTCAGAATCCAAAGGAAATAATAAAAAAGCGCCTCGCTCTCTTTCCATTCTGGAGATGTCGATTTATAACTCCCTTTTCATCAAATGCCCGTCCGGCTGTGGAAAAGATCAGAAGCTCAACAATGTAAAGATTCACCAAAGCTGTTGCTCTGCGATCGTTGCCTGTCCTTACTGCTCGAAAAAGATCCGACAAGTGGCGTTTTTCGTTCACAAAGAATCATGCCAAGCTTATAGACATTGGCTAAAATACTTCATAAATATAAAAACATAACTGGTGTATTAGCTCGTATAAGAAACTTAAAATTGGAATACGGATTGAAAACCCAACAAAAGGACGAGCAAAATGAAGACCACTTCTCTACCCATTTGGCAGCTGACAGAGCTTTGGGATAGACCACAAACTGGACTCAATAAGATATCTTTCCTGATTCACCATATCACTGTTACTTGATAAAAACGAAACTCAAGAACACAAAATTTGTCAAAGAAGAACTTTCAATTCAAAGCGCTTCTTTTGAGTGTTTTTAGTACATGATGAGTCCAGGTAGCTTGGAATACTTTTATCTTTTATTAAAATTGAACGTAAAATTGTAAATATGCAGGCGCCCATTCGCTGGTACATGTATCTGTGCGTATGTCTAGAAAGATGAATGTGTCTAAATCGAGTGAAAAGTTATCCAGAGTAGAATTTTGGCAGCTCATTTCCCAGGACAACGTCGCGTTCGACGCCGTCTTTGGTGATCGTGGCTAGTCGAATGACGCCACCGGAAGACGCATCGCGGTCCATAGCGTGTGCGACGCACATTTTCACGAATCTGAACGTAATTTGATTTCTCCTGCGGGGAGAAAGTGGCGTTACTCTTTTGTCTCTTCTTTTGACATGCCTTCCTTGAATTGATTATCCACGAGACCGTAGATCCAGGTCGAGCCGGAGCCGCCGATTGCCACTTTCTGGCGGATCTTCATGCCTCCAAGAGGTATGCTAAATACCTAGACGACATTGAAGATCATTGCTGATGAATACGTTTTATTCACCTGTCCGCCCTTGATTGGGTCCCAGCCAGCGACGAGAATACCAGCGGAGAAGTGATCTCTGTACTCGTAACAATATTCCTTGAAAGACTTCTTTTAAACGCGCATATGTGACCGTGTTACCTTGAAAAGAGTAGCAGCAGTTTCGACAGAAGGGTTTTCTTCGTCGATCATGATCGCGTGACCTTCGAGTCTGGTTTTGACGGCGGTGGCGATGAACTGAGATATTTACAATGGAATGTTGCCGATTGAAACGGAGCATTACCTGTGTATCGGCGGCGGATCCAGATCGGCAGCAGTAGATTCGCTCGTGCACCTTTGTAAGCTTGTCAGTGACTCGGTTGACGATGTAGGCGCCGGCCGAGGTACGAGAATCGGCACCGATGACAACTCCGCCGTCGAATTCGACCGCCATGATCGTGGTTCCGAGATCGGCGGGGATCTTCTGGATGGAGCTGGGGGTAGGAGTGCCCTGATGCAGCGGAGTGGGATAGGGAGAGAGAAAGGTCCTCGAGGGATCTTCAACGAACACACCCGACATGTTTCTGAAGTGGAAGTTTTTCGATTTTGTGTTTTTGATTTAAATTTGAAAATTAGCAAGTTCAATAAAAGCAAAATTAGACAAACATCTAGAAAATCGTATAGTTGACTTAATCACAGTAACATCGATCATCTGTCTGAAGTTGAGCTCCTGAGGGTGCATTTCTCGTCCTGTGACTCTTTTTTTGGCGATTTTAGCTGAATGTAGCTGTCCAGCGTGGGCGAGAAGGCAAAAACGCGCTCACTCCGCCGCGCTCCGAATTTAATCACTCGCGCCCGCGTTTCGCGGAAAATCGAAAAAAAGAAATTCCAAGAGAACTTTCTTGGAATTAATAAAAGCCACATATTATTCTCACGATGTCCGAGATCTTGATCTGAGAAGCCTACCGCAGAAAAAAATATTAAAAGTAAGTAAAGATATCAGATGAATAAGACTTTAATTATTATTGATAGATTATTTATTAGATTAATTAAAAAATGGTGCCTATTAATTAAATTGCTTTATCGTTCTGCGCATAGAATCTTTGGCACAAGAAATTCATACATTGATTTATGCCCGAAGTGGCAGAAAAACAAGAAAAAAGTCATGTGATTTCTGAAACCTAATGGCAGAAATAAAAATGTCAACTAGATCAAACCAAGTTTCACTTTCTTCTTGCTAGGTATCTTGAAGTATGATAAGCTATCACATTATTGTCATTTTTTTCCTAAAAAAATATATCGGATTTATATTTTTCAAGTGTAAAAACCAGTTGGTTTCTGACAAAGCTGTACTCGGCAACCTGTGTAAAAGGCCTGTGTCAGGGCCTGAACTGACTTTTTTAAAATGTGAGCCGCAAAGCCTGTTTAAAAAAGCCGCAGCGCGGCTTTTAATGTAAGATCTAAGGACCCTGACTCAGGTTCGGAGCCCAGTGACATGACGATCTTCTTATTCTATTTATAAATTATAATGTTAATTATTCTCAATTCTTTATCTTGGTCCAGATCTAAAAATATGTTTTTGGTGGAATTCCAGCGCTCGGCTTGATTGGCATTTTTTTTCGCGTGATGTGATGAGCCCTCTGGAAAGTTATCCCCTCTCGTCAATAATAAGTTAGAAAGGTCGAAATTGGAAAAGTAAAAATTTACTCTCTTTTTTGGAAAATCGATGCTCGGAAGTAGCGCGACGCAGACTCTTATTTGGAGCGCGAGTTTTGTCTAGCTTTTTCTTTTGGCGAGTTTGGCCGCCAAAATATGTTTTCGATTTTTGGCGAGTAAAGCCGTTTTTCCCGAAAATAGGATTGAAATTCCGATAAACCGAGTGTAGAGAAAACGAATCTTGGAGTCTTCATCTTGGTGCAATTTAATGCACGTCTCTTATGTCCGCGAGACAGATGGGTAAATTCAAACTTGCGTCAAATCTCCATTTGATTGTCTCACTAGTTTCGATTCAAGGCTTTCTCTGTTTTCATAGTACACTGTGTTAGTGTAAATGTAAACAATTAGAAAAAGAAAAATGGGTTGAAAAATAAGTTAAATTTCAGCGGTCCGCGGTGCTCGGTGATGTTCAACGCAGAACCGCCAGGATTCGAAGAAGGCCGTCGCTTTGTATCCGACTCGGAAGACTCCGATGGTGAGAACGCACCTATCCACAACGTTACCCAGTCTCACCAGAGGAAGAATCGTTGGCACCATGTTCAAGGTTCGAATCATTTTTTAATGATAAAAAGACATCCCGTCTCAACCCAGTTTTGACCTTTTTTCTTCAGATTTGGACAGTTTTTTCACGCGCGTTTACCAGTACCACCAGCAGCACGGGCTCACGTGCATGGTCCTATCAAGCTCGTTCGAGCTGTTCCGCTTTTTCTTCATTGTTTGGTTCTCGACGGAGTTGCGCCATTGCGTGGACTACTCGATCCTCTTCCGCGATCACGACAACGAGCACGTGACGCTTTTTGACGGACTCAAGAATCGCACCGAGTGCCACAAAAGCATCCGCGAAGATGCTACTTGGGTCTTTTTCCTGCTTTTTGCCTTTTTCTATGGTGCTACGCAGTCAATCAAGCTGGCCTTGCGACTATTCAACTTCCTCGATATCAAAAACTTTTATCAAGAGGCGCTTGGAATTTCCGCCGAGAAGCTTGAGCATCTCTCTTGGTTACAGATCCAGGAGAAACTTCTCGATGCCCAGAAGCTCAATCAAATGTGCATTCACAAAGAGGAGCTCACTGAACTTGACGTTCACAATCGAATTCTTCGCTACAAAAACTATATGATTGCCATGGTAAGACCCTCTCTTCTCCCGCCGAAACCTCACCACTTCTAGATCGATCGTCATATTCTTCCGTTGCAAAGCCGTGTCCCTTTTCTTGGCGAGATAACTTTCCTTACTGAAGGGCTGAGGATAAATTTGGAGTGGCTCCTTTTCGGAAAACATCTCAACAATCCATGGGCGCCATTTTCCTCCTTTCAACTCAAACGTAAACAGCTTCCTCAAAACCAATAAATAAAATGCAAAATTTAGCTCAATACAAAAGAAGGGCTTGTAGAGATGAGCGCGCGCAGGATCTGTCCAAGCGCATTCTTATTCTGGGAATCATCAACTTGCTTGCTATGCCCGTCGTTTTCATCTTTCAGTTCATGTGGACATTCTTCAACTATCTAGCTGTCGTCAAGTAAGATGGGAAGAATGAGCAACGAATCTACTTGAAAAATAATTATAGGCGGGAACCAGGCTTTCTCGGCATGCGCAAGTGGTCTTTGTATTCAACCTTTGCGCTGCGGCACTACAACGAGTTGAACCACCAGTTCAAAGAACGTCTCTCTCGAGCGATCAAGCCATCGAATCGTTACATGGAGTCTTTTATTTCGTACTCCTTGGTAGAAATCGCGAAGCTCATCTCCTTCCTTTGCTCGGCTGTACTCGGGTATGCGCTCTAAAAAAGATCTTTGGTTAGATTTTACTGTTGTAGCGTCTTCATCATTCTTGGAATCGTGGACGACGATTTCTTCCGTGTCGAACATGCGCTTTCAATTATGACTTTGCTTGGAATCGTGCTTGGAATAACGCTTTCGTTAATTCCTGATGATTTCTTTGGTTTGTTCATTTCACAAAAATTAAAAAAATAACTCAATTCCAGTGCCACTACACTTCGAACTGCTTTCACTAGTACGAGACCATGTGCATTACATTTCAAACGATATGATCGCCGACCCAAAGTCGCCCGCTACGCAAAAGAAATTCGCAACGCTTTTCCAGGTAAGCGAACAAGTAAACGCGGATTAAATTACACTGACGTCTTAGATGAAATTGGCCTATATTATCGAAGAATTGATTTCACCTATCGTAACACCGCTTTTCCTCATATTTAAACTGCGTCACCGTGCCCCAGAGATCGTCGACTTCCTCCGCCAAAATACAGTAGAAGTCCAGGGAGTGGGCGACATCTGCAAATTCGCCCTGATGGAAAACAAGAGAAGTTTTATAGACTCGCAGGAGCTCTACGGTGATCACCAGTCAACAGGTACTATCACTTATTCTGCTTGTCAATACTGTGCGCTTTAGGTCTTTCCTGTCCCAAGACGGACATGTCGTTGGTGAACTTCTCCGTTCGCCACCCGAAATGGAAGCCGCCAAAGGAAGGCCAAGAACTGCTCGAGAAGATCAACGACAAACTAGCGCGAATGACGAATGTAAATGATAGAAGTCTTTTCACTCGGACAGATCCGCTGGTCGCATCTCTCTCTCCACTCGACAGTTGTTTGCTGGCGCCTCCAGCGCCATATTTGGGCACCATTTCCGAAAACTCGACGCAGTCTTACACCAACAAAACGCAGCAAACTCTTGCTCAGAGGTAAAACTTCCGTGCCGTATCAAAAGCGAATATTCGTTACTTTAGCATGGCCGCCTATCACGACCTCGGCTCGACATCGCACCGCATGGCGACATCCCTTCCCGCCGAAAACAACGCCGCTTTTGAGGATTCCCAAAGCTCCTCGGTTCCGCCCGCTCTGACTAAATCGAGTGCCTAAAGCTTAAAAAAAATATTTCTGTACAAAGTTCAAGAAAAAAAGATCTAACTCATTTAAACTAGATTACACCACAAGTGACCTAACTATAAATATCATGTATTATTATATTGTGACAGTTTTTGATATTCTATGTTTAACGACCTTGCTTTCTCCACAAAGCGCTTCATTTTGATCATGCTTGCCAGGCTTTCACGACTGAAGAAAGAGAGCGATAGAATCAGGCTTTCAGCCGGAACATATCTCTTTCTCTTCGTCGCCGATGATTCAATTGCTTTGCGAACTATGCAACTTTTTCGTGTTTTATTTGTTGCCATTCTCATTCAAGGTCTTTTCGCTGGTCCCAAGACGAGCTTGAAAAAATCATTTCTCATGGTCAATTTTCCAGCTCGCTTTCGGCCTCGCACTCGTTCAATCAAAATTTATTAAATAAAAAATACAACAAAAAATTTGAAACATTTCATTTCTTCTTTTCCACAAGTTATTTAAATAAATCTTCGACATAAAGGAAAGTCTTCGTTTTTCATTCCTTCGCTTTATTTTCAGCAGCAAGTTGGGCCCAAGCCTTTTGACAGTAGAATTTGTTTTGGCGCTTTCTTTTCTTCTATGTTCATAAATTGTTATGATAGGGAAAATTTACCGGGGTATAGGGTCATTAATAATGATTATATTTGTCTCATGAAATTGATCTTGACCCTAGCCTGAAAGCCTTTCTCAGCTTTTCTTTCTCAGCATTTTCTGACTTGACTACCAGGCGCTTTCAATTAGTTTTAGAGATATTTTCTAGTCTACATTAAAATTTTAGCTTCATGCAGGTAGATTTTTATTTGAAAGCAGTTTCCCTCTTTGCATTTCTTTTTCAATCTCGATCAATTTCGCCTTGATTCCAATTAACTTAATCAAGTAGGAACACGTTGGTATTACCTGTAGTTGTTGAATGTTCTGATTAGGTGGAACTTCGCAGAAATTTTTCCGTTGCTTCAGGATTTCTTCTAGTTCGGATGAACTCATCACTCATGCAATCTCAAAGTGACTTGCCAAATCTAACGAATCTACCTAGGCTTTAGGCATGCTAATACTAAGTCATGAAACAGAATCGAGACGCGACGTGACTCATTGTCCTTACCTACTACGATCAAGTTTATCTTACTCTGCTCATTGTAACTTTGACGATTTTCTAAAAAATAAATGATTTAGAATGCAGCGTATTTTCGCGAAGAGCCTTTTTTCGAACAAAGTTGCAATCGTGACGGGTGGAGGAACGGGCATCGGGATGGCCACTGCCAAGGGATTCGTTGAGCTCGGCGGCAAAGTAGTCATAGCTGGACGAGATAAAGCGAGAATCGACGAAGGCGTTGAAAAAATCAAGGCGCACTGTTCCGACGGTGCCGAGGTCTTAGGACTAGAGTGTAACATCAGAAAACGCGACCAGGTTACTTTCTTTTTGTGTTCTCTGATGTAATACTTCCAAGGTCGCAAAAATGGTGACTGACACAATCGATAAGTTCGGCCGTTTAGACGGACTTGTTAACAATGGCGGTGGACAGTTCTGGTCGCCGGCAGAAAACATCTCCCCTGGAGGATTCCACGCCGTAGTTGATACCAATTTGAAAGGCTCCTGGAACTGTATGCAGGAAGCGTATCATCAGTACATGGGCGAGAATGGCGGCAAGATCGTGAACATTGTGCTGATGTCGGAAATGGGACTCGCCGGTATGAGCCACTCGGCTGCGGCAAGAGAGGCCGTCAAGAATTTATCAATTACGCTTGGAACAGAATGGGCAGAAAAAAACATTCAAATAAACTGCATCGCACCTGGAATTTTCCCATCTGAAACTGCTGTAGCTGCTTATGGAGAGCAGGTTAGAACTAACTCAGCTCTGAGAATTTTAATCAATCTCTGCAGGCGAAAGAAATCTTCGACAAAAGTGCGGCTAACGTTCCCAAAAAGAGGCTTGGAGATTTGTATGAAGGAGAGAGTCTTTCCGAGGGGACACTTTCGATGGATTTGATACCGCAAATTCTTTTTAATCTCACCGACGGCGTCCAGTATACCACCGGTATGACAGAGCTTTCGAATGATGGATTCTAGAACGAAATTTGTTTTAAAGGGCAAACTACGAATGTCTGCGGCGGAGTCACTTTCTTCAACAACTATTTGAAGGGCGTCTACGACATCGAAGCATGGATGGAAGAGCGTGGAATCAACATGGGCTGAGCACCATTTTTTAGCTTGCGCTGATTATTCTTCGTGATATTTTTCTAATTGATGTCTCTTGAAAACAAGAGCAGATTATTTTCTAAGTTCTGATTATTTTCATGATTCTGCAATAATTTCTTCAATTCAATGAGCTCGCAATCAGACGAAGCTTTTAGATAGAATCGGGCGGAAATGAGTGACGAGAAGAAATTCCCATGGTACAGGGAGCGACTAAAGGCAAAATATGCAAACGACATGAATCCAACTTTGAATCACAGAAACTGGACTTTCGTCAAAACCGGGCTCGACGACTTTAGAGATGGAATGCCGCCAGATTTTGTTAAATACACGATAGGACCATCGAAGAGTACAGGACCGAGCGTTCGAAATAAACCTCCCATGTAAGATTTTTCATAGAAAGAGAGCGGCTTCAACTAATTTTAAGCGGGCAAATAAAGGAAGTTCCAGCTTCTAAAAAGAAGAGCACCAAGTTGGATAAGAATGAGCGATTTTATTCAAAGCGAATTCCAGGTTGAAATTTATCCTAATTAAATGATTTGTAAATTTGCTCTAGCTGCTGAGAGACGAAGACGACGAGTTGAAGCGCTTGAGAAAAATCTAAAGGAACATCCTCTCGCTCTCTTCCCAGATCTTGAAAACGGACTCACACCAGAATTATACGAAGAAATCGTCGACATTCTTGATCCAGAACTGCTCGACTACCCAGAAGATAACCTTACAGAGACTCTTTCCGAAACAGACGAACGTAGATCAGGTAAGACACGAATTCTGGCGGCTTTTAATGAATTTCAGTTGAATCTGAGTCCTCCGCTCAAACGGACTCTGATTTCAGCGTCAAAGCTAAAAAGTCTAAACCGAAGGGCAAACTTATGTTTCAGGGTAAACTCGTAATTATACGAATTGTTAATAAGCAGTCTGCTTATTACTCTGAGAGTAATCATCATATTTCAATTAATTGATTCAAGTCAGTGTTTCATCCATTGATATTCCCATTTGATTCTGATATCATTTGTGAGCGCACCAATTAATGGTAATTTGTAAATGGTCGCGCAATTTGATTCTGAGTGAAGGCTCAAGTTAACTCGGCTTATAATTTATCAATTCAGAGATCGAAGTGAATCTCGACGAGTCAACAGATTCCACGGCCACGCATGGAGACCCAACTCTCCCTCTTGACAAACTCTTCCGTAAAAAAGGCAACCCTGCCGATCACATAAAGACTCTTGAGCTCGAGAGGCACGAGAAGAAAGTTAAAGAGATTGCTGAAGACTTCATCAGCTGGGCGGACGTTCTCGGTCCAGAAGGGCCAACGCTCGGTTCCGACACCATTCAGGCGCTTTTTACATCTGGTTACACGCAGTCAAAGCCCCTTGCTTCAGCAGTTAAAATTGTCGAGCTCAACTCGATTCCACCCGAGTTGAGAGCCGAAACTGGGATGGCACCGACTGCTGACATCTCTCATCTGCCGGATAATGTACCGCATGTTTCCAGGGATGGATTCTGAATTTGAGATGTTTCTATTGATCAAGCATGGCAACTCTATTGGGAAACAAATTATCGTATTCTTAGAAAAACAATACTCGACACGCTTAGAATCCAAATTCAGTCGACCACAAATAGGCAATCGCTACGGCGCTTGGTACCTGAAACCAGAATCGTGGAAGCTGTCCAAGAAGAGCGAGCCACTGATAGATCCTTATGAGCTGCAAGAACAGGAGGACCTTGAGCCATCTGAGCATGATAAAGGCATTGTTGGAAAAGAACATCCTAGACACAAAGAGACCTGATTCCGTTTCGATTCCATCCCGAGTCGACACAGAAGGGAGAATCATTGTTTATTCACCCGAGAAAATATTTCGTTTTATAGCCAAATTATGAAAGAGAAATTATTCTTATTTTTGGAAATCAAATTCAAAATAATAATTTTCTAACAATTTAAAAAAGAACTTGCCAAGTTGCACGGCGCTCAAACTTTCCGAGCATTCCTTGAAAAACACAACACGAAGGTTCCCTCGTTCATGACAGATGTGATAGCAGCGCAAGATTATCAAGAGAAGCCGAAAGCCAAGTCTCCGAGCAAGGAAACAGTTGATGATGAGACGTCTGACTGATAAAGAGCTGCTTTGCCGTTCCTTCCCTGTTACTTTGTGTGACCTTTATTTTTTATACAAAATAAATATTATTTTTTTAATTGCCTTTAATGCTGAGCTTTACTGCGTTTAGAAATGATGTCATGAGTAGGGAGAGTGCGAGTACGCCTCCACCGGTGCCGACGAGAAGTGGCTCTGTGCGTTATACAAGTGTAAGTAATTTTACCGACTGGACAGGAAGCGTTTCTGATTGTTTGCTTCAATGTCAAAATGTTAAAAAAATCGAAAACGAAATAAAGGCAAATCAGGGTCACTGGGGCGGTCTGTAAGCTCTGCATATACTGATGATGAGAAACCGCTTCCGGCAGCGCCCGAGAAAGAAGACAGAGGAACACTACGAAAAGTCATAAAATTTATATTACCAAGGAGGCGATCTTACCGATTTACGAGCCATATGATCTAAACTTATCGATTACTAAAAATGGAAAATTACTTAATCTTCTTCAGTAGACTCTCTGAATAATGAATATCTCCGAAAAAGTCGACAGAGTCGAGAAACCGAATATCGCCCAGAAATATCGAACCCGTCAAAGTTTGAGCATCATGTTCACGTGGGCTTCAACCCCGACACGGGTGAGTTCTCAGGCTTGCCCGAAATGTGGGCGAAGATCTTGATGCAGTCCAATCTGACCGTTACAGAAACCAAAAACAACCCAGAAGCAGTTCTTGATGCACTTCATTATTATACAAATCCGAGTCAGAATCAACGGTTCATGGACATTCGCGACAAATCTACAATTCAAGCGCAATCAAAGCCATTTTCCACGAGAAGGAACGCTAGTCAAAATAAACTGATTGTCGGTTGATAATTGCCGATTAGAAAAACAAGATATGAGTAGCTCAAAACAGAAGCCTGCCATCATCTTCATCAGAAGACGAAGACGAGTCAGTTCCCCCTCCACAGCCTCCGCCGCGTCCCTTGAGCACAATGTCAATCAACACAAAGCGACTGACCGTCGTTGAGCCCATGGGTTTGGTCGAGGAGGCTTCCACAGAAGAGAATTCAAAGAGTAGCAACAAAAGCCAAGTGCAAGTGGACGCGAATGGTGTTGCTCGCCGTGTGCGATCGTCAAAAAGCAAAATCTCGGACGAGGAGGTCTACAGTAGACTCCGCAAGATCGTCTCGGTCGGCGATCCGGAGCTCAAGTATAGAAATTTCAAGAAAATAGGACAGGTATGCGACAATTTTCATTCTATCATTAGTATCCTTTTAGGGTGCATCTGGGGTCGTGTACACTGCCGTTGAGACATCTACTGGTCGCGAAGTGGCGATAAAGCAAATGAATCTCGCCGCGCAACCAAAAAAAGAGCTCATCATCAATGAAATCATTGTAATGAAAAGCCACAAGCACAGGTAGGAGTTATTTAGATTCGCTCATTTCAACTTGACTTTTAAAAGAAATATTGTCAACTATCTGGACTCTTTCATCAAAAACGATGAGCTCTGGGTTGTGATGGAATTCCTCGCTGGTGGAAGCCTAACCGACGTTGTCACAGAAACGTGCATGGATGAAGGGCAAATCGCCGCCGTCTGTCGCGAAGTTCTTGAGGTAAATTCTCCATTCCAGGTGTCTGTGACGCTGGACCCTCTTAAGTCATTTGTTTTTTTTTCGTAAGATATTTATAATGCGCAGTTTTCTTTGTAAATTAAGCGACGTTATATTAATTTTTGAGACATAAATCATCCCTTATACGTGAAAATCTAGGTCTATCTATATTTCAGGAATAAATTAGCCCAAGGGCTGATATTATCCGAATTTTTCCTATATGGAAGCAAAGCCATAACGACGTAGTGCGATTACCTTTACGTAAGATACCTGCGTTGGCGGTCGTCGAATTCTCAATAAGAACTGCTGACGTCTAGCCTTTTTATTTTACTAGGAGTCGGCCATTTGCTTTCTTACTTGTATTCTTTACTAGGCGCTTGAATTCCTTCATGCCAGGAGCGTAATCCACCGTGATATCAAGTCTGATAATATTCTGCTGGGAATGGACGGCTCAGTCAAACTCACCGACTTTGGCTTTTGTGCTGAACTAAAAGGCGAAAAACGGACGACCATGGTGGGTACGCCGTATTGGATGGCTCCCGAAGTCGTCAAGCGAAAGGTCAGTATTTATTCGATTCGTTGGTGGAACATTTTCTCAAGACTTACGGGCCCAAAGTCGATGTTTGGTCGTTAGGAATAATGGCCATCGAGATGGTGGAAGGTGAGCCGCCCTACTTAAACGAGAAACCCCTCAGAGCTCTTTTTCTTATCGCGTCTAATGGAACGCCTGAAATCGAAAACAAAGATTCCCTCAGTGAAGATTTCCAAGATTTTCTCTCCTGTTGTTTAGGTAAGCAACTCATTCTTGTTTCCGTGATCCTTTGTCACGAAGGCTTCGACATTTGCCATCAATCCTCAAAGGATAGAATTTCCAATAACGGAAAATGTTATCGTTTGTTCGACAACGTTTGAGACTTTGATAGCATATACTTCGGGCGAATATTAATAAGCGACCATCCATCTAATACGATATTAATAGAAGTGGACATCGAAAAACGATGGAGCGCTACTCAACTGCTGAAACACCGCTTCCTAAAGCATTCAAAACCGTTAAGTTCATTGACTCCCCTCATTCTCGCCGCCAGAGAAGTGCTGGAAGGAAATCGCCTTTGACCCGCACTTCGTGAGCAACCCAAAATCCCGCTTTCTTCCTTATTTCTTATTGTAATACGTCTTAGTCTTGCCGCTAACAATATCGCCCTCCCAAAAAAAAAGAATTTTCAACATGTTTGTTCAAGCACGAATCTTCACCCACTAGAACCGCCGACTCAAAGAAAAAAAGCTTTTTATTCAACCTTCCTATCATTTTATCCAGTTACTGACTGTTCTTCCTTCAGTAGTATTCAGGACCTTCCTCTTTCGATCGCTCTTCCTCACTCTTTTCACCTATCAATCACTCGTTTTCCCAGATAAAAAACCTACATGATTCCGGCGTCAAAACTCTTCTAATTTATTTTAACTTTAGAGAGCTGATAGGCAAATCGTGATCGGGCGATTTCACTGCCATTCCAAATAGAAACGCTATCTCAAATCAACTTCATGACATACCAGCACTAAAAAACAACAAAGACTAACACGACTCAAAACTACTTTCATTCACCATGGCGGACAAAGCTGCAACGAAGAAGAAATTCTTCGACAAAATGAAGGAGCATCTACAGAAGAAAGAAGCTGCTAAATTAGTTTAGGCTTCTTAAATTAAATTAACTTTTGAAATTGTCATTTATTTATAACTTTATGAAACCAAGAGCAGATAGATCCTCATCACTTCGACACATTCCATCAGCTTTCGACTCTAGCAACAACTCAACTCTAGACCCAAGTAACACCTCTGCATCGCGAATAGAAGAGCTGGAAATTTCGATGTCGGAGAAAAACGACATCATCAGTCGCCTAACCGAGCAACTTGACGCTGCCGGTCGCCAAATCGATCAAATGGGCGTCAAGGTTAATTTCGAATTGAATAAATGTTCTTTTACGGGTTAATCTTAGCTGAATGCGGTGGCGATGCACAACAATAACCATTTCATGTCGGAAGCCAGCAAGATTCAAGTGGAATTTGAAAAACAGCTGGAAACGCAGCAGAAGCGACTTCAGGAGGAAGTTGAAAAGACGAAACTTTTGGAGATGACGCTCGCTGGACAGGTAAGGAAATTCTAGAATAGCTTCGATATTGACTTGTCCAGGGAACGAGTCAGCGAGAGGTAGATCGCCTCAGAGAAGACCTTGACGCCGAGAGCGAGAAGTTTTTCAAGGCCCAAGAAGAACTGGATTGTGCCCGTTCGCGAATCGAAGACCTTGCCGAACAGCTTGCCAGAAAAGATCAACTGGTAAAAGAGATGGAAGAGAAACAAAACACGCACGTTGAACGTCAACATGCGCAAATCGACCAGCTCGAGCAAGACTTCAGAAACCGGCAGCAAGAGGCCGATGACAAGCTTCGCTTCCTTCTTGAAGAAAAGACAAAACTTGAACGTCAAGTTTCTCAACTGCAGGAAGACTTGGAAATCAACAAGGACGATCGAAGTCGCATCCGAGAAGCGCTCGAGGAGGAAAACCGATATCTCCTTTCCGAGCGAGATAAACAGCAGGTGCGATTGTTATTGTTTTTTGCGGGCGTTTTTTACCTCGACTTTCTCAGATTTTTTTCGTGAAAAAACGTTTTTAAGTTCAAGTCTCTATAAATGGGAAAGTTCAAACTAAAGAGAAAATTCTCATTCTTATCGACCAAGAAACGACCTTCAAAAAAGGAAAAACTGCGCGGTCGAGAGGTAGTAAATCACTAAATATATATTTTTTAAATCTTGATTTTTCTCCGATTATAGACAAGACCAAACAGGGTGATCAAACTCGCAAATTAATCGTAAATCAGTGACGAGACAACTAAATGAAATAATCACGCTATGAGTTTTCATAAATTTATTTTTCAGGAACTTTACATCGCTCAAGAAAAATCCCTCACTGAGGAGCTGAGAAAAAAGGATGAAAGAATCGCAGAGCTCGAGAGCGAGAAAGTCAACAATGACAATCAAACCTTTTCGGATTCTGACGATGATGACTTTCATACGAACATACGCGAGCTAGACGCGATCAATGACAAGTTTTACGAGGTAAATCCAGGGGTAAGTTGATATCGTAGTCGATGCTTTATTCTTTTCAGAATAAGCAGTTTTTAGTTATTAACTTTGTTCAATTTAACTCGCACGTTGGATTTTAGTCAATAAACGCATAAGCAATTATAGTTTTCGATGTTTTCTACCTCGAGTGCGTGTGTACACATATTCGGAAGGCGATTTCACTTTTTGCTGATAGTCAAATTTGCATTACAGTTAGAGAATGGAACGTAGGGGCGCGTCCTTTCTCAACTGTCGTTTGACTCGCTCCGTTCTCGCTAATGAGTGAGGATAGCCTCGGCTACTTCGTTCACATAGACGGAAAGGCGATTCCCATCAAGAGAAAGAGAAAAGCAGACCCAAATTCAGAGAGACTGAATAAAACAATCTCTTTTCCAGTGAGTGCCCACCGGATTTTCTCTCTATATTTATAGTCAGCCTTTGAAAGAAAAGACAATTAAAAGTTATCTTTGCTTAATTTTCGGATTAAAGGATGGCCTGAAATTATTTCCCTCTAATAAGTTGATAGTTTATCAAGTACACTTGTGTCGGATAAGAGAGATACTCGGTCCTTTATCACCGATTTTAGTGACAATTTTATCATTAGTTTAAGTTAGGGGCGAGGACTCTTTTGAGTCCTCGTTCATTTCGCGATGATATTCTTCATCGCTGCGACCTCATTTGATGGCGCTGGTAAAGGATCACTAATTGCTTCTAGTGTTACCCAGACTAATCATTGTATCGTTAATGGATAAGCCTCATTATCAATATTAATTAAAAATAGATCGCCTCGGTACTACTGTTATGGTCTTTTCTCATAATCCCTTTTAAGGGGTCCCCCTCCGGAATTTCAAATCTTGATGACGGGCCCTTCTGAGACATATTTAGATTCCCCGTGTTCTATGCATCATTTTGATGGTTTATAGTCCCCCCTTACAAATATCTTAACTCAAAACTTTAGCCTTCGAAAATCGCAAAAATGCATGTAAATTGTACTTAGCGTGAAAATCGTAATTTTTTCGACTTTTCAATGTCCTCAAAAATATACAAATAAGGGGTCTATCGAAAGCTCAGGATGTACTGAGTAAGAATATAATACCCGCACAAGAATTTTCGGCCATAATTCGGCGCTAGAGAGCAATTTAATGCCAAAAATAGGCGAAAATGGGTTTGAATAGTTTTTCTTAAGAAAAATTTTTTCTCACTTGATCAATCATGCTAAAGCTACTTGCAAATTCAGATAAGCGTCTACTCTTTCGAGTCTGCAAGTTTTAAGAGCAAAACAAAAGCCCAATGAAATTTTATTTCGGCTTGAAAACACCCCAAAAAGGCGTTTTCTGAAAATTCGAATTTTTCAAGAGCCTCTGGTGGCACGTTTGGGATTCGGAAAAGAGCTAACGCTACTTGCAAATTGCAATGAAGGCCTAAACTTTCACATGAAATTGAAATTAGATAAATTCACAATGCCAAACAAAAGTTATTTCGAGTCAAAGTTGGCGATTCCGGAGGAGGATCCCTTAATTCATTCTCCTGCATTTACCTATATTGCTTATTCTATGGTTTAGGTGACGGACGAGCGAGACCGCCTTCGAAATGAACTGACCGCGACATTCGCCAACTCCCAAGTCGCCGTAGATGTAAGTTTTGAAACTTGAGTTGAATCGTGGAAGTACTTGTTCGGGGCTTTATTATAGCCCCATCGCTAGAAAAGAAAATAACTTGTCAGCAAAAACGAAAATGCAAATGTAGGGGTGTTATATAAGATGAATTAATTTTGTTCGAAGGATAAAAATGATTGTGCGCAGAGTCACCATCTTGATCATTGATCAAGGCCGTTTCCCCGGTAAATTGTTACCATTTTTTTTCATTCGTAAGATGTACGATCCTCCCGTCCAAATTCTCATTTTTCGTAATTCATCAAGTGAAAAAATTTATAGGAAGTCGAATCTTGCAGGTTATTTTATAGTTTTCACCAAAAGTGCGTTCAAACTGTAGTTATAAATCATAATTTAAAAGCTGTTCTTTTTGAACATAATTAGGGCTGAATCGTAAGGGTGAATTTTTTACTATTTTTTCTGCGGAAGTAGGCGAGATTTACAAGATTTATTTTCTCATGAATGGTCTTCAGATTACGTGATTAAAATGTGTTTGTGCGTTAGTGAGTTAATAGTAAGCTCGGGGTTGAAAAAATTGTTTTCTGCGGTGATTGTGGAGTGTATTTAGCGGTGGTGTAGTGGTCTTGCTCCTCCAATCCGTACAGCCCAGCTCTGCCCTAGGCGAAAGTGGCCCAAACTCTATCAAAAGCCCTATAAATTCCTCTCCTGCTTAAATTTAATTCTCAACGAACTTATCACTTCGGAAACATGCGGATTGTACGAGATGGAAGCAGAGTTTAAGGCGAGGTTTCAATTTGGCGGGTTTTGACCACATCGTGGTGCTGGGACGATATTTTGAAAACCTGCGCGAAAGGCTAAAATATGGGCTCAACGAGAAAGGGGAGAGAAATTAACCCAGGAAATGGAGCAGGAACGTGAGCGCCTCGCCAAAGAGCGCAGACATGCTAAAGACGAGCTCGACAGGATCGACTCTGAACTCGCTAAGACAAAAGAAAGGGACCTTTAAGAATTATTTTATTTTACCACACAGCAGATTATATAATTTATCTGTTAGAAGCAGAACGCACAAAGAACGTGTTTCCCCTCTTTCGGCGTTCCTGAAAACCGTTTTTAGTGTGAATGTGTTTTATATATTTTTGAACTCGTTTGGAGGGCATTTGACTACTCCTCTAGGTGTAACATTGTACAATAATGATCCCAAAAATAGAGCGCGAAAATATAGTAAATGAAACATTCCAGCAAATCCGCAGTGACTTTGACTCCATTCAGGCCGAGCTCTACAAGTCCCACGTGCTTCCCTTTCCTCTTCACTTTTTCTGCAGGCCCGAGGATAGGTCCTCCCCGCGCCGCCAGTTCCTTTCATTTATCTCATTCGCTGGCGTTTCCTGTTTTCCCTTCTGTCACCTGGCTTTTTCGCACTTTTGCCGAAACTGATTTTTTCCATTGGCTCTTGAGAGAGATAATCTCCGCAAGAAGAGTCTCACTAGAAACTCTGAAAGTAATCTAACGATCGCCGCCTCGAGATTCAGCGGAAAACAGGACAGCGCTTCTTTTATTTTGTTTTTCATTTTTTTTGCGAATGAGAGACTCGTCAAAGAAATGAAGTTCTGGAAACGAAAACAGGTGACTTTCGCGCGGGATGCATCACGATAACTTTTGAGGAGCTCGGTTTAAGACAGATCATGCTAAAATAAAAGTAGTTAACAAACAGTTATTTTCCTCGACTCTCAATAATCTCGGCAAGGCTGTTACTTCAAGGAGAGAGTATCTAAATCAGGTTTCTAACTTGCGTGAATCGGTATTGGTGCGGGTATTTATTTTATTATGCGGGACAGGTTACTTCTTTTTCTGGCATAATGGTGTAATTTTTTGGTGTTGATATTCTCAAGACCATTTAAAAAAATGCATTTCAGGAATATGAAAGAATCAAGGCCGAAAATGCGACACTGCGGACGGAGCTTGATCAGAGCAGAGCTACTCACGACAACTACCTCAGACTTCAAGAAAACCACAAAGAACTTCAAGAGCATTTAGCTCAAGGTAAGTTAATCGATTTGACTTTGGCTAAGTCTGTGCAAAGCTACTGCGAATTTCGAGACCTTCCGCGATGCTGCACTCAACGGCGAAATTCCGAATAAGCGAAAAATCACGCAACTGGAAGAGGACCTCAGTCTCACTCAGAAGGCGCTTGAAGAGAGCGAAAGTCAAAATCAAACGTACAGCGCTCGAATAAAGCAGCTGCTCGACGAGCGAGAGCAAGAGCAGGGCCAGTTCAAGAAGTTGTACGAGTCGGCGATTCAAGAAAGTGAAGGAAAGACAGAAGACCTTGTCAGTAAGTTGAACCAGGAGATCGAGTCGCGCGGTGTTCTACTCGTCGAGAATAAAAAACAGTGGGATGATGAGAGAGAAGAAATGGAAGCCAAAATTCACGAGTTGGAAAAAGACATCGAGTATTACTCCGACGTTATTAAAACAGCAAAGGACGAGGCGGAGGAGTCGGCTGCATCCGCTCAGCAAATTGAAGCCGAGTTGCAGGAAAAGATCGATCAGCTGACGCGCGAGCTGAAGAGCGAGCACAACAGAGTCGACGCTCTAAGCAAGCAGATCATTGAGAAAGACAACGACGTGAAGGAGCTCAGCGGACGAGTAGCCACAATGGTTTCTGTTCAAGATCAGATGGCGGAAATGAGCAAAGAGTGGTCGCAAAAGCTCGAGGAATTGAGTACCACCAAGGCGATGCTCATCGGAGAGCGAGATCAGATGAAAGAAAAGGCCAAGACAGAAAGTGAAGAAAACAAAAAGCTTTCTGACCAGATGGAAGCTCTGCAAAATAAGCTAGAAGAGACCGAAGCTAACGTGATCAGTATGGAGGAAATCATTGTTGATCTGAAGAGCCGCGATGATCAGAGTCGCGAGATCCTAGATCGTCGAGATGACGAGATCAAACTCCTCAAGACGAGAACTGAACATCTTGAAGATCTGGAAGCAAAGATTCAAGACCTTCAAACGCACATTGAGACCCAAGAAGCCGGTTTTAATGCGGAGCGGGAGGTCTTCAACCGCGAGAACGAGCATGCGAAGGACGAGATTGAATCGTTGGTCAAAGACTACGAAATCTTTGCGGTTCAGCTTGCCGACAAAGATGAGAAACTCAAGATCTTTACTGCTGTGCAGGAGCAGCTCCACGAAGTCACAGACGAGCGCGATAGATTGGACAAACAGCTCAAAGAGCGTGCAGAAGAGATCGAAGGCACTAAACTTGAGCTGGCAGAGGCGAAAGAGAAATGCCAAAAAGTGAGCGAGGAATTCGAAATCTTCAAGGGACAAGCCAGTTCAAAGGACGTCGAGACAAGCGAAGCTCTTGCCGTTCAGGCGGCGCAGAAAACCGCGACTGAAGTTCAGCTAAAGGAAATGCGCGAGCATTTAGAAGCGCAAAAGGAACTGTTGGCGCAGAATCAAATGGAGAGTGAAAAGCTGCGAGCGGAAATCGATGTGCTTAATTCGGTAAAAACCGAGGGCGAAGATCGATGCAAGGAGTTGCAGGATGAGTGCGCTGAGCTTCGTACACTGAAAAAGGAGCTTGAAGAATTGCAGGAGACGCACGGAATCGTTATCGAGGAGTACAACCTTCTCGAAAATGAGTTGAAAGAGACGAAAGATCAAGGAGATCAACTCAATAAAAGAGCGGAAAGTCTCGAGGCAGCTCTTGCGAAAGCACTAGCTGGCGAGGCGTTGGCAGCTGGCAGCGTGCATGAACTCGAAGAGAAAATGTCGAACCTTCTTCACGAAAAACAGACTCTGGCGGACGAGCTTTCGGAAATCAAGAAACGAGAAGAAGTTGTTACATCTAGCCTAGTGCCTATTGTCCGTAAGTTTTCGAGCGACGAGGCTGACTCGCTAGAAGAACATCCCCTTGATCTCGCAAAAGTCGAAAACTTGAAAGGAGTACTCGATAAGCGAGATCAAAATCATGTAGCCGAAGTGGATCGACTGATCGCGGAGCTCGAGGAGGCGAAAATGGCGCTAGATGCGAAATCAGCGGAAAATTCGGACTTCGTCCAACAGCTCGATCGCGCTAGAAAAGACTGTGACCAATTGGCCGCCGAGATTGTTTCTCAACACACGCGATTGACGGAGGAGCGGAAAGAATTCGAAGCTGCCAACCAACTCAAAATTGTCCAATTCTTCAACGAGAAAAATGCGGAGTTGGAGGAAATGGAAGAGATGTACAATAAACAGTTGAACGTGAAGGTAGAAGAATTTAACTCCAATATTAAAGGATCGTGCTTTGATATATTTTTTGGGGGGATTGTAATTTCATGGAAAATAAGATTATTTTATTTTTATTATTCTCTCAGTATGGGAACTCCCATTAAATAATTGAATAACTTCCGTAAAAAGGCGCCCAAGAATAATTGGCATCTGTTTGACCTTTTCACAGGTGTAAATTATGCCTTCTGACCCCCTAGAAACTATTTACAGTGAATGAAGAGGTACTATCTATGTAAATACAGTCAGTTCACCATTTACGGTCCATGACAAATATTTGCATCTTACTCATTCGCGCTTTGCTCGGCCTTGATTCCTTGGTACATTCTTGCGCTCCTTTATTTTAAGCTTTTTGTCGAATTTGGGCATAGTCGCAATTCTTTGACATATTCTTTTGTTATTTGGCCTGAGAACTGTGATGAGAGGAGAATTATTGTCGAGCGCGTGAATAGAACTCAACGAACAGTTGGCCGAAAGCGAGAGACAGCTCGAGGAAGTCTGTGAAGCCCACCAGAAAGAGCTCAGTGCGCTGCAGCACGACATTGCCGAAAATAACGACGACAGGGACGTCGAGATGGAAACCCTCACGCGGGACATGGCTGAGCTCATTCCCTACGCCGAGCAGCTCAAGTCCGAAAACGATCTACTCAAAGAAAGGGTTGAAGAACTCAACAAGAAGAGTGACGAGGCCGCCCAAGAGCATTTGGATATTCTGGCGCAGATCCAATCTGAAAATAACAAAAATGAACACTATCGTCAGGAAATCAGAGTCTTGACGGGTCAGATTGAGCAGAAGGCCAAAGTAGAGGATGCTCTGAATTCTGAGATCCACACGCTTAGAGCTTACGTCGAAAAAGTGAAGAACGAGTACGAGACGCAATTTAAGAGCATGAACCAAAGTATGATGACAAACGCGACGAACGCCACTGAGTACATGCCGATTCAGATCCGTGTGCCTGTGCTTGGTCCTGAGGGTGAAGGCGACTCCAGAAACTCAATCGGGACCGTTCATAATCTTGTGGAAGAGCACGCACACGAAGATGATGAAGTTCGTGAAGGCTCCCTTCCTGACTCCGACATACTCGAAATGGACTCAAAAGAGATCGAAGTCATTCGTCTTGAAGATCTTGTCAAAGAGCTTCAAGGGCGTCTGGCTAAATATGAAAACCCCGAGCTCGACAATTCGCAAGAGATTGAAGACAATCAAAACGAATTAAGAGCGCTCGAAACGAAGATCGAAGAACTGTCAAGAGAACGGGAGGATCAGCTCTGTGCTAAGAATGACCACATCTCTGAAATCGAAGAACTACGTGCCACCGAGAAAGATAAATTCAGAGCCGAAATTTCCAAACTTCGCGAAAAGATCAGCGAGCTTCAAACTGAGCTTGACAAGAAGGAAATCAATGTTCCCGAAGAAGTAGCTCGAGTTCAGGAGGAAAATAAATTTCTTCAAAACCAGGCTGAAGAATTCGCAGACGAGCTTGAACGAACTATTAATACAGGTAATAACCCTTAGGTGTCCCAGGAGCTTTTATCCGGTTTTTCAGAGGAACAGCTTTCACAAGAGAACATCGCCCTGCGTAATCAGCTGTCCAAGGTCGAGAAAGAGCTGGACCAAATAAAGTTGGAGACACCAGAACGCTTCGAACGCATGATGACTGGCTTCGGGCACGAGCGTAAAGAGTTCGACGAAGTCCATGAAAAGATCTTCGAAGAAAACGAGCAACTCAGAAGCGCCTTGGCGAAGATTTACTCAAGAGTAAAAGACGCGATCCAACTGGCGAACAATGATGCACTAGAAGCCTCTATCCTCGAGCAGCATCCGATCGGTGACGACGAGATGGACTTGGAAGAGGGTCTCGCCGCAACGGAACAAGTGATCCTGCTTCTTGATACGATTATCCACGAGATCAAACAGGGTAAGGAAGCACGAGAGTCTACTGAGCATAGCGACGGAAATGTCGAAACTCTTGAAAAGCCTGGATTGAAGAATCTTTTTACTCTTGACACAACTACTGATCCGGGTGCTAAGGATGAGTCCTTCACTGGCTATGGTAAAAATTCATCCTCGAGATGTCGTAGATCATTATAATCAAACCAATTTTTTATGATACAATCTATAATTCTGACCGGAGATCACCGCGTTCTATAGAATATAGATATGTTAATTTTTAGTCATCGAATATCGTCCCAAATCATTATATGGACTGACAATCATTGATTTAAATACTGCTGAATTCATTAACGTTGATTTTTAATTCTTTCGCCCTTGCATGAAATTGTTGTTAGCGTGATTGCTTGTGCAAAATTTTTATAGAGTCACTTTTGACAATTCTATTTAGGAGAGGAAGAGCCTTTGCCCCTCTCACCTAAGAAGCCTGGGTCTGAACTGGCTGAAATGAAACGGGAGCTCTCTGGATTACGACAGGAGAACAACAAACTTCAAGAAGAGCTTAAAGTTCTCATCACCGAGCGACTGGATGATGCCAACGATGAAGTACGACGAATGTATGAAACGCTGCAGCTGAACTTGCACGAAGAGCGCAATGCGAAAGATGAAGAAATTCGCCGCCTTAACCACATTGGTAGGTCTATTCTTAGCGTTTTCAGTTCATAAAGGGATTATTCTTCATACCATCTCTTTAGTTGAGGAGCAGATTTCAAAGGAGGTCAGCAACGTGGAATCCTTGCTCCAACAAAACACGGAACTACGCGATCGTCTCCAGTTCGCAGAGCGCGAGTGTGAAACAAAAACCGAGTTTATTACAAAACAGACGTCGGAACAAGACGCTGAGCGTGATCACCTCGAACGCAAAGTTCAAGCGCTTCAGCTCGCACTCGAGAAAGTCAAAGACGCTCAGAAGGTAAATTTTTGGCTAAATTCATTCGGAGCCTTCTTCTGACGGATCTAAATTATGACGGAAACGGCGTAAATTATAGAACACGCTATGCATCCATCAGGCTACCGCTCGCCGCCCCTTTGTGTGCGACTCCAACAAAACACTCAAGCACAAAGGGGCCGTTATTTCTAATTTTTTGAAGTGGATTTAGAATTTTCCTTCAGATCGAGCAAGCCAACACCTTGGAAGAGTCGCTTCATAACAATTCCTTCGCGCCCCATGCTGCCCAAAAACTTGAGCAGCTAGAGACAGAGTTAGAACGCGAGAGAGAGCTTCAGAATAAAATCCAAGCCGACTACAACGAGCTATGCGTTAAGGTGAGCATTCTTATCTTATTTTTCGTAATTTGATTCACAATGAGAATTATTACTTTAAAAAACCATCATAATCACCCCGACTAATTGAATATTTTATTAGTTCACTTTTGAGTAATTCTCCAATAAGCCCGAGATATATTCTTATTGATAGATTCGTTGTTTTATTTAGGGGACGCGTTTCGGCATCAAACGTGCCTTCATCAGCCCTAGTACAGAAATTAACTTTTGTGCTCAAAAAATTCTTATTACTCGATATAATCAGTGATATCGTTGTCGGCGGGATGAAAATGCTATCTATTTCGGAAATGAACACTTAAAATAATCTCATCTCGATATGATACACATTATGTTCTATATCGAGCACTCGGCGAGGATCCACCTTAGATAAGCATTTGCTTTGTTGGAAAAATTAGACACTACTGAATTTCGATCATCTGACTATTTTAAAGCACCGGGAGTATTTTCGACGATATAAAGAGGTAAATTCACCTTCGAATGTCACATTATCGCATGACCTTCTACATCGTATGACTTCGTACCTATTCACCTAATTTCACGAAAATGCGCGGTAATCAAAAGGTCTTCTCATCAAATAAGCTCACTTACCATTATTTGAGTCTCCTTCCGTTCTCCTATCAAAAATCCACTCTCCCGCCAGAAGTGCCATTCACTAAAGTTCTTACCCATACACGCGCATAAATACAGTATTTGCCCTACGCATTGTGCCCGAAACAACAAATTAACGTCTTCTCTAGCTGGAAAGTGCCGAGGCCGAAGCACAAAAGCGAATAAACCAGTATACCGCTATTGAATTCGAAAAAGAGCAGCTCCAGAGTGAGCTTAAACTCGCATTCGATCGTATTGCTGATCTTGAGACCTTCATTGACAGACTTAAATTTGGCGACTCCTCACTGAAATCAAAAACGATGTCGCAGAACAACTCATCATTTGCCTCGTCCGGCAACAACTCTAAAGCTTTCCGCGATGAAAGTCGACTCAATGGATCTGGAGATGTTTCAGCTCTTGATTTATCTGATCCCAAAGAGCCATCAGTAGATCCGGCTGAACATGCGAAACTGGCCGCAGACTTGGAGTCAAAGACCATGGCGATCACTGACCTCGAAGAGCAGATTCTTGTTCTCAAGAATGATCTTGAAAAAGAGCGCCAAAAGCAAGCATCACCTCGCGACAAGCCCATAAAGACAGTGGGTTCTCTGCTGGAAGATCTATCTGAAAAGGACAATCAGATTTTCGAAAAAGAAGAAGAGCTGCTCGTGCTCCAAGATGAGCTCTCACGATCGAAGACCGAAAATGAAAAGCTGAAAAGCGAGCTTGCGAACATGTCTACGAAATCGGGAAATGTTACGAACGAAAATGAGATATCTGTCGATGAGAGTGAATTCAAAACATTGAAGATCAAGTGTGAGATGCAAGAAGAGATTATTGGCAAAATGGCAAGAAATATTGAGCTCTTGAAAGCTACTCAGGTAACAGTCAGCTTATAGCCTCCTGGGGACCCTAACTATATTTTTCTTAAATAATTATAGATGCAATAATAAGATTCTCTTTCAGCATTTCTTGTTCTGTATGACTGATAGAGTTGCATTATTGATAGTTGGCATATTTATTTATATTCGATAACATATCGACGATATGCCAAAGTGCACTTGCAAGAAGGTTCTCCCATCTTACACTTGTTGCTTTTTACGCTACATATTGTGGCTTGTCCGGTTATGCACTAATCAGGTGGAGAAGGCCTCTATTGAGCGTCACCTAATTGCTTCGCTAACTTTCTCGTTCGTATCTATTTCGATCACAAGAAAAGTCAACGCAAATGAATTCGCTTTACTGAATTTTTAGGACCATGACGAAAGTCTATGTGACTTTTCCCTCAAAGACGAGTTGAACATCACTGATGGGGATACGAACGGCCCTCAAGGAGATGGCCCACTAGTCGACTTTGACCAGCCTGCGAACAAATCATCAGACTCTATCGAGTCTAAGGACGAAAACGAAAAGGTGGCTCTTCTTGAAGGCACAGTAGCCGAACTGCATAACGAGCTTGAACTTGCTGAGTCGCGCGTTGCTGAGCTGCTCAAGATGCAGGCTGGCACGAGAAAAGGTGGAAGGGACAACTCCATTTTATTGGAAGTTCGCGATGAGCTCGAGGAATGGCTCTCACATACGATTCTTAATTAGCATTATTTTTAATTAACAAACCCTTCTAGTTAAATACCATCAAAATTAAATTTTTATTTCTCACATGTAATTGACTGCTTCCCTTGAAGCGGTGAATCATGAATTTCTTGATGACCAGACTGAAAAAGAAATTCTATCTTTCTGGTATAAAATTAAGCCAGGCATCTTAGAACGGTAACCTTAATTGATAATTTAGTTTTTAGTCTTCAAATAATGAGTCAATTTATTGTAAATAGAAACCCATTAATATCTTCCGAAACTGTGCCATCCGCTACTAGTTGCCGGTCCGTTTCACTGCTACTAGTTGTCGCGTGGGTCGCATTTTTATCCTTCGCGCTCACCGCTAATAGTTGCCGCATAGGCCCCCGCCAAGGCGAATATAGGGCGCATAACCCGCCGAGAAAGGGCAACTTTTGCTTGAGCGCTGAAGAGAAAGCGCCCGTTTTCACTGCTACTAGTTGTCGCGAGGGTCGGATTTAGGCGGCAACTAGTAGCGGATGGCACAGTACCTGAAATATGAAACTATGAGTGGGAAGCGGTTATCTTAGTTTTTCCATGTAACCGAAAATGTAGCGAGCTATTTAAAGGCTGTTAATGACGAAAGAGAATCTCTTCTTCAAAAGTGGAGGAACTTCGTAATGACTTCGCCGCGCTCAAAAATGAACGTGACGATCTTCAAGAAGCGCTCAACGAGGTCGAAGAGGAAAAGTTCCGCCTACTTGAAGAGTCAAGCGAATGCGACAATCTGAAGCAACAAATTAAAAATTTGAAACAGGAAAGTCAGAAGCTTCAGAACTTGGAGGATGAACTTCACCGCGTCGAGCAAGAGAACCATGACATCCAAGCATTATTCCAGGACGCACAGGAAGAAATCAAGTTCCTTTCCGCTGCAAAAATGGAAAATGCAAAGCTTCTTGCCAAGATTGACGATCTCGAAGCGCTGAAAGACCAAGTCGACGACCTGGAGCAAGATAAACGCGAGCTCGATTTCAAAATCTCACAGGGGTACGATAAATCTCAAAGGGGATGGTATTAAATAATTTTTTCAGCTCTGATGTGATGAACAAGCTGAGAACTGACAAGTCTCATCTCGAGAACGAAGTTTCGAATCTTAACAAGAAGCTCATTGCAAATGAGGTGCGCCAACAAGAGCAGCAACAAACTATTAATGAGCTGCTGAACCAAATTCAAACGAACAGAGCTGATGTTGAGCACAACAAATCTCACGCGCGAGAGCAAGAGAGCATGTTCATCAAACAGCAAAACAGTAAGATGGAGGAAATCAACGATCTCCGACAAGCTCTCACAACCGCCGAATCCGTCAAAGAAGACCTGTCTGGCGAGAATTTCCTTCTAAAACAACGGGTCACAGAGCTCGAAAACCAATTAGGTCAAATGGCGCATGAAGCCGAGCTGAGTGCGACGGGAGAAGACCTAATGGCTCGCTTGCAACACGAGCTTGATCAGCAAGATGCGCTCGACATGCAACTTCTCGGACATCTAACTGGAGAAAAACAGAATCAAGAGAGTGGTCCGCAATTGGACGGACGCATCCAGTCTCTTCTTGACCGAATTCACGAAGAGGGCGTTTCTATTTTGGCACTTTCAGAAGCTCAAGCTCTCCGAGGCGATAACGACATTGCCCAGCATCGCGCCGAATCTTCGTATCGCCGATTGGAACTCGAACTAGAACAGGTTGATAGAATCGAGAATTTCATTTGGTAACAGTATATAGGAGAAAATTTTGAACCGCGATCTGCAAGAAGCCGTGGAGCGTGAACAACATCGTCTCAAGGAAGCGGAAATGACTGCCGATTCCGACAAGCGGCAGATTGAGCTGCTTTCATCCAAACTTGCACGAGCCAGGTAAGCAGCCACAGTTCAAGGTTCCCACATGACTCGCCATTACTTACTCTTGGCATATAAGTAACTGTCAAATCTAACCGTTTTGGCATTATTTGTTCCTTTCTTGTGTTCCCATCGAAGGACTTTAGCGCTCGCAGCGCTGGCCCGTTGGCGCCCCCAACATTATTCAAAATTTTCTTATAAAAGCACAAAGACAAACATAAATGTATTATATTCACATTTATCAGAAGTCAAAGCATAACTAGAATATTTCAAATGCGCTTTCCTCTTTTCTTCTTTCTACAGAGCACTGTTTTTGGAATTCCCTTTGGAACAGCGACTTCACTGGCTCGATCAGCACCTCACAGCTCTGCCAGTTCGCGCTTTCATCCTACTCCGACCCACTTCTCTCAGGAAGAAGTCGAAAAATCCTGACCAACATATTGACTAGCAAGTGCTCAACCCCGCAAAAAGAGCGCACCGTGCCTCGTCGACAATTCACAGTTCCGAATTCTCTCCGAATGCGACAGTTTCGATCCTACCATATGGAATCAGCGTGATTTCACTTTACTACGCCTTCAATTTCTGATACACTTTCTCACTGCTACAATAAGACTTCAATAATAAAATATTTTAAATTCGACTTTTTATTCTTATTCGAAAATATACCCTATAAAGAAATTTTGCGTCGATGGACGCAATTCTTGAAAAATCGGTAATTTATTCGGCTTATTTTGGAATAAATTATAGAAATTTTTGTTTTTCACGTTCAATGACATCTAATAATATCATGATACCTTTGTAAATATATTTATTGACTCGGTGATCTTCCCCTTTCGGAAGCTTAAGGGTACTACCTTCGATTTCCCCAACTTTAGCCTTGAATAACCCTTAGCATGGCATGGATAGCGGGTATCATATGGCCTTTAAAAGTTTAACTATCTTAGATCTTTAATCTGTCAGAGGCGTTTTCGAATAGCTCAATGAAAAGTCGGCGAATTTCTAGCTTAAACATATCATTGTTGCAAAAAAAGACTGAATAAACGGCGAAATAGCTCGAAAAGTAGCTTTATAATTCAGCCTGATTTTATTTTTTATGTGTAAATTAAACCTTCATCTTAAAAATGACAGAAGGTTTTTTTGATTGAAAAAGGAAAAATACCAAAATTAATTTTTTGAAAATTATGTCTCTATGATTTTGCTAAAATTGAGCATTTTTCAAAATTTGGCGACGCATTTTTGTCTCTAGAAGCTGAAATATCTTAGTTCAATAATTAAAGAAGTCACCATAATCCGTATCTTGTTCTGAGCTTCAAAACGAGCCCTTATTTGGAAGAATCGGACACCAAAAAATTTTTCGGAAAAAATACTTTCTAGTACAGAAATCAATTAAAACTCTAATTATTATGAAAACGCTTGACGTTATGAATGAAACGTTCGGACCTTTTTTGATCAAAATTTCATGAGGAATTCATTTCCGATGAAAAATTTAACATAACCGGTCATTGGGGTGATCGACGGTAGTACCCTTAAGCTAAAACTAAAGTTTCAAGGAATTGGGACGAATTTCGATGAATAAATTTGTTTTGACATACCTTATTTTCCTTTTTAGCCAAGATCATGGCGACAAATGCCTCGAAGTCTCCCGATGTCTAGCGGATATTGAAATGCTCAAAGAAGAGATTGAGGCTAAAAGCCAACAACTCGAGCATAGTCAACAGGTGAATCGAGCAATCCTAGCTGATATTTAACGTTGAATAAAGGTCGTTGATACGCTTCGTAAAGATTCCGAAGAAATGCGAAACGAATTTTCGAAATTCGATGCGAAAGCTCTGGCCTACGATGAGCAATCCCAGGTAAGTCGAGAGAAATGCCATGAAAGTCTTGTCCGGCTCTTTTATAACATAATGTTTTTACAGGAAATGTTAAAAACGGATTGTTGAAGTGTATAATTTTTTCAAGCTATTCTTTTTTACCGCTTTCTTTCACTAACGATAAAGTAGTGGGTGCTCGAACTAGTGTAGAGGTGCTTGAATGTAGATCTAATAAGGTGTGCGAGTGGATAACGATAAAATACGTACACGGTAAGTTAGTGAAATTTCTAGGTCGAAGTTCGAACAGGCTCACAAAATCAAAGTGGTACTCACTTTCACGATTCTTACTCAAATTATTCTTCCCATTCTCGCTCCTCCTCCGATCTTTCTTCACTCTTCTTTGATTCATAGGAAACTGATTTCAGCTCCTCTATCTCTTCTTTTCTTTCTTTCAAAAAGATTTTGAATATACGTATAAACAATCCCTGAGTATATAAATTTAAAAAAGACTCGGCAATAGTTCCTTTCAATAAAATAAGCCGTCAATTTATTTAAATTTCAATTAGGACTTTGTTCGACGACTTAAAACTGTTCAAGAAGAAAAACATCTGCTTACCACCGCTGTTACGCAAGAACGGGACGAGAACTCTAGGTAATTTTCATTCTTTCATCGCAATCATTTTAAAACGCGCTCTAGACTCAGCGCAGAATTGAGACAAGCTCAACTAGTGATTGAAGACCTCAAGTCCAACAACTCCGCAGATCAACGAAAGCTCGAGCAATGCGTACAGCGCGCTCGCGAGTCTGAAGCGTCTGAGAAGAAACTCAATGGTACGCTCCATCGGGAACTCGTTGTAGAACAGGAGAATTCAATCAAACTCCGTCAGAAAATACGGGATCTGGAACAAGCTCTAACTGATACCGAATCTGGTACGACGGATGAAGTTGATGGACTTAAATCACAAATCTACGAGTTCAAACTTGCTCTTGAATCAGCCCGCGTCGACGGACAAAAAGCAGCGTCAGAGCGCGACCAGCAGATCGAAGAAAACTCATGGCCATGGCGAAGGTTGACGGACTGATTAAAAAGGAACAACGACTACAGGCTCACATTCGCTCGCTTGAGCTTCGCCTCCAAAACGCTTCTTCTGCGAATTCTGATCTCTCTTCCAATGACGGAGAATCCGACAAGCAGAATCTTTACCAAGTCCGATGCGGACTTGAGGCTTGCCGCCAACAGCTCGGCGCACTCGCGTCGCGTCTCATGGTCGCTGCAGTGCGAAACGATAACGATGAGCTCAAGGCTTCCAAGGAAGAAATCACAGAAGCCCATCGAAATTTGGCGTTTTACGCTCGTCTCATCAACTCCTCGCGAAGCTCTAAGCGCGCCCAAGACACTGGCCTCCTCGAAGAGCGACTCCGTGACCAATTGACGAACCTGAAACTCAACTCTGATCGACTTCATGAGTTGCAAGCGGAAGTATCGTCAGACTCACAGTCTCTATCTGAGTTCAAACTTCGCAGTGAGACACAAAGGAAGCAAATTGATCAGTTGACAGCTGATAAACTCGCCCTTCAAAACAAGCTCGATGAAATAAAACTTACCGCTCCTGATCAGTGGACCAACGAGAATTCTGCTTCTGCCACTCAATCGCTCGCCAGGAAGCAGCAAAAAACATACGAGCGGTACGCGCGAGCAGAATCCTCACGCAAGGCTCTCGTGTACCAGAAAAAGTACCTCCTGCTCACAATCGGAGGCTTCCAAAACACGGAGCAGGTCACACTCGCGACCCTTTCGAAAATTGGTGGCTTCAAGAATCCAGCAGAGGAGAAAGCTCCACTCTCGCCAAAAAGACGATTTATTGCTGCCGCTAACGCTGTTATTGCTATCACTAGGTAATATCGCTTTATGTTTTTACTTCTTCAATTTATATTTTAGGCTGAAATTCTTAACCCGAACCTGGGTTAAGCGTATCACCAAAAACCGCTCTCACTCGTCGAAGGATGCGCTTCAAATCGCCCTGACGTAAGAACTCTTCCTTGATTTCGTCTTTAAATTTTTTTAGCAATCGATTGAATTACGACCAGGAACGAGGCGTCTATTAAAGTCCCATTTATTTTCTTCACATATTTTTTCACATCTGTTCACACCATATTAACGATTTGTTTCTTTTATCAAAGCCCACCAAGAAGTAGTCTTTTACTGATAACTATGACTCCAACATCACTTACTGCCCTTTTTGTTAATAAATTTTTCAATATTATTACCATTTCTCGGCTTCTGTGAGTATCTGAATCATACAGAGCATTATGTTTTGTCTTCTTTGCAGCTATGCAATGAATATTTTTTGTAGATGAACACTAAAATTGTCTCTCGAGCATTGTGCCTCGAGTTGCGAACGTACTCCCTCAAGCCCGAAGCCTTTCCAAAGGAAAAGTCTTGGCAATCTCCTCTATGATTTCAGTAGGACATCAATCTAAGGAAGGCCTTGGTAGTTCTTTTTAGAGCCCTTTGTAGGCGCAACTGTGTCGCCTTTTGATTTTATGTTTTTTTTTTAATCCGAAATGGAGAAATATGGAGATTTTTGGAAAGTACCTAGCATTGACGAACGAAAAATTTCACCTGAGAACGGCACATTCAAAATTGAATGGATTCTGGCTTCATGAGCTCGGCGGCCTTAACTCGGTAAGTGCTTTCTTGTTTTTTTTTGAAAGCTAACAATGCGGAATAAGAGAAGTACTTGAAAGATTAATTTCTTTTGTTCTATTATGTAACTGTTTTTTTTTCTTTTATTCTTGTTTTATTACCTTCACTGGAGGAATGCAAACTTTTCTTAGGTTACGCATTTATGGGAATACGATTCACTGGAGCACCGTGCGCAGGTGCGCGATTCACTCAGTGTCGATAAAAGTTGGATCTCTGAGTATGTCGTGAGTCTTCTTCCCATGCTGGCTGAACAAGTCAACTCAGTTGTCTACGAGCCCGAGTGGGCGCTTCCACTCAAGTCAAATACCAGAAAAGGTCCATTCATGATGGAACGTATCACCCTCGCTGGGGAAGCCCGTGACAACGAAGAACTAGTCAAGGCGCTTGTCGTCGAAAAGCTTGACGCTTACAACCTGACGAACGTGCTCTTCACGGATGTTGGACCAAACAACCAAGGAATGCAGTTTCAAAGTTATTTAGACTCCTTGAAATGTATGCTGTCTAAGCGAGAGCGCAGATAACTGCTGTCTCAAGTTCTTATCAGTGTTTTTTGATAGCACCAGGTCAAAATGTCTGTCTTCAACTCAATACTCGTAGTGTTTGCTCTCAATTCAAGTTAGCATAACTTTCTTATGGTTTACATAAATTTCTTTTGATTTATTAAAATCCCAGAGAGAGTTCATATTTCGGCCATTTTCAAGTATACGTATTGTTTGATTGTTTATATTTCATTGTGGAAAATTTCGTCTGTTTGACTAAAGTCTGCCAGACACTGGGAGACTAATAAATTTTTTACGATTCATTTTTACTATTTCTGCCTGGGCTCGGCAAACTGTGTCAGGAACAGACACAGGAACAGGAAAAAAATATTCTGTCCCATATTTTACACAGGTACACAGGTCAGGAAGCAAAAATATCCTGATTTTAGACAGGTACTCAGACAGGTTTTTTCACACAGCTTATCAAACAGGTTACACAGGTCAGGACCTGCCTGAACAGGTCTGAGCGGGTCAGAAAACAGGAAACAGGCCCTGTGACAGGACAAAAAACAGGAAATTTCTGAGAAAAAATATTACAAAGAAACAAAATGACGCGAATTTATCGGTTATTTTGATTGTTGTACTCTTTTTCACGTGTTTCGCTGTTGATTTCTTTATACATTTTCCCTGACTTATGCAGTTCCTGACCTGGTTACACAGGAACCTGTCTATGGTCAGGACCTGAGCGGGAAACACAGGCCTGTTTTAGACAGAAACAGGGACAGGGACAGCAAAAGAAAAATTTTTCCCCCAATTTTACACAGGTACACAGGACAGGACCAAATTATTACCCGATTTTAGACAGGTACTCAGACAGGTTCCCCAAAAACAGGAAACAGGACCTGTGACAGGTTTTTACACAGCTCAGTTTGCCGAGCCCAGATTTCTGCGAAGTGGAAAAGTGAAAATGAATTGACTTCTGTTTACACCGCTGATACACAAGACGAGAGATCAATGATTAACTCGCCAGACTCGCTATTTACTGTTTGCCCATTAGTGTTCTTCGAGAAATTCTTGCGGGGTAGTGCGACTCGCGACTTTGTTGTCAGTGGGGACAGTGGTTACTGTATGATTACCTCGTCTGCATGACGAGAACCGTTCGAAGTACAAAATAACATATTTAATCAATGAGTGTTCTATTGAGTGTTTCCTCCGATCTCTATAAGGTCATGTGATTGAACCGCCTCCAGGCACTGGGATCTTGAATACATTTAATTAACTGCATGGATAGTAACGCTTATCTGGCGTGGCAATGAGCTGTCCGACTTCTGCGGCTGGCATCGACAAGGTTAGTTTGGTACTGTGGCTATCGCAGTTCATATTTGCTCTCGTGAACAATGTGAGCTTAAAAAATTCTGAGCCCCCCGAGCGCTCAGCGCCCACTAATTCGGAATCCCGACGCGATGAGTCTGTCTCGCACAACGAAGACACGACGAAGAGTGAGGCGACTTTTAAGCAGCCGTCCAGAAGTGGACTGAGCACTTTTTAATCAGTTTTTTAAGCCTCTAACAAACAAGGAATTGTCCAGAGAGAGACAATCGTGATGAAAGGAGCCCCCTGGTGCCCCACCAACAATTAAAGAGAACTGCTCGCTGATTACATCGTCAAAATCAGAATTCAACGGTGCCCAATCTTACCTACTGATAGTAGCCCGCTAACTTATTCTAATCAATTTTTCCTTGATATAACCGCTAAAGAAACCATCATTTATATTTCTGTACGAAGAACTATTCACGCTCATTTACATTATCGAACAAAAAGTGTCCCCGTGCCCCCTCTATTCACTCTTGGATGAGTGGACTTATGAGTAGGATTCTTTCACTTCGCTCCTATAAAACCTCTGAACAATCAATCATTTTCTTTAAATGATCTTTCTTTTAACAAGTTTTTTTTCTTTCCGAAGTACTTGTTCATCGCCCCCTTTTCCATTCAGAAAGAGACAGAGAGAAAAACTCAATCGAAATCGGAAAAAGTTAGAAGCAACTCAGCTTGCTAAATATTACAAGATGGCGCCACCAGATCCAGCCCAAATATCGAATCGAGGAGTTCTTTCCAGCAGCAGAATGGATCATATGAGGAGAGGACCCCCCATCGGGCCCAATACTTCGATAAAGGTACAGAGTACTTTCTTACTTTTGATTTTCAACTTTTTTTAACTATTGATTTGCTTTGAAGATTATCGAAGCTGTCGGTTACTAAACACTTCTCATAGCTGGTCGAGCCCGTCTTTGACCTCGTGAAACGATTCTCCAACCTTCCCGAGCATCTGCATCACGTAGAAGCGATCACCGTGGAGAATGTTCGCAACTCGTGGTTCCCGATGATGTCTGAACTTCGCAATAGATACCCTCAAGCCTTCAACGGTAATTCGATACACTCTCACTGAAATTAAAAACCTCAGAACTCGTTTCGAAATCGACGAGAAAAACTAACTACGTTTCCTACGTTTCTCATTTTCTTTTAGAGAACACCTTGAACATTACGGGCCATGAAGGCGTCATCTTCGACGCACTGCGAAACATCTGGCCCGAGCGGACTTCCTTTGACATTGGGGAACGGTCAATAATCATCGAGTTTATTATCCGAAGCGCAACGGAAATCGGTGGTCGTCGGACCGTTCGTCGCAACGCTGCGTAAGTAACTTGAATCTTGAAATTGACTTAATCGAGCAACTCGACAATCTTCTTTGAAATGTGAAATTAAGTTTTATTCTAGTCGCGCGGTCCCCGTCAACAACGGCAACGTCAGACCGAATCCGAACGGGGAGCGACAGCCCCGTCCACTCGACTTCGATGCGATCGAAAATCAGGAAAACGCCTGTCGAGAGTTCCTCTTCAGTAAATTCAGCGGCCACCTACATACGCTGAACGAGTTCTACCGCAACAGTAGCCGTGCGCCTTCTTTACCTCCTATTCCCACAGAAATGCCAGAAAGTGAAAGCAAAAGAGCGCTACGCGAAAACGGTACAGACGAACCAAGCAATAAGAAAGTGAAAACCGACGAGAGCGAAAAAGAATTGCGAGAAGACGAGACCTGCCAAATCTGCTACTCAGAAAGAAAAACACACGCTTTCATCCATGCCGTCCAGCCAAGTAAGTGCTTACTACTGGTAACACAGTTCTGATTTATTTCTTCAGGTACATCGCACTTTATCTGCTGCGAGCGGTGCGCCTACCAGTGCAACTACGCCATTTCCGGATGTCCACTCTGCCGCCTGCCAGTCATCGCGGTCACCAAAGTAATCTGACGGCCGCATGTGTGGAAGGCTTCTACTCCTGCGTCCTCTGTGATCTTCAGTGACTCTTCCTCTGTGACTTCAGTGATCCAGAGTTTGAAATCCCGCGATTGCCCAGAGGAAAAGACGGGCGCTTAATGATGATCGACTTTTTAAAATTCTTCCTGCTCACTCTTCTGTGCATTCTTGGTAATTGTATATATCAATGGATGAAATATCCTAAAATAAATATAAATAATTCGGACATTTTAATTTGCATTTCTTCCTAGAAAAGGTTCTTTTACTAGCAAAAGAACTTTATCAGCCATAATTTCCAGGCATAAATCTTCTGATAATTTATTATTAATTGCAATTATAATTTGGCAACTTTTAAACAAGCAAGTTCCTAATTGAAAAGCAAGCATAACCGATTGGTGTTCAACTTGGTCGATCCCGATTGGTTCGAAATAGGTTCCCTGCGGATTTTAGGAGAATAGGGTTGTAATTACACTTCGAATGATTTTCAACTTTCAAGTACTTCGAATCCGTAATCTGACGAAAGGGATGATTGTATCCGAATGACGTAAGAATGAAGATACCGAAAGTGGTTTAGGTTCTTACTAATGGAACCGCCCGGGGACGGTTCTTATTTCACTGGAAAATAAATGATGCTGGCCCGCTTCTGCTGGGTGCGCGCAGATGCTATTACCGACGTGGCTTAGTGTTTGACTACGTAACGGCCAGCTCAACGCGCAGTAAATATCAACTGAGACAGAAAGAGATCACTGGGGCCTTGTTCAGATCTTCTATCACCGGTTACCTCGATTTTTTTAATTTGTAAGATGAAAATTCTCCATCTTCTTCGTCTTGGTGCCCTCGTCGCAGCTGATAAGCGACTGGAACGCAAAGAAATCGACTTGAGAAAACTCGACAAGGAATATGAAGAGGACGACGACATGGAACTAGAGGTAAGCTCACTCAGAAATTTGATGAATTACTCGATCCGCTGGAATGAAATTTTTGAGGCGAAAAACTCTCTTTTTCGTTAAACTGTGGGAATTGTTTGATTTATCGACTAGAGCTCCATGTGTGGATATTTCCTACATCTCCGACAATGGGAGGAGCTACCTTTCGCCACTCCCGCGCTAATGCTTAATTTCTAGGACTTGGACATGTTCGATGAACGCAAGCCTAAGCAAGGGATGGACACGCGAAAACTCGATGGGCGGGACCACATCACCACTTGGTCCGAGGCCAAAAAGGGACAGCAATTGGGCATGTACGTCAACACAGTACCCGGTAAGTAATTGATCATTGGTATAAACAGGCAATCTCAGATTGCCAATTTGGGTTGGGCAACCTGCGTAGGAAACCCGAGTCAGGGTATGAAAGATCTTATGAATTTAAAGATTGTGGCTTTTCATTAGAGATCCGTCAGACCCTGACTTAGGTTTTCGATACATGTTGCCGAGCCCATATGCAACTTGGATGAATCAATCCGTCTTAATTGTTACCGTTTCAGGTCTGAGCGAGACAGAGCTGAAGAACTTGTTCGATTTGTGGCAAATGAACATGATCAACTGCTGCAACTTCGAGCTGACCTTCTTGCCGCTTGAAGAAGCGCGCATGCTCGTGCTGCTTCCGGACGGTAAATTCTTGCGCGACTTCGGCACTATGCTGCGCCAAGACGAGAGGTGCCACACTTTCGTCGTGGAGAACACGCACATGCTCTGCGCAGGACATCCCGAGTGGGATCCCAAGCGACCAGGCAAGAACGTCGAAGCGATGGAGAAGTGGGACCAGTACCACAAAGACAAGAAAATTGAAGACACAAAGAAAAAGGTCGAAGGATGGAAGGAAAGCATTCCTGTTAAGAAAACCGAGCTGTAAATAGAAGTAATCGACTCTAACGACAGTGCAAAGAGTAATCGCCTTTATATTTCTCTTATTTGCTCAGCGACTAGCGGCGAATGCTACTACCAATCCGAAACAGCGTTCCAACCAACTTTATGCCTGTCACTTCTTCCTTTTCTGCCTTTCGAGATTTCAATTTAAATAATGCAATTCAGACTTGAACCCCTTACTTTCAGTATCTTTTAATAAACCAAGTATCAAATTAGACCTTTGCGATTCGAAACCTTTCTTGCAGGATAAACAACAATTCAAAATTAAAAAGAAAATTTGCTAGAATCGTCCGCGCGGAACCGTCGCCGATATCCATCGGCCAATCAAAAACCCGCATTTCTCCGTGTTTTTCTTTTCTAGCAGAAATGATCATAAGCTCCTTTCCCATTTTCGTCGTAGGCGGAAAAAAGACGAATCATTTTCCCTTTTTTTATCAAATTTTGACCAACCATAATCTACGCCAACGGGTTTGTCGATTTCTCGCGAAAAAAAGTAATCCCGGTCTTTTGCTCGGTAAAGGTCGTATGCTACGTTTTATGATGCGTTCTTTTCCAAAGAAAAAAGACGACGCGGAAAGGGTAGTTTTCATTTCGCCAAGTTTACTCGAAAATGAAGCGTTTGATAATAATCGTGAGCTGCCTTTTCGCTCTTGCCTCCAGCCTCGACAAAAAGAAGAAGAAGAAGCGCGATGTCTTCGACAGTTCTGAAATCGACGAAAACGCACTGGCGAGGAGCTACGAGGAAGACGACGACATCGACGTTCGCGAGCTGCCATCCACCGATGAGCGTAAGAAATTTGAAGGAATTGATTGGGGTGAGTTTCTATTTTTGAAAGCGATTAAAATCTTAAAATTCTATAGAAAAAGTAAAGTCCAACGATCACATGACCATGCACAGTGAGAAAAAGAAAGACAAGAAGCTGACGATCTTTGTGGAGCTGAACCCGAAGCTCGAAAGGGCAGAAACTCGCCGAGTGGTGGAGGAGTGGCAGGGGAACATGATCAACTGCTGCAACATCGAGTTCGGCGCCGCCTTCATCCGCGCCACGACCGTCATCGTCACGATGATGAACGGAGGCGGCAGCTTCGAGTTCGCCAAAATGATCCGCCAATCGAAAGACTGCTATAGCTACAAAGTCGAAAAGGTGAGATGGTTCGGAGGTGTCCAATCATATTTTGAGATTTTGGATGGATTCGAATTAGTCATGGAATTTTTTTCCAAACACGCCCCTTCTTTTTCGAGTCGAACACTTTCGTGAAGAAATCGACTTTTTCGAAATGCGATGTTTTTTTTTCGAAAATGCTTTTCGCCAGAGATTTATTTAGTAAACACGGGTCTAGGCTTCTATCAACAGACTCGATACTACAGTAATTTAGCGCTAGAGTGGAAAGCAGTGAGTCTACCTATCGGAGCTAGAATGGTAATTCTCGGTGCTCGAGCGCGCCGAACAAATTAATATAGAGACATAATTTTTCTGATTCAACCGATTCCCTATACACTTCAAGGAACACTAAGAACTCATGCTTCACCAATAAGAATTAGTGTTCACCTTTTTCATGCCTGGTCATTTTCGATTAGTCCAATAAATTACTGTTTTAGGACGAATTTCTTTGCCCTGCTCACCCTTTGTGGGACAAGAAGAATCCATCAATGTACAAGAAGAAGATAGAAAAGTACATTCCCCAACAAAAGCGGCGAGATAGAGACATCAAGATACAGAATGTTAACGTCTGGAAAAACAAGGGTCTCAAAGCAGATGGAACGCGCTACAAGTCCCTTAGCCCTTATGTTGGTCTCAAGGAAAACGAAGAACTGTAATCAAAGTGAACCGTCCCACTGAAAACGACCCGGAATTCAACCATTGTTGAAATGAAATTTCTTCATTTCAGATTTGCGCGTGAAAAATCCCACGATGGCGGACGAAAATAAGGTCGAACACATCAACCTCAAGGTCGCCGGCCAGGATGGCTCTGTCGTCCAGATAGGGTTACTCGATCTCCTTGCCATGCGTTTAAGATTTATTTGCTCAAGTAACCCGCGTTTTACTTCAAAATCAAAAAGCACACCCCGCTCCGCAAGCTGATGCAGGCCTACTGCGACCGACAAGGTCTCCAGCTCAACCTTGTGCGATTCCGATTCGACGGAAACCCGGTCAAGGTAGCTCTCATTCTCCTTTTCTTTCTTTTAACATGGTAATTTTAGGAGACCGACACTCCCGAAAACCTCGAGATGGAGGACGAAGACACCATCGACGTGTTCCAAAGCCAAACCGGCGGCTTTGTTGCCAACTGAACAGCGCTCTCCCTTACAGAAACTGCCTTCCTCTCTCTCAGTCCCCATTTTTGCACCGACCCTTCGCGTGCAACTTCGCACATCAACATGGAGAAGATTAATTTTTAGTTCAAATTGTCATTCAAAAAATTATCGCATTTTCTTTCTGAAATCTGAATTTTTAATTTGCCGTTTTGTTCCCCCAGCAGCCCTACAGCTACTAGAGCAAGGGTTGTTTTATATCTCGCAATTCTTTGTTTCTCCTTCGACAAAATTACTGGAATAAAATTACTCAAAAAATCGCAAATCTCATCGTTGTTTTCTTATAAGAATGCCGCGTGGCAAGGAAGGCAAAGCAAATCGGGCTTTTATTAAGCCCGGCGAGGGCAAGAAATTCAGGCTCGTCAATCGCTCCTACAGAGATTTGGCTGGTTTCGCACCCGGTGCCAGTCAGCATGTCTTGGCGCCGATCGGTGAAGCCGCCGAGGACATGACCGTGGACGAAATGTAAGCGTTAAAACTTGTTCAATTCGTTGATTTTTGTTGCTAGGAAAGCGCTTGAGCGTTCTCATGGGGTCGATTTCGACGACAATTACAACTACATGCAGCATTTGCGAGAACGCTCTCGCGAAGCTGTCGTTTGGGAATCGGCAGACACTCAGTCTCAGTTCTCCCTGGCTTCTGGCATGTCAGGCATGAGCAGAGCATCCCGAAGAAGTCGATTCTCGACAATGTCGAAGCTTTCACGCGTTTCCAAGCCTTCGGAAGTCGGTGTTCTATTTGAATCCAACATGGAATTGCCCGACAATCATTTTCAAGAACTTGCTGCAGAACAGTATGAATTTAATGTACGTGATTCATATTCAACTAAGCAAGCAAGTTTAAAAACCTTTTTAGTTGGATGTTGACCCCGAAGTTGCTGCACAGTTGGAGGAGCATGATCCAGAGGAGATTCTTCTTAATCCGGAAGATGAGGACTGCGATATGTTCGACGAAATGATTGCCCAAGCGCGTGAACAGGGAAGCGACGATGAATTCGACGAGATGCATGGCACGGGCGAAACTATCGGAGCATCTGATCCGGCGATCGTGTGGCAGCGATTTCTCGAGTCCACCGGAGCATATGCGGGCGACGATAACAGAACGATGCCAGAGGATCAAGAATACGGTGATTTCTCCGACAATGAAGCTCAGTTCTCTGACGACGTTAGCTTATTACTATACCGGACAGATAGTTATCATTCTTTCAGGATGACGACAAACAGACTCGTTTCACTGCGTATTCAATGACCTCCTCTATAATGCGCAGAAATAAGAATCTTCAAAACTTGGACGAACACTTTGAGGGCTACTTCGCTGAGTTTGACGATGAAGAGCTCGGAGATATGCCTCAAAAAGATCTCGACCAGAACGAAATCGACCACGATTCAAAGCTGCTTGAAAATGCGATTCAAGCCGATTACAAGGAATTCAAAGGCGAAGTTCGCTATGGCGAAGGGGTAGGAAAACTAGAAACCTGATTTCCTTTATTTGACCAATTTAGGTTCATAATATGATCGACCTGGCGAAACAGCTCAACATGGCAGAAGATGTGCGTCGATACATGGCGAACCGCGGAGAAAGCGATTCTGAAGAAGAAATGCCAGAACTGGTAGAAGTCGAGGCGAAGCCAAAGTGGGACTGTGAATCGATCATATCTACGTATTCCAACCTGTACAACCGCCCGAAAGTCGTCAACGACGATGGATTCTCAGTAAAAAGCAAACTGAAGCCAAAACGAGGCAGCAGAAAGGTGATGTTCGGATCCGCCTTGAAGGAACTAGAAGCCGACTATCAGAAGGAAAGGGTGGCCGAGAGAGCCCCAGCGCCAAAAGCGAGAAGTAAAAATGAATCAAAAGAAGAGAAGAAACTTAGGAAGCAAGCCGTCAAGGAGGCAAAACGTGAAAGAAGGTAAGTGTCTGCATAACACAATTAGCTATTTCGCGTCACTCTGAGCTCCTACCTCAAACTATCATTTTAGGATAGAGAAGAAGGAAACCAAGATGGCATTTGCACACGAATTCAACCAAGCTGCAAAGAGGGACAAAGGAAACAGCGTGAAATTGCATTAAAACTGAAAATAAAACACCACGAGTCTGTACTGAGGCGGTATGTGGAGTCTTGTTTTGCGGAGTCCACTGGTTTTTTTTAATTATTATTTATTTCTTGAAGAAGTTTGCAGGGCAGATAGGTCTCAGATGTCGAGATAGTTTTCAGGATTGGCATGGAAATCGGCGATCTCATCGTGAGAGTAGCGGGGCTCATGTTCCGGAATTGGATGGTCTTTCCAGGTAAGAAACTCCTTCTGGCTCATGCTTAAAACTGGCTTAGAGTAGACTCAAATAGATCGAATTACCGAAGCCATTCTGTCGTCTCAAGAAAATCTTCTAGTGGAACATACTCTCTTCCTTTGAAAGAGATAGGTTTTTCGTTGTATCTGATTCTAATAAATTTGTCTTTCGTTTCGTCCACGTGAAACTCGAAAACGATATGAGCGGAAAAAGGAGGAAAATAGAAGATTTCACTTTTTTCATGAGGAGCCATTCGGAACAGGAGCGCTTCCATTACAGGGATTACTAAAACATCTCAAAATCAGCAAACGAGATTGACTCTTACATGTTGTATCGTGCGCGCTGAGAATCGAAATCGGGGCCTCCAATTCATTAACAATGTACTCAAGAATTCGTCCGGCCTTGATGGGCAGGGCATGCGCTTTCTCTTCGACCGAGGTTCCATTAACTCCGAGACAGGTAACCAGAGATAGATGCTCAATAAGAGGGTAATACTTTCGGAAAGCAGCGGCATTGACGACTCTAGAAATTCATTAAAAAGTGTGAGTTCTGAAAAACTAACGGGATTCCGTGAGCAAATCTAGCCGCTAGGTCATCGTACAAAGCAAGAGGAAGCAACTGATGCTGTGGCCGACCATCAGTTCTCTTCTGTAATCCAAGCTCACGTACTGCCTCCGACCACATTGGTCTAATTTGATCGTGAAGAGGCGATGCAAGCCACATCCAGCGGTAGTTTTGGAGTGAGCCGGAGCAGGAATGCATGTAAGTTAGGAACTCTTCGTCAAGCTTTCCTTGAACTTCTATCTTTAATGCGATGAGATAACATTTATTCGAAAAGAGTCATGAAACGAGTTTCCTTGGCAATTATTAGAGAGGAAAGGAGGGGAGCTTTCCGGGAAGGACAACCTTGTTCCCCTTCTGCTTAGTGGGGATTTCCAGCGCCTACAGCTTTTTGCTAGAAATACAATTTTCGATGTGGCGTAGAAATTATTCTGTAAGGCTAGCGTAAATGCGGTGATTGCTGAGGATTGAATGCGTTCCCTTTATTTTGCAAACTTTAGTGTTTAAGTAGGTTTCGGAAGCCTTACCACCGGATTAGTGGATGCGATGAGGGAGGAGGAATAACCGGACCGCCTCCTCCGGAAGAATTTGACCGGAATCCACAATTCCGGCAGGGGAAAGCGGGCGGTTTTCCTGTGTGCGACCGTGTGTGAGTGATAGATTCTCATTTCGTTTGCCTGTAGGCATTTCCCTCGGCGGAAAGCGTCCTTCCCTTTTTTAATTGTGCTCGACAGCCAAATACAACGCGCATTGTCTTTTCAAGTAGAGCGCGGCGAATACCACTCTCAGATCGAATAGATCAACGCATCCTTTACTTCTGAGGGTTGATTCGTCAGTCCGCCGACGATCGCCCGGGCTGACTCAACTGTTCGCTTGACATTAGTACTCCGCACGTACAGATCTTCTGCTTCTCTTCTCCCATACATCTTCGCCAAAAATTCCCCGATGCCGACGTTGCCCAAGTAGCCAATACTCGTCAGCCATCCAGCAGGACCGCCGCAGGCGTGTTCGCCGTCAGGGTCGAATCCCGCCGTGACTGGTCCACCGTTGACGCCGGCCAGTTTCACGTTTACCTTGCTAACATCGCCTACGAAATTGATCATTGAAATTATTATTCCTAACCGACTAACGGGGTATTTTATAAAGGCCCGATTGATTCCAGTTGGCTGGTCCCAGTTCTGGCAAATTGTAGAGGGAGCTTCGCGCGCCGTGCCTCGCCAAGCAGACTACTCGTTTCAACTCCATTCCGCGAGTCATCACTTCCTCTATTGTCTTTCGAACTTTCCAGAGTCTCTCAGGCTTTCCAACACGAGCCAATCAGCGCGCTGCATTATCTCGATGAGAACTTGTCTTTCGAAGGTCCCTGACTATCTCTCCTTTCCTCACGAATAAGTTAGAAAGAATTCTCTTTGAAACTACCGCATGTTTTACATATTTTTCAAAATTATATCAACATGTCTTTTCACTAAACGTAAAAAATTGAAGCCGTAGTAGAGAAGCAAGGAAATTGAATTTATTAATAGAAAATCGCCCAAGCCTCATTTTTAGCCACTTCCGATTGATGACGAGAATTGAAATCGAATCAATTGATTTTCTCTGATAGAGTCGGATATTGACGCAACATCCGCAAATTTTTCCTTCCCAGGAGGAAGTTTTGGATTCTCCGGCGATTCATTTCCGAATTCAGAATGAGGGAATCAGCCATTGAAAATAAAATTTATAAAATTTTGATTTAAAAAAAACCTTCAATTCACAAGTAAATTTTTTTCAGAGCTTTTTATAAAAGTAAGTATATTTTTATGAACTTAACATATGTTAATTATAATTAAACTTTCTACCGGCCAGTGATTACAACTCAATTTGATCAGTACTAAAAAGTAGTCTGGGATGAAGGGGCGAGCGGATTAACCCAGATTCTCAATAACAATCACGCTCTATTTGCTACATCTGCTGAGAGACTTCCTTTCCGCTTACTTTTTTGTTCCTTTCAATTTCAGTGAGCAGATGAGCACCACTGACCATGCAGGGATTTCGGGTGTTTATTTACACTGGAATTGTGTCTGAACTCGAATTAGGTAGGCAACAAGGTCGGAGGATAAGATCACTTCGGCCTATTCAAGCTTTGCAACTTTTGACTCTTTGCTTCTAGAATCAGAGATGATCTTCTTGATATGTCGTTTTACTATTTAAAATAACTGAAGATGGCTAAATTCCTCGAAAATATTCAATCCAAGTGGGAAGATAAAATAGGTAGGATATTAAGTCCTTTACATTTTCTGCAGGAGAAGTTCCGGTTTTTGAGAATTATGATCGAAAAATGTCTCCTGTTGTGTTCGGAAGAGCATTTCCGGTTTAAGATCCTTCGATTTCACGGAAAATAATCGGTCAGCCGTCTTCGACTGTCGCTAAAACTATCAAACCAGAAACGTCCGACTTGACGATTCTTTTGAGATTTTAGCGTTCTGTCAGAGGACAACATTTACTGTTTCTTTTCGCTTTAGAAAATTTATTAGGTATCCAAGCTGCGCGATTTCCCTCTTTCGAATATTTGGTTAGTCACAATAATCGCAGTATAACAGTCGCAGTTTTATTTGCACTGGCGGAGGGAGAATATGTAATTTTTGAACGGCTCTGCATCCGATTATGAAGAACAGTGGCACCCCAGCTTATTATAATAGAATCCATTTGCATTTATACGCCGAGTGTCGAAGGAACTAGCCATAGTGATCTCGCTGAAGTTAGTTGTCTTGAATTGAATCAGATGCTACACTCGCGCGATGAAGTTTGGGCGTCATCATTTCCTGTGAGCGTCAGTTTAAGTTTTCACTTGTTAACCTTTGACTTGCTCATTCTAGTGCTGTAGTAGCGGGCCTATCTTATCGGGAGAGGGTTGGATACAGTCTCATCCTTCGAAGACAGGTGCTGCGCAGGGGATAGAAGGTCGGTTAGGGCAGCGAGGTGTGGCCAGCACTGCTGGTCCGCGGTGGAGGTGTCTCAGTGGTCGGTTGGGGTCGCTCTCGCGGCCGCGAGAGTTGAGCTGGCCCGTGAGTGCCGCTACGAGTGAGTCATTTGACGCGAGCGCCTTGCCCATTTCTCTTTTCAATTTTAAATCGAGCTCTCTGGCCGCCCCAAGTTTCTTTTTCCTTTTGCATCTGACTGTGCGTAGTGCAGGGAAGTCGAAAACAGACTCCTTGGCTGTTAGTTGAAGTCCGAGCAGACGGGCGAAGAAGAGTCAAAGAGGCCGTCTGACCGACGCACGATCGCGTCCTAAAGAGAAGCGATCTTCGGAGAGCAAACTTTACTTATCTTCTGGGCCTAACTCCGACTGTCAATCTGACAAGAGAGATAAGAAAGAACTGCTGGCGGAAATAAAGAAGACGTAGCAAAAGACAGAGTGATGAACAAAGGGCATGTCGAGGAAGTGAGCAGTCCAAATCCGAATCCAGGTGAGCTTGTAATCATTGATCAGCGTAATGTATCAGAGCAAGTGTTATGGCCGCTCTGACTCTCGGTTGACTCAAGGAGTGAGTCATTTCCGGTTGTGGAGCTGTTTCCGGTCGCGCCGTTGCGATTCTCATTGATCTTTCTCTCCTTTTAATCTCTTTCTTACTTCTGTGTATGCTCGTACCTACGTAGACAGCTCCTTCCTCAAAGGGCCACAGTGAGACAAGAGATTGTAGTTCGAACGGTCTGGTAGAGCCAGCTCTAGGCTGGTAAGCAGGGCATTACCAGACAGCTTATTTACTGGACACAGGCTGATAAACTATCTCCCTAGGCGAGCACTACTAAAAACACTCGCCTGAGGCAAAGCAGTCTATAGATTCTTGAGTTATTTGGGACTGTCTCTCTTCAATATTGATTGAATTCGGTTATTCAGGAATGATGGACCCGAGCGCTAAATACGGTAACCATACGTTAGCAACTCGATATTGTTGGGTTCACGTTTTGAACGGGTTCCTCAGAGAACGCTTCTCACCAAAATCCAAAATTCGATGATTTTAGCAAGACTCTCTGATAAGTCTCCGCAAGCTTATTTCATTGTTTATTACTGCGATAAGTAATTTATCACAAATTAATTGTTACGCTACGTCAACATTAATTTTCTTACATATAATTATAAATAACAAAGCCTCAGTGATCGAGTCGTGATGTTTGATTCAAGGCAACGGACTAATTCAGCTTTTTAGAACAAATTTCCTGCGAAACATTGGCAATATGGCTGGCAACATCAAAGAAGGTACTTCTTATAGATTGCCGCTCTTTCCCTCTTGGCAAGAAGAGGTTAAAGGGAGCTCAAGCGATGAGGAGCAACTCTATCAAAATGCGCAGATGTAAAGGTTCGTTGTTATTTGTCTGAAGAAATGCTCAGTTTCAATATAAGGAAATCTTCCTTTACCGGACATCATTCCCGATGCAGAGGCAAGACACCGATTAGAAAACGACCATTACGAGGAAGGGATTTTCAGTTTAGAAAGTAAATTGTATTTTATCGCATTCACCGACAAAATATAGTAAGGTTTACTTAGAAGGTGGAAATCTCATCAAAGTGCGTAGTAATTTATGATGAAAATGGCATCACCAGCACCTGCAAGTTAGTTTTCGACAATATTCAAAAGGTCTCTGTTTCGTCGAGAATATGCGTTCTTGAAGGTAAAATTTTTGCGACTCTTGCTTTGAGCAAGTTCGATTGAGTGAGATTTTAAACCTGCATAGGTGGTATGAGCAGCATTCAAAAAACACACCCTGGCCTTGTGGACCAAGGCAACAGCGCTGGGTTGGCGCCGATCTCAGTCGATGGAAAGCCGCCAATGCTGACTCCACTTCCTCCGAGAACTCCTTCTTTTGACGAGACTGCAGTCGACGAGCGTTTACGTACTGTTAGGCAAAGTGAAAAGGAAAAGAACACACCCGAGTATGATCAGGTAACGTGGAGCAATAGATTCTCCCCTTGTTAAACGTTATCTTAGTGAATTTATAGTTTTTCTTCAAATAACGTAAAGCAAGAAATCGCACATTCTCCAATCTTGCTGAAAAGCAAGCATGTGGTCTACTTTTGAATTTTAATATTTGAGCGTTAGATTCTCCCTGACAATTTTATTGCTTCAAGAGAAGAGCTGCTGTTAGCTATATTTTCAGTGAGCTCAAGGCCACGGGAAATTTCGCATGATCACGTGTCATAGGTGCCCTTTTAAAGAATGATTAAAAAGTGATAATTGCATGTGGTCGTCGCCTCGAGATCTTCCTTAGTAGCTTCGTAAATCATCGTTGCGCTAAGAAGATCACTAAGGTCTCGCTTTTTCACCTTTTGAAATTTGAATGCTATCTAGAATTGTATCATATCATTTAGGGACCTCCAGTGAATATTCTTGATCACTTATTTCTTGGTTCGGCGGCACATGCAAGTCAATTGGAGCTGTTGAAACGGTTAGGAATCACTGCACTGCTAAACGTGAGTCCTAACTGTCCGAACCACTGGCCGGATAAGTTCGTCTACGAGACAATCCCAGTTGAAGATAATTCGACTGCCGATATCAAGGCCCACTTTCACAAGGCAAGAGACCCTAGCGATAGCTCAATCGTTATTTTCTGATTTAGGCGATAAGATTTATCAACAAAGTGAAGGAAGACGGGGGCCGTGTACTTGTGCACTGTAGAGCTGGAGTCTCTCGCAGTGCTACTCTCTGCCTTGCTTACTTAATCTCTTGTCGGGGAATGTCCCTTAACGACGCATACGACGAAGTAAAGGTGAGTTTTTGAGTCGTACTCCAGGAGTCTAACTAGCTTTGCAGAGGAAAAGACGCGTGATCGCTCCGAACTTCAACTTTATGGGACAGCTACTTTCGTGGCAAGAAGAGCAGCGCTTGAATCCGTTGGTAGAGCCGATGGCCGAGCTGCAGATAGAGTCGCAGGTAAGTTGCGAGTCGAGCGGCTCATATTTACCGCGCAGCTAAAAACAGACCTAGCCGAAGAAGAAGAACTTCATTCGGATCGCCTAAAAAACTATCCCTAAGTGCCTTCCCTCTCCTTCTCAGCCTCTTTGTTTCTTTACAATGTGATTGTTTCTATATTCCAAAATTATTATTGCCTCCCACAACAGTGCCACAAAATACAAACCCAAGGCAGAACGTTCCCCTGCGCAACTTGAGTCGACGCTGATTTAAACAGACCCTTGTTTGTTATTTTTATTATTATTTTAATAAGAAAAACAAAATGCGTAACTGTATGATATACAAACTACTCTCCTTAATTTATTGCGGAATTGTGATTGCTCGAAAACCGAAAAATGATCGTCTTTTGTCAACAAATCCTATTTGCCTTTTGTGTTCCCGCAATAAATTTCAATCAAAATACAATCTAAGAATGATATTTTTTCTATATTTAAATCGATAAGGCTGTAAAAAAGACGGTCTAAGGGAAGGGTCAAGCTGAAAAGTGACAGGAGAATAACTGTGGTTGACAGTGCATGATCTGTTTAGTTTTCAAGTAAAGTGAGGAGAGAAACCAAGTCTCCGTGTTGCAGAGGAGTGTGGAAGCAGTCGTCGTCCTGACATAATCGCACCAGATCAGTGAGCACGAAGTAAGTAACACCATGTCGGAGCTCTATTGCCGGCCGACACACGCAGTATGGCTGATGGTCTGAAACCTTCTTCCAGGATTTCAGAGGAATCCTGCAATTGGGACACTTTGGTTCGTGTGTCTTGTTGATATGACGGACAACAGCCGCCCGAGACTTGAACTGCCTTGTTTTGTCACGGCAAAGCTCGCAATGAAGGTGCTCGTTTTCTCGGCATTCAACTTGTAAATTTCCAGTAGAATCCAGATTCTGGCAGATCTGGACGACTTTGTTGTAGGGCTCCGAACGAGGCGCAGTGATTCTGGTTCGGTACTGTCGCTTGACCTTTTTAGTGGTTTTAGAAAACTTTGACATGATCTGTTTTCGCTATGAAACATCAATCATCGGAAGCCATATAAGGAGAGACGTCTCCGAAAGAGGGCGCAACATGGATGTTTCAAGACTAACTCCGATCACCCGCTGAGTATCCTATCAGATCAAGATTTCAGATAAACTAACGTAAACCGAACCATTTTTATTTCCTACTGGATATTAAAGCATTGAACGATTTTTGTTTACTTTTTTATTTTTATGCGAATTATATCTTGACAACAGAAGTAGCGTAAGGGTCGGAGGGCTCATCTTCGCCAATCGTCTCATCCAGAGACGAAGAATAATTGTCTTGCTCTTTCTTTTCGTTTGTCTGTCCACAACTAAAACTAACTCTGACTCCCATCAGAAAGGGCCTTACTTTGTCATACTGCCGATAAGCAGCAGCAGGGCAAGAACAAAACCAATTCCTCCAAGGACAGCATAACCAATCGGCCCTTCAAGTTTCTCCTCGGGACACTGCGATCCGTATACAACGAAGAATCCAATGATGCAGCCAGGGATGAAAAATACAATTCTTTATTTGGATTATTTCGTGCTTTTTTTAAGTTTTCCAATATTCTCAAGATAACCGTTCCCGCAAAATAAGAGAAATGTGGCGCAAACATTTTTAAGTCGACACATAATGATGATACTTTCGATAAGAAAAATGAGGCCTGCTACAGAAAAACAGATGATTGAAACTTTCAGGGGATTGTTTTGTGACTCAGAAAATGAGAACACTTTTTATAAAACATACGCCCCTTGCCTATCCCGATCCAGTTAGAAATGAAGGTTTGAAAACAAGTTTCATCTTCATCTTCATTGATAGCTGTTGCGTTAGTCCAACCATTAGTTGCAATCGGTATGTACGAGGTTGTTGTTGTTGATGTCGTACTTGTTGTTGTTGTAGTTTTTGTGGCTTCTAACGCTGTAGTAGTTGTAATTGACAAAGTTGATGCCACAATTTCTGCACTTTCATTTTCTGTCGATGTCAGTATCTCTGCGTCCGTGTTAGGACTTTCTGTTTTCAATTCCTCCTCACGGATCTCTTAAAGAAAAAATAAATATTATTTTTATAAAAATACAATACCGAGTTTGTCTGCGAGGACAAATGTCTGAAGAAGAAAGAAAAACACAGGCAAATTTCTCATTTTCAGTCGAAAGCTCAATGTTTCTTTACGTTGGGCAATGCACTGCTGAAATATGAAATTTGCTCTGCAATTTCAAGGTGGAATAGGAAAATTTCGGAATCTTCCTCTGTCGTCAGCAAGTTTAATGACTCGCCTCGAAAAGCAAAGAATGCGAAACTGTAGCATAGACTTTGGTAAAAATGATCTTGCCTGTTTGTGCTTTGATGAACCTAGAAACGCGTGTTCATTGTGCGAATTCAATCAAAAATGTATAAAGGTCATTTCACCAATTTTCTGAATTCCACCATTTACCCTCATTTATCTCTGTCTATAATGTCGAAAAAAGAGAAAATCACTTTTGAAGTTAGTGGAGAGCGTTTTCAAACTTATAGAAGCACTATCGAGAAATTTTCAGCAACTCTCTTGGGGCTCGGTCAAAGATACCACCAAAAAATTGGATAAAAGAGGATCTTTCAAAGATCATCTTTGAACCAGGTATAAGGAAACCGAGAAAAATTGGAGCGATTTTGGGACGAGAAGAAAGAAGTCTACGTTTTGAATAGAAGTCGTCTAGTTTTTCCGGAGCTGGATTAGTAGATCACAAATATAAAATATCCACATATCGTATTTTCTTCGTACGATCGAACATCCGCTTTTAGCTTGTTTTAACATTCTACCAATCCGGTGGGCGATTTCTATTCCGACCTGTGTTTGTTCCTATTGATGTCTTCGCGGAGGACATCATTTTTTATGGTCTGTATAAGTATTACAAACACGGGAAAGGTTTAATTTTCTTAAAAAATCTTTCTTTTTTGAAAATTTTAAAATGAACCTTCAAAGTCCGATGCTTGACACATATGACCCTGAAGTCCTGAACACTGCGGACTCATTGTATGCGAAGCCGAATTCCAAATTTGTCGAACAAGTTCTGTTTATTGAAATTTTATTATTTTTTATTATTATCTTTTCATAGTTTATGATAAAATCTAATAGTGAGATTACCATAATTAGTCGAAAATCGAACTAACTGAAGACATAGAAGAGAACTGGACCAGAACAGAAGCGCTTTACCAGGTTTTGCATGAGAAAGACACGCCGATTCGCTCAATGTATGCAATAGTTTCCTGTGTCTTCGTCTTTGTTTCCCGTAAGCGACAATCTCTGCGATAATTATCCTAATTGATCGTCTTAGTTGGGGTATACGTAGCAGAATCCGTTGGAACTATTGCCAGCGACTATTTCAATACGATTCAAGTACTTAGCAGTAATAGAATCTTATAAATTAATTTTTAGGTTATTGAAGCAATAACTGTTGGTTATTTTACAATAGAACTGCTCATCACAATGGCCGCAACTAGAGGAATCATAAAGGAAAGCTTGTAGAGTAATTTGAAAGATAGATGATGTATTTTTTTGAGCAAGATTAAAAGAGATGTTCCTGGTATTTCCTGATCCATGCAATATCACTTGTTCCATTTTATACACAGTTTTTACTGGTCGCAATATTTGGTGTCCTGGATCGCCACGACATCGCAGATTTCTTCACATCGAAACTAAACGGCAGTGGTTTCTCAAACTTAATAGAATTCATGAGAGTGCTCCGGCTCTTACGACTGGCCCGACTGTCAACACATATGAGTACAATTCGACTGATCGCTGAAGTCGTCAAAGATTCCAAGGAGCAACTGTTCTTTCTGATGTTTATTTTCGCCTTCTCGTCGATCGGATTTGGAACTATTTTTTACATGTTTGAGCACACGCCTAAATCGGGGCCGACTTCTATTTCTGGGATCATAAATAATTAACTTTCCTCCTGTTCTTTCTCCTTTTTTATTGTGAAAACTTGATCCCAAAAAGTCCTGATGCGATGTGGTGGAGTTCAGCAACAATAACGACACTTGGATATGGTGATTTGTACCCAAAGACAAATGCGGGAAAAGTATGCGCCGGCGTTTGCTCAGGTTCTTAGTTCTGTGTTTTATTCTGACTAGAGAATTCTAGTTATTGGAGTTCTAGCGCTGTCTCTTCCACTCCCTGCAATTGTCAACAGTTATCAAAAAGTCAAGAATCAAGAGAAAATCGAGAAAATGAGACAGGTACGGCCTGAAACGCTCGTTGTTGGAAATAATTTTAGAAAATTCTATCGTGCACGAACGTTACGAAGAAAGCAAAGACGCTCATTTTTCTTTTTGATGACCGAAAAGCCTCCGATTTTGCAAGATAAAACAACGATTACTTCGCAAAATTCACTGCTCGCATTTGTCGGTTAACGTTTATTATGTTCTGTTTTTTTACAATCTATCAAAGTTCAAGCCAAAGATCAAACTCATCATACAGATTAATGAGACTGTCGAATTGTTTCTCTTGGTTGACGCAAAAATCATCCCCACAGTCACCCGTTCCATTGCGAATAATATTCCAAACATGCGTAGACGGATCGTATGCGGATAACTCGGTGATTTCCTAAAAACATTATCGAGCGTAAACTCGAAAGACGAAAACCTCTTCTCTTAAGAATTTGCCGACAACGTTCCGATAAGATTTTCCAAAAGCAACGTCTTTGGGATCAATTGCTCCATTCCCTTCCCAGCCATTTCGAACAGGCGTATTTCTATGAATTCAATTGACTACAAGTTTAAAATGCTTTCGCCTTACACTTGCTCATTCGCGAAAAGATAGTATTCGCCAGTAACGCAGTGACAGGAGGACTCATAGCAGTTCTTCATATATTTTCTAAGAGGCGCTCCAAGTGGGTATGCTACACGAGCAACTTCGAGGATTGCAGAAATTTTGTTTTCTTCCATGTCAAGATGATCCAGTGCATTTCTCAAATGTCCAAAAAAAGACTTTTTATGGGTGATTGATTTATAGATATTTTATGCAGCTTTCCTCGATTATTCGCGAGTGCCAACGGCAAACATCATACAATGTTTACACGTTTTCCTATTACCATCTTATCGAAATGTTGCAATTAACTACCCTGTCCATGAAGTGAGCCACCTCTCCATTTCATCTGAGCAATCACATCGGGCTTCCCAAGGACGATTCTCGTTAAAATCCTCGATCAACTGCAAAATCGCATCAGCTAATTCTTGAAGGTTGTCTCCAGGTCCGCGTGCTAGGAAAAAATTCTCAACGTCGACTTCCGCATCCTGGCATTTTTGACGACATCCAAGAACATCCAACAGCTCGTCACCTTTGTCAAAACCCAAATTATTGTAGATAACTTCTTCATAAAATTTCAGGGGAACTCGTGCTTGCCTAAACGTCAAATCGAGTGATTTGTTATCATCGTGAAGATCAATATTTTATTAAAAATTAATAACAACCAATATAAACTATAATACGCACTAACAGTTAGTGACTATCTCTGTCGACAGAGAGGCTGTGAACTAACCGAATGTCGTAATGCTGGAAGAATGGTTTGTCCAGATCCTCCAAAACTAATCCGGGCAATCTTGATTCTTCTTTCCAAAGAATATCTTCAAGAAACTCTTCTGACTCATTTTCAGTTACTCCAACATAGAGTTTAGTATTCGGCTTTACATGGCCAGCCTTGATGCTAGGATGGACATCTTTTTCGATGACAATACCGTCAATAAGAGGGGCGTAAGGTTCCTCTAAATGCTGAACCACGTCGTTTTCAACAACATCCTGAAAAAGTCTCTTCTTTTCTCTTATACGCAAACCGTTTTAACCTTGATGATTGGGCGGAGCTCGAGAGAATTTTTTATTTCTTCAGCAGGTAAACTTCGAAGACACTCCAAATTTTGAACTTTTTTGCCGTCTTTTTCTTCTAGACATCCAAGCTTCTCTGCTGCTTCGTGATAGAACTGACGAGCTTTTTCAACAGTGTAAAGAGGAATGCCAACTGGAGGGGACCACGAAAGGATGTTTTTGAAGAGTCCCCATGAGCCTGTTTTAGGGTCAATGAATATATCTTTACAATGTCAACGTATAGTCAGTTATGTGATATCTTATATGAAGATCAATCAAAGTTAAGTTTCAAAACCTATTCCTTTACTGGTGAAATGGATAAAAGATGACTGGCCACCTGAATATACCTTGGTATAAACTTTGATTTTTGATACGGATAGCTTAAACTATGCCATGTTTTGTGCAAAAGCGAACACTGATATTGCAGCGATCTAAGCACACGGTGAGCACTATTTTAGAGATATACTATCTGCACTTTGGCTTCTAAAGTGCGATAATTAAGAGAGCTAGTTTAACATCCATTGAGATACCTGCACTACATCCCGAAAGATTTATGTTCTCGGGATCTCCGCCGAACCCAGCGATGTATTTATTAGTCCATTCGAGAGCAGCACGTTGATCTTATGATGTTCGTCATTCCACGAAAACGGAAGTCTGAATCATTACCTAATATTCCCCAATTGGAGACAAATCCATCCTCGTCAGGAGAATCAAGCGTCCAAAATCCGAACCCATGTAAACGGTAATTTGGCTCCACTACGATAACATTTTGTTCCGCCGCCAAGCGATCACCTTAAATTATCAAAATAAGCTTCAGAAGTACTAATAAACATTGCGCAAAAGAAAAAACATCACAGAAGTTTGATTATCAGGCGTTTTTGCCGTTTCAAATCAGATCTTGGCGAACAGGACAAATACTCATAAATTTGACTTTTAATAGGATGCGCTAAAAGTCCTCAAACAAACTTATCAGCAAAAGTATTTGCTCAATCATACCTCTGATTCGGTCAATATCGTTGGTTCCAGAATAAAAGCTCCGCCGTGTAGGTAGACCATTACTGGTAAGTTCTTTCCTTCCGAAGCGCCTGCAGAAACATTAAGAAAAATTATACAACTGAAGTTCCGGACTCACCAGGAGGCAAGTAGATGTTAATATTGAGGCAGTCTTCGCTGTCTGTCCGATCGTAAGTGAAAGGAAAGCAGGAGTTACCATCAGAAGTAGCATCGATGACATCTTCAGTCTCATAAGTAAAGATTTCGGGTTTCGAAAATCGCTTCGCTTTAGCAAAAGTCACACCTAGAAGATTCACTGCACATGCTTAGAAAGAGATCGAAAATTTTTCCTAAATGATAAAATGTAAAATTTTTCTAATATAAATTTTGAGCTCTTGTCTGGTGAACGACGTGCTCTGAAAGTAGCGAGGTCATTGTGGAACACAAGTGTTTCTAATTGAGGACATTCAATCGGAGTAGTTGTTGTTGTGGTAGTTGTTGTAGTTGTTGTTGTAGATGGTGTTGTTTTCTCGTCAGTTTCACCGCCCCAGATTCCGAAACCGGCGCCGATTCCGACACCCAAGCCGACTAAAAGCGCGAGAGAAACACCAACGAGCAGCTTTGTCCTGCCTTTAAAAAGCTCTCAAAGTAAAACTCTCTTGTAGTAGAGCAAAGTTAAAATGGATTCTTTGGGTATTTTCTCTCGGAGCGTGCCTGACATTCTTCGTTGAGAAGAATGTTTGAATCAAAATCAGATATTGTTTACTGCTTGATCAGCACGTTGGCATCTGTAATTGATTGCACGATATATTTACAAAAGGATTTGCGCCACATGCAATGCTAACATGCTTGACGTTTGCTAGTTCTATGAAGTTAGATGAAGTGCTTCAAACTTGGCATTTAGTCTAGTACACACCCACATCCGCGCAAATTTCCATTTCAAGCAATTATTTTGATTTCCGATGGTCCCATTCCAAAGTTTTGAAAGTGCGTAACTATCATCTAAGTTTGAAGTGTTGTGGTACACTTTCTTTTCTCAGCTTTTTTCGATAAGGTTGCATCGTGTGAACGCTATCTCACGCAACGCAACGCGCACGTGTACTGCGCCCTGTTCGAAATCACTCTTCAGAAAACGAGCTCTTCCTTTTTGCATCAGTAAACAAACCTATCAACTTCAAAATTTATCGCGCAACTTCCAAAACGTCGGCTATCGGCGCCAAGATATTCACAAAATTAAAACACATAAAGAAGATAAGCTGGACCAACATACACCAAAGCTAATGATAAGTCACGTAAGCCGCTTCCTTGAGCTTCAGAAGAAAAAAAACGCCCTGATATCAGCGTTGTGTTGCAGTAGCAGGTTAACTCTTTATTCAGTATTTTACTAGTCAAAATACGAGGTCAGCAGCAGTATTTACAATTAATATATACAAACTCGTTGGTTTCATTTCTGTTGATCAAATACACTTTTGAAGAATCTCGATTCCACTCTGGTCAGCTTTCTTATCTTCGTCTGATACATTCAGCAAATTTCGACGAATCTATAAAGAAAAATAGCTTAGGATATTACGAAAGGCGATTAATTGAACTTCTTTCTAAAGCAGTCGAGGATGCGAGATCATCCTCTCCTATCAGATTTAATCCTGGCTTACCGAGGTAAGCAGCAGATTCCTATTAGACAGCTCATTCCAGCTGAAATCGAAAATTGTCTTCCAAACTGTGTAAAAGCCAATGTGGTTAGCTTGAGCAGTGAATTGACTCCCTTGTCCATGTAGCAAAGCGCATGTTCGCGGTTCCGACAATGCACTGCAGTAGCAATCATCTTTATTAGAATTTAAAACCTATTGAAGTTCACGAATAAACAAATTGAAAGTTGTGATTCGATTGTTTCAAACATTTCCTTTGGTACATGTGTTGAGACCCCAAGATCGCAGGTTCCACTCACAGGGCAGAATCGCCATCTTCTCCTTGTTCTCGCTGAACAACGCGTTCATCGCGCATTGATCAGCAAGATAGTGCACTCTTGGGAGCAGATGAAAGCTGATCGATTCCAAAAGTGCTTTTTCGAAAGAATTCTAGCGTCAATGTCAACAACATGTTCGTATACATTAATCCTTACGTTTGAGTCTTCTGAAACTGGAGTGCGATAGTCGGACTTGAGAAGTCTACCAAAGGTTTTTTTATATAATCGGGGAAAAAAACGATCATCTGTTACTTTCAACCCTTTCTTGGCACATTGTAGAGAAGAAGGCCTCCATTGAGCCCGTACTTATTATGAGCGTATGGTCTGTGCGAATAATAGCCTTTTTCGTTCCAAGGATGCTCTTCTGCCATTCCAACAGCTGCTTCCGATCCGAAATCGTCGAAGATGTCGAATAGCTCTTCAGCTGTTAATTGATAAGAACTGAACACGGTCGACGAAATACTGCAGTTAGTGTGTGTTCAGGATCGGGACAGTTCTAATCAGTTCCTGGGCGTAGGAATATCGTGTCAGCGTCAATCAGCAGGACTTTGTCTAAATCGCTAAAAGTTTGATGAAAAGTTACCTTGAGATGCCCGCAGCCTTTGAATTTCAAAACATCTTTCAGAATGTCCATTTCTTTACGCGTTAGATCTTCCCTGATGTCAAACGAAATTTCAAATGGAGCATCCTGGGGGAAAATTTGTTGAACTTGATCAGTGACTTGTTCAACGTCGTTTGTCGCAATGCGGAAATTGACTTTACGATTCGAGAATGCCAAAACGCTCTGAAGAGATCAAATAAGAAAAGACTCCTTGTTACCGGTGGCGTTTTTCTTCTGCGGTCGCTAGCGGTAATTTGTTGCCTCGCCGTTTACGTTATTTTTCTCAGAAAAGGGATAATGGACTCCCAGATTGAGTACTATCTATTTCGGCGAAGGTAGCGTCTAGATCTACGGAAGAAAGATACGGACTTCGCTTACGTTTCATTCAGAAAAAAAATGGCAAACAAAGTGAACTTTTATCGAGGGAGGTCGACTGTATATAAATACCTTTGCAGAGGCAATAAATTGTTCGAGAAGAAAATCTCGATTACTACCGCCATTGAGGCAGAGAATGTATCCAATGTTAATTTCTTTCTGCTTGGTGGGGCGAAAATGCAGTTTTCCTTCATAACCACCAGACGCCACAGAGCCCAAGTCAATTCTTTCATCCGGTTAGTTCTTTATTAATTGGGCTCAAACGAAGGAACATGATCGTTAATATAGAATCAGTTTCCGGTCCTGGAGCGGAAAATTTTTAATCAAGAAAGACATCCGGCCAGGAACAAGAATCTAACCGGTTTCCTTTTGATTTTGCCGTCAATTTGAGTAGAATAATTATGATTGTCTGGAGCTAGTGAACGCCGGAAAGACTTCTTCTGCGATGAGCCGAGCAATCCTGTTAAACTCACCATGCCAACTAAAAATGATTGAAAAAAAAGGTCGCAAAAGAAAAACGAAAGATCGGACAAGCAATGTTTTTAGAGAGAGAGTAAAAATGTTATGTATTCCGCCAGGCAGGGATTTTTCAATCAAACTAAATATTTTTCCAACGGAGCATTTGAAACTCTGTTTTCACAAGGAACCCGCAGAATCAATACGACTGCGACCAGCTATAATTTGAAATTACTTCGTACCATCGAGCCAGAATAATCTCATCAATGCGCAACGTGTGAATTCTTGATTCACAAAAATAAAAAAAATATTGTTTTTTGAAAATAATTGATTTCATTCTTTTTCGAACCAACGAGGACAGATCAGATTTATCCAAAAAAATTGGCGATAAATAAAATTTAACGAAGAAAATAAATTGAATTGAATCATGCCAAAGTTTGTCATCGAAGGTGCCATCGACTATAGCTGCCGTTTTTGTTAGACACGAAGTTGATTAGGTGGAACATGTAAAGCGGTCTCGAGAGTTCCTTCGAATGTTCCAAAAATGTCTTGTCCGGGACTCATCCTCAACACCTAAAACGAATCAAAGCGATTTGCCACGGAGGAAAGGTGACCTTTTGTCGATTTCCGCCACTCACTTTTCTTATCTCAGTTTTATTTTGGCAAGATCAACTTTTTGCTTTGATTAGTTCTAATTGACGTTTGATTATTTCACTGGAACTGATCTGTATTCAAATTTGATAACAAATACCCCAAAACAGTCTTTTATTCTATTTAAAATTATCAAATCATCATCATCTCATATTAACCGCGTCAGGGGATCAAAAAATGGGTAATTACTTCCTTTGCTTATAGATTACATTTATGCTCAACGGAAAAGCTTTCTTCTGAAGACTTAGCATGGCTTAGCACTGAACGGATTCTCCGTCTACAGAGTCCAAAACATGACAGCTGTCACGCAAACACATACTCTTGAAGACCATCACTAAAAACCCCCAAAAAAATCAACTCGCAAGTCAATTCTTGATTGTTTGCTCTAGCTAGTATAATATTTTATGAGAAGAATATTTGTTTGAAATTTATCCATTTTCGTCGTTTGAAATTACCTGTGAGTACCATTGAAGAAGCGACAAACACGAGCAGCGTCAAAAAACATAATCTCAACCCTTCGGAAGAATTCATTTTACTATCTCTAGAAGAGTTCTCCTTGTGCACTTTCTTTTTCTTGAACGGAGTTTCTCTGGAAGCATCATTATCTCTAAATTGGCTTAATAAAGATTCGAAATTGAGGGTCAATTTGTGCTCACATTGTCGGCAACATGCTCTCTGCGAAATTTCACCGGTTCAAAAAAAAAAACACTCAATTCACTTCTTCCGAAAACAGAGCAGTCGTAATTCCAACAGAGTTCAATCGACGGTTTTCTTTATTTTCTGGAGATTTTAGCGAAGAGGGCGCTCTTTTGCGAAATTTCACGAAAATGGTAGCGCGCCACCTAAGCGCGGAACATCGAAATGGCCGCTTCTTTAGGAAGATATGTGCGACATGTGGATATTTTTCCACAAGCGAAACGATAAGGCTAATTAGTGATAAGAATTTTTATTTTGGTTGTTGCGGCGCGCCGGCCGCAAACCACTTGATCTCGTTTTCACTTCTCGGAAGAAGCAGAATGGAAGGTCATCTTCTTGTTTACGGATTGCTACACGCAGATATACTGATTCTTTCGTTCTTTTCTTCCCTTGGATGAACGAGACTGTGCAAGAATTTGTTCTCAAGATTCTGAAGTCAGAACATTTATTAAATTATTTATTAGCAGAATATTTACAAAAGGCACTTTTTATGTTTTCTATTTGGGTCTTTATCCATGAACTCATCGAATGAGCTCTTTACTTTCCTCTTTCATTGAAGATATCGAATTTATAACAACAGTAAAGCATGCAGATCAACGTGATAATGATTCCAATGATGACCATCCAAATAGCCAATGCTTTAGAACTCTTTTTCTCTTCTATAACTTCCGATTCTTCTGGCTCCACTGAATCAAATGTAATGAAAAGTAAGCACTTTATGATGATTTACTTATTTGGGAGTCACTGTCCGGCGGTGTTTCCGAACTCGGAATCGGCTGGATAATATTTCTTGGCGATTGGTGGAGAATTTCTTGCAGGGAAGGAGGATGATAAACTCGTGGAGCCTCACTAGCTTTCGATGTCGGCCAAGGTGAGAATTCGTTCGAGTTCCAGGCACCTGACCAGGGGGTCTTTATTAGGTTGTTATAAAACAAGCATCTACAGAACACAAAGAAACTGCATTTGAAATTTATCAAAATTCTTATTGCTCGGTTAATTATGACTAATACATATAAAACCAGTTCCTGTGCAAAATTAGTCGACGTTGTTGCCTGTCGTTTAGTCGCTTGAGGTCGCGTTGGTGGCGCTTTCGTTGTCGATGTTGTTGACGACTTTGCTAATTCTTCACCTGCTTGCGCGTTGTAGAACTGGTTAATTGTAGGATAAGGGCTTTTATTTGGCGTCGATGTTGATTTCACCGGCCTCCAAGCTGGTTTTGTTGGTGCTGATTTTTTCGGCGGCGGCGTTTTGTTTCGAGTTGTCTTCGTCGTCGTCGTCGTCGTTGTAGTTGTGGTTGTTTGCTTTTTAGTTTTTGGACGCACTGATGCTGATGGGCTCGGGCTGATATTGATTTAGAGCATGATTAATAAAAAAAATAAATACTTGCCTAGGAGTTGTAGCAGTTGGTTTCGACTTCTCCGAATTAACTTCTACTTTTGAGTCGTTCTCAGCATTAGCAGGTCTTTTGCACTCCGTGAAAAGCCAATCGTCCATCCCAACGACTATCAAGAAAATAAGTTTTGGAATCATGAAAGACTAATTACCTGTGCCCTTGGCGGCATGGACCGAAATTGTCAGCGAACTTGAGGGTTTCCATCCATACAACTTCTGAACTTTCACCCAACGCGGAGTATTTGGCAAAAGAACGCTGTTTGGTACACATCTCAACGATTTCTTTATCTTTCGTTCATTCTTTGCCTTGCATTCACTCGCGGGCTGTTGATTCTTACATTCTTCTTCGAAAATGTGTTGTCTTTTAACTTCGTCGCACATCTCCTATCAAAATGTTACGGATATTTTTAAAACGTTGATTCATACGTGAGATTCTGGGTAAATCTTCATTAAATCGTAGCTGAGCTCGCGATTTTCATGGATCTCCTTTGGAACATTCGCCCAAAAAGATTGAATTACTAGCTCGAAGTCAGATGAGAGAAAGACGACCTCGACTTCCAGACAAATTTTACTTTATTGATGGTTTGCCAAAGTCCTTTAATTGCTGGATAATCCTACTAATAGAACAGAGCTGGATGTGTTGTCCTTGTTGTTGGCATACCATGACCTGAGTTTTCCATCAACTTTACGCATTTCTTGCTTTTGAAATTCAAAGGTGCTCCAATTTTCTTCAATTTGCGACGTATTCCAGTAAAGATATTTGTTTTTGTCATCTCCATTAACAAAAAGAATATCTTTAAGTGGGCGAGGCCTTTTCTGAGAGAGGTTCTTCGGAAGTCGCATATCATCAGTAACTGATTCGTTTTCAAAATCTGTGCTGATCTCATCTGGGCGCGAGTTTGCTTGTTTCAGAACTATAGGCGCCTCTGGCATATTATTTGTTTCAAGCTGAAAATAGGGTTTTACTCATCAACATATCTTTTAAAAGGGGGATAAATAAAAACCCTGACTGAAATCCACTCGGTTGTATCTTGAAGCCAGTGTGACTTTTTTTGTCTATTCTAAGTGACTCAGTCGAGAATTTTTTTACAAGTAATGCCTAAAAATAACTCATCAATTCCAAATAATAAATAAATGAAATCAATTCCAGTAATGTGAGTCTGTTAAAAGATACCTGAGCGTTTTCATGATCCTTTATTGTGAAAGAGTCGGCTATTGCGAGCAAGGTAAGCTGAAACAGTTTTTTCTTTTGCATTATTCGGAATTCTTATTCTCTCTGTCTGAGTAGTTTTCTGAAGAGTGCACCTCACCGAGAGGTTTGTTGAATGAAAAATGAACGGCGCTTTCGCAGGGCACTCAAATCGCCTGAATCCACCATCAAACTTTAATCGCTTCTTCATTTTTTATCACAAAGTACCCTACCACTTCCAAATCAAAGAATAATTTTATTCGCCGCATACTCTAAACCATCTTCTACGACAGCTAGGCCTCACCTGAAATCACGAATGAAATTGACCTTTTTGAAAAAAAATCTGTATCATCTCTAGAATGATACTGGAATTAAGGGTTTATCAAAAGCTAAGGAAATGTCTGTCACTCATCCTAAATCATGCCCTACCCCGTGCCGGAAAACACTGTCCAGTGGCTCTACTTCTATATTGTCGTGCCCGGCCTCGTCGTAATATTCTTTATCGAGGGTAAGTCTTGTTTAATAATAATGATCAAACAATGTTTTTCAGTCATCTGGCCGCAAATCTGCAAAATACTCCTGTGGTGCTTGATTCGATACATGGAGTATCAAGGAGACCAGGAACGAGCGCGCCGGGCACGACAACGCGAAGAAGAGCAACGAAAAATGAATGAGGACGACGCGCAAGAGCAGGCTGATAATTCGGGCGACGGACGAAACATTCTCAATCGAGTATTGTAGAAATTTACACAGAATAGCTCTAACGTTTACTTAGATGCCACTTGCAAGCGGTGAACGAAAGCAAATCGTGTTCAAGTAACCCCATCGATGGCCAACTTCTCACAGATACATCCATTCTATACTCATCTCTACAGTCAATAGTCCAACTCTCTCTCTTTCTCTGTGCACATCTGTATTCCAACACCAGTCTTATATTCTCCTGTATTCAACTCATTCTCGTCTGTATTCTTTCTCTAAAATAAAAACTGAATTCGCCAAATCTATTCTAAAGATATCGATTAACAAAATACGAGACGCATATATATTTTTATCCAAATCCAGACTCGCGCTGACAACTTCACGCTTTCACTTCTTTGGTAGAAAAAGATGTTCATAGAGAAGCATTTTGCGATTCACAACGAGTCAGTTGTGATTTCTCTTCACGAATTGACCAGCTTCGTCAGAATAAGGGATGAGAAGTTGGTCGTAATGACACGGTAGGAATCAGGAGTACAAGTAGTGTTCACAGTTTCGTTTCGTGAGCAGGGACCAATTCTGTTCGATTATAAAAGATTCACAGCGACAAAACCGCCCGTGTTCAGTCTTTTTGTACAGTGTCGACGGAACTCAGGTATATTGCAATTTGCCTTATTTCATTAACAGTTGATGCAGTCTGTTGACCAAGGTGATGGGGAAGTTTCTTTCATTGAGCAAATTGCTTTCGGCTTAGAGTATCATCCATATTTCAACCATATGAGAAGGATTAACACACAGTTTTGGATATCAAAAAGCGTTGGCTTTACTAATCCTTTTGAAGATATATCTTCTTCTTACTATCTTGTTGGTGATAGTTTTTTGGTGGTCTTTTCGTCAACTCCAAGAGGCGGTTTGGTGCCCAACTCCACCACATAATACTTGGAGGTAATGAATATCAACAACAATTTGATTATTCGTTCTAGCGATGACAAGTGCTACCGAAACCAGCACAAGATCACGCGATTGTCAAAGAAAGAAAAGCGAAAGACCACTATCGGCGGCCATGATCAAAGAGTAAGAATAAAATATAAAAAAAGATAATTCTTTCTAATTTCAGTTTTCGTTGTTGCAACGTTACTACTCAAACGAGAGAAGCTTTCGAGCATTCATGAAAGTGGTGCACTAGTTTAACCTCATAAAGGCGATCTTTATGTAAACGCGTCCTGGCACCTCGCTGAAAGATCTGACTATCTTTCGTTAAGATGATACTCTTTGAATCGTGAAAATAACTTATATATTTTACAAATAAAAAACTTATAACTTGGGAATTTACTTCCCTTTACAATAGGATATTCAAGTGTTTCCTGTTATTTTGAGCAATTTCCTCACAAAACATTGAATTAATTCCGCAAATTTGATTGATGTCCTCAATAAAATATTGACAGTCGGATTTTGAAGGAATAGCTGGCTTCATTTATTTACAGGGATAAACATTCAATGAGATTAACCATTGATAAGAATATGTTTCAGTGCAGCAGCTGAGTATTGATAGCAAGCGTTGTAATCTAAATTTAATTTTACTTTAGATGTGTCGCCAAATAAACCTTACCAATAGCGACTTCGTTCATGACGTAATCGCTTCGTTTATCGTAATATCGGTCATTTTGATCAGGCCCACCTACAAGAGCTCCATAAAGAACCCAATGGTTAGGCTTAGATGAATGCAGCATATTTCCACAATCACTGCTGCCGCCAGGGCAACTAGCAGCTCTGTGATGTGGTCTTACTGGCGGGTTGTGTCCGAATCCAACGACATAAGAGCGCCCTTGATCGCCAAGGGAGTATCCCAACTGTTCGATGCCTTTGAGTGCGAATTCACCGGCTCGTGCAAGCTTAGGTTCAATCTGAGAAGCTCCTAGAAGAAATGCTCCCCAGTTATTGGCGATTCGAAGAGAGCCCCATTTGTGGAACCAAAGAAGCCCTGCTCGCGATGTGGCTTGCCGAGATATGAGATGGACTGCGTGACGGTTAACGTCGTTCCTAATATTGTTCAATTAATCTTTATAAAATGCATCTATAACGAACCTGTACTTGTCTTCGCCCGTTATTTGTGCCATCAGAAGTTGGACACCAGCCTGCTTTTTGTCCCAGTCAAACGACTCTTCAATTTTGCCACAATTGAAAGTGTCATAATAATGTCTTGCCAGTCGACCGTAAGCAACATCGCCAGTTGCTTTATAAACCCATGCTGTTGAAGACAGTTAGACTCTTTTATCATTTAATGACGCTAACCTGTTGCCCAACAAAGTTCATCTTCATAGCCAGACCACGATTTGTAGAATTCAGTCACCTCAGGAACGCTTTTGTGATAGTTTTGACGATTTCTATCAGAGAACTCCAGTAGTTGTTTTGAAGAGGTAAGGCAACGCTCAGCAAATTCTGGATCACGTGTTTTAAAAAGCAAGTACCCAGCTGCTAGTGCTGCTGAAGTCTCTGCGGCCGGTTCTGTACCGGGTTTTTGCTGGTTTACCACATAAGTAGGGCGACGGAGTTTTAGAGTCTCAGGGGGACCCCAGCGGCCATGATCAGCTTTGAAAATGCACGTAAGCGTGAATTCTTATTATATTGGATATACCTTTTGGATCGCCAACCATGACGACCAACTCGTTTGGACTAAGGTGTGCAGCCAAAAGCCACTCAAGCTTCCAGCGTACTTGATCAAGAGCATTTTCCAATTCGTTGGCGGCTAAGAATGTTAGACCCTATGATTACTTATTCTCTCTCACCTTCATATGCATCTTCATAGTCGAGGATGGACCAAACGAGCATTGTGGTTGTAAAAGCAGCAGGAAAAGTATACTTTACGTGGTCGCCCGCATCGAACCATCCTCCACTGAGATCAACACCAATATCACATCCATCAGTTAGTACAGAATCTCCCCTCCATGGAACTCTGTTATTTTCAGGCAATTTACCAGCGCGCTGGGCTTCGTAGAAAAGAATCGACTTGTGCAAGACTTCATTGAGATCGTATTGGAAAACATCGAGCTCCTCGACAGGGGATGGTGTAAAATTGGCTGAGATTTGAGTCGGATTAACTGGAGCATGTCCTGCCGGCTTAGAGCATCTTCCACCCGATATGACCCTACGATTCGTGGACGGGCGATTAAAACTTCCGATCGGGGCACCGATAGGTGGTCTAAAATTCGAAACTGGTTTCGGACGAGCATTTGCTGGCTTAGGTGCCGGCACCATTCCTAAAGCGGAAATTATGTCTAATGGTTTTTCTTCTGTTGATAAATCATAATCAAGCATGATTTCGTCTTCATCGTACTCTTCACTTTCTTCTGCGCTTTCCTTTTCGTTTTCGTAAATTCCATAATCTAAAAGCATGATCGTATCTTCCACTACTTCTGGCGCATCGAAGTTTTTGCAAAGAGAAAGTTCCATTGTTGGTGCGCTGCTAGCTACTGTAGCTATAAAGTTGAATTTCCATGTGCTTCCAGCATTTTGTTTGACGACATTGAAATCAGTTGGAGTAAACAACCAAAGATCACCATCCGAGGAAATACGTTTTGGTGAGGCCTGCCACACTTGAATATCCGATGCGACGCCATTGAATTTCATCAATATTTTCGCATCTGAAGGAACAAATTCCGGAAGTGGAACGTAAGCAAATGCATTGAAAGAAGTGCTGCTATCATCGCCTCCATCAACCCAGCTCGTGTGGACCCATCCGCCGGCAGTTTCTGACACTTGAGCAATAGGCGCGCAGCCTCTTTCGTCGTAATCACCAATCAATTTTGGTGCTTCTGTTGGAGCAATAGTAGGACGTTCTTTTAATTGACTAAGCAATCCAGCAAATCCACTTGACGAGTCGTCCTCGTTGTCAGCTTTAGGAACACCAGAAACAAGAACGGGCTTTGAAGGAGTTTTTGCTGCCGATTGCTTTGGAACATCTGTCTTTTCTTGGACAACTGGAACTTTCTTTGGGGCGGCTAACACAAGGATGCAAAACAAATCATTAAATCCGTTACAAGAGGCTGCTTTAATTAATACCGAGGAAAGAACTTGTGTTGCTAAAACTAAAAGAATCCGTTTCCACCAATTTGAAACCATCAATATCTATTTGTTGTTAAATTTTCAATGAAGCCTTTCTAAATTGATAACGTGCGAAAATGTGCTTTGCATCTTTTTCTTGAGGATTTTTTGGACGTACGGGCTTCGAAACCTCAGGTTTAGGTGCTTTCACCGCCACTGGAGGATTCTTCTCAATTCTCGAAGCAGGTGCTTTTACGGCAATGTCTTTAATTGTCTCAGGTCCATCTTGAGCGGAAAAATCTGCATGTTCAGCATCGCTGATCCGATCTTCTAAGAGTCTCACTTTGAGCTCTGAGCTTTCGAGCTTTGACTTGAGCGCTTGAATCTCCTTAGCTGCCGCGATGAATTTCGCATCGGATTCCTCCAGCTTGGAACTGAGGCTCTCAATCTTTCCTACGGCCACATTCAGGGCTTCTTCTGACTCGTCGGAATTTTTGGTGAGTTTATCAACTTGTGACATTGTGTGTCTATATTTCAATTAGTAATTAGCTCTCATTAATATGCTGCAGCTACGTAAATAAACTTACCTGATAACATCATTTTGCTTAATTATGGCGGCCTCGATCTCGTCCATGCGACCGACGAATCTCTGGTCCTGAGATTTGAGGACTTTGTTGACCTGCCATTGGTTTCTCTTGAAAAGCTCGAGACTTTTGTAAAGTGGGTTTTGAGCCGATATCGATAATATTAAAAACACTCCAACAATAACTCTCATTTTGAGATGTTATTAGAAGAGAATGGTGATTAGTTTTGTCCTTACGATTCTGAGCATCTTTGCTATTTCGCGAGTCAGCATTGTGCGGTGGTGGCGCTCACGGGGAAACACGCGCTTTCACGAACCTCTTTGGGTCCCCACGTCGCTCAGAAGTACTCAGTAATCACCCAGTCTACCTATAATTATCAACAAATTCGCGGAGACTTAAGGGAACCTCTTGCGTAATGACATAATCTAATCAACGCTGCGAGTTCTTGCGCTCTTTTCTATGACTCCTTGATGTCTGTTATGTTTTAAATTTTGTGCATAATTTTTTTTTTCGATATTATGCGAGAGTTTCCTTCAAACCATTAAGATCAGAAACTGTGATTCAGAACTAGAATGGTATCAAATAAGAGACCGTGTTGTCGCCTTGCAATCTAAAAATTTAGTGGAGTTTTTGTTTATAAATATTTTCATCACCACGTTTCAAAAATGGTTTCTGAAAGAGCCTTGTACAAAAAGATAGATTCACTTGTTCTGAACGTAAAATTTCGTTTTGTTTTTCAATCAATGAGTGGAGACAGCATCCGTGGATATTTGAATCTTATTTGAAGATGACAAGTTAGTAGCGCTGAAAAAAGTGAAAGTGGAAACAAACGTTGAATTCTCCTGAAATGGACCAAGCAGAAACTTCGAAATTGAGAGAATGCTTCGATTATTCCAGTGGAAAATTCAAGAAAGTGAGAGGAAAAGAAGCTCTCGAGTTTTGGATTTAAAAAAGTTAATTTCAAATTGATTAATTAATTAAATTCATTAAATCCGTCGAAGATCTACCGAACAAGTGGAATTTACATCACAAAACAAGAGCTACGCGAAAATCTTAAAAGTCTGGGAAAAAGCATGAAGGAGAAAGTCGACTTTCCTACATTTATCGAAATCGCGGAGAAGTTCCGTTCAAAGACCGACCCAAAAGAAGAAGTGCTCCTCGCATTCGAAAAAGCCGACAAAACGAAGTCAGGGATGATGCCCGTAAGAGCTCTTCGCTCGCTCATGCTCAACACAGGCGAAAAGGTAGTTTCTGTTTGAAGATAGTCTTGTGACACCTCTTTAGATGGCGGAAGGTGAGTTCAACGAGATGATGCGCGCACTTTGTATCGAATCAAGAGGAAATATTAATTACAACACCATTGTCAAGTAAAGTTTTTGCGACTGATAGGAAACTATAACTCTTATCGCAGCGAATTATTTGAAGAGTTTCCTGCTGTCCCATCAATTGCAATGGAAGTCTCAACTGGACAAACGAAACCGTCGGAGAAGTCAAAAGTAACTCAAAAATCAGCTCAGCAAGAGCTCTACTCGCGTAACTTTCTCTCGCAGCCATCTTCATCTTCTGGCTCATTTCTGGAATCATTTTAAAAAATAAAAGAAAAAAATAAAGTTTCAACTATCGTCGCGCGCGTTCCTACCTTCGTTTCCTTAGCAACACTAAAGCAGCCAAATCTGAGCTCGACCGAAAATATCTATGGCTTCGGGCTCTTAGCTCTGTAATTTATTTTTTGATGCCTTTGTCATTTTTCTAGAACAGATAAAGAGAGAGGACAGTTTTTGTTAAAAGGCAGCTTTTGCTACTTGGACAAAGAGAATGCCGCCAAAGGCGAAAGCAGCTCCGGCAGGGAAATCAGCAGCCAAGTCTTCCTGGGAAAATGAGCTTGTGCAGGTATTTTCATCATTTTTCGTTGTAAATTAATTTGAAATTCTTTCGAATAAAATTATAAGAATAATCAAAAAAACAAATAATTAGGAGTCGTATCAAGAGCCGGGATTCAGCTCCGAAGTTCACCTGATCCTTGGTGAAGATCAAGAAACATCATTGCAAGTTCAAGAGCGCCTCAAAGAGACCATCACTAATCGTCAACGGTTTTCGATGGTCACTGCTGAGCAAGCGAATGAACTCGTCTTGGACAAGAAAAACCGCGGCCAAGGAATGTATTCGGAAATACTCGAGCAGTGCAAGGGCGTCGATGGAGCAGGTTGAGTGATATTGTTGAAAAGAGATTTATATCAGGTTAAGATATCACGGATGTGTCTCAGCTCCAGCCGGGAGTTTTAGCGAAACTAGTGAAAACACTTCTTCTACGCGACAAAGAAGCAGACATGGTTCGCCGAAATCTTCGACCTGGAACAGCTGACGAAGGCTCTAAGGGCGGTAAAAGAAAAGGCAGTGCGAAGAAAGGCAGCGCTAGAAAAAAATCGGCAAAATCGCCTAAACGAACACCGAGCGCGAAGGTGGTCTTAGATAGACTAAATCATTCAATCATTCCATTTCTAACCAAGCTAGAAATGTGAACCGTGATTATGGCATTATTAATTAACATTAGCACTGTATGTTGTTTATTTAAAAAAAGGTCTCTCAATAGAGACCATCAATCAAAAATAATAGAATGCAGATAAATTACCTGTTTTGATTGACTAACTAACTTTAACCGAAATTAACATTTTCGTTCTTTACCCAGAAGAAGGCTGGAAAGGGCAAGGGCGCGGAAACCCCAGAAGTTGAGGAAAAGAAAAAGTGGTCTAACCTCAAGAAACGCGGCGAGGTAGAAGAGGAAGAAATTGTTGTTCCAAAGTACATTGACGACGAGCCAGAAAATGGACCAGATCATTATGTTCTGCTTATTGGCTTCGAAGACCCTTGCCTACCAGCTCTGCTAGCAGAAGCTGGCATTGAACTTACTTCGATCATACAAGTGAGATCCGAGAAGGGAGCTTCAAAGCCGCATCTTTTTTGGGATGATCTAACAACCATCTTTCGCCGAGCAGAAGAAAAGGAAAGGTTTTTTATACAATCAAAGCTAAAAATACCGTATAAAAACGAAACCACGAAAAGGGTAAACTTCTTGACTGCACACGATGGCAGTTGACTCTCTATGATGCGGACGTGGAGGCTGCCAACTTGTACGACGAGATTGCTTCACTCGCTTACGACCTCAAGGAGAAATACGCCGCGTACGCAGCGTTCAACGAAAAACTAGAGGTGGTCGAAATACCGACAGCTAGTGGAGATGAGCAAAACCGACTTATGGGCCGGTACATGTCGAAGACAAAAGATGTGCCTTTCCTTGGGCAGTCAATTAACGTACTTGTCCATGCCATGCGCGAGTCTGTTTGTAACTCGGTAGAAAGCATCGAAGCGGTCCCAACAAAAGTCGGAAATACGGCGCTGACTAATGCTATCAACAGTGCTCTTGCGTGCTTTGACCTAAATGAGGCAGAACTGGACGAATTAAAGGTCGTGGATGAGAACTTAACTTCAGAATCAATTCACTTAAATATATCATCCGTGAAAAGGACGTTTACACACCTGCAAAGCCCGAAAAGAAGCCCGCCGCTCCGATCATGAATCAGTCCGACGAGATTGGTATGCGACTTGCCACGCTTGAAACACCAAAACGCCTTGCTCAAATTGAAAAAGAGATGCTTCTCTTGTACCCATTAAATCTTGTCTATGGCCTTGACAATACCAAAGAGCGTGATGAAGCACAGGGATTCTTGACAGACATCGATCATCACCTCTGGTCAGCTGGAAAGTACTCAGGATGAGGATTAAAAGAAAAGACGGATCTGTTAACAAGATTTTGATGAATGCTTCGAACGAAGTATGCCTTTCCCATTCTCTTGTTCATCCTTTAAAAGACTCTCAAATTCGACAAATTTTACTGCATATGTCTGCTAAACAAGTTCACCGCGTTACTGCAGACGCGACTGGTGAGCTATCAGCTCCAGCAAGCGGAAGCATTATTCCTTGGGACAAGCGCGATCACATGGAACGTTTGAAAGAAACTACAATCAAAACCGAAACGGACGATTCTACTTGTTACGAGCGATTCGAGAGATACGTTGCCACTCAGCGATTATTGGAAGCTCAAGAAGATGCAACTGCATGTCGAGTTCATCATCTAAATAGAGACGACGGGCGGATGATTGTTTTCCATAATCCAGTCGGTCAAGGTGCTAACAAGAATCAGAACTTTGAAAGTTGGTGCGAAAAGGTCGTGTCGAAGTGTAGATTCAGGCACTGGATAGAACACATTGAACCAGAAGTCGACGAGTGGCTTGCTGAGTGGGAAAGTCAGAAGATCAAGGCGAAACAGGAGCAAGAAAGACTCATCCAAGCTCAGCTTGAAGCAGAGAGAGTGTTATCTGCCTCCGCCTTACAGGAAAGCGAAATGAACACTTTAGGTATTTTGCTGTATCTTTTTAAATCTTTAACGTCTTAATAGCTGCATATGTTATTCCTGGATCTCTCAAGGCTCAAGCACGTGACAAGGCTTTAGAAGCGTCTGCTCCAGCACTTGAAAAGAAGAAATCTTCGCGAAAATCATTGAAAAAAGATTCTCGTCCGGAATCAAAGAAGAAATCTTCGCGATCATCTTCAAAAGCATCAGTCGGCCGAAACACGCCAAAGCCTGAAATCAAAAAAGATGACGATCCATTTCCTCAGTACAAAAGTTACAATCTCAAAGAGCGCATTTTCGCAGCGAATGGACAACAACGAAGGATTTTCACAAGTGATGGTGGTTATGTTTCCATAAAGCAGTCTGGTTTCAGTGATGTTGCGAACGACTTAATGATAAAAATCCGGCAGAAACGCAACACAGTGACTTACTATCAGCAAAGACCAAGGGACATTCGCAATTGGAATCCCGAGGAACAAAAACGCCCATCATCTGCGTAAGAAAATTTCCCTAATTATTATGCCAGAACGATTAATCTTTAGGTCTTCAAACAGCACTCAAATTTCCAGCACTTCCTCGTCTCTCGCTGAGCTCATTCCACCAGCTACATTTTCATCTATTTCAGCCGTCCTAAACGATGGTATTTCTCTTGCATATTCAGTTTGTGGAGATGGTGGTCGACCAAAGCACATTGATGTCGAGGATAAGATTGAAGATCGTCGTTTCAGGTATTTTTTCTAATTAGAACTCTATTAACTAGATTTAGATACAAATTGATCGACGAAGAAGCCGCAGCGAGAGAGGCCTCAAAATCTCCAAAAGGAAAGAAAGCAAGTGCAAAGCCGAAGAATGAAAAAAGTGAGGACGTCATTGATGCTACACCTGAGCCGGTTGCAGAGCCTGAAAAAGAAGAAAAACTTCAGCAATTGTATATGTCAACTCCAGATGGAACGCACTTACGTTTCGGAATACATGATGGCAAGATTTTTGTCCGCCTGCTGAGAGATCATGATAAGGTCATCAGTTTGACCGAGTAACACCGACAAATAACCAAAAATTTAGGAGTTCGAAAGGTTGGTGATGTTTGAGGGCATCCACAGAAAGCTGAAATCAGGGGAGCAAGAGCACCTTCACAAGGATGGCAGTGTGACTTACTTCGATGAGAAGTCGAAGGAGAAGTTTATAAAACGCGATGGCACTTCAGAGGGATGCAAAAAGATTCTCGCATACACATCCAGTGATCCCACTACTAATGATCGAATGTTCGTTCGATCAGATGGACTAACCATCGTCAAGCGTCAATTTGACGAGATTATCCAGTACCCAGATGGAACGAGAGTAACCAAGACTGACTCCGACGTTCAAGTTGAAAAGCCAGGTTGGCCATGCATACTTTTTGAAGAAAATGCTGAGAAGTGCATGATCGTGATGGCGAACGGAACCTATGTCCAAATTACTGCTGCGGGCCGTTATCAGATGTCGCACTCATCTGGCGCGTATTTTACTCTTGAAGAAGATGGAACTTTCGTTTTCTCCGCAGAGCAAAGCGGATACGCAACGCATATCATCAGACAAATGGATCCAACTGCGCTTGAAATCATCGAACCTGATGGTTTGAAAACTATTCAGGTAATCTACACACAATGCCATTTAATCACTCGCTATAGGTTTCAAATATTGGAAAAACAGCCATCATTCACAACGAAGACAACGAAGAATCCGAAGAGCGTCCGATAACTGAAGATAATTACAGGTAATGAGCTGTAGATCGGTTAGTTTTAGAGTATTTTCAGCCCTCGAGATCGTATATTCTACGTGAGATCGAAGGATCAAGTTTATGAGTTCTTGGATCACGATTGCGCGAAGCACGATATTGAAAGTATTCAAGAGGATCCTATGAGCGCAGCTTTGCACCAGCAAGTTCCAGAAGCACCAAATGAGAAAGCGGTCACTTTGTTAACTCCTCAAATGAGAGCGCCAAGTTGGTCTATTCACAGTTATCAAGAAGAAACACTCGTACCTCCGTATTTGCGTCAGCACAATTTGAGGAAATGTGGCAGCGGCGATACTCGAAACGGTAACTAATATTCCACGCGAACACCAAGTCCATTACACGAATATTCCATGGTGACTTTTAAAAAAAGTTTTAATGAGAGTGAGACCTTTAGCGAGATACTCCTCATGAGTTTTTAGGTCATCTTACTGCAGATGACGATCAGAACGCCCCTCAGCCACCAATGCTGAAAATAAGGTCGATTGTTGTAAATGAAACAGTCACGGCGGAGATGAAAAAATTTGTTGCTGAGAAAATGGATCAAGTTTACGACGAAATACAAGCTAGAAAACTCGAAGAGCTACCGAAAGTTGCCTCCGATATTGCTATTGTCATTGAACGTGAGCGTTCAGATCTACTGGAGAGATTCTTAAAGCTTTCTTGCGAAACTGATACAGCAACTTTGAGGTTCGATTATAATTTATAAAGAAATTAGCCTCTTACAAGTATGATTTAAGGGCACATTGGATCGCACAAACGCGAACACCAAGTCCACAACCTCAAGCTCCACTTCTGAAAAAGATGACCGACGAAGACTGGAAACGCGTTCAAGATGAGAGGGAAGAATATCGCCGAAATCTGAAAGCACTCAAAGAAAAGAGAATACCGAATTACTGGGAATCAGAGGATGGCAAGAGATTTTTAGAAGTTTTGAGCAAAACAGGCGGCTGTGCTAAGGCAGCTGCCAAGCTTCCTCCTCCGGAAAAGCAAGCCAAACCATCAGGAATGTTTTCGTATTTCAAATTTCACCACTTCTAGGATAAAAAATGGAAAACCTTGTATAGATACCCCTCCAGCGACTCCTGCTGAGTCGAATCGCGCCAAGTCTCGGCCCGCATCTGCAAGATCAGTATCAACACCTCTTCCTCCTCTTGAAAAACGAAAACCACCGATTATTCTTCCACGGTCGATGGGTCGTGAGGAGCTCATCCAACAGCAAGTAGAGATGGAGAAAATCGTTGGCTACAAGCATCCTTTTGGAATGTGGGGATATCGGTGCGACTTCAATCCCGGAAGTCTTGATTTGGGTGATTTGATCGAGGGCAAAACATATAGACGCGTGGTTCAATTGCAAAACTCAGGATTTTCAAAGCTTAGCTTTAAAATACTGTCTCCCTCGTTAACTGGGCTGACGGCGAAGTACAAAATCGGGCCGCTAGCACCAGGATTGTCCGCCAAAATTGAGGTTATCTTCAAAGCAAGCGGCGAGAAGGCTACTCTAAGGGAAGATGGCGTCTACGACTTTGTCAACCATTTAACTCTGGAAAAGCCGATTGGCGAAAAGGATGGTATTCCACAGATTGAAGATTATATCAAACTTCAAGTCGCTGCTCGTATCATACCGCTCTCTGAAGTCGAAAGGAGGAACAAATTGGGCCTTGAAACCGAAAAGCTTGCTAGAAATGTAACCGTCGTGCCTGAGCCAAAAAAGTTCGACTACAGAAATTACCAGTAATTATGACCCTGTAAAGAACCTATATTTTATATGAATAAATTTTAACTTTGTACAAGTGCGTCTATTGCCCGGGGTAAGTTACCCCGATGCAAGTAAATGCAGGTCTTAATTTGTAAAACCGACAAGAAAGTACCGATCCAGGTAGTGTTAATAATAGCTGGATGCGGGAACCCTTTTTGATTCAAAGATTTTGTATTGAATAGGAACAGTAACAATGGCCAGCAACGGCTAATAAATAATTTTTGTTTCAACATGTGGATAACTTGAGTGAAGAGATAGATTAGAATGCTTTTTGAAAGAACTAATAAAGAAAAGAGGGTATTTCAACTATTTACGAATGACATATCCGTGGAGTACGAAAAATAGGGATGGAATAGATTTTATAAGAATAATTTCTTAGTAGAACTTTTTACCAGATTTCTCCATGTCGTAAAGGATTTGGGATGGAGTGAATTCAGGTCCGATCTTATCGGCAAGCCTTTCCATTCGGTTGATGAGGTTCTTAGCGCCAACAGTATCCATGTACATGAATGGGCCTCCCTTGTTTGGTGGGTATCCAGTTCCAAAGATGGCACCAATATCGCCCTAGACAATGATTTATTTTGAAAAAGAATGAGCTAAAAGACGTACCTCTTGTGGGGACATGATGACTTCTTCCTGCAGGCAAAGAGCAGCTTCGTTGGTGTATCGGAGGAGAATTCGATCAACAAGGTCGTCATCAGTGTTCAACCCGTGAGCGTTGCTCATGCTCATTTCTTGGGCGATCTTAGTAAACTGAGGAGTGACAGGTCGGGGTCCCTTCTTGTTGGAATAGTCGAAGATTCCCTTTTTGGTTTTTCGTCCCATGTTTCCTTCGTTGATCAGCTTTTGGAGAAGCTAGAAATTTTCATTAAGGAACTGTAATGCGCTAGTGAACCCTTACGTCTGGGTTACCGCCGTCCATTCTAGAGCCGTAGAGAGGGCTGCAGCCAATATTGACAGCGGCGTGGTGAGCGATATCGACACCAACTTCATCGATAAGAGTGGCGGTACCAACAGCAAAGCCAGCTTTAGTTGAGAGCTCGTTGATCTTGGCTGGGTCGACGCCCTCCTGGAAGAGACGGAGGACCTCTTTCAAAGCGGGAGCGAGGCATCGATTGCAATAGAAGCCGGGGACGTCCTTGACGACAATGATAGTCTTCTTTTGCTTGAGGCCAACTTCGCAAGCAGCTCGGAGAGTCTCTTCGGATGTCTCAGCAGTTGGAATAATTTCCAAAAGCTCCATCTGTGGAACAGGCGAGAAGTAATGCATACCTTGAAAGTACTTGTAATGAGGGGCTCAAATAATATTTGACATTGTTTTAACATGATTAAATTGTTTCAACAAATTGATTTCACCTACCGATAACGTTCTCTGGGTGAGGATGAGCCTGAGCAATGTCTTTAACAAGAAGGCCAGAAGTATTGGTAGCAAAGATGTGATCCTTAGGGGCAACTTCAATGATTTCGCGGATGATTCGGTGCTTCAGATCGAGGACTTCTGGGACAGCTTCGATGATAAGGCCCGAGTTAGCCATGTCGCCGTAGCTCAAAGTTGGCTTCAAGTTCTCATAGATGATTTCGGATTCCCACTAAAATTATTTTGAAAAAAAATCTGAAAATGACGAAATTCTGATGATGTAATTCAAAAAAACTGATGGTGTACCTTTGACATTCGCTTCTTCTTAACCTTCTTGTTAAGAGCACCGTGAATTCCCTTAGCTCCTGCATCGAGATAATCAACAGAAGCGTCTTTCAAGACGACCTTGTATCCTTTATCAATTGATACTTGAGCAATGCCAGCACCCATAAGACCAGCGCCAAGCACAGCGATTTCCTCAACAGACTTTTCTGGTTTTCCCCATCGGTTCTTAGTGCAATGATTCTTAGCATTGAAGATGTTGATCATAGATTTAGTAACTGGGTCGACGGAGAGCTCTCCGAATTTCTTTGCCTCGGCGGCATAAGCGGCGTCAGATCCAAAACCAACCTTTGACGATTCTTTCAGAAGCTCTGCAATTGTGAGAGGAGCTGGGTAAACACCCTTGGTTTTCTTCATGACATTATCAACCAAGTTTTTCTGGAAGAACCAGTCACGGGTGACGCCATTTGAGATCAAAGTCTTGGCGATTTTGTTGGGTCCTTTGAGTTTTTTCTGCTTTCGCTTGATGGTTCCAGCGGCGAGTTGCTTGGCATAGTCGACCGCCACTTTCTCCAAATAGTCAACAGTGGAGACTTTTCCGGGTCCAAGGGGTTCTACAGTCTGATCGACGAGACCCATCGATTTCGCCTTCTTGGCGACCTTGGCAGCGCCAGTCATAATCATAGGGAAGGCTTCTGCTGGGCCAACGAGCTGGACAAGACGCTGGGTACCGCCGGCGCCGGGGAGAACACCCAACATCACTTCAGGAAGACCGAGCTTGGTACTCTTGCTTGTCGTGGCGACTCGGTAATGGCATGCCATGGCGAGTTCGAGGCCGCCGCCAAGCGCGGGTCCGTTGATAGCAGCGACGAACTTTTTCTTCGAGTTCTCGATTCGCTTGAACATGTCCTGGCCTCCCTTGGAAAGCGCTTCTCCTTCAGCAGCCGTGGTCACCTGAATCATTTTTAAAACAATTTATCGAATCAGAGGAGTTTACGTTGTTGATCATCTGAATGTCAGCGCCAGCAACGAAGCAGCCAGGCTTGGCTGAGATGAGGACGGCAGAGGAGATGTTGGGGTTGTTTTCGATTTCGTCGAGGACACCGGCGAACTCGTCCTGCATCGCCACGGAGATAGTGTTCATCGAACTGTCGGGCTGGTCCATACGGACGACAGCGACGCCGTCGACCACTTCCATCGAGAAGTAAGGCTTGGTCTCGACCGCGGCAGCCTTTTTACTTGATGATCAAGTAGAACGAGATAGACTCAACGAGGGAGATCAACAATTTCCTGAGTTCGGATAGAGACAACGGGTCTGACATTGGCCAAGTTCTGACCCGCGGCTCGTGAGAGTCCGGCCCGTCCCGCGCGGATAAAGCCCAACATTCTTGATTAGATACAAACTTGAATACTGAACTAAAAACAATACAAAAATCTGAACTAAGGAGCAGTCTCTCAAAACACCACCAAAACATCCTTCTCGTTTTCGCGTTCTAGAAAATAGAAGTTCTCGAAATTGAGCGAAAAAAATTCAAGGTGTGACGTCACCTCGGGCCAATCAGTGTGCGAATAATGCGCCCAGAATCGATCGAAAAGATGAACTTTGAGCTGTAGAGGTGGACTTTGAGAGAAAAACCAAATTCAGACTCAAACTTCATTTCTCAGAAAAAATGTCTCTCGTCGAGTACGATGATCCGTGGTCTAAGTATTAGGGCATGCTAGTCTTTCTTCCTTCTGAAGTTAAGCCGCACTAATACTTACACAACAGGACCTCAAGTTTGATAGTTTCTCTCTCACTTTTCGTCGATTGTGAATATCTGCCAGTTAGATATAGTGAGTGCAATATTATTTTCGTCAAAATGAATAATTTCGCCTTCACTGATACCTAGTTCAAGATCTCCTTCTTTGCTTTTCTCTGTACGTAGATTTGATGCTAGAATTCTCCGAGCGCTGTCAAGGTTTAGACAATAATTGAACAAAAAACTAAGCTTTGGCAGCTCGCTCAAAGATTCAAACAAGAATATTTTTCTTCTTCATTCCTTTTTACTGACAAGCTAGCCTGCAAGAATCACCTAAAAAGAAGGTGTACAGAACTTCTTACCAAAATTAACTGAGCCCCGGAAAACTGAAGAAATTCGAGGTCGAGTCTGAGATGATCCAAAATCGACTGTACCTATCATATAAGTTTGCCGATTTCATCCATCCCTGAGGAACGCAGTTTTCAACGCCTAAAATAAAATGTTACACAGAGAGTCGCTGTAGAATCCGTAGCTTCCCATTGGGTGCACACTCAGAACGAGAATTTCTAAGTTCAATTCGGAATTATCTGTAGGTAGATTATGGATGCTTTCTTTGGCTGGTTAACCAAAAGATCCCGTTATGAATATAATAGTAAACGGGAATCCAAGGGTTGCCCAGACTGAGTTAGCATCAGACAGTCTCTTTTCAAAAGCTTCTCTTTTTTTTCGATTCTTTTCGCGTTGAAATGAGAAGTGTGAATTTCAAGTCGCATTAAACGGCTGGAAAAAGTACAGATATCGAAAACAAAATAACAGTCTGCGAGGCATGCGTCTCTTCGACTTCTCACCGTGAGAATGCCTTAGCTTGACTCTTTTCGGATCAGTTATTTCGGAATGCGATATCAGTCCGCCTCCAGTATTCATCATTCGTGTTATGTTTATGAAATATTCCTCAATCCTACTTTTTGTTAGAAATCTGTAATTCCATGCCACTTCCATCTCTTTGCGGAAAATAGCTAAAAGTGAAATTATATTTTTTCTTATTAGGAGAAACCCCATTCGGGCGAGGTTCGCTCCGCGCTTTCTAAGAAAAATCGGAAGAGTTTGAGCCGACAAATCAGAATGCTGGAATGCTAACTCACCTAACTCATGGGCCATTAGTAATGGGCAGCCCAGGACTGCCATACGGTAATAACCCAAATGTTACTGCACCAGTCCAGTATAGTTGTAGCCGCATTGACCAACTGATTCTCACCGTCGAGTTAACTTGGGACCAACCGGTTTATTCAAAATAACTTAGTCGAAATACTTTGACTTTATAAATTAAGGGAATGAAAAAGAAATCGGTGACTTGGTGAAAGAGTCGTCTTAGTGAGGATCTTTTTCCATGTTCAACTTTTAGATGAAAGTTTTTATTTGAGATATGTTTTAGAATGAGTGGCAGACGACATTCGTAAAAGCCAGCTCGGCAGAATTTGCGATGGGGATTTACAATTTCGACACTTATGAAAACCCGTGCGAGTACACGTGGGTACTTCAGACAAGGTACAGAATACAAAATTCGACTTTTCGAACTTTAAACAAAATTGTTTTTAGAAATGTCTGCGGCGCTATGCAAATCTTCGTAAACATGATTCTGGTCATCGTGTTTGCCAATGAAAAGAACTTGTCCTGCCATGAGGGTCTCATCGTCCAACCGGTCATTCAGGTAAGAATCAAGCCTTCACCCGCTGTATGACGATTTGAATGAATGCTATCGTTCCTTCCCAAACTTTGATTTTCCCAGGGTCTTCTGGGTTTTCTGACTATGGGATCAGCGACCACCGGTGCCTCTGTAACCATGGTCGTCATCAGCGGCCTCCTCAATCTCGTGGCGATTTTCGTCAACTGGCTCTTTTTCTACCTTTACACGAAGATTCAGCGAAAGTATTTAGCCATCCTCGATTTGTCGCTTTAACAGTAGTTCAGGGCGGAAAAAGAAGTGCCACTTGGGAGAAAGTACCTGTTCGGCACGATTCTGATGACTCTGATGGCTGGAACCAGCGCAATCATTGGCCTCGCCTTTCAGACCAAATGCCACAAGATTTAAACTAGCAAAATTCCTCCCCCAAGAAGCCATGTAAATACGATACTGAATAAAAATCAACAACTGTTCAACTAAGCCTGCTTCCCTAACCAAAAGAAAAACAAGAAAGAATTCTTCAGTAATCCCGATTTCCTTGCTATTCCGTCTGTTCTGTTCATAACTTTGCTCATTTGTACTACACAGAAACTCCGCAATCTATCCTCTGTACAAACCACTGCTCTCCCTCTATCTCATTTTCTTTCGTTTCCTTTCCAGTGTAGATAATAAAGAGACATACAAACAAAGCAAAACTAGAGTTTTGAACAGATTTATTCCCTCCTTTTACGGACAGTTGATTAGTTCGTATTTGAGCTTTTCGAATATTGCTTGAATAATTGAATTGCATTCGTTTTTCGCAGGATCTTCGCTTTCCCCCTTCCTGAGCTCGGCGACCTGTGTGAATAACATGAGTCAGGGTCTGAAATATTTCCAGACAACAACAAAACGAAATAACCTTTCCGATCAATTTTCAATTTGCGGCCCCTTTTTTAAAAAGCCGCTACGTGGCTTTTCTTTAGAGATCTTCCAGTCCCTGACTCAGTTTTTCTACACAGATTGCTGAGCTCAGCTCCTTTTTCACTCGCTTCTGATCAGGGACTGCTTCGAACTCACAGTCACAAGAAAAAATTTCTACTGGATTACCCTGATTGATCTGAGTTGAATTGAGGATCTCCTCAGCAGAGTCTTCCTCGTCCTCCTCGAGGCTGCAGTCGGACAATTTCAACTTGAGTCTGGCGACAATGTTCTTTTCAAAAATAATTAATCGAGACATGAAGTCTCTTCCGTCGGGCCTCACCTGGAGCTCAGAATAGAATAGACCGTAATAGAAGACCGGAAATCTGCTCAATGTCACTTGGAATGTGGCCAATAGAACCATCATCTGAGCAAATACGCAAGGATCGAGTAGCATCAGTTTGTCAGCTGGATTTTCCATTTTTTTCTTGCAGAGAAAAAATCACACTGTTCTCGGAAAAAATGGTTCAAAGATACCTTCTGTCGCTCGGCAAGGCTTTTTTCGACACTGTTCAGAAACTTCCAAAAGGGTATTAATGGGGTTAGGTAGCCGAGCATTTTTCAAGTTAGAAAAAAAAGTAAAGCGGAAGTTATTTCTCTGGGGCGCGTAATTTTATTTGTGAGTCGTATTGGTCGGCATTAGATACCTTCATTAGATGCGTAGTGTCTGTAACAGTAAGAATAAAATAAGAACTCTAGAACTTTGATTTTTTGCCGCCGAAGGACTTTATTCTTCCTAGGGTCAGCAATTTATCGATATCTTTTCCTATTGATTTCTTGCGAGAATACCACGCTTATCAGAAACGGTTTATATTCATTGCTTTCACTGCTTTGAGAATTTAAAAAGAGATTCGGAGAAACGCTTAGTTTTCCGCCGATGTTTTATAAATGAGATACCGTGGTTTTCCATCTTAAGAGCGCCCAACTTAAGAGCGTTTTTGCCAATATTTTCCAAATTTTGTTATCTGAAAAAATCCCAACTTTAGAGCGTTTTTAGGAATTTTTAATTAATAATTAGAATAACGTCTATTTCAACCTGAAAAATCATTGAAAAAAATTGTTTTCTACGCTTTTTTCTCAGGTGAAATCATAGCCTCTGATTCAAAGATCGTAATTTTTTTATCATAAATAGGTAAAAATGACCTCAGATGCATTTTTAGAGTTTTGGCAAAAATTCTTTTTATGCATTTTCATTCATCATTTTTTCATGTCATCCTAGTTTGATCGTAAATTTTCCAACTTAAGAGCGTTTTGGTCTACCTTTGTCATCTGAAAAACGCTCTTAAGATGGAAAACGACGGTAATACAGACTTCGGACAGGCGGAATCTGTGCTCGGCAACCTGGGTAGAAAGCCTGAGTCAGGGTTTGAAACATTTTTAATGAAAAGCTGCCAGAATTTAAACTTTTATTTGAAAGATAATTTATTTTTATTATGATCTTTCAAACCCTGTTCAGGTTTCTCTACACAAATTACCGATCTCAGGTTGGAATCGGACACCGGTGAGTGATATCGATCGCCTGGCTACTGTAGTAGTGTCCAAAGAGAGCCGATTAACGGTCGACCAGTCAACCATGCGAGTAACCAGAGAATCATTTTGTCCAAATCCAAATAAGGCAACAAAGACACACTTATTTTATTGAAAATGAAAAGTGAAACTCATTACTTTTGAGAACTAGTATATTTTTACAACCATCGACTCTGAGTCGTCTTTTATTAGAGGGGAACATTTAATCATCAACGATTTTACTGGCGTTAATCCGCAAAAATGGTGATTCTTCTTCTTTCTTATTGCCTCAGAGTTTGAGATTAATATTGTCAGAATCGAAGACAGAGAGAGCATTTTTAACGAAGTCGAGAAATTAATTATTGAAGTAAGTTTTCGCTTTGAAAATTCCATCCAGACGAGTAATGGCCGGGCCCAAGGGGTTGAAACGCCGTGCTGATCGAATCTATTCAGACAACTGAGGCTTCGGTTTAACCCGCTTGAGACTATTATCGCAACGGTCGGTTCGCCATCACCGAGCTGATTGGCCACATTTCAACACCGCGCGTTTTCAGCTCCGTGGGCGGCTCTTTTCACACGGTCGAACCCTTTTTCTCCGCGCAGAGATATTACCCTAAGAAAACAACCCTGAGCTGCTTGAGCCCTTTCTTCCGCCCTGCCTCTCAGCTCGCCTCCCTCGTCCATTTACCACGATATTCATTTTACGGCGCCTTTATCTACACTGCCGCTCGATGGAAATTTTGATTAGTAAATTAATTGACTTTTTAAATTAATAAAAATTTACTTGAAGTAACCATGACATGGTTTTTCAGCTCCCTTTTAAAAAGTCCATGCTTTCAATTGTATCCGTAATTTTCTACCAATTTGATAATCGCTAATTGTTATTAAATGATTGTAAAGAGATTTTGAAGTATACAGTCTGTTATACTGTTGCGAACGTCTGTGCGTGTGCGTGCGGCCGAGTGCAAGGTCAGCACCATTTTCATATTCGGATTTATGGCCCCTCTCACCCGGGGCGGGCGGCGGCGAAACTGTGTGCTTCAATTTGAAAGAGATTTCTAGTTTCACTCACTCACCGCCCAGCATAAAGCGAAACGCTCTATGAATCATCAGTAAGTGATGATTGACGGCTTTCATGCGCCCGGGCCAGCCCATCGCCGGTTTTCGCTTTATCCTGTGCAAAATAAAACAAAAAAATAGTGAGACAGTGAGAGAAACGGATATTTTTAGATCAAAACCTAAACACCATCGGGACACTACTTTTTACGGCCACTAATAATAAGCTGATGATTAGGCTAGGGACTCTTTGCTGCTTTCTGCTGACGAATTGAAGAATTTTTCGGAGAAAGTAAAAAGGGAGGCCGGGAGACTGATTTCGGGTGGGATTATTCTTTCTCAATTTATGGTGCCTGAACGCTGGTATTCTTGTTTAGTTGACAAAAGGCGCGGGCCACTCTCCTCATTCGTGGGTGTCTTTTTGTATGTCGCAGAAACGACAGACACAGAAAGAGAAATTAAACTAGCGTAAAAATAAATATCGCTCTTGCTTGCTTGTTACTTGTTTCTCCGCCCTTTTTTTTACTTTTTGGCTTTCCTCCTTGATATCAATGTTTGTTGTTTGGGCGAGGAGAAAGTATCACTCTAGTAACAGTATCAGATTAAAGAAAAAGCGCGTATGACCTTATTTCGAAAGCAACCCCCGCTGGGCAGACAAAAATGTGTTCCATCCATTCCTAAACAAATCCTAAAGAAACCGTCCATTCATAACTTACTCCCTTGCCTGTATGAGTGCGAATGCGAGTTTCGTCTTTTTCACGAGTTATTTTCTAGATGGCCAATATTTGCGCTGCGAATTTATACAATTTTTCAGTCACTGCACATCAAGGCCAGCTAGAGAGCAGACGCACGAAGACAAAAACAGACAGCTCAATGTTTTTTCTAGTGTAGGATTACCTTTCACTACTTTCTTTATTTCTTTCATTCATTCAGCTCGCTTTCAATCCGAAATCGGGCGTGTATTTTTGCCCCGTTTTTATTTATTTTCGATAATCATTCAACAACCAGCTCCAAATGCAAACCAACCGCTACGTTTCTTTTTTTTCCGCTCATCACACGAAATTAACTCCAACTTTTTTCCGCGAAAAAGAAAGAGAAAAATCTATTTCGTCTTTTTTGTTTTTTTTCGGCCAAGTACTGTTGAGTAGCGATTGACGTGTGTATTCTTTTCAGATACTGTATATTGTGAGTCCCGTTTGACAAGCTAGGCGTCTTTCCAGCACCTTCGAATATGGCCTCTCGTCAACCAAGGACGCGGGGTGAGCGGACGCGGCGAACTTTGGAGAACTTTCAACCCGTCGCCGCCCCATCCGCATCTACCTTCGGCGCCAGGCCCGCGCCGCAGCCCTCCGCCCGTTCCTCAGCCGCTGCCAAACCGACTAGGTACGTTCCTTTACAAGTTCAAAACGCAGCAATTAGCAATTTTAACAAAGGCCAGCGCGACAATAGTCCCGCTTACGAGATATCCCCGTCCAAATCCAACAAAAAAGCAGTTGAATTTAACTAGACGAGCGAAATTCATTTGCCTCCGCATACATCGCTCGTTAAAATCAAGCTTTGAAGTGCGGATTTGCTTTTGACACAAGACACTACATTTATCATGTTATGGTCGATTTTACAAACGATGATATTTTCATTCAGCCATCCATATTCTTTCAAATTAGTTGAGCAAAACTTGCCGGGTCAATTTTCGTCTGGCGTCTTTTAGGCTTTGAGAGGTGCACTCTGAATTCTCCAGTAACAAAGGCGAAATCAAGCCGTCTCGTGCGTGGCTGGCCCTTTGATCAATGAACAGGTGCACCTCGTTAGCAGAAATCCAATTCAAATATTGAAAGTAGGACAATTTGGAGGAGCACTTTTGACAGCGCATTATCCGTCAAAAAGGCAACATTCCAAAACTAGTCTTGCAAACTTCTGTTTACTGCCGGTTACAACAATTGATGCTATTTGCGCATCGTAGGATTTCTACGACTGGGGTCGGAAGCTGGATGCCTTAAAATTGCCTAACCCAACCCACTTTTGCAGCTCCCATTTCCGAGCCCAGTCGCCGCGGGCTTCATTAACGCCTCGATAAAGCAGACGTAAACACAACTTCAAACCATTCTTAACAAACCCTTATCATGCTACTTTGGAAAAGGAAGTCATATCCGAGCTTTTGCTACGGGCCTAGATTGGTGGCTAATTAAGCAATTTCGGTTCAAAAAAGATAAATCAAAAATGTGTCACCGGACAATAGATGGAATAGAGAAACAAGGCCAAAACCTACTTTCTCGTTTTCCACCTCAGATTTCGATTTTTCGAGAGATTCCAATAACAAGTGTCGTTTATTGATAATTTATCAAAAACAAAGACATAAAATGCCATTTCACGAGGTGACATTCAGGACAATTAAGAGATTAATGGTTCTGAGTAAATCAGCTTGACTGATCGCTTAACAGCTTTTAAAATGTTTCCTTTGATATTGCCAAAGTGTTTGAAACGCGTTCGAGTTTTTATAATTACCAAAGTTGTCAAAAATTGTCATCGGCGCCACATTGATGATCGGCCAGTCACGAAAAATGAGAAAAAACTATTCGGACGAGCGTTGTGATCGTGTGATGCTTAGGCATCCTTTTGTCAATCTTCCTCCATAAAACCGGTTGACTTGAGTTTTTAAATAGATGCAGCCGCACATCAAGAGAAAGAGAGACGGCGAGTAGTGGCGAGTGACCCTGGAGGCATTTAGGGAAACACCAGTAGAGAGTTACAGAGACGGAGCATTTACTATTCAACGAAAGATTCTAGTGAACGACCAAACTTAGATCCTCTCCGAAGAGAGTATTTTATTTTCGTAAAGAGCAAAGGAAAGCCGAGGGAGATAGACATTCGCCTTTTGTGTGCGGAGAGTGCTTATCTCCCAAGAATGCCATTTCCGGTCGTATTTTGCTTCTTGGACGAGCGTCAGATCAAGCACCTGTTAGCATATTTATAGCTCCAAAAGCCGCAAGTCTTTGACACTCCAAATTTTCGCGATAAGGTTCCTCTCCTTAATTTACGTTTATTCTGCCATTTGGATGGAAATAAATCATAAACGTGTCAATTGTGACGAGTGGCTCTGATTCCATCGCAATTCTTTTTCGATGTTCTTGATGCGTTTTGCCATTTTTATTGCTCCGCTCTAGACACTTGATAAGCCCGCTAATCTGAGGGGTTATAAATGCATTTGCCCCGATAGAAATACAGTTACTACTTTCGTAAACATTAGTTCTGAGGCTTTTGAGCGAGCTAGCCTCGCTCTTGTTTATCTTCGGCGTGAACTCGGTCGTATCCTCCTTTCGAGGAGGTGGGATAAATTCGATATCGTCTCAGTGTGGGAGTAACACAGCAAGGTTTTCCTCCAGCAAGCAAGGACTTTTCGAAAGTACTGCAATTACGGGAACAATCTGTTTGATTCCCTCTTTGTGAATCATATTTTTCGACTGACCTCAGTTGGCAAATGTGGAAATGCCAACAGTGCTCCGACTATCCAAACATCTCTCCCTTTATGCTTCCAGCACACTCGCCATTATTATGCGTAACATATTAACTATTTGACTATCTTCTCTACGGAAGACCCTTTCTCAGATTTCTACTTGTACAGCCGTTTTTTTTTCTTCTATTTTTTTTAAATTTTCTCGCCGTTTAGAGAACAAGAGGAGTCGGCATTGAAAACCCCTAAAATGGGAGATAAAGAACAGTAAGTCGGATTACAGTAAAAATGTTCTCCAAGAATCTCACTATTTTAAATTTTCGGATGGCTTTGATTGGCAATCCTAGCACAATACAAATAGCACGACTGTAAATTCCCATTAATTTTTCAATTTGGCTCAACAAGATCAATGATTTTCCTCATTTTACGAGGCAAGCTGCGGGTTTGACTGCGTAAATATTTGTGAACGTTCCTCGTTATTTTTTCTACGTTCCGGCCCTGCTGACACAGTGACATATTCAGGCAGCTAGCCAACAGCTGATCTCCGACACTGTCAAAAATTCTGTACGCCGCTTGAAAATTTTTGCTCTGGCGCAATATCAAGTTCTTAAAATAATAGTAAACATTAGAAACGGGGTTAATTCGTTGGAAACTTGCAATCGATTAGATTTGGACCCATTTAACCGATAAAAATCACCAAGACCGAAAACATGATTTCGATTGAAGCTTCACCTGTTTTGCAGTCGGACTTCGACTATTTCTCTCCAAAAACAAGCCAGTTCCGAAATCGGGGAGCTTCGTGAAAGAGCGGTTATTTTTTGGGTATGCAGCGAGATTTTATTAAAAGAGATATGAAGCAAGAAAGAGCGAGCCTTTCAGAGCTGAACCTTCCAACCAGTCCCATAACGCGACTCGATGGAACTCTTCCAAAGCGCAAACCGTTTCGATCCTCAACAAAACGGGGACGGAATGAGTTTAATTTTGAAAAGGAAAACTCGGAAATTAAAAAGGAATCTACCATTACCAAAACGTAAGTCAGCAGGGTTCCACCGCTACAAAAGAGGGCTTGGGTTCTGATCAAAGTTCCCGCGCCTCCTGGGGTGGTCACAAGAACGTGCGAAATCGGACCGAGGTGTCATCCCTCTTCTCCTAGTGTCCGTTTTATTTCAGCTCAGAAGAGAGTTAAATACACTCAATTGATTATAAATAAGAACACTTCCCTTTTTTATTTCACATTTTTTTATCGAAAAGCTTCACTTGCACAAACTCCAAAATGCCCCCGAGTGGGCCTACCGACTTCAAAATATTTAATTCAAGGCACGAAAAATTAGAGATTCAAAGAAAACAAGAGCTCGTTTAACATGGTTTTTTAGGTCTCCTGCCAGTGACCAGGAAGCACTGAAGTACCTTTCCAACAAACAAAGCAGACTGAATGACAGTAGTATGCAGGTATGAGAAGCTTGATAAGACGGAACAGAGGCCCCTCGATTCGAAATAGCTAATAGCAATATACATCTGGCCGTGAAATATTTGCCGTGGCGATTTATTATGTCGCGTCTCCGCAGCTCCGTTGACCTTTCTATTGATTGCCAAGTCAAAGCGTAGCCTAACGAAAACACAGGATCACATTCCTATTGAGTGATCTTGTCTTTCGGTACACGTCACTCCGCTGACTTGATAGGTCACCGAGTTAATACTATCACTAAATTATCATGTCTCTCAGAAAAACAAGCGACCGTTAAGTTGTGTTGATGGGAGAAACTTGCCAAAGTATGATTACATTAATTGAATGCCAAGGCATTTCCGAGGCCTCGAAGTGTAAAACTTATTCTCGTTTTAAGAATGAATGGGCACAGAAGAAATTGGCCTGGGTACCTGATGCTGAGCAGGGTTTCGTTCTTGCCACCCAGATTAGCGATCCCGACCCGAAAACCGGAAAATGCCAGGTGAAACTGTTGAACTCCGGCAAAGTCATCGAAGCAGAACAAACTCATCGCGTGAATCCACCCAAATTCGACAAAGAGGAGGACATGGCCAATCTCACCTGGCTCAACGAAGCCGCTGTTCTTCACAACCTCACTGAGCGATACCACGCCAGCTTGATCTACACCTATTCCGGCCTCTTCTGCGTTGTTATCAACCCTTACCGAAACATTCCAATCTACACTGAAAGTGTAAGTAACAGTGATAGTATTTTTCATTGATTACCCATGCTTTCAGGCTATTGAGCTTTACAAAGGTCGCAAACGACACGAAGTGCCCCCTCACGTCTACGCAATTACTGACAGTGCTTACCGAAGCATGCTTCACGACAAAGAAGATCAATCTATTCTCTGCACCGGTGAATCTGGCGCTGGTAAGACCGAAAACACAAAGAAAGTGATCCAGTATCTGGCCGCCGTCGCCTCTCACAAATCTTCGAACGGTCGAGCCGCTCATGGCGAACTTGAAAAGCAGCTTCTGCAGTGCAACCCGCTGCTCGAAGCGTTTGGTAACGCCAAGACTGTGAAAAACGACAACTCCTCGCGATTCGGAAAATTCATCCGAATTAACTTCGACTCTTCGGGCTTCATCGCGGGCGCAAACATCGAAACCTACCTTCTTGAAAAAGCGCGAGTCATTCGACAAGCTCCAGAGGAGCGAACTTTCCACATCTTTTACCAGATGCTGCAAGGAGCTGGTCTCGACTACCGAAACGAGCTTCTCCTTGATAACATCAACAACTACAAGTTCCTTTCATTCGGCGATGTCTCTATCAACGGCCAATCTGAGAGTGATGAATTCAAGGATACGCTTGCCGCCATGTCCACTCTAAACATTCCAAAAGAAGATGTCCACAGCTGCCTCCGAGTCGTCTCCGCCGTCCTCCATTTCGGAAACATGGAGTTCAAGAAAGAGCGAGGCTCCGATCAAGCTACGATGCCGGACAATACCGTCGCCCAGAAGGTCTGCCATCTTCTCAAGCTCGACCTCAACAACTTCACTCGTGCTCTTTTGCGACCACGAATCAAGGTCGGCCGCGAGTTCGTCAACAAAGCGCAAACCAAGGACGAATGTGATTTTGTCGTCGAAGCCCTCTCAAAAGCCCTTTACGAAAAACTCTTCCAGTGGGTTGTCTCCCGTGTCAACAAGAGTTTGGACCGAACTACTCGTCAGGGAGCAAGCTTCTTGGGTATCTTGGATATCGCCGGTTTTGAAATCTTTGAGGTTACTATTCTTTCTTTTAGGAAAACAATTAGCCATTCAGTACTAGTGTTAGATTAGGGTTAGGCTACCTTAATGCACTTTTCTCAACCCTTTTAGATGAACAACTTTGAACAGCTCTGTATCAACTACACCAATGAAAAACTACAGCAGTTGTTTAACCATACGATGTTCATTCTTGAACAAGTGAGTATTCCTTATAACTATTTATTTTCAGAAAAACTCCTATGAACAATTGTGCATTAACCTTACCAACGAAAAGCTGCAACAGTTTTTCAACCATCAAATGTTCATTCTTGAGCAGGTTACAGTCCACCTCAGTTCACAAAAAATGGAATTAAATTCCAGATATTGCCTCTAATTAGGCGAATCACTATTTTTTATGAAATATGCTCATTTAATTCTGAGCATCACTTTTTTTCTTTTTCGACACACCAATGGACATTTTTTTACGAAGCAATCCTGTCAATTTAAGAGAATAAGAAACGCACACGATTTATTTTTTACTGGCAAAATTCACTATCATGTGTATTTGCCCACTATTCCACATTCTGGTGCACACACTAACTTTTTTTGCAGGAAGAATATCAGCGAGAAGGCATCGAATGGAAATTCATTGACTTTGGTCTCGACTTGCAGCCATGCATCGAACTCATTGAATCGCCGGTAAGTCAGTAGCTAGACTTCATTCGTTCAACTCTAAGAAACTATGTTCTTAAATTGTCTTGTCAGAAGAAAAAAGATAGGACCCGCACAGTTTCTTATTGTTTAGCGAGACATCTCATTACCCCAGTTTCTCACATAGCTTTCATAATAGGGTAGTATCAGGAATCCCGCTGTAAGTAAGCCATTTATCGACAGTTAACTGGAATGTCAACTCATTTATGTGTTCCTTACCAACCATTTATCAGACTTTTTGGCTTGCAAAAACACTTACTATCAACATTTATCTATTTGTATGCTATACTTTTGAAAAACATCGTCCGTCCGAATTTTGCGTGTTGGTTTGAGCTGGGTGACGATATTTTTCAAAAATATAGTACAATCTTCATGCATAAACATGTTTTTAGTCTAACCCACCAGGTATCTTGGCTCTTCTGGACGAAGAATGCTGGATGCCAAAGGCTACCGACAAGACCTTTGTCGAGAAGCTCTACAAGCAACAAGAAAGCCATCCAAAGTTCCAAAAGCCGAAGCTTCTCAAGGGCAAAGCCGACTTCATCATTACTCACTACGCCGGCAACGTCGAGTACAAGGCTGATAACTGGCTTACCAAGAACCAGGATCCTCTCAACGACAACGTTACTAAGCTCATGTCGGAGTCTCCTGATCCATTTGTTGCCGCCCTTTGGCGCGATGCTAAGGTTGTTGGCATGGAAATCCAACACCAGAACGACTCTCCATTTGGCGGTGGTGTGCGAGCCACAAAGCGTGGTATGTTCCGAACTGTCGGTGCCCTCTACAAAGACCAGCTTAATCGTCTTATGACCACTCTTCGCAACACCAACCCCAATTTCGTTCGATGTATCATTCCCAATTACAACAAACGCCCGGGCGTCATCAACCCAGAGCTTGTTCTCGAGCAGCTTAAATGCAATGGTGTACTCGAAGGTATCCGAATTTGTCGACAGGGTTTCCCCAACAGGATTCCCTTCCAGGAATTCCGTCAACGATACGAGGTCCTTACTCCCGGGCTTTTTGGTCACCAGATTATGGACTCGAAGAAAGCGTGCACAATGATGCTCGAGTTTATGGAATTGGAGAGTGGCCTCTTCCGCGTTGGACAGTCGAAGATCTTCTTCCGATCCGGTGTCCTTGCTCAGCTTGAAGAAGACCGCGATGTCAAGATCTGTGACATGATGGTTAGATTGCAGGCTTTCCTTCGGGGTTACCTTGCTCGAAGCAAGTTTTCTCGAAAGAAGGATCAGCAGCGAGCTATTCGAGTGATCCAGCGAAATGGTCTCAGCTACCTCAAGTTGCGAAACTGGCAGTGGTGGCGTCTCTTCACCAAGGTTAAGCCTCTTCTCCAGGCCGCTCAGACTGATGAAATCATGCGAAATATGGATGAAAAGCTTGCCTCTGCAAACAAAGAAAAGGAAAAATTTGAGGAAGAGTTAACTGAGAAGACGAAGACATTAGAGAAGGCTCTCCAAGAGCGAGACCAACTTGAAGAGCTCCTCGAACAAGCAGATCAAGCACAGGCGGAATCTGATGCCATCAGAAGAGAACTTCTTGAAAAGAAGAAAGACCTGGAACATATCTGCACTGAACTCGAGGCCAAACTTGATGAGGAGGAAGAAAAGAACATTAAGATCCGAGAAAACTACGAAAAGACCAAGGCGATGAACCAAGAGCTTGAAGAACAACTTGAGGAAGAAGAGACCGCTCGTCAGAAGCTTGAGTTAGAAAAGGCAGCGATCGACAAAAAGCTCAAGGAGCTCAGCGACGAAGGCTTGAAGACAAACGATAAACTTACCAAGACTGCCCGAGAAAAGGCTGCCCTCGAAGCTCGACTTAACGAACTACAGCAGAGTCTGTCTGGCGAAGAAGGTCGAGCTAAGGCCCTCGAAAAGACGAAGCAAAAGTATGAAAGTACTATCGCAGAGCTCGACGAGCGACTTAAGCGAGAAGAGAAGGCCCGAATCGAGAAAGAGAACTCCAACAGGCGGCTAAACTCTGAACTCGATGAACTCCGAGAGCGATGCGCTGAGCTCGAGCGAATCGTCGAAGATTTGCAGAATCAACTCGCGAGGAAGGACGACGAGATCTCCAAACTCCAAGATGACCTCGATCGAGAATCAATGGAACGGCAAAAGGCTATCAAGGAGATCCGATCGCTCACCAACCAAAACCAAGAGCTCAAGGAAGATCTTGATGCCGAGAAAATGTCTCGACAAAAGTCAGACAAGCACAGGCGTGATCTTCAAGAAGAGCTTGAGTCTCTCAAGGCTGAAGTTGACGATGGCATGGCAAATGAACGAACTCAGAACGAAGTGCGGGTCGCTCTTGAGACCAAACTGAACCAGTACAAGAGCGAAATGGACCAGAACCAGGCTAGCTATGAGAAGTCGTTGGCTGAAATTCGACAGAAGAGCAACGCTCAATCTGAACAGCTGTCTGAAGAGATCGAAGCTCTCCGAAGACAGAAAGCCTCGTCCGACAAGCAGAAAAATGCCGTCGAATATGAAGTCAAGGAGCTCGGTGAAGAGTTGGCTGCTATCACGCAAGCAAAGAACGATGCCGATGCTAAACGAAGACGCCTGGAGGGTAACCTTCAAGAGGCGAACGCACGTCTCCAGGATGCTGAACGCGTAAAGACCGAGCAGCAACTTAAGATCACTCGGTTGGAGCAGGACTACGAATCCGTCTACGCGAATCATGAAGAGGCCGACCTCAAGGTCAGTCAGCTCAACAAAGAGGTTGCCAACTTGGAAACACTCCTTGCGGAGTCCAACGCTGGCCAGCATGAAGAAAACCAGGCGAAACTACGACTTCAAAGTAGACTACGACAACTCGAAGAAGATCGGTCCTCGATGGAAGCCCAGCTTGAAGATCAGGAATCTGGCCGAGACGGTAAGAATAATTACCTGGCCCGTCTTTTTAAATTAAAATTTAGCCCTTCAACACCAGAATACTGCTCTCAATAATCGTCTGACGGAGCGTCAGAAGCGAATCGACGAGCTTGATGCCGATAAGAACGAGGCAATCGAGAAACTCCGCCGAAAAGAGCGCGACCTTGAGGACCTTAGAGGGGAGCTTGATGACCAGAAACTCAAGCTCGACAATGCTGAGCGTAACCGAATTCGTCTTCAAGGTAAACACTTGAAAACTTGATTTGGACAAATATTTTATGTTTGTTTGTAGCTGAGTTCGATGACGTCCATCACGAGCTTGAGAATCAGCGTAATCTTTGTGTCAATCTCGAAAAGAAGCAGCGTCAATTCGACAAACAGCTTACGGATGAGCGACAAACTGCAGCACATAGAGCCGAGGAACGAGATCAAGCTCAGTCTGCCGCACGAGCTGCCGAGGCTAAGGTAAAATCGGAATTCAAAGCAAAAGATAAATCTATTTTTTAAGGTCTTCTCTCTCACTCGAGAAATCGATGAGCTTAATGAACGACTCGAGGAAGTCGAGCGACAAAAGCGTGCTCAGGCTGCCGAACTTGAGGAGCTCGCTTCAAGCCAAGATGGCAAGCAGCGGAATGTCCATGAGCTCGAGAAGGCAAAACGAACCCTCGAAGCTCAAGTGGAAGAACTCCGCACGCAAATGGATGAGCTCGAAGATGACCTTCAGCTCACGGAGGACGCCAAGCTTCGACTCGAAGTTAACCTTCAGGTAAGAGCAGCGACCAACTACTAGAGACCTAACTTCTCTAGGCCGAGAAAACTCGATTCGAGCGAGAACTCCAAGGCAGAGAAGAGGGATCCGAAGAGAAGCGTCGAACTCTTCAACGGCAACTCCGTGAAATCGAGGAGGAGCTTGACGAAGGTAGAATTATTAAAAATATGTGACAATCAACGATTATTTCTTTAGAGCGCAAGTCTCGCACGGCAGCATTGAATGCCAAGAAGAAGTTGGAAATCGAAGTCACAGACCTCACCAACCAAAACGAAGGATACCTCAAGACCAAAGACGATCTTACAAAGCAGCTCGGAAGGCTCCAGCGAATGGTTCGCGATCTTCGTAACGAAAACGAGGAAGTTCGTGCGGAGAAAGACCAAGCCCAGGCCGCTGCTCGGTGAGTAAACCTTATCTCCAACAACTTTGATCGAAAATTAAGTGATGCGGAGAAGAAAGCCAAGAATATGGAAGGCGATCTCGCTCAGGCCTCCGATGATTTGATGACATCTGAGCGCCTCAAACGAGCCGCTCAATCTGAGCGAGACGATTTGAGCGAAGAAAATGCTGCCCTTGCCCGGGAGCGTAACACTGCCCAGGAAGAGAAGCGACGTCTCGAAGCCCGAATCAGCGAAGTCGAGGAAGAGAAGGAAGAGGTCGAGATGATGGTTGACGAAGGCGAAGAGCGAAACCGACGTCTCAACTCTCAACTCGACGAGGCCCAATCTGAGCTCTCACTCGAAAAGTCTAAAGCCAAGCAAGCTGAAACTGCCAAGATTGCCCTCGAAAAATCGAACAAAGAATTGCGACAGCGACTTGCGGAGTTCGAAGGGGACAGAAACTCCAGGGTGAAAGCAGAACTCGAAGCCGCTCGAGCCAAACTTGTTGCCGCCGAGGATGAACGAGACCAAGAACAGAGGTACCTACATCATGCATACATCTGAATTTTAAATTTTAATTTAGGGCACGATATGATCTCAGCAAACAGGTCAGAAGAGCTGACAAGAAGATCAAAGATGCTCTCCTTCAAGCTGAGGAGGAACGTCGTCAGTCAGACCAGCTCAAGGAACAGGTATTCCGCACTAGTTGTTGTTTTGTCTAATTCCCCCTTAGATTGAAAAACTTAACTCTCGACTCCGAGCGGCTAAACGACAAGCTGACGAAGCCGAAGAAGAGACCACGCGAATTCAAGGCCTCAAGCGAAAGGTCCAGCGTGATCTTGACGAGGCTAACGAGACTGTAGAGTCACTTCAACGTGAACTTGCAAACCAGCGCAACAAAGCTCGGTAAGTTATTTGGCTCTATATAGGTTATATTTGAAGTTTAACAGTTCAATGAGGAACAGAATGAATAACAGGCATTTTATATGTAGTAATCAACTAAGTGATGGCGCAAGTACATCGTAAGTTGTCTTGGCAGAGAGGCACTTTCTTTTTTCGAAAATTAAATCAGTTCCCCTTTACCAATAGCCCAATACAATCAGTTTTGCTTTTTGTTTAAACAACACCTAAGTAAATCGAGCATCACTCCCGAGGGATCCGTTTACTCCCGGTAAGACACGAGTTTTTTGACTTCACATTTATCGAGTTGATTTTGAACTTTCTTTCGTTGCTATTCATATGTAAACCTGGCAATTTTCAAGCCCCACAGTTTCACCAACAATTACACACGCGAAATGCACGAGTGCTTTCAAGCATGATCCTTATCCACCGTTTCTTGTGTGACTGTTCTTCCTAATCTATACTTATTATGTAGCAGCGTCGCATCAAGCCGGCGTGGAATGAGTACCTTGGGCGGCATTTCGGATGCTTCTTCAGACACTGAGATGGACGAGTCCATCCTCGGCTCACGCTCCTCTTTAAATACTGACAAATAAGGTTACCAAAAATTAGTTTTCGTTTTATTCGTTTTTTCGTACAGTACAGTAATTTGTCGTGCGACCCTCAATTCGATATTTTCACTCCCTGATGTTGATTTCCGTCACCAGAAATTTATAATGGCCATATTTTGACCTCACCGACTTCAATTATAGGCTTGAGAAGAAGGACTAAAAGCAGTCTCTCCACTCCTTGATCTGATTCTGAATTCTGTTCATTTTATGGTAAAATATGCTCCACAAGTATTACTATGCGGATCATTGTTAAGGTGGCAACTCTTTTCACTGAGAGTGGGCCTTCTTAACTCGCCACAAAATGCCTACTAACCAAGATTGCTTTTAAAGAACGGCACCCGGTTTCTGTTATTAATCGGTTATTTTTTAACCGCGGCGTGATTTGCCCGCGCGCTCTTTCACCACTATACGTGCTTTGGGCACCAGTACAATAAGCCTAACATTTTGTATTCAGGCGCGATATGCGCAGCCGCCCTCTTCGTGATTCTTTCCTGACATCGCGAATCTCCTCCAACGAAGACCTCGACGATTCTGGCTCGACCGGAAACGCAGCCGAGGGTGAAGCTGCATAACTCTATTTATACTGCATTTTGAGCCCTTGTTACAGTATGTTGCGCCCCTTTAAAACTCACGCTCAACTTTTCATACAGTACTTACTCAGTAAGTCTTACTGTTGCTTCTTCTCCCACTTCTACTTTTGTACTTATCCCCCGTTCTGTGCCTAAACCTCTCCTTGCGACAATCAAGCACACCCTCACAGCATAGTTTTTTTATCTCTTATCAAAAGCAGAATATTAATAATAATAATAATGATAAGACGTTTCGTTCAAGACTCAACGGTATGACACGCCTTACCGCATGCTGACCCTCTTCTTTTTGAATAATAATCTGTACTTTGAATTTCGTTTTTGCTTATCTTTTTTAAATGCTCTTGAAGCCATTCCGTCGCCCCAATTCACATGTTCGACAGTTTCGTTTAACTTCAAAATTGCAACTTAGCACCAACCCTTTCCCCGATCAACCCCGACTTACTACTAATCGTACCTTCATAAATCAGTATCGCCAAACATCAAAAAAAATAATTCAATAAAAATGCTTTAACTTAGACCAGTTGATTTACCATTCCAACAAAGAAAATATCAGTGTTTCTTTGAGGAGTTACTTGTCTATATTTTTGCAGGATTTCTTTTTTTTAATGCATGTCAAAGCTTATAAAAGGGACTGATTAGCAGGTTATCGACAAGGAAAATCGGCAGGAAAATATTAATTATTCGATGAAGATCCCCTTTATTCGGGCCAAATTATTCAAAGCGATTTCTTTTCGTCTTGAGAGAAGTACTAAGCTCGAATATATCCCGTGCACGCTGTAAGTACTTTTTGGAAGCACGATCTTCTTAACAACATAATTTATTCACTTGCTTGATATATAAGTATTTATCTTATTCTCATCCTAACAGTAATCAGATTAGAGTCCAAAGAAAAGCATGAAGATTTTTATCGCTCTTGTCTTCTCCAACGCCGCGGTTGCGAATATTTCCTGCATGTTTCCAGGTTACTCGCAAAGTTTTATTAATCAACAACCCTTTCGTAACGAGAATAAATAAACCCAAAAGTAAAGTTAGCTTAATTTGCACTCACGTTTAGCAAATCAAGTCGAAATTAGATGTATTTTTACCAAAGCTCACCACGTATCTGACCTCGGCAAATCCGCGGCAATTTAAATTTATTATATCAATAAATTCAACTATTTTGCATACTTGCAAAGGTCACTAATTCAACAAAATCAGCTTATATTCTTGCTAAATTACTCGGTGTTCCATTTAGCGCTTGCCTACAAATATGGGAACCTGCTTGATTGTAATGGTGCTGCGAAGAGAGCCGTGGCAGATGCTGATGATGATTTCTTCAAGGGGCGGTTCAATTTGACATTTTGTTTATTATACTTAAAATCGAAGTCAATTAAATAGTAGAAATAACTGCTTGATTAGTCTCAATAGTTTATTAGTGAATTTATTCAGAAACAAAGTGTTCGTTTTATAGTTACCTATCTGAGTGTTTTTGATTCAAACTCTTCAACAAAAACATATGTTTCGTAATAACAATGCGAAGTAACGGGAATTTTATTAAATTTGTTAATTAAAGTTGTATCAGGTTGATGTTTGTTCTCAAAACAAGTTTTGTTTCAAAGAAATCTCAGAGCGAAAGTGAACCTCAAATAGCGCTACAATCCTGAACTTTCAATGCTCGACGAAATTACTCGAAGTTTCTAGCGCGGGAGCGTTTGAGAGATACGGCGGTAATATTCTTACTGTCAAGTGATAATACACGTATTTTATCGTAGTCCTCAAAAAGCAATTTTTTCCAAGCATAAAACAACAACACATGTATTTTTATAGATTTTATTAAGAATTGAGAAATTACAAAAGAGTGTGATTTAAACCCTAGTCGTGACAATCACGTTAAGGGTCGTTCGTCGATATTTTTTTTTCAGTTTTTTTTTTGGTTTGAAGATTTGTAAAAATGAGATTTAGTGTGATTTACAGGATGAGTTTTACTTTTTTGTCGATTTTTTCAACCTTTGAATTGCTTGAGACCGAACTTGGTGGCGTGCTTGGCAGCGTTGTTTTTCTGGTACTTCTTGATGTGTTCGATTAGCTTGAATGGTCGGGAGCCGTGTGTAGATCGCGAGACTGGGTTGCCTTGAGAGTCTTTGGTCACCCAGTTGCAGATGGGAAGCGAGCCAGGGAAGTCAGTGCAGAATCGGAAGTATGTCTTCAGCCGGAAGTAATCGAGTTTGTTCAACTAGAATTCGTTTAGATGCTAACTTTTTAAACTGTTTTCTTGGGAAGTAAAAGTCGCTTTTGGTGCTAAAGAAAAATTGTTGTGGTCTAAAATATTATCTTTCAAGGGGCATTTAATGTTTTTGGTCACAACTCATTTTAAGAAAACTTAGTGGAGCGCTTTGAAAATAGACTTACGTAGTGGAAGGCGGCGGACTCGTCGCATTTCCCAAAGCTTTCTCTAATGGTCACGGCAAACTTCTCAAAATAGTTGTAAAGTCCTTCCTTGACTTGGTCGAATTTTGGAGTCCATCTGTCAATTCGTTGCTAAAATTCGTTTAAAAACTTAATTTTACGGCAAACAAGACAAACCTTAGTAGCTGGGTATCGTTGAAGGGCGTTTCTGTTTTCTCCACTGGCTTGGTTAGCCCAGCACTCTTCGGAGTCGGCCTTCACCATTTTCCTCAGTGTTTCCAGACGATTGCTCAACTTAGTCATTGGGCGCTTGTACTGCTCGCTGAAGATGTCGACCAGCATTCCGGTGTTGTGGATCTTCTCGAGCTTCTGGTACTCGTTTTTCTCCCAGCGTGGATTCCACTTGGTGTCTTAAGAGAAAAGAGTAAGAACAATGCCGACAAGGATTAATAATTACAGGAAATTCAAGGAAAAGCTACTTACTTCTTTGTCTTCTAAATTTTGGGTTAGAGTACTTTCGTTCCTTCTCTGGGGCACCAACTCGCTTCTTCTTGTTCTTCTTCTTTTTCTTTCTTCGTCTTTCTTGGACGTCGGTAGGAGGCTCGATGGTCGTCGTCGCTTCAGTCGTCACAAGAAAAGATGCGTCTTCGAATTCGTACTGTGCGGAAACCATGCTGCTGGCAACGCTCAACATGTTCAACAATCTCATTCTCAGTTAAAAATGTAAATCTGTTTTTTGTTATAAAAAGAAAAACTCGATGGTCTTACCTCGACCGTTCGGTGCTTATAAGTTCTCAGGCGGCGCGAGAGAGCGCGCTTTTCCTCACATTCTAGAGCGCTAGAAAGGATAATTACCAGATATGGAGTAAATACAACGGTTCATTTTTGAGCATACCGTATATTTGCATTAACTAAAAATTCGTTTTTTATTATTTGTTCGTTTCAATTAGGGCGGTTCTTATTCTTTAGTATTAATCCTGGCCCGTTAAAAGTCATTTTGGTCTTTTTTTTTGCAAAAAAATGCTCAAAGTGTTGAAAGTTAGCACTTTTTTTATAATGTCTTGAATATATGGTATATTATGAACCTAAGAAACATTCTCTAAATGGAAGGGTTTTCTTTTTTCAAAGTAATCCGCGCTAAGAATCAATGATGTTTATTTCCAGAAAAGATTTGTCGAAGAAAAACTCATTTCAGTGATAGTCTGAGTCTTCAAATCGACAAGGAGGAATGAGAAAGAGCCCATAGAGCGTTTTCGATCCAAATGTCGCAGTTTTTCTAAAACGTATTTTTAGGATCAATAAAAACTCTTTTCTTTCGAAAAATGTTAGGGAGAAAAACAAGGAATCGAAAACAAGGATTAAAACTTTTCAAGGGTCTAAGCGGGCGTATTTAGGGTTATGCTACATTTTTGTTGAATCCTCTAGAAAGACAGGCGAATTGAGCCCGAATGAATTCGCAAGGCAGAAATGTTATTGTAACTACATCGATCCCTTGTCAGTGAATTACTCTTGCCGCCGTTATCGCTCCTGATCAGCATCATGATAAACAGTTACAATGAAAAATTGTTGTAATGTCTTCAGCCATCAGTTGACTAAACAAACGAATAAAATTAAAATTAAATTCAAGTTGCGTTATCAGTTATTTTGCGGCTTCGTTTTTGTTATAGCCGCTACGCGGCTTTTCATTTTCGCTCTTTCAGAGCCTGACTCAGGTTTACAACACAGGTTGCTGAGCACAGCGCATGACGGCTGTTTATTAATTCTCGGTGAAGTAAAGATGTTTTCATCTTTGATTTTTGTACACGGTTTCGAGTCGAATTTTCACCACTGCTCAGTTTTTTTTGTGAACAAGGCTCACTTCCCTATCTTATCTTAGAAATGTAAATTGATAATCTTAATCAGCGGAAAGAGAGAGAGAGTTAGTATTGTTTAAATCACTCGATCCCATATTTTGTAAAATAGGTTTGACTGAAAGACGGAAAATGGAGAAGAAACAGGCTGGCGAAAAACGGAAGCGAGTCGAATCGAAGTCAGAAGATCTTGCGATCTTGCCGGGCGGCAGCGGAGCATTTACGCCGCCAGAGAACAAAAAACAAAACTTTAATATTAAAATTCAAATGCAATCTCAAACAGAGACAACTGGCACCACCTACAGAGCAGCGACAAACAACAATGATAACTTCATGAATCAGAAGAAATTAACGAAGAAGGAAGAGCAGAAAAAGACCGACGATGAATCATTTAAGCAGATCGAAAAGTCAATTTATCAGGATGGGCTCAAAAGTGAGGTAAATGATGCCAGATATCTCGCACTTCTACTGCAACATTACTGTCTTAGAGCACGAAAAATACGTATGCTATACAGCAAGCTCTTGGGCGAGGAGGCTTCGCGAAGGTTTACAAAGCAGTGGAGACCATTGCTGATCTCGGCGGCAACGGGCCTGGGATCACGCAAACAATCGCCTTGAAAGTAATTCCAAAGACAAGAATTTCTAGAGAAGATCAGTACAAAAAAGTAATGCGCGAGATCAAGCTTCAGTCCGGATGTAATCACCCAAATATTCTGTCGATGTTTTCGAACTGGGAAAGCGATACCTGCGTAGCCGTAAGTTAAAGGCCTTATTTTGAGACGGAGAAGTTGATTTCATATTAAGATGGTGTTAGACTACTGCGAGGGCGGTTCTCTTTCTTCGTATTCAAAACAGTTCGACAACAGGGTAATTTCTTTTTACGTGTCAAATACCTTATCTGTTAAAGATTGTGGGATTTGAAAACGCTGCTTGGATCATTGGACAAGTTCTTAGAGGCGTACAGTACTTGCATGAACGCGGCATCATTCATCGTGATATCAAGCCTGCTAACATTCTCCTTTCAATGGGTCGCTGTCTGATCGCCGACTTTGGACTTGCACTAGAGAAACATGAACGGGAATTTATCATTTGCGGGACGCCGAATTACATTTCCCCAGAAGTGTACGAACGAAAGCTACATACGGAAGCGGCAGATATTTGGGCAGTGGGTCTGGTTTACTTTTCCATTATGGAAGGCAGATCAGGATTCAGCTATAATCCTGTCGAAACTCTTCAGAAGCGAGTCAAAGACGTAGCTCACACACCACATCGGCAGGAAACCCCTCAAATCTCGCGCGACTTCTTCAAAAGAATTATAGGCTTGGTTTGTGATAATCATAAATTAACAAAAAGCTTGATATTTAACAAACCATCTCAAGTAAAAGATCCGAAGCATCGTCCGAGCATCGACTTCCTTCTAAGGCATCGCGCAGTAACAAATAGACCTGAATCTACCAGTGACGAGTCAACGATGTCAAATAACAACGAAAAAACCTGTCGATATATTTCACTCCTGAAGGCATGGAATCGAGTTCTCTCCCAGGAAGAAGCTGTTTGGGAAAGCGATCCAGAGACAGTCCAATGCTCCCCAGAAAGGAGCAAGATAATCCGTATGCGCCGCTGTATATCTCTAAATTTATTGACAATCACACGTATACCGGCAAGTTTATAGATCATCGATTTATGTCGATTTCAAACATTTTCTAGGGCTAGGTTATCTGATGTCTAATGGTGACGTCGGGGTGTGGAAAGCAGGCGGATTTCAAGTTCTAGAGCACGGTCCAGACAAATCATTGGAAATTCGATACAGAGGCGAAAAATGGGAGACGATTCCTGAGTGGTACTTTAATGACAACCCAGAGTGCTTGAACGAAAGCTTAGCTGAAATCGAGTCGATGAGAAACGGCATGGGAAAGCTACAAAACGCAGTCACGTGTCTCCGAGGGCGAGTGGCAATGAAGCCTCCGACCCATCTAGTCTACTGTAAGAGGCTAGGGCTTCGTGCGATTGTGTTCTTCTTCTCGAATGGTGACTACCAAGTGAACTTCTTAGAGCCAGCCTCTAAGCGTATGAAGATCATTGGATCGAAGGTATCTTTTTTCTCTCTTCATGTTGATAAGTGTTCACTAGAATGGTATTTGCCTTATTGACAGGCAACGAAAAAAACACTACAAGAGCTGGGACAGCCTGAACGAACACGAGCGAATCGTCATCGACACAGAAGAAGCCATAAACGACAGTGATTTCAAATCATTAATAGAAAACGCGCACCAAGAGCTTTTACTTAACAAAGTATACAAGTCGGAAACGGCCGGAATAATCATTTTTACAGAGAAAAGCCGAGCGAAATGGAGGTGGCCACGACTGCATCAGTCTTAATTGTAGACTTTTGCCGAAAATCGTCATTCTGTAACTTTTCCTGCACAGATAACGTCCGATTTCTGATCCGTCAAACAATCGTTTACTTTTAATAAATAATAATTTTCCTGAATTGAAGAGGCCATTTCATAAATACTTCTGTTTTGTAAATTAACGAAAAAGGCGCTGGGTTCAGTCGCAGCCAATTTATCGTGAACATACATGCCAGAAATAACAAGCCACCGAAAGCTCAACTAAAACAGGGTGGCGTTCTCTTCTCTGTTTGAAAGGACAACCGTGTTTTTTGGTTTGCGGAGTCGTTTTGGTTAAAATATTTAACGTTTAAAAGATATCTGACGAAAACCACTATATTTAAGCGAGCATAAGCAAAGTTCGTTTCTGCGGCAATGCGAGCTTTCATTAACTCTCTGTACTCGTTTATGAATACTTCTGCATCATGGCTGCATGGCTAAGGGACGCATGATAATGTCATTAAAATAATTCAATAAATCATTGAGTGTTTCTGTGCGTAATAATCAGCTTTGTGCAGACAACAAACAGGCAATTAAACTAAATTAAATGTCACGTTTTTTTTGTGATCGACATCTTTTCGGACAGTTTTTGGTGGCACCTTACTAGTACTATATTTTATACAGATATGATATCTTACGATATATATACGATATCTGAGATATCGAAAACAACAATTTGCTATCTATTTGGATCGATAAGAAAAAAATGCTATCCTACTATGTCTCAAATACTTCTTATCAAGGTAAAATCTTCACCTGCATCCCGCTGAGATCTCCCGTCTCACGCTGAGATTTCCGGTATGCTGGCGCTCTATTGCTCCAAGACCGGATATATATCAGATTCACCATCGTCAGAATTCATAAACATGATTCCAAAATTGACGCCAGAACAAGAGTCCTCTCTAAATACTTGGTTTGAAATAAATCAACGCCCAACAAAGAAAGAAAAGGCAAGCATGTGTCAACTGCTCGAACTTTCAGAGAAGGAGGTCGATCGATGGTATCGGGAAAAGAGATATTTCTTCAAAAGATCGCTTCCTTCTAAGCAAAAAATAGATGAAATGAAGACCGGCCTTGACCTTCACATCAAGAGAATATCAAAATCTCGAGAGATTTTCTACCAAATGAAGAGGAAATACAACAAAACATCGGTCACACGAGATCTTGAAGCGAACGTCAAAAATATATCCTCATTTGACGATTTCTCGGAAGATGTGTCATCCTTCAAGCTTCTAGAGGAGGAATATAGCATTAAAACGAATTTCGACGATGCCGACTTTCTCCCGAATCTTTCCGCGATTCAAAACGATGATGCTCACCGAGAAGAAGAGTCCTCGTTTCATCTCCTTTCAGAAGAAAGTTTCCCCATCTGTCTCTTCCCCTTCTTCTATTTTTGTACGTAAACCGAAAATAAATTCAGAAATCTGAAAAAAGATATATGAACGTAAAAATTTCATTTTCTGCGAGCCTCCCCGTAATTAAATTGGAAAAAAAAAATTTCTTTGAGAAACATCGCCGGCAAATAATATCATCTCGGCTCTGATACCAAAACATTGGAATGATTTTCAAATAATATTGTAGAGTGCTCAAAATGAGCTGTGATCTGATTCCATTAGGGAGAGCTCACTTAGACGAGTTTACGTTAAAATCAAACAGGGCAAGAATTTTTCACGTTTTCGCTTGGCTTTATTTAATTTAAGATTTGGCGATGTAGCTGATCAAAATATGCGTCTGAAATGAAACTAAAGTTTCTGTACCTGCGCATACAAAACATCGAAAATTTCTGATATTAAATTTCACAACCAAATGGCGACGTTTGAATTTGTGGGTCTATGTCCGATGCTAGCATCGTAGTTGTCGAGAAGTTTTTAGACCTTGAATCATTGGTTCCGAAAGAAGTTCTTGATTATTTTCTATCCTCGGACGTTCGTGCGGCCAACGTTTGTCAAAACAGTTTCAAAAATTTTTAGTTTCCGAAAACAAACTGCTGCGGAAAAAACGGTTCGCTCTACGGGCTAAAACATATTAAAACGTCAAATAAAATATTCTGTTGGCGGCATTTCGGGGATATTATGGAAACATGCTAATGCACCAAGTTGGTGCCAACAACAATTGGAGATTGCTCCTCATCATTTTGGACTGGACAAGGTACTTAGTATCACTAATTTGATCCCCGATCGTGTCATATTTGATTATTTCTGTCCATTTATTATCTTTTTCATTGCTCGAAGGTCCAAAAAATATTTCTTCATACACGTGGAGTTTCTCTTTCAGAAGATAAAAATGAATCTACAGTGAATCTCTTCAGGGGTTGTTCGAATTCGGAATTTCCTTCGCCATGCACTGCGAAATTATGATCTCATCTTCTTCGTCCAAGTCGGAAAGATCGTCGTCAGTCTTTGTGGTGGGAAGCTGACCGTAAGCGCCCGATTGCGAGCAGTTTCGATGGAAATGCACACTAAAGGAAATTTAAAACAACCATGCATACTTTTCTGTGTCACCTGGTGTTTGTCTCCACTAACGCGTCCAGATCGTCCGGTCTATCCTGTCGCCAGAAATAGATTTTTCCGAGTATTTTCTCCCGAAAGTGGAAGAGTGCGGCTAAGAAAGAAACGATCACAAGGGCGACGAAAAACTTCTTGTAGCTTCCATAAGACAAGTCATCATTTATGTCCTCTGTGATGACTTCGTTGCTATCCATTTAAAACCTCAAAAATTTTCTGCGTTGGCTGGACAAAAAGAAAGAGAGAGGGATTTTATACACTGAAAGAAAAGTAAACAAAATGAAGGCGGAGGGATGAGGGAGGGATATCACACCACCCTGAAAATATATGCGAAAGGTTAAGACAATGAAGGCACCTTAGTGATTATAAATTAGATTAATGAAATTTTTTCTAAATAAGAACTTTTTTTCGTGCAAGTGAATGTCAAATGAGGATTTTGTCAGATGACTGCAATCGAGTGAATCGTCTATCTTTTATGTTTCTGCAAAACGCAAAGTCAGCTTTGTTAGTTTCAGCGCTCAATATATGCTTGTTTTGTACTTATTTATGCATCTTTGTTGACAGGCCGAAATCCAGGAAATCAGCTGTTCAAGAATAATTTTAAATAGGGAAGTTCCTACTTATCATCAGGCGACAATTAAGGAGCTAAAGGCCACTAGGAACAAATATAATTGAGTTTTGAATAAAGCACGAAAAAGAGGCACGTAATACTAGATTTAATATTTGACAAAGTGTAGTTGTTCAAACAAATCAAAAACCATTCCCAATTTTCCGATTGATACTTTTAAAGCATATTTACATCTTAAACAATTAATTTTATTTGTTAGATTTTGAATACAAAACCTAGTTTAAATCTGGTGAAACGGAATGCGCAGTCTTGCTAATAATATTTTACAGCAGTAAATCTATTCCAAGAGCGACAAAATATGCGACAGGGCCAATATTTGCGCTCTTTTGCCATTTCAAATAAAAATGAATAAGAGTCTCGCGTCGTCCTTGCCAAGCTCAAGCTCAAAAGAGCATCACCTCCACCACTAGTAGTATTTTTAACTCGTTGAATTTTCAGAGATTGAGTTTTAACGTAATTGACAACAGAACGCTAGAAGACTGCGGTAAACTATGGCTGGCTGGCACGTGGTCGAGAGTTATCTCGAGCAAACAGGAAAACACTCGACACTCGTCGGGAAGTACTGGATCTCAACCTTTTTAGCTCTGAGGTGAGTTTCATTAAGGAGGTCAGATTGAATTGACTTATTAGACTCCTGCTGCTCTGTTCAATCGTTGACGATGCTTTTGGTGATACTGATTTGGAATGCGATACTAAAACGCCCGGTTGCGAACGAATGTGCATCAACCATTTTTATCCACTGAAACCACAGTCCTACTGGAGCATCCAAATGCTTTTCATCTCCCTCCCAATCATGATCTTCATGGTTTATACAAGGTAAGTTGTCAAGTATAACCTTTTCAGTAGCTCTGACATTCAGCCATAAACAAGAAAAGATTGCGATTGCGCGACAGCTGAAACGGGCGCACATCAACAAAGAAAAAGAAGAGATCGAGAAGCAATTCACGGAAAAGATCAAACAGCTTGAAGACGATCGAGAAACTCTGCAGAAGAAGCGCGATGTTGCTGATCAGGAAAGAGACAAATTGATTAGTGATAAAGCGTGGTGTTCGTTAGGACAATGTTTTCAATAGAAATGTGCTGCTTTCCATAAGCACGATTAAATTAAATTAAGCTCAAAGTAGCGGTTCGAAGATCTTTTGACTCTAATAATAGCTTTACGAAACTCCGCAAGGAAAACGAATGACTGGTGCTGAGTTAGAACGACTCTTCACTGAAGAAGAAAATAGACTCAACGAGCTCCAGAAGCAAGCGGTCGAAAACTTGACGAAGGCTGAAAAGAAGGAAGAAGACACCGATGACTGCGCAACAAAATCATCCGGCAGCGATAACTCGACTCCACCAAAGCTCTTCCTCGGCTATGTTTCAATGGTACGCTTTGATTAGTGACTAAACAGACATTGGCGTCGGGTGAATTACGCGCGCGTGACAGCCACAGAACTACTCTGCAAATACAAGCCACTCGAACAAAGATCTCAATAAGCCGAGCTGGGTCTCGATTAACTTCCATCTTTGAACAATGCCGCTAGAATTCTAATCTTAACTATGTATTCAGGTATTCTTCCGAACTCTCATCGAAGCTCTTTTCCTCGCCTACTACTTCCAAATCTACGCCTGGAAAATGGTGATGCCCGAGACATACCAATGCGACCGAGAACCATGCAACGATGTAGTCACCTGCTACGTCGAGCGGCCTCACCAAAAAACCATTGTCATTTGGATTATGTTCATGACCGGTTGCTGCACCGTTTTTGTTGGCATTCTTGAGCTCTTTAGCTGTGGATTCTCGAAAATCGCTGATGCATGGAACAACAGACATGATGATATTACAAAAGTAACTCGACCACCCTATATGATTATTGTAATGCGTATTTCAGGAGTACAAAGTCGGCCAAATGAGCAACGTCAAGATGGCTCTGCAATACCAGGCAGCAATTGGAGGCCCAGTACCATCTCTTCAGACAAGCTAAGAGCACCCTCCCACTACTTCTTCCCAGTCTCTGGATGACCCTTACTTCTACTTAGACATTTATTGAATGCGAATTTATTAAAGATGAAATAAACTTTTTACACGAGTTCATTCACCTTTTTTGTTAGTTATAAAAATATATCTTTATTCAAAAAGTAAGTTGACAATATATCTTCAAACAGGATTATAGGACGCGGCGTGAAACATCTAAACTTTACATGCCAACAGGTTTTTCTTTGGAACGTTCGTCTTGAGAGTTCATGAATTTTTGAAACTCAGCGAGCTCTCTATCTCTGGCAATAGCGTTGAGGGCATAAATGGCTTCTCTTAAAGTTTTTAAGTTTTATAAAACTGTGATCAACAACATACAGGTATATGAATGAGCAAGAGGCATTTACCTTTGTTTTTCGTAAAGCTTCTGTTTGTCAGGGTCTATGAATACTTTTCCTGACACTGTTGAAGAATAAGTTTCTTTCGATGTTGATCGTCTGTTCATTCTAAGGCAAAAGGATGCGACATGAATATAGAATAAGGCAATTATTAAATATTAGAAAGAAACTGTTTTACAGTTATCTTAGGTCATGACATGGCTTGAAGTACCAAGGAAGAAAATCAACAGAAAAGAATTTGTTTGTGGAATCAGAGGTAAAATTGTTAAGAAATTGCGAGTAATGAAGCGGATGAAGCAGAAGTTTCAGAAGTATTCAGTTTGACTCGATCTTGACAGCGAAGAAAGCGGCAAGGAAAAATATGGCTGAAATGAACTGGAAACCAGGAATCATGATGAGCAAAGAATAGTGGTATGAGAAAAACGTATTCAATACGACGATTAGCGATGGAAGGTTGCCACAGACTAATCTCAAAGTGAACAATGTGTACCCGATCGCCTTTAAATTTAGTCAGCATTAAATGAACCATTATTGAGACTGACCTGGCCTTGAATCGACGACTCAAAGAGAGAGGAAAAGGCAATAAGAAAGACGCCGAACCACATTTCCAGACAGAAATAGGCAACATAGAGAAGGATGAAGCAATAAGGAGGCTCTATGGATAGAACAATCGCCATGAGAGGAGCGCCGAGAAACTGACTGATGAATAAAATGAAGAGCGCCCCCTTTGGCCCAGTGAATGTCTTATTCTTGTTAATCCAGTCTGTCAACAAGCCACCAAAAAAGAACCCGCAACACCGGCAAGAATGGGGTTCCAGAAAAGATATTTTTCCGAGTTTTCAAAGTTCTAAATCTCATGTTAATAGATTTTTATCTAGCTAATAGATACCTTGTAATCTGCGAAATATTTCACTTGATTGATTCCAAGTGTAAAGCCCGCCGTGTGTCTAAAGATTGCGCCGACAAAAATAAGAATTGTTGCTGGTTTTAGTAAGACTTGCAATATTTGTGAGAGATTCTCTTTCCAATCACTATCTTCGGCATTAGTTTCAGCCTCGTTTAAGTTTGACTTTTCCTCCTCCTTGATTATTGAAGTATTTTCCTTTTCTTGATTTATGACAATAAATTTGGACATGATCAACAGAGCGACAGCACTCGTGGCGCAGCAAATACCAATAATGTAATAACTCCAGCGGAAAGAGTCCTTGGTCAAAAGAGCTAGCAGAATTGTGATTGCATACGCCAAATACATTGCCCAGTTAAAGATACCCATCGCCTTTGAAGTGTTTTTGACAAATATGTACTTTATGATAACCATCGAGATTGGCTGTGTGCATCCCTCAAAAAGACCTCCTAGGACGCGAATAGCAGCCAGAACAGGGAATGATTTCGCCATTGGAAACAGAAATTGAGAAAGCGATAATACGGCCATGGCAGAAGCAAGCCAAAAGAGCCGAAATCGCGAGTCGGCAGCATAGCCAGATAACACTGTAGATATAGATATTGGAACAATGTAAAGAACTGTGAAGATCATCTGCATTGGCTCCTCATTTTCAAATGAACACTCGCATTCCGGAGCTTCACAAACAGTTCCGTTTTGAACCAGATTACCATCGTTGTCCAGTTGACAACTATATATATTTTATTTTTTGATTCCAAATCTACAATCGAAAGCAAGTAACAAAGAGACAACGTACTTGTAACCGCCTGTGCCAGTTGCAGCCGCTAGCCTCGCAGAATTCATCATAGGTTGCCAGACTGTCATTTGTGAACATAAGAAGGTAAAAGTCAAAATACCAAGCGTCAGTCCTTTTACCCCCTTGCTCGCCATTCTGAAAATCGCAAATTTGTTAGTTTTTAGTCTTCTTTTCTATAAAAAGGATAATATTATACAGATTTAAATAATAAAATTTAGCCTCGCTTATTTCTGCGAGAAGCTCTCTTTCGTTTATTCAAAAGATCATTAATCTCTTTTTGCTTTGCGATCGAGGAATCTAGGTTTTCGTAATCGATTCCAGATGCGAATCGAGTAAGGTAGTCATAGTCATCCTCGGTCACGTTATGCTGATCATGGGTGCGATTCGGTAATAGATATTTGTTGATAGAATCCTTATATTTTCATCTAAACGAAATACGGTCATCAGAATAAAAAAAAATTGCTGAATCGAGAACCCTGCCTGATCCCACAAAAGACGGCGCCCATTTACGATGAAGCTCGTAAGTGCCTCTGGGTTATCAGGAAAAGCAACTTCTTTCGTCTATTGAGATTATATATAGAACGAACGAATGGAAATTCCCCTAGGGAATAAAAATATAGACGTACCGTGAAGGTAGTCTTCCTTGTTGTCCAAAGAGATGGTGACAGTGTTAAAACTTCGTATTTCTCGTCTTCTTCAAACTGGTTGTAAACTTTCATTTGAAAAATGTATCGTTTTGCTGTGTGGTAAAAAATGACGGGAATTATAAATTGAACGGCGGTTAAAGTGAGTACTGAATACTTATTTCATCATATGGTTTCATAGTACGAAGGCTAAAGCGCACCTTTACGAGAGGAGCTAGGGCCATGATTTTGGTCCATTTGATGGCGATGGTAGCGCCGAGAGCGGGTGGCACGACAGAGAGACTCTTTGAAATCGTCTTCACCCGCTGGGCAGCTGCGCCAACATAAACGATTCTCGACATCCTGAATTTGTTAATAAGTAGAAAATCACAGCTTGCATACTGATCAAACAATTTACTTCAACGCAGTTCTTATGGTATAGAAGGTGATAAATGCGGTAAGGGACCACCATTGAATACAGTAAATTAAGTGATTATTAGAGAATGATAATTTTGTTTGACCACCAATCGGTCCTCCGGGCAAAGTTGATTCGCGATCCAGGTCAATAAAAATCTCCTCCGTATCGAGATCCTTTGACATGTTTGTAACATCGCGTACTAGATAGTCTATAATTTAGTCACTTGCGAATAAACACGGGTAATCAACCTTTGTAAGTTCCGTCGTCGCGTGGTTTTTGACCATGAAGTTTAATCACGTCATCGTCAAGTCTGATAATTCCTCCGATGGAATGTGTGTCGCTCGACTGTCCCTTGTCGCGAAATGATCTTTCAACACGATCTAGCGACACGAATCCTCTGTTGACAAGGATTCTGCGTCCGTCTTCAGTCACAAAAGGAGAAATGACATGAGCCCCAGTTCGCATGGAAACGTTAATCTTGGAGAAATCCTCATCTTTGGCGGGAATAAACGTTCGAGGATGAATGATGCACTCTGGTGATTCGCTATCATATTTGCCCGATAGTCGTATTCGTCGAAACTCGTACTCTTCGCGTTTTGCCGCAAAGTCGGAAGGAATGCCGTCAAGAGGTTCCATCAAGGGCCTCTCTTCTGATCTCTTGATAATTCCCTCTTTCCAATCACGCCTGTTATACTGCCAGTGACCGAGTTTCGCTGTCAACGGAATGCCAAAAATTCCGGGCCAATACTTTATCAAGAGTTTTAAGCCCATCTTTTTCTAAATCAAAAGACTCGATGAATGTTTAAAAATAATAAAAATGATCTTTATAGTATAAAAATAAAATGTCAGAGTCGGACAAAGATGAAGTGGAAAGAGTTCGCTTGAAGTAAAAAAGTGGCATGTAAGTTCAACTATGGCTTTTCTCGTTGTTTTCATCGGTGCCCAAATCTTGTTGTGAAGCTTGGGCCAGTTCGCAGAGTTTCTCGGGCGTCTAATTAAGTGTTAGAAAAAAGTTTTTTTTTGTCAAATAATCAGATCCGGAGGACTTCGGAAATGATTGAATGGGTGAGTCCTATAATAAGCTTATTATAGGGAAATTACCATTATGGAACTGAAGATTGAAGGTATGAACTGGAGGCTAAAACGAGCTACTTTACAATCTATTCTACGAGTAAAAATTTGGCACCTTTATGCGGGGCAGTACGCTTGGCTTTTTTTCAATACTTCTCGCTTTGAAACTGCGCGTATGCTTACTCGATGATGAAGGATTAACAAATCGGTCGCTGCATGTTCTTGAGGCTATAGGCCGCGACAATCGCCCAGGTGGTACTTCCTTTACTGGTGGAGTGCGGACAACTTTGGTTCCGGAAGCCACAGGTAGGCTTCGTTCGAACCGTTTTGGCTTCTCATATTGCGATAGACGGTCGAGACTTAGTCCAGACGAGACATTTTTGGAGGTGATTTTCCTTCTTTGACTTGGATTCGATCGTTGAATTTCCACCTGTCGTGAGATTTGACCTCGAAGAGATTTCACTTGCTGTGGGGCAACGCGCGGAATAGGATTCACAGTGAAAACATCTAAGAAAAGATATAGTTACGAATTAAAGCATACGAACTACCTAACACCCCACAGAGAAGACCACGGCCGACTTCTGCATAGTGATCTGGTGTATACTTGACCAGAGGTGCGGGAGGAATTGGCGGTGTTAATGCGCCGTCTCGGGAAGAAATCGCATTCTGGTATCGTCCAGTGTTGTAGTTGCACTCAAGCGTGTAGATATGAGGCGATCCCGTCAAGTAGTAAAATGCAACGCGACAGGATCCCTCTTTACTCAGCTGATCTCGCTTATCCTTCATATTCATATTTCGCTGGCTAGAAAATTAAATAAACAAATTGAAAATTGGAGGTGGCAAACCTAAAACAACAAGCATCAAAGTCCATGTGAGCGGAATTCGCCGCCGTAAGTCTAGCATAGCATAGTGTTTCGGCATGATAATCTGCTAATTTTAGACGATTTCCGAAAAGGAAGGCGCCCCTCTTCGCGGCATGAGCATGAAGATCAATCAAAAATCCAACTCCAGATTCTTTGTCTTCAACGAGAGAATCGTAGTCCTGTGCCGTTGAGTCGATATCGTTTGGGATATCTTTTCCGTCAAGACGGTAATTCCGGTGCAAATAATAGATAAGTTGACGATAGGCAAAACACTGCGGCTGTAGTGATACGTCAGGATTCAAATAAAAACGGTTGAGATTTTGGCCACGTGCGTCAGTTCTATAATGACCACGAACCACTCCATCAGGATTGAGAATAGGGATGATCTTGAAGACGTAACGGCTTCTTAATGTTGCTGAACGCTTATCGTCTGTCCGCAAAATGAAATCGACCATTCCTCGCAAAACATGAGAGGCGGGCGTTTCTCCTGGGTGCACACGAGCGGAAATCATGAATGCTTTTTGTCCTTAAATTTTTTTGCAGGTCGATTTTTTCTTGTTGTTGAAAGACCACTTTTGTTTTCTTCCGCATCGTTGTTATTCTCTTCATCTGCTCTTTCTGGGAACGGTGGTGGTAGGTTATGCGCAAAGTTTGGCTCCACTTCATCAGTAATACCCTCTGCTGAGCTTATCGTTAAAAGCTCTACTGGACGGCCGTCGATCGACCTGCAGAGGATTTCCCTGTGAAAGTAGATGTCTGAGGAAGAGTGCTCTTCCGGAAAGCGATGCTTCTTTTCTAATTTGTCAATCCATTTTGTGGTATCTTCGACCGAACATGGGTATGAAAAACTAATGCAATAGTTAACTATTGATGTGGCACAGAACAAAGCAACCTGAAATAAACATCTTCTGCTGTAGTAAAAGTGTGCCAAAATGACATGAGAAAGACGCCATCGCTCGTGTGGGAGAAGACAGAGCAAACCCTATTCCATCGCTCTGGTTCTAGCATGATATTCGGCATTTCGGTCCCTTGTTGATGCACCATGAAAACAGGCGCCATTCCTTGGTTGTAAAGCTTTTGGTGACGATTCAAGTTCATCATGTTGAATCGTACAGTTTTTCCATGGGCGCCAGTAACACGAAAATGGAACCAAGATTTATTACCATTTTCGAACTCTGTGCCAGCCATATCTGGCGCCACGACGCAACGAAATTCGAGATCGACTTCTGGTCGGCGGCCTTGGCGGCGATCCACTGCATCCTCGTCCGACAGAGGATTATCTTAGCATTTTGATTAGAAATTCTCTTCATTGTTTTCAAATTAATTTACCATTGAGCTCAATTGACTTCAGATTTCCGGAGTCAAAACATGAGCTAATCTCAACACCATCGATGAGCCAATTTCCTTTGCCTGGGTAGCTCATAAAACCGAGATCACTTGAAAGATCTATAAAATGCGCAGTTTATTAAAAACTATAAAACTGAATGTTTAAATTCACCTAATAGTGGCGTACCGGGGGCATTGTAGAATTCGCGTAAATTGTCAAAAATTAAGCTCGCGAGAGGTTTATAAATCGACGTAACAAGAGCGAGAATGGGTCCGTAAATATAAATGAAAAATAATAACTTTGAAATAGAACTCTATTCGTGCCGATTTCGGACCCAACCAGATTGTGGTCGAGGACAAGGAGAGTCACTCCTGCTTTGAACTGACGAGGTTATTGTCGAATTCGTTGAGCGCGAAAAATATCGAGATGATGATCTCGATAGAGCTGAGAGATCGATACAAAATAAGAAATTTATTAATTAAAATCCACTATGTAAATATTCGACCTTCTTATCTGAAAATACTCGAGGTGTCTTCGCTTCATTCTCTAGCGGGTTTTCCACTCTTGGCCTGTTAAATGCTCTAGCTGTTACTCGGTCAACCATTATTACGCGAAAAGGGCACGGGAGAAATGCACATGCGCAGGATAATCGGTGCGTTCATAATTAAAATCCTTCCTTTTCGAAGGAATACGTAAGAATTAATAGCTGGTTTGTGAAGAAGTTGTTTATTAGAAGTTATGCCTGTAAATATCAGGAACAGGCTCGGGCGACCATTCAGCTAAAATTTTTTCACAGAATTCCGAACGTCGCGCAGGGTGGTTAGGTGCATTTTTCTTAGGTCCTTCGCCGGGCTTCTTGTTCACATCGTAAACACCACGGACAACTCGGAGCTTGATTCCAATCAAATCACGCTTCGGATGGAAGTATAGCAACACGCGGGAATGCTCGGTCACGTTGTGGTTTTCCATCGGAATATATGCTAGAAATAAAATAAGTACATCGTGTTTTAATCGACAGTAGAACATGTCATATGATCTTGGAAATGATCCTGAGCGTCTGAAAAAGATTATACTTTGATAATAATCGGCGCGCTTTGCAAATTTTGACAGTTTTTGCGCGATCAGATAATTTAGGTATAAAAACGATCCCTAACGACAAAGTTACACCAGAGTAGAAAATACTAATCTGCAATGCTGAAGAGTTTGCGAAAATTTCTTTTCCCGCCTAATAACCCTGCCGTGGAAAATGAGGAGACACAGCCTGGAGGTAAGACTGAACTGTAGCTAATAATTTAAGCAACGATAATTTAAGGGAATAATAACAGGAATCTACAGGCTGAGGTCGATTCTCTTAGATGGCAGTTGGACCAGATGAGGAGCAAAATCTCAGCACTTCAAGAAGGCCTAAACAAAAAGATCTTGGCTGAAGAAGCATACGAAGAGAAGATCGAGCTTCTTCAAAGAAAAAATGAGGAGCTCCGCTTTCGAAACGAGATGCTTCAAGATCGCCTCGAATAAACGGCCAATATTATCAAACCGTCATTTGTTGTTTTTGTTTTGTTCTAGCAGGAAAAGTTGAAATACCTAATCGATGCTGAGTCTTTTCATTGGGCTCGCCACCTAGCAGGCGAACTTTGCAGATCTTTCTGTTGCCCGAGTTCGGTTTCTTCGGTTTAATTGTGTAGACTTTCGTTACTATTCCCGTTCGAAACTCTTGATCATTCATTAGCTGTCGCTTTTTCCATTCACGCCTCTTAAAATTCATCGTACGTTAATCAATTCTGATGCTCGAAGCGTACCCTCATCATTCGTCGTTCGCCCGTTTTTATCTGGTTCTTTTCTTCAATAAACTTTACTCTATAATGCAGCTCTTTTTCGTCGAAGCCGGTTCTAGGAAATATTCGCTGAAGATTACGAAGTGATCCAGATATTACTTTCTGTGTCGAGCGAGAAGAGTATCTGGAAGATAGATACCATGCTTGGAGTACTTCAATTTCTTCCAAATTAGATGCTTCTCTACAGGCGGCGTTACTGTCAACTTGCGCATATTATTCGTTAAAGCTGTGAGCTGTCTGCATGCGCTCAACATCGATTTCGTCATTTCAGCCTGAACGCTAAGTTTAAATTTTCAAGATGAAATGGAACGCATTTATTTAATAGAAAACGGACATATTGTTCAGGGTGGAACATTCGGCCGGGCAAACTCGGGCAAATTGGTCGGCGCCGGGCAACGGCGGGCAAACGGCCGGCGCGATGGTCATATTTTGGGTTAAAAAACGGGCAACTTCGGGCAGTCGGGCAAAGTCGGCGCCCGAAAAAGACACCATCGGCCGGGCAAAAACGGCGCCCTGAAAAAGTCGGCGGGCGGGCAAAAAAGTCGGCCGGCTAACCAGGGAAGCACTAATACTAACTTTTTCAATCCACTACTCTCGATTATTGTTAATTATTATTAAGGGCTTTTCCTTTTTAGGGTCGACATGTTTGTCATACGGTGAAATTATCCTCCTTTTTATAAAAGAATGACTTTCTACTGCCTAACCGGGTTCATATCACGAAATTTTTATATTCACTTCTTTCTTAGTCGAGTAAATCGGCGTCCTAATTTTGTCCATAAAATATCGGCGCCGAGATTATTGCTGGCGGCCGGGCAGAAATCGGCGCCGGAGTAAAGTCGGGCAAAAATCGGCGCCGGACAAAAATCGGGCAGAAATCTGCGCCGGGCAAAGTCGGGCGTCCGAAATTTCGCCGGTTTTTCCCGGCGCCGATGAAAATTTCCGGGCATCGGCGGGCAATCGGCCGGCCAGACCCAAAATTTTTGCCCGAATGTTCCACCCTGATATTGTTTAAATTATGAAGATAAATGAGGTAACAGGAGCAGTTAAGTTCAATTCATCACAATGAAGCCTTTTGGACAGGCACACATTTATAAGTGCGCTAAACTAGATTTTAAAAATAATGTGGATCCGAAATACAAGTCCTTTCAGAGTATATTATTCCTTTGTCCGTTATAAATTTCTACTTGTTATCAAAATCCTATTTCACCACATACCATAAATTAACAAACAATATTTCGAGAGCTTTCTTAACTACAAGAAAGTCTAAAAACTATTAGGAGCTCCTCTTTTATTCAACAATGCGTTTTATCTTTTAAGTGTGTCCCGCACACCAATATATCAATTCTACACGCCATCAATTCGTTCGCTCTAGAGAAGGTTTGCAAAAAAGTAAAGAGAAATTAATCTTTTCAGTCAGGATATCTATTTCTTCTTGGAATATGCCAGTTTACGTTTGGTGCGATTCGAGTCTCCGCTGGCAGCTGGTTGCGACGGCAGTTTTCGGGCTTTATGGCGATTGAGATTTATCGGGGCTGGGCCGATTATCAGCTCTTTAACAGTTCCAACCTAGAACATTGGAGACGAAAGAATAAAATGGGAACATTTACCGCTTTGGTTCGACCTTCTCTGAAAACGAATCTTCTTTCAGGAACCAGCCACTCTGGGTTTTTAACGAAGCGGAAGTGCACCATTGCTTTGTCGCCTGTTCTAAGCGCTTCAGTCGACATTGAAGTAATTTGGGCAGTTTGACGTACAGCTCCAACGTGAACCATCGCCTAGAAAATCCTTGAGTTGACTAAATTAAGATGAGCAAACGTACTTGGTAATTGGTCATTATTGTCGTGGGATGATGCAAGATAACGACTTCCCCTTTAAACTCCCAAACTGCTTTTGGCGATTGCTCGTCAAGCCCCAAGAGAACAGTTCCCTTTCGCAGATCCTTGCGTTTTACTTTCTTGAGCGCAAAGGCTGCTGCCTGGCCGGCGCAAACTTCTGTTACTGGCAGCCGTTTTCGATGGATAGACTAAAATTCCATTCGCTCAAATTGAATAATCTCCGATTACCTTTATAACAACATGTTCGAATTTGCCATTCGAGTCCGGTCCCATCTGAAGCGTTTGTCCAGCTGTGACGATTCCAGAAAGTAGAGTGCCTGACGCAACGGTTCCTACTCCAGGCACAGAGAAGACGTCATCGACGGAGAATTCTGCCTTGTCAGTTTTCTAAAAGGATGATTAAGAACATATTTTTATCCAAATAATACCTTTCCAGTTGGTATGCGCGGTTGGAGCAAATTAAAAAATACTTTGAGATTGTCAAGTCCGTCGCCAGTTACGGAGCTGACTTTAAAGATAGGCGCGACTCTTTCAGAGCAAAAGTTTTGAGCAGCAATAACTGAAATATTTCTACAGATGGCTTTTCGCTGAGAGGCGCTTACCAGCATGTTTGTGCTCTTGCACAAGGAGGGGAATCTTCTTCACGCCACTAGACTTAAGAAGCTTGGCGAGGACAGACAATGTTTCCTTCAAAACATTAGGAGGACACATGTCGATCTTCGTGACAACGCACATGACTGGCAAGTTGAGCGCCAAGGCAAGACCTTCAGATTTTTTAGACAATATAGAGCTCGCCAGCCTTACCGAGATGCTCTTTAGCCATTCCAATGAAACCGGCATTTGAGCCGACCACGATCAAACAGAAATCGGGCAAATGTCCTGTCAAGCCGAAGACAGTTGTTTTCAGATACTTCTCATGGCCGGCCAAATCTACAAAGGTCAGTACTTTTGAGCTCTTACTGCAAATGTCTGTCCAGTCGAGAGTTGATCCATGCGAGGGAGTATTCACTACTTTTCCATCGGAATCGAACCCCAGAATCTCGTTACCGACTACAACGAGTTTAAATGGAAACCAAAGACAAACGTGAGTTACCGGAGGAAGTTCTTCCCGATTCTATTTCGTGCTTATGGCGAAATAATTTCTGCCGCGCGGCACCTCTTCCGTTGTCCAGACAATTGTGAGTTAGTACACCAAGTAAGGTCGATTTTCCAGCGTCGACATTTCCAACAACTGCAACACGCACTTCACAAAAATCGGATTCATCCTCCAGTCTTTTTCGAAGAAGAAAATCGCGCACCTCGCGTCCGTTCTGGAGTGTTTTCGTTCTTAGGAGGGAAAGCTTGCAGTTAATTTCTTCCGAGATTTTGGTGAGATTTGTCTCTGCTTTGTCAGCTTCGTCTTTGGGAAGACCTTCTGCATCATCATCCTCAGTTCCAATTCCGATAGAAACAAGCGTTTCGCCTCGTCCGTACAATTCTATAGGTGAAGATAGTAGCTGAAGCGGATTTTTATAATTTACCAGATTTCAATTTGTAAATGTAGCCATTGAGGACCTCTTCCGTCGGGTCTACCAACAGGCGTTTGTCCGTCAAGTCCTGGAACTGTTCGAAGTTTGAAGAAATCGGCTCGCTACTCATATTGCAATTTTCATCACGCTCCCAGTCTGAATTATTCCGAGCGTTATGATTAGCTAAACCCGCTGCGACGATGGGAATAAAAAAAAAAGCGCTATTTGGACAGAACGAGCACCGCTCATGGTTTATTTGCAAAAGACTACTGTAAGAAAATTCTTCTTCTCTCGAGTGCGCTTTTGTGGTTGCTGCGAGGTGCTCTGTAAGAATGAATCCAAGAGGGAACAGTAACATTATCTTTTTATTCTTTTTACACGAGTTAACCAAACGAACATTTTTCTTTCTTTTCAAATGTAAAATAAAATAAGTTATATTGACTAAGGCCAAAATAGTCGCTTCGACAAAACGGAAGGAACAATTTTCATCGAGTAGCAGTGATTGGAAAGCAGCACATGTTCAATGGCAAGTTAATTAGAGTTCTCAGGCCGTTGAGAGTCTATCGACGTACGTAAATTAGGAAAACAAATGTAGAATTGCTTTCAAGTCTTTTTACAGAAAGAAGTATTCTAAAATAAAAAAAGAAATATAGAAAATATGAAGTAATTTAGTAACGTAGATTTCCTTGTTAACGTTAAACGGAAGGTTTTATGAACTTTTTAAATACTCAAATAACTTAGTTGAGGAGAACGAACGGGAGAAGTGTAAATGAGGCGCATCTCCGAGTGGAATGAGACAGCTGATTTTGCTAGTTTCGGATAGTTATCGGCGGAAGAGGGGCCTGTTTCGGCTTTGGCTTCTGGCGCAGCGGGTGATCTAGTCCGATCCATATTCTGTTGTTAACGAGGGGCACGCCGCCGCACTCTTCTACTTGCAGCCCTTTCGTGTCAATTACTGTGTCCTCTTCTTCTTCCGTGTAATAACGAGGACGTGATGACTGTATAAGCGCAATCTTCCACTTTGCGAATTCCTCAAGTCCGAGTTAGTCCTTGAATTGAACTCATTGAGCTCTACCTTTTCGGAAACATTCAATTGCGACTTGATCTTGTCCCTGACACTTCTGATCGTGTCCCCGTGGCAAATCTTGACAAAGAACGGCGTGCCGAACGCGTTCTGGACTGAGCTGTGGAAGTGGCCCACTTGGATGAGAATTTCCCCGGGCGCGAAGGATCTCTAAAATTGTCCGTAAATTCACCTCGAAATCGCCAAAACGAAGATTACATGTGCCTCTGGGACTTCGTCGATTCTGATGTGTCGCTGATTGCTCGCACCGTGCGCCGCGTAGCTTGCAAATTCAACTTCTTTCGAATGAGCAAGAATGGTTATTATTCTTGTGTTAATGTACTAAAATAATCCCTGTTTTCTCCACCTGGATCGGATAAATATTTTACCTCAAGAATACGCAGCTCTGAATCACTGGCTAGGTCGGGAATTCTTGTGCGCACTTCGTCCAAAAGGTCTTTCATGGTAGATTTCGGATTCGCGTAAAGGATCATGTCAACTTCACGCATGTCTGCGAATAGGAACTTTATAGGTAGCTGGTTTTTTGTTTCGAATTGAGCAATGTCCATGCTGATTAACTAAACACTCTTGATATAGCAACAATGCCATGTATGAACTCACCTGATAGAACATTTTCTTTCTATTTTTCTTGCTTTCGCGTTCACCTTGCATGTACATCATGAAGCGCTTGTTGTTGGGGAGGTAGATGATATCTTCTATTGTGCGCTTTTCTGATCAATATTAAATAAGAAAGAACCGAAACTTTTGAACATTACCAGTGCTTTTGACTACTTGGCCGATGCCGTCTCGTGCGTACGGCGGAACTTTGAAGAATTGAATTCTCTTTGGATCCCTGTTGAGAACGCGGGCCACTTCACTCGCCATGTGCTGGTAATTCTAAAGAAAATAGAACTTTTTGCGCGCTGGCCGATGTTTTTTACCTCTCGCTGATTAAGCCTGACTACGAAGCCGGGATCATTGGGAATTTCAACATTGTGGAATACGACTTCATGACTGTTCGCTTGATCGCGGAAGTACTCGGCAACATTGCGAATACCAGAGGCTGGTTTCTCATTCGGATAAAGCTTCGGGTGTTTCTAAGATTAAATGGAACAGACTGAGAAATAAAAGCAAAGAGTTATTATGCCTGATATATTTACATAATCTACCTGAAATATCAAAACGACGCCGTCTTCGATATCGGCATCGTTTCCATTCGGCGAACCCGGACCTGTCGCCTTGAAAAAGGAGTGCTTCATTCATCGACGCGTTCAAGTCTTTCAGGTGAATGCAGTAGCCTAAATGCCGATCTTCAAACATGAGTATTTCGTCTTCTGCGGGTTGCTCATTCCAGAACGCCCTTCGCGTCATTTCTGGAATGAGATCTTTTAGCTTGGAGCTGATGGGCACGATCAGATGGCCGCAATAAGCAATAGTTCCGCTGTCCGGGTCGAAGAGACGAAGGAAGATCAGCAAATCTCTTTTAGTATAGAAGGACTAGATTATTTTGATATTAAAAAACTTTAGCAACGATAAATCGAACCTGAAGCTGGGCAGTCGCAACATTCGGTAGCTCGAGCCAGACTGTTGTAGAAGCATCTTGGCCATTCTGAATCGGCTAGTTGAGTTGAAATGATATTAATAATATATGATAAGTGCAATATAAATAAAGCAAATATAAAAGTGCATACAAATCTTACGTTTTTGTAATCGATACTCACTTGCGAGACGTACTTCTCCATATCATCTTCATCGATAAACTCTGGACGCCATGTCTCATGGTCCGCATTATTGCTGCGAATATACTTCCGTTTGAAAAACCAGATTCTGAACGTTTCTTCGTCACACCCAAGGTAATCGGCTAGCTTAACTTTCAGCTTCGCCCAGCTCAAGTCCTTCCTGGCTTTGATTGTCCTAAACTTATTAATACCCAAGCACACCAGATAAACGAACCTAAAACTGATACAGTCTGGATCGATTAGACCAGAGCCCTGATGTCCACCAAATTGCTCATCAGAAATGATATTCACCGTCATAAAATAGTGAGCTTCGTTCTTTTCTTTTCGCTTGATCGCTTCAATTTCCCTTTCTTCAGTGAATTTAGTTGCCAAATGCACAGGAATATCAGTCTTTTCGGACAATTCTTTCAAAAGTGTCACCAAACTTTTTCGCTAGTTAGTTTCAATGGTTATTCAAGCAATTTTGAGCGACCCTTTCCGAAAATAATACACGGCAATTGGCTCTTCCTGATGTAGACGAGCATGTAAGCGTTTGTGCACGATTTGACGAAACCATTCTTTTCGTCTGTGCCCCCAAAGTTGGAGAGAATGGCCTCCTTCGTGTTACAACATGCAACAACATCGTCATCGAACTTGAACCACTTTCCGTCTCCCTTAGGATTAATATAAGCCACGTAATGGCCACCATAATTGTCACCAGAATGCACGAGAACAGCATGTAGGACATAGTCGGCGGGGTCTACAAAATGTCTACTTCAATAAAGCTTGAAATAATAACCTTCAGGATTCGCCTCTTCTAAAAACTCATCGAGATTGATTTCTTCTCCAAACTCGATTCTGTCGTTTATTTTAATGTTTGAATCAGTCATCGGGTCATATCTGGGCTCGGCAACCTGAGTACAGGGTCAGGGTCAGGGTCAGGGTTAAAAATTTTTTCTTGATATTTACTCAGGAACTCAGGTCAGGGTTTCTCACTCAGTCAGGTACTCAGGGTACTCAGTCAGGCCTGCTCAGACTCAGGAACTCAGGTCAGGGTCAGGTGCCTGACTCAGGCCAAAACTCAGGGTTTTTCCACACATCAAAATTTTAACAATTTTATTTTTCGCAGATAACATATAACTTTTAATCACAAAATCGCCCATAATACGGAAAATCAAGTGACAGTTGTATTTTGACCCCCTTGACGTTGCAAATTGACCCTTTTTTGTGTTTTTTTTCGCTTACTCAGGCCCTGTGTGAGCAACTCAGGCCTGTCTTTTAACTCAGGTCAGGGTCAGGCTCAGGGTTTTTTTTCTCGGGCCTCGATTTTACTCAGGCACACAGGTCAGGCCCTGTGTACTCAGTACTCAGAGGCCTGACTCAGGGTTTTACTCAGGTCAGATTGCCGAGCCCAGGTCATATTGGAATCGCATCAACTGGATATGAAGAATAGGGGGAAAGTCCTTGAAGGTGACGCCTTTCTCGGCGTCCTGAAGTCCAAATTTACCAGCATCGAATTTATTGTCGCCTTCTAATAAGTCGGGCTTGACGTACTCCTGAAATACATCGTCGAGGAACTGCGGTAGAACGAGATCAATTACCTTGAAGGATTCAATGATGGACTTGTTGTTTTTGATGGGCAGTGATATATCGTAGTAGATTTCCTCGCGGCGGGACTGATAGTCAACATTTTTACACTTGATGTAAGAAATTGTTTTAGCTTCGAACAGATTATTGATAGTGCCTTCGACGCTAGTACCCTTCATCTTTGATTCCAGATTATCTGAAATAGAAGTTAGCGGGCCATGAATACGCTCATTAGTGACCTAGCAGAACGCGGCAAAACTCTTGTACATCATGTTGCATGAATGAATCCAGGCTTTCCCAGCCAAAAGATTTGGTCAGTTTCTTCGTGCCGACGGGTTTGTCTTGAGATTGAATCTCGTAAAAGACGCGCTGGAGAGCGAGTGGAACGGACTGTTCGTCAAAATCTGTAGGCATTTGGTAAACAGCGGAACGAAGTTTTGTGGTGAAGAAAAGGGTCTGGAGTAAGGAGTTCATGTAGCAAGTTGCACCCTGGTTTTGAGTCCCACGTAGCCTGTATGTTTCTTGCTGTCCCAGGCAATGCCATGCGGAGCATCGGCGCAGACTTCCGCCTCGAAGGTGAGAGTGTAGTCCGGAGAACAATATCCTTTCGAAGGGTCGGTCGCATCTTCCCAAGATAAAAAGTGAGAGAATCCCCAGTCATTTTCTTTTGAGTGAAATATGTGGGTAATTCTCTTCGAACATTTGTCAATGTCGACGTTGTCGTTTGACACATCATGTGGCAACACGCGCAAGTGCGCAGTAGCAGAGCAAGACCAGGTGATAGAGTCCGAGTCGGAATTGCACTGGAGAAAGTACCCGATAGACACTGTCTGGCCTTCACGATTCGGACGAGGCATCACCAAGATTTTCCATGGCAAGCCCCGAATGAAGTGAGCGGCAGAAGGGCTGGTCGATCCGTAAACAAGCTTATGAACATTTTTGACGACATGGCGAAACTTGAGTTCTGAAACTTCGAAGCCATCCGTTTCATTTGATCCGATTTCCGCGTCAGTACTACCAGAATCCACCTCAATCTTTGAGAGCGACTCAGTTTAAACAACACTAGCGAAATGTTACCTTGATTGAAGAATCATTTTCTGCAGTGTCTACTTCCATAGATTCCATCTTCTTCGTGGGCGTTGCGGCTAGCTTCTTTTTGCTTTTTCGGAACTTCGGCTTTTTCGCCCGAAGTCGTTTTTCGCTCTTTGTTGATCTTAATTCACCTGTAAAAACAAGATATTCTAGAGCAAAAGGAGAGCGTTTTCTCTTTTCCAAAAAGACTCACTTGAGGGTTAACTGGGCCGCTTGCTCCGACAGTTGGCAAGTGTCGGGATCACCGCCACGAACCTGCCCAACTCCGAGTTTGTTTCCAATATTGCCGAATTGTGAGCAACACTCGAATTTCGAACACGACTTCTAAAAAACAAGAATTCGATAATTGAGATATTGAAGATTTCTAGAATATACAGTATTTATCAAAGATTTAGCTAGACATCCTCGTTAGTTTATAAGCAAGAACCAAAATGGATCGGACTCGACGGCTTTCGCGAAGAGAAAACCGACTTTTTGAAATAAAAGAAGAATATGCCAAAAACCAGCCTGTAGCATCTAACAAAAGCCTTCAAAGAATCAACTCTGCAGCTTCTGGTATCAGAAAAAATGACTCCTCGAAAGATTATCTACTTCCAATCAAGAACACAGATAGTGCCAGCTCGTCATTTTCGAGGACTAGTTCAGGAATCGATTCTTAGAAATCTAAACCGATGAGTTTATGGCCTAAAGTTTAGGTGTATACTTTCTCAATCCGCTAAACAGGTGTTTCATCGAAGATTTCAAGCAACAGAATGCTGTCTCCGCGAAATAGGTCTGTCAAGGAAATAATGAGAAAACAGAAAAATGTTAACTCGCCGCTGATGGACGACAGAAATATTCGAAAATGTCAAATTTGGCGTTTCCCTATTGAAGATATTGAGCGACTACTTATCAACGGAAAAATAACTTATCGATACAAGTCTACTGGGTACGACATTTTCTGCCCTGCATGTAATTTGTTCTTTAAGAAAAAGGACGATTACCAAGGACAGTGTTTTTTTTAAATTGCACAAAAAACGGGCTTCTTGGGGAGCGCTTATTCTCAGGCTACAGTAATGCTACAGAAGTGCCAAAGGGTGGAAAATGTAGCTAAGGGTCTAATCTAGTGCGTAAGGGGTTTGCCTAGCTCTAGAAATTACTAAATCATTGCGTAATCGACGCTTGAAGTTGACCTTCTCTAAAATTGGTGCGGAGGACCCGGAGGACTCTGTGGGAGTCTTCACTGGAAGAAAGAATGAGGATGGAAAACAAGTAATTTGACGACGGTAAACTAAACTTAAAAAATTAAATAGAAACCATAAGAAAATTAAAAATGTGGTATATATAAATTTTTACATCAGATGGAGGTGGGTGGGGTTGGGGACGCAACTGAGAATGATCAACTCAAGCTTCCCAGCCTTTGTCAAGCCCCTTAAATTTAAAAATCAAGGGACGGGGCTGAAACGGCCCGAAGGGCCGTCAAGCCCCTTAAATTTAAAAATCAAGGGACGGGGCTGAAACGGCCCGAAGGGCCGTCAAGCCCCTTAAATTTAAAAATCAAGGGACGGGGCTGAAACGGCCCGAAGGGCCGTCAAGCCCCTTAAATTTAAAAATCAAGGGACGGGGCTGAAACGGCCCGAAGGGCCGTCAAGCCCCTTAAATTTAAAAATCAAGGGACGGGGCTGAAACGGCCCGAAGGGCCGTCAAGCCCCTTAAATTTAAAAATCAAGGGACGGGGCTGAAACGGCCCGAAGGGCCGTCAAGCCCCTTAAATTTAAAATCAAGGGACGGGGCTGAAACGGCCCGAAGGGCCGTCAAGCCCCTTAAATTTAAAAATCAAGGGACGGGGCTGAAACGGCCCGAAGGGCCGTCAAGCCCCTTAAATTTAAAAATCAAGGGACGGGGCTGAAACGGCCCGAAGGGCCGTCAAGCCCCTTAAATTTAAAAATCAAGGGACGGGGCTGAAACGGCCCGAAGGGCCGTCAAGCCCCTTAAATTTAAAAATCAAGGGACGGGGCTGAAACGGCCCGAAGGGCCGTCAAGCCCCTTAAATTTAAAAATCAAGGGACGGGGCTGAAACGGCCCGAAGGGCCGTCAAGCCCCTTAAATTTAAAATCAAGGGACGGGGCTGAAACGGCCCGAAGGGCCGTCAAGCCCCTTAAATTTAAAAATCAAGGGACGGGGCTGAAACGGCCCGAAGGGCCGTCAAGCCCCTTAAATTTAAAAATCAAGGGACGGGGCTGAAACGGCCCGAAGGGCCGTCAAGCCCCTTAAATTTAAAAATCAAGGGACGGGGCTGAAACGGCCCGAAGGGCCGTCAAGCCCCTTAAATTTAAAATCAAGGGACGGGGCTGAAACGGCCCGAAGGGCCGTCAAGCCCCTTAAATTTAAAAATCAAGGGACGGGGCTGAAACGGCCCGAAGGGCCGTCAAGCCCCTTAAATTTAAAAATCAAGGGACGGGGCTGAAACGGCCCGAAGGGCCGTCAAGCCCCTTAAATTTAAAATCAAGGGACGGGGCTGAAACGGCCCGAAGGGCCGTCAAGCCCCTTAAATTTAAAAATCAAGGGACGGGGCTGAAACGGCCCGAAGGGCCGTCAAGCCCCTTAAATTTAAAAATCAAGGGACGGGGCTGAAACGGCCCGAAGGGCCGTCAAGCCCCTTAAATTTAAAAATCAAGGGACGGGGCTGAAACGGCCCGAAGGGCCGTCAAGCCCCTTAAATTTAAAAATCAAGGGACGGGGCTGAAACGGCCCGAAGGGCCGTCAAGCCCCTTAAATTTAAAAATCAAGGGACGGGGCTGAAACGGCCCGAAGGGCCGTCAAGCCCCTTAAATTTAAAAATCAAGGGACGGGGCTGAAACGGCCCGAAGGGCCGTCAAGCCCCTTAAATTTAAAAATCAAGGGACGGGGCTGAAACGGCCCGAAGGGCCGTCAAGCCCCTTAAATTTAAAAATCAAGGGACGGGGCTGAAACGGCCCGAAGGGCCGTCAAGCCCCTTAAATTTAAAAATCAAGGGACGGGGCTGAAACGGCCCGAAGGGCCGTCAAGCCCCTTAAATTTAAAAATCAAGGGACGGGGCTGAAACGGCCCGAAGGGCCGTCAAGCCCCTTAAATTTAAAAATCAAGGGACGGGGCTGAAACGGCCCGAAGGGCCGTCAAGCCCCTTAAATTTAAAAATCAAGGGACGGGGCTGAAACGGCCCGAAGGGCCGTCAAGCCCCTTAAATTTAAAAATCAAGGGACGGGGCTGAAACGGCCCGAAGGGCCGTCAAGCCCCTTAAATTTAAATATCAAGGGACGGGGCTGAAACGGCTTAAAAAGGGCTTTAAAATGATGTTTGACTCATAATGTTTCGTTTTAAAGAAAAAAATCGGGGTCACTTGAAGTCATGTGACCCCAAATGACCTCTATCAAGTATGAATGACAATCATCTTTCAAAACTATTCAAAAATATATTTCACTCATTATTTAGAGGCTTTTTATTTATATCGAGGTCATTTGGGGTCACGTGACCTCAAGTGACCTCAGTCGAGAAAGAGGATGAAAAATGACGTCGATAGGCATACTATTTGATATCTGTAACCTTACTTATTGGAAAAAAACATGATGTTTCCTATATTACGTAATATTACGTAATATCACGTGGGCTCTAGAATTTATTAACCCCCTTACGCACTAGATTAGACCCTAAGCTACATTTTAAGCCCTTTGGGGACTTTCTAGGGCGATCCTGCTCGGAGATAAAGGACTCCCCAGATTTCGTGCAATTTAAAAAAAACACTGTCAAGGTGATATGATTTGTACTATTCGTATTTATTTTAATAAAATAGTTCACTTGATGATTTTGCAGCAAGTGGAGCCAATAAAGGAAGAAATCCGGGACACTATCAGATACATGAAGGATTATCTTAGTCAGCGAGCACACGAGCTGAAACCCCTGCATGATCGCTACCCACGACTTCTTGCATGTGCGAAAGCGAGGTCAAACTAATTGTAAAAGAAATAATAATTATATATGATAATAGGTCTGAGAGAATAACCAAAAAGCTAGTGACATTCTCCAAGTCGTTGGAGGACCTTCAAAGCTCCTATGACCACCAAGAGGAACGGATATTATGATTATGTACTGGGAATCGCGATTTTCCGAGATTCTGAAGAACCCAATTTTAAAATATCATCTGAAAGCAAGTCCAAGAGGACAAGCAACTGAATAAGTGGCCCAAAAAGAAACCAGCTGAAGACATCACCAGAGACCAACCAAAAAGGTGGTTTGACCCTGCTGTTGCGATGAAAAAATGAAGGAGGCGAAGGACAGATTGCAGGAAATCCGACGAAAGCGGGCATATAGAGAAGCGTATCGCCAAAAAGATGACACTTGCAGGAAGCTGTTGAGATTAAGTATTACTAAACTATGAAGCTCGAGTACCGAGCTTTTATTTTCTCAACATGAATAAGCCGCATCGCGACTGAAAACGTTCTTTTCGCGAGACCGTCTTCTAGGAGTTCAACGGGTCGTCCTGCAACCTCAATGTCCACGATTCATAGTAATTCAAGGATTGATGCAAATGATCAGATAACTAATTGATATCGCACAAAATTTTGCTTAATTAATTTGCGCATCTTGACCAGTATTCCTGCGAGCCCGCGCGTGAAAAGCGCATCAAATAGCCCTCGAAAGTCAACGATGAGCTTCAAAGGCACGGGACTCAAGATGGGCATCCCACCAAAGGCGGGCAATCAACCTGCAGGAAGCTCGAATCTCGCAAATGCACCTGGCATAGAAATGAAAAGAAGAGAATCTAAACCGATTATAAAAATAACTGATGCTGAATAAAAGTTGTTCTTTATTTGACGTTTCTATCACTTTTGAAGTAATGAAACCCCGGTTAAGTTCGATAAATAAAGTGAGATCAAATGCAGGATTGAACTTAACTAGGAGACAGAGTTCGCAGTGCGGAATTAAATAATTTAATGGCTTTAGACCGTTGTTTATCCGGAAGTGAATGGGTAGGGGAGCTGGAACTGGCCGAAGTAGTTGTTGATAACCTTGATGTCCTAAAAATAGATAGTAAGAAGCGTAAACACCTGAATTACTTACTTCGTAGTCCATTGGAGTGTAGCTTCGGCCAACAACTCGTCGGGCGTTGTAAGCGATGAACCAGACGTAGAATCCAAGAAGGACGGCATCTTAATGGAGATAATGACCTGGATATATTAGTCGAAAAATACCGTAAGCCATGGAAACTTCAGCTTCTACTGGGACGATCTTGGTGGAGGCGTTTCGAAGGACGGGTCGGGCAAGACGGCCAGAAGCTCGGCGCAAGGCAGCGGACAACATTCTATCATTAGCAAATATATAAATAAGAGATTACGAAATTTTGAGAAGTTTAATTCCATGGATGAAAAATGAATATTTCAAGGTAAGATTTCACGTTACATAAGCCCACTGCCTCCTCCTTGTCAAAAACAAGGGAAGAGACGAGGAGACAGAAGAGTGGGGAGAAGTCACCCTAAGTTCTCGATTCTCACAATAATACGTGAATACCCTTTCTTCTAGCGTAGGTTGTGAAAAGGCTTTGGCATGGCACACCTATAATCATAAGGAGAGCTTGAATTGGACGTTTTCGTACAAAAGGTAAATCTTGGCCAGATCCCGCACCATTATCAGAGTCAGACAGTATTTTTAAATAGGAAAAGTTACTAGATATATAAAGTTATATGAATCAGACAAGCAAATAGAATAAATAAGCCTCATGACACGATGCCAAGAGTTCTTATTGAGAGTACTGGTCGAGGTTGTAATGTTTGCCGTACTGCTTGAGATGTTCCATCAGTTCAGCCTTCTGTCTCTCGAGTTCAGGGGTCGGTACATCGTAAACGTCCTCAAACATCGAGTCAATAGATGGCTTCTTCTTCTTTTCGGCAGTGACGAGCGCTGTCAAAACCTAAAAAAGAGATAAATTTGTGAGAATTTGCTGCTGAGTATACGTCTTTCTTCAAGGATTTTTGAAGAGCAGCGTCTTCTTCCATTGACCACCATCCTTGGGCCATCATGTACTGTCGGAATCGGGAAATAGGGTGGTCTGTCTTTTGCCACATGTTGACTTCATCAATTGATCGGTATCGTGAAGAATCGTCAGAAGTCGAGTGATGTCCTTGTCTTAAGAAGACGTGAGTGCAAGATAAAAAGGTGAAGTTTACCGATAAGTGATGGCTTCAATTAGAATAGGTCGATTCTCGGACAGTGCGATTTCTCGGGCTTTCACGGTGGCGTTGAAGACAGCCATCAAGTCGTTTCCATCGACTCGGATAGTCATCATTCCGTAGCCTGGTGCTCGAGAAGCGATTCCATCTCCGGTGTACTGATCTTCAACAGGGGTCTAGTCAATGTTTTTGAGAGGATGTTTTTTCGAATTTTCTTACAGAGATGGCGAATCCGTTGTTTCGGCAGAAGAATATAACAGGACAGTTGAGCGTAGCGGCGAAGTTAAACGCGGCGTGAGCATCTCCTTCCGACGCAGAGCCCTCACCAAAGTAGCACATAACAACGCGCTTTTCGCCAGCTCGTCGGAGAGCGAAAGCTGAAGAACAATGAATGCTACGAAAACGACAATTTTGTAATATTTATTACCAGAACCAGCGGCTTGAGGAAGCTGAGTTGTCAGAGGTGACGAAATTGTAACATAGTCTAACTCTCGAGAGCCGTAGTGGACAGGCATTTGTCGGCCCGATCCTTTGTCGTCAACATTTCCGTAGCATTGATCACAGGCTTGTTGATACTACGGACATCATCATTGTTATCTTCTTTCTAAGTCAACTTACAGTAAAGCCGCGATAAAAGATAACACCAGCTTCTCTATATTGAGCATACACAAGGTCATCGGGGTTAAGAGCGGCAATGGAACCGATTTGCGCGGCTTCCTCACTAGTCAAACTTATTTTCGATTCATTTAAAAGAGTCCTTACCCATAATTTGTCATGTAGAAGCTGACTCGGCCCTGTCGCTGAGCGTCGTACATCACCCGATCGAATTCGTTGGTCTTGATCATTGCCTTGTACATTTTGATGGCTTGGTCCTTGGTGAACTTCGGATCCTGGTTCTCCCGAAGAATCTTGCCCGATCGGTCCATCACTCGGTAGACTGGAAGCCTCTCGATTTCCATTGGGTCGATCACTAGGTACATCTAAGTGGAACTTGGACTGACAAATATCATACTGTGAAGCTCATTGATAAATTCAGATTGAGTCGAGGGATGGAACTTGTCACTTCGAGGAACAGAAGTCACAAGCGGTCGCACGACTTTTCGTAATCCCCGAGTAAGCATTCTTAAATTTGACATTTAATCAATCTTTCAAATGGCAGGTAAATGAATCGACAGGCAGAAATAAAATAACGGACAGTGAGCTACTATAATCTAGTCCTCCATCGAATGTTCTTCTTTGCGTAAATGAACCGGTTTGTTCTCGCAAGTATGGACTAGAAGAGGCAACTGTCCGATCGGATATGGAACGTCTTTTTTCCAACTCGGCCAACCCAAAGCGCGGAATTTCGGCGGGATACCAGTATTCAAAGGTCCACTTTTCTTCTTAGAAGGGATCTGCTCTTCGTATATCTGGATCGGTTTCCCATCTTTTAGCGTCCATTTTCTGAGTGTCGTATATTTGCGTTCCTCCAGATCAGACTCTTCTGTCGTTGTGCCCTTTCCTGAATCGTTGGAGATTCCACTCCGAGGAGCTTGTTTCGGTTCCATTGGGAGAAAATAATCTCGATATTTTGGAGGATTTCCGTTCGGATCATTTGCTGGGTTTACCGAGCTGGTTGGACCTGTCGCCCGGGTTTCTCTAGAGAAGACATTAGCTCGAAAATCATCAATAAAAATGCTCACTCATTATTGTTCTTTCCGTGGCTGAAAGAAGACGGATTGTGATAGAATGAAGAGAGCAGACTCATTGGGCGATCATCGACAGCTCCAGAGAGGATCAGAGGCGGACTGAATGAAAAATAGCATTCAATAAGGAAAGAGGCCAATACTCACTTTGAGTTGCTTCTTCCTTCGCCAGAAGTTGCAGCATAACCACCTGGATGTCTAACGTAAGCAGTTGCACCATTCAACATATCAGCAAGTGCCGCAAATTGTGCTCGTCTTAGTAAAATTGTTAAAGCAGAAATGACTAGAGAAGGTCCAATTACCTGGCGGAAGAATCATTTTCCGATTGGATCAGTCTTTGTTCTTCATTATTATTATTCTAAAATTTTACCTTATCATTTTTTACAATAATTCAATAACAACTGTGTTTAACTATTCGTCATTATGGTCAGAAAACACAATACAAGCCTAGTATAAGCTCGTACCATTATTTCTCCTTCTAGCTAGAAAGCTGAGGTCCACAAGGAAAAAAATGAATCAAAAAATTTTGAATGAATGCTTAATTTTGTTATGAGTAAATTAGGTCAGCAAGTTCACGACCAATAAGGGATGCTAGCGCCACGCACGAAGAGGGCGCCGAAATTTTGGAAGTTCAACGAAATTTCGTTTCCTCTCAATAACTGCTCAGAATAATCATATCACTGAACAAGAAGTCTTAAAATATTCATCGCTTCCATGAAATGCTCATTGATTGTTCTGAATTATCCTAATCTTTCGCAAACTTACTTTTCAAATTTTTGAAGAAAAAACTCATGAACGAGCTTTCTGTGTACAAGACCGTGCATTTAGAAGATCCCGATCTTGGGCAATTCTCTTTCTTTCAAGAGTTTGACTCATCTAACCAAAGGGATTTATTTTTTAGCCAATAGGGCGCTGGGCGCAGTAGCGTCCTCCGAGAACACTAAATTTCCGATCTCTAGAAATTCCACTAGGCATTGGCTCAATCAAAAGTATATTTTCACCTGAAACCTTCAACTTTGTGTTTTTTAGTTTGAAAAAGTGCAATCATAATGAAATAATTACAATTACGTCACTATAACTATAATTTCATAGTAGCTAAAGCAAAATAAAAAGCCAACACTCAAAGAGTACTGGAAATGGCTGGTGATGTCGGCCTGAGCCTGCTACCAGTGCCGCTGATTCATCTAGCCGGACTGGATGTGCAGCGCAATGCCGTCCATAAATACATTCAAGACTCTTTCCGGACCAGCCAAAACGTCGCAGCTCGCTTCGACTTCGTCCCCATCGACAGTACTTATGCCCAGAAGAAAGAAACACGCGAGCACATCGAGCAGTACATTCCGCGCGGCATCTTCAAAAAGCGCTGGATGATCAAACACCTCTCAGAGCTACCCTCGGTGATCTGCCTCTTCGTGGATTTGGAATGGACGGATCAAAACTGGGATCAGCGCTTGACGGAAATTGTTTCCAAAATTGCCATTATTCGCCATTTGATCCAAGGACGTCGAATTCAGATCTGTCTGGTGCTCCTGCAGGGGGCCGAGGGCGGCGAAAAGAACACAAAGCGCGTAGACGAGCTCCAGGAGCAGACCGAACTTAACAGAAATCGCATTTTCGTCTTGCCCGTCACCCCCGACCACCTCACTGGATATATTCAGCAGCTTCAAGCTCGCCTCCTCGAACGCGCTAACTCGTTTTACGAAAGTATAATCACAGAACTCAAGCTCAGGATAGAAAATAACGCCTCGAAGATTTACCCCCTGCTCTTCTGCAGATACTTGTTCAAAGGAGAGATTCTCAAAATCACGACATAGATTTTCTTTTTATTAAGTTTTTTTAAAGCGGTTCAGTTGATGAATCTTCTTGAAGTGGCCTTCTTCTGCGAAGTAACACGCAATTTCGAAGACGCGATCACCTTCTACAAGCATTGTTTCTCGAAACTGACGATGGCCGATCTGATTCCGATGACTGCGACGAACTACACGGAGCTACGCGAATTCGCATCACTCGTAAATTACAAGCTCGTCAAGCTCTATCTGACTGTGCCACCTTACTTCCAACGGTAAAAATGTCAGATCTTTGTAATTTGCAATGAATCAATTAGAGATTTCGCCTTGAAGCAATTTCATCGACACATCGACTACTTTTCCCGCTTCAAGGGTGCTCCTGAACTTGGCTTCGAGTATTACGCGTGGCTGGGGCAGCAGTACCGAAGTTATGGCGAGCTGCTGAGCGAATATAACAATGGGCTTAGGGTTAACTCGCAGCCGGCATTTTTTCTGTTAAAATCAGCTAATTTCGAGCGCCGTCGAGCTGAATTCGTCCGTCAAATCCGAGCTCAAGTCCTCGCCCAGGCTTATCCCAAGCCAGATCCTCTTGGAAACGAGCAAGTATTCTTGGGAGAAAGAGTTTGGCGCAAAAACGGACTCCGCACAGAACTTTCTGCGGCGAATTCTCAAGCTGAAATGATCGCCACGTTCTCTCTTCAATATAAAGAGTGCCATGTAAAGCAACAATTACTTGAAAAAAAAAACTGACTGCTTTCTTAGTTCGATCATTGTCTGGAGATCACTCGAACCTTGCACAAGGCAAACAGCGAGTTTACGAATAGCGGTTACATGAAATTCCGTCCCCAGCTTTTGGTCACTATGGCTGAAGAGTATATAAAATCTGGTGAACCTGAAGGTCGAACTAGAGCAGCCACGCTTCTTCACAAATGCTCAGAGTTGATCAACCCAACCTGGCCTCTGCTTGCAACGAAATGCTATTCCTTACTGAGAGAGTGCCTTGCCCCAAACGAATCCCAAAAACTCGCCAGATGTTTGTTCTTTCTTGCCTCGTCATTCAGTAGATGCTCCCAAGTAACATAATATCCCCAAAACCTTACTTAATTTATTTCTTAGTCAGAGAAAGATGCATTTACGTCAGATTTTACGAACCTCTGCTCTTCGATTCCCGAAAAGATCAGGACAGGTTCTTCAGAAATGTTTTTAAAACTCAATAGTCTCCAACACAAAGAACCCACGAAAAGTATCGACGGCCAATATGGTTTTGTCAAATGTTATTTCGAGTTTTCTGAACCGGCCTTTCACGCAGCATCTGAGCTTACTCTCAATGTTGAATTGAAGAACGATTGCGTGAACACACCTGTTACTATCAGCAGTATAGATGCAAAGTACAGCCAGAGCTGCGCCAACGAAAGCGTCTTTATCAACGAGCCGATAACGTTCGCTCCTGGAGAGACGAAGTCATTTTCTTTCAAATATAAAATTCCCGCGACACTGACAGCGAAGAACTTGGTAGCAGAGGAGATTTCCATCAATATTGGAAAAGTGACGATACAATTCGACAGGAGTGGGCTCAAGCCACGAGGGCTCATCCCTTTCGAAAGTGATGTTGCGCGTGATGCTCTTTGCCTACGAGTAGCTGAGCATTCGAAAAGCACCCCTCAGAGTTGCAAGATTCTTCAGGATCGGGTCACATTCACGTCGAATAACGAATTTTAAATGCAGCGTAACCCGAATGAAAGAGAACAGCACAAATGTCACTTGCGATGAGCGATCCAATCAAAATATTTTCAAACGAAATGGTCAAAGTTGAAATAACTTACTCGGTCGAAGAAGATTATTCGAAAGATGACGCCAAGCTGACGGTGCAATGCAACAAAGAGTCATCAATAGGTACCATACGTACTGAAGCGAAAATAGCGCTAACTGAGATTTAGGAATGAGTAAAGGCGATCTTCAGGTCAAAGATCCTAACCAGTGTTTGACATTCAATATGTCCTCGTCTTCGGAGACGTTCACAGTTTGGATGAAAAATGAAACGACCACCTTCACGGAGCCAAGCTTACTAGTCGCCTCAATGAACCTGTCGATTGATGATTACGCTTGCTCGTTACGAGCAGAGCGGCGACTGCTACCAGCGCTGCCTTTCAAAGTCTCAGCCAAAAGTATTACGCCTCTATTTATGCCAATCTTGGCACTTTCATCTGCGTGTACTAGCTTGTTGGCAGTAGTAACTGTGGAACTCGTCGAAAAAGACTTGCGCGTCCACATTCCTCTCAGGCTAGGATATCAAAATTCAAGATTGCTGTCGGGTAATTTCAGCCGAAGAACTTCATTAAAATATCCGAGCTCAGATTAAACCGCATTGAATACGCCGAAAGCGATTATATAGCCCAGATCCCGTCGCCGCTTGCCCAGGAACCTGTGGATCTTGATTTTGGTGATTCTGCTCAATTCGTCATTCCACTTGCAAAAAAGGATGGTGCTCTGCCCACTAACTCGATGTCTGTCGAACTTGGGAAGCTGAAGATTTTTTGGTCTCGGAAAGACTCAGATGATGAGGAGTTTTGCTTTTTGACGAGCTTAGGAACGCTTCCGATTGCGAAAGACGAAGAGGAAATCTCTCTGACAGCGAAATTACCTGATGTTTGCGAGCAATGGCAGCCATTTGATTTGGAAATTGAAATTTCAAATGGTAAGAGGAAGACGTGTGTTGTTTTAAAACGTCTTTATTTAAGTTTCCACGCAATTGAAGTCTTGCTCACTCGAGGTTGAAACGTCCAACGATTTCCAGATTCTTTCGCTTCCACGTAACTTCTCCCTTCTTCCCTCAGAACCCGGTCATATCGCCAAAGTGTCCTATTTTCCGGTTAACTCTGGGGAGTTGCTGCTCCCAAAGCTAACCCTAAAGCATTCAGGAGATCAATCAGTTCCAATCCATTCTGTCATTTCACGCTCACTCCTCGTCCATCCCAACCCAAGCAAGAGCGAGTTTGCTAGGCTCAAAGCTTACCCTGTAAATTACGATGCGTAGCTAAGAGCGAACTCCTCTCCTCAGTTCCAAACTTTTCATGACAATTTCGGGTCGACTTAGGCTTCATTCATTCAAAAAAACTGATTTCTGTTACCTATTTCTCATACTTTCTTCAATACATTGCCTCACTATTTAAATAAAATTTGAAATCCAAAATAAAACTTTTGACTAACCAAAAATGATCATCAAAAGTTATTGTGTTTGAAAAATGTTTCCGGGCACACAGTATTACTGTATTTTACATTATGTAAACGCATTTTGCAGTTGTATCTCGGGGTCCAGAATCTACGGATCACTGGTCAGCAGACACTAAAGGGGGTAGACATCGCAAAATTCTCGCCCTGCCTGATTGGAGGAAAAATGACAGTCACGAAAGCACATGCAACCTATCAGAATCGAGTTCGGAATACGTCAGCTACGAACTTCCGCGAAAAATTCTGAATTTCCGAGAAATTATGCGTGGCGCCTACGCATGTGGTGGGTCTCTCGCGCGCCCCAGGTGTAGGTCACGTGTGCGTAGGCGTCTTGGTCTTCCACCTCTTTGTTTTTCTGAAACAGCAGTTCACTTGAGTGAATCCATTTTATTCGTTCATCATTTCAGAGATGGATCATCAATTCAAGGTGCCAAAGGTGCCGAAGATTTCGAAGGTTCCGAACATTATTCCGGTATGGCGCCCGAGTAAGAAGATAGAGAGAGAAAGGAGTAAACAAGGAGACAAGAAGCACGAGAAAAAACTGATCTTTGGCAGTCCCATCTACGCACCTATCGAAATACGATGGCTGCATTCTAACCTCAGTCTCATCGACGAGCTGATCGAGACGATCCAGGACGAAGACTTCAGGAAGATTCGTTACGCGGCAGATCTTAATATCATCGCCGCTTATCGTCAGTACAATTTCAAGGCATCGACAGATGCAGACATCAAGCCACTCAATCAGAGGAATGAGTATGCTGACCACAAGTTTGTTAAAATATTGGGCGGATATCTTGTTTCGCTGTTCTCTGAGCTGCCCAAAGGAACATGTATGAACGCTCATCCTTCCGGACTTCTTTCTTAATCTTTCTTTTAGTAAGTGAGTTCACCAAGATAAGCTACAAAAAAAAATTTGGTCGAGTCCCAACGTACGAAGAACTCTCAGACAAGGCGGTGATGAACCTGGTAAACTCGTTGCGAAGAATGCTTGCGGAATACGAGATGCATGCCTCAAATTTAGACCCATGCATGCGCGACGAAGAGGGCATGGCGTGCAAAGAGCTCAAGGAAATGGAATTGTTGAGAATGATGATGCGCATCATTCTCGATGCATTTGAATCGATCTACCAGCGAATTCAAGTTATTCAGTTCAAAATGAATAAAGAATGGTCACGTAAGTCAAATTTGCTTTCTAGGATCAAATTGATCTTAATTTGACTGGTCAAAGGTTTACCAAGAAATTTCAGAGGCTATTGACGAGCAAAATCGTCGAAAAACTAACTACTTGATCGCGAACAAGACGATTGAGGATATCAGAGATTCGTTGCCGAGCACCAAGATCTTCAACGATTACAATCACATGTACAATCTGATGCCGAGAGTTCATCTTATTCGAGCATACTGGGTATGTTTTTTGCTATCTTCCTTGATTTCACGACTCTTTTCTTAGATCCTGCAAGATTACACAGATGTCATCTTGCACACACAGTATATGGCGGCCATGGAGTGGGAAACTTTCTACTGGAAAGGCGACAAAAAGTTTCATGATGAATGCTTTGCGTACAACATTGAATCGTTGATGAACATGCAGCTCGAGGCGTACAGACTTCTCGACGACGACAACGGCAAAGTGATCGAAAACCATCTCTACAATCGCGAGCCAACGTACGGCCTTGACGGGAACTTGACAAGTTTCGATCGAACGGCGAGAGCGCTCAAAAAATTGACGAACAGATGAATCCACCTTGGGGAGACGCAGCCTTCAACGCGCCTGATCGAGTTCTCGAGCTTGGGGACTGGTCTCAGTTGGAGAAGGCAACGGACACGGCGCTCAAGACCTTCCCGATCAGTTTGGTCGATTTCGGAAATGAAAAAGACTTCCAGGCGATCACATACAAGCTCCTAGAGGCTCAGACAGACGCTATTCGAAAGGAAAACATTGAGATCTTCGAGCGGGAGATCAAAAAAAGAGGCCACGAATGGTTCCACGATAGAGTGACCAACAGGGACGAGTACAAAACGACCCTACCGGCACTTTTTCTGAACGATCAGCATGACATGTTGAACCTTCTGAAATACATTGATGACAAGGAAGAGGAAAGCAATCCCTTCAAATTAACTGACATGTACACGAAGATGGACGAGCGACGCCGCCTCTGGGACGATCTTCCTGAACAGTGGCATCTCCTCAGGACCGAACTCCGGAGTCTCGTCAGTTTGCGGAACGGCCTGATAAAGCTTCCTCTTGGAGCAAAGACAGGCAAAAAGTTCAAATTCAGACTCGACACGATTTGCGCCAATGTTTTGATGGAGAAAGCAAAGATGCTTCGAATGATGAAGGATGACGAAGGTTGTGATTCTTGCATCGATTTGGCGACAGATATTCTCGAAGAAGTTCACAACATGAAGAATAAGCACTTGAAAAGGCGGCTCAACTTGCTGAACATACTCACACTCGAGAATCATCAGCTCATCATTTCGCTATTGGAGAAATACAACATTGAGAGATCGCACATGTACGAATTGTACAGCGAGTTAGTCGATGATCGTGAGCCGTACCGATTGCTGATCGGTTCGCCCGAAGGAACCAGGTGGTTTCGAGCAAGTGCTGCGAGCAAGATCGCCTTTTTGCTTGGAAATATTGCGCTGAAAGACAACTCAGAGTTGTTCAATGACAAAGGATTGTTCTTTGGCCTGGAGAATACACAGCTCAGTCTGGACTACAAGACAACTGAAGAGGCCAGAGGCTGGTTCAAAAGAGCGTGTAAGACTGCGGAGCTCTGCCGACCTGGAGATAATTTTCAAAAGAGAAAGTGCTACTATGCGATGGCCGAGCTGAACGATGAGTTTTTTCGACAGCACTCGACGTTTTTCTTCCAGAAAAACACCGCAGAGCAGACGCAAGCTGATCTGGATGCATCTGTCCTATCCCCACCGGGATCAGTCACCCAAGGAAGTCAGCTTACTGCTCGCAGTGAGAATAGAGAACTGGTCGATTGCGCTCTCAACGCGATTGAGAAGTACGGTCAAGCAATTGTTGCTGGCCACCGTTTGGACAGAATGTGTCTCTTCAAAATCATTGAGTTGGTCTTCCATGTTGCCGATGCCCTTGGCGAGCCTGGAGTCATGCAGCAATCTGTTCACGATAAGAGCAGGATGATTTTCGCTCGTTTTGAAAAGACGATGAACATAATTCCTCCAGAGCAGATTCTGACGATCATCACTCAGATTCTTGGTCGATTGAGCCACCGATGCAAAGACTTTGTCACTGTGTGCTTCAAGATCACCCTGAAGATGACGAAGGTTTTCCCTTATCAAATGACCTGGTACTTCCTGAACTTCTCGCAACACGCGAAGGAATACGAAGACATCCGAAAGAAAGATGAGAGAGAGCTTTACAGAGAGTATCAAAATAACATTGATTTGTGGGAAAGAAAGGGAAAAAGAGGAATGAAACCAGTCCAGACTGCATGGAGCGAAATGGAATCGAAAAATTTGCGATCAGCTGTCGTTCGTGGAAGGAAAATCTACATGACACTAGTAAAGAGATTAATATCCGTTGATGAAGAGTACAAGCGAATCTTCAGGCATTACTCTGCCGCGTGGACCCTGATCAACGAGATCATCGACCATAACTTTAGAGAGACACCGTCTGGCAAGCCAAGTCTCCGTTCAATGAAAGATAAAGTGAACCTCGCATCCGCTTCTGTGAAACTGCTCGAGAAAAAGTTGCCTGATGACTTCAAGGTTCTCATCCCGACAAAGGAGTTTATGCGACCAAAGCAGCGTAACACGCGGCTTCTAGCAGACTTTGATGTAAATTTCTCGCCGTTTCAAACCACGAGCTCATCTCGATCAAAGCAAGGGAAGAAACAACCGGAAGAGGATATCGAGCAGACTGGCGAAGAGTTCTGCGAGATGCACAATCTCGACCATGGAGCTGACGACGACGAAGAATACGAAGAAAATCCCGATGATCCAGAACTTGCTACTGTTATAGACTTCGATGATTATGGAGAGTTCCCAGTGTCTCCAGGGGAGCATCATGAACCAGAGGAAGACATGGACAACGATCCGGATACCTATGACCCGCCCATCGATACTGAGAAAGACACCTGGAAGAAACCATGGCATCCCAACCTGGTTTTCATCACTTCTTTTATGGACGAAATACTCCAGTTGTCTTCCCAGCAAAAACCAAAGCGACTCGTCTTACTGGGCACAGATGGTAGGGAGCACAGCTTCTTGTTGAAGAAAGGCGACGATCTTAACTTGGATTCGAGAATCGGAGAGACTTTCGAGCTATTCGACTATCTTCTCCGACACGATGAAGAGTCCCGTGATGCAGATATGTCGATTCGATCGTACAACGTATTGCCGATTGGGCACAAACGCGGAATCATTGAATGGGTGGACGATCTATGGGTTCGGGTTCACAAATAATTTTCATTATCTCTTAGCTGTTAAAGAATAGATGTTGAACTTTTTAACAGGCCTTCAAAAAGTGCTTGCAAGCTTATTATGAGCGCCGGGGCTACACAACATCCCAACTTTTTTGGTCACCACCTGAGTTTTCCGGCGATGGCGCTGATCGAATGAAGTCCTTCGAAGAAATCAAGAAGAAAGCTGGACCACCAGTTTTCCACGAATGGTTCCTCGAAAGCTTCCCGACTGCTGGCGAATGGTACCAAGCCAGGGAGACGTATCAACGATCACTGGCAGTTACCTCAATCATTGGCTCAATTATCGGCTTAGGTAATTCATTCATCGTTGGCTCGTTTTAATCTGTTCATTGAAGGAGATCGCCACTGCGACAACCTTCAAATCTGCCAGCGAACAGGAGAAGTCGTCCATATCGACTTGAACATGATCTTCTTGAAGGGAAGAAATCTCAAGGTGCCTGAGATCGTGCCTTTCCGAATGACAAGGAACATAGTCGACGGTCTCGGTCCTGTTGGCGTTCAAGGTACCTAGATTGAATCGAAAACATTCTTTCAATATTTTAGGTCTTTTCCGCAAAACGGCTTTACTTACCATCCGGATCGCGAAAGACAAGGGAAAGCTGTTGCGAACAGTATTCTCGCTTGTTCTCCGAGATCCAACCTGCAAGTGGGAAAAGATCAGAAGCAAGAAGAATGTGCTCATAACCAGCAGCGGAAAGGACAGGTCACAAGAGTCGCCAATCGTTCTCATGAAAGAGAAGAACATGATGAGAGAGGATCGACAAGCCGGTAAGATTTTTGTCTTGAAATGCTTGTTTAAGCTCATTTCTTTAGCTGAAGACCTGACTGATCTTCTCAAAAGAGTCTATTGCTACGATCCAGAGACAAAGAAGATCCTGCCTCCCAGCGACTACCTCGATTTGCTTGTCCAAACTGCCAGCGCGGACGAAAACCTCTACAAAATGTATCGAGGTTGGGCGCCGCACATGTAACGCTTCCTATCTTGTCACTTCCAGTTAACCCAGACCCCTCAAAATCTAACCCAACTCCCCTCCCTTTCAACAAGTTCAACACCTAAACGATCCTGACAATAGAACATGTTAACTGCCCCTCACTTCACGTTCCTTACTGATACATTTATCGTAAAAGTTCAAAAAATAAATCTCACCCAACACAATCATGGTTCAATTTTTTCTTGCAACCTCATGCATCTTTATGGTATCATATGAGTAATGGAAATCAAGGATGAAAAAGTAAATACCGTTTGGGAATTGGGCTCTTCTCAATTTTTTCTCTACTGCTAATTGAGGAATCTTTCGCTAGAATGATAAAATGAGAATTCTCTGTGTAGCAGAAAAGAACGACGCTGCAAAAAATATTGCAGCTCAATTGAGCAATGGCTCAGCGAGGAATGAAGCAGGGCCGAGCAAATACAACCGACTCTATAAGTTTTACTGGTAACCGGTGAAAATAATTCGTTGGAACGAATGATTCGTTAGGAAAACGAATAATTCGTTACAAACCGAATAATTCGTTTTTTCCAACGAATAATTCGTTTTTCGAAACGAATAATTCGTTTGTTTTTGTTTCTAAAACCTGGCAGCCTTATCCCTAACCCTAACACTAACACTAACACTAACTTGAGTACTTAAAATTATAGTCTATATGCGCTCCGCGCCAGGTTTCATAAGAAACTCCTTTTTGGGGTTGCTCTCTTTCTTTTCATTTGCGGTTTGGAAATATAGGTGGCTCGCCGACCCTTCAAAACGAATTATTCGGTAACCCTAACGAATTATTCGGTAACCCTAACGAATTATTCGTTCAAAACGAATTATTTTCAAGGGAAATGGCTGTTTTCCCTTGAAAATAATTCGTTAGGGTAACGAATAATTCGTTGCAACGAATTATTTTCACCGGCGACGGTTTTACTCGATGTTTGAGGTAACTTTCGAATCCGAATCTGACCGTTGATTGTGACTTGTCTTGTTCCAGGGACACCAGGCTGATTTTGTGATGACTTCGGTAAGCGGGCACATGCAAAACTACGAGTTTCCGATCCAGTACAAGAGCTGGAGCTCGACCCCGCCAGACGCTCTCTTCGATGCGCCACTCGTAAAGAATGTCACAAAAGACATGGTGAAAGTAAAGCAAAATCTGGAGCAGCAGAGTCGAACACACTCGGTCCTCATCATCTGGACCGATTGCGATAGAGAAGGAGAGAACATCGGTGCAGAGGTTCGAGACGTTTGTCTTCGAGCGAACAGAAATCTCCGTGTCCTTCGAGCGAGGTTTTCTGAAATCACTCAAACGGCCGTTCGACGAGCGATGGCGAATCTTGTCCCGCTCAATGTGCTCATTGCAGAAGCAGTCGATGCTAGACAAGAGCTGGATCTGAGGATCGGCGCTTCTTTCACCCGACTACAATCGTTATTCCTACAGAACCGCTTTCCAACACTCGTAGATAGATTGGTCAGCTTCGGGAGTTGTCAATTTCCAACATTGGGCTTTGTCGTCGAAAGATGGAGAGCAATCGCGGAGTTTCAGCCAGAGAAGTTTTGGAAAATCGAAGTGCATCACAACAGAGGTGGAATGAACACGATTTTCACCTGGTCTCGTGTTCGGCTCTTCTCAGAGCGAGCTGCGGCGGCGATTTTCGAAGAAATCGAGGAAAGCGGAAGAGCCAAAGTCACGCATTTAGAATCAAAGCCGAAGTCCAAATGGCGTCCCTTTCCACTAGAAACAGTCGAGCTCGAGAAAAAAGCGCGAATGCTAGGATTAACAGCGAAAGATATCATGAAAATCGCCGAGAAACTTTACACTACTGGTTTCATTTCGTACCCGCGTACTGAAACGAATATTTTTCCTAAGTCGCTGGACTTGAAGCCGATGGTGGAGGCGCAACAGCGAGACCCGAGATTTGGAGCCTTCGCGACGGAGATTCTTCAAAACGGGATCGACCCGAGAAATGGGAGGAAAACTGACGAAGCGCATCCACCGATTCATCCGCTCAAAGAAGGATCAGGAAACGGCCTTCAGAACTTGAAAATCATTTCCTCCTGACCATTTTCTGAAGGCTTGAATAAGGATTAGTTGGTGCGGAAGCGAAAGTATACGAATTCATCGCCCGTCGATTTCTCGCGTGTCTCTCTCGCGATGCACAAGGCTTCGAGACCACGTGCAAGTTGGAAATTGCCGAAGAGGAGTTCTCCGCAAAAGGGTTGCTCATTTCCGACAGAGGCTACTTAGAAGTTTATCCTTACGACAAATGGTCAGACAAGACTCTTCCTCAGTATCAATTCAACGAGGAATTTACCATCACAAATGCGGAATTCATCGAGAGCACGACTACTGCTCCACTGTTGCTTTCTGAACCTGATTTGATTGGTTTGATGGACAAGTATGGCATTGGAACGGATACACGACGTTTTCAGCATACCGACGTTTTCAGCAACCGACGTTTTCATCATAACGATGTTTTCAGCGCCGCTGAATTCGTCGGTTTGCTGAAAACGTCCGTTTGCTGAAAACATCGTTTTTCACCTGAAAACGCGTGGGCGTTTAGAGAGGCAATCATTTTATCAAACTAACATCTGTAAACGATATTTCCGTAAATCGTAAAATAACATAAAATCGATGTAATATTAATGAATCATTTACAAAAGATTATATTTAATAAAATTATTATTTTTATCTTTTTCAATATTGATTTATCATCAATTCATTGTTATAAAACAGATTCACGAAACTTGATAATACGTTTATACTGTAAACTTTCTGGTGATTTATAAAGACTAATGATTATAATGATAATAATGTATTAAGAAGTAATTTAGCTAATTCTTATTTTTTTCTAAATAATGCATAATAACGTCTTCTAAATAATGCATTTAATAAATGCTTTTAAACTATTAACTAGCCAATTAAATTGCGAGAACCTCGCCTTTAGATGCATTTGGTTTGAAAATTTCGGTCCGGCAAACGCCCACGCGTTTTCAGGTGAAAAACGATGTTTTCAGCAAACGGACGTTTTCAGCAAACCGACGAATTCAGCGGCGCTGAAACCGTCGTTATGCTGAAAACGTCGGTTGCTGAAAACGTCGGTATGCTGAAAACGTCGTGTATCCCATTGGAACGGATGCTACGCACGCTGATCACATTTCTACAATTAAACAAAGAGGATACATAAAACTCACTCGCGAAAAACGATTCGAACCGTCTCCCCTTGGAATTGGGCTAGTCAGTGCTTATGAAGATTTGTCGATTCCACTTGCGAATCACCTCCTTCGATCGGGACTGGAAAGGGACCTGGTGAAAATTGAAAATGGCGAAAAGCAGCGAGATGCAGTAGTTCGAGCGCAAGTAAACGCATATCGAGAGGCGTATAAAAAGGCAGAAGAGAATTTGAATCGATTCGGTGCTGTCATAGCGCAGAGCATGGGCGTTGCTCGTCAAAATGATCGACCTTTTGAACTGCCGAGAAATCCAGCTGATGATGCTGTCGCCCGTTGTCCTCGGTAAGATAAACATTGTCAAAAATATCTTCATTCTTTGATTTAGATGTCAGTCACCAATGGTCGTAAAAACTATTCCAAATGGCAGCGTTTGTGTTTCATGCACTGGCTATCCAGAATGCAGAACAAGCGGATTCTTACCAAACGGTGGAAGGATGATAGCTCGTTTGAGAGCATGCAACTGCAGCGCTGGATTTTATGTTGTCAGATGGAGCTTCGAGCCTGGAAGCGTGCCTAGCCACATGACAGGAGAGTACGAAGGATGCTTGGGATGCGATGAGACGCTCAAAGAAGTGATACGAATTTCAATTAGAGAAGGGGACGCAGCAAGGAACAATCGACGTGGAGGAGGACCACCACCAGGCCCTGGTCCCGGACGTGGGGGAGGAAATCAGCGAGGAAAAAAACGAAAATCCGACCATGACTCTGGTCCAGGCGGTTCTGGAGGAGCAGCCGTAAATTGCGGCTTATTTATGCCTCGCGCGCGGCAAATCCAGAAAGTGTTTTTCAAAAGTAATTGTTTATCCTGATAGGTGAGTGTTCAAGCTTTCCAGCGATATGAATTGTTACCTTTTTACCCGCCGCAAACGAAAGTTAAAGCTAAAAGTTTTGAGCGCTCTTTCTGACAATCCGAATTTTGCGCGCCGCGCGGGGCTGAATAATGCATTGTGGTCCCCTCACCCGACCCCGTGTTTTGAGCGCTTAGTTGCGCGCCCGTGTATTGAGAAGTTAAGAGATTTTCAAGAGATTCTCATTGTTTTTTTTAGAATGGCTACTCGAGAAAACGAAAGACCCGCAAAGAAGACAGATCCAGATCCGATGAAATATCCAGTGATGCAAAAGATTGCGAACCTCATTCCGAACCCGAACAAACCGGAGAACAGTTTCAACATTCGTATATCCCACAAAATTAATGGGGGCGCCTTCGGCAGTCTTCACAAAGTTAAGGTAAGTTCAAATGACTCAGATAAGATTAAATTTAAACTTTTCTATGTTTTCAAACCATCATGGCCATGCTCATTATTTTTTTCAGGCGATTGTTGGAGATAAGAAGGTCGACGTGATGGTGAAAATCGAGGCTTCTGATCACCCAAGTCCGCAGCTCCAGCAAGAGCACATTGTATATTCTGTTCTGAGAGGAACGCTTGGATTCGGTTCGATTGTTGAAGGGCTTGGCACTCATCTTTCGAGGAATATTAGTTTGCAAACAGCCGATGGGGAGACAGCCGAATTCAATATGTTGTTCCTGACTCGTCTTGGGATCGACCTGGCGACGATTCACAAGAGAATGAAGCTCATTAAAAATCCACCTGACGGACTGCACAGAATGAACAAACATACTGTCCTCAACGCGGCATCTCAAATGTTCGATGTCGTCAAATGTAAGTCAAAGATCGTCTCCAAAACCTCTTCATTCAGTCAATTCTAGTGCTGCACAACGCCCATTTCATCCACAGAGACATCAAGCTTTCAAACTTCATGATGGGCATTGGAATCGACAGGCACAACGTTCATCTAATTGATTTTGGTTTGTCAAAGCAATACAAGGACCTTTCTGGGAACCATATGGGAACGGGCAAGAGAAACTTGAACATTGGTACAACGGTTAGTTTTCCTCTAAAAGAAAATAAGGAAGTCGAGGAGGCGCTTGCGGCTTCTAGATTAAAGAAGCCACTCTGCGCAGATTCGTTTAATTATTTACGATTTTTAATTTATCAAAAATTTTAGGCCTTCCAGTCGGCTTTCGTCCTTGCTCGCCACATTCCAACTCGTCGGGACGATTTGATCTCGACTATTTACTGCATTCTGCAACTGATCCTGGGCGCTCTTCCATGGGACATCGAATGGAAAGCGAAAAAGGAAAGCATTCTCGAAGGCATCTCCTCTCCTCAAGAGCGTGGAAAGATCTACGATAAGTTCTGCCTCAAGATGAAGCAACTGCCGGCCAACGTTCTGTTCACGCACTTCGGGATCTACGATGACTACAAGGAGTTTTCCGAGATCTACGAGTATTTTCAGTCGCTTGAGCCAGCGCAGGATCCGGACTGGGATTTCATCAATGTGAGTTTTTATTCATAAAAGTTTATCAGCTCTGAACGATGACCCTTTAGGAAAAAGTCAACGATTGCGGAAGGCGCCACTGGGGCTGGTTCGACTGGTTTGAGTGGCTCGAAGAGGGCAACCCAACTCCAGAGAACCCTCACCACAATTACTACATGGATCTCATCGACGAGTTCAACAGGAACTACGGCAGAGCGTCATAAATTTCCCCTTTTTATTTCACCGCCTTTTTCAATCTTCACTCAAAAGAAACATTTTCCACACGCCCATTTTGCTCTCATATCTCTGCCTCACAACGATTTTTAATAATAATAAAAAACACTCATTAAAAGTTATCCGGAAGGTCTTGATCAAAAAAGAGAAGCCTTGTCTTGATGTTTCTCTTTTTTCTGGCTTGCTGATATTTCGGTTTTTCTATATTCTTCATTTGGCTCGATTCGAGATACGATTCCCGTGCGTATATCTAATGTTAATCGTTTGAAGATGCGGTATAAATTGCCTGATATTGAGCAAAATGCAAATAAACTAAGTCAGTATCTTTAGTCGCAAAAAAAGAGCAACGAAGGCACTTTAATTTATTACTCGCGAGTTAGAGAAAAATGAGCAACCACTTAATTGAAAAGATGGGCACAGTTGGTCCAAGATCTGAGGGCTGCGATACGGGGCAGCTTGAAGAGCAGTATGCATCTTTGTTGGAGTCGTTTGATCAGATTTGCGATGATGGTTTTCAAATAGGTGGAAAATTGAAGACATTAGTGCAAGTATAAGAACAAAAGGTTAACTCTTGAATGCACTAGAGCTGGGCTCGTCATCCTGACGGTGGTATGCTGTCACCTGGGAACCAGGTTCCCAGATTAGAAAATTTTACAAATCTGGGAACCCGGTTCCAAGATTGGATTTTTTTTTTCTAATCTGACCTGACCTTTCTAAAAACCTTAGACAGGAGCTGTTTTTGGGACGCTCTCCTGTGTACCTGTGTAATGTTCCGGTATTGAAGAGGGAAACCCTGTTCCTGTCCCAAACACAGGTTGCCGAGCCGAGACGATGACTATGATAACTAGCTAAGATTCTTATCAAAAAAGCAGGAAACTTGTACTCTCAGCGGGATATGAAGTTTTGCACAGCTGGGTTACCTGGTATGCTGATAAGCGCCCTCTTTCGGACAACTTTTGCCATATTAGCTGTCCAAAATCAAGCTGGATCAGATCAATCAATTAAAAACAACCAAAAACCAAAAAACACCAGACAAGAAAATGTCGAGAGCCTCCAAATCCGGTGCACAATCTCGAAAGAGGAAAGCCGAGGACAACGTCTGCCCGGATTTTCGCAAATTTCAACGCACTGTTTCGAAGGAAGCTTCCGAAGCAGCACTCAAAATCAACACTGAAAAACGGAAGCGATATGTTGGAGTTCTGAATCAAATGCTCGAAGCGAAACGGAGGCACAGGGAGGCAATCAAGGAACTTCAAGCAATGCTCGAAGAAGAGAAAGAGGGCTACAAATCAATGACAAACAGAATCTTGAAATTCAAGATATACGCTGGAGTTCCAGTCGATGCTCTACAATTTTCCGAAGATGACAACTCTCATGACCCATGTGAAGAAGCCACGGAAGACGAAGAATCTACTGGCGAAGACAACTAACTACAAAATAACGATCCAACAAGAAAACTGCAGCTGCCGAAAGAATCTTTCTGTACACTTTTTCTCTGTTTTACCGAAAATAAAATAAAGTTTACGCCTAACAGTGAATCGAAAAGATCTTTAAAAAAATAGCTCATAAAAGTCAACTTGCTGCCAACTTAATTTTGCTAGCTATATTTTCTCAGTTTATGGACCATCGTCAGAACATAAAATAAAACGCATGCGTTTCTAGAACACCATTATTTTCCTGGATTTTCGGAATTCGAAAGTGATGCTCTTCAGTTTATAAATTCCCCAGTTTCATAAAGGTGCTTTCGAGGAATTTCGAACAACATGTCCGACGCGAGGTAAGTTTACGAAACCAACTAGCTAGTCCAAGTATCGATAAGTGCATAAAGCTCTTTTTTTAGTAGGCTGATTCCCGAGGAAGATCGGGCAAAAAAGCGAAAGACGACCGTCAACTTGCCGAAAATCGTTGGGGAGCGATCGAAGATGAATGACATCGCCTCATCTGTTAGGGTATGTGCAGTAATTTTCGATTTGCCGTAACTTTGTTTCTATAAAAACGTATATTTTATTTAAAAAATATTCAGTTTATTTTAGATTTTATAAGTATCAAGTGTATCTGCTAACATCATTTTAGGCGCTAAAAAAAGTAGAGCGTGATGCGTTCCGAAAGATCTTCGACGAATTCGACATTATCAAATCGGGAACTTTGACTGCCGAAGAGCTGCACGCGTGCATCAACAAACAAGCTGGGTAAGATTCAATTTTCTTGACTGATCATCATACATTTTCAGGTACGAAGCGCTCACCTACAGCGAGGTCATGGAAGTCCTCGCGGACATGGACGTGAAAGGAACTGGAGAGATCGAGTTTGATGAGTTCATCTACTTCATGACTCGTCCTCAGGTGAGTCCCGTTATAATAAACAATCATAATATTAGCGTATTCTAGAATCTGAGCAAAATGCTTGACAACGAGGATCGAGAAATGATCGAGAAGAAGACCGGCTACTCTCTATCGGCGGATGAAGAAATTAATAATCGCGGAAAAGTAAGCTAACTCTACCGATGCTTAATTTAATGAAGATTCCAAAGGTACTTTTCGAAGTGTTGCGCGGCGTCCTTCGCAATGGCGACAACGCCGACATCAAGAACTTCTACAGAGACGAGATCATCAACAAAATGAACGATCACGTCATCGATCACTGGTCCAACGGTAAGCAGCACTAGAATGGTGCATTTAATAAGTCGCTCTCTAAGGTAAACGATGTATCGGTCTCAGCAATGCCGATATGATGAAGCGATACGAAAAAATTCTCCAGTCGAACCCAAAAAACTCCTTTGAACGCCAATCGCCATATGCGAAGCCCTTGATGTGGGGAGTTCGCGAGTTGAAGAACGACTTGCGCAAGCAGCGAGTCCAGCTTGAAAACATGTCCAAGTGAGTTCCCTTCTATGATTTTAGACGATTTTTACTTGCAAACCTAGGCTACGAAAAGAAGGTTCTAACATGAAGCCTAAACGAGTGAAAGTGAGAGAAATGGAGATTACTGTCAAAGCAGTTCCTCTTCCCACTTACAAGATCAAGAAAGACTCACACCCCGACAAGTTTACCTACGATGACCTTAAGCAGATAAGGATCAACGTCTCCAAGCTCATGGACAAGTACTATGGCTACCTCCGTCAAACTGTAAGTCACTTTAGTCGAGTATTACTGTAGAGCTCTACTATTAGATGTTGGCAACAAACCATCTCAAACGAGATCATTTTCACCCTCTATTAGATGGTCACATAGATGGTTCAAATTAAAGCGTCACCGAGATTAAGGGACCGTTAGTAACGTCATCTATGATCGGAAGTCGCGTGACGATCAGAATAGAATATTTTAATGTTTAGAACAGTCAGTCGTTTTATTTAATACCGGCGAACGAATTAAGGTATTAATGATGCTAAAATCGCAAAGATTCTCCGCAAAAAGCTATAAGCTTTCTTATACAAGATAAATGCTCTAACGCGTTTCTCAATTTCTAAAATCACTTTTTGTAGGCAAACGATAATACGCAGTTTTTCTACGGCGCTGTTGCGATTGATCAGATCACCAATGAGCACAATCGAAACATGACTACTTTGGCCTTCCAGAGTTATTGCAACCCATTCGTCATCGCGCCATGGGTACCCCGACCCTTCCCCACATCGTGGGTCGCCTCGCGCAAAGCAAGATTTTTCAAGAAGTTCTAAAGTTTTTGCTTTCTCCAAAATAAACGTTCAATCTCAATTTACCAACTAATTGGAAGTTGAAATGCAACCAGCATTGCAACTTTTGTTGAATTATTGTTCATTCTTGCAAGCCAAAATTAAAGACTGTGTCAGAACTTCAAAACGAAATGGGACTTATAAGTTGAGAAAGCTTCCTTGATTTTATTTACTCAAAGTTGGAGTAATACGACATTTTGACGGCTGTTAAATAGACCAACGTCTGAGGTCAAAGTTCTGACCTCCACAAAGGACGTCTCAGAAGTCCCCTTTCTCAGTTTGAAATATGTCTAGTGACTAGACTCTAGTCTCAATTTAATCAAGTTAACGTCTCTGACCCATTTTGCTCGAGCTGCTTATCTCTTCTTGTCAGCGATGACTCTTATCTTGTCTATATAATTTGAGCTAACATAAAATCAAGGAGAATTTAAGCGCTTTTATTTCCTCTTTTAGTATTTTTGCCTCCGTTAGTCTACTTTTTTATTTTTTTATAATAACAGATTTTTTTCCTTCTTTCACACCTTTCACTTTTTTTTTTTCTTTTGACTAAAACACGTGCTTTGCGTTATTAGCACCTTTTATTGTATACAGTTAATTTAGGGATAAAAATGATCCTAGGCTAGACTACGGATACGAATGCTGATATTTTGATAGGTTAAGAAATTTAATTCTGTAAAAGATTATTTTGATGAATTCGATTAATATTCTCCAACGTTGAGGCGCCCTTGAGCGAGAAGTATCAGATTCCAGCTCTAATGATGGTTAGTTTAATTCAAGAGAGAATATCCTATTTAAACAAGAGAAACAAACCTCAAACAAAGCCTCTAGAGTCTAGACCAACAAGGCAAAAAAATAAGATAAAAACAAGTTATAAATTTGCAAACATGAGGCAAGGGTCACAGCTCTTTGGCACTCGTAGAATTCGCTTTGTATTACAAGGAGCGCCTGTATTTACTTTCAAAATTGAACTAAAAGAGCATATACTCGAAAAACTCGGTCATAATAATGACATGTTTTGACGCAACGTTGAAAATCATAAGTCTATTCAAGCGCGAAATGAAAAGCCTTTCTCTAAACTACTCTTGCTTTCGAGTATTTCCGCCCAGCTCATCTAAATAGCCTATCCTGTAAATTAGTAGTTAATCTTGCTCCTCTTTTGTTAGAAAGATAAAAGAGACAAGCGAAATAGAGATGACCCTCTTCTACAGTGACAGTCACAGATATCCAGCGACATTTTGGTGCTTCACGTTTGGCTTTCTGCTCAACAACTGCGCGTTCAGTGTTTTGATGCAGCTCCAGAGTAGTATTAACCCTTACCTGGGCAGCATCAGCATTTCATTTTCACACGTTTCATCGATGCTTGTTTGTCTCTTCGTACAGCCAATCCTTTTCAAAGCCACAAGTAGGTGTCTTTTATATAATCCCAAGTTGCATAATTTCTTTGTCTATAAACTACCCAAATTAGCAAGGGATTAGTTTGCCAAAACGCTATAAATACTTTCAGGCCCGCGGTTTCAATTTGCGATCTCGTCTTTTGGATATCTCGCGTTTGCGCTGGCAAACTTTTATCCAGTCTGGTACGTAATGCTTCCGGCAGCCATTTGTCTTGGTTTCGCGACGGGCATCGCATGGAGTTCCGCCACCCACTTCGTCACAGTTCTTGCTAACGATCATGGATTCGCCAGCGACGACCTCTTCTCGGTCTTCACCGGGGTGGTGCAATTCTCTTCCATTGCAGGAAATCTCGCTGCTGTCGGAATCGTTAAGAATTTCCTGCAAGAGCCAAGGTATGAAGCAATCTCGTTAATTATTTTTCAATTTGTTTACACTTTAGAGGAAAGACAGATCAAATAAATTTGCAACAAGTCTCGCTCTATTTTAGGAACAGATAACAAACTCTCCTTTTCTATTTCTGTTGTATCCGAAAGATTTATGCTATTCTAGTACGTCTGGGGAAACACTGAAACAAAACATCACAACACTGCCTCAAATCGAGGGGGCAGCCGAGGTTGAGGTTAATTACGAACGCTGTGTTTCCCACGATCCGATTGAAGGGACCTCAGGACACAGTTCTTCTCACAGTGTTCTCAGTGAGGAAGGCATTATGGTCCTATCTGGTAAGATGACCGAAGTTAACAACAGTTAAAACGAAAATTTCAGGGGCCTGTGCTTTCATAACTGTGATTGCCATTCTGCTTCTTTTCTTCGGACTCGGAGGGCGTTACGCTTCAAGACTAGACAAAACGTCAAAGCCTGGTCTAAAAATGATCGTCCAGTCTCTGAAAGGGATGATAAAACAGTCGAAAAACAAGAATCAATTATTGGTTGCTCCGATGACAATTTACTCCGCCACTGTTTTATGCTTCATAATGTCTGACATCACACGACACGTGATTACGCCATGCATGGGTGTCGGCTCAGTTCCCTTTTTGATGATAACTTACGGAATTGGAATAAGGTATAAAAGCATTCAACTACTATTGAGTTTTAATCTTTTTATAGCTCGGGATGTTTCCTGACGTCGCGTCTACTCAGGATCTTTTCTGTGAAAAGCGTTATGATCGTAGCCGCCTCTTTTGATGCAGCCTGTTTCTGCTTCCTATTCTACTGGCGCGGTGCGAACTCCTTGTTGATTTCAATCTTTCTCTGCATCGGCCTTGGCTTTACTGCTGGCATTTTCGAATCTGGCATGCCAAGTAAGTAAATATAATCAACCCAAGTGCTAATATTTCTTAGGCATTTATGCTAAACTGTTCCCTAAAACGAGCGAGTCTGCCTTTGCTTGGTGGAATACTCTTTTTAATATTGGCGCCATCTTCATCTTTGGTTGGAGCAGTTTTTTCTCTCTTCATCTTAAACTCGTCATTTTACTTCTTCTCTTGATTTTCTCTCTAATCTCGCTCTTGAATGGTAAACGTATTTTTGTTTCAATTAAAGAATCCTTTTTTAGTTAATTTTGAAGCAACAGAAGAAGAAATCTCCTCCAAAGCTGTAATTTCTAGCAAAACTGAAGACACTTTAGTGTGCCCGTAAAAACACACTCTTAGGAAACTTTCGCGAATCTATTTGTCTGCCATACAGTGTCTGAAACCACCATACAATTTTACAATGTTTCAGTCTGCTTATTAATGATTTAGCTTACTTAGTAAAAGCTAAATTTAAACATTCTTTCTGAATTTGAAAAGTTCATTCATTCGCTTACTTTCAAACCCGTTTATCACCTCTCTTAATATAACTTAAATATTATATTATGCAAGATTAAATAGAATAAATATTATTATGAAATTCAAAATTTCGCTTTATTTCTTTTTATTATTTGGCAGTCAATGAGAGGGTTAATAATCGTGCCGTCACAAGGGCTAAGAAATCTTCATATTTGATTGAACCTTGATAATATATCGTGAGATTGAACTCAAAGGAACCTTTTACGTACCATCATTGTTGAAATCCATTTGATTGAAGACCTTATCGGCTTGCTCCTTTGTGACAAACTTTCTTATCAAGCTTGAATAATTAATTTAACTATGCTCAATAATCGAGCTTTGATTCGGAAATTCCAAATTAGAACAATCATTTTTGGGATTAATTTCCATGCATGAATCAAATTATCAAACTTTGCCCGTGTTCATGGAGCCACTTTTTTATTTCGTCAGCGTCTATATCCATCGAACCATCTTTGTCGTAGTCTAAGAAAAGATCCTGTATGGCGTTTCCTTTGAAAGAGATGCAACTCATTTCAACGATAATTTTCAGTTCATTCTACTCAATCGTTTCAAACGTCTAACAACCCTTCCTTCAGGAGATTTCTCCATCTTCCTTTGACACATAAGAATCAACAGATCAGGGTAAGTCATGCGCTTCAAAGTGGATCCAAACATGAAAAGGAAGAGAATTCTGTAACTGTAAATTCGATATTTCAATTTTAATCCATGGCTGAAATGGAATCTCAGTTATTTTGATAAGTTGGAGAATCAGGTTTTCGGTGACACTGTTAAAACCTTCAAGGTTTTGGTAGATTTCTCTTGGCTAGAATTTGAGGATTTTGAAAGTTCTCTGCTGATCAATCAATAATTGACAATCATTTACCTCAATAATTCCGTTTTCGTTTGAATCGATTACTTTAAGAACATTCGCATGCGACGCAGGACAAAGAGTTCTGTCCAAAATTGCTGATAAAGTTGCTCTGGCATCAAGCTATGTATTTGGTGAATCTTGAGTCAATTAAAATTTACTGGATGAGCTCAATTTTCAATCACAATTAGGCACTATTAATTTTACAGCGAGCAAAGTCGATCGTTTGACGCGTCGTTAAATAAATACTCATTTCCAGAATCAAAGTATATGACCTTGTTCTATGACTATTAGAGAATAAGCTAGTAAAATAAACATGGTTGTCGCTTCCAATGACTGATAGCTACCTTCTGATATCGGAGCGTAGTGGAGAGTCTTCTGAACATCTCTAGTGGCGACCGATTTTTAAAAGCTTTATTCTTTGAATGCGTACGCCCACTTAGCTCTCTTCTGATAGTTCAAAATGACTCAAGAAATTGCCCTTTGGACATTCTTCATAATTCTCCTCGCGCGTATCAGAAGCTTCTAACTAAATGTGTTGAAAGGTTCTCACAGTTCAGACTCGTGCTTTCGTCACAGTCGATAGTTGTTAACATTTATTTATACTTTCAGGAAATTTATTTAAAAGTACAGTAATTTGTCAAAGGTCGTTTGTGTACGGAAGATGTTGTTTGCCTTCTGACTCGTCAGATCCAGCGATATTTTCTGCATCCGCAAGCTCTTAAAAATGTTTTCTTCCTTGTTTTCATAACTTTTAGTTAACAAGGATTTTCTTGGCACAAACCTTTTTCGACGTCCGCAATAGTTTTAGCGCCATTGGATTGGATAACAGCATCCAGAACTTTAATTTTTTGCAGTTCAATTTTCCAAGGAATCCGTCTTCTAAGGCGTTTGGCACTTTCTAAGAAAGCTGTCATTTCCATCCTTGCGATTTTGTAGCTGTTAACGAAATTGGGGCCGCCGTGAGACGCTAAACGCGTGTGAATCAATGCCATGTTGCGATGCCACTCTGGTGGAACCCACTCGTCTTCCTTCACCCATTTAGGCTTGTTTAAGTTTATTGCATCTTGCTCGGTTCTGTAGATTTTGTAGCTTTGGTCGAAGTTTATCAGTGCCATATCTATATCCCCATTATCTAGCGCCTCTTCACCAGCCTTAAAAATCTTTGAAAACTTTTCAAGAAAAAAATAGCTCACATCAAAAGCAGCTCTAGCAAGACGAGTCTTCATGTGCCACATAAGATGGTTGATCTCGTACTCCCATAGATGAAGAGGAATTCTCGTAGTGAATGGAGGAGAAAGAAACCAAGCAGAAGATTTGATGAGAGTATTGTGTCGCTCTATGAAACTTCCAGCCTTTGCGATGTCGGTTTCTCCAAAAGTGTAGTTAGATTTGATGAATATCTGGTCGCAGTGGCCCCACGGTATAACCTCAAAATCGGAATCTCTCTCCTTCGCCTGATAAAATAATTATTTTTCCGTGATGAAGAGACATTTTTACCGTTTTCTCGATCTCCTCGAGATCCCTGTCCGCGCCACAGATGAAGATCATTCTTTGCTGATTGGCCTTACAAAAGTCTATTCGATCTATAACAATTTGTGCTGGATTTGACTCTTTATAAAATCCATCGCCGTATTCTTTCTTCGGAATCTTGACCCGATTCATCTTCTTCTGCTTATTTCGGAGCCACCAGTGGTGCGTAAGCATCTTCGAGTCAACCAGGTCTAAGTCGCTCCTGTAGTCTTCGACGATTTGAAAATACTCCATTCCAGTAAAAAGACTCTCGCCCACTAAAATACGTTCGACGTCTGTAAAAAACAAAACGAACCTGTAAGAACGAGCGCGTTTTTCGGAAGCATTGTAAGCGTCTGATGAGAAAACCTTTCGAAAATGCCCATCTGCGAGCGATCGTTGTACATGTAACCGCGAACAGAAGAAACCAGTAGGATAATAAACGTCAGCAATTCCGCGACGCCCATATTTAAAAGTTCAAAAACAATTTCAGGGGGTCGATCAAGTTCTGCTTGAATGGTGACAATCCCTTCAATGATAGCATTGACGCCGACGGAGATGAAAAGAATGTAGAACAGGGAAGGCTGAAGCCAGAGTCGAGAAATCAGCATCGTATTGAGGGGTTTGTGTGGGTCTTGTCCCACCAAAGAACTAAATTTAAATGTCATTAAAATTCTTTTTTCTTTCATAAAAACATGAAAATAACATAATAAAATCACTTACGCGAAAACTAGTAGTGAAAAGAAAAAGGTAGCTGCTAAAACCCTTCCATACGGTCTCTGCATGATCAAATACACGAAACCGATTGCAGCGAGAATGAATCCGAAAATTCCAGCGAACTCCCAATGCATAAGAAGAAAGAAATGATTCAACATTCCGAAAATCGTTGCGGGAGCTGCATTGACGTCTTCGATCAGTGAGGAGCCGTAGTCCATTTGAAAGATGTGCACTAAGAAGCCCAAGGGGGATTGGCAATATCCCCATTTCCACACCGTCGCCATCAAAAGCGCAGACAGGGGCAGATAGAGGTAAAGTGACAAAGGGGCGAAAAGCAACTTCAAGGAATCAACGAAGATTACGCTTTTGCCAGTCGACCTTTCAAAAAGGATCATTTCGGCGCAAAGCGGAACAACAATGAAGAAGCTCTGGTGATTGTTGGCAAGAGCAAGGCCGCTGAGCAGAAGCAATTTTGGAAGGTAGAATGAAATGCGATTCCTCTCGCTGTTGTGCCATTCTATCAATTGCTCAGAAAAAGTTCGTTGTGACAAGAGTAAGCTCATTTTATCCGAGCCTTTCCTATGTAGCAATACAGCAAAGCAGCGACGAGGAGGTTGTTGAGAGCGTAGTTTTCAAACTGCACGTTCCACTCCCAAACATTTTTCGAAAAGCCGAACCACAGCGTTCCGAAGATTGCGGGAAGTTCTCTCCCGCTCGCTGTCGATATGACATTATACAGGGCGAAATTGGTTGCAGATGCGATCAGGACATTCAGGAGGTTGAGTGAGAATGGCACCGATGCTGGACAAATGCAGAGCCATATCCGGCCGAGAATAGTAAGCAATGGATATCCTGGCGGGTGGGCAACTCCTAATTGATGAGCCGCTTTTTGTCAAGTTTAGAATTGTTAAAAATAAAATAAATGCAAAGAAGTCATTCTAAGCCTTGCCTAAAATCAAGTCAGATGAGTCGCCTGGCGGAAGTGTTCGATAGGCGGTCTAAATTAGTTCTAGCAAAAAGACTCTGCTCGAGAAGACGCTCTTTACCTGGAAGTAGACGATCAGCGAGAAAAGAAATAGAAAGAGGGAGTTTCTCTGCCTCGTAAACGGCCCCATCTCGAATGTGAGAGGAAAATCCGCACAGAAAGTTTAGGACATTTAGCTGCTCTTGCTGCGTCATCCTCCGAGTTAGTACCAGTGACCCAAACTCCGGCAGTTTCATCACAACCCCAAGCGAAGTTAAAATTTTTAGTTTAAAAAAAAAAATAAAAGCGAAACTGCTTCATTCAAATTTTCGAGTTGAAATAGACGAAATTTTTTTCGTGAGGTCAGCTGCTAGCAGTATTGCAGGCCATGTTTTTCAACGCGGGGAAAAAAGAAGGCATGACATCAGCTTGAAATTTCAAGCCTGGCGGAGTCGGTTCCGATCTCGGCTGGATACGAGTCCTCGTTCTCACGCTGCGTCATTCAACTGATGCCCTCGTTCTCGCCGATCTCGATCTGCGTCTCCAATCGTGGGAATTCAACCGCATCGGAGCCAACTCTCAGTACGACGGCTCGGGAGTTTACAGCTAGTATTCTTGACGAAATTCCTGTTTCTCTAGAACTGCTTGTCACTAATTCAATTTTTATGAAAGCTTCGTCAGTTCTATAATAAGTTACCACAAGGTAGTACGGATCCTTATTGTTCAAAGTATTCTAAGATCAAAATGAAGTGGGACAGACGAAGATGGAGTAACTCTTCCAACGATCTATCTACTTGCTGCTACTTTATCTACATTTATCATCTACTTCATTTAACTAATTCCATTCGCAAGATCCAGAAGATAAGAGTCCAAAGGGTAAGCAACGCCACTTCATCAATTTTCGAAAAAAAAGCGTAGCTGAAAAATATGTTTTTAAAAATGTTTTACTCGTCGAGTAAAAATGCATCGAAAAGTGATCTGACGGGTCCAAGGGCAGTACGCGTCGATAAATCGAAGAGCGCAAATTTGCCTTTCGTCAATATCCGAGAAAATAAAACAGAAAAGCTAAAAGTATAAACAAAGAGAATTTTATTAGGCACTTTCGGTTGCTGAGGGGGAGTTGAGGTACTAGATTCAAAAATAATTAGTCATAAAAAAATAATTCTGAGTCAAATGACGAACAGTTTTTTCGCATTCTGACTAGGCTGACTGCGTGAGTGGAGCTTTTTTTTTATTAGTAATCCTTGTGTCAGAGCTGGCCCAAGGTAGAGTAAGCGTTTCGAATCGAACCATTGAGTGAAAAAAAACGCGCGCGCGGAAGAGGGCTGCGAGTGACACAAAAAAGCGCGGGGGCGGTCGGACTTCTTGGGTTTGCGCGGGGTTAGTTGGCGCCGTTGGCCAATCAGCTGTGCGGGGCGACCACACCGCCACCTACCTGTGGTCTAGTAGCATGGGCAGCGCGGCGGCGGGGCGAGCGCCTTTTCATTTTATTTTTTTTCAACTGGCCAGGCGCGCTCTCTCCCCCTCGCTCGAGCAACTGAGCCCAAGAGTCACGACGACGACCAGACACCAACCGGAACCACTGCTCCTACTAGAGACACTACAGTACTTCTCTACTTTGCCATAGGTACTTGACGCACAGAAATTTCTATTCCCCACCCCTTTTTCAACCTTCAGAATAGCTCTTTTTACGAGTTTCATTGACTTTTTTGCTAGTTTTCCGTATTTTAATTGAACTAATGAGTACTGAAAAGAAGAAAACTTAGAAGAAAAAGAAAGTTTGCTCTCTAAAATATTCGAAGAGAGTCGTGAATTTGCCATGAAGCTCGATCTATCGATTTATCAATGATTTTCATATGTGCTATTTTTTGCACAAGCTTTTTCAAGCCAAAAAGAAAGTTACCTTTTAGGTGGAAAATTTTCCCCTTTTCCGGCTGACTGGGTCTCACGGTGGGATACCCTTTATTGCTTCTCTCAGCACCAATTTTAAATATGTTCTTTTAGTTCACCCCTTCTGAGGCCTACCAGAGCAAGAGAAAAAAAAAGAAAAGATCAACGATGAGTAAAACGACGTGTTGGAACCTTCGGGTTTCGGCGGAGGCCAACCAGGGCGGACGGAAGTACATGGAAGACGTCACTGCGGTGCACTTTGAGCGAGTCAACTCTGTTGAATTCGCAAGCTTCGCCATTTTTGACGGCCATGGAGGTCGCGAGGCTTCGCATTTCGCAAAGGTAAACGTTCGCACTTTTTCATCATTATTATATTGTGCTTCAGGATCACTTGATGGGATTCATCAAACGAGAGAAGGGTTTCTTTTCGACGAGATGTGATCTTGTGAAGAAGGCCATCCGCGCTGGATTCCTTGCTTGCCACGAAGCCATGGCTAAAAAACTTCGTGAGTAGCAATCAATTCAAAATAGAAACAAATGACGTTTTTAATTCAGCTGACTGGCCGAAAACAGTTATGGGGCATCCTTGTACTGCTGGGACCACGGCCGCTCTGGTGATTATCCGTGGAAACAAACTGTACGTTGCTCACGTGGGAGATTCGGCGGTGATCATGGGCATTCAAAGGGATGACGACGCTCCGCTGGAAACAATGACTTTGACCGAAGATCACAAACCAGAAAGTCCGAAAGAAAGGAGGCGAATAGAAGCGCACGGTGGCACCGTGATCAACAAGGCCGGTGTCAACCGCGTGGTCTGGGAGAGGCCGAAGTTGAGCCACTCGGGAGCCGTCCGACGCTCTACAGAACTCGACAAAATCCCCTTCCTCGCCGTCGCAAGGAGTCTGGGTGATCTTTGGTCATGGAACGCGAAAACCAGCTCTTACGTGGTAAGTACTTCTCTCTCCCCGCTAACAGAGCATGAAGAAGCTCAAGTGACGAAAACAACTATTCACGATTTTGCTCTGAGTCCGTGTTCACGGTCAGATGATTAGCAAACGTTCCAATTTCTGATGAGCTAAATGATGATATAATTTAAATAAATACACCAAGTTTTCGTTATTTAAAAATTAATTCAGGTCAGTCCTGATCCGGACGTGGAAGTACACGACTTAAACAAATCGGGATCTCGCTTCGTCATTCTGGCGTCGGACGGAGTTACCAACATGATCAGATCACACGACGCGGTGAACATGGTCTCCGAGTTCGAGGCGCGAAAGAAGCGCGGCGAGGTTGCCGGAACATCAGCTCATGAACTGGTCAGAAACGCACTCAGAAGATGGTCAGAAAGGAACATGCGCGCGGACAACTCCTCGGCGATTGTCGTCTACATCGAAAAGAAAAAGATGGAGCCCAAGAACTGCGCGCAGAGCTACACTGAGAGCTGGGAGAGCACGAACAAGAACCGACACGTTAAGACGCCAGTGTCCGAGAAGATCGCTAAGAGGATAGCTCAACTGAGACCGCCACTTACGGAAGTGCCCCAGATTAAGACTGCTCCGCTCAAGACGTCAAGGAAGAGAGTGACTACCGAGAACAACAATCTCATCTCGCCGCCGCTGAAGAAGTCGAAATCGACGCCGGCAAAAGCATCAACGGGACTGAGCACCTCATCAGCGAGATCTGCCCGAAGACGTTCGACACGGCTGGCCGTGAAAGACTGTGATCGTGGCTTGACTCGCTCGGCTGCGCGAAAACGCGCATCTCTTTAATCCAATCGATAGGGTCTTAAAACTTATCCGAGACCTTGGTACGATCTCTGCAACAACTCCAAGAACCATTCTTAACCTCCAGAAGTCTACTACTAGAAGACTCTTTATTTAAATTGACTGTTCCTTAAAGACCTTTAAGGGTATGCTAGTTCCATGTTTATGATAATGTCAGGACCTCTGAGGGTTAATTTCATTAAAACCAACTTAAATCCAACTCTCCTTATTAAGTTATTTATAAAATCGAAAGCGAATACTTTATCTCAGGTTTAAAACTTTAAAAAAGAATTATGTTCGCTTATTTGTAAAAAATGTTATTTTTTCTGCTTTCAACACCTTTTCCTTAATTCTACTTCACCTCCTTAGTTTCCTAAGTTTCCATACCTTTGTAAAAATATATATTTCATATACATCTATTGTTCTTAATATCTCTGAAGACTGAAAGTGATCAAAGTTCACCAAAAAGAATCAACTTCCTATCAAAAACCGGACACTCACTTTCTTTCTCAAATACGCATTTCCTACCCTTTTCTAACGACTGATTGAGATAGGGTAGAGTCTACCATGTAGATAATTTTATTGTAATAAACGGAAAATGACGAGAATGACGTTTTTTCTTGCAGGCATTTGTTCGAAACACGCTCTTATTTTGTGAAAATGAAATGTAATTGAAGATCAACATTCAGGTAGTTTCAAAATGGCGACCAGAAAATAACTTGACTTAATCCTTTAGAGAAAGGGCTCAAAGAATCCTATATCGGTCAAAATAAGTGTAACTCCATTTACGCTGGGAGTAAAATTAAAGGCAAAGCGGTTCGCCACGTTGAGCTCGTTAAACCAATCGAGGATATCATGTGTGACTCTGATAGTATTTAGGAGCCAAGATCGCAATAAATGATCTCTTTCCAGAGGGAGCGTTCGTTTACTGTTCAACTTATTAATTAATAATCCAGAGGTTGACCATTACGCGATGACTTTTAGATGAAAATGCAAGAGAGACGGATTTAATGTCGAGCTTGAGGAGGCGGGGGTCACAGTCAGTCCCTGACGGGCCTGCTGCGGAGAGAGAGGACTCAGAAGAGAATGACACTGCCCCAGAGGAGCCAGCGAGGTATTTGTTGCACTTTAAAGGGCGTCTGCTTTCCAAAGTAGTTTACGACCAGCGGATGAGATCCTAAGTGATCCTTACTGATCATTTTCTCAGGCTAGAGATGTTTGGAATCAATATCGAGGATGTCACATATTTTTTTCTTCTTCTTGTTCCATTTGCGCTTTCATGGGCGATCGGATACTTCGGCTTCTCCTCGATCTTCATCGTTGCCATTACAGTGTTTGTTTACGTGATTTCCTTTTCCAAGCAGAAATACAATGACAGACACAGATATTTACAGCAGGTAAGATCAGAAAAACCACTGCCAAACTTGACTAATAATAGCTTCTTGGTACCGCCAGCGCTGTGGCTGAGCTCTCAGATGTAGAGAAAACGAAAAAGCTAAACGAAGTACGGTCGCGAGGGATTCCCACTCGTCTCCTCTCAGACTCATTATTCAGTAACGACCAGGAGCGAGCCGAGTGGCTTAACGAAATAATTTACCAATTATGGCCGTTTATCTCACGCATGATACACAAAATCCTGAAAGAAACCGTCGAGCCAACAGTTCGTGATTTGATTCCTCAGCTGAAAATCTCTTTCCAGAAAATTGACTTAGGGGATGTAGCCCCGCGAATTGTTGCGATCAAGGTATGTTTGTACATTTGATCGTTGGGATTATATAGTTTTTTAGGTCTATCCGCAGAGTGACGGCGGAGACAAGAATCGCATCGATTTCGACTGTCAGCTCGCTTGGGTTTCCAATGCTGAAATAAATGTTGGAATTCTCGGCAACCAAGCGAAGATAGAGCAACTTATGTTCTTTGGGAAGATGCGCGTTTCGTTGGCTCCATTAATGTCTGACGCGCCGTTAGTCGGTGCGATGTCGATCACTTTTTTGACTCAACCGGATATCGAGTATTCTCTCAGTGGACTCGCCAGCGTAGCCAACACTCCCGGAATCAAGTCGACTGTTCAACGAGCGATCGATGACTCCTTCGCGTCATTGCTAGTTATTCCCAAAAGAATAAATATCGATATTGCCCCGAGTGAAGTTCATTTCCTTAATTTTCGACTGCCTGAAGGAATCATTCGCGTAACAGTGATTCAAGCGCGCGATTTGGAAAACACTGACAAGATCGTATTGAATTTCGGCAAGCCGGATCCTTATGCAATCGTCAAAATTGGTTCGGATGTGGGCCAGACCGATCACGTGGACGAAACTCTCGATCCAGTTTGGCTGCACAAGTTCGGTGCCGAGAAAACAACATTTGACTTGTCAGTTTACGACTTGACGAGTCAAGAGGTATTAGTTGAACTTTGGGACAAAGACATTGACAAAGACGACTTCATGGGCGCAGTACGTGTTCCAGTCAACGACGTTTACCTCGAGTTCCAAAAGTAAATTTAAAAGTCTCGAAAGTCCGTAACTACAGTCATTTAATAGCTACTTGCGTGCGCAGGAGAAGAAAGCACTAAAGGATGATGAAAATCTGACAGAGGATGAAAAAAGCGCGCAGGGATTCTTGGAGAAATGGTTTGAAGTTGGGGGAAAAGATAATGCGCAGGGAACGCTGAAGCTGAAGCTGTCGTGGCTTTCGTTCGCAAGTGATAGTGTTAAACAAAACATTCCTCCATCTACACAGTTCAATCACTACTTCGTTGGCGTGTTCATTGATCGTCTGGTCCATTTACCTGATAAATACCGAGGTCGCCCGATTTACGTCGAAGTTGCTCTTCAATCAAAGAATGACAATAAGACGGAAAAACAAATAACTTACAATGGAACTGGTAAGGTTTTCATGACCCTTCTGTGAATAACCCACATTTAGCCCCGGACTGTTCTTTCGCGGAAGTTAAGTGGTTCTTTTGCAAAGATATCTACAATTACCATTTGACAGTAAGCGTAAAGCTAGCATTCAAGGATAAGGTCATTCCTGGCTACTGCTTCCGTATGCATCCGTGGAAACTTCTCCAAAACACTCGGTCGGATCATCCATGGTCCAAAAAGATCGAGCAAGCCGTCAACACTGAAAACGATGGAGATGAAAAGAACAAATTCAGACTATTCTACACTGTTGCTGTTCGCAAGCTGGATGGGCACGATGCCGCGTTTCGAGTTCCCAAGATCGAGTCAAAGAAAGCGCCCAAGCATGGCCATATGCCTGCCATCAAGATTCCGTCTACAAGTAATGTATCTTCGGCGAATTCTATCGGCAGCTGCATGACGCTCCAAGAACTTGGGTAAGGACCGCTTTTTTAATAGGAATAACTTTGAATGATATTCAGGGAACCATTGTGCCATTGCGAGCTTACATGGAGATACTCTCCAAACTCGCAGACAGTTGTGGTTGTCGTTCACAAAGTCAGTGAAATGTTCCCCGCAGGCGCAAAGATCAAGTGCCAGTGCGGAGATCGGGCAGCTGACACTAAAAAGCACCCTAACATCGTCAACGACAAAGTAGAAATAAAGGTAAATAGCCTTTCAGTGCCTAAACTTAACTCGTTCTAAGAAATGTGCCGAGAATACTGCTGGACGAATCGACATTCTGGTTCGAAAGGGAGGAAAGACACTCGCTCGAGGGCACGTTGACATAGACAACACTTTGCGTCAAAAAGTTGACCTCTATAAACAGTAAAATAAAAACTTGAACCTCACAGTTACAAGCCTGGCCGTGCCTAAATTGATTTTCTGTTACTATGAATCTATCTTTCCACTATCAATTAAGTACTCAATGATTCAATTATACACCTAAATGCATTCTTTCTTCAACTGCACTGTTTTAACTGATTTGCGCATCCCACCGAGAAATAAATTTGAATTCTTGTTCATGAATGTTTCATTCTAGTAGAGTTAATATTCTTGGAGTATGGAATGCTAACCGACTCCGGCTTATACACTGGATTTATATCTATCTTTCTACATGCGACGTTTACTTTTGCGAACAATTTTAAGTAAAATCCGACTCTCTTGCATGACCTTATATGCCTTTTATCAATTTATTTATCTTAAAATTATTGATCTATTTTTTCGAGCATCTTTTGAAATCTTTATTTGTAAAAACCACTGCACAAACGGAGGAAAACGTAGCTTTGATATTTATTTTAGCCTCTATAGTTCAATTGTTCTTCTTTTGTACATAATTCAATCTCAAGATCTGAACTTGATGATTCCTATTTGAAACTTTCGTAATAAATTGAAAATGACAGATTAGAATGGGGACAGGACAAAAGTTCGGTGGCCGCAATCGCGGAAAGCATGGCAAGGGCAAGGAAGGAAAAAGACGTGAACGAACGAATAAGGACTACAAAGAAATCGTGATGAACAACCCTCACTTCGAAGAGTACTACTCGAAGAACGGCACAGTGCCCAAAGATGAGCAAGTTGAGTTTTTTGATGCCCTGAGGAAGCCGCTGCCCCTCTCTTTCAGAGTTACGGGATCGACGAACCAGGCGAAAGAGCTTATTCAACAGATGGAATCAGCACATTTGAAGGACATCGAATCGCTTGTTCTTGACAATGGAAAGGTCGTTCAACCAGCTGAACCTTTACCATGGTATCCAAATCGCCTGGCTTGGAAAACGAATTTAAGTCGACAAGAGTTGCGCAAGTTTCCAAAATTATCCGGCTTTCATCAATGGATGATTGCCGAGGGCGAGTCGGGACATGTTACCCGTCAGGAGCTCGTTTCTATGATTCCGACTCTTCTTCTTGACATCAAGTCTCACTGCGCAGTGCTAGACATGTGTGCTGCTCCAGGCTCGAAGACATCTCAGATCATTGAAGCTCTTCACGCCGATGCTCCAGAAGGCAAAGTTCCTAAAGGTTTTTGCGTGGCGAATGATGCCAATAATCGACGATGTTATATGCTTGTCCACCAAGCAAAGCGACTCAATAGTCCATGCTGCATGGTTGTTAATCACGACGCACAAGTATGTAATTAAGACGCGTATGAAACTAATCTTAACTTAAGGGAATGCCAAATATGAAAGTGAAAAAAGACTCTGGAGACGGATTCGAATGGCTTCAATATGATAGAATCCTGGCGGACGTACCATGCTCTGGTGACGGAACGATGCGCAAAAACCCAGATGTTTGGACCACCTGGCGACCGAACAACACCCTTAACTTGCATCCCATGCAATTCCGAATTGCTCAACGAGGTCTTGAGCTTTTGAAGGCATGATTCCTATCATAATAGCTCTTTGACCGTCTTTTTAGGTTGGAGGAAGAATGGTTTACTCTACTTGCTCGATGTCTCCTATTGAGGACGAAGCAGTCGTTTCGGCGCTTATTAAGAAATGTGAAGGCTCCATTCGCCTTGTGAACATCGATGGGATGCTACCAGGATTGAAATATGAGAAAGGAGTGTCAACATGGCCCGTGTACTTCGACGGAAAGTTCCACACGGAGCCGAACGAAGAATCTAAAAAGGAACCCGACTCAGAAATATATTTTCGAAATCATCAATTTAAGAACGTATAGCAGGCGCATCTAAGTTTTCGTTTTTTGACAAATCGTGTCATCTTGCGCTTCTGTATTTTTGGAGAAAGTTGCACTTGCATGTAACTTTAATCGAATGTTTTTAGAGGACTTTAGTGGGGGTCATGTCAGCACCCGGGCTGACTCCCCAACTAAAAGCCTTCAATGAGGAGCTCGCCGGGATATGTTCGGAATCGCCCCCGATTTCGCGTTCGAAAATGAAAGTGGGTATCTTTTCATTAGTGCTTCTTCTCACAATTAAGGCGATTACAACGAGCGGAATGAAGGCGATAAAAATGTACAAGCATGTCGTGCAAAACGTAGAAAAATTTATATCAAAGTCAAAACCTACGTACGTAAATAATAATTGACCTCGATCTCATTGAAGACATTTAGTTACAAAGTCACTGGTCTTTATGTGATAGATGCGCTTATACGAAAATCACAAGCTGAATTTGGCCCAGACAAAGATGTTTATGCGAAGCGATTTCAAAAAGTAATGACTAATGAAACACATTAAAAAACTCCGTTATCATAGAATATGCTGATAACTTTTCAACATCTCGCGAAATCAGCAATATCGAATGAGGACAAAGAGAAATGCAAAAAGATAATTACTCTTTGGAGACGAGGAAAAACATACGAAGAGTCTTTGCTGGATGAATTAGATAGTATAATGCTTAAAAGCAGTAATTCAGTCAAATCGGTATGATTACCTCGTCAATTCAAATAATAAAGCTGGTGACTAGGAATCCATTGCTAGCAAGAACGAACCGAATCCACCTGCTGACGACGCAGAGGTTCTTATATCGACGATTCTATCGAACCCAGAGTCTGAAATGGCCCAGAATCTCGCGAAAAGTAATTCACTCATTAATCACGTATTTACTATTTTCAGTGCTCGGTGGACCTCAGCAGGAGCAATTACAGCAAATATTGTCGAAAATGAAAAATAATCAACCCGAAACCCAAACAGAGCCCATTCAAGATAAAAGTCCTCTTATTGACGAGGTAGATCGTAATAGTTGGCAGCAAGTACGAGTCTGTTCTTGGAAATTTCTGTTAAAAATATATTTCAGCCGCCGCCTCCACTTCCACCTTCTCATGGAAAATCGATACCTATCAGTACGATTCCTCCGCCAAACGATTGGCATCAGCACCCTCCTCCGCCCCACCCATTATTGCCTCCGCCAGGAGCCTGGGAGCATCCTCCACCGCCCAGACTGCCCTCTCCCAGACATGATCGTGATCATAGGTTTCTTGTTTTGCTTGTTTAATATTATCATTATTTTCTAGTCGCGATAGAAGGCGTTCGCGATCCCCAAGAAGAGATTTCTCGCCAAGACGAGATCGTTCGAGATCTCGAGATAGGGACAGCAGAAGAAGGAGAAGATCCAGAACTAGAAGTAGAAGTCGAGACAGAGATAGAAAACGCAGCAGAAGCAGAGATAGAGATCATCGTCGAGATAGATATCGTCGTCGTTCCAGGAGTAGGGAAAGACGCTCCAGTAGACGTGATGAGGTTGCTTCGTAAATCTCGTTTAAGCTTTTTAACTCATCGATTTCAGATTTCTAACAGAGAAAAAATGTGCCTACCAAGTACTAAAGAGGGAAAAGGCTGTGTTGCCTCACGTACGATTTGGATCGGAAATATTTCCAAGGTTGTTACCCTTTTTTTATATTTTTAAATTAGCTTTTCCAGGGTGACTGCACCGAAGAAAGCGTGAGAAATATGATTAAAAACGTGGATCGGGCTGATGACATAGAAGACATTACCGCTTTACACTCCAGAGGATGTGCTTATGTTGTGATGAAAACACGCGCTGCTGCTTTCAAGACTCTACAAAAACTAGCTTCGAAAAGAGGTCGCGAAGAAAAACGCAAAGTCGACTGGGCGATCAATTCTGGACTGAAAGACGCAGAGATGCAAGCATATTTTGACAAAGCAGAAGGTGCCGCCTTCATCGAGTACTCTAAGCTTCCAGAGGATATTGAGGTAACGCTGATATTGAGTCGTTCATCCTCTGATGTTGTATTGAGGTTCTCATAAAGTGGGCTCGTGGTGGAGTTATCGACATAGAGAGTATGCCGGAAAAGGTCCAAGCAGCTATTGCGGTAAGTCACGAGAAAATAACTGTATTCTGGATTTTTTAGGCAAAGGATCGGGAAAACTCTCAGTCAGTAGACATGGAGATGGACATGGACGAGAAAGGTAACATATTACAATACGAATCACTTTGAGGCAAACTTTTCAGACCCCACAAGTCAAGTGGTGGGAAATGCCACGAACTTGCCGATGGTAGGTGGGATGCCCACTATGACTATTCCAATGGGAATGCCTATGCCTGGACAAATTCCTTCTGGCCAAATCCCGCTAGCAACTCCAATGGGGCAGCATCCGTTGCAAGGAACACCAATGATGATGGGCCATCAAGGCTTAATTCTGCCACAGGGGGGTGTGCTTCCGCAAGGAGCAGCCCCAAGGGCACCTATGATGGGATTCATTCCTCGCGAACGCTTTCCTGGCCCTGGAGGTTCGTCGCCCATTACTTCGAAATATCTATTTTAATATATATTAGGTTTCGGCCCACGACCTCCTGGGGGTCCCGGTGGCATGCCGGATAATCATTGGAATGGACCGCCAGGCCACAGTATGGGCGGCCCTCGTCATAGAGGCGAGCGTTTCCAAAGCCCTCGTGGTAGATTTCCAGATGACCGTGGCTTTGACGGTGGGCGCGGAGGTCCTAGAGGCGGCCATGGATCATGGAATCGCGGCCCTCCGAGACAGAATTTCAACGATCGAGATCATCGAAGAGATCATCAAGGAGATCACCGACGCGATAACCGAGGAGATTGGTAAATGACTTAATTAAATTATACTTACTACTAGAATTAATTCACTTTAATAATATAGCCCGAAGATCTGGGGTCTGAATCTAATAATCCCACAATAAAACTAAAAGAAAAACGGCAAAAACGAGACAATTATCTTTATAGATTTGTGAATCTGTTTTTGGAAAATCGTTACGATGAATAATTTTAGGCCTGATAGATGGGGCAATGCCGGTGGGCATCAACGAGGAGATCGCCACAGAAATGACAGAAGTCCGAATAGAGATAGAGGTTTGATCTGATTACTTTTTCTTTTTGAAAATATTTTTTAGGATTCTCGAGACTTTCGCCAAATCCATCGCACGAGCATAATCCCTGGGGAGGAAGAAACACGAATGGACAAGGTTGGCAACCACATGAAATTAAACAAGAGAAAAACAATGAACAACATACCAATAACGAAGAAAACGCGCAAACTAACGGATGGCAATCTAATGAACCTAAAGACGCTGCAGAGAAAACGCAACCAGTGCCAAGCGACGAAAGCAAAACAAATGAATCGAATCCACCGTTGCATATGATTAAGTCAGAAAGAACTGATCCAATTCAAACTGATCCACCTAATGAGAGTGAAAATACAGCTAATACACCTATACATGATGAGCCAAATACTAATGGTGAGTTCCTATCCGCTCAGTCGGGTTTAGTTCTTTCTTAGATGCAACTTCCTCTGCAGCGGCGATCCAGCCTGTCAGCGGAGCCGCTGATCCAGGGCTGGAGAAATCTATTTATGATCCAGACTCACTGCTAAACTCGACAGTGAGCTCAGGTGTTGGTGAGGGCACAGGCGAGCCTTCAACAGCCGAGAGTACGGATGATAATCGTGCTCAATCCACTGCCATATCGTCGCCAGGGAATGAGTGAGTTTTCTGTCCACATTTATTCCTCATTTATCTATCCTCCTTTATTCAGTTAAACACTGTTGGCACTGCTCACCAAAAATATTGAAGAAATTTACCGTGGCCATTGATCTTCTCGAAAATTAATAATAGCTCTGAAACTTTATTTCTCTTGTCTTTACAAGCATATTTTACTGAACCTTCTAAGAAAGTATCTCTGCTCTCTCAGAATCTTATCAGGATCCAACTTGCTTTCCATCTTGTGAGACAATATCTCCAATAAAACTTTTAAGTAAATGATCTACTTCTTTTATTTTCCCCTATACTCCCTTATCATTATCTCAATTCATTTTTGGCCAATATGTATGCGTTTTTTCGCATCTCGCTATGCGGGTTGATTTTCCTATAATGATTTTTAATGAATATTTCTGAGTCGGGCACAGCATCACATTATAAAAGTACATTTATTTTTTTTTTATAAATGGTAACTAACAATTACAAGGACACAATGTTCCCTCCAGAGGGGGCAAAGGACATGAATTTGGACAGATGCATTCGTCTCCTTCCACACCACGGAGACACTGGAGGATTCTTTGTAGCTGTTCTCGAAAAGACTGCTCCTCTCCCATGGCAAAGTGAACAGAAGGAATGCCCAGACCCGACGAAAGAGAAAAAAGATGGAGAGCCGCCGCGAAAAAAACCTAAAACCTGGCGTAAAGGCACATTCAACGAAGTAAGTTCTTTTCATGATAAACATTTTTAATTGTTTTTGTAGGACCCCTTCGTCTTCATGAAAGAAACGGACACCGAATTAGAACACGTCAAAGAGTTCTACAATCTTTCAGATGAGTTCCAAATGACGCAGGTTTTTAACCGACTCCGCGAAGATAAAAAGGAGACAAGCAAGTGCAGGAACATCTTCTTCGTTACGAAGTATGTACTTGCGTCGATATATTCTGTTAGCCTTTCGTTAGGAAGCTGTCCGAAATTCTCAAGTACAACATCGAGACGATCAAATTCATCAACTCGGGTGTCCGTATTTTCGCCCGAACAGAAGGCAAAATGCAGGACGCATTATATCGGGTTACCCAAGATGGTATCGATATTATGCGATTCTTCTGCAGAAATCAAGTGACGACGATTGATCAGGTCGAAGACATGCGAGTTCTTCTCAGGTATATTCTATACTTGCTCTAAATATAACTGACTGTGACTTAGAGAAGAGACTCCTGACTTTAATCTATATTCGGACGCCGTCAAAGCGCAAATTTGGAAAGACACGAAGAATGGACCCTTTATAATCAATTATAAGCCAGCTGAAGGAGCTGGATTCTCTGTTTGCGGCTGGCGAGGAGACAAGAGTCTGCGACTCTACATAAATAAGCACGACAGGATTCATTTCTTGCACCTGATGGGAGAGCCTCTACCTGAATGGCTAAAGGTAAGTTTGAAAATCAGACTTCGGTTTCTGTAAATTTTAGCTCCAAACCAACACTAGAAGAGCGAGACATGAAGCGTCGAAGAATGAGGGCGAAGAAAAGGAAAATGGGAAGGAACAAGAAGGAGAAAATAAGAAAGAAGAAGAAAATGGAAAAAACTGAATAATTTTCATTACACCTTCTGCGGAAGAACCGAGTTTCATGCTCTCCAAACTCGACGAAAACATTGAAATACAGTGAAATGAGAAAATTTATTTTAGAAAATGGTTTGAATCTCACCCTGAAAGAATGACTACCAACAAAAAACCCAAATTTAAAGAAAAAATCGTCGCCCTCTATGACTTCGTATTTGATAACAAAACCGAGAGAGAGAACTTCTGGAACGAGTTCTTTCTTATTCGGCCTAAAAAAGAACACTTGGTTGCAAAAATCAAAAGTCTAATCGAGCCCAAGTGCCTGCAGGCTCTCGTACAGCATTCAGTGAAATTCTGTATTGAAGGAAACAAGTTTCAACGAGTCAATGCTCTCCAAACACTGGTAAGCCGATTCGTTTGCCTGAACGCAAACTTATGCATGTTCTGTAGTCTTGGATAGTCTTTGGTCTCGGTGAAAAGTTCACTCCTGATCATTGCTATGAGTTCTTGGACTACATGTTCGGCTTCGACAGAGCCGATGAAGAAATTTCCGAGTTATGTACAGCTGTTTTTGACCTGACCTCTGCAGAAAATAATCAGGCTGTGCGGATTTTAAGTATTGCTTTAGTCCTCACTTCTTGTAAGTTTTCTTTTCGAAATTTAAAACTTTAAAATGTTAGTAAGTAAGCGTGCGCAATCAGATGAAGAAAAACATTCTCGGCGAACGAATTCTGACTTCTTCTCGATTCGACGCCCAGAAAATGCTTCATATTTTTGAAACCATTTCGACAAAAGACGCCTTCGACTCTCTGCCTGTATCTCTCGGTTCCTTATGCATACACATGTTAGCCGTAATGCTGCGAATGGAGCGCCATCCAAAGCTGATCATGCAGCGAATGTCATGCCTTGACTCAGCACTTGCACTCGACGGACTTGGTTACGCCATCGAAAACGATCTTAGTGAAAAGATTAACGAAGCGATGCGTATTCCTCTCGAGACGCAAACTTCGAGCTGGTCGTCATTCATTTTGGGTAGCTCGGAACCCGAGATGGTCAAAGTGGAAGTTGCTTCTGCGGCGCTAGTCACCCTTCTAACCATTGTTAAAGTAAGTAATTGCGCTAGGAAGCTATCTAACTTTCTTTCAGGTCAATCGTAACTTTATTCCTGTACTATGTCATTGGAGAGCGCGCGAAGAGTCTGCGCATGGGAGTCCACCGTTAGCTACCTTTCTCGAATATACCTCGCTCGTTCAACAAAACATGAAAATCGCGGAGCGCAAAGCCGCCACACGAATAGCCTTTATAACACTGTCAATCATTACCGAAGACCATTTCGCCAATTGTTTCCTGCACGACCAATCCGTTAAAGTATTTAAAAGGCGAGTTATCTTTTGTAGCATTCGAGTATTTAGTTTCGCCTGCGCCTGCACCGCGCGCCAAGCAGACACCGTGCAACAGGCAACGATGAAGCTTCGCCGAACACATTCGCCGCTTGGATACTGCACATTTGCTGCGAATTTCTCGTCTCTCATCTAATGAAGGACTTTCCCCTCGATGTCCATCAAATGGCACTGGGCGTCATCCATCGACTGCTGATCTACCAAAAGCGTGCCAGGTCGCGACTCAACTTTGACTGGAAGCTTGTTTGGCAGAGCATCGTCCTTCTCCTTAAATTCGTTTGCTCAAATCAGAACTCGCTGAGCAGCCGCCATGCCGCCTCCCAAATTCAGAAACTAGTCAAAACAGCACTCATTGTGATGAACATATTCATTTGCTGCGGAGACGAGATCTTCATGAGCACAGCTCATTACGATAAACTCTATTACGAGCTCATACGTGTGGCTTCCGTGTTCGACAAAGTCGAGCAATACGCTTTCTCGCAATCGCAGAAAACCAGTGAATTGAAAAACCTTGTATTCAACATTCGACAGATACAGTCTCATTTTAACAAGATCCTAGTAAGCTCTCACACGCCTGAACAGATCCTAGATATTATAAAGGTATTTTATCTGTTTGGATGGTAGCAAAGAGGTTTTCTTCTAGGAAAATTACTCGTGTCTGAGTTTACGACTTCTGGACGGACTGGAAAATTTCGACAAGCTCAACCACGAGAATGTAATCGACGACATCGTTCCAGAGCTCATGAGCAGCTGCAAAAGAATACTCCAATTCGACTCTATTGACTATAAAAGACTTTCCTCCTGAAGCCTCTTCATTTTGCCTTGCTGCTACGCGCCGGTGATATATTTAATAAAGTACTAGATATTTAAATAAGTGAAATCACTTCAAAATGTTTGTGTTTTATTTTGAGTTACTTTCTTGGCTTCGTTCTTAAAGCAAGCAGCCGCAGAAATAGGATAAAAGAACTTTTCTCTCAGAAGACTTCTCACGTCAGAATTGTTTTCCTTGAAAGTGCTTATTTTTGTTGAAATCTAAACTCACCGTTTTTTCGTGGTGTTCTTGGTTGAGCATGAATCTATCAATAATTTCTGGGATCGGCAAAGCGATTGCTAATATCCCTATATTGGCGCATATGATTGCTTTCAATCGAGATCGATAAAAGTGAATTCTTGAGATCACCGCTAATTATCAAGTTAGTCTCATCCTGAAAGTCGCCCTAGAAAAGATGAAGGAACAATATCGCCGTACCCAACTGAAATCTATCACGATTTATGTTCGATATTTCGACGAAACTCACCCGTGCTCTTCGTTATCCCCCGAACCAGGCCGATGCGGGAATAGAAGTGAATTGAGAGTTTGGATTATGGCGTTCGATTGCATACAACACTTAAAACAATACAGAAAAAGTATTCGAAATATGATTAAACTAAGGTTTACCTGTGGACCAAATGATAGTCGACAATAGTAGCAAAATGAGCAGAAAATAGAGATCTTCTAGTGAATCCCGCATTGTCTGAATCATAATGCGCAGGTTTTGACTGTGTCGGGCCATCTTCACAACGCGGCAAACACGGATCAGGCGAAAAACCCGAAATGAGTTAATTCTCTGAGACATACTTAATCAATTAAAAAAAATATGCTATCACCTCAAGAGAGGGGAACATGTCGATGAAAAACGGTGTAACGGCAATAATGTCGACTATATTCATCCCATCCTTGATCATTATTACAAATAAAAGTCTTTTAGAAAAGATTAACCTTTATGAATGCTTTGAAAGTTTCACATGTTCTGTAGCGCAGGTAGATTTCGATGAGAAAGAAAAGAGATGTCACGACTTCAGCGTAGCGAAATAACTTTTCAAAACTTATCGCAAAATCCTTCAAGAATGGACTGTTTGCTTCGGAAGCTTTTTCTTGTAAGGTTCGATGTATGCCTTGACAGAATCGTCGGTTTCGAGAACAAAACAGCCGATCGACAAAATAGTTGCGAACAGGCTCAACCAGCTAAAGATACTCGCCCACATGCTTGAATGAGGATCGTGCACAAATTCATACAGTTTCCGACTGTTTTCGTTTTTGAAGCTTTTCGTTACTGGTAACTCGTCCTTCAATAGATGATCTTGGAGCCCAAAGAACATGATTTCATCAATAAAAGAGTCGAGGAATAAAAACTTTGGCCGGTGCAGTTTGTCGGACTCGCTCTGTATGTACGAAAAAATCGGGTCAAAGTAGCATGTTCTCCGCTCAAAGCAGTAAGCTTCCTCATCATCCCTGTTTTTTATTTATCAATGTTTTTCATAGAGAGCGAAAAGATAAATACGATAATAAGACAAATATCTTTAACCCAATAACTCCAATACATCTCAAGCACATCATCCTTCAAGAAAACACTCCCTGAAAGACGCTGAAGTTTGTATCGATTTACCCTTTGTTAAGTTATGTAAGCCTTTTTTTATTTTAATAATTGTTTGCTAAGTTTACTTTTATATAACTCTTTCCGATACGTAGTTCCCGAAATGCAAAAAGAAACAAGCTCCGAGCCTTCTCTCTCAAGTTTTTGTTCGCTCTTTACGGAACTAAATAAATAATCTATGAAGAAATTATTTTCACTTTTGCTTACTTTCGACGCTTTCGAACTTCCCAGTACACATCTAATAGAGCGTTACTGCAGGTAATGCTATTTCTCCTCTTGGGTTTCTCATCAATAGCGAGGTTCATTTCGCAGTGAAAACAAAAACAGCTAGAGGTTCGGAAGAAGAAAACGTATGATTATTTGACGAATTTATGAATTTTTTACGGAATGCTGGAATTTCGAGCAATGCAGTAGCTGATTTCTAGGTCACATAGATTCCTCATCTCTTAATTTCTTTCGAGTACATGTCCATATGTTCTCATTTTCAACCTGTAAATTATAAGCTTCAAAACGTTGACCTTTTGCATGACTAAAACAAGATAAATACCGGACAAAAGTCCTGAATCATTTTCACCATCAATTAAAACAAAACGAAAACAATTCCACCTCAAACAGAGCGTTGCTTTCTTCGCCTGTTAAATTTGACTTCCTCTATTCAGGAGACTGGTTAGGGATTTTCGATATGTATTTGTGACGGAACCAAATAGGCCACACCCGAATCGTCCCCAGCAGGTCCCATTCAGTAATAATAACCACTTAAACATTTCATTAGAATTATTTTTATACCCAGCGCGATCGACGTATCAGTTAGAAATGTGCACAGTAGAGTTCGACTTCTCTATCAACGAGCTTACTTCCCAGGTAAATCCCTATTTACGAACATTGTATATTTTAGTGTTTGTTTTCTTGGGTGGAGGGTTTGCAGACGCAAATCCTTGTATATGAAAGGAGCAGTGATAATTCGCGCCCTTTTCCACAAACAAATGCCTTTTCTTAATGTGTATATAAATTTAAAACGATTTAAATGAGCTATTTCTTCTTAGATCGAAGGTACCAGCTCGACAACGTCCAGTTCACTTAGAGACATCGATGCGATTTTTCAAGAGACGCTTTCTTCTCACACGAGCACGACGACGAGCAACTCGCCTGAACCTTCTAGTGATCCGTTTTTCATAAATTACGCTGAGTCATTCGAGCATCAGCTGCAGCCGACTTACTCTTCTATGGATGGTTGTTCTCAACAAAACCAGCTCACACCATCTTCGACCAGTGAAATAACAGAAGGCGTTTCATTCTGTGAAGAGAGATTTTACGAAGACCCACAAACAATACAATCCTTTCAGAACTCAATTTATCCTGAAGTTGACGCGAGTTATGGAGCATACCAACAATATGATTACGGAACTGGAAATAATATGATAAGTCCTGAGCACATGCAATACCAGGGGCAGAATTGGAACTCTATGGCGAATCCTTCGCAACAAATTTACCAAGAGAGGATTTTTTTTTAGTCAAACTTGTCGCTTTTTTTGCCAAAAATAAGTCATTGATTGAAAATCCTATTGTCAGGCAATGCTCAAATGCCCTGCTCATCCTTGATGGCGACTTCTAATAAGCCGCTCGTTCGAAATCAACGAAGACACAATTGCGACTTGGAGAAGAAGAGAATCCACAAATGCGCATATCCTGGCTGCACAAAAGCGTATACGAAGTCGAGCCATTTGAAGGCACACGAACGAACGCATACTGGAGAGAAACCTTACAGATGCAATTGGAATGGATGTTCTTGGCGTTTTGCGAGAAGTGATGAGCTTACCAGGTAGAAGCAAATTTTGCAAGAATCAGGAACTTCAATTTAAGTTTCAGACATATGAGGAAACACACAGGTGCAAAACCATTCAAGTGCCTAGTTTGCAGTAGAAGCTTCTCGAGGTCTGACCATCTCGCTCTTCATATGAAACGTCATATATGAAAAACCAGCCTTTTTGACCCTGTAATAAAGATATATAAATTTAAAGCAAACTTGTGAAATTTTCTCTCATCTAAACCCGGCAATAGAAAAATCCACAATATAGTACAGATATAATATTGGCGATTCCGTTCTGAAGTCGGAGGAGAACGGATATAGCATTGATTCCGGAGCGTCGGCGCCCAAGCTTTCGTCCAGCACAGTCCCCAGGGGCGTTTACTTTTACTAAACTTATTATTTTGATATTTTTGTTATTGACACTTTCCCCGGCGCTAGAACATGAATATGTTCTTGAGCTGCGGCCGGCGCAAAAAACGGAGCCGCCGTGGTTCTAAGAGACCAGACTCAGCTCATCAGAATGTCTCAGGAACAGGAAAAGACATTTTTAAGGAAATGTGAAAATAAAATAAATTTCTAAATAATTCCTAATAGATACTCCCGCCTCCAAACGGAAAGCAAAGCCATTTCAGCGGATGCTTATTCTAGGAGACATTGGCTCCGGAAAAACTACAATTTTTCAGCAGATACAGCATCTGTACACACCAATTTACATCACGAGAAGAAAGAAAATGATGCTTGAAGACGTAAAAAACGCGCTTATGGAGACAATTTGGACATTATTAAGATGTACGTGTTTTTTTACGCGACCCGAATTGAAAAGATTAAGACTTGGCGGAGGAAAATATCCCCCTTGAATCTCCGCAAGCAGAGCGATCTCAGGAGTTCTTTCTTCAACTTGCGATGGTCGATTACAATCCAAACAAGTCGGCTTGCGACGATGTTGAGACTTACTTCGATCATGTGACGACAATTTGGTCTGATTCCTCTATTCAAAGGTGCTTACAAAACGCTTGTTTCCGATCATATTTTAGTGTTTTTGAAAATGCGTATAAAAAGTCGCCGATTCACCATAAATTTGCGAGTGCAGGAACTGTTCATATCTTTCCTTGCTTCTAAGGGCATATCAATTTTAATACGATTCCGAACTGTTTACAGTTGAATATTTTATGGGCAAAGCACAGTCTATGAAAACGAACTCGTATGTTTTAACGCGAGCGGATACCCTCAGGTAAGACATATACTTATTTGGCCTGGGATCCAAGTGAAGACAGCTTAAATTGCTTAGATTCTATAATAAAGACGGAAATGGAAGTCAAGTCACGTGCCAAGTAACAATAAAAGACGAAGAAGGGTACGATACAATTGCACAATCGCAAGATACTTGGGAGACGGCGATAAAAACGGAGCAGGAAACGCTGCTAAATACAAAACTCCAGATCACAGATTTGCCAGGCGATTGGGGGCACAGAGGAAAATGGATCCAATACTTCAATAAAATCGACAGCGTTATTTACACAGTCGATAGCTCAGCTTACGACATTGAGTCTGAGTCTGGCATAGTCGAAAACGCGCTTCGAAACTCGCTGGAGATCTTCAAGAGACTCTGGCACAATCGATGGCTCAAGAATGTCTCTTACATTGTCGTTTTGAACAAGATCGACCTGCTCGCAGAGAAGTTGAGAGTCGACGATAGCTTCGCGATCGAGTTTCCCGAGAGCATCGATCATTACTATTCATCGGTCGCCGAGCCGGAATTGGCCGAGCGATTTCAAGATCCTGAGCTGGCTAGGATCATTAGCTTTATTCGAAAAATGTTCACTGATGTTGCCTTACACGATTACGCCGAATTCGACCGCCTAGAATGCCACCTTGTCGTAAGTTTTCTCTCTTTCCAAAATAAGGAATAAACCTAACCCTAGACTGCTATTTCCCTAGACGACGTGGAGTTCATGTTCAACACGAGCCTTTTGCAAATGCAAGGTAACATTTCCGCTCGAGAGTCTATTGATAATTTTATGCAGATAAATACATCAATTACAAACGCGAAGAACAACGGAAAAACTCCACTGCTGCTAGCTGTAAAACCTAATAAACTCGATATTTTCGAATGCTGGCCTTTTTTTAATCAAGAGTGATCAACTTTATGGTTTCTGTGTTACCACTTAGTCGAATTAATTACGCACCTTTGCTTTAGCTCCTCAAGTCAACGCTAATTTTTTTCGAAGCAATGAGATTAAAATACCTGATTTTTATTCATTGTAACTTCGCATACCAACTACAAAAAGTCGCCTCTCTCGCCGTTGATGCAAAGAATTACACTTCAAGTTCACTACGGAACAGGGAATATCCAACTCAAATCAGAGAAATTGCCGATGTTACTGTTGGCTCCCCCTTCAAGGAAATGGCCAAGAAAAATTGATGAATAAAAAAAAACATTTTTAGAGTCAGCAAAAGTTTGTAACCTACTTGTCGAGAGATTTTCAAACACTGAAATTATTTCGAATGGCTTCAAATTCCAAGGAAAGGATCAGCAGTGCAGCCTAAACTTAGATTTGTCTTGATAGAATGAAATCCAATGAAAGAATGCCTATTTGGAGAAGACTCTGATTGCAGACTTCATTCGACGGGGCTTGACAATTTACAGAAATGTGGAAGGTTTGTTTCAGCTGGAAACTAAACGTTCACTTTTAAGTCGGTCATAAATCAGCGATAAGCTTGGAACAGAGCCCTCACAACAGAGAGCTGTTTGCAATAATCATCCAGAACGCCAGTTTCTCGGACGAGGGAATGTACTTTACAGAGTTCGAAACGGAGAACTCAAAGTACACCAGCGACTTGGTTAACCTTTACGTCAATTCGATCGGCCCCATCATGGTGGAGGTGATCTTCTTCACTGTCGTGGTGCTCAGTTTTTTGACGATGTTCTGCATTGTTCATAACGTTCGGCTGTGGCGAACGTATGGTGGATTCTGCCGCCAGAACTATCCAAAGTCGTCGAAATCTTCAGAAATTTCTTTTCTAAGAAAGTCCTACGATGATGTAATTCTTTGTTCTACCTATAAAAGGATGGTTTGACAAGGCTTTTGTTGTTTTTTTTTGTTGCAAGAAAACTTGTTGAAACTAAACCATCAACAGTCCGTATATGCCAGTCGCGACTCTTTCGTGCAAAAATCTTCCAAGCAAAGTACAAGATATTTGATACAACTTCAGCCAACAATTAACGCAATAAAGATTGAATTCCAAAACTGATATATTGATTTTCTTGTTTTCAAATCTGCGCTCTTGGTAACGATTTGTCAAAAAAAAGCATCGGGTTTTCTTTTGCCAGAGGAAAGAAGATTGACAAAGGAAAAGTCGTTAAAACGGGGCTCAGCTGTGCCCTTTTGGAGATAGCAGCGGGACCGGTGGAGAATAGCCACCAGATCGGCTACGTCAAGGCCACGTCGCTTTAACCAACGATCCGAGGAAAGAGAAAAAAGGAGAAATACTGCTCTTCGATCCTAGTAAACGTATATATTTCGAATGCAGCTGCGAATTTTCATCCTTTTACTTGCACATATTTGCGCAGAAACAGGTGAGAGAAAAGTCTGTGAAACTGTGCCGACCTTGGCGACCGCCTTGACATTAAACTGTTAAAAGAATTGCTTATTTAGGGAATAAGCCAAAGAAGAATGTCTGGAAGAAGTCAGTAGGAAGGGGAATCATTGAAACTATTTAATTTTCTTACAATTATGATTATTTTCATTACGTTTCTGATCAAATAGAAAGCCCTTAAATTATCAATAACCAAAGAATTTTTTTTTAATTTCTTCATTGAACTATGCTGATGAATTAAAAAAAAATTTTTTTGGAAGAAGAGAGATAAGAAATTCGAAAAAAGAGACACCATAATGTCGCGCCAAAACGGGAGAAATCGAATTTTGCGCGAAGTCAACTCTTTAGCTTTGCGCAGTGGCAGTATCGTAAACGATGAGGTTTATCCGAGTTGCGATTATTGCTAATTGAAAACTATACCCAATACCCCGCCATGCGGACGTGAAATACCGTCCACATAGGCAATTTCTGAAGGAGGCTACGGTCTCCTCGTAATCCTTGAAAATCTGAAACCAAGCTCGTGAGTCGGTGCTCGCCAAGCGGGAAGTACTGTCCTGTTTTTCAAACTAGAATTACCTCATGTTTTAAATTGCTTGCCTGACTATCATCATACTAGGAACAAAAACAATCCCTAAAAAAGGAACAGGTGCCACGAAAAATGGGGCGAAGCAAGTCGAGAAAAACGAAGAAAGCTTTATCCAACTTCCCAGTGGAATACAAAAAGCAGCCGAGCTGTTTGCTGCTTACACAGACAAACCGCGCAAAATCGCCACCTACTATTTTAAGAAAGTTGCGAAAGAGAGCAAGAAGCTGTGGAAGAAGTTTGTGAGCTCGGGATTTTCAGTGGAGAAACTGATCGCCACGCAAATCGCGGCACTGCTAGTTTATACCATCATTTCGTCGTTTGTGAAATTCATCACAAGAACAAGCAGAAGTCGCCGTGAAAATAAACTGGTCAAAAAGGTTTATGTCGCCACACCCAGCCACGCTGTCGAAGAGTTAGTTGCTAACAAGAATCAAGTACTAACAACTGCGGATAGGCTCCTATCACTTTGAGTAATGTCCGAAGATTCCGTAATGAAAAGATTATAGGCACGACGAAGGCCAAAGTCGTTTCTGAAAGTAAAATTTAAGATCCTCCAGCGAAACAGAGAACGAAGGAAGTAATGAAGAAATTGACGAAGAAGAGCAAGTAGAACAAGAATCAACTGACAATTCCGATCACGAAACTGCTAGTCATCATTCAGAATCAGAACACGAATCATTGCCAGAGATTCGCCGTACTCCCAGTACCCAAATCAATAGACAAGTTTCAACATCCAACGATGAATGACAATCTTTCTTTACACATGCGAGACCCTTGATATACACATTCTAGATTGACATTTTGACTGTAATAAACGCTGAATTTTCCATGTGAAGTGAGTAGCAAGCTCAAGACAAAAAATGCTGTTTTGTTATTCCCGGAATGACAAAGTCGAAAACGCATTAGGAGAGCCTATTACTTCCGTTTATTGATCAAACTTTTACGAGCTTACGGATCACACGAAAGGCATAAACCGACCAAAACAAAACTCCAAGAGAATTTCAGATGAGAGACTTATACCTCCGAATTGGCTATATCTTCGTTGGCGTTCTTTTTTGGTCAGCGAATCATTTGAGCAAGTTGTACGAAATTCAAGTGGCACAGGAGAAGTATTTCCACGACAAGATCAAAACACTTCAGGTTTTTCTAAGCCATTTTCATGGAGTCTTTCTTTTCAAATGAAATATTTTGACTGACCATGCATCAATAGCGATCAAATATTCGTCAGGGTCCAGAACCGATCCACGACGAGAAGATACCTACACACAAAATAAAGCTCCCTTCTTTACCCAAACTGCCATCGCCGAATTCGAATGGAGGTCTTCCACTTACAAGTGAAAAAGAAGATGATAGAAATAACGCCGTTGTCGACAACACACTTCAAGAAACTCCGATAAATGATAAATTTATTTTTTACAATAAAATGCCAAGAGGTAAGAAAAGTTGTCTAGGCGCAAATGCAATCTTTTACATTTACTATTCAAAGCTGGATCTTCGACGTTATATGCAATCATACAGGAGCTCTCCGGGAAACACAAATTTACCTCTCAGAAAATCTCTTCCGGGGAGCTACGCGACGACAACCCTGCAAAAAATGAGCCGATTATCCAATTTCTAAAGGGGAAGTCACTCAATAAGTATTTCCTGACAAAAACACATTACTGGCTTGATTTCGCCGAGTACGAAATGAAACAACCTACATTCATTAATCTCATACGAGGTAGAATTTGAATTTTCTTTTATTTTTCGTAGCCCGACTCTATTAAGATCCTGTCGAGTGGTTTGAGTCAAGGTACAATTTTAAAAGGAGACATCCGATTAATGTCAAGTTCGGGTTGAATTCTAACATCTACTAAATTCGCCACGAATAATCTGATTAACCCCGGCGTAGACAGCGAGCATTTCTGAACGCGAAACATTTGAACGCCCAATTTCAAAATGCGTTCTTGAAGAGTTTGACGAGTGCTCGACGCGCGTCCATCAGCCCTGGCTTCTCTATCTTTGTGGAACGAGTCAGACATGCAAAGGTATCTAGAGATTGATCTATAACTTGCCATTCCAGCGCATTTGCCAAGCATTTCTTCTCTTCAGATCTGAAGTCCAAGGATAAGAAGCGGAGGAAAAAAGCCATCGAGTTTACAAAAACGAATATTGCTCAGAACTTCTACTTGATCGGACTGATGGAGGATTTCGACCTGTCTCTAAAAATGTTCGAACATGCTCTGCCGCGTTACTTCAATGGCGCCACAAAACTGATGAGCTCACACAAGGTTCAAGCCGCGATGAAAGCCTCTCAATCAGGAACGGATTTGTACTTTGCGTCAGTGGTCCTAGCGTAACACTCAAGTGCAATCCTACTGCAGCAAACATATCGTCGCTCAATCCTCTTGCTAGAAAGAGGCTAGCCACTGTTCTTGCGGATGAAATCGACGTTTTCGAATACACGAAGTCATTATTCTACCAAAAAGTAAAAGACGCGAATATTAATTTATGAAAATGCAAAAAAGTATACTTCTTCAATGTACATCAGATATAGATATGCAAACATAGCATATTCCTCCGAAAACTTATTTAGCCCATTTATGATATTAAAACGTGCAATACATATTATCAACAATTCAAAACTTGAGCGTTTATTCAAGAAAATTTGACAGCTTCGATCACATGCATGCGTTGAGTTTTCAATCTTGGAGTAGATTGTGAGCGATAAATGACAGCCCAGATTGAAATATTTACAGTGCTGATTATTTCACGTCAAAAGCAGATTTGGATATAAGCAGAAAGTCAATCAAAGAAATGTGTAGTTACTGTTTCATTCTCGTGTCTAAAGCACTTTGTTTTTGAAATAAACGCAGGAGGTTCTTGTTTAATCTGTCATCTGGTAAGATTTTTTCCGGCAGAGGCTGTATCCGACACTTGAGAACTAATGATTGCTTTATTGCTTCCAAAGCTGGTTATCGACAAACTCGAGAGCTGCTGGAAAAGCCATTGAAATTCAGGTTGCTTGATTGAAATTTCCATCAGACTCACTTCATTCCTGATCAGTGACTAACTCATTCTGTTTTTCTGTGTTCATTTATAGAATTTTCTCGTGTTTTTTATTTAAAATCAAATAAAAAAGTACGATGCAAATAACTAACGCCTGAACGTACGAACTTTTTTTCCTGCTGATTCAGCAGTGCTGAACGCATATTGCGCAGATTTCTGCGCAGCACCTTTAGAGCGCTCTAGCGACGATTGTGGTCGAGATTTGAAAAATCAAAAGCTACCAAAATATAGCTCAGACGCGAACGAACAAGCCAATAATAGTTTGAAATCCTAACCCTAACCAGAACCTCGCTAAAAATAGTGATTTCTAAAGTAACCCGAAAATGAACCAGTTTTTTCCATTTTTATTCTATTTCATTAATCTCAAATACAAATGAACAAAATAGATATTTATGATTAAATTTATATTTGATCTGATGTAGAAATCCGATAAAACGCCGAAAAAAATATTTTTATCGAAAGAAAAATTAATGCAAAACTGTTAAAATGCTAACAAAACATTATTCGAAAAAATCGGAAATTTTCGTTCTGAAGCCAATTTTTTATCCTGATGTCAAATTTTTTTTTTCGATGCCAGATTCGGATTCCTCATCGAAAAAGAGCTCCTAAAGTGGGGGTCCATTTGAAATTTTGGTCAAGCAAAGAATGAGATATCGAGCTTTAAAGGGGCTCTGCGCAGAAATCTGCGCAATATGCGTTCAAGCGTTAACATCGGACGGGCATAAATTTTATCATTTTTTTCGCAAGAAAGATTGTTTAAATTAACGTGTTTACAGATTTATTGGCAGCTTGTTATATGTACAGATAATTTTAGTGGTTTTTGAAGGGGTAGATGAGAGTTGCTGTGGATGTTCAGATGAGAAGATTTCCCTCTGAGTATTTCTTGCGCTCTTTAGAACGGCGGCTGTAGACGTAGGAGTAAAGCATCACTGCGGCAGCAACGGAGACGACAAAGAGTCCAATAGGAACGATCTTTTGCCAGTCTAGAGCGGTTTCACAAATGAAAGTTTTAGAATAGCACGAAGACTTGTGCCAGTCTCTCACCATCTTGCGCGTTAATTTCCCTTTCAAACGTGTTATTTTATGGGGCTAGATCCTAAAATAGATGCTTGCTGAAGAGAGCGGAATGCGGCATTCCGAATGCCCCAAATGCAAAGGGGAATTTTAGTCGGGCAGCCACAAGCGGACGTGTCACGGGGAACTGATAACTGCACGCGCGAGTTAAGAAAATAGGTCGCTTGAGCTTCCACTTTGGCATTCTGTGGCTCAAGAAACTCCACATCGGCAGGTGTTAGGGACAGAAGGCCACTTATTAAAAACTTATATTTTAGAGTCAACTTTCAATTTCACCCGGGAAGCAACGAGAGACACCTCTAATCTATAATCAAGCCGACATGTCATAAAGTTTTTAATAAAAATTGAATTAACAACCCACGAGAACGGTGAGATCAGCAGGCAGACAAGACTCACCTCACCCTACCCGCGTGTGAGCGCAAAAATGTTGTAATTGTCATTTGCGGCCAATTCCACTGACCAAAACCGAAAATCGCCGTTTATCTCTTCTGACGAAAACGTTCGAGGACGAAAAGTCAGTGGCGAACTTCCACAAAGTTTGTCCGCCCCATTAAAAATATATTTATTGCTGTCACAGGAACTATCAAGAATATAAAGTGTCGATCCTCAAAAAGTGCCTTTTGAACTTTTCCAGGTCAGAGTTTGTTCTTTCTGATTGAGATTTATTGCTGCTAAGAACGAACGCTTATTCACAATCTATCGTCATTCATACGCAATTCTGCATCATCCTAGCTTACATCGTAAAGTCATTTCTACCGAAAAAACTTAACGAAAAATCTTTCAAAAGAGCCGAGAAATGTTAAGGAGAAAAAAGCCAAAGTACGCGAAGAGTGGTTATTGTGACGTTTAACTTTCCAAATATAGATGCCCTTTGATGTTGTCACTTGAGTTGAACTCTCTAATTACGTTGATTGAAAAAGGGACTCGTAACCGCTGCCGTGTCTAAGTGAGCATCGAGTGAGTGAGCTCTGAAGTGACACCTACCCTCGGCATGACCTTTCTCGCTTCTCAGCGATTCATGGTTCTGGAGAAGGAACATAAGTTCTGATAAATCAGAAATCTATTTTTGAGAAATTACGCTTCGTTTGACGTAGCATCCTCATAAACCCGTCAGCGTGATTGATTCCGCTCGGCTGTTCTTTGCCATTGAGCACCAGAACATCAAGAACAAACTAGCGGCAAAAGTTCAACTCATAAAGAACCAAAAGGTTCTCGAAAATGTAGCTAGATCTGTTTGAGTTTCATAGACGTGAAAGTGGCTGATCTGTAGATTTACCGTAAAACGGCGGGGAAAGTTAAGTTGTGGGCGGAAGTGGCTAGAGGAAGTTTTAGATTCCGAAGCTGTCAAGACCTGCCGAAAGTCTTCGATAGACTGGCAAATCAACATTGAATAAGAAGTCATAAATTTGTGGATTTCCGCTTCTATTAAATAATAATATTAAATAATACGTCTTTCTATTAAATGAGTCAAAACTACTCGCAATTACGGAGCTCAGTTCGACAAAATCGGAAAGGGAAACCAAGGGGCAAGCGCAAGGGTTTCTATTTCGCGCGAGTAAGCGTAAAATAACACTCCCAGACTCGGCAAAAGTCAAAACTCTTTATTTTCGCGTGACGTGCCCGCCTTGCGAAAGGTTAGATAAGCGAGTGAAACCGTCTCCTGGAAATGTTGTTGACTGGTTGACCTCTGCCGGCAGTTCCGCCACTTCGAGCCCATCTGACCTTGAGCCGAACTCGATGACAATTTCAGCCGGCGTGTATCCAGGCAAATTTCGATCTTGGCCGCTTCAAGACTCAGCCATTTCACTTCTCAAATCGGAAATCGTCTTGAAGCATTCCTGAATTCTTCATTTCCGCCTCCAGTTCGGGAAAGTATTCAAACTCGTTCCTCACGTTCTCGTAAAGGAAATATGAATCGTCACTAGACGAAGAACTTGAGTAGTCACTCAAATGGGTTTATCACGTTTTCGCCACGCGGGAATGGTCATGAGCGAGTACATTCTGGAGTTGGCCAGAGTTTAGTCGCAGTATCTTTATTTCTACTTGCTTTATTTTAATATGTTCAGAATGTTTTTAGATAAAGAAATCTGTCTTATCGTTAACTTTCAACTAAAGTGATAATTTCGAACGAAAAAAAAGACTTCTAAATTTAAAGTTTAAACCCTTTCCCCAGAATAATCATCAAGCTGGTAATCTTCGTCGTCAAAATTATCCATTTCGTTTAACGAGTTGATTTGATATTCTTCTTATCGACAGATGTTTATTCTCTGGTTTTTTTCTATCAATGGGGCCAATTGAAAGCCGAAATTATTTTATTCACTGAAGACTAAAATTTATTTTGCTTTTTTCAAGTTTATAGTTGCTGCGGGGAAAATTCGGAATCATCTTTTGAACGGGAAGCTAATACAGTGCGACACCTGAGGAGCGCGGGCGCCCTCGCCAAAAAAATTCAAGCAATCTAGGCTAAAAATGATAAAATAAAAACGAAATTGGATAGACGGATGAGCTTACAAGTAACGTGTTCGCGTAAGTCGTTGTTGATAGCGTCGGATCGTTCTAGCAACACGTTTATTCAGTAGTTTTACGGTCACAAATCAGCGTTCAACCTGTTGGAAGCGGTTAAATCTAAACATGCAAATCCACAAATCCGCAGTTATTTGTTTATTAAAATAAAATATAGAGAATTTTTAAAATTATATTTTTAATAAAAAGGTTGAGTCAGCAAATAGCAAATAATTGTGCAGTTTCATGACCATTTTTCAGACCCTAGTTTTAGGAGATATGGAATCGTTCCTTATTTAGATAAATAAGCATAGAGTGTAACTGACAAAAACGCGAAGAGAGACAATTTCGAACGTGTCATTTGATTAATTTGATAGACAACGAATAAGCAGAATAATTTTGGCTAGCTGGCGACAGCTACCAGCCGTCTTTTCAATTCTTCAAAAAATAAGAAAGAACGAGGAAAATCAAAAATCGCCTTCAGACGCCGGGTAAACAAAGCTTTCGAAAATATTTTGCTCCGTTTCAAAGCTGAGCACATGGAAAGCGACGCTCTATTAGAATGGCACTTTCAGCCGAGTCTGCACATTCTGAGTAAACTTCTTCAAGTCTTCACCTGACGACACATACGACTTCATTCGCATACGCTTTGTCATTTATTTCGCAAGGCGAAAAATACCTTCACGAGTTCTTGATTTGTTGCACGCTGATTTGGGTTCGTCTGGGTACCTTTTACTTTCATTCTATCTTTATTTGCATGCACGCCTTAACAATTATTGATCCCTCAACAGTCGTAAATAGTTCTTACTAAAAATATAACGAATAGGTTAAATAACAAGAAGTAGAAATGACGATGAATGATCTTCCGATGAAGTCGTTGTTGATCTCATTTACTTGGACGACAACAAGCGACATTGACGCTAATAGCGATGACCAGGGAGTTGAGAAGAATGGATGGCTTCCCTGAAGTACTGGATTTGCGCTGCTTTATCGCACGTTTATCGGCAAAGCAGTACTAACTACAGTAGCGCAGGGAGACCTGGAACTGACAAGCAGCTTTCAGCAATATTCGACATTCAATTTTGATAATCACCTGTCATACAGTGCGTTACTGATTGATAGTACAGATTGATGATGATACTTTTCAGAATGAAAAATGCGACAAGCGATGGTTCTGTTTATTTCTGTTGGCGAAGTGATTCAAGACAGGAGTTCATCAATTGACTAGAAATTGAAAGCTTCTGTCGCTTTGTCTCTATAACATAACAAGTTGAAGGGCGATTCGTCAAGCTCAAGGAACATCGATTTATCTCCTCGTTACGAACAGAATTTATCGAGTAGACGTGATGATGCTTCTTTTTCGTCGTTTTTCTTTGACTCAATTCAAATTTTCGACTGTACCATCCAACCATTCGCAATTTTGCCAAAGGGCGTCTGATGGCCAAACCTTCGAGTTCGAATTTCCAACTTCGAAGTTAACTAAGGGGTGGCCTTGAAAACTCCAACCTTTTAGGATTCATAAGCGATAATCCTTTCGATAGCTTTTTGATGGTGTTGTTATCGGCGCGCTAAAATGAATCTAGAAATGGTGCGCTCGCTGAAAATCTACGGGGGTGTCTTTCAACAACGACCGGGCTGATTTGCATGATTGACCAATCACAGCACAGAATAATGCTTCATGATGGGAATCGCCCCGGTCGTTATTGAAAGATCCCCCCGTAGAAATCGGCCTGCCCTGGATCAAACCATTTGCACGCTGCTCCCTGGTTGGCGCGCTAAGAGAAAAATTCTCTAGATTTGGGAGGTAACGTACCCCCTAGCTCGCTCACATTTTGTGAACATTTTTCCCTTTTTCGCTTAGTTAAACTCCAACAAGACCCCCCTTGGTCGCTCGCTTTTTGTTACCAAGATCCGTTGGTCGCTTTCCTTCTTTTGCATTCTACGACCCCTTGTTCGCCCTCCTTGGTTTCGACGGCGCACCTTTGCTCGCCCGCCTTTCTCCGTCATTTATCCCTTGTTCGCTCCTGAAGCCCCGCGAGAACGCTTTATAACGCGTAGCTCATTTTCTTTTTCACTTTTAAAAGGCTTTTTAACTCGTAGAATGGTCTCAAAATTCGATTTTCATGATTTTTTCCAAGCAAACTTATTTTTTTATGCTCTTTCACGTCCATTTTGTCAAATTTTCATATCTTATTAATAAGAAGAAATTTGGACACTCCATTTTAAGTAAACATAAGTACTCGAAATACATGGATTGAAACTTTTCGAGAGTTGCAAATTTTGATTAATTTTTCCGAGCTGAGCTGAGCTGAGCTGACCTGCGAAAAAATTTCTCTGAGCTGAGCTGAGCTGAGCTGGCCTACTTCGGAGGTTTCTGAGCTGAGCTGAGCTGAGCTGGCCTTTTTCAGAGGTCATTAAGCTGAGCTGAGCTGATCAGACCTTTTGTTTAAGAGAGTGGAGCTGAGCTGAGCTGAGCGGACCCTAATTAGAGCTGAGCTGAGCTGAGCTGTTTTTTACTGTTTTTTGGTAGTAAAATTGTATTCAAATCATTGAGCTGAGCTGAGCTTAGCTAAGTGATAATCGTCTGAGCTGAGCTGAGCTGAGCAGAACAGATCATGTTCGAAAATAATGGAGCTGAGCTGAGCTGAGCTGAGTGAAAATTGTCTGAGCTGAGCTGAGCAGATCAGATCATTTTCCAAAATCACTGAGCTGAGCGACTGCTCAGCTCACTCAGCTCAGCAAATTTGCAACTCTGGAACCAGTGTCAACATGAAGATTCGACTATTTTGAGTATAAATGTACATATAAAGTCAAACTATCAAGTTTACGGCATAATACAGCGTTGCTACAAGATATAAAAATTGGACGCTTTAAAAAGAGGAAATGAAGTCTAGTTACTGTCAAAATATTCATGAAAATGAAAAATATAGTTCCCTATGAAAAGCTTGAGTCGAAAGTACAGTAAGAGCTGTAAGAGCGACCCAAGCCGAGCTAGGCTTTGGCGGTCTCCCGGCGAACAAGGGATAAATGGGTGAGGAGGAGCGAACAAGGGCGCGCGAGGTAAAAAGAAGGATGGCGACTAATGGAGCGCGCTGAAAGAAGAATGAGAGCGAGCAAGGGGACTTTGATAAAATTTAACTAAGCGAGCAAGGGAAAAATGCTCACAAAATGTGAGCGAGCTAGGGGGGGGGGTACGTTATACAATTCTCTAGATTTGGGAGGTATAAGAACCGGAGCGACGCAGCCAGGCCAATCAGTCGCAAACTTAACTCGCTCAGAAGAAAACTTTCAGAAATAAAAAATGGCGCGACAAAAGTCTCCACCAAAGAAGAGGCCAGGAAAGCCAGGATCCAAAGTCAACAAAGAGATTATGGAACTCCAGAAAACAACCAACCTGCTCATGAGAAAGATGCCCTTCCAACGAGTGGTCCGAGAGGTAAATCTAGAATCTAGTCGAAACAGTAATACTTTTCCTTTAGGTTGTCAACGATCTTCGGCCTGGAAACGACTATCGATGGCAGTCGCAGGCACTCCTCTGCCTCCAAGGTAATTTAGCACCGTCTTCTGTATTAAGGCTATAACCTCTCTTTTGGCCTCTCTGGAAAACGGACTTCCCTTGGTCGATTTCAAAAATTTAAAGGGCAAACATACTTGTTTTCTCCTAAAGAATTCAAAAAAGCCATCAAAAAATACTTTTCTCTGGTAATTTTTTGCTCTAGAATCATTCAAAAATCGCCGATCGGTTTTCCGAGAAAACCAGAAGCTCTGAGGTAAAATAAATCCGACAATGTTATTTAGTAAAGCATATTCTATGATCCCTCTGGAAAAAATTTCAAGAAATTGTGTAAATTATGATTCTAGTTCTCTCTTCTTTTAAATCTCTTTTGTTTATAGACTGACGCTTGAGATCCGCGCAGCCAATCAAAGCGCGATGAATCGCTTGACTCACACGCTCGCCAACAGCGCTCTCTTTTTGGCCTGGAGGATAGCACTCCGCGCAGCGCGTCCACGCGCATTTTTATCCTCAGGTGCTAGTACTAACATGGCCCTAGAATGAAAATTTGAAGAGATTTCGAAGATTTTTTCCATAGGGATTGTAGAGAAGGCTTTAATCTATTAATTGATCAAAAAAAAATCTACCTCTGTAATGGTAAAATTCTTCGGAAAACCGATCGGCGTTTTTTAAATGATTGTAAAGTCGAAATTTCAAAAGAAAAATTAATTTTTGATCGCATTTCTGAAATCTACGATAGATTTTGAGTATATGAGTCTTTTTAATTTTTGAAATCGACCAAGGGTAGTCGGTTTTCCGAAGAGGCCAAAAGAGAGGTTATAGCCTTAAGGATATACCCGATAAAATTGAACTTTTATAGCGCCGAAATGCGACGTAGGATCATTTTTATTATAAAAGCAATTCTACCGTAAAATGCACGTAGAACTCAAATCTGGTACTTTTTTTATATTTTTTCATTAGAATTTTTCTCTTTAGAGCGATTTCAAATCTTACTCTCTCGATTTCTCGAAATTTTTGGTATAAATCGGTCGAGATTTTTCGATAGAAAAGTTCTTTAGACCGTTATCTACAATCTTGATGGTTTACTTTTCCTTAATTCCGAAAAAAAACGATTCTAGAGCCATTTCACTGAGGGCTACTCAGCGCGTGAAAGCTCTACAAAGCGGCGCGCTGGGTGCTCGCTCACTCGACTCCTCTTTTCTGAGAGAAAGTGCGTGGTTGAGCGCACCGCTCTGATTGGTAGCACGCGAAAAAGCGCGCAGAGAAGAAAAACAAGTGTATAAAAGAGGAGAACACTAGAATGAAAATTCGATCGGGTTAAAGAATTTGATCCCATCAATTTTGTAGGTTAGCATTATTCCAATACAGAACACGGGTCAGTTTTAGCGATTTAGTGGAAAAATTTCGAGAAATCGAGAGAGTTCGTTTTCAAATCGCTCTAGAGAGAAAAATTATGATGAAAATTTTTAAAAAAGTACCAGAATTGAATTTTACGCAAAATTTTAGATAGGATTGCTTTTGAAATAAAAATGATCCGACTTCATATTTAGGCGCTATGAATGTTCGATTTTATCGGGTATATCCTTAATCTCTCAACTTACAATTTCAGAAGCGACAGAGGCCTTCATTATCACAACTTATGAAGTCGCCAACCTGTTCGCCCTTCACTCCAAGCGCGTCACCATCATGAAGAAAGACTTGGACCTTGTCAAAGCTGTCGCGCAAGTCAACCTCAATGGAATCAAAGAGTAAATTTCCCCACTCCCCGTTTTCGAATCCTGCCTCACCTCCCCGTGCAAATTTCTTCCCAAACCAACCAATTGCGATCATTTGTACATTAACATCGGAATAAAATTGAAAAAAACTATATCCTAATGTCTTTTCTCTTGTAATAACTTTCCCATCGGAAACCAAATAAAATATACAAAAAAAATAAATATCGTCTTCACTGGCAAGATCTTTTCGCAGGAGTTAAAATCGATCTACGATCTTGCAAAGCACCAAAATGCTCGAGTCAGAATGGCTCATGATCTCGGCGGAGAATCGATACTGGCATAATAATAATAAATATGCCGGCTATTTTTCACCCTTTTAGAAAATAAAAATTTGTTTAGGTTGTTTCCTGTTTATCAGGAAACACACTTACTAATAGTAATAATTTAGTAAGAGGGAAAGAGTTAGCTTGGAAGAGTTACGAGCGCTTTGAGTACAGATTCTACTATTTGCTAAAAGGGGAAATGAGTTTTAGCGGCTGACCAATCGTCGGGGCTCTTTTTTGAAAACGAAAATAATTGATCCGCGACGGGTTATTTCGTCGTTTTTTCAGCGAGGACTGCGAAAAGCGGGAAAGAGTCAAGTGTAAGAAGTGAAGAGTGAAATCCAGAGAGTACACAAGTGCACAAAAAGAAGAGAATAATAAAACCGGCGCCGCGGGGAGAGAGTGCGGAGAATCAGGAAACCTCCAAACATTCAGAGAACTGGAAATCAACAAGGATTCACGCAGCCCGACACATGTAATTCCTTCATAGAGCCTCTCCAGTTTCTTTTGGTAAGTAAATATCACAAAAATGACATTTTTCTCAAAAAAAAAATTGGGAATTAAACGAACTCGAACGAGTGAACTTGATTAGTAATTAGTTCCCGTACTGGGTGGCCACTATTTCTACACTAATAACTTCGAAAACGACTGATTGAACGGGCGAATTCCTTAAAACTCGCCAATGTCGATCTTGTCAATTGAGAATGTTGGCTTTCGTCAATGACTCTGCGTGAGAAAAGATCGCGCTTTATTCTGATTGAGAATAATGGGATCTTTAAATTCATGCTTTCCCAGAAAAGAAGAATTCGCTGAATTGATGGCCCTGGACGTAATCCCCGAGGGATGACTCCGTGACTTAGAGTTCGCTGTGAACTTTTTACAGCTCTGCAAACAGCGACTGACTCATCAGTCCTCTATTTTTTTAATGCGCATTGTTGTTGTTTTTTGTTATTGTCAATAACTTATTGAGAGTCATTATTTGTTAATCTGCCAGTAACACTAATAAAAGTAAATCTGAGTAAATAAGAAAGTCTGATAATTATGATGTCAGATTGTTGACGCGGACGAGGGTGTAAATGAAAGAAATTGACATTTCGAAATCGATTCTACCTATGTTCGTTCGTGATGTAAGCCACTGTAAGAATGCAGTGGCGAGATACTCAAAGCATGAATATGGCCCATAACAAACTTCGTTTTCGCCGGCATGGGAAAGTAATTTAGGTGAATTCGGGAGCCTTTAATCATCTCTTTTACGGAATTTTTAACGCTCATTTTCGGAAAATCGTAATTTGCCGTCATCGCTCGCCTCCTTTCAGTATTGATTTTGGACCGGAAAAAAAGTGAGAACACTTCAATCACCAAAAATTTAGTTAGAAAAGGGCTAGTCTTTAAATATATCTCCGCTCATCTGTGAAATGCGCCTCTCTGGCAGATTCAGAAATAGCAACATTATTTATGAATATTCACATACACCAAAAAGGCCGTCAATTTCCAATTGATTTTTATTTTTTTTTCTCATAAGGGCTAGACGTAAAGTTTCTCCAAAGTTATTTTTCGCTTGTTTTGCGTGAAGAGATCAATGCAGAAGGACACGATCGACGCTACAATTTATTGATTTATTGTTGGTAAATTTTCGTTAAACTTATTCGACTTCCGTTTTTTGTATTGACTGTTATGGGCAGAGTTGTTAACTCACGTGTCTGTCCATGTCTCAAGAAATAAATAGGGGCGCGAATTAGACGTCTAAAAATACGAGGAACTGGTCCTCGGCAGATATCAGTGCATTGAAAATCTACGAATTGCTGATTATTTCTCAAGTTTAAAGTGCGCCACCCTCAGAGTAGCTATAAGAAAATCGACAAGCTCTAGGAATAGAAATTATCAGAGAAAATAAAAGTTCTACTTTTGTCCATGGGAGGTACAACCCAACTAAACCAAAAATTTAGCTTTTATAATGCAGTCTTTATGAGCAAGTGGATCGTTGGCTTCCTTCTCCTGTCTGTAGCCCACTCACTGCGGCCCTGCTCCGAAATTGAGAACAACGAAAACTTTCGTCAAACGTAAGTCGAATTTTCACCCCTAGAAAAGGCTCTTTTGTTTGAAACAGCCTTTAATCTGAGCTAAAAGATTACATGCCAAAAAACAGCATCTATTTCAGAAGATAGAATCTTAAATAACATACACTTTTTTGACAAACAATTTAGAGCTAGTAAAAGCAATAAATAAACATTTATGAATTATAAAGGAGAGTTTACCTGATATAGTCCGAAGCGACCTAAATTATCGATTGCCGTGATGAAATGGACTTTACGCTGTCTTATTAATTCTATCTGTTTAGGACATGTCACTTGGAGACGTTTCTTTTCAAAGAAGGATCGGTTCTTGTAAATGGTACATCACTAGGTACGGGCTCGTTAACTTATCAAGCAATATTTTAATTAAAAACAATCTACGTACAATCGCGTTAATCAACGTAAATTTATCTATCACGAATATCTTCTGAGCCCCGAAAGAACCAAATACAACTTTCCAACTATCCGAATTTCCAGACCGACATGATCGATCATTTCCCGATGTGAAATGGCTCACAGTTGGGGACACACTCGCCGTCAACAATGTGGACATCTGCAAAATAGATTTTGCGGAGGGCTCGTGCGACATCCGCTCCGTTCTTATGCTATATCATGGATTTTCTCAGTAAGCGAAAGACTCTTTCAATAATTTTCTAATTGAACTTTCCATCCTAGAGTAGCATCAGTATGTCTACGTTATGTTACATAATCTATCGCGACTTTTAAAGATTTAATATAGGCAGCAAGATGACGGCTTTCTCCAGCAAACCGTCCTTAATCACCCCTTCGTCATTGGTATTGATCCTCCAGCCTACTTGTCCGACAGTTCTTTCGAGACCTCGTATTCCTTGTGCGAGCCGGACTTTCTCAATGTTTCCAGAGCACTCTACTCTGACAGCTTCAATACCATCAACCGCTCCGCCCTCCACAAAAACATTCCCTACGATTGTCTCGCTGATGACATTCCAGAAGAAAATTGCACAGCTATTTTCGACACAGTCAAAGAAAAATATTGTAAATGTGGTCCGGAACAACTTAGTGCTCCTAATACAGCATTGGTGATAACTAAGGTGAAGGGGATTTCTGCTTGATTTTTGTTAATTAACCTTGATTTTTTGATTTTGTCAAGCTTCCATCATCCCAACGAATAATGAAAATATTTTTAGAAAGGAAAACTTAACTTCCTTGCTTTATTTTCCTCACTCACGACAGCTGATGTTCGTTATGAGGAAGACGGACTGCCAATTTTCAAGACTCCCGAAAACTACTTTCTGACCGATAGCGGCACCCTTCCGAAAGTCCCCAACTATTGGGAATGTAGCGAGCCATATTCGAAGCTTCAAATCTTTCAAAAAATATCCTCCGAGGATTTTTTCAGTAGAGCATACGAAACGATAGATCTAATTGGAAGCAAATACTCTTTGGATAAGAAATACAGAACTATTACAAGACCATCGACGCTGGTTATGAAAATCGAGACAAAAATTGACGACAAAAAGTACACAGCTTCAAAATTGATCCAAATTGCTGACAGCGTTCACTTTCGTCCTAGCGATTTTTTTCCAGAAATATCGTTCCGTAAGTTTCGAGAATCTTCAGGAAATCTCTAAGCATCGGGCCTGGAATTTATAGTCCTGAACCGGACTTAGAACACCCGTCCAGCAGCCAGTGACTCTTATGACTAAACTTTTAGAATTCGTGGACGAGGATGAAAATAATTATTACTTCGACGTCGGTGTAACAATTGACATCCCGAGCAACTTTTATGACTTCCATGAGTCCCAGAATAAGATTGTTCAAATCTTCATTTATGCCTTCCAGCATTTGGAACTTCGTATTCTTGAAGTTTTTGTTCATGAAATCGGTTACTTGCCAGGGGAACCTACGAAAACAAAGAAGGTACGTTGTCAGGAACGTTTACCTGCTATTTTTTTTATTAGATACCCATACCGAAGACCATCACTTTGAGCGGGAAAAGACGAACTATTGATATGCTTGATGGTTACGTTTCGTTATCAGAAGAACCACTTCTCGATGACGATGGTATTCTTCTACAAGATGCAACCGAAGGAGTCAAATTTGCAGAAAAGTCAGAGCACTGTCATGTGAAACACGAGTTCTGCGACGCTGTTACTTACACACCATCAATGCCAAGTTTAGAGACTATATTCTCAACAGCTAGCTCTTCGAAACGCTTTGCAGATATTATAAGTATGGCATATGTGAATGATAACACTAGAATGACGGTCCAAACTGTCAAGGCTCCTTGCTGTCCAGATCACCAGTATGCCAAAGGTCACAAAACATTCGATTATCAATTTTATGGCAACAGCAAAATTTTTTATATTCGAAATCCTATAAAGATTCGATCTGAAAAGTGCTTTATGGTATATTTTGTGACCAAAGTAAAGGTTTCAACTTGACGACAACGAGGACTCTCCGAATAGAGATGCATCAATTAACGTCGATGCTCTACAATAGGGACGAAGAAGATTACAGGATCGTGTTATATTTCTCCGCTTACGGCCATCCTCTTTCTCCAGAAAAAACATCAAATATCCCCTGTTTCGAGAAAACAATGAGGTAATATTTTCTAAAAAATTTTATTTTTAAATCACTACCATAGCGCTGTTAAACATGAGTCTTATTTTCGACGCATTCGAGGAGAAAAATTTGGCCGTGAAATATATGAAGGGGAAAACGCTCCTGATAGACACCTTACGGGAATTTACTGGGAAATCACTACAAGTGAAATATTCGATGTACATACGGCGATTGATGATTCCAATGGGACTCATTTAGACATGTGGCTTTGGATGGCGGTAGAATACAACACTAGCGACTCAAAGACGAAAGAGTCCGAATGCATAATGATCGACAAGGATACGAGTTCTGCCGGTTACGACATCAGCACTTTCGTAAACGAGCAAATCGCCGTCAACCGAAATAAATTTATCGTTCGCATAATCAATGTTGGATTGATCCTTCTAGTAATTGCAGTTGCTTTCTTGGCAGCGAATCTCTTGCAGCGAAAATGGCAAAAGCTGTGGAGAGATAGTAAGCCAACGCCAGCACAACTTACGCTCTACCCTGTCCGCGAACCATCGGATGATCTTTCTGAACCTAAATGGCCAACAGGGGATAGACCAACAGCCGAAACAACCGAACTGGGCGAACCGCTGAAGTAAGCACATTTGTCAAGCATTTTTAAATAATTTTAGTTCTAGCTCGATATCTGACTCGCTCAAAGACGAGAATGACAATTTGCTGAACCGATATTTCCCAGCAGAGACGCCAGCAGAAAACACTTTCGACCAGCTACCCCTGATCGAATCCGACAACCCGGGATACAAGTTCAACCCACTACAAATGATCACCCCCAATCATCAAAAATCACAAGTACTTCAATCAGCTCCAACTCTTCAACCTCAAACTTCAATGCAACCTCCAATGCCGCTTCCATTCAACAGTGGCATGTCTGGTGGATACAAATCAATGGAAGCGATAGAGGCGATTCCATTTTCCATTGCAAACGAAGACGAATAAACAAAAAGACAAGTTTCTTTCAAATAGAATATGGTCCATATTATATGGAGAAAACCTTCAAAATTTAAAATAGCTATCTTACTGCCGTTCAGTAATTCCTGATGCTTCGATTATTATTTTAAGATCTTGAGCCCTGTACAAATAAAAATCACAGATCAATTAATATCCCCTGTTGAAATATAATAAGTTATGCAGACATGAGATTATATACCATCTAACTGTCTCCTGTCTGATGGAAAATTATGTGTTGCATGCATTGAATTGAAATAAAAATCAATGATTAGGGAAATGATTAATTTTAAAGGGCGTTTATACGGGTGAAGAGGATCTGATTTGACGAGGAAAGACGATTTGATTTGCTTTTAACTGCTAAGAAGTGGTCAAATCCAGCCGTGTTTAGGAGAGTGCGAGCTTATCTCCTTCTCAACCGGGACAAGTCGGGTCGGGCCACTCGCCTGAGGCTAAATCCGTTGCGACGGAATCGCTTTTTCGTTACTTGCGCTTCGCTCGTTATTCGACAAAGCCATATTGGTTTTTTATTCCACGGCACAATTTATCATGAGAGAAACCATTAGAATGAAACCTCCCATGAGAAGAGTCTCCAATCATCTCTCTCTTCGCTGGATCTATCAGGGACTCCGTTAAAGCAGTCGTACAGGAGGGGTTCTCCGCTTTGTGTTGGTGCTAAAAACTCGCAGTGGCAAAGTACAGGCAGGTGTCAAGCTGTGCAAATAGGATGCAACGGGCCCACCGACACGCGTAGCCTGCTGCGATGTCCTGCAGAGACTGGTCCTTGCACCGATTTCGAGCAACGCTCGGTGTGAGATGGCTTCAAAATCAGCAAGCTAAGCCGAGGATAAGCTCAAAAGTGAAGTTTTAAAAGAATAAAAAATTGGAATTTCATAAAACCTTGGAGAGTAATTTTTTGCAGATATTAATTCTGAGACCGAAAATATATTTATCTGACCATAGCCTATGGTCCATAGCTCACCTAGCCTGCCCTTGACAAGAAAGCTCGGATACCAATTCGCTCGGAAACCTAGATTCTTTATGAAGATGATTTTTGGGTTCATAATCGAAATCTCCGTAAAAAATAACCATAAAAGGCGAGATTTCATAAAATTTCAATTTTTATTCTTTTTTATCTTAACTTTTAACCGGCTGAGCTTGATCCGATTTTGCAGCTCAGTCCCTCTCAAAGTTTGTGATAACTTTGGCTCAATTCATCTCACACCGAGCCTTGCTCAGTGTTGGTGCTAGGAGCAGTCTCTGCGGGACTTCGCAGTGGGTAGCACATGTCGGTGAACCCCTTGCATCCTATTTGCACAGCTTGACACCTTGCCTGTACCGTACCATCATTTTCATTTTGATATTGAACTTATATGAATGATGAATTGATAAAACACTTTTTAAAATATTTTTGATAAATCTATTCGAATTTTTTTTCTTCGTAATAAATATTCGTGCGACAGATAAACGATTACTGCATGGATTTTTGAAGTAATCGACTTAGAAAGAAGATCACGAGTAAATCCGAAATGACTCAATCATGCTTTTAACTAGTAAAAGACATCTTCGCATCAAACCCGGGATGAATTTAGCTCCGGTGGGAGCTCAGACGTGTCCCTCAGTCGAGTTGATGAAGTTAGTTGGAGTTTATTTATTTATAAAACCCAAGGCATAATCGCGTATTTTATCTCAAACTCATGTGTTATTTTGGGTTCTCAATGTCCTCTTGCAGCAATACTGGTTTCAGAATCGATCTTGAAATTCACAAATTTTCGCTTTTGCGCTCAATCGGCGTAAATAAATTCACCAACCGAGAAAAAGCCCACAAGCTACGCCGAAGAACACACGACTTCGGCGAAAATCCTATCAGGAAAAAATTGAAAGCAAAGGAAAATGAGAATGATCAGAATTCTTTTTTGATTTCGAAAAAAAGATGAACAAGAATACATCAGAAGAATCAAACAAAAGCAAGAATTCAAATAGGTCTTCATTCCTCAGGCAAAGCTTTTCGAATTGAAATCTAGGGTTAGGATTAGGGCTAGGGTTAGCCTGGCGAGACAAGTCAATTAACAAAGTGATAGATTGTTAAATTAGTGATTGCGCGACTGTCGCTGAAAATATTGTTAGGCTGAATGAAAAGTTTCGATTCTAGCCCTTTCAGCTCTCGGTAAGTCGTCAACACTCTCGTCTGGGTTCTTTCTGGAGGTTTAGACACGCGACGCCGCGGCCCTCGAATGTCTCCAACATCTCAAGCTGCGGGCTTTCTCTGATTCAATTCAAAAGGCAAATCCCAGTCGACAAAAATATTAGAAACAGCCTTGACAGCGCATTAAGAGATAGCAATTATTTTTTTTATTTAATTATTTCTGACAATTGATCCCGATCCTACTCGTGGCAAGCACAGAGAAAGCAATATTATCAAAGCACCCATAAGGTAACTTTAACACATCTATTTTCCACAAAGTCGTGGATAATCGGGTTTCGTAAAAATGCTGTCCTTTTTCTGAAAAACCCTTCTGAATATATTTTTTAAGCCCGCAAAAGTGACTCAACGAATTTAACCTTCGTCTCGATACAGGAAAAGCTAAAAAGTACATTCGTCAACACAATAAATAATAAAATTGTTTTGAGCTTTTTGAGGCTTCACGCAGGACAACACGATGCTCACGAACTTCTTGGTTTTTTGAAGAGTTAAGAACCAGGTACAAACAGCTCCGTGAGACGGTAAACCGATTTGTAACGTTTTCGAAATCCAGACATGACGCGAACTCTATTGAGTTATTTTCTATCAGCGTCGTTTCTATTACGAAGTTGTTCGGAGACTCGATAGACGCAAATAGCATACCTTGTCTTACCGTTCTAATAATTCAATAACACTATGGGAAACATTTAAATTATATTATATGAATGATCTTCACCTTCTTTAGGTAACCTTCAGTCTTGTAATGGCAAATTAAATATTTTTGATTTTGTATTTGAAGCGCTGAGTGAATATCTAAGTGTTGTCAAATTCACTCAGATCATGGCGCCCTTTTTGTCTTTTAGTATTGGCGCAGTATATACAATTTTAACGCAAAAGTGCATTACCTCAGACCGCGCGGCTTCCCCTTATTTATTTCGACGATTATTTTATTCATCACTGAGAGAGTCACATCGAGAGAATAACGCACTCAGAAAGGATGAAAGAAATATCTTACGGAAAATGTAACTTTGTCGCCTAGTGGCCAGCGGAGAAACAACATGCTAGGATGTTCGAATGCTGTTTTGTTCGGGTAACTTTTCTGCCAAAGCTTATGATAAGCCGCTAATTTTAACATTGACAGGTGCTTGGTATTCCTCGCCGCTTTTATCGGCCTGTACTTCGTGATCGAAATTCAAGCCAAAAGTAAAATCGCTGAAGGTAGTACAGTGCATTTGTCTGATCTAATAAAATAAACCAGTTCCCGATCCGCGCCCTCAAAATCCTCAAAATGCCGAAAATTTCTCAAGAATGGTTGAACTATTGAGGAATGAATGCCATGATAACAACGTTTGGGTATGTTGATGAGAACGCGTGCTTGGAAAAAAACGAAATTTTAGGCCGAAAATTTGGACAACAAAAAATGGTGTTCAACGAGCTGGGATCTGATTTTTGCTGGCCGCCGACAGAAGTTGAAAAAACCGCCACTATCAAGTGCCCAGGTAGAACAGTAATAAAGGAAGTGTGCTCAGTATACTGCACGTATGTATATAAGCGCGATTAGCGAGATTAATTTTCAATCTGCGTTTATGGCTCTAAGTGTAATTGAAAAATAACGAGCTAATTGATGAAAGAATTCAATTAACACCATTTCTGCTGATTGATTAAACGTTGTGTATTTGTACTGGAATATTATTATTTAATATTTATGACTTGTTCGTTCGTAAACCCTTATTAGCTACCTCAACACTCCCCATTCCTGCGTATTTAGACGCATTGAAACATTTTGACACTTCAAAGAAACTCCAGCGCAAGTGCTACTACAATGCTACTACTGAAACGGCTGAATGGCAATCTTACAAGACAAAAGCAGAGCAACTTGCAGGTTTGGACTGAACTTGCTAAATCCTCAAGCGGATCGGCACTCGCGAAAAAAGCACTAGCTCCACAATCGCTTAGAACTTGACCTTTGAGTTAATAACTGATTTCAAGATGGTTTGTATGGCGCGCGGGTTCTCATACTTGGTAAATCGGGCAAAATATCTGCCAATCGTACCGACTCTTCATTTGCACAAAATGAATGGTCTTTCAGTGATTTATATCTATCTAACATTTGCCAATTATCTGGTTATTGTTAAAAGAGTAACTAAACAATTTTTCGTCATATTCGTTATAAGTTTGATGCAATCTGAGAACAGCGACATGTTTGAGGAACAATAACTTTATAGCTAAAGTTCTCATATAACACTAATAGTTACTCGGAAATTGATTAAGTTATTTGCTTAACTATTTTGGACTTTTAGAGTGTCTAACCGACGAGAAGTCACATTTATCCAAAAATATTATCAAGTAAGCGTTCCCTCTTGATGACTTCTAATTATTACACTCAGTATTGTGATAATAATGAACATCGTTGGCGCTTCAATATCATGTCTTGCCCTGGGACTATCGATAATTATTCTGTCGTCTTTGGTAAGTTTCTCGAATATATTCAACGCAGCTATATTCAGCGCAAAATTCGCTCGACGCGCAATCACATCCACTGTAATTTATTTCTGGCCTGGATCTTCAACACCATTTTTAAATGTCTATTGTTTGTCCAAGGTAATTGTTTCACGATAAAGTAGTTGCTCAATTACTGTCGCAGGTAATAACTGGGCACATTTGTTGAACGGATGCGCGATTACAATACTCGCTGTTTACGGTTCAATAATTCAGATGTCCTGGGTAAGAGATATTAGCCAAGTGATAAAAAATTAACTAAATAGACTCTGATCGAAGGAATACATCTACATCTGCTGCTCTCTATATCGCACTTTCCTAAGACGTGGTCTTTTAAATGCTTCATAACTTGCGCCATAATTTGCTATCTTTGATGTTTCGAAAAGACAATAGTTGACCCCATCCCAGCACAACTACTACCTCGCCATTCTAATGTCTCTTGGATGGGGAATCCCTATTCTTCTTGTCGTCGGCCAAATATGCCACGTGAGTGCTAATCAAGTTCTATTTCTCGACATTTTGACTAAGAATAAAATCATTGGCTTCGAAAACTGCTTTCCAGAAGGATCGTCTATCCGCTACTGGAATGAAATACCGATAATCGTGATGCTTACAATCAACTTCGAAATCTTTATTTTGATTATTTCGAAAATATCTACCAAGGAATGATTCTAGTACGCCGAATTTCAGTCTCCAAAGAAAAGTTTATTGAAATCATAAAAAGTTAATACCAAACGGGGGTCAGCGACACGGCTCGCACTCATCCCCAACTTGTCCTGGAAACGCCACCCGTGGCACTGGCCGGACTGTTCCGACTCTTCGCCTGGCAAAAGCGACGCTAACACTTATTCCCGTTATGGGCATGCAAAACCTCCTCTTCATTCTGATACCATCTCAGGGCGTAGAAGATAGAACCATAGAAATCCGAAATTTGATAGAGCAGAGTCTTGAAGCCTACTCTGGAATTTTAGGTTAGATTATTGCCATTATTAACTGCTCCCAAAATTTTAAGTGGCTATAATTTACTGTTATCTGAACCACGAAGTTCAAGGCGAGATAGGGCGATATATTATGAACACGAGACTGAGGTGGGTCCTCCTTGATATCGTGCGAACATTGAGGAGATTTCTTTTTGTCATCGAATCTATTACAGAAAATAATCCTGGTCTGGGACGGTCAAAAATACGCCTGGTTTGGGACGGTCGGGCCATTTAAAGATCAAAGGCGCACGCCTGGGGGGTGCTTTTTAATATGAAAGTGGCGGCAGAGGCGAGAGCGAAAATAATCCTGGTTTGGGACGCTTTGGCTGATTAAGACCGTCCCAGACCAGGCGTATTTTCTGTAACTCGTCAAATCATTAAAATTCAGATGGCTTATTTTCGAAGAAAGAAGAACAGGCGTCGAGCGATTTCGGCAACGTGTATCCCGCGTCTCGCAGGTTCACTGGAGAAATTTAAATCTTTGCAAATAATTCTCTTACAGGACGTTTCTGTCATACAGCCGAAGCGTAAATCGAGGAGAACGAGGTCAAAAAGATTATCAAAGAAAAACTCTAGGAAATGCTCAATTGGCGAAACCAGGAAATTAAGAGACGAGGCCTCTTCAACTCGCATTCTATCAAGCGATCGCGATGATTCTGAGGAAGTCATCAACAAAATTGACAATTATGACTTTGAAAGGATAGTGCTCTAAAAGCTAAGACAATTGCGGGGACGTTGGAGCTATGAACTCTTCTCAGGAGCACAATAAAAAGTACTGATTACAACGTCTAAGGCTAAAAACGTACGTGCCCATCAAAGCAATTTCCCGCCGGAATTCTGTACAAAAATATGATTCAACTTCTTTCAAAAAACTATCAACTGCCAATAAAGCAATACAACTATCAGTAGGATCAACTACTGCAATTAACTAGAGTTGAAACACACATTGAATAGACAGTGAAATTAGAAAGACACTTGATGGAAATGATAAAAATCGAATATTTTCTAGTATTTCAAAAATCCGCCTGTTTTCCTTTCAAAGATATTTGGGAGTCATAGCAACGAGTATTCGAGAGGACGCAAATTTCGCTTCGATTTGCGCTGAGATTAACTGAGGAAGGATGGTAGAGCTTTATACAGAAAAAAGATCAGGACTCCCACGTGATGTTTGGAAGTGGATTTTCTCTCTTGATTTACCAAGACCTGTTAAAAATGTTCGCCGCGATTTTCAGGTATAGTTTGGTTGAGTTGATTCTTTTGTGGAACTAAAATTAGAATGGCGAATTGATCGGATATATTCTTAATCATTACTATTGCCGTAATGAACCAGGTAATAAAAAGATTAGAAAAAGTGCGAATGAATGACTTCTCAGTTCTTGGCTGGATAGAAATTAGCCAAATGAATCAAGGAACATCATTTAACTCGATGAATGCAAACTGGGACCTTGTTCGGCGATTCCTCGCGCGACCAGAAGTAGGTGCTTCTTCATGAGGAAAAGTTTATTGTTTGTATACAGAACTCTGACCTCGTCATCTCTAAAGAGGAGATCGATGGCATTGTCCATGCGAAACCTGGCGCAATTGAGCTCGTTCTGATTGGAATGTTCCAATTCTTCACTGGCAAGGAGCAGAAGACCCTCGTTGGCGAGTATAACTTTGACTTCAAGTAAGACTTGTTTTCATTTTGTCCATAAGATGGAATTCTTAGCGACGGAGATTACCAGAATCGACTCCCATTCCATGCTCGGAATACAGCTACAAGCTCCGTGAAAGCGAACACTAAAATTACTGAAACACTCGCAGATGGAGACACGGCGCGAGAGCAATTAAGAAACTCGAAAGTCTTGTCCCAGTTCGAGCTTAACAAAGTCATGGCAAGGGTTTTGTGTGGATACTTCTTCAATTTCTTTTTAGATGAAAGCGGAGCATCCTCAGCGATTCAACGTGGTTCCACCACTCGATACGAGAAGCCGAAAGCACCGAGGGGAGTCTTCAAAGAAAACAACGCTTCAACCTTCTGCCAAAGCATCAGTTCGCTCGTCTAGGGTTATTTCCGCCGATAAAAAATCAAAACCTGTTCAGTACGACCAATTCGTCAATGTCAAGCAATAAAAGATAAATTTGAGAGGATGATTGTCTGTTTTCCTTGACGTTTTATGAGAAAGGTCTCAGAATGCATGTCTGCGGTATCAAAGAGAAACTGAGTAACATTTTTGGCAAAACTTCATAGTTTTTTGCTAAAAGATGTAAAATATGGGTTTTACTTTGAATAAAATTTATTGATAGTGATTTAATCGGAAAAGGATATAATAGAGAGGTACAGAGGCTTTCAGGCAGTGTAAAAATGGGTGGGCCAGTGGCAAGTTATAAAGTCTAGTAATAAAACGAGCATATCAATATTCGATTGAGTCACTCTCATTTGTGCACGGGCGGGAAAAGTTTGAATTTTCGCTATGGGTGAGAGGATATCGTTTCTCAGTGGTGTCCTCATCGACCATCTGAGGAAATGCAGCGTCGTGAGCAAGAGAATCATAACTACGAAGGGCAAGTAGCACGCGATCATTTGGAGGAGCTTTTCCAAATTTATATGTTTTGTTCGACGCAGGAGAAGGTGGCTATTAATTTGATAAAAAATATCAGTAAGGTCATTACCATAATTCGTCCAGGTGGTGAGTTTTCAAGAGAGCCTGTGCGAGAGTCGAAGTCGCTGGTTTCTTCTTCGTTGTAAAAATAAACTTCTGAATTGAGACAGTTGATCAGGTCAGATGCGTCTATTGATGGTGGTCGTGGTGGAACCCGTCCGTCTGAAACTCAATATTATCTTCAAAACAGTCTTTTCCGAGTGACCTTGTGGAGTGTACACACACGGGCGAATAGAGAGATGTTCGTTTTCTGAGTTTCCTCCTGATAGTCCTAGGAGTTCTTCGCTAAAGCTATCAAGACTACTCGATCGAGAACGACGAGAAAGCGGTCGACGGGGGCTTCCCAATTCAAGCGTTTCCCTCACTCCCATTGCTGGAGACTGAGGTCGACTATTAGGGCGGCTGTTTGGACCAACTTGATAACCACGAGCTTCGCGACTGTAAAATACGATAATATTTTGAAAGGGCTAGTTAACAATACTATGCATCGAAATCGTCAGCTCTGTCGCCGCTAATGTTAGGTAGATTCGCAAGCATGTCTCTAGTATTCCAAGGCTTTGAAGGCAAAATGTTGTTTTGGAGTCGACTCTGGGGTTTTCTCCTAGCGAGTGGACTGTTTTGACATCCTATCGCCACTCCTGGAGCATTCGTCTAAGAAGACAGACATCTTGTGACTCTAATTCTCACTTGAATTGAATACCTGATCCTCAGAAGCGACAGGGAATACCTTCAACGGAGGGAGAACTGACCTATCCTTTTTCGAGCTCTTCATTCTATAAAACAACAATGTTCACTAAGTGAACTTCACTTTACCAGGCTAATATGAAGAAAGATAGGTTAGTATTTGAAGGACGCTACAGAAATGATTAGACTTTAACGAGTTTCTCTTCTGACATCAGTCTGATGATTTGGTCTCGGAGAGGTTCAGTCGAGATTTCGGCTAAATCTTCGCGACGTAGTAAGGTACGATTTGCCAAGTTAGAGAGATTATCGTTTTGGTAGGTTTTTTTGACATAATCTGAAAAGAAAATGAAAACGACGTTGCCTCAGAATAAATGAAGACGAGAAAAAACTTACTTATAACGTCTTGTCTTGGCAGTAATTGGGACTTCGAAAGTGAGTGCTCATCGAGTACAGACTCGTAATACTTAAGATTTCGCTGGGCAGTTTGATCAGTCGGAGCTTAAAATATTTTTAAATACGCAATAGATTACTTGGCGCTCACCGATTAAAGATAGTGTCTTTGCAGCGTTGGCTCCTTTCAGGATGTGTTTTTCTTGAAAGTAGCAAAATTGAAGATAGTGCAAGATTTCCTGCGGAGTGTCTGCATTTCGTTTGCTCCAGACTTCAGCCGCCATTTTATTCCGACAAGCGATCCGGCACTCGTTCACTTCCATCTCCATATGTGCAAGATGAGTCCAGCTCTCTTGAAGTGAGTCGAAGTCCCTTGGCATTTTAAAGCAAAGACTTTCGCATTCATTTGAGTCTTCGAAAAACTCTAGTAGGGCTTTCTCCATATGCTCAATGCACGCTTTGTAATCGTTTGTTTCGTAAGACTCGACGCTGAACGGTTGTTATTTTGAAGACTTCAGTTGCTGATTACCCTTGTTTGTAGTGCTTGTTATACATCGCCGATTCATAATTGACAAGTTTTTCTTCCTTGATCGCTTGGTCCACGACCCGATAGGCACCTTTGTAAAATTCCAAGTTGTGCATCATATCATCCCATGCAGGATCGTCCTTAGATCGCAACGATAGAAACGTATACGCAGAGTTGGCCGCCTTGAGGCCGTCTTTTAGATTGTGATAGGATATTTGCAAATAGTTGTAGATTTCATACGAGTCGATCGCTTTTTGAACACTGTAATTTGGCTTCTTTTCTTTCATCAGCCGCGCGAAAGGGTGTTCCAAGAAGCAATCTTTAAGGCACGTGCTTTGTTCCAAAAGATTTTTAAAGAAGACATGTTCTCCATCATCAAGATCTTCGAAAGAAGCCAACTGCAACTTCGTGAATTCGACGTTTGGAATGTGACATTTGTGGTGACAAGAGCTCAGTAAATTGTTCTGCATTCGATAGCTGATCAGAAGTCTTTCGAAATTTCTCACAGCTTTATTCGAGGATTAAAAAATACTCAAATCAACGAAATAATCAGAGATAGACTATTAAATAGTAATTTTGAAAATCCTCGCCTTCAGCGTAATCGTTTCTCGAGTAAGCTTCATAGCCTTCCGTCCAAAGTTCGTTGATACCACGCAAGAGATGTTGCGGCACTTGAGCATAAACGTAGCCAAAAACTAGAAGGGACCATTTTGCAAAGCAACTAGCCACCATTCTTAAAATGTAAATTCGAAGGACTATTTTTACGAAAATATAAAATATTATTTTATTAAAATAACTGTAGAAAAGAGAGGTGGCTCTAACGACGGATGACAAATTCAGTAAAGTTGCAATCCCCAACGTCAAGTTTCGTTATGTCACAACGGTCGATTCGGGATTTAGGGCTACCTTTTCGCGATAAAAAATTCTCAAATTCTTTTAATTTATCTTCTGGGCCGGAAGCTTCTCCAATGACCGTGCCCTTTTTAGTGTTCTCGACCTAGAGGAAATATGAATAACTGTTCCCACAGTTTGCCGCTCACCCAACCGCAAATACCAAGCTCGTCAGCTGCTTTCTTCGTGTATTTTCGGAAAAACACTCTCTGTACTTTTCCATGAACTTCAAACGAAATTATCATTCAGAAAATCTAAAAGGAATCTAATCAGTAATGAAGATTATATCATGAATTTGAACGTGGACAAGTTAGCTTCACAAATAAAATAACTGATAATCTTAAGTTCGGCAGTGATATATATTCAATACAAGAGAAATTAACATCAGTTTTCTTTGTAAACCTTTAAAAACGCCTTTACAACCGATGGGTGAGTAAGCGCATGAAAAAAGCGATGGTCTTCTTTAATTTCATCGACATTTACACAGCCTTCTTTTTCGCTTCTTTGGATAAGTTTAGCCAGATGCTTGATGTCTCCGAGTTCTTCGTTTTTTTCGACGATCGGCACTCTTAAAACGTCGATGAAAACTATTGGGATCGTTTCGTTTACGGGAAAAGCCGTGCTTCGGAGCAGACTTTTGTGATGATCCGGGTTGCCACCTCGCTCTCGGACGCGTCACTATCGTGTGAAGACGACGCTGGACAAGCAGACTGAACAGTTGATTGGAGAATTGTCTCGGTTTAGTTTAGTAACGCACCCAAATATTAACGCTTATCGCTTCGGTAAGGCTGATAACAGAGTGCCACCAACCAGGTGGAACCACCAGCATATCCCCTGGTACCAGTTCAAACGTCAACGCATCATTTACATCGCTAAGATTGATATTTCTACCCCAGACGGTGCTTGCCTCATACGGGCATCTTGTAGATTTTATTCCAGAGCTTTGAGGGGGAGCGAGAGTCCATTCTTTCTTCCCATAAATTTGGCAAACCACGTTGAAGCCATGCGAGTCTTGATGGAGTTTGGTGCCGGCTCCTCGAGAGCCCCACCAAAGACAGGAGTCACCGCCAGTATCTTTCAGTCCAAGTTCTTCCCAAGGTGGGATCTTATCGATCAGATCCTCGTTGTGGCTCATCCTGTGATAGGCCACGTAGAAATGTTCGCAATCTTGCAAATTTGCTACGTCGACGTCCATCGGCTTACAAATCTGTTCATCGTTGAGTTCTTGTTGGTTTTCTGCTGTTCGAGCTTCCACTGGACTCTTCAGAATGGACCGCAACTTTCCTGGAGTCCATTTCAAACATTCCCAGTGCGATGGAACCGCGGTTACATAGGGTTTTTCACGATATTTTATTGCCGACTCGGAACTATTCATTTTATCTTAATTTGATGTTCAAAAGTTCGATTGAATACGGAACGATCATTGCAGGAAAATGACTCAGAAAAAGGAAAGAGACGAATATAGAAGAAAAGGGAAGAAAGTTACTTATTCAAGGCGGGACTTGCTGGCGACTGCGGCATCTAAAATCAAAGTTCCTTTTCCTTCGAAAAGGGCTACCTTTACCTTAAGATATCTGTTCTGGCCAGCTATGATTGAGGTATTTGGTCGCAGGTAGGGGTTAACAGCAGGACTGGATGGACATTTTGCGCGCGGTGTTGTAGGATTGTATGCAGTCGGCATTGGCATTTCAGACGGGTTGAAGATGCTTTTGTGACTGTTCATAATTGAGATTCGTCCACGCTATAATAATTTTAAGGTCGAACTTATTCAAACACTCAAGTACCCCGTCTCCTTCGTTGGCTGAGCCATAGCTGGTCGGTTTTCGACTTTCAGCCCAGTTGCCCAAGAGTTGTTGACTTGCAGCGTCTCTTTGCCGTCGTTCGTCTTCTTCTCTCGACACTTTTTTGAGCTCATTGAAAAGACGATGTTTTTCTTCACGAAGCTTTTCTAACTTCTTTTCCATTTCGTCGAGCTCAAATGTGACGTCTTGCAAGGATTGCGCTTGGTTGAGCATACGCTGTTTTTTCTCTTCTAGTTTTCGCTGCTTTTCCTTTTCTTTTTCTTCAGCTTGCTCCTCGAGCTAAAACCGAGATATCTATAAAATATATGTGAGATATTCATACCTTTCTTTTTCGCATAATTTGCTGTGCGAGACATCGGAGAATGGTGTCATCCTTCCAAAGATCAGGAATTTTGTGAACAGCGCCCGGCATAGATCCCAACCAATTATCTTATACAATTGCTTTAGTCGATTGAAGTTGTTAAGAGAAGAAATGAAGACAGTCTTGGTATTTATTAGATGGCATTTGAAAAAGGATGATTGATATCAATATAACAGAAAGTATTTAGTGCAGCTTTACAGAATATGATGATAATAAAGACAAAATTATTGGAACTGTGAAGATATTTCATCAAGCGATTTTCCTCGTGTTTCGGGTAAAAAGATAAACTCGAAAATGGCAACAATTGCGGTCAAGATTGCGAATAGCCAGTAAGTCCAATCCTGGCCCAGCTCGGCGAACATTTGCTGGAGAAAGAAGGTCAAAAGAAACGATGCGCCCCAGTTAACAGTTCCACATAGTTAGGGTTTCTCACGGGAAAATGGTAGTTATCACTTTTTTCTTACAATTTCACTGTAGGCATAATTTGACCCGCTGATTCCAAAAATACAAAAATCAGAGGCGCTGGTCAAGGTTTTGGTGGTGCGGCGCGCGCTGTCTTGGCGCATTTGGTGCAAGGGTGATTTTTCAGTGAAAATTTCCCAAAATAGTTTTCTATAGGTTTTTGAACATGGTGAGCCCGAAAGTAATAGTTATTTTGGCTAAATAAGAGTTATTATTAAACATCAGTATCTTACAACATATGCGACTCTGATTTCTCTGGAAAAAATAAGAATAGTCTGCTTTGACTTCTTTGTTAAATCTCTGGAGAAGTTTGGATTCCTTCTCCCGAAGGAATACGCTCTTTTACTTTTGTTAATCTTGACCCTTGTTGCAAACCGATGTTCAGAAACTAATTGACAATTAGCTTTTTTCGGAATTTTCGATGGTAAGTCACATTATTTACAATGAAATTATCATATTTGAATCGAAAATCCCCCAATTATTGCATCGAACCACTTTATTTCGTCACCTTCCACAGAAAGGTTCGGACTGCTCTCCGGGGGAGTGAGTAAATATGCGCGTTTTCAGCCCAGGCGGTGACCCCGTGCGCGACTCCAGCGCCCGCGCAACGCCAGAAAGTTCTAGTTAAATGCAGATTTCCGGGTGTCCTACCAGATCCTGCTATTCCAAAATTTGAGAGGTGATTACTAAGTGCCTAAAGTTTATCATATTCGAAAATGAAGAGTGTGCTAAAGTGTGATCAGTGTTTGGGAGGCAATTTTCCAAAAAAATTCCCCCATTTTCGCCTTTTTTTAACATTAACTTAAATTATAATTCTTAATTATTAATGTACACCTTCGATTTGGTACTATCTGTGAGTTTCATGAAAAAAATATAGACAATTAGTGAAGATAAAAATCGCGGTGAGAAGGCGTTCCGAGCCCCGCGCGCTCCCGTGAAAAACCCTACACATAGTGATGAGCAAGTCCCCTTTGCTCTGTTGTCGAAGAACTCGCCGATCAACAGCCACGGAACAGGACCTAACGTAAAAATCAGGCTAAATATAGAGTGAAAACGTTTACCTTCTCCAAGAGCAAAGGATAAACTAAACAAGACAATTGAAGTCAATCCGACGTATTCCATCCATGAGGGACCGACTCCTCTCATGTTGTAATTTTCATAAACTCCAAAAACTGTCAAGCAAACAATCATTCCTATAGCGGAGGTGAAGAGCCAAAATCGACGGCCGGCTTTATCCATCAAAGAGGACGAGATAACAGTCCCGATAACTTGAGATAGACCAAGCAAGATCGAGGCTAAGTTAGCGTCTGTCATTCCAGCAGCGGCAAAGATCGTTTCAGCGTAGAACAAAATGCAGTTGATTCCGCAAAGCTGCTGACCCGCATGAATGACTTGACAAAAAATGTATTTTTAAAATTTACAACTTTATCTACCGAGCATGATAAACAGAGGAGTTCGCAGATGTCTCGTTGATAGAATTTCTCGGATCGATGCATTCCCGTGTTGAGTCTGGAGCAGAACGGACTCTTCGATCTCCTCTATCTCCTTTGCAATGAGCGGACTGGATAAATCTTGCGCCCGAAGATACGCTAAATTTCGGCGCGCAGATATTCTGTCTTTGCGCATAAGGAGCCATCTAGGAGAGCTTGGCACCATTATGAACACGAGAACAGCGCCGACTGCTGTAAAACTGAGCGAGTAAAGCGCCGCATGCTGCCAAACAAGCCATCGTCCTGCCAAATAGCCGAGCAAAATTCCAACAGTGACTATTGAAGGAGAATAGCTTAAAAAAACTAACTTGACAACGGCTCACCCATGAATTGGAATCCGGCACCGAAAAGTCCTCGCACATCAGGAGTAGATACTTCTCCAATGTAAGTAGGACACGCAATACTCATAACACCACAGGCGATACCGGTCTTGAGGCGACCGACAATGGCCGTCTCCATCGACGAAATATCCATGCAAAGAAGCATCCACCCAATGGCGAACAGTGAGCAGCCTACAAGCATGATGCACTTTCGTCCAAACTTCTCACAGGCTGAAAAGTAGTCACTGGAGCTTATAAAAATGGTATAAGACTTACCTGGACCAGCAGCTAGTGAGCCTACGGCAGCACCGATAGTGATAATACTTCCAAACCATGAAATTTGACTAGGCGTACTTGTTATGTGAGGATCCTTTTGAATTGATGGAATTGCGCCAGATGAATAACTCAGCGTTAAACCGATTATTATGGGGCACATATAAGACGCCAGGATCACTTTCTAATTATTTTAAAATTATTTACACCCTCTGAAGGTTTTCTTACGTAAATATTCGTCTTTCTTGTTGGAGCACCATGCGAAGAGAGTACATCATCTGCTGGATTCTCATTATCAACAAGAATCTCTTGATCGCCCATGCTTTTTTAATTTGGCCCGTTTGTGATCGATTTTGTCGTTACCCCATCAAAAGCACGAATTTGCGAAAAACAATCATTTTTTCAGAATCGCAAATACTGGAGCAAACGCTTCATAATTATCGAATTCTCTACAATATTGAAATAAATACAAATTTTATAGCGAAAATACTTGTGATAAAACGAATTCTAATTGATAACTGGAATGCTCAGAGTTTTTGGCGTAAGTGCAAATAGGTTTGTAAGGTAGAAATGGCAAGTGAACATTGGGAGCGAGGATAAATCTCAGTACGTTGTTTTGCATAAGAAACTGTCGTGGTAAGGCGCTACTGTAATAAAAAGTGTTTGCTACTGGCAATGTTTCGAAGTGAAAACACATTATCATATTTAACTAAAAATTCGACTCAAGGATATCTTCTTTCTTCTGATGGAGTTCCATCAGTGAGACTAAATAAAATAATACATGCTATAGAAGAATTAACACACTTTCGGCGCATTTTTTGCAAATAGGGCAGTGGAGAAAGAGATATCTGTTATTTATTTTTTTAAGTTGGTACAGCTGTGCAAGAGAATAAAGGGTGAACAGAGGTGACGGTGAAAGTGTGAGATATTGTTGGCTTGGGTTTATTTACAAGGCTGTGTGGAATTTCTTATTGAGTAGGTGAATGAGCAGATTCACGTTGACTTTCGCTTTCTCGTCCAGCTTGATGACAGACACATTCTCATACTGCTTTTGCAAGAGGTCTTGCAAGATGAGCGTTGTTGTGAAGACGCTGACGCCAAGGTAAAAGGCTTCGATAGACCACTGTCCATTGACCAACAAAGGTTTGATAATGAACTAAAAAGATTTCTTTCAGTTCAAGATGATCTAATAAATATTACCTTGAGATGCTTCGTGTTCTTAACTTCATCCCCGTCTAGACTTAGTAGGATGCCCTTCTTGATAAGCTGTTCCGCGCTATATTTGATCTCCTTCTTTTCTTTTCTCGACTTCAAGCGGAACGAGGCGCCCTTGGCTGGTTTCGACTTTGCCTGCTTGTCGTCGACCGACTGTTTGGCCAAGCAATCGGCAATGTAACGCTCGTAATATTCACGCTGTTCTTCGTAGTACTTGCGCTTGTTTATCAGTCTTGCTCGGGTGAGACGGAGCTGTTCGATTTCGCTCTTGCGTGCTCTTCTGAGGCGGTGTTTTTCACGGATGTCTTCGCAAATCAGCTTCACCAGATCGTCTTCCGACTCGAGAATTCCATTCGCGATGAGGGTCTTGACGTTGGCCTTGATAGTCTCACGGTCGTTCATCAAGTTTGATTGCGTGTCTGTGGAGTACTTTTTCATTGTTTCAAATGGAACAACCTCGTTTAAATACTCTCGCAGATTCCTAGAGGATTGATACTCGATCGCCGTACAGAGGAGGCGTTTTGTCTCATTGAGAAGTTTGCGCATTTCCATGGCAAGCGCGTCCTCGTCACTCTGGTCGATATTCACGGACAAACTGAGATGAATATGATAGGAGAGAGCATCCGAGTCGTTTATATTTCTAAATTCGCTTCCAAGAAGCACCTCTGGCTCTGGTATCTCCTTCATTCCAGCAAGCAGATCGTGGAGAGGATCATCTTGATTCGAAGTAATTGATTCCGAAAATTGTAGGAGAAGTTTGTGCGTCTCAAGAAGGTCTTTTATTGTCAGCGTTATTTTCGGTTTTTCGATTTCAACAACATCAGAGTATTTGGACATTTGAAAAACCTCTTCCGGCTCCGCGACGTTGATAACTGCCTTGAAAAAAGTTCGGAAACGCTTCGAATTTAGAGCTGTCGCTTTTCTTATCGTCTCGTGCTCCGCTGTCTTCGGCGGCAAGGAGCCGTCAGCGATGTCTTTGCCTGTGGTATAGGATGCGGAATGCTGCAAAAAGCGGGCAATCTGACCGAGCTTCTTCCTCGTCTTTTGGTCAAGAGCTGTTCCGGCAGGAAGATCAATAACGTCAAAGGCTTCTGGCGCGCAAATCGCTGGATTTAAAAACCGATAGTAGATTAGGTTTCCTACGGAAACAAGAAGCAGTTCTTCCGATGCATCAGGGAATTTATTTGCAAGAGCTTTATACATCACCTTCGCTTGGTATCGAAGTCCGTAAGGAAGACTTTTTACTGAGGCAGTTATTGAAGACATGAACCCATCAACAAGTGATGTCAATTTCGTGATGTTTTCTTCGAAAATTTCCACAACTTCTGGTACAGCCGCTGCTTTGTCTTCAGTTATTTCCGCGTCAAGTCCAACGAGTACGCCGTTTTCTGTTTCTTTACGCTGAGCCCATTTTTTGTACGTTTCAACTATGCTCCACTCAAGATTCAACTCATCACAGCGCGAGATGATCTCTTTAACACGCTCGCCGAGAATGTCGCGAAGGGATTCCCTGTTTCCATAATTACTTCCGACTTTCATGCCGATTCCACGGTAAAAGTTGACGATCAATTTCACTGCCAGAACCCCGTTTGTCATAAGGTCTTTGGGTGTAGACACCTTCTGAGAGATTTCTTCCTCAAGGGCAGACCGGAAAAGTTTGAGCAAAAGGTACTGCTCTCGCTTTTGCTGGGCGTAGTCGTAAGTGGCGAACACTGAAAGCTTTTTTTTAAATCAAGATCTCTACAAGAAGCACAATTTTCATGACTATCGAATTCCGGGACTTACCAATATTTTGAACGAAGTTGTTAGACTTGACCATTGGCAAGCAAAAGAGCAGTTTGGAGAAGTAAATTGGCTCTGTCTGCAAAAGTGCGAACAATCTTTCATAAGAGTCCACTAATTGCTGCGTTTCTTTGGTGAGTCGCCCCAGGTTAACGGTTGAATTTTCACGGTTTCCAAGAGAAGATGATGATGTTTTCTGCTTGCGGATTTTCTTTAGGTGGTTACTCGCATCATTAAGTGAGATTCTGTTCTTTACTAAAAGTCCAATCTTCACATCCATTTGGTCAAGCTTATCGTCCAAGTCGTCGTTCTCTCGCACTCTGTTAATGATCTCTTTCTTCAACTGGCAAATTTCTTCTTCCTCGCTCAAATCAAGATCTGTGTGCTCGAGCAAGTGAACAAAATGTCGAACCGCTCGTAGAGTTGCTGTTCCTTTTGAAACACCTTTATAATCATTGCGCAGGTGACAGCTTCTCCACCAAGATTGAATTCGAATTATTACATCTTCTTGCTCTCTCAAATACTTCAACCTTCGAATGTAGCGCAGACGCTCTTTTAGCATTCTGAAGTTGCTTTGCAGTAGCAACACGCTGTCAATATTAGCTTCCCAATGCTTTTTCTTCTCCCGCATTTCTTTTCTTACTTTCCAACCTCTATAATACGACTGGAGGACGATTACAGGGCGCTCTTGTTCTTTCAGGTAATTCAGTCGGCTTTGAAAAGCTCGTTTTTGTAGAAACATTCGGATTGCCGATTGAATCGTTATTACAGCTGGAGTATTACGCTGCCAGGCTTCCATCTTGATGAGAGCAGCAGTGACATCCTCTACGACCCCCTTGATCTCCACCGAGGTGAGCATTTTCTGTTCCGAGTTATAATCATACGAATCAGGAGCTTCCCAGTAAGCCTAAGAAGCGTTATTATCATTTTTAATGATATAATTTTATACCTCAAGATTTTGGGTGTCGAAGAAGAAGAATGAGCCATTGATTATTTCTACTATCCAATCAGTTTCGATGCTTCCAGCAAGACTACTATCTTTCTTCACTTTTGCGTCGACAAGTGCTTCGTAATATGCCTGGACACTGTCTGGGAATATCTGATACTCGAGTACATCCGTAAGAAGCATCTCTTCGAAGCGTTCTTCACAATCCTCCTCATCGAGAAGCAGATTGATTGCCATCACTGCGGAGCATCTTTTCTTCATAAATTCGAACTGTTTCTTAGTCTCATACACGGCCTCTTTGATGTCATCGTATCCAAGTTCTATTGTAAAGAATTTAGAATTAACATAAACGAGCGAGATTTACCTTCGTAGCATTCAAGGTGGGACTGTAGAATAGAAGCGTATCTTGATTTATGCGATTCTTCTAGGTCACTATTTATTTCTAAATAGGGATCCTGAAGAGCTTCAAAAATATGAGCCGCTTCGCCATCTGCTACAACTTCGTTGACTGTCTGTACTGCTTCGAGACGCTTTTCAGAAAGTAGTTGTTGGGCACTTGCTGCCTCTTCTTCCTGAGTAAGATAGGTGAGCACAACGAGAGCAAATTATCTCCGTTTACCTTGATTGCTGCGTTAATTTTGAAAATTTCTTCTTGAACTTCGCTGTGCGTCAGGCGAGTTTGGTAAACATCATCATTGTCAAAGCTGGCGAAGCTTGAATTTGGATCGAGGGCTGCTTTTTCTAGTGACTCGGCCGAATGAGATTCGGCTTTGATATTTTTGAAGTGTTTCATCTCGCATGAATATTTTTCGATGTTATCTTCACTGACACCTTCGATTCGCGCATCTGGATTCAAAAGTGCTTCTTTCAAATCATCGAAATTATCCTGTTATTTGGCTCAGAAAATAAAAAATCAAATTTGAAGCATATCGATAAAATGTCGTTATCTTTTAGCCATTCCTCATCGAGAGCTTGATTGATTCTCAAAATGGCAGCATGATGAAGAGCCTCGTCTTCAGAGATCTCTGCAGCGAGAATGCCGCCTATTTTAGCGAAAGAAGGGAGCTTTATTCCGTAACCATCGAGGGCCACTTGCATGGCTGAAAGTTCTTCTTCTGTAAATTTCAGGATTCCTTCAAGATCGTCCATTTTCGGCGCTTTGCCTAATTTCGAGAGGTGCATCGCCAGCGCGTGAATACAGTAGATCAATCTCGGCAGATTCTTTTTGTCGTAAATGTCAGTAGTTTCCGGATAGAAGGAACTCGGCAGAGAGACCTAGATAAAATTTAAGACATCAGTTTTCTACTAAAACTCACCTTTGTCATCGCATCTCGGAAAATGTTGATGTTGTCTGTGTGCCGAAAGTGGAGGCCCTTCGTTTCGTAGTGCTCGTGATTCTCGTCGAAGATCCGGCTGCTAATAGATGGGGCGATCGCTTTGCCTAGTTTTGCTATAACAATGCCGTTGGCAAGGCTTTCTTCCATTCCATCGGTAACTGCAGGAAGCTTTGTCTGACTCATCGCCTCAATCCACCGTTTCGCTTCTTCCAGCCGGCAGAGATAATTGTAAACGATCTAAAATGTAAAAAAAACTCCTAGTGAACTAATCTCACCGATTTTTCTCGCTCGTTGTCCATGTCCTCGCCAGTCGGACGTTCGGAAACATTTGTCCACACGTGGATTTCATCCGTCGACGGGGTACAACTAATGGCGGAAATCCGCTGCAGCTCAGCGCTTTCCATCTCCGCCATGTTACGAGTCTGCCACTTCTAATTTTCTGTCTCTCGAATTTCGGTCTCTCTTTCGCTCCCGATCTTTTCGATAATCAGCTCTCAGCCTGAAAGTAAAAGTATGTAAGAATTTATCGGCCGCGTGTGAAGAGGAGAAAAGTGGGACACGGAAGTTTTTGTATAATTGACAGGGTGATTCAACCCTCATTTCCCTCTAGGCGCGATGAATTCGCAGCTACAAGAGCTTATCTCTACTCTAAAGTTATTCAACAGATATCGCCTTCTGAGTGGTGGAAGTCGAGACGCAAAATAGATGCCCAATAAGACTAATCGGGCAAAATAAAAAAAACGGTTTCTTTGACCCAAAAATCAGATTACAACGGCCAAGCGAATTTCGCCTGAAGGTGCGACTCCTTAACAAATTTGGATGTTCGATCTTGGTAGTACCAAGTTGGTACTGCTACTTAGAGACTTTCGCAACCCCATAAATTTAGTAATGAGCTTGTAATAATAATATTTATTTGCATTGTTTTCTAAGCTTTAATCGCGCAATAGATAGGTATAGGAATATCTCTAGTGAAAAATTGTTTTATCGAAGTGGTGAACTTGGCGAGGACAAGAATAAATTGGAGAAAAATCCGCCATGGCCATACTCTCTCGTCTGCGTAGACTGAAGCGCCCGGTCGGAAGCGGGTATTTATGGAGCGAGAGTGGCGGTTGTTGCCCCCGCTCAAAATCGATGCATAATAACAATGGGCAGTTGCCGAAGCTAGTAGTACATGAACTTCTCCGAGTTTTGGTAGACACCACTGAGAGACTACATGGACTGATTCCAATAGACTATGGCCCATAGATGACGGGTCATTTACATCAATTTGGAGACGACAAGATAATAAGTCAAATTCATAAAAAACATCCATGATAAAGAATCTGTCTGGATTTCATCACAAACATTAATGAAACGGAAAATTATTAATGCTATTTAGGAATTGCGATGATTCAAATGCTGAAGGATTAGTTGCAATTGCGTGTTTTACTTTAGGGCAGTTTAAAAGGATGACTTTAAAATTGCACGATGACTCAAAAGAAATAGTAGAGCAAATCGAATTGACTACGAAAATAATCAGTTTATTTCCTAGTAGATGACATATTTGATGGCAGTTTTATAGTCATTTAAACTTGCGGACTAACTCCAATAGTTTAGTCCAAATTGTCTAAAGCAAGGGCATTCTGGCTCCATTCATCTTGATGCTGCGTTTGGAGATCTAATAGATCATTGTGAAAGTCGGCTTGTGAGATTTATCGTTACCCGATAATTTCGTTTTCAGTACTTGGATCCCTCTTGCGACGATTGTCTCCGGCCTCATAAACCCAAAGCTCTCAATGTTGAAGAAAAACTTCGTCGGTACACCAGTCGGGTCTAATGGCGCCTGATGCATGTCGTCTTCCAATTCGGAATAGATTGACTTTGGCCATTCCTCTTAAATTACAGACATTACTTAGAGGGTTTAGGCAAAACTAGTCACCTGGTTTGGGATAAGTCGTATGACGAAGAGCATTGTCCGGATCGTACTCGAACTGGATCACGCACGGTTGCCATTTTGCGTGCTCCTTAGCAAAACCTTTTCTCGCTTCCGATAGAATTGACAATGCATATCAAATATCATTTATCAAACGAGAAAGAAAGCGTCTTGAAAGTATCACCGACTATGTTTGCAGAAAAAGATATTGTCAACTCTTAACGTGAGCGGTAAGTTTCAATGTTTGACCCTTTCGAAGTTTGACGATCAAAATTTGATTGCTATCACGATTATAGTCGTCGTCACTTTTCCCCAAGGCTGGTTGAACTAAAGCACATTTGAGAATATTGAAAATCACTTAACAAATAGTTACCTGCTGGGTTTCCAGACATAAGATCAGCAGTCGTTACTGTACGAGTCGCTTCCGTTTCGCATGTGACATCAAGGGTAAATTCTACCGTGCAATCGTTGCAAAAATTATCACAGCTGCAGTCCCGAATATATTGCATCTGAGAGGGATTGAGCAATAGTACTCGTTTTTTTGGTACCTTTTCGACGACTTCCTCGCAGTGAAGTGGTATCAACGCTAGTCTGTGGGCGATGAACTCATCAATCAGCACAGTAGTATTCTCTTCAATTCGAATCCAGTCAATAGCGAGCACGGGCACTTCCGAGAGCCAGACGCGTCGCAGGGCGTTCGCTACGGAAAGATCAGTGTTTTCGATTGAAAATTTGCAGTTCTCATCCTTGATTTCCTCGATTCGCACGATCGGTTGATTCGCGTACGGCATTCTATGAGACAAACAACTAACATATGAAAAATGATGAAAAAATTAGAAAAAATAACGATTATAGAGCAGAAATAAATAAAAGTACTCAGAAAATGAATAGACGGGACGAACTAGATTGAAAAATTGCTCCAGAGAGATTCGTCGGATTGCTTGTCCTGGATGAAGATACTTTTGTTCTCTTTCTTCTTTTGTTTTCGAAGGGCTCGGTTGTTTTGTGTGTCTGCAGAAAGGAGAAGATAACCACAGTAAAAGGGAATCATCTGAACGGACGAAATAAAGACCTGTCTAAATACAGGTACGTACAATGAGAATAATTCCGCTAGCAATAGATCCGACACCATTGACGCTTTTGTTGTCATCAGAGATATACATGTTGACTCCTTGAAGAATCATCAAAATAGACGTAGCAAAAATTGCCGTGTACTGTAGTCCGGAGCAGTAAAGCATTCGAAATCGAATCTTCTTAAGCTTCTGCGCTTGTGACTCTTTGACTTCGAGGACAACCTATGAATATTTGTTTCCCATGCATGAGCTTAAAATTTACCGGGAACCCGTTTTTTGGACTAACTCTCTTTCCTCCGAAAGCGCTTTTTCTTCCTGGTGATCTAGGAAATAATTATTGCTTTAGCTTCGTTTTGACAAAAACAAGCTTACACTGAAAGTTGTGCGCCACTTTGAAGGAAGGTAGATTTCGATCTCTGTCCTGGCTCATTCGTGAACACCAGGTTTCCCAAATTCGTGTTTGACTTTTGGGCTCGCTTCTCGCTCTCTTCTAATGTTGCTTTGAAACCTGCTAGTGCTTTGCCCGATCGGATAGAAATGTTTGAATTGCGAGAGCTAAGCGGTCTGGTTTGTAAGCCATAAGACGGTCTTGCTTTGCGAAGCTCAGAAAACTTGTCTGTTGGAAAAAAAAGATAATCTAAAGTACTAAATCTACAGTTACAGTAAGTGCGCAGTTTCTGTTCTTTCCTGGGTTGTCATCAGGTGCTGAAATCTCGATTCTCATCGCCTGCTTATACAAAAGAATACGCTGCCTTTACATGACCTGCCAGTTTTTTAATGAAAACTAACTATCTAGAAAATCGTGTTGCACTTGTTTTATTTATTGTTTGTTATCATGAAAAAGGCGCGAATGGGTTAACTAGTACAGTGTAGTTGGGCGAAGTCGGTGAACAGGAAAAAGATCTGGGAATCATGATCAGTTTGGGAAATTGGGAAGTTTTATTAATTATGTGAGTCGAAAAAAAGAAAGAGACTTTGATTGTGTTTTTTATTGAAGAAAATATTTCGGGGGCATTTGTTGGGAAAGATTTTAGGTACAGAATAGAAAGTGTTGAGGTCAATCAGAAAAAGAAGACGCTTAGGCACGGCTTTAGAGATAAGATGAGTAGGAACTAGGAAGTACTGATGGCAGAGTAAATACAATGTTTGAGAGAGCGCACATGATCCGATAGCTCGGCTGTCAAATCGACAGCGGTCTGGAGCTCGTTCGTTGCCGGCCAGAACTGGGCTGCTTTGTCGACTTGTAAAAGTGCAGTTGTAGACGACTCCGCAAGCTGATTAGAGAGCGAAACCAACTTCGTAACTCGATCTTCTTGTCCCTGCGATTCGAGTACTTTCGAAGTAGCATCTCCTTGAAAACAATCAATACCGTAGCAAATATCAAAACTTACCGAGGAAGACAAGCTCAGAAGCAGACTTGTAAATCTTTTTTGAAATCGTTTGCAAGCTCTTTGGTGGACTATCTTTAGCCGATTCGATGAACTTGTCCATGTTCTGCTGAAGAGATTCCTGGGAAGATTTGAATTGAAGATAGAAATTCATCAATCTTTCGCGAGATGGAGACTTTTCGTTTTGAGCTTGTAGCCATTTTAGTAATTTTTTCGTAATTTCAAAATGATACCTGGAAGTTCTTTATAGCTTGATAGTCGATTGTAACGAGGAGATTTTATTTCGTTGCGCAACGAAGGCGTCGGACGCACATTGTCGAGCTAGGAATTCGAAGCTCAAAAACTAGAATTTCATTTACTTGGATGTAATCGTAGTCATCTTGGTCGTGGTCAAAAGATTCGTTTTGCGTCTCTTCAATGTTTCGCGAAAGAGCTCTTGGAGCAATAGGCAGCGGACGATCCCTTGGATCTTCAATTTCTTTCAAAAATGTTTAAATTTCAACTAGATATTGACTTACCTATCGATTTCGTTTTAAGACTTGATGACAATAAAGGCGTCGAGTTTTTTCGTCGGAAAAATGTCTTGAAAATAAGCTTTATATTTCTGGTCGAGAAATAAGAATAAGAACCTGTGCGTGTGTGTAAACATAGTTTGCCAGAGAGGCAAGATCGTCAGGCGCAGCTCGTGCAGTGATAACAAAAGAGTCGTAATCGTCGGGTATTCCTGTTTGAATATCACGCTTTGGGTCAGCAAGCGATTCGATTCTCCAACTGTTTTTTTCGAGCTTGAGGCGCATGTCGCCGAAGATCTTTGCGTCCTCTTCTACTGGTTGTAGAAGGTGGTTGATGTGTCGAACGCATCGTTGTTGGCCTGCCCCGGCTGCCGTTGCCATCGTCCGCCGGGTGAACTCGATCACATTCTCTAGCGATTTTTCCAGGGCAGTTGTTTTCATCTTTAATTGCTTTCAAAAACTGCGGAAAGGAAACAGCCTACCTTGAGATCCTCAGCTTGTCCATTCAACCGCTGGATGCATTTTTGGGAGCGCCATTCTGGGGATAAAAACTTCAACAGCGCAGTCACTTTTTCGTCCAAATTTATTTTCAATTTCAGAAGTTTATCCATTGCTTCTTCGTTTGTGTAAGTGAAAGGACTTCCAAAGACCTAAAATTAGTTTAAGAAAATAGTAAGGTTATTTAAAGACGACCTGTAAGGGAATGGATTCTGTGCTAGAGAAGGATGCGATCGAGCTTCTGCTAGCAGAGGAACGAACTTGCTCGACCGAGCTTTGCCGGGCCATACGAAGACTTGCGAGTGACTTTGGAAGTTCGTCGTAGTCATCTGTTTTTGATAAGTCGAGATTTGGTTTTGGAATGTCGTAATCGTCAATTACAGTTGATTGAGATTTTTTCGGTGCAATTGTTGGCAACTTGGTTGGTACATCGTAGATCCCGTCTACTTGCACGTTTGGCTGAATCGGATAAATATGCAAATTATTATTATTTCATACTTTTAATTCGTCGTAGTCATCGTCCTCGTTTGCAGCACTACCGTCGACTACGATGTTGTTATTATTATTCGTGGGCAGCTCGTCGTAGTCGTCGTTCTTTAGAGCTATTCCTTTCGTTGGTAGATCATAAACGCCATCGTCATTCTGTGGAGAAAATTTCTTTTTGAGTGGCAAAATCGTCACAAGTTCGTCGTAATCACCATTTGAGGGCAGATTCCTTCGAGGTAACGCATCATACGTATCTTCTTCGGGTTCGGGAGAGGAAATCACATTTGCATTTGCATTCGCACTTCGAGGCAAATCGTAGACACCCTCTTGGACGGAGGCTTCAGTTTCTTCGATTTCTTCTACGTAGTTTACCGGAACGAGCCCCGTCTAGCTCGGAAAATAAAAATAAATCAGTAAGGAGGACTCACCTTGTCTCGAAGGGAACATCTCCACCATCCTGGAGTATTGTCGACGTTTTTCTCTAAAATGACGAGAATATCATTCGCGTTGAAACTCAGCTCATCAGTGTCCTCAGCTTCAGTCGAAAACAATGCTCTTGCCTTCTTCACCATTTCGGCGAGCAGCTAACTCTACTATTTATGGGCGACGACGAGCAATTTTGAGTGTTCGCTCTAAATTTTAAATAAGAAGCCAGGCGCTTTTGGAGCAGATCAAACATCGCGAGCCGATGATTTTAACATCGAGTACGAGTCGAGATTTAGGTCATTTCTCGAAGATAACAGGGAACGAAAAGAAAAGGTGAATCAAAGATAATTTTACAGTTTGAAAAATAAACAAAGAAATTATGAACAAGGAACGAAAAGAATTAGGAATCACACTTGCGGTTGCATTCTTCGTCCGCGCATTTTTTCTTCTTTTTTTGCTTCATTTGCTTGGGTTTTCTCTCAAGCGGTGAGATTTCGTCGTCGGAGGAGTCCGATTCTGAGCTTGATTCGCCGAAGAGCTTTGGTTTGTGATAAATACAGCACACTTTGGTTGATTTGCGGCCGAGACCTTCATTATCCACCGTGTCCTCGGTAAACATCACGCGTCGCCGGGGCTGACTCTCTTCGACCTCAGGTAGCCGAGCTGTTATCACCACTCTTTCCGGCTGCGTTTCCCTTATTAATTGTATATGGAAAGATCCGATATTTCTTTTACCTTGCGGTTATTGTCATTGTTCTTGACCCATTGCTATCGTTTTTAGCTAAAGAGCCTCGTTTCTGCAAAGTCGCCATAACCGAAATCAAAAGATAAGTCTGAAGTAAAAGTTTTCACTCGGAAGGAGCTATTTTCCACTGAAGTGTTTTATATTCAGAAGGATTTAGGCCAGTCTTTGTAAAATTTGTGATGTCCTGAGCGGTAACCGCCCTGATTAAATTTCTCGTCTTTCCAACTTTTTACGGGCTATTAATCTCTTTTACTAAATGGCTAAAATTATTCGTAAATCGACTTTCTGCCTGAGTAATGCTCTGCCCGTTTCCTAGTCATCACACTGCTCCAATAACTATTCAAAAGCGGGTGCTCGGGCTCATCATGGCTTTCCAACAGATCGAATCGTTCGATCTCAAACAGCAATCGTTTTTCCAAGAAATCGAGAGTCTCCAAGTCAATAATCAGCTTGTCATACTTCAGTAGACTCTTTACATTAAGTCCTAGGCAGGTATTTATTTAAATGATAAAGACTCTCTATAACAGGTTGTACCTTCCACTGGAAAGAGGTTATAATATTTCTTTGAGCGAATCCAGTTCTCGAGAGGAATTGGATAATCATTATCCTTATTTAGCACCAAGTAGCTCAATTCAGGCTCCTAAAAGTTAAAAATGTAAACTAAAAGCGTGCTTTGAAAAAGTAGACACTGTACCTTTTTAGTATTTAATTTCTTTGAAATCGCTTCAATATTGTTTGTCAGACTACTAACGACAAGCAGATCCCCCTGAATAAATTTGAGAGTCAAGCAGGAAACGAGAGCTTTGATTCTGGTCGCCCGATCGATCATATGAAAGTTAGAGATGTATGGACGTCGAGGCTCATCTGTAAACGCTCCCCCTAAACATTCAACTAGTGTTAATTTGGAGCTGAGTGATAACCTCTAAAATAGGGGCCAGTTTTATCACGAACGCGTTCGTATCCATGGCCAGAGCCACCCCATGGCTTTGCCCAGCGTTTATGTCCAGTCTCCATTCGACTCTGCTCAAAGCTCATGTCAACCGTCTTATAAGTGTTCTGCCACTCCAGTGCCTCGTGAATAGCCTGCTGGTCCACCACTGCTGCCCAAATCTTTGGATGGAGCTGCGCTATCCCTTCTTGCTGAACCTCTCTGCTGATTTTGGTTTTTTGGGTTGTTTGTTGGGTTGTTTCTGGCAGTGGGGTATTTTGACCTGCATCGGTCTCGTCAATTTCCAGCGTTTCAAAAAGGTCTTCCACTGGACTCTTTGTTTCCAGAACAGTCACTCCATAAACAGAGACGGTTTCAGGAACATAAGCTGACTGAGATGAAAGACGGAGAAGCTCGTCCGATCGCTTAAGTTCAAGATCAACTTCTTTCTTTCCAGGACGCACTCCAGAGGCACTAGACCAGACAATCTTGGTACTAGCGAGTCGAGCCCGTATTCGTTTCGCCGATTTCAACATCTGAAAAATTCGATGTCAAACTTAAGTTTGAACAAACGTTCTTTCTTACATGTTGGAAGTAACAGCAGATTTACAATACAGGCAGACACAGAAATTGCAGGAGGATTTATAATTACAAAAGTCTAATTTTTGATTTTCAATTTCTCGGAATTGCGTGAGGATAATCGATCATGTTCGTCTTCGGGCTTTTCGTTCTCAATTCTGTTTGACACCCTTTTTCGGAGCGCGTTTGGGTTGTTCTCCACCGAAAAAGCTTGACATTAGCTCGGACATGTCTGGCACGTTTCCGCCTTTATTCATCGTCTTCATTTGCTCCTCCATTTCTTTCTTCAGTTCGGGATCCTTTTAATCGCAATTAAGTTATTTAAAAAGCAATAAAACGAACCTGCATGTCCATGAGTTTTGGCAACAGGAAAAGAACAACCATGGGCAAAATCATTATGAGAACCATAGGCGATTTGAGAGTGTCAAGAACATTGAATTGCTCTCGCTAGAAAGAAGATAAATTGTGAAATGACAGCGTAGAGTTCACCTTTTGGAACCACTGAGTCTGCTCAATTGGCTGTAAGTCCATAATGTTGATTGGATCGACTTCCTTGAGAGTGAGAATATTCAGTCTTCGGTAACGGATTTTCCCTTCATTAAATGTTTGAAGAAGCTCAACTAGGTACACTGACCTTGTGCGTTGATGTCAACTCTGACCGAGTGGTAAGTTAACTTTGGAGATGCGACTTTGAGAATATAACTTCCAGGCTTCACATTGTGAACGGCAAATTGCCCGTTACTTTGGACAAAGCCCTTGAAAGAATTGTCAAAATTGCTTTAGGGGGTTAAGCCAACCTTGTATCCATTATCTAGTTGTATTTCGACACCCGAGTAGGCTTCGGCATCCATGTGAGCATATTTGCTCGAGAGCTGCCCTTCGATAGTAACAGTCACTGCCGAATGAGCAAACGCGAAAAGGGAAAGGAGCAGCTTTCCGAGCATCAACTCTAAAATGCATTGAATGGCAACAGCTTTTCAGTGAGAACTTTGTCTGTCATTGACACAAGTGGTGAACTGGAGAGCGAGTTGGGACTTGGAAAAGAAAGGAAACAGAAGAAAAGCCACTTTCGCAATCAAAAGTATCAATAAATCGGGAAATGTCCGTATTACGCTCTTTTTCGTGAAGGGTTTGCGAGGTACGTTCGTTAAATTATAGTAATAAAAGTATTTTTAGAAAGAGGGGAATCAAGATAAGTGAATAGGTTCTAAGTGATTAAATGGGTGCTTGCAGAATGGACAGAGCCCGTTGCGCGAAAGCCAGTCTTTGGCACACACAGTGCAAATCATGTGCGTGCAAGCCAATTTGCAGCGTTTTCTGTCACCGATAGGTTCGTAGTCTAGTTCGCAGATCCTGCAAGAGGTCACACCAGCAGTCTCTAGCTTTTCTGAATCGTGTGTTTATAGAGAAGTAAGGCGTATAGAATATGTACCGATTTGATCTTTAAAACGATCGTTTTGGCGTAGCTCTTTCCGCAGCTTTGAAACATCTTTTTTGAGAAGGTTGTTTTCTTGAAGCAGGGCCGAGTAATTTGTCACCGATCCATTCTAGCGGTGATCTGTTAGAACTGACAAAAATAATAATGCATTTACCTGCTCGAAATCATTAGAGCGTTCAGCTTCGAGCTTCAGGTCGCGCAACTCAGTCGCCATTTGATTGATGCGAAACTTATTCGGCCGCTAATTGTAGCTTTAGTTCATGCACTCACTCTCAAAGGCACTTTACCGTTTTCAGGGCTGCTTCCAGCGCCAGATTCTCTTTGTATAGGTCCCTGAGCGCTTCTTTAAACTCATTAACGCGGTCAGCTTTTTTCCGGTATTTCATTTCATACTCATTGCGCTGATCCAAGTTTCTCCGTGTCTCTTGTTTATTCCGATCAATCTTAAACTTAAAAACAATGATTAGATGATGGTATCGTCTTTGGATGAACCTGGTGAAGCTGGTTCTGAAGATCATGGCACATCTTTTCAAAATCGGCTGAACGGCTTTTCTCGACATCATAACTTTGCTCGAGAGATTCATATTTTTCCCATAAATGTTCATTTTCTGCCCTGTGATTTTCAGCAGTCTTTTTGTAGCTCTCCAAATTGGAGATTTCTTTCGTCTGGCGTTGACACTTTAATCGCGCGTCCGCTAGCTCTTTCTCCGCTTTGTGCAGCTTCTCTTCCTTCTTCCGTGACTTGGAAAGAGCATCTTCTAACTCACTTATGCGGCGGTCCTTCTGTTCGATCTGTTTTGAAAGGGTATGGTCGGCCGTCGTTTGAATCTGCTTCTCCTTCGTCGTCACGCAGGTTTGGACGCTGCGTTCTTTCCGCGAAGTAGGGACTAAACGATATAGATTAAGATTCTTTCTGGAAACGGCTGCGTACTACTTGCGTCCGAGTCGCGTCTCTGCGTAGACTGCGCATAAGCCTCTAGGTCGTCCGCAGACTCGTTTCGCTTGCTGGCCCGGAGCTGATTGATGATCTGCTCCATGTTCTTAACATCTTGGGCCATGGTGTCCGATTTTAGGGTTATCCGATCTGTGCCGTTCATTTCCGTTTCCTTCTTCGGCACCTCTGAATTCGCCTTTTTGATCTTGCTCTTCGCTTTTGAACTTTTCGAGCTTTTCGACTCTTTCTTTTGCACACAATTGGAATGGTCATATTTGGACAGATTTTGTTTCAGAAAGTCTAGAATATCAGGAAATTGGTGGTTCTCTTCGTTGCTTATTGCTTTTGGCAGTTTTGTGATATTCCGCACATCATCGTAAGAGATTTCCATTTGCTCTCTCAACAAATCGGGGCGATTCATATGAATTTCAAGGTTGGACAGGATCAGCTTTACAGCTTCAAGTGAGCCGCCTTCAAAACTTGATGAAATTTCAATTTTGTCAAAAGCTACCTTTGGCAGCGTCGTTAAGAAGGTTGTAGGAACCATTTTTATAACAAATATGCTTCTGATAATTATTGAACATGTATCGAAGAAGCTCCGGATTGGCATACTTTGCACCTTGCTTCACGATACTCATGATACAACATTTTTTCGAGTCTGGTTCTTTGATCTTTCGAAGGATGCTTCAAATAAGATTGAGATGAATCTGTTTTCCGAAGGAAACCCTCTCCTGACTCAGAGTATAACGAACGATAAGCTCCAAGATAAGCTTGCTCCTGATATTGGCACAAAGAAGCAAAACCATGGGAGTGTCCGTCTTCCTGTAAACACCTTCAAGCGGATATTAACCTGTCGAAAGATGAAGTTTTACCATCTCTTGCCACCCAAACTCGCTCTTCGTATAATTTAAGTTTGCGCTGGAAAAGAATGTGAAGAATCTGCTGAATGTATTTTTCGTTAAATTCCCGGTCGAACACGCGGTCATCTCGCTTCGCTTTCAAGTTGAATCCTTGGACAAAGTGAGGACTGAAAAATGAAAGCTGCTGGATGAATGGTGGGAAGCGCTGGTGTCCTCGGAGTAGGGCGCCTTTTCGTGGATTTATCGAGTTAATTTTTTCTCGATAGATGTGATCAAAATGGATAGTTCCTTTCCTTGATGAAGAAAACAATTCACCAGCTCTGGTAAATCCCAGGGCATGACTTCGTGCATCAACAGCGTTCTTTGTTAGAGAGCGATTATGACGGCGAACCGCTGTGAATGGTTACCTTTTGACGATCTCGATTTTGCGACGAGGACACAGCAACTCGAAGCTTTCGTTTATGTGAACCAGTGGGAAGTCACTTTCCTAGAGTTTAAAAAGCGGCTGAGATCGCTCGAGAATGGACTTGAGAAAACTCTGACTGACAAACTCGACGATGCTCTGCCTGTCCCAGCGGAGGGGACACACATCGTAACCTTCGAATACGTGCGCGCAGAATTCTTCCTGCAAGTGCGAATATCTTATCGACGATTCATCGACTTGCTTTTTGATAGCGTCCGAGCAAAAAGGATACCAGTAACCGTTCACGAGAATTTCCGCCCTTTCTTCGAGCATTGTTCGGGCTTAAAAAGACTCGTTAAGGAGGAGTAACTTGTTTTTTTGTATTTATTCATGGTCGAAAAGGAAAACGCGGAATGCTGTTCCACGCAGACACACGGAAACTGTCTCATAGAATCAAGAGGTTGATAATGTTATGAACTGTATGTACACTGGAGATGCTCTCTGGCGGAATCACGAATTTTCAGGCACACGGAGCGAAGAGTACGTTGCGAATGGAAGAATCAGTTGTGGCGGAGCGTATTGAGCACTTGATTGGTTTGGTGAAGAAGTCGGTTTGCCTCACGGAACACCCCTCGCTTTCTCTCGTCGCACCGATCTTGGAAGTATTCCTTAAAGGCATCTTCTACCGACGCTAGGCGCACAAAGCGATCTACCTTGAGCGCTTCGGAAAACCTCTTCGAGAAGCGAACGAATTCTCGTTTCTGCAAGTCGAGCCTGTCAGTGCTCGCACGGCTTTTCTGGCGATTGATGTCAATCTTATTGTTCAGTGCGTCGAGAAGCATTCGAATGTTTGAAGCAATGTCTTTGATCGTCTGCAAATTAAATTTAAAAAAGTCGTTTCAACTAGCAAATTCCTCACTTGAAGAAATATGGGTCGGTCTGGAATGACTCGTGGTATCGAGGAAAGAATCTTTTTCAGGTTGTCCGCTCGAGACTGTATCAACGGAGCTAGCTCGCTGAGGAAACGATGACTGATTTGCTCGAGATAAGAGGCTTTGGTTTACCTGTCATTTGAAAGCTGAAACTCGCGCAAGTGTTGACTCGAAGTAGCTAGAATAGTTGCCTCGTAAGGATACGGTGTTCCGTCCGTCTGTTTGTGGAAGGAACGCATGAAGTCTTCTGAGAAACCTAGTCACTCGATAAAAAATAATCAACAATTTTCTCATGTTACCTGGAGCATGTTTCTCTGCTTTCAAAAAGGTTTGGATGAGGGCCTTCTCTGCCTGCTGATCTTTTCCACAAATCCCACGAATCTTCGGAAGAATCCCGTACAGAAGAGCCGCCGATGTTTCGTTTGTCATTTTTCCTCTCTAAACAAGATCTTCTTTAAATTTCTCGTTAAATCAATCTGCCTCGAATCGATCGGATCAACTTTAAAAATTTTCAATAATGTAAAAAAAGAAATCTATTTTTCTCTATCTTCACAAATTCTTTCGATTCGGGTGGCGAATCTTAATAGAAAATGAGCTTCGCCAGTCTTCTTAGGAATTGTCTCCGAAATTGTATGCAAATCGTAGGAACGCGGAAAGTAATTGCGCGATGAGTCACCGCGAAGAGCGCCCGCGCCGCTGATTTTTTTCATTCAAATAACTTCAAGTTGAAGTCTTCAACAGTAACTTGATAATTCACAACGGCTCTATTTGGACCATGAGTGAGTTTACTAAATCCCACCTGTTACTGCTTATTCTTGGGAATGATCACGAGAACCGTTTTTTTTCTGTTCTCCCTTAGTGATGAAAATTGATTTAATCATGAGCCAAGATTTTTGCATTCAAAGACGATCGATGTTGTTTTTGTAATGTTTATTAAATTCCAATAATAAAATTGGTTAAACAGTAGTTCCAATAAATTTAATCGATTAAAGGAGTTTTTCAGTTATTTCTAGAACAGAGAATCTAACGATACAATAATATCAACGGTCGAGGAGGTCGGCATACAAAAAGTTTCAGTAATTTCCAGTAGTAAGGATTTTTCAGTGAAATTAAATGAGATAAAAAAAGAGAATTGTATCTACGAGGCGCGAGGAAAGATTCACAAAGAGTTCCTAAAAGGCTAAAAAGAATACTTGACGAAGGAGAGAAGAAATGTGCTTAGTGCCTAACAGGTTTAACAAGCATAAACTGAACTAATCAAGAGCAGGCTAATTGAGAGTTCGCTCGAAGCGAGAACTTCTTCCATTTGAAGCTGACTATCTGCTCCTTGTTACTCTTCGGACTTTTTCTGCTGACGCTTGATGAAGAATTTCTGGGTTCCTAAAATCAAAGTTAGTTATCAATCCCTATCGTGAAATGTTTTCTGACTTACCTCCGTATTTGAAGAGTTTAGTGGCAGTCTTCTTGAGATTTCCGAAAGCTACCTCAGGTTCAGAGGGGAAGAATGCGGAGTAGTCCTTCTTGACTTCATCGAGGAAGAGCTTGGTCATCCACTGCTTGTCTCGTCCGTTGAGAGAGTTTGGCCGCTTCGCCATCTCCTCGATTTTCTCCTCGGTGACTGCTCCTCGCTTGATGAGCTTTTTCTCGGCGTCGGCAAGAGAAAGAGACATTCTTGGACGATTGTCCACTGTCTCAGGCTTCTTGTCGAAAATCACGATCCCGGGCGCGCCTAGAAATTTTATTAATCAGAACATCTTTATCAATAATAGATTATGAAGACCGAGCCTCTTTATCGTAGGATAAATTATGATTTAAAATTTACCTGGGACTCGCGAGAAGAGTCGTGCTGCCTTGGACTTGAGGCTAGATGGATTGGGTTCGTCAGAGAAGAATGCAGAGTAGTTTCGCTTGACTTCATCTACGAAGACGGTCGCTATCGCATTAGCTCCAGCCCTATCGAGTTGCTCTCTGGTCATTCGTCCTACTTTGATGAGCCCTTCTTCGGCTTCGGTCTTGGAGAGTTTCATCGTTGGAAGGTAAAAAAAGGAAGTTTTTCTTGAAGAATCAAGTTTGCGACTGACTGAATTGAGCGGGTCACTCGGCTTCTTATACCTTCTCGAATCTAGGGAAATTTTATCAAGCGCGCCAACCAGGGAGCAGCATGCGAATGGTTTGATCCAGAGGCGGCCGATTGATCCAGAGTCAGCGAGCGCGCCATTTTTAGATTCATCTTTGCGCGTCGATAACAGCGCCATCAAAAGCGCTCTCGAAAAGATTATCGCGTAAAAATCCAAACGGTGGAGTTTTCAACCTTCGAAGTTCGTTTCGCGAGCATACCCGTGTGAGATTATAAGCCATTCTGACTCGAGCATTCTGGTGCTTTGGAATGTCATAGATAGATCCTAACTCCTGCGAAAAGATCTTGCCAGTGAAGACGATATATATTTTTTTTGTATATTTTGTTTGGTTTCCGATGGGAAAGTTATTGCAAGAGAAAAGACATTAGAATATAGTTTTTTTCAATTTTATTCCGATGTTAATGTACAAATGATCGCAATTGGTTGGTTTGGGGAGAAATTTGCACGGGGAGGTGAGGCAGGATTCGAAAACGGGGAGTGGGGAAATTTATTTTTTGATTCCATTGAGGTTGAATTGCGCGACAGCTTTGACAAGGTCCAAGTCTTTCTTCATGATGGTGACGCGCTTGGAGTGAAGGGCGTACAGATTGGCGACTTCAAAGGTTGTAATAATGAAGGCCTCTGTCGCTTCTGAAATTGTAAGTTGAGAGATTAATACAGAAGATGGTGCTAAATTACCTTGGAGGCAGAGGAGTGCCTGCGACTGCCATCGATAGTCGTTTCCAGGGCGAAGATCGTTGACAACCTAAAGGAAAATTATTACTGTCTCGACTAGATTCTAGATTTACCTCTCGGACCACTCGTTGGAAGGGCATCTTTCTCATGAGCAGGTTCGTTGATTTCTGGAGTTCCATAATCTCTTTGTTGACTTTGGATCCTGGCTTTGCTGGCCTCTTCTTTGGTGGGGACTTCTGTCTCGCCATTTTTTAAAAAGTATTTTCTTCTGAGCGTGTCAAGTTTGCGACTGACCAACCTGGCTGGGTCGCTCAGGTTCTTATACCTCCCAAATCTAGAGAATTGTATACCTCCCAAATCTAGAGAATCTTCTTCTTAGCGCGCCAACCAGGGAGCAGCGTGCAAATGGTTTGATCCAGGGCAGGCCGATTTCTAGATTTTCCGCGAGCGCACCATTTCTAGATTCATTTTTGCGCGCCGATAACAGCGCTATCAAAAGCGCTCTCGAAAAGATTATCGCGTATAAATCCGAACGGTGGAGTTTTCAACCTTCGGAGTTCGTTTTTTCGATGGTTACTAATCATTGGTTAGGCTATTACCGGCAATTTTCGAATGAAGTCTCGCTACGTTTGCTCAATCGAAGCAATCATGGAGGAGAACAAACTTTGCCATAAAGAATCACCAAAAGCTTAAGCTAAAGTCCATGTATTTTATAAAAGTTTTAAAGCTTTGAAGCTCCATTGAGGTAAATTTTTCTCATGCGAAAAAGCGGCTTTCGTTAAATACCAAGTGAGGCAGGTGTTGCGTATTTAGAACACGCGTGTTTGTAGATTTTCTTTATCAGCATGTTGCTTTCTGGAGAAAGTCTTCGCCGAAGCTGGAATTCGAAGATGCATCTTCTTGTAGACTGGATACGCGATAAGGGTAGAGAAGTCGCAATCGATAATTGTCCGAGTTCCGATTTTCTCACAGCGAAGAACTGCTGCCCCGATAAGCGATGATATCCGCATTCACTCTTTCGATACTTGATCCTAAACTGACAGGAGCGAGTTCAAATAACCTTTCCGTTGATCACAAATGCGTTTCGCAAGCATACCCGTGTTACTTGCAATTCAAGAGTTCGATCGTGGATCTTTATTGTTTCGTTTCCCGAGTAGTACGCCGAGCAATAAAAAAATTGGGCTTACTTATTCATCACGTGAATAAATTAAATGTACGGCAGTGCACGAGTTAAATATTTAAATTTGACACTAAATGACCTTCTTCCAACGCTTTAAAGGTAAAAAGTATTTCGAATTATTTCGAATATAAAAATCATTCTTTAGACTCGTTACTTTTTTTTAAATAATCGATCAGTTAATCAAAATTCCTAAAAGAAGGGATTCTTCATGAGTGATATTTTTAGCTTTTCTGTTCCTTGTCATTTTGGCAGTCACTCTCGGAAGGTGCAAATTGTCTGAGCGGGGTCTCATCTGGCACACAGCTCTAACCCTATTAGCCCCTCAGATGTCCCCCTGACGGCACCTTTCCGGAAAGCAAATATTTTCAACCTCATTTTCTAGCGTTACATAAGATAGTTTTTCATCATCGATATTTTAGCAACAAATGTTAGACGAAGTTCAACGTCTGCACTGACAATTCAATGAAGCTTTAGTTAGCATATTAAAAATTCAACCCCGATAAAAATTAAAATGAACTTATTCATTGTTTTATCCAAATGTTTTTAGGTAAAAAGATTATTCCCTGTCCACGTCTTTAATTCTTAATAAGCCTTTGCGAAAATAATGTAAATAGGTTACAAACAGACAAACAATTGAATTGTTCGAAAGAAAAATCAAGAATTTCCGTTTTTACAAGAGATAGAGTGGCGCAGTGAAAAGGCGCGCCACCGAGTGGAGCGGTAGCGCAAGAAAAAAAACGCGCAACCGTCTGGTGCGCGCTCATCGCTGACAAGAATTCAACTCAGAACTTAACCCTCCTATATTTTCCTTTATTGCTGACGATTGTTAGATAAGAGATTCACTGCTTTACGCCCTCAAGAAGTAAACTTTGATTGTTTGGGAATTAGAATCCACTGTTTTGTCATAACAGGTATTGAACACTTCCATTAAAAGAACAGTTACAGTTGTTGTTCCCGAATCAAATGGACATAAAAGTTCGACCCTAGAAAATAGCTTTTTGAAAAACAAAAAAACGCGATCGATTTCATTAGAAATGTTGGATGCATGAAAAATAAAAGAGCAGAAGAGATTATATGCAGCATATAATACGCGCATCTCGTATTTCTATGTTTGTCCTCGCATAGACTAAATACAATTCTTAATTAATTATTCTCGTTTAGCGGTCGTCGGATTGAGCAGTATACCTGCTCTGAGACCGATGATTTTTTCGATTAGTCGCGCATTTCGTTTTTACTTTATTTTCGAAGCGAGAGAACATACTCCTGGGGATTATTTTGAAACGCGGCCGGGGTCGCCAATATTTATATCCGAGCTAGGCCGTTTTCTAGAGACAACAGCAGAAAAACTCCAGTAAGTGAGTAGTCCTAAATCCAGTGTTTTTGCGTGAATAATTAATGAATTTGAATGAAATTAATTCTGGCCAAGTTCGGATGTTAGCAAATGCATGTTAAAGTTATAGTACTCTACTTCTTCGCCAATCGCTTATTAATGCCCGGCCCTTAATTAAAGATTGAGTTTGGCTTGTGTATTAATCCTAAAGAGAGGCTTCAGAACGACATGGTGCGAAGCAGATTACAAATTTTAATCTGGCGGGAATTCGCTAAAAAATTTACGCATCTCGATGCGATGGGCATCTTCTCACGTGCCGGCCAAAATACTAGAAATGCACTGAAAGAAGGAAGAGGCTGCTACTAGTTCAACGCCAAGCATAATTGCACGAAGCGATGTTGCTAATCTCGTAAATGTCGACGGGCCCACAATCTAATATTCTGACCCATCAAGCTTTTCTCAAAAGCTCATTAAAATTGAACATTACTAATCTACTTTTGGGAATCCCAATTACAATTATCGTCTTCTGCAACAATTAGACACAGCTCAATCAACGTGGCTTTAAACGTCAGAAATACGGGAGTTGAACTGCTCTAGAACACGCAGCTCAGGCGAGAAACACCTTTAGCGGTTCTGTTTTGGAAGACTGGAATAGTAAATGAGAGCGGATCGTAGAAGTCGGTCCTCTGTAGCGGGAAAGAGGAGGAATACAGAGCTGGGAATCGCTTCCTTCGGGAATCGATGTCGGCGGCGGGAAATGTGTCGCTGATGCGAAATTACGAGCGCGGCGCATGTCTCGGCGAGCAATCGCTCCGATTGCATTTAGCGCGCATGTGTACCTCCCATCGAAGCTAGCTATACCATTATTGTATATTACACACGAGAGAGAATTCTTAATTTGCATTTTATGTTGCTTGCTGGCGCGTCATTACGGACGAGGAGAAAACGAACGTTCCAAGCGGCGCCGTGATCCTAGTCTGATAATTTTGGAGGGGCAAGTGCTAGCGTCCCGCAGTCCCCAAGGTGCACCGATTGAAAATTCGCTGCATTATTCACTCCTATATTAGTTAGTTATCCAGTTTTGTCTTCTAAGAGTTCGACTGAATAACAAGGAGAAAGAGAGAAGCCGCTGGGAGCGTCTCCCCAGTTCAGAGTCGGAAGGGAGCTTCGAATTTCAAGAGAGAAAGCTTTCTTCTCTCACATTCCCCCTACTTCCGTTCACCATCGCTCAAGCACATCTCGTCTCATCTAAGAGTATGTAATATAAAGCAACGTTCGAGATGCAAAGCCCGTTTTAGAATTTATGAAAACTTGATTTTTGGTTATTTTTGTGAAGCCCATTTCCTAGGTCATCAAACATCAAACAATGAATAATCGAAATATAACGACACGTTGTTTTGTAAAGCTGATTTTTGCAAAGTCGCGATTGAAAATTTAAGATGCACTGTTTAATACATGTGTCCGATAAAGGTACTTGCTCCTATTCAAAATTAATGCTACAATTTAGATTGAGAGCTTGTCCTTTCCTCACTTGAACAATGAGCTTATATAAGTGACTTGCTGTATAAAGTTGACCACCATTTCCGATGAACACGCAGACTTCAAAAGCTGCATTAACACACGCGCACTTTGACGCAATTTTCTAATTACAATTTTCTCTTTGAAATTACTTTTACACGTCGCACAGTTTCGAGCCATAATCACAGCTTGAATAGAAATGCATATATGTAGCGTAGACTCTACGCCGTAGAGTAGATCCCCTTTCAGCGCTTTATTCTATTACCATCTTTTCAGCGGGTATTTTGGGAGGAAGGAGTTGTCTGTTTTGATTCGATGGCGGAACTCTGAATTCTAACTCTATCGTAATCGGCGCCGTGATGACCCTTGGCGCTTTATCGTGCCAGTTTTGACAACTAGAGCTCCTTCCGATAACTGACGGAAGAGCGGTTGCGGGTTAAGGGTGTGAACTTAGCAAATTCGAGCATTTATCGCTAGTTGCTTATCGCGCTTGTTCAAGACGACTGCACCTGGTCATCAGAAGCGTGTGCATCTCATCCCGCCTTTGCGCACAGACCGGTCCAATTTTAACCTTCTAATCGCCATCGCCCTTATGCCACAGATTCACTTTCTCTTGGATAAGCTTTCGCTTCCTACAAATAGCCATGTCTCGGTAGAAAAAAACAGAGTAGTCTTCGAGAGCGAGTAATAGATGTAAATTAAATGACAATAATCTAAGAGACTTCTTGGCTTAACGTTTTAGCCAATGAAGCAATTGGACTTGTCGAAAGTGACGTGCCAGACCAACAAAATGGCAACAAAATTTTAATTCCAAACAAGCCGCCAATTCACCAATTCGCTCTTTCTTTTCTTCTTCTAATAGTGGTCAACACACCGGAGATCGTTGTTCAAGCGCACTTTAGACACTTTGAGCATTCGAATTTCACTTTTCAGAATTTAATTCGCAAAAATAAGAAAATAAGAAAAAAAAAGTTTTTTCGCCTGAAAAACTGCCGTTTTAAGAGTTTGTTAAGGATGAGAAGTCGCCACCAGTGAATGCGGAAGAATAGTGAAAAAGTCTAAAAAGGCAGCATGGTAAGAGCGCGTGCAATTCAAGTTTCAACAGTTTCAGAAAACGATTCATGTGCTGGGTCTCTTCGCCCTCGCCAAGTCAGAGTACTTTTATTCGCCGGCTTCAGAAACGATCAACCTTCTCGAAAACGAAGGTACGTTACTTCACGTTGCTTTTTGCGCGCATGGTATTTGAGGTAAAAGAGCAGAAAAATAAACGAACGCTCATCAAAGACGGAATCAATCAAAGCTTCGTTTATTTTCCGCTTGCATGAACTTAATCCTTCTTAATTATTTTTAACTTGCGTAGCTCACGTGTTTGTCCCTCTGTTATTTTACATTTTCCGGCATCTAGCAAAAACTCAAACAACTCTATCCGGCGGAATCGCTTCGGATATACAACTCATATGTGTTTATGTCCATATTGGCTCGATATAGAATCATTTATTCAGACTTCGTTTTCGACCTTGGCAAGAAGATCGACATACGCGACTTAGACCTGAGCAAGGAAATTTTGTTGTTCTCGGCGCAGGATCTTTTTTCTTTGGAGCCCAACTACAGAGGTACGTGGCTATTAATGAAATGCCTAAGCAGAGCACTTTTGAATCTTTTAGATTCCGAAAAGAACAGAATCTATCCAGCAATAACTCTGAACAAGTCTCGCTATGAAAATCCTCTGGACAGAGAGAGGATCTGTCTGAATTTGCCTGGAGTAGATTGCTATGTTTCCGCTCAGGTAAGCGCAGCTCTAAAAAGACATCATTTTACTTCTCTGCATATTTAGGTGCTAATTCCCCGAATTTCAACGAAACCGCTTCTTTTCACCCTCGTGGTCAAAGTACTCGATGCGAACGATTCCCTGCCTGAGTTTATGCTGAATCTGAGCAGTTTGGAGCTTACATTCTGCAGAGAAAGCTTGCTCCGACAAGATGGAATTAATGCTGATTTTCTCCGTGCAACTGATTCCGATCAAGGTTATTTTGTTTGTTTCCAAATTTTAATACTATTTCATTCTGTCAGAAAGAGAAAGATTTTCTGAATACATTTTTAGGAGGGTTATTTTATCAGTTCGTCGAAGACTCAGTGCCTTATTTGAAGCTTGAAAACTCCAAGGAAGGTTGAAACTGATCAACTGCACGTTACTGTCGATAATGAGGTGTAGAAATTTGACCAGCTTCGAACCTTAAAAAGAATCTTCGATTGAGTCTGGATCCAAGTGCAAGTTACCGCACAGGCTTACAAACACTTTTCGTCGAGGTCAACGACAGCACGAGATCTACAAGAGCGCCGATACAGCTGGCTATTGAGAATAGCTGCACGGAAACCTTCACGTTCACGAAAAATGAGGAACCTTACCGCACAGTCGTAGAAGAAAACGTCGCTGACTTCTTTCTGGACATAGTGATTGAGCACGATGCAAATCCAGAAGATGTCGAAGTTGTCTTTCTTGACAAGAACATTTCTGATCTGCTCGATATCAAAGCGCACAATCAAATCTATTTGAAAAAGCCGCTTGATTTCGAAACAAGCAAAAAAATTCAGGTAAAAATTGAAAATCAATCTAATTTTTCATCAAACTGATCATAAAAGACAACGATTGCGCTGCAACTTCGTGGAACTTCAATAATCCTGGACTTGGCGCAGCTCGTTTTGGAAGTGAAAGACATCAACGACAATGCGCCGCTGATTGAGTCGTTCGTCCTGGCTCCAGCAGTACGGGACGCGGAGAAGAATGAAATCCTACTCGAAGAGAACAATTCAAGTTACGGTTTTGAAATGCTCACCGCGCATTTCGCATTTTTTAAAGTCTGCATTAATTAAGTCAGAATGCTGGAATCCGGACCTTTCCTGGACTTAATAATTCTTTCGCCAGCGAGAGAGAGCCAAGTTGCCATAAATTAATGATCACATTGTTTCCCTTGTTCCAGTGACCTTTAGTCAATTTCGACCGCTGCCGATTCTTGTTGAACGTCGTTTATTATAATTCAGATTCAATCATTCATACTTTGCCTCAGCACTTTGCTCATGAATCATAAACTACCACATTTTTAATCGAATATCTCTACTTGTGGAAAGCGAAAAGGAGCCTATTTATAGCCCTGTTTGGGACATCTAGTCGATTCGGCAGGTATTTTTTCGCTAAAGAATAGAATGAAGAACTATTTCCGAAATTTTTTTCAAAAATAATTTCTCACGAATGTCTTTTGTTCGCGACTTTACGAATATTTGAACGTGATTACTTCATGTAGCGGAATTCCCTTTCTCCCGTTTGATAAAATTCATGTTCCGAACGGAGGTCAGATTCTGAATGTCGGGTCAAGCGCGCCTAGAATAAATTGCGATAAACCGTCTTCAGGGGACTGCCAGTAATCTTCATAAAGAGCTCTGACGAAGATACTTCCTCGGCTGGCGAAATCAACATCACCATTACAGGAGACACAGGAGAGGCTCAATAAATTTCTCACGTTAAATTTGATAATATCGTTATCTCGAGAGGTTAACTAAATTTTCGTTCAATTCGCGTGCGGGATTTTTCTTGAGCTTGATAAGACGTGTTTTTATTTGAGCAGGGGTTCATCTGGCTAAAAGCAATGATCGACCGCGAAGCTCAAAACTTTTTCAAAATTCACGTTCGCGCGTGCGACGAGGGCAAGCCCAAAAAGTGCTCAGAAGAGGTCTTCCAATTCACTGTCTTGGACAAAAATGACAACGAACCATTTTTCACAAACTGCCCGGAAAAGGTCTTCGAAGTTGAAGAAAATGACGGCTCAAGAAAGTTTCTCACTACTGTTCGCGCCACAGATCTCGATCGACTGACTGGCTATATTAGCCCATTTGGAGTAGTTGAGGTGAAAAAAAGTGTTATTATAAGACGTGTCTGTTATCCTTATCTTACTCCATATTCTATCTTTGCCTGGACATTCATTAAATACTTATTTGCAGTACAAGAGCGACAGACCCGATATTTTGGATGTGAATAACGTTACCGGCCAGGTCTTTCTCAATGCCGCACTCGACCGCGAGGTAACCAGTTTTTACTCTTTACCGATTTTGGCGGTGGACGGTGGTGGTCGCGCTGCAAGATGCAACCTGCGTCTCCGAGTCAACGATCAGAATGACAATTCACCTAACCTGGATAATCTGGGGGACCAAATTTCGATCCTCGAAGAGACCCAACCCGGTCAAGTCATCATCGAAAACATAGGACTGGCTTTTGATTATCTAAAATTTAATTATTCATTATTGATTTCGGTTAAAAATTTAAGTAAATAGAAACTAATCTAGCCAGGATCAGGCGGATATGATCCCGACGCTGGAAACTTCGGAAAAATCTCCTACTCTCTTGAAGATTCCTTTGATGGCCTGTTCCAAATAGTAGATTCTTCAATTACTGTGCAGAAGAATATCGCAAACATCACGACAGGGTCAGCTAAATATTTCAATCTGGAAGTAATAGCGACGGACGGCGGTGGGCTGGAGACGAGAAAGAGTATCAGGATAAGGATAACAACAAGCCATGTTTGCGCTGCGAACAAGAGATAAACTTGGGAACAAGAGCCTACTTGTTGATTTCCTTTCCCTCCGCCAAAAACCTGTTTTGTTATCCTGAGAAGAATAAATGTCTCTGCCGCCAAGAAATTCACGTCTGTGGCGGTTATTTCTCTCATTGCCGGAATAATTGCTGGAGCCGTCATCGTCCTGCTCATGTTTTTGTCAATCATCTTTATTCTCCGTCGCCGGGGCTCGACAGAAAATAAGCTACACAAGGGACGTTGTTCTACGGTTTACAATAAGCCAAAGGCGCTTAGTTGATTGAGCATTTTGAACAATTGAATAAGGGACGTAATTCCGAGTGGGCTTCGGTAGAAGTACCTATCGTGAACCGGCGTGGCGACTCGCACTTGTTAGTTCAAACAGAAGCGCCGACACCGTCGTCGCAGTTCCATAAAAGCGCCACTCCCAATTTCAGCGCGCTCCAGCACGGGCTCTCGGCATTTCGGTAAATTCTCAAAAGAAACAAAACAAAGCTTTATCTCCCCCTCCATTTCAGAGTTGGTAATATTTCTAGTGACTCTGATCACGTGACAGATAGTGGCAAAGGCGAGTCGGAGCAAGAGTCCGCTTCTTACACGGACGCTCGCTTCTCGCCCCACAATCTTGCTTCGCACAACGGCCACACTCTCAAATCAGTGCTCAGTAAAGCGCAGTATGGTCCTAGATGTGTCCGAGAGTGTGGAATATACGGCCACTCAGGTACTCGACCGGTCATCGTTGAACCCAACTAACTGTATGCTTCAGATACTTGCTGGCTAAGTACTATTACTTCTCAGGGCTTGAGTCAGCATTTGCCTGATTTTATCTACATTTCACAGAGTCAGTTGACCCAAGGCCAGATGATCGAGAAGAACGGTTCATACAGAGACCTTTCCCGATTCGAAGTTGACCTGACACCAATTTACTCTCCTTCCGAGGCAGAGCCGGGAACAGAATGCAGACAAACGCCGCTTGGGACGGCTATTGATGCTCCCTACTCGCCTGAGAACATGCAAAAAGTTAACCGCAAAATGCAGCGCAAAACCCCTTCCATTGAACATTACTGCTAATTTATATTGCACTCCACCTCATTCGCATTAGACCCTGAAATAATAAATCATATCTTCCTTCCACATTATCACCATTTACACACGGACAATAAAAAAGTTATTATAAAGTTCAATCGAAGAATTTTCACCTTTTTTGGATCCGAATTGTGCGACTTCCAAAGAGATTATCTATAAAAGCCCTTTTGAAATGGCACGAAAGATTATTCACATAGCTCGATCCTTTGCAAGTGCAACTGAGTTGAAAGTTTCAACTTGAAACGGCTATCATCGCCGATCGCGATTATTCGAAGTCTTCGTCTTCGCCTATCCGCGAATGGATTTCATTGCGTTTCTTCTTTCGAAATCTTCAAAACGAGCACATTTATTCACATCTTGGAATTGAGAAAACCAAAGAGAAAATTTGAAAAAACAGATTTTAATCTATCATAAAAATCAATCTAAAGTTAGTCTGTTTATCGGGGAATAATCTTTGCTCTTGAACTAGGGAAAACTCGACGGGTGATCGCTCTAACGCCCTCTTTCGGATGATCATACAGGGCTATAAATTTTTCTTGAAATTCTTTGTGCTTCAAATCAATTTTTTGTAGCCATGCCCCGTAAGAAATCAACCACAACTGCAACTCGCCGTAAGAAATCAACCACAACTGCAATTCGCTGTGATGAAATTACGATGATTCCAGCGGATCTCAACAAAATCACCAAGAAACGTGAAGAGGTCAAAGAAAATAGAATACGACAATCCATTCTAGCTAAACTACAATGTGATCTTTTTGACAGTAAAAAAGAGGTAAGCAATACAAATTTGAATTTTCTTCTAAATGTTTTCTAGGTCGGAGTCTTGAGGGAAGAAAACAGAAAGCTTCAAGCGGAAATGGAAGCGAAGGATCGAGAACGGGAGAAATCTACCAACGAATTGAAGGAGGCTGAGCACCTCGGTGAGGAGAATCGACATCTTCGGATGGAGATTGAACAAAACAAGGGAGTTCTCTCCTCGGCCCAATCAGAGATTCAAAAACTGAAAGAATCCATCATCGACCTGCAGGAAGAAAATAAATTGAATAAAGACCAGATCAGAAACGAGCAAAAGAAGTCGTCGAAACTTCAGAGGGAAGTATTCCAATGGAAGGAGCGCTTCAATATTGCTGTCGACTCGAACCGACTTGGTAGTGATTTGGTTAGTACTTAATTTCCGAAAGCGCTCGAATTCTATTAAAATTTTTAGATTACAGGACAAAAAAATCGAATCTACCAATTGAAAAAAGAAGCTGAGAAGAACAAACGTCAGATGTATATATTGAGAAATTATGTTACTGAACTGAAACGTAAAAATGATATTTTTCACACTGCCAATAATCGCATTTACCAATAAAATTACAAAAGTGCCAAAAGTTTATTTGTTTGTTCTTATAAATTATAAGTTATAATAAAGAATTCAAATGGAGAGAAAAGTCACTTTACGATCTGACTCACCTAAATCCGTAAGTTTCCTTTCGAAACTACTTTTTATCTTCGCCAAGAATTTTCTGAGCTCTTTTGTTAGCACTATCGACTCTAAGCTCATTTTGTTCTGCCTTCGAATTGATTCTGTCAATTTGAGTATTTTGTGCCTCGATCGTATCGCCCATATCAAGAGCCATATTCTTTAATCCACTCAGCATCCCGGATACCTAAAAATGGGCTTAGGCCAATTTTTAGCTAGTCTAACCATATTCAGGTTCTGTTCCATCTCATCTTCCCGTTCATCTCCCACAACTTTGTTGATCATAGCCTTGTTTCCATGATTTGATGCTGTTTGACCGGGACGGCTGTTGTACTGGCTCGATGACGTTGGTTGCTCATTGACTACCTCGTTTGAATTCTGAAGGAACATTTTTCAATCCTGAAATCATAGAAGAGAATCCGCACCTTGTTCCAGGTTGATGAGTATTTATCATTTGCCTCAAAGTCAACGGGTTTTTTGCACTGAAAGCATCCACAACATTTCTCGAGGGCAGTAAGATGTTTTTCGGCTTCCTTCATTTCATTATTGACATTGTCCATGCCCTCTTCAATCCTGTTGAGTTGCTCTCCCTGCTCATTTAGCATAATCATCGTATTTTGACCGGTCTCCTCAGTCTCGTACAAATTTTGCATCATTCTCCGAGTAGCATTTAAACTCTATTAAAGGATTGATCTGTCTCCGAATAAAGCTGCCCTTCGCGATTTTCCATGAAAATATATCTTTCCTTTCCTCGTCAACCATTGCATGTGCCTGGACGTTTCTCTGCGTTTCCTCATCAACTCCGAAATCGGGACCACTTCCGAAGTCCCCCTGTCCGCTCATTTTCTCTATTTTAATCTTATCCACACGAGAATGAGAATCAAGACCGACTTTTCTGTAAGACCTTTCCTGTTCACACTAGTGCGTTGTGCAAACTCGAGAAAATAAACTTGAGGAAATATACTCTCATTTTGATTTTTACGAAGATAGAAGTTACTTTGCCTCGGTAAATTTGAAACCTTCTTTTTGCAAGACTATTGAGGTATGTGCTTTTAGTGAGAATTTCATCAGTTTATCCATCCAAACATCTAGCTTTGAGACGATTTGAATGAATACTAATAGAGTTCTTCGTTTGATAGTTTATTGATTTTTGACCGTTTCCATTCAAAATTCAAACTGCACAAGATGGAAGTTTTGTGTACATTTACTTTCTTCTGTTTTTCTTTCCCTTCTGAGCTCCTCTCTTCGCGCCTTTTACAATATTTTTCAAGCCAGGAACTGCGCCTCCACTGTGTTTTTTCCTATAAATTTCCTTCGTTTAAACTATCGAGGAATAAGTGGATCACCTCTTATTAAGCATATCTTTTCTAAGGGGAAGATACGAGTAGGGATCGTGTTTGTTCTTTCGTTTGACATCTCCCTTTGCTTTCTTCGACTGATAAACCTCTCCGCCTCCCATTGAACTATCCTGTTCTCTCTTCTTCCCTTTAGTTCCTCGTTCGCTCATTTCGGACATCGCGATCTTACATCATAAACTCTCGTTTCGTAATTTAAGTTACCTTTTGATCGGACATTCGAATATTCTCAGGAAGGCCTTCTTCATCGTCGGAAGAGAGCATATCCATATCCTCCTTTTTATTCTTCTTTTCTCGTACAATAATTCGGCCATCAGGAGCAGAGCCGATTTCATCATCGCTATCGTTTGATTTTTCTTTGCGTTGTCCTAAATCAAAAATAGGCAACATGTCGACTTTGGTTAACTCACTTTTACTCCTGACGTGGGCGGACGAGACCGCGGCGTGCGCAGCGGACAGATCTACGACTTCTCCGTCCTCAGTTTCCATCAGCTGATCGGTAAACTTCTTAGACTTGCTCTTTTTCTGCTTTGGCTCATCGTCATCGTCCTCTGAGTCTGTGTCGTTGATCAAATCATCAAGATTTTGGTCAGCGTCTCGGTATTCTTCGTCATCTGATTCCTCGTTTGCTTCTTGTTCTGCTCTTCGTCGCTCATTTCTTGCTCGGATTTTCTTAGCGTTCGCCAGCATTTTTGCTATATTGTAATTGGCAAGATTTATGGCTAATACTGAAATTTACCAAGAGGAGAGCCATCAGGAATAAATTTGACGACAATTTCGAAACCAAACTTCTTGATGAGTCTTTCGAGAAGTCGTCTGACTTTCACTCGGAATGGATTCCTCGTCTCTTTCTTCCAATTAACCACGGCAGTGACAATCTTCTCCACATGGACGGCTAGAGTGTCCTTGTCGAGAATTTTCGTCAGTGTGATCAAGAATGAGACGGTAGCCTGTCAAAGATCCTCAAACTAAACCTTTCGGACTGTTCTGAACTTGATTATGAGGGCCTTTCCTTAAGAATTTCTCTCGCATTGGAATCCATGAGGAGAAGAACATTGTCGAGAACCATCTCGTGAATTTCAGGGGGTATTTCTCGGCGGAACTCGTGTAGAGAAATATTGAGAACATTGAGTGTGCAGGCAACTGTCAACGGGTTGCCAGTCAAGCCTTAGATTGAGGATCAGAAATGAGTGCAGACTTGATTAGATTACCTTGTAGTACAGTCTGCATGTACGGCAAAATGGCACCTTCTTCCCCACTGGCAACGTATCTGGCGGCTATCTTCGTAAGCACAGTATAGGCAAGAGCTCGAGTGATTGCGTTCTTGTCCTTTGTGCACAAAACAAGCTCAGAAATAAGAGCGTTGAGTGTGTCCATATCCAGCGCGGGAAGCATAATTTCGAGCAGCTGAATTCGAGGCTTTCGCGCGTTGGCTGCAACAGAACCGAGGGTCGACATGAATCCCTTGATAATAGCATCTTCATTCTCTAAATCATATTGTCAGTTACTGTTTCATATTGAGTTGAGAGCACCTTTCATGATCTTTTTGCAGATCTTATTGTTGGTCGAAGCAATTTGCTCGAGTACTCTCCACGCCTTTTTCTGGAGCAAAGCTGAATCGTTACGCGCCATCGCTAGCCCTTCCGCAAACGCGGTATTTACCATCTCCTCATGAAGCCACGGGGTAACTAGGATGGCGATATCCCAGTAGAGTGGTCGTAGGGACTCTTCGGGTTCGTTTTGCGCCTTATCTTGAGCCACTTTATAGTAGAACGCTAACTTTTCTTTGGGAGTGATCTTCACCCACTCTTTCGCCGCTGACATTGCGTTCGCAGAGAAATCCTAGAGGATTATAGTTTTACTATCTGAAATGAGTAAGTACCCTTGATCGATAAAGTTCCAACATCGTCTTCATATAATTAGCGCCGAATTTGCCCAGGTTGAGTCTGTACATCACCGGAACATTATCGTGGTAAATATTGTTCACAATCTTCCTCAAACCGCTGAGAATAAACGGCTTGATTTGATGGTGATACTCGTCCGGACTCGTTAGAATACCATCAAGTCCCTATTCTGATTTGAAAAGTTTAGCTCTTTAGATAAAAATAAAATGACAAACAATAATTTTTCAAAATCAGTTCCTTGGCATTTGCAGGTTTCAAAAGATCGTGAGGACCGTCGCATGGTTTTTGACAGAATTCTGGGAAAAGGGCCCAAAGTTCTTTGTGCAGGGTGAAGTATGGAGCTGCTTGGAATTTGTCAAGCGCTCTTGCGGCGGTAATAATTTTGGTCGCTAGTGTAGCAATCTTCTTGAAGAAGGTGTCGAGATAAACGTTATGCCTGGAAAAGAGTGATTATGCAAGGTTAAACAAGGAGCGTTTACCTCAATTTTGATTCCAAAATCGGAATTATCCATTTGTAGGGTAGCTCACCATCTGTTTCTGGATTTCCTGAAATGTCGATCGGGAGGGCGGTGAGGAACGCTTCTGGACCGATGCAGGAAAGAATCGATCCAGCACAATTATCGAGAGCGATCTTGTGGCTGAAGAGCGGATTCAATCTCAACTGGGCGAGGAGTTTGAGAGGAGACGCAAGGAACTCCAATACAGCCTTGTTACGTACTTCTCGCATATTCAAAGAGACGTAAAACGACGATAGCGCATCCAAAGTACAGTCCATCACGCTTGAATACTGGAATTGAAGGCCGTTAACGAGTTGTTTGAGAATCAAGTCTCCGGGAGCATTTTCTTTGAGGTCTAATTCTGTCAAATGTTTGGCGACTTCAGAAAGGATCTTCTGCATTGTTGAACCGACGGCAGCTCCATTGTCTGGCTCATCAAGAAGAGTGTAGCAGTTCTCGATTGCGTTGGGCAAGTGAGAAATCGCCATTCGTGGGTTGTTCGATGTGGCGAGACAGAAACAGCACGAGAAGACGACTTCGAGCCAAGAGGAGCAAACAGATACGTCGCGCGAACAGGGCTTTACTTCCTTCAGCGCCGACAAAAGCTTCCCAATTAAATCTGTGGGGATGCCTTCGAGCTGCATCGATGTCAGCTTTGCTCGAAGCTGATCCACGTCTTCTGCGCCTTCTTCAATGCCGCCTAGGACGGCCTTCTGCGCTTGTCTTACAATGCCTCGCAGATACTCGTTGATTGTTCGCAGCGCTTGAACTCGCACCATTTGTGACTGAAGATTGAGCAGCTTCAAACAGGCTTGGCACAGCTCTTTTTGCTGCTGCAGGGGAAACATGTAAATCGTTGCCCGGAAGAATGTCAACAACTGAAGCGTGTGCGTTTCTTTCTGCGCCTTCTGTAGTTCAGCAAGGGAGAAACGCGCGATCTCCTCGACGCAGGAGTGCGCGATGCCAGGAGTATGGATAAGAAGAGCGGCGCCTTTCTGAGCAGCCTTTCGCACTTTCGGCTTTGGGTGCAAGACGAACGCCAGCAGAGCCTGGAGAGCCGACTTATGAGTGGTTATCCAAGGTCAATAGTGGTACGATTTTAGAATTTATTATTATTGAAAAGCGTTTTGATGGAATGATGATTTTATTTGAAGCAAAGAGGTTTGAAGAGCGACGAGTGTTAGTCTGTGTTAGGAGAGGCATCCCACAGACGGCTTACTATCTTTTTCAATAAGCAATCCGTGGTTTACCTATCTAACAACAGCCTAGTAAAGCGCAGAAGACTTCCAGGAACTCTCTAAGAACGGAATTTCGGCAAAATAAAGATGATGGTAACCAATGTTCCTTTGTATCTTGGTTACTCCACGATTCATACGTGGTTCCTCTTTTGAGAGTGGTGCCAAGACAAGAGACAAGGCTTTTCATAAGCGCGGTGGAATTGTATCCCTTCACCAACAGTGACATGAACATCTGGACGAGGGAGGAGAAGTTCTTGTTAATGACTCCTGGAGCAACTTTGCGCAGATTGAGGGAGAAGAGATGCGAGACTGCAGCAAGTGTCTCTTCCTCCGACACTTGCGTAAGTGTAGTCGATAAAACTGAGAAGTAGGCGGCCTCCGACTCGTCTTTCAAGCCTTTTCTCTAATAACCTCGGTGATCGCCGCCAATACCGCCACTACTTCTTTGTGTTTTTCGGGATTCTTCTCCCAGTGAGCCTTCACTCTGTTGAAGGTCATGTTCGTACAGTCAGTCACTCCGGAGACGAAGGTTCGGAAAGAAGCTCCGGAGATTTCAGACTTGAGGTCCAACTCGTCAAGAAGATCGTCATCTTCTTCTCTAAATTGACAATGAGTAGAAATGATTTCAGATAAGAGCAGAGAATACCTTGGAACGGCCCCAGTCATTCTGTCAAGAATGCGAAGATTATCAGCCGTGAGGCCAGTCGCCCCGGAAGATCCATCCTGGAACTTCTTGAGACCCTTGCGAGCGAGTGCCGAGCTTCGGTGTTTCGTGGTGCCGGGATTGCTCTGCGAACTCGAGGACCATCGATTCACTTTTTTGGCAGCGCCCGATTTCAACTTCCCGGCTCTAACCATTCTATTTCAGTTACATTTAAATTAGTAAAAACATTATAGCAACTAATTGAAATCGAAAAAAATTAATAAGAAGAGAAAACTTTCGACCCGGATTGATGAAGTTAAGAGTAGAGTCGAAAACGCAGTAGTCTCTCTTATTACAGGAGTTGCTTTGAGTTGAACGAGTCTCTCTATCTTGGGCACGGTGGAGGGGCGTGAGTAATCGTCGATGAGTAAGGAGCAGCACTTACGGCCAATCAGCGACTACCTGCGCGCCACACGTGGAGTAGAAACGAAACCAAATTCTTCACCGAGAATTCAAACGTTAGATTTTTCGAATAGAGAAATTGAAGATTTTTCTCTCTATCATCAAATTCAAACTTATTTAGAGAAAAAAGCTTACTGAGAGAATTTAATGTGTCGTTTTTCTTCATCACTATCCTTTGATTTCTAATGAAGAAATAAAAATCCAAATTTTATAAAATTCAGACCAGAATCGGATCATGGTGACTCGAAACAAGAAGACCAGAAAGATGCGTGGCCACATCTCCCATGGCCAGGGTCGAATTGGCAAGCACCGAAAGGGTGGTGACCGAGGTGGTCGAGGTCTTGCTGGTGGTCAGCACCACCACCGAATCAACTTCGACAAGTACCATCCCGGTTACTTCGGTAAAGTCGGTATGCGACACTTCCATTTGTTGCGAAACCCCAAGTACTGCAAGTGAGTTTTGTTTTATCGGTTTTACCGCCCGCTGCGAGGATCCTTTCGTTTCCTTTGTCAGATCATTTCTTGATCGACCAGAGCAGTACAGGGCCTGTGAGTCGATAATCCCAATTTTATTTTCTTCATTTAGCTCGATCAACTTGGACAAGCTCTGGTCGTTGGTGCCTGAGGAGGAGCGCGTCGCTGCCGCCAAGAACACCGCCACTGCCCCAGTGATCGATGTCACCAAGCGAGGCTTCTTCAAGGTCCTCGGCAAGGGTCGACTCCCCAACCAGCCCGTCATCGTCAAGGCCCGATTCTTCTCTCGCTCCGCTGAGGACAAGATCAAGGCTGCCGGTGGTGTCTGCGTCGCTGTTGCGTAGATATTTGGACCCTTCTTTTAAAAAACTTTCCCTCTTGTCAAGAATAAAATCGAGATAAAGGACGAACTTGCGTTTTTCTTTATTTATTTTGAGTATGCAGCGCATTGACCGTTGGTATCTTTTCAGAGTTGCTTGCGTCATGAGCGGGCAGTTCGGTGAGACCGACGAATCTGACCCAAAAGCGGTTGATCGTTTTTATGGCGAAATCGAGCGCTTTATCGAAATCAAGAGGCAGGACTATCTCTTCGAGGGGAGCATGCTCCCAAATGAGGGCGACGATCTGCTTCTCTTTACAAAAACTTATCGCAAGGTGACCTCGTTGAAGGCACAGTCCGGTTATAGCGCAGTTTCGTTAGAGGATTCTCTAGGCAAAATCATGGACGGAATTAACAAACTTGCGAAGGACGTAGATGAGTTTGAGAACATACCGGCTCCTTCTAAAATCGGTAATGAAATCATTCAGCCTCAAGAATACGTACAGTCTTTAGTAAAGAATCCTAGGCAATAGTTAAAATCTCTTAAGGCCAAAGAAATTCACATGAAGATATTGTGTCGGGGAGTTCGGCTACAATCGCCAAGCCTGTAGTTGATGAACGAGGAGCGAACAATGAGCGTGACCCTGAGTTCCAAGACTCTCAGCAAAGCGAGAAAGCTTTCGAAGATGATTTCCCAAGTCAAGATGGACCATCCTCGCCTTCCAGAAACATAGGTTTCCGAGAAAGCGTCGGAGCAAGACTTTCCGAAATAGAGGATGCATCGCAACAAAGTGCTGCTTCTCAAAATAGCTTCCACAGCCAGCAGCCATCTACCTCAGCCCAAGCGATTGCTTCGTTGTCGCTCTGTAACGATGAGTCCACCGATCAGAAAAAAGACAAAGCCAAGGACGCAGAGGATCAATTGTCTGATTTCTCTGACGATTTCGAGTTGTGGCAGGGGAAATCTTCTCGATCTCCCAATCCAGATATTGTCAAAACTGAGCCAGATACTATCACAGTTGACTCACAGGCATCAACTCAGTTCAACCAGCATCAACCAGTTGATCCTAATGCTCCAATAATTATCGACTCAGACGATGATGATGGATACGTCCCTCCAGTACGCCATAACAATGATGACGATTTTGATCTTCAAATAATCGACGATAGCGATGGAGGAAGCGCGCCGAAGAAGAGAAAAAGTCCCCCAAAAACTCCAAGAGAAGCACAAGCCCTTTCAGACGAGGACGAAGATTTTCTTAGAATTCTCGAATTATCGAAAATAACGGCTGCGGAAGATGAGCGACGTCGCTCAACCCAGAGTCGAGTTACTGCCTCATCACAGAATTCAACCCAGAGTCTGCCCAGCACAGGAAAGAAAAGAACGAAGACGAAAAATTTCAAGAGAACAGTGATCGAGAGCTCGGAAGATAGCGAGGACGAGGGACCTCGCCGAAAGTCGACTGGGAAGAGAAAGCGGAGTGCTCTTAGCTCAGACGACGAATCGCAGGGCGGCGAGGAAAACCGCGGCTCAGATTCTGGCAGCTCACTTGGAAGAATGCTGGAGGATCTCAACAGCGACGACGAGAATGAAAGGCGAACGAAGAAGAAGCCATCGCCGAAAAAGAAAGCGAGGGTAGATAGCAAGAAAAAGAACACCTTCGTGGAGAGTCAGACTGCTGCCGACGAAATTGATGACGAAGAAGATGAATTTGACAGTGAGATGGACGATTTTATCGATGACTCGGAATTGCCGGGTACCCAATCGACTGTTGGAGATTATGTCAGTGACGAAGATATGCCGAGTACATCTGCTCGTTCTTCAAAGGCATACTCAAATTCCGACAATAAAACTCATGTAGCCGAGCGAAAACAAGATAGAAAACCGAGAGAATCTACTCTGAAGAAAGATCCGCCAAAGAAGCAGAAAGAAAATCCTCTGAAGAAGAAACATACTCCTTTGAAGAAGAAAGAACAAGACGGTGATCAGCCGTCAACCTCTCGAGAACACAAAATGCCAGTTCGCGGTACCAACCTGGATGAAACGTTCGATCCAGCTGAGCCAGATTCAGGAAGCAATCCGGATCCGTTTTGTAAAGGCCATCGAGAGGAGGATTTAACATTAGCTGGTACTGTTGAAGCAAGAATGGAGTTGCACCGGATCTTCGGCTATGACTACTTTCGACCGAGTCAATGGAAGCTGATCGAAGGTGTCTGTAGAGGCCAGGATCAGCTTGGCATCATGGCAACTGGCTACGGGAAGAGTATTTGCTTTCAAATGCCAAGTATTCTTCTGAAGAAGTTAGTTCTCTGTATTTCGCCGCTCGTCTCGTTGATGAAAGATCAAACTATGAAGCTGGAATCCATCGGAGTACGTGCTGGTTTCTTTGGGAGTGGCGCAACGGCTGCCGATAAACGAAAAACGGAAATGCTTATTGATTCACAACAACTTCGCGTTTTATATGTGACTCCGGAGTACTGCATAAACAATATGCAGCGTATTATCGACATCCACCGCAGACATCCAATTTGCTGCTTCGCCATCGACGAATGTCACTGCGTCTCGTCATGGGGTCACGATTTCCGACTAGTCTATCGTGACCTCTACAGACTCCGTGAAATCGACCGCAGTATCCCCTATCTAGCGATGACGGCCACCGCGACACCAAGAATCCGTGATGACATTATAAAAAATTTGCGCCTGATAAATGCAAGTTCCCCTCTCAACTTTTATATCTTAAATTTATTCTAGCCTCAACGAGTTGTCACATCATTCGATCGATCCAACATAACTTTCTTCGTTCGACGAAAGACTGATGAAGACAACATCATTCCAGACCTAATGGCTACGGGTTGCTTAATCTCAGCAAGAACAGACCGATATGGTGGCGTTTCAATCCACGACCCTAGCTCTAAGAATCTCCAGTTCGCTGCATGCACGATCATTTACGTGCGAAGAGTAGATCTCGTAGATATGTTGTGCAAAGAGATTGGACGATACGTTGGCTATCATAGAATCGGGGGTTATCATGCGCGCCTTTCCGAGAAAAGAAAACGGGAGACGCATGAAGGGTTCCTTAATGGTAGCATTCATTGCGTTGTTGCCACGATAGCCTTCGGTATGGGAGTAGATAAGCCAAATGTCCGATACGTTATTCACAATGAGCCACCGGGACAACCAGAAGCATACTATCAGGTAATGCAAAATAATGCACATCTTCGATGTCTGCGATAGACTATGTTTTTTATAAATGAGTCTCAAAATTTGATTTTAGGAGGTCGGACGTGCTGGTCGTGATGGAAAACAAAGTGAAGCGCATCTCTTAGTTGGCAGAAGAGGCATCTCGAGTATGTTTTACCACGCTTCGCAAGAAACGGTTCCAGAACGAGCCGAACTTGCACGCTCAAATGCTCGAAAAATGAAACAGTACATTGAAACGAATGAATGCCGACGAATGCCCCTGCTCCTTCATTTCGACGCTGAGGCGAAATCTATGGTACAAGGAACAGCAGACTGCTGTGACAACTGCAGAGGTGGCAATGCTCCGAACTTTTTCGCTCCTAAAGAAGAAGCGAATTTCGCTTCAGACTCCGCTATCGTCTTTGATGCCATCGATGATTTCAGTGATCCACAAGCTCGAACCATGCTTGTTCTTCATTTGAAGGGTTCAAAGGCGAAGGAACTGAAAGTTGAGATGCATTCAAGGCCTGCCTACGGCAAAGGTTAGTCAGACAATATTGGCCAAACATAAACCTGATATTTAGGAAAAGGAAAGAGCTCTGATTACTGGAAGGAGCTCATAAATGGACTCGTCGCTGGAGACTACTTGACTGAGAGCACGGTTTTTAATAGTATGGGTTATTCGGCTGCAAAGCTGAAGATCGCGCCAAAAGCCCGCTCGTGGTACGCGAAGTACAAGAAAGACCGCCTTGGAGTAGAGCTCCTTCTACCGCAAACTGAGAAGCTTGTTGGAGTTAGATCTGTGAACGCGCCTGGTCCCTCTAAACCTCAACCGGTCGAAGCCGCAAAGAAGGAGGAGCTTCCGGAAATGTGCGTCGCTGGTCTTGATCACAAGTGGCTTGAACGCTTCATGAAGGGTCCTTGGCAAGAACCAGAGCCAGTCGTTATTAAAGACACAAAAGAGGAAAAGAATAAATGTAAAATACTTTTCAATGCCATTTTGGCACTGAATAAAAAACGAGGACTCCAAATGGCTTTGAAGCAAACCCATCTTCATGAACTATGCTTAAAACGACCGTCAAGTGTAGAGAGTTGCGCAGAGGTGCCAAACTTTACCCGAATCCTGGCTGACTCAGTTCCTGAAATACTAGCTAAGATCAAAGAATTCTGCGAGGAGCACACTCTGCGCATGGATACTCATAGGCGATCGATGAGTGCCGCCCAGAAAAAAGCGAATGAGTTTCCCGAGCTTGAAGATAAGCAAAAGCCACTTGAAGGTAAGTTTTTTCCTCAATTAACGAAACTTTAAATATCAATTTAGGTCATGATAGAGATGTATCGGACTATCTCAAGGTCGGCATGACGCTGGCAGACATTCAAAGGGACCTTGGAATGTCAGACGCGGTGCTCGCGAAAAAACTTTGCACGATCGTAGACAGAGGATATCCAGTGGATGCGGCCAAGTTCCAGATCACGATCGATGATGTCAAAAAGCTGGAAAAACTAATTAGAGATAATGGAAACGTTATTCCGTCTTCTTCTAAAATCAGTGAGTCGTACCCTTTTTGAATGATACTATTCCCTTATTTAGGCAAATCGTTTCCGAACATCAACATCCACTTCATTCCATTGCTGATGACGTTTATGAAACTTCGCTTTGGACTTTGTTCCATTTTCCCTCAAGACACGCAAGACTACCAAAACAGACGGAGCCAAGCAATACGGGCTCACACTGCCGCTTCAAATCGCCCAGGACTCACGAATTACAATTCGACAATACCCCCTGCATTGTGAGTCTTCAACACAAGAAAAAAACTACCTATCAACGTTTCTTCCAGGCCCAAATTTTCTCCGATGAAGAAGCCGAAAAAAACCTACAGGAAAAAAGCTTCAGCTAGAGGACGAAGAAAATTTCGAAAAGTTCAAAAGAAATATTAAAAAAGAAATAACTGTAAATATGCATTCCAGAGCTGACCGTCCTTGTTCTACCCGCAAAACGAACCATTTCTCATAAACAGTAATTTCGTTTTATCTCACGTTTAAATTATAATTTAATTAAAAGCAGCGAGAAGTATTCCTTTTGCGCGTATAAAAATAGCTTGAAGTTCACAACATTCACTGCCTTCTGTTCTCGTTAATAAACTTGAGACAAAGGAAACCCGCCTTAAACTTGTGTACATTGATCGTCCAAAAGACTTTTGGTACAATGTGCACATGTATTGTTTGCATGGACTGCCTTAATCTTGCATTCATTCATCGTACTCCGCTATTTGTTCGACTAACTCGTGAGTCACATTTGTCTGCTGTTGATTTTGCATCCCGTTGATAAAAAGTCTGATTTAGACTGTCGAACTAGGATGGATTCCAATAAGAGCACTTTCATTAAACGCAGAGGAAATTGAAAGTTATAATTTAAAACACCACATTCAACGAGCAATTGTAAGTTTGATTTGTCCCTATTTCGAGTTCGGATACATTAAAATTAGAAAGTCGACATTTATGATTGCCAAAAGCGCTGTAATGAAACCTTTAATTAGCATTTGCCAATGAAAGAGATTAATTTGCGATCTGAGGGTGATAAACTTCTCAAAGGCTAGCGCGTTTTTCAACTTCAATAGTAAAACGTTAAGCGTGAATAAGGCCCGCGAGACAATAGATTCCCTGCGGGGAAGGAGAGCAGGGATATTTAGGCTGAACCCTTTTACTCAGATTTTTCGTCCCAAGAGAAATTAATGCTCTTTTCCGCGGCCGCTCAAGACTTTATTTTATCAAGGTTATCATCTTTTGTCTTCAGTTTATAAAATATTCTTGGTAGTAAATCAGTTTTAAGTTTCAAACAAAGCAATGTTCGCAACGAAAAGCACTGAATTCAAAATCCTCGGCGGCGGTCTTCGCCGTCCAGGCAAAGTTCTTCAACAAAGTTGGGATAAAAATTGGTATCCCGTTTGCGACAACTTCGAAGATGAAGAAAGCCGTAATCTATTCGGCGATATGGTTTGCCAACAAATTGGTTTCGCAAAAGAACTCTCGAAGCCTGCCAGAGAGTTTGAAAAAGATAGTTGTCCGCAATGCTGGAGGGACTTCGACATCGTTGGTATTTCATGTTCGAACGACGGGAATGTAAAAGTAATACAACAATTATATGGCTTTATGAGTGAGTTAATCAATTCAGTGCGATTATAAATATAGTCATTTCTCCGGCTCCGGCACGTGCATAAAGGGCAAGTCGGATTTGTACATTCAATGCAAGAAGCCGCTATCGCTAAATGGTGAGTGGACGCCCTGGTCAGAATGGACTTACTGCGACGAAACGGGCAGCGACTACTTCAAGCAACGAAGCAGAACTTGCTACGACGATGGAAAACGCGCAATATGTCCAGAAGGAGAAAGCGACTTCGAATTAAAACCAGGTGAGACTCTCCTGCCTGTTTCCAAAAGAAAACATGACTTAGACTGTCTCTGCGAAAAAGCAAACGAAATCGCAGACTACAACAAAGATTATTACTCGGATAGTAGTTCCTCTTCTTACGACTATAGTTACGGGTCTCCTTCCGGCTCAAGCGATATAAAGGCTTCTTCTCCTGACGACATGTCATTGTACTCGTCCAGCTATGACTACTACCGCCGTAAGCGACGCGCTGCTTCAGCTCCATTTGTAAAGAGTGGATATGCAATCAAATTTTCCTCTCGTAATTTTACCTGTCAGAACGAATCAGTTGTGTATCCAATCGCAGCCTTCATTTTGTAAAAATTACAACTTCCAAAACCTCTATTCTTCAAAAGCAGATCAATCTTCCGAATCTCCGCCCTTCGTCGTCCGCAAGCCAGATGCAGATATTTTCACTCAGAAAACGCCAATCCTCGAGTCGGATAGCGATCCTCCTGTTGTCACAGTTGAGCTCTCTGACTCAGTCACATTCCCTGCTTTCTCAGATTCGAAGCCTGAGACAGCCGCTTTTGGCAGCCAGACTATGATATTAATCGGTGTTGCCGTGCTTGGCTGCTTGATTCTTCTCGTGATTGCTTTAGTCAAACGAAGAAAGACATCTAACAACAGGAAATGATAACGAATAAAACCGTCGTCTTATTTAGTTTTTAATTAACCAGAATTCACTTACCAGAGTCTTGTTAAACTCGTTTATCTATCCCAAAGCAGTGGAAACACACTCGACGACGAAAGAAAGGTGCCTGAATCGATTGGGCTTATACAGCCCAAAACTGCTGCGCACTAAACAACAACCCAAAGCCAAATAATCCCTGACTGTCCTAATTCTCATTCTATTCAAGTTCCTTCCAAAGCAAAACTGATCTTTAATCTCCGCGCCTTCATAATTGAACCTCTTATAAACAGATTCCGAAATAAATCAAGCTAATTCAAAAAGCCACTTCCATAATTTTCGTCATCCGAAAATGATGTTGTGCAACAAGTCGTGTTTGCTTTTAGGGTTTTATTTTTGATCAAACGCACAGGTGAAAATTTAAAATCAGGATAGATCTATCGACAAAAATGTAGATTTTGGAAGAATAAGGGGTTGAATTTTACGGAAGGCATTGAATTTGTGTGGCAGTTTTGTCTATTTTTGAAGAAGTGAATAAATATACATGTTTGATAGAAACGAACGAATAGAAAGGAATTTTCGAAAACTAAAATTAATAAAAATGAAAACAGAATGAAGAGAATAACTGCGGTTTATTGGTAGTGCGTGGGGTAGATTGTTGAAAACTGGGGGAAGATTTGAGACTGATTTTGGATGAAAAGTACTAATGTTAATGAACCCTTTTTTGGAAAATAATATAAGTGTTCAACTTTTTATCCATAACTGAGAATGCGAAAAGTGTGGACCTAGAAGAGCCATGGCAGGGTTCATCATCTGGTAAGCAGCAATAGGTTCCTGCATCGATGCTTGCGGTGTGGATGTGCTCGGGCCGGCGTCTTTTTCTGTTCATGGTGGTAAAAAAACGATTTTTTATTAATAAAAAATCTTATCGCCGCTTTATTTTACCGCCCTTGAGATAAATTTGAGCTTTCACCGACTTCTACAAAGTTTATTTTAGTCGGACCAACTAAAAATATCACTACCTGATCCGATTTCTGACGCGGTGCGCTGTCTCTTCCTTCCAGCGTTGAGCCGACGGTTTCGTGTTTGAATTCCGTCTTTTTTCATTGTGATCGGCCTGTTCACCTTGAAAGAACAACGACTAGCTATACATCGTTAATTAAATCGAATACCCCGTGAAGTTTTTGGTAAAGGCCACATGCGTTGCAAACAGCGTCGCCGCTAGTGGTTCGCCGCCAGAGAGTGGTCTGGGTCGTATTGCAGTTGGTGCACTTGGCACCTGTTCGTTTACTCGTCGTCTACAATTTCACTTAACTTTATACATCAAAATCAACTTACAACTCGTTTCTTCGGCTTGATCAATGGTCTGTTGCAGCCATTGACCTTGTGGTAGAGACCGCAAGCGTTGCATAGGTAGTTTCCGTTCGTGTCGCGGCGCCATAAAGGCGTTGTCGTTGCAGCGCAGTTCACGCACTGCCTTTTCGCTACGTCAATATCGGTAACGGTTTTTTTGTTTTTGAGGCGCATATTTATCATTCAAGACTTACGATGCTCAGTGGTTTTTCTGCGCTTGGCAGGTTGAGTAATTTGCGAGTCCATTTGTGGATACTCTCGCATCGGAGGGTAATGCGGAAAGTTGATAGCGTTGCTGATATTTTGAGGAGTCAAGCTCTGGTGATCGATGTTTTGAATGTGGGAGGAAGGTACTGGGTGCAAGTGGATTTGCGAAGTAGATGCTCTGTCGGCGGAAGAAGAACCTGGCGTCGATTCGACGAAGCCAGCAGGATGGAGGTGGAAGTTGAAGCCGGGCGACTGCTCGAATCGAGCCACGTGAGCCATCTGCGAGGCATCGGTGAAGTTACAGTAGTGGCTCAACGGAAGGGTAAAGTGTGATTGTTCGAATGTTACTGTCTTTCATATGCTAATAACTCGTTTCGAGTGCAATGTGTAAACTAAACGATTGTTTCTGTGAAGCAATTCCTGAGGTGGGTTGCTGTTTTGTGGGTTCCATATTTCTGTGACTTGTTCAGTCTTGACCGATTCAGATGGCTCAGGCTGCGATGGAGCTTGGAGATTCTGGACGGCGGGCGGATTGGGAGAGGAAGTGGCCAGATGGTAAGCGCCTTCTTGAGGAGGAGAGGCAGGATCGAGATCGAGCTGCGACGTTGAGGGAATACGATTTCTATCAACAGATTGAACTGAGCTGATCGGTGATCCCATGGAGATCCCACTATCGTGATGACCGACATTCACTTGGCCAGATTGGAGAAGTGAAGAAGCGGGAATCATCGAGGGGCCAGCACTGTCGGCTGGCTCCACCTTCGTCCATGCTTGCGGCCAGATCGGTAGTTGGGAAGACTCTGAATCTTTCAAGTAGTTGCGAAGAGAATATTTCAAGGTTCTTCTGTATAAGAGATCTTTCTTACCCACGGGTTGAAGCATAACAATCGGCGTTGCTGGGTAAATGTTATGGACTGCGGGTTCTTCCGTTTTTACTAGCTCAGCCATGGACGAGCTCGGAACGTTGTTCTCTTCCATGATTTTTTCGTCTTCACGGAAAATCTCTTTTTTTCTCTTTTTCTCTGCGTTAGGAGTGGGTTCTCTAGTGAGGAAAGCGTTTTTGAGTTGCGAATGAGGCGAAAGGCGCGTAAAAAACGGCTGATAGCCGCTGGATCGAAAAAATAACTTTTGCCAACGGAAAAATCAAAGAGCACTCCAATAACACCGACTCCTCTTTTCAAGTCCATATTTTCGAAGTGATAAACTTGCTCAGAATCGCGCAAGTCGACTAACGCACTAAAGAATTTCACGAGTCGAAGATCAAGAACTTCTATATCAACCGACTGGTATCAAAAGCTCTCGCGCTCGAGGATTTTATTATCCCTGCGGCGTTTTCCTTTAAAAAAACTCTGGACATGAAAGGATCATTTATTCTCCACTCATGCACTCACATGATCATTTTTAGAAAATCTGAAGTAATTTCTTTATCACAGGAAGTCACTAGCCAATACCGGACGAGGAAGGGAAAATATGGTCACAGGAAATTCATGGCATCAGTCGTAGAACAATTCTGCTAACGAAAATGCAATTATGCATTTCCTGGTGACAGTGATTACTTGCGGTCTGTTTTTTCATGCTTCCTCTATAAATAGAGCATCCCACGGCAAGATGTGATGCAAACAATGTAATATTACTTATCTAAGACATGAAATATTTATTCCATACAAGTTTACAAAATGCGCAAATTAATAATGGATTTGGAATTGCCCGAAGTGTGAGCAAAATATTCGTAATTACAATTAAAAGACTAATTCTAATTAAAAATATTTTCATCATTGCTTTTACGTTTTTGATTTAACAGCACATGAAGCTCCAACGAGAAAAAATATACAACAAACCAGGGCGGAAAATATGTTACAAAAGTGACGAAAAATGAAAGGTAGATTTCAGAGCTCACGAAAAGAATTTATGGCAAAATAAAGTTGTGCAAATCGAATGGAAAGAAAATGGGCAAAAACGGCTCTTTTTACGAAAATTGGCTAATATGTACAATTAATGGGGCGCGATGATGAAAAATATTATCGCGCGTTTTGTCGGACATTTTTAGAAAGTATTTTCTCGACTTATTATTTACAGGTTTTTCCGTTCCGGCTATACGGCTAGTACGATATCAATACTGAAGGCAAAAGAAAAGCTTGGAATAGAGAGTATTTGGTTAGAAACGTAACGATGAGAATCGAAATCATCGATGAGGCCTTCGGCCCGTTAGTAGATTTAGGAAAATAGGTAGCAAATCCATTAAAAATTGCGATCTTAAGTGTTTAACAGTAAATTGAGATTGAAGATTTTTTAGCCCAGGTCGAGCTCAACCGGTTGTTTTTTTGAGGGTCGTTGCGTCGTCAGTAGATTGATTTTTCTTTCTATGGATTGTTCTGTATCGTGTCATGAATCCAACTCAAGTAGTTGGATGTTCGGGTGTACACGCCAGGCGAGTCGACTTCCGCACATTCGTAGCCCCAAGAAATGATTCCGGGGAGATAAAATGAGCCATCTAAATAAGTTTGTTGAGGTGACCTTGACATTGTCAGTCTATGCTTATCCTACCTTCTCGCTGACACATGAGCGGTCCTCCAGAGTCGCCGTTGCAGGCGTCCACGCCGCCTTCCTTGAAGCCAGCGCAGATCATGTCTTCCGAAATACTCGAATAATCTTTTTTTCGTCGGCATTCCTCATTTGAAATGATCGGAATCTCTGCATGTTGCAAGAACTCTGGCTGATCTCCTTGTCGTGCTAGAATGGGCCGTTCAATCACTGCTGTTGAGTAACGACTTACTGTGAATTCCCCAGCCGGCGATGGTGCATTTGTCTCCTGGCTTCGGCGAGTCGAAGCGATTTTCTGGCAAGCAGATGAAGTTAATATCGCGAGTTGGCTATTTCGGGGTTCACGGAGAAATGATAATTACTAATGCCGCATCTGGAGCGAATTAGTCGACAAATATTTAGAGTAATGAATCGGACGCGGGAAAAAACGCTAAAAATGGGGAGCGCTGATTTTGTCAATGATCAACCCAGGGTCTGTAGAATGCTGTCGAGCTTTAGCATCATCAAATCATTTCTCGGAATATCGTCCGAGTGGTAGGAGTAGTCATGCATCACAGCCAAAGTAACGCCGATCCCAGGAGCCAGTTCCCACTGCGAATCTTCTCCGGCCACAACTTTCCAACTTTCTCCTGGCGACGTGTTGTTTTTGATGTTCTTTTCGTAACTTAATCAATTCTAGTAAGTGACCATTTCTTGGAGCAACGTAGTTTTCAGTATTGATGATACGTGTACTTTGATACTATAAATTTCGAGGTCGCAAAAAGTTCAAGTTGGGCATAAACACGAGAATAAGATTTTACTGCTTCATGGTTATGGGAAATTCGTTTTCACTATTCTACGCACGTTTAAACTAAGAGTGCTGTGAATAGACCTAGATATAGACCAACATAATTCTCTTGTCATCTCCAAACAAGGAGTCGCTAATGCAATAAGCTTTAAATTGAGGACTATTATCTAATTCAAAGAAGAACATCTAATCCTTTAAAAATATAAAACGAGTTATTATCGATTAATACTGCCAAACTCGCATAATAATATAAGGCTTACCCGCAATGAGCAGCTGTGAGTACCCATTGTGGCGCGATAAGGACTCCAGCACAAGTGTACTTCCAGTTAACTTATCGGGAGATTGAAACGGTCACTTAATCATAATTTCCCTTATCTGACCTTCTATCGGCACTTTCTAGTGCAAGAGGACTTCAAGAGTTAGAAATGCTAAACTTTTCCGCTGGAAAAAAACTATGAATGAGCTTAAGAACGTTTTCTAGAGCCATTAATGAAGGCAAATACATCCTCTTTGTAACTTTGCAAGACCACGAAAAATTAAACACGCGCCAATTTCCGTTTCATTATTTAATCCGGCCGGTTGCACTTGTAAAATTCTTCAGAAGAGCTCAATTCTTGACCTCGCTCAATCAAGCACCCGTCCCTTTAATCATCACTACCCAAGGAAATTGCTGTTGGCTCATTACACGTTGGCCACCGATGATTCTAGTGTCCGGTTCGTCGTCTTTTGTGTCAGGCCCCAGTTCGGACCCATCGTCTTCTGTGATTCGAATTTTGACCTTATTTGCGTCTTCTTGGACCTTGTTGATCCGACCTGCTTCAAGAATGTCGATCAAATGATCAAGCGAAATGTCGGATAACTTTCCGCTGCGCTGGGCTAGAGCTCTTTCATTTTTCTCGGCTTTCTCGAAAAGCGGGGCTCTTGAAATGAGTGGAATATACGGGGTTGTCCGAGTCGGAACTGCTCGTCGGGCCCGGTGTTGATAGTTACTCCACATATTGATGAATATGTCGTTTGTCGTCGGCATCGGAGCGTCTCGAGACCAAGAAGACCTGCCACAGCTCCAGTTTGATTGAATCTCACATTTTTTACCAGCATATCGTCCAGTGCACACACATTCGGTCTTCTGTGGCCAGCCTAGATTAGTTTTGCATAGATTTACCCTTGGACACTTTTTAGTTGTTTTGAGAAAACAGAAATGAATTTCCTTAGGTAATAATGAGACACGCTACAAACAAAGTCCCGCTGTAGTAAAAATACTTGCGCGTAAAGTAGAGTTATCAAATAGGGAGGGTACTAATAGAACTAACCTTTTTGTATGCAGCGGCCTCCGTTTTGACAGGTGTTTTGGGATACATCGCAGTCGTTGTAATAGCTTGCGGGGCTCATTTTATTATTCAACTCTACATTTATTCGAGGCCGCTCTTTAATCAAATTTGAACATTTAATATAACAGATAAAGCTGAAATTTAGAAAGTGCGTTCTATTCAAGAGCCCAATCAAAGTCCCTGCGTTCCATCGTTCGGATTGTAACAGCATCCCAGTTGATCACAGTCGTCCTTTGTGGTTACATTCATTCCACATTCTATTGGCTCCTGAGGCAACTTGCACAGTAGATCAGGAAGCTCAGGAGATATCCTTGTGCTCGGCGAATTGTTTTCAGAATACTCAGCTATAGTATCGTCCCCTGTTGATTTTTCTTGTTTGTTGTCTTCGCGAAGAGTTCGGACATTTAAATTCATGATTAGGGACTTATTAGTGTTCTTGACATTCGAATTAAAACTCTGTCTTTCGCCGGTGGATCGGCAATCTTGACGCAGGAAGGCAGCTCTGAATCCCAAACTTGTCCATTCTGGCAGTAGCGCATATTGCGCCCTTCTAGCCGGTATCCTTTGCCACACGAATATTTACAAGAGTACGAGTCGAAGGGATACTGGGTCGACACCATACATCGTGGTCTATTAATAACGAAAATTAATAACCAATAATGCTAATTAGATTCGCCTCAAACTCGTTCGACGAAAATAGCCGCAAGAAATATTTTATGAGAAAAAAAAACGTTGGGGATGTCCGTTTTTGACCATGACCGGGAGTAATTATTTAATTTTTACTTGATTGACAGATAAAACGTACGTTACATCCCTAATGGAATTATTATCGTGAAGAAGTACTTAATGGAAGTGTATTTAGCAACGGGTACGTGGAACATCTCCCATCACTGGAACTTTCCGGCTGTCAAGTCTAGCTTGACAGACTGTGACGTCAAGCTCGGAACCGCTACCGGAACGCGGCCGTATAAATCATGTTCGAACTTTTTTTAATTTTAAATAATTCAACTGTTGATAGACCCTCGGAAAACATGAAATATTGTGTATTTTTGTTCGATACCTGAGTCCATTTTCAGGTGTTTCTGTTGGACAGCCACAGATGACAGTAGCTCCTTGACGCCATCTATTGCAGACATGACCCGTTTTGCTGAAGTCCACCTTAGAGGCACAGTCGTCTAGGCTGTTTTCGTTGCCCTTGCAGCCTACATGATTGTAGAAGACGGGCAAGTCGTCGGCTGGACCGAACTCGGGCCGTGACAGTGCAATAACTCTGTCCACGTGATAGCCAAGTTGTCTACATACAACTTTATAATGGTCAACTTCATGTATATTCATTTATAGCGCTTGGCATTTCGATTGGCATCTGCTCAAAATCCAAGTGCACCACCCTCCATTTCAAGGGTAATTTTTCAAGCTACTGCAGAACTCAAACGTTTTGTTAACCATTTCCTTGTGCATCATCACGATCCCATTGGAATCCGCAAACAGTGCCCCACTGGCCATTCTGGGCAACTTCGACGCGGCCCATATAGTCCAATGTAGAGCCTTTTAATCTGATAGTTCCATCGGGCAAGCCTTCCGCCGAGTCCGATATCGAATCGTTTGCTTAAGTTCTCGGCTTTAGTAAAAAATTATTAACACAAAGTCGATAAAGATTATTTAAAAATGAAAGAAACCCGTGCAGAACTAGTCTATCACCGTGCAGAATTCAATTTTAAAGAAAGAACTTGCTATCTTTAAAGAAGCTAACCACTGATTAGCCCACAGAACTCCTATCTTTGAACCTCAGATCATTTCTTTTAAGAAAAAGGAAAGAAAATTTGGCAGAACTAGTAATTGCTTCGGTGACCGATCGGAACAAACCTAGATTGATGCGTCAAGAAGATATTTTGTAAATAAAAATAAAGCTCTTGAAATTGGGGCTTTTGAATTCTTGAGGTTTCAAAGCTACCAGCAGCGAATATTATGCAAAAGTGGCGGTTCATCGAAGCGAACAAAATAACTCACCCTAGCCACCATATCCACCACGAATTATGCTACGCCGATTGTTGCTGCCCACCGATACGTGGCAAGAAAATACTATTATTGCAAACAAGTCGATTGGTTCAAAATGTATTTGTATTTTCCCTCGTTGTAAAAATTAAAGGGGTGGTTTGACAAGCTTATGCCTCAAGATTAGATAATAGCGCGTAATTATGGAAAGAAAGAGCTACTTGGGCCCGCTCTCAAGAATCTAAATAATGCTTCTCATCGACCAAATCAAATTGCGAGCGGCGGTGTTTACTCTTCGCAAAATTTAGAATCTCTCACTGACTTTGGTCATATTTTAGCAAATAGGTTTTACCGTTTTTTGATTCCGCTGCATGTTCTTTGTCGACATCTGGTAGTTTAAATTGAGAAGTGTTTATGATGAGACGATTCTGAGGCAGTAACCGCGAGTTGCCCAGCTTCTTCAGCGTCTTGTGATCTGGAGGGATGTAGGGCACTTCCCAGCTAATCTTACCTAAAAACCGTAACATGAAAGGTGTTTCTATGGAAAATCGTGTTTCTGTGTTTGATATGAACCTATGTGCCCAACTCCATAAGGGCGTCTTCGTATGCTTCGTGCTCCGCGAGCTCGTCGTTCATCAGCTTAAATTCATTGTTTATAGCCAAACTAACTGGTTAAATCATATAAAAGAATTATTGCCTACATCTAAATACAAAATCTAAAATTTGCGGAGCTTTCGATAGTGGTCTAAAATAGAGCAGTTTGTTTTTTGCAAGGGTAGAATCCATTTAAGAGTTTATTTTTAAATGTTTTGGCAATTAGAATGAGCTAGTCTAGCGATAACTTTGAGTGGTCAATAAATCAAGCAGCGAATTTATAATTGTCGAACGAAAATGGATTGAAGTTGTTTACCTGATGTGGATGGAAACGTGTGTAATCTCGGATTGATAAGGGTTGACTGAGGAACTTGAGAATGGAGATTGCCGGAGTATAAAGGAATGCGCGCGAATCATGTGACGCAAATTCAACCCTTTCTAAAGCATAAGTTTTAGCGCGTTTTCGCCTGACAGTATAATCGCCACTTGTCCCTTTCTATTTGAGCGATTACTCTAAGAGCCTCATCTCGCTTCCCAGAGTACCATTTTGGGAAAACGTTACGCCACCTTAAGGGCATCCACTCGCAATTTTGTTTTTTCAGTGAATGCTTCAAGATTCACAAAACTATTTTCCCTTCGATAGACGGAGCAGAAAATAGCTGTTCCAGGGATTTAACGAAATTGCATGATAAGGGTCGAACTATGAAATTACGGGATCTTGGAGGAAAACGAAATTACACAACATGACTTTTGCATATCTCTAAGGAGACTAAGCTCGAAACTCAAAAATTGATAGAACTTATTGGATTTGCATATTCGACGAATAAAACCCATCGAATAAGCCTTTCTCGAACTATTGTCAGTTACAATTCAACAATGATATTAGATGATGTAAATCTTGTAGACAGCGACGCTTCATGGATGAGCTGGAATTTGACCGTTTGAATTTGAACTGATCACATTTTAACGAGTGGAAAATAATCTCTGCGTTGATGGCCAGAAAATATACAAAAATTGACAGCCGTGTCTAATTAGCTGCTTATTGAGACCGTAAAGATCTAAATGTTAAATAAACATATTCTATCGATCAATAGATGCGCACTCTAAGGAAGTTGTGAAGGATCACTTTCTGTGGCTTCCTCCGCTGCTCTAGAAGATGAGCAGTGAGCGGATGGAAGCCACTTTGCATAACCACCCAGTCACTATCTAAATCTGATTGACTGATTAATTCGCGCCCAAGACCGCAGTTACCAAAGTCAATTTGACAAAAGCAGATAAAATTAGTCGCCCATTTCTAATTTTTCAAAGGGCAAAAACATAAAGATTTATCGGAGAGAAAGAAAGGGATAGCTTCTACAGGCCTGGACTAATTTTGAGTCGCGATAGGCGACGTCATAGCAGCGCCTCAGCCAGCTATCGAGAATTCCTATCATCTGGCCCACAAATCAGAAGGCTCACATTTGCGCGCGTTTTAAACTTCATCCTTGGGCCGGACGATAGGAATTCTTGATAGCTGGCTAAAGCGCTGCTATGACGTCGCCTATCGCGACTCAAAATCCCTTATCAGGCGCAAAGAGCCACTGTGGGCATGTGACGCGTATCTTACCTTGAGAAATGAATACTAAAGCGGCAAGTTATTGAAGAGCTCCTTTTGCGATGTATTCTAAAAGGCAGGCGATACAAACCTATTGCTGCGGTGTAAAATCTGTTTCTCAGCTGAGCGACCGGTGAACCGCTCGATTCATAAACGGTTTATCGGTAATGCTACAGTAACGGTTGTGTAAACTCGTTGGGTGCGCCACACGTCCCGCTTGCATCTGTGCTTATCGCGAAAATAGTGTGACAGATTCCGGAGTGGGTTAGATTGATGTTGTGATTATGGCATAATCGAAATGTAATTAATTGGGATAGAAACGGGCAGATGGCGCAATCCCTAACTCTGTTTAGACTTTAAGAGAGTCACCGTTTATAAATCAAGCAGTTTGAGTGTAAACAATCATTCACCGAAAGCGATCGCTTTCTTCCGGATCTTTCTAAGAAATGTCCGGAAATACTTTTCCCTGAAACAGCGCGTGAAAAACTTTTCATCCAGTCCTTTGTACAACTTAGCGCCATTGAGGCCAAAAATCAGTGTGCTAACCAGTAGGTAGCATTTGAGCATATTATTTTGGAGCAGTTGTATTCTATGTAAGTTCTTCTATGTGCTCACAGAAGGAAAATTTATTAGTTATGTTTCTTGGAGAGACGATTCGTAGCAGAACCTTCGCAGTTTCTAGGCCTCTTACTCTCTATTTCAAAAGTCTCTTATGTTTCTCTTAGAGTTTTTAAGGTTTTAGTAAAAAATTAACGGAATCTGTCACAAGTTGCTATCCGAAGTTTATTTAAGATTCAAGTACAATGGAAAAAAATGCCATATCAATCTCTATTGGTAGGAGCGTGGGAGCAAGAATTTTCGCGCAACAGCGAGCGCCGCCTATCGCGATGCCGCGCCGCTCAGAGGGCGCTTTAGAGCAAAATTACATTCAAAAAATTATAGAAATAAGAAAAGAGATTGGGCGATGGTCAGTCTCTCTCTTCTGGAAGATCAATTTCTCCATGATTATCAAAGCAGAAGAAGTCAACCATCATGGCACGACTTCCAAGAACAGATCATTAATGGAGTTGCTATTTAGACGCGGAACAAGCTCTTGCTACCAGAAACTGCTCGTCTCCTTCGAATCCATTTTGTTCGCACGATGTTCATGTACACTGTGACTCCGTGTTGCTTCAATTTAACTCGACCAATTATTGGTTTTGACAAGTTACACAAAATAAGATAATAAGAACGTAGAATTTCACTCTTATGTAGCTCACGATCGTCAATTTCTTGTGTCCGGGACGGCTCAATTCTAAAAAAAAAGCGCAAGAAAGAAGGCTTGCGCGAAGACGAAATGAAGACATCTGAGTTGAATGAAAAAATTGCAATAAAATTGCGGCGCGCATCGGCCCCTCTGAGCGGGACACCTTCTAAATTTGGGAATCTTGGCCGAACTTGGCTCTTTGAAATAACTCGATCAAGTAAAAATTCAATTCAAAATTGAAAAAACGGAAAGTCGATTATCCATCGACCGCAGCGTGAACCACTGCAACAACGAATTTGTTATATTCATGTTTAATGCGAATTTTCGATCGCCGGCAAAATCTCGGCATCGGCCTTTTTGAGGCTGCAAACGTGTGGAAGGCTTGTTGAGCACTTAATTTAAATGAGACGAGGCTCAAATAATCCAGCTAAACTCGATGAGCGCTAGAAGCTTAGAGCGAATTAAATTTCCCATTGTCAATCCTTTTTAGCTCGAACGGCCTTCTCGGCCCAGTTTGATGTCATTTTCGACACTGAAATTCTCCAATAAATAATTAAACTAGGATCGGCAACCTGTGTAGAAGACCTGACTCGGGTTCTAAAGAGTTAAAATAGAAAGCCGCGAAGCGGCTTCGCAAAATGGCCTTTTCAATTTCTTATAAAATATTTCTTATAACTCTTCAGAACCTGAGTCAGGTTTTCTATTCAGATTGCCGAGCCCAATAATGAAATATTCTTGTTGCTATGTAACACAGCGTTTAAAAGGAGCGACAAGGGATTATCCACGTTTGAAAGGCTAATTTACAAACAAAAGTGTCTAAGCGAAAATTAGATATCTTCTCTGCACCTTGCGATTTGCATAATATCAGAATAACTGAATTTAAGTTATCCCTTTGTGTTGGCTGACACTTGGCGAGAGTGTTTACGATTTATGTCTCTTCGTTTGGAATAACTATTCTTTGCTTAGTTTTTTTGATAATCGCTGCAACGCGATTACGCGCTGTAACACTTCTAGCGCGATTTACCATTCCATCCGCAGCAAATCTTTTATGCATTTTGAGTACATAATTTGTCGCGGCGCTAAGACAATCCGGATATCATTTGTCGCATTGCAAAACACGTGCACAAACACGTCTTGTTCATCAAACAACTGCAATCGAATTCCCACTATTCAACACGTTTTGCCACATGCCGCCTTAATGCCGCATTACAATTTCCATATTAGCGAAGAATCGGAACCCGCTTTCTCAAGAATCGCTTCCGAGCTAATCTCATTTTTTGGGGTACCGACGATTTTCAGAATAAAAAGACGTTTTTGATAATTGAAGATTTTAAATTGGAGAATTTTCGTTTTGGAAAAATCGTCGTTTTTCTGAATCGTCCTTATTTAAAATTGCGCTATTTTTCAATTTAGAGGAAAGTACAACGAGTGTCTCTTACAACATGGCGAAAATGTCGTACGCTGTCGGGAATGCAGCGTCGAGTAGGTATCTAGTTATTTTGAAGGGTCGACGCCCCAGACGGAAATGTCGAAAAGAGTTGGCAGGGGAGATTGACCTCTCGGTTGGAGAAGACGATTCCGGATTCCAAGAAAAAAGCACGGCGACGGTGAGAAAACTCAGCTGCGCAGCACTCCAAAATCTCGACACATTTCAAGTCCAGCGACGCAATCAGTCCGACTCACCCTCCTTCGGAGCAGGCTCAAATCTGTTCTTGTTGGAAATTTTTGAAGCGACAAAGATGCGACAGGTGAAAAAATGCACACGTTGCTTGTCCACATCACGTGTCGAGGAAGCACTTTGTTTTCGCAGTTCTAGCTCTGCGTCAAACTATTTCCGCCCGGTTATGTATAGTCTCTCGCCGGTGAGATAATATATTATCTGGTGAGAAGCGACTGCAGCGGACAGAGTTAAGCTCGGATATTCGCCTCGTTTGCCACTTTTCAAACAATTTGGAGTCGATCGTTCTAAACTTTTTTGATTCAGAGTTTTGGCTCGGAATTCCAAGTAGCGGAAATTCTAGAGCCCGGCCTTAGAGATATCCCCTGCCTCTGGAGATGCGAAAAGCCACTTGTTAATTAGGGCGAAATTATATAAGTGGCTGTGGGTCTTTAACTTCAAACGTGAAATGATTTTAGCTTGCAGGTGCATCTAAAAGCAATTTCGAATCTCGGCCAAAAGCGCTGTGAAATCTTAATTTCACTTTAAAACTCGCCCTTTATATAAAACCATCAAAGAACACGTTTCCAACTGTAAGCTCGCGCCGGCGAATGTTTTCGTCATTATTGCCGAGCAGTATTTTTGATAAAGACTACACGTGTTCGATGAGCACTTTCTTGTAAATTATTTAGACTCAGCGTGGTTGACTTCACCTGGCCGGCCCTATTAACATTCAAAGTGAAAATTCTTTTGGTCAATAGCCTATAAGCCGGCGACATTGCATGATTCTCCACGGTTATGTTTTCTCCCTAAATTGCCGCGACCAATCCACGAGAAATTTACTCAACTCAGCCGACATTCCAACTTCGTCTCAAATTTGCAAATGGCCATCAGGTCTGGGAAAAGGATGCTTATAGGGCCATGGCGTTGATTCTTGACTTGGCACTTGGCTTCTGTTTTGACAATAGCATTTGCCTGCTCATGGAATATAGAATATGCTCAAGAGAACAAATATGCTACGCATAGCGTTTTCGCCCGAATAAGAAACACTTTTGTCGTGCAGCTAATGTTGTACTTCGGAATAAAAACGACTGAGGTTCAAATGTTCTGACACGAGAAACAATCTCAGATCTTGAATTGTTGTACTGCTCCGACATGAATTCTGCGGCCATTTATTATCAAACGAAAATGATGAGTTAATATTTTTTGGAAGTGGATTTTAATAGAACCCTTTCGCCGCCCGAAGTAAACGCTAAAATGCCGTAGGCTCGGGTGAATCCGGCTTAGGCGCACAGGTTTCCTGTATATTATTCTATCTGATGATGGAAATCCCACAAAGGCCAACTGCTTTACATCCTAAAACAGAGAAATCGGTGTGTGTTTATTCTTCTGGAACCGAAACTAGTCCTTTGCGGTTGTCAATTACAATCTTAATCATGCTAGCGCCAATCTGCCCTTGTTGTACCTAAGTGGACTGATCAAATAAACTCTGGAACGCGCTCGTAATTCAAGAAAAAGAAACAGAGTAATTGGAGAGTGCTGCAAAGAGCTTAATTCCATCGTGCTGGACATGCCGTGAACCTAATTCTCCCAACGCGGCACCTATCGCTCACTGTTTGCTCAATCAAGCTTGCTTCTACGAAGAGGCGGACAGAGTTGCGTAGTTATAAAAGAAGGTCAGTTCCATGAATGAATGGTTACGTCGAGGCCGCCAATCAAGAGCATTCCCAAAGCTCGTAATCTCATAAATCCAGACGCCTGAGGTTAATTTGCGATAACAGGAACTACTAGAAACGTTTGCAAATACCGCCACAGTACGGTTTCACGACTGATTTGAATTTAAATAACTGATAAAAATTGTTACGGAAAATAATTGAGCGAGCATCTGATCGTTTTCTTGATCCGGTGATATGCGCGTGTGTTGTCTATTGAGCCTACTTATAGCTCAACGAGCAATTAACCTCACAAGATAAAGACGATCATTCTTATCGTTTAGGTTACTTTACAAGAGCGTGCCTTTCTCTCTTTCTTCCTAATGAAACAATATAATTAGCAAGTTCTTGCTTCATTTTCTATCTCGTGTTCTTATCACGCATCTCTTCCGCCTTGCTAGAAAATCAACTCTAACTTCTTCGAAAACATGTCTCGACCCCAGATCCTGTATTCAAAAATATTGTGTAATTTTTACTAATGCGTGTATTTTGCTACGGCGACTTTGCATCTAATAGCGAAATTTCCTCGAAGGCGAAAGACCCAGCACCTGCGTACTCTGCTCTTACACGATTTTGATTTATCTCTCGAATACGTTCTGTGAACCGCAAATTAAAGCAACGTGCCAACGCGATCGCCTCTCGCTTCGATTCATTAAGTAATTCAAACTTGAGCGCTTTAGAAAGAAATACTTCATTGAATTTTACCATTTTCAAGGGGAAAAATTTCAATTTCAATAGCGAAATTATAAAAAATCGACGTTTAAATTTATTTGATGTGTTCAGAGTTGAGTTTAGCCCTTTTTTAGAAATGTCTGATTGAGTTTGTCATGTCGACCAAGGCTAGGAACTGAGATTGAGGAGATTGAGGAGAGAGATCGTCGACGGGAATCCAGCTTAGGCTTCAACTCCACTTCTCGCAAATAAGGCGCCATATCTTCATCGAGCGTATCAAGAGTGGTGATTTTTGGAGGAAAGAGAGCTTTTACATTTAATTCTTAAATAAAGTTCAAATATATTGCATTGATGTATGATTATCTTAACATAAATAGACTTAAAGTCATAAATTATGCGCATATTATGAACTTAGCGATTGTGGAAAAATATTTTCTCCTTTCAGTTTCTTCGGCTTGAATGGAGTTGTCGTCAATTAGGTCAAATTTAACATCAAGGAGTTTATGAAAGAAAATTTTTCTTTCCAAATCATCTCTTTTTTCTTTTATTTGCGAATTAGAATCAAGAATTTCGGATAATATCTTGCTCAATTGTTCGCGTTTATTTTTTTCTTCGGCATAGAGGACCTTAAGGTCGCCCTTGATGGCTTCGACATCTTGTATGAACCTTCTCTTCGCTATATCTGTGAGCTCTTCTTCGTATTGTTCGAGTTTTTCTCGTGATTCTAGTTGTTCCTTTCCTTGGCTAGTTTCAAAACAACTTATTTATGCAACAAAATAAAAAATAAAGCTTGTTATATAGCTATGTATAAGTATTCTTAAGCCAATTTCCTTCCCCACAGTGTCCAATTCTTCATCAGTTTTACGTTTAATTTCCTCAAGCTCTCGTGCTCTCTTGTCCAGGTCTTTAGATCGCTGTTTTTCCTCGTCTCGAAGTTGTCGGAGTCTTTTCTCTTCGTCGGACAAACTCATTTTTTGACAAATTTCAACTGAATCAAAATGAACGAGAGGTCATTCAGCGAGCGATCATTATCATTTCTCGGTTGCAGTTAGATGGCAGTAGCTGATTTACTGATTTAATTGCGAATGAATGGAGTTTTGCAATTATTTACGCGTCCCTTCCATTGGGTTAAAAAAGCAGCGGAGAGGAATTTCGAGCAAAAATGTAAGGCTTCTAAAGTGCGTTTATCCGATGGAAGAAATTCCCGCCAGTGAGAGGCAGCTCCTGATAGCACATAGTTTGGAAATAGTTTTTAATTACCAGAAAACGATGCGCAATACGTGGCCGGGCATCGCCATTCGAAAGTTGGATTACACGCGGATTTTCGTTGTTGAGTAATTTTGCATGCATATTTCCGCAGGGAAAAGAATCCGCATCGAAATACAAGCAACAAGGATAAAACATCAAACGTGTAAAAATGGTAATTTGAAAATTCGCCAGTTCTGCACCTGAGAGCGGGCCACTGCGGTGCGACGTGGATACCGTAAAATTTCTTTACGAAAATCTTGAAAATTATTCGCCGACCGCAAAAAAATTTCACTCCCGCTGGCTGAAAATTTAAAGAAATACCGTTTAGAGCGTATTTGTAATTACTAATTATATTTGCAAGGACCTCTTCCCCTTCAGAATTGTCAAGCTACCTTCCGCCAGTCGCTTCCGAAGCGATACGAATGCGAATTGACGGATTAACTTAGAGAGAACAATTGATCCGACGGAAAGCACCATCGGATGGTCCAACCGAAATCGCCTTTCCTCTAGCAAGTAACATTTATTTTGGAAAATAATCGCAACAGTTACATCCTACACAAAGTTTCTTTATCTATCTGGCAAGCTTAACGGCTGACTCCGGAAGAAGCAATTTCAGGTTTGAATGCATTGTTTCCCAACTCCGGCTCGAGCAAACGAGCTCATGTAATCGCTAGAAATGCTTCATTGAAATTTATTTTGATGAGCTTGATGGATCACCTTGAAAACTCGAAACTGGGTGAGCCACTCAGTTTATGCTTATCACTTAAAAAGGCGAAAACTGGAGCTTGAATTTTAAATGGTTCAGTTTTCTGGAGATTCGTTTATAACTTGAAAAAAATAGAATCAATGATTCGAGGTCAATAGAGTTTTCACGTGGTCTTGTCCGATTTTCTCGTTTTTGCAGAAGAAGCGGTTGACCCAACATGCCACAGAATAGCCACAAGTTCAACTAAAAAGGTTTCCGTCTGTTTCTAGTTCATTCGCCTTGAAGATAGTTAGGAAAACATATTTGCGTGAACGGTGTGATGATCGCATACTGTCAAGATACTGTCGATGCGCCCAAATACTGAAGACAGTAGAGAGTTATCAATAACTACCTAGAATCGATACTGGCTCGAATAGAGCAACCAAACGAAAGAAGAAGCCGAGTGTCGCCGGGCGAGTCTCAGTTCCTCTTATCGCCACTTATGTTGGTCTCAATTTGACGATAGAATGATCTTCCGCAATTGGCGACTATTTGCAGCGCAAACTTTCCATCGACCATACTTTTCTCGAGAGCGATAGGATATCGTTCTGATAGTAAGGAATACTTTGATCTGACGTCGTTCCGAATTATTAACGGAAGCTCATTCTGAATAATCAGAATCAGTTTGTCAGTCCAGATTCCGTTCGTTCCTGGTAACACTGCTTACACTTGTGAAGAGCTACTTGGACGAATTATCATACTGCTGAAGATTGCATTCATGTTAATCAAATTCTAGCTTTTTTTTTCTTCGCGTTTCGAAGATAATAACTAGGCAGAGCGCCAGAAAATTGGATTGAGTTCTTTTTAAATCTGAATCTTTTCCGCAGCTGAGCTATGACATTTCTTACAGGAGCATGTTTGCCATGCTTTCACAAGAATTCCTTTGAGTCTAAATTTTAAGAAGAGTTTTGCAGTTAACTCCATCGAATTTACCTAGGCTCACTAAAAAAGACAGCCCAGGAATGGTTACTTTCCCACAGATGCTTCTATAGAACGACAGGCATCTGTAATTATTTTGGGATAGAACTTGTCATCTTAAATTAAAGAAAAAAAGTTTTGATCGCCATGTTGCAAAGTTAGTAACGCTGAATTCATTGAATCCATTGACAATGGATCTATTTTTTCTTCTTCGAAGATGATTTTGATGATGGTGTTTGCACTTTTATTATTATTATCGTAATTGTTCTTCTTTTTCACCCGTTGTCAAGGAAAGAAAAGAACTTTCGTTTTTCTTTTGGTGGCGCTCTTCAAACAAGCAAGGGAAGGAATCGAAGTTTACAGAGAATACAGTAGCACAGAGCACACTTCAATCTCCTTCTGAACCAGTAGTTCCATACACAGTTAAAGAAGCGATAACTTAAGACATTCGAGAATATGAGCAGAGATGTTACCCCGAGGGGCCCTGTCGAAGCCATGGAAAAAGGTTTAAAAGAAGTTCTAAATGGCTAACATTTTTGATCGAGGGTTTTAGATAAACCGCGTTGTGTTTGTAGAATTTAAACTAAGAGAGGAATTTTAGGTCCTGGCCCAGCGAGATACTTGCTTCCGCCTGCAATCGGCGCCTCTGACCATGATCCCAGGAACTTGTTGACTTCTAATCTTCAAATTTTTATGAAAAAGGAAGATTTTTTCAACATTATGGAGAAAAGTCAAAGCACCTCAGTATTCAATGGGTGCTGCATTGAATCGTAATCCCAACAACAGTTTTCCCGGGCCTGCACACTACAGAGTTGACGTGCAGCTGACTCGTATTGGAAAGGATGGAACGCCGAAATACTCAATCGCTGCAAGGTAACCTTCAGAAATCCAGAACTAAGAAAAATAGAAACTTCGAAATCAAAGAATAACTAAAAAAGAGACATCCTCAAATCAATATGTTTCAAAGCGGAGCAAAGTTCAACAGTGTCATTATCGTAATTTATGGACAAGAAGCCAACTTCGGCGCTTAGGAGAATCACTAGAGCAAACACGGCAGAGCCAATGTTTTGAAAAGTCGATTATAATGAAGTGTAAGCGATTAAATTTCAATCCAGACTGATTTCATCATTTTCCTTGGCATTTTTTTTTCAGGAAGAAATCAATTTTCGACTTGTAGAACTTGCAAAATTAAATTTTATTTGAAGACATCAAGAGCGCGTTTTCGCCAAAATGTAGAATCGTCTGCACGCGTTTCTCAAAAATGCTAACTTGGCTTTGAAGAGATCGGCATTGTCAACGATAAGTGGCAGAGCGGCGAGCTGAATAGCTGCAAGTTCCGTCGCGAACACACCTCCCACTGTATTAGCCCAGGGATTTTCATTATCCGGGAAGCCAATTTCCTCTTCGTATTTGTCACTTCAGACAGTTCTAAAGTAGCACCACAAACAATTCTTTTGATGTTTATTTTGAACACATCGGAAAGTCTCGAATACATGATCTGAGATAAGAATGTAAATGATAAAGTAAAACTGTAACTGGCCAAATGACGTTTTTCAAAAACAAAAAATTTAGGGCGAAAGACCGCAAAACCGAAATAACACCCGGCGCTGGTGCATACAACACAGAGAATATTTGGCCACAAGGTATGAGTCGACAAGGTTTGTCAAACGACTGAAACTCAATCGTTTCTAGGAGAGAGGAAACGTCCTTCGTATTCAATGGCGAGTAGAACCAGATACACACAGAAAGAAAAGGTGCCAGGGCCGAATCAGTACTCCCTGCCGAAGCTAATTGGACCAGATATTCGAGATTCAAAGAGAAGGTATGACAAACTATCATGCCATTTAATCATCTTCGAAATTATAGGGGCGGACCTTCGTATTCGATGTCTACGCGACTTAGTCTTGGCAGTTTTGCTGAGGACCTGGCGAAAACTCCTGGTCCTGCTCGTTACGGGCCGCCAAACAACGACTCTTTCTTGAAACGCAATCCACAGGGACAGTGTTTTCTTTCAGATAAACCGCGCGCCACAACAATAGCTGCTTTATAAGTTTGAGCGAGAAAACTGATCTTCTAGAATTCAGCTTGCTCCGCCCATTTTCATATTTGTCAGATAAAAAGAACACTGAAAAAGTACACTCTTCAAGGAAGATCTAAACTACCATCTGATAAAACTCGAAAACCTGGTCCAGGTATTGCAAAAAGAAAATATTATAAAATAAAATTGCGCAAAAAGAAAATAGTTCGCTAAGTAGCGTTTTTCAGGGAGCCATTCGCCTGAAAAGGTGACAGCAACGAGGCGTTCGGCACCTTCATTTCACTTTGGTCGTCGGCATTCAGAATACACGCGAATCTTGATGATTTAAATGCCCAGACAAAATACTTTCACGCAACACTACACGTATTTCTACAAGCATAGTCGTTTATTAGTTATGTAAAATTAAACATTCTTTAATGCATCTTCTCGATTCTTGTCTTGCAGGATTTTACAAAGTGTCTCTCAAAACGGACCGTGTCTTTAGAAATAGAAATGCTTTCCCTAAAATCTTGAGAAAAAATCAAAATGAAAAAATGCTCAAAATTTTATATGAGGTTGTTTCCTCTATGATATTAAATTTTATTATACAGTATTTTTATTTTGTCAAGGCAAATTAGATTTAGACTTGTTATTGACCAGTTGGCGGAGTATGTGCTTGGTGTCGGTAAGGGTTGTATCTGGAGGAGGATTCACCAGAGACAAAATGTTACTGACAGGAGCTCGTCCCTGTCTGGCCGTTTTGGCGGCGGCAAACGATATTCAGCTGTGGCAGTGTGTGAAGGGCCTTTCTCTTAATGAGTGTTCGGGGACGATGAAATCAAGGAAGAGAACCTTTCTGTTAGACATCTGTTTCGCTTGGCAATTCTAGCCCTTGGTTTGTTCGGTTGTCCCTTATTCTTCCACGAATAAACGGCTCTCCGTCAAGGTCGATTCCATCAGATAAAGAGGTATTTTCGGGTCCATTTTTGTTGAAGAAAGGAAACCAATTTGGACAAGAAGGCATCTTCATTGTCGTATTATGAACTTGAGTATCCTTAAATGCGATTGAAACGTTGCCACTTATTCGAGTATGACCTGGTCGACTTCCGTTTCTCTATGATAGAAGTAATTGAAGTTCGAAACGATGACCGGCACTGGAAGTGCAATTCCCAAGACACCGGTGATAGCGCACAGGGCGCCAACGAATTTGCCCGCAACGGTTACGGGACGCATGTCACCATAGCCAACAGTGGTCATCGTCACGACTGCCCACCAAAACGCATCAGGAATCGAATTAAACTGCGATTTTGGATCGACGGAATCTACTTCAGCGAAGTAAACAGCCTGGAAATAAGTTCCGTAAATATTCTTTTTTTTAGTCTTACCGAAGAAAACAAAATAACTCCAATAAAAAGGAAGAATATTAGCAGACCAAGCTCTCTCATGGAGGCCTTGAGCGTTTGTCCAAGAATTTGGAGACCTTTTGAGTGCCTCGATAATTTGAAAATTCTAAAAACGCGGACGAGCCTCACTACGCGCAGAATCGCCAGTGACATCGACTTGTTCGTGTCTTCTTCTTGTTCAAAGTTGTCCTTGTTCTTATCCATTTCTTTCGAGTCCTCGTCGCGGGTTGCCAGGGTGATGAAATAGGGCAAAATCGCCACGATATCGATGATATTCATGATATCCTTGACGAACATCTGGAAAACAAAATTTCAGCTAATTTAAAAGCCATCTGACGGGACACTTTCAATAATCAAAACTGAAGACAAGTTTTGAGTTAAATGGAAAAATTGGACGAAAATGGAGCTTAGTCTTGAGACGGATTACCAGGTTCGTGAGGACTAGGTTCGTGTGACTAGGTTCGTGGGTGCCATGTCGGAAAAAATGGTTCATGTGACTAGGTTCGTGGAATCTTGATTTTTATATGTATTTTTTGTATCTTCAGCATTTTAGGGCAGTAAGGGAAATGGGTTGATGAGTAGGTTCGTGTGACTAGGTTCGTGAAATTTTAAATAGAAAAAATTTTGGGGCAGTAAAGGAAACGGGTTGATGACTAGGTTCGTGGGACTAGGTTCGTGAAGACCTGGTTCGTGAAGACCAGGTGAGTTAAACTAGGTTCGTGAAATTTGGACTTTTATATGTTTATTTTATTTTTTGTTTGTTAGAGTTAGGCTTTAAATAAAACAATGTGAGAGCCTAGCGGCTTATACGGGGGGGGAAACTCATTTGGGATAAAATCCTTCATTTTGCTTGCTCAAAAACCCACGAACCTAGTCCCACGAACCCTTTCCATGTTCAATATTTTCTATTTAAAAACTCACGAACCTAGTCCCACGAACCAAGTCATCAACCCTTTTCCCTTACTGCCCAAAAATTTTTACCATTTAAAAACTCTCGAACCTAGTCCCACGAACTTAGTCATCAACCCATTTCCCTTACTGACCCGAAATTCTTACTTTTTAAAAACTCTCGAACCAAGTCCCACGAACCAAGTCATCAACCCTTTTCCCTTACTGCCCAAAAATTTTTACCATTTAAAAACTCTCGAACCTAGTCCCACGAACCTAGTCATCAACCCATTTCCCTTACTGTCCCTAAATTTTATTTTTTAAAAAGTCACGAACCTAGTCCCACGAACTTAGTCATCATGCCTTTTTCCTTACTGCCCCAAAATAAAGGCCGATTTCAATACTCTGGCAGAACCCACCACGAACCTAGTCCCACGAACCTAGTCCTCACGAACTTAGTCGTCATTCCCCTTAGTCTTTGAGATGCACCAAGGTTGACAAAACATCAAGATGAAAATTTTAACTTACCGCTTTGGATGGACAAGAGGCGAATCGGACCATCACTTCGAAGGAAAACCAGATGATACAGAATGTTTCGATCAACCAAAAAGGATTATCTGCAAGATTGCGTTTGTGACACTAAGATGGCAAATTATCTAGACGCCCGAGCACTTACGCAAGATTCTTTTCTAATTCAATCACTTCGCATTTACTGCTGTTGCTTTTAATACGGCACTTACTGTTACGCCTGAGGTTAGTTTGTTGGTGAGGTTTGAAATAGTTTTTTCTACGGCCGCCTCTCTCGTGACGCGACTTGATTCTTTGCCAGAAGTGCCACAATTATCTCCGTCGCCCTTGTCTTCCCCGCAACAGCAACAGCATTTTGGGGGTTCTGGTACTTTCTCCATGTTGACTACAGAGTTGTTGATATCGCGACACTAGAGATTCAATAAGATCAGAAAGTATTGCCGGAAGCTTACCTCGTACTGGTTGATCGTGGCGGAGAAGTCGGGCAGCGTTTCAAGACAAAAGGATACTATCGAGAGCAGAATCACGGAGACAGATATTACAGCAATGATACGAGCCCATAAAGAAGACTCTGGATATTCGAATAAGAGCCAAAGCTGCCTCTGCAGTTTTTGCACCGGCAGAGGCTAAATTACGCTGAGTCAAGCGAAACTTTACTGATTGTACCTTTGCTTCTTCTTTGATGTATCCTTCGTCTTCTTTATACTTTTCCATTGCTGACTCGCCAAGGTCATAAAATTTGATCTCTTCCGTGAAAACGTCGATAGGCACATTTACAGGTCTCCTTAATCGACCTCCGGATTGATAATAATAAAGAATTGCATCGAAGGATGGGCGATTACGGTCGAAAAAGTACTCTTTTCTTTGAGGGTCCGAGGGTGGGTTCAACAACTGTCTTTTTTCGCAGAGCTAGAGCTAGAATTAGTTGAACCCGTAAAGCATAATAATCTTGTCTTCGTTCTGCGCACCCGAGAAGGCTTTTTGGAAAGTTTGATAGGGTCGATAGTTGCGTCTCAAACCGCAAACCGGAGACATTTATTATGATTCTTTCGTTTTCCAGCTCTGGAACTCGATCTAAAGTTGTAATTAGAGATTGAACTGTTTCACGATCTTTTGCTCGATGGATCGATTCAACAGAATCAAATAAATAATTTAAATTTCAGAATAAAATGAAACAGAGACCCAGAGTACGGGACTGCTCCCCTGGGAAAGGCGTTAGTTTCGCATACCACAGGACATGCCATCAATTTTGCATCTCCAGTAGAGTAACTAATAAAACTACCAAAAGTCTTTACTCACCTCTACATAGCTCTCTTTCAATTATTGATAATGCTTTATTGAAATATTAGTGATAATATATTACCGTTGTAATGTGGTGAATTTGGACTCGATTCATCATGGCGCTGATTTGTTTCTCGCGTTGCTAGTCTGTTCGTCGGTCCTGTCCTGAAATTAAAAGAGGGTTAATCAAAACGTTTTTTTTCTTGAGTGCAACTTTGCATTGGAGTTGGATTTTCTCACTGCTTGATTCGGTGACAACAAATAGTTCCTATTCACAGGGAACTGCTTTCCCGAAGACTCTCTCCCAAGTTCTAAGCCACTTGCTCAGCTCAAAATTGTTCAAGCTAATTTTTAAGGTTCATGAAAAATCTTAAGGGGGTAGGAACAGCTTTTTTCCGAAAAAGGCGATTTTTGACCGGCGCTACAGACAAGAGAATCTTACATTTTCAAATTATCTCTTCAGGTTTAGATAGATACATCTTAAATCTAGGAACATCTCTCTCGAAATTTGTTTTAGTCATCAAATTTTTGAGTAAACGGGCTCAGAAGCAGCTCATCTCTTCGAAATTCTCGATTTTCGCAAATTTTTAAACACGTATATCTCGAGTCCCCTGATAGTTAAACAAATTTCATTCACATTTTTGTGAAGCTCAACCCTTTTTCTGGGAACATTTATGAGGAAATTCCGTGAACACAAATAAATCTTATGTTTTCTTTTATGTAGCTGCAGTCCAAAATCGAGGAAGCTATTTCTACCCCCTTAAATGATCTAGCCCCTTTCTCTGTTCTGAGCGGATTCCTGTTCTCTCTGGTCAAACTATTCTTGGCAAATTTAAAGGCTATTGCCGGCGAATAGAGCGTCATCTCATCTCCGCAGCTGATTTTAACTAGGGCTTCTGTCGTGTGGCCCGGACTGTGTTCAGCAGAATATCAGAACACGTTTTTAATCCATTTCAAATCTTCTCATCTATCTGTAGAAAAAAGGACGACAATTGATAGTGAAGCGAACTATATCTATCACTGTTGTCTGCGCGAAGGATGAAAGTTTTATTTTGTTCAGAAATAAAAGAATATACATATTTTCTGCTCCTTGTTAGATTTCCCTCAAAAATTCTCTAGCGAACTTAAAGTCCTTCTATTAAAAATCTTCGTCGAACTATCACTCCTCTCTTTTTTCTTCTCAAATGAAAAAAAAACAATATTTTACTTTTCAAAGAAAGTTTTTCGATTTGTTTTTTTTTAGTACGGCGGCGTACAGTGCGCCCGGATTTTTAAGTTCCACCCAAGTTAGGTGAGTTAATGCATGGCGCTCTTAATCAGCCATCTGCTTGATTAGAATAACTAGTCAACGGATTTTGAGATCTGAACACACCCAAAGGTCCTATACCCTGTTTATCAATTCACTTAAGCCATTAATTAATACCCTTCTTTGCCCAAAGCCCGAATTAATTAAAATCTGAGGATCGGAAAATGATTTGGGCTTTTATTTTCTGCAAAAGCTCACAAAAAAAAGAAAGGGCTTGGACAATCGTCTAATAAGTTTCAGTTGATTTTTTGATTCATGAATTATAAGGAAAAACGCTGGAATAGTTTCTTCTTTGATTTCAAGAACTAGACTCTGTCAAGGATTTTCTAAAAATGCCGGTTATTGACGCGCAAATCAAATATGCTGACAGTGTAGTTCATGATGTTTTTTTGAAATGAGCTGCTTTAAAATATAATAGGATGAAGAAAAACAAAGCGTCTACTTTTGGGAATTACGACTTAGTTCGTGAGGACTAGGTTCGTGGGACTAGGTTCGTGGTGGGTTCTGCCAGAGTATTGAAATCGGGCTATATTTTAGGGCAGCAAGGGAAATGGGTTGATGACTAGGTTCGTGGGACTAGGTTCGTGAGTTTTTAAATGGTAAAAATTTTCGGGCAGTAAAGGAAATGGGTTGATGACTTGGTTCGTGGGACTAGGTTTGTGAGTTTTTAAAAAGTAAAGATTTAACAAGGAAAAGGTTCGTGGGACTAGGTTCGTGGGTTTTTGAACAAGCAAAATGTAGGACTTTATATCCCAAATGTCTAAAATAGTCTTCACGAACCTAGTCCCACGAACCTAGTCATCAACCCATTTCCCTTACTGCCCGAAAATGCTGAAGATACAAAAAAATACATATAAATGTTCAAATTCCACGAACCTAGTCCCACGAACCTAGTCCTCACGAACCTGGTCATCGGTCTCCTACTTTTCGATAAACTACGAGATCGTGTATAATAATTTTTCAATTCGAAACTCACATGCAATTCAGACGGTTGCTTTGAAAAGAAGGAAGTAAACAGTCATTCTCTGTTTTAGCGCATTTGTTCGGGTAAAATTATTCATTGAGCACAAGAGGCGTGAAATAGTAGCTACTGTGCATCTCCTTTGATAGGTGAAAATACTCTGATTTATTAGCGAGCACATTCTATTGTTCCCCGCTGACCAGGTCGATTTTAAGCATTATATCGACTTAACAATTAGAGAGAAAGGTTAAACCTGCATAGCCATGTCTAGATAGATAACAGAACATAAATCAAAAGCCCTTAATTTACAGTGCTTTCTGATATTTGGCTCTTATAAAAAGTTGCGACAGTAGACGGCTTATTCAGTATATTTCAGGGAGTACCTTTTGGCTACGAGTGGAGTCGTATAAGCGTGCTTTGTTATGTGATCATCCCCGTTAGCAATCTGGCTAATCTCGTTTCCCGGCTGAGGCGTCTGCGTTCTCATTGTGGATCCCCATTTCGGTGATTTCTAATTAGCCCGTTGCTACTTTTTCGAAATTCCGAAATTTTCGATCCTAGCCCGGGCTGTTTGTCAATTTCAACCAAATTTTGGTATTTCGAGTTTGTCTTCAGAAAACCCAGCTTAAAACCCTGCTTTTAGCTGACATATCGTCCTTCTCAAAGAGGAACACTCTTTCTACTTGAATATTAATTTGGAAATAAATTTAAACAACATGTCCTTCGTACTCTTTTTGGCAGTCACTGGTATATTATTGATCATCCAGTGATTTCTCCAAACCAGCCGACAATCTCTAGCGCCATGAAGCCAAAAATTAACGGACTTTTTTATTTCTTGAGCGCTTAGCTTTTAAAGTCAAGAAAAATTTTGCTCCGAAAAAGTCAGCGTCTCGAGTGACAGTATTCGACGCGATGCGACAGAAGCAGGGTCGATAGACAACAAGAAAAAAAGGAAAAAAGCCGCTAGTTGAAAAACGTGTGATCTCTTTCTCTGTGGCGGCGCTATGTCTTTTCCAGCGTACTGTCAATAAGTGACGTACTATCGCCACAGGAAAAATAAATCATAACGCTTTAATCGCCACCTGGAGAGGGAGGAAGAAAACTAATCAACTGCCATAAAATCATTCTCCTTTAATAAGCCTTTCTTGCATCTAAGGTCGCGGTTAATCAAAAAGGGTTCAAAAAGATCTGTTCTATGCAGGAACGTAATCGCGGCGAAGATAGTTACGAAGAAAACTATTTTTATGATTGTAAAATGTTCATTAAAACAATTGTGGGTATAAGTAAGCGGGTGCATTGCTAACACATCAAAGTAGGGTGAAAATCTCCACTAGAGAATACAATTGTCGGGATTTGAAAAAAAAATCAGAAAATTTTTTCTGTTTTTTATCTGTTCTAAAAAATGGTTAATTTTTTTGCCTTATCCAATATTATTATGGTTGCCTTCACTTCCAACAGAAAATTCTAATTTCAAACATAGAGTAAATTTTTCGCAAAGCTATTATAGTTCATTTTTACAAGAATCCAAAAAAGAAATCTTCGCAAAGATGACTTACTCTGCCATTCAGAAGAGAGAGATTTCCGAATTTGTGATTCAAGAGTCTTCAAAAAGCTTCTTCAGGAGAGGATTCCATTCTCTGATGATGGATGAAGCTCCCTACAAGTGACGACCGTTAGCTGAGAGAGCTACTTGGGCGAGGATTTTCACCCGGGAGCAGCCATAGTTGAAATAGGCAAGTACTTGCCCACTACCACTCTTAGTAGGTCGACAAGGCCAATTACAGAATCTTCGATTGTCCTCAATTTGCGCAATAAAATGATTAAAATTACTATCAGAAATGGCCGGAAAAAATATAAATTTTCGGCCTTCGAACAGCCATAACTCACGTGATACTCTTTGAAACCAGATGATTCAAGTATCAATGGAAAGCTCAGATTCTGAGGATTGGGGGAAAGCAAAAATTTTTCCGAAAAATCGGTTTTTGCTGATTGGCCAAAAAATTAAAATATTAATTTTCGTCATTCAGAATCGATTTTTTTCAAATTTCTTTTCTTTCCCCCAATCCTCAGAAGCTGAGCTTTCTAAAAATATATCAATCACGTGATTTCATCATCTGTCACGTGAGATATGGCAGTTCGTAGAAAATTCTTGAAAATGGCCTCAGAATCGCCCCAGGCTATGAAAAAAAGTTTTTTCCAGGTGTTTTCTAGAGTTTAGACGATGACAAAAACGGTCAAGATAATGATTTATCCCCAAGCTGAAATTTTTGTCAAAATTGAAAATTTATATTTTTTCCGACCAATATATTTTCGAATTAGAATCAAGCTTCAAGAAATCAAATTCGATAATTTAATACTGATCTTAAACTGTCATTATAACTGCTGGACGTCTTAGGGAAGCGTGCGTGCCCAAGCTCGCATACGCAAAAGGCAAGTTCAATACCAAAGTATTTTCCTCTTGCGGCGGCTATTACCGGCGATGACCACGTTATGTAATTAGCCGTTTTTCTTGCAAAATTAATTTTTGCAAAGCCGCCCTGAGAGTACTACAGCTGAAACGGAGCAAATAACTTTGTTCTTTTCGGCTACGGCTTTATCATTTGACTCAATTGTAGCGTAACGGCTTCAGTAATTAATATTAACTGCATCTTTAGCAGCGGAAAATAATTGACCCAAACTGCCTCCACCGTCAATTCGAGCGTTATTCGAGTTCTACGCCTCCCTCCGATCTATCGCTTCTACTGCGACTTAAATTATTCAAAAAATCACTTCCTTAATGTAGAAATCATTCCTCCAATCAACGAGGAAGCAGACAGCTTTTGCAAAAATGACAATAGAGTTTAGCTATATCGCTTGTCTTCCAAGAAAAACTATGTGACAGCTCATTTTTCTTTCATAAGAATATATGCTCCGGGCAAATGTGAGAGCACTTTCTTTTAGATTTTTATATCATTGCGTTTCTCTTTTAATCTTCGCATTAATTGCTAAGTAAGGGGATAATGATCTGTGGACGATTATAATTTATGAACATTGGCACTTGAAAAGCGTGTCACTAAAGATGCATGTGTATAGTAGCCATGGAGGGGACAAATAAATTTCGCTTTATTGTCTCCTCTCTGCGTGAGGATCAATAGCTGTGATGTGCGTACGACGGGGCTGCGTACGCGCCGGGCGTAAAGTAGTTAGCACGGGCTGTGTCGCTAGAAAGCGCGTAGACTTACGTTTGCGAGGAGTTTTGCGCCTCGTGCTGGGCGCAACGTCGAGGCAGACGCTGCTTTGCGCTCGCAGACGAGCTAAACATCCTTCACACATTCCGTGGTTCACTCATGCTCCGCACTCATTCTCCGCATACTCTTTCTCTCTTCTCCTCGTTGATTTCTCCACTTTCTCTCTGGTGGGCGGCGTTCTTTCTCTCCTTTCTGCTCCTCTCCCGCCTGCCGGGCCACTATCCGATAATATTGTCTATGTTCGTGCTCTTTCCTCCTATCTCGACGTTACCGACGGCGACGGCGATCGCGGCGAGGACGCTGGCGTTAGACGAATGAAAAACGAAATAGCGTTGCTCGTCCGACTCGTCAGCCAGAAGTGGTAGAAATCAATAGTGCAATGTTGTGTACCCTTTCTACGCTCTGAGTCCAACTCTCATTAATACTTTATCATGAAGTGCACCCGGTGGACGGCGAGTTGCCAGCCCACGCTACTCGCGGACCTGATCAAGGGTCAGATCAATTCAAATGCAATCAAGAGAGACTAAAATGCAACATTAAAAGCTTAAGGAAACCAAAACACCCCCAACAACCCGCCCAGCCCTTCGCTCTCCTTTTTTCACCGCCTCGCCAGACCTAGAAGCTATTCAGATGCAGCATCTCACATTTAACATGCAACGCGTTCCCCTTTTCATCATTTTTATGAACGCTTTCAATACACGCTCAATTTTTGAAGGAACTTCTATCAGTTTGAGCCGTTTAATGAATTCACACCCGACAAGGACTCATTGCATTTTAACACCATTAATAATGCTCTATTATTATTCATTACTTGATACGCGCGTACTTCTAAATTAAAGAATTATGACTTCCGTACTGCATCTCATGATTATCCGAAAATCCCAAGGGAATTCTTCTATTAGAGCACAGTTATGGTCATTGCTAAAATTCATTTTTCATAACGTAATGAATTTTATTGAGTGTAACTTATATTTTCAATCTAAGAGCTTTTCAATTTGACAATTTTATACTCAAAATTCATGATAATTATTGTCTTTTCTCGTCTTATTGAAATTTCCTGATCCTCTGAAAACTTAAACGTCGCTGTTACCTCTCTATTCCAAGAAGTTTGTGCAGTTTTTTCTGATTTCTCTGCTGTAAGATAGCGGGGTGACAGTAGTTGAGCGTTCCGAAGGACGCATTCATCTCATCCCCTTTTCCGAGTCTGTCTTTTCCGAGCCTAGTTAGTCTGCCTGGCCCTATCTATCTCCGTTGACTGATCATTTGAGCAACTGCTCCAAATCGCTGCCCGTATTGATGAATAGTCAAAAATACCACAAATCTTTAATCAATTTTTTAATTAAATAATTAGGTTAATTAAATAGGGCCGACGTCTACAATTCCCATTTTATTTTATTTTTAAGAGTGCGCAATAAACTACTCACTACAGGCTGTAAAATTGTATAAGCTATGAGTGGGATCTATTTTTGACCAGCGAAATTGCAATTGATTGTGAAGAAACGAAAGAAACAGTACCTGGTGTGAGTGGACGATTTTCCTGATTGAAATGTTCCATAATCCTCGCTATCTGCTTTCGTCTTCACAGTCAGGGGCGAAAACTTCCTTCTGAATGAATTTATTAACCTGGAAGGTAACAAGATTATTCTCAAAATTAATTCATCTTGTTTATATACAATTGTAGGCCTTTTCTAGTCCAGACACATATTTTCTGCGGTAAGTGGTTTCTGGGATTTTTTATGAGAATGACGACTAGGTTCGTGAGGACTAGGTTTGTGTGACTATATTCGAGGTGGGTTCTGCCAGAGTATTGAAATCGGCCTATATTTTTGGGCAATAAGGGAAATGGGTTGCTGACTAGGTTCGTGTGACTAGGTTCGTGAAATTTTAAATAGAAAAAATTGGGGCAGTAAGGGAAACGGGTTGATGACAAGGTTCGTGTGACTATGTTCGTGAAATTTTAGATAGAAAAATTTTGGGGCAGTAAAGGAAACGGTGCTGACTAGGTTCGAGGGTTTTTGAACAAGCAAAATGTAGGATTCTATATCCTAAATGAGTTCCCACCCCCAACCCCCTATAAGCCGCTAGGCTCTCACATTGTTAAAGCCTAACCCTAACATACAAAAATAAAATAAACATATCAAAATCCAAATTCCACGAACCTTGTCTCACGAACTTGGTCTTCACGAACCTAGTCTTCACGAACCTAGTCCCACGAACCTTGTCTTCACGAACCTAGTCTTCACGAACCTAGTCATCAACTCATTTTCCTTTCTGCCCCAAAATTTTTACTATTTAAAATTCCACGAACCTAGTCATCAAGGCATTTCCCTTACTGCCCCAAAATGTTGAAGATGCAAAAAATACATAAAAAAATCAAAATTTCACGAACCTAGTCCTCACGAACCTGGTCATCGGTCTCTTTTTATCGGAAAAATTAGAAGCATCGATAATTCTTGGTAAGAAAATTTTACCAAGAAAACAAGAAAAAGGGAAAATCATGTTTGTAACTTGGTGAACCCATAGCAGGTCGCAGTGCCATGGAGTGCCCGCAAATGCAGTATTTAAAAGGTCGCAGCTTGAAATGATATGAATCATATCATATGATTTAGGATGGCCCCTAAAACCAATCAAAGCGCAGATTTATATAATACGTAATAATTAATAAATATTATAAAAAACGATTTAAATTTTCCTACAGCATCCATGATATATTGGACGTGTCTGTCCGCTGGCGATCAACAATTTTCTGATAGTCTTTTCTTCCTTTGCCCGAATGAAAATCAGCAAGTATTTGATAGATACAAGTTATTTCCTTTGAGAGAAAAGCTAACTCAAATGGCGTTAGTATTAGCGGAAGTTTAAAAATTAATATTTCGATAGAATTTTTTCTCTGTGAATAAGAGTGACAATTAGGAGAGTATTAAGACTTGTTCATAAATAATTTGATATTTCTTTCGGCTTTAGTTGAAGTGCCGAGGGAGACGCCGCCCCGAGTAGCGCCAACAGAAGCGCCTGTCTTTGTGGTCACCCTTCTAAACTAATAGTTTTCTTCTATGATTTCGCTTTGCCGAAATGACAAAATTATTTCTTCTCGAAATTGTTGTTTCTCGGCAAAAGCATAGATTTGCTCTTTAGCTCTCATGACCACAAAAATAAGTGTTGGTGACCAAGTCCTACACCGGCCATGGTGAATTGAACGAAATCCTATCCCAGGTATATGACATCGACACTTAGTGTCTGATCGCTGTCACTGTTACATGAAAAATAAATGACCACTTACGCAGACCTCATCTTTATCTACTATATATGGTTGATATCAATTAGTCATACGCAACTTTGTTCATAGTAAGCAAAACGTAGTAAAACAAAAATATTAATGTATAAATTGTTTGTTTATTCAAACTTGACTTGACGCATTTTTTCTGATCACAGCGTGATTGAAATCGAATCGAAATCAGCGAGCATATAATCCCGACTTACCCGTTCGATATTATATCATGATCGAAGGATTTCGGCTTGCAGTCTTTGAATGCATCCTAAAACATATTACTCTCTTCGTTTTTCCTCTCTAATTTTACTTTGTTTTGCTTTTGAATAAGTTGATAGTCATCGTGAAAATTTTTGAATTTCTTGGAGACAAAACTTCGCAGTGATCCTTTAACGAGCTTCAGCTTTAGGAAAATTTCGACTTTTAAGAAATTTAGTTGTTTAATAATTGATTGGGACCCTGAACTCGACACACATTTCAAATTATTTCTGTTCATTGACATTCACACGAAAACGCAGCTCTGCGCCCATTTTGATTAAAAATTCATTTTTGATGAACTCGCTTAATGTGAAAAATGGGGGACTCCATTTAAAGCTGAGTCATATCGGGCTCTCGATTGAGCATTGCAGAATTAAGGAAATAGCATGATTATTTGTCGAGAATCATCTACTAACGATATAGAAAGAATATTCACACATGATGTTGCTGATCACTGTTCCTGTAATTGTTCGCACTTGAGCAAAGTACATTCATCCGCTTCCACTGACACTTCTCTTCTCTCTCTCTTTTTCTTTTCGTTACGTTTCTCTAAGTTATCAATGAGGCGAGCTCATTCAAGAAGCTCGCTGTAGTATTTGGCATTATTCTCCATTAACCATTTAGATGTGCCACTCGAGAAAAAAGAGAAATAATTAAACATTAATTTCTTCCAATAAATAAACTTGCCCAGTCGAGAAAAGCGTAAAAATGGCTTCTCCGCCGAGCACCAGATGGCGTCCTGACGCTGTGCGCTGTGACTGAGTTTGTTGCCTGCAATGTCAGCGGCAGGCGGAAAAACTGACTAATTGACAAGACACATAGAATAGTAAATAGAATCTGTATAATGTAATGTATTCTAATTTGTTTAACACTTGATTCGGATGGAGAGCGACTAACAATCATAGTCGTTACAGAAATTGCAGAAGTTTAATACGATAACTATTCAAAGCGTTAAAATTCTCTTAAATAAAATGTAAAATCGAGAAACAGCGATAGAGATAGTTTGTTGGATCAAAAGTAGAATCCTTGTTCTCAGGCTTGAAGTAAATACAGGGGTCGAATGTAGATACGTACAGGTAATTACAAAGTCAGCTTCACAAAATAAACGGTGAAAGGGTTCTTTCAAATGATTATTTTTTCTAAAGTGTTTTTAATTGAGGTTAAGGCACACGTCTCCGGGCAGGAGAGAAATCGAGGCAAATAGGCGATTCTTCCACATTTCCGAGCTTTCCCCAGACAGTGCAGTGGACTCATCTCGAATGACATCCCACTTTTCAATGGGATATGTTTCGCGGTATCCAAAGAAGAGGTAAACTACAAATATGTCTTATGTCGGCAGTTGATATTTAGGTCTCTACCTGATCCGCCTATTCCTATAGATAGATGTTGCTTCCTAGGCATTTTAAGGCGATTAGCCATCAGCTGCCAGTAGCTGCTACCAGCGGCAAGGCGATAAACCCTGTCACTAGCACGTGATTCCATGGTGCCACCAAAGACGAGAATGTCGCCGCCTACAACTGAAGCTGTTGAATCAGTTATTCCGCCATTGGGGAAGGTTGGACCCGCTCTCCATCTAAACACAATTATTGATTGCTTAGGATTTTTAGTCCGACTAACCTTCCATCTTGAAGGATTTCAACAGATGAACTTGTTCTTCTTGACCCCTCCGCACCACCAATCATGACCAATCCACGCTCAGGGACGCTTACCATGGAGCCCTTGAGGTGGTTGTGGTCTAAGTCCGTTCGCCTGGTAAAGCGCTCGCCGTCGAAGCTGAATAATTACGGTTATTTGCGTTTTTCGTAGTTTGAGGGTGACCTGTCACATCGCTGGGGCTTGTGATACGCGGAGCAAATCCAGATTTCGCCATCGTGCTCAACGCACTGATGCTGCATGAGCTCGATTTCGCTGCGAACAGATAGTGGATCACTTATGTGACAGTCACTGCCGCTTACTTTGCAGGGCTCGCGCAACTGACCCGGATACTATTTGAGATAAAAGCGTCCTTCAAAGAATGATCAAGCGAAAGATCAAGTCACCCGAAAAACAACGGTCAACTGTTTTTTCTTGGAATAAGATTATAACATGTTTTCTCAAATCGAAATGTATAAGTTGCGCTCGCTTTCCTTTGCGTACATCATATCGCGTGTAGTACCCTCCGATAACGAAGACCGCGTTGTCCAAGGCTGCTGTACAATGCATCGCCAACTTTGGGAGCCTCAATGAGCTTCGCTGGAGTGCACTAAGATCGGTAGAGATGGAATTATCTGACGCGTCGAAGATAGTCATGTGTTGCATGAAAGATCCTCGGCCGCCAAGAAGCATAACTCGATCACCGAAGCAGTTATGCGTTCCACAAACTGCAACTTCTTCTGGCTTCCCATCGCAATCATTTTCACTCATGCCCTCAAGAATCGCTGAACAAATTATTTAAATCAAACTCGACTGGGATTATGTTTTTACCTCTAGTTCTTTGAGTAATTCCAGTTCCACATGACTTGGTACAAGGCGACCAGGCACTCCATTCTCCCCAACAGCTGCAGGAACCGAGATTGCAGACTTTCTTCTGGACGTCGGATTTTTTGTGACGAGTCTAATTTTTGTTTTTATGATGATACTTTCTGTATATTTACCATGATGCCGTTTCCACAGGTAACGGAGCATTTTGACCAAGATGACCACTCATCGGCCGCAGACTCAACATTATCAAAGGGACCTGGCCGAGAAGCTCCAGCAAAGAATGGACCGCTGTGCCCGAGTGAGACCTAGACGTTTATTTTATGTAAGATTTGTAAGAGCTACTCTCTAAATCACGAATAACAACCTTGCTGATCTGTGAACCGAGGTCGTCGACTCGCACGTCAATTCGTTTGATTTTTTCCTTCAAACTGTCGAAAGAGAACTCGTTTGTCAAATTAAACAGCTTGTACGCATGTTCTATCATGGGCTACTATTTCGTCCGGACTTATTTAAAATGTAAATTTAGTGATTGAGAAATATTAAATGCTTGCGTCTCGGGGATTGTTTTTGTTATTTAATAAACTGCCCGATAATTCATTTATAGCCCAAAGCGATATTCTTCATCCTCGAGTCGAGCTTTCCAATCGGCTCCATCACATCGGGAATTAGTTTGTCGATTTCAAGCTTTATTCCATCGATTTGCGTCTAAAAGCTTTCATGAACCGATCCGTATGAAGTATATTACTAACTCCAGAAGATGGAGTTATTTTGCATTCCGTTCCAAGACTTTCGGATTTGTCTGACTTACTTTTTCCTCAGTCTCGAGTCTCTCCATTTGCAGTTTAAGAGTAGTGACTGAATCCAGGACCTCGGCCAGATACTCCCGACTAGTGATGTTGCCTGTTAAATCATCTACTTCGTTGACAAGCTGGTCGATTTGATATTCCATTCGCTCGATTTTCTCTCCTAGATTGTGTCCTTGTTCTGTCTCAGACTGATCGTAATCATCGGAAATGGAATCGTCAAAGCCGTTACTCTTGGCATAGCTCTCAATAAGTTTCAAAGTAGAGTCGATCTTCGAGTTGAACTCGCTTGTTAGCGCTGCGATCTGCTCGTTATTGATAATTTTAATCTCCTGCAGGTCCCGGCCGACTTCTGATTTGATCTGACAGAGTTAAACCAGTGCGTTGTGTTACTTATGTAAACAAGATCTTTAACCTTCCTGGTCAGCATTATTAAAAGCGTCTGCATTCGACTCTTTCAATAAATCCGTGAAATCGCTGGAGAGTTTGTCTAGTTGCGTCGATAATGTCGCCTGAACGTCATGGCGAAGGTCATGCAAATCCTGCAAGAGCTGATCCATTCGGACGTATTCATCGAACTCAATAGCTTCGTCCGTTGCTGACATGGAGTTTCTGCTTGAACTTTGAAGAGCCGTGATTTGTTGCTCGTTTGTCTCCACACGCGTCGCAAGAACATCACGCATCTCAAAAAGATCAGAAATGGACTTTCCTATCTTGTCGAAGTCATCAACGATCGAGATAAGTTTCGTCGTCCAGCTTCGAATCTCCCGGCGGAAATTTTCAAGTGAGTTTGTATTAGAAATAACTGAAAATAAATTTCAAGAAAAAAGTGATTCTTGGTCGGATATTTGACAAGGCAATTATCGGCCCTTTTTTACATTTTGACCTTCGAGGATATTAATATATATTACCTTTATCGTTCAATCTGTTAAATCTGTTTTGGCAGTCTTCACCTTGTGTAGTAACAAGGGCATTCAGTTCTGCAATTCGATCAGCGCGAGAATCCTCATTTCCTGATTCCAAGCGTATAACTGTCTGATTGACGTGGAATAGTTGAGCAGAAATAGATTCGCGGAAGAGGTCAACGCCTCGGCGGAGGGTTTCGAACGAGGTCGAACACTGTCGGTTTAGTTTATCTACATCGCCGTCGAGATTGTAAAGAAGTGTTCTCAAGTCGGTCGAGTTCACTTTTGCGGAACGTATGTCATCTTGAAGATCTCGAATAGTACTTTTCATAGCTTTTTAGACATAAATATTAGATTGTTGTTAAATAGAATCAAGCTATTTTATCAATTCATGTTTTTCGATTAAAAAGCCTGGCTTATGATTTGGTTGTTGGCAACTGAGTCGCTCCTTGTTGATTTCAAACTTGAAATTAGTTCTTCTAATTCTTTGAATTGACCGTTGTGAGATTCAACTTTAGAATTGAGGTCGATCGTCAATCGCGCCTGGCGATCAATTTCTGAAGAAAGCCTAGCAAATTCATCTTGCTCAGTATCGGCCAACTTAACGACGAAGTTATTGATTTCAATCAAAATCAAATAAATTGGTATACCTTGGCACGCAAGCTGTTTACAACAGTGACGAGACGAGCTTGTTGTTGAATAAGATCCTCGGTCTTCTCATGGACCATTTTCTTGAGCTGTGCGGAAGTCAGGTCGTTGCTTTCCTGCACTGCTCGTATTTTTTCCTCGAGTCGGGCAGTTCTTGACAGCTTCTCCGTGATTTCATCTATTTTCTCGTCCATCTCATCAGTGTCTTGTTCCAGTGCCAGTTGCGTCGCCACAATTTTCGTCTCCATAGCTGATCTGAGTTGAGCTAGTTTGAGCTCAACATTAAATGTGGCTTAACAAGGGGCGACTTTTTTTAATCTTTGACGTGCAAAATGAGAACTTTGTTATTATTTGGTCCCTTGCCTAGATCTTTCATTTGCTTGTAAATTGTCTCAAAGTCGTCGTACTTCCAGAATGTCTTATCAAGCGTATTTGACTTAATTAAACTGATCAAATTAGGCCAGTCGAATGCAGATACCTTTAAGTACTCGACTTTCGCGGAAAGCTGTCCAATTTCGCTGGTGGTATGGGCTAACCTGTCCGACTGTTCTGAGGTAGTCTGCGTCAAAGTGTCTATTAGAGAGTTAATCTGCATGTGGGTTTTTTAGTCCAACAACGTTCGGCATCAACCCGAGAGCTCATGCTACTCTCAGTTTGTGAATATAAATGCATTTATCACGCTACGGACTTTCTAACATTTATGAGAGCTAATGCATAATTAAACCCACTCCTTCAAAACTGCAGCATTCAGCCGTTCTTCGTAAGTTCCAGCTTGACGAGTGGCGACTAAAGTGAGTGAGTCTAGATCAGACCGCAACGAATTCATCTTCGAAGAAACATCATTCTCACGGCGAACTGCATCCACGATAGAGCTCTGGACAGTTCGGGCTAGCGCAGTAGTGTTCTGCTTAATTTCATCATTTCGCTCCATGAAGATACTTTCTAGACGCGACAGTTCCTCCTGCAGATCTTGAATTTCCGTTTTGATATTATCCGATAATATTGACGTTCTATTTGCAAAAATCTTCAGTAAAGTTTCGCTTCCCCGCTCATCATTAAGGTTCTTTTGTAGTTCGTCCATTTTATCCTGCACTTTTTGTTCCAAACGGAAATCGGCAATGTCGCGAGCGTTTTTGAGTCCCTCGAATTCTTGACGCAGTCTTCGGACAGAAGAGTCAACGTTTTCTTTGAAGACGATTTCTAACGATTTCACTCGGTCGAGCTCTTGTTCGGCATCAGCGACAAGCTCTTTGAGCTTTCTGACTTCATTTTGTATCACCAGTTCCTTAGTTTCCAGTGTTTTCAATTTAGCATGCAGATATTCATGCACATGTGTTTTCGCAGATTTTGTAAATGCATCAAATGAGTTTTCCATTCTGAGCACCTTTTCAGTGAGCGCGCCCTGCTTGTCCGTTGTTTCCGAAAGCGCCAAGACTAGCTTTGAAATTCCTTCACTGAAATCATCCAGCTTTCCATTGAGTAATGCCTTGTTCATGGTAAGAGTTGCTAAAGTACCATTGAATCGGTTGAGCATCATTCGATGACCATCCATCATGTCGTCAACTCGAGCAAGTTTTTCCTGGTTGTCTTCTCGCGCTTCTAACTGCGCGTTTTCCAAGCTCAACACTCGAGTGCTCAATCGGCTGAAATCGCCGGACTGGTACATTTTTTGAAGTTCTGCTCTTGTACTTTCGGACACTGTTTTGAGCTGGTTCCTCACATCATTGTTGAGCATAATAAATTCGAGTTCTATTTTTTCACTTGCTGAGCAATGCTCGCCGACAGCTTCGATTCCGTTATTGACAGGGAGTTGGTCAGTTTTTTCAAGTCTGTCTCATACTCCGTCTTCAGCTCAAGAATCTTTTGCTTTGCATCAGAAAGAGACGAAAGGACCGTTGAATTCGACAAAGAAACAACTCGCTCGATCTTGGCCAGTTGTGCAACGAACTCCTCTCCATTTGTCATCGTTTCCATGCTCTTGTAAAGGGAGTTGAACTTTTCTTTCATCGCGTCAAGATCATTCTTATTCTGTCCTGCCACAAGTTTCAAGTTGCTCAAATTTTCATGAACTGTCATCTTGATATCAGCCAAATCGTTCGAAAGAGAAGTTGAATCTTCCGTCAATGCTTCTATTTTGACGCCCTGGTTTGTCAAATAATCATCATGACTGTCGATTTTCTTCCTCATGTCTTCAGTCTTCGAAGCTAATAACAGGGCTCAAAATAAGTTCAAATAAAAAGTTTGTTTCTAAGTTTTTTCAAATCATACGATTGCTGTGTCAAGTCAGAAATCAATGAATCATTAATGAAGATTCACAACGTAGACATTTCTAACGACAAAATGCATGATTCTTGGACGGAAGCCATCCAAATAATGGGAATGACGACTAAGTTCGTGAGGACTAGGTTCGTGGGACTAGGTTCGTGGTGGGTTCTGCCAGAGTATTTAAATCGGGCTATATCGGGCACGAACCTAGTCCCACGAACCTAGTCATCAACCCATTTCCTTCAATGACCGAAAATGGTGAAGATACAAAAAAATACATATAAAAATCCAAATTCCACGAACCTAGTCACACGAACCTAGTCCTCACGAACCTGGTCATCCATCTCCAAATAATTAAATGAGTACATTCATAAATATTTAAGCCCTAGCAATCGAAGTGTAGTCTTCTATAATATCATCAAAAAGCTTTCGGTTTTCACCGGCTTTTTTCTGAATCGCCGTCACATCACCATCAAGCCGTTTTAAAATCTCAAAGTGCTTGGTCTTCCATTCGAGAATTTCTGGCTTTATGCGATTTTCAAGTATTGACAGTTTCAAGTCCACGTTTTGATCCGACTCGTCAACGGCCTTCTTCAATTTGTCGACGCGTTCCTTGACCCACGTTGTCTCCCTAGAGTACGTCTCGTTCAGATATTTGACACTGCTCTCGATGGTGAAGATGTTCGTCAAGAAGTTTTCTGTTGAAGTTTCAAATTTACGCATCAAATTTGCTTGCGATTCGGACACTTCTAAGAACCGCCGGTTGAAATTTGCCGTTTGTTCGCCAATGGCGACTTCCAGTGAATAGATTTTGTCTTTGTTGTTATCGACAGTTTTGAGTTTCAAAGACTGTGAGTTTTGAGCTGCTTTCACATCTTCAATCTTATGACCAAACTCAACGATAGATGCTGCGTTTTTCGAGTAGTTTTCGAGGTTGAGTTTTAGCTGCTTGTGATTCTCGAGGAGTTTGCCTTCCGTGTATTGAACACTCTTTTGCAGTTTTCCTAAGTCATTATGCATGTTGAGAATATCATCTTCAATGGAAGAAATACGTTGTTGCATGGCTTGATTTGTCTGCTTATATTTTCTAAAAACACCGGCGATCTTGTGAATCTGGTCCAAGAGTTTTCTAGTGTTATTGGGAGGAGACTCACGTCTCTTCCTTCTTCGGTAAGTTGGCGGATCACCCCTGATTGATAATTCATCCAAGTAATCTTGATCGTCCAGAACTGTGTAGCTGTCGTAGGCTGAATTTGAATTTTTCAGACGAATAAAAAACTAACTTACTAGAATCACTACTCATATTGTCGCTAGAGTCGTCAAGACTGGCAACTAACTGAGTCGCCAAAGTTTCAAATGAAGTCGACCAAACACCTTCAAGCTGTTGCAACCGTTCATGGAAAACATCCATATCTTCGGTCAGGTAAGCAATTTGTTGGATAATTTGTTTGTTCTCATCGATTATAATAGAGGAGTTCTTGGAGACATTTCCGTCAACGAGTTTCAACGCATCCTCGTTTTGTTTCGCCTGGATTCCAAGCATGAGAATATCTTCCTTGATTTTGTCGAGGGTCTCCACTAGCTCTTTTTCCTGCTTATCCTTCTCATTTTTGACCAGATCGATTTCCTGCCCAATGGAAGCAGTAGCCTTTTCCCAGTTACGAACCGAGGAAGTAATCTCAGATATTATTTCTTTATTTTGGATTGTCTGTGCTGAGTTCGCATCGACCTCATTTTCAATTTTGTGATTCTCTTCTCTTATTTGAGTAATTTTGTCTTCAATATCTTCAATTTTTTCGGGAAGATTTAAAAAGTCATTTTCGATAGACGTTATTCGCGAGTTGATTGACATGTGGAAGTTCCTATTGGCTTCCATCGAGTTCGAAAAGATAGCTTCATTATTGCGCGTTCTTTCCCCAAGTGCAGTCACAGTTGAGTTGAGCAGTGCTTCTCCGCGTAAAATGCTTTGAACTGAAAGCTCAATTTTCTCAATTTCTGCGACAAGAAGCTGTTCTAAGGCTGAATGTTTCCCCGCTTGATGATTGATAGGAACGATGAGTTTGTCGTGCAGAATTTGTGTTCGCTTCTCCAGCTCATCCGAGTTGACCTTGGTGAGTTTTTCAATCTCGTTCGACTTATTTGCAAGCTTGAAGACGAGCGCCAGGGTGCTCGTGGAGTCCTCTTGTATTTTTTTAATATCACTTGCTAAAAAGCCCAACTCTTTCGCGTGTTCAAGGCTTTTTCCTTCGGATGCTGCGAGTCTCTGTCCCTGCCTGTCCACTTTGTGAAGAAGCTGTCCGAATTTCTTGTCTACGTACTCGCTGTTATCTGTTTGCCCGCGTAATGTCTGCTCCATATTAGAGTTGATCTGCTCTTGTAACTGAGCCACTCGTCCTGATATAATATTCATACTGTTTTGATGTGTTCTATCGACTTGGGTGACATTAGTCGCTAAATTTAGCACCCTTGATTCGACCGATCTGATGCTCTTGAATAATTGCTCGGACTGTGGTCGGAGATCGTCATCAAGTTCTGTGAGTTCGATTCGTAGATCTTCGTAATTGTCAGTCAGTTTCATAATGATTTGACGCTGCTGCATCATTTGCTTTCGCTCCATAGCATGAGAATCAATCAGTCCGGAAACATCACTCTTCAGAGTAACCAAACTACTCTCTATTTGAGTAACCACTGATTTGCGCTCTCGTAAGTAATCCTCAAATTTAACACTTTTGCTGCTCATTCTATCAATACTTTCTTGGTGTCGATCATATAATTCCTTATTCATTTCCAGCTTTTCAGTTATTTCGGCCGTCTTCTGAGAAACTATCGAAAGCGCTTGCTCCGCTCGATTGGATGCATCCAAGAGTTTTGAATCCAAATTAGAAACTGATGTTTTCAGGCTTTCGTAGTCCGTCGTTTGCCGGCTATTTACTCTTGCCACGTGGTCTTCTATGACCGCTAGCTTGTCTTCTAGATTTTTCTGTCCGACTTGCTGCTGTAGAATTTTAGTTTCAAGCAGGGAGCGAAGCTCAGATGCTGTCATGCTTGTCGTATTGACCTTGCGCAAGTTCTCGGACAGAATGTTCATCTTGGTGGACATTTCCCCGCTCAGTGATTCCTTGAGATATTGAATTTTGCTGCTCAACGAGTGCGACATTTGTGTCTTCATGACATTAATCGAGTTGTTAAATGTTGTCAGGTCATCTTCAATCAAAAACGACATGTCAATCAGCTGACCTTCTAGTTTGTCCTGCTCTTCTTTGATATCGGCGACTTTTGCAGATAGGTTGGCTGTCGTACTTGCCGTCTTCTCAAGCTCGTCGATTCGTTCAGACATTATTTCAATCGAGTCCTCAGAAGAAGCTATTCCATCATCAATTTTACGCTCGATATCGATGAGTGACGACTTCAGCAACTCAGAAGCATGCTCATATTTCGATGCTCTTGAAGCCAAGTCGTCCGTCAAAAACGTTATTGTCTCTGTTTGAGTTTTTGCTTCTTGAACTGCTGATGATATCTTCGATATATCATTTCTTCGGGATATGAGCTGAGTTCTAAAAGCTTCTAGCTCAGACTCAATTCCATCGGCTTTGATCGATAAAGCGGACAAGTCAGACTCGCGGGCTTTATCCATCATCTCGTGGCGCACTTCTGAAATGTCTGCTTCCAAATGACTCCTTGTTGAATTCAGATTTTCTTCAAACGATCTGCTCTTTACATCTATTTCTTTGGCCAGATAAGTCTTTAACTCGTCTTCAACGTTAGATGATCTCCTCTCGGAATCATCAACACGCTGGATGATTTCTTCATTCGTTCTTGAAATCTCATCCGTAATTTTAATAAGCTCATTGAACTTCTTTGAGATTGTACTTTCTGCAGGCCTACTTCGCTCGACTTCATCAAGGCGTTCCCCAAGTATGATTTGTTGTTCCTCGCAAGAATCTATTCTGGGTGAGAATGCCTCTCTCATTTTATCCATCACTCCATTCAATTGAAGATCAAAACTTTGATCCTTCATCGAGTTAGATTCAGTTAAATTCTTCTTCAATTGGGCGAAATTTGAAGTTAAAACGTTCACAATGTCGTGATCTGTTTTCATCATTTTCTTGATTTCATCAACGTGATTATCCAGAGAATTAAACTTTTGAGACAAGTTAGTAAGCTCGAGTTGGTCAACTTGAGGAACGACAACAGGTTGTTTATTGACCAGTCTTTCTATAGTCTTCTGGGTCTTGTTAAATCGTTTTTGAATTGAAGAAGAAAGTAGCTCGTAATTGCGAATAGATTCAGACAGCGTTTCAATCATTGAAGTTGAATTATTTAAACCATTTTTCGAAGCGAGGATTTCTTTTTCTTGTTTTTCGAATTCCTTCGTCAAGTCTGATATTTGTTTGGCGGTTCCACTCATTGCCTGTTCAACGACTGTAATTCGGAGATTCGATTTCATTGAGCGTTCGGTTGCATTTGAGCTTAATTCACGGAGCTGCTCCCCTGCCAATGTAAACGAATCTATTAGTTTAGCAATGGCAACATTGTGTTCCTGTATAATCCCCTTCTGATCTTCTATGCTCATGGCATTGAGATTGATGAGTAAAAGGTTCTCCCGCGCCATCGCAGTGATATTCTCCATTGATGGACCAAGTTCATCAGCTATTTCACTCTGGGAATCTTTTTCTTTCGGAAGTTGAGATTCATTATTTTCGACTTTTTCTGTTAGCATTTTCAGCTTCTCGTCTATATCGGTAAGGCGTCCTTCGACTTCTTCTTGAACATCTTGCGGTGGATTCATCAAAATCATCATTCTAACATAGTTTAGATCAGCTGCCAAACTGTCGGTTAGATTAGTAAATTGTCCAGCAAGAAATCTTAGATTTGCTGTCCACTTTGACTCCAACTGCTCGATTTCGGATGATGATGCATAAGTTTTTGTCACAAGCTCGATTTCCTCGACTTGCTCAGCTTCCAAAGCTTTTTCTTCCTTGGGCGTCTTTTGGTTCATTGAAATCAAGGAAGAGTTCAGCGAGTCGATACGATCGTTCACGCGCTCCAGCTCTAGTACGTCAAGTTCAATTGGTGCGGAGGGAATATCTGCTACAATTTCTTCGAAACGACCATCGATGTCGTTGACAAGCTTAGTAAGAGCCGTCCGGACGTCCTCGACGATAATATTATCTTCGTTTTCAAGAGATTGGAGTTTTGCACTTACATCGGGGGTCACAAAATTCTAGTATTGTTTATTCATATATAATTTTATATCATTATAAAATTGGGCTAATTGAATGAAGATTGTGACCCTTTTCAAAAGAAATAAATTTCTCCGTATTGACTTCCAGGTCACTTTGAATGTCCTCAACTCTCTGGGATGTGACACGTTGGTAGGCCATGACTTCTTGACGAGTTGCAGAGAGCTCCCTCAGCGTACTTTGTTCCGCTTCAAGAGGTGCGATTCTCAATTCCAGCTGCTGAAGGCGTGTTCTAAAATCAGTACTGTCGGTTTCTCCTCCTTTCGATGGCTGTGAATTCCTGTATTCAGATTCAGATTTTAACGCCCTTTATGATTGTTCCACAATAGAAAATCTACATCTTTCGTCAAACAGCTAAAATTTGACAGCTAAAATTAGAAGTCTGGCAAATTATGATGGCCTCTCTGTGTCAGTTGAAAGAGTCAGAATGAATTGACCTTTGATACAGATGCACAAGAGCGTTAATTGCTATGACCGTTTGCACTGATGACCGAAGACGTGACTAACGCCGAAAATGTAGAACAAATCCTGAGTTCACGCTTGAACTGATCGAGTTGAGGCTGAAGTGCGTTCTTGATTCGTCGCCTTATCGAAGGATGTCCATGAATCTTCGGTGCGTAGTCCATTCGTATACTTCGAATTTCAGCTTCTAATCGTCTGTAATTATAATGCGCCGTTGATATCTTCGTATTCATAGTTGAAAGTTGAATGTTGATATCCCGGATTTGATTACTCTCTTTGCTCAAAATTACCGTTGTCGTTTAATGGTAAATTTAAGTACTTTAATCTTTTTATCTTTTATAGAAATAAATCATTTATAATTTTTAAAGCGGAAAGAAACAACTTCGAGCGCATTCCTTAATTCTGCGGCAGAGAACGGCGTTTCAGCTGCAACGGCACTCGTATAATTTAAGATCCCTAACGTCAGCGCTACAATCCATTCTCGCCGCCGCTTTCGCGTCTGCATTTTTATAAAATAACTGATTTTCTTCTTCGTAAATCTCTTTCTTTTCTCGCTCGATTCTTCCGTTGGTTTTCACTCTTCTCAAATGCACGATTTCGTCTCTCAGAGCGAAGTAAGCCTCAATTAGGTTTTAAAAAGTAGCATAAAGAGGGCCGCCGGATTGTTAAATTCGCCACTTGGGGATGTACGTCCACGGAAAAATCAGAAATTGATAGAGTAAATAAACCCAAATTGGAGATTTTGGGAAAACTGCTCAGCGAGAAGTACCAAGGTAGGATGACGCTAAATCACCCGCCGAACGGGATCACAAAGGCCCTCACGTTAAAAAGGGGTCATCCAAAGGCACAAAGACCGTTTTATCCCCCATTATGTGGTGTATCTCCTTAAGGTGCGCCACACAATCGTGCGATAAACCTTTTATTCACATCATCGTAAACACTCGAACATTCGTACATTTGCTCTTTAACTTTGATGTGCACACTTTTGATCAAGCGGCACTCTGTTTGATATGGGCAAACGACACACCCGAAAAATCTTCAATTCAACCCTTGTTCCTTAATCATGCCTTTTTATGCTGTCTCCTAAAAGTATATGTAACATATGCCTGCTTCGACAAAACTCTTGCAAGAAAAAAAATGAATAGTTTCAGTCATGTAACTGACTGAAAACTTCTTTAGAGTGGAACTAGCTATGTTTTATTTTATTGAATAGAATGTTGTATATACATTTGTTTTAATGAACAAAAAGTTAAACAGAAACGAAAGTTTAGTTGAAGACACGCTCGGAGTAAAAGAAGAGTTACTTTGCGGATTGAGTTTATTTTAGAGCTTCGAAGAACTAGCGAAGACATAGAGGAAAATATGAGATTTATCAGTTTGAATCCCCATACACTGGTCTAATACTAATTGCCGTGGGAAAAAGATTTAAAGTTACATCGAGTTTGAGTTGATAGGTTTTGTAACTGAGCATTACAGAACGTTGCAAAACGAAGAGAGAGTTCCTGAAATCCAAGAGACCAAGTTGTTGTCTTCCTGGCGCTCGAGGTTGACTCCTTGCGAGCGACGAGACGCAGAATCGAACAGTTCCGGATTCTCGAGTATCTTTTCCGACAATTCGAAAAATACATCGTTAACGTTTTCGCGTGTCTAAAAATAGCCCTACGAGCGATTGAAATATTGATGAGGCTCTACCTTTGCACTTGCTTCCATAAACATCATTTTATGCCGTTTTGCCAGCTCGCGTCCTTCCTGCGTCGAGACTATAAGCAATCTGCTAGAACAATACAAATATAAGCAACAAAAAACCTTGTCGCTGCTCTGCCAGATCTGTCTTGTTGCCAACCAGAATCACGACCGGTTGCTTGTCACAGTTGACGTCCACTTCTTCAATCCAGCTCTTGACTTTGGCAAAGGTATTTTTGTCAGTCACGTCATAAACAACAATAACTCCAAGGGCATTTCGGAAGAAAGATCTACAGTGAGTTATTGTCTCATCGCTAGTTAAAATAGAGCACTCACCGATTTATAGCGCGAAATCGCTCAGAACCAGCTGTATCCCAAATTCTCAGGCGAACTTTTTTGTCGTGCACGGTGAGATCTTTGCTCTTAACGTCAGGTTGAACTGTAACTTTGACAAGCTGCGGTTCAAAGATATTGTCCACGTAACGGAGGATCAGATGAGTCTAAAAATATTTTGACTTTGAGAACAGTCTCATTACTGCGATTAGAGCGAGCGTCATTTTCACAGACTGTCAATTTCGCAAACTGTACCTTTCCCACGCCTGCTTCCCCAATCAGCAAAATCTTGGCCGCAATGTCATAAGCCGGCGTGATGGGACCACGACGCTGGGCTCCATTGTCCATTTTGAGAAAATATATATCCCTTGACTCTCAGCCGATTTCTCTCAGTCTTGAAATAAGTTCATTTGAGTTCAATCATAACATTTCGCGGTGTCGAAAATATGCTCAAGATTAACTATAGCAATTCAAAAGTTGAATTTAAACTTTTATTGAGTCAGTCAGACAGAGTAGTTTTTCTATATTTTGAACTAAAACCATAGAGGATGAGAAATTGCTAGGAACAGGTTAGTTTCAGGAAGACATCATGATTTTGCTCTAGAGTTTGTTGGGCCTTGAAGTTAATCCTCTTCTTCTTCGAATCCCTCTTCTTCCTCCTCAATACCGGCCTCTTGATACTGCTGGTATTCGGATACGAGGTCGTTCATGTTAGACTCTGCTTCCGTGAACTCCATCTCGTCCATGCCCTCGCCTATAAGATGAAAGTTAAACAAAGGAGAGTGGCGAGCTCATACCGGTATACCAGTGAAGGAAAGCCTTTCGCCTGAACATCGCAGTGAACTGTTCAGAAATTCGCTTGAAGAGTTCTTGGATGGCAGTTGAATTTCCAACAAAAGTAGCAGCCATCTTCAGACCCTTGGGTGGGATGTCACAGACGGCAGTTTTAACTTTTTAGGCTCAATAATAATCTTAAAGAAAACTCAAATAACTTCGTAAGGAAGTTCAAAATATGGTTAGGATTCCTAACTTAGGAATGGATTATAAAGCCGTAGTCATTGTTTGGAATCCACTCGACAAAGTAGCTCGAATTTTTGTTTTGAATATGGAGCATTTGCTCGTCAACATCCTTCATCGACATCTGCCCACGGAACATAGTGGCAACGGTGAGATATCGGCCATGTCGAGGATCACAGGCTGCCATCATATTCTTCGAGTCGAAGAGTTGTTGGGTCAGCTCTGGAACAGTGAGCGCACGGTATTGGGCGGATCCACGAGCGGTCAAAGGCGCAAAGCCGGGCATAAAGAAATGAAGTCGCGGAAAGGGGACCTTGGAGCATCGTTCGTAATAATTTGAAGAATAAATGGACTCACCATGTTGACAGCTAGTTTTCTAAGATCGGCATTCAACTGACCCGGGAATCGTAGGCAGGTTGTGACGCCCGACATAGTAGACGAGACCAAGTGGTTCAAATCGCCATAAGTTGGATTTGTCAGCTTCAAAGTGCGGAAGCAAATATCATAAAGAGCCTCATTGTCGATGCAGTAAGTCTCGTCGGTGTTTTCAACCAACTGGTGGACTGAGAGAGTGGCGTTGTAAGGTTCTACAACAGTGTCGGAGACCTTTGGAGATGGAACGACGGAAAATGTGTTCATAATCCGGTCAGGGTATTCCTCGCGAATTTTGGAAATCAGGAGGGTTCCCATTCCAGATCCGGTACCACCACCAAGAGAGTGTGTCAGCTGGAAGCCTTGGAGGCAGTCACAGTTCTCCGCCTCTTTGCGAACGACTTCGAGGACAGAATCAACCAACTCAGCGCCTTCAGTGTAGTGTCCTTTTGCCCAATTGTTTCCAGCACCAGATTGGCCGAAAACAAAGTTGTCAGGACGGAACAGCTCGCCGAAAGCGGAGCCTCGAACAGAGTCCATTGTTCCTGGCTCTAGGTCGACGAGAATGGCGCGTGGAACATATTTGTTGTTGCCAACTTCGTTGTAATAAACATTGATGCGATCGAGTTGGAGGCTCTTAATATTACTTAGATCAAAGCTATCGCTATAATTTACCTGATCGCCAACGTAAGTTCCATCACCGCTAATACCATGCTCCTCAGAAATGACTTCCCAAAACTTAGCGCCAATTTGGTTTCCACATTGACCAGCTTGGAGATGTACAATTTCCCGCATGCTCTAAAAAGTAAACTTATCTCTGCGCAAGAAATATCCAGAAAAAATCAGTAGCAAAAGATCTCTCTGAAAGTGAGGCTCAATACCAAAGTCTGGTACTGAAAGTGCTAGAAAGTAGCCTTGGTTTCATGCAGCAAGCTCTGAGCATGGCGCTCAAGGGCAAGGCGGGATGAAACAACCGCTAATTCGAGCAATTTGTTATCAGTTGAGAACATTTGCCAGCACGGCAATTTTGGTCACGTCAAGGGGCGGACTCTACGTCACTAATATGCGCCATATAGTTTGCCTTTTCCCATGAAATGTTGTCGATCAAACAGTATTTTTAAAGTGCATAAACGGAAATTCCCTTCCAATAAACTAACACCCCGATACTTGAATTCAAAAAAGGTACATTACCTGTCACTCAAGTCATCAACTGCCACATATGTCGTATTCTCGTTAATTTTTCTTTCTTCATTGACAGAATAAATTTCATAACACGAGCGAAGTGAATCTACAAAATGTATTTTTTAAGAAAAGAGTTCAATTTATTTTCAAATGGCACATATCTTCGATACTACCAAGAGCTCTCGATATGTCTACTGTTAAATGAGTGTTTTGATAAGCTTCTTGCAGAAAGTGCTTTATAGTGATTGAAAAGAGAAGAGGATAGAACATGATAAACTGGTAAGCCGTTCGTTGATCAGCCTGTGATGCGGCCAGGTTCTTCAAGATCTCCTTGCTTTCTTTGTAGCATTGCTTGTCTTCCAAATAAAAGGGATTCGCCGAGCAAATGGCCCAACGAAAAGCCACCGAGTTCGCGACTTCCAGAAACTTGCCAGACTTCATTTCATCAATCATTTGCCGCTAAAATAATGCCATTAGTAAGGGATTTCAAGGGTAAACGAAGATCTGATTTAATAATTCCGACGAGAGTCGAGAGTAGTCGAGTTAATGGAAGTTGAAGCTCACGTACATAAACGATGTAGTCTGAGAGACGGTGTGCGAAGAACCATCCGCTCCAAAGAGAAATTGAAAACCTCGTGAGCCGTGCACGCTGCATAATCGGAATAAAGTTCTTCACGCTCCACTGGGTCACGCTAGATATCCTTTTTTGCTGATTCGAGCGTCCTTACCAGAAAGCAAGGAACCCACCAGCGTATTGGCTATAGCGAGGACCGTACATCCTCGCGAAGTAGTCTTTGATCACGAATCGCGTGCCAAAGCCTTTCCAGTTCTCCCAAAAACTAGTAATGCCCACGTCGAAGTCATTTTTCATCATCTGCCACGCGGTCAGGCTATGCATTCTTAAGCAGTTTAAAATCGATTAACGTTGTAAAAAGTGAAAAAATAGAATTTTAAAATAAAAAAGAAGGTATCAAGTGGTTGGTTTGAGGGAATTGTAGTTGATAGGTTGCCTTGGCAGTGGTCGTTTGAATTGCTTGCGAGAAGGCAGCTTGACGGGAACATCTTCTGCTTCGAACTGAAGACAAAAACGTAACGCTCGGGTCGACTCGGCTCGAATGAAAGTAGATCTACGGCATAAAAAGACGCGATCCAACTCTTTTTTGGTATTTATTGGAAGAGAAAACATGTCCCAGGAAAAGAGTACTCAAGAATTGGTCAACTATCACCACGAAAAAATCGTTAAAAAGACTGATAGACTAACTGGACTGATATCGGTACGATAGTATTCTTGATCAATAAATTAAGTAAGTTTTATTTTTAAGGAATCGAGACGGGTGTACCACAGCGTTACAAGACAAATGGAAGTACTGAAAAAAGAGATGAACGATAAGCTTGATGCGCGAGATCTTTTGCTAGCCCAATTATATCTAGACGATTACTCAAGGATTCAGGGGACCCATCAAGGGTATTTTTCTGGCTGTTCTAAAAGCAGATATTTCTAAAAGTTTACTGAATCCTTCCCAGACACGAGGACTTGCATAACCGCCTTGACGAAATTGAATGCGAAATACGACGCTATCAAAAAGAGTTGAAGGAGTACGAAAGTGTCAAGAAAAAAGAAACCGCGAATTACCAAGAGTACAAGTCAAAACTTGCGGCTATGACTAAAGATTTATGAACTGTGGCTACTGAATAAAGCCGACGAAATGAGAAACGAGTATTTACCTGTGATAGCTCAGTATTTGGCAGGGAAGAAAGAGAAACAACTTCTGAATCGAGAAAAGAGTTTTCGTGAGTAGGCAAATCGCAAGCAGAGCCAGTGTATTCAGTCGGATTATATGGAACGCGGTGACGTTCCAAAGCTACTAATCCGAGCTGCTTTTTCGTGAGCTCGTACTGGAGATTCTCAACGGCACTCAATGGACGGTCCTTTTCTTCGGAAGCCGCTGCCCCGTTTTCTAGCGATCGGGTCGCTCGCTTTAGCTCATGCGACAGTTTGTTACATCGTTCAAGCAGTGTCTGTTTCTCCTGTCGCAGAACTACGCACTCTTCCAAGGCATTCTGCAGTTCTAGAGTCATTCCAGGCGATTCTTGTGATCCCTCTCTTGCCGCCCGCGAACCTTTGAAATTCGCCTTTTCATTTTCAAATTCTGCTCGTTCTTTGGCGATGATTCTTTCTTTTTCGCAAAGTTTTTCTTCGCGTATTTTCAGTTTCTTTGCATCCTCAGATTCTACAGTTTCGATATCCGCCTAAAACCACTCATAAACAGGGGTTCGAAAAATGCGTGGTACGCGCGTGGTATTAGCGCCCCCACTTTCGCCGTTCCACGGCCCGCCCGTGGTACACTTTCAAAAACAACGGTGGCTCGGTTTGCTAAATAAGGCCTGCGCCAGAGGAGTTAGGCCAAGCGGCGACCCGCAGAGCGCAATACGAACCACTACACAATTCGTTCCGATTGCCGATCCAATGTGGGGAACAGGGCTGGTAAATTAGCGCACTATTTTCTCTCGAAGAAAAAAAAATTAGTGCACTAATTTTTTTTTAGAGACATTTTCGCGTCTTTCGCGCCTTTAGTGCACTAAAATGACACTAATTTTTCCTCTTGGGGAAATTAGTGACTTTTCGAGAGCTGATCAGCACTAAAGACGCGAAAAAAGAGGCTCTTTTTCATCATCCAATGGGCTCTTCCCGGATGATAGTTTCATGGAAGACGATTTTTGTCAGGGAAGAATTTCTTCAAACTGAAACTGCTACCAAGTTTAGATATTTAATACATAGATATTTAAAAATGAATGCATCATAAATATGACACAATTTAATTTTTAAAAATCGTTTTCAGCCCCCCACCAAATTAAGTCAGCTAAGGTTATCGATCATCCTCTTTCACCTGAGCGTATTAGTTCTTTGAAACAAGCACTTTTAAGTTTTGCGAAAAAAATATATTTCCGGTGTCCTAATTTAGTAACAAAAAAATTGAAAGGAATAAAAGTCAACTTTTGTTGGAAATTCTTTTTGTCGAATATTTTAATGGTGAGCTAAGATAAGCTTTGCTAGGGAGGTCTTCTCCCTAATTTTTTTATCGCAGGGCCATCCGCAGCTGGATCTTCCTGCTTTTCTTCATTTTTGCCTTTTTTCTTCTTGTCATCGTCCGACAACTTCTCATCGCTGTCCTCAACAGTCTCTGAAGCTGGAGCAGCCTTGACTGATACGTTCTACTTTCCGGGAACGGTCGGACTCATTACCGAAATTTTTGGTAACCCATTACCAATTTTCGGTTGTCGATTATCAATTTATATATATTTTTTCGCCAAGTTAATGAATAAAACACCCCACAAGTTTTCTATTTTACAGGCGCGGAGCGCACACTCGCTCTTTGAATGAAAAAATCGACACTTTTTGCCGAATTTGGTAATGCATTACCAAAATTGGTAATGGGTTATCAATTGGTAATGAGTCCGACCTTTTCCCCTACTTTCGTGGTCTAAGAGCTCTTCTCAGTATCTTTATATAATTCTTTATTCAGAGAATCATATATATTTGATCATTTAGAAGGGAGGTCTCCTCCCAAATTCACGCTTACTTGATAACTGCTAATGAAGAACTCCTCCCAAAGTTATTTTTTAGTTTTCTAGGATATAGCAATGCTATATTTTAAGAGTAAAATATATCGGGAGTAAATCTGCTTTCTGAATTATAAAGTAAGCATGAACTTGAGAGAAGATCTCCCTTCTGAATTGTGAAATAAATATGATTTTGTAATTATGAATTATATTAACAATTGCACAAGGCTGCTCCTGCTACAGACTTTTGAGGACACCGAAGATTAGTCGAACGACGACAAGAAGAAGATTGACAAGAAAGGGAAAATGCAGGAAGAACAAGCTTCAATAAAAAAATTAGGGAGAAGACCTCCCTTAGAAAGCTAATCTTAGGCTAAGAGTCTAAGCTTATCATTCAAATCCAGCGCAGAAAGAGTTGCAAACAAAAAATGAATTCTATTTTTCCCTATATAATATAAGCTATATTTGATACTTTATATTTATGAAGAAAATTAACAAATGGATTGATAAAGTCTTTTTTGACTTTATATTAAAATTCACGCCCTCGATTACCCAATCCACTTTATTGAAACTCTTTGAAATTCTAATATTTACGAAGTTTGAAATTCCCAAACTTACGTATTCTTCAGAATTAAAGAGCCCGCGCTCATTGGCGGGCCAATCAGCAGCCCTTATTTTCGACACTTTTCGAGACACACGCGAAAGAGACGCGAAAGTCACTAAAGTCTCGACAAAATAAATTCGCGCACTAATTTTAGTGCACTAAAAATTTTCGACAGATTTTAGGACGCGAATTTACCAGCCCTGGTCTCGACAAAATAAATTCGCGCACTAATTTTAGTGCACTAAAAATTTTCGACAGATTTTAGGACGCGAATTTACCAGCCCTGGTGGGGAACTAAAAAGCCACTATTCAATGAATTGAGAAAAGAATATCTTTACTAGTCCTTACGAGAGTCTTTACTAGATATTAGAGGGATTAGTAAAGTTATGTTTTTATATAAAATAGGAGTATATATAGGGTTTCTATCGGAAAACAAAGTGCACTCAATTATTATGAAATTAACACATTATGAATACTAACTGATAAGGTCGCTTGACGGTTAGTCCTAGTGTTTGGTTCTTTTTGGAAGTAATCCTCGACTGTGAGTAGGCTCATATTTAGCAAACGGGTAGCTTACCACTTCCGGGAACTTTTTTGTTCATATTACCTAATGTTATAAGTATAAAGGTTATTGTTATTCATTTAATTATTAAACATTTAAATCATCAAGCAAGCTGCGCTCGCCGAGGGTGAGACCTATCCGCGAGCGCCCAAAAGTAAAACTGGGCACTCGTTATTTCCACCGGCTTGCGTGGAATTCTACGTGTGTCCGTGGGTGGCGCTACTACGGGCCCGCGGTGGAATTTTAGCGCGAAAAACAAAAGCGCCGTGGGCGAAAGTGAGCGGTGGCGCTAATACCACGGGCGGGCAACGCTTTTTCGAGACCCTGCTCATAAACACTTTCTTATAACCATTAACTCACCTTCATGTCTTTGACCACGTCGCGAAGCCTATGAATTTGCATCCTCAAGTTCGTTTCATTATTTGCAAAATAATTTTTTCTTTATCGTGCTCTGCCGCTGCTTCTGAGTTAGCTTTGAGCATTTCTTCGATCTTCTGAGCTTGGCTTTCAGTGATTGTCTGCAGCGTTTTGTTCTGTGCGATTAGTTGCGTTTCGACTTCGCTCAATTCGACCGCTCTTTTTTGGAAAGAACAGGACTTTTCTTCTGCCATTTTCAGGGAGCTCTACAAAACCCGAATTTACAAATCCGCTCGTTTAAAATTTATTTCAGTTTATGAGATATAATTAGGGTCTCCGGACAAAAATTATCTTTCGATCCTCAAGGGGTTTTTGGCATTTTTATGGGCTCTATCGATAGCTTAGAAGATACTGAGGAAGAATATGAAATAAAAAAGTAGGTGTATAATTTTGGAAGTTGGTCAAAAAGGGATTGAAAATTCGTACTTTTTCACATTTTGGCATTTTTGACTAACTTCCGAAATTATACACCTACTTTTTTATTTCATATTCTTGCTTGAAATCATCTAAGCTATCCATGGAGCCCATAAAAATTTAAAAAAGCCCTTGGGGATCAAAAGTTAGTATTTTTCTACCGTAAACCCTAGATATAATCATTAAACTTGCCTGGTAATTTTGCTTATCCCTCTCATGCTCCTCTCTTAGCGTTTTATGAAGTACTTGTTCCTGGTGAAGCAGGCTCTCGATATTATTTTTGGCTTTTTCCAAAACGGAAATTTGTGCGTCCGTTTCAACACGCATTTGCTCTGATTTGCTACACTCGATGCGAAGCTGCTTTTCCAACACGCCGATTTTATTCGACCATTCGAACTCTTTCTTCTCGTAATGAGCCTGGATCTCCTTGAAGTAACAGTTGTTTTACACAGGTTAGACTTGAACTTTTTCGGCGCTGGGCTCTGCAACCTGTGTCCAAAACCTGAGTCAGGGCTTGAAAGAGTTTGAATGAAAACCCGCGAAGCGGCTTTTTTAAAAACGAAGCGGCTTCATCAGAATAAGAGAACAGATAGGGATGGTGCGATTTTTCGATGCGTCATTTCATTCAAGCTCTTTCAGGCCCTGACTCAGGTTTTGGACAATGGTTGCTGAGGAAAGTTTCAGTACCTTGAACTGTTTCTCGATTTGCTGCGCGTAATCTTTGGAAATGGCTTTATTCTCCTCAATGACGAGCTCACAGTGGGCCAAGCGTTCGCTAACACTCGTAATCGTCGCTGACTTCTCCTTGAGGTCTTTTTCCAAATCTTTGATGAACAGTTCTAGATTCTGTTTTTCGTTTTCGACGGCTGTGAGCTTCAAGTTCGCACGATCGCGCTCTTGATTTGCGCTGGTGATGCACTGATGCAGTTCGTGCTTGTCTTTTGCCCTTTTTCGCGTGTAGTCCAGTCGCAACTCTTGCCGCTGTGACTGGAGCTTGATGTCCAAACTCTGGAGAGAGTTCTTGAAGTTTTCGATCTCCAGCGCGTGCTTTTGAAGCAGTGAGTCGACGAATTTCTTGTGCTCTTTTCTAGGGCTCAAGCAAATCCAGGAAACTTACGCACTGCTGTTCATTGCTTTCCGCCCGTGCCTGCATGAATAACACCAGTCAGAGAAGCATGCAACTTGTGAGCGTCATGCAGCTCTTTCTCGATCTTGGCCTTTTCAACTTGCGCTTTCTCTGTACGAGCATTCGCCATTTCGCGCTTGTTCACGGCTTCTGAGATGTCGCCCTGGACGAGTCCGAGTCTCGTTTTCAGTGCGTTCTTTTCGCTACAGAGCTCGTTTACTTTCGACTGCAGGTCTTTATTCAGATCCAAGTTGTGCATGAAATCTTTCTGTTGATTGATTCAAAAACAGTTGTTTTATTATTGAAATTTCAACGAAGCTCGGAACCTGTGTGCAAAACCTGAGTCAGGCTTTGAAAAAGAATTTATGAAAAAGCATGAATTTTATACGGATGGAGAAGAATAATACTCCACGGCTTTTCATTAGAGCAATTTCAAGAGCCAGATTCAGGTTTTGTACACAGGTTGCTGAGTCTAGGTATTTATAATTGAGCTTTGAAATTTGAATCATTCCTTGAGCTCATCGAATTTTGTCTTTAATTCTCTGTGCGCTTTTTCTTCTTTTTCGAGTTTGCTAGAAGAGCATTTACAAATGAGTTTTCGAAGCAAAGGAGAAAGCGGTTTACGAATTAGGCGTGAATCAACAGATGAAATTTGATGGAAGCTGTCTAGGTCGCAGAGCCGCAGTTTACCTAACGAGGTTAACTCACGAGTTCTGCCATGCACGTGTGATTTGACGCTTGGGCGGCAAAGGGTTAGCCTGGGCCCGCTCCTCTCTCAATTGGAGATTCCTTTGATTAATGACATTGCGGCGGTAGACCCTGATTGAAATGAGTGTTAGAAACTGCTCTACTTCGGAACTAAGCTCGTGCGCTCTTACTCGTTCAGCTGTTGCCCAGTGTCAAACAGCTTCTTGAACGTTTCGTTCGCATTCGCAAACGGCTCCATCATCCCCAATCTTAACACATTCTTTTTCTATTTCAATTATTTTTAAAACTAATTTTTAAATTTTCAACAAAAAAACATCTTTCTAACAATTTTTCTTTTCATGAGAGTAAACAAGGGTAAATTACTATGGGCAATTCTAGCTTTGATTTAAAATTAAATATTTGAAATAATAAAAAGAAATTAAAGCAAAATTTTCTCTGGCAGAGCCGCCGCCCATTTTCGCTAAGGCGCGCGACCGCCCACGAATGCTTTTTTGGAGCGCTAGTTTTCAGAGAAAGAATCTTGTCAGCAATCAAATGAATAAAGTAGCAAGCCGAATTTTAAGCTGGCTTCTGTTGACGTTCGCTTGTTTTTCCATAACTTTAAGATTTATTCTAGTCTAAATTGATGAATAAAGAATATTATTTGCGTTATATTCAGGCCGAACCAAAATTTTATCGCAAATGGCAAAGTAGCGCGTGAAATTTACTTGGGAAGTCATGTTTGAGTCAAAAGTTTTTGAAAAAATCAACTGTTAAAATTTTAGAAGTAGATTTTCAATGCCTGTATTTCCATGAAAAGCCTTTGCTACCGACTTTCTCTTTCAGAATGCGTTCCCTGAGGCTTTTGGCTCCACGAGTGGCTTCTCTCGCTGGGCGAAGATACGCAGCTGCTTCTGTTGCCGAAAGAATCGAGGAGAAACGGGCCCAGGCGCTGGTCGGCGGCGGCGAACGAAGAATCCAGGCGCAGCACAAGAAAGGAAAGCTCACCGCCCGAGAAAGGATCGAAGTTCTTCTTGACGAAGGTCCGGCTCATCAAAAGTTTCATTTCGCACGCTGTGCTAGTTAAAAACAGTTTATGAGCTCGGTAAACAGGCACTTTCGTTGAATACGACCAGTTCGTTGAGCAGCGATGCTCCGACTTTGGAATGGATGATCCAAAGAACAAGTTTCCTGGCGACTCGGTCGTCACTGGTCGTGGCTACATCAACGGACGACTGGTCTATGTGTTTTCGCAAGATTTCACTGTCTTCGGTGGTTCGCTTTCTTCTGCCCAGGCTATCAAAATCTGCAAAGTGATGGACCAGGCGATGGAAGTCGGAGCGCCCGTTATTGGACTCAACGACTCTGGCGGAGCCCGAATTCAAGAGGGAGTCGAGTCTCTCGCCGGCTACGCTGATATTTTCCAGCGAAACGTAATGGCCTCAGGAGCGGTGTCAGTAACAATCACAACTGATTGAATCGAAAGTTAATGCTCACCCAACAAAAAGGTGTTATTCCTCAGATTTCGGTCATTATGGGACCCTGCGCTGGTGGTGCCGTCTACTCCCCGCCCTGACTGATTTTACCTTCATGGTTAAAGATTCTTCTTACATGTTCATTACTGGTCCTGACGTCGTCAAATCTGTGACAAACGAGGAAATCACCCAAGAGGAGCTTGGTGGCGCCAAGACGCACACTCAAATCTCCGGTGTTGCCCACAAAGCATTCGAGAACGATATTCAGGCGCTCGTCGAAATGCGAGAGCTCCTCAGGTTTATCAGCTAGTCCTCGATCGGTTTCTTACCGCCTTTTTTAGTTACCTTCCCAGCTCAAACCGCGACAACTCTCCCCAAATTACAGCGTCTGACCCAGCCGACAGACTTGTTCCCTCTTTGGAAACCGTCATCCCTCCAGAGTCAACAACCCCATACGATATCAAGGATGTTATTAATCCTGTTATCGATGACTCCGAGTTCTGGGAGATTCAGGTTAGAACCAACCATAGCCTAAGAAGTGCTTACAACTTTCGTTCAGCCCGATTTTGCCAAAAATATCGTCGTTGGATTTGCTCGAATGGACGGCCGAACCGTTGGAATCGTCGCCAACCAGCCAAAAGTTGCTGCTGGTTGCTTAGATATTCAAGCCTCGATCAAGGTAATTACAGCCGCACTGCGAAAGAAGCATGTAAATGGACTGCTGCATTCATATATTCACGCTAATATTGACATGATGAATATAAATATGCTAGGCTGGTCGATTTGTTCGATTCTGCGATGCTTTCAATGTCCCAATTGTGACTTTTGTCGACGTCCCTGGCTTCCTTCCCGGTACCGCTCAGGAACACAATGGTATTATTACACACGGCGCAAAACTGCTCTACGCATACGCAGAAGCTACCGTTCCAAAGGTAAGGGCAATCTTCACCAAGCATTTCTCTTTCCTTTGTGTTAGATTACTGTCATTACACGAAAAGCGTACGGTGGCGCTTATGATGTTATGAGCTCGAAGCACCTCCGGGGTGATGCTAACTACGCATGGCCAAGCGCGGAAGTCGCCGTCATGGGCGCCAAGGGAGCTGTTTCTATCATTTTCAGAGATCCAAAGGAAGCTGAAAAGCAGGAACAAGAATATGTTGACAAGTTCGCCAATCCGTTCCCAGGTGCGAGAAAGAACTTATAATTTCCCCAGAGCTGATTACAAAGGAATAACTGTTTACTTAAGCTGCCACGCGGGGTTATGTCGACGACATCATCGATCCCGTCACAACTCGTCGTCAAATCTGCGCCGATTTGGCAATCTTGGCCAACAAGAAGCAGTCGAACCCTTGGAAAAAGCACGCCAATATGCCGCTTTAAGTTAATCCTGCGGGCAAAAACACTCACAAGAAAGCCCCTCCTCCTCAAGTTCAACTTTCTAAGCTAAACTTTTGTATAACTGAATGTTATACTGACAAACAAAAAACTTCTAATTTATCTTGCCTCTCCACTATAACTATTCGATTCTGTACACGGGTGCTGGAGAGTTCGAAAGCTCTACCAAAAAAACGAATATACCTAACAGATTTCATAAAAGACGGAGAATATTTAAAACGCGAACAATTGTTATAAAATATAAACCTCCAGTATTTGTGACAGTCTTCTTTTCGGCAAGCAAGGCATGCTCCCAGATCAATTAAGGAGGCCCTAAATCAATCGCCGCTTTTTGACGACTGCAGATTTAGCTTCTTCAAATTTTATTCTTTCATTATAAAGCAGGATTCATTCTCACTATCAATAAGGAGTACTCAATGATGGACGAACCAGTGATCTACTACGTGAGAGTATTTTACGGCAAGAGAATCTGAAAGTAGAGAATCGTATCGATTAATAGTAATGTGTGCGAGAGGACGGATTCTACGCGGAGCACGATGAACGGGCTCTCAGTATGTGCCCAAGTTAGCGTGGGCAGGACGCCATTTTATTGGAGCCAATCCTCGAGGTGAGGGCGCATGGAGGGTTAAAAGACTTTGTCTACCATGGAAATCCTCATCAAAGAAGAGAAATATTCACTCCCACTTCTTATAAAATAGGATGTCAGACCTAATAACGAAGAAATAAGATGTGAACCTAAGGTAGTTGCAATCTGGGCTCGGCAACCTGTGTCAGGAACAGACACAGGAACAGGAAAAAATTCTGTCCCACATTTTACACAGGTACACAGGCAGTTTTTACACAGCTCTGGTAACAGGTTACACAGGTCAGGGCCTGCCTAAACAGGAAACAGGCCCTGTGACAGGCCAAAAACAGGATATTTCTGTGAAAAATATTACAAAAGAAAACAAAAAGACGCGAATTTATCGGTTATTTTGACTAGTTAACTCTTTATACCGTATATTATATAAATAATACGTCTTTCGCTATTGATTTCTTTAAACATCTTCCCTGATTTATGCAGTTCTTGACCAGGTTACACAGGAACCTGTCTATGGTCAGAACCTGAGCGGGAAAAAACAGGCCTGTTTTAGTCAGAAACAGGAACAGCATTAGAAAAATTTTTCCCCGATTTTACACAGGTACTCAGACAGGTACCCCAAAAACAGGAAACAGGACCTGTGACAGGTTTTTACACAGCTCAGTTAGCCGAGCCCAGGTTGCAATCTCTAAGAAAAAATCTCAATAAGAACGCCAAGAAGAGTAAGGGATAAAAAATTTAAATTCTTCGAATCAGCTTAATTTCTTATATTATGACTACATAAATATTTGTATTAACAATCAGAATGAATAATTAATGCACAGAAGAGTTGTTATTTAATATAGAACGCATGATTTGGCCCTTTGGATTTTCAGCATTTCGCAAAAATAGCAATATTCTGAGTTTCAGAATTTATTGGAAAAAAAAAACAAATTTTAAATTTTGATGATTACTTACTGCTGAAATCAAAATAATAATACAATTCATTAATGATTAAAGTTGCACTGGAGATTATGCAGAAGCGCATCTGGGTAATTTATGAATAATCCTGTACGGACACTGGTTTTACATTTTGTATTGCGCGAACCCTGAGAATATACTCCGCCGGGACGATGGGGTCACGTGGTCAATTTCGATTGCAGTTGAGCGAAACAGCGAAATAATGTTTCAATAGGCGATCTGTTTATCTTTTTTCAGGAGAATAAATCAATTGCGGACCAAATGAGTACCAAAAAGAAATGAGAGACAATATTCAAAATGATTATGAAAACTACAGTTACGATTACAGCAGCAACTCGACCTTCCGCCCCTTGCCTCCAGCTGGGTCCGATGGGCTCAATTTGGTTCTCAAGCTAAGGTTTATCTACGTAACGGATTAAAGTTTAATCACTTTATTTGAACTTTCATTTGTGCAGTTATGTCGAAACTAATTCTCCGCACAAGATATACACGAACGTATAGTATTCTCTTAATTCGTGAACGACATGATTCTGCTTCGAAAGGATGATCCCTCTGACTGACGGTAATGTCAATATGTTCAGTAAGAGAAAATCGCTAAATGTGGCAAAGAGATTCAAGCCGTTTTTTTCAGGCTTAGAAACTTTGAACGTGGCCTTAGTAGCACGACAATATACTAGTTCGAGTGTTTGCCACTCTTATAAACCCAGTTTAAGGCATTCTTCCAAGTGCTCTGCTTCTTTGGCATCCTCGCCAACTTGTTAGTTATTCTAATTTGTGGACAACAGCGTCTGCGTCAACGGCCAAGCCATATGTTTCTGTTAGCGCTTTCGCTGGTTGATATAGCTACGGGATTCGAATAACGAACGAGTTTTCAGATTCAGCATTCGAAATCCCTGCACACAGTGTTCTTAGTCGACGCCGTGATTCAAAGAATTTACGAGCTGAAAAACTTTCCACGAAGCCAATTTTTTTGCAAAGTTCTGTATGGAAGCGATACCTTCGCTCAGTCTGCCTCTTCATTGTTGTTGGCGGCGATTGCATGGGATCGCACTTTGCTGCTATTTTTTCCGCAGAAGCGCACGTCCCTGTCTGCTAGAGTCCTGATTGCCTTTTCTTGCCTTATTGCTCTATGTGCTTCTCTGCCAAAAATTTATCATTACGGGCTTGCAGAGCAAAAACGCGAATTCAACGATGGCTCTGTTGAAAAGAAAATACTTTGCGTTCCTATGATTATGCACCCAGAAACGAGAGAGGTATACCTAGTTTCCATAAATGTAAATTTAAAAACTGGTAGGTTGTGAACGAATCCGAGGCAGCAGCAAGATTTACATTCTGGAGCACTATCATCGTCTTCACATGTTCCTACTTGATCACGGCTGTTCATTTGATTGTGCTTGGAGCAGCAATTATTGTCAGAGTAACGTCAGGAACGGGCACTTTATAGAATTACTTTAAGCTGAGAAAAGATCAAAACGAGCCCTTTCAAGTGACTCGAGAAGCAATCACGACGCATGGGAACCCGCAAGCAATTGCTTACCAAAGAATTGTTACATATCGAATATTAGTGCTCTTTTCGGCCTTTATTGTTTGCCACACGCCATTTTGGATTATGGCAATTCTTCAGGAGAGGTTCAACTTTAACAAATAAATGACTCGTAATTATCGTAATTTCTTCGTAATTTGAACGTGATCAAAGGAAATTCCTAGCTACATAAATGCCGTAAATAAAGCATCGCCACAGTAAGTCTCGCTCGTTAATGAAATCTTTTGGATATTGATTTTAGTTATCCAGCGATAATGAACGGGGCAGCATACTTGATGACTGCGAACTCTGTTGTAAATCCGCTTCTCTATGCTGCCGTGAATGACGATTTCAAATTAGCATTCAGGTACAACACGATTAGACATCTACTAGTAGACAAACTTATTTATGTTTTAAGATCGTCGATTAACCGTCTTCGTCGCTGGTTCTACAATCCAAAGCTTTTCTTTTGGAACGTTTTTCAATCATCAACAATGCAGGACGATGTCAGACTCACACAATCAATGCTGCTCACTACGCCACAGGCACGGGGATATCCCTACCATAGATGCAATTTTCATAAGAGCTACTTGGGTCACCCAGCTTAAGCCTCCGCCTCAATCACTCGTTGAAGACTAATTTGAACTCGTTGAAGAGGAATTTTTCAAGTTGCGATTATTACTTTAATTATTACTGAAAATCCAGCAATTTGCGAAATAAATTAATTATTCATTGAAAAATTCTGATCAATAATTTTTATATTACTGTATTCAAAGGTAAGTTGCATCAAAATGCGTTTGTAGAAGAAAGCGATTCATTTGTATCACGTTTTGTTTAAAATAGTCACGCAAACTCAGCACAATTTAGAGAAATGAGGAATATACAATTTTTATTTCGGATTTAGTACATCTGCTTGTAGGGTCATTGTCACAATCCGCAATTATTCGAACGAACAGCTGAAATCAGTAAATTGGTGACACACGCAATTATGAACCTGTTCTGCCTTTAAAGCTACTGTAATTTAAAAAATAGAGGGTTCCTGAGTGTAAAATTGGATTTTTAAAACTGAAAAACGGTGTTTTTTTTATCTTGTGAAAATAGATAGTGCATTTTGCTTTCTGATTTGTGCTGATCATAAATAAAAACGTGAAAAGAGGAAACTGAAGTTGATTGTGATACTGAAATTGTTGTATGTTGAAGACATCACTTGAGAGGATAGAGGAATTGCTTGCTTTGTTGTCGTCTGAAAAGCAAGTGGAATAAGTTTGAACAACAGATTGGTGACGTAGGGATTGCTTAAACGAAAAAGAATTTCTACAACGATTTTGAATGAAGATAAAGGAGGAGATAAGATGGGTAGTTGAAGGTGAGAATAAACTTTGATGAACTAAGAAACAGAAGCAAATCAGCTTGGAAACACAATAATAAACATAAACATATATGAAGCGCGTAAATACAAGCAGCTGTTGATTACTCTGGCGAAATGAAATTTAGATGGGCTTTTTCACCGAAAAAATAAAACGAAAATTCGTGCGACTATTTCTACGAGTTTTAAGTTTTAAAATAGTTTTATAAAATTAGTTAAAAGATTTTTAGTATTGCAGATGACTGTTTGTAGCCGAAACTAACCAAAAAGTAAGCAGAATATGAAGTAAACTGAAAAGTTGTATTGATTTCTGAAGTTGAAGAAAATAAATAAATAAGATTATGAAGCCAACGATAGAAATGAAAGTAAAACGGCTGGCCAGAAAAAAGATGAAATTATGCCATGGGCGCGAAATGATGAATCCAAAAGGATGGCAGCAGAAGATCGAATTATTTTTTTTGTTTTAATTTTTTTAGGATATGCTTGAAATTAATGAGGAAATACTATGACTGACGGCGCCCTTTGGGCTTTCTTCGAGAGGGGAGCTTTTGTAGGCTTTCGAAGTATTCCCGGTGCCATTCCAAGTTTAACATGAAGAACTCAGCCAAGGTAGAATCGCAGTCTTGATCTAGAGCTTTTATTTTCTTTATTGCTTATTTAATATTTACTTGAATACGTGAAGTAGTTCTCTGAATTGAAGAACGAAGAGAGATTTTCCGACGCTTTGCACCATTGAGGGATAATGTTTAACTGAAAAGCAGAAATGATCAAATCGAATGGAATGTGCTCATAGTTGAATAAAGACTTACACTTCCGAATAGCTGCGATGGGATGTTTGGCGAATTTTCGAAGAATTTCTCGTAAAAGTCTTGACTTTCATCGTTGAATCCTTTGAACAGTCGTTTTGACTCTCCGGACTCAACCTTCTTATAAACAGTCGGGAAGCTTGTATCATCCACTTTGCCGTCTTTAAATTCGATAAAATATATCAGTTCAAGAAAGGAGAACTCGTACCGTTCGCAAGGAGATTGGTCTCAAACAGCAGTTGTTGTTCATGAAGTGCGAGTTGTACGTAAATCGGGTGTGCTCCTGTATTGACCACTTCTACTTCCACCTTTGGCTTGAAAAAGGTTTTCAGGAGAAACATGTCTAGCCTCGAGAAGGTCTTTAGGTGACTATTTCAAAATTGTTTTATCTAGTAAAACCGTGCCTTAGATCCTGGATTAGCATCCGGTAGAACATCAACGACTACGATTTCAAAGTCGAGTTTAGAGCTGCTTCTAAACAGGTTGAATGGCAGCTTTCTTCGTCCACGCTTGTAACTCTGTAAGCAGCACATTGCAGTTCTGGAAATAGATCTGCAATCTGTGTGATTTCCTTTTTCGCAGATTTTCAAAAATCTTGCTCGTCTCGCCACAGACTATAAAGAGAAATAAATAAATGGAGGCATTGATAAATTTAGGAATAGCATTCTTTCATGATCGCAAACTCACCCGAATTGAACAATGGCTTCGAATGGACGATTTACTATCGAATCATCAGTATTTTTGTATGTTTTAAGCGGCTTGACGTCGATCTTCGAGTAGACTCCAGCGGGAAACTTGGGATGTGCCAGGCAGAATCCACAGTCTGTGAGATTTTCTTGTAGAAGAGCATCATGCTGCGCAGAAACAGAGGGTCTCGAGTTTTTGAATGGTTCTGAACTTCTTGCGTTAGTAAGGTGTTCAAGGAAAAGGTTAATTATTTCAAAGTTTTATCCAAAAAATAACGAGAATTGAAGCGATGAATATCAATATTATTGAACTCAGATTCCTACGTAATAAAAGATACAATTTATGCTTCATTTGATTCTTTCATAAATGTTATATAGGAAGAAACAAACTGGACTATTTTTTCAGTAATTGGAGTGATAAAATGATGAAATATTTTGAAAATGTACCTGATAGGGCGGGGTCTAAGTCCCTGATGAAGTGAATAGTGCCCCATTTCTTGCCTTTACAACAGTTGGAAAAGCTGTAATTTGATTTATGAAAGTTAGTGGGGCGGAAACCGTATTCATATTGAATTGAAAATCTCGGGATGGCAAGAATAATAATAAATAATTAGATCGGATTAAGTCTGTGGTAATGATTGCCATTGGTTGTGTTATTGAAATTTCTTATCGCTTCGAAGAGCACGCTAGCCTGGACCCATAGCTAAACCTGAATCTCGTTTCAACTGCTCTCCTGAAAACACTTGAGTCTGCTTCAAAACTTTGTAATCAAGTGGTCGTTTCTTCGTATTTGGTGACAAGTTATCGAATGCGCGGCTATCTTCCGTCTCTTTCTCACTCTCAAGCTTGGGCTGGAAACATCCACAAAATTGTCTTTTTAATACGCACACCAGCGATAGTTTCTCGCTCTTCCTCTCTTTCTCTGTGCGGGAGCCCCCCGCACTGCGGAAGCTGCTCCGATTTGATTTCGTGTTTCTCGGTAACAAAGGTGGAATGCTGGTGATACTTTTCATTTACAGTCCAGTCAGTGTCGTTTCCGGACTGCTGGTGTTCCCCTGAAGATTTCTTGATTCGTATGGCTTAACTCTACTTCTTCTGTTACTCTCGTTCTCAGTATTTGTAATCTTTGTTGTGGCTTCGGTGATAGCACGTGTTGTATTCTAGAGATTGTTGCTCAATCGCATCTAAACAGTAAGGGTCTTTTATCTGCAGGAAAAGTTTTATTAAGTGCTCTAGCGAGTTATTTATGCGTGATAGAATGGATAGATAGAGCGACAGATAAGTTGTATTAGAGGAGAGTATGAGGCAATTCAAGTGAGGGAGCCGAAGGGGGAAATGCTCGGGGGAGCAAGCTAGAGTTGAAAAAAAATAAATGAAGAAACTAAGCTTTCAGGATTGTGAAAACAACTATGTGCTAGAGAGGTGGTTGTCTCGCTCTTTTATCGGGCAGCTTCGTTATAAACGCGCACGCAAAAAGTTCCGCATCATGGTTCATGGGGCGGAACAAGGCAGCAGGCCACGGCTTAAATTGCAAGAGCGACACTCAATTGCAATAGCGCCATCACCTGGCAAGGACCCTTGATAATGAGTTGAGGAAGACTGAAATACAATCCTGCGCATCGGCAGCCAGTTTGGCACTTTCTATTGATCTATCTGTCTTTCAGACACAGGGCTCATCCACCCATCGTTTACCATACCACCACGTAATACCTGCCCCGCTCATACAAACAATTATATATTCTTAAAAATTCCACTAGCTCTATAATAAACCTGCATAATAGATGCAAGAACTGATTTCAGTAACAGTTTTTTTTTTGCGAAAATAAAAACTGTTTTCGCGTTCGATTACGCGAAGATTCCAATTCGCCCGTTTTTTTAAGCTTGAACTCGTAGTCTGCTAGACAGAGCTCATGTTCACATTTTCAATGGTTTGTTTTGATGGCAAAAGTTCAATTGTGAAAAGGAGCTGACGCATCAGAGCCGACAAATATTCCAAGATAAATAGAGAAAATGCGCAATTAAGAAAAAAAATAATAATTCCAAATTAAAAAAAATAATCTTCTTTTGTTATTTTTTCTCTGAATCTACCTTTTTCATTGTCGATGTTTTATCCCGGTTTCGTTCTGCAAAAAGTCTCTTATGGTGCTTGGGAGGTGGTGTTCGAGAGGGGTAGAAGCGACGAGTAATTAGTAGTAAAGTTGATCTGGCTGCTAGTGAGAGTGTGAGTGTGGCGGAGGGGACCAGGACGCTGCTGGCTGGCGCAAAGAGGCGACGGACGAGGTCGGTTTGGTTTCGCCTCTGTCAGACGCTGCAGCTTGCTCTGGGCTCAGTCCGAGTCGCCTTCGCGCTCCGAGTTGGAGTGGCGTCGGACCGCCACACACGTAGATTTGGAAACAGCCGGTGCCACTCCTCGTCTTCTTCACTTCCAAACACTCTCGTAAAACAAAAAAAAATGCACAAAACGAAAGGGACAACTTGACTCTAAGGCGAAACCAAGCAAACATTGGTCGAATTGGCAAATGAATCCAGTGTCTAGGAGATAACGTCTACCAGACAGCTGCCCTCAACGCGTGGCTCAACATAAGGATCTATTGCTGCGAGCTAAGATGAGCTGTTACGCTGATTCCGGCACTGCCCTGTCTTTGTAAAATGGTCCAACAACAATCAAATTCCCGCTATTTTCGCTGTGGAATGTCCTAAAGTGAGAGTGTACACGTGCGAGAGAAAGCCAACCTCAATAATCTGCGAGAAATGATAAAGCCTGAAACGAGAAGATGCAAATTCTATGGGAAACGGATTGCATCTTCCTGCTGCCACGGATTATAGTATTCCCAAAAAGAATAGAGCTCTTTTTAACAACCTTAGAGAGCAGGGGAGGGGCGAGATGTATTAGATTATATTCTCAATTGATGATCTTGCAATTAAACAAAAAAGAATCTATGGGTACAACTCCGAGCTCGAGACTGGTTCTCTCAATTTACCTGGATTCTGAATTCGAAGGCTTTGAAGCATTACATAATCTTGACGGCAATGAATCTCTGACATTTAGACATTTGAAGCTTAGAAGCTTGTCTGGAGACGGGTATATAACAATCTGAAGATCATCAGAATACTTGATGTCAGGAAAAATCCACCCTCCCGGCGCTGACTACAAGACACACGGGCGCGTGACGAACTTCTCGATAGAATCAAGAGTCGCTGCAAACCGTAAGCCATAAAATGGGGGCTACTCATAGACCAGATAATGTCAAGCGCAATTAAGCAATTCGAAGTGATTTTTGGGTTTAATGTTGACCCCTGTTCTTAAGGGTCATTATATCACTATCATGTACAGTCTACCAGATAAAACGTTAGAGGGCGAGTCTACCCGCCACGTTCAGGCTAAAGCCTCGCCGCTATTGGCGACCTGCCTCCTATTTGATCTTGAAAATAACAAAGAGACCGTGAGCTGGTCATGTCATTTTGTTGTTATAAAATGACAAGAGCTGTTTCGCAAAACATTAAATGACGCTAGTTTATTAGGAAAAATGGTGCAGTGGGCAGTAATAGGGACAGAGAAGGGATATAAGAAGACAATATAGAATTTATTTTTCTGAAACTTGTATTTTATAGTCCAAAAATGAAAGAGTTTTTATGTGGAGGATATTATGAACCAAGGACAGTTGTTAAAAAAAATCAGGGCCCAGAGGCTGAAATGATATAAATATGCGTCTGATATTTCTTTATTTTCTCCGGCAAAAGACGATGACGGAAGCAAAATCCTATATTCAAGTCGTCAACAATATATATATCTCCAGCAATTACTGAGTCTAAATTTCAAGAGTAGAAAATCGGTAAGACGATCTATCGGAAAGTCAGCTGTGTCTGAACTGGCAAAAACAATACCACTGTCTGTCAGAAGTTATCGTTGTATTTCCAACTATCAAGTTTGTACTTCTCGAGAAAAATAGAGCCGTTGCATTCAAATAAACAACCGTCCGTAAATCGAGCGGAAAATTGCACTCCGTTGCAGTATTTTTCTATTCTTTTTGAATGTTGCTTGAATAGGAGTATCTTGTCATGTTGATTTGCTCAACATTCCCTAAAGATGAATTTATAATATTGTCTTGAATATACGAAGAAGGTCCTTTTGTAAAGTGGATTTCGACAGAATATGTATCATAAACTCAAACGCAACCAGAAAATGTTATTTTAACGGTGAGCAAAGGTCTGATCAACGTTAAGATTAAAAAAAAAGAATTGAATATTACAATGAAATAATCGTTTTATACAAGAAAGCCATTTCGTCGGACACTTAAACGCTGAGGTGGAGTTCAAATTTAATTGCCTCAACTTACTTTTCATGTAGCTTCGCTAGTTTACATACTAACCCCATATAACCATATATTTTTAGAATCCTCATGTGATGATCTAGTGCTTTAATATGTCCGATTCTTGAATTTCCGGTTTATATCGGATTTTTATCGGTTTTTCCCATTTCGTACAAGTAACGCTTGGACAATTATATATTTTTAGAATCCTCTCGATGTCAATTTTCCACTGGTCATCTTTTTACGTCGGTTTACTCGTTTTACCGGTCATTTATCGGTTTTTCATAAATATTCAAGATAGATAAGGGGTATGATACATTTTCTGAAAGCCCATTTCAAGTCCTTTCCACTGAAAGTGTAGTCAGTAGAAATGTCCGTTTATTGTCGGTTTTAGTCGGTTTTTTTGTATGAAAAGTCGGTTTATAAGTATAAATATATTGAAAAAGCCAATTTACCTTATGCGCTCGAACGCTCAAGCGTTTGCTCAGCGAGCGGCGCTTCCGCAGGTCATGGCCCTGCTCAAAGACCATCTTACATCATCTGAATGTTATAAATATGAGCTTAATTATCAGTTTGTCCTTTATTTTGATGGCAATAGTTATTGAAGAAAATATTATTGAAACTTTCAGAATTATAATTTAAGAATAACGTCAATCCAATGGAGGCTCGATGGTAGGTGGCAGTTTTCGTCTGGGCAAATGTTGTTTTTTTCTTCTTGTCTCGTGAGAGTTCTCTCACAAAATGTGGCGGTCGGTCGTTTTTTGAATTGTAATCTTGTTTCTTCCCATTTTCCGTTTTCGTCTTTGCAAAGGCGAAGCATATGATACTTTTTTAGGTTAATTTACACTTTTTATGGATATTTTGATGAATGAATAATATGTAACCATTCCGATCGACTGCCGTTGACAGTTTTTCCGGCAGTTTGAAGGTCTGGGTCACGCTGGAACTCGGAAATGTACCTTCCACTCAGAAGATTCACAGGCCTAGTCAGAACTTTTTCTGATGATCTGGAGGCTCTAGAATGTCTTATAGGAAGATTCACAGGCCTAGTCAGAACTATTTCTGATGATCTGGAGGCTCTAGAATGTCTTATAGGAAGATTCACAGGCCTAGTCAGAACTATTTCTGATGATCTGGAGGCTCTAGAATGTCTTATATAGTTCTGACTACCCTTCAAAATCTTCCTGTAAGATATTCTAGAGCCTCCAGATCATCAGGAATAGTTCTGACTAGGCCAGTGAATCTTCCTTTAAGACATTCTAGAGCCTCCAGATCATCAGAAATAGTTCTGACTAGGCCTGTGAATCTTCCTATAAGACAGTCTAGAGCCTCCAGATCATCAGAAATAGTTCTGACTAGGCCTGTGAATCTTCCTGTAAGATATTCTAGAGCCTTCGAATCCTCTAGAAAAGTTCTTAATAGCCCTGTGAATCTTCCTATAAGATATTCTAGAGCCTCAAGATCGACTGAAATAAATCTGATCTGATGATTCTGATGGATGGTAAAGACTTTATCTGATGATCGCAACTCCTACCGTAATCCGTCGTGATCATGAGGGCATCGTTATCGTAGGTGCAGATGTCTAGAAGACTCCTGCTGAAGTTGTAGCACTCTTCGTTGAGTTTGTAGTGGTTCAGCAGTTTCTTTTGGGCACCAGAAGACATGCATCCTCTCAGAAGGTAGTCGGTCAGCAAATCAAGGAACTCCACCTTTGGTGCACATTGCATGAGAATTTGCTCTCGCTTGTATCTGTTATTGTTGGCGTCGACTTTTTCGATTTCACATAGCTGGGCATAGGTAACATCTGCATCGTCTGGTACAAGTTCCATGAGCAGCTCTAGGCGTGCTCGAGCAAGAGCATATCCATCTTCGCTGTCATCACATGTTGAGCAAGCATTTTCCAAGCATCTGACTGCATGTCCGCCGTTTTCGCATACTGTCGTGTCCAATAATTGTTCTTCGGATATTGCAGGTCGCATAGAAACTCGATTTATAGCCTTGCAGAAGAGTTCCACTTGAAGGTGACTCGGGCAGACGCATCGGAGAATAGATTCATCATCAGGAAGAGATAGCCAGCTGGAAAAATGCTTTTTATATATTTTCCGAAGGGTGTTAAGACAGCATTCCGGCCCTTTTTCTGCTTTATATTGCTTCAACAATATCCAAAATGGCTTTCGCAGATATCGTTTACGTTTTATTTGACCAAGAACTTGAACTTCGCTTCGAACTCGTGTGTCCAAATCGGAATTCTCTTCGAAAAACTGGCATAAACTTGTTTTGAGGGCATCATCTGTGGATGTAGAGCTGTATGAAGATGGTCGTGTGTCCCCAAGGCATCTGTCAAGTTCTTTATACTTTGGATGTTTCATCCAGAAGTCGCTCATATCAGAATATTTCATGTCTTCCTTTGATATGATATCGTATTCGATGTCTCGAACTATCCATGGGAGAGTTTCAGAATGTCCGGTGGCAATGGCTTTTGTTTTTGTTATCGGTTGTTGCAACTTTTCGATTTTACCTCTCATTTGACGAACAAAAGTCGCTTCTTTACTGTCCAGTTTACGTAAATCCACTGCAAAAATGGAATCCAAAATCATCGAAAGATTCTTCTCCATTGTTGGTTTGATGATCTTTGCTTCTTTTTGGCTCTAGAATCGTTATTTACATGACTACTGTTTGTAAATTCTTTGAAACCAATTTTCCCAACAAAAAAACCGACAAAAAACGACAACAGGCCCATCGAAATACTTTCACGAAACTATTTTTAGCGTGAGAAACGCGGTTGGCAACTTCCATTTTGAGCATTTCATTTTCCAATTCTAGTTTTTTCAATTCATGTCTGTTTCGATCTTCTTTTTTGCTGCTTTCTTCTTTTTTAGTGACAGTCTCTCGATCATAATGAAAGAAAAGAAAAAACGCGCTTTTGAAAAGTGACGGGGATCAGTTGGTGCGAAGGATTCTAGCGCTTTCTCTCTCTCTCTCTCTTTTGATCTCTGCTTCTCTCTTTTTTTTTTGAAATGATCTGGGCTCGATTTCATTCTCTAGTTGGTCTTATATGATTCATTTCACAGGGAGAAACTTTTGGTGACTCTTCATCCTTTTTGGTCGAAAAATCGACTCTCGCGGTTCGGAGCGATAAAGAAGCGATAATATTTTGATTTGAAGATTGAAAGTATGAAGAAGTAATAGTTCTGAATGAGTGCTTTCAGAAAAGGTATAATAGTCACTATCTAGCTTGAATGCCGGTAAAAAACCGATAAATGACCGACAAAACCGTTAATCCGGAAGAATAACTCGATAAGAGGAAAGTTCACGTCGAGAGGATTCTAAAAATATATAATTGTTTGGGTATTACTCGTTGGAAAAGTGGGAAACCGATAAAAATCCGATATAAATCGGAAATTCGAAAATCGAAGATATTAAAGCACTAGATCTTCTCATAAGGATTCTAAAAATATATGGTTATAAAGGGTAAATATGTAAATTGGCAGAGCTACATCAAAAGCAAGTTGAGGCAATTAAATTTGAACCGCGCCTGAGAACGGGGGCAAATATTTTTAGCTCTGTCTCGTAGCATGAGACAAAGATAAGGGCTCTGATACTTTTCAACGCACACGTAGTCATTCTCGCACAAGAAGCATTGTTTCTGAAGCGTCAGAACTAAGTACTCAATCTTCAAGCTTGAAAGCAATATGTCAAACAAAATTCAGTGTTCTGATCTTTTGATTAGTGGAATGCTTTGTGGAATGGGAATAATTATCTTCGAAAAGAATCATCTTCTGGTGTTCGTAATTTCTTTCAAAATTAAGTTTTTGAACTCATTCGCTTTCTTGGCTGCTATTTTCTTGTTACCAAGGGGATAGATCTGTAGCGTCATCATTATTCCACGAGAAAGTTGACAGGGATTTTCCCATAATTTTGTTAATACGATACTCTTTCCCATAAGCTTCGTTGATCTCACAGTGCGATCGGAAAACTCATAAAACTTCCAAATGCCTTCTGACAAATGTCGGATTCTCAAGAATAGGAATGAACCGATAGATATTTGTTACGTAACGAGGTATGCTATTGACGGAAGATTTCAACGAGACTGAAATTAGTCGAGGCTAGGGAAAGAACGTCGACATTGACAATAAGCATCAAGCTCTCAAGGCATAGATGGCATTTTCGTGACGCAGCTATGGCGAGCAGCCTTGGCTTGGTTTCCCATTTCAAGAACCAGGCGGTGTCGCGACGCCATTCTTGATTTGTGTTTCGATTAGCTGCTTCATGACTGAAAGACGGAGACCGAAGAACAAGAACTCGCAATGAAAGTCTCCGAGACTCGCTGCCGAATCCGCTTGAATCTACAAGTCTCTTCTGTCCAAAAGACAATTGTTCCTAGCTCCCGCATAAGTAGAAAATTAGAAGAATTAAAAGAGACGCGGATAAGTACTCCGCAACAATGAATACTAAATCTTGCTGACAAATCACTGGCATTAGGAAATCATGAAGAAATATTCAATTTTTCATAATATCATCTAGAGGGAATAACTCTTGATAACAGAATAAAATATTCTCTTCCTAACCATTTCTTATCTTACTTAAAAATCTTGTTAAATAAGCACTTGAAGTCTTACATCCCTGCCATAAGAAAAAAACCTGCAAAGACTACGCTTGGCTTTCTGAAATAAATCAGAATAGGAAGGTTCTTTGAAATGTCTTTTTTTTTTATTGGCAAATAGCAGTCTTTTAATAAAATTGAAGAAGAAGATGCAGATTTTAACAAAGTTGAAATATGTAACTTGAAACAGAGTTAAGTTGAGTAAATGATGGAAAAAAGGTAGTTTTCGAAGATAAAACTTCACTTCGGTTTTATTAACGAGTCATAGAATTTTTAACGTTTTTACTTTGAAAAAGAAGTGCTAACTTACGTTTGCTAAAGCAAATGCGCAATCATCTCGGCCGAGAAGAATGAAAATTTTCGCTAGGTAAAAAAGGTTTTGGTCGTTGATAAATTTTGGTTTTACCGTCGACAAAAACTCAAAGTGGAGAGGATGAAGACAATGGAAAATATGAACTCAACAAACTTTTATTATACAATCAGATTTGGGTGATTTGAGCAGAGAGACTCGACAAAGCGAGAAATTTAAAAGCTTTAGGGTCTCGCCCTGAGAATAATATATTTTGAACAAGCAGAACATTAAAAGATAGATAAATTCTAGTCTAAAAAACGTTAGGTCAAAAGAAAGTTGTATGAATTATGTCTTGAAGAAGACGTTATCAGGGTTGTGGACTTTTTTATTCTGAATAAATGGGTCGTTTGAAAGTCTACAAGCCTGAACGGTCGGGTAGAGGGCAGTCATGAAATTGAGTAAAAAATTGGGTACTTTTGCTTTAGTGGAGCATCATTATACCAGTTTTTGGACGTTATTAAATTCTAATCAACTATCTGTAGCAAACAGAATCACAGCAATTGTTGCTTTTGAGATGAAGGAGTTGACTTAACTATACACGAGAGCTCGTCCGAAGACGAGTCCTGGAAGAGCTTTTCTTTCTGCGAGTTAGAGTCGTCAGTAAAGAATGCTTCGAAATAAGGAATATCCCAGAGTAAGCTGGAGTACAATGATCGCGCACGCTGATCAGGTGGAGGCATTTGGAAAAAGAAGGAACTCAACAATGCAACGGTGACGCAAGTAAAGAGACCTGTCGTTGACAAGAAAATGTAGGAGATCTGGAAAGTGCTTGATGACTCTTCAGCCGAAGGAACGGATGTAGCAGTGCTGAGGGGAGATTCCGGCAGTGAAGTTAAGTTGAAGCACTGCATCGTGTTCACTACAAAGAAGAGATGACCACCTCGATATGCTATTACTAACCGGCTAATGGCTTGGTAAATTCGTCCGTCGGATTGTCCATTACATAGAACAAAATAGCGAGTCCAAGTCCGGCAAAATAACCAATTTTAGCGGGAGCCTTGGAGATCCAGGGGCAAAACATTCCCAAAGAGAACAATCCCAAGGTCGGTCCAGCGACGATTCCGTTGACACTCATCGCAGCCTGCAGTACTGTTTCTCCAAGAGCGTCAGCGCCATACGCAGCCATAATGACGAAGATACCAGCGATAAATACAATAATTCGTGACCAGACGTAAGTGTTTTGACGGATTACGCGGAAATTGCCCTTCAGCTCGTCGATAAGAACAGCACATACGCCGTTTATACCGCTAGATACAGTAGAGAGTGTGCCAGATGTGGCTGAAGCTAGGAAAAGGCCCGGGAGCCCCTTGTATTCAGCCAATTTCTGCATGACCATGTATGGCACAAGCTGGTCTTTTTGCTCGATTACCCCCGCTAAAAGATCGTTTATCAATTGCACAAAATTAACGTAAATTACCTGCTAGAGGGTCACAACCGACATAATAGGCAAACATGATCAGTCCAGAGAAAGCGGCCGTTACGTTGATGGCAATCAGCGCAAAGGAGTTCAACCAAATAGCTTTTCGTGCAGTTCCCTCGGATTTGCAGCAGATGTATCTTTGGATGTTTGATTGGTTTGTCCCGTAAACCCCTATCAAGAGTTTATATCCTCAAATAGAATGTTTTAAGTATTACCAAGCCAAACGCCGAAGGTGGCACCGAAGACAGTAGAGAGAACGGAATGTCTGACTCGAGGGTCCATGGAAAAGTCGTTGAATGCAAGTCGGCCGTTGTCGAGCGCCGTTGAATAGATGAATTCAATGCCCATGTCTTTGCACCCTTTCCAAATTAGAGCAATGAAACCGGCGTACATGGAAATATACTGGACAACATCCGTCCAAATTACGGCCTAGAACCAAGATTGAATGGCGTTCGGATCGTTTAACATTACCTTTATGCCGCCCAGGGAAGTGTAGACGCAACAAACAACTCCCATGATAGCGATGGCCACATTTTTCGGAACATTACACACTTTCTCGATGGCGACAGCGGGAGCATACACGACTGAAATAGAACATATTAACAATTGAAGATGGGTAAGCACATTTTAGAACGCACAAGACGACATAGATGACGAAGGAACGTACCGATGCCAGCATAAATGATAGCGTTGAAAGTAAACACAACAGAGAGGATAAGTTTGAATTGCCGATCAAATCGCTTCTCGATATATTGGTAAGAGCTGGTGTAGCCTTGGCGATAGAAGAAGGGCATGTAGATACGGGAAGTGATGAATGAGACGAGAAGATAAGAAACGCCGTACCAGAGAAACATTATCCCAAAGTAGTAGATTTCGGCGGGAGTGGAGATCACCGTGATTGAAGACATAAAAGAAGCTGTCAGCGACAGAGCTACTGGGAAGGCAGACATCTGAAATAGCCTTGAACCTGAGTGACACGTTTTCAGGACTTACAGAACGGTTGCCGACGAGATAGGTATCCTCATCGGAGATGGAATCGTTTTCTAATTTATTTTCTTTCTTCCTCGAATCAATCCAAGCATAGAAGAGCCCGATAAATGCCTAGAATTAATTTTTATTATAAGCTACCCAGGAATGCTCAATATTTACCGAAATTGCGAGGAGACCACTGAACACTGAGTAGTCTTCAGGTGATAGGGTGGGCAGTTCAGAAGTCAAGTCGATAATTCGTTCGCCCATCTCTTCTTGCGTGTATTCTCTCTAGCTCAATTGAAAGTGTCGTTCAAGTGGATAAAATTGCAAAATTGAGATGTCCCAGAGCCGAAATCCTCAGTCTATATATAAGATTTTTTAAGCGACCGGAAAATCCCATCATTTTCTCGAGATTACTACACAATACTAGATCATTCGACAATGGGCCCTATTAATACAGTAAATTCCGTTAGTTAACAGTAGTAAATGATGTCAGCTTAACGTGATCGTACTCTGTTTACGCTGATCCGGAATGCTTTGTCTCTTTTCTTTCTTACGGTCATTCTGGTTCTGTCTTTTGTAGTTTGGAAAGCTCGGCATTTCTGCACACGTACAAGGCAGTGGATTCTCTTAAAAAAAGAATAACTGCTGATCTAATCTTCATTATTCAATAGCTGTAGATGAAATAAATTCCTAAATTTTTAAGTCGATTTAAAAGTCAATAAAATACCTCTGAAGTACTGATGTTTGAGTGCCGCTGCTGCTGTAATCCTCTTTGAAGGGCAATAGGCGAGCATGTTGTTGAGTAGTCTAAATCCAGCTTCGGAATTCCACCAAGGAAATTTCGACTTCAAATTATTGTATGGCTGGACTTTCAGCGATCGACCTTTTTTGGCTCTAATTTCTTGAAATATATTAAATTTACCAATTGGTAGAATTACTTCTAGAGGGACGTGAAAATAAAGAATCTATAAAGCATTTCCTTTTACAAGCGGAAGATCGCCATAACCAGGCCAAATAGTTTCATTAGGGCTTCCAATCGTATCTATTATCTTGTCTATAAGCTCAATCTCGTTTCGGGCGGGAAAAAGGGGGTCGTGAAGAAGAAGCTCTGACAGAACGCACCTAAACAAAATGGCATTATTCGGAGATAAAATTTAAATAGCCATTCATCGATTGTTTTCTTAAATTCGCTTTCAATACATACCCGGCCGACCAAAGATCCATAGCCGTGGTGTGAATGCTATCGCCGAATAACACTTCGGGCGCTCTATACCACAAAGTAACGACTTTTGGCGTCGATGGTTTCCGAGGAGTACCAAACGATCTTGCCAGTCCAAAATCTGCTATTTTCAGCACTCCGTCGTCTAGACCACATAAATCAATCAGGCGCATTTGCTTTTTTTACCTGTCAGAAGAAGATTTGAGACTTTAATATCCCGATGAGCGATGAACTTCGAATGCATGAATTCTAGCCCCCTCAAAACTTGAACCATCAGGCACTTTACTTGATCTATGAGCAGGTGATCAATGTGTAATTGGGCCACGAGTTTACCTTCTAAAAACGGCTTGGACATGTGGTCGAGTAGCGATCCCAAATCGTATTGACAGTATCCCATGACGAGGAATAGACTCTCCAGTTGTTGTCCAACGGCGACTGCCTGTAGTAAGTCACAATCAAAAAGAGGCGGAAAAGAGGAGAGTTGACTTACCCTTAGATCGACAATGTTTTCGTGCTTGAGCGAGAAAAGAAGGGAGATTTCTCTAATCGAGCTGACTGGAATTCCGTCCCGTTCTTTCTCCATTCTGACTTTCTTCAGCGCCACGATTTCGTCGTCAGCCGTGTCTCTCGCTCTGTACACAATGCCGTAAGTTCCTTCTCCGATTCGATTTAGCTTTTCGAATTCTGTAACTGGTCTTTTCGCTCGTGTTCCGGAAATTGTCCATAAATGTCACTCGAGTTTTGTTTTTTTCAAATTTAGACGGCGAGGACATTTCTCGACAAGTCCTACAACGACCCATTTTGAGTCTCTCGGGGATCTCACTCTGCTCCAATGTTTTTACGTCGACAATTGGGGGCAGCTTTTTGGGCGGCTTCGAGTAGGAACGTGAGGATGACACATTCGACGCTTCATCCTCCGATTTTTTTCGACTTTGCGCGCGGCGACTGTCTACTTTGGCTTTTTAATACAGCCCTATTAATTCCAGTTGCAACTGGACCAGTGTCCACTGAGATCGATCTATTCCTGATCATCGATAATTCAAAAAAGCGTTCCTTGGTTATCTTCGTAGGAGAGATTTCTCTTCCGATCTTTGTGAAGTGATTTTCGACGCTCATCCTGAATCAACCGTTAGCGATTACAAAAGTGCACAAGTCGTCAAGTTATTTGAACAGGCGCAAGTTTTCTGAAATGAAACTTCTCGAAATCGGACGTTACCTTTTTGGTTTCACTCTTTTTGAGTCTTTTTTAGGCTCAATGATCAATCTCTCGTTCATTCTAACTCGTTAAAAGCAAAAAATCTGCAGAGAAGATTCTTGATTTTGATTTTTAGTTTCTGTAAACCCAAATCGCCCTGAAAATGCGAATATGCGGTTACGTCAGAAATGGGCAATAGTGAGCCGTTCCTGGAAGAATCTACTTGGATAGATTGGCCTCTTGCATCTTTCTGTACTTGACTCCGACTGGACAGGCCATGATGGGATGCTCGCCCGATGCTACTAGAGCCGTAATAAGCAGCGTTGCTTGAATTAGAGCCTGTAAGACCCTTGTAGCTCGTCTGCGCGGGCTTGTTCTTCGGCTCCCGCTTTGGGAACTGCGCCACGGGTACGTAGTTGTCGTCCCCTCTGATCATCTCCCTTCGTCTTCTCTGAGTTTTCTCTCGGCGAGGGCTAAGGGAAAATACTACGCTCAGGGAAATGTTACGCAACTGGCTGAGTTTGTGGCCCACAGGCGGGGCCAATCAGCGCAGTCTGGGATAAGCTCTCAAAATCGGAGAAAACCGGGGAAAAGAGACTTTTCGTAAGTTATAAAAGAAGAAACAATAAAGTGAAAAGAACGGCAGTTCAGAATAAGCAGGATCGCTCTCCTCGAAAAGGTACACTAATTGTCTTTTTGTAAAATAACCTCTAGGCGGGTTCAGTTATGATTTTACGAAAGAGCTTATTTCTCAATGAAAATGCATCGCTTTAAGTTTCTGCATTAGCACTAGAGCCTTCGAGAATTTTCCATTGTGCTTAGGATTTAGCCTCTTTTATTCTGCCATAAATAATAGAAAATACCCATTCACGTAAATAATTCTTCATTTTTAAGGGTAAAAGCGTTTGAAATTGGTACTTAGGATTTGGAAATTGCCCAGTGTATCGCAAGTTATTGAATCTTTCAAGGATAACTAACATCGATAGTCATCAGCACTCGCCAAATCACAATAGGAGCGATTCTATATATTTCTCGGTTTTGAAAGCTTGAATTCGATCGAAAACGCAATTGCCAATTGATTGAGCTCTTCAATCATTTTAATTAAAAGCAGCTTGTGAACACTTTTCACTGAAAAGTGCTCTCTCTTCTTTCCAAGCATTTTCATAAGTGCCGGGAGAGCAGTTCTTAGGTTTCGCATGTGATTGTTCTTTCTATTTCTTTACGTAAATAATTCAGCCAAACGGGACCAAGAATGAAAACTGGACTTAAAGCGAGTTGAATCGGAAATGGACACGCTGAGCCACTTTCTGCGGCGATCGTCGCGCAACCGCCGTGCAATGGCTCTTGGCAACAACAACGCCAGTGTCGAGCGCGTCTTGCAGGAAGCGAGCCTGCTTCAAGAAGCCCCATCTGCGATTTCCTCGCCCGTTTCGAGCGTGCCACCGCCGCTGCCCGATCGGCCACCAGCGACGCAACCTTCGCGACTGCGAACTTCAGCCCTTCGTCGCCGTGCCACCTTCAGAACTGAAAACGGCGATCAACGTCTTACACTACGAGATCGACGACACTTTCTTCGAACACTCGAGTCTCAGCGCTCCAGATCGAATCTTTTGGCAACAAAAAGTCATCTCTCTTCTTCTGGTAAATAAAAAAAGACGCCTTAACAACATTTTCGAACTAAATTTTTCAGTGAAGCAGACATCGCGCCTGTTCGATATTTGGAGCGAAATAATCAAAGGTGTCCAGGGCAGACATGGCAGCTTCGTTGCGTCTTATTTTTACTTTCTGAAGTCGCTCCTTCAATTCTACGCTCTCCCTTCCTTTCTATGTATATTGTTTATATATTCGCCTTACAGACGCCACGAAAATCTAACTGACGAACTCAATAATGCGACATCAAAGAAGTTTCATTTAAAAGACCTTGTCACTGGCGAAGGATGGTTTCTCAACTCAGGTAGATTAAAAAAAGAGACTTTGCTCTCATGTTTCAATTTTAGGTCTATATTTTGGCTCATATCCCACCGATTCTGCTCTTTCGTCCTATAGCATTCCGACGGCGTATGCAACAACCATTTTGGTTATTTTTTGTATTTCAGCAGTTCGCATCTTCAATCAAGGGAGACGTCATTTTTCCCTAGCTGTCCACTATCAAATGATGTCTCAAAATGGAATCTCCAAACTTCTTCTTTCTGGGTGGGATTACTCGATCGTGGACCCTCACATGGCGAATCTCCAGAAACGTTCGAATGCACTCTTCATCAAAGAAAAGCTTGCAAAGGACTCAAGAGCTACTTCGTCGGTAGTGATTATGTGGACAAAGTCTGCATTCATCTGGATTCTTTGTTTGACCCTTGTTTTCGCTTCATGCGTCATGATTGTAATTATCGGTCGGAGACATTATGACGACTTCTTATACGCCTGCAAATACTGGTATCGGCCGTGTCCTGAAACAGAGAAGATTCCGCTTATTATTCCCGCTCTCACATCGTTACTTTCATGTCTTCTTACTCGCCTATTCGTGGTGCTTGGAGAAATGGAGCATTTCAACAATGAACACAGAATAATCTTAACGATCACTAGAATCCTAGTCATGCGATTCGCACTGTTGACGTCGCTTATTTACGAACTGAGCGAACGGTACTCGATCAGATTTTGCGTTACCTGATTTCTTTTTTATAGATCTCAGAATGAAGACTGCTGGGAAGATGTGATAGCACACGAACTCTACAAGTTCTTTTTCTTCGACACGATGTGCTCGTTCTTGATCAACACAATTTTCTGCGAGTGTCTAGTGTCACTAGTTCGAAAAGGATGCTCAATGAGACCTCCTGTTTTCGACGTCATTTCGAATGGAATCGAAATAGTCTTTGGCTGTTCTATTACGTTTCTAGGAATGGCTATTCAGCCCTTTGCAGTGCAAGTTTGCACCTTTTTGTTTACTTCTATCGCGAATGCTGAATATCCTGAATGGAGGATTATATTTTTGTCCGCTCCTTCTTCTTGGGGCCGTTGGGCGCGTGTTTATCACATTTTATGTAAAGATCTTGGTTGTCAGATACGTTAGCGATGAGCCCCACGATGTTATCACCCTTGGCGCGATCTCAACGATGACCACTGTTTCCGAGACGCTGTCCTTTTGCTACTCAATAATCCTCATGATTGCTGTTGTCCTCCCGAAAAACACCTCGAACTCTTGTGGCCCGTTTAGAAATCTCGAATATCCATTGCAAATATTTTCCTCTTTGGCGAACAATGCGGCTCACATACGGTACTATTTCTTTTTCGATTCTGTAATCATGCTCTGGTTCTAGCCAAGCATTCGACAAAACTGTTAGCATCCTGACTTCATCTGTCCTTCTCAGTCTCCTAATTCTATCGTTGTTTGGACTTATCCTAGTCGTACACACAAGAATTCGCGGTCAAAATCGCGAAGTTCATCGGCTCAAGAAAATGCTTAAGAAACGAGGGTACACAACGCAGCTCCGCAGTTAATCCTGAACATTCCAATTCTCAATTCTGTAAATAACAGCCCAGCTATTCCTCTGACCTGCACTTTCTTCATTCCAATTCTCTGCACCGATATTTTTCCTGCACTAACTGATATAAATTAAAGGACCTTCATAACAATAGATTTGAATCTTCTGTGATTTTATTTGAATAAAAGGTATGGTAAGGAATACCATACTATCAAGAACTGTGAGTGTGTATCATCGAGTTTGTTCGAGGCGCTTTTTGTTGTTGACTTTTCGTGGGGATCTGCGGTTGAAGGGATTACAAGGATGGTTACAGAAAAAGGGATTGGGTAGAGTTTGGGAGGCATCCACTATGTCTCCATCGCTTCACTTGCGCTTAATGACATGCTTGCAAAAGCATCGCATGGTCCATCTTGGGCGACTGCTGGATTCTCAACCACTCGCAAACTATCAAAATAATCAGTTATTTCTTGTCAGACTGACAATGTCAGTTATGTAACGAGGAAAATGTGATAATCCGCACCTTTGAGTTTCGTAGAATCCAATGCCGTTGAGAATCATGGTAAGGTCGTCGTATTTTCCGGCAGGAAGGGTGAGATACCGCCCTGAAAATAATTGTCATTATCAATCTCTGCTGAATGTTAGCATAATTGAGAGTGACAACATAATTCACCCTGAGATTCTATCGTATCATTTTCCTAGTTGCGTTTAACCGAGTAGCTTAAATGATTAGGTATGCGCTGGAGCAGTTCATTTGAATTTTTTTTACTTTTTAGATATTCTGATCGATTTATAAGAGTCGGCTTACAGTAAGACGCTCAGAGTGTGCTCATTGTGGCAGCCACACAAAAAACAGCGGGGTCACAAGATCACGGGGGGAATTCTCCTTTTCAAAGGCGGGCTCATTGTTTTTTCTCACTAGGGTGTTGAAAAGGCGACTGTTTACGGCATGCCCTCAGAGTACATACCTTGAAAACCCAAGTTACTGTATAAAGTCCACGCTCCATTTTCGACGATGGCGGATTTCGGGCACAAACGGCGATATCCAAGGGCAGCGAAGTTATCCGTGAAGCTCTTAAATAGAAACTGAGCTTCGCCCCTTCGAAAGATTTCATCAGTGACATCCTCTTGTTTTCTAAAGAAACAAATGTTGTCTTTACCTGTCCGTTGCCTCCAAAGTGTCGTTCGGAAAACAACTGAATTCTGCTTGGTGGTGCCATTTTGATGTAGTCTTTCTTCAGTTAAATATTCCTCGCGCTCTCTTGGATTTGACCGAAAACAACTCTGCCTCGTCTTGTTAATAGTTAGCCGCCAGGTGCGCCGACAAAAAGTCTAACTGAATCCTCGTTACTGCGCCGGGCGTGTGTAAACTTAGTCTTCTAGAAAAACAACGTGGCGAAGCTGGTATTCCTTTGGGGGAGCCTCTCTTCTGATTTTAGCAACCACGTGCTCTTTGGCTGTCTGGTTTATGAGTTGGGCCGACCTCTGCCCCTGGAGAGGATACGCTCTCCGCTGGGAGTGCTATCAGATTGTCGTCCTCGCATGACCCATTTTGGCGATCACATGACGTTATTAAGATGCTGACTGCAAACCCTAGAACCCCCAGGTCAAGACTAATGACGGCCGAAATCTCAGTGATTAATTTCTTCGATAAGTTTAAATGTATTTAAACTTTCAATTTCCCCAAAAGACGACCCACACGTTTCAATATCAAGGAGCGGTAATTAAAAAACAACCCGAGTGTTTTAAGTTAACACTCGTTTTCGACATCAACAACACGTTCCTTGCTCTCACTTTAAGTAATTCATTTTGGTTTCGAAGAGAGACCTTGTCTGTTTTTGAGCCATGCTTGAATATTCAAGAATCAAAAGACATATCTGTGAGTAACAACCATTTAAGATTTAACTCACTCGAGCGGTTTCTTATAAATATTACAAAAATATATTCTTAGTACATATAAAAGTAGGTTTCTGAGCAGATTGAGTTCATTTTACTGGATGTTGAGAACGCGATTCGGTGGAACTTTTGCGAGTTCTAAGTAATTAGAGCAGCTCGAACTGATGCAAAACAAATTTGAACATCTCAAATCGTTGTTGCTAGTTCAAGTCTCTGTGCCAGGAATTAATCTTAATACGTATGTACTTCGAACTTTGCCTTGAAGGTCTTTGTTGACTTCCATCGTCACGTACTGGTGCAATAGAACACGGAGTTCTTCGTTCTGTGTCTGCAAGCTTTCGTTGTCGCTGACGAGTCTGAAAGACAATTAGAAACGTCAAGTAGTGTGTATTCGGGTACTTACGAGGCGCGCTGGTTGAGACACTCAAAATAACTCTGCTGAGCTTTGTAAAGAGCGTTCCAGAGGATAAGCTTCTTATCGTTGATAATGTGAGACCTAAAAATATAAAGATTGAAGAGTTCAAATCAATGATTTCAGTTCTCAGACATTCAAAGCTTGAGCACCGATAATGTGTATTTTTAGAAGTTTTAAGAGCCACGTCGCGACAGATTTTATTGTTCGCGAAAGAGGTTCATAAACATTTAAAATCGTTAGCAAGTGGGTTCGAATTGTTCCAATGATTTCCTACCTTTCCTCCCAGACTTCCCACTTGATGTCTCCCTTCGAATGGTTCGAGCTTGTGAGGCTAGTTTTCTTTCTCCTCAGCATCGCATTGTTGATGTAACTGAGAATGCCCTAAATTGAGAATTGATGAACGGCGTAAGAATGAGATCTAATCATGTCAAGTGCCCTATTCGCGTTAATGGTTATTTTATCTTCGGGTCAATTAAGTGGATAGCAAAAATACCTCGAGAGCATTATTTGGATCGGCTTTTTCACCGATCGCCCCGTAGTTCGTCATTTCCGCCATCAGCAGTTTGAGTTCAGACTCGTCGTCAATGTTGAGCGCGGCGAAAATCGCATCGATAAGAATAAGTCGTTTTTCTTCTGGCTTCAGCGGCTCGATAAGCTTGTTAAGCATGGCTTCAACCAGGAACGAGCACTCTGAGCAGAGCAAGTCAAATGCCTGGTCAGCTTGCTTCTTGGGGATGCTAGTTTCCCCAGCAAGGATTTTTTAGCATACTCCATAGCAGATGGTCTATGTTGCTTGGAAGTGCTCTTGTTGTATTCGGGCATGACAAAGTCTACTCCAAGCTGCTGCTCGGAAATGATCTTGTCCGCCTGAAGCGTTCGATTCACCAATTCCATAAGTTCCTGCATGTTCATCTCCCAGACCTCTCGGAACTTTTTGTTGTCAGCATCCTCGAAATGCTTCTTTTTCTTTTGGAAGTCGGCGTACTGTTGAAGCAGTCGTCGGTAATCTTCTCGAAGGTTGCATCCTTCTACGCGGGCTTTTTTCTCTTGCGCCTCGAGCTTTGATCGTAGACTGTTCAGCTGATCCTGCATTTTTGTCAAGCGACGCTTCTGCTGGCTGTTAGTGATCGTATTTTCGTCATCGCGTTTTTTGAGGACTTGGAAGTTATACTCGAGCTTCTCCTGGTTCAGCTGGTATGAAGCGCGCATACTTTCAAGCTGTTGCTCCAGAACTTGCACGTCAGTTTCCAGCTTGATCTTTGTAGTGTGAAGGTCTTCAGCGTCCCGCAGACGGAGCCTGTCGATTTCTGACTGTAAAATGTTTTTAAAGCGGAAGAGAGTCCTAAAGAGTTACCTGGAGTTCATCGCGGAGCTCGAACCTGTCTTCGAGATAGTTATTTTCGGTTTTGCTGAGATGTGCAGCCTTTTCACGCCACAAGTCAGTTGCTTCAACATCTTTGAACTGAGCGTCCAGAGCAGCGATGACTTGTTTTGCTTCGTCTCTGAAAGCCCGGTCCATCGTCCTGTACTGTTCCACCATTCGCTGTGTGATAATATCGAGATCATCGTACTGCTTCTTCAAGGTCTTGACGTACTCATCTTCGCTGCATTTCAGCTCTCGATTCAGCTCAACTAGAAAAATCGTTAACTTTTAGACCAAGAGATTAGAATCACACCTATAAGCTGGTTTTTAGCGCTCAAGACTTCTTCGCATGCTTTGCATTGGTCAGTAAGCGCGTCCCGAAGTTCCTGAGGAACATCTCTTGCAAGCGATCCTGTCCATCTTCGGCGGATAGCCTCGAATTTCTCCAGATTAGCGTCAGCTTCATCCGCCAAGATTTTCATGCGACGCTTCTTCTCTTCGTGGACTTCTTTTCTCCTCTCGAACTCTCGCGCAACAGCTGCAATTTCAACGTTCGAGACGAGTTCAGTGCCTGCCTTTCTCAGAAGCGCGAGGCGGCCCTCCGACACTTTCATCTGGGGGTTCACATCGATTTGTTTCTTTTCCTCCTCGCTGAAAAGACGCGTATATTTTTTCGGAAAATAAGAAAACTTACATGACCAAGTCGGGCTGCTCCTTTGCTCGGACTCTCTGCTTGATTCTGTCCCGACGCTCTTGCATTCTCTTCTCTTTCTCTTCTTGCTCTGTTCCCACCACCCCATCGTCATTGCGAAGTCCGGAAAACATTCTGAAAACGCAAATTCCACTCGCGGTCCCTCGAGATACCCTTCGCTAAAATCTATTTCATAGTCAATAAATCACTGTCCAGATTTGTCTCCTATCACTCTCAGATTCTGACTCATTCTCTCTTTCTCTGCGTACTTAGACAAAGTGTGCTCTCAGCAGAGATCAAACTTTGCTTTGTTGACAAAAGAGGCCCAGTAAAACTTTTCAGACGATGATCACGAGAAATTAAACGATTTGAAAAAACGGGCTTTATCATGGAAACCTCGACTGTTCCCATCCACCTTGCCATTGTTAATACGACTTCAGTTTTTGAAGAATATGAAGGCGAATATTGGACACTTATGGGTATTTAGCATTAGCATTAGAAGGCTAAACTAGCTTGAATGGACCTTTCAGGATGCTCTATTTTTCTTACGCTTATGGGCTTCTTTTGGCTCCTTTCAACAGTAGGAGGAATCGGAACCATCAAAGATCTACTATGCGGGTAAAAAATTATTGTCTTCAAATATCTTAACATTTGTTCAAGTTTGGCGTGTTCTGCTGCCTGCGAAGGATGGAAAAATGTTGATTACATCACTGAAAGCGTGACGTTCTTTAGCTATTGGACCTGTTTGCCATGGATAACCTTTACTTATTGCCTATTGACGGTAAAATGATATGGGATTCAAAATGTATCAAAATTTTGCAGCTTATAAATGGCATTCTGGGAATCTGCGCCGTTAGATTTGAGCATCTTCCGTCACTCCAAGCTTTCATGATTTTCACAGTGGTCTCCCTTGTTGTTGGTATTCTACTATTTTGGTTCTACGCATGTATCAGTGTGGCATACTCCTGTTGCCGCTGTTGCTGTGAGAAAATCATTGAAGAAATAAAGGTATTTAAAAAAAAGTTCTTATATCATCATGGTACTTTCAGGAAATGGACGAGATGGAAAGCCAACCGGTGAATAACAATCCCACAGAAGGACAGAACAAGAAAACTGAAGAGCCCGTGGAACATAACTATTGTTGTAACTTTTTCCTACACTTTGCAGTCCCAATGATTCTATATTTTATCTGTCTATGCATTATCCTTAGCGTTGGCTGGTCCTTTGCCTTTTGAAACCTCTTGAATAAACGCAAGCACGAATTCTAAGAGAAGTGGTCACAGAGTTATAAAAATAAAGTATATATTAGTAGCATAGAAAAATAATAGAGGCGCAGGATCAAATTAGAGCTGGTAAGGGATATCGTCCTGCTTGTCGAGTTGGTGAACCAAGGGAGTAGAAAACTTTGCGCTTCTCTTGAATTCTTCGCCAGCTGTTCCACCGACGATCTGTCCTTTCGTAGCGCTGAAAACAACGAATAATCATTTGATTTTACAAAGCAGACTTACGTTTTGTAAGCTTCATGAAGCTGGCTCCAAACAGTGATGGGCTTTTCGTTGAGGCAAGAGGAGTCGAACTGAGGTGGTCCCGGCTGAGTAGGGATGCGAGGATTCGCGCGTCGCGCTTCAAGGCGTTGCCTTTCCTCCTAAAACCGTAGTTTAGTATCAAAGACAAGAGTGTTAAAAAAAGAGATTCATGCACTGATTTTGATGTTTCATCAAAGGGCTAGAGTAAATGTAAATAAATGAGGTAAAAGCATGCATTAAATGTGTTAAGAGTCTAACCTCTTGTTTACGCATTTCCTCTGCTCTCTAAAAATAAAATTGAAAGGCTCTGCGATACTTGAAGCGAGTGAGTTCTACCTCCTCGTCAAGAACTTCTTGCAGGGCATCTTGATATCTCTTACGGGTCAAAACGCCGGCCTGAGCCTCTTTGGGGCGGCTATCGGGCTGCTTGTAGTAATCGGCGGTAGTTGTCAAGAACTGGTGATCAGCCTTTTCTCCAGTAATCTAAAAGATCGCTCATCACAGCTCATAACTACTCAATCTATCTTACCAGATTTTTGTGGCCATTTTTAAGCTCTACGCTGGTCGAAACCTCACCGTCAGATGATCTATTCAATCTATCCTGAAATAACCAGCTAAGTCTCTCCTGCAAGAAAAACACGCTAACTTACCTCGACCCAGTTTTCTAAGAGAGTCCGACCGCCCGCATTAGGACTTCTAATCAAGTTGCAGCCAAAGGGAGGGGCGCTCATTCTAAAAATGTAAAAATGTTAATTCAGAAATTCGCGGTTTGTTCGTTTTTGTTTTATAAAAAAAGATATCAATATTAACTATATTTAGCACATCAACGAAACCCGTTGTTACAGAAATGTAGAACGAAGTCGAGGTGTGGATGAGTTGTCTTGCTTCAATTTATCGTTGTCGGGGCTTGTTGAGCTTGCGAGAGACCTTGCCCAGATCTTGGTACTGGGTGGTGTACTCGGAGCGGAACACGATTCGACGACGGTCTTTATCAGTTCGCTCGACACAGTGCTCTCGCTGCATTCCCTTCAGATCTTCTTCGTCGATGTAGTTGGCCTTTAAAATTGATTTAATAAAAGAAAACGGCAATTAAAAATTACCTTGAAGACAGTCTCAACGCTGCTGTGATGCTGGAGTGGCAAGTGCCAGTGTCCGCTACCAAGGGAGGTGATGAGACGATCAGCCCAAACTGGACGTTGCTTGTCTGTTGGAATATACATATGCGGTGGGTAGCACTAGAAAGCGTCACATGTATAAATCAAATTCGCTCGCATACCTTGAAAAATCGGCTGTTAGTGGACTCGTCTCCCATTCGATCGGAGAGCCCCTGTTTGAGACAGTTCTTGCTATCTGTTGGCTTCCCTTATTGCTTCCACGAACGATTCGGCACTGAAAAACTCGAATTCATATTTAAAATAATTTTAAAGACTTACATCGGTCTCGAAAATGGGGAAGAGTGGTTCCTTCTTTGGCAAATTTTTCATCATCTCGAACAAATCGACTTCAAGCTCTGGCTTCTGTTCGCCGCTCTGGGGCTCCAAAAGGGGCACGTTGAAGACCTTCTTCTTTGGAAGTTGGCTTCTTGATAGCTGGCGAATTCGAGGCGTCGATGGCTTCTTCAACTCTTCTTCACTTTCTCGGGGAGGGAGAAGAACCAGCTAAAAAAATCAATGTTTTCTAGAGCAGACTTTGTTTACTTTCCACAATTTGGGTGAAACTTACCGGTTTCTTGCGCTTATTCTTCATAAGATCAATAATTTGGTCTTCGTGCTGCTTGCATTCAAAACGGCGAAACTGCTCCCGCTGCGCATTACGCTTTTCTGCGTCTGTGTTCAATCGAGATTGGCTAAAATTCGATGTCAAACACGCAGAATTATTATCTTACCGAATGCAGCAATATGTCTGGCCGATTTTTTGAATTTCAGCATTGGTGAGGCCAAGGCGTGGACCACGGCTCTTCTCGAATTCAGTAAATGAGCCTTCGTTAGGAGCACCGGCCCGTGTGTAGCGTCGAAAAGACTGAGGAGGAAGTTTGGGATTTATCTGCCGTTCTCTTTCCTACGAAGACTTTCAAAGCTGAATAATAAAAAAGTGACTTACCAGCCCAAGATGCGCCTTGTTTAGATTTATCCTCTTGAACCCACTTCCTCGACTCTGCGACTGTTTGACGCCCTGGTGGGGCCTTGCACCTGAAAATACTCAAATACTTCTCTCTCGATTAAAAACGAAAAAAATACCATTCTCCATCCCTCGAAGAACTGTGCTGAGCCCCTTCTGACAAATTCGGAAAACATCAATATTACTTCTAGAAACTTTTTTCCATTTTTTTTTTTATTTCAGCGCTTTTGTGAAAATATAAATTCGTTTATGGTAGCAAAATAGAAGAATTATTCGGAAGTAGAAATCAAAAGGTCAATAGTAATAGTACAGTAAATTTACAGTAAATAGAAAAACACACTTATTGAGCGGTAGCAACTGTAATTGGAGCGATGTGGTGAGCCTTCCATCTAGAAATCGAGGCTTTATTTTCATCCTCTTCTTCTTCGCCGTCTTCAACCACGATGCTCACGTACTCGCCGTGTTGCTCGCAGCCAATGTCGAAAACGTATTTTCCAGGACTGAAGGAAATACGAAATTTCAGTTTTTCATCATTTAAACCGTACCCGCTTATTTGGTTGGTCTTCCAGCCGCCCTGGTAGCGGTGATTTTTGTGAATGAGCTCAGCACCTCCATTTGCCTGGTCACTTTCCCACTTTCCTTTGAAGACTGTGCCGTTCTCTCTGAAAAGAAGATGTAAAGAATTCGGAACTAGTTTAGCTGTATTTACTTGAACGTGTAAGTACCATCGCCGTGGCGTTTATCATCTTTGAACTGGCCTTCGTAAGTGTCACCGTTGACATATGTGTACGTTCCTGAGAGTATTTTTGACTTCGTTTGTTTTACGAAAAAAGTTTAGTAACGTACCGATTCCATTTTTCTTGTCGTCTTCCCACTGACCGGAGTAAACTGAGCCGTCTGGGTAATACATTTTTCCCTCACCGACCTTTTTATTTCTCGAGTAGGATCCGACATATCGTGCTCCACCCTAAAATCTAAGCTCCACGGATAATTCTTAGTCTTTATACTTTGAACTTGTAGACACCTTCGCCATGCCTTTGTCCCTTTTCGTACTGTCCTTCGTAGACATCTCCGTTGGACAAAGTCGCCTTCCCGGTGCCGTGCCGTTCCCCCGCTTCGTTCCGCTCGCCATCGTACTCGCCAAAGTAGAACTCTTGTCCGTCCTCGAATTCTGCCTCGGAATCCGACATTTTAGTTCTTAGCTGAATCAAAATAAACTGATGGATGAAGGATGAATATCTTAAATGTACAGGCAGAGCGAAGCTAAAAATCATCATGAGGGGGCATTGCTTTTATTATTTCCTCTTCAGCCTTTTTTATCAGCTCTGGATGCTTTGCGGCCATCTTCCGTTTGATAACTTTGAGCCGTTCGTAAGTGGCGTCCATGTCAGTCTTGAGACTGAGAACAACAGCAGTGTGGTCGTTTAGGCGTTCTGCTAGAATTGCGTAGTGGTTTCCGACGATCAGATTAGCGTTGTGAACCATTTCTCCTGTCTTCTCAAATCTAAAGCGATTTACCAGCTTTTTATGATCAAGATAGGAAGAAAATTATGCTTGGCAAAGTGGGGATAAAATGATCACAAAGACGACTCGAGCGATAGGATGACCTTTCAAAATTATAAATTATAAAAATAGCTGCTACAATGTTGACTTGTTGGATGAAGGCAATTACTTGCCGAACAAATTTCAACTCGCTTACCTCAGAGCAGTATCCCGCTGCGCACGTTCTACTTCTTCTATGTCCTGACGACAGAGGATCTGCGTAATATGCTCTGGAGGAGCATTACTGCCACTTTCATCGTGCTCTTGATTGCGACTCATTGCGCGCCCTGTTTCGGAAAAATCTTTTCCCCGTTGCTGGGGCGACGGAATACACCTCCACTCCTCTGTTCACGAAACTAACAAAATCGCCAGTTTTTCTTAACACAAAAAAGTCAAAATAGCCTCCGTGTCGTCACAGATTATTGACTCTGTAGTGAGCTGTTGTGATGGTCACATCAGAATTTTGGAGAAGTGCATACAAAAGAATACATTTTTCTTTCGCAAGTCTTTATTATGGTCGAAGTAAGAGCTCGAGAAGAACAAAAAGCGACAAGAAATAATACTTGGTCCAGGAAGAAATGACGGTGTTTTTTTCGAATTGCAGTGAAAGAGCTTAATTGTTCTGGGTATAAGGAGATACGTCGTCTTTGCTTTTAGTAGCTGAATATCATCCAAACCATAACAGTGAGCACTGACATAGCAAACATGTAAAGCGCCCCTTTGAAAATTGAGCTATTGAGCCGTGAATAAGTATTTTTTCTTAATTACCGATCAGCAAAGATAAACGCTGGTGTTCCATTGTGAGAAAATTGTAGTAGCTAATACAGTTATCTCGTTGTCGGGTAAAATCGTTCCCGCTCAAAGCCGGGCTATCAATCGAGATTCGATGCTCATCAAAATAATTAAGTTATCAGTAAATATTAGCCCTGACTTAAAATATACCCAGTGTGTATATTGCTAGAAGAGGTTAAGACTGGTTGATATCAAGGAAGACTTATACTTCAAAATTCGAGAGCATAGAAGAAAATTGACAGTTTCTTAACCTACACCTGTAGTAGACATCCTTCTTGAATGAATGGGATGCGTCTCTTATTAATAGGATGAAATGCTATCAATATCGATTTTTCTACACATATTTCCTACTCTCCTTGAAAGTGAGAACTCGTCTAGCTGCAGCATGTATTTCTTATATTTTTCAGTCAACTGGCAAAGATGAGACCAGGGAGATGAAATTCAAGATGACCAAGCCGTCAAAATCAATCATCGCTTTCAATATATTTAATTTATCTTCCATCAAAGTAAAATCAAAGCAAAAAGAAAATATTTTTCCAGTCGTCTCCATCTAATCCTTAGTTCAATAAGAATCTATTTTCGAGTGAAGATTCAATCTCGTATTTAATTTGGACGCGCACAAAAAGTGGATATATTTCAAATATGTAGCGCCTGGGAAAGAAAGATGATTCCATTGACTCTACTATGTCCACATCCGTAGTAGATGGATGAATTCCCTTTGTACCCCCCAAGAATTTTAGAACAGAGCAATTAAGGCCCTCATAAATAGGCGCAAGTTAAAGTGGTTTAGTTTACGAGCCCACGTGAACTAATAAGAGACAGACAATGAGAAGTTAACGAGCCATTGCGACAACGGATTTTACGCGGCGGCGATACCGCAGCCGATCTCCTATCCGTATTACTCGCCACCGGCCCATGTTTCGTTTTTCGACTATTGAGTTATTGTAGAGTTGTGTTTACTAACTTTGAGAGAAAAAAAAGGATGAAAGCTTTTAGTTAACAAAGGGAGTCGCCTCTGCTCGTGGAGCTATGGGAGTGAGATGGTGTGCTTGAGTGTTGACTATCGGCTTCGGGTTTGGGCCCGCGTTCGTGGAGGCGGGTATCGGGTGAAAAAGAAAGACAACCGAAGGAACACACAGAGAATGAGAGCTACTTCAACCAACTAAACAGTGAAATTAACATAACACCGCCTTGTCTGGTGAAAAGAGAGAGAAAGAGAACTCGCCGAGAGAAAATTATCTGCGCCATTTGTGTGAAAGAATAATGGACAATCCAAATGCGCCTCCTCTTTTCGCAGGGACCGATCGACCATAATGCGATGTTTGACCCTTTCGGGTTGTTGTACCCAGGGGACTGGGTGAAACTTCGTAGATTTGGTCACTCGGCTCTAGATCGAGACCTCGACTGACGCGCCTCGTAATTTTACTATAACAGCGTTAGTGAGATGGAAACGCTAACTGAAAATGATTAGATGGCGCCTGCTTCGTTGAAGAACAGTAAAACCTTGCAAACTCACGTGAAACACAATTGCAAAGCTTTCTGTCCTTTACCGAATCGGGGAGAAGTATTCGACGACATCGAAATCAAGGAAGACAAAACAAGGAGGAACTTAGTAGTACACTCTGGGTAACAGTGGCGGATTAATGGCCTTGCGTGAAACTTTGACGCTTGTACCAAGTCTGTTAACGCCGTTGTAACCGATACGTGGACACGATCGACAGACCATCTTTCCTTCGAGAATAAGGCAATTGCCGTTTAGTTTGCCCGTAGAGCAACATAGTAATCGCTTAATTATGGTCATAACTTTAGTTGCGACTATAATTCTGAACGAGGCAATTCATCATTTTCCGCAAAGCGCAAATATTTACTTAGCACGGATGAGCTCGAGCTGGACGGTCAATAGCAATCAGTCATTCTTCGGAAGCGACTGGATTGAAGCTTTAGTCAAATACGAAGCCTGGTTAGTTGAAATTCGATTACTAAGAATTTCTTCTACTCTCAAAAATGGTAATAATCCAAATGACAATTGCAAGGAAGTCTGAGGTCAATTTTAATTCAAGGAAGGAATTTATTTACCAATAGAGCAATATTTAGAAGACACAGTAAGACAGTCATTAAGTACTAAAAGAAGCGGATTCGAGAATAGACAGAATAAAAGAAGGAATAATCGTCATCGTTGTAACGGTGCCATTACGGCCTTATCTTCGGCGGCAGCTTTTTTATGTTTCTGGTACTCTTCGGCGGGCAAATAGCCGACATAGGCGAGCATGTAAACGGCTCCTTTCAGTCGCCCCGCAAGAAGAGGAGCATACGAAGAAATGATGCCTTCCGTCCAAGACGAGGCTGGATAAATAAACATGGCAGCGCTGAAAATAATAAATCAGTTTTGTCGAGGAAATCAAACAAACTGGAATAAGTGAATGTTCGATAAATGGTGGATAAATTATAAAACTTTACCCTTATGATTTGAGCATGAAAATAATACTTAACCAGCGCTAGAATGAAAAGAATGTTTAAGAGGAAATCTTCTCGAATAAAATTAATTACCGTTCTTCACTGTTAACATAAACTAGTCCAACAGAATTCGTGAGTTGAAAATATTGATTTAGGCTTTTGATGCTGCGCTGTGAGCCTCGGCCTTTTGTTATCAACAAGAATGCGCCGACTTTGCCTTGTTTCGCTTTTTCGGACATAGAATTCGCAAGATTGTGGTTGAAAGTAAGACGATGCTTTATGCTCATTTTACTGAGGGAAGAGAATGATAGGGATAGTCGTTTCTGGTCGCCAGCGATTAGCGAGAAACGAGCGGAGATAGGCTGCTTCTTGATCTCGAGCTCGCCTTCCCAACAATCGCCCAGAGCTGAGTGAAGCTCGAGAAGACTGCCAGATTCGCGTGCTCGTCGTTCATGATAGGCAGACAACGAAGAGAATGTACCGATCTTTTCAGCTCCCTCCTGTGTAAACGCGTAGTCGACGCGACAACGTCGCTCTGAACCAGGAAGCCGCTTCCCTCGGAGGGCGGAGATAGCGTAAGTCACACTGTCAATAGTCTGGAAAGTAACTTCTGCCCAATCGGAGTTCTCGTTTTTCCTTGTGGAAGATGTTATTATTATATAAATGAGAAGACGCTCACTTGATGTTATAGATGGAGCCGTATTTACTACATTCACGCTGAAGAAGAGTTGTAGTTACTTCTGGGCCGAGGCCACCGACCCATAAAACTTTACTCGGAACAGGTCTTCCCCAGCCCACACGAATCGCGTTTCTATGAAGTACTTTTCCGTTCATCGCTAACTTCGCTTTCCAGGCCATGTTCAAATCCAAGTATTTCACGAAGCCAAAGTTGGAGTGATTTGCATTTCGTGCTTGTTTTATGTCGCATTCAAGAATATCGCCATATTCTTCAAATTCTGAGTAGATGTCTTCCCGATTGAGGCTTCGATCCAAATTTCCCAAGAATAATGAGCGAGTTGCTCCTGGATCGTCTTCTGGTGGGTAATCTTCACCGGGCCTAAATCAAAACGTTTCGCGAGGAATCTCGGCAAACTCTACCTATGAGCCCTTCCACCGGGAAAGAATTTTTCGCCTTCCAGATGTGTTCGCTTTCGACCCGCTTCATCGCGAGGAAATTCAAAGTCCGGCTTGATTCCTGGCCTCGTTGCGTACCCACGCGGCTCATCTCTCCCTCTTCGTTCGCTACTCCGGTAGCGCTCGGTTCGCTCTTCGCGTGGTGGCGATCGCCTGGATCTGCTGTGTGACCTATACAAATCCTACATTCTTGCTCTTCAATGTCTATTTTTACCTGTATTCGTCCCTGTACTCGGGACTGTGCCGGTCTCTTTTATATCTATGATAGTCATCGTAGCGCCGGTCATCGTCGTGAGGGGACCTTCTGTAAATAAGAGTTAACGAAAAAGTCGAAAAGCAAGCTTACCGATCTCGTTTGTGACCAAGCCAAACATCGATTCGCAGTCTCCGCTCATTCATTACAAGGTGGCCACGGGCTGCCTTCGCGTCTTTTGCAGAATCGTGGTGCGCGAATTCGATGAAGCCGACGCGTTCGTCGTGGTCGTCTTTCCCCATACGAACCTAAACTCCCGTTTCGAATCTTACTTAAACAAGCAGACTTACTCTGCATTTTCCATATTTTGAGTATTCTTCTTGGAGACAGTCCACCACGTCATTATCCTTTATTTCACCGGGGATGTTTCGGACAACAAGATTTCGGTAGTACGGCTCATCTTCGTCCGATCGATATCTTTTCATTTCTTAAGAAAATTTATCGAAATCGTTATTTTTGAATAGAAGGTCTTCACGTTGAAGGAACTGAAAAGAACTGAGTGAGATCTGTAAAGTGTCAAATAAGAGGCGAAAGAAGCTCTTCGTCGTCTTCATACTCGGTAGTTGATGATGGCTCAATGCGTTGGCTATCTCTTGTCCAAACTTGATTTGATAGGATGTCGACGATTCTAGAGCGTGCTCGTGTCGCTCCGCCTTGAACTGCGCTACCTATAACGCGAACATGTTCTGCTATATCGCTGCGAACGTCTGAGTGGTCCCAAAGAGCGGGAATGTTCGAATGCCATGAAACCCCCATTTCTCCCACGCCATCGGAGTAAGGAGAAACTGGAAAAGCCAAGTGATGGACGAGGGCGAGAACGAACATTTCTATTACAATCATGAAGTTGTCAAGGCCGATTCGGAGATGTTCTTTTGTATTCCACTCCCACTCGTCCTTCGGCTTTATCGCGCCAAAAGCGACGAGAGCAGCGATCAGAACCGATTGCCAGAAAGTCATGAAAATGACGAGCTTGATGGCGACGAACTTGGCAAGTGGCTCGAGAGGACGGAGCTCCACGCGCATTACATAGTAGAAGAGGATGAGACAGTACATCGCCCAGATTTGAGAAATATTGTTGATAAAGACCAGATAAGGGTATGCATAGCGCCAGTTGAAGAGACCACTCCCGTAGAAACCGAACAAATGTGTGATGAAGGCCAGCATGGTTGTTATAGTCCTGGTACAACAGTATTGGAGCACCCCAGTTTTGCAGAATCGAATGAATACATTTCCACTTGAAATGGGTAATTCAAGAGGGTAGAAGAATTTGCTTACCCTTCGGCGTAGTCTGACGTGTGGAGAATAGGCAGACAGCAAAAAGGAAAAAGATGGCGTTGATAAGGTTTGTACTCCATTATGTAACTCACGTCGTAATTGCGCTGAAGAAAACGGAGAACTAAAAAGACTATTGAAAAGTATAATTCTTACTGTATTACATACCAAGAGACATGAAGTTATAAATTGCATATGCTTCGTACCATTCGCGAATGGTGTCGAAGTAGATCGCGTACGAAGTGAAACGAATTGACAGAAAAGAATCGAGCGCGTAAACGGGGACCATTGCAAGAATTCGACATATTGGGCGCTGTAGGTCTGGCTGTGTGAAGTTCACTGAAACAGCAAAATTTCTGGTAAAAGAAAAACAGGTAATTCACTTACCAAGGTGGTTGACGATGGAATAGGCAGAAATTGGCAGTGAGAGAATAATGAATATTCCAGCAATGAGAAAGGCCTCGTTATTCGGATGAACTAAAAGAAAATAGACTTTTAGACAAAACTCAAAGACTTTTCACCTTCATTTTTAACAAGCGGGCCTATGAGAAAGGGAAGCACGACAATGAGAATCGCAAGGTAGAATGCAATGACGACATTTTGAAAGCAGGTTCTAGTCGGTATATCGATCATGAACTCTCATCTGAATAGAAGGTCTTTTTAACTACATGACACATTGAAATCAATTTTAATATCAATTATGCGTATTTACAGTTTGATGGTGATAAGAGTTGACGGAAAATAGAGTTATCATTTTTTTGATTTTGGAAAAAAAGTGCAGCGCGAAGAGAAAGGGGGTAACTCGTTCTCTTGGAAATTCTCCAGAGAAACGGGGATACGAAATGCCACTTCGTTTTGAGTTAATTGAACAATTGTGCTTATAGTTTTAGAGGAGAGCTTTATAAGGATTAAATATCTTAGGTAAATTTCAATACGATACATGACTTGCTTTCTTACTTTGATTTGAGTTATTGAAGCCTTTTACATTTTTGGTGTCATCAATAAAAGAGGCGAGATCGCCTCAAATTTGGAGAGGAACGATAGATTACGACAAATTATAGCATTTTGGAGAAAATTTTTAGTTACCTCCGAAAGGGAAGAAGCCTGACTTGTATTTGTCATATCCGAGTATGTAAATTAAAAAGAGCCGAGAAAAGCTCATGTGATTGTTTGTTTAAAAACTTTCTGACATGAATACTCTGTGAATGTGCTCGGTGCGGATTTAAGAAGAATAATGAAAAGACAATCTAGATTGAGTTGAAAGGATTTTATATGAATCAGAATGTTCTGTGTTAACAATAAAGGAGAAGTAGAGACCAACGCTACAAACATTATTTGAACAAGAAAAATTCTTTTTGCTTTTTTCATGCGTAGTTTCTCAGAAGTTAGGGTAGGTCCATCGGGTTTAGAATAAGCGTACTGGGCCATTTTATTTTCATTTTTTGGCTACTTAACCGTTAGAAAACGGACTGTGATTGAATGTGTTAGCAAAATTGTATTTTTTTGTTTTAGCAAAGGCGCTTTTGCACAAGTCCGAAAAGTAAAACGGAATCTTGCATTTTATATTTTGTTGAATAGGAAATAAGAGAAACAAAACTATAGAACAGGCATTTTTGCTTTTTAAATGTTAATGATTGGCAGCTTGGGTAGCTTCTTTCCCGATTCTGTAGCCAAGGAGTTTGTGCCAGTCGATCTTTGTCTTGGTCATTGGCAGCTGCCGTCTGAGTGCTTTGAAAGTAGTGTCCGACATTTTCACGTAGTTGTCCGAAATGGCGCTTTGGTAGTCGCCCTCAGAAGTCTTCACATATTTGATCAGATCCGCCACGAACTGAAAAATAAAAGTAAAGCAAAGACGATGATAAACGGCACCTGATTTCTGTCGTAGCACATTTCGTGTTCGTATTCTTTTTTGCAAAGCAGTTGGACGTTTCCGTTCTCGTAGTAATGGACTTGTATGCGCAGCAGACCCGAGATCGTCGCCTGGCCATCATTGATTTCAATCGTCCAGCATGATCGCTAAACAGCGAAATTAGCGAACTAGAATTACGAAAAAGGGATTACCCAACGGCCGCCCCAGTGATTTCTCGACTGGAATTCGTGATCTTCGATGCAGATGATGACTGTGATTTTGGAGGCTTCTGACTGACCGTAGACAGAGGTGGTGCCATTTGGGTAATGAGCGTTGACGTAGGCTTCCACCGCGGCCTCGACTTCTGCCCTTAGCGGTTCGCTCTTTTCGTCCGTCGGGATCTGCTGGAGGTCGCTGGCCGCGCGCTGCATGTGATGGTAGTCGAACGACTGAAACAATAATTATCGCTAATTGGAGCTTAAGTGACGCACTTGTTTCGACTTGGGATCGTAGTATCGACCATTTGGAAGTGCGGCGGCAGGCGTCAGCAGGCACTTCTCTCCCGTGCCCAGTTCGACGGGGAGGAACTGTTCGACGTTCCACTGCGGCACCGCAATCCGACAGGCCTCTTTCATCTGATTTTCATTGTGCAGGATCGTCGCCACGTCGTTGTAAACCTCGTTGAATTCGCCGGGCGGAGCAAATTTGAGGAAGTCGGCGGCCATCTCTATCTTCGTCGCCTCGCTGATCGGCTCTTCGTCGTACGAATCTGCCATTTTTTTATTTTCTAAACGCAGTTTTCTCAAAAGAAATTCAAGATGGCGAAAAAGAGGTGATAAAACACTCAGCGCTGATGATACATACAAGAAGCCGTAAAAATTATTATCTGCGATCTATGCGCATTTTCAGTAGTCAATTTAATAACTAGAACATTTATCAGATAAATTGATAATAGACATTTAACTGACTTGATTAACTACGCCATGTTCTTGATGATTTAAAAATAAGAATGAATAAGGTTAGAAATTGACTGATTTGAGCGCAGAATTAGAGAGAACTGAGAGGGCGCTAGAATAATTTCATCAGGGCGGGCGGAGTCTCTTTTCCTCTTTTGATAATTTGATATTGATGGCGACTGGAACTAATGAAGCCAATGGCTGCCGAAACTGGTGTTTTCTTTTATTTCTCTTTTCTGGCGACTTTTTGGAAAAATAATTCTCTTGGGGGCTTTCGGTGATTGGGCGTTTCGACGAGAGCCTCTATTGGGCGTTTTCAAAAAGAGCCATTTTAGAGGAAATTCAAAGGCAAACGCGAGATCCTGGACGAAGAAAAACGGAAACGCAAATTTGATTAATCGAAATGCCGCGAATCTACCTCAAGAATTTCCCCCAATCAGCCGGCGAGCAGGAGATACGCCAGTTCTTCAGAAAGGTAGCGACTCTCTCTTGATTCCTCTTTTGTCGATTATCGTTGTTTTCCTTCTATCAGTTTTAAATAAAGTCAGTATTCAGCGGATATCGAAGGCGTCAATCTTGTCGAGAAGAAAAACGAGGACGTCGTTATTTCGCGTTTTGCGTTTCTTCAAATCCGCGACGACTGCGCCAATCTGCAAAGGCTTCTCAAGGAAAACGGAAAAGAGTGGGACGGCGCTAGAATCGAAGTGAAACAGGCGAAGGAGAGCTTCAGAGAGCGGGCGGCGAAACTGCGACAGGAGAAAAAAGAAGTCGAAAATAAAGAAAACTTCCAAGCGCCTTTTCAAGCTGCCAAATTCGAAAAAAGCGACTCGGATGATTCCTCCTCTTCTTCGGATGATGATGATGAATCAATTGAAGAACAAAAAGAACAGAAGAAACGAAAACTCGCCGAGGCTTCCAAACTTTTGCAAGCGAAACTATCCCAACGAAAGAAACAGTTTTGCTTTTTTCAAAATATGCTTCGATTTTTAGCATTTTCTTTTGCGAACTGTATGAAAAGGAAAGCGCCAAAGCAAAAACGCACGGAGATGATCGTCGAAAAGACGCGTTGTCTGAAAGAGAAGCGCGTTTTCAGCGGATGAAAATGGCAAAGCCAAGCGGCACAAAAGTCAGGTTCGATTCAAGTGACGAAGATGAAGAGACCGGGAAAGGACGCGACTTGCTGGACGGATCGGGATCAGAAGAAGAGATGGAACCTGATTTCTCGTCGAAGATGCGTCCCGAGTTTGGAGACGCTTCTGGAGCTGGACTCTTTCAAATGGAACAGAACTTTAATGACGAGAGATTTAAACTTGATGAACATTTCAAAGACGACGAAAGACTTCAGGCGAGGCTCAAAATCGTCAATATTGCCTTCTTGTCCAGTGAGAAATACAAAAAAGAGCCCTTATAAAGGAGAAAGTAAGCAGGCAAAAGCAACAGGAACTGCGAGCACGGAGAAAACGCGAGTTCCAAAACACCGTCTACAACCCATACGCGTCCGATGACGAATCAGAGAACGAAGAAAATGCCTTCGACCAGAATCAATTCACGAATTTAAAAGCGCCAGAAATATCAGCTGAGACGCACTTTGGCGTGAAGAAGTTGAACATCGGGGTCGAAGAAAGTGAAACAGGCGAGCAAGCGGCGGGCGGCTTTTCTTTGCTGTCGATGTTTAACAGGCCTGAGGGTCAGGACGAAGATGCAAGTGCTGAAGACGGAGATCAGATGGATGACGGAGTATCAACAGTCCGGAAAGCGCCCCCGCAGGTAGAATCTTCTTTTTGTTTGGCAGTTTCTAAATGTTTGATAGATAACGAAAGTGCTATTGGGCGGAGAGCGCGAAGAAGTTGACTTTAATTTTTGGCAAACGTATGACTTGAAGAAGTTCAAAGTCGACAAGGCGAAAGTGATCGAAGAAAGACGAGCATTGCGCCAAAAATCAAAGCAAGACTATTACAACATCGCGAGAAGGCATAAAGTAACCAAGCTCGGTCATGATGCGCTGCTAGAAAAACTCTTTCAATGGTGGTGAAATGAAAATAAATCATGCCAAGCCTTTGGAAATCTTTGTCTATTTATTTAAGCTCCACTTGTAAATTATCAGAATAAGCTTTTCTTCGCCAAAGTAATTGAAAAATAGTGCAGCAGTCTCAATTAGGGGAAAAGTAGTCCTAGCTCACTTTTTTTGCAATCTCACATCGTTTCAAATTTTGGCAGAATTCACTAGCATATTTTGAAGGAAGGTTTTGAAAAATCATCTCAAAGAGCGACTTGTTGTCCACGATACCACAGACTGGTTGAAACTCCATGAGGAAAACTGTAATGGATTCAAATTAGTACAATCAAAGGCAGAAAAATGGGTCTTGTGTGAAAGTGAATACATTCCTATCGATCCGACAGCTTGTACAATCATGTTGGTGATCGGGGTCAGTATTCTTACAACAGCTCTTCGTAACTCGTCTTATTTGGGAAATGTGAAAGATGTTATTTTTTAATACTTCAGCTATTCAAGCTATTCTAATATTCTCCCTCCCATTCCTGAGGCGCGACTCAAAATTAAAAGCCCTATTTTCCTTGCTCCTCTGACGGAATCACCGATAACCCGGGTTATGCGCAGTTCGGTCGGTATGTTGAAGACATCATGTGCTATGTGTCGAATATTATGTTGCATATCGAACGCAATTTCCAAATTTTGATCGCCTGACTATTAAAACATAAATAGTTATCTGAAAATTCATACGACAAATCTTCTCACATCATCTAGCACTTGTCTTCTTGCGTCCTCCTCTGCCCGAAAGAAATCATTTTCTAACGGTTCTTGACTGTTTCCGGAGGAGTATCCGGAGTCTGTCGAAGGGTTACGATTTATTTTATATGGAGATAAGGTTTTAAAGACAAAACCCTAGGGATTTGCGAGTTTAAAAAATTAAACCCCCACTTGAGACATAAAAGCGCAGATAAACTCCTCTTTCAATTCTGAAATATAAATTTGGACTAGGTTGGTAACTATCTCTTCGTATTTCTGCCCAAGTGGGGAAAATCGATTAACTCCCCGGGCCCATTCGTCGGTACATGCTCGTCGAGCAAGAGTTGGTCAAGTCGATCAAGTTTGATGCAGCGTGACAGGATGAACTTATTTTGATTAGATGCCCCGGAGGTAAAGTCAAATTTGTTGGACAATCAACTTTGTTTGTAAGCAAACTTCTATTCGGCTTTACAGTTTGAAACCTTTTTGAGTAAGTCTTTAATAATGCAATTTTACCCGACACGTTTTTTTATCACGCAAGGATAAAAATGTTAACAGTGATATTTAAGCCTGCAATATAACTTATATTATATAAAACACGAAAGAAATTATCTAATCCATCACTTGCTGTTGGTGATTTTGTGAGGCAGTGAAAGAAGTGGGCGATGTACAGTAAATAACGGGAAAAAAATCGCGTCGGGAATCATCGACGACCCTCGGCAAATTTCTTCCCTTTCTTCGCGAGCTCTGCGAGGACAGCTTCCTTCTCGGTAATGATGGGCAACTTGGAGATCGACTCATTCTAAAGAATAATTAACTTAAATCGAATGTGGTCGTTGAACGTACCGATGTAGAGGCATACTTCTGCTTGGTGGCTGTGTACTTCTTCTTGTGCGCACCAAAATGCACCATAAACAGGCTTTTCGCCAGTAAATTGGTCACATTCTCGAGATCTGAGACGGAGTATTTCGAGGTGTGCTCAAGAATCGGCAGCCATTCTCCCTCGCTAATGAGGTTGATTGACAGCCACAAGGCACCCGCAGCCACTAAGGACGGCTTCATGCTTGCCAAATCGTAGTCCATCAAAGCAAGCTCGCACAGGTACTAAAAACAAACGTCAACAAAAATAAGAGAAGCATTAACATTACCTTTGACAGGATGTACTCGAGGATCGATCTTGTCCTCTGCGACTCTTGAAAATCGTCGCAGGAACTCAAGCGAGTATGCGAAAGATAGTTCGCAATCCAGACGACCAAGAACTTCCAGCTCCATGTCTTTTATCTCGTCTAAAATAGCTTTTATTTTCAGTATTTGTCTCAATTTCGCACCTTCTGTGTAAGCTTTGTCACAAACGTAGACAAAGTCGCTGACAGCTGGCGAGTAGATCTCCTCATTTTTCGATGCAAGCATCATGCATGCAACGCCGACAAGTTGCATTTGCGACTTCTCAACAGTTTCCACGCGCTGAAGATAGCGATCCATGTACGCGACGGATAGGAACAGTGTGTCGTTGAGGAGACGAAATCGTCGCCCAACTTGCACCATCCAGTCAGTAAGGATCTGACGCATCTTCGGCGAGGCGCGGTGACCGTGGTGAGCCAGAAAATTAGGTCGCACTTCCTTCGAGTGCTCGAGGAAGCGCAAGTACCCATAAACTTGCTCGACGTGGTCTTTGCACCACCGTTCGTCCGACTGAAATGAGGTATGAATCATCCAGATTTAAAAACAATAAATTTACCTCATCCTTCACTTCAATTTTCTTGAGCTGGGCTTCTAAAGCCTGCGCTCCGCTGTCAGATGCTTCCCAGGCCATCTCGACAGTCTCATTGGGAGTTATCTCGGTAGGTCTGATGGCCTTCACCGGACCGGTCTCCTGGACATTCACATCTCGATTGAGAGCTAAAAAAGTAAAACACGCTCACTTTTACACTATATCTCTGTCTTACCCTGAAGTTGTTCCCGGTCAGTATTCATCTCGACGATTAATAGCAAACGACAGTTGGATCTCACGAATTCAAAATATTTTCTTGCAAGTGCAAAATTTTCCTTTCGCAGATGGGTTTTATACGGTTCATGTCCGGCACTGACAAACCAGAGCACCACGAACGAGCCACCGTGAGAAGAAAGCCGTTGTCGATTCAAATGAAAAACTCAGAGCGCGCAGTCCGACTTGCCGTTGTTGATGAAATCTTGCTACCCCGGTGACCTTAGTCTGATTTTCAGATTTGACGTTTCCTTGAAAAGTCATTCCGGCATTTCAAGCCAGGGGCTGACAAAACTTCTTTCTGTTGGGAAATTCAATATTTCAAGGATTTCCAAGCAAGCTCATTTCATTTTCATAAAACTTAGTCGCGCGAGTTGTGTCAAATTTATAATTAAAAATTTTCTTCCTTGATCCCATAGATAAATAAAATTTGTTGCACAACTGTGGTAGTATGACTTGGTACTTCTATTTGCATGAGGTAAATTCGAAATATAATGAAGACATTTTAGGTAAGTATCGTAACATAAGTAACGTATACTGTATTGGCAATACAGCATTTCACAAGTAAGATACCACAAGTAAGATTAGTTTACAACAAATTGAAGGAGATTCTATTGAGACAGATATGTTTCAGTGTTAATCCAAATCTGTCTCATATAACTCGCAAATAATGTCCGAGATGATTTTTGTAAGCCATTTTAATTCGTGAGATCATAAAATTTATTATCGATTCTGAGCAATCTTCGTCGACCCATTTTTACGTTGAAAACCGAGTTTTTACGGGGCCCCGTCGGTCCGGCTGGCTAGCGCAAGTGGTAAAGCCGCCGGACTGAAGAGGCGAGTCGGGTTGAGTCCACTGCAGGTGGCAGGTTCGATTCCCTCTCCCGAGGTAAGTTTATCGTCACTCGAATGTATATCGATGGCGATCTACATAACTAAAGGATACTCCCCAAAAAACGCGCCTATCTGAACGAGCTCAAACTTGGAGAAGATAGGCGGTTTCTCTGGTAAACACCGGAAGTCTCCGTGACTAGGTGAGCCAGAGTTTTTTCTGCAACTTTTTTTTATCATACCCATGTGTTGAAGATGTACAATTCATGTACATCCTATGCTTTCGAATATGCCTGTGGAAAATATGAAGCTATTTTGAGTATGCATCTGCCAAAAAAATATCAGACCAAAGAATGAAAACTACAAGCATGAAGAAGGTGCTTTTTTCGCCTGATTCATACTTTAGATAGAATTTATAACAAAAACTGGACGGAAATTGGTGTTTATTTTTTTCTGAAAAACGGATTTCAATATGGATAAAGAACAGAGGAATAGAGAACCGGGAGCCGATGCGTAACATTGAAATAGGTTGGGAGAAAAGCAGGGAATTAATCGTTCCTTGTGTTCGTTCTGAAAATATGTTTAGAAAAAGCGCGACGGCTTATGGTACCTTTATTTCGTTAGGTATTGTTTCTTGATCACTTTTGAGCTGAAGGCTGTTCGAATCCTTCTTCTGTCTTGGCTTTTTCACGCTTCTGGGGCCGGTTATAATTTCTGCTTTTTTATTATATAGAGAAATAAAGTCTTAGTTGAGGGGGCGGCTCCACCGAAGGCTTTCTAAAAGGAGGAAGAAGGTAGGGTGGAATAAACGTAGTAAGTAATGGGTGATTAGTAGTTGGCGAAATGGACTTGAGGGCCTCAACTTGAGGCTGACTTCGAGTGAGCAAATTGTGAAATCACAGGCGATCAAATATTCATTTGGGTGGAGGAAAGGCACGAGAGGATGAAAGCCTGGCTGTGGAGGGACGTTTTATTTTTTGGTAGAACCGGAGGCCTTTTCAACAGCTTTGCACTGAGATTTTTGTTTGAGCATCGTCCAGTCGAAAACGTAGTCATAGCTGGAAAAGGGTATCCAATGCGAATTCAACTACGTTCCTATAGAAACTCACATCATCAAAAATGTGATTCTACTTTCGCAAGACAAATAATGATTATCTCCGTTGATCTGGATACCCTGGATATGATTCAGCTGCGTGGGGTTCATTTTATGGTCATTTATAATTTAAAAATTAAATGATACTTATTATTTCTGGATTTAGTTTAGCTAATTTTTCATTAATATTTAGTAAATTTTCAACCCGTATTCGTTCGGAAGAGGATTCTGAAGAGCAAAATTTATTTTTGAAAAAGTTACAATCTTTAACCTGAAGAGCTGTCGAAGGTACATGTAATCAGGCGCTTCTTCGAACCGAAGACCTCTGCAGTAGTTCAGATACATGGAGAACTCGGCGGGGAATCCCTTGGCGAGAATGTCGACAGGCGTAGACATTTTCTTCTCGGAAATTCTTTCCTAGAAAAGAAATTCTATTTCTGAAAAGGAAGAACGCTCGTACGTATTTCTGTCGTTTCGTGGCGGCCTTGAGACCCTGCCAGGGCAGAGAGGATCGGTTGAAGTACATGAGAACATAGCCCATCGATTCCATGTCGTCTCGTCGGGACTGTTCGATGCCCAAATGGGCGTTGATCGAGGCGTATCGCGCTGTGCCAGTGAGATTCTTGTCCTCGCGGTAGGGAATGTGTTGCCGCGTTCGCACGTCGCGGTATTTCTTTGCGAGACCGAAATCGATCAAGAAGAGTTTGTTGCAGTGTCGCCCGATACCCATAAGGAAATTGTCCGGCTAATGTGGTAAGTTTAAAGGAAAAGGCTCCTCTGCAATCTGTTTTTACCTTGATGTCACGGTGAATGAAGGATTTATTGTGGACGTATTCGACGCGGGAGATCATTTGATCTAAATTATGTAAAAACAGGAACACGCAAGAGAGTTTTACCTGCGAGCATCAAGACCGTCTTCATGGTAAATCGTCGGCCGCAGAAGTTGAAGAGGTCCTCTAACGAAGGACCGAGAAGATCCATCACCAACACATTGTAATCGCGCTCCGTTCCGTACCAGCGAATGTGTGGAATTCCAATTCCGCCGTGAAGAATCTTGTACAACTTGGACTCATATAGCAGTTGGGGATGTCGCGCCTAAATTACCGATCCAAAGTTAAGAAATTCTTCAAGAATCGAGAGAGCACCTTGATTGACTCCAACTTGATGGCAACTTCTTCGCCATTGGAAATGTTGATTCCAAGATAGATGTCACCGAATGACCCCGACCCAATCTTTCTGACGAGCCTGTACTTGGAGGCGACGACGAAATGTCCTATATGGTTGATTTTACCCTGAAATTCGCAGAAACGGTGCTACCTTTGTAGGAATTGGGAAGTGGATAATTGGTCGGGGGCATATTGTTTATGTTACCATCTGCCATTGTCCGATTCTTCAGTCTTAAATGCCTAAACGGACTCGATTAAAAGTAGTTAAAGCAAAATTGAAATGATAATAAGAAACGCCGATAACACTGACATGAGCATCATCGACTGAATGAAAAAAAAAACAAAAATAAATCAAGCGGACGAGTTGAACTTCAAAGGATAAGATTCAGAGTGAAACCAACGTTTGAGCTTTTTCATTTTAGAAATCGCTGCATCACAAATTTGCACCGATTGAGAAGAAAGGGAGAAAGAGCAAGCACGACAGCCCGTCGAGCGGAGATTTTTGATATTAAAAAGATATTGGAGAACTGCGCGAAGCTTGGAGGAAGATAAATTTTCTCGCAAAGAAAAAAGGTATTTTTCCAAGTTTGATTCGTAAAAAATGAGGATGGGGGATTATAAGCAGGACAGAATGATCGATCAAGGAATGTCACCAATTAACTTGAATTAACACTTTCATTCGATTTCAATAATGATATAATTATCATCATTCGATGAAAGTGAGGATTTTGGAAGAAAATTATTCTCGGATTTAATTTTTATACTGAAGGTAGATGTGTGTGAGTGGCTTCCGCGGAAAGTGATAAATTTCAGCATATTCAAGTCAGGGTCACAGGACCATTTCTGACGCTACCAAAAATATGCAAATAAAGGCCTAAAATCGATGCTTCTGGGATGAAAATAAAGAAAGCGAGCAAGAACGGAACTGATTACAATGAGCAGAATACACGGAGACTTATTTCGGACGGCTTATTTTTGAAAAAGACGCTGCCAAAGACTCTTGTTGTCATATTTTTCTAGAATCACGATTCCTGAACTATTTTCCTCTTTACAAGAAAATCATGTGGAAAAGGGTTCTAGAAAAAAATTACTCAAGCAACTTTGACGATCATTTTTCTGGCGGAAAAGAAATGTAGCTGGATGAATCACTTCATTCTCAGTCTTTCTTTCAGTCTAAAAAGCAGCTAAATAAGCAAAATTTTGTTTTAACGCAGAAAACAGACAAGGGCAAAGGTTGAAAGTCGAGGAAAGGGAGCACTACGAGGAACAGCGCGAGGAACAGCGTGAAATGCGGAAGAAGTGAAGGAAAAAGAAAGGAAAATCACTTTTTATTTGGAAAATGGCTTCTCGAAGGGGCCAATCGAGAGGCGCCGCGGCCGAGCCAACCGCGCTCTTGAGTCCTCCACCGAGAACCACAATCTTACAACTTCAAACTTCAAAAAGAACGAATTTACTAAAGCCAAAATACTCTCAAACTCTCAACCTCCACCTTTGCAATTGGTATCTCTCAATGTTTTCGTTTATTTAATACCAATAAGTGCCTTCTTTTATTTAATTTATTTATTTGTTAAATTTGTTGAATTCAATTACAGTAAAAACGCCTGGTCTGAGACGGCCTTAATCAACAAAAGCGTCCCAAACCAGACGTTTTTTCATTTTCCTCTCTAGCGCCAATTTCACCCGCAATAAGTTAAAAATCACCGCCTGGAGCGTGTGCCTTTGATCTTTAAACGGCCCGACCGTCCCAAACCAGGCGTATTTTTGACCGTCCCAGACCAGGCGTTTATATTGTAAAAGTGTTCGCCTTCATTCGATACGTTATCAATATTGATAATCCGACAAAATTCTTCGCTCGTATTCTGTACTGCACTGGGAATGCTTTTACCGAAATATTACTATTTCTTCCATCGAAAAGTGCTCTTATCTTTCATATTTTATTATCTTTCATGACTATATTTAAATCGGACCCAATTTTCATTCTTATAACAAAGGTCAAAGCGGAATCCCAGTCGAAGAGACAGTATCTTATAGAGCAAATAAATAAAGACATTAGGCAAGATTCTGCCCAAAACATTTGCCTAAAAGGGGAGAAATTTGGAATGAAACAGAACTACACTGTACTGCTATTGAACCTTTTTTTAATGGCACTCGATGTTTCATCGTTCTTGAGAAAACCTCTCGCTGATTATCGACTAATAATTAGAGTATCTATATCAGCTTCGAGAGTTCCCTGTCGTGTAGAATTCGGTAATTGAGCAGAGCTGACTTCTTTCATTGACGCAGTTTTCGAATTCCGAAAATCACTTCAGACAAGCCAAAAACTTCATAGAGAAATTATTTTTGAAATTAGTGAAAATCGCTCTTTTTAAAAAGATGTTTCTTTTTCAGGAGGCTCGGGATGGAGGCACTACCGTTTCTGCCGTTCGTCCAAATTCCGCCGAAGCTAACAGAAACGAACGTCACTCCCTCTTTATCTGGTGCTATTCGTGTGGCCATCGCACAAACGTAAGTTCAACCCCTCTTGCTTGTTCGTGTTTTGTCGAGCTTTATAATTTTCGCAGGGGGAGGAATCCAGACGAGCATCTTGGCGGCCTGCGTGAGTTCGAGACGCTGCGGAATGCGATGATCGTTGCGATCGGCGATAGTGCCATTCACAAGTCCTTTCTTGCTGGACCAAGGCTAGGGCTCAGCATATTTTCCGACGACTCTTTTTCGTTACTTAATCTAAAGCCCGCCCTCAGTTATTACGATGTCTACGGAGACGCGCTTCGGCAATATGCCGTCCAGGCAACTTCGATCTTTAAGCGCTTCAATGGAATTTACATCGAGGGAAATTCGTGGCAAACGGCGAATCAAAAGAGGAACACTGTAAAGTCCGATACAATGGCGTTTGAGATGGCCAGTGCTCTGTGGAACCATTCGCATTACCTGACCATTCACGCGTTGCATGAACTGTCGCTTGAAAACGACGAGAACATCAAACAAGCAGCGACGAACTTCCAGCAAGCGGCCGGATGCCTGACTTACATTCTCGGAAAGTGCCATGATCTCCCTGGCAAAGATCTCTCGCCTGCCAACATCAAGCTGGGTTCAGTTCTTTTAAATAAGCAACCAGTTGATTGAAATTTTGAGTTTGAACCCAATTGAAGTTTATAGTCCTGCTCATGCTGCAGCAAGCACACGAAGTTATTGTGATTAAAGCTTTGCGCGACAGTAAACTGCAGAAAACTGCTGCCAAGCTAGCCTGGACCTGCGCCGATTACTGTGAGCAGCTTGAAGCACTTTTGCCGGAAGAAGCGGGCTACAAATCGTCGGAAATCAAGTTTCTGAAGACATGGATCGTCTTCAAAATGGAATTCTTCCAGGCGATTACTCATTTCTGCCAGGGAATGGACGCCGAGGAGAGAAAAGAATACGGCCAGGCAGTGACGTACTTTAGGCAGGCGAGACAATGTCTCGGAAACTCGCAGAAACAGGCGGCCAAGCTCGATTCCGATAATGACTTGGCGGCGGCATTGGGATACGCGGACGATGTTATCAATGGAAAATGCACATCCGCGGAAAACGACAATGAGTTTATCTACCACATGGCCGTCAAGGAAAGCCTCCCACCACCAGGGACTATTTCGAAACCTATTGTGAACGCAGTTCCGTGGGAGCCAGACGATCGAGAATATTTTGGAGACGTTATATCAGAAGATATCTTTATTTCGAATTCGAACTATTCGGACCGCCTGGATCAGCTTTGGCGGGACATCAGCAAAGAAATAGACGACAAAAACAATGAGCTAAAGAGCTGTAAAGAAGCGCTTGTTATTGCTGGAATCGATTTAGAGAGCGAGAAGACCGACCGATCAGTTCTTCCTGAGAGTCTCATTCAAGCAGCTGCACAAGCAGAAAAAATGCGAAACAATTGTTCGAAGCTCACGACATGTCTCAAGTCAATCAGCAAGTACGAAAGTCAGGTCGACGAAAAAATAAATGCAGCAGAGAAAAAATTCGTCGCTGACGAAGAAATGCTCAAAAACTGTCCACCGGGCGATAGTCGAGCTAAATTCGATAAAGATCCGGCTTGGCTTGCTCTTCATGCGCGGATTATGAAAATTAAGAAAGCCGCTGATCAATCGAAGGGCCCAACATTAACATGCAAGGATGCAGCTTCGCTGATGGCTGAAAAACTCGAAATGCTAGGAAAGGGACTAGAAGCTGTTCGCGAGGAGCTCCCGGCTGTAGTCATTTCAGACGACGACGCAGAAGCAATAGGCATGGTGTCGATGCTTCTTTCCAAGATCAGAGAAATGGAAAATCAACGAGAAGAGCAGAAAAAGCTGTTGAAAGACGAGCTCGATGCGGACAACATCACGGGTAAATTAGCAGGAGAGCCAGAGCATCTTCACTCAAAAATATTCGACACTGAGATCGCCAAGCACGACATACGAATCGGATATCTCCGTCAGAACCTTTCTGCCCAAGGCAACATCTTGGCTGTTTTAGATGACGCGCGAGTCAACTATGCAGGGAAAGGATGCTGATTTTTTTCATATTCGTATTGAAAATTCGACCACTTCTCGGTCGCCTTCATAGGCGGAGTAAATAAATACTCCCACTTTACACCTACGATAACTTTTTTCCTCGCGAGAACGTTCATTCGAGCGGGAGCGTAGGAATTTAGCGGCGTGATAATCCATAGCGCTGCTTTGAAATTGTTCGCTAGGCGCCAAACGAAAAAAAAACGGTTCGTTCGCTCAAATCATTTTCAAAAAAAATGCGAGAAAAGGGAGAAATATCAGCATCCCTAATTAAGAGATCTACAGACGTAAAAGAGACTCGACACAGCTTTACGATGAAAAATGCTCGCAACTGATAAACGCTATAATCAATTACGACAAGATCTACGAGAAATTGATAGGAGGCCAAAAACTCCTCGAAAAGATTCTCGGCGAACTTGCGAAGCTCGATTCTCCACTGGAATCCGCGGCAACGCAACGTTCGCAGGCACTACAAAAACTAACAGCCCCCAAACGCCCAGAAAAACCTAAACCGGTCGGGAACGCAACAGCTAATCTTCCTAAAGAGATGTTGGAGGAACTGAAAGCGCTGGGACTTGAAGATGACCAAGAGTTCATTGAATTCTTAAAAAGCTCTGGCGAAATGAAAAACGCTGCGAGCCCTTCCCAGCCGCCTGCAAACATTCCAAAACTCCCCGGTATATCGCCGAAGAAAGTGGCAAATGCGATGCGCGGCGGGGCTCCTTCTGCTCGGAACTATGAGCCACCAAATTATCAGACTCCAATCAGACCCGTCAAAGCAGCTCCACCACAATTTAACAGGCCATTGCCGGCAGATACAAGGAATGTGCAGTCATACAACGGTGGTCCTTCCGTTTCTGCAACTTCCGATTTGCCGCCAAAAATGAACTTTGATTCGACAGTTCGACCCACCAAAACAAACGAAACTTATAACTTTCCTGCTTCTACACAGCAAGCTCCGACCATGAATTCGCCAAATGCTAGCTCAGAAGCGGCAACTGAACAATTTAAAAATGGAAAAACCGAGATCATTCCCGACCAAGGCACGAATATAAACGAAGTTGGTCCATCAAATACAGATCAAGTTCAATCTCAAGTGGACATCTCCAAGTTTAATCAACAACAGCATCTCCAGCAGCAACGAATGTTCAACTTTCAGCAGCAAGAACTCCAGAAACAGCAGTGGATGATGCAGCAGCAATTCCAAGCCCAGATGCAGCAGCAGCAACAGCAGATTGAGATGAAACGACGAGAACATGAAGCAAAGCTAGCTCACGAACGTCGAACGATGATGGAGCAAATGAAACAAATGGAACAAGAGCGCTCGAAGCTAGAAGATGAACGCCTCAAATTCGAGAAAGAAAGAAAAAATCACCAAGATCATGAGAAACCAAGAGTCCAGTATGTGGCTCCTATGCCTCAGATGCCACCATCCTCGAGCTTCCAATCACAGCCAACTGGCGAGCAGTGGCTTCTCCAATATCGAAGCCAACATCAGCAACAAAGTACTGGAGCTCCTGGGAGAAATCCAACTCAGAATTTCGCTCAAGCAAATGTTCAAGGACCAATGCACTACCCGGTAGCACCTGCTGGGCCAAAATTTGTCCCTGTTTCTCGCCAAAGTCTTACAAGCTCTCCAGCTTCTACCCCTGCGCCTGCAACAAAGATTAAACAACCTTATCGGATGCCTATCATGGCTAATCTTCCCCATCCAATCATGCCGCAGATGAGCCAGCAGCCAGTACCTCGTCCAACTAACCCTGTGCAATCAAGTCAAAGCAATCACTCAGTAATACGACAGCCCAACCAGCCTCCACTGTTGAGACCCACTATCACCTCTAAGCCAATTAACTCCATCGTACCAGTTCCGCAGACAAACTCGATCGCGACGTCAGAGATGAAGAGTACTCAAGCGAATCGAACTGAGAGCAATTTCGATTTATTATCGAACCTAAGCGAGTTCACTCCCTCACCTACAGAAAAGCCGACAAAAATTCAGAACGCTCAAACGGTACCAGTTTCAACCAGCTTCGAAACGACCAATTTGCTCAACAAAATTTCCACACTTTCGGCTTCTCGCATTACTCCTCGCCTGGCGAAAGTACCAGACCATGCGATTCACTTAATCACGAATACAACGTACCCACCTGACCAATTTCGGATTATGAATAAAACCATCGCTGCCGCCCGATGCTCCACGCAGCATAATCGCCAACAACAATGTAATTAAAGCTTATCTCTTGTATATTTATATAAATTATTCTCTCAGTGGTTCCCTACGATGAGAACCGCGTTATTCTTCGTGGCCCGGGGAATGATTACATCAATGCTTCAAGAGTATCCACAATGTGCACCAGTATACCTTTTGCGATCGTTAGTGAAACACCTCTCCCGCCATCTCAAGATGATCTCTGGCGTATGGCTTGGCAAGAAAATGTAAGAGATTCGATTTTCTGGTTTGTGTTAACAAGGCGAATCTAGATTGAAATTTTGGTGATGATTGCCTCTCCGGAAGAAGCTACGGATGATTCCATCATGTCTTGGCATCCCAGAGGCTCGAACAGACAATTTCCGCGGGCCGGAATTATCGTCGAGTCTAGAGTAACCGAGAAGTCAGATTTTGTTTCCGTGTACAATGTTACTTTGTCGAAACAGAATATCAAGGTAAATCTGAGGACTCGCTTTGCATTCTTAATATATATACATAAGCGCATAGATTTCTTTTAATATCCTTATTATAGCGCACGATATCTGTTTACGAAATCACGCAGTGGGCGGCCCAGCTTACTCCTAATATCGAAGCTCTCGGTGCGGTAACCGCGAAGATTGCGACACGATTTATCAATCAGCGATCGAAAGATATTCCTATCACGTTCATGAGGTATTCTGTTTAAGAAAACACCGAATTTAAGCCTTTCCTTTAGTTCAAATGGTGACGCACGATGCGGAACTTTGCTATTTATTATTGTTCTTCTGATAGCACCCGACTTTCACCCCCTTTCGCTTTACAAAACCCTTCAAGAATCCCGTAGTTCACTTCTGATGTCTCGTATTTCAAAACCAGGTACTATCGATTAAAGGACTATTCGTATTCAGTCATGTTTTTTAGCTCTGGACATATTCAAATCAATCAACTCCCACATTTCATAATGTATAAAGTTCAATTCTTCCTGTTCCACGTCGAATTTCTTCTTCTCCGCCTTCAAAGATTTCTATGAGTTCAAGCAATTTATATGGCATGTTTAGAATGGTGTGTACTCGTGCTAGACATCGAAAGGAAGCCCAACAAAACATCAACCAGGTGAAACGTTTCCTTGGAGAGGAACCTCAGGAGGAGTTGGACGAAAGGGACGAAGATTCGCATAGCCGTGCAGATTCTCCAAGCCCGGAAAGAGACTCTAAAGATCCAGATTGGAATCCATATGGTGGCATAACTAAGCGCCGACCTGAACGAAAACGAAAGCCTGCAGCTAAAAAGTCTCCAGCGAAAAAGTCGAAGAAACCTCGTAAAACCGAGAATACCGATGAATACAAGGCACCCTCCAAACGACGGAAGAAGACTTTTCCGCCTCAGGACAATGAAGATGTCGAGTCTACGCACACAACAAGGGCCACCTCGAAGAGCATGAAACTTTCGGACATTCCTTTATCGAACGAGACAATCCAGCCCCCAGCTCAAGAACCGTCAGCTCTTGATCGAAAATTCAAGGCTAAATCCTCCATTTCATTTGCAGACGCGATCAATACCACGGAGAAAACCCCCTCTGTTTTGGAATCCTCAGCAAAAGAAAGGAAAGCTAAGAAAAAGCAAAAGAAGACGAAATCTAGCCGCGCCCGAGAAAAAGCTGAAGCCGATAAAAAACAGTTGAGCAAGAAGAAAAAGGTAGCAACTTGTACCAAATATTCATAAAATATTAACAAATGTGTTTTCAGCGCGGTGTCGAGTTCCAAAAAACAAAAATTGTGTGCCACTATTGCTCAGAATCTCTCTACGAGCACGAGGATGAACGCAGGAATGCTGAGCACCCTGAAGATGTTACTGTATTGGTAGAAACTCATCTGGCTAATAGACACAACCCTTTTCCGAGAAGCTTCGGTAGAAAGGCAATCTTTACTTGCTCGTCTTGCAAAGAAAAGTTCGAAACCGCAGATGAAGCAGCTACTCACAATCTCTACCATCGCAAAACAAGTCTCCTTGAGCTGAAGACGAAATACAACCTCTGCGAGTCAGACCTGGACAACTACCCAAAGCTTTTCACGCCCGAAGACTATCTCTACCGATTGACCGGAGAGGGCGACGAGATGGCCGAAGGCGTTCTTCATAAAATAGAGGTAAGATGAATTACCATAAGAATTTTTTGGCCGAAAAAAATTTTTTTGAGATAAGAACATATTCTGAAAGCCCAAGTCGAAATTAGTCGATTCCCAAATTTCTAGGGCTCAATGACGTCATTATGACGTCATTTATGATGAATAAATGTCCGAAAAGGCTCCAAATTCATGAAACTTTGGAACGCTTTTTGAGGCGGTTTTTGCTGGAAATAGATTTTTCTATTGATGGCATATTGTTCGCTATCAAAAACTACGTAGGGACCCGAGGTTTATTTTTCGAACCGACCGGTTTCAAAAATTGAACCGGTCGGTAACGGTTGATATTCAATGGTTTGATCCCGGGTCCCTACGTAGTTTTTCATGGAAAATCCGAATCCGTCTAGAAAAATAAAATTAAAAAACGTTTTCGGCTCGAAAAAGCGTTCCAAAGACAAAATTTTCAAATCAGCCTGATGACGTCATAATGACGTCATCTGACCCTAGAATTTGGTGATTCTGTATAACTTTTTACGGGCTTTCAGAATATACCAATATCTCAAAAAAATTTTTTTTGCCCGAAAAATTCTTATGGTAATTCATCGTAAGATATTTTTTCGATGGAACACTGCTAGCTTTCTTTTCTAGCGCTTTTTGATTCCGAACAACTCCAAGCGGAGCACTCCTAAATGGCCGGAATACAAAGTCTTCGATGGGATCCGCTATTATGAGAAGAGCGTCTTGGATTCCGCCTTTTTCTTGAGGGCCGACTTTGACCCAGCCCTCCTCTCTATCCAGACACATGAAGAGACAAACGAGGATGGAGTAACTGAGGTCTACTACAATCAAGGGGACTTTCAACTGTACGTCCAGGACTTTATCTATCCTCCGGCGCAGATCATTCTCACTTTCGACGACGAATCGTTAGAGGCAACTATGGACAGCAAACGATGGGTAAGATTTCTAAAACTTTTTTAATCTTTATCCTCTTATTAGATAGAAAGCTGCAAGACAGAAGTCGAAGACGAAGATTACGATGTGCCAAACGCGATGTCCGGAGTGATCTTCGATACCGATACGGACACGGATGATGATGATGACGATGAAATCCCGCTTCATCTTCATCCTGAAATTGCGCTTTCAGTTGCTGGCCCATCTACTTCGTTTGAAAACGCCCATGACGTCTCCATGAGTAGCAATGACACGATGGAGTCAACCGACATTATGAGAGACCTCGAAGAAATTGAACAAGAGGAGAAAACGGGCACAGCTTATCTTTCGGAAGAAGAGCAAGACGAAGTGGTCTCCGACGGAGATTCCGACGATGTGATCTTCAATGGATCATATATGCAGGACTTCGGCTTCGATCTCAACCCACAGAACAACAATATCCAGCCTTTGAAATACCGACCCGACCGACGAAAGCGAACCAAGCAGTAATCTGATGCAATTCATATATATATATTTATCTCTATACTGATCGACCCTTTTTTCGCATATCTTCTCTTATACAGTAGCCCATGATATTATCTCACCTAATTGAAAAAAGTTCAAATCAACCTCTTCCGCAACAGTTCTTCATAGACCAAATCTAGTGTTTCCTCTAAATCTTCAATTGCGGCTTTCTTCTAAATTAATATAGTACATATTTATTGGAGTTCTTCTGATGCTACAAATCATGGAAAACTGTCAAGGCATAACTCTCATATTCAATCAGTTTATTTTCTCCTGCTGTCGCTATCTTCCCAATTTTTGAACCGTTTGCACTCTTTTATTTTTGCCCCGTTTTTTTTCTCTCCATTTATCTTGCCAGCCTGAGCCAAAGGCTTCCGTTATTATTTTCACTTATATTCACTGCCCTTGAAACGTGAATAATTGCAAAACCATTGTTGATCATCATGATTTTAGAGGGCCAAATCGAGTTGTTACTACTTGAATAAGAACCAAGTAAAGGAAGAAGCTATATTTTTATTGTTCGCTTATATTGCTGCTGTATATAAATAAAGAAAAAATCAATAGTTTTTTTTGCGAAATACTTAATTTTGTAAGGCTTTAATTGAATGCAGGCAGTAACAAATTAAGGCTTGAAAGCGCCGAATTGGTAAACATTACTTTGAACTGGTGCCAGACCGGACAGGACCATCGGTACTCGATGCAAAAGCATGATAGAGTTCACAGAGTCGTCTTAATATAAGTTACCTTTCGCATTAAAGTTCCGATCAAGAGTCTACAGTTACTAAACTTACTAATTGATCTCTTTGGCTGATTTTTTGTCATTTTTTCAAGGACAAATATAGCTAGTTCTTTGAGCGCGTATCCGATTATGAGCAGCCCAACGAAAGTGTAAAGAAAAAGAACAATCTCTACGAAAGTGTGTATCGAGCTTGAGCTGTCCTCTGTCATCATTTCATTTGAAATCAGAGTTCTGAGAGCTGTCAATACTCATGCAACACTAAATGAATCCAACCCCTAGGGGATCTGGCACTCGTATATTTCCACTTGCTCGTTGGAATCATTCTTCTGAATCAACTTTTCAGTCGATTTTCAATTCTTTGCCTTGCTAGATATGTGATCTTCTGGATTGAGTAGTTTAGGTTTATTTTCAGGTCGCAGATGTATGTAAAGAGTAAACACTACTGGGTACGTACCTTTCATCTTGACCTTTCTCGTTTCTTCTACCTTAACAGCTTTTAATAGGCATATTTTATTGACCTGTCGATTTTATAAGACTTTAATAACTGATAGTTAGTACGTTAGCTGTATTACTTGTTCAGTAATCAAAGGCAGCTCTCAAGTCAAAATCATTTGAGATATGATTTATTTTCGTAACATTGTTACGGCGTAAGAGACCGTACTAAATGCAAAGATGTTTATTTGATTGTCGGATTCCATGAAATTTATATTTGACTTTATGACGAAAGTTTTCGGCATCGGAAAGGCTGAGTTGATCATAATATGTTTTTGAGAGAATTTCACGTGAAGCCTAAAAATACGCTGATTCTTCACTTTAATGGTAATTAAGCATTTGGAAGTGTCGATAATTGATCTGCCGTATTCCCAGCGCATCGGACGACGACGCTTCGAAGTTCATGATGGCGGGGAGACGATGTTTTCGAAAGTCTTAATTCGCCCGGCTGGACGCTTCTTTGTCGGACAGCACAGAAGAAGGGATGGTGATTTCGGACTATCGGGTTGAGCGTAGTAGTTGGCGCGTTCGTGTGGCGCCCTGCGGCGAAAATGAACGACGATTGGAACGTTGGACTTGCCAAGGCAGATATTGTGGCCCTTGTCCACTCTGCTGAATTTCGGGATTTTGATTTTCTCGTTGTCCGCTTTGAACTGTGGCTAACAACTTCCGCTGACGAACGAGCGCTGCGCGAAAAAAGAAAGAGAAATAAAGAGCGATTGAGAGAGACTGGCGGGAGAGCGCCTACTCGTATAAGGGCTATTGAAAGCAATAGGAGCCTCCTGGCTCGTTTATTCACAATCTCCAAATTTGTAAAACATTGACCTTGCTGGGCATACACGCAGACGAGATCCGACCGCAAAGCACCGAGCCACAACAAGAGATACCCGCAGCAAAATAAAATGAAAGAAGTATAAAAGAAGAAAGAACGGAGAAGCGACAAAAGATGAATGCCAATTACGAAGAAGGTAAATAACATTTTACGGGCAGCTCTAATTCGACTCGCTAAAATAATGATGACGGAGGGATAAACTCGCCAAATGTTTTCTGCGCGCTCAGCAGAAATCCGCCTGAGCCCCTTTTGGAAACTTTGTTGAAAATAAACTGACTCGGCAAGTTCACATCCACCCAGAAGGACCACGTTTGCTCGAGTCAGTTTAAGTATCCATTCGGCGTAATTTTACTTAGGACACTTTTGTTATATTTATGGACTTTTCGCTGGGAATTTTGGCCCATATAATGAATAATTTCATCTTAGTAAATTTTTTTTGAAAAGAGGATGCTAAAAATGAAGAAAATTTCTTTTCATAAAATCAATCCTTTCAAACCGGAAATAGTTACTCACAATTTGACCCGTCTTTTGATTTTAAAAGCGATGCGACTTGCTGGATCTTCTTTGTATAAAATTTTCTTGAGAATAGAGCCTGTATCGATTTGATATAAAAGTGGCGTTTTTGTCAAGATCAGTCAATCTTCACAAGTGGTGTAAATGTCTCGGAAAGTGTATGGGAAGGTGGTCGCGAGCCGTTCATCAATCGGTTAAAATGGGATTAGAGAAGGGCTCAGCCCAGCATGACCTCGCTCGGACCTGATCAATCAAACTCCCCCAGCTGCCAATTATTTTTATTCATCGTGGCCGTTATTATTCGCCATCCTTATTTTCGTAGCGACATTGACAAGGGATCTGTTTTCCTCCATTGAAAATTCAAGGCTCTTTTTAGAAGTTAACGATGAGAACGTCTTCACCCCTTTCGACTTTGCTTCTCAGGCGTGGAATGTAGACGACGGGAGTATTTATGTTGCTGACTCCTCCACGATCCGAGTGAAGAACGGGGCAGAGGAAAGAACGGTGCCTCTGAAATCGTTGGAAGCGGACGTGCGCAGCTGTAAGCGAGGAGGCAACTCGGACGAGTCTTGTGACAACACGATCACCAATGTCCAGGTGTGTCCGGACAAGGAAGCGCAGATCGTTGCGTGTGGGACGAACGCTCTTCAGCCGGAAGTCTTCTTCCTAGAGAATGCAACGGAGACAAAGAGGCACACGCAGCAACTTTGCCCAAAGTCGGCGAAAATCGACGCCCTAGTTAAGGTATGTATAAAACGAATTCCTTGGGAATGAAAAATTGTGCACCTGCTAACGATTTTCAAAGGTAACGTCCTGTGGCGATGAACCGGCAAAAATCCAGGGTGTGGCGGTGCACACCGAGCGCGACTCCACCAAAATAATAACAAGCAGCCATATATTTGACTTGAAGCTCTCTTCTCCAAAATTTGTACATATTTCGTCTAGCGATGCAACTGGTGCCAATTATCTTTACTTTTTTACCGAGACGAGCTCCGCTGGTGACTTGGCCTCTTTTGTTGGTTTTACATGTAATGGTGGTGGTGCGTCGAATCTTATCAAAATCCCGCTAAAATGCAGTAGAGAAGATTTTGTCTTTGCGAAGATGAAGCAGGTGGTCGAGACCGATAGCATGTTTCATGTCCTCTTCGAGACGCCTTTCAATCTTTACAAGAAGACAACTATCTGCTCCTACAGTTTTCAAAACGACTTTCTTCCAGGTATAAATAAGGATTTTTTTGATAATTCAATTCAACGTTTTGAAACAAACTTTACATCGAAAATTATCAAGAAACTCTCACGTACACAGTGGATATATTTACCACACCAAAATTTTCAGCATAAGAAACCGAGCTCGCATCGGATTATATTTAGAAACGCTAATGAAATCGGTATGGTAGATATTTCAGAAATAAAATGAAATTCGGCGCAATAAAAATCAGTCATTCATGAAAGAGTCTAATTTTAACTCAAGAAAGAATCGAATCTGATCCGTTGAACTGCAGCCAACTCATAACTTGCTTTTATTGTTCAAATTCAAACATAACATATTTTATAAAGTTATAAAAAACGCGCGCTGCGACTCTTCCCATAACTCTGATGCCAAAATTGCCCAAACGCCTATTCTCGAGGATCGTGGAAGCGAAAGCGAATCTGGTCCATACACGTCTATTTCAACCATCTGGGATAATGTTCTACTTTTGGGCACGCAAAAGGGCGAAATCATTACTGCTACGCGCGATTCTAGCGGCGCTTTTAATATTTCTTCATCAAGGTAAGAAGCAGTGGATCCTGAAGAATCGCAAAGTGTCTATGCAATTGTAACACTTTGCCATATTGTTTACTCAACATTTTTAGGAAGCTGACACATGACAAGTGCGCTGGGGCTGTTCTCGATCTAAAATCCACCATTGTAGATGATGTGGCCACGGTGTTCGCGGCCTTTGAGACTTGTATTGCATCTGTCCCGATAAGTGACTGTTCTTCTCTTTCGACGAGCTGCTGCAAGAGGTTTATATTCGTCTTCACTTATTGTTTTTATTCAAAACACTAGGACACCTTTTTGCGAAATTATCGATGATGATTGCACTCAAACTCTGACTGACTCTCCCATTTCTTTATCTGACGGAAGCTGTCTCGCAAAAGAACGTGAGTTATAAATAAAGTCCCTTTCATTCTAACAAATCATCCTTCTAGCAAACTCAACAGTGATTGAGACTGAGCCAATCATTCCCAAGACAACAATGGGGCCTGTGATTTTTAAACCAATCTCAGGCATCATTACAGAAGCACAAAGTAAATTTCACTTACACATTTACAAAATGGGTGCTTGATTTGATTTTTGTTTTCATTTAGCATCAATTTGTTTTAAAAATATACCAGACTGTTTCTGTAAAAGCTAAGTATTTATTCATTGATGTTAAATGAGCGCAACAAAATCATCATATCATTTAATAGAGTAAAATCCTAAACTTTAAGGAAGGTGCCTTCTCACTGATTAGCTATTTCGAAGCATAATAGATTTAGGCCTATCATGCTTGCAATAATGCTTTTTGATTTTCACTGGTGTTAGCCCTTTTCTGATATCAATTGTTTGACTGTGTTTAGTCCGAGCTCAAGATGGGTGCATTTGTCCCCAAAATGCGACTGTTCCCGTGGCAATCGTTGGCCTGATCGTAGCCTTTGTCGCTTTCGTTGGTGGATACTTCTGGGGGAAGTGGTAAATGCTCCGTTTTGACAATTTTTAACTTCAAATTCTAGTTCCTTCAAACCACAAGATGAGCTTCACGAATATATGGACGATTCTGAGTGGGGAATTACAAACACACTTTCGGCTTCCTCAAGTTCAACAGCTAAAACAGTACGGTTAACGATAAGACTACTTTGCTAACTTTCTATATAGCGCACGCGTATAAAAACATCACCTTCGAAGCAATCAGCAACACTTCGATCGAATAGAAGCGACGAGGGCGCGGAGACGGTTTCCGGCGCTCGGACGATTCCAGTGATGGGGGTCAGCTCTATCGGTTCCAACCGCGACCCAACGCTAAGCCCACGACGATCAGCTGACGGCAGTATCACCCACGAGTCCAGAGCGTAACATCGGCGACTTCGGAATCATAATTTATGCATACCTAGAACATGTTATGTGCGACCCTTTTTTTACTAACCTGACTACCTCAACCAACTCCCGAGCCGAATCATACGCAAAATAAATCCCGAAAGTTCAATAGTTCAAAACCACATCGAATTTTACGATCTGAGAGAGAATACTGTATTCTCCTCTATGTTTCCACCTGGATTAAATGCAAGCATACGGCAGTTTTGGTTTCATGCATGCAGTAAATGTGGAGCCATTCCATCACTATCATAATGCGTGCAACCATGTTAAAATTTACTCATGAAGTTACGCAGGTGAAGTCAAAACTGATAGAAGACTCTGTACTGTCTAGCGGCGACGGATCTGGCATTTGCACTTTTGTTGAACTTTGCAAGGTCCCCATAAAATGCAAGGAAGTACCAAACTGTGCTAGTCCCTTTAGTTCAAAAAAAGCAGAAATGAGAGCTGCGGTACTTTTTTCCGCATTCTCTCTTATAGAGGCAGACTCTTGCGTAGCATGTAGTTCTAGAAGAATGAATTTCACTGAATGGGATGCCTTGAAATCTACAGATTGCTGGGATGATGAGGCAAGTTAATTAAGATAGATCTAGATTGGCGCAGAATTCGTTTTTTATATAGTTGATTTGCATTATATCTCTTTACTTGTATCCATTTAATATAAGAGATTATAGAAAGCACTACAAAATTCACTTGACGGTAAACCAAACTCAGTGGAACCATGCAGGAAATCAGAAATATCAGACCACCGACGCTGTGCTACTGAAATCAGAAACTGGTGGACTCCTGAAGGCAATCAGAGGGTGAGCGTCATCAGAGGATGCAAACGAATTCCCGCGGATTTAGACGATGTTGACCAAGACGGTTGTGTTAATGAAATCGATACTACTGGAGCTCATATCAGAACTTGTTATGCACTTGGTAGACAGCCAGATGACGGAGAGGAATTAAGAGAGGTTCCAATCCAGAATGTTTTGGACTTGCTTGAAGAAGAAAACTTGAAGAACGTTAAGTGCCATGTTTGCGAAGGATACACAGCCTCTGAAGATGGATCCTACGAAGAGTGCAGAGATGACACTGATCAAGAAGAGGGAGAATGCCCGGAGTGGGCAAGCATGGGATGTTTCCGTGTTAACAACCAAGCGCTTCATGAAATCAATGGAAATGAAAAGCGATCTGTATTGCGCGGTTGTTCCGCTTTCTCTCTCGATCAAACAAACTGCAACGAGTACGTCGAGGGTATTTTCGAATTGGGAGAGTCGTGCAAGGACACTTGCCCAGGAAACGAAGGACAAGAATTTTGCAATGTAGGTGAAGTACAGCCCCTGAATAAGTGTTACGTCTGTGATTACGAGTGGGACTCACTTGGAACAGTGAGAAATGGCGATGTTAGATGTAGATACCCTGCTACTGCTGGTGCTTTCGAACTTCAAGAGTGCCCCGACTCTGCTCCAAGCTGTGCTACTGAAATGAAAGTTCTTTGGAATCGCGATGGCAATCAAATCAATACTATTTCACGATTCTGCACCGGCGATAAAGCACCGGAAGATGAGACTCCTGAGAATAACTGCCAATCGTCAAAAGATCTTGTCAGTCAGGAATCCACGAAATCCTGTAAAACCACCTGCTATGAGCTTGGATGCAACGACAAAAATGACATCTATAAACTCTTCTCAGTGAGAAACGATACGATCAGTTGTAACTCGTGTTACTACGATGAAAACAGGCCAGAGAGCAACAATCAAGACTGTGCGTCGGAAAATGGAGGTGAGCAAACAGAGTGTGAGCCGTTTGAAGATAGTGGCTGCTTTTCTGCTGGAAACTGGTTAACCAAGGTGAAATATTGACACTAGAGCAAATTTTATGGTGAACTTTTAAGGAAAACACTGATGGAGCGATAGGAGAATTCTTCCGCGGTTGCAGCTCATTCAACTTTAATGAGGCCGTCAAGGGATGCCATGAAGAAGTTATCGTAACCGGAAGCGGAAGTCGACAACTGAACACTTACTGCCGTGATCACTGCGAAACTGGAGATTGCAACACTGAGCCAATCGAGAATCCTGGAATTCTCGGCGGTATCAAATGTACAACATGCAGTGCAGCCATGAACAACAGAGGGGAAATGATCAGTGGCTCTGAGAAATGTTTTTCATCAAAGGCTGAAGATATCGAGCAATTTTCGCTTAATTGTGACGCTCCAGAAGGCATGGTGGCTTTCTGTGGAAATGAAATGGACGGTGATTGGTTTTACACAGGGCAACAGATATTCCTTGTCGGCCGTGGCTGTCGATACTTTCCAGAAGGGTCGAACGGATATGGTCGATGTGAAGAATATAACGCAAATGGATATGAGATTAGACAGTGTTCGGAAGCGAAACGAGGTTCAACTGAAAACGTAGCAAACGCTGATTTGAGCTTTTTGCTAAGCAACTTCGAATCAGGAGAAGAGCTTTCTTGCTATCACTGTGCAGAAAACCTGGGTAGTGACAACCCCGAACTCTGTGAAAACGGTGGAGAGGTTAACACAAAATGTCCTTCTTGGGCCTCAACGAGTTGTTCCGACAGTAGAATCACCGGATTTTCCGCTGAAACTGGCGCTGGCTACCACAAAGGTTGCTCAACTTTTGATAAGTTTGATGAGCCCGTCTGTGATATCGCAAATACTGACTATGAAATTTGCAGAAAAACTTGCAAAGGAAATAACTGTAACTCGAAGCCGATTCCTCCTCCACCCCAGTGCCATGTATGCACCTACGAATTCGATGACTTTGGACATTCTATTGGCAATCCAAACTGTTTCAATGAGACCACTTTGACTTCGGATACTATTCAAACTTGCGCTGAAGGTTCAGACAATTTTATGCTTTCTTGCAAAACTTTTTTTAGGTGAAACCGTCTGCGTTACGGAACTGCAGTCCGAATGGCGATTCGGAGGGGAGCAGAGACATATCATCCGACGATATTGCGCCAAAGAAAGTGCTCTAGGCGAGCCTTACTGTCTTGAGCACAATGGTGGTGAGGAGTCTTACAAGGATTGCTACTCAACGTGCAGTAACGACGTTGAAAATGCTGGTAGTATCGCTTGCAACAACAATAACGATGACGTCTACTCTCTCTTCAAGCCACAAGGCAATGACCCAATTGTTACAAGCTGCAAGGTATTCAGATAAAGTATCAACCTCATCAAATATTTCAATAAAGTCCTGCTTCTACTCTGAAATCCCGAACGGTGAAGATGGAGTAATTCGATGCAAAAATCAACCTGGTATGTTTCGGCTAAATAATGCATCTTTTTAATTTTTATTTCGAAGGCGATCAGGACAAAGTCAATTGTCTCCCATTCCAACAAGCTGGCTGCTACGTTTCAAACTCCTGGAGAAACACTGACGGGCAAGAGTACCAGGAAGTTTACAGGTGATTAATACCATTTTCGCGATTGAAGCATTCTAAAATTTTTTCAGGGGGTGCTCCGCTTTCCCAGAAAGTCTAGTCGATAAGGGATGTTACGAGAGTAGTGGACCAAACGGTGCTATCGAAGTTTGCAAATCCTGGTGTGGGAAGAATCAATGCAATGTAGATCAAGCCGATGAGCTCACCTCGACCACAACTACCCCTACCACAACAACGACGACAACTCCTACTACAACAACTCCTTCTACCACGGCCTCTACTTCTACACCTGTTGAAACGACAACCACGACCACAACCCCAGACGAAACTACGAGTGCTGCAGTTACAAACTTTCTTGCCTCATTGCTTCTCGCTACTTTATGTTTTCTTTAGACCTGATTTATTTGAACAAAACCATTGTCGTTTATTTTAATTAAAATCGAGCGTTGTTTATTATTCTTCAAAATGGGAACATTTTTGGTTTTTGTAGTTAAAATCAACAAAAGGAAGGAAAAGATGTTGAATAGGAGAATCCGATGTGATGTAACCGTCAGAATTTGAAGATGATAAGATATATGGTGTGAATAAATCGATACACTGTTGGATTTCAGTGACGTTCACCCCCCATCGCGCTCGACAAAAAGGATCATTTGGAGAACATTATGGTTTCTGTTGTAAAAGGTGGCCTAGCGCCTTTGTCTCTGTAAGGAGCTCGAGTCAAGAGACTTTCAAGTGGAATCTGAATTTCACGATTTCTCACTCGCCCCAAGCTGGTTATGCTACTGCTAGCAGTGCTAGCAATAGCGATAAGGTATAAATATATATATACGGAGAAGATGAGAGATTAGTGTGATAAGAGATTCACTTTTGAGGAAAAAACGAAGTGAAAATTTTGTTCAGGCATGTGAGCTGTACGAAGAGGATAGACGTGAATTCTGGAGCTACTATTCTCAGGAAATGATTATTTTCATCGATCAAAATTATTTGAACCACACATGTTTTTTGAAAATTATCATCATAAAAAGTGGTGTAATTTCGCCTCGTATAGAAACGATACGCCTTGTATTTCTGCTGGAAGATGAAGGTCAAATCTTCGCACACAGCCGCTCGAATAATAACTTGTTCGCCTTTGGTATCACCAACTCAGTTGTTCAGTTGGTGCTTCAGTCAGGCTCTAATGTACAGACATTGACTCGGAGGCTCTCCTCCTCAAGAAGTCGCTATCAAGAGATTCTCATCACCTTTCCTCAATCAGGAACTGCCGTGCTTTCGGTCAATGGCGGAATTCCAGTTCAAATTACGCTTCCTCGCTTTCAACCACTCAATAACGTCGATCAAGGCTCAATAACAAGAATAGGAGCAGGAAGACTCTTTGGCTTTGGACAGAGTGCTACTGGCTGCGTTCGCAAGCTTTACATTAATGGACGCGGAATAAATCTAGATTTTCTTTCCAGCTGCCCTCTCAGAAGAGTCGATGAATGTGCTCGCGAGTACTGCCTTTTTCCAGAAACTGAAGAGTGCTTTAAAACAACAGGTTTCCTATTCATTAGAAATTTTGCCAAAACGACTAATAAGCTTGCGATCGAGAGATTTCTCTGAATTTTCAACGACGTAACATCGGCAGCATTGTTGAATTTTCTTCGAGCTCACAGTGGTATCTTCATGGATTCAATATACAAGTAACAGCACCAGTCTCATTCCAGATTTCTCTTTCAACGTAACAATATTTTTTTTAATAAAATTTGCATATAAACTTAGTAATGCATCGTTTTATGAAGAAAACGAAACACCAGCCAGCTTTAATTTACCAGTTGGAAATCATAGACGATTTTTTATGTGGCCGATGATATCGAATCGAGTATTTTTCCATATCACAAGTGGAAGTATTTCAAGATTCCGTATTCTCGGAGGAAGAATAGACGAATGTCAGCTACAGAATGATTTGCCCGGCCGCAGCTGGTGGAAACTTGCTAAAACAGCTATAAGCGGCCCTTCAACAGCATTTGATCTCTTCAGAAATTATGGTGTGATCAATGACGAAAATCAGCAAGCCAGAGTTTCTCAGAACACTCTCAGCTACAAAAGCAAGCTCGTTGACGAGTGGCAAAGTCTGAATATACGAAGGTAGACTGATTTTCCCAGATTTTTGCTTAAAATTCACAATTTAGTTGTTTAACGTTTTATTTAGAGTTGAAGTCAATATCATGAGGGTGACGAATGGAGGACCAAGATTAGTCTATTCTGCAATATATGATGGTGAAGGCTCGTCAAAACTCAGCTGGATTGCAAACCTTCTCTTTGTTATAGTTGACATTGGAAACACGCCAGTTACTTCTTGGTCAGAGCTATCAACAAATTTTCCAGGAGATATAGTCGAGTTTCATGCTTCGACAGTGAATTCAACAACTGAACTTCACTTTACAAGAGCTGGAGGTCGCTTTCGAGTTCAGGACATCAGCTGCCTACGGGACGGAATCCAGGCGGATGATCCATGTGCCGACCAGTGCATAACAGACACTAATTGCCAAGCGTTTCTGATTGGAACTCAGGGTAATTTGTTGATTAATTTGACAGGAACCAACAAAGTCTAGGATGTTGCCTTCTTTCTTCATTTAATGAAACGATCGTTGGCTTTCTTACTCAAGCTGAGAGAGAACAAGGGATTGAAGAGTTTGATACGATATTTCAAAAGACCACGCAGCCGCCTATCAATGTTTGGCCAGAAGGCGCTTTTGACTCGACAGAGATGGAACGTGGATTCCAGTGCAGATTCAATGGTCCATTATCTGAGCAGAGAGAGCTAAATCTGCACGAAGTAGGATTCTGTAAAAAGAAACGACTCGTATATTTTAGGCGTTCAACTGCGAAGATGGCGAGATCGCGTCAACAGTTGTAAAATGTTCTGAACGGGGATCACGTGGACCTCGAATATTGCTGATATATTCAAACTACGGAAGGACTCATTCAAATAGAACCTGTCCTGAGTTAAGAAATATTCCTGATGTGGACTGTGTATCGCCCATGGTTTCCCGGTTTATCGAAAGTTCATGTAATGGAAAACAGCGCTGCCGTATTGACTTGCCCCTCCTCAAAGAAAATTATCTTGGGGAGCACTGTGATGTCAATGAGGCAATGTTTCTGGATGTTCAGTACAGATGCGAAGACATTAGCCCAGCAGAAGCAATTGATTTTTCATCTCTTGATAGCATTCGAGAGACCCCATTGAGGTACTTTCTTGCGATAACTTAAAAACTTATCTTTTGATGAATGAATATATTCATTGATATTTTAAGAGAGCTGTATTCCGATATTCTTCATATTGTTGCTGATCCAGAGGGAGAAGAACTTCAAAAAAAGGTTTTCCAACTTAGAAATACACGAATAAGTAATCAATGCATTTACCACAAAAATATTACTAAGCAGATCATTAACAAAATTTTAAGAGCATAAATGATTCAATATCATTTATTGATGCTGGCTTCCGTCTAACTATTAGTGTAATTGACCCAAAGGTTCTTACTTGTCTTATGTCGTTTTCCGTCCAGTTTATGTTGAGGAACGCACAAAGAAGGTTTGTCGAGAATATTCGTTCAGATTGACGAAGTTGCTGGTTCATGTCGCGAGAACGTCACAGCCTGCCTCGCTGAAGAAATCAAAGGAACCTCTTGGCCAACAAGCTACTGTGGATACATTAACACTTCATGTCCAGAAGGAACAGTTGGGACCGCATTCCGAGTCTGCGGACCCAACGGATGGGAAATGCCAGGAATGGGTTTTTCAAAATAAACTATGAATATGAATCAAGATATTAAAAAATTGTGGTGGAAATTCCAAGATGAGATTTGTCCCGTTGCGTTTCGCAGAGCAATCCAGCTGCTGTAATTGGGACTATTGTCGACGATCCAGACTACTCGGCGGCGCAATTGGCACGTTTGCAAGCTGATTTTCTTGAGCCTGATCACGAAATTTTCGGAGGCGATGTTGCTACATCAATCTTGATGATTGATACCTTGCTACAGCTCCAGAAAGCAGAGCTCGATGAAACGAATGATTTGGGAACGATAAACAAGAAAGCTGTCCAGGATGCGTTCTGCCTTCTCTTTTTAAGGTTTTTTTTTCCTAGTACAGTTGACTCGCTATCCACAATTTAGACCCGCACAATTTGGCCCTTTTTTGAGAAATCGGAATAACAAAATAGGGCCAAATTGTGCGAGTGAACTGTATTATGAACGGTAAGTGAACGGGTAAAAGTTCACAGAAAACCTCGGATCCGCTGTATCTAATTTGATGGACGAGAAACATCTTGATGCATGGGAAGACATCCCTAAAGATCAATGGGCTGGCCGGGCCACTCAAGGAAGCGGTTATCGTGATTAATTACCTTTATCTCCCTTTACGCATTTTAATATTAGTAATATTATATCACGAATATTATGCATAAATTAGATTTGATATAACCTTATAAAAGCGATTGAATTGTTGGAAGAGGCAGGTTTTTTACTGGCTCAGCAAGCTTTTGCAAAGTACAACGACTCCGACCGACCTGAGATCATTGAGGTTCACAGTTCTTATCCGAACACGGCCCTTCAAGTGGCATCAGTTTTGCCTGCAGGAGGAGACTTGCCAGATGAAATTCTTTTTCCCAACCAGACGATTCCTGTCCTCCCAGAAAATCACTGGGCCACTGAATCAGGCGAAATATGGGTCCCTGTCGACAAAAGCGACCAGGAAACAACACACCAACTCGTCTTTGCTGTCTATTCGAATCTAGACGTTCTTTTTGGCGAAGAAATCGAGGCAAGCTTTTTTTCTGTCGATATCGACGAAGAAATAGGATTGTTTGCATTTTTACAAAACTTTATTATAAAAATCCATCAAGGAGATATAATATGCATTCATTCAAGATGAAAATGTTGCTTTCGACGAAGACACAGCAAACTCATCGACTACGCTTATGACGACACCTGGGATAACAGATGGTGGAAATAAAACAACTTGTCTCGTCTTGAACAATGGAACAGAGCGGTGTACAAGTAACGATGAGTCGAAGCCGCATTTGACCCTAAACAGCCACATTATTTCTGCGACTTTGCGTCCGCCAAATAACGACTTTTTCCAGATCAAGTCCGTCCAGGGCTGGTTTGTATATTTAACATATTTTTAATCGATCAAATGATTTGCAATCCATGAAAAGATACTGCTCAAGCATCAGCAGGCTGCGGCGCGAGATGGGGCCGGTCAGTGCGTTTACTGGAACACGACAGCACTCCGCTGGTCGGCAGCGGGATGCAACGCAATCGAGAGCAATAAAACACACACGGTTTGTCGCTGCAATCATTTAACGCACTTCGCAATTTTGATGGATGTTAATGCCGTTACTGCCGTTATGGATGCAATCGACATATTGGTTCTCACGATAATCACAAGGATCGGACTCATTGTTTCCGTTGTTGCACTGGCCATGGCCACGTTCTGCTTTACTTTTATCCCAAACATGAAAAACACCAGGACAATTATTCACAGGTAAGACGAATCACCAAAAAATTAACGATTTCATTTTCGCCTAAGGAATTTATCATTCTCTTTGTTGATCGCGGAAATTATATTTTTGCTTGGCATTGAATATCAAGAAGGCGAATCACCTGCTGTCTGTGGTGTTATCGCCGGCTTCATTCATTACTCTTTCTTGGCTGCATTCAGCTGGATGGCACTTGAAGGAACACGAGTTTGCAAGACAACTTAGTTGATGTATTTTCTCGATTCAACAAGAAAAAAAAATAGCGTAGACAAGATGCATTACAGATATCTAGAGAATATCTCGTCAGTATCATTGATCATAATTTTAATGGAATATAATTATCCTAAACTAGCTTATCAATAAACTCGTTTTCAAGGAATTCATTTATATCTTTCGCTAAACCAAGTTTTTAACGTCGATAATCCAGACAAAATGCATTATTACTACGGCTTTGGATATGCGTTGCCATTGATTATTGTTGGAATAACCTCTTTAGGAAGGGCGCTGGCACTATTTTCTGGAAAGCTATGCAATTTGGAAGTAAACGTGGCGAAGTTCTCGTAACTTGGAGTCCTGAAAATAAATCTAGCCCGAGCTTTAAAATCGAAAATTATCGTGCGCAGCAATCCGCCCTGTTCAGTCAAATATGATCATTACGGTGATCCAGAGCGTGGACATTGTTGGATTAAAGCAAATGAATTCATGATCTGGAGCTTTGCCGGACCCGTCATACTCGTCGCACTCATCAATTTCGTTTTTCTGGTGTCGGCGCTGCGAGTCGTCGCCACCCATCGCAAGCACTCCACTAGATCGGCTTCAAAGCTAAGCACATGGTCAGGCTGGATTAAATCGAGTGTCGTCCTACTCAGGCAAGTTCTATTAATGGAATGGTCGTATTTATTTTCTAGTTTACTCGGTATAACATGGGGCCTTGGAGTTTTCTTCGTCAACGTCGAAACAACTTTTGTGGCGTATCTCTTTACAATAACTAATTCACTACAAGGTAAGAACATGATAGCAACTGCTATGAACCCTCATAAATATCACATGCTCGCACAAAAACATTCTAGCGTAGCTGGATTTTACATCTTTTAAAAACATACGATTATACGATAGAAAACATACTACTGCTCCAGATAATTCTTCTTCATGAGTCAGGAATTATGAAATGAGAAATTTGCTTAATAATCTGTTAATAATCGACGAAGAACTTCGACCGAAGAAGGTTGATGTACACTTTCTGAGCGTTTCGGAAGTTTCGCTACGGAGAAGGCGCTCTAGAGCCGTGGAATGAGCGGTAACTTTTCGCGTTTATTGGAGAGTGATCACCGACGGCTCACGTCATGCCTGTTTATCTGACACTTCCGGGAGCTTTCTTGGTCGACTTATTAGACTTTCTTGAAGATCATTAGTAATGTGCTGTGTGTTAAGGTCTCTTCATCTTCATTTTCCACTGCGCAATGAACGAGAAGCTGATAATCGAGTTGAGCCGACTAACAAAACGAAGCAGATTCTGTCCAGCTTTCGTCCAGAACCGATACGATCTCAGAAAGTGGAGACCGTCCAGTAGCAGCTCCCAGTACGTAATGAAAGCTGTATTCTAGAGTGTGTTTCTCTTACTGCTAGTTACACTCTCGAAAGGTTTTTTGGTTAACGTTTAATGATAGAGGAACGTCAAGTGGGACTCGGCGTACGATTTCATCCAAATTGTCGGTGAACCCCTCGTCTAGCGGCCTCGGCGTACTCGACGACACTTATTTCCATTCCGTCACCTTGCCTGCTGACCAAAGCAACATCGGACAAGAAGATTTACAGCCACGCAAGTGAGTCTGCTTTCATACGGCTTTTCCTTCTAAACGCTTGTTCCGCGTAAAGCGGAAATAAAAAGCTTGATCGAGCGAGTACTTTTCTCTCAAGTTTTAAGGACTTCCCGGAAAGCTTTTATACTTGGCTACATTACTCAGTCATGCGGGTTCGAATATAATGAAAATTATATTTGAATTAATTTCATTTCCAAAATAGTCAGAAAATAACAAATTAATTTTTAGAAGAACAGCGATAAGTCGAAAAGAACCCAAATGGGTTCGAAACTCGGAACAATTCAACGAAGAAATTGATAAAACAGGCAACATTTAGACATTTTTAATAAATGTTCACGAATTTCAGTTGGCCCGACTGGGATGATCAACAAAGCCTTTGACGGGAAAATTGAAGAATCGACAGTTTCCCCGTAAGTGAGGATCATTAAGTTCCTAAGCTTATGAGTTTAAGCTCTGTTGCAATGGCTGGGCGAATTTCAACGATGCACCTGGTGGAGGAACAAAGTGCCCTGTGAAATTAAGGTCGACCCTTTTAAGCTTAAAGAGACTCTTCGAAAACATTCAATTAAAACAGCCTCTTTCTCTCTCTCTGTACATTACTCTGTCTAAAATCAAAAATTCAACTTGACCTCAGTCTAAAATTTAGACTCTAAATAATTTGCTGATGATTTCGAACATCGCTTCTCTTCATTTATAATTCCAAAGAATCGTTCTTTCTGAGAGCGATAAGTTATCGCGGATAAATCGGCAATCGCCATGTGCACTTTGCGTTTGAATATTTCCAGTCTAAAATGCACATCATTGCAAAAGATTCATTGCGAACAGAGCTTTCTTTGAACTATCGATCATTTAAATTTGATAGAAGGGCGACTATAGAATACGGCATTATCATTTCAAGCACCTGACAGGAGAGTTGCTGATCTAGAATTTTCGTTCGCTGGATAACTCACATCCTAATGCAATTTTTCGTTCAAATCAACCAAAATACGAATTTGAGAGCTCCGTTCAAGATATAATCTCCCTTACATTAGATAAGACTCCGTCGTAAAACTGTTTCTAGCTATTAAGTTTTTCTCAGATACAGTTCCGAGCATCAAAAAAAAAAATAATGGCTAAATCGTTGTTGACACCATTAGCCACTCACTTCTTATTTGACCTAAAATGTGCATTGATTGTGGCCACTCAGATCGAATTAGCTTTTATGAGTATTTCTACTCTAAAAGCTAACTGGTTGACAAATGCATAATTGAAAAGTTGTTCACTTGAAAGCTCTTATCGTAGACATTAAGGCTTTTTGAACGGCCCTACAGTGCATGAGTGGAAACGCGCAATTAGAAACATCTAGCTTCTTTAATATTCCAGTGTGAGTATTGTCTGCATTAATATTCGCTCTCGATACCTTCATTATTAAGTGCAGCACTTTAAAAGCAATTCCTAGCAGGAAAGTCAAAAGATCGAGAAGAGCAAATGCGATTTTGTCTCCTGTTTATCGCGAGTTTATCGCACGGCGCATTCTATGGGCTAGAAGGAACGGACTTCATTTTTAAGATTAGTCGTTTGAACTCAAAGAGAAAAAATCTAAGTAGTGCCTCGTCCGCTCTGCTTATTGAGGAAGCAATGAGTTCAGAGCTCTTGAAATTTAATGGCGGCGCTCACTAGAGCCCAAAGAGCGTAACATCAAATTGAGAAAGCATCAGTCCTGCTCATTCTAGAATCTGTCCTAGATACACTTAAAAATGCTTATAAAACGTACATTCATTTCAGTCCTCGCAAGTTTCAAATCCACAAGGTAAGAGACAAAAAAAAAAGCTCGAAACCTTCAAAATGGGTTAAGGTTGGGCAACGTATGATAAGCGACGATTTGGCGGTTCGAATTCGGAAGATCTTCTTATCCCACAACGCGCACCGCCCAAGTTGTTGTATAAAAATTATTTGTCTGCATAAAACACTCACAAAATTCCATATGCACATGTTGTTTTAAACTCCAATAAATTATCTGGTACATCCGAGTTCATTTGGGTTAATTATGATTTGAACTTTGCGGCGGTGGGGGACGTGTACCAGGTCTTTGTGGGACTAAGACGGTTCACGTGTCGAAATCTGCAGACCTTCTATGATGCGATGAACTAATCACTTGATTAAGATGCCCAGGTTCCTTGAAGAGGCAATTATTTGAGCGCGCACCTGTAACAGCTATTGCCTAAACGCAACCAAGGGTCTTGATTAGAGATGTGATCCGACGCGATCGCAATCCCTCCACATGCTGACCATTTGCGGTCGCCAATCAAAAACCACACAAACTTCCATCAATTCCACCGGCGAAGCTATAATTTCCCAGGCCCGGGCAAACTACAGTGAATCCCATCTTTCCAATCGCATCCACCAAACATAACACGCGGAAAAGTTTGGACGAAATTGACTTTTTGATATAAATTCTGGCGGCAGGTCCAATATCAAGTTTGGACTCGGATGTCGTCTTCCGCTTGCCAAGGTTTGAAAACAATCGGCCATTGGAAAATTTGCTTCTAAATCTGCCTTCAGTGCGGCTGCTTGACAAAAAGTCTACACATACTGATGCATCCCAAAATATTACTATTTGAAATTAAATTTCATCAACGTCAGTCGATCTAAATCAAGGTACAACCAATTTGAATTACGAACGATCAGCGCTTCATCCATGAGGTGCTATTGCTTAACCCTTACAAGCCGGGGTCGTCGAAAATAGCGAGCAAGGCGCAATTACGTGCTTTATTCCGAAATGAAGAATAAGACACTCTAACAAATAGATGAGTGAGACGGGGTTCAAAGTGCCACTGCTTCTTTTGAACATCCTCGAGTGAGCTGTCTTTACCAAGAAGGAAATCCGCAACTGGAGAAACATGAATCGCGTCTGGCATCGCTTGCTTTTGTAAGAGTTTATTCGCGCACTTTGGGTCTCGAGGAAAGGGCAAGTGACGTTTTGAGTAAATCAGATTAGTTCACTCACTGGTAGAACATGTCCTTATCACAATGTTTGAAATTGGTCGATAAGGGCGGAATCACCCGTTCCAAGGGGGCGCTTTTTCGACTGAACGAACGAATACAGTTTGTCGCTGGTCGGAACCACGGCGAACTCGCCGCTGGAATTTAGTGAACTTTCCAGAAAGCAACTCAAAACCGAAATTTGAAATGAGTGATTACGTTCAGTTGAAAAACATCGTCAAGTGAAACATATCCTTAGCTAATCATCACGAGCTCACCCAAAACGAGAAGGAAATGAGTGCCCACCTGCAAAATTATGTAAACACGTGTAGGCCCTCTTTAATAAATACCCTTCAAAAGCGAAGTCCTCCTGCTTCAAATTACCATACGATTCCAAAATTAGTCATTCGGTATTCTTATTCTAGTAGTTAAAAGTGATTGAAAAAGCACTTACGTAAGCGAGTACGTTGATATTTCCGGGCTGAAATTTTCGAGCGGAAGCGATTAAGGGGGTAGAAACAGCTTTTTTCAGAAAAAGGCGATTTTTGACCGGCGATACAGACAAGAGAATCTTACATTTTCAAATTTTCTCTTCAGTTTTAGATAGATACATCTAAGATCTAGGAACATCTCCGTTGAAATTTGTTTTAGTCATCAATTATTTGAGAAAGCGGGCTCAGAAGCAACTCATCTCTCCGAAATTCTCGATTTTCGCCAGTTTTCAAACACGAATATCTCGAGTCACCTGATAGTTAAACAAATTTCATTCACAGTTTTGTGAACCTCAACCCCTTTTCTAGGAGCATTTATGAGGAATTTCCGTTCACATAAATAAATCTTATGTTTCCTTTTATGTAGCTACAGTACAAAATCGAGAAAGCTGTTTCTACCCCCTTAAGCGACGGATGCAATTTTCGCTATGTCCGAGCTGAGAAGATTTCGTGGACATTGCTTACTTGATCAGAATAATGGTTTTCCGGAGGCGCGTCACTTGGGGAAGTTTTCGGAAACGCGTCGTTTGTTACACTGTGTTCCTAGTGGCTACAGTCACAAATTACAGTCGACGAGTTTCAGGCAATTCAGAGCCCAAAGCATCGAACAAGTTATTTTTCGCGGAAGAAGGGCGACTAATAGGGTTTCGTATTTAGAATGACTTGGACGGGAGAACGGAAAGGCGTAACGCGTGATTTTGTTGTTTGGATGTACTGCTTAATCGTCCAAGCCTTAGCGAAAACGGTACAGCGCAGAGCGGATTTGCGTCTCATTATCAAGCAGGAGCTTTTCAAAGCCTCCACCCGTGGTCGGATATTTGGTCGGCCTTACTCCGGTATTCTCGGCCAGCGCATTATTCACGTTTCCGATTCTCTCACTCGAAGCATTATAATTTATAAAGAGTTTAAAAAAATATTTAAACTAAGAATTTTTTTGTTTTATTAAAATAACATTACAGAGAGATACTTATTTTTAACAAGCGCCAGAAATGAAAATATAAATGAAATCAGCAAGTTACTTTTTTCTATTTAAATTGACAACTCATATTACATGACTTACTTTGGTGGAAAAAGTTCACTCCCAGTAGTCAAAACAAATAATTCACCGTTTTTCGCCACATTTTTGGAAAAAGTATCATTTTCATTATTTACTGCTTCAGATTTCATAACACGCGTGAATTTAGGCAACAGGCAGAGCGCGCAAAACTCCAGCCTCGCGCTAATAATGTTTGATAAGAGGTTTGAAAACGTACTCCCCAAGACGACTCGTCCTCGCCATTACTGTATTGATGCAAGCGAAAGGGTGCCAAATGTGAAATGTGAAAGTTTAAAATTTCTAACTTTTGGGAGTTTGGAAGAATTGCTTGTAAATGTAGAAAGGATTAGCCGCTTGCTTAAACAAATAGAGATGTGGATAATCCAGGCTGAAGACAAGTTTCGACCATTGTTTCTTGAAGCCTGTTACACATTATCTAGAATAAAAGAGCTAGCTAGAAAATCGAATAAGTGCTGATTTGATTCATATAAAATAATCTTTTTGACAGATGATAATTACAGTCAGTTACTAGCTATTTACATCTATAACTGGTTCATGCATAATTTCTACTAGACGCACGTCGTGTTTCAAAAGTGTGAACATGTTTGCGCCACGAATAAATGCATATCAAACTAGGCGAGGATTTTGAAGGGAAAAAGGGCGCGGGAAGCGAACACCAATCGCGAATAGACTAATCCCGAAAGAGGCTGCAATCAAAGGGCTTCACCAACCAAAGGGCACACTATAGTTTTTGAAGATTACTCAAAAGCTAAGTTGGGTGTTTAGAAGGGCAGGGGCCTTATCCGGTGACTGCACGTTGCCTTTCTAAATAAACGGCTGACCCCAGAGATCAAACTTTCGTATCTGCGCAGAGCTCTGATACTGCCAACCATTATTTTCGCTTTATGAAATTTGGCTACTGCGACGAATGTTCTATTGACGAAGCACGTGACTCATCCCCTTTGCGCGCCGCTTGAGCAAATGCTCACTCAGTCGACTTTTCCATTCTTTCTTCTTTTAGAAAATC